GTTTGGACGTTGGCAAACAACTATGCCTGCCGGGACAATAGGAACCCAGCCTTGAGTTGCATCGGCGCGACTGACTCTGTTTAAATCATACTGAAGGCTAATTAACAAGAAAATGGCCACGGTAGCCTCTGACTGCCAGCGTTTGATGGCGAGGCGGCAAATGACTCTCGATGGAGTATCACTGTCGGCTGGGCTTGCTCCCGACTGACTTGGTCCTTAGTTGGTTCCCATGACGCATGCCAATTGCAGAAGCGACTGCAGAAGATGAGATAGGCTTTCGGGGGCCACCATTCGGCTCGAAGACCATAATTGATATCCTCGATTGGCTTTCCGAGTCAGCTCATACTTTCGGAACGCAGCCGCGGGAACGTTGGCCTTCCCCTACCCCGATGCTCCCCTCTTCGTTTCGTTTCAGATGCAATGCGGAACTCTGGGGCCCAGATTCCGCTGCGGTGTGGTACTACGACATCATGCCCTCCTAGCACGGCTCGAGAGATGGCTTGTGCTCGACCAGGCTTCTGGTGTTAATGATGTAACGCCAGCCGTCGACGCTGAGCAAGCTCAGCATGCTTCAGTTGGTGGAGGGTATAGCAGCGTGCCAGCGTGCATAGTGTTGGGTTCTTGTTCGCGGGGTTGTCGTCTCAAGTGGCACCCTTGGAACCCTCGTGGCCGGCAGTCGAGAGAGCCCTCCTAACCATGATATGACGGCGGCTACACCCCCCCCCTCATCTAATTGAGTTGGAGGGCGCCTGACACATACAACGTACGACAAGCATCTCGGGCGAGGCGCTGACTTTGCCGACAACCGTCGCAGGGCAGCGATGTCTAGTGCTGGGGTATCGACGGGCTTGTTTCCGGGCATGAGGGGTCACGCCCGTGATTTGATATCCTGTCGCGGTAGCGTCGAGGCCGCATACTAGTGCACAGAGGCGGACAGGGCTGCCAGGCTGCCAAGACCCAGCCTAGAAGTGCGTTACCCCCCCCCCCCCAAAAAAAAAGAAGAAAAAAACAACGCCCACATGCGAGCCTAGCGCACAGCGGGTCCAGCTGGCTGCGAGCAGCGAGGCTGGGTTCCGGGATCCGGGGTCCCGTGCGACGCCTAGCCTGGTATCTGTCACCTTCCTGGTTCTTGACGACAGCGATACTCCGGGACAAAACTGGCAAACCTCGTGCTTGCATGACATCAATGCAGCCTGAACCGCGAACCGTTCGGAATATCTCACCACAGGCCAAACCAAACACCCCACGGAATAAGAAGCTAGCTGCAGGTCGGGGTGGCGGCTCTGCGCAGGAGAGAGACGAGGTGGGGCCAGAGGCATGTGGCTAGCTCCTGGGACGAATCCTGATGAGCATAAAGAAACGGGCCACTATCACAGTCACAGTGGCTGCGGGCAGCGCCATCGAAAGTTGGCCCAGGAAAGAGGCCTGACGAGAGGGAAGGGCATCCGATCACAGGCTTCCCTTTACGCTGGTCATCAATTTCCAGCTCCACGCCATCATGCCATCATGCCCCACGGCTCGGCAATGTTCGGCTGAACTAGAAGCCAGAGGCCAGATGCGGGCGTTTTGGGAGCGGGCGGAGGATGGCGACGGCAGCAAAGACATCGATGAAGTTTAGACGATGCCTGATTTGCTAGCTCGACGATGGCATAGGCTGGGGCCTGGCTGGCCTTGGGCCGGACCTGCGAGTCTGAGTCGCGGGTAGCTCAAGGTTAAGCAACAAATCGGGGATTCACAGGACCAGCTGGGCTGCTGGGCGCCGTCCGTCAGGCCTCTACCTCCTCAGCCGGACGTTGGTACACTAAGGTTCCGGTTCCGCATCGGCCTGAACCTTGTGGGCAAGCTTGCCTCGAATAGACTTTGGACGCACCTGGCAGCTGCAGGTACTTGAGGGACGAACCTGCGTCGGAGCATTTCTGGCGCCACTCGGGCTCTCTTTTTCTGCACCACAATGTAGCACTGTAGCGACAGGTAGGGCCTCCGCCTCGAGCAGCCCTCCCCGGGACAGTCCAGCTCAAACGACTCAGCAGCTTGGCACCAGATACGACACGCCTGGGGTCCCCTGGTGGGGGGGTATGGTTGCCCTGCTTAGGGTTGGGCTCCACTTCGGCCGTGCTGGTGGTGGTGGTGGAGGTGGTGGTCGTGGTCGTGTTGTCAAATTTGTCGAGCGGGAAAACCGCATTGTGCTGCCCAGTTCACAAGTCAGTCAGCCAGTCGCTCACTCGTTTGGTCGCTCGGTCACGGTTGGCCACCCTTGCCGGCCCGGGTAGGGGTGGAGGACCATCGCACTCGTTTGCTTGCCCGGGTTACGGGTTTCTGGACCCGCAGGGGAGCCGACTCTGGCTGCATTGCACAATCTGCTTGTATCGGCTGCAGCACACCAACCCCAGCCCAGGCCGCCATGTGACACCTGCAACATTATCTACATTTGCGCGTCCCTCTCTGTGCCCTTGTGGCTAGTGCTCTCGCTCGACTGCCAGACCGTGCCAGTACGTACATACATACTTACATACATACATACATACACTTACACACACACTCACACACACACACACTCACACACACACACCACTGTGGGTGCTGGACACGATGCGATGCGATGCGGTGCGGTGCCAACTGCACTCGGCTCCGAAACCTATCACACACACCTGGTCAAGAACCCCACCCCGTCTCTTGTGGACTCGGTCGCATCGTCACCTGTGTCACATCCACCCCGTGCTGCTCGCCAGTTTTAGCCCTGGTGTGGAGGGGTGGCAGGAGGAGTTCCTGAGGGCGGGTGCCCCGCTCCCACGGGCGACCTCTTGCTCTGTCGTGTGCAGCTTGGTTGAGCTTCCATCCTGGGCGATATCAGGGTCCGCTATAGTCCATGACGACGTGCTGCCGGCCTGCTATCATTGCAACTGACTGGAAACCGACCGCTGATGCGAGCAACGGCCTGGTTTATGTCCGGTGGGATGAATCAGGCGTCAAGTGTTATCACATATGGGGCGCCTCCACCAATTTCCACCGACCTACATGCACACTTGAGATTTTGTTCCAACGGCTCGTTCCCCGCCTTCGCGGTCGCCCTTGAGGACAGGCACCCCCAGGGGGGGCCACAGGCAGGATCAGAGAAAGGCGTGCATTGGATGGGTACAGGCTTCCGGCATGACATTGGGAGAGATCAAGCCTGCAACCCCCCAAGGCATACGCACATGACCGCCAGCAGGCAAGATAGACTGCGGAGGCTACTCAAGGTTTGAGGCTTAATAGATGCCGTCATCGACGGGCGCGGCGCCCGTTGACAGCACAAGGACGAGTAAGTGCAGGTCAGGTATGACGGGCAAAATCACCCCAGACATGATTGCGAGACGTATCGCAGGAAAAGGTTGATCTGATTGATTGCCACAGTGTGTCGAGCAGAGCGACGCCTCGCCGGTGATACTGGGAGGTTTCGTTAGAGTTTCGAAGCAGAGAAGAGCCATTGGCGGTCCGGAGCCACTCGTGGAGATGAACCGTCCAGGGGCATGGGTGGGCAATCACTCGCCCATCTTCAGAGCAAGGAAGATCCCAAGACGGGGAGGTGGGCCCCCCCCTGCAAGGTCCTTGATCTGTCAGTTCTCGCCATCTCGACGGCCCAGCTCGATACCTGCGGCCCAGGTACCCTCCCGGTCGAGTCGAGTCCCACACGCCCACTGGCCGGCCCAGATCCTGCTGCTGTGCAGGCCTGGACAAGGACCTGACTGCAGACCGGACACTGGCAGTCATTCTCAGTATCGTCTCGTCCCCGGATGTGGCTGAGCTTGCCTGGATAAGGCAAGCTGGACTGCCCCAATGGCTTTTCCCCGGGTGCTACTGTGCGTACCAGACATGGCATGCGATTAGTCCCACAGGCCACAGGGCCATCATCGTACACGCCGTATACGCATTCGCATTAGCCATGTGTGCGTATGTCGGATGCGGATGAGGTCTGCTCTCTCAATCTGTCAGTCTGGTCAGTCTGGCCAGGCTGGTCAGGCTGGTGCTATCTCGATTCGATCTCGAGGACGGCCCATGGGGCATGGTGCGGTCATATCCAGCCCAGCCCAGCCCAGCCCAGCCCAGCCCATATCATCTGCCGCGGCCACGACGTAGACCGCATGTGGCCTCGCAGTTACTGTCCCTCCTGGCGCGAACACAACCCCCCCCCCCGTAGTGCTAGACGTAGTGGTCTATAGTGGGCAGGCTAATTGATAGCAGCATTCGGATGCGGCCAGCGCGACAGCAAGCAGCGCCAACTCTGAACAGCAGAAACGAGGCAGGGAAGCAGCGCAGACTCAGCAGGAGGCGATTTGGGGGGTTGGGCTGCATGGTACAAGCATGTGAAGGGGGTGGTTCCGAGAGCCCGACCCGGAAAGAGCTAGACGAAGCTTGAGCAGAGGCAGATTGGCGGTGGGGCTAGGCCGGTAGTAGTAGTAGTACTGTACAGGACGGCAAGCGGCTGTGATATCCCCCATGCAGTAAGCTCATGAGTCGTTTGGGCCCGCTCTGTCTGGTACCGCAGTACCTCGACGCGTACATGCGACGGCAAGGTACCGGCTGTGCTTCCGGGTCGCCCCTCCCCTGTTCCCCTCGAATATTTTGTTTGAATCACAAGGTTTCTGTTAGCTTTGCTGCAAGGGTATATTGCAATACCTCGAGGCCGGCCACTACGGCAGTGAGGTACGTACTGCCCTGCAGGTATCGTGTACTCTCTCGACCCTTACCACTGACCCCAGGCTCCTCGACCTGCGCCTACTTGCTGCCGCTGCCGCAGTGTACCGCACTGTTACTTGCTACAGCATACGCGCCCCCAAGTCTACTCCTGCCCTTGCTTTCCTTGGTCGTGCTTGCTCTACTCTACTGAATTCAGTTCAGTTCAACCCAGTGCTGGAGGCTGCCGCTGCCGCTGCCGCTGCCGCTGGTCACTGCTTGTAATGTAATGTAATGTAATGTAATAATGTACATAGATCAGACCCTGCTCCTCGCTCGCAGGGAAAGCGCATGCTTCGACATGCCCTTTCCTTGCCATGTCTGCTGGCCTTGCCTTGCCTTACCTTGCCTTGCCTTATTACCTTCCTTACCTTGCAGCTCGGTCGCTCGACTCGCAAAGCGGCGTTCGTCGAAGCAGGTCGGTCTACTCTGCTACGCGGTACATAGCTAGACCGTCGCCCTCAACCGACCTGACGGGCTAGATATCGTACTACTCCCGTACTCCCACGAAGATCATATCTGCTCTGCTACTAGGCTGGTTTCCTTTAACTGCCTCTGCAACCGAGCACCTTAAACAGCACGCCCCGGCCTCTACTTTCACCCATCCTCGCTCGCCCTCATCTTCCCATATCTCCTCCTCCGCCCCCCTCCCCTTTACGTTCACGGTTCACGCTCTTTTGTTACATCCAGCCGCCGCACACCTTCTGCCTGACGCTCTTGCTGCAGCACCCACCGCCCCCCAGAGGCTGGCTACCTAGGTACACGCCCGTCCTGAGTGGCCGTGTCCCCATTGCCGAAGGCTCCTTGCCGGGACCAGACAAGAGAGTAATATCGGGAGTCAGTCTGTGCGAAAGAGTTCGTGCACGCAACCGCCTCTCTTCAACCCATCACCTGGAACCGAGTAAGCGCCACATCGTCCCTAGTTATCGTGGAGCCGTCCCTGGAACACGACCTTCACTCCCGCCTTGCAAATGTGGACCTGGTTGCTTGTCACCAGCATTTGAGCGCTCGAGCACCCTCTCCACCTCACCCACACACGCCTACTGCAATCCACCTTACCACCCAGGGGGGGGACTTAAAAGAAACGAAACGACCGCCAACGTCTTTAGTCAGGGGGAGCAGAGGAACAGACGTTGCGCGACTTCAACTGGTATATATTATTCTTACTTCTCCTCCACCTGCCTGTGTCCTCGACCTTGGGACCCTGTCACTACCTCGACCCTTCGCCCCGACCTCAACCCACCCTTCCCTCGTCCAAAGGTATGAATATCAACCATTTCCCCTCCGGGTCTCGTTGCATTTCTCCAGTTCCTCTCTCATGATCTTCATACATCCGTGCCTCCATCCCACCCTTCACCCCCGTTCCTCATGAGACCTTGTGCTCACATATAAGGAACAGAAGCATCGCCTTGCCTGGTCTTGTCTCTTTGCCTCCAGTAGACCTCATCATATCTGGGAACCTCCGCGCCCTTGGATATTGTGAGCAGCAAGTTCCTTCTCAATTGAGGCACACACGTCACCCTCGAATACGGCAAGCCGCATCTCAGTTCCGCCTCTTCGTCCATCCTTGTCTCACTGGTATTGGTTGAGACCCCAAGAAGAAGCAACGCCAACCCTGAGACTGTTGCGACGAGAACGACGAAAAAGCAACCTGCAGCAACAGCTTCACGACCGTTACGGCGGCCACCACTCACACCCACGCAAGGGCCGGATTCGTTTTATGATCTGGTGCAAGGGCCGTTAACCTGCCATTGCCCCTCGTACCGGGTTCCTTTCCACAACTCATCGCCGACCGCACCTCACGGGGACGACGTCCACATTGCTCACCCTAAAGATCCTCACTTGGATCTCCAAACAATCTTTTCATCAATCATTCTCGTCTGGTTCAATCTTTCCAAGGTCGCAACTCGCAAATTTTGAGACGGCAAGTAATTTTCCTCCTCCCCTGTGCAAAGGCGCTGCGGCCCACCCGTATCCTTCTTCAGTCGCGTCTATCCGCGGTATGAACAAACTCATTATTTCAAGGAGACTATTTGTTGTTGTTTTTTACGAAAAAAAATACAAGCTGTCTTTTTGGTGTCGCCTCGTGATCATTGATGGCCGTCTAGAATGAGGTTTTACCTCATTAGTCTATTTAGCGCTAACACTTTACTTCACAGATATCATCGGCGTCTTTTTAACACTCTCAAGAACGTCATTCCATCGATACCTCCTTGCTATGGAACTCATCGAAGTCATGGACACTGAACAAGCACCTCGCCCGTTCCAATGTACTTGGGAGGCATGTGGCAAGGTATGTTAGCTGGGGAATACTCCTCGATCCGTGCGCAGAAGAGATCGCTGATTGTTTTTGCAGAGCTTCAATAGAAAATCGGATCTGCAGAGGCATTTTAGGATACACACGAACGAGCGGCCTTATGCGTGCACCCAGCAAGGTTGTGGGAAGGCTTTCATCCAGCGCAGTGCCCTGACAGTCCACATACGCACGCACACGGGAGAGAAGCCACATGCCTGCCAGTATGGTGGTTGCGGAAAGCGATTCTCAGATGTATGTCCTAACGCCCTTGAAAGTATGACGAGCATCGACTGATCGTGTATCCCAGTCCTCGAGTTTGGCTCGTCATCGACGGATCCATTCAGGGAAGCGGCCGTACATGTGCGGCCACCATGGATGTGTAAAGACGTGAGCACATCCACTACCACTGACACAAACGACATAGTCTAACGCGCTGCAGATTCTGCAGGAAAACAACCATGGTCAAGCATCAACGTCGCTCCCATCAGCCAGGTGCTCTCGTTGACGATGCCACGAGCGAATCGGGAGGGGATGACTCGCCGTCGACACCGAGGGCGCATCATGCTACTCTCTGGGGTCAACAACCGCATGGCCAGATGATGATGCACAACGGCATGGGAATGCAACGACCAATACCTGGGCAATACATGCAAGCCCCCTACGAACACCGCCACAGCCTTTCCTCCAACGGACCCGAGTACCCCAGCAACATGCACTCGGAACATGCCATGATGCGCCGCATGTCAAACGCCCCATTGCCCCAGCAATACTTTGTCGAAGCCCACAATCCAGCTGTCGCAACCATGAACGCCAGCCAGTTCCAAAGCGTACCTCGGCAGCACAGCAACCCTTACACAGAGCCCGGCCTCACAGCTTCGCTGAACAGTAGCCCAAGCACGTTCTCCTCTGCGTCTGTGCGGAGTCCTGTCGGCGACAGCGGGTTCAACAACTACGCCCTCCACTCGACACAGGCTGCGACGCATGCCCTTCAGGGTGCCGAGCACCAGCATTCCGCCATGGGACAGTTTCAACACCCGGCAACAACGCAAGCTATGCTGCCGAACCAATCGATGATGGCCATTCCCATGCACCAACACTCCCAACAGCACCCACAGTCCCCAGGAACACAAGGCGTGTACCATCAACAGCTTTCTACTTCGGCGCCGGACAACTCACAGGCTATGTACGCCGCCGGCCTCCCGGCCTACCAGGATCCTGTGAGTGCTGGCCATGTGCCAGCCTCCTACGGATGGGGCATCTCGGATGTCAAATTCGAGGATCCTTCCGGCATGGGCATGGGAATGCCCTCCGACAGGATCGCACAAATGGGCTAGAAGCAAGATTCTGGGAAGCATTCCCCGTTAAAGACTTTGACCAGTAACTGTATACTGGTACAGCAGCTTGTCTACCCCATCTGGTCCTGTCGATCCCTAGCTATTGGTCCAATAAGCCGGAACTTGAAGGAGCCAGGGAATGGAGGGCTCCGGCCATGCACTCTCACTTAATACCCTACGGCATATGTCGGTCCTGGTTCTAATTACAGTCAACCCCGCTGACGACTTAACGACATTTATTTTCTTGTAACTCTGCATCTTCTCCCATGCAATTTCCACAGGGTGAAATCTGGGGCGGTCGTGCTGCTTCTGCATTCCAGCAAACACTTTTCATCTCACAAGGCGTCAAAACAACTGCACAGATCTCTGGGCCAGAGATCCATGGTGGGGTGCAGCAGGAGGGTGGTCGGCTGTCTCGTTTGGAAGACAAAAAAGAACTCATCAAAGAGGCGTTCACGAATGGAGAGGAAAAGCGCACTTGTGGTGTTCATGCGGCTGTCATAATCAGGTTGGAAGTCTCGAACTGACCAGCCCAGTCTCTTGTTATTGATGTACTATGTCTTTCTTTCCCTCCCTATATCTCCTGTCCCTCTCTATATCTCTCTGTGTGTCACTTGCTGTACTATTATTGTTATTGTTTTTTGGGGCTTTGTTTTGATACCTGTGGAATGGGGTTTTTCTTTTCGGAGTATTAACTAATGAGTGTGAATCATACGGTGCCTTGCCTAAAGCTATGAAAACGGGCCATGGCAGGCGGGTTCAAAATCGAATTGGGTCGTATCAAGGTTGGACAACAAGCGGACAGCAAGCGAACAACAAGCGAAGATTATGCCTCTTAGGAAGCTAAAAATCCAAGCGAACTTCAAGATATCTGATTCCGTTCTATTTTCCCAATGTGATGTTTGCAAATATTGACTTTCTCGTTTCTGCCAATGCCCAGTCCAGGTTGCTGATGGAAGCAGACAAGGTGTCGCTAGGTGCTCATGTAGCTCTCAAGTGGTCACACCGTGCATTTAGGCAAGACCTAATGGTGATGCTGGAAGATTCAATCGCCCAACTACTCTCCAGCTGTGACATTGAAGTCATCATAAGTGGTGACAAGACCTTTTCACGCTCAACCAGCTTCCCTGTGCATAATCCGCGGAACAAACCATCTGGTACAAAAGAGAGGTGAGACGACCAAATTCGGATGGTTCCGAAACGGCTTCAATGGGCAACGTAGCCCATCGTGAAACGGATGCCAAGTGCCACTGGCTGAGTGGGAGCCGCCACACCCGTGGACGCTCCTGACCAGATGTCAATAGTCACAGGATAAAAGGGTACCGGGCGCCGGATCGACCGCTGATCTACAGCGAGGCCAGTCTTTTAACAACACAACAAGCTATGTGAAAAGCTCACCCATAGCATGAAGTCAGCAGTTGAGACCCAGCCCTTCCTGGCGTTCTCGGACGACCCGGGCGCCCGAGAAGGCGCGACTACCAGTGACGACAGCCTCCCACTCCACCGCGAGGCGCTGGTCAAGGCCTCCGCCACCCGCAGTGTCATTCGGGACATTGCAGTATGTCTCTTGACCTCCCTAGTCTGGGCGCTGGTTATCTGGGTGTTCATACCCGGCCCGGCCCCTGCATCATCGTCGCCGCCGTCGCCCTTCTCGAGCCCGACTGGCGACGATGCACCTGGTCAGATGATACCGAGCCAGGGCAGTAGCATCATCAGCGGGGAGGACATGGCTCGCTATCATAATATCACATCAGGTGCCAGGTATATTTCTTGTGGGAATTCGACGGAGGAGGCGCGGTCAAAGGGATGCACGTACGATACATTGCTGAATGCTTGGGTCCCGGCTCAGTGCTTGGACCAGGAGTGGATTGATGAATATCAAGACGACGCGAGCTGGACTGCCTTTTCCGAGTAAGTTTTCTATATCAGCCTCCCTCCCACGGCCACACTGTCACCCGTGAGCGGCGTGCTGCACATGAGACGAGACAGAAAACAAAGGAGGACGGTTGCTAACTCGGAACACTTGCACAGCGTGAACCTGACCGAGCCGCTACGACCCGATATGATGGGCGAGCGGGATCACTATTACACATCCATTCGAGACCACATCAACCACTGCGCAATGCTATGGAGAAAGCAATTCTGGACGCTCTTCGAGGGCCGGCGCGTGTTCGACGCCGTCATCGCCAATTCATACCATACCGAGCACTGCGCGTCGTTCCTGTCGGAGCTGTTCGGGTCGAACCGAACCGAGCCGACACTCGTGCGGGTGGGCTTCTCGGGCTGCTGGGTCAGGGAAGACGGTGACGAGTTGTGAGTGGGACGAGGACTCTGCATTCTGGAATGGGGCCGCTGTTTCCGGGACCGGGTTGTGGTGTTCACGCCCTTCTTGGTAGTAGCCGATGTGAGACACGGGGAAAGCGGCACATAAAGAGATGTTCCACATAGGCCCGCAGGTTCGGATATTAATACATACGGCTCATGACTTGGACTCGCATGGCCTCATTCATGGTCTGCCGCTGTGGAATGGGCTGGGATAGTGCGGCGACCCCATCCGGCAACTCGTCGGAGCGGGACCTGACAAACTGACAAGCTGACTGACTGACTGACTGACTGACTGGGTTTGTGGGCTGGGTGATCGCCATGATCGCCAGTGATCACCCTTAATTACCGAACCGTCGAGGCCCACGAAGTCACTGCTTCACATGACGCGTCCGGTCCACGCGGTCCCAACGCCTCGATTTACGAGATATGTTGGTGAGAGTTCCCACCCCCCCCCCCCCTTTTCGTGGTAATACCGGGCCCGGAATGGTGATGCCGTGTCGTTCTTCACGGCTTCAGTCAAGCACCGCCGCCGGGGACCCAAGGGGCTGGAATGCATGGCACGTGGATGTGGTCTCAGCTACGGCAAACATGCCCCCTCCCAAACCTCGTAACATTTTGAGCCTCAGTGAGGAAATCCTACCTATCTAGGCCCGAGGACCTTGGACGAGCGGTATCAGGCAGGCCTCAACCCACATGGCTTGCTGGCTTGTTGATGAAGTGATCCGATATAAAATTCATCAAGTACTTATGACACATGTTTTGGAATTTGATGACCTTGATGATGGGGTGGAGGTCAATGGTTTCCAGGACCCCTTCGGACGTATGCGCAGACCTATGACTTTATGTGCGGTATATTGATAGCAGCGAGCACGTGTTCGGTGAGAAATTCACGAGCAAGCCGGTCGTGTGCCGCTTTCACTCGGAAACCTGGGCCATAATTGTTCCCATGAAACCTGCTCTCTGTGTGGGACGTTCAACTACCTGTACCCTCCTCTGTCTTTAGCCCGACGTAGTCGCATACTGTTTCCACAAGCAAGGCCCATTCAGAGCACGGGGCCTGTAACCTCTTTGTCGACCACGTAAGGCATAACATTAAGAGGCCAGGAGGATCTTTATTGCTATTTTGGCAGCGCATGAGTGGTTGTTGTATCCTAGGAAGTACCTCACCTGGCATAGCTGAGCAGGGCGTCTGACTGATCGCCTTGAGCAGGGTGCACACTAAAGTGGCTTGTGGCTGTCCACAAAGTCGTCAACTAGTGTTTGAGGAGGAAGACAATACTAAAGGTAAGGGTAAAAAAGTGCAGCACAAAGAACAACAACAAGAATGGGAATGATGAAGACGGCTATTCCCCTAGAGGACAACTTGGAAGTTGACTGTGCTCATCCTCGAGTGGGAAGAGGCTCAGCCTGGTGTCAACAAGACTGCATGCCTGCGTGTATTTCAACTCATCGTCAGCTTGCTCCTGGACCTAGGTACTACTGAGAAACCTGGTCAGACATAATTGGAGACAAGCCTACCTCGGCATGTCTCGCACACAATGCTGTTACACTTTTTTGCACACAGTCTTGTACTCGGGGTGGTTTTATGTGAGCGTGCCTGGCAAAGCGGCAGCTTGGGGACGAGAGCGCCCAGTGTGCCAGGGTTTAACCCTCTGTCGTGTCTGCCCTGGCGCCACCATCACCTCGGCCGTATGGTAGGAGCCGGGTCGTTGTGGACCCCTGCCTAGTGTACCCAGGCAACCTTAAGCTGACCTCATCCATCTGCTCGAATGAACTAGCCCGCGGCCGCCGCCGCTGTCGCCGCCGTCGCAACCGCCAACTCGGTCTGCCAACGCACCACTTTCACCTCGTCTTGTACCCGGCACTCGTTCATTCAATCACCAGCCGCCAGCCACCACATATGGATTCGTTCGCTTCGTCCACAGGCCGCCGGTATTGATTAACACCTCCATCCTGATCGCGCAGCCTGCGCTCCCAACGGCCGCCATGGCCTTTCAATCTGCACTGCTGCCCGTGAGTCGAACCCTGCCTCGCCCAAGTCCAACCCCCAAAGACCTGTCTACATGCTGAATGATGCTGCTTCTTGGCAGAACATGGCAGCAGCAACGGCTGAGGTCTGGCCCTCGGTCGTCAAAGCCCTGGCCATGCCACCGACCGTCACATCTGTAACAAGGCGTCCCCGGCAGCCCGCACACTACAATACTCAACCCATCGTTTCTACCACGCCGTTGTTCGCACTGAATTCAACGGCCCCCATGAGGAGGCTGTTCTCGACGTCGGCTGCACGCGGGGTGCTGCGCAGCACACCTATTCCGCAAACTAGGTCTCCTCTTCAAGATGTTGTCACTCGTCTGGCCGTCTCCTCACGTCTTAATCCTTCCTCAACCGCGGCTCGGAATCATGTCTCTGGTCTCTCTTCCAATCTCTGGCTGTTGCAGCGCCGTGGCTTTAGCAATGGGGGTATCTCTCGCAATATGCTGGCCAACCTCGAAGCTGCCGCCAACCGGAACCCGACCAGCCCAACCGCTCAGAACGCTTTCTACCAGGTCCTCCTCAAGGCGAACATGCCGGGCATCATAGTCGAACGATACCAGTCAGGAAGATACGCGAGGAATCAAGCGGTCGAGGACGTCTATGCCAAGGCATTGTCCATGATGAACGGCAACAAGGTCGCCGACGTCGGTGCTGCCGGTGGCCAGGCCGGTGGGCTTAACCAGTCTCAGCTTCAGGCCATCGGTCAGGCTGTCGCGGCCAGTACCAAGGGAGGCAACATCGCGGTATCTACTCAAGGTTCTGGTGGAAAACAAGGGCCCATCCATGTCGTCGTGGATGAATCGCTTGGTTCCACCATCTTCAAATGGGTCAGGTTTTTCATGATCTTTGGTTTCGTCTGCTACTTCAGTTTGGTTGTGGTTACCATGATCGTCGAGAGCTTCAATTCCTTCAAGCGGACCGGCACCGCTCGGGCTGATGCTGAGGTCAAGGCCGAGAGCCAGAAGGCCCGGTTCGCTGACGTCCATGGGTGCGACGAGGCCAAGGAGGAGCTCCAGGAAATCGTCGAGTTTCTCAAGAACCCCGACAAGTTCTCGACCCTAGGCGGGAAGCTGCCAAAAGGCGTTCTCCTGGTCGGCCCCCCTGGCACTGGCAAGACCCTCCTGGCACGTGCAGTTGCCGGTGAAGCTGGCGTTCCCTTCTTTTACATGTCTGGGAGTGAGTTCGACGAGGTCTACGTTGGTGTGGGCGCCAAGAGAGTGCGCGATCTCTTCAATGCTGCCCGGTCGAAATCCCCAGCAATCATCTTCATTGACGAGCTGGACGCCATCGGAGGTAAGAGAAACGCGAGGGACAGTACTTACGTGAAGCAAACACTCAACCAGCTCTTGACCGAGCTGGACGGTTTTGACCAGAGCAGTCAGATTATCATCATCGCGGCGACAAACTTCCCCAAGCTACTTGACAAGGCCTTGACCCGTCCCGGTCGATTCGACCGTCATGTCTCGGTCGACTTGCCTGACGTCCGAGGGCGGCTCGCCATTCTGCAACACCACGCCAAGAAGGTCAAGTTGGCCGAGAAGATCAACCTGCAAGAGCTCGCCCAGGGCACTTCGGGACTTTCCGGCGCCGAGCTCGAGAATATTGTGAACTCTGCTGCCATTCATGCCAGCAAGAACAAGTCGCCGTTCATCTCCATGAAGGATCTCATCTGGGCCAAGGACAAGGTCGTTATGGGTGCTGAGAAGAGGAGCATGGTTATCAGCGAGAAAGAGAAGCTCATGACGGCTTATCACGAAGCTGGTCATGCCCTCGCTGCCTTGTACACTGCGGCCCAGCCCATTGCGCTTTACAAGGTCACAATCCTCCCACGTGGTGGAACTCTCGGCCACACTGCCTTCCTTCCGGAAATGGACAAGCACTCTTGGACCACATCAGACTACCATGCCAGGATTGACTGTGCCATGGGAGGCAAGGTGGCCGAAGAGATTGTCTACGGCAGCGACCTTGTGACTTCAGGAGTCAGCGGAGTGAGTATTCGCCCCCACCTCCAGCCGTCTTTCTTGGTATACTAAAGTGCTTCTAGGACCTGAACAATGCGACCGACCTCGCGTTTCAAATGGTCGCGTACTTCGGAATGGGCGGGGGAGGATTGGCCCCTATGGACTTCGGGTCCAGGTACAACAACCTGAGCCCGGCAACCAGAGAACAGGTCGAGCGGGAAGTTCAGAAAATGCTGAATGAATCGTATGGTCGCACGCGAGAAATGCTGGTCGCAAAACGGAAGGAGCTTGACCGGCTGGCTGAAGCCCTCGTCGACTACGAGACCCTGGACAAAGAAGAGGTGTTGAAGGTGATCAAAGGCGAGTCGCTCACTGACCGCATAAAGATGCCAAGGGATGGGCCCATGACGGTTCCAATATCCTCAAACCCCCTCGAGGGCCTGCCGCCGATCGGCGGAGGGGAGCAGCAAGGTGGTTCTGAGCCGCCGCCCCCGGCGCCCCCCGCTTCAGTATAGTGGCCGGGATGCCGGGGTGCGTAGGGGACGGGAAATCTCCCCCATCCATCTAGAGGGCGGATGAATTGAGTGAGTGTGTATCATTTGTATTGGTTGGGAGGGGAAAGGAACAAGACTCAAAGAGTCTGCAGCGTTTACTAAGTCCAACGGGGCAAATCGCGTTGTGGTACCGTTTCAGAGCGTATTTAGAACAGCATCTGTCTTAAGGGCATTGATGAATTCAGCAAACAAAAACCAAACAGATCACCACCAGGAATCACAAAAAGAAACTTTATACCACTAGTTCCTATTCACCTTGGGGCACCTTGTTCACCCTCTATTTTGTCTTTTGTTGTTCAACCAGCGCCAGCGCCAGCGCCAGCGCCAGCACCTCACGATGCACAAGATAAGAACACTCAGCAAGCCTCTTCTCAACTGTACCACTTGTCTTGATTGCATGCTGCTCACGGGTGTAGTGAGGGCCAAGAGTCGTGTCAAGAGAGATAAAGGCTGGTGCTTTGTTGATACGGCAAAGTGGAAAATGATAAGTGATATACAAAAACCTAGATTCAACTCATCACTGGTATCCCCCCTTTCTGCTGACAATTACGTATTCCTACAACCCCAGTGACGCAGTAGAGCATCATTAGGCTTGAGGTGCCCCCTCTAACCCCCCTAGACACCTCGGCAGAGAGAGCGATACACAATGAACAGGCTAGGATAGACGAAGCACGGAAAACATGCCCATTGCCATAGTTTTTGTGGTGACAAGGACTCGTTTCTCACCCTGGTAGTCGTCATTTCCAAGGTTTGTTCCTTGACCCCCTCCCCTCCAAATGTACTCTCGGCCCCAATGCGTAAATTTCACAAACGCTGCCAGGAAGCAGCCAAGCCTCCATCCTCATGTTTCAAGGTACCGATTCGACCAGCTCAAGTGTCAGGATAAGGATAAACAGTCCGCCCGGCTGGCGGCGATATCGCCCTGCCGATGAGTGACGCAGGAGTGAGGTCCTCCCAGCTCCCCCAACTGTCCTGGCTCGCGCCCCGGACCCTTTCGACGGCCGCGCTGCCTCGATCATGCCGGTTGTGTGAATGATGACGGCGGCCCTGGTAAGCAGGACCACGCTGGCCATGCTCCGGCGGGCTCCGCGCCAGGGCGCGCTCGGAACTCACGCCGGTGGTCGTGGCGACCCCAATGCCCGTGTTTACTGGGCTCGAGCGAAGGGTCAGCGGTGGAGGCGGCAGGGCTTTGCTCGGCGGAGGACCGGGCGACGGCGACCCTGGGGTGCTCATCGGGCTGACAAGATCCGGGATCTCGAGGGGCCCATCGTGCGGTCGCCTTGGTCGGACCGGTGATGATGGCGGGGTAGGCGCAGACGTGCCGGTAGACATTAGGTGGTGGTCCGCCCCGTCCGCCAAGGCGATCGTTGCTGTGCTGGTGCTGGTGGGATGTCTCTCATGTGTCAAGTGGTTGCTGCTGTTGGTGGACGTCATCGACACGATCTCGTTTCGTAGGGATGACGTCCGCCCTTTAGGGTAAGGATGAAGAGCATGGGTGGTATTGTCATGACTGGCCGACGGGAATGTGAACATTACCGGGGGAGGTGACTTAAGCCGGGTGTAGGGTGGCGAGGAGGGCTCCGGAGTCAGCGACGCCGCAGAGGTGACGAGTGACGGTGCTGTCTGGTGCATCCTTTCTTGCCGTGGTTCAAGACGGTTGTATGTCGGGCTGCAAATTGGAGACGATGGGAACGACTCCTTGTCATCCTGCCTGTGGCTGCTATAACAGCTGCTTTGGCTGTTGTTGCTGTGATATCTCTCAAAAGGTAGCCCAGACGCAATGGAATTAGGGCGTGAGGTGGATTCCAGTAGCGAAGGGAGAAGTTTCCTGTCGCGTAGGGGGAGAGGCGGAGTCAGAGGCGGTCGGTCGGCATAGTACGAGTGCGAAGGTGAGATGAGGCGCTGTGGAAAGTCTGCCGCCGTAAAGCCTTGCACAATCCTACTAATACGACTTCTTATGTCACCCTCGTGCTCTCCCAGCTGCCTTTGTCTTCGGCGAAGGACGCAGATCAACAGAACTACAGCACTGACAAGTGCCAGTGTGGTACATACGACGATGGCAACTATGGCCTCCGTAGGAAGAGTGCGGCTCGGTGTGGCAGACGTCGTGGTTGCAGACGTCGGCAGAAAAGTGTCCGTGTCGTGTGTCGCTGTGGGCGGTGGCGAGGTGCCAGTAGCATCAACCCTGGATGGGCTTAATGAGGCCGTAGACGCTGAAGCAATCGGTGGTCCTTTGGTGGCTCCTGGCTGCGTAATCTTCGACGTCGAGCTCACCGACAGTGCGGTGAACCCAGAGCTTTGGGCAGGGGTCTCCTGCTTTGGAGTGGAAGAGGAACACGTGCTGCAGCGGTATGATTCGGGAGGTACCCCAGGATCAGCGAAGTTGGGGAATCCGAGACTGATCAATCTGTCAGCGTGTTCTGAGACGGTGGGATAGAAGGAGCACCTGACAGACCCGTTGCAAAGATTTATGATATTGTCCACACCGGCTGGCACCTAGTTAATGATTGTGACTCTCGCGCTTGTGAGGCAAGTATGTCGGGTCAGGGACTTACGGTCCTGAGCAAGACTGTGCGGGTCATTCCACTGTAGGCCACACCACTTATGGTCCAAATAGTACAGGGCATAGAATGCGGTCCCTCCTGATCCGGCATCTGCTATACTCTGGCAAAGAGTCTGGTTGATGTCTTCCTGTCCATACCTGCTCATCAGGAACGCCCGCTGGTTGCCTTCAAAGCACGCACCCTTAGGGTCCGTCACGGGAGGTGTGTCTCCGGGTCCGTCGAAGGGACATGCGCAGTCATCTTGTCGCGCCAGTGCCATCTCCCCAACCTCGCCCATCATCATGAACCTCTGGATAGTATCGACACGTACGCCAGTCACGGGGAATGAAGCCAGCTGGCTTTGGGATCAGGTGACGACCATGAATGGAAACCAATTCCATTCTTGGACAGTCACCCCCGCAGAGCCATTAGGCGCCTTTTGACCACAGATGTCGATATTGCCTGCTCGTAAGAAACGGGAGAAGCAAAAGCGCGACAAGCGGGCGTGGGGGGCAGCGCGGCAGGTAAAAAGTCAAGCATCTGCGCCGGGGTCGAGAGAGTGGAAGACGGCAGGGACGGACAGGTATAGACAGAGTCATACAGACTTATGCCAAACCTGGCAGCGGTGGATGGTATATAGGAAACTGAAGATCTATCGTTCCATCCATGCACGCACGACATGCCACAACCACCAGAGCCAAGGGGCCTGCTCCCCGGCCCCGCCTCGTGATCCGTGTTCATTCATCGAGGTCCCAGCCGTGTCACTTGAGCACGGGTATAGGGGAGCCACGAGGCCGACCGCTAAGATAATCTCGGGCTGGAGATAGATCTCACAGCGGTAGTCAGGCACCCTACGGTCCGCGGTTGGGGTGAGGGGGCCTATGGGCTGCAAGGTGCGCCCACTGCAGGTCAGATATGGAGGTTACACGAGTCTGCCGTCTCCCGCCAGCCCATCTGCTTGGACGAGAATGCCTGCTCGTATGGAAGATGGTTGGGAGTGCACGGCGTCCCCTGGACAAAGATGCAGCTAACCGACAAGCGTCCTTCCATGTCCTGGGCCCCTTCAGCTCATGCGCGATGGCGGATCAGCAAAAGCAGGCCGGGTAACATGCTAAGCACCGCCTGGAGCTTCTGAACAGAAATCGATGAACCGATAGGTGAGGTTGGGCGTGTGCATCGTGAACCAGCCGCTCTCTTCTTTCCGTGCTCGAGGTCGTCAAATATTGGGGCCCTGACGCTGCCAGAGCCGGCAACTGAAACACCAGCACAAAGGGAACACTGGCCCCGCCTCTCAGGTACGTGTCGGACTCCAGGGCATGTCGGGATATGACCTACCCCTCTCTGAAGCGCAGTACACAAGAGATTACCTGACAGCAAGCGCTGGCGCTGCCCAGAGCTGCTGTGCGCCGGCGGGTGCGATGGCATTGGATGGTTTCGAGCCAATCATGTTGGGCAGAATCGCAGAGGGCAGAGCGATGCGGCTGAAGCTCGGTCAGGATTGCCAGGGGCCGCCGTGCGATGGACTGGGACTGCACGCCGTCGCTCATGGGAGTAAATGGGGAGAATGCAGGTAAGGCGACTTAGCTGTTTGGACATCACAGGTGAACTCCCCGAAACCAATTAGGAGACCGAACCCTGGTTGTGGTCGCACTCAATTTACTTCTCTGGAGTCAATCAACCCCATTCCCCTGTCCGCTACTGCAGGACCGTCTTGCAGAAAGGTTACGAGGGGGTACAAGACCAGACTGCGGCGCGAACGGCAACAGGTTTAGCCAATAGCCATCACCGGTACGCGATGGGCCACAGACGATTGTGAGACTGCCAAAGACGCTGTCCCATCAAGGCACTATCACAACGCTCAGGTCTCTGCTGTCCCTCGTGTTACTCGTTGATGCAGATTCTTTTCGAGTCCGTCCATGGCAGCATGGCTGGGTAATTGGTCTTCCATCCCATCACCGCGCTGCGCCCACGAGGCCGACACGTGAGTTTCCATGCCGTCGGTTCGAGCTCCTGGCCTGTTCAGACAGTAAGAGCTGAAGTGTGAGTCTTGCATCATGCGTGACTAAGACACAATACCTCTGTTACTATGCAAGGTCACACGCTGACCTTGGACCCTGGGTTACTGGGGTACCCACCCTGCCAGGGGGCCGACGTCCCCAAGCTTCCCGAAGCCTCACGGTGAATGCTCGGGATATGGAATGCCTGTGATGTTCCTTGCGCTGATCTGCTGGGCAGAGCGCCATTGCGAGTACTGGAATAGATGGAATACCTGCTCGCTGGGCCGTGCCGCTGCTGCCAGTTGCGTCGGGATGGCACTCGCTACCTTGCAACACACCCGCGCATTATCCGGGGTGAGAACCCGCGAACCCCAATACAGAATACAATGGTGTAACAGACCTCCATTGAATGTCGGCGATAGCCAATGGTGAGAATATTGTCCACAAGAGTCCGGAGGTGCTGATCAAGGCTTCTGCTCCTTGGGGCTCTGGAAGTCCGAGCCGCCTTGGCCGGGAGTGCAGGCTGGAAAAGCAAGTAAGAGGTGGCTCTCCACACCTACTCATTGAGAAGGTCTGACTTGCTGACCGTCAGGGTACTTCGCCCAAACAGGGATTTGAATAAACAGCCCGGACGAAGTGCAGAGCGTTCATGCTTTGACGTGTCAGCCCTAATGCTGGGCAACCTCGGACACGGGCCTGACGAGAATGTTCCGACGTATGGTAGACAGCAGGTATCATGCTTATTGCAGCTCGTCTGTCCACTGGATTATTAAAAAAAGGGCCACCGGGTCGTATCAAAGATCTTCCCCAATCCTATTCGGAAGTCGTCTGGCGATATGTGCAGATCCATTGCCATGGCTTTATCTGCTAGGCAAGTGGCAACAACACCACAATTCGCTGCGCAGGATGTTGATCTTGGCATTGGGCTGAGCGCTCTCGGCACGTGTGCATCGTAGTGACATAGGGCGAGACTCGGGTCGTAAAGTGATCTGTCAGATACTGTGGCAAGACAGAACCGAGACGCTTATGCTGCCCACCCGTCGCCCAAGGCCCGTGAAAGGTCCAAAGTCCCGAGCCATCGGGGCTATCGATAATCGCATTGTGCCGCACTGCAGTAGCTGGTGCGCGTGGGCAAGGAAGCGCATCATTGTCCGTATGGTGGTTCGAGGTACTACTTGGGCAACGCATGCGAGCCGAGAATGGGGTCTGATCATCGACCAAAACGACTGCCGAAAAGAATAGTTGCATATCGATTACAGTGACCCAACCCGGGAGGCACCCGGTCTCACGAGCCGACACTTGTGGCGTTTGTGCCGTGACCACGTTCAGCCAGTTCAAGTCGTCTCAGGATTCCCGCCTTCCAGTGCTTGTACCCGACCCTCCTTCGCTCACTTAGGTAGTCAAATCTGTCTTGTAGCATCGTGTCTGCTTTTCGAATCTGCAAGGGCGCAGTGGTGGAGATCAAGTCGTCCGGGTTTGCGTCCGGGTCCACTTGTCCTGCATCCTCTCCTGCGTCCCGGAGAAGGTCAATGCTCCGAAACCAATCACTATCGAGCCACTTGCGGACCGCGACCTCCTCGACCGCTTCGCTAATGTCAGCCGCTTTGAGGCCCTCTGCCCATCCGTCCCAGAAGACGGCCTTGTCTTCCTCAGTGGCAGCGGCGATCTTCCTTCCTCGTGTCACGGGAGGTTTGACCACCTCTCTGGCGCTCTTGAGGGCGCCCAGTATGGGCTTCCGCCTAGCGTTGAGGCTTGAGCGTGAAGCGTCCGCCGTCATGTCCTCGCCGGGGGCCAGTTGAGCCGACTCAGACACATACCAGTAGATGGCAGCGAGCAGTGCGGCCAGATGTCCATTGACCCATTCGTCATCTGTCCTCCGACGATTTGGCGCGATGATGGACTCGAGACCAAAGATCACAGTAGGTGCTAGATCCGGGCCTCGGCCTTGGCGGAGAGCGCTGCACAGATGAGTGGCCGTCGGACGCAGCCAGGGCGGAAACGAGGGTCCCAGACTTGTTGCTGTGCTCGTTGAGCTCGATTTCGCGGTCGACGCAGGCTTTGCGGGTGTGCGAAATGCCGCAAGAGACAATTCCTTGCTCGGCGTGCGCCTGGACGGCAGCGGGCGAGATGCGGGAGAGCTGAGCTGCTTTGATCTCGGGGTGCCCGGGCCATTCGCCCTGCCACGGCCAGATACCGAGCTTGCAGGCAGGATCTTGTCAAGATGGGTGTAAAGGCGCTTGTAGATGCGTGGTGGGACGGGTGGTCTTGGTTCAATGGGCGGGAGGTTAAGAGAGATCTTGAGTCTATGAGGAAGGTTCAGCAGGCGGGCCAGAGGCGGGGCCAAGGGCAAAGAGATATGCCTACCTGTCGCATGCAAGGTGGCAGCACGCATACAATCGTGCCACTTCTTCCTCGGCTTTCAGGGTGCTCGCACGGAGGCGGGACTGCGCGAGGAGGGAGCTGGCGAGTTCGACGAGAGATGGTGGAAGATTTGAATTCTGGGTGGGCAGAAGCGACAACAGAGCCGCCTCGATTTGTCGGCTCATCTTGGTGTGGGCGATGTGGTGCGAAGCGATCCTGGCTCGTTTCGTTGTTGTGCGCAGCGCGTGTGGAAGCGAGCACTCGGTCGCGACCAGTTAAAGCAGTCGCGTTTGGCAGGTCGGCGCAGGGCAGGGGTGCCTCGGATACAACACGAGAGCACGTGTGCCTTGTTGGCAGCCGGAGACTGCTATGCTAGCACATGCCCGGCTTGCCGGCTTCTCTGACGTCAACCAAGGTCGCAGAGTTGCACAGACGCTTGGTAACTGCGCTCTTTGTTCCGATCATGGCTGTATCCGTGCCCACGAAACCATCCCGTACGGCCAGCGGTAGCAGGCTGGCAGGTAGGCGACGGCCACTGCTTTCAGCCACCAATTCGCAACTGTTCGAGCAGGGGTGGCAGATGGAGTGCTGCAACGGCACGGCTCAACCAATACCACGGCAGCACGGCTGACCCCCAGGACCCCAGGACCCCAGGACCCCCCGGCGCTATCGACTGCCGGGCAGCCGCGGAGAGCAGTCGCAAGTCCGGGGGCCGTTGCCATTGACGCCATCCGTCTCCCAGCTCAAAACAAGCGAACAGGCAGACCGTCGCAGGACCTCGACTCACCTCTCACAACAAAGTCTCCCGCCACTGCCACCACCATGCTGTCGACCCTTGTCTTCGCGCTTGCTCTGGGCAAGGTATGCCTCGCGCATGGAGACCATGGAGACCACGGCCAGAAGCCCGTCGTTGACGAGAATGCAAGCTGGATGACCAAACACATGGCTGGTGCGCCCTGCCCTCCTCCTGCTTGAATGGTGGCGCCCCAGAGTGGCGATTGGCACACGTCTGACCTGATTCTGCCCCCCAGAGGAACACCATGCCGACACCTTCGATGCCGGCTCCTTCTTTGCCCTGCACGACTACAACAGCGACGGCCAGTGGGAGCCCGACGAGATCCTGAGAACCTACGGTCTCTTTGACGAGTCGAACAAACACGTCACCGAAGATCGCAAGAAGGAAATCGTCCGCGAGGTGCTGCGCCTGGCTGACAACAACAAGGACGCCGTCATCAGCAAGGACGAGTTCGACATCTTTATGCTCGAGGGTGGCACGCTGCCCGACCTTGGCACCGGGCCCGGCCACCACGGCGACGACGAATATGAGTACGAGATCCACCACTGGGAGCTCTACCACGACGAGAACACCAAGCTCGAGGACCTGACCCACCCCGAGGACATCGAACACTTCAAGAAGCACGAGGAGATGGAGGACGAGCAGGACCGCATCGAAGAGCTCAAGCACCGCCAGATCGTCGAGGAGAACATCCCAAACAAGTTCAGGAGATCAATCTGACCTGCCGCGCGCTGACCAGGACCGCGCACACGACTGATATAACGATGGGGAGGGGGTCCATCACGCTGTATTAATGAATCTATACGTTGTAATTGTAGACATCAAAGACACAGTGCCACACATCTGGCGCGAACGTCTTGACTAATTCCACATTTTCGACCTCTGCACCTCTTCCACCTTGCCCACCGCGCTCGTCCCACCCATCAAAGAGCTCCTGGATCTCCTTCCTGCGGCGCTCAATGTCCTTGGCCCCGACATTCTCGTGCAGGTGCAACCAGCCATCCTGTGCAGGGCCTAGGATCGCCCGCGCAGCCTCCCACCTGTCGTCACTCCTGGGCAGCAGCCCGCAATTGACATGTCTCACAGGCAAGTCGACGCCGTGAGACCGCAACTCCCGGACCCTCCTTGTCGCATGCTCGTTGTTCTCCAAGAACACGACGATCTTGTCAAGCTCCGAGACCAGCTCGCGCGTCGGCCTCGCCAGCTCCTGACCCTGGATGACCTTGACAGACCAGCCGTTGGCGTGCGCGCCCCTCCGTAGACCCTCGACACTCCACGGGTTGAGCTCCCAACACAGCACCCTCATGCCCAGCTTGGCGTACGAGAAGACGAAGTAGCCGATCCCCGCGTAGAGGTCGACCGCCCATGACTTGCTCAGCGCGGTGCGTGCCTGCGCCCTGTGCGCCAGTAGCTGCGAAGCCTCCCCGCCTGCGGGGCCCGGGACGTCATGGAAGGACAGCAGCCGGGCCTTCTCCTTGATGTTGCCCCTGGAGAACATGGTCCAGCGCGGCGCCCAGGTCTGGTGGATGCCGTTTTGCTTGGTGCACACCCAGAGCGCACGGCCGAAGTCGTCACCAGTGACAACCGACCCTGGCGTCTCGGATGGTCCGAAATCGCCGCACAACACGCGCAGGCCGACTGGGCTCCTCAGGATGTTGTCGTGTTCTTGCTGCTGCTGCTGCTGCTCCCGGCTGCCGTGCGGGCCCCCTTCAGCAGCTGTTTGCGCGGCCACGGTGAGAGGGATTCCATCGTTGGCGGCGAGGTGCGTGGCCTCTTGCCGCGTCTTTTCCCCGATTTTGCGCAGTGTGATCTTCCAAAGGTCGTCCCTGCAGTCTGAAGAGGCTTGCGAAAGCGCCTTCTTCCATGCCGGCGATGTGAAGCTGCCGCTGGGCAGCAGCACCATTGGCTCATACGTGACCCATCTTTTCGGTGCTTCTGCCACCAGAGAGTCTACTTCTGCCCCCAGCAGAGATAACTCGTTGCGGTGAAGATGGAACCATGCAGACACTGCCGCTGAAATGGGGTTCGGCGGTTTGGATTTGGGGCGCGACATGGCGAAAAGGGAGTGTTGCTTGGAGTCGGGCCCGAGGAATTTGTGCCTCGGCTCGCGTCTCCAACTTGGCTGAGAGGGAGGAGGGTTGGAGAGCCGAAGCTCCCCTCAATTCACCCGCTCGTTACAGTGCGGTGAGATTCACCAACTTGATGAAAAGTCACTTGATTGTCGCCTTGGCCGTTTTTGTGATCTGGACATTCCCGTACCCATTTTATACACACGCATTTCCTGTTAATACGAGTCGAAATGGCCGAGAAAGCAAAACAACGGCTCCACGCCATTGGCACACAGGTCGCCCCAGCAGTCATCGAGGATGAGACCTTCGAGGACGTGCCCCCTATCAAGCAGGTCGGGCCAGTTTCCAACGGCCCAAGGGCCCAGGGAAAGGTGGTTATTATCACAGGTACTGTGTCTTCTCTTCCATTCCCCCTCCACGACTTCCAGTGGCCCCCGTGTCTCTCCAAGCCGTGGCCATCTCACTGACATCGAACCCGAACCCGCAGGCGTGAACTCGCCACTTGGAATAGGAAGGGCCACGGCTCATCAGTTCGCACAGAACGGCGCAAAAGCAGTCTACATATGTGATTTTGACGACAAGTTTCTCGGCTACCACGAGCGCCAGATAAAGTCATTGTACCCCGCCGTGGAAGTCCACACGCGCAAGTTCGACGCTGCGGACGAGGCCGCCGTCAAGGAGGTCGTGGACGATGCACTCAGCCGTTACGGTAGGCTGGATGTGATGTTTGCCAACGCGGGTATCGTTGGAGATCCCATCTTGTTCTCAAAGACGTCCAAGGAGGACTTCATGAACGTGCTCAGGGTGAACACCCTTGGGCCCTTCCTTGCCGCCAAACACGCCGCTCGCGCGATGGCCAAGACCTCCCCCGACAAGAAGTCCTCGGGCGGGAGCATCATCATGACCGCATCTGTTGCTGGCATCCGGTCCAACGCAGGCCCGACACCCTACTCGGCTTCGAAGTCGGCCGTGATAAACATGGCAACAACCATGGCATACCGTAAGTTCACCTCACGTGTACCTGCCCAGCCTGCGCATTTGATCCTGTCTGACTTTCTCCCACAGAACTCGCCGGCTCCAACATCAGGGTAAACGCAATATGCCCTGGTGTTGTCGAGACCGGCATGACAGCCCCGATGTACGAGACAGCTCGGGCACGGGGCACGGAGAAGAAAATTGGCCAACTGAACCCGCTGAAGAGAGGAAGTGCCGCCGACGAAATTGCGAGGGTTGCACTGTTTCTCGGTTCCGATGAAAGCAGCTACGTCAACGGTCAAGCTTGGGCCGTGGATGGCGGCTTAAGTGCTGGCCATCCGTTCGTCCCGGTATGTCATCAAAAAAAACAAAACTGTCCCCTGATATACGAGCCGTAACACAATTCCCCATCCTTGCCCCGGGCTATGTACTGTCTTGCCGTACAGTGTATATTGGCTATCAAACAAGTCGCTGATACTGTCACGAATAGGGCAAGCTTGCTTGAAACGCAGCTGCTACTTGCTGTTGTAAGCGGGGGATATGAGTGAGAAGCGTAGGAGTGGCGAAAGATCTGACTGCAGCCATGTTGAGATGTTAAGGCAGCTATGAGCACAAAGGAATTCAGGCCACTCGTGTTGCTTATAGCGTCTTTGATCAGAAGATGACAATTATTGCACGGTTGATGTTCTTGCATTAGAGCGAATCCCATATCAGAACCCCTGGACGAGATCCCGATGGCTACCTATGTAGACCCCGCTTTCACGAGAACCTGTACCGCCACCACTTCTTGCTATCACAGGTAACATTGAAGCCTGATGACTGCAGCACCTAGGTATGCGTTCCACCAATCCGTCGCAGGCTCTCGTAATTAGCTGCACCAAAATGTATATAGCTCAAGTGCTGACTCTCCCCCCGACAGCACATGTCTGACCCCAGCCCTCAGTAATAAACGCTCATATTTATCAATCACCTAAAGGCCATGGCCGCCACCCCCAGTACGGTATACCTGCCCGTCGAGGCACGCAGCATTCGCCTGCTTCACCTTGACGCCGGTCAGCATGATGATCCCATTCGATTTTCACTCGACTCGGTATCATTAGACTCGAACCCACGATACGAAGCAATCTCCTATTGCTGGGGCAGTCATAACTCCCGACAAGATGTTTCTTGTATGGGCATCCCCATGTCCATCACCACTAGCCTCGGGGGCGCGTTACGAGAATTCCGACACAGCTTCATGCAGCGCATCCTTTGGGTCGATGGTATATGTATCAAACAGGATGATGAGAACGAGAAGACTTGTCAAGTACGCCTGATGCAAGAGATCTATGCCAAAGCAACACTGGTCCTGGTTTGGCTTGGTCCTATGGATGAGGCTGGTCTTTTGTCCAGGATATCTACATCACTCAAAAGACTAGATGATTTCTTGCCGCATTGTGACCCGGAATCGCCATCAGAGGTGGAGCCGGGCTTGATCTCCGACATTGCGAACTCAGACGGCAGAAACGGTCGGCCGAGTATCGAACAGAACGACTGGAACGCGATATCCCAGCTCATCTGCCGTCCATGGTTCACCCGTAAATGGGTAGTACAGGAAATTGCAATGGCACGAGAAGTTCGGCTGCACGTTGGCGGTGGTGTTCAACTACCTTGGCTGGAATTGTCAAGTCTCGTCGCCAAGATTTATTCGTTCGGCGTGATTCCTCTCATCATCAAAGAGGTCAGCTCAGGGGAAGATGGGGCTTTCGCAGTGGGGCTGTACCACATTATGGTAATGAAAAATATTGCATATGGACGTCTGAATGGACAGGGCACACTAGTAGACGCGGCGATTAGGACAAGAGGCTTCTCTTGTTCAGACCCACGTGACCATATCTACGGATTGCTGAGCTGTGCCAGCGAAGGACCCTCGGTCGATCCAGACTATACCTTGAGTATTGAAGAGACCTTCAAAATGTTCACCCAGGTTATGCTAAAAGACGGGCAAAATCTCAAGGTGCTCAGCCTGGAACCTCACAAAAGTGATCGGTTCCATCCTCGCATCCCCAGGGACAGGACCGAATTGCCATCTTGGGTGTCAGACCTCCGCCGACCGGCTGATCCCATGGCTAAACCTTCTTTTAATGCTACATCATACCACGCAGGAGGTCCACAGAAACCAGTGCTTCGGATATCCGACGATGGGTGTCTTCTACACTGCCAAGCAATCGTCGTGGACGAAATAGAAGATCTCGTGCCGCCGATGTACGAGATGCTCCTAGACGAGATGCCAGAACTATTCAAATCGTGTTCTACGTCGATCATTCCTTCGGACCCATCTCCATGGCGCCATCGGCGACGCTTCCAACGGTGGTTGTGGGCTTGCTACAATCTGGGTTACAGACACGCATCTGTGCTCGATAAAGCAAGCAGGAAGGACGCGTTCTCGTGCACATTGCTACGCGACCAGGGCAGCAGTGCTGGCGGGCAAGCATCGGCGGAGATGATGAGTGCAACTTTCAAGTATGTGGAATACTTGCTTTTTAAAGACGAAACATTATCACCCGCGCATAGGCTTGATGAGATGCCTAAATGCCCCAAGCTATGGGCCAAGATCGATACTGCGATAGGCCAGCGCTGCATGATGCGCAGCTTTTCTAGCACTACTGGTGGTCGTCTAGGCCAAATGCCTATCGGGACGGAAGAGGGTGACCTCATATGTATTCTGATCGGCGGGGAAGTGCCATTCGTCATTCGACCGACGGAGCCCGGCTCAACCAAGTATCATCTCATCGGAGATTGCTTCCTCAACGGTGCCATGAACGGCGAAATGCTCGTGCCGTTTCAGAACGCTACGAGAGAAATCATATTGGCATGAAGTTTTGAAGTCAAAAGGCCAGTCGAGGGAACATTCTGGTCAACTGGTTGACAACTGTTGCCGGACGATGGTGAAGGAAGAGCTACCGACCCATCCACTGTGGGAAGCTGGCGAACCATTCGGGCGTGTGTAGTTAGACTTGAAGCTTGCCATGTTTCGTGCTGGACCCTGCTGTGGGGTTAGAAGGCCTGATAAGCAGCTGGTTGGGAGGGAGACGGGAGACAGCGATGGCGGCATTGGCATATAATGAGACATTGGCAACGTGTAGGTATTTGTCTACGTTTCGAACTGGTCCAATGTCACAACCAGAGTATTGGAGTTGACACGGAAGTTTTTGACAACTAAAAACTCCGTATTGACCCAGGACCTGAATTCTTGTGCAAGTTTATTCGTTGGGACGTCTGTGTCCGCCATTGCCAAAGTTGATAACAACGGTCCCAACCTTAACCTTCTGGTAACAACCAATTGATCAATTCACTAAATATGGAAGTACGTTCCAAAGCTTTTTAATGGTATTTTTTTGCCTATAGCTATCAACCAGTCGATTTCGGGTACCTATCTTCTCGTAGCTGAGAAGTACATCTGCTTCTGCTCATGTCCCCCTCGCAAATAAGCTCTCCCATTATCCCAACTCTCTATCGCATAAGTTAGTAGACCGGTCTACACACAACCCCACCAACGCACACAAGTTATCTATATCCTTATAATTAGAGTTACTTAAATATATATTTATTTAATAAGGGTATTTTAAGTTATATAAATATAAAAATTATATTATTTAACTCCTCTCTCTCTTCTATATTTAAAAGTATATCTTTCTTTATTAAAACTTAATTTTTAATTATTATAATTAATTATTAAATTAATATTAATAAAAATAAAATATATAAAATATACTATATCTCTTAATATTTATATTAATATTATATAATAGGTTCTTTAATCTATAAAAATATTAATTTTATTTATTAAAAGTTATTATTAATATAAGAATATTTTTAATTAATTAAACCTTTATTTAAAGCTATCTTTTTATTTATTTATATATAAACTTTTTAATACTTTACTTATTAAATTATTAATAATAATTAACTATTTAATACTTTTTTATTTTTATTAAAAGTATTAAATATATAAGTTTTAAAAGAAATTTTAAAGTAAGAATCTTTAAAGTTATATAAATTAATTTTAAGTATATAAATAATACTATATTTAAGTATATAAAGGGTTTTTAATTAGTTAAAAATATTAAAAGTTATTAATATCTCTTATTAGTTTTAAAATAATATAAATAAAATTAACTTTTTAAAAAAATAATAATAATTATTTAATAATTAAGTCTTTAAAAATAAGTTTATTATTAGAAAGTTAATTATTAATTATATTTAATTTATTATAATTAAATATTATATAAAAATAAAAATTAATTTTATTCTTAATTATCTTTTATAATAAAATAGTTTAATAATAATAGTTATTTTAAAAAACTTTAATTAATTTAAAAATTAAAACTTTATAATATTAAATATAAGTTAAATTAATAATAATATTAATTTATAATAGTTAAAGATAATATATAAGCTTTTATTTACTTTAATAACTTTAAATAATAGTAAATATTAATTTTTAATAATTATAAATTTTATATAATTAAAACTTTATATAAAAGTATTTTTATATTAAATATAATTTATTTTCCTTTTAATATATACTTTTATATACTTTAATTATTTAATATAAAAGTATTTTTATATTTAAAATATTAATACTATTAGGAGTTAAATTAGTTTATTATAATATATAATATAAAGGACTTTTATAAGGAGTTTTTATATATTTATTATAAAGTATAAAAGAATACTTTTATAATTATATATATTAAAAAAGTTAATTAAGTATTAAAGTTTAATTTAAAAATTAAAATAAAGTCTTTAACTTAAAGTTAATATAAAGGAATAATAATATTACTATCTTTAATATTATTTAAAAAAACTTATTTTTATTAATAAATAATTAACTTTAATAAGTTTAAAGATACTTTATTTATTCTATTAAATATATAAAATTAATTTTAAATTATATAAGTTAAAGTAAGTCTTTAAGTTATTTATAATTTAACTTTTCTTTTAAAAGTTAATAAAAGAACTTAATAAATTAATTATATATATAATTATTATTAAAGGTAAAAAGAAGTCTTTATTAATACTTTAAATTATTAAAAGATTTAAAAATAATAAAAAGTTATTTTTAATTTAAATAAAGTATTTATTAATATAATAATAATTAGAAAAGAAAAAATATTAATAAAATATTTTATAAAAGTTAAAATAAAACTAAAAAATAAAAATAAAGTAAATAATAAAAATAAGGTTATAAAATTAAATTATATTATAATTAAAATTATAAAGATTTAAATATTATTATTAGCTTTAAAATAGTATTTATAGTTATTAAGGAATTTAAGTTTAAAGTTAGATAGTAATTTTAAGGGTATCTAAAATCCTTGTGTACATTGGTAGGGTTGTGTGTAGACCGGTCCACTGACTTATCGAGCAAGGTGAGATGAATCCTCCCGCTCTCCATCTGGTGCAGTGTCTCAGAGTTGGCAGATGGTATTGGTGCTGTGGTGGCACAGTGACCAGTCGCATGCATTCGCAAATGGTGTCGGTGCCGCCTCCTGAGTCTCCCGTCGTCGCCAGATCGCGCCCAAAGACTACATATAGAGAGAGTTCTTGCAATTATTCAGAAGCGTCACCAGCTGTGCCATGATAGCCTTTTGCTGGTCAAAGGTGAATACGTGTATGAACGAGCCGACAAAGATGAAATCAATCCTGCCCCGGAGCTCGGCAAGGAAGTTTTCGTCGAAAACATCTCCAGAACAGAATCGGGCTCTCGGCGTCTCACAGTCACCAGATAACTCGTAGCCGAGATCCTATAATCACGGCTTGAGGTCCACGCCAATAACGTTGTCGGAAAGTGCGCCGTCGTGGACGAGCTTGCGGGTGTCCTGGCCGAAGCAGCCGAGCAATGTCTCCTCTGCCTGGACACGGTTAACCACTTCTTGGTATAAGGACACAGACAGGCTGGGAATTCAACAAATCTGAATATTCTTTCTAAGTACTAGGTCTTAAATACTTACTATTATATAAAGGCGCTATATATATCCTTGGATGTATATGGAAATATATAGAAGTAAAACCACATTGCATACCTTCCTGGCCTATGAAGTTGGCTATTGGGGACTTCCAAGACTGGATGGGCGAGACACTAGCACAAGCGTGGGGAATGGGGAAATCAGATCAGGACCTGGCGATGTGCAATAGGGTGCACGTCTCAGAAATGTCATGGTTACCTATGTAGGTATCCTAACAGGTGCCGTTTGAACTGTTACGAGCACCCAATGGCTCGGCACATTGAGTTCACAAACATGATTCAAAACGATTTGCAGCCAAACGTGCTGCTGCCTCTTGGGTACTGCCCTTGGAATCTCCGTCTGTGTGGGGAGTAGATTGCCATTCTACTACATTTGTAGTTGCTGTCTTGGCATTGATGTCCAAGGTGCATTACTCATTTGAAATCTAGTTGTATCACACAATTTGTGTGTATTGCATCACACGTAGCGCCCCTGAATTGTTGTTTCAGCAAAGGATCTCTTTATCATGCTTCAAGTTACAGGCGAGACCCCGGGCAAGACACCTGGGCACTCAACGGAGAGCGGTGTGTCAGGCTTAGATGCATGTGTACCTCCCACGAGGGACTGCAACGCAAGCACGGCTATACTGCAGTGCGGTGTTGTCACTGTAGGAGATGCTCGAGTCATAGTGATTGATCAACACTGGTCATCGGAAGACCAACAGCATCCTCGGGCAAGACTTGCACCGGTCTGTGGGGTGTCGATGTACGCTCGCAGATTCCCCCCTGGCCGATCGGCTCAGCATGCGTCCCTGAGAATGAACGACTCCTGCCAGACGGGGGGTGGGTGTTGAAGCCTCCCCTCCCCTCTGGCTAGATTCGTTCAGCTGCAGCTGCCTCCGTAGTCGCTTGTGGTGTCGCAGACACGAGCACGTAAGTCAGCCTCTGGGCTGGCTAGACCAAACTTTATCCTGCGGGAGAGTGTCTGTACCAAGGCGAGCCCCAAGCTGGACAGAGGTTGATGGTGGGCGCAAAGTCGCGTGCATGTGGTGCGCAGATCTGAATCGTAAGATTTCATTTGAAGGGTGGCAGGTTGGGTTGGGCGTGGCCCAATGAGATGCGCCGGGCGCCCAAGGCACGAGGTCGGGATGAGGCTGAAGACGGCGCCGCGGGGAGGTTGGACAAGGGTTCTGGGGGGTGGATCCCGCCCAGGCCACGGTCTTTCTTGGTTCTTGTGTGTCGCGCGGACGAGGGTCCCCTAAACTCTACTCCGAACCGAGTAGCGCGCAATCAGCCTGCAAACCTGCCAGCCTGCCTCCCCCCCACGTCATCGGAAAGCCCAACCCCAACCCAGCCGCTCGCCCAGCCGCCTTGCTGCATCTTGATTCTGGGGCCTGGGCGATTGCGAGCCTCGTTGCCTCACTCGTCGCACCTGACACGTCTGCTCGCGCTCTCCCGAGGATCGAGCAACGACATCTGAAGACGGATGCAGTCGTTCACCCGTTGCGCTGTCACCGGCACTAGGCCACTCTGCAGGACGACCGGACGAACGCCATTCTGTCCCGGAAACACAACGCTCTCCTGACTACTGCGCAATCACTGTCGCATTGATCAACATGTGCCTGTGATGCTGCCGTATCGCCCGCAGCACTGGCTGGAACTGCTGCAGCAGCAGGTGGCTGGCCCACTGGCAGCGCCGCCTGAGTGGCTCGGCACGTTGGACGTCGTACTGGGCGTGGAGCGGCGTGGAGTGCAGATCGCCACGGTCCAGAAGCCCTGAAGCCCAGCTCGATGGGGGCACTAGTGTGATAAGCGCTAGCCGCCTGGTATAGTGATCGTCATAATATGCCTCTGGACATCCTGCTGCAGCTGAAGCCTCCGCCGCCTCCCGAGCCTGCAACGACACACATCGACAACAAGCTCACGGGATCCTCGGGCCCATCTGGTCGACTCATGAGGATGCATCCCTCCCCGGGCCTCAGTGCAGCAAGCAACAAGACCCTCCATCGTCCGATCTACTCTCCGTGCGAGCCTAGGCCGCACTGCCGCTGTCAGACTGCGAGCTACTTCACGGCTTTTTATGCGTTGTCTTTCCGGCCTGGCGCTGTTCCAGCCCACCCGGCTGCCGCCTAGCCACGAGGCCTCGTCTGCCTCGTCTGCCTCGTCTGCCTGCATGGTGTCAGAAACTGTTCGCACGACTTCTGGTAGCGCCATCCCTCTCGTGCGTGGCTACGAGCGTGGCCTTCTGCGAATGACAATGTGACAACTACCGATGAGGTCAAAAGCCAGCCTGTCCCGACGGCCAAGCAATGGGCAAACTCAAAACTTCCAGCCCTGCGCGGCTGGCACTGACCTAAACAAATTACCGAAACGTTGGTCAAGGCTTATTCCGGACCTATAGGCGTCTGATGACATCGTCTGCACAGTCCGGCAGTCCGGCCAGCACTCAGTCGATTACTCACGTGCACATGCCATTCATTCAAAGCGAGGCTTGTGAGTTGACGAGAGCAGATTTGAGCCAATGCTGACTGGGGAAACGTAGCTAGTTCAGTCTGCGTCTGCGTCTGCGTCTGCGTCTGCGTCTGCGTCATGTCCTGTCCAGCCACCGTTCTTTGTGCGAGGAGCCGAACAAGGTCGAAGCTCCGGTTCGACGCGGCCAAAGGTTTGCTGAGTGTGCCATCTCCTCGAAAATTTCAGAACAACCCATGACAATCGAACATTTCTTCCCCTGCCGATGCCGGTGTCCTGGATGACAGATCCTTTGGGATGCGTGCCATCCTATCGCTTCGTACTATGTAGACTGGCCGGCGTCCGTGTTGGACATTCGGGGTTTCTGGTTGCCTGATCGAACATCGATCTGCGAGGGCGGACACCGACTCTTTCGATTCGTGGGTACACAGTACATATTCTCTTGCCTGCATTGCGGCCCAACGGCATAGCAAGCATCAAGCATCAAGCATCAGAAGAGCGTGCCTTTCAATGTCTCAACGTTGCACTGGGGAGCCGGCGAGGTGGCGGTGAGTCCAGGACGAACTCCTCATGTGGTTCATGAGCTGCCCCGCCGCTCGCGAGTTGACGTTGTAGCGTTCTCGAGGGGTTCATGAGCGGAGTTACACCGAGAATGTCACCTACGAAAAGTTCATGCCGCCGAGTCAAGGGCGGGTGCAGAGGCTGGACGGTGCGTTCTGGGTCTGGCTATTCTGCTGAGCCAAGGCTCACTGAGACTGGGGCGAGCCTGCGTGAAGACGGTGCAGTGGCTGGCAGACTCTCCACATCATGGCGATACGTAGCCGCACCCGAGTGGGTATTACATATCGCCAGTGTTAAGACGCTTCTGCAAAGCGCCTCACGCGGCTGAATTGGAAGCTGAGGCAGTCTCCGGGGCTAGGCCCTCGTGACCCTGTCAACGTCAAGTGGGAACACTCCTGGTTGGGATTGGGTTTAGGGCAGGCGGATATTTCTGGAGACTTAGGCATGCCATCACCATGCAGGCATACAGTCCGATGCCCAAAGGCGGGACGCCAGCGGCCATCCTGAGAGTGTCAGACTGATCAGACTATATGCGGCCAGCCATGGAGGTTGGTCGTGCGACGGTGCATGATCTCTCGCTTCCTGGCTGCTCAGGTGCCGAGAAAAAAGTTCTTGAGTGTAAATTGTGACATCGAGAGGTCAAGACACTGGGGAGAATTGCAGCCGAGTCTCCTGCCTCCGAACAGCGATCTCAGCTGTCGGGGTGCCTGGTCTGCATCGAGTGCTTGCAGCTTATGAGACTCTGACGCCTTCAGGGCTACGAAGCCACCGAGGCGGCGGGGGTGGCGGGTGATGTGTTTTCTCATGCTCGCACGAGGACGCCTCTCGCGGCCTCTGGTCAAGTGCAGAGTTGCACGGCTCCGTGGCAGAGGCTTGTTTCGTCCGATCCGAACTCTGGTCATTGTTTGATTCGAGAACAAGTTGGAATTGTTCGCTATCATTCACTTCGTGCACATTTACATTTGGTGTTGCATTGCGTGTGAAGAAAATCACTGTCTTCGCCCTCATCCGGTCTCGTCGGGGGCCCGAGAAGGTGACCGCGGGAAGCAACGGTGACCCCGGTTTGGGATGCATAAACTTCGGATTATTAGAACACAATCAACACCAGCCATTTTGGGATTGCATGAAGACCGTCTCCTGGATGTATAGTTTCACGCCATCAGACTCTCCCCACGAACCCTGAGCACCTCTTGGGACTTGACGTCACGTCCAGCGGTCCCGCAGGCCCTTCCCGACTGCCATCCGACTGTCCCTCGCAATATGCCTCAGACACACCGTACGGCGCCGGAACCTGGATCATGCCGTCGATTGAGTTTGCGCGACTCCTCCTCCGCCTCCTCTTGCTGTCGATCGGGCGCCCCTCTTTGAGAGTATCAGCCCAGGCCACCTGCTTGCACCGGCCCTTGTGCCCCTCCATCGGGTCCGCCTCGAGGGGCTTTCCTTGTCTCTCAGCGGCTGGGTGCCATCATCGGCGTCTAGTACGATGCAGCAGCCTAGTCAGGTTCACCCTCGATGGGAGAGGTGACTGACCATCCAAGAAACCAGGAAACCAGGAAACCAGGAAGTAGACGTTTGGCTCAGCCGGAGTTTTCGAGACGGAACGGCAACCAGAAGTAGAAGCACAACCCCGGGATATATGTATGCTCAGAACCATATCCTCCTTCTCGAAGACCAGTGGAAACCCAGTCACTCAGTTTCATCAATCTTCAAAGCCCTCGCCCGTTCAGCGTTCCCATCCATCCAGTCAGGCGACAGGCCCGTGCCAACACCCTTACATCCACTTGCCCCCCAACCCTTCTTTGTGGGTGAGTCCGCCTCGCCCTGAGTAGGATCAGCCATGGCAAACGAACACTCCATCCCCATTGGGGTCGCGTACGACGATGCGGCCCATATTCATGGGCCACAGTCCCCAGAAGACCGCCAGAACGACGTGATGGAATCAACAGAGAAGCCTGACGAGGACCGCCTCGAGGACAGCTTGTCACCAAACACCGCTGTAGAGGAGCAGGATGACCTCTCAGATGATTCCACACCTCCTGTCCCGCCGGTGCCTCGCCAGCTCTCGTCCCGGGCTTCTCGCACCCGCATTCGAAGAGGTCAACCTAAGAGCTACGACTCAGATCCTCAGACTTATGGTCAAGACATGTCGCGCATGATGTCCTCGAGGTCCAACCGCCCTAGGTTTCAGGACGAGATGTATGAAAGCGACCCTCACTACGGCTCCGACCGTGCATGGAGGGAGGAGATTCGACATCCAGATTATCAAGATCGCCGATATATGAACCGTGGGAAGCCGCCAAGGGCCTTTCTCAACAATCAGCAGAGCCCAGGCACGAAACAGTGGGTGGAGGAGTCACGATCCTATCATGACCCATTCTCGCCCATGCAGCCCCCAAAGCGTTTCTACACCTTTGATGAGGAACAAGGCTACGGCCCAGGTTACCCCGGGGGCTACAACCATCGCCAGACCTTCTCAACCGACGACAGCCCCCGAATCCAGTGGAACAGCCTCACAAAGGAACAGAAGGCCGAGGTTCTTCGTCTACCCTGGCTGCAGTGGATGAATTCGGACTTCAAGAACCACTTTGTCGCCAGTCTGGGAGAGTTCGTCGGCACGACCATGTTTCTCTTCTTTGCCTTCGCCGGCACCGAGGTCGCCAACATCGCATCGAACGCCAACGGCTCAAACAACTCTTCAGACTCCAACACAACAACCGGTGCATCGACCGGTTTCAATGTCAATGTGCTTCTATACATTGCGCTCTCATTTGGCTTCTCACTCATGGTGAACGTCTGGGTAAGTGGCCTCTCTTCTACCTTGATGACGTGCTGAAACCTCTAACAATTCTGTAGATCTTCTTCCGTATCAGTGGTGGATTGTTCAACCCGGCCGTGACAGTCGCCCTGATGCTGATCCGCGCTATTTCCGTCTTCCGTGCCATCGCTCTGTTCATCTCCCAGATCCTCGGTGGTATCATGGCATCGGTCCTCGTGCGGTATTTGTTCCCTGAGAATTTCAACGTGCGAACCACCTTGGGAGGCGGAGCCAGCATCGCGCAAGGCATCTTCATTGAGGCGCTTCTCACTGCCGAGCTGGTATTCACCATTTACATGCTTGCGGCCGAGAAGCACAGGGCAACTTTCATGGCGCCCATTGGCATCGGCCTGGCGCTCTTCATTGCTGAGATGGTCGGCGTGCAGTTCACTGGCGGCTCTTTGAACCCGGCGCGCAGCTTTGGCCCCTGTGTGGTCACGGCTACGTTCGATCCGGAACATTGGATCTACTGGGTCGGTCCGTTCATTGGGGCCCTGATTGCCTGGATGTTCTACCGTTTCATCAAGGCGCTTGAGTACGAGGTAAGATCACCTACTTTCCAACCAGGCTGCCGTGTCTATTGGTGCTGACGGAGATGCCCCTTTTAGATGGTCAACCCTGGTGCAGACGGCGACCCGCTCAATGATCCCACCAAGAATCCGGAGAAGGCAGCTGAGATCAAAATCGCAAGGCAGAAGACCAGCTTGTCGAGCATGAAGACGTCATGAGCGACTTGACCATCCACACCTAAATGATGCCTCTGTCCAAAAAAAAAAAGTACAACTAAAAACTAATATTCGATACCGTCATTTGCATGAATGGAAGACATGAAGATAATTTCCAGGAGGTGGCGAGGAGCTGGTTAGCCCGCGGACAGATCGGCCTAGGGCCTGGGCTTTTTTTGGCTTTTGGTTTCACCTTGGAATCCTTTTTCGTCTTTTGCATTTGCAACTTTCAAATTGTAATTTGCAATCACGTACACACCCACACACACACGAGGCGTTCATAGAGAGGACCCCTATGGCGATGACTACGACGATGACGATTTCACAAGCGGTTGCTCTGTACCGGGGCAACGGGGTTGAGACAGTAAACGGCCTGGGCAAGCATGCGACGTTCAAATAGACTATTTCAAACTAAGAGATGGAAGATTGGTTCACGTTCCACTTGATGAGTGCAGCGCCCGATGTGACCTCCCTAGGCATGGTGCTGCAGTGACCACGGTGAATCCGCTTCCAGCGCACGAGTTCAGTAGACTGCATTAGCGACTGTTAGCTGGCGCATGTAAACGCCCGGTTCGGCGCACTCGGGAGCGATCGTCAGGAGGGCGGGCCCTGAATCAGCGTTGGAGTGGGCGGCCCAGCCACGCGGCCGTTGGCGCGGGCGCTGGCGTTGCAAGCCGTCATCCCAGCGATCGGACGACACACTAAGGCGCCCGCAGCAACGGTGTTGGCCTAATAAGGGGTTTGAGGGTTCTTGGTGCCTAAGGGGCTGGAAGCATTGGGCCTTTGCGGGGACCAGACATGCCCAAGCAGGCCCCCTGGTTTGCTCAGTGTTTCTATTATGGGCAAAAGGGGTCTGTCTGCACGGTACTTAAGTATGTAGCTTTGCTCCATGCGGCAGACGCAGTGATAATAAGTGATGTCATCCAGCAAGCTCGAAGACGGTCATCTTCAACCGGGGATTGAAAGGCTTGGGCTTCCTACTGTACATATGAAGGCATCACACTCACTGTATGTGGATGGGGAATAGAAACAATTCTAGTCCAACTGGATTGCAAGATCCAGCGTCAGCCAGTTCAAACTCTCGAACTCTCGACACCGGAATCTCGGTGGTATGTCGTACCGCACTGCAAATGTAGTTATAAAAAAGGCTTACTATGGAGGCAATAGATGATGCGTGGACTCATTTACGAATCTCGTCATCACTCGCGGCTCAAATCTTGTGGACAAAGTGCTTTCTCGTTAGTAGCAAACAGTTCTTCCTTGAAGAAATCATGCCAATTCTCAATCCAAAAGTGTACATAATTGGTAAGCTCTCATGCGTGGCGTCTCCCAAGGTGCCGTGCGCCTCCGACTCGGATTTGCCACGGCTAGTGCTTATTCTTGTGCTCTGATTGAGGGTATCTTTGGTCGTGAGGTAATAAGCCGATATAGACCATAAATGGAAATGACAGTGGTACCCTGAGATGGAGATTATGCTGTTATGGAATAGTGTGAGACATAAAACTACCTAGGTAGACGAGTTTGGATCATGGACCAGAATCTCTGAGGGCGCGTCGATGGCCGTGATGTGATGTATGTATGGACCTGGACGTTTCGCCCCATTCGTATTAGACCGTCTTCGTCCTCCACAGAATCCAGAACTCATATTTATGCTGACTAGGAGGACCACGATTAAATATCTATCAGACAGGAGTGCCTATGGAATTTCGCGCTCCAAAGTTGGACATGCTGGACAGATACCTACATAGGTGCAGTATTACATATGTGGCTATACAAGGTCTTTCTCTCGATGTTTTCCATTCCCGACAATCTACCCACGCTGTCCCTTGAAACCTCACGAATAGGACAACTAGAGTTACAGCACTTGAGTGGTTTAGTACCAACTTCATGGTATCACTGTGCAATTCAAATTGATTGCAAACTTGTTTCTAGGATCTAACTTTCTTGCCTGGACACAGGGTCGTTCAATCCGGAGCTACTAGCTCCCACTCTAGTCAGGGACCGCATGCAGATTCGGATGTACACCGGGAGATACCAGAGGCCCACAACGACTGACCTACTATGAAGTACAGTAACTAAACAGTTTTTCCGGTCTAACGGGAGGATTACTAGAAGGTACCTAGGTATAAGTTATAGTTCACCGTATGAAGGCACCATGTATGTCCTCGGACGTATACGGAATAGAAGCGAAACCACATAGATACACTTTATTAAGCAAACCTTAAAGTCTTCCCATTAGGGCTATAGTTAGAGCTAACATCCACTTACCTAGTAATTATATCCACTTACTTAGTTTTTTTCAACTATAAACTTAGTATAAAGTTTTATATATAAGGCTTATATAAAACTATATACTTAATTAAAATTCTTTAAATTATTAATACTTTTAATATAAACTTTTTTTAAATTTTTTTTAATACCTCTTTTAGCACTCCTTTTAAACCTTTTAAACCTTCTAGCCTATATATATTTAGGTATTAACTAAGTATTTAGATACTAAGTGAACGCTAGATAGTTAGAAGTTAAGAAGGTAAAGGTGAAGACTATATTCTTTTTAGCTTTCTAGCACCCCTTCTAGCCTTCAGCCCTTTAGACTTCTAGCTTTCTAGCGTTTAGTTGGTATCTAAATGCTTAGTTGGTATCTGAATGGGGAGTTAGTACCTTAAGGTGTGTAGAAGGGGTGCTAGAAGGGGTGTTAGAAGGGGTGCTAGAAGGGGTGCTAGAAGGGTTGCTAGAAGGGTTGCTAGAAGGGGTTTGGAAGGGGTTTATGCTAAAAGTATTGAAAATTTAGAGAATGTGAAGTCCTTAGTGTTGAATTAGAAGGTATTTATGAATGTGAGGGAGTTGCTTAGAAAAATTGGTACTGGGTGAGTGGTTGGTGGGAACTGGGTGAGTGGACATAATTGCTGGGTGAGTGGACGTTAGCTCCTGTGGCCATACTATTACCAAAGCCATTCTCCCACCAACTGAAATCAGATTGGCGTGGAGGAAAATTCTTGATATTTCAGAAGCTGTAAATAAAATTTCTTTATTTGTTGTTTCCCGAGCTTTCGAGATCCAATTGCACGACTGCGCTATTTGACGTTGTCATACCACGGCCTGCACGCGTGGCAGCTCTTAGAGGTGCATTGGTGTAGGCACACATGGTCAGACCAGGTGTGACCAATATGTCTCAGAAAACTTTTCAACATTTCTTACGGGCAGGCACTTGTAGGAGTCGTCCTCTTGATTGTCATTAGTGAACGGATTTGACGCAACACGCATCGTCCCGGGGCGGCACCGATTACCACGTGGAGACACGTTTGTGCTACTTCAGTCGCAACTCCGGCGTTGTTTTTCAGGGGGGAAATGGTCGATACTACACAAATTTGAGTCTGATCTGCGACAGTGTATCAGGTCAGCCGCAATGGCCGTCATGTGAACGATTTCACTGTACCCTCTACTGATTTCGGGAAACTGAATCGGTCATATGAGCTGCCCCTTGAGCCTGTACGTGGTTCCGGATTCAAGGCGCCGTAATGTCACAAGTAATAGGAGACTTCCCTTTACGAATTAACTGAATAACTGTGGGGTCCAAGAACCACATCGCAGTATGTGAGGCTGCTCGCCCTTGAAACCATGGGGAGGTGTTGTTCTTTGCTGTAGCAAGGAATCGGTACTGCCCGGCATCCTCAAATACTTAGACAGCGGGTCTGTCTCCGTACGCTTTTGCTTTTCACCTAGATGTGAAAGTTGTCTTGATGAGCGTATTCACTTTCGAAATTTCTTCGGTTGCTTGTTGTCCAGCTCATCGTAAAAAAGCAAAGGTGCATGTGACAACCTCGTTGAGGGGCAGTGCGCATAGCATCGAGTTGTGAGAGGTGTTGTTATCGTTACTCCTTTTGCACGAGTATTAAAGGTCAAAAAGACGCTTTTTCCATATGGTGATAGGATCGCATCATGTTCTTGCTAGCCATAATTTGGCGCGTGAACAATAGCTATGGCACGAGACTGTTGACTACCTAGGCACTTCGATACTCAGATGTGATGCAGATGCTGCTGAGAAGATCCAGGCGTCATACCCATGTTCAATGTATGTCACTGCGTTCCTCGTTGTCTATTGCATATAAGCACCAAGTAGTCAGAGCAGATCCGTCCATGAACTAGATTCCGATTACTACATCGCTGTCGTACCCGAAACGGTGTAAGACGAAGAGTGGAATCATAGACAGACCTAGCCGTGGCACGTCACACTACATTGGGTCCGAAGCCACGCTGATGACTGGCTGGAGGACCTCTGTTCCTCTGTTGTTACTAGAGTTGACGGGAACACGATACCCCAAACAATCACGAGGCCGAGGCTTCAACATACTCCTCCAGAGGAGGGCAGAACCGCCATGGTTCGATTTTTCTTTGTCTTTTTAGCCTCGAAGCGCCACGCACCGTAAGAGTGACACCACTCATTACCGCCCCGTCATGAGTTCTGCCAGCCTCGGCTCACCAGACCCCAGGAATCACAGCCCACTTGTCCCGGATCTTCTCCTCTCCGAATTTCTCAATGTACCACTTTTTCCCATTGACCGCCCGCGGCAGCATAGCCGCGATCTCGTTGACAACGAACGTGCGGGCAGGCACACAGCTCACTCCGCAGGCAATGTAGAAGCCGGTCCACTCAACCCACTCGACAAAGTAGTGGGGGAACAGCATGATGCTGAAGAGGCCGGCCTGCGGGATGCTGTAGTGCTTGTCAACGCTGCCCACGGGTGTGCCCTGCTCCCTGGCCAGGCGTTCCTGGCGGCGCAGCTCGCGGCGGCGGATCTCGCGCAGCTCGTCGTCGTGGAAGTAATTGGCGGACAGGCCGACGTAGAAGATGGCGATGCCCGCAGCGAACTGCAGGGTCGGAAAGGGTGCGAGCTGGGCCTCCCAGGCTTCCCTTGTGACGGGTCCGTAGGCAGCCAGCCAGCCACCGATGCAGGTGGCATTGAAGAGCTGGAAGACGATGGCGAAGGCCCAGACCAGGGGGTGGATGGGCGACATGGAGGGTTGGATCCAGGGGAAGATGACGGCGCGGTAGATGTAGTGCATGACGAAGAGGGCGGCGAGGACCTTGTTCTGCCATGGGAGATCGGTGATCCCATGCTGTGCTGGGAGGGTGTTCATGATGTACAACAGGGTCATGAATCCCGGGCACTCCATGGTCATCCACGCAACGCGCCCGGGCAGGTTGAGTGCGCTGTTGGTGGACGTCTTGCCCATGCCATACCATGAGACGGCCCACTGCAGTGACGCACCCTGTAACTTGTGAGCGGTACTAGAATCGCACTGGAGGGACCATTGGGAGTGAGTTGAGGCCTACCAGTGGGAAGAACTGCCAGATGAATAGGACCAGGCTGTAGTTCTCCTCGGACGGAGGACACCAGTTCTTGATGAGCGCCATGGCGTGAGGCTAGTGGTCCGGTTGTGGCACGCACCCAGAAACAAGGGCAGAAATTGTAATCGCTCTGGTCCCTCTGGTGTATGAGTGAGTGCTTTCAGACTTGGCAGCCAGCCTCTCTATGATGGACTGTCCCGAAGCCCCGGGCCTGTTTTGACACACTGGGTGACATCATGAGATCTTGCCCCAAACCCTAACCCGCACAGCAGCAATAGCAGGTAGGAAAATGGCACATCTCAAGTGCTCTCGTGGCCCTTGAAAATAGCTCCAGGTGTAAGAGTTTTGAAATTAATGGAAATGTCGAGAGACCCAGAACAGTTTCGGTTTGAACCTGGAGTTTGAGCAAGAAGGCCGAAACTAGCGTCATGTTTCCCGCAGCGCTGCTGGCGTTTTGAGATGTGTAGTACCATTGGCTGTTTCGAATCTGATGTTAGAACGAGGCATAACTGTAGCCATACATATCAGACTGTACCAGAACCTGTTCACTCGTCAGCGATCCCACTCGGGGCCATCCGGCGGCACTTCCTTGATGACACATGCCTACTCGTGCGGCAATCCATTCCCCCGGCTCGCTCTCGACATGCTTAGGCAGGAATTCTATACCATAGTATATGCCCAGGTGACAGAGTCTGACACCGACTCGGAGTGCGGGCGAAGCTCTTTGTTTGGATTTACAAAATGAATATCGCAAGTGACCGTGTCTGTAAATTGTCTCCACTTGGGTAAGAGTCCACTGACATCATTGATGGAGGTCATTCCCGGCTCAAGGGCCAGATATGTGTGTTTTGAGGATTCCTATTCACAATCTGTAAGGGACCTTGTCCTTCCGAGCACTAACAGTGAAGAACGGCACAACATATTGACCGTTAGACGGGAGAGCCGTCATCGATATTTCACCAACCCACAAACACTCCGAGTCCCTGGCTCCTAAACGCTTGAGAGGCACTGAATACAACATTGGACCTCTTGTCGAGAAACAGAGGAACATTGAAACCACGAACCTGCCGGACGTGCGAATTACGTAGCAGATATCACATTGTGTTTTCGATCATCAAGAGGCGTCCCTGAGGCAATACATCAATGTGCAATACTGAGCCAGAGGTCGCTAGAGCCTTGTCATATTCACAACGTCTATGCCATGTCATGGCACTCGAGAATGCTTCAGAAGGAACATGTCTCAACTTCAATTATCCAAACAATGCAGGCCAAGCACATTGTTGTGATTACAATAGCGACATTTCTAATCGGATCGACCAGGTTAACCGGTATCTAGGTAGATGGGGGGGGGCCTGGCTAAACATGTTTAGTCTGGCTTCGACACCATGGCATAGTGTTTTGAATTTCCGGTCCATGCTGGTGGTTTCGTTTCTAATACCCATGCATATAAAACGTGTGCGGCGCCTTCATACAGTGGTAAACGCTCAAGACCCGGACTGGTCCATGTTGGAAATACGGCATCCCGCACGCGACGCTGGTGGTGCTGCTGTGCACGATTTACGCACGTGATTTACGCTCGTGGGCACGTGGGCAATGCTTGCTTCTGGCCACTTGGCTGAAGAATTATTGCTAAAGTACCTCGAGCAGCAAACGTGCTTACGATCCTTGCTAGCAGGCATGTGCTGAAGAATGAACGGGTACGCGCAGAAAGCACACATGCGCCGAGCCGGCCAGACGTCTATAAGCTTGACGGAGGCATGTCCAACACCAAAATCCAGTACAGCACGATGCGCCATCTCCGCCGCCGATCACAAGTATATCAGTGCACTGAGGGAAGGAGTGGTCTCGGCTTGCCGTCGTCGCGTCGGTGACATCTCAGGGCGGGCCGGCGGAAAGGCAGAGACTTCCGGTCTTGATGTACCTACCTGACATCAACATGCGTGGGGGTACCTGGGCTGATGCGGACTAGCCCTTTTCTCAAGCTGGCTGACACATGCTGAGAAAACTACAAGAGAGATTAAACATAAATAGTGGTTCTTCAGAGCGGAAGTAGGAGACAGGCGCCCTAGGTTTGTATTGGCAAAGGCTTCCCGCCGGCTGTCATAGCTCCCGCCCAGGAATGCCGCGCCCCTCGACGTGAGAAGCCGTCCGGCCGGCCAAGGCAGGTCACCCGGACGAGCAAGATGGACCAGGACCAGATGGTTACTCCGGCATGGTGGCGGGATACCTCCGGCCACAGAGATCGAGGCTCGCATTGTGCATGACGACGGCGCAGCAACTTGTTGCTATCATCTGCAGGTGGCTGCAGGTTGGTTACAGTCCCAAGGTTCAAGGGCTCCGGCGTCCAGCCGCTTGCCGCGTCGTGGTATAGTCAGATCCTCAAATGTACACTACTGTAGAACCACTTCTGGCGAGTAGCAAGGCTGCACCTTCCCAGGCGTCACAGCCTTTCTGCACGAGTCCCAAATGGGCCAGGGGTTTGCCGCAGCTACCGCTACCAGACCCGTGCCAGAGCTCGCACATCATATGAGCACGGCCCGTGGGGATGGTGGGCTGTGTGGCAGGTTGGTGGTGGGTGTGGCTGGCTTCCCCTGGCTTCGGGCATCGGGTTCTCCAAACGGCGGTGTGGCAGGGTTCTAGCAAACCTTCTCGCCAGGCTCGCACGCAACCGACGGCAAGGGAAAGGAGAAGGGTGCTATTGTACTGTACTATTGGCGGCAACTACCTCCTGCAGCTCGGCAGGAAGAAGCTGGTTGAGCTGTCCGTGATGCCTGTGCTATCTGACACGTGACTGATGTGGGTGGTGCTTGGGTGGGCCAACAAGACCAGCCCACTGTCACGGCCGAGCGGGATGCTTGTGTAGAGGCAGAGAGGTTGTCGGCGGCATCGCCCAAGGATGTATAGACCCGGGATGGGGGACAAGGGGACGTTGCGACAAGGGTTAAAATAGAAACACTTTAAACCCCCGCACCGCAGACACTCTCTGTACATACCATTGACCAATCCCGACCCTTATCCTACCTGTTTTGGAGCGCGGGTGCAGAGTGAAACCTCAAGTTGGAGATGACTCGCTTAGGGGTCCATCTGCGCCTGCCTTCACCGAGTACAATGCAAGGGTGGGTTGATTGTGAGTGAGAGCGGGAAATGCTCACAAGGCCAAGTCTCGCGGCATGGCATGTCAGTCAAGTCGGACGAGGATGAGGGCTGCGAGAACCTCTGTGGCCTTCGTCATCGTCACCCCACCGTCTGTCGGAGGCACGAGCCTGGTGGTGATGTTGACCTGGCAAGCCTGGAAAGTGTGCTGTATAGGTGGGGTGACCATGCTAAGCACAAAGCAGTCAGCGCCAGCCTGGCCGAATGCTACCACGTAGCCCAATCAGCCAAGGCGCCTGTCCTGGGAAAGCTTCCATCTTCGAAGAGATTTCCATGCTAACCCAGCTGGTGCGTCCGTCGTCCACGGTAGCACCCCCAAGGGGTCTGGCCCTTTCGCGGCCACCGTGAAAGCGACTCACTCTGTCACTCACCCTCTCCTGCCGCTCAGCCTCTGAGAGTGCTTGAGTCCCAACCCACAGGTGATCGGGATCGTCATTCCATGCACAGAGTCTGAGAGTCTGGCAGTTCAAGCTCGCCCCCAGGTCACAGACGTCCAAAGTGGGCCATGCGGTCAATCTAACCCAATCGACGGATGGCGTGGGTTTCATGCAACAGTCACCAGTTGAATTGTCGTGGAAAGGGGATCGAGCAATCATGATTTGAGGGACCCCGCTGCCCCGGCACCGGGAGCGGCATGCAGTAGCACCGTGGCGATAGGGCAGGATCGAGAGGCATGCCGACCAGGGCAACAGCCCGCAATACGTCAGAGCGGGCCAGTGGGCGAGGGCTCTTTTGATGGCAACTCGATGCTACTGTGTAGCAGCACTGCAGCAGTATCAAGAGTCATCCATCCCGCCAGCCGCCCGAGGGCCCGAATGTGAGAATGTCCGCTCCGCTTTTTTTGATGACGGAGAGGCCGTGCGAAGTGAGCCTCGACAACCGAGAGCACTCAAAGACTGTGGCTCCCAGCCAGCCAACCAGCCCAGCAGCCCAGCCAGCCAGCAGCCCATGCCAGCCGCCACGTTTTGGACTGGAACGCAACGATGTGGGAGAAGAGGTCACACGGGACCCAGGCCTCAGCCCTCGGTCCCCGCCTCGATCAGAGCAGCAGCAGCAGGGTACTGTGTACGCAGGAGGTGTGAAGGGCGGCAGCCAACGAGAGTCTGGGTCGCGGGCCTGGTTCGCCACTGGGCCTGGGGGTTGACGAGCCGCCGGCGGGCCCGTGTCGCCAGATGGCCATGCCTCGTCCATGCTTATGCAGGCAGGCAGGCTGGCCTCCTGGCCTCCCACTCGTGCGCTCTGCCGCTTGGTGGGAGGGTGGCGAAGTTAGAGGGGCTTGGCGGGCCAGGGAGTCAGGGGAGACCCAGCCCGAGAGGCAGGTGGTGCTTCAGACCCGGATCGCCCAGGGCCACCAGAGGGGCATTGACCCGGCTGCAGGTTTCAGCGACAGTCGAGGGTCTCGTCTGCCGAGGGTGACAATGACGAGGGGTTCGTTTGAGGCTTGGATGAAGCGCCTCGTGGACAGGGCTGCCAGCGAGACGGTGCTTGGGTGCATCCTCGCCGTCCTCGCCGTCAGGCCGTCAAGTCTAGAAGCACATCCAAGATTGCGGTCGGCCAGGGCTCCAGGCTCTCGGGCCTTGGGGATGGTGTGGGGGTATAATCCCAACGGTCGGCGGCTCTCTGCCTCCCCAACTCCCCTCCCCTCACACCACGCTACGCTACCAGCTGCCCAGCTGCCCAGCTGCCTGGCCGCCCACTCTCAACGGCTTTCTCGTGCCCCGTGTGGTGTGGCCCGCCGCCGCCGCGACGGAGCAGAGCCGGCCATGTCCGTCCGGGCATGCAGCCTGCGTGCGGGCTGGGCTGTGTGTGCTCCGCATATGTGTGTGTGGCAGGCCTGGGCTGCCTGGGTCGGTTTCGGAACCGTGAATAGACAGCAACGTTATTGTCGTCAGGCAGTTCTTCACTTAATGCCTGGGGTGGCCTCGGATCATGTCGGACGGTGCGGTGACGGTGGCAGGGAAGGGAGCACAGTGCCGATGGGCAGCAGGACAGACGGTGACAGCAATGTGCCAGAGCGCTTGACCGTCTTGGTGCACAGCCTTGGAACGACGGGGAGCGTCAGGCCCAATGGCAGCAGGCAGAGGGTGGTCAGGTCAACGCTAGATCCTGAGGAGGGGTGGGGCTGTGGTTGGACACCTGGGACACCTCGACAATTCACCTTCCGCGTCCAAGATGGAGATCAGCGGCCGCAGCTCGCTGCTGATTGGCCGTTGCCCATCGCTAGGCCGGCTCCTCCTTTCTTCTCATTCCTCTGGAGCGGCTTGCCATTTCGGGCTCGAGAGCTGAAAGCGGCTTTGTGGGGAATGGGCACAGCACAGTCTTCTCTGCTCACTGCTGCAGCCCAGCAGCACATGCGCAGTCACCGTCATGTGCTCTGCCGTGACTGAGGATGGGCTCTGGGGCTCCAATCTCGGCTCGCCAGCTCGCACACCCAGCCGGCACCCAGCCAGCCAGCCAGCCAGGCCCAGCCCACCAGCTACCAGTTGCCAGCTTGCCCACGGTGGGATAGGGCAGGGTAGGGGCAGGGTAAGGGATGCGTACCGTGCAGGGGTTCGTCTCTCACACAGTCCCACAGCAGTGTACAGTACGGAGCACGCTTTTGTTCCTCCTGCCTCGCCCCCCCGAGTGTGTGTTCCGTCTAGTCCGCCCTAGTCCGTTCAAGCCAGGTTGCAAGTTGCATGCACCACCCTGACACACCCCTCCCTGTCCCTCGCCAATCACCTGGGCCCTCTCCCACCCTGGACACCTGGACACCCCCCAATCCCCCCGTCGACAGGCCAGTCCCTCGCCCGCCCGCCCTCGTTCCATCCAACAAACACCCGCTCCGTTCCCTCCTCATTCCGCCTCTCCTCTTCCCTTACTTCTACCACCACCTGCCACTTCCAATCTCTGCCCAACCACTCCGAACCCTACCTTGCCTGGCCACTTCCCCATCCCACATACTTCCAAACGCACCACACCTACCAACAACTCCATCATCTTGAACCATCTCCGATATCCGAACAAGACAACATCATAATTTTAAACCCCACGACCTGCATCGACTCATCCACACTGCTCGGATCTGACTGTCCCGTCTACGAAAAGAGTCATCGGCTGATTTTTACACTTTGTCGCTGAAACCTGACCATAATCCCGCAAACCCGCATATCATTGGCGTGCAACAACCCCCGCAGGCATATCTGAGCCACCAGCCCCCAACCACAAAGCCGCAACAGCACCGCCGAGCAGTCCATCGACCCGCAGCTTCTTTAGATATTAGCAATCATGGCTTCGTACTACCACTTCAACGCCCACCAGCAACATCCCACCCCCGCATCCGCCTCTGCTGTCTCTCACAACCACCATGGTGGCCGGAATCGCCGGGGTCCCAGGCTCTCCGTCTCCCAAAACTCCCAGCACAAGCAGTTTCGCGGTGTCCGAAGCATGAAGGAGCTGTCTGAGTCCCAGTCCGTGTCGAGTTTTCGTTCCAAGTACGAGCTCGGCCGCTCTTTTGACCTGGAGGACGACCTGGAGTTCTGCCCCGGCCTTGTCACCGAAAGCGATGTGAGTATCCTCGATCTGGCTCAGGACCTGCCCCTGCCATGCCACGGACGAGTTGGCCTTGCCACCACGGTACACTGACACCCCGGACTCGCAGCTGGCTTACAGCGGCTCCGAACGATCCTCACTCGCCAGCAACTCTCCTACCGGATCACCAACACAACAGCCCCAACAGGTTGCTGCCTCATACACCCTGAACTCGTCCTCGCCTGCGTTTCTTCCGCCCTCTTTCCAGACTCACCACTCTCAACCTAAACTACACCAACCAGCCGCTACCAGGGCCCGCAACGCCATCCCCATCATCAACCCTGCCAACGGTCAAGGCCTGACAATGCCTTCGCCGCCCTCGTCGGTCTCGCCCTCGGTCCGGATGCAGCAGAGCCTTCGCTCCCGCTGGTAAATGATGTCGCCTCGCTTCTCATAGAGGCGGAGGGGCGGCATCATTCCGGCCGTTGTCATTGATGTGATCGAGGATGGTGGTCCGCCGCGCATTCCTCTTTCAGACAGCTCATTCATCTTGGCGGGCACCGACTATCAACAAGCAGGCAATTGATCTTGATTTCACTTATATGGGGAGGGCTAGGCACGCATTCTGGTCGACTGGCCTTTCGACAAACCGACTTTTTGGGCCCACGCCCGCATCACATCTGTACAAAGACACTTTTTCGACATATGCACCTCGGGACCCGAGGTAAGGAGTTGACCCTCCTCACGGCGCCACACGAAAACTTATCGATACCAACTTGTCGGTTCTTTTGCTGCTTGTATTACAACTTGAGCGGTTCGGTGCTTCGATTTCCGAAGATGGGGGCTGTTTTGATTTTGGAATGGGCGTTCAGCTTTCTTTTCCGGACCTGCATACTCGACGACATAATCATCTGCATCGGTGTTTAACGACGGAGTTTTGACGGATTCTCTCCACTTTATACGAGAAGCGGCGACTTCGCATGATAAAAAAGGGTTCATCTTGGGTCTCTTGAGAGCTGTCCAAAGACAAAAAGATCTTTTCGACACATAGAACGAAATCATTGAGCGAGGTTGCGGCAAATCTCAAGCAGCGGAGTTGTTTGCACAGTCGGGGTTTTTGATGCTTTTTGGGCTTACGGAAACAAGACCTGGAGGGGATCAGGCGGCTGGCAAAGACAATGTGGATTTACGTGTTATTGCGATGCGAGTCTTATATGCAACGCTGGGCTACTGGGAAGGGGACGGCAAACGGACGCGGAGTTGGTTGACACATTATTTTGGGTCGTATATCTCTTTTTAACTTCATGTACCCGGGGCAGCGTTTTCACCCATAATCTGCCGGCTTATTTCTGTCGAGTTTCTCTCCTCGGTCGCTATCTTCAGGGTTTCTACACGGGTTTGCATGCAGGGTGTATGCGTGCGCTGCGGAAATCCTGGCTTAACGCCTTCTGGGGGGGCAATACTGATTGATGCATTGGTTTGGCTGGAGCGTTTGGGGGTGTTCAAAGGGGTCTTATACCCGTATGGAGCGCAGTATGTGTGCTCAAGAGATATCTGTCTTAGGCAACATGGAAAATGGGCATCACCAAAGCCTCTTTGTGACAAGCCTGCGCCTTCGCCTCCTCGGGACATGATGGGTGACTCGTGAGGTCATTGTACAAGCACCACCAGCTAACCGGCGACTTGCATTTGGCCGGGGATGAGCACTGACGTTTCGGCCGAGGCCAGACCAGGCGGTCGGATATGCAGACGATTGGACCATCTGTCGCGCAAGCTCGATGCGTACTCAGTATGTGCCTCAACCTCCAAAACCTACCACATGTGAAGGCAGCCACCCACCGACGAGCTGGGCAGACAGATATGAGTACAACCCGTGACGGCCTGAGGCATCTTGACGATGCAGACGGCTGGGGACCCCAGCCAGGGCCGCCACACAAGCGAAGTAAGCTGCGCTCTTTCCTCCCCACGCCCTTCAGCTCCTGCCGTGCTGTGCGTGCTGTGCGTGCACATCACTGACTGGGCTTTGCAATGGAGCCGGCCTCACGACCGCCCTGCCACCCTCGAAACATTGCCAACCGGGGCTAACCTGGGGTCTCATCGCAACTTTAGGGATGACCAGCAAACCTACGGAGCCGGCCGATGCTGCTGTTGCCGACAGCACCACCCATGATTCCCTGGAACCGTCATCTCCTGCCGGGCCTGCAGCAGTGACGCGGTCACTGGCGGGCGCCATGGGTGGCGTCCCTTCGTCCCAGAATCCTTGCGTCCAGAAGGGTTGTGAGGACGGCGCAAAGACACCTAGGAACTCAGGGAGGCGTCGAGACAAGTCCAAGTCTGTGGAGCCGTCGGACCCTGCGGTCGACAGGTACGTGGGTGGTGCTGTCCTCGGCGGGCGTCAGGGCGCAAGCAGTTCATCCATCACCTTATAGTCAAGCACAGTACTGACTCCTGATCCTCCCCAGATTATTCTCCGAACGTGTGGTGACGGTGCTCGTGGGCCCGAGCGAGGTCCAGTGGCGACTGCATGAGAACCTTCTCTCGGGCATCTCGGATTTCTTCAGATCGGCCTTCAACTCGGGCTTCCAGGAATCCATCGAGGACAAGCTCACCATGCCCGAGGATGACCCCCACTCCTTTGAGCTCCTTGTCCGGTGGCTTTACATCCGCGCCCTGACGCCCTCCGCCGTCTCCAATTCCACCACTTCTGCACATGTCATGCTCGGAAAGGACTTTGCCGGAGGCTCATCTACAGCGTGCATCCAGGATTATCTCAAGCTCTATGTCCTCGCCTCAAAGGTCTTGGTGGAGGAGCTGGAGAATGCTTGTGTGGATATGGCCCACGCATTCTACAGTGTTGGTTTGCGAAGGCCCGATGTCAAAGACGGTACGGATGGTCCTGTCGCAGATTTACACTGCCTCCCATCGCAGCGTCCCTGTTGTTGCTAGATGGGTATGCTTACTTTGGACCCCACAGTGAAATACGTCTACGAGAACACCATGCCCGGCTGCGGCATGAGAAGGCTGCTCAAGGAACGCCTCACGATGAGCCTTTTTAAGGGAAAACAGCACAATCCTGTGACCCCGGAGTGGAGGGAAATCATGAATGAAACACCTGATCTGGGCTTCGATCTCGTCAGCGAGATTGCCTCCTACAACTGGATCGCCGGCGGTAACGCCTCCGCGAAGACTCCAGCCCATGAATGCACCTTCCATCGTCATGAGAGGAGCAACAGGTGTCCCAGGCTAGATTGACCTCGATATGTCGTCTATCGTCTTCATACGACCACCCGACGGCCACGGCAAGCCCGGATCGGTCCCTCGTCACGAGGCAGCTTTGGCGACTCTCGGACGTGTCTTGTGGTTGGTTGTTCAGGCTCTTGTTCCAACTTTCTCTGCCTCTTTGGTGCACCGTGTCTCGATTTCAAGCGTAAAATCATACTTCTCTATGGGAGGATAGTCTAGTCACCTGGGGATTGCATCCGTACTTTACCTGCACGTTCTCCTCCCTCTTGCCTCCACCGAATTCTAATAAATCAGGTTCAAATACCAGTGATTATTTTCTCACTCCGTTCAATACCCCTCATAGAAGGGGCTATGAAGCTGACTCCTGATGGCATCGTCGAAGGGTTGTTATTATTCCTGAGTAGCCGTTGGCCGTGTCTCTTTGGAGCAAGAGTCCCTGCTCACTCACTTGACTTGACTTGGGAAACAGATCTCTGTACTGGTTCTGGGGCCAAATAGTATTTCTCTGGGAATCAAGAGCTGTGAGTCACTCTTCACACGAATGGGTGAACAGTTACTGTCATGGGTTTGTAACTACCTAGGTATCCGGATATGATCTAGCCCGCATCGAACATCCAGTTGTCTTGTTGGTGCTCTTGGTGGCATGTTTGGTAATGTCTGGCCAATGCCTTGACAGGAGGTAGCACCGCAATTGAACATCACGATGGCAGCTATGTATTGTCACCATTCATACAATCTTGCAACATTATGACCCTGTTTGTAAGCCCAGCCTTTCATATGTTAACAAACACTGCCTGGACAAGTGACTGGACACCACTTAGAACCACTACAAAACATACCAACCTTAATTCTGCACTATTGAGACTTGTGATATGAACCTGAATGGAGTCTCTAGCGGTCCCATCTTTCCCCATCCTATTGTGCTCAATAGTATGGTCTCGCATCAAGAGTGACTCGATTCCCTTGCCTGGATGGTTCTGCCCCCTCTCTTTTATTATTTAAGACATTCCATTACTGCCACCACCTCCAGGTCTCTTCCTCCAGTCCACAGCAGATGTCACCAGATCTCTTTACATGGGAACTCAGCCAACGGAGGTTTTGAATACTCAAGATTGTCATTCACAGAGGGATTAGCTTTTGCAGCAAGATCCAGCCCAAATCTTAGCCCTTGGCCTATGACCATCTCACTGCTGGCCAACCTTATCGTCCCAGTCACCGGACGGAAAGAAACCACCTGGGCAGGAAGACCGAGCTAGACGAAAGGCAGCATGCCATCAAGCAAGTCAGTCAAACACTCTCTAAGAGTGAAATATCTTTCTAAAATTGGAGTTCAAATCATTCTGACAATCCCTCAAGCAACACCTGTTTTGGTGACCAAATGGTCACCATTTGGGTTGGACCTCTAGCTGAGAAGGAGAAATTCACCATCCATAAAGACGCGCTGAGCTCCCGAGCCAACAGGATCCTCGGCATACTGGACAGCCTCCCGCCCCAGGAGGCCGAACCTGCCTTCATCGACCGGGCGTATCTCCTTGATGAGCAGCTAGAGACCTTCAGGACATTTCTCAAGTGGCTTTACGCAGCTTACATCGGAGTCGCGGTCCCTTTTCTGCCGTCTTCCAATCTTGCATTGTTCCAGTTGTACATTTTTGCCTACAAGTACTGCATCAACTTCCTGGAAGACGCAATTGTCTCGGTCCTCTACAAGAAATTCGCCAACAGCGACACCCTCTGGCTCAGCCTGGGATCTGACAAGTCTGCACTGGAGGCCCTGATCCAAACTGTCCCGCCTGATAACCACCTCTACAGGCTCGTCGTCCGGTCCGTGGCATACTCCATGCGCCTGCCGACTGCCGCTGAAAACAACTGGTCTGGGTCTCGACGCAAGTGGTCTGAGCCGGAACACAAATCGGCCGCGCCTGGGCACAACTGGTGTACTAACAGGACTGAATTCAAATGGCCTGAGCCTCAGCACAAATGGTCTGACAACTGGTCTGAGCCTGGAGACCAAGACGGTTCTCCAGCTTTCCCAAGCAGGCCTGCCACGGAGGATCAGGTAGAGGCGGTTATGAATTCCGTCCCGGGCGAGCTCTGGGTCGCAATCTCCAGAGAGAACCTGCTCGCACTAACACTGGGTTCCCGGAGTCAAGACTTTGTCAGCGCTGTTGGCCATGAGAACGAGTTCCTCAGGCAATGCGAGGATCATGGTGATGTTGACCTCTCTGCGAGCTGACCTCGGAATGCTAAACGTCTCCGGGGCATGACAGTCTTGAGGTCGATTTAGGCGGACTTGAGGAGCTGTAGCGGAGAAGTGGACTAGACTGTTCTCATTCTCAGCTCTCTATTGAGAGTTTGCACTGGGTCTTGGAAGTTCTTTGAGGGTCATAGGGTAGTTTCGTTTCCAATGAATCCCCATGCATACAAAGCGTATGTGGCACCTTCACACAGTGGTAAAGACCCAGCGTTTTTCCAAGATTCTTTTTTCTTCTTCTAAAGAACAAGATGAGAATGCCAAGAACAACGCAGAAAAAGAACAACACACCACATTGAAAGTCACGATTATGCCGTGCGGTCTTTCGGTTTTGTCCCTTCAATGCATTTTCCTCCAGTGCATTTTCCTCCAGTGCATGCATGTGGTCGCCACTGAGCGGACTACATATGAGAAAACTTTTGGACTGTGACTGACAAAACGGCGAGAGGGTGGGGTGTAGTTGAAATATGCTTTGCGGCTCTTTGCTCACCAGGATCCAGGGACAATGGAAACTTTCCCCGAGAGCTCGGCAGCTTGAGAAACCAACAAGCTCTCAAAACAAGCACCCATGAGGACCTGTTATTACCCTCGGCAGGACGGCAGGAAACAGACAGACAAACAAACAATCGCAGTGCCTGGGAGATGACGAGATGGTTTCCGCTGCCCCTCTGACGTCCACTCACGTAGCTCGGATCGTCAGCTGCAACCCTGGTTTCGAAGCTCTCCCGCAATCATGACATCATGGGCATCTTCCCTTGTCCCCTTGGCCCATTGCCCGAGGTCATTGTCCAGGGCCAAGACCGAGTAGTGACCTAGGTAATGATCAACTGCCTCTTTCTGCTCCTGAAAAATATCTCACAACCGTGATACAAGCCAGCACCCCTTCCAATTGATCCATTGAAGCCACGGTTTCCTCCCTCCATCTCACACCACCCGCGACCCATCTCACGTCTACATTCCACCACAGCTGCCATGGCATCCAGACTCATTTTCCGACCAGCTGTCGCCCTGCGATCAACAACTGCCTCCACGCCAATGCTCCGAAGGAGCTTCGCCGTGTCATCAGTTAACCGCATCAAGGAGTCCTCTGGTGGTTCGCCCTCCCCCCCCCCGCCACCTGACCACCGTCTTGCCTTCCTCACCAAGTAGCCCTTTGCTAACAAACACGTATTGCTCGGCATAGACACCAAGGACTACGAGACCCACAAGCAAGACTCGCTCTCCAAGCAGAAGACGGGCAAGGGCCACTGGAAGCCCGAGCTCGCCTCCGACGGCGAGGAGGCCGTCAAGGCCGACCGTACCCCGGACGAGGATATCTCCAAACTGCAGGAGCGCACCAAGAAGCACGCTGAGGAGAAGTCCAAGAGCGGCACCAGCGGGACAGACCCCATGTAAGGACCCGGACTCGGGACACACCACCCATTGTTTCCTTCGACTTGTCACTTTTCCTACCAAGATATAAAAAAAAGGGAGAAACGCGGTCATCATTCTCTCAATCTTCTCTCTGGCTACCCGCGCCTACGACCAACTTAGTCGAACATGTTCTGAGGAGGACCGATCATGGTCTAAGGAGTACCGGGAGGACAAACGGGAGAGTCAAATGTTGACCGGGCTGGCGGATGCTAACGAATGAGCTCAATCAAGTTGAGAGGACAGGAATGACGATTTGAATTTGCGAATCAGGCGTTCGCCGGGCATGGTAGCTGTAAGGATTACAAGCAGGGAGGGTACAAGTTGAGCATAGGTGGGGTTAATCACGCGTGGACGGCCGCGCAGAAAGCTTTAATAGGCAAGAGACGCCATTGGCATCCCTTGAACTCGACTCTAACCGTGTCGACTTGGCTACCTAGAGCCTCCAAACATGTGACACAGTCCTCAGTACCAATTACAGGCGGCATTCCCCCTGTCTTTTCTCTTATTTTTTGATAACCGGATTCGCGACAAAAAGGGGGGTGCGGGCGAATCAAACAAACCGATGTCGCATTCCCGGCTCAGACCAATGGGTCAGCAGTCCTGTCGCGGTTTGTTGTGAAAATATGTCAAAATCATCCCCGTCCCCGTCCCCGGCCCCGGCCCCGGCCCCGACCACGTCCTCGACCTCTTATCCCACTGCCTCTCGTAGCCATGCGACTGCTTGGGCCTGAATTCGCTCGAGCCGATGACTGTGCTGGGATGTCCTCATCATCATCATCTTCGTCGGACCCGGAGACAGTGGCAGAGCGGGAACCGGAGACAGATCCAGGACCAGAAATGGAGCCGTGTTCACTAATGCCGTCCCCGCTGTAAAAGCTGTATTCGTCATCGTCCGAGTCGCCCAATCTCACAACTGTGGGCCCTCCCGTCTCCTCGTCATCCGAGTCACCAAGTCGCACGACCGTGGGCCCTGCCGGCTTGGTTGGGAGCGGTTGGGGCGGTGTGGGGGTCTCCGATGGCTGGATGACCGACTGACCTGGCGCGCGGCTGGAGCCCCTTGAAGAAGAGGGCAACGAACTCTGGAGCCTCGACCGAGGTGCGACGCTGGCCTCCTTTGAATCGGGTGCGACACTTGCTGGCCCTGATGATACGTACTGTTCGCCTCCGTCAGACTCGTTTTCATCCGCTGGCACGTCGTCATTCCCCGACACTGCAGCGGGAGCGAGCCCGTCAAAATTGTGTATGGATTCATCTACCGGGCCAGGCGCCTCGTCACTGTCCGGGGCTTGCTCTACCGGGCCGGATGGGCCATTGTCATTTGGCATTCCATCTGCCTCGGTGGGTGCGTCGTCCGCAGGACCTGCCTGAGCACCGCCGTCCGCGTCCGACGTTGTTGCGGCGGCTCCTCGGCCACTTCTCCTCTTTCCTATCTTGACCTTCTTGCCTCTGAGCGCCATGCGCTCAGCCATGGACATGAACTTCTCGGCCGGAGGTCCAGACTCAGCTGCAGGTGATGCCCCGGGCCGCGTTGGCCCATTCCGAGGCGGCTGCTCCGGCCCCTGCACGGTCGCCTTCGAGGGCCGGCCTCTTCGCCTTGGGGCAGGCACAGGTGGCCTAGTTGAGTCAGCAGACGCCTCCTCATCTCCTAGTTCTTTGGCGAGCTGTTGTTCAAGGTCGTCGATAGCTGAATCAGTTGGAGTGCCTGGCTCATTGTCGACACCAAGGGCTCCGGCGGCCAAAGATGATCTTGGGGGCCGACCGCGCCGCTTTGAGGGCCCCGTTCGTGGCGTAGTGGGTTTGGCAGTGGCCTGAGGCGAAGAGCGCGCAGGTCCTGGGTCGGACCGTCGAGGTCTTCCCGGCCCTTTCTTGCGAGTGGGAGCGGACGCGGGATCTGGGCTTGGCTGAGCACCAGTAATCGCACGCATGGCCTGAGCAGCGAGATCGATAGGGTCTCTGCTTGATTCACCCGTCGCTGGCGTAGCCTTGGGCAGATGGTTCTTCGGTCTTGTCAGCACGACCTCGTTGAATTCATCCACGTCCCCCGTATCTGCGTAGGAGACCTTTGGCTTTGAGTGCCGCAGCGTGGGTACATTCGGATCAAATGGCCGACCACGATCGACGAGTCCCTCATCCTGCTCGTCCCGCTCATCCCGCCCATCCTGCTCAGCGAATGGATCGTCTAGGTCATTGGATGCTCCCTGAGGCTCAGTCGCAACTGGAGCAGCTTCATGCATGACCGTGTCATTGCCGAGCAGTGCCGGATCGAGGTTCTGTGTGCTGTCTCGCGACATTTGTGCATCCGGCTTGGTCTTCTTCCTCTTATGTGACCTGCGCACCACGAAGTCTGGGTCTTCGTCATCTTCATGCCGAGCTCGACGCTTGGCCGCACGCAATGACTTTTTGACCCACTCGGACTCCTCAAAATCACTGACATCACCTCTTTCAGTTGGTTCTTGGTACGGGTTGAAAAGAATCTTGTCAGCAGTGTCATCCTGCTCATAATATCCCATTCCCAGTCTTCGTTCTGCACCGAGCTTCGACGGGTCTGGGTAGTTTTCAGTCTCAGGGTAAAGAGAAACCTGAGCATCGGGAAGCATAGACAGATCCGTGCCGTTGGCAGCGCCGTTGGATGCTTGCTGCTCGAGGCCGGTCGCAGCAGGCTCGTGGGTCAAAGCTGCGTTGGCGGCCTCCGTTGTCTCTCCCTGGCCTTCGGGCTCAATTAAGCCAGGCTGCAGCGTCGTTCCGTCCTGATGAGGAACTCCATTGTTGTCAGCAAGGTCACCTGCAGCTTCTACGTTATCTCTGGCCTTGTCTGCTTCGGCTTCCTGGCGTAGTCGCTGGATTCGTTTGCTGTTGTGGTTGCGACTCCCATCGCCTGCGGCGTTGAGCCAGTTCAAGTTGTGCACGCGAAAATCGACCAAGGACTCTTGGCTGCGGTCATCTGCCACAGCGCGGGTGTCATGCCCGATGTACGTATTCTTCGGCTCGTACGGAGTCGTGATGCCCGTCCTTCGACAACCCCCACAGTTGCAGATCAACCGACACCTGGGACATTGCCATCGCTCCTCTTGTAGCACATCCTGCGGCATCATATCGAAAGCTCGATAAAGTACGCCAAAGCAATATGCCTGATTACAACCTGGCATGGTGCAGAAGGCCAGCCGATAGGTGTAGTCTTGATGACAACACGTGTGGCACTTGTATAGATCGCCCTTCTTCTTCTTCCTCTTGTGTTTTTTGGGCCGTCCTTCTTCATTAACCTCAAGCTCTGACGGCTCCGGATCCGGCTCTTGGTTGGGTTTTGAGATATCATTGAAAGGTCGCCGCCGCAGTTGTTCCTGGCAGACCTGAGCCAATGCTTTTCTACCCGTCTTCATTCTGGCAACTTCGAGAGGCGGCGGTGACAGGTTCACATCGACATAACCATCGTTGAAGATGACCATGCTCCGCCACGCCTCATAGTTCTCAACCAGCTCAGACCAGTCCCACTGCTCGCACCAAGACAGCCCCGAAACACAGAGGCAGGATCGGCCCATGGCGTAGCATTCCATACAGACGTCGTATGTATCCTGGTCACCATCAACGAGGTCTCGGACGCAGTGTTTACATGTCAGAAACCTATTGAAGATGTTGGACCGGCAGTAAGAGCAAATGACACATGAGTCGAAGGGTATCATCTCCACGTTCTTCTCCTTCGAGGCAAACATTTCGTCGACCAGGATTTCTGTAAAAAGCTGGAGGAGTTTCTTGAAATCCTTCTTTAGCTGCCGAAGCCTCTCAGAGTCCCTGCTATCTTCATCACCCAGCAGGAGCGACATCTGAGACTCTGCAGCGTCCTGCAGTTGCTGGTAGTACTTTCGCAGCGTGTAGTAAATGATGGCCTTATTTTTGTACTGCTCGTCACGGCAGACGAGCCTCGCTCGCGGGAGCGCCTCGTGCAAGGCAAGATCAAGCGTGTCGACTGTTGTGCGGTTCCATGCCACTTTCATGGTTCTAGTTCCACGATTCCACACCTGGTGCGGCGCGAGAGGTGGAATCAGAATAAAGTCGCCGGGCCTCTGCTGGACAATGTAGACTGGGAATGTGGCTTTCTTCCAAGCATTGATTTGCGCAAAATGTTTCTCAATTTCGACGTCGTGGCCTAACATTGACAGAAAGTACTCTCGAACGATCTGTCGGTCTTTGGTTTCGGTCATGAACCAGATCGAGCTGCCCTCCTTCTCACCGTTGTCATTTCCGGACGCTTCAACCATGATGTTCTGGCCAAGGGAACCACACATCTCACGATGTGCTGGTGTGTATGTTCCTTCGTGGCCAATGTAGCACATGAGATTCTGCGCCCGCATTTCTGGGGGAAGGCTGCTCATCAGGTCCCCTGCTGGAGCGGCGGTGTGCTCTTCCATGAAGAGGTCGTCATCTCTCAGACCATGGTCCTCAACGTTCTCATTGAAGTAGAAGAGGCCTGGCGGCATAACTTTGCGTAGGTGGTCATGCCATTCTGGTGGGCAATCGATGTCTTTGAGGTAGAGTCGCTGTCGCCGCTCATCTTGGAAATTCGTTGGCGTCCACTGATCGGTCAGCTGGCGCATCGACCGCAGATAGTGGCCCATGGTCATGGGGATATTGGCCTGTGAGTTGATATCGCGCACATCTTCCTCTGGGCAGGGGTCAGCTACGTAGCAGAGTGTGGTGGGAGCACGCCAGACTCACGTTTCTTGTCATAGCTGGCCTCGAGCCACTGCGCACTGAACAAAGACTTGGGGAGCTTGCTGTTCCAGCCCTCGATGACCAGGGGTTTCCCTTGCTTTATCACCTGGTACCACACGAGCTTCTCGAACTCTTTCTTTTTGATCCTGGAAGCGGGGACGCGTTGGACCCATTCGAAATTTGGGGTTCGGTCGACCAAGCCATGGAGGTCAAGATTCGGTGGAATGGGGTCGAACTTCGCTTGCGGATGCGTCGCTATGCTAGGCATCTTGGAGCAGGTGGCCGGGCATCTAGGCCAGATTTTCAAAGAGTAGGACGGACGCTGGCCGAGGTTCACAGTCGGCGAGGGTTGGAGCCCGATGCCACTGCACGACGCGATGGTGTGGGAGGACCGTTCAGCGCATGCTCGACGTGGCCGCCTGTGCTATGACAAGCAAACGACTCCTTGGAAGTGAGAAATTGCCCAGGCGAATTCGCTGGTACAAGATCAAGCATATGGGGCAGTGAGGGTCGGGTTAGGTGCGCAAGTTGATTCGAGGGGAAAGTGAAGGTTATCTTTTGTGCTTGAACGCGGCGCGGCGGCGGCGACTTGCTTGTCTGGGATGTAGCTTCCCACCAAGCCGGCCAACCATTGCGCTCGAAACTACCTAGGTACCTAGGTATCTAGGTGCCTAGCTAGTGGACCCACTTTAATTTACCAGCACCACTGGCGACAAGGCTGAAAAACAAGCGATTTTGTATTATTGCCCTGCTCTTATTACTGCCCAGCCGCCCTCCGCCGGACTAGGTCACGACCTTTTGAGGAGAGGAACAGAACATGTTCTTATGAGCATATGAAAGTAGCAGCGTTGTGTGGTCGAGTTGAGGTAGGCATTATATCTCAAGCTTATGGATCACGATCTAACCCACGGACATCCTCCTTCCACTCCCAATACCAGCAGCCCACAAGGTCAACAGAAATGGGCGCTGGGGCTGAATTGCATGAGCCAGAAGGCTTTATCATTCAGAGTCATCTTATCAGAATACGTGCTTCATATGCTAGTATTCAAGTGAAGCTACAAGGCACCGTCCTCATCTCCCAGTCTGTGACTAGATGTGGCATTCGCATGGCACATGAGCCGCGAGACGGGGGATCGTTCATGGAAGCTGCAATTGTTTGAGCAACACTTTGTTGCAAACACACAAATCTAATTGGAATTGTAGCCGGACGCTAATTCGGATTTCAGGTCCTACACAAAGGGCATTCTTGGAACCACCATGAACGCAATCCGAGCAGGCCGAGCAAGGACAGCCTCATCTCAGCTCGTCACTTATGGTGTGAAGTCTCACAGATCTTTACACTATCACCAACCATGGTCGGTCTTGGGTAAGCCTCAAGCTCGCCATGAGAAGTGTCGCCAGTCAATCATGGCCCACTGGTCCAGGGCGTTCACATCCGACAATGCCCAAAAACCTGTTGCTCCCGCAGAACCCCAGATCCCGCCGCCACCACCAGCTCCCACAGTCTACGAGCCTCCCAAAAAGGGCCTGCTCGCCCTCTTGCCGTCACCATGGGTCCCCTACGCGGAGCTCATAAGGCTCGACAAACCGGCTGGCACCTATTATCTCTTCTTCCCGTGTCTTTTTTCGACTCTCATGGCCGCCCCTCTGGCCGCCCCCATGGCATCACCAGGGTCTGTGGTCGGCACAACAGTGCTCTTTTTTGCCGGGGCGCTCATCATGCGCGGCGCAGGATGCACCATCAACGACCTCTGGGACCGCAACCTCGATCCGCATGTCACCCGCACACGGCTGAGGCCCATCGCCCGCGGCGCCGTCACGCCATTCCAGGGGTTGGTCTTCACGGGCGCACAGCTCCTCGCGGGGCTGGCCATCTTGCTGCAGTTCCCACTCGAGTGCTTCTTCTACGCTACTCCGAGCCTGCTCCTGGTGGCATCATACCCATTGGCCAAGCGGGTGACGTATTACCCTCAGTTCGTGCTGGGACTAACATTCTCCTGGGGTGCATTCTTGGGGTTCCCGGCACTCGGCGTCGATCTCCTCTCGAACACGCCGGCGCTGACTGCTGCTGCCCTTCTCTACTCGTCGAACGTCGCATGGACTGTTCTGTATGATGGAATCTATGCGCACATGGATGTCAAGGACGATGCCAAAGCCGGCATCAAGAGCGTTGCGCTCGCGCATGACCAATCGAAACGGTTTCTTGTGGGCCTCGGTGCCGTGCAGATCGGCCTGCTTGCTGCTTCTGGAGTCGCTGCTGGCGCTGGACCGGCATTCTTCGTGGGCAGCTGCGGTGGTGCAGCCCTCACGTTGGGGTACATGATCAAGAAGGTCAATCTTCAAGAAGTCAAGGACTGCTGGTGGTGGTTTGTGAATGGTTGCTGGTTTACTGGTGGGGCTATCAGTTTTGGACTGGCGGTAGACTATGCTCTCAGGTACAAATCTGAGGACGAAGCAGAGGAAAGCCAGAGCAGACCTTAGACGCCTAGTCCCAAGACATCTAGCCTAGGCCTTGGAAGGCCCAAATTGAACTGCCCTCTCCGTCCATCAGTTCTTATTCACAACGAAACCTCGCAAAGCGGAAGAGATGGATTGTCCGTTTGTTTTGTTTCGTTTTCGTCGTGGCGCAATGATCTTTTCATTCGTCGACCATGTCTACCGTGTGAATATCAGAATCCCCTTTTGCCTGATAAGATGCCGATGAGAGCAAGCACAGATGACGCCAGAACCGAAAGCATCCCTATTCCATTTTCCGTCCATGCACACTGCTTAAGAACGGGGCTTCTCCTTCTTCTCCTTCCACAGGGCGAGCAGACCGACACCGGAAACCTTGACGACCTTGAATCGCACACCGGGAATATCACCCTTGGCCTTGCCCTTACGACCGAAACCAGCCAGGAGCACCTCGTCGTTCTCGTCCACAAAGTTCAGGCAACCGTCGTTGGGGACTGCAGAGTTGTCACGTGTCAGCTCATCACCTCCCTGTAATTCGCGCCTGCCCGGTCCTCATGGAGCTCCGTCGGTCGGGAGAAAGGTGGATATGAGCCGGGCCAGGGGGGAAGGGTTGCTCGTACCGAAAGCCGTGACCTTCTTTCCGTTCTTGATCAACTGCACACGCACACACTTTCGGATGGCGGAGTTGGGCTGCTTGGCCTCGACACCGACCTTCTCAAGGACGATTCCCTTGGCGTGGGAAGAACCACCGAAGGGCGAAGACTTGAAGGCAGTTCCGAGCGCACGCTTCTTGTAGGACAGATCGGCCCATCGCTGCTCACGGCGGTTGTTGCGCAGCTTGCGCGCGGCGTTGAGACCTCTCGGCTTGCCTTTTCCCATTTTGAATAGCTGTAGAAACGCGGCAAAATGTCAGCCACGTACGTTCGTCCCCCGGGATCTGGAATTGATGTATGTGTGTGGACGCTGCCGTGCGTCACCGGGTGGATCGGCGGATGGTCTTCAATGTCGTTTTGGGCTCGTTGAGGTGGTCGTTTGTCGATCGGTTTTTGGCAGTCGGGTGCGGTATTGCGGTATTGTTTGGGGGAGACGGTCAAAATGGGACATGCACGCTCTACTCACCGATTATGACTTGATCGCTTGGAATTGGGTGATGTGGGGGGCGGATAGGTGGTTGTCGAGGAAGAGTCTCCAGATCGGGGCTGCAACTGCTAGGAAAACTTCGAAAAGTGTGCGGGCGTTGCCCATTCCATCCAGGCGGGCGGCGGGCGCTCGGGCCCTTTCGTGCGCAGAGCGCCGGAGCAGGAAATTCCTGGATTCCGAGGCGTTGATCGTGTGGAGAAACACTACCCCCCTGGTGGACATAGGCTTCTGACATTCATTCACGGGCCCCTCCCTGATGGGCAGTGCAGGCCGAAGAAACGAAGAAACGGGGCCGGCCCACTCGACAAGACAGATCCCTGCCCTGCCTGCTTATGGGGTCTTGGATTGGATGGACATTTGGCATTGCACTCACTCGCTCACTTTCGCTACAATGTACTGCCAGCCCAGCCCAGCAGCCCAGTCCTCCTCTCCTGCCTAGAACAGGAGCAGACATGTCTTGACAACCCTCTCAAGCAGGTGTACTGGTCCGTTCTAGCCGCAAACCACTGCCGGATCGATCCGCGAGCCCTGCCCACGTCCTCCTCAATTCTACCATCAGCCATTCTTTCGTGTCGGCTGTCTTCCGCCTTTGGGAAGGTGGCTGTTGGTACGTAATCAGCCCACCAGAGATACACACAGGCAGGTAGCCTGGTAGCCTCGGGATCCAGCGCTTCGCCCAGCTCGCCCCGGCCGTGGGAGACGCGGCACGCCGCATGTGCGCCTTGTCCAAGGGAGTCCAGACCTACCACGGATATAATAAGCTGGATGGATGAGTAAGACCAGAAACCATGTCTCGACCACGGCACGCGCAGACGAAGCCCCAAAGGGATCCGCCGCCGTCTCTGTTCCTACAACCCTCCCCGGCTGCTTCTCATGTCTCCTTGCCGAGCACTGTTGCTGGCCCGGGGCGTACCACCACTGGACTCCCACCTACCTCACAGGCTCACCCGCGCAGCTCATCCACGCTCTCTCACGACCCCTTGGCTGCAGCTCTCTCGACCCTGTCAAAGCCAATGGACACCCGCCCCGGCAGAAATGCGGGTCCCGCGGCTCCCAGCACCCGCCGGCCGGCCGGGGGCTCCGGCTCAGGCGCACTCGGGGCCGGCGGGTTAAACTTGCCACCCATACAAACCACTCGAAGGGAGTCCACCCGGGCCACCGATAGGACGGACGCACTATGGGCAGAGATGCAAGCCACCTTGGAGGAGGTAGAGCTCTCCGCCAGCGGTGGGACTCGGGTGTTTGGCCCAGAGCACGACCGGAAGCTTGGGGAGCTGCGGGCCGCACAGATCGCGCTCGCTCAGGCCTGGGCACGCAGTGAAGCAGACGAGGCTATCGAGACGTCGATAGGGCCTGGGACAGCATCAGAGAGGGGCGGTGCAGGCGCAGAGTCCAAGACGGATGGGACCACTGCCGGTGGTGCGGGTGCCGGAATAGACGGCGCTGCACGAAGTGCTGGGACGGCGAGTGTGAGACCTGGGAGCGCGGGCATCGGGGCAGAGCGGCTGGGGCAGAAGCTTGAAGAGGAGACAGAGATCGACATCAAGTTCGCACGGAAACGGCGAGAGGCCAATGATCGCTACTTTCAACGGGTCAACCAGGGAGTGCTGGATGTCGTTGCGAAACTCGAAGATGTGGCCACGGCAATGCGCGCCGTAGAGCAGGAGAGCAAGGATGTCTGGGGGGAGATGGAGAGCGTGCCGTCGAGCGCCGTGCCTTGATATTTCTTGTACTCTGTTTACTCATCTGGGAGCATGGCGTCTCGGTCTTTGTCTGCATTGCGTGGCCGTCACGGGTTTCGTCAACCCGTGACGGCCGGGAATGATAATTGACTCCACCACTGGTCTCACTCGAGATTTGCACCGCCTGCTATCTCGGGGGCCCCGAGTACTCACTGTCATGCCCAAGGGCGCCATTCAGCGGGAAGGCATCATCACAAACCCCCTGCGTCGCACTTGAGCCCCGCTCACCCAACCATCCAGGCACGACTTGTCTCTGCCGACATTGTTCGACAACGAACGATGATTGCATAGACCATTGAATCGCAGAACCAAGAGACACGAGGGAGTGCGATTGCTTGCCCACTGCCCAACGTACTAGACCATTTCAGCGATCGTGGTGAGACACCCAGACCGACTTCAGAGACTTTGGTTAGAACATACTCGTATTCATCGTCTTATGCCAGTCCGCCTCGCGACCGGCATACCTAAAACTCTCCATCAAACTGGCAGCACCCGCAAGCAATAATCGGTCAGCAACAGGAGCTGACTGGGACTATGGGTTGACGGGTCAATCGGCTCTCTAGAATCCCATCGACACCTCTAGATCATTTGTGCGGCAGAGAGGATGTCAAAACACCAGTTCAGCGTGACACAGTCCGTCATTCGAGATCGTCTGTGTGAAGCGGGGTATGCAATACCATCAGTTCGCAGTGATGCTTGTTAGTCAAGCGAGGGCGTTGGGTGACATCTGTGTAGAACAAGCGACGCACACGCCCACGCCACGTCGTACGGCGTGCGGCCAAGCCTTGAATGATCTGGCCTGGGCGCGGGACGGTCGCCTTCCCGGCAACTCAACCCAAGTTAAACCCAAAGTCAACCCAAGTCCGGCCCGTCTTTAAAGAGGCGGACAATCTACCCCATTCCAACCGTTTGGATTTAGACAAACTCCATCTCCAACCTAACGGTTCAAAACACACCACCAGCAGCCACTGCAGAGTATCCATACAAGGTCCCTGCGTTCGACGACGAGTCGGGAGGCACTACAAAACCAACAGCACCCCTCCCCCTTCTGCCCCTTGCGATCTCACCTGCACTCCATCACTAGCCGGCCAAACCACCGACGTCACCAGATCTCCCGCCCTCCAACAGACCACACACTCAAGCGCAGCCCACCTGCCGCCACAACGCAATTATGAAGCTGATTGCATACCTCCTCCTGGCCCTCTCCGCCATCGGCGGTGCCCTCGCCGTCGAGGCCCAGAAGTCCTTCCTCGTCTCCTTCCCCGAAGAGACCAGCGACGGCATCATCGACGCTGCAAAGAAGCAGATTGCCGACGCAAAGGGGGTCGTCACTCATGAGTACACCATAATCAAGTAAGCTGGATAGTCCCAGTCTCGTATCCCTTCGCATCCCATCCCACTTCCAATTGACTGCCAGATTTGCTGACTGCGCCGGCCGCACTGTCAGGGCCTTCGCTGCGACGGCTGGAGAGAAGGTGTTTGAGAGTCTACAAGTCTGGGCACAGGATACCGGCGCCACTGTCGAGGAAGACAAGGTCGTCACGCTCAACCCGCAACACTCCTGATGGGGTCGACGATGCCTTGGGTAGGCTACGGCGCCGAGACCGCCGGGCCAGCCCGCTTTCGATGTCTTTCCGCGACGCCTCGAGACTGAATGGCGCACGGGAGGTAGATGACCCTCTGCCGGCCAGGAACTGGGACTAGAGCTCTTTGTACCGGAGGACAACTTTTGGTCTACAAATAGACAGACAGGTCATGAAATCTACAGTGTTTCCCTCTTTCATTCTTTCTTCCCTCCCCGCCTACCTAGGTACCTAGGTCCCGAGGTAGTTAGTACGACACGTATTATTGCCACTGTGCACTCCCCGCTGCCCTTTCCTGATCTACACGGCCATTGGCAGGCGCTGGCTGATGTATCTTCTTCTTGACCCTCTGCCACGATGCTGCGACCTGCAAGGCTAAGTAAGGTGGGTTGCAGTGCTGTATTTTGATGCGGCTGTTGCTGCAGTGATCAGGCTTGTGCAGTGCGGGCTTGTTAAAATGTGTTGTTGATGTACCCATTCCGCTGTCAAACCCTCGACTGTCCGAGTGCTTGATCCATCTTCCCCCTGCCCTGCCTGTCTCCCAGTTGCCTCCTCCACTTACCGCGCCAAAGCGGTGAGGGCTCCGCAGCCACTGGGGCAATTCATCTCCGCTGCTCTGACTCTGAATAATCCAGAGTCAAAGCGAGCCTGCAGGACCAATGGCGCGACATTCCATTGATGAGATCCCATTGATGGGCCGACGGGATGCCGGGTGATGGAGCGAGGGAGCATTGTAAGATGGCACGGGTACCGGGGAAGCAGTGCTGCAGACACCGCAGCGAATGGTAACGTTCAAGCGAGTCTGGCTCTGTGGTAGACTACTACAAAGTGTTTTGTCCCCAACAGGGCAGAGGCCCAGGCGAATGCGGAGGTTGCTGTGCTAGATGGTGACTCGCCTGCGGGAGAAGGAATGGTTGCGGTGTAACAAACGATCGGCACCGCTGTTCATGCACGAGGGTCTTGGGCGCAGGTCGGCAAACAAGCCACATGGCCGTGATGGCGCAGACTCCGTGGCCCGTGGTCCGTGGTCCGTTTTAGTCTGGCAGTCACACTCGAGTCGGCCGCCTCGGTCAAGCAAGATTTAGAGTTTCACCCATCTGGGCAGGTCGAGATTGCGAGATTGCATGTAGCGATGGGAGTCAAGTTGCGCCCGTCTGCCAGCCCGCCAGCCCGCCAGCCCGCCAGCCCGCCAGCCCACCCAGGCAGGGCTCGGAACCCCCATGCCGAGGTGCGAGTCCTGGAGAAGTGTCCCCAGTTCTCGGGCCCTCACCCTCGGGACCCCTGCCAAAACCTCAAACGCTGGCGTCAGACAAGCCACCCTGCCACCCTGCCATGCTGACATGCTTCCCGCAAGCCCTGCATAGGCCAATCCAAGAAGACAATTCATCGTCGACACTGATAGGCGGCGAGAGGGACGTACCCTGGCTCTAGATTGCGGACTGCCAGACCGACTGCCACGCGTGCATGCAGAGGGGGGGAAGGGGTCGAGCTCGAGCTCGAGCTCTACCCTAGAGTCAGAGTCAAAGCTTCACCTGCACCTGCTCCTGCTCCTAGTCCACTCCTGCTTCATCGGATCTTGTCTCGCACGTTGTGTTCCCACAATTCCTCCATGGACCGCCCGATCTGATTCTTCCCGGCGGTACCGTCAATCTCCCGCCCTGATGTCCTGATGTCCTGGTGCGAGAGTGCATGACACGGACGATCCGGACAGGACAGAGACACATTAACAATAGCCTTGGCCCAGACAATGAACAAGCCTCTCCCTTTTCTCAAGGACGGACACCCAACCAACATCCCAGCCGACAAGCAAAAGGACAGACAACAACGGGCCACAAGGCAATTCATTGATTCTTATTAATAGCATAGGGCCCTGTGAAAGAGACTCGGACGGCTCGAGGCCAATTCCATCCGTCGGAAAGGGGCTTTGACGAACCCACTCCATATATACTCGCTACCTCGTTTAATTTTTGATGAAGCCGTCCACCCACCCTGCCAAATAATACTCCCTCGCTTCACATTCTACGCACCGCGAGCTCACCCTTGACCTGCCACTCCCTCCCTCCCCCCCCCCATTTCCTTCTTCTTCCTTCCCAAGGGCGTACCCTATAGCCTCCATCTCGGGACACTCGTGCGCTCTCTTCCGGCCGTGACCTCATCCTCACCGACTGATCGTGCCTGCCCACCTGGCAACCAACCCACCCCTTAAACATCTCAGCTGCACGAAACCGAACAAAAGACTAGCACACGATACAAACGTTCCCACCCTGGTGCAGGGACCACTGCAAACATGCCGCACAGTTCTGCCGCGCAGGCCGCGCTGGTAAAATGGGTCAACCTCTTCGCAGGCGAGCGCCGGCCCGCCAAGTCCGTCGACGACCTCGCCGACGGCTTCATGCTGGGCCAGGTGCTCCACGACCTCGACCCCACATACGACACGTCTGAACTCGTCGACACTTCGGCGGCCAGCTCCAAGTGGCTTACTCAGAAGCGGAACCTCCAGTCTATCTACAAGGGCCTCTTCAAGTACATGCGCCGCGAAGCCCCCGAGTGTCTGCCTCTGGCCCAGGTGGCCGATTTCCGCGCCGTCGCAGAGCATCCGGACGCCGAGGGTCTCACTCAGGTATCTTCCCCCTTGCTAAATCTGTGGAGGTCAAAGCCCCAGGAGCGTCTCAGGAAACTAACTAGATTCGCACCACAGCTCACTGCTGTCCTCCTCGCTACCGCTGCCCTTGGCGCGTTGGACAAGGAAGTACGCGCGAAGTACATCACCAGGGTGCAGACCGAGTTGGAGCCTGTAGTCCAGAACGCAATACGGCAGGTGCTGGAGGAGAAGCAGACGCAAATGAGAGAATTAGCTGCCAAGGCCAAGGAGGAGGAGGCCCTAGACGACCGGGACCCTGACCTAGTACACGAGGAGGAGCGTGCCAGACTTGAAGCCTCTCTGGACCAGAAGGTACACGAGCTGGACATGGCGACGAAACGATATGCCGACCTCAACTCCCGCCACAGTTACCTACAGGAAAACCACGACGAGGTCAAGGCCAAGCTCGCCGAGGTCGAGAACGAGCTGACCGAGCTCCGCAAGCTCCACGGCGCTGACGAGTCGCAGAGGGTCCAGGCGCTCCAGAGCAAGATTGACGAGCAGGGTCGTCTCATTGAGCAGCTGGAGGAGGACGTCGAAAACTACAAGCAGGCGCAGCAGCAGCTGGAGATCAACCTTGAAAAATACAAGGCTAGCAGCGAGGAGGGCCAGGAGTACAAGGACAAATATGACGAGTTGCAACATCACACGCAGGAGCTGGAGAGGAAGGCCAACGCCGCTGACCGTTACAAGCAAAAGCTTGCCAACAACCGGAACCTCGAACAAGAGATCACCAACCTCCAATTCGAGCTGGACGCGCGGAAGGACCAAGAACAAAAGCTTCAGAAGGTCCTGCTTGAGTGCGAGAAGTTGAGAAATAGCGAGAAGGAAATGTTGACTGCCCTCGCTAGGTCCGAGCAGGCCGTTGACGTCGAGAAAGACCGAACAAAACATCTCCAGCTGTCAGCCGAGGACGCCGCAGCCGAGGTGCAACGGCTCAGACTCCAGAACGCCATGAGCGAGAGGCATATCGAGGACCTGAAGGAGCAACTGACCGGCATGGGCGAGGCACCCAGGGCACCCTCGCCTTCGTCGCAGACCGGGGAGGTCGGCAATCTTGAGCATGAGCTTCAGCAGACAACGAACGACTTCTCAAAGGTCAAGTTGCTCGAAGCCGAGGTTGAAGTCCTCCGGCATGGCGCGGCCACTTCCTCACAGGCCGACGACCTCCGACGGGAGTTGGACCGTGCCAGGAAGGAGCGTGATATCGCGATGTCGCAATACAACTCGATCTTCGAGAAGCACGGCGTTGCCCAGGAGCAGATCGACGCGCTCATTGCAAACATGAGCGGCGAAGGGTTAGTCAATGGCATCGAGCAAGCTCTGAAATTCGGCCCGCTCAGCACGCTCACATCCGCATACAATAGGCACGTTGCGTACAACAGCATGCGAGAGCAGCTGGCCCAGGCCACCCGAGAAATTGACGAGCTAAAGCATCGAACCCGCAAGCTTGAAGAGCAAGCCAAAGACAAGGACCGCGAGAATCTCTCTATGAAGACCGACCGTGCGTTGATCGAGGACCCCCGTTACGACCTCGAGGAGCATGACGCTGACCATGAGAATGACTCTACAGTTGATGCGGTCGGATCCGACCGTCTCGACGCCCTCGAGAGGCTCAAGCAGTCTGACCAGTTAATTGCAGCATCTCTCAGATCCGAGCTCGAGTCCTTGCGCGAGAGATACAACGGCCTCGAGATCGAGAACAGCATGCACAAGTCGCAGCTCCTCGACGCCCTCGTTGCCAAGGAGAAACTCTCCAAGGAGAAGGAGCTGGAAGGCCCGCCCGCTCACTTGGCGCCTGAGGGCGTCAGCCAGGCGGAGTTGGACGACAGGGTGAAGGACTACAAGTCCAAGACCGACAAGCTCAGAGACCGTGTCAAGCTCCAGAAAGAGGCAAGTCTTTTGAAACTCACCAAGTTGTTCGACCCGTTGATTACCGTGACATCTATGCGGACCGACCCAGGTCCCGGCAGAGATTCCTCGGAGTCTTTGAGCGCTTTGCCGTCACCATGGTCACCAGTCACTCCGACCCTCGGCCCCATCGATGAAGGCGAGCCAAGTGGACAACCTTCCTCGGTGCATGGCCAGGCTGGAAAGGATGGCGAGCCAGGCAGGAGCACTGCCCAGTCGCCCGTGCTAGCAGTCCCTCCTCCAGCGGCGACCAGGCACTGTCTTGGCTCGAGTAGCTATCAGGCCCCATCTGATCCTCAGCTGCTTCGACGCGTGACGCCCCCTCCAGAGGACCTGGCCTGGCGGGAGAGGACCCAAACGAAGAAGAGCCGCGGCTGGCTGTCCCACTTTAAGAAGTCGAAGTAGCAGATATCATGTGATTCAGGATCGTATGTTAGCTAACACGTGTTTGTTGTCACAGCAACTCGAGAAAGCGGACCAGGAGCGGCTTGAGCTTCAAAAACAGCTCAGGGCGCTGGAGTCGGGCTCGGCGTTGGCGGCGCAGAAGGTATGTCTTGCTTTTTTATTCTTAATTAATTTATTATGTCGATCCCATTTCAAACTTTCCCACCAAATGCGTTCCAAGTCTTGTCTCCGTGATAATAAATTGTAACCGTCAACGCAAAACTCTCGGGCTGGTCATTCTCATTCTTATATCCGCAGTGGAGGGATCCGGTGTCGATATTGATACCCAACTACAACATGTCAATACTCAGTGGCTTCCCCTCGGGAGAGACGATCCCTGGTGTGCGCTCTGCTGGCTGACACAGGACCTTTCCCCCGCAGGCCGCCCACGAACAGATCATCAAGAATCTCCAGCGGGAGAACGCCATGATTTCCACAGCGTGGTACGACCTCACGAGCCGGTTACAGAGCAACCACGTCGTCCTGCAGAGGAAGGATCAACCCAAGAGCTGGCTGAACAAGCAGAGGCAGATGGTGAATGGTATGGATGGCCCCATTCCTATGCTGTGTGGCTACGTGCCTGTGCAATTTTGCGTGTACTGCCACTGACTTGACCCCAAACACAGCCACGCCCCGAAGGTAGCAGCTTCCAGGCCTGTAGGCAAACCTGGCAAGGGGTCTCCGGGCGCGCCTTTCAGCCTCACGCGTGGGCGACGGCTGGGCCTTGCTCGCGGCGTTGGTGTGGAGTGTTCTAGGTGACCACCGTGAGGCATGCATGTACATGAAGTCAAGCGTGCAAAAGCCACCGCCGCCGGCTCTCCAACCGGGGCCCTGCCCGAGCGGCACGCCGTCCCTCTTCTCTTCTCTTACTCCATTTTCCCTACGGATTTTTTCCTTGCGTATTACAGTCACGACATGGACGGCTCAAGATCATCATCATACAACAACTACTGCTGGCAGTCGGAGCGCTAGAGGTGGCAGAGGCGGTAGAGGCGGCGAGAGCGGCGGCAGCGTCGGCCTCGGCATATTCGGCAGAGTTTTTCTTTTGTTATACTCCATAGCGTGGCGCTCTCTGGATAACAGCTGGGTGGCGAGGACGGTGGGGGAGAGCATACTCGGGAGTATATTGACAGATCCGAGTAGTAGAGGTAGAAGGGGAGCCGCCCAGAAGAGGTGTGGGCAGCAACACGGCAGCGCCTTCAAAACGCGTTGCAGGTGTGTTGCTGAAGAGCGGTGAGACAAGAGATAGAGATTCTTAACTTGCATGCTTGAACAAAAGGTTGGCATATATGTTTCGCTTTAGGTAAAATACCCCTTGCTGTTTACAGTTACGTGGGTGGCACTGAATGCGTAGAGTAGAAAATGGAGGCTTCGGCGGTTACGTTTTTGCAGTCTCCTCAGCTGCGAGGCTTGTCGATCATAGTGCCATGCTGAGAGCGCCGATTTGGTGGTGTATCGACAGGGCTAGGATCTGGCTGCAGGCAGATCACCAAGAGGCTTCATCTATCCTGTGAGGTGCAACTTTTCTTCCATAATAGCATACAGGGCGTGAACCCGTGAGTATGAGTGCCGCCCGTCTTGATATACATTCATAGCACATTCGAGGAGCGATCCCGCCCATTCTCTCTCGCGCTCACAAGACACCGAGAATGCTTTCCTGATATTTGTTTCGCGACGCAAGACAACAGATTAGTTTGCCTGCACCCTGCTGTCCATCGTTTTCAGTTCCGAGATCGCGTCCCCCTTTCTACATTTGAGGTGGTATTATTCTCCTTGTCTCGTGACATCCAGAAGACCCATCGGCTAAATTTCTCCCGGGTGGGCCCAGCTGCAGGGCGTTTCAAGTAGTCGCGCGCACGCGGTGTGCTTTAACGACCGGCGATCCTGCTGAGGATGCCGGCGCCGCTGCTTTTGGCCTTGTCCTTGTCGCCGTCGAAGACGGCCAGCAGGCTCTTCCAGACCTGGCCGGGCTCCTGGCTGGCGTCGATGGCCTTCCAGATGCCCGTCTTCTGGTAGTAGCCCACGACGGGGCTGGTCTGCTGGTGGTAGGTTGCGAGGCGCTTCTTGAGCGCGTCTGCGTTGTCATCAGACCGCTGGATCAGGGGCTCGCCCGTGATGTCGTCGGTCATGGGCACCTTGGGCGGGTTGAAGGTCAGGTGGTAGCTCCGGCCTGAGGCCGGGTGCACCAGTCGACCGGTGATGCGCGCCACCAGCAGGGCGTCGTCGATCTGCAGCTCAACGGCATGTTGCAGCTTCTGGTTGCGGTCCTTCAGCATCGCGTCGAGGCTCTCGGCTTGGGGCACGGTACGAGGGAAGCCATCGAGGATAAACCTGACGGGATGAGGCGACTCGTCAGCAAGAATGGAATTCTCTGGTGGTTGGCCTGTAGGTCAGACAGAGCCAGTGGCGACTTACCCCCCCTTGCACTCCTGGTTGTTGTCCAGCTCGGCCTTGATCATGCCAATGACAATATCGTCACTGACGAGGCCACCTGCGTCCATGATCTTCTTGGCCTCCCGGCCCAGAGGGGTCTTCTTGGCGACCTGGGACCGCAGCATGTCACCGGTTGCCTATTGTTGAGTGATATACCGTCAGCGTCTCTCGTCTTCGTACCGCGCCATATGCCCTGGCCAGACCGGGCGCTATGGTGGTGAAGAAGCCTGGGAAACCGAATTGGCATACCAGATGACAGCAGTTGAACTTCTCCTTGATCTTTGGGGCTTGCGTGCCCTTGCCTACGATTCTCAGAGCTCGGTTAGCAAAGCCACGCCCCGCGTGAGCCGGCGCTGCCGTCGTTCCCACGCAAGCGACAAAAACTAACCAGCGCCAGGAGGACCGATTAGGATCATGCGGATCTGCTCGGCGGTGAGGGGGCCACCGAATTGCCTGGATTCGAGAGACTTTATGCGCGACTCGAGCCCCTCGAGCTTGGCGTGGAGGCCCTTGACTTCATCCTCGATGATGCCCATGGTGAATGGAGCGTTGACCTGGGAAAGGGAACCGAAAAGAGACGGGGTGTCGGTGGGAGCAACCGAGGCAATTGAATGCGACGGCAGAGGGCAGCAGGCCTGCTGGTGGTACAAAGAATCGGCAGAGAAGTAGCGACGAGGCTGAGAGTGGAGAAAGGGTTGCGCAGCAGCAGGGCAGATCTCGGTCTGGACAAGAAATCAGAAAAGCTGCTCACACGAGGGTGAAAGTTGGCCAGAAAAGCCGCGGTTCGCTTTTAAGTTACCACGAGCGACGTTCACAATCCAAGCCGGTCGGAGCTGCCCAGGCTTGCACGAGTAGCCCAGGTACAGGGGGTAGTCCCAAGCTGTTTTGGGGGGGGGGGTTGCGTCCCGGGGTTATCGGCCAATTGGGGTCAGACCAAGGCACTAAAATCTGGGAACCAGGTGGATGTCGGCTAACTCTATGAGCCTCTTGTCCGGCGAATTCGATCCACTCCACCGAACCTAGCTGGAAAACCAAACTGACGGCATGTGTGAGATTTGTGCTGTGGTCTACCAGCCCGCTGCTTCTCCAGCCTCCGAGACGGCGGTTGAGACGGGCACATGTTCCCATTTGCTTCGGGGTCCCACCACCGGGATCGCTGGGGATGGGACCTTGCAGGACGCAAGGCGCGACGTCGAAATAGGAAGCGAGGCTGGGCCGCTGGTGACGCAATTGTGGAAGCTGGCCAGTCCTTTTTTTGTATGGTCCTCTACGGGCCGCTTGGGCCGGTCTCAAATCGACACCTCGAGGAGGTGCAATCGTTATGTGATGTTGAAAAGCCTTCGAGGCATTTCGGACGGTGCCCAGTATATTTGTTGAATATAATAAACGTGTTGAGCCAATCTCAGCCGGCAATCATGCCAACCATCGATGTTTCACAGTCCTGTTCATGATTCCTGCGTGGGGAAGCTTTGGCTGGGATTGGCTAGATGGTACACAATGTTCATGTAGTCGGTGATGTCCTCGTTGACAACTTGCTGAGAGAGGATAGTGTTTTCTTGATGTCTCCTTCCCGAGGCAATTTGCTGAGGTTGCTCTATTCCCGATGAACGGGGTTTGAGCTTACGGAAGGGTTGACCAACCCCCAGCCTGCCTAGGTACCTAGGTACCTACCCGGACAGATAGTCATGCCTGCCTGCCCAGGGAGCTTGGCTCGTGCTTGCTGCCCCTGCCCGTCTTGGTAGCTTGACGGCGGCGAAAGGCAGCCGCCATTACGCAGCTGCTCAACTCCAACACCAAACGGTCCACCAATTCGAACCTCCATCTCCCTTTCCCAGCCGCATCATCACCCCCTCGATACCCTCACGATGCCTTCCACAACGACAGAGACCTTGTCGCTGGTGGAGGAGCGGAAAGTCAGCGTCGCTCCTCTCGTACTGCTGTCCGTGGTCGACCATTACAACCGTGGCGCATCCACATCATCAAAGAACAAGCGAGTCGTCGGTGTATTACTAGGACAGAACGATGGCAAGGTGGTGCGAGTATCAAACAGCTTCGCAGGTCAGTCCGCAACCCTCATCGACCCCCCCCTCCCTGCTGGCAGCATCTGGCGATCTGACACTGGTCTTCCACAGTCCCGTTCGAGGAGGACGAGAAGGACCCATCCGTCTGGTTCCTAGACCACAACTATATCGAGTCAATGAACGAGATGTTCAAGAAGGTCAACGCGCGGGAGAGGTTAATAGGCTGGTATCATTCGGGCCCAAAGCTGCGAGCCTCCGACCTCAAGATCAACGAGCTGTTCAAGCGCTACACCCCAAACCCACTCCTGGTCATCATCGATGTACAACCGAAGGAGGCCGGCGTGCCCACAGACGCATACTTTGCGGTGGACGAGATCAAGGATGTAGGTTGAGCTGCCATCATGCGTTCTGCTTACTTCTCAGGTGCTGACGAGATACCAATTATAGGACGGCACAACAGCATCCAAGACCTTTGTCAACACAGCATCCATCATCGAGGCCGAGGAGGCAGAAGAGATCGGAGTCGAGCATCTGCTCCGTGACATCCGCGATGTTGCAGCTGGCACCCTGTCTACGCGCGTGACCAACCAACTCCAGTCCCTCCAAGGCCTTCACTTGCGATTGCAGAACATCCAGGTGTACCTGAAGAAAGTCCTCGACGGCAAGCTTCCGGTGAACCACGTCATCCTGGGTAACCTGCAAGACGTCTTCAACCTGCTGCCGAACCTGTCGACGCCCTCAAAGGGCAAGGGTGAGAGCGAGCTGAGCTACGCGCTGAACGTCAAGACCAACGACCAGCTCATGGCGATCTACCTGAGCTCCCTGATCCGCGCCATCACCGCCTTCCACGATCTCATCGAGAACAAGATCCAGAACCGTCAGCAACAGGAGGAGAAAGACGCAGCCAAGAAGGAGGGCGAGGAGAAGGAGAAGGATGGGGAGAAGAAGTTGAACGGAGACAAGGCGACAAATGGTGTCAACGGAGAAGTCAGCAAGGAGAGTTCGGAGAAGAAGGACGACAACCCAAAGGATAAGAAGAAATAGAGCACGGGGAATATGGAAGGGCAACAGGGCCGGCGCAACGGACCATGACGCATTGTACGAGTTCAGGACGACATAGAAAAGTGACTGATCCGCGGCTGGGAGCACGGATCTGTTAATATTTTGGGAATTGGCCGTATGGTTCATGATAGGAGGCCGACGGTGTACCCAACCAGAATCATATATGCCTTGAGCAAAACAGCACCCAAAAGAGCCCAAACCCCCCGTCTCGTGTTTACGCCTGCCTGCCGTGGATTCATCCGCAGTGCCTTGTGATTCAAATGCGAGTTGGTCCTAATCATGCGTGGCCCTTGAGGTGTCTGTACCAAAAATATCATGGTGCATCTCTACAGCGCTCACCCAAGGCCATACATGGATCAGACATCCGCAAACACACCTGCCATTTCCTCCCTTGTCACCTCCCACCTGTTCACATACCTGTCCAGGCCCGTCTGCCAGCGCTCGGCGAGGACACAGGCCAGAAGGTGCTTACAGCAGGGTGGCACGCCGCCTGCATCTGTGCAGCCATCGAAACTGACGCCGCCAAACTGCCACGGCCCGCCCTTCCACCCCCCGTCCCTGTCCTCCGCACTATCGCCATCGTCCTCCGCCGTGGTCATTGCGGGCACGGCGTCCTCTCCCCTACCCTCTGCCGGGACGAGGAGGGACGGCCCCGAGAGGGACGGGAACGCTGAGAAGGCGAACGCTGCGCACGTGCAATTCCACGCCGCCGTGTGAACGACGTAGGCCCTCTGGCTGCTGCTGCTGTTGCTGCTGCTGCTGCCACCGGTGGCGGCACTCGCGGACGCCGCCGCCGCCGCGTCGCCGCCGTAGGGCCGCCGTGTTGGTTTCTGCGCGGACCGCACCGTGTACACCGACAGTGCTGGTGCTGGTGTTGGCGGTGCCCCTGCGCCCGCGGGATCGCGCGCCTGCGGGCCCAGTTCATGCTCCTCGTGGGTCTCATGAGCAGTCCCGCCCGGGGCCAGCAGGCGCGTGACCAGGCCCCTGTCCAACAGGTCCAGCGCGGGCAGCAGGAGTGACGGGAACAGCACGTGCAGCGTCGTGAAGAGCGGCCGGTGCCTGGGGTCTATCAGCCTGAGGGGGTTGGCCCGCGGTTGGCCTGTCCTCTCGGGGAACGGGTCGGCCCTGGCCGCTGTGCTTCTGTTCTGCGCTGTGTCATCCCCGAGGTCTGGTCCGTCAGGCGCTGGGATCCTGGAGATCTGGCTTAGGAGCGAGGTCAGGAGCTGCCTGGGTGTTGGGAGCGCAGGCGGCGGTGACGACATCTTGCTACGCTGTTGCGGGTGACGGCCATTGGGAATTACTGCTGTGAGCTGGCTTGAATATCTGCGGGTTGCAGCATTATGCGGGAAAAGTGAGGTTGGCGCAAGGCAGACATTGATCACTTGACGAGTTGTTGAGGCTGTAGAGCCTAGCAAGACTGACACCTGAACCCGAGAGGCCAAAAGCCGACCTCATTATTTGCTGCCCACCTAATCGACCGCCCCTAGTAGGACCACAGCGGCAAAGATTTACATTGTCATGGAAATTTTCCTTGCGGAATCTTTTGGAATCACTTTTTACTTTTACAGGACTATACAGGATCTACAAGACACTTGGGCCCCCATGTGCCCTCTCATACCCACTCCTTGGGCTCCTTGAGGATCTGTGTCAGCCTCTCCTCCCGGGGCCCTGGAGGTGTGTACATGTATTTCCAGCTCGCCGTCAGGGGCAGGCTCATGAGAATACTCTCTACTCTCGCCCCGGGCGTGTTCAGCCCGAACGCGGTCCCCCGGTCGTGCACCAGGTTGAACTCGACGTACTTGCCCCTGCGGATCTGCTGCCATTCCTTCTCCTGCTCGTTGAACGGCATGTCCTTGCGCCTGTTGATGATGGGGATGTACCCCGGTAGGAAGCTCCTCAGCCCGTCCTGGATGAAGGCAAACAGGTTCTCCTTGTCCGCCACGGTCTCGTCCAGGTCGTCGAAGAAGATGCCGCCCACACCGCGGGACTCGCCGCGATGCTTGTTGTAGAAGTACTCGTCGCACCACTTTTTGAACCTGGGCCAGTACTCCTTGTTGTGCTTGTCGCACACGTCCTTGAGTGTCTTGTGGAAGTGGATGGCGTCCTCGTCGAACAGATAGGACGGCGTCAGGTCCGCGCCGCCGCCGAACCACCAGGAACTCGAGCTCCCGTCAGGGTTGGCCGTCTCGAAGTATCGGTAGTTCAGGTGCACTGTCGGGGCCATGGGGTTGCGAGGGTGTACGACCATGCTCAGCCCCGCGGCGAAGAACTCGAGGCTTTCCGGGATCTCGCCGTCTCCGCCAATGTTCTTGTGGTTGGCGCGCATCTTCTCGATGGCGCCCTTGGGCAGGGAGCCGTAGACGACCGAGACGCCGACGCCGGCCTTTTCAAAGACGTTGCCGTCCTGGAGGATACATGTGATGCCGCCGCCGCCCTCCTTGCGCTGCCACTCGTCCTGCTGGAACCTGCCGCCGTCGACCTCGCCCAGGCCCTTGATGATCTCCTGCTGCTGTTCCTTGATGAACTTCTCCATGCGCAGGCGCATGGGCGACTGGTCGGTCACGCCAGATTCGCGCTTCTCGAGGGCATCGCGCTCAGGCAGGGACATGGTGTCGAGCTGGGTAGGCTCCCTGGCAAGCTGCATCCACGAGACAGTGAGCCGGTGTTCGTCAATGCCGTGGGCAAAGGGTCAGGTCAGGTCAGGTCAGGTCATGGGGGGAGCTCCGTACTGTTGTGATGAGGGCCGTGGAGACGAGGGCCACGCCTGAGAAAGCCAGCCAGTGCGAGAAGCTGGAAGAGGCCGGGCCGGTCAATCGGGGGGCGGATGCGTCCGAAGAAGCCCTGCGGGTGGCAGCCGTGAAGAAGCTTGGGGGTATGCGCCTGGAACAGGTGAGCCTGGATGTGAAGAAGCCGTCCGCTGCTGCGCGGAGGGCTCTATTTCTCGAGGCCATGGCGGAGAGGAAGGGGACAGTTATACGGCTGAGCCCGGATCTCCGAGGAAATGGAGGATGGGGCCCGGGCAGCACACCAAGGAGGATTGTGAGGCCACTGGCGGAGCAGCTGGAGGTGTTTTGTCGGGAGGGAGACGGGCGTGGCCAAATCAGATGTTGGCCAGGGTCTATTTACAATGGGCAGATGTGGTGCTACTGCGCATGAGCTCAGCTCACCCTGTAGCTCCCGAGTCAGACGTGATTGGCTGGCCGGCACCCTCTGCGGGCAACGAGCCGACGATGGTCATGGACGATCATCATGGTTCGAGAAATGGGTGAGCCCCGGCGTGCAGGAATAGCCACAGCTCCATGCCAGTCAGGCCCTCTGGTCCCGGTGAGATGCGACCTGTGCGGCTCGTCGTGTGGGGTGACTTTTGTCGTGGACAGCAGATTTGAGCAAGGCCGGCTTGGTCCGGCTCACGGCTCACGGGTCCATGGGTCAACCGCCACCAGGGCCCAGGGCTGATCAGCTAAGGATGGTGTGGATATAAAGACTCGGAAGGCCAGGACACACGTTGTGATCTGTATAGATGCCCTTCAGGTTATAACTACATACGGAGCACTGCTGCACAGTTATGTTGTGTGTGCCCAGGTACGAGTGGTCGATAAGGGACAGGAGCTGCCGATAAGGAGAGAAAGGGACATGTCGTCATCCGAGATCTGCAGTGGGCATTGTTTCCCTCCTTTGCTGTGCCCAGCCGTTGTTCACGGTTGGATGGAACTTGGGCAGGCAGGCAGGCAGGCAGGCAGGGCAGGCACCACCAGGCATGGCTCTAATGTAACGGACAGATCCCACGAGAACAAAACACATTCCAGGTGCCACCCTGCTTCCGGTCAAGTCGGCCGGGTGACTCTGTTCACGTGGGTTGGAGGAGGAAGGCAGGCGAGGCGGGCAGGCGGGGAGCAGGCATTCGCCCGTCCCCCCTTGGTCCCCCCTCGGTCCCCTTGAGGCTGGAGGGGCCCCCATGTTCCACCCCAGGCTGCAGGTGCCTCCGTCTCATCGGTCAACTGATAAGGGACACCGCCTTCCCCAAAGCTGCGAGGTACAAGCTGACTTGTGGAAATGTCCGCTGCCCCTAACAGCGCATGGCCGTCGAAAGCCGCCATTCCAGATAGTGTTGAGATGGTCGCCCCTTTAGTCATTACTCCCCAGCCCCGCCTCTTCCGTCACGCCTAGCTGGCTGACCATTCAACCATTCCGGCAACCTGGGGGGTCGCCTTGGTCAGTCACAGGCGCCAGCCCGTCGACGCACATACTAAGCCAACCCATCCTACAACCTACACCTTCACTCTTCCCATCACCATCATCCATCACAGTAACCCTCCTTAGACGTAAGCTCTCGACCTCCTCCTACCTGCCCCTTTGCATCACTTCACCACAGAGGTGCTGACGGCGCACGCCGCATCCACAGACAGCCAGACCTAACACACCGCATCCGGCCACAACCTCACCGACTCTAGCCACAATGCGATCCAAGTTCAAGGACGAGCACCCCTTTGAGAAGCGCAAGGCTGAGGCCGAGCGTATTCGCCAGAAGTATCTCGACCGTATCCCAGTAAGTATCTCATCGCCGTCCCCGAGCACATCCGCCGCCCGCCGCCGCCCGCCGCCGCCGCCCGCCGCCGCTGCTGCCTGTCGCAGCCTCCATATTGTCCGCCGAGCAACAGCTGACACGCCTTCTCTCCCAGGTCATCTGCGAAAAGGTCGAGAAGAGTGACATCGCTACTATCGACAAGAAGAAGTATCTCGTACCAGCAGACTTGACCGTCGGCCAGTTCGTCTACGTCATCCGCAAGCGCATCAAGCTGTCCCCAGACAAGGCCATCTTCATCTTCGTCGACGAGGTCCTTCCACCAACAGCAGCACTCATGTCATCTATCTACGAAGAGCACAAGGACGAAGACGGGTAAGAGCCCCCCCCCCCCAAACTCGCAATGTCGGGGGCCGAGCTGACACGGTTCACCCCTCAATATAGGTTCCTCTACATCACTTACTCGGGCGAGAACACTTTCGGAGGCTTCGAGTCGATCTGATCCTGCCGGCGCAGCCTCGCACTGCCTCTTCTCGGCAGAATGATACCTCGACATGACTTTTCAGGCGACTCTTGGGGCGTTTTCGGGTTGGGATCGATCAGTGGGGTCTGGATGATATTTACGCAGAGTGTTATTACCTCGTAGCTGAGGAGCTCGTTCCAGTCTGAGGTTCACACAGGAAGGGGTTAGATGGCCGGCAAGAGGCGATGGACTTGCTTTCTGCGCCACTCTGTTGTTAATTGCGTGCGGTCCCGCCCCTCCGGTCTCACTACTTACTGATATTTTTCCGAATTTGATCGCGTTGACGACATCCTTCTTTCTTGCTGAGCTCCCCCCTCCCCTGTGGCGCTCCATGGCCACGGTCGGGGATAGATTGCGACAAGATCCGAGCTCTTCCTCCTCCACTACTGGACGGTTATGTGCCTCGTTGCTGCCCCTATAGTCTAACACAAGTTTATATTTTACGCGTGATTTCTTGGTCATCACAATTGCCGCGGCTTGGCTGGAAAGCTTCGCCCTGGTCACCGACCGATGATGCTTGATCAGGTGTTTCGTGTGTAGATTGTGGGTTTTGGAGACACAATGTGATAGAGAAAGACTTCAGGAAACCCTGGGAAGCTTGCCAAGATAGATGCATGTGCCCTGATCGCAAGCACGTGGCTGAGGAACCACACAGGCAGGCGTATGGAGGACGAGCAGACCTCTTCACCCCGCCGAGTATCCATACCGCCGCTGTGGACCGCTACCAAGCCATATCATCAGCGTTTGTGGACCCATCTGTTGTGTGTCTCCCCCCATGCCTCTCTTGTTTCGGGGCATAGTATATTTGGGTGATATGCTGTGCTGATTAGGCACTAACTAGATAAACACTATGGTTTGGGTACCGGGTTGCCGTTGAGGAGAATAGTGGTTTGTCTGTGTCCCAGACCCATAATTGCGCTTGCGTGTCGCCAATTTAGTACATCATTTGTCTCAGCGAGGTTCAGATGGGTAAGCTCGACGCTCTAGCTTCATTCCTGATCGCAAACGGTGTAGATGATTGGATTCAGACTTGATGAGCACGCTTCACCACACCTAACCATGGTGAGATCAAGACAAGATCTCGATATGTGAATTGCAAAAGCGTCAAGGTAAATGGAATTGCGGAAGGTACGTCAGCTTGGCCTCGAGCGCGCCCTGCCAATACAAGTCTCGGCGCATTCTTAGATATGTACACTAGAGTATCCCATCGGAAGGAGTATTTAGGGGGACCGGTGAATGAGGGCTTTGCTACCTAAGGGTAGTCTAGAAGTTGTTGATTTAATATGACCAGGAAGTGTCAAGCTAGCGGAGGATAAACAAGAAATCCTTAGAAGTGAGATCAGACCCTCGAAAGTGACTACAAGACCCCCTTTTAACACTTAATAAATCTTCTACACGAACACTACACCCAATCCATGCGGACACGGAATTAAAGAGCAGTCAATGAACGTCACTATAGTCCTGGTGTTTCGCATCCAGGCATAAAACTTCCCTCTCAGTTTCATGATACAGGCAGACAGGTGAATCAGCATATCTGAATAGGTCGATAAGTTGTAACAAAACCCCTTCCAGTTCAACTACTGTAAGTCTTAGTTTCATCACAGGGAGGCTTGTTGGTACAGCCCGTGCTGTCTCTCGATCCGCCTTGAAATATGCCATATGTGGCGACTGAGATATTGATTGACCCAGGCGCGGCTCTAAATTTTGCGTCAAAATGCTGTGATTCTTTTTGAGCTTTAGAGTCTAGATCTTGTTCCTTTGCTATGCCCTTGTGTAGAAAATCTCAGGCACACCGGCCCAGTGGGTTGGTTGGCTTTGAGGCACCCGGTCCTGAAGTCTGGCTGGGAGACAACCGTGAGCCCAAACTTGTCTTCGATTCCACATCAGTTGACATCTTTGAGACTTACTACCTATGTCTCCGTCCCTCAACGGTCCCGCCTGATCTCCTATTCCGAAGCAAATTCCAACTAGACTTCAGTTCCGCTTGGGTTCAATTCTCAAACACTTCTTCCGAGATGGGAAATATCTCAACTGTATAAAACAATGAAACTTTGAGTGCAAAGTAAATTGGGGTCTTTAGAGGATGAGGAGCTGCGGTCCTGCTTCGCCACAGCTACCTTCCACCCGCTCGCTGGGTATTCCGACATAGTCGAGGAACGGACACATGACAAGTCTTCAAAACACTGTAATGTGCCATGGCGCAGCCGTACCCAGGCACAGCACAAACAGGCTACTGTGATTGTACGGGTTTCAAAGGGGCTATCACGTCCTCGGGAACCGTCACCGCCGCCGGCGGCGGCTCACGGATCACTGTCAGTGACCCGGCTTCGCCTACTAGTCTCCCAAGGTGCGGCCGTAGGAACTCCCGCACTCTGCGGATATACGCTTAGAGGGCCGCAAAGCAGGACAGACCAGCACAGACAAACTTCAATGTTGTTATTTTAACGGGTATGATTGCGTTTCTTTCCATGGCTCTGATGAGAACGAGCCTCGTCCAGTAGCTACTACTTTACTTAGGACATCATTTGCTACCAACAACCCAATACCGACGCCGAGCCGTGAACAAGTAGAGAGCAACCCAGGTATGAAAACGAAAAAGATACCCCACGGATCCCAATAGCCTACCCAGGATTTCCGTTAACACCAGCGACCGTGACTTGCTTTTCGGGAGACCTAGTGGTCTCCGCCTGCTGCTCATCTCAGGCCCCTCTCTTTCTTCATCACCCGGTCAAAAACGGGACTAGCTGTCCAAAAAGTCAGAATAAAACACAGATTATTTTCTCCTGTTGATGAGTATGCACCGCAAACAAGCAATTGGGGTTATATGACACCGATAAACGCCACGAAAGCAGTAAACCCCCCCAGAGGTAATCGTACAAGTTGCGGCGTGCTGGGGCTCTCTCGATGAACACCCGGTCTTTCATTATCATTCCAGTTGCATTGGCGCCCTTGCGTTTCAGTTCGTTTCCCAGATTATGACAGCAAAGCTCATCACAACCATCATGGCTCACACTCGGGCCCTCTTGGTGCGTCTCGGCGGGTTGCATGGGCTTCCTGCCGCCGGATTGGAGGGAGGTAGGAAAGTCTCAACCTTTCTAGGTCCGCGTTAGCCTTCGCTCGCTCTTTGCGAGGCTCCGAGTCGTTGCATGATGCTAGAGCTAGATTGTAAGCGCCGCGATGCTTATTGGATAAGTCATCTGAGACTATCCCAACACTCGAGTCGAAGCTTTGGTTGACTGGTCCAGCGCGTGATCTATCAGCTTTGCCGTTTCCTATGGGTGCTTCGAACCGGGTCCTGGCGGAGAATACCGCTGATTAAGTAAAAGACGTGGTATTATTGAACGCCGGTCATGAAACTGAAAAAGCCGCCACCATGCTTGGTAAGGATCCAAACGCCGGCGGAAGAGGATGCGCAGGAACCCTGAAGCCTGTCACCCGTTCTACCTTGATTTAGGCCACTCGTGATGGGCCATCCGGCAGCTTTATGCTGGATTGCCCTTCATTCGCTTCTGCATCCGGGGCGTTGGAGGCTTCGTCTTATTGCCGGTAACTCCATTGACCTGAGGAACGCCACCAGCAGCTGATGGCGTAGGCGCGTTCCCGGAGGCGTCTTCCTCGACCTTCACAGCAGAGGGGCGTCTTCTTTTCTGGCCGGCTGGTGATGTAGTAGCGCTAGCGTTCGAGCTGCTCCCCTGCTGGCTGTGTTGCATTGCCATGGCGGGCGCCTGCATTGCTCCTGCGGCGGGACTGCCGACGTGGGGTGAGCCTGGAAGCTGGAGATGGGCGGCGTGAGGGCTCGCGCCCATCGGGAACTGGCCGAAGCTTGGAGTGCGCGGACCATTTGGCATGACCTGGCCGTTCATGGCTGGTGCACCAGCCTGAGGGATCTGGTTTGAAACATAATCGTCCAAGACCTGGTACGCACCCATGGTCGGATGCTGATGGGCAGCTTGGAACAGGGGGTTCATTGTCCCCATGACCTCGACAATCTGCCGGCCCCTGCGTTAGTAGTGATCCAAGCTACAAAGTAGGTGTTGGATTCAGTACCTCTAGGAATTGAAATTGCTGCTCCGTGATTCCTACACCGTGCTTGACGGCGGAATGGGGGATGTCGAGGTCTGGGGGTGGATTCTGAGGGCTCTTCTTCGGCCGGGGCTTGCTCTTCTTGCTCATTTCAGGCGAGGCTTGTGAGCTTTCCGAGTTGACCGTGCGCCATTCCTTGATCCACTGATGGTTGGGCTTCGCGCCATCGACGACCACAGTCCTCGAGACGTACTCATCGTGATCTGTCGAAACAAATTCAAACAAGTCGATTTTCTGTTCGGCGTCAAACTGAAGACGGAGGTTGCCAAGGTGAACGACCTAGTTCCAAGGAGGAAAAAGACTAGTAAGTAACCACTCTCAAGAACGTATAGCAACAAGAAACCTACATGTGATGTCTCGAACCACATTGTGACACTGGCGTTGCTGTTCTCGATGAAATGGCAGTCACCCGGCAATGGCTTGTCTGTCGTGCCTTGGCCGAGCTGCAGTTCTATCTTGGACGCACCGCTGGCCTGGAAGTAGTGCGGGATGGCCGGGAAGTTCATCTCAACCTGCTTGTCCCCCGAAGCCTCCGTGTCGGCTTTATTGCGAACATTTGTCCGGTATATACCCCTAGGAGAAAAGAAGCGGTGCACAAATTCCTGCCAGTGTGCAATATCCTTGTCTTTGGCTTGCTACAAACAGAGAGTCAGTACTCGCGTGGAAATCGGTGAGGCGCGGTTCACCAGACCAAGACTTACAGATGAATAGCCACTGAGGTGCTCTTGGAAATTCATCAGCCGAAGCAAACAATGTCCTTTCATGCCCTCGCGCTTCGACGCCTGAGCCTGAGCCTGAGCAGCCATCATATTAGCCTGATGTTGCGCGACTAGTTGGGCGGCCTGCGGCTGGTTTGATTGGGCCTGCGCCTGAGGCTGTTGCTGGGTCGGCTGGGTCGGCTGTTGCTGCTGCTGGGTCGGCTGTGCCTGGTTTGGACCCTGTGGCTGGCCCTGGTTTGGCTGAGGGCCGTTGGCTTGCGCGGGTCCGCCCTGGCCGATCTGCTGCTGAGGTGTGGGCTGCGGCGGGCCAGGTTGAGGTTGCGGCTGTTGCTGCTGCTGCTGCTGCTGATGCGGCTGCGGCTGCTGTTGTTGCTGCTGCTGCTGGGGAGGAGTCTGATGGGAGGCTTGCTGCTGGGCCTGTTGCTGCTGCTGCTGGGCCTGTTGCTGGGCCTGCTGCTGGGCCTGCTGGGCCTGCTGCTGCTGCTGGGCCTGCTGCTGGGCCTGTTGTTGCTGCTGGGCCTGCTGCTGCTGCTGGGCCTGTTGTTGTTGCTGGGCCTGCTGGGCGTGGTGAGCTTGCATAGCCTGGAGTTGGGCAATATTGATCTGGGGGTTGATCTGGCCGGGCTGATTGGGGTGTTGCCCCTGGGTCATCTGCTGGTTCGCCGCCTGTTGCTGCTGATGTTGTGCCTGTATTAAGTGCTGCTGTTGCGCGGCGAGGAGGGCCTGTACATGATCGGTCAGATCAATTGCGCGAGCAAAAAGTGGCTACCAAGCCCGGGGGGATGGGATAGAAGCTTGCCTGTTGTTGTTGTTGGTTTGGCGCCTGCTGCTGACGAGCAGCCATCTGCCTCTGCTGCATCGCTTGGTACTGTGCCATATGTGCAGGATTGATGTTCGGAATTATCATGCCTGTTGGGAGGGCCCCACCGTACATCTGTTGTGCCATCATCTGTCTCTGCTGCTGCTGCTGGATTGCCTGGAGGCGCTGTTGTTGCATGTGCTGTTGTGCTGCATCTAATGGGATTGAAGTTAGACCAGAGGCATCAAGAAGACGGGTGGGGCGCACGAGGCTACTCACAGTTCATCTGGGTGACTGGCTGCTGGGGGAACATGTGCTGCACGTTTGGGTTTAAATGCTGCATAGCGTGGGCGTTTGCACCGGGAGGCATTCCGGCGCCCATGAGGGCTGGGTTGACCTGACCGCCAGCGCCGGATACGGCCATCTGCTGGGCGAGGTGGTGTGGAATTCCGGGCTGGGAGCCGGGCTGGCTTGGATTATGAGCCATACCCGGAGCCATGTGATGGCCGGGAGGGACACCGGGGTGCTGCATGCCACCAGGATGTGGGAAGTTCTGCGGCACCTGCATGCTTGCCATCATCTTCGACCCTCCGCGGCGTGGGTATTGACGCTGTGCCTATCCTGAGCTCTCAGAGTCGCATGCGCTGGCTCTTGCAAGAGGGAAAGGGGAAGACAGAGCTGGCGATTGATGGACCGGGGCCGACTTTTTTTTTGTCGCAGCAGGCGCAGTCACCAACACGGACACCAATGGCGGACGGTCGGGGGGGGGCGTGTGGCGGGTCGCGTCGATGCGACGGGGGCAGTGGGATGCGGTCGCGGAGGATCGTCGGCACAATGGCGAAGCAGAGGTCGGCGGCGCGAGGAGTGAGTGATCGCCGTGGATTATATCGAACGAGGACGGGATGCGGGTTGGCAGGGCTGGGTCCAAACCGAACAAGGAAGGGCGGATGATTAAGGCACGGCGGGAATCAAACGGACGGCGGGTGGCTGACAGACGTTGGGACCAGGTTGAGAGAGTAAGGCCCAGGGGATTAACAGGAGAGCCGTGCTGCAGCCAGAGTGTGTGATTTGCAATTGCCCGGGCCGGTTCAGCGGGTGGGGGACTGGGGCGAGAGGCAGCGCTGGCCGAGCGACACGACAGCACGCACAAGCAAGGCTGTTTTGAAGCCGGTCGTGAAGTGGGAGAGTGGGCGGGCGGCGGTGGGCAGCAGAGGTGACAGCAGTCGGGGGGGTGGTGGGATTCCCAAGGTGCAGTGCAGGTCGGGTTCAGGTGCAGGTTGTCTGTCGACGGTCGAGGCTGGTGCAGCGGATCGACGTGTCTGGGACGGGACTGGGCTGGACTGGGACCGACTGGGACTGGGGAGACAGCAGAGCTGCCAGGGGACCACGGGCAAAGGAGGGACGGGGCACGAAAGATTTGGGGGAGGGGGGGGGGTGCTCCCGAAAAAGGCGATGAGATGGGGCGGGCCTGGCAGGCTGACCGCAGAGCCTGTGGGCGGACGGCCGACGATCGCCCAATCGAATATGCGGCTGGCGGGGGTGGGTACAGATAGGCCGAGGAAGAGTCCTGGTCAGGCTGCTGCCCCAAGTCTTATGGCACAGGTTCGTTCTTGTTGTCTGTGTTGGAGAACCCTGGCACATGGAAACAGCACAGAGAGCAACAGGATTGGGTGAGATAATATCCCGGAGGCCAAAGGAAAAGGGCAGGAGTGAGAGGGAGAGAAGAGAAGAGAAAAGAATCAACCACTATGTTGGAACGGAGCATGCTGTATAGTGTATAACGTTGTGGTGCCGAGCAAGGGCCTAGGTACCCAGTATAGTGCACATAACGGGGCCAGACCTCTCCGTATGCCGTCTCAGAAGCCCCCAAGCTGTCCACTCACAGGACACGGGATTCCCCGCAGCCCAGGGCACGGGGCGCGTGATGCTGGCCCTCTGACAGTAAGACTGTTGAAATAGCCACGACCCCTGTCCCTCTCTGGTGAAAGCCGCCCAGCTTATCTCCATCGCAGGAACCCGTCGGCAGCCTCGCTGCGTCCAACATGAGGGCGGAGGTTACCTAGGTAGACCATCATGCTGACGGTGGGAAGATATTACTCAAATATCCAGTCCGTCAATCAGCCAGTCGACGAGATGTGCTCTCTACGTGGGCCGGACCAGAACCCGACGGGCACCCAGGCACCCTGGGCAAGGACGGGAATCTGTTTGGGCTCCTGACCAGGCCACGCTAGCGACGCCGTCTCCTGATATGCAGGTATCAAGGAGGTACCGAGGTACAAGGTGCAACTCAATTTTGCGCCGGGCCGACAGGGCTCCGGCCTGGCCAATGCCGGCCGAGATCAGCAGCAGGTGGGTATGACAATCTCGCAGCGCTAGACAACGGCCAAGATTTTCCTTCAACTTCCACAGAGGTCCCACCCAGCCGCCGGGTGCTATAAAATTTCAGCCTCATCGCGCAGTAAACTTCAACCAACCTCTGTTCACCACCTTCTCGCCAACAACCTCCCTTTCCCTCCCTCCCCCTTTTCTCTCGAAAAACGCGGCGTCCCGTCCCTCGAAGCCTCCTATCCGCGCACAGCAGACGGGCATGGGCATGAGCATGCCATCCCACCCCCTGACGCGCTCTGGCTTGCTATTTTGAGGGACGGGACGTCAGCACTACGCAGGTAGGCTCACGCCCTCTTTCATTTCTTCTCAACGCATGAACCACTCCAAGACGGGTGACAGCCTTTTCGAAGGCCCGTTCCCCCCGCCCAAAAACCTTCATTTGATGACAACTTTACACAATTGTCTTCTTTTCCCAACTGAATCGACCATGAAGAAATCTAGTCTGTTCGGGTTCCCTCGCGTGCGCCTTCGCAAGCGCATTGACGATACCTGTTACTTGCCAGTATTTTCTGTCTGAATCTATGAAGGATGCCCTCTTTTGCACGCGAAACCATGAGCGTTCAACGACGCGACCACGTGGTGGGCACATCCGCTGACCTCTTCAACTACAGGAAAACTGATCAATTGCTACACCTCCACAAGTGGGAAAATGCTAACCCGACCAGCTCCACAACCTGCGACAGCCAGAAGAAAAGGTTGGTACCCGTTATTTCCTCAACGTTCTCCCCCACTGGATCGCATGATGAAATTTCCATCGACATTCGCAGTTTCCACTCGAGTTCCCATTCAAGCCTATAGGTGAACAGATGAGGGTTAATTCTTCCTTGGATGTCTGATTGATCAACAAAATCCCCTTGCATTGAACCCGTCACAATTGTCACCGCACACTTGCTGACCTGGTTCACAGTCTTCTAGGTTCCATCATTCAGCTGGACTCTGGCAGGTGTCCGATGCCGCCATGAAAAGGTGCGGCCATGCCTGGAAACCGACATTCCTTGCCAAGCTGTCTGCGCTGAATTGGCTCCCATGTAGTAGCAGCTATGAGCAAATACATTTTGATAGAGTAATCAAACTGCATACCTACTTAGCGAATCTCCAGTACCCCATCCGATTGGGTATGTTCCCATGTGTATATTCCTATGCGCCTTGCAGCAAAAACAGATGCCGTCCGGTCCTTCTTTTTAGCTCTTTCGTAAACACCGTCAAAGCCAGCCGCAGACAGCCAACCAAATGTAATCATACATGGTCACAAAGTCGCGCTGAACAAAAAAAAAAGAAAGAAAAAAAAAAGAGTCACATCGGGTAGATGGGGGCCATCTTCAGGGTTTGGCCTTCTAAGCAACGCTCACCTCCTCCCGGTTGCTGTTACCTCTCGCGACCCGTCCGCCGACGATGCCCCTCCTGTTCCTGCCCGTCCGGCCCCTGCCGAGCCAGTTCAGCTTCAGCAGCTTGGTCAGCTCCTGCACCCGCATCGTGCCCTCGTCGCCGCCCTGACCCGTCCCCGCCAGCACGCTCATGCACTGCAGCATCCGCCCCACCATCTCGGTGACCTGCTTGCTGTCCTCCACGTTCTGCTCACGGAGTGACAGCCCGAGCAGGGAGGTCGACGAGGACCCCGGCCCGGCCCCGCCGCCTCCGCCCAGGCTGAGGCTGCTGTTGCCGGGCGTCAGCTTTGGTGGCCGCAGCGAGTGCGCAGACGACATGTTTAGTGAGTCCGAACCGCCGTTACTGTGAGCCCCGCTTGACGCGAACGAGACGTTGGACAGGCCCCGGCTGCGCCCGCCCGCCGCCAGGTCGCCCAGCAGCGTCGTCGATGTCGAATTGTAGCTCGCAGTTGACGGGTCCAGCGACATGGCTGTGCCTGGTCTCTGCTGCGGGGCAAAAGGTAGCCCCGGCGCTGACTCCGCGCCGGGAGAGGTGGACATGAAGGTGTCTGCCTGCATGGGGCTCGCGAGTGCCATGCCAGGCAGGAACTCAAGCGACAGCCGTGAGAAGAGGGTCTTCAGTTTCTCGTAACGCGGGAGGATCACCACGTCACGGAAGCTCGTGAGCACCAAGGTGCGTATGTCGAGGACGGCCGACGCCGGCGCAAGGTTGACGTTGCCATCGCCTGCTGGCGAGCTGGCTATCACGCCGCCCCAGAAATCGCGGGCCTGCTCCGGCGTCATGAGCGTGCCGTTGCCGGCGAACTCCTGGTCCAGGGGTAGGAAGACGGCCTGTAGGTAAGGCGTGATGTGCGTAAACACGGCCATCCAGGCATCAACTAGGGCTGGTATCATGCGGTCTTCCGAACCCTTGAGAAGATTTCGGTCCAGACTGAGGAAGCCCGTCTGTAGCAGGCTACGGAGGTCTTCCAGCACCATGTTCGGGGACCGCCGTTGTATACAGTACTGGAGATGCAGTACCACAACGCGGTTGAAGTCCTCGATTGGCAATTTGAGCTCTTCAGCCTCGAAGATTACCAGCAGCTTTGCCCTCAGGTACGGCCAGGCATCGTCCAGTGACATGCTGTTGAGGCCGTATTTGGCGGAGTCGATAGGTTCCTGGTACATGGGATGTGCGCTCGTAGACCCCAGGCTACCCGGCCCAGCCCAGTCGATCGGATTGCTGACGGATTCGTTCAACTCGGCCTTTTCCTCCTTGCGGCCGTGCCTGAGTGCTCGCCCACCATGCCGTAGGTCAAGTCCGCTGATATTCTTGAACGCGCCCGAGTTGAACGTGCCCGAGTTTGGGCCGGGGCTTGACGGCACGTTGAAGTTGTAAATGCTGCTCGGGGCACTTGGATCGGTGGGCCGCGAGTTGCTGGCTGCAGAGGATAGCTGGAGGTGATAGTCATCTTTGTCCTTGGGCTTGATCCTCTGTCGAGATAAAAAGTGGTGTTTCTTCTCCTTGGCTTCCTTCTCAGCGGGCGGATCCGCGGGTCGGATGGTCGCGGAGGACGCATTCGCCATGTTATAGAAAGATTGGCCGGTAGAGTCCAGACTGGTGGTGCTGAAGTTGGCCCTCTGCAAGGCAGAAAGAGCAGACCCTATCTTGCTCGGACTGGGCAGCGGCTTGTCCTTTGAGTCCCCCTTGGTCCCAATCTTGCCGGGCCGAGAGAACAGTTTCACCTTGGACGACTTCTCTGGTTTCTTCTCCGGTAGGGGCGGCGGAGGAGGTGGAGGCTGGGGTATTGTCTGGCTCGATATTGGTGACGTCTGTCCAGAACGAGGGAAGACAACGTTGGCGGCCGTGGTGGCAGCATTGCTCCCCAGCAGCCCATTGTGGTATCCTTGGCTGCCAAATCCGGTCTCCCTGGGCGCGCTCGCCTCGGTCAAACTCAGGACCGGGGGGTTCAGCTGACCGCTACCCCTCTTGCCCGTCGGCTGTGGGACTTCGTAGTGGTCGCCTGGCGTAGGGACAGTCTGCGAGCGCTGCCGTGAGTGTTGCAGCATCTGCTGCGACTGCTGGTGACTGAGGACGGCGGCCTGTGCGGCGATGTGGCTCGCAGGGAGGTCGCGCTGGCTGGGTGACTGTTGAGACATGCTGCCGTAGGAGGACAGATTCGACGTGGAGATGGATGGCAGGGAGGGCTCGAAGGCACCGGCGTTTTGCGAGTGCTTGCGCGAGTGGCCCAGAGGTCTGCTCATGCCGGTGCCGGCAGTGGACGGTGGCAGGGTCAGAGGCGAGGCGTTGCGGAGTTGTGGGTCATGGCTACCGGCCACTGACCTCGCTGCGACAGCGGCAGCTGCGGCGTTTGCGAGGGGCGAGGGGGTCGGGCGGGAGAAGTTCTGCAGGCTGGCGGTGCTGGAGTTGGAGTGGGCGGTGGTAAACTGCGAGTACGACGGGGTGGAGGAGCCAGCGGGTGCAGGCGATGGTGCCTGCTGTGGGAACTGTGGGTTGTACTGTGACGTAGGGCTGCGTGCTTTGGCGATATGTATGGAGATGGAGTCTTCGCTCGAGGATGATTCGACCCGTCGCACTCGCGGCCGCTGAGGTGGTGGCAGGTCTGCGGAAGCGGCGGCGGCGGCAGCAGCAGCAGCAGCAGCATTAGCACCCGGGGGGTAGAAGGACTGCAAGTCGCCTTGGTTTCTGTTGTTGTTGATGTTGCTGCTGTTGCTGCCGTTGTGGTTGCTGCTGGCGGCGCTGGGGTGAGTGGCGGTGTTGTACGGAGTGTATGTGTTGCTGCTGCCCTGGCTCGGCTCGTTTCGAGGCAGGGGCGCAAAGCTCCCAGGGGCCCTGCCACCCCCCAGCTGGGGTCGTGCTGGCTGCATTTTGTTCTCGTGGGAAGGAGGTCCGGGGCGAGTACTCCGTACATGTGAGAGAGCTGCTACCTCTTGGCCGGTGGCCAGGCAGGCGAGGTTTCGGGTATCAGATGTTAGGCATTGGGCACGCCGTTCGTCCCAGATCACCAGCGTCTCGACAAGACGTCACGACTTATGCATCGGTGCATTGGGCGCAGGGAGTCCGTGTGCGCAGTCGGATGGATGGATGGAGAGAGACAGATGGAAAGAGAACGAGACTCATGCGGCCCGCAAAGAGGACAGGTGATGTGAGGTGAGGTGAGGTGAGGTGAGGTGAGGTTCTCTGGTCTTGTTAGCCGTCCGTCTAGGCTCGGTGGTTGGAGTCCTAGTGTGAGGCGGGCAACTGGGCGAACTTGGGGCTGCGACCGCCCGCCAAATCCATCAGCGATCCTCTCCCATTTAACCCCTTGTCGAAACAGACGCAAGGGATCCCGCCGATGACCGCATCCCCCATTCCTTGGTGTTCACACGCTGGCACCCCTGCTCCCACTGCTCCTCTGCCGCTGCAGTGCCGCAGGCTGGCCCGCAGCTCTGGACACTACCCCACCAAGCCCACCATTCAGCCTCCAAAAGTTTCGTGTGCAGCACGCTCCCAGGCACAGTTCCCAGCGGCGTGCCCACCGGCGATCTTCGCAAGGTTTGTTGTCTGTCCGTCTGTTTGTTTGTCAAGACCACCCGTCCCGACTCCCGACTCCTTCCCTTGACCTTGTCACCCAGACAAGCTGTGGCGCCCAGACAGACAATACAGCATCTCATCCTCACGCGTTTGCCTGCCATGGCCAGCGACAGCCAGAAGCTGTCCCTCACCGGGACCTACTCATCACCCGCCAACCCATCCTTCACCACCACCCACGAGCTGCAAGCGCCCCCTTCTGGCACCGTGAATCCCTCTGTCCCAGACAAGACCAAGTATCTGAGCGACCTGCGCAAGGCCGTTGCGACCATGCAGGACCACGTCAACAAGGAGCTCACCTCGCGCATGGAGGACGACAAGGCGAGGGAGGCAGGCAAGAACGGCAAGCCAGTAGTCGACGACGTGAAGGAGGAGGAAAATTACGGAGAGGAAGTCCAAGGAGAGTAGGCCTGATGCATCAATGCTACTCATATGAGCACTTGAGGCGACAGGCGGAGGAGAGGGGGGAATGAGATGAGGCACGATGGGTATTGCTACAATGCTCCTCGACTATGCTATGCGCCCCCACCCCCCATTCCAACATGCAACAAATCCCGTCTGAAATTTAGCCGTCAAATCCTGATGACCGCTGGCTGGTGGTACCCCATCCTCCACCGCTCCTCCCGGTCTTCCACGGTCCGGTCGTTGTGCTCACTGGAGGCGTGATGCCCCAGGTTGACGCCTTGCGGATGCTGTCGCTGAGCCCCGTGCTCGTGCCGGACCCCACGCTTCCGGCTGCCGATGTCGAGAAGGCCCTCTCGCTTCGGTTCAGGCACCCGTAGTGCAGCACCGAGTTGTCGGGGAGCGCGGCGACGACGCTGCCGCCCAGGCGCTTGTGGCACACGCCGCACACCCTCTCATCGCTGATGATCACCCTTCGGTTGCGCCCGCCCTGCCCGCCCGCCACGCCGTCGCCCAGGAGCAGCAGCGCCTGGCTCGCAACCAGCTCCGTCTGCCGCAGCCCCGCGATGATCCGGCTCGCATTGACGGCCGAGTTGGCCGAGCGGATCCGGCCTTGAAAGTACGACTCCAGGTCTGACACGGGAAGCGTGTCCGGAATCAGTGACAGCGTCGACGCTGCGGGGAGCCGCGAGCCATGCTTTGACAGCAGGCTCAGCGCCGGTGGGAGATTCGGCTTGTTGGGCGGTGGGGGGTTGAGGTACAGTGACAGCAGGGTCTGGTAGATGGACGGGCCCGCCTCGTCCGTCTTCTCCTCGGACACCGTGGAGGGCTTCTGTGTTTTGAATGCGCCGGGGGAACCCACCGCCCCGGAGGACGGCGGCCTTGGTACCTCTTTGGAAACGTGAACGCGATTGCAGTATCTAGATCGCCAGCGTCAGACAGGCAGAAAACGAGGGTGACTGGCTCAACATACTCTTCAGCTTTGTGATAGTCCTGCATCTTGAAGACGTAGATCATGAGCGCCTGCCTGTCCTCACCCATGTTGCTAAGGACAATGGCTTGAGCTTCATAGAATGCCGGATCTGTAGAGGGGGGTTGGTAAGTCTACGGAGCAGACAGTGAGTGCAGGGGGCCCGTGAAACTCACCATCACCCTTGAGCAAGGTGAAAGCTCTGGTTAGGCTATACTGCCTCGAGTCCTTGAGGAAACTAATCAACCTGGTCATGTTGTTGTCCCACTCCGCATCCCGCGTGCCGGCCTCCTTGAGCTGCTTCACGAGCAGGTCGACCAGGCGCTCATGATACTCAGGCGTGAGGTCGTTCAGCTCGTTGATGATGTGCTCCAGGTACCTCACCTCGAGGCGCGTGTCGATGGCGCCCAGGAAGCGCACAACCCTCTCGCGGGGCAGTGTCTCGGCATTCTCCGTGTCGCCCAAGAACACCTCCATGGCCATGTCCGGCGCACGGCGCAGCGCCCACTCGCTGAACTCGAGGATCAGGTCGATCATCTCGGGCGGCAGGTTCTGCAGGTAGCCAACCGTCCTGGTCGGGCCGTGCAGCGACGGGGCGCGCTCGTCGGGCTCCTCACCCTCGCCGAACCGCTTCAGCAGCTCTAGTGCCTGCCGGTGAAGCCGCTTGCCGTAGAAGAAGTCAACCAGCTCGTTGTAGCGGTCATGTTCCACCAGCTTCTCGTTGACTACGTCCGGGTCGCAGAAGTTGGGGATGCGGAACAGCGAGCTGGCCAGAGTCGGCGCAGAGAACATGTAGGCGCGGAACAGGCACGTGTCGACAATCTTGAACGTCTCCTGGAGTTGCTGCTCGAGCACATCATCCGACTCGTCCCTGCCACCGGTGGTGCTGATCAGGCTTTTCAGCGCCTCTTCGCTTGATCCAGACTGTGAGACCTTGGTCTTGAGCCTGCCGCTCACAGGGTCCAACACGCGCTGGAGCCTTGCGCGCGTCCCGGCGAGGAAGCCTCGGAGCTCAAGAACGGCCTCCTTGAGGTTTTTGCCTTCGAGCGTGTGGCTGTCGTCGGCTGCCTTGGATGACTTGCTCTTGACGCTCATCGCGTCGTCGTTATCCACCCCTCGCTTGGCAGATGAGTCTACCGAAGATGTTTCTGGGTCCTTGGGCTTGCTGCGATGCCCTAGTAGCATTCTTGCAAAACCCGACCCCATCGTTGCTGGTGATAATGTCTCCTCGGCGGTCGTGGAGGCCGCATCGGTATCCTTACGTGCATGCTCGTCCTCCTGTGGCTCAGACGGCTTCCCATTGGTCTCGTCCGGCTCAGACTCGCTACCGCTGTCATTGTCGTCGGTGTCCCCGGACAAGTCTCCCGCGATCGATCTCGGAAAGAGCCGCAGCACTCTTTCGGGTGGCGCATGCACTGCATCTTCGTTGAATAAGTCCATAGACTCGCGGTACTTCTTCTGGCGGAACAGCACCTCGGCCTTTTGCATCTTGACCTCCCTCATCGTCTCGGTCTTGTTCTTGAGCAGCGCATCCTCAAGCATGCCCAGCACACTGATAGCCTCGTCATACTTCTGGGAACTGACCAGCTCGTCGACCTGGCTGTCGTAGTCCGTCGCGTCCATCTTCCACACCGCCCTGTCGCTGCTGATATGAAACCCCTTGCCCGCGTGCGCGAGGCTGACGGTCGGAGGAGGGAAGTGCATGTTGGCTGCCCCGGGGAGGCTAATGTTCTGGAGGAGGCTCAGCGTGTCTGGGTTGCGCACCTCCAAGGTGCCCTTGGACGGCGGCTGCAGGGCCAGGATGTAGGGATAGCTATAGCCGACGCTCTCGGGGGCGCTGTGCCAGGGGATCTGCCGCTTGTTGGGCAGGGGCTTGCCCTCATCGGTGATGAAAAGCGTGTTGATGTCCTTGGCCAGCAGCATCTGGCCGTCGGCGAGCTTGGTGGCGAGGGGTCTCGGCACGTAGCCGCCGAGGCCCATGTAGCCCATGCCCGCGCTGCTCATGGCACCGAAACGGTTGCCCTGGCCGCCTGCGATGGCGCCTGGCGCCACCACATCCTCGACCTCGTGCGACAGGACGTCGACCAGGACATAGCCCGAGTTCATGCCGCAGACCACCTTGGTGGCGCTGGCCCACGTCACCGTCCGGATCGCCTCAGCCAGCACCACCTCGCTGACGTCGGGGGCCAGCTCGCTCTCATGCCAGCGCCACAGGAGCAGCCTCCTCTTCACCGCAACTGCCATCCGGCTGATGATCTCCGGGATTCCCGTCTCCGAGTCCCGCACGATGTTGCTCGTGACGGCGAAGCATGACGCGTTCTTTGTGCGGGGCAGCGGCGCACAGCCGTCGACAGGCTCGTAGGACTGCAGGTCGTGTAGAGAAATAGCATAGTTTGATAGAGAAACCAGCGTGTTGGCCTCCTTGATGATTGCGAGCTGCTCGATCGTGCGGTTGGAGAACTTCTCTACCTCGCGGAGTAGGTCGGTAGGCTTCGTTGCGGCAGGCTTGCTGGGAGCGGAGGGCTGCTGGGAGGCGCCATCAAAGCCATGGCCGGCAGAATCGCCCTGGGAGACGGACGATCCATTGGTGCTTTGGGCTTGTGATAACGAAGGAGGTTCGAGATCGTTGAGTCGATAGACACGTAGACTGCCCGTGTTGAGGCCGACGAGGACGCGGTCGCCTAGAGTAGGCAGTGAGCAAGCACACGGGGTCGCTCGAGGCCCGTTTCGGTGGCTGTACACATACCATAAGCAAGTATCGTCTCTATTTTGGACTTGTCCCTCTGCTTGAGCTCGATGATGGACCGAGCTGTGAATGCGGAGAGCATGGCTGCGACGGGTGCGCCGCTGGCCGTGCAGCAGGGGCTCGGGACGCTATGGGAACATCAGGGCTTCGAAGTCGAGTCGGGCTGTCTGGGCCAGGCAGGTATGCCGATGATCCTGCCAGCTGGACACGGTCTTGTTGGGTAGGTCGCAAGGGCTGTATGTACAGCTGTTCGTGGAGCCTCGTGACCCCTGCAGCGGCGACAGAGAGCTCCGGTTCGCGCAGATGACCGCATCGCACGGGGGCCGACGGAGTAGGCAGTCTAAGTTAGGTATTTAGTCTACCTACATCCAGCGGGTCTCGCCGATTGGCCGCCTCGTGAACCACAACCAAAACAACCCAAGAATGATGGATGTCTCCTCATGTTCCCCAACATCATCCTCTAGACAATACGATATCTGGAACCACATTCATGAATATTCTTATGTTCACACTCTATACTTGCACAGCACTAACCCAACCCCAAATGCTACGTCGCTGTTGATAAATGCAAACAATGATCCAATTCTCAAATTCAAAGTCCATGCGCCGTGCCGATGCTATGCAATCTCAGCAGCACGGAGAGATGCCGCACAAGGCCACCCAAACAGAACAGGCGATCTCACATCCCACTGACTCTCATTGCACCGTAGCCCAGCGTCACCACAACCACGAGCGTGATCAAACTACTCGGCACACCCCTGCTGATAAAGTGCTTGACCTGGAGATACCTCTGGCCTGTGGCGTCCTCTTTCATAATGGCAGCTGTAAGAAAACACTCGGTTAGCGGATAATCCCCGTGGCAGAATATCAGCTGGAAAGCACTCACTCATGTTGGGGAACCCGCTTGTTGGCAGCGCCATCGCCGCAGAACACATGAGCACGCCAGCCATAACCAGCAGGTTCGGGTGCGGCTCCTCCATGCTCGCGCCCACGTCATACACCAGGGGCAGGATAATCAGCGCCGCGACGGTGTGTGAGATAAAGGTGGCGATGACCAGGATGAGACACGAGAACACGACCAGCACACCGTAGAGGCTCATGCCGTCGACTCGGTGAGAGATAGCCACCGCCACCGTGTCGAGCAAGCCGGACGACTTGACAGCTTTGCCCAATGACAGACCACCGGCGGCGAGGATGATGATGGTCCAAGGGAAGTTGTTGAAGTCCTCCTTTGTCAGGATTCCGACACCAAAGAATAAGACAATGGGGATGATGGCGATGACACCCATGTCGCCAAACACGCCTTCGAGCTGGTGACTCGCACACCACAATGCTATGGTGGCGATCGTGACGATGGTCACAAACCACTGGACGCCTGTGAATTTCTCCTTGTGTTCACGAATGGGCACGATGGTGGTTCCCCGGCCGGGATGGAACGTGACTAGCAGCAGGATCCAGATGAGCACGATGGAGATGATTCCGACGGGTATCACGATGAAGAACCACTGGCCCCAGCCAGGCTCAGGCACCATGATTCCCATGGCAACGACGTTCTGTGGGGATGCGATGGGGCTGAGCATGCCGCCAATGTTGGACGCAAGCGCGATGCCCATCAGTACGGCTTTGCACATGTTGGAGTCCGAGGGTAGATTTCGTAGCATGGGCTGGGTGTTGCTTCCGTCAGTTTTCTGCGGGGCACGCGCGTCTTCCGTCAGGGAGAAGGGGGAACAAACCTCGATGATGGAGATGCACAGGACAGGAGCCGCAACATTGCTGACCAGCATGCTGGCGAACGCAGCGACAAGCATATTCGCGAGGATAACCGTGCTCGGCTTTGTGCCCGCCTTGCTAAGGACGAACGTCGCAATGCGCTTGTCGATCTTGCATTTCGAAAGGGCTGCAGCAAGCGTGAAGCCGCCAAGCAGCAACATGATAACCGGAGTCCACATCGCAGCAAAAATGTAAGCTGTCGCCTCTTTGGAGTCAAGTCTTTGTTTCGGTCGTCCCTCTGATACGACGACGTTGAGGACGACGCAAAGGAAAGGTATCATCAGAGACGTGACAAAAAGAGGGATCGCCTGAAGCTTATGTTAGCGCTGCCTGTTCATGATCCCTACCCTCGGGGGTGTGCCCAACTCACCTCTGTGGCCCATAGCAAGCTGACAAACACCAACATAGCGAGGCAATTCTGCTGCTCAGGTTTCGACATGATCGGGAGAAACAGCAAGACGAGGAACACGACCAGGGCAGATAGCAGGAAGAACATGCCCGAGCTGAACAGCCATACGGGACACGTGAACCTGCCGATGGGCGTCGAGATCTCCTTGGTATCTGGGTACTGCTCATCGTCTCCCTGAAGTCGTGTTTTGAGCGGCTTGCCGCCGGTGCCCAGCAGGGTCTGGCCTAGGCTGGCCGCCTCAGCCCGCCTCTCTATGCCGATGAGGTCCCTCCACACAGTGTTGCGCTCCCACACGACATGCTCCCTGAGGTGTGATCTCAAGTCCTTCTTTGCGGCCTCATAGTCGCCATTCGTCACGATGTCGGTGTAGGCCTTCTCCATCTTGGAGATGGTCTCCTCGAGCCCCCTCATCGTGGCATGCTGGAAAGGGTATGCCGGCTCGACGTACTTGTCCATGTAGACAGGCCTGTAGTTGCGGTCGAGGATCTTGTCAAACTTCTTGAGAACCTTCCTGAAGCCCGTCTTGTTCAGCTGGACGTAGCTCTTGAGCTCACACAGCTGCACGTAGAGGGAGATGATGCGCTTCTTCAGCATGATCCCGCCCGAATACGCAACGGCGTGCTCATAGTCGTCGTAACCGAGGCTCAGGCGCCTTGATCGGGTCAGTTCCGTGGACGCGGTCATGTCCGTCGCAGGCCCGGCCAGAGACTTCCGCCGCCCACTGAGCAGGCTCACACGGCGTTTCCGGGATGTGGGCGCGGTGAGGGCGGTGGTCTCGTCGCCATCCTCGTCGTCGTCACTGTCCTCGGCGCCGTCCTCGGTGGAATGCTGGCTGTGCGCGCTCTCGCGACGTCCCTGGCGGGATCGGTCCATCTGCCGGCTCGGTCCGCCGGTGCTCCGTGTCGTGGGCCGGCCATTGTCCTCCTCGTCCTCCTCCGACTCGAAGTCGCCGATATCACGCAGGAGGGCGTTCACGTCGTCGACCAGCTCCCCCTCCTTGAGCTGGTAGAAGGAGCTGATCTTCTCGAGCTCGACGTCCAGAGCGCGCTTGAACACGGCATCCGGGTCCTCGGACTGTATCAGAGGTCTCGACTCGGCATCCCCATTCTGTGCGCTAGACTGGTGAATAGTCTTCTCGAGCTGGTAGATGCTGCGTGGCGATTGCAAGAGTCAGTAGGGCTGTGCCACTGCAACATTGCCGAGGGGGCAGAACGGAGATGGGAGAGGAACACACAGTTTCTTGAGGTTGCTGTACGCGATGTAGTGGCTGGTCCAGTCCGGCACAGCATTGAACTGGATGGAATGGGCGAATCTACGACACAACTGTCAGCACGATGGTGGTTCTTGTTTGATCTCTCGGCATGGCAGGCCGCGAGGTCTGGGCCGAGAGCCTCGCAAGCATTCAGACGGGTGGCCTACTTCATCTCGAAAGCCTCGTCGAGCTCAGCGAGCTTCGCGGTGTACCTTGTCGCTCGCCTGGCCTCTTTCTCGTGGAGCTCCTGGCGCGCCGGGATCTGTGGGTAGTCGGCGAGTTCGTACTGCTCGTGGGCGGTAGTTGGTTCGGTTGGTGTACTCCCCCCTCCTGTCGAGGTACCTGTCAGGGCCGCAGGCAAGGCGGTTGCTGCGCGTTGGTCTCCTATCGCTGCTGCTGCCGCCGGAGCGTGGGCAAGCGGCCAGATTGATCTCGTTGCTGGGGCAGAGGAGGAGGGACGTTTCCGGGCTGAAGCGGAGGGCGGAATGGTGGCTGAAGCTACCTGTATTGGCCGCACATTGGGATTGGGACGGAATGGGTAGGGAGAGCAACGGCCTGATAATATGTACAAAATCGGGCGATTAATTAGTCCAGCTACAGGGCCATCGTCAATGGACGAACAAGTGTGGGCGCGCCAGCAGGCTGATTGCCTCGTTGCGACTCGGTCTAGGGACTGACTGGGTGGGGCCTGGGCGTGGCGTCACCGCTAGCTGGACAGGCTGACGGGCTGGACCATCCCGCCAACCCGCCCAAGCAGAGAACCGTAATCCCCACGCCCCCGCACAAGACAGCATACTGGAATGTAAGTAGGACCCGGCAAACTGTAACAAGTGCCGTGACCGCTACTAGACCACATATACACCGCAAGTGTGGCAGTCTATACCTTTTAGGGTGCGTCTCGGGAGGTCAGTCGATATAGTTGGTCATGAGGACATGTTATGTATATATATCTGCCAGCCAGGTGTACCGTCGACTCGTGTGTGTTAAGTGCTTGGTGCGCAAGCCAAGGGCAAGCATGCTGCATCCCGATTCGCATCCACACCTATCAGCCTAGTCTCTGGCCAAGCTCCCACATAGATCCCCATAGATCCCCATCCCACCGGATCGACGAGAGCCTGTTGGTCGGCAACCTGTCAGCGTGTGCAGTTCACGCCTGTTATGGACTGCCATGGCATGGGCCCATCTACGCTCCTCGGCCTGAACCCCGAGCTGATTGTCGGTGGCTGCACGTGTCAGATGTCTGTCAGTCACGCAAGGAGAGACAATCTCCATCCCGCCGTGTCTCACAACACCACGAGACCCAGCAATGAGCGATCGGCTCGTGGGGGTCTGCTGGATCCTCTGCGACATGGGGCTATGTTACGGTGGGTATAAATCGTTTCAGCATTATTACGTAGCACTACCCAGCATCAGTGCTCTTGCACAATGGCACTGCCGTCGACAGGCTGATTAGGATGCTGTCCGTGTCCGATCCCCAGGACCTTCTGAAGGCTCCTCCTAAGGGCCTTGCTCCCTTCCTCGGCCAGACTCTCCCTCCTGCCCTTCTCGCCGCCGTGCCCGTGGCCGCCCAGTAGAGAGAAGCTTAGCTTGCGCCCGGACGCCCCCGTCCCATTGATGGGGGCAAACCCGGCCGGGGCTGGTGGTGCGGCCGTCGCGGTCGTTGCGGACTTCCTCTTCTTGACCGCAACCAGGGCGGCAGGCTCAGGGCCTGCAACTCGGGGTGGCCACTCGCCGTCGCGCTTCCATCCTGCCACACATGCGCGCACCATGTCTCCCAGGTTTATGGGGCAGGACGGCTGCAGGCTGTGCACAACAACCTTTTCGTAGATCGATGCGTACAGGGCCGGCGTGATGCTGGCGCGCATCGGGTTTGCTGGTGGGAGGAGGGGTAGGGCGATTGGCAGCAGCGTCTCGACAGGGAATTGCTCTGATCCCGGTGGCTCATTGTGGGCATGATCGCTTCGTGAAGTTTTTGGCGACAGGTTGTCATCGGGGGTAGAGTTGCCGCTGCCACCACTGCCGCCGTGTGCTTGGGAGGCATCTGGATGCGAGTTTGTCGTGACTGGCGTCAGTGGGGAAGTGACAGGAGACGGAGATGCGGCTGTCTGGCCAGCATTGGTCGAGGAGTGGGTGTGCGTCCTCCAGAAGAGGCCTTTCCTAGGCGACGACGGCGACACTGGGGAAGCCGGCTTGGGGCGGGCTCGAGCCACCTTTGCCTCGGTCCACGCATTTCTCCTGGCCTCGAAGCACGCGAGGCCGTCATTCCATGCTGCCTCCTTCCGAACCTCTCTGCGCCTCCGGGCCTTGGCGGCGATGTTGGAGGCATGGACGGCCTGGCCGACTGAGTCCGGGGAATCAAATTTGAAGGGGGAGGAAGAACTGTGGGGCAGTTCATCTTCAGACAGCTCGGATGCCCATTCCAACCTCGGGCGCCAGTGGACGGGGTCTTCTATCACGGTGCTGTAGACGGAATCGGCGTCAGAACCCGAGTCCTCGGCCGACTCCCTGTCGGCGTCCTCGCCACCGACCGACTGGCCGTCATGGTCGGGACCGTCTGAGGCGACCTCGAGGAAGCCCTCGAGGTCCTCAGCCGCGGGAGCGTCCCCTGTGGCCCCCAGGGGCTCTGACACGGCGTTGGCGGGCGAGGAGGCTGGGTGCCCGGGCGGTGGCCAAGTGAAAGTCCAGTCATTGCGGACCTTGGACTGCAGATGCTTCTTGACGGCCTCCTTTTGCTTGGTCTTATCCTTGCTGGTCAAGTCGGGGTCATAGTCGGAAGAAAGCAGCGGGAGCTGGGTATTATGGGAGTGACGTAATCTGGATAATGGCGACTTGGGCGACTTATACAAGTCTGTGAAGATCATGGTGTAGTGCTTGTGCTGGGTGTCCCGTGTTGCATTTGCATCCAGCGAGATCTGAGGCGAGACTGGGACGGAGACGGGGACGGAGACGGAGACGGAGAGTAGTGAGGCCCAGGCTGAGGCTGAGAGAAAGTGCGGCCGCCGGCTGGGAGGTCTGGGATGGTTTACTTCAATGTTGGGTAGGAGGGGCCCCAGGGCAAAATGTCTGCGATCGAGCTTGGGGTCTTTAGGCGGTGGGTGAGGCAGGCGAGGCAGGCGAGGCAGGCAAGGCAGGCCTGGGCAGGCCTGGGCAGATCTTGCAGGGCGATGCTCACCCGATGCTGCAGATCCGGGCTGGATGGAGGATGGTGCGGGGAGCGGGGAGGGCAAGGATGGCACCGGGGGGGTCTTGCAGTTCTAGCTGTCTGCCTTTCCAGAGTACCAGAGTTGCAGAGAGTTTGTTAACGGCGGCGGGTGGTAGTTGGTGAGTCGCAACGGGGTGTGTTCTGTGGAATACTTAAGTACTTAAGTACTGAAGTATGTTGTATATTGGACCACATGTACCGTGGTATTTGCCTTGGGTCGTCCCTGTACTCCGTGTCTAATGTAGCAAGACAGGCTGGGCAGGCAGGGCAGGCAGGGCAGGGGAGGAGGAGTGTCGAGAGGCGCTCGTGACAAGACTGAATGCAGGTCGCCTCGCTGGAGGCCGGGGAAGTGGTATGATGAGAGAAGAGTACCCGCTAATAAAGCATCTTCAAGTGGTGCTATCTTCCCCAAAGGGTCAACGACCCTGGGCAGCCTGGGCAGCTGGGCTGGCCGTCCTGCCGTCCTCAATGTGAACCGCACTAGCAGCTCATGCCCGCCTCACGCGACACAGCAGTACACACTCTGTCGTACGGCACCACCCGAGGGCGACGGCGGAGAAACCACCATGGAAGACGCACAGGCGCCGGGGGTGGCTTGGGCGATCAGATGCCAGGGTGCAGAGCTTGCAATGCGGAGCATAATTAAGAGTGTGATTATAAGTACTCCGTACCTACTTCATGCAGAGGGCAAGACCAGAGAGGGCTGGGCCGGGCTGGCCCGGGGGTGGAGTGGGGTGCTGACTTCTCAGTACATACTTGAGTACGGAGTAGGCTAGGCTATGTTACCTACAGAGGTAGGTACTTACTGTGCACTACAGCATGTACACAACAGGGAGAAGAACATAACACAGGAAAGGACAGGACAAGCTTCAAGAAAAACCCAGACTCCAGGCCGGGCGGGGACGCGGGCAGGCGCCGATGAGCTTTTTATAGAGCTTGCTCCGGTCACCCCAAGCCTTGCACAGAATCTTCATGCAGCAGAGACATAAACACCGCCTTACACGTGTGAATAAGGCCGCCGTTGAGAGTTTCCCTGGATCAGGCCAGTCAAGCTCCGTTCCGCTCCGCCCGAGTTCATGGCCTGAGGTCCCTCTCACGCATGGTCCAAGCAACGGTCAGACCAGTCCCTTTTGGACTGGTGGTCATCAACGCTCATGGCTCATGTTACAATCACACAGTCCAAAACTCACAACCACAACGAGGCAAATTTCCTAACCATACTCTTTTTTCTCTCCTAATTTTCACCTAATACTACTGTCTTTTTTTTGTGGGTTTTCTGTCCTTTTTCCGGGCCAACACATATCAATCCTGCTTCTCATCTCCTCCTGCAACAGACAGGAGCATCATCAAACTTTTCTCCAGACAACTCAATCCTGCCTCGTGCGTCCAACTTGGGACATGAGCAGAACAACTTACGCCAAATTCCTAGCTCGGTCACCAAGGCTCTGTGTTCTCAAGCCGCCCAAGCCCTGCCGAAACATCGGCTTTGAAATCTCACTCTCCTCCAAACCTTGTCCTCGTGTGGGCGGAACTCAATAGCCAGTATACCCATAACCATTCGCGCCGTGGACGGTCTGGTTGAAGCTCCCGGATGCTGGGTTGCCGTTCTGAAGAGCGCCATTTGCCATGGGCTGTCCGGGAGTGGCTCGCCAGTGGTGCCCGTGCTGGTTGTCCGGGCGAGGTGCCACGCCATTCGGTGCCATGCCGTTGGGTGCCATGCCATTCGGTCCCATACCGTTGGGTGCCATACCGTTGGGTGCCATGCCGTTCGGTGCCATGCCATTCGGTACCATACCGTTCGGTGCCATGCCATTCGGTGCCATGCCATTCGGTGCCATGCCATTCGGTGCCATGCCATTCGGCGCCATGCCCTGGTTAGGCACCCCTGGCCCTTCTTGAAGGATCCACTGGTGGAATTGCTGGAATTGCTTAAATTGCATGAACTGTTCAAAGATCTCATCGTTGCTCGCAGGGACAGCTCCCTGCGGTGGAGGCGGCCAGCTGCCCTGCGGCGTTGGCTGGACGTTTCCCTGCTGCCAGCCGCCCTGCTGCCAGCCGCCCTGCTGTAAGTGTTGCCCAGTGCCCTGCGGCGCGGAATGATTAGACATCATGTTTGGCGGCTCGGTGATTTGTTCCTGCTGGGGAGGGTTTGCTATCTGGCGGTGCTTCTGAGCCATCCTCTGCTGGAGGTGGATGTTCCTCAACTCTTCCTTGAGGCGTGCCTCTGCCTCCTCAAGAGACTCGCCTCCGGCCTGCAAAGTGTGCTGCTGTTGCACATGGTTGGTCCAAAAATTCTGTGGGCCCACGGGAGGCTGGGTATACTGGTGTTGCTGTGCGTTCTGCTGTTGAGGGACACGCTGATGCATTGGCTGCTGCGGAACCTGTGAGACCTGGGCCATAGCTGTGTGCATCGGGGTGCCGAAGCCAGTGGGCTGGACATCGGAGGAAGAGCATGCGCGGCCATCGCGGTCCATCGAGGTACTCATACGAGACTGCATCTGCATGTTATCGGCATCGCCATGGTTGCGAGCTGGAGCTGGCGCGATGTTCACGTAGGGCCTAGGTGAAGGAGTGACACTGGGCGTAGCAGTGGCCTCCTTGGTCTTTCGCGCCTTGCGAGGAGTGGAGGTCTCCTTAGGCTCGGGGGTCTTTCGCTTTCGGGTCTTCTTTCCCTTGCCGCCCTGGATATGCTCCTCGACCCATTTCTTGGGGTCTGCGCGGTGCTTGGGAGAAGGAGAATAGTACACCATGAGCTGCTGCTGCTCTGGTGTTCCACTCTGCTGTCTGCCTTCCACAGGGCTGTGGTTGGCGGAAGGAGGTGTGTTGATATTGCCGGCGACCTGGCCACTCTGTGATAAATGGTTCTGGAGGGCAGTGTGCGTCCTCTGTACGGATCTCACTGATCCTGAACCACTCTCGGTGCGTGCCTTTGTGCCAGACCTCTTGGTTCCTACCGCCTCGTCGTTGGGACTGGTCTTGCGCGTGTCATTGTCATCACTGACAGAACGCTGCATGACGACAACCTCTGTGTCTGAAGGGGTCCTGGGAGGCTCGCCGCCATCAGAAAAGGTCTTCCCAGACCATTCACTACTCCAGTTGTCGTTGTTGCCAATAGCACCGTTGTTGGCGGGCGTGGTAGGGTCGAGGGGGCTGGTAAGAGTCTGGGCTGGGTCTTGTGTGAACGTGGCTTGGCCGACTGGGGACGGTGTTTGAATTGTCTCGACCTTTTGAGGAGCCTTCTTTGCCTTTTTGGATATCTTGCGACCTTTGGGAACAACCTTTCCGCCCGCTGCAGGGCATCTTGGCTCACTGGCGGCAAAGATCTCTGCAGGAGCAGCAAGAGCGGGCTCTGGCTCCTCAGGGTGGGCAACTATGGTGCAAGACGTCGAATTGTCTCCGGTCAAATCGATGAATCCGGACTCGCTCTCGGGCTCGGCGACAGGGGTATTTTGAGCAAGACAACGATATATGAACGATCCGTTGTAGATGGGAGCCAAGGTCATGTTAGGCGGGATCTCCTTGAATTCCTCCTGGAAGTGAACAAGATATGGCTTTCCTGCCTCATGGCATAGTTCATATCGCCTGAACTCATCGTCCTTGAACTCATCGGTTGCGAGGGCGAACAGGTCAAGCTGCATAAGCGAACAGTCTTGCTTGCCATCAGGCCAGAAACGGCAGAGGTATCCACGAGCGACTTCGCGCATGTAGTCCAAATGGTCCTGGCGGTCTGCAAGCTCGACCAGTATGTCAGGGTAATATTTGATGTTAGGCCCGGCGGCAGGAACCACTCCCGGAACGTAAGGCGGTGGTCCTGCTTGATTGTTGGCCACAACGCTGTGATCAGCCATTTGCTGGAGCTCCATGCCTTGCTGGTCCTGGGAGACCTGCTGGTCGACGGATGTATCGGCGACCGCGTTGTCATCGTGGATGAGGAGCCTCTCTGCAGCTTGATCAGCTGCTGCGGCAGGCTCGGCCAGGTGGTTTTCGACAGGGACGTTAGAGAGAGGGCCAGACTCGTTGGTCCCGATAGGGTCCTCCACAATAGAACACTGGCTGGTGATGAGCGAAGCATGGGAAGCATTCTCAGGACCACGGGCCTCCTGCACAGCCTGGCTGGGCACCAGAGCAGGGGCAGGTTCAGAGTGGTCGAAATCGCCGAACAGGGAATCGTCAGAGTCAGACTCGTTGAGCTCGGTTGCCTCTGTAGAAGAAGCCTGCTCAGTGACGGGCGAGGCATGGGAAGCGTTCTCAGGGTTACGGGCATTCTCAACATGCGGACTGGGTACCACAGAAGAGAGGAACTGATCTTCCTCGAAGTCGCCGAATAAAGAACCATCGGAGTCCTTCTCAGAAGAAGGATTCACGGGGACGTGGGCCTCATTAGCAGTCTGGCAGGATACCGGAGCAGGATTGAGCTGGTAGTCGTCGCCATCTCCGAAAAGAGAATCATCGTCACCGTCGCCGAAAAGAGAGTCGTTGTCGTTGATGGTGTCCTCAACAGGTTTGATTGGAGTCTGAAGGGCGAACAGGCCCATCTCAAAGTCATCAAGACCGGGGCGGTCAGCGTCGTACTCCTGACTGAAGGTCGCATTGCTAAACGCGGCATCGAAGTTCGTCTCGCCGCCCGCTTCGAATGGACTCGTGGGAATGCCATCGACTTTGGGCACGTCATAGTCGCCCAGAGGTGCACTGCCGCTACCGACATCGTCAAGGAAACCGGCGGTGGTAGAATCATGTTGAGTGATGGCTGTTGCTGGCTTCTCCAAAGTCACCCGCTGCTCAGCAGGCTCATGCTGCTCGACAAGCTTAGACTTCTCAATGATCTCAGCCTCCATCGCACGACAGACCTCGTCGTACTCGGCTTGAACCCAGCCATGGAACTCCCAAACTCTGATTTGGCAATCTGGCAATTGGTCCGCGTCTGCGAGTTGCTGGCGGCGCTTCTTGTCGAGCGCGGAGATCTGTCTCATCACATGACGCCTCTCGTCAGGGTCCGTCAGGTTGCAATCCATCCAGAGCTGCCGAATCTTCTCGTTGTAGAAGGTGACATAGTTCCAGGCGATATCGACCGGGCGCAAAGTCCGAATGCCGAGGCGAGCCAGCAGTCTTCTGAGCTCCTGTTTGTCCTTCTCGAGTCGCTTGAGGACGCGCAGACGCAGGAGACCATTGTTGTTCGCATACATCTGGCGGGTCAAATCCACGATGGACGAAAATTTGTTCTCGGCTTCCTGAGTGGCTTGCTCCAGCTCGTCGTCAGTCTCCGATTCGTCCACATCACTGCCTGTGCCAGATGAATCGTCCTGAGTGCCATCCTAAGGCATCTCGGAGTCTCCATCAGTGGCTGCATTGTCACATGGAGCAGTCTTTTCGCGGAAAGCGTACTCGTTGTACTCGTAGTCGCCACCATCGTCCTCGGAGTAGTTGGCGCGGTCTTCAACAGAGGCGAGGCGCTCGTTGGCTTTGATGGACAGGGGAACCGAGCCTCCACGGGTGCCGTTGGTGAAGCCGGAGATGTCCTCGTCCTTCTCAACTGACTGCATGGTAGTTTCATCCTCCATGCTAATGTCGCCATCGAAGTCGGTAGTCTCAACGTTGCCGTTGGCGTCATAGAAAGTCAGGTCCATCTCGCGATCAGTGTCGCGGACCTTGTCGTTGCCGTCGGTGCTGGCAACGGCGACCTTGGCGCCCTCGAGGATGAGCTTGGTGGCGCCAGGGACAGGCTTGAGTTTGATACCAGGGTTATTGGTGTGGCCAGCCTTTGCCTGGTTCATCTTGAGGATGTGGTCCGACATCTTGGCCGAACTCGATTGTTTGTATGATTGGGATAATTGTCTGGATTGACGGTCTTTCAATTGCGCGCCGATGAAAGCCTTTCGCCTGAAGGTACCTTTCTTCGCTTCTTTTAGTGAGAAACGTTGCTTCTCGTCGTTACGGTCGTAAGAGGGGTCGTGAAAAGGGTCGTAAGGCGGGTCGTAAGCAGGGTCGTAAGAAGGTGAGTACAGGTGTTGAGAAATACCTTGCCGTCTTCTTCAAGATGAGCGGCCAGGCGAGGAGCAGGTTGGGGTGTGTATCGTTATCAACCAAGGCTTTGTCCAGTTCAGGCGCCGTAGTACAAGTCGTCAACTCGTCAACTCGTCTGACGCTTGATTCTGGATCTGAGGAGAATAGGTCAGCACACAATCCTGGAGAAGCTGTGCGAGTCACCTCGAAGCTGAGGCAGTTATGAGAGAACGACCGGTGAAAATCGCACAAGGAGGAGGAAATGCGAACTTTGCTCAAGGAACACAGGGTGAAATTGGCCAATGATGGATGGCTCTGCCGGTGTCCCACTGGGAGTGAAGAAAAGCCCAGATTAACTGCCTCGTGGCGCAATCTGAGCTTGGGCAGTGGGAAAGTGCAAATGCCAGGTGGTGAGAATGGGGTTGTTTTTGCTTTGACAGACGCCCGCCACAAGTGTGAATGAACGGAGAGCCGTCTTGTCGCCGTTTTGGGGCTGATGATCGGGCTTTGACAATGCGAAGGGCACCTACCAGAACTGCAGCTCCAAAGCAAGCCCGGTCGTCGGTTTCCCACTGGGGGCGCGCAAGACCAGACTGGCTACCGCAGGGAGTACGAATGATGATGTGACAGGTGAGTTGAGTGTAAGAGAGGGGGACAAGTGGCAGTGGGTTTGCGAGGTCAAGACAAGGGCAGAAGCTGCAATCGCTGAGAGGCGATCGAGAGTTTGCCAGTCGAAGTCAAGGTGTTACTTGGTGCGATGTGAGGGTGTTGGGAGGTTGTTCTTACTTCTCCAGCTGATGTCAGAAGCTGCTTGTGAAGTCCTGGCAATGCGCTGTACAGGTGTACAGGCTGTCGTCGGCGAGGAGCTTCAGAGCTGCTGAGGCTCTGGCGGCGAGGGCTTTTTTGGTGCCAGAAGCTGACTTGCAGCCCTGGCGGTGGGACGAACGAACGGCACAAGTCGGCAAAGAGTATCAGAGTACTGAGGCTCTCGAGATGAGGTCAGAAAGGGGTATCTTGCCGTTCTGGCGATGGTGTCGTGCATAAGAACGGAGTGAAGGTGGTGAGTGAAAAGAAGAGGGTGGTGAGAAGAGTTTGCAGTTGCTGCAGAGTTTGAAGGAAGGTCAGTCTGAAGGAAGGTCGAGCAAGTCTAAGTCGGGGGGGGGGGGGATCAGTCAAGGCAAAGTCAATGGGCTCCGTTCCTATTCAGAAATTCGGCGGCTGGGGTTGCAAAGTTGGGATGAAAGTTTGAAAGCTACCTAGGTAAGGTGAAGTGGCCGGCAACACACTTACACACTCCAAACAACCTAGTAGGTGGTGGACTTCCATACAGTACTCGCACGACAGCATGGGCAGCCCTTTCTACCCCTGCTAACACCCATCTGCCTATGAATTTTCATAATCCCCACTTGTTAACAAGCCTTCGTACCTAAGTAGGTAGGCTAGGGCCAGCTGAGGTGCCTCCTAGGATCAAGGGATATCTATGACATCTGGAGGGCATGCCACCTGCCAGTGTGGTGTCGAAACCAGGACGATTCAATCAGGCCAGACGGTTCCCTCAAGGGTCCTCTTGGAAGATCTTCGAGCTGAACAGAATGTGCTGGTCAAAAAAAAATTTAAAAAAAAGAGAGAGAGAAGGGAAAAGTAATAGAAATCAGGAAAAGTAGAAACAAATAGGCAGTCGTCTCATGAACGGGACCTCACCAAGCGCGTGCTCTCATTTGTTGGCGACGGTCTCTCACCTCAGAAGTCTCATGGCATAGTTTCCTGAGAGTCTCCCGTTGAAGTTCTTAGAGAGCTACTCAGACTGTCTCAAGGGCTGCAAATTTCTGAACTTATGTAATGGTCTCAGCCCTGGACCTTATCGATCATGGTGAAGAACCCGTTCGGGAAGAACTTCAGGCTTTTTACGGGCCAACAAATTCTTCTCTTCTCATCTGACGAGCGCTGGTGATCTCCCCGCAGAACTCTTCCAGTGTGCTGCACTACTCCCCTTGGCGCACTGCACCTTGTGCGCCCTTGATATAAAGGAGGCTTCATAGTTCATAAAAAAACGGTGCCCAGCAGAAACTCAGCTCATTCATCTTGTTCTTGGTAGGCTTATGCCTATCAGAGGACGGCCTGCAGCAGTGAAGAATCCCCAGGTGTTTTTGTTATCGCCTGGAGACGCAAAGTGCATCCTGGAGTCACATTTCAACGCAAGCTAAACATTGGTCATTTTGCCTCATTGTCGGCTAGCACACTCAGCTTTGGAAGTTGGGTCGCTTGGAATATACCCTGGGGCGGTTTATTAGACCCAAGATCCCCCAGGGCGTTGGTGCTAATGGGCTCTCAGGCTGCTCCTAAAGTTCTTGTTCGAGTGCCCAGGTGTATGAGGATGTTTTCACTTGGCTTTTGTGGCTTGATTTGGAACTTGGTCGGGTCGAAATTCCCAAGGGCTGGCGTGCGGTCAACAGCGAGTCGTACTTGAGGGATCAAGAGGCTCTTGAAGTTTTCCACAGATAATGAAATAGAAATAGCTTCAATGGCGTACCTAGGCAGTGAAAGCCGTGGCTGAGTGTTCAGTGCCCAGGTGAGTGACGGACCTGGCCAGGCTAATCTGCGTCGTGGTGGTCCACCAAACGGTCGAATTTATAAGGAGCTCGCCGTCCCTACCTTGGTAGGTATCAGGTAGATCTTGGTCGCAGAAGCACTCGCTGTCTCAGAAAAACGAGAGTTGCCCCCCCCCCTGTTTTATTACCCCTATCAAAAATTTTAAAGGTTTTTTAAAAAGTAGTCTTTTTTTAATAACTCTATTAATACTTAACTTAAAAATATATAAAAAATATATTTATAATCCTTATTAAAACTTCTATATAGTAATTTTTTCTAAGTATTTATTATTAAATCTTTTTTATATAAGGTATAGAGATTACTAGATTAATAAGATAAGTAAGTATATAAACCTATTAAGTAGTTTAACCTACAATCCTAATAATATATAAACTTTAAATAAAAATTATTTTAAAATTTTATTTTTATAAAGACTTTTATAAGGGTTATAAATATATTTTTTATATATTTTTAAGTTAAGTATTAATAGAGTTATTAAAAGAAGACTACTTTTTAAGAAACCTTTAAAGTTTTTGATAGGGGTAATAAAACAGGGGGGGGGGGCAACTCTCGTTTTTCTCAGACAGCGAGTCTTCTCGGCCAGTCTGATCAGCTGTGCAGCGAAGAGGCCAAGCGACGAAGTCGCACCATTGGCCAAGATATTCACAGGCTGTCCAGCTGGCAAGCCCAGCCAGCCGAAGCCCTCAGTCTGCTCGAGGGATCACGGGAGCTTGGGAAGTGCCAGACCAGGTTCCATACTGAGTGAACGCGCCCGGGTGCTCATTGATGGAGCAGGCTGTGGGGTTGCACATGTGTAGGAGCACCTGGGCATGTGCATACCTACTTACTTAAGTAGGTACTTAGGTACGACTTGGACTTCCAAGGTTACCACCTTGCGCTTAACTCCGGTTAACCGATGGGCACATTTGCCTATCCACTGCTGCTACCTTCAAAGATTCAAACTCTTCGCTCTTAAGCAGGTCGTATCTCGGCTTCCAAGGTTCCAAAACCTTGCTGACGCCATCAACATTTGTCAGCGGCCGCATGCGTGGGGCTTAACACCGTTACGACCACATTACGTCCGAAACAATCGTACTGTAGCAACATGGGCACTCGACATGGGCTGACACCACTGGCGCTTGCAGTGATCAACTTAAGGTTCTCATTGATATCACGCAAAGTCAAGTCCGGGGTATAAATTCCACGGCAACCCCCGGGGCCACGCCTCCAATCGCCTTAAATATTGTCCGCCTCACTTCTCGCTTGACACTTTTCACCCCTGGCTGCTCACACCCGCCATAGTCAACTTAGAACCCGGCTCGCATTCTATTCTAAAGTTCAGCCATCGCCATGTCTCACCTCGCACCAATCCCAGAGCCGCAGACCGAGCTCGGACGATACCGCGTCCTGTCCAGCAATGCAGGCGTCAGAGTCTCTCCTCTTTGCCTTGGGGCAATGTCACTGGGAAAGGCGTGGGGTGCTTTCATGGGAGCTGTAGACGAGGAGGAGGCTTTCAAGATACTGGACGCTTTCGTCGACGCCGGCGGGAATTTCATCGACACGGCAAACAATTACCAGTACGAAGAGTCCGAAACCTATATTGGCAATTGGTCAACGGCCAGGAAGAACCGCGACCTCCTCTTCATAGCGACCAAGTACACCAATGCATTCCGATCACACGCATTAGGGCCCGGCCGCTCTGCTATCTACGGTGGCAACAACAAAAAGTCCCTCTTCTTGTCTGTCGAGGCATCCCTGCGCAAACTGCAGACGACGTACATCGACCTGCTCTACGTTCACTGGTGGGATTGGTCGACCTCCATCGAGGAGCTCATGGACTCACTCCACATCCTGGTGGAGCAGGGCAAGGTCCTGTACCTCGGAGTTTCTGACACGCCCGCTTGGGTCGTCGCCGCGGCCAACACATACGCAAGGGCGCATGGCAAGACGCCCTTCTCGGTATACCAGGGCCGATGGAGCGTCCTAGACCGCGACTTTGAGCGCGACATCCTCCCCATGGCCCGCCACTTCGGCTTGGCCTTGTGCCCCTGGAACGTGATGGGAGGAGGCAGGCTCAAGACCAGGAAGCAGATCGAGGCGCGCCAGTCATCCCAGGAGGGCGGCCGCTTCAAGGAGCAGGACGAGGCCGCCCGCAAGGTGAGCGAGGCGCTAGAGAAGGTGGCGGGCGAGCACGGCGTCGACAGCATCCAGCAGATCGCCCTGGCCTATGTCCTCAGGAAGGCGCGGAATGTGTTCCCGTTGGTTGGGTTCCGCAAGGTCGAGCACCTGCAGGACAGCATCCAGGCACTGAGCATCCGCTTGACCGATGACCAGGTCAGCTACATTGAGCGCCAGAATCCGTTCGACATCGGCTTTCCCCTGAACTTCGTCGGTGATAACCCTAGGGAGACTGGTGGCTACAACGCCTTGGCGGAGTCCCTGCTCGCCGCCAAGTTTACTTTCGAAAGGCCACCCAAGCCAGCTGGTTATGAGTAATTTAAGCTTGGGTCCAGACCCAACCAGAATCCATATTCCCTTGAAAAAGTCCACCTTGGTAGTGACCTAGAGTTCCGCTTGATGTACATGTGTAAACTTCATTCTGTGGAATACACTTGTAAATGAACGCTCTGGAAACCAAAACTCCTATCCCAAAGTAGAAAGAGGGAAGTACTATGCCTCGAGTATCTACAGATCATGAGCTCTTCGCAGGTTCCCATCGTTGGTATGATACGTACTTTATATCATGACACATGCATATCTTCGGGCGTGAACGGAATAGGAGCACTTGAGCGAAATCAGGTAAGACCGCTCAACGCCGCAGTGTTCATGTCGCCCGGGTCGACCCACCGCTCTGACGCGGGGACCAATTGAACGGAGATACTACTGAGAGCGTCCACACTTCAGTGCAACAAAGAATTGGAACAAGGTCATGATGGTGCTTATAAATGACAGTCTATTGAAAGTGATAAGCCTGTTGCATGTTTAACGAGTCACGGCTTACCATTAACACGCGGATAAGGATACAGTATAGAATGTGTACTAGGCTTCGTCATGTCCGACAGCCAGGCGGCGAGACTGGCTAGATCCATGAATGTCGATCAGACAGAGTCTGCCCAGGTGGACTCGAGCTCGAGGGCGGTGCCTGTGACAATACGAAATGTTGTCTTGCGCATGTGCAGCTCTTGCCCATTGCTCCGTTTCTGATTAGGAGTGCTTCCATATACATTGAAAGTCCAACAACTTAGCTGGCTAAGTAATTAGCTTTTGGGGAACTCCATTTCAATCCGCACACAGACACTCGGGTAAGCCGGTTTGACTTGGCATAAGCGATCACAAACCACTCACCTTTGATAAATAATATCTACGTCACGGCCTTGCTCATCTCCACATCCAACCCAGAAACAATTAAATGGTCTTTTGCAAAGACCGTTTCTCTGGCGACTGGTACGTTATTTGGCACGTAATGGTGAGAACAGTGAGTGATGGATCACATGCATAACTTGTACTAGGCGGAAACAACGGCATCAGCTTTGAGACTGTGGCAGCATTGCCGTGGCCAACTAATCTGCACATCACACTGCGGGACGACCCGGAGCCAGCAAACGCGTTCTAGGTTGGTTGGGATTTGCTGCACGTGGACGGTGGTGTTCTTTCTTGGTAGTTGGTTCGGAATGCAATTATTCATCTTGTGTTGTACGCTAGTAATAAACCGTGGAAGCTAGTAAGGAGCAAGCCCGTCAGGTAAATATCTGCTCAATAGATGGGGGCGTGACGAGTGGCGCAGAGGTTTAATAAAAGTCCCCAAAAATCCCCGATCCAAGTAAACGCACCAATTATGCGAACCGGCCCTGACTGCTGGGTTATTCGGCTAAAGCGGACTCTGCAGGCATCGTGACCGACTAGTACGCCCTCCCGGTCCTCGGCCAGCCGAGGTGTGGATTCTCCGCATCATGATGTCCCGAGCCGGCCGTCATTGCCAATGACAAGTGGAGCGGTGGCGCTCATACCATGTGTCGACATGTATTGGCGTCGGGGTCGGCTTCCAGGATTGTGGGACCATGTCGCCGTCGAGCGACTACTTAAGGGCGGCGGCGGCGCCCCGGTGAACGAACGGGTCGTAGCCCAGGCTCGCAATCAGCCCACTCGATACCTGAGGCCGACGAGTGTCAACATGAAGTTCTCATTATGTTGCACAGCCGCAATGGCGGCCCTGACGGCGTCCGCCACCAAGACAAAGTGAGCCCATCCCGACACTGACCGTCAGGCCACGTCTTCCAATGCTCTGCTGCAGACACTGACCCAGACCTCAAAAGGCCATTCTTCTATAAAGGCCACGACCTGTCGTCGCTGGGCACGATGGAGGCGTCAGACAACATCTACGTCGACACGGCACGGGGCAACCAGACCAGGCCAGCTGACGACATCCTGGCAGACGGTGGCATGAACGGCGTGCGTCTCCGGCTTTGGGTCGACCCGGAGGGCGGCACCAACGGCTTCGAGTACACGCTGGCCCTCGCCCAGCGCTTCCAGGCAAAGGGCCAGCGGCTGTACCTGGACTTCCACTTCACAGACAGCTGGGCGGACCCGCAGAAGCAGCCGGTGCCCGCCGCGTGGCCCACGCCCGACCAAGGTGTCGAAGCCCTGGCCGAGACGCTGAGGGCCTACGTCAACGACACGCTGGTGGCGTTCTCCGAGGCGGGGGTCAACTTTGACATCGTCGCCCTGGGCAACGAGGTCCGCCACGGCATCCTCTGGCCCCTGGGCTACGTCGACGTCGACACCGACGACGCTGGCCTCGCCGCCAACTTCACCAACCTCGCGACGCTGTACACGGCGGCCCGCGAGGGCGTCGAGGACGCCAACTCGTGCACCCGCGGCCGCAAGCAACCCCAGATCATGATCCACGTCGACAACGGCTGGAACCTGACCCTGCAGCAGCGGTGGTACGGCGCCCTCGAGGCCAACGGCGTGCGCCGGAGCGCCTGGGACCTGTTCGGCGTCAGCTTCTACCCCTTCTACGGCACCTCGGCCACGCTCGCCAACCTCCGCTCCACCCTGGGCTGGCTGGCACGCCACTACGGGAAACCCGTGCACGTCGCCGAGACGGACTACCCTGCCATCTGCAATGGCCAGTACAACCCGATCCCCGAATCGTCCGAGCCCGAGATCCCCTACGACGTGGGTGGGCAGATCGAGTGGATGCGTGAGGTCATCCAGGTCGTGAGGGAGGTGCCCCGTGGGCTGGGCCACGGCGTCTGGTACTGGGAGCCGGCCTGGCTGAACAACACGTCGCTGGGCAGCGCTTGTGAGGATGCCATACTGTTCCGGCCCGACTATAGCGGGTGGCCAAAGACGGTTGGCTACTCGCGGCCATCTACAGACTTTTATCTGAATGTGTAGATGGGGTGGTTATAATATTATTACATTAGCTACATATGTATTGTCTAATAATTCCGGCCCGGGTTTGACAACTACAGCCTGTTCATCTCGTGGCTTATACATCATCATTCGTACCTGGCTTATTCACCCTATGCTTCTCTGTCATCGGACGACCCGCGAACTACGCGCATGTGCTGTGCTTGGATGAGATAGATAATCCCCCCTCCAGTGATCAAACTGTCGGGTCATCTACAGAGGTTCATCTGAAGAGGGAAAAAGTTAAGGGACATTTGTGTGCGCTGGTCCGGGGCTTCATATAGCTCGGAAGGTAAAATCCCTGACGCCGTGGCGGGAGTTTCGGGCCAGAATCTAAACAAATGTGCTTGGCGCTGACAGGACTTTCTTTAGCAGGACGTTCATTTCTATTTTAATGTGCATACCTACCCATTGATCCTAGACTGACCATCACTCAGCCTTTCGGCCCTTCAGCACTTTTGTCCACATAATGAGTGATTTCATATGTCAAACACTTTCTTGATGTGCTAGGTTCATCAAATTTGCTAATCCTAAGCCCTCAAGTCGCTAAATGTAACATGCATCGCGAAATCTACCCTGACAGTCTCTAGCCTTCGTCTCGTGCTTTAGGTGAAGAAGGTGTAAACCCCAGGCCCAGGTGCGATGTTCCGTTTTCATACCTTGAGCATGGGAGAGTTCTCACAATTACCCTAGAGTACAAGCTATTGCAACATGATGAAGCATCACTTCTTTCATGGTGACTAAATAAACGGGGCTTTATGTTGTGCTTCTTTTGGTCGGAACATAACCGATGAAGACGCGTGCTCGTCGTGGCCGGCTGTTGGAAATAAGTCGCTGCCAGTTCAACCTGTGTTATAATTACAAAGCAAGATATGGCACTGGGCAAAAGTGCCTCCTGGTACACATGACCATTCGCGAGACTCACATTGATACCCCTACCAAGATCCATCAATGATCACTTGCACAAATTCTTAAAAAGCCTCACAAAGGCCAACTGCCTGCTTCATTTCTTCGGTGGGAGTTGCGGCACCTGGTGAGGTATTCTCAGCAACGTGCCAGTAGTAAGGTACTCGTCCAATGTCGGATTTACGGCCTGTTCTCGATCAATTGACAATGTCGATGTACTTTTCGACACTGCTGCTTGGTTGACACAGCCGAAGCGAGCACCATCCGTGAGCATTCAAGTCCAATGTTTCTGTGAATTATGCTTCTAGATGCCTGTTGCCCAACGCGTGCGTTTCCCATGCATTCTTATCTGTGCTCTCATCTTCCAAGGAGTCTCAACTGAACACAACAGCCACCACCAACTTGTTCTCTTATCGTATGACAACGGGCAGCCGTGACACGACGTAGTGCGGTGCGACTTGCTAATGCGATCAGGATACTGCGGTATCTCGTCTCCACAGGCTTGCTGACGGCTTTCACATGTGTGCTCTCAGCCATGGTCACGACGTTTCGCTTTGCGTTCCGCCTCATTCAAGACACCTCTTCTCGTCCCTCTTCTCGTCCCTCTTCTCGTCCCTCTTCTCGTCCCTCTTCTCGTCCCTCTTCTCGTCCCTACGAGACCTCCTCGACCATTTTTCTCGGACCGGCCAATGCAGTAGGGCCGGCGCCACCGGGACGGGAGCCATTGACGAACAGACGGCCGGCAGGGCCCTCCAAGATCTCCTCTGGCACAGACACGCGCTCCCCGTCCTTGGTGCTGACCCACCGGATGAAGATGGGGTTAGGCCTCCTGGACTCGCCCTCACCCAGACCATCTTCGGTGATGACCTGGCCGCCCTTGCGGTTTGTCTTACTGGCTTGCTTCTTGAGGAGCTTGTTGATCGTTTCTTGCTGCAGGAGAGTACCGTGTCAGCGGAAGTTGTCTCGGTCGCTTGAGAGCCTGCTCGGTTGCAACATACCTTGACTTCCTCATTGCGCTTCTCGCTGAGATTACGCCGTCTCCGCGCCATTTCGGCGCGCCGCATGGCCTTCTCCTCCACCGTGAAGACCTTCTTCGCCTGTACCTCTGCATATGGACTTCGATTAGCAACCCGTTTTCTTTGAAGGTCTTGCTTTTTTTTATTTTGGGTGAAGGGGGGGGGGGGGGAGCACGTACCGTTTGACAGAGCTTGATAGTGGCTTTCGTCAAGGTCCTCAAACCTGGCCCTCTGACGCACTGTCATGCGCGTCTTGTTGGGTGCGGCACCATCGTCATCGCTGTCGATGTCCTCGGCCTCCTGGCCTGGCTCGGCGCTCGGCTCCGGCTCGCCCTCGGCATCTTGGTCCTCTTCGATCTCTTCGCCCTCTGCGTCCATGTCTTCGTCATCTTCCTCTCCCTCGGCATCCTCTTCGCCCTCCATCTCCTCGTCACTCTCCAACTCGCTGAGCTCGTCGTCGTCCGAATCATTAAGCGCGGACGCCTGCGCGCTGGCCTTCTTGGGGGTGATATCCTTAGTCTTCTTGCTCTCGGGCGACCGCTTGCTCGGCTTTTGAATCTTGATGGTGGGTGCCGGGGCAGGCGTGGCCATGTCGACGTCGTCCTCGCCCTCTGCGTCCTCATCCTCTTCGCCCTCTGCGTCGAGGTCCATTTCCTCCTCGATCTCCTCGCCCTCGGCGTCCTCGTCGACGTCATTCATCTCCTCGTCCTCATCGTCGTCTTCTGCCACCACGGCGGGCGCCCCAACCTGAATCTCATCCTCGCCTTCCTCATCCTCGTCCTCCTCGTCGCTCTCGGACTCGACCACATAGCTCTTTTTCCCGCCACGAGTAGACCGCTTGGGGGCGGAGTCGTTGTTCACGGAGATGCTGGAACCCTGCTTGCTGCTGGTCGCCTGGCGTAGCTTACTGGAAGGCAGCTTGACAGTCAAGTAGGTGTGGTCCTTGCCTCCCTGTGATCCTCGTGAGACAGAGGCGAGGCCGTCACCGGACCGCCGTGAGCGGGATGATGACATGTTGTCTCTATCGGCCATGTCAGTGATTGCGACGGATGCCTTCTGGGCGGCCGAACGGCGCGGTCTGGAAGCCATGATGAGGGCTGATGATGACAAGCAGACAGGTTGGGGGATGCCTTGATGCCTGACGGCGGCGGCTGATGGGTGCAGGTCAAAGGTGGCAGGGCTTGATGATGAAATGTAATGAAGGGTTGATGAGAAATGATGAGATGTCGCTGAGTGGGAGGCAATAAGGAAAGGGTTGGCGTTGGATTGATTGGATCGGTAAGCAGTGGGGGCCCAGGCTGATTGACGAGCGGCTTGGCCGGTTGTGTTTGAGGTTCAATTAAGCTCCGGTCCGAGGTGGTTCCTGCCTGCTGTCATGTGCGACCAAAGGCAGGTGAGACGCAGTGACACAGAGCTGGAGATGCCGAACACAGCCTGCGGGAGGGATTGTGGAATAGGAAGTACGGAGTAGGCCAAGCCCACCCTATCAAGGGAGGCTCCGGAGATGGCAGGCCAACAGCCACACTTTTGTCCGCGCTAGAAGCAGCCTTCCGACCCCCGCGATCTGTCACCACCCTGATGCCCCAAGGAGTCTGGGAGTGAAGACGAAGGCGGTCCGGGTCAAGCAGACGCCATGCAGCCGGCCGTGATGACGCAGGGAGATGAAATGGTGGATAACACGCCCCAGCCGACACTGACTAACTAGCCTTGTGAGACCATCTGACTGTGGCCGCTGGAGTCTCTGTGGCCTTGCAGGATCGACCGGGCCAATTTCCACGCGGAGTTACGACGAGAGGGTGATGATGGTTTGATCGAGGCGTCTGATTCCCACTGCAGCCAGCCTCTGCGGTGGCGCAACGAACTGCAATACACTGCAATACACTGTACACTGCACTGCACTGCGGTGCGATCGGTGCTGCTGGCCGGGCAGGCGGGCAGGTTGCAGGCAGATAGCGCCAACCTTTGAGTTCAGCCTTACTCTCGTTTGGGGAGGTGAGGCCGTCCCCAATCAATCAGCCCGCCCAGCTGTCGCCTGTGCTCCGGGCGCCGTCGACCCACTTGGTGGCGACAATGTCACTTGGTAGTCAATTGGCAGATGGCAGATGGCAGACGGCAGGCGCAGGTGCGACGTTGTGCCGACGCTGTGCCGTACCTTGCGTACTCATCAGGCCCAACCGGTCTGTGTTGCATCCATTTCCACTCCAAAAGGACCAGGCGCGAGGGAGGTACGTACAGCACAATCATATATAACAGCAAGGGAACGCCTCTTGACTTACAAGCTGCTTGCCCTGCGCGCTCTGCGGGCGGTGGATTGTGGCTGGCTGGGCCAAGACCCCCTGTTTGTCAACCTGAGATGCAAGTCGAGAAGGACCTATCGCTTTGTGCCTTGTCAGACCTTACATCTCCATCTCCATTTGCATTTCCATTTCCAGCCTCTTGTCATGCCCGTTTGACGGAGGTCCTCCCTGCTTGCTGCCAACAAAAGCACTGGTTGCTGGTTGCTTACCGCCTTGGTGGTTGTTGTCCTGGTCCTGAAGCTCGCCGCCCTCTTTCATCAAGGACCAGTTGACGCTTTGTTGGCTCTGGTGGGTTGTGCTGCACTGCACTGCACTGCACTACTACTACCCTTGCGTCAGGCGGGCCTGTGTTACCAACAGGTCAATGTCCGCCAGGCCGTCGGCTTTATTGTGGATAAGGTCCTTTGACAAGCAGCTCCGGGCGGTGGGAATGCGCCTTCTGAGTCGGGTCTGCCGCGATGGATGAGGTCGCCTTGCCGAGCGGGAGCCGGGGCGTGTGAGCAGGCGCTGAGTTCTGAGTTTTCAGAGGCTCGAGCAGGCGCTCCACGAGGGAAGAGGGCCCAGCCTGGACTTGCGGGAGATGCTGCGAGTGTTCGAGTGTTGACAACTTGAATGTCAACCAGAGAAAGAGGTCTGCACCGCCAGCCTGTAGCCTGCGGATTTCAGCCAGCCCGGATCCGCACCCTGGCCTGCTCCCAGGTCCTGACTTTCTTCCCCTGGCCGCCACGAACAGGCGCGCAGCCGCGAACCGCGAACCCAAAACGACGGTCTGTGCGCCTAATCAACGGCCAACCAGGTGCCAACGCTGAGCCGAGGTCCACGGGCTGCCACTGCCGGACCCGGATGACCTCTATCTGCCCTGCACTTCCGCCTCTTCACATTGCCTCTTGTTACCTCCTGATTTCTAGACTCTGGACACCACTGCAAGTCTCGACAACCTACCTAGGTACCTACAACATGGTGGAGCAGGACAAGGAGGGAGGGGGCTCGGGCTCGGGCTCGATCCCGTCATGGCAGCAAGCGGCCTCTAACACTCCCGACCCGGCCCCCGCCACATTGGAGCAGGCCAGGATATTCCTACAGGATGAATCAGTGAGGGACTCGAGCAGGGAGAAGAAGGTCGAATTCCTCAAGTCCAAGGGCTTGGGCGAGGCTAGTATCAACACCTTGTTGGACGAGTCCGATGCCCGCGAAACAGCAACAACACCAACAGCACAAACAACAACAGCGACTACCGCCCATGTACAACACCAGGACACCTCTAATGCGCTCTCAAACCCAGAAATCAAGACAGACCAGCCTCCAATCATCACCTACCCCGAGTTCCTCACCAAGCCTGCCAAACCCCCTCCGTTGATCACCGCCTCCGGCCTCCTCAACTCACTCGGCATAGTCGCCGGCCTCTCCACCTTTGTATACGGCGCTACAAAGTACCTGGTCAGCCCCATGGTTGACACCCTGACCGAGGCTCGCGTCGACTTCCACGACAACGCCAACAAGAACCTGTCGCAGCTGGTCGAGAAGCTGGAGCACGCCGTATCCGAGATCCCCGAGTCTTACCACGCCGCTGGGAAGAAGGCCGCCCTCGCCACAACCACTCACGCCGGGTACACAGACGCAGCCGACGACGACGACGCCAGCAGCTACGACGACCCGACGGAGCTCTTCCACCGCGACATCGGCGTGCAGACCTCGCCGCCCCCGACGCCCGGCGGGCTCCCCTACTCCACAGCAGCCGCCGCCGCCGCCGCGGGCGGCTCCGACAAGCACAGCTCCGCCGTCACGACGCAGCAGCACGCCGACAAGATGGCCAGGCTCATCACATCCATCCGCGACCTCAGCACCGACCTTGCCTCCCAGGCCGATGGCTTCGGCGAGACCAAGAGCGTCCTGGACGACTTCGGCCGCGACCTGCACACCCTGACGTACCCGCCCGAGTCCTTCGGCGTCGGAAGTGGCTACCTGTACGGCACCGCGCGGAATGAGCCCGACGACGAGATCAAGAAGGTCAAGAGCAACATCAGGAGCGTCAAGGGGGTCCTGCTGAGCACCAGGAGCTTCGCCGCTCCGACAAGGTGAGCCTCGGGCGCTGCGCCGGGGAGGGTTGGAAAGGAGCTGCCCGGCATCTCGCGGGAGGGGGAAAGCTTCTTGATTTCGTGGATCCTTTCTGGTGGTAGCTCTCGCCGGCAGGGTCGCAGCGCGGAAAGCAAGGAGGGAGAGTGACCCTCTACGGAAGACCTTAGTGTGAAATCCGTGTTTAGCAAGCCCTACATGGCCAGCGATTTGTATGATGAGTGATGAAAATACTGCACCGAATGATACCCCCTCACTTTCAGCCAAAACCTTGGTCTTTGAGTGGCAGCGAAGCACGCATGAATCATCACCCGTGGGCCGCGCCAGATACTACAGCAGTCGTGGTTGGGTATCAGCTGCGCATTTGCACACCCGAAGAACGTCTGGCAACAAGGTGACAAGGTGTATTACTGTAACCTGGTCGTCAACTGCGGTGCGTGTCTTCCAACGTTTTCCCGCTTTCCCGCTTTCCCGCGTTCCTGCCCCAGTCCGGTTCTCGTACAATAGTTGCTCCGGGGGGAAAGAAGACACACCCCTGACAGACAACTCCTCAACCAGCACAAGATATCGGCCGATCATCTCTACATCCACATTTGCGCAGATCAAAACAACGCCATCGAGACCGCAATCCGTCCTGGCCATGGCTCGAGATCGCGCCGCGACAGTCAACTAACCGCCAACAGAGGGCCATGTCTGACATCTGTACTTCATGATCTGTGTACCCCTCCCTCACACTGTGGCTACCCTCTCGACCTCCCCAAGTCAGGCTCTGTTGGGAGCTAAGGAACTCATCTGGACTCTGCCGCAAGAACTAGCCTGGGCTCTCATCCATGGGGCTGCTGTGGCCACTAGACCCAGGGCTCACCCGGGACGAGGCCACCGACTGTCTCGACTTCCTCTGCTGGCCAACCCTTAGCTGCTCAAACACTTTTTCCCAGCAGTCCACATAAATGTGCTCATACTGACGGCCCTCGGCCACGAGATCCCCGTACCATTCCATGGTAGGCTTGAAGGTGAACCCCATCGAGGTTGCTCTGCTGTTGCGCAACCGCGCCAGACGCGACTGTTCGAAGAGTTCATTGGTGCACCTAGAGGGCCGTGCCGTCCCAGCTTCTGCGGAACCACGCGGTGGATGGAATAAGATACGAGTCTCGTGATTGCTGCCATTGCTGCTTTGCTCCGCAGTGTCGTCTCGACTGGGGGCGTCCATGTTGGTCCCCGCCGCCCGTGGCCTCGCCGCCGTCTCGCCAAGGGCAACCTCTCGCCACCCGCCCTGCCTCATGAAGTTATCTGAGGAAGGCAGCTTCCACCTGAGTTGCGTCAGGTCGGACAGGGCTTCGAGGAACTCTGCCGTCATATCCGCCGGTAGCGTGGAGCGAAGTTGCTTTTGGTGATTTCGAAAGCCACCCAACCATACTCTGTCTACCCTGGAGCCTGGGTTTTTCTCTGTCCCATGAGCCTGGACAAATTTGACTGCTTCTCTCTGCATCCAATTCAGATCGGACACTTTCAGCGAGTGGTTGTTCTCAAGCTCGCGTCCTGCACGGACGTCCCAGAAAATGAGTTCCATTTTGCCATGTCTGTACCTGTCCCATTTGGCATGAGGCTCCCACGGGCGGTATATCAAGATCCACGGGTGTCGTTTCGGTTTGATGCCGCTTGGGAAATTTCTGGGGTCCCAGTCTTCCTGGATCGTATAGAACAGAGCAATATACGTACTGAAAGTCTGGTGTGGATCTCCAAGCCAGGGGTAGGGCCAGTTTAACCATTGCTTGAGCGTCGAAAATTCCATTATGGAATCGCCGAAGTGGTCCGCCATGTTGTAGTCGAGCCAGGACACAGGAAATCCAAAGATTCTGACCTGACCGGGCCTGTCTATGCCATGTAGGAAGTATCGAATATTGCGATCGTTGTTTGCGAATCTCTGGCTTTGAAAGAGCGCAGTTTGCGCCTGCCCGACCTGCATACCACCGTTACTGGTAGGTGCATCTTCTCGTGGCTTATCGTCCTTCGTTAGCACAACGCGCAATGCTTCATCTGGGTCATTGACGACAGAGTGGTTGTAAGTGGGAATAGGAATCGAACGTGAGGCTCTCGAAAGTGGCCCGGCCGCAGTTTGTCTCGCCTGCTTGGCCACCGAGCCGGAGCCGAGCACGTAGAACTTTCGATACTGGTCAATATTCTCCAAGGACCACCAGCCAAACCAATTGACAAGACTCTGTTCATCGTTTGGACCAATGCACTTCTCGGCGAATATCACGTGATTCTGCTCGGAAAAGACCCCATTCCTCTCCATGTTGACAGACAGCCACTCATCCGCCATCGACCAGGCCTTTGCTCTCGCGATTAGATCTTGATCACTCAATCCAAGAGCATTTCTTTCATCAGCGGCTTCCAATTCACTCATGTGGGTTCCCTGTCGTTGTTTCAACGAAGCCTGCCGTTGGTTTGCCTCGCTCGCAAGATCTCGGAGGTAATCGACGATGTTGAACGCAGTCACGAGTTTGTTAGAGGAATACACAGTCTGATGGCCGAAGAACCATTCGAACAATTGCAAGGTTTTTTGAGGTTCGCACACAAGGAAGCTTGGAGTCACCAGTATGGCCTTGCCCATTGGGAAGATTCGTGAGAAGACATCCAGAGTCAATCGCTTTGAAGATCCTTCGGAACATTGTATTTGCTGCAGACCCCTAGTCGCAGAGAAGCGCCAGAAGTTGTAGTTGTTGTCGGTCTGCAGTATTTCGGCAATGGATGGAAAGCGCCGCACGAAATCGACGACTGTTTCATGTATGACAACAACACCACACTGGTTGTTGGATTTCTCCAGGAACGCGGTCCAACTGCCAGCATCAAAACTCGTGTAGATCTTGCAATGAGAGTTGCATACGAACAGCCAACAGCAGATGGACCTGTACCACTCGACCGCCGACTCCGGGAACACGAGGAAAAAGTGGTGCTCCTTCTTTTCGCGGGGCCCTGCAATGAGCTTCCCGTACCTCATTCCAAATAGGCTGCGAAAAACGGCTTTCTGCCCCTTTCCAACAGCAGCTGGCACTATTTGGTCCGTCTTAGCCGCTGTTGGCCTTAGCAAACGCGAGATATTGTGCGAAGACCTGAAGATGAAGTGCCTCAGGGCAACCTCCGGGACATTCGGCGAGTCTATACCGAGAGCGCTTGTCTGGAATCCGTCGCATCTAGTCGGGTAAATAACTAGATTGTAATTCTCGTGAGATGCGAGTAGTCCACAGTGACTGACCCTGAGATGCTCAGCAAGGACCTCCACACTCTCACGGTTTCCTGACGTTACTTCCCCGTGGCAAAGGACATCATGCGCTTGGCGATCCTGACCTCGCAATTGGCTCAGTTGAGCGATTATTGATTCGGCAAGAACTGCATGCCCGAAATGAAGACGGGATGCGCTGCAAAAATCTCTCAGCCATGGCTGGTCCGTTTCGCGGCTAGTCTCCTTCGGAACGTCATGAAAGGTGACGTCGAGTGACCGGCTCCCTGTACCCAAGATGATTTCCTTTTCAACATTCTGCACAAGCCGCGAGTGATACGTGGCCAGTGATACTTTCGTCTTCGGTTCAGGCGGTGGCGATGGAGATGTAGCCGGGGGAGGTGGCGAACGTATCCTGTTTGCCAGGCCCTGGGGTTCCTCAAGAGCCATCGGTTCGCTCACAAAAGAATCACCGTCCTTCCCAGTAAAGCGAACAGTTTTAGCTCTCTTCTTAGAGCGGTCGGCGTCCAGATCAAGAGAAAATCTCTTCAGTACGGATTTCGGCTCGCTCGCTGATGTGCTACTGCGGCGAGGGCCCGCCATTTCGACGTCGTCGGTCATGTCGACTGGCATGCCGTCATGGTCGCCATCACTATCCCGGGAATGCTTGGTATTCTGCGTTGATGTGCGCCTAGGAGGCGGACCTTGATTAATGCTGAACAGATGGGCTGCCACCTTGCTGACTTCTGGTGCCTGGTCGTCGTGGTCTCTCGATTTCAACTCTGCCTTGCGCCGGAAACTATGCGTCGTGAAAAACTTTGGGTTTTTGTTGGTATCAGTCATTGCACTTGCGAGGTTCTGCCTCGACCGTCGTTTCTTTCCATCGATGAATATGTTGGTTGCAGATGCACCGATTGGCGCTTTGCTGCCACTTTTCTTAGCAGTCAGGCCTTTCGTCGCGATAGTCGAAGGGCCCGGGCCCGATGTAGGTTTGGCTGAAGCACTGCCAGCCGAGCTCACGCGAATTGGTACGGATTTGGCTTGTGTGGTCCCAGTACTAGCTCTGCGAGCAGAGCCTTGGTATCCTGTGGCAGATTGCTTCTCTCGCTGGAGGGTTGAGGCACTCGAGATGGATCTGGCCTTGGGTTGGAGCGGTGCAGCGCCGGTTTGGGTCGTGGTTGATGGTCGTGGGCGCGGCTGACTTTGGTCATTGCTTGCACCTTGCTTTGATCCAGTCGCGGATGGGTCGACTGAGAAGATTTTATTCGGACGAGTGGACGCCTGGGTCTTTGGATGGGATGGGTGTTTCCTTGATTGCACAACGCTTTCCTCATTGTGATCGATTCTGCCGTCCTCCTCGGCCTCTTCAGAATCAGAATCGGAAGCAAAGGCTGTAGCAGAATTGCTGCGAGAGTCCTTGCTTGCCCCATGACCGGGTTCGGTGTCATCATCAAGATCTGGGTATGGGTTTCCCCGGAAGAAGAACTTGGTTTCTTCCAGGCCGAGCCTCCTGCGCTTCGCATTTCTCCGTCGGTGCAGGTCGCGCCGCTCCTCCAGTACCCTGTTGTACGCATCTTCATATCTCCGCTCGAATTCCTCAGCTATACGAGGATCCTGTGATAGCTTTTTTTCTTCCCATGAATCTTTCAAGACCTCTGAGATTCCAGACTCGGGCTCCCAGGTGCATTCATCAAGTGGGAAATTGGCCCACTCCACAAGATACTTGAGAACGCCATCTCTAGGGTCGACGCGCTCGGAGCGAATGTCCTCGACAACAAATTCTGTGTCAGGATCATACGTAAAGTCATCAGCAGATGTGAGTGAGATACTGTCTGCATCATCGTCCACCACTTCAGGGCCGCCTGCGCTTCGAGGCATCTTGCCGTGTTTATTTGACGGGAGACACCGCCCAGCCAGGCACAGGCGGTTGAATGCAGCTTGAAGGAAAGTGGCCTCTGGTCGAACCTTTCAGGGTCAGCTTGACGAAGGCGAGGGCGGGGAGTTCAGGCTCATGTAGTTACTGGTTAGGGCGAGCTCACCAAGCTACGACTGTGTACTTCCGAAACGCAGGTGAAGTACCCCGCGATTGGCCGTCACCAAGCGCCCCAGGCCTCGGTGTCGCCTCCTGCTCAAAGGTCGAGTGACAAGGCACAGGTCCAGGCAGAAGCTCGAAATAGATTGACTGAAAGACGGCCAGATGATTCGTAATGTCAACACGCTTGTTTCCGTTTGGGAGAAATGGTCCCAGTCTTGCTAGCGTGATGGGGACGGCAGAAACCCCCAGGGATTCCGTTGGTCGCTCCCAGCTTGCTGATGGCTGGTATGTATGCTCCTGAATTCAAAGTCCTGACAGAAGGCTCACCCGTGGCCAGAACATCTTTGTCAAAGTAGGGGTGTTGAGTGGCTGCCCAAACAGGTGCAGAAATCAGCAGCGGGTCGAAGCTGCAAGGAAAAGTCGCTTGGTTGGGGTCGGCAGTGCAGGGATCTAGATGTTCTGAAGGCAGCTGCCACCCCTCAGTCTATAAGTGATACCTACCTACTGAAGGGTTAAGCGGTGCTGCACGAGGTACCTGGGTGCCCAGGTGGGCAGGTACCTACCTGGGTAGGCTTGGAAGGCAGGAGATGTTTTTATGGAAATCCCGCGACACAAGGCAAGTATTGTTTGACATGTCTCAAAACATAACAAGAGAGACAGGAAACCAAAAACAAACCAAACCAAAACAAAAAAGAGGCAGAACAAGAATCTCAAGGGGGGTTCTGATTGGGGCCAGTGGGCACAACAATTCAGGTACGTACTCACTCGGTACAGTATGCACTGGAGCAGACCCGAGGCTCACCTTACCCAGCACGCGACCAGGATGAGCTACCCTGGAAGCTGTCCCCCCGATCTATCGCGGATGGACCATCTGCTGCAGGCTGCAGGCTGCACGTTGCACGCTGACCTGGGTGGGCTACATTGAAAATGCCACATAGCAGCAGTGGTAATCCTACTTCTCGAGTGGCATGTATGCGGTGAGAACCACCAGGAAGAAGTCGACACCGTCATCGCACCCGCAGAGATGGACGGGGTGGCCTGGTTCTCGGCCGGACCCTCACAGCCACGCTGTGGGCGACAAACATAGAGTCAAAGCTTCCTTCGGGTCAACTAGGTACCTACCTACCCAGCAGCCCAGATAAGCAAGCAGCCTCTGCTGATGGCCACGCGACCTCTGGGGGCCCCCCCTCTCTCGGCCACAGGTGCGTTTCAACTGTCAGATCAGGGCCCCGAGGCCAAACTCTGCTGTTGTCAGAAACCACCAGCAGGAAGGGCGGTTGACCACCCAGCCCACCAGGAGCAGCTCATCAAACAGCAGGGTGTGGCGCTGCAGCCCGTGGCTGGGGTACATCCGGGGGCGACGTGTGGTCTGCCCAAATCGCTCACGGAGGTACAAGGCGAGGAGGGGTGTGCATACAGCTAGCTAAGCTAGCTGGGGGTTCCCACGTACCTGCACCGGCTGCTGAAAGCGCCATGGTGAAACATTTGCAGCATGCGGTTGGGCGACTTCCCGAGTCACACAAGGGGGGGTATGGAGGCACTGCAGAACAGGTAGCATTGGTGGCTTTGACTCCGGGTGCCCTTGCAATGATTGAGGACGGCCTGCCTCTTCTTGTCTGGGAAAACGGTCGGTGATAGCGACACATACATTCAGTCGTACATGCTCAAGTGCCCTACTATGCTCATGCTCTGCATCCTGTGAGGAAGGAGGACCCGTACACAGATCCCTCAGCCAGGCAGACCAGGGAGACCCGACAGTACCTACTACCTAGGTGGCCTACCACGGTAAGGGACGACCAGCACTTTGTGGCCCCCGCTTGACTGACTGTGCCGAGCCCCTTTCCAGCCAGCCTGCGGCTCAATTTTTAGTGTGGATGACCGCTCGGTATCTCTGCCAACCTAAACCGTCCCTGTCTCTGTCAACCCGCTGCCTTGCATCTACACCTCCTTTTCCCGTCGCTAGCTGGCTTCACTTGAACTAAACACAACTGCCTCTATCCGGCCCTGCCCATTGACGCACCACTCGGCACCACGCCCGCGCAACCATCGCCCAACAGATATCGCCCCAGCACTGCTGCCCGAGACGCATCCGCCTTTGAACTACGTCAGCCGAGCTTGTCGCAACCATGGCCAACGACGAGTACGATGTGAGTTCTCCGCCACCTGCACCGCCAACCCTCTTGCCTGTCCTGAATCTTGCGCTGACCTGGGATATCACTGCAGTTCCTTTTCAAGGGTAATGCTCAGCCCCGTGCACTCGCTCATCCCGCGGCCTCTGTCCCTCGCGATGCAAGCTAACACCGCCATCCCGCAGTTGTCCTGATCGGAGACTCTGGTGTCGGAAAGTCCAACCTGCTCAGTCGATTCACTCGGAATGAGTTCAACATAGACTCCAAGTCCACCATCGGCGTCGAGTTTGCCACCCGATCCATCCAGGTCGACTCCAAGACCATCAAGGCACAGATTTGGGACACCGCCGGTCAGGAACGGTACCGCGCCATCACCTCTGCGTACTACCGGGGTGCCGTCGGCGCCCTGCTCGTCTACGATATCAGCAAGCACCAGACATACGAGAACGTTACGCGGTGGCTCAAGGAGCTGCGGGACCATGCCGATGCGAATATCGTCATCATGCTGGTGGGTAACAAGAGCGATTTGAGGCATCTACGGGCTGTGCCAACAGAGGAGGCCAAGGCGTTTGCGAGTGAGTCTGCCCTGCCGCTTCCCCGCCCGGCACGTGCGGTGTGGTGCGGTGCGAGGGATGCATTGGGTAGAGATCCAGGCATTGACTTTGTGACCAGGCGAGAACCACCTCTCTTTCATCGAGACGTCTGCCCTCGATGCCAGCAACGTTGAGCTTGCATTCCAGAACATCTTGACCGGTACTTGACCCCGCCCCTCCCTTCTCCCGGCCCGGACCATGGCACCTCCTGCCTGGATCATCGCTGACCACGTGTTCTACAGAGATCTACCGAATCGTATCGAGCAAGGCACTTGACAGCGGCGACGGGGCTCAGGCCACCATCGGGGCAGGAACCAACATCTCTCTGAGCAAGCCGGCCGACGACGGCTCGAAGCAGGCCGGCAAGTGCTGTTAGGTCACCACTTGGGAGGAGCTCTCACGGGACTAGCTCATGGAAACGAACTGATGATACATGGCGTCACACGTCACACATTCTATGGAAACATGTCGGCAGAAGAGAGCCATTACTGTGATGGTGTGATGATGGGGTTACGGATCTGCGGCTCTCAATGGGAGGGTTTTGACGATTTTTTTAATCAGGGAGTCATGCTACTCGTTTCACTGCTGTTTTCGCTGTGTACCTTTGTGCCTCTTTGTTGTATGTGGGCTATGGGTGGTGCCATCGTAGTGTGGCGCTTGCCGAGTTGAATGAGAAACACATGTAATGAATATACTGAGAAAGCACCGACCCTCAGAGGCCTCTGGTGCTCGTGTCCTTTGTTCTGCTGCCAGACCCGAGGTCCCTCCAGACCGACCACCTGGGCTGCCAGTGAGCAGAGGCGGCACCCGGAGGATGGCCCTCAGCAACATAGTAGTACCTAGGTATTCAGTAGGAGCCCTGACACGTGGAACGAGCCAGCAAAACATTGTCCGCCCTGGTCACGGACACCCCGATGGTTTCGACAATGTTGGGACGATCAGGTCCACGAAACATGTCCGTTTGGCTGAGGTGTGTGGCCCACCTCTGCAGCCCACCGCCAAGTTGCGACATCGAAGTTGCCCGCAGTGGTGGGTCCGGACAGGAGGTCACCCCGCGCTAGAACGGGCACCTCGACAAGGCCAGGTTCCGGCTCTGGCCAGGCCATCCCTGTTTATCGATAAGCGCCTGCCAGAAATTTTGGCTGGTAGCCAAATCCAAATGCGACCAGGCAGGTTGAGTTCCGTCCTGTCATCGGCATCGCGACTTTTCTTATTCCTTTTTCTTCAAGCCAGCGCTGATCCACACCGACACAATGGCGACAGTGTACAAGTCGCTTTCCAAAGCCAACGCTCCCAAGGATGACGATTCCTCCAGCCATGGCCCCAGGAAGAACAAGCAGAGAGTCCTGGCACTCTCGTCGAGAGGCGTCACATACAGGTGAGATCAGATATGCGCGTACACAAGATGCGCCCTTTTCAAAGGCATCAGCGTGGACTAATGAAGCGGCTCCGTAATTATAGGCATCGACACCTGCTCAATGATCTAGCAGCCATGATGCCCCACGCGCGGAAGGACGCCAAGTTCGACTCGAAATCCAAGCTATACCAACTAAACGAGCTGGCGGAGCTGTACAACTGCAACAACGTCCTCTTCTTCGAGGCACGGAAGGGCCAGGACTTGTATCTCTGGGCGAGCAAAGTGCCCAACGGCCCGACCGTCAAGATGCACGTTCAGAACAGTAAGGCCAGCCATAGGGAGGCGCTTGGGCTGGATCCATGACTGACATGAGAAAATAGTGCACACCATGGAGGAGCTGCACTTCACAGGAAACTGCTTGAAGGGCTCGCGGCCGGTGCTGTCGTTTGACGCCGCGTTCGACAACGACCCACACCTCCTGGTCATCAAGGAACTCTTCACACATATTTTCGGCGTGCCCCAAGGTGCGAGGAAGTCGAAGCCCTTCATCGACCACGTGATGGGATTCACGGTCGCGGACGGAAAGATCTGGGTGCGCAATTACCAGATCAACGAGGTGGAAAAGACTGGTGCTGAGGGCGAGGGCGACGAGGAAGCGGAGAAGGCGTCAAAGAAGAAGGCATTCGGCGGGCGGAGCAAAGACACCGACATAAAGCTGGCGGAAATCGGGCCCCGTTTCGTCTGTACGCCTATCATCATACAGGAAGGTTCGTTCGGAGGTCCCATCATCTACGAGAACAAGCAGTTCGTGTCGCCCAACCAGGTGCGCTCGGAGCTGAGGAGAAAGAAGGCAGGCCGTCGGAACATCAGGGCCGAACAAGCCACGGAGAGTATGGGAAGGAAGGGCCAGCTCGGCCTGAGGACGGAAGGGGGGAACAAGAAATCGGATGCTTTGTCGACCAAAGCCGTTTTTTCCTAGAGAGAGAGTGGATTCACCTCGGTATCGGCGTTGGCATCTGGAAAATGAAAGGGCGTGTTTGCAATACCCTAATAGAGTGTTTTCTACGACGCCCTGTCGGACCGGCGTCTTGAAATTTGTGATAGATGCAGTGAAAATGTGACTTTGAATACGCGAGCTCCAGTTCTAGAAATGCGCGGATTGGGGTCCCAGTGGGCTCTGGTGTTACCGAGCTGCAATGATCTCTCTCAATCAGTGTCAAAAAATGTCGGAGTCTGGGAAAACATCTTGTTTGTAATTGATATCCACGTCAGTGTGCCTGCGTCGTTCCATTTGTCGGGGCCCGCGACCTGCATGTGAAAGGGATGGGTCCACACGGCTCAATACGTGCAGACCCGAGGCTGCTAGGTACTGGGTACGAGAGGCTGTCACAGGGTTGATAGCGAGGTGCGGCGAGAGGAGCTAGGCTGCCCGAGTGCCTAGTTGCCTAGGTATGTCATCATGCAGTCCAGCTTCGGGAGTCAAAGTTTTCCTCTTTTAGAAGGAGAATCTACCCTAAATAGTACCTTATTAAGCCTAATAAAGGAAAAGCTTCTTCTATTATAAACTAATATTATTTTAAAAAGAATATTTCTTTACTTAATTATATATTATTTAATATTTTAATAATACTTTTAATATTTATATTATTTTTATATTATTTTTATTACTTTTATTTTAATAATTTTTATTTTTATTATTTATATTTTTATATTTTTATTTTATTAATTTAATTCTTATTAATAAAATAATCCTTATAATTTATAATAAAAAAGTATAAATTATTTATTAAAAATATTAATTTAAAATTATAATTATTTAAAGAATAATATAAAAGAGTAATAAAGTTATAATATAATATTATAAAAGATATAAATAATTATTTAAGTTTATAAAATAAATAAAATAAATAAAATATATAAGTTTATTAATTAAGTTATATATATATTTAACTTATAATTATATAAATTAAATTTTTTTATTTTTTTAATTTTATTTAAATTTTATTTTAAAAATAAAAATAAGGAATAAAAATAAAGAATAAAAATAAAGAATAAAAATAAAGAATATAAATAAGGAATATAAATAAAAATAAAAATAAAGAATATAAATAAGGAATAAAAATAAAGAATATAAATAAAGAATAAAAATAAGGAATAAAAATAAGGAATAAAAATAAGGAATAAAAATAAAAATAAAAATAAAGAATAAAAATAAGGAATAAAAATAAAGAATATAAATAAAGAATAAAAATAAGGAATAAAAATAAGGAATAAAAATAAGAAATAAAAATAAAGAATAAAAATAAGGATTAAAAATAAGGAATAAAAATAAAGAATAAAAATAAAGAATATAAATAAAGAATAAAAATAAGGAATAAAAATAAGGAATATAAATAAAGAATAAAAATAAGGAATAAAAATAAGGAATAAAAATAAGGAATAAAAATAAGGAATAAAAATAAGAAATAAAAATAAGGATTATAAATAAGAAATATAAATAAGGAATAAAAATAAGGAATAAAAATAAGGAGGGCCTAGGGGCCACAAGTAGGGAGGGGCCACCAGCTAACTACCAGCTAAAAAACAGCTAGCAAGCAGCTTAAAGACCTTTAAACAGAGACCTTCAATAAAGCCTACAACCACTATAGAGCAAAGTACCTTCAGGGTACATAAAGAGGTACCTAGATATAAAGCACCAACATAAGCTATAAACATCAACATTAATCTTTACACTTATTTAACAAGCATAGTACTAATATAGACCTATACCCTACCTAGGTATAAGAAGTTACTACTAATATTCAGATTAGCCGCAAAGATTCTTCGTCAATCTTAAAGATTCTTCATTATACTTTATAGCTAATCTTTAAGAGTACCTACCTATATACCTTCTAGGTTACCCTACCTGGCCACCCTGCCTATAGCCTTCTTACCTATCTAGGTACCTAACCTCCCTCCCTCCTTATCTCCCTCCTTATCTCCCTCCTTATCTCCCTCCTTATCTCCCTCCTTATCTCCCTTCTTATCTCCCTCTTTATCTCCCTCCTTATCTCCTTTCTTATTATTTTATTATTTAATTACTAATTAATTATTAATTAAATAATTTAATTAATTATATAAAAAAAAAGATTAATAAATAAAAAATTAATTAAATTAATTAATAATTATAAATTAATTAATAATTAAATATAATTAATAAATAATTAATAATAAATAAATAATTAATTAATAAATAATTAATAAATAAATAATTAATAAATAAATAAATAAATAAATAATAAATAAATAAATAAATAATTAATAAATAAATAATTAATAAATAAATAATTAATAAATAAATAATTAATTAATAATTTAAATTTAATTTTATTTATTAAAGTAATTTAAATTTAAATAATTTAAATAATTTATAAAATATTAATTTAAAATATTATTAAATTATTTAAATTAAATAAATTATAATTATATATTTAATAATAATTTTAATAATTTAATTAAAAATTACTTTATTAATAAATAAAGTTTTTAATTATTTAAAAGAAAGATTTTAAAATTAAAAAAATTAATATAAGAATAATAAGCTATATTAAATTAACTATTATAATTTAAATTAATAAATTTATATTTATAAATAAACTATTTAATTTAATTAATAGATTTAATTAATCTAACTATATATTTTATTACTTAATTAAATAAACCTTATAATTAATATTAATATATACTACTTTAACTAATTACTTATATATAAATTAAGTTAATTAATACTTTATATAAATAATTATTAAAATAATTAATAAATAAATTAATAAATAAGTAAATAAATATATAAATAAGTATATAAATAAGTATATAAATAAGTATATAAATAAGTATATAAATAAATAAAGTAAAAAATATTTAATTCCTTTATAAGTATAAATAAGTTATATATAAGGTATAAATAACTATAGGATTAGGTAAAAGCTTCTGTAAAAATAGGAAAACTTTGACTCCCGAAGCTGTAGAGGCCAATGAGAGCCGCCTTAAGACCTGCAGCTGGCAGGGCCAGGCCAAGTCAGGACAACATCATGATACTACCATGTCGTCCTCATCGTTCCCAAACCCAACGCGCATCTCTACGTGATCTCCACAACGATGATATCGTGTGAAGCAATGATGCCTGGAGACTTGACCTCTCTGCTTGATAGCCCCAACGTCGGGGTCAGTTGCCTGTGAGGCACATTGGGCCACGTCCTCGGCGACAGGGGCATCCAGGGATCGGTAGAGGTTCCAAGCTGCTCCTCCGTCGAGACAAGATCCTGTGGTGGATAGTTTGGGGAGACTCTCGCTGTTGTCTGAGCAATTGTTGCCGCGAAACCCACACATACTGTACGCACCCCTGCACGAGCGTGCGATGACAAAGACTAACAGACAGACAGACAGACCCGGAAGGTTTTTGTTTCTTCGCGGTCATCATTGCCCGTCGCGGGCAGTATGGCTTTCAAGATATTCAATAAAAATCGTCGGGAGCTACCTCTGTCGGCCCCTGGCGACGCAGAGCGGCTCGAACCAGGGTTCCTGAGAATACCAGTGGAGATCATTGTGAAAATCGTTGAGCTCACCGATCTCCGCAGTGTTTTGAGTCTTGTTCGAGCAGGCAAGAGGTTCAAGGAAATTTACGACGGTAATCGAGGGCACATTCTTTTGTCCATCCTGCGGACAGAGTTGAGCCCGTTCGATGAAGCCCTGCAGGTTATTACCTTCAAGCCCGAGGACATTGAGGTGCCCCTGGGCCCTTGCTTGCGCCGAAGGATATATCATAAGAACAAGGTGATTTGCGAGGGGGAGATTCCGCGGCCAGGCGATGCAGACCATGTCTTACTCCCGTCCGCTGTGCTCGACGAGGGACATTTTGATCGTCTCCTCGGCCTTTTTGAGACCATCAAGGCATGGGAGCAGCTATTTCCTCGCTATCGGTTCCAGCCCGCGTCGGACTGTCGCGAGCTGCATCCCAACGAGTCCATGAGGCTCCGAGCAGCCCTATATCGCTGGATGTCTTACGCCCAGTTCTTCCATGGGGAGCTCCCGCGGCCAAACAGCTTCGTCCCTCAACAGGGGTCCACGGATGTCCGGTGCAAGCGGCTTCGGGTATTGTCTGACCATGAGCTTTACGAGCTGGACGACTTGTGGGAGACGGTCCAACGCATGGTAAGGGGGGATATATGCCCTTCCACAGAGACAGTGTTGAAAGAAATGGTAAACCACCGGCCTAATTTATCCAAACTAGGAACAGGTGCTAATGTCTGATTCAGGACTACTCCATCTCTAGGGAGGAGGCAGAGCGGATAGGCTTTGGCACGTCCAGGCTGAGCCTTATGCGTGCTGCTTTCAGCTGGAACGACTCGACATTTGTGGACTTTGACACCAATGTTAATTCCGCAATCGTGGACACTTTTCTCAAGCTGTCGCCCGCGGAGATCCTTAGTTTCGCCTCTAACAAGTCCACCTATCCCAGGGACAGGTTGGTCCGAGAGGTCTGCCTGGCTCATCCAAGCATCCTTCTGGACCGGCAGAGCCTTGGCCCCGCGCTCTCTGCAGTCAAGGACGAGCGGCTTGAAGCCCATGACGCCGACGCGTCGATGGGCTGTCACGATGCTTTCAAGAGCGCGAAGAACGGTGACAGCGGTGGGATTTTAGACTTCCCTCTCTATGATGAGGAGATACGGGGGGATTGGTCTCATGAGGGTAAGAGGGCGCTCGCCTGGTCAGCTCAGGAGGAGCTGGACCTGGGGATCCGTGTTGTGATGAACAAAGGCCGACTGGAGCCGTAGACCGGTCGACTTCGATTTCTGCACGTTGGCGCCGCCAGAGGCTGAACAAATAAATGATTCTCAGACAAATTTCACCCGGACCTCGAAACGGGGTCGCAATTGCTAATCTGTAGTTTCCTGACGCGTGCCCCTTGTACGATTTGGGTTTTCTTTGTTGCCTGAATGTATAATCGAGGACCTGTGAAGAGGCTACCTACCTAGGTTAGGCAGTCAGCGCTGGATGCAGTTGAAGCAAGGCACAAGCCACGAGCGTTCCTGACCATTAGATTTAATTTTGATTTCTTTTCCTTGTTCTTTTTTTCGTATGTGTGAAAATGATTACAGAGCTGTCTTTTGGTTCCAGCTATTTTATTCAATGTAGAAATATTGGATCGCAGCCGATGCCCTGGAAACGCGAGCTGAGCAGAGCAGTTGCGTCCTACTCTGGGTGAGTGGTGTTATGGCCCTAGCGTGGCCTGGCCAGGCCGGCTTCGAGACTGCGACCAGCCGCGTCACAAGTGGGAAATTGATCCTTATCCCTCACAACCACCCCGGCTTACATCGACTACGACGGCGCGCTGCGCCCCTCTGAAGCGTCCCACTGGGCTGCCACGGCCGAAGCAGCCTCTGAAATCCACATCGACAAGATCAACATTCGTTTGAGCTTTGAGCTCGAGGCGCTTGTCGGTGACGCGCATCGACTGCACCTGTGCATAACCCTGCGCCTTCCTGGAGCAGCCTTGCAGCTGCTGCAGGACGCCTCCACCAAACCACATCACGCTGTTCTGTAAGCTTATTCACTATGCCTTGTATCAGATCGGGGGGAGGGGTTGGATATCTCGGGTGCATTCAGCAAGCGCAAATGCCGTCTCGTGGTTTGGGCATCTCAGGAAACAGACATCCTCTTTCGGCCAAGTGATCAAGCGATCATGTGCTTCACCAGTGAGACCACAGCCCATCCCGTGGCGCCTCTCTACGTTTTGGATGCAAGTGACTTCTGCTACTCGCCAGCACCTGTGCACACATGCCTAAGTGCATTGGCTGAAATCTTGAAATCCAAGGCACAGCCAGATCTCGCTCAACGGACAGCAGGCCACCAATCGTCTCATTTCGTATCGCAGCACCTCTGCTGCCCCTCCTGAGCGCACCTTACTGACCCCTCTCAGACTATTTCCTAAGCAACTCCGGGCTTCCTGTTGCATCCTGGCCCAGCTGAGAGGCAAGTGGTCGTTTGGGGCCTCGTCCCTGGACAATGGTCCTGACGACCACGATGGAGGACGTGGACAACGACGTCGCCATGGATGTGGACATCCAGGACGATCCCCACACACTCGTCTTTGAGGATTTCGGCCATCCCTCTGCAGGCTTTCAGAACAGCACAACTTCAGATGACGCTGATGAAGATGATGCATTGGATACGCCGCTGGACTCGAGTGATCCGGAGTTCACAGCTCTTGAACGGCGGCAACGACCCACAGGGTGTTGCTACGACGACAGGATGAAGCTGCACGCAAATGCTGACTTCGGCCCAAAACCGCATCATCCGGAGGACCCCGCGCGCATCGAGGCCATCATGATGAGATTCAAGAAGGCAGGCCTGATCTTCATGGGAAGCGACTCTGACTATGTCGAAGTCCTACGGACTAATCCCACAAAGTACATGTGGAGAATCCCGGCGCGGGAAGCTCTGGAGTCAGAAATATGCAATGTGCATCTCCCGGGGCATTACTCCTGGGTTCGCAGCCTGTCTCACAAGACCACGGAGGAACTCCGGCAGATTACCAAGATGATGGATGTCGGAAGGGAGTCTATTTACGTCGGCAGCATGACTTTTGAGGCCTCCCTTATTTCTGCCGGTGGCGCCATCGAGACATGCAAGAGTGTGGTTGCGGGCACCGTCAAAAACGCATTCGCGATCATTCGCCCGCCTGGACATCACGCAGAGTACGACATGCCCATGGGATTTTGTATGTTCAACAACGTGCCCATCGCCGCGCGATGCTGCCAGATCGAGTACCCAGATACCTGCCGCAAAATTCTGATCCTCGACTGGGATGTTCACCATGGCAACGGCATTCAGAACATATTCTATGACAACCCGAATGTGCTGTATATTTCCCTCCACGTCTACCAGAACGGCCAGTTCTATCCTGGAGCCCCTGATAACGATAATATCGCGGATGGCGGGCTAGACAAGTGTGGCGCAGACGCAGGCATAGGGAAGAATGTCAATATTGGCTGGCACGATCAGGGTATGGGCGATGGCGAGTACTTGGCGGCTTTCCAAAAGATCGTCATGCCCATTGCACAGGAATTCGACCCTGACCTGGTGATCATTTCCGCCGGCTTCGACGCCGCAGACGGTGATGAGCTGGGCGGCTGCTTCGTCACGCCACAATGCTACGCCCACATGACGCACATGCTCATGTCTCTTGCCGACGGGAAGTTGGCGGTCTGTCTCGAGGGTGGCTATAACCTGCGCGCCATATCCGACTCTGCTCTGGCCGTGGCGAGAACCCTAATGGGCGAGCCTCCGCCAAGGATTAGTCTTCCCAAGATCAGCAAGGAGGCCGCGAAAGTCTTATCTTACGTCCAGGCATATCAGGCTCCGTATTGGGAATGCATGCGCCGCAGCATCATGAGCGTTCCCGACATCGTGCACAACGACGGGAAGAGGCTGAACGAGGTTCTCAGAGGCTACCAGCGCCAGAATCTTTCGCAGAATCATGGCATGTGCCCGCTATATATCCAACGAGACGCTCTCTTTAGGTCATACGAGAATCAGGTGTTAGTGACGCCGGAAATCGATGCGGCAACGCGCATCCTTGTCATCATCCACGACCCGTGAGTCTCTCCCGGTCCCCAAGATAAGCAAGACTGGTACTAAGAGCTGCAGGCCTGAGGTAATGGCGCAGCCTGACCCCTTGAGCAAGACGCTGGAGCCTGGAAATGCTTGGGTGGTAAGTGCTTGCCCGTCAAACTCAACCGTTTTGTGTTCACGTGTACTGATCCCGAGGTCTTGAAGGTCGACGGCGTCACGCAATATGTCGACTGGGCAGTGTCAAATGATTTTGGAGTCATGGACATCAACGTACCCCGGAATCCGACGGTACGTATATCCCATCTCGTCTCAAATTCTATATCACACTAACACGTTTCCAGGGCAACATGCCTTACACGCCCGATGTGGAGGAGAAACAACTTGAGGCAGAGATCAAGGAGCTAATCTGCTACCTCTGGGATAATTACATACAGTTGTACGAGCGCGCTGGTGAGGTCTTCATCATGGGGGTCGGGTATGCTTATCTTGGAGTCAAGATGCTCCTTCTAAATAGAGGTAAGTGTGGTGATACTTGCTCAGACCTCGCGCAATGTAATCTGCCCGGCCATCAGACTAATAAGGACGAAACCACAGACTGCAAGGCGAAGGTTACCGGTGTGGTCAACTTCGTCACTGGCTCCCTGCGACCTGTCCGATCGGACACAGACGAACGCCTGTCGGCTTGGTATAAGGAGAAGTCAAGGGTGTACGTGTCTAAGGAACACTCATGCTGGACGGATCCCAAGATGCACAACAAGGTTAGGAAGAAGCGCTTCGGCACCGTTCTCCACAGTCCTGCTGCCTCACTCAATGGCATGATGAAGGAACACGCCAAGGAGGTGCAGGATTGGATCGCGGCCCAACTCTCCGAGGTTCAGCATGCGGGGCCTGCAGGAGATAGCACGGAGGACGAGATCAACAAGCTGGCTTAGAAGGCCGGCGCTGGTCCTCTGGGACCTATAAGACGTGGTCGGTGGCCACCGAAACCCCAGCCAAAGAGGCAGAAAGGTGAAGGTTGGGATACGAGAGTGATTGCGGATTCGGATGAGGCGCTGGATGATGAGGATGTCTGGGAATGTCCGGGATAGTAGACGGCATCGCATGGGTCTTGAGGAGACAAGCCCATGAGGCTCTCCGATGGGCAATTTAGTAATTCTGGTGGTTGCGCGATTGAGGAAGCTTATTGGCTTGCTTGGTGATAATCTTGGCTCGAGGCCAGGGAAGGTGATCTTATCGGGATCCATTATCGATAAGATAAGGCTATGCCAGGGGCCAAATTTCCAGAGGCAGCCGCTCGCTAGCTTGCCTGCCTGACAACTATCGTCGCCAGTTCTGGCAGACTGACCATTCAACCAGGACCACCCGAGATCAATGCCCCCAACTTGACGCCCCACCTGGCCATCATCTCAGCCCTCATCCATCACACTTGCTACCTGCCATCACGAAAACCAATAGCTTCCAAGTGGCACGTGCATGTATTGACTGGTGTGCCGGCCGGGCTGAAACCTCTTGCTCGACTCATCTCAACCACTTGGGAAGGCTACGTGACCATAATGGATCGGGACCGGCCAGCACCAAGCAGAAGGTTAGTTGAAATGCTATTGTGGTTTGATTTTGCAATGTACTCTCTTGGATTCTCGTGGCCTCCAGCCTTTGCTGGCCTGTGGGCTGTCCCTATTGTGGCCTTGTGTGGACAATAGGACTTTCCCCCCCAAAGTTGGGATGGGACTCGACACTGGACAAGGCATGGATGGTTTCTGGTTGAACAATGCATGTGCCCAGCAACGAGAGTCCGGGAGAATCACACCCAGGGAGTATCATTCCACGCGTGCCCTGGATTTGAGGTAGTCTCGAATCTTTTCTTCTGAGTGGCATGTGGAGTCTCTAGGATCTGATCTTGTGTGTCTTTTTCCTGTGAACAACAAAGTGGACGTGAAGATCGGAGTGAAGATGGCTTCCAGTGTGAGAGACTCGCGGATGAGCATCAATTACCTTCTCTCCCCTTCATACCCTCTTCCTCTTCCTCCTCCCCCTCCTCCTCCCCCTCCTCCTCGTCCTCATCCTCCTCCTCGTCCCCATCCCCCTCCCTCTCCTTTCACCAACGGCTCCATGCCAATGACCGTGCTGGCTGCATCACTCGACCCTCCCACCGCCAACAAGGGTGTGGAGAAAGGAACTATGTTGTTTGAGGAGGACCAAGACTACGAGGAAGACAAGGCCGTGAATAATCCCTCCAGACCAAGGGACCGGAAGCCAAGACGGCCGGTGGCAGACAACTCTCCCCTGCTTTGGGGTCCGCCCGACCTCTCTTCTTCTTCTCCTCTATCCACTCACACCCCAGCTGGTACTCGTCTAAGGAGGACACCAACCCCTCGTTCTGCACTCATATTCGTGCCACAGAGCCCGAAAATCAACATGTTTCCTTTTCATCATCATCACGAGACTGATCTGATACGAACCAGATACGATGACGGAGAGGTGGTCCGATATGGGGCCGGAGAATCATACAGGCCCTTCAACAGCGGCAGCAGCAACACCAGAGACCGGTCACCACGCAGAGCCCGAAGCCCGCTGAGAGATCGGGACAGGGACCGCGACCGAGACAGAGACAGAGATAGGGATAGGGATAGGGATAGAGACAGGGACAGAGACAGAGACCGGGACCGGGACCGGGACAGGGACAGGGACAGAGACAGGGACAGAGACAGAGACAGAGATCTCCGGCCAAGAACACCACCACCTGTCACAAGCGACAGCTACGTTCCAGGCCGGTCGCCGCGTCGCCGCTCCAGGAGTGCTGATCGCTACAGGGGACTCGACCGAGGTCGTGACGTTGTTGGCGGTGGTGAGAGCTGGCGACGACGGGACAGCAGCCGTGGCCGCGCCAGAAGTCCTGTCAGGCGCCCTTCACCTCGAAGGAGCCCCCGACGGTCTCCACCACGCTACTCGCCTGCCCCGAGACGGGATGATAGGTTTCCAGATAGAGCACGGTCCCCACGCCGTGACTTTGACAGCAGAGACGCTAGGTGAGCTCCACCATTTGCCCCCCCCCCTCCCAACTCATCCACTCTGTTCTACCTCATCACCAACGCCGACAACGATCATCATGTCGCGGCGAAAAAGGCACTACGTCCCGTATGACGACTGGTATGATGGCCGAGACTACAACAGTTACTCACCATGGCGCTCACCCTACAGACGAAGATCACGATCCCCGTTCGATCGCGACCGCCGTGACCGGCCGCGATCTCCTTTCCGGCGCTCTCCTCCAGCTGGACCTCGAGGCGACAGATCTTACCGACCGCGATCGCGCTCTCCAGACCGCCTGGACCGTCGCGATGACCGGTATGGCCCAAGCTCGAGTTACAGACAGCGCTCACCTGTCAGAGAGCGAGAAGTCGTTCCCTCAGCCATCACATCGCGCTCGAATTCGCGGTCTCGCGTCTCATCCCCGCGCCCGCCCTCTCGCGGCCTTGACATTCGTTCCCGACCACGCTCGCCGGTTTCACGGTCCCCAGCTGGTCTGAGCGGCGCCAACTCGATCCCTGTGCCTGCTCGCACTTCGACACCGAGGGCTGCGGCAGAGCCCTTCCAGACCCCTCTCAAGTCACCTCAGCGCGCCAAGTCGCCGCCTCGTGGTCCAGCCGCTCTGAGGGCCCCTCCTACTGGTCCTAGTGCTGCCAGGAACTTTAGCACCCCTCATGCGGCGCCTGCTGCCTTGAGATCCACGCCAGCTCCGTCCTACTCCTCGCGAGCAGATACTCCGAGCCCAACGGTTCCGCCCTCTGGTCCACGCGGCTATGGTCCTCCAAGAGGCAATAGCTTCAGCTCCCGTGGCCGAGGCGGAGGAGGATGGGGGACGCCAGCTTCTCGACCGCACTTCGCACCGGCACCCGCCGCGTCACCAGCAACGCCACCCACCGGCCCCAGCAGTGTTCCCACTGGCCCGCGCGCGTCCTTCTCATCTAGAGACACACCCGCGCCATCTCCTTCTGTCGCCTCCAAGCCCTTCAACCCACCTACCGGCCCTGCGGCTCAAGGAGGTCAGCGCCAGAGCCTTGCCCAGAATCTCATTGCTTCGATGCCGCACATGGTCCCTGGCGGTAAACTCGACCCGGCCTCGACACCTCTGATGACCGGCGTGACCAAGGATCTCGAGGCTCACCATCGGCGCCTGAAGGAGGAGGAAGAGCGCATCCGCGAGGAACTCAAGGTCAAGGACGAAAAGCTGCGCAAGAGCCTGCGCGTGTGGGAGAAGCTCGAGCGTGAGTCCAAGAGTTTCGAGCTCAAGAGCGACCTGAGTGAGAACTCGCTCAGGACGATCGCGGGAGAGGGCGTGGGCGGCGCTGCGTTCTAGTGAAATGGACCTCGAGATGAATGTTGTATGAGCAAGCACCTTTGTCCGGAGACTTCGATTTCGGGCGAGTTCTTATGAGCGACGGACTGCCGATCCCTCGAGACCAATGGATCGACTATACGGAGGTCCGGCTTCTTAGCACCTGTTCCTTTCTATTTGGGTGCCCTGTTGCGTTGCGTGGACGTGTGTGGGACGATAAAGCACCAAGGAAAAGGAATGCCCGGGCTGCTTTGCGCTCGCTGTACGATATAATACGAAATGATTACTTGCATACTTGACCCGCCCCCTACCTACCTTCTCTATTCCATCAGCACCGTCCCTACCGGCAAATCAGTCGAATTCCGCAAGCAGCCGCAGGAGATGAACCCAAAGACGGGGATTAGGAACGGCTGAGACTGGCGAGATCTGGTTTGGTATGGCTGCATTGTGCACGGGAGTTCTCGTCCGCTGCTGTTGCGAGACGATCCCAAGCATCGGCCTGCGAACATGCTGGGAGGCGAAGCTCAGATAGGAACTACTTTGACGATCCTCATAGCACATGGTAATGGAATTCCTTGTGGAAACGACTTGCGAGCCAGTACTCTCATCACGGTTCGTTTGGTCTTTTGGCTTTGATCATATTTTTTTGGCTTTTCATTTTCTACAGTTGCGTAGCTACCAAACCACTACTACTTGTCTAATGGACCGTCCCCATTACCCTTCCAATGACCGCAGCAGCCGTTGGACGTTACCGACTTTTATTGCTTCCAAATCATATCAGGCCTTTTTGTTGGTTCTGGTTTGTGAGCATCCTGCACGTTCCGGTGCGGAGCCACTTGTGTCTTGTTGCGAATTCCTGGCCGTATCCTGCATGTGGTCGACCCTTATTTCACACCAACTTCGACGGGGCTGAGGGGCTGGCCAATTTACTTGGAGCCGTCAACCTTGGCGACGTGGACGATGAGGTCCAGGACACGGCGGGAGTAGCCCCACTCGTTGTCGTACCAGGAGACCAGCTTGACGAAGTTGTTGTTGAGGGAGATACCAGCCTTGGCATCGAAGATGGAAGAGGCAGGGTTGCCGTTCATGTCAGAGGAGACAACGTCGTCCTCAGTGTAGGCGAGGAATCCTGAATTTGGCCATGTTAGCAGTGATACTCTTTCAAACGGGGCTGGTGAGCAGTCGTGTCCGCGAGGAGAACTTACCCTTGAGGGGACCCTCAGAGGCCTCCTTGATGGCCTGCTTGATCTCGTCGTAGGAAGCAGCCTTCTCGATACGGACGGTCAAGTCGACAACGGAGACGTTGGCGGTGGGCACACGCATGGACATGCCAGTGAGCTTGCCGTTGAGCGAGGGGATGACCTTGCCGACGGCCTTGGCGGCACCGGTGGAGGAGGGGATGATGTTCTGGGCGGCGCCACGGCCTCCACGCCAGTCCTTGGCCGAGGGACCGTCGACGGTCTTCTGGGTGGCAGTGTAGGAGTGGACGGTGGTCATGAGACCCTCAATGATGCCGAACTTGTCGTTGACGACCTTGGCCAGGGGGGCCAGGCAGTTGGTGGTGCAGGAGGCGTTGGAGATGACGTCGGCGCTGCCGTCGTAGGAGCTCTCGTTGACACCCATCACGTACATGGGGGCATCGGCGGAGGGGGCGGAGATGATGACCTTCTTGGCACCACCCTTCAAGTGAGCCTTGGCCTTCTCGGTGGTGGTGAAGACACCGGTGGACTCGACGACGTAGGTGGCGCCGGTCTCGCTCCAGGGGATGGCGGCGGGGTCACGCTCGGTGTAGAACTTGACGGTCTTGCCGTTGACGATCAGGTCGGAGCCGCTGACCTGGACATCGCCCTTGAAGTTTCCGTGGGAGGAGTCGTACTTGAGCATGTAAGCCTGGCGGGGTGGGGAGTACCAGTGTCAGCCTTGCGCTCCTGATAATGCCCGACTCACGGTGTCATGGCGGCGATAGGGCGGCCGGGAGAGCCAAAGAGGGGGGGAAAATAGACCAAGTCTACAGCTACTACTCACAGCGTAGGTGGGCTCAATGAAGGGGTCGTTGACCGCAACGACGTCGACGTCACTGTGCTCGACGGCATTGCGGAAGACGATACGGCCGATACGGCCAAATCCGTTGATGCCAACCTTGACGACCATTTTGACTGGTGTTTTTGTGTGTGGTGAGCTGAAGATGTCGTTGGGGAGTGGTACGGTAGTGACCTAGGAGTGCTTGGAGGTGGTGTTTCGTTGAGGGATGGAGAGAGGGAGAGGAGGGACAGGAAAAAAAGGCGTTGAGGAGGAGGGAGTGGGCAGAGATTTAAAAGCTCAACGTCAGTCGCAGGAGGGGGAGGGAAGGACGGCAATTGGCTGGGCATGACAGCTCACGTCTCCCAGGGCTGGGCAGAGGTACCCAGCAAAACCACGCTCGTCCGCCCGCAAGCTCCAGGCGGCGTCAGGGCGTCTGGGCCCTGTCTGGACTCTGCTCTGGAGAGCTCCGACTCAGGACGGGGCGTTGCGAGGCGTTGGCGGGGCAATATTTTTTTGATGAAGGAGGCTCACGCACGCAACTCACGGCTGATGATCGAGGCACAACCCCCTTCGGCGGGTGGGCAGACAGGTGACCATGCTGAAAATATCGCATCTTCAGCTATTTGATGTGGGCTGCCCAACTCCTATGAATAATCTGGTGACGATGGCTACCCTGCCCACCTACTTACTGTATCTACATGCCTAGGTACCTATCTACATGCCTACCTGCACACCAGAAGAGGTCCATGGAGGGGGAGGGGGAACCCTTGGAGGGGCAAGCACCTGGGCAGCTACCTACCTACTTTGGGCATACCCAGGTACCCTGGGACGACGTGGGCCCCCCACCTTGCACTCTGAAATCATCCCACCACAGCCAAGCAAGCACCCACCAGAGAGCCAGAAAGCCAGAGAGCTCCCCACCCCCTGCCTGGGTTGGCCCGAGCTTGTCCGTCCTGCCGTCCCGCCCGCCATCGAGTCTCTGGTACCCTTCCCGATCCTGCTCGAAGCTTTCAGGGCTGCCCGCACGCCACGCCATCTAGCATCGTGCAGCCAGCCAGCCCATCCGTTGCCCGGCTATGCCTCCACCTGTTCCCGGCAGCCAGCGGGAGATGTCGCGGAGCCCGGTTAAGCAGATCAGCATTACCTAGGTTCGAGGACGACGGCATCCAAAAACAGCCGTGGCAAAACAGAAGGTAAGCTTGGCGGCTGTCACACAAGTCGTCTTCGCTTGGCCCCTGTATCGGACAAGGCGTAGCCTCGACCAGGTAGTCTGTCCGACACACGCCGTGGGCTCCGGCCTGTCGTCCCGAAAATCGCTCATCCCACACAGCCTGCCCGCCTGTCTCGGTCGGACGTTGAGCTACCTCTCCAAACACTCCAAGCATTCCGTTCGAGGCTTGCCTCGACATGCCTGACTCAGATGCAGCCAGCATAGTGCTGGAGTCAGCACGGTCAACGCGCCCTTCACACCCTGATGGCCTCTGTGCAGCTCCATACGCCCAGCACGCAGCACGCAGCACGCCGCTGTCCAGATGAGAAATCAGCCTTGGTAGCTTGCCCGTTGTCTCCATGTCCGGCAGACGAGTGACAAGTCGGCCAGACTAGCCTTGGCGATTTCGGTCCCCGGCGTTGGCATTATTCTCGCTGTAATCAGCCGAGTGGCCGCACAAGCACCACACGTATCACCACCATGACAAGAATGGGTATTCTCAGCCTCGACCTCTTTGTCCATGTTTCCAGCCTGCGGTCCTTGCGGCCAAGCTTTGGGCCTGCGAATCGGACCACGAAAACTTTTCCCCCGTCACGCAACCCAGCCTGCTGGCCTGGTCCAAACACGTGCTGGAAACACACGTCGAACCATCATGCCCTCATGCCATTCCCAATCCAATGCTCCACGCCCATCTGTGCTAAATCGGGGCCCGGATCGAGCTCCCATGCTCGCCTCTACGGCCAGCCTCCGCCCAATGCCGGCAACAACTCATAGTGTCAGACCAGATTGCCTCATTGCCTCGCCCCTTGTTCATACAGGAGCCATTCCTGACATGCCCAGCCATAGAATTATGGGTCCCTGCAGACCTGCTGGGTACGCCGCTACGGGCTGGCGGGGTGCTTCTGCAGCCATGACATGACACTTGCTTCTTTTCCGCATTGACAGCCCATTCCGTAACCTTCTTTTCAGCCTCACATCGCCACCCCTCTTTCCCCTTAACTGGGCCTTCTGCCTGTCGAATCAACGAGATAACACTAGAGCCTGGGCTCCCTGGAGAGACGTCGCGGAAACTGTCCATGGCCCGGTTTTTAAACATCCATCCAGCAGTCGCCTGAGGTCATCAACCATCCAGCTTGATCATCCATCTCGGGAGAACGGACGACTACGCGTCGCTGCCTGCCGACTTGGCTCCTTCGTTGCACACCCAAACATGACACCACGCAGCGGACAAGCAACCTTGGAACACGGCAATCGACGATGTTGTGTTCTCTCCTCAGCAGAGGTCTTTTATGTCTCGTCCACGCAACGTATTCATTGTAGTGACGCAGGGCTAGCACCTTCACAATGAGCGGTGACTTCGATCAGAAGAGGTGCCACGAGATCTACAGTTGTGATTCTCAACTAATAGTCTTCCATTTCATGTCATTCGCATAATATTGCTGATGATCACTCTCCGAAGCATCCAGGAGCGTCATCGTGATCGAGAGGGGGCCTAGCCGTGCTTCAGATCTCAACTGGCATTGCCGGACCAGAGTCTCGGTATCAGCGCTTTTCTCTTGGATGAGAGGATCAGGGCGTGGCCACGAATCGTCCGGAACGCCCTTCTGCGATACTGCACGCAGGCTCGAGTGCCCTCCAACATCTCCCGCGGCTCTGGAGTCGACCAGCTTCCACTTTCTGGGCGACGCGAGTCTCAGCTCCCATGAGCACTGCAGTGTCTTGGCAGACGTGTAAAGGGGATGTTCGGATGTTCTGCACATTTTCGCTCGGAGAGACGGGCAATCCGCGGCTACGACGTCAGGAAAGTAACGTGCAGTTTCCCAGCTGGAGGGCGGAGACAAGAGCCACTAGAGAGTATCTGGGCTCGCCGTGCAGTTCGCCAATCCAAACAACATCTCGGGATTCCATAACACCAGACAGCCCCAGCCGTTGTGTTGAAGGAGTCTTTAAATTTGATAGGCCCGTGTGCGATGCAGCCACTTGTCTCGACATGGAGAACCGCTGCGGAGCCGCAATCCCAGCCTTAACTGGGTCCCAGAATAAAAAGCCTAGACAGTTTTAGGAACTAACCCAGTGTCTCACAATCAATTCCTAATTCCTTCTGATAATACTGTCTCCTGAATTATGACTTGGACCAATATAGATTCGTGCAATGATGATGATGATTTATTGCTTGGCGCCAGTCTTACTGCCTCGAATCCAAAATCAAAGACCTCGTGAAACTATCTAACTAGGTAGTGAGTGGTTTCGTTTCTAATCGCCGTGCATATAAAACGTTTGTGGCGCATTCATACAGTGGTAGACGCTTAAGACCCAGCGTTAAAAAAAATAACAAAAAACAATGCCAGCCTAGGCAGTGAGTCTTGTCACTTTTGATAAGCTCCTCGGGATTTACATTGTTCTCTAGGGAAACACTCACAGAGACCATCATAAGATCCAAATGACCTGCGGCTCGATATTGGTGTGAAACGATGGGTCTTGAGCGTTTACCACCGTATGAAGACGCCATGTATGTCTTCAGACGTATGCGGAATAGAAGCGAGACCAGCTAAATTTGATTCTGAACCTTTGCGGGAGGTAGTCGTGGCCTCGGAAGACTCTTGCAATGAAAGACTTTGCTGGGATTCCGTATCATGGGTTTCTGAGCTGGAGCTGCGCATAGAGACGATTTTCATATTGTTTGAACGCCTTGTGATGTCAAATTCGCTCTCTATGGCTCTCCTTTGTAACCTGACACCAGGTCCGAAGTCGCGAAGTCTGGCCGTGAAAATGCTCATCATCTCAATTGGACCTAGAGAATCCTCAGATACGTCGAGATCAGTCATCTTGTAACCGACAAGGGCTACTGTGAACTTTGATAAAGCAATATCCTGCACAGCCTACGGCCTAGTGAACCATTCGGCCCAGGCTGTTAAACATGCCTCGGGCATTGGAATCATCGAGAAGTCCGGTTTGGGCTGCCAGGTGGCCATCACCCATCTCAAGGTTAGTCATCTAACCCAACATAGAAGAAAACAGGTAAACAGCACCCTCATTATGTTCTTTTCCGCGATCAGGTCCTCAACACACGATAGTTTGTCATGCGAGTGGGTGGTCAAGAGCCATGTATGTGATCTGTTTCGTTTTCTCGGACTTATCCGCCTTGGCTGCTACATACGGCATCGATCCAAATCGGGCGTAGTAGGGCCTGCCCGCTTGAGGAGCCTCGCAAGGAAAGGGAGGGCGTGGTGCAAGTTCCTACGAGCCATGAGGGTCTGGTAGTTACAGGCGATGAGAGATCGCTGGTCCTCGGGCTTGGCCTAGACGTACGACAGAGCATCATAGTGGCAAGAGACAGCAGCCATGTCCTTGCAGAAAAGCAGTACTGGCATTAGCTCCTAGTTCAAAATTTATCAACACCGGTAAAGAGAAAACGACCTATTAAAATAGTCTCCTCTCACAGCCCCCTTAGAGCCTACAAGCGGGCAGCCTCCTAGTAGAAGGAGGAGTTCTGCTAGGGTCCCGCATCTTATAAGAATCAATACATCTCAACTAATTATTCTCTTTCTGAGTTGAGGGTGAGAAACTAGGAACCCCTCTTATTAATGCAAATATTTAAAGCGGAGATAGTGCCTAACTTGTAGATCTGTGCGTACTGCTGATAAGTTGTCAAGGAGGAGGTGGGCTGTCTGTAAATTTTAGATGTAGAGCGCTAGCAGCAAAGCTGTGAATTTGAGACCAAGCTTTACCTATGGTAGTAGAGATTGTTACCCTGTGGTCTCGAGCCGGATTTGGCCGATTTTGAGCGGAGGATATTTGAATGGTGGCCCGTTCATTGGTATAGTAGACTTGCGCACTTGGCATTCTAGGGACGTGAGCAGTGCGCCCAGGGACGAGGCTGTGGTTGAAGAGAGTCCACGTGAGAATCCTTTCCAAGGACGGATGGCGGCTGACTTGGACATGCCCAGGAATTCACCTATCGATTAAAATGTCCATCTACGGGCACAGGCACACAGCATAGATGCCGCCGCTAATGCTTGCGCACGCGGAGTTTTGCCTCGTGTGTTTTATTGGCTACTTGAAAGCATGTTGGCCTCATTATCTGACCGAATCCTACCGAGATAGCTTCGAACTGGGCTCAGAACAACGTGATACTTGTGTATCGTCGTGGTGGTACATCAGAGTACGTTTGTAAACTGTGTGTTACTCTCTGCTGATATCTCTCACCAAGTGCGCGCCAGTATGCCTCACTGTTGAGTAATGTACTTAGGCACTTGAACGTTGCACTGATTTTGGACGAGAACAACTTTATAAATTAATACCGCTATAATCTGCCGAATACTCCAGAACGTCTGCAATATTTTTGCAAGGGCTTTTAAGACGCATCCCGTCCTATATAGACATCCACCATCTTGCATTCCAGTCTTATGACTGCGAGCTTCACGATTCCTGTCGTGCTATTCATGGAAACATTGAAAAGAAGAGAAGAACTAACAGTAATGATGTCGGGCCGCTTGTGACTGATTGAATGTTGGAAAGCATTCTCATGTGCTCCCGGCACAGATTGTCAGGCGTACACTGGAAGATACCCTCTAAGCGTCGAGCAGTGGCGTCTGATTGCTTTTTTCAATCGCCTTTTTAGTCTGACACGCTGTGGACTTCACGCATACCGTCAAGGAAAGACTCGATGACTAGGCTGATCTTCTCAACTCCTTACAGTCTTCTCATAGGCACTGTTGTCAAGATGCTTACTGATGAATTCAGCCTGCTCGTAATCGACACCTCCCTCCAAATGGACTAATTCAGTAGAGCTGGCTGTAAATACAGCCATGGGTAAGTTTCTCCCCAGAATGTTTGACACTTTCTATCTTGCTTGAATAGTCACTGGGGAGTATTTGCATAAGCACCTGGGCAGGGTCGATTGAGGTCTCACAATTGTACATTGCGTGGGGTAGATATTTTGCTATAAAAGTGACGAGTTGTCTGCTGTTGAAGCGCATTTAGTTACTGAAGCAGAGAACCCCCACTGGAGCTGATCACGCTCCCGGTGTTGTTGGTGTCTTTCATCAAATAAATGTAAGCCTCACCGACCTCTTCCGGCTGACCAGGCTTGCCAAGCAGCGCCTTTGCGGAGACAAAAGCTTCTAGCTTCTCTCGGGCCTCTCCAGGAGGGCCCCAAAGCTCTGTAGCGGTCGCGCCAGGGCTGACTGCATTGACGCGTATCGGCGACATCTCGAGTGCTAAGGCGCGGACGGTCCCGTAGAGCGAGGCCGCCCATCCGGCGCCGACGGCGTACCCCTTGACGGGCTTTTGACCGACCTCTCCGCCAGTGAAGATTATAGAGGACGTCCAATGCCGCGCCAGGAAGCGCGGGGCTAGCTTCGCAATGAGCACAGGGGCAGCCAGGCGGCTTGGAGGTGATCAATGTTAGCGCATGGATTATCGACAGCGGTCGAGGGCAAGGTTATTTATTATCAATAGGTCAATGAATGACTTACAGTGGAGCGGTTTCCCTGAAATACTCGACTGTGTATTCAGAGATGGGCTTGACGTTGGCGAGGCCAGCGGTCAGGATGATGTGGTCGATGTTCCCGCCATTGGCCTCCGCTACCTCGATGAACAGCTTCTCTAAATTTGACTCTACGTCAAGTCCACTTATGTCGACAGTGTAACCGGTGATATTGGCGTCAGGCACTGCGTCCTGTATCTTCCTGACGGCCTCGTCAACACGGCTCCGGTTGGACGAGGCGACAGCCACCTTGAGACCTTCGATACAGGCCAGCTTAGCTGCTGCGGCACCTATGCCAGAGGATCCACCGATGACCACAACTGATTGCCCTTTGATGGGAGGCATGATGAAGAGGGGAATGTTAAGTGGATGGTGGTATCAGTCTGGCACCAACGCTGGAGATGGCGGGAAGTGAATGCGATGGGGAGATGCTCGCTTCCCCACCGGAGAAGGTCGAGATTCCTGTCGCATTTTTATACCCATCCCTTTCGAACTTGCAGCGTGAGCTCGAGTAGAACTGAAGGAAGTGATGGGCCATATTGAGAGGCCCCACCAGGAGCTCCCTGTGTGGAAGAGAATACGAATGCGGGTTAGATCCAAAGCACTTACACCGGAATTAACCTCCGGTTTCTCTACTATGTCCGGCCCTGTGCCTCCCTCCTCATATACTACCGACAACTACATAAGAGATACCTAAATAACTTATACTTCCAAAGATCTACATGGTGCAGCCTTAAGCACTGTACATGCCAGAAGCACTCACGAACTGATCTTCAGATGCTCTTGCAGAGGATGTTCCTCAGGGACTTTTTTGGCCACTTAAGTAGGTAGGGAGATCGAGCGGCAAGCCTTAGCGGAGCTGCGCAATCGACAAAAGTTCGACCATGCCCAGTGTCGTAGGGAAAACGCTCTAGGGTTCTCAGAGTAAACGTTCTGCGCCTTTTTCTAAATACTGTCAAATGTTAGCTACTTTCCAAGGCCATTGCGTTGGGATTGTGGAGGAGGAGGGTCAACCCTGATGATCACAGAACGAGTGAAGCAAGCAAAAACGAGAACACAATCATACTTAGGTATTGTCTCTCGCCTCATCTTATTATGAACTACTAGCTTTAAACTGATATGAGAAGTTGAGAGCAATATCAAGCTTCTAGATACTATTTGAAAATATGACATTCCGCCCTATAACAGTCTACAAATAGTTCTGGTCATGTGCCCAGAATTTCCCCGAGCCATTTACACTTGAGGCTAACTGGGCGTTGGGTCTGACGACACATAGCATCATATCTGGCCACGGGTTCTGGAGTCCGTAGCTGAGGCTGGGCCGACGGTGGCCTGGAGATTCACAATTAGGGGCTATGAACTTCTGAGCCAGCTCGAGAGATTCCAACCAAGCTGTATCGGTCATGGTTGTCGGCGGACAATTGGCTCAAGAACGAGTTTGTGAGCTATAGTGAACGAAGTTGTAGAGTAGATAAGAGAAGTTGTCTCGGAAAAACAAAGTAGAGCCCCCCCCCCAGTTAAATACCCTCTATTCCTTAATTAAACTAAAACTTTATTAATAAAATAGAAACTCTAATATTTTTTAATAAAATACCTTTATTAATTTATTAATATTCTTTAATTAATAAAAAAAAGTTTTAATAATAATTAACTATTATTTATTATACTTTAAACTTTAATAGTTAGAGTTTTATTTATATTTTAACTTATTATTATTTAAGAAATAATTATAAATTAAATTCTAATATAATTATATAATAATTTAAATTTATTATTAAAAGTTATTACTATTTATATAATTACTTTAAGTATATTATTATTATTATTATTAAGTATAATTAAATTAAAATAATAAATTATAAAAGTTTATTAACTTATTTTTATAATAATATTATAAAGTATAATTAATATATAAACTATATAAATTAAAAGTTAAAAGATCTTTTATTTAATAAATTAGATTTATATTTTAATAAAATATAATACTTTTTATTAAATAATAATAAATTAATATTATTATAAAAATAATAAATAATATTTTTAAAGTTTATATATAAAATAATAAATAAATATATATATTAATTTATTAATATAATAAAAGTTTTATAATTATTATTTTTAATAAATATATTAATTAAATTATATAATAAAAATATTTATTTTATTAATAAATTTAATTTTAATAAGTAGAATAATATAAAAGATAGATTAAATATTTATTAAATATATTTTATAAGTTAAAAGTTTTTAAATAAAGAACTTACTTTTATATCTTTTATAATTATATTAAATAGTTTATTTATTATTATAATATATAAAAGTTATATAATAAAAGAGTTTTTAATAATTAAAAAAGTATTTTATTAAAGATAAATCTATATTTAAATTTAAAATTAATCCTTATAATAAATAATACTTCTTAATATTATAAAGTAAAAATAATTAAAATAATAAATATAAAAATATAAAGTATAAATATTTACTTTTATACTTTTTAATTTTAATTTTATTAAAGTATATTTTAATAATTTAAAATATTATTTATATTATTAATATTAATATAAATTATTAAATTATAATTTAAATAAAGATTTTATTTAATTTTATTTTTATATTTAGGAGATTAAATTTAAAGTTAAAGTTATTTAAAGATATTTCTATTATATATAAATATTAAAAGAAAGTATAAAATAAAATAAATATAATAGTTTTAATTAAAAGTTATAAAAATTAAAATTAATAAAGTTTTAATTAAGTAAAGTTATATAAATAGAAGAGTATTATTTATAAATTAAATAGTTAAATTAATAATTAAAAGTTAAAATAAATAAATTAACTATAAATAAATTTATTTAATTAATTAAATACTTAATATTAAATATTTAATTTATTTTATTTATTTAAAATAAATAACTATCCTTTTTAACTACTTTTATTACTAATTATATCTTTTATATATTTAATTAATTTTTTATTTAAAAGTTCTTTAAAATTTATTATATAACTTTTTACTTTATTAAATAAAGAGAATTATTTTAATAAACTTTTAATTTTTTATTAAATAATTAATTTAATTATAAAATTTAATATTAAATAAAATTAATTAATTAATTAAATAATTTTTATAAACTTTATAAAATATATTTTTAATATTTATTTAATAGTTTATTAAATAGTTATTTAATAGTTTTATTATAATAGTAAGTCTTTCTTATTATTATTATTATTAAAAAATTAATAAAGTTTTTTCTTTTTAAATATAATTTAATTAATATTTTAATTAATAAAATGATTTTTAAGTTATATTTATTAAATTAAATATCTTTTTTATAAAATTTATAAAAGTTAAGTTTTTATATTTTATAACTTTTATAAGTTATTTAAATTAAACTTTTTTAATAAATTCTTAAAATATTTTTAAAGTATTTTTATAATAAACTTTTAATATAAAATTATTTTATTTTTATTTATAATAATAATAATAAAAAATAATTAATAGTTTTTATTTTTATTATAAGTTTTAAGTATTATTATTATTATTATTATTAATAATAAAGTTTTATTAAATCTATAAAAGAAGTTAGTAATAGTAATAATAATAGTAATTTTATTAAGGTTATTTAATTATATCTAACTTTAAATAAATTAATATTAAATAATAGATTAATAATTATATTAATATTATTTTTTACTTTTATTTTTATTATTTTTTAAAAAATAAAGCTAATTTTATTATTATTGCTTTTTTATTAGGTTTTATTTAAGCTATTTAATAATTAAAGAGGATTTTTAATAAATAATTAATTATAGTATTATTTATTATAATTATATTAAATTAATTCTTTAAATTCTTATTAAATAAGCTAATATATATATTATTTTATTTAATAAAATATTATTATTATAAGAATTCTTTTATTTTAATAATAATAATTAATTTTATAATAATTATTTAAAAATATAGTTATATTTTTATTAATTATTTATATTTTTATATAAAGTTTATTTTTATCTTTATTTTAACCCTTTATTTAATAGTTATTAATATAAGTTAAAAGTTTTAAAGTTTAGATTTTTATTAAATATATTTATATCTACTATCTACCTAACTATTAATAAACTATCTTTTAAAATAGTTATTTATTAAATAATTAATAATAATTAAAAGATTTTAATTAATAATTATTTAATTAAATAATTACTTTATAATATAAATATTTATAACTCTTTTATTAATAATATAATTTTATAATTATATAAAATTAAAAAAATAATCTTTAAGTTTTAAAAATATATTTATAATATTATTATAATTAAATATTTTAATCTTTTATTAATATCTTTTTTATAAATTTTAATTATAAAAGTATAGATTTTTAATTTATAAATTAATTAATTTTAATAAAGATATTTTTAATTTAATAATTATATTTAAATAGTCTTTATATTTTTTATAATTAAGTTTTAATTAATTTAATATATTTTAATAAAAGGTTTTAGATTTTTAATTTTAATTTTTTATAATATAATACTTTATTTTTAAGTTATATAATAAAAATATTAATAACTTTTAAGTTATAAATTTTAATAAATAAAGTTAAAGTTAGTTTATTTAAATATACTTATATTAAAAGTTAATTAAGTAATTTTTAAAGTATTTAATATTATTATTAATATTATTTATTAAAACTTTATTTTAATAAAAGGTTTTATTATTAATACTTTTATTTTCTTTTTTATTAATAAATATATTCTTTTATTATTAATTTAAATAGTATTCTTTTATACTTTTAAACTACTTAATTTATTATAATAAATTTATCTTAAATAGTTTTTAAAGGTACCTATAAGTATTTTTAAATAATTTATTAAACCTTAATTACTTTAATAATTAACTTTTAAATATATAACTATTTAAATAATATAATATTTTATTAATAAATTATATAATTTAATTTTAAATAAATTTTATATAATAAGTATTAAATAGTTTAAACTTAATAAATTAATTTAATAATATTATTTATAAAATTAATTAAATTAATATTACTTTATATTAAAATAAATAAATTATATATACTTTTATAAATTAAGTTTAAATTAATTATATAAAATTAATATAATATTATTTTTATTTAATTAAATAATAAAAATAACTTATTATTAATATTAATAATATTAATAAAGGTATTCTAATAAGAATATTTATTAGTTAGCTTAGCTTATATATAAAAAGTAGTTAAAAGTAATATATATTTATATTAATTAAAGGTCTACCTAGCTAGGTAGTAAAACGCCTAATTAGGTTGGCTAAACCTACTAACTAAGCTAAGCTTAACCTATATATATATATAAACTACTATTAACCTAGCTTATAATAGCTAATCCACTATAGCCTATTATTCCTATATTAGCACCTTTTTAGTCTTTTAAAATCTTCCTTCTAGTTAATTAAAAAGCTCTATTTACTAATAAAGTAGTTTTTAACTAAATCACTCTAATTACTTAGAATTACCACTAAATATATAATTGTAATTTACTTAATTTAAGCACTATAAAAACACTCTAAATTAATGTTTTATAAATTACTTAAATCACTTAAATTTAAATTACTTTAATAGATAAAATTAAATCTAAATTACTAATTAACCAATCACTTACTAGGCCGTCTACTAGCTAGTTACTAACTATAACTACATCTAGCTAATTAATCCCTTCTAATAATTTCTTCTTCTTTTATAGCCAGCAAAGCGCTTCAAATTAACGTTTTCTAATCGCCCAATTACCCAATTACTTAATTACTAATCACTTATTAAGCTGTCGCTAGTTACTTACTAACTATAACCAATCATTAATTAATCTATAACCATTAATCAATCTAGTTAGTCCTTCTAATAGTCGACTAGTCCTTCTTCCCTTCTCGTTCATATAGTTAATCAAACTATTAAGGCATCTAACAGCTAGCTAGCAGCTATCAAAGAGTAGGGCTTACTTCTAGCATGAATCACTATTTGCGTAGTTACTTGAGTAGGGGGTCGTTTAGTTAGTCATTCAGTCAATCATTCAATCAGTCAGTCACACCAAACGTAATCCTCATCTACTAAACACACTCCCACCCTATTTATATAATCAGTCACTTAACCCGTAAGGTCGTTACTTATACTTAAAAGTCTCTCTTAAAGGGGGTAGTTAAAAGGTTAGTAAGGGCACCTAGTAAGCTAGTAGGCTACTAATTACTAATTTAAAGGTCTATTAAATAGACTTAAATTATTACTTATAAGAGGGATTGCCCGACTAAAAAGAAGAGTTGCTATAAGCATTTATAATCTTATATTTCTTCTTATATATTATAAAAGAGCAAGAGGGTTATTATAAAAGTTACAAGACTTACCTAATAAAAGGGTCCTATTTATTTATTATAATTAAGAGAAAATTATGAATTTTAAGTCTCTAAAAATTACTATATCTAACTTAAGGTGTTACCTACAGCTAAAAAGAGGGTTATTAATAAAAAAAGAAGCTAAATCCCAAGTCTTTAAAGATTATTAACTTCTTTTTAAGGTGTAATAAACGTACACAACACCTTTAATAGCTCTAAACTAATAGATTAAAATTAATACTAATTTATTACTATTATTATTATTATAATTACTATAATATTATCAATTAACTAGTATTAACACTAATAATTCCTTATAGTATTAATATAATTAGCTATTTATAACTATTATAGTCTTAAATAATAAACTAAAATTAATACTATTAGTTCTATAATAGTTATAATAAGTAATTAACTATCTATACCTAACTATTTAAAGCTAGTAGGTAACTAATTAATGTTGGTTGGCTTAGCTTACGTATAAAAAGTAGTTAAAAGTGATATATATTTATGTTAGTTAAAGGTCTACCTAGCTGGGCGGCAAAGCGCCCAGTTGAGTTGGCCAGACCTACTAACTAAACTAAGCTTGGCCCGTGTATACACACGGACCACTATCGACCTGGCTTGCAGTAGCTAATCCACTACAGCCTACTATTCCCACAATATTAGAGTTTTTATTCTATTAGTGAAGTTTTGGTTTAATTAAGGAATAGAGGGTATTTAACTAAGGGGGGGCTCTACTTCATTTTTTCAAGATAGAGGTACTTAGTTACTTACGTAACCCATATAGGTGGGTACCTACAGTAGGTATTTAATCAACGACCCACCAGAGCTCCGAGCTTGAGGACCCTTCATATTACGACCCCGCGCTCAGATCTCAATTGCCTCTCCACTGTCTCTTCCCCGCGAAATCAAACACTGCTGTACCACCAGATCCTCCTCCAACCCATTGATCCCTTCAGTCCAATTCCAAAAACTGGTCATAGAAACCCAGTCGACTGCCTCTCCCGTCCAAGAATGGCAACACACTCCCACGACGGGTCAGCCCCGCACTCGCACTCACACGATGGCGGCTTCAACGCCCAGGAACATGGCCACACACACGAGATCCTGAATGGGCCAGGCTCGTACATCGGGCGGGAGATGCCCATAACGGAAGGTCGGCAGTGGGCTTCGCGGGCCTTCACTGTGGGCATCGGAGGGCCCGTGGGCTCAGGCAAGACGGCTCTAATGCTGGCGCTGTGCATGGCGTTGCGGTCTCGCTACAACATCGCCGCCGTCACCAACGACATCTTCACGCGGGAGGACGCCGAGTTCCTGACGCGCAACCGTGCCTTGCCCTCCGAGCGCATCCGCGCCATCGAGACGGGTGGCTGTCCCCACGCCGCCGTGCGCGAGGACATCAGCGCCAACCTCGCCGCGCTCGAGGATTTGCATGCCGAGTTCAACACCGACCTGCTGCTCATCGAGAGCGGCGGCGACAATCTGGCAGCAAACTACAGCCGGGAGCTGGCAGATTACATCATCTACGTCATTGACGTGTCCGGTGGTGATAAGATCCCTCGCAAGGGCGGGCCCGGCATCACCCAGAGCGACCTGCTGGTCGTCAACAAGACCGACCTCGCCGAGGCCGTGGGCGCCGACCTGGGTGTCATGGAGCGGGACGCCAGGAAGATGCGGGAGGGCGGGCCGACGGTATTTGCCCAGGTCAAGAAGGATGTTGGTGTGGACCATATCGTCAACCTGATCCTCAGCGCATGGCGGGCGAGTGGTGCCGAGGAGGTACAGAAGTCGCGCGGAGGCCCGACAGCGACCCCTGGCCTTGACGCTCTGAAATGATCAAGACCATTATACGCCTCACATACTCAGGTCTGTATAAAAATACGCTTGCCCATTATCCTGGCCGCTGATTGTTGGTATTCATTGTAATCATAATCTGGAGCAACATGATACCCTATTCCACAACGCCTTCTCATGATATCTACGGTCGTCGGAGGAGACCCTTACTCCTCCATCACCTCGACTGCCTCTGCACCCTCTTCTGCATCCTCAAGCAGAGGGCCCTGCAACTGTATCGCATTGCGGGGCCAGACTCTCTTGTAGAGACTGACACCGATTGTGTCCTGAGGGTTGATGTGAGCGTCGAATGTCGCCTTGAAGTATCCGTGGGTTCCTAGCGGCTCCTTGACGTAGCCACTCCGGCCTCTCTTGGTCCACAAGGGCAGTGCCTTGAACCATTCCACGTCCTCCCTGTTGAAGAACATGTACCGGATGGTCACGATTCTCTTGTGTATGTGGTACGGGTGACCTGTCAGGATCACCCGCTTGGCGATGACCCGGTTGGTCGAGGGAGGAATGGCCGTACCCGTTCCGATCAGGGCCAGGGGCAGGTCAGGCTCACCCTCGGCCTTCTTCTCGCCAGGCTTTGACCTCCTGTAGAAGAGAGCTGGCACGGCGCCCCAAGTCACAGGGCCCATAAAGGTCGCCACTGCAGACTGCCCTGGGTGCAAAAAGCGGCAGTACTTGTGCACGTCATTTGGCGTGGTGCCGCCCTGCGAGAACAGAGGGTTGATGACGAACCTCCGTGGGCCACACTGCATGATGAGCTCTTCCTTGGACTTGATGGACCTGGCATAGTCAGAGCTCAAGTTGATGAGGAAGTTGACCGCCGTCCGCTTCTGTTCATGCCTCAGCAGGGAGAAAAGAGTCACAGGCTTAGCCGCGTGATACGTCGCCCGACATTCAGCAGGGACGCCTCTGATATGAACGTGGACCCGAGTGCCGGGCTGCACACCTCCCACGAGGGCCTCATTACGTGCGCTGTTTCGAGAAGCTTGGTAGTTCTGGACTTGAAGAAGCCGACGCCACTCCTCAGGCTCGTGTGCTCGGTCCTCGTCCTGATCCCAAGGGCTGCTCCGCAGACTCTTCAGTCCTCTGTATCTCGCCAGTCGCTCGCGCGCGAGGACGTTGGGCTGCAATTCGATCTCGTCGGGGAACTCCAGATCCTCCTCAGCTTCGTTCTTCTTCTTCTTTGACCGATATTGCGCCAACTGCGCAGCATCGTCGTTTTCATCCAATTCCTCGAACTTTTCTGACTGAGGGTATTCTGATGGCCCCGCCTCCGTCATATGATCGTCGGCAAGTCCTTCCATGCCATCCTCTGGTGCCACAGAGCCCTCAGACCCTTCCTTGTCGTCCAATTCCATGTCGGTCATGTCAGAGCCGTCGTCAGACACGTCATCCTCTAAGTACCAAGCTGATTGGTACTTTGAGGTTCCCTTGGGGACCCTCAGGTGCGTCACCTGGGCATTGTCTTCGTCTTCAGAAAAATAGTGATGATCGTCTAGCAGAACACCCTTTTTCATAGACGGGGCCACGGATGTGGCATCATCCAAATCAATATCATCATCCGCATCACGCATGGCCGCCTCCTCCGGCGCCAGGTCATCGAGCTCGTCTTGATCCTCGGAAGGAACCGCGAGAGGCTGTTCCGTTTCATCGTCCACGTTCATCCCCTCGTCCGACTTCTTCCCTCTCTTTGAAAGGGGTGCAGCGGTGATCTTCTCGATCTTGAAGGAGCCCCAGTCGCCCACTTGAACCAGTCGATCTGCCTGTAAGCCCCGGCCCCTTACAACGCCAGTGACAATGGTCAAGCCTTCTTCCGAGTCCGCGAACCTGACATCTTCTGCAAGCATCCAGCTCCGCTCATCCCGCCACTTGACACCCTTCGGGGTCGAGTTGCAGAGTGAGCGCATCAGATTCGAGCATTCTTGCCTGTTGTCGAGGTTGTAAATCTTGTGCTGCTCGGGGTGGAAATGCGTGATGTATGACCGCAGGGAGTCGAGGACCGAGTTTCTGAGCTTTGCGGGCTCGGTCTTGTTGAGACCCTGGACGACGGTGAACAAAGTTGACAGGCCTTGGCTCTCCACGCTCCGAAGGATCAGCTCGCCAAGGTCGTCGACATCGACATCGGCAGACAGAATAAGGACCACAAAGTCAGCGACTCTGGCAGCATCTGTACATGCTGCCAGGTCTCGCGGCAGGGCGACGTATTGCAGCTTCTGCTTGAACCTGTCAACGGGCACGCGAGCGGTGCCAAGCGGAATTTCTTGGTCGATGTCGAGACTCTGGTTCAGGGCTCGAACGGCAGCGGTGGAATCGCCATCCGGGCAGAGAGGAATGACAGCCACATTTCGGGGGGCACCGTCCTTGCCGGCGAAGACGACGGTCTCCTGCTGGTGGGCCTTGTGCTTCTGTGCCTGCCTCTGCTTGGCCTGATTTCGTCGGTCGAGTTTAGACATGACTTGCTGATGGGGTGTCTTGCGGCGCTCGTTTGGGACCTTGCCTAGGAGGAGCAAGCGGTGCCAAAGTTAGCATATGCATCTTTTGTACTTGTTGTGTTTGCTGGTGAGGGGCCACGGGATTAAATATGCAAGTTTGCGGCGCCCCCCCCCCCTCAATTTGCCTTTCCCAGCGACTGCTCGCCGGAGTGACTCATCTCACCTTTCAGCTGATCTCGCATGGCTCCCTTGGTCGCCTTCCGGGACTTGAAGGCCTTGTTGTTGACCTTGGTGGTCGCCCGGTGCGAGTGGCCTGCGACGGCGGCCGGCATCTTTCCTCCGTCACCACCTGCCTTGAACCTGAATGGTAGAGATGAAGACGCCAGATTGTCAAATATCTCACAGTCACCGAGGGAAAAATCTTGAAAATTCTAGTATTGGATGTCGTGAAATGAGAATGGGACAGAGCCTTGAATTCTCTATGTCCCGTCACTGGCAAACGGTTGGTTTACACCACCCGCCATCGCCCTCGCTAGAGTCGCATCTGCCCCGCCAATTTTTGAAATTTCTTGTGGAATCAACCATCAACATCCCTGCTTATCGGCTTATCAGCGCATTATCAGCTTATCAGTCGTCGACCCTCAGAAAAAGTTCCTAGACTGCGCATCGACCAGACATTCATTTCCGAGGCCGACTGAGAAAACTGTCATTGCACAACCAACCATGGCCGACGAAACGCGGACGGAGCCAAATGGTGCCTCGAAGGTCCAACATGCCAGGACATCACTACTCTCGAAAGAAGAACAAGCAAAGCGGCGTCGGCAAAAGCTAGCCAACCGGGACTATGGCCGCGGCAAAGGCGTCGACGTGCGCGGTGTTCGGGACAAGAAGCTGCGCACCAACATGAAGAAGCAGGAGGAGAAATACCAGGATGCCATCTCAAAAGCTAAAGATGCCGAGATTCTGTTGGAGAATGCGCCAGGCTTCCTCGAGCCAGAACATGAGCTCGAGCGAACGTACAGGGTTCGCCAGGACGACATCACAAGCGAGACGGCCGTGGCAGCGGCGCAAAAGCGATTCGACCTGAAACTCGAGGACCTGGGTCCATACCACTGTGAATACACGAGAAATGGCAAGGAGTTGCTGCTGGCCGGCCGCAAGGGCCACGTTGCGACGATGGACTTCCGTGAAGGGAAATTAGGCTGTGAGCTTCAATTGGGCGAGACAATCAGAGGTAGGTCTTCTCTATGGTATCCTCTTCGATTCGAGGACTGAGTTTATATCCGCCTTATACAGATGTGCGGTGGCTTCACAACAACCAGTATTTCGCCGTCGCGCAAAAGAAATACGTCTACATTTACGACAGGAATGGCGTCGAGCTACATTGCCTGAAGAAACACGTCGAAGTCTCACACATGGAGTTTCTGCCATATCACATGCTCTTAGCCACACTGGGCATGTCGAGCAACTTGAAATACCAAGACGTCTCTACCGGACAGCTGGTATCCGAAATCCACACAAAAGGCGGCGCCCCATGCTCCTTGACGCAGAACCCATGGAACGCAATATGTCACATTGGTCACCAGAACGGCACAGTCTCATTGTGGTCACCGAATTCCTCAGAAGCGCTGGTCAAACTGCTTGCACACAAAGGCCCGGTCCGGTCGCTGGCAGTCGACCGAGAGGGCCGTTACATGGTCTCAGCGGGGCAGGATCTGAAGATGTCGGTCTGGGACATACGGATGTTCAAGGAGGTTAATTCCTATTTCACAAGGACTCCCGCATCATCCGTTGCGATATCAGATACCGGACTTACCGCAGTGGGCTGGGGCACGAGCACGACGATATGGAAGGGTCTCTTCTCCAAGCACAGATCTGTTCAAGAAAAGGTGCAAAGCCCATACCTCACTTGGGGCAAAGAAGGCAAGGCCGTGGAGCGATTGCGGTGGTGTCCTTTCGAGGATGTGCTCGGGATTGGTCACGACCAGGGCTTCTCATCGATCCTGGTTCCTGGCGCTGGCGAGGCCAACTACGACGCTCTCGAGGTTAACCCGTACGAGACGGCCAAGCAGCGGCAGGAGGCCGAAGTCAAGCAGCTGCTTAACAAGCTGCCTCCCGAGATGATCGCGCTGGACCCCAACTTTATTGGCAACCTGGACCTGCGGTCGGAGAAGCAGCGGAAGGCCGAGAAAGACCTCGACGCGCCGGCCGTGAACATCGAGGAGGAGATCAGGAACAAGGCACGCGGGCGTAACGGCGCTCTTAAGAAGTACATTCGCAAGCAGAGGAAGCGGAACATCATCGACGAGAAGAGAGTGCGCGCAGACGAGATCTGGGAGGAACTGCAGAACAAGAACAAGGCCCAGCACGAGCAGCAGAAGGAAGAGCTGGGCCCGGCCCTGGGGCGGTTCGCGAGGAAGGAGAAATAAGAGGTTGAGCAGATACCCCAATAGGCAGGCAATGTGATTTTATATCTTTGTCTATGCCACTAATCCAGACCGTTGAGAGGCACCGCACCCTCAGCCGGCATGTCGAAATACCACATTCGGACCACCGCTGTCAATACCTGCCCTTTATGTTGCGGGTGCACAGTTGGTACCTTGCTCGAGATGGGACTTCAGTTCTCTGGGCTGTAGTTCGAGGCGTTCGAACATCCGAAGAGTGTAGTGTGGGAAGCACATTGAGTCTTGTGGCAGAAGGCAGCGCGCGGCGCGCGCAAAGGAAAGGACTCGCCCCAAGTCCACGATAGGAACACGGTATTTTAGCTGGCGGTCAACTAGACTAATGTCGATGGCATATACACACTCATGATATTTGTGAGATGATGCTGGAGCCGCGAGAGCCTAGCATCCCAGCTGTTCTCGCGCAGGTTCAATGAATATATTCCAAGAGAGCACCATGTCATGTGCGAGCATCAAGTTGTGATCTGTCCCAAGTTGACCCACCTACCAGACCGTTTGTCAATGTCTTTTGCTAGCCCCCAACGCCGAGCAATGCAAATCCCACCCCTTAACAAATCACGGGACAACCGCCGGTCCCAACCATACAGAGACTTGAAGCGTCAGGACCACATGCCCACCCTACAGCAGCTTCAGGTGGCCGGTGACCTGGTCCACGGCGCTCTTGGGCGCGGGCCCCACGCCGAGGACGGTCAGGCTGCCCGGGTCGATCTGGGTCCGGCCGGCGTCGGCGATGACTTCGGCGGTGATGCCAAGCGAGCGAGCCTTGGCCATCAGCTCGTGCATCTCGTCGGCGCTCTTGGTCTGCAGGGCGACCTTGGCCTGGCCGTAGCGCTCCCAGCGCTTCAGGAGCTTGGCCGCGGGGCTGCTGGGCCCGGCGGCCTGCGCGGCCTTGGAGATAGACTTGAAGCAGGCGAGAGTCGCGTGGCCGCACTGCGCTGCGATCTTGCCTGGTTGGGGGTGGGCAGAAGGGTTAGCACACAGCTTGGCCATGCTCGTAACGGGGAGACGGCGGCTGATGGGTCGGCACGCTTACCCTTGGTCATGCCCAGATCCGTCCTGACAACCAGGATCAGCTTGCACTCCTCCCCTGTGTCCTCAACCGAGGGCACAGGGCCTGCCTTTGGCTTGTTGCTGGCGGCCTTGTTCTTGTCATTCCCAGTGTAGCGCAGTCCCTGCTTCCTGTCCGCCTCCTCGCCGTTGGCCCAGTTGGGCGCGTGGTCCATGTTGGTTTCGTCCTCGTCGATGTCGGTCTCGTCGCTGTCGACGGGGTCGTCATAGTTTGCACGCGACTGCTTGGCGAATTCGGGGGTGATGATGTAGCCCTGAATGCTGTAGATGCCCAACAAGAAGCCGGTGACAAGGGCGACGACCGACGTCGAGATCACCACGAGGGTGGTGTCTTCGGGCATGATGGATGGCGGGGATACGGCGATTCGGCCTGAAGTTTGGGTCGACAAGAAGGAGCTCAGCTATCTCAAGACTGCTAGTGCATACGGTACAGCAGAAGGGAGCGTCGGAAGTTGAACAGGAGCGGTAGGGAGGACGGGATTTGTCATTGAGGATCTGAGCAGGTAGGGTTCAGATGCTCCTTTTTTTCCCTGGCCGGCCGCTGCTTGGCCAGGCTGCCAGGTCCCTAGCTTTGCGTCACTGCGGCGATCTACAGGGGCCCCCTGGTCCAAGACTGGATGGCAGACAAGGGGTACCACAGCACTCAGCAGCACAACTGACGAAGAGGCCCGGGCATGATGTACAAAATTCGAGCCTCGAGCCTCAGGATGCACGCGGCCGAAAACAAATGCGACGGTTCATTGGCAACACGCAGAGTGTGGGACTTCCCCCATGGTTGATTCCTGCCCTGTTTTCTATACCAGAAAGCTGTCCATGCTGAGGACCGTGGTTGCTGCTCCGTAGAGGCAAAGATGGCGCTGAATAGATCCAGCGAGCGGAAACACTGACAATGTAGCATGACTCCTGGCCGGTAGACCCGTCGCCCGGCGTGGCAGTCGCCCGGGGCATGTCTTGTGGACTCGGTCGGGGCGTCCGTGCGTTTCCGGAGCCGGCGCGGCCCCTCCCGTCTTACCCGGCCGGGGCAATTTCAACCTCACTCGTCTTCTCGCACCGGAATCTCAGCCCCGCAATACAAACTGCTTGAGGAGAACAAGTACTCCTCTCAACACTCCCTGAAGATGAGCGGCCAGAAGGCAATCATCATAGGTTTGTCCGGCTGCTCCTCGAGCGGCAAGACAACCCTCGCGAGGCTTCTCCGAGACATTTTCCCAAACAGCTTCGTGCTGCACGAGGATGACTTTTACCGCCCCGAAGAGGAGTAAGTGGGCAGTCTCACGTCCCAAAACCGAAATACGGCATCAATGAGCATGGAAGTGACCCCTTGCTGGCAGACTGCCCATGAAAGACGGCCTCCTGGACTGGGACTGTGCCGAGTCCATCAACATCCCGGACATGGAGAAGGCGCTGTCGCACATCCGCTCCGAGGGAACATTTCCGGTAAGCAACAACGGCCCCGACCTGGCCTGCGCCCACCGCAGTAGCCACGGCGTGACCCGAGCGCCTCCCCACGCTGCGTCGTCCCCTGCCCCCCCCGGCCAAGCCGTCATCTTCGCAACGCTTACCAGACAACCACCCGCCTCCCCCGGAGCAGCCCTTCGTAGACTCCAAGGAAGACCAGAACTCGGTGGGCGAGTGCCCCGCCTCGCCCGCCAAGATCGAGGCCCAGAAGACGAGGGTGCGCGAGTGGGTGCAGCCGGGCAACCCCGGCCACGAGCTGTTCTCCCCTGCCCCCGGCGCCCCCGGCCGCGGGCCCCTCCGCCTGTGCCTCCTGGACGGCTTCCTCCTCTACTCGCCGCCAAAGCTCTCAGCCACCATGGACATGATCGACGTCAAGCTCTTTCTGCAGGTGTCGCGCGCCAGGGCGACGCAGCGGCGCGAGGCCCGCGACGGCTATGTCACGCTCGAGGGGTTCTGGAAGGACCCGCCCGGCTATGTCGACAAGATCGTCTGGCCCAACTACGTCGACGCCCACAGGTGGCTCTTCGCGGGCGGCGATGTTGAACGCGGTGAGTTGGACTGGGACGTGTTGAGGGAGAAAGGAGTGCTCGCCCAGCACGGGCGGCCTGGGCCTGGTGGAGGCGTGGACCTTGAATTCGAGGAGACACTGGAGTGGGCTGTCGGGGAGGTCATGGCGGCGCTTGAGAGGTGGCATAAGGGGTGATCAGACCCGCTCTCCCCATGGTAACATGACTTGCTTCGCCACGGAATATTGCGAAAACACTTCTGTCTTTTGGCCTAAAGCACCATTCTGTTGACATCTATGAGCAGGTGTTCCACCCTGCGGCAAGTCACGGAATAGATCTCAGGCTAGACTCGTTGCAATGTGTAATGGAGCATATCAAATGGACTTCCTGCCGCCCTTCTTGACACATAAACAGATGGAGTGCTTTGATACCCTACAAGTATGATAGCATATTGCACAACATTATTGGTATTATTGTATCTCTGTTCCTATTGCGTGGTAGTGTATGTCTGAGGACCAAGGAAAATACTCTAGCCGTGCGTCGTTAGCTTTGCTTGTCCCAGGTCTTCTAAAGAATGAGATCGGCCTCCCAAACATCCCGCCTCCCTGAGATTGACGGGCAGAAACACCAACCACTGTCAATCGCTAGCCCTCTACTGCCAACTTGAAGAAACAGTGGTGGAGGTAGCGCATGATGCCGCCACCGTCAGGGTGTGGTTCGGGTCGGCCTCCCAAGAGACGGTCCCGCTGGATGAAACCCTGATGAACTTGTATGCGACCACCGCGCCGGAAGCCAATTCAATGGTGACAGACCAAAGCGGGTTTGATGAGGTATACTGGCTCGCGCTGAGCGCCACGGCCTTGCTGGTGTCCCAGTTTCCGAGAGCAGCATTGTCTCCAACGATCTTGATAGTTTCCCCGAACGTCGTGGTGACTCTTTCATTGAATGTAACTAGGACAGATGGCGCGGGGGCACAGCCAGTGCCAGTGGGAGCGGCACTTGTCGTGGTGGCTGTCGTAGTGCTGTAGCCGGTCTGCGGGGTCTGCGATGCAGGAAAAGACGGCGCGGGCACCGATGAGTACGATCCGGAGACTGAAGGTGTGGAGCACGTTCCAGGGACGACGTTACCGGATGCCCCAACCCAAGAAGGGGGAACGGTGCCAGCGCGGCGGGCGGCCGCACTCAGAAAGGCAGCATATGACCATGTGAGGTCATATGCCGACAGAGGCGAACCGTTTGACTTCTCAAACTGCTCGGAAAGCGATCCATTTGGCGCGGCGTAGGTTGCCACAACGTTCACGTAGCCATCGGCGTACGCCGTGACTGCGTTGAGCAATGATGTGTAAGTGGAAGAGCCGGACTGGTATGTGCCAGTAGTGACGGACGAGTCAAGGTCCTTGAAGAAGGCAAGAGAGGTCGACGTGACTTGGATGAAACCCTGGGATTTCCATACAATCAAGGCATCGTAGAGCTGCTCTGCTGCAGCAAGGGTGGTCAAATACCAGGGGTTTCCGTTGTAATAGACATCCTCCGAGTATCTGCCGACAGCGACTGCAGTGCCTTGGGGAATGCCAGAGTTGATGCCGTAGACGGAACGGAACGAATCCGTCACAGCCTTATGGTTTGAACTACGTGAAATCAAAAGTCAGTCGACTCCCTGACGGGTTCACGGCTTGAAAGGCAGATGATCTCCGTTCATAGCTGCAGCAATCCAGAAGATGTGACACCAAGAGAGCCAAGGCACCCCCACCCCCAAAACAAAAGACGGCCGTTTAGATTAGAGACTGCCCTTCTTACAGTACAGTATAGTTTTGATCTGGAATGCAAGCTGGAGCAGATGATGGTGGGAAAAGGGTTACTTACAGGGCCTTGTCACTGCACGGCTGGAACGTTGCAGCGTCGCACGCCACGGCAGGATCGAAAGTGGCGATTGATGAAATAAGTGAGTTCGCGTCCTTGCCAGTACGGCCGTTGTTCACATTTACTGCTGTTGCGTCAATTCTGTCCTGCACATATGGTCACGACTGGAGGATGGCATGGGCACTGACTGTTTGCGACAATATAGCCGCTGGACGACCAAAAGCGCTGCAGGAAGCAAAGAACCTGAGGGGCAACAGTAGTGCAGGCTGTGCAGGAAGTACCCAGCGAGGATGCGAGCGCAGCTCCCTGGACGAGGGCGCGGTGCTGGGCAGCCGTGGTGAAGAACGAGCTGCCTTGGACCTCTTCCCAGAGATCAAAGCCGGTCTGGTTCCAGTACTGAGCGACGTAGCTGAGATCGTTGCGGATGATTGGCCAAACAAGGTTTGAGGCCGTCAACGAGTAGCCATTGGCGACGAGCCAGTTGGCATAGGTGATGAGTGCGATGGCTCTGAGGGCCGGGCCGTCTCTCTGTGGCCTCCCTAGTGCGTTTGTTAGCCGGGTATGTCGAGGTAAGACGAGGTTGCAAGGCTCCATGTATACTTACCCCAGTCTCCAGTGAACTGGCTGAGGTCGACGTTGAACTTGGGCTCTCCCAGACCAGCACCATTGGACAGAGAGCCAGATGGGTTAGATACGCCTTGGAGTCGGGCCTGGGCAGTTATGTAGTTCTGGATGTCAGATTGGAGGGTGGTGTTGTAGTTATTGGCAAAGATGTCAATGAGCTCCTTGAGGACCAGGCCGGCATCGCGGGTCCAGGTGTACCAGTAGTCCGGGTTGGCCTTGCTAGGGGATGCAATGACGGCACCGGATGCTACGCCAGATGTGTAGCAGCCGTTTGCACCGATATTGCAGAGCAGGCGGCTCAGAGCGATGGGACTCTCGGTTGCAACGAACGAGTCCACCGAACGCTTGATGACCTCGCCGTTGCTCCGGACGAACCCAGCATCTGGCCGACCCAGGACGGCCTGGAGGGCGTAGGTGCCCAAGAGCAAGAGAGAGGTGAGACCGGTCATGATGGGCTGGACCAAGCTGGAGCTGTTGACTGTCAGGGCGGTGGTGTTGACCGCCATGTCACTGGGATGGATCTGGGAGGCCATTTATATCCGTGGCGATGTTGACGGCCGGGCAGCAATGGCACAAAGCAACTTGACGTGCATGGCGTTTCCAGGGTAGCAGCTTTCCACAAACCAGCATCGTGGGAGACTGTCACGAGGCGGCAGCATCGAGGAAGAAGCACCGATGTCGTGCCGGGGCCTTGCAGGGCTTGGGCTTTTTCCCGGGACGCAGCCGAGAGTTTCTTGCGTCGAGAGCGAGGGCCAGAAGAAGCACGGCGATGGGGTCAGCTTGTCGCGTCGCCAATGACACGGCCGCTGGCACGGTTGCGGGTTTCCACTCTCGGGCTAGGCCAGGGCAACAGGGGTAGAGGGTAAGACAACGGCGCAGATGAGATGAACGTTTCCATGTGATTGTGGGCGTCGTCTTGGCTCCCGCCACGATCCCCAAGGGGCCCCACGTAGGGGCCCGGGGTCTAGGTTGTGCCATTGACGTCTATTTTGTGGGGTAGGTGTCATCGAGCGGTCCTTTCCCTCTACCGCCTGGGCAGGTGATCATGGAGAACACGCCGGAGCCACGGGCGATGTCACGGCTCAGGCAGAGTCTGACGGCAGAACCAAGCATCAAATCGGCCCGTCGTGGCATCCGTCTGCAGTCTCAGATGGCGCCATTCAGGGCCAGTACAAGCCCTCACGGCTCAGGCTCTGCTGTCGACAAGAGGTGGTGTGCGTGCCGTGCACACAAACACCAGACCTGCAACACCAACAAGCAAGACATCAATGAGCCAGCCCAGCCCGCGCGAGAACGCGGGGAACCATCGTCCGGGCGGGAGCCGTACCCACTCGGGCTCCCGGCACTATCACGAAGATGGCAGTACCACCGATGACCCCGAAAGGCTATGAATCTCAAAAGGACTTCGCTTCCACACTCTTACACACATCATGCACGCTGGACCTCATCACCTAACCACACCACCTCTTGAGACTTGAGAACGGCGGCACGCCCCCGGAGAATATGCAATTCCACGCCGTGTAACGGGCCGACTCGAGAACGATTTGGGCAATCGCCTCGCCCGGAGAAGGAGCCGCGGCTGAGGGACAGCCCAGAGCAACAGGGAGTCTTTCGAGTGGCAGACTCCCTGCAGGTAGCACGACCAAGAGGAGGAGGGCATGACCACGGTCGAAAGACGACCGGACGGTTGCCGACCGAGTTTTGCGTCGTCGCATGTCTTGGGTATGATGGCCAGCTCCTGCAATGGACTTGGTGTCTCTCTGCTGGGTATTGGCACGGCTTAGCAGCCTAGGCTGACGATGATCTCGACCTCGACCGCCTGGTGCCGCGGTTATTCTCGCTCCATCCGCCTCGAGACAATGTCACGCTTGCCACGTTTGCAAGGTCATGGCTACGGCCAGCAGTGCTGATCACAAATCGTCGGCCCGGCAAGAGAGCTCATGATTCAGAAGAATGCGTTGCCCAGGGTAGAGCTCTCGCCTTGGTCACGCGCAGGCTCACCCACAGCCCTGGCGGCGCTTTGGACTGTTCCGGGAACGAGGCTTTGTCGATAGAAACACTTGGATGATCTGCAGTTTGTTTTGTTTTGGTTGCTCATGGTCTCCCCAAGACAATGAATGGTTGCAGCAATCGATCTCGGACGCAGGAACCCTGCAGAAAGGCTGCCGGTCGCAGGTTTGTAACCACAAGTCAGAAATAAAGAACGAGTCCCGGGACGCAATTACATCTGCACCCCATTATCGACTGCTTGCTTGTAGCTGTGCAGGAGGGCCCCTGCTGTGCGCGCAACTGGTGCTGGCCTGCTGCTGCATGCGACCGGGACGGACGGCGTGTTACGTAATTATGCACAGACCATTTCCCAGAACTTCAAGTCACGTCCAAGGTGTAGGACTGCCTTGTCTCGTCGCTTTTACTTGTGCCGTGACCAACATTGCATCTGCCTCAACCTGAGGGCCCATCCATTTTCAAAACACAGCTTTGATCTATGCGCACACATCGCAAGGATGGATGCGAACACGATACAGGAGCTCAATGAGGTCCGCAAGGCGATGGGCCTCAAGCCCTTGCCCGTACCAAACGCGGCCCCAGCTGCGCCCAAAGAATCCTCGAAGGATGACACGGAGGAAGTCGCCAGCACCATAGAGACGCGTGAGGCTGCTGCGGGCGACAATTACAGGAAGGTTCTCGAAGCCGAGAAGGCCAAACGGGACCGCGAGGCAAGGATAGCAGCCATCAAGAAAGAGCGCGATAGAGCCCAACGACTGGCCACCCTAAAGGGGCAGGGCCTGGGCGACCTCGACGATGAGGACGATGGAGACGCCAAGTCCTGGCTGAAGAGCATGAAAAAGAAGCAAAAGAAGATCGCCGAGTCCAGGAGGCTGCAAGAGGAGGCAGACGCCGCCGCCGAAGCTGCCAGGAGGACCGCCGACTACTCTTCCAAAGACCTCGCCGGTGTCAAGGTCGGGCACGATATGTCGGCGCTCCTAGACGGCGATGACCAGATCCTCACGCTCAAGGACAGCGCTGTCCTGGGCGATGACGACGAGGGCGATGAGCTCGAGAACCTGGGTCTACGGGAGCAGGAGAAGCTCAACGAAAAGCTGAACCTGAAGAAGAAGAAGCCTGTGTACGACCCCAACGAGATTGATGATACGGGCGAACACAGCATTCTGGCTCAGTATGACGAAGAAATCAACGGTAAAAAGAAGAAGACTTTCAATCTGGACGGGAAGGGCACAATTTCAGATCTTGCCGATATTCTCGAGGCCCCAGCCCAGCGGAAGAAGATGCTACAGAACCTCGACGTCGACATCATGCAGGATACCCCAGTCTCTGACTATCTCGACCCCTCAGAAATCAAGGTCAAGAAGCCCAAAAAGAAGAAGAAGAGTAAATCAACACGCCAACGGGACGACGAGGATGCGTTGTTTCCAGGAGACCAGGAACCGCCAGCTGCCGAAGCCATGGACATTGATCCTGCGCCGAGCGCACGGAAGCGCAAGACAATCGACGACACGTTTGTGGATGATGAAGATCTGCAGGCGTCTCTATCCATTCAGCGCAGACAGGCTCTGAAAAAGCAGAAGCGGGTTCGGCCAGAGGACTTGGCCAAACAGCTCAGAGCGGAGGCCGCCCAGGGTGCCCAGGATGATGATCAAGAAGCGGACCAAGGAGGCCTTATTCTTGACGAGACGTCAGAATTCCTGAGTGCCATAAACAAGCCTGCAGAAGACGAGGTCTCGCGGCCGAGGAAAAAGTCCAAGTCCAGAGAACCTGTCACGGCAATGGATGACGAGGACTCGGACGAGGAAATGGGGAATGCGCCACAATTCAAAGAGGAGTCGGCTGAAAGAGACGTGTCAGCAGCACCAGAAGAACTCGCAACAACAGGTGTTGATGAGGAAAAATACGTCGCACAAGGGTTGGGTGCGACATTGTCACTCCTCAAAGAGCGCAAGATCATCGACGAAGACAACAGCGGCGCGGAGAAGAATGAGCACTTCCGCCGAAGAGAGCTCTTCCTCGCGGAACAGGCGCGGTTGATTGCGCAAGTAGATGAGGACGCCAAGCTGCAGCGCGAGCGAGACCGAAAGAGCGGCCACCTGGACCGCATGAACGCTCGCGACAGAGAAGAGTACGCCCGCAGACAGAATGCGGAGCGTGAGTTCAAATTGTCCAACATTCGGGCGCAACTTCTCAAGAAGCATCAGTTTAATGTCGAGCTCAAGTATGTGGACGACCAGGGCCGTCACCTCAATCAGAAGGAGGCATTCAAGGAGCTGTCACACCAGTTCCACGGCAAGACTAGCGGCAAGGGAAAGACAGACAAGAAGCTGTCCAAGATCGAACAGGAGAAGAGCCGTATTGCCAAGAGCATTTTCGATGCTAGTGGTGAAGCGGGAATCTCGTCGGCCACAGCTCAGCAGACGAAGAAGCAAAAAGCAGCCGGCGTGCGTCTGGCATGATGTTTAGCATGGACGACGGGGGCCCTTTGTTCACGACTCGAGTACTATAGACATTACGTGGGAAATTCAAAAGGTGCTTTACCCTCTACCTGGAACAATTTTAATTCTCATGTGCTGACAAAACGGAAGAGCTAGCCCAAGGTGAGACCTGCCTGGCTGTCCAATACTAATTCGAACCTGCAGGCTCTGTGAAACCAGAGGTACGTGAATCGAGGCGCACTTCTTGCACTTAAGCATGTAAATTCTCGTCGCAAATCACGTTTGCATTGCCTGGCCACAACGGCTCGTTGTACAAGTCTATTTTTCTGTTTCCCCTATCTTTCAGCCGGGCTTCGATGAGCTTAGCTTCACTTACCTTCTGCGAACCCCTGGGTGATGTCCGTGGCGAGCGTACCGAAGTCCTCGCACAATTCTTTCATGGCTGTACTTCCATAGGTTCCGTCGACCAGTGGTCTGGGAGTCCAATCCTTGGCCTCGACGGATAACTTTCCGTCGCGGATGTATGGCTGTAGCGAGGCTACGCGCCTGTGCTTCTTGAGGCTGTACTCGCGGACGGGATCGCCGTTCATCTCGTTCGCACTCCTACTGCGCTTGTGAATACACCGATCGCCGGTATACACGCCTTTGGGGCGCTCCAGAATAATCTGGTCCACAAATTTGACAGCCGGTCTCTCGGCAGCGGGCATGTTAGCGATTTTTCTTGTCACGGCTTGCTGCCACTCACCCTTGATTGAGATTCGGACAGACGAATGGACCGTGCAAGCGTGACTTTGTAGGTCGCAGTCGAGGTTACAGATCTTGAGCCACTGACTGTGATGAGGATGTAAGGTTTGCGAGTGCTGAGAGTGAGGATGATTGCCCTACTAATATAAGAATAATTGAGGGCATGTGTACAATGCTATTCTTGTTGACTCCGGCCTCTTGATTCATAAAAGAATTACCATTCTACTTGTTCTCAAAGTCCAATGTTCTCAGCCGGACAATGCACCTTTTTAAAGATACTGATCAGTATACCCCACGAATCATGAGCTCCTGTACAGAAAGAATTGTGCCGAAACCTACTCGAGCAACGTTCAGCTGTGGCGTCGCTTTGTCCAAAAGTCTTTCAGGTGCTGATGACAATGCAGAAGAAAGCGGCTGAGATCATGAACAGGCCAGATGCAAGGTTCCCCCCTGACTCCTGGAAGTGCCGTCAAGATTCAGAACACGACCACGGGCAGCTCAATTAAGAATAAGGTAAAGGTCGTGGAACCAAAACTGCTAGCCATTCACGACTGAGTGTTACTCTACCTCGCCGGTGAAGAGAGTGTGCGTATATCTCCATATTTCTCGTGGATTAGTTGCAAGTCATCGCCTAGATATACTCGGCGCAGGTCAAGTGGCCGCGATATTCAGTACCTCAGCGATAGTCGCATTGGGAACCAGGCCCGCCATCCATGGATTGTGGCTCAGGGTCGTGACATTCCCCTGATCACCATACCTTTCCAAGATCACGGAAATGGGGAGACGTAGTCCTCGTCGACAAGCAAGTAATCATCCATTGGTACATTGTGGCCAGTCATGTAGGTGAGGCGGGTGGAAAGATCCACAGCTTGCCACTGCCACAAAGGCATAGTCCAGGTATGTGTGGTGGAGGTAGAAAAGGGGATCGCCCGGGTTGAGCGTCATATCCTGCATGTGGTACAAGACTCGATCAGTAAAGTTTTATGCTTGTAGAACGCCGAGCAGTAGACCCCGAACTTGTAAGAGCCCCGACACCTGCGTGACCGGCTCCATGAGGGTTCTTCCTATGGCACTGCCATGCCTCCAAGTAGTCCGCACTCGCGAAACACTCATCGAGATAAGACGTGTTGGCCGCGGTCACAAAGCTACTCTGGCTCATATCCACCCCTGCGTAAGCAGTAATTCGCGCCGAAGCCGGTCTGGTTGATGTGCAGCGTGAGGTTCGAGAACGGGCCGTTCGTGACATACCGGTAGGCATCACCGCTCTTATCCACCTCGGTTCCCTTGTCACCGAAACCCGTGTCCGGGTCGGAGATGGCCGAGTCCGCCAGGCCAATGGAGCCGGCCGCCATGGCAGCGCAGTCGGCCTGCCCACCCAGTAGGGCTGGGCTTCGATGTAGGACTTCCTCTCGACTTCAGTGGGTGAGGTCTTGTAGGCGGTGTACTGTCTGTTAGGCTGTCCCCTGGATGCGGAGATAGGATCAAGGGAGTGGTCGCCCCTACCATGATTTCCGTTGGTTGATGGTTGTACATATCGCATCGGTCTGTCTTGGAGTCACTGGGGAGGACTCTACCCAAAAAAAAACAAACAGCAAGAAGGCATAAAATGCCGGAGCGGACTGAAGAGAGAGCGACGTGATTATACGGACGACAACCGAGCAAACAAGTGAAGGGATGTCAAGAACATCTGGAGGATTACTGTACTATCAAGTCTCGTCTTCACTTGGACCACTCAAGCCTGTGTTTATACATGACGACTTCAGCGTGTTGAACATCACCACGGAGTGGTTCATCGCATCTCATGCCAAGGCGGGTTCATCCAGAAGCGTAATGCAGCCCACAATCCGAGTAGCAGCGCTGAGACGCGGCTGAGGAATATGGAAAGTTGATTGGCCTCCTGGGTTGATTTGCAACATTTATACAATACGCGTCTTGATCTTGATGTAACTTTGAAGGTCCGGGCCACGCATACGTCAAGCTGGTCAACGTACGCGTTCAGCGCTACTCTCTACCTGGATTGGGAGGGCCAGGTACACCAATAATGGGCGGCAGATTCCCCGGGCCGTCGTTGAGTGCAGCAAAATGGTTTTTGCGATCCCTTCACATCCTCCAGCTTCACAATAACGGTGAACATTGCAGCAATTTGCCGTCGAGTCGCTCGCATCTCGCGACTGTGCGCAAACATCACGTCTGCCCCTTGCCCGCATGCCTTGGATCACCAATCGGCCACGGGCTTGTGCAATGTCGATATACCAGCCCATCGAGACTTGATGGGTGCTGGATATCTCGTCCGCAGACAACATGCTATCCTCTCCATCCTCCAATCACATCAACTGTCCCTCTCTTGCGGCCCAGACAGCTCCACGGGCTGGACGAAGCCATTGCGAGCAAGGATATTGCAACCGTTGGGTGTGCGCCGAGCATGAGTATGCCCTATTCATCCACCACGATGTCCTTTGACGGTGCCTCGGTCAAGACACCGGCATAGGTCTCGGTCATGGCGCCGCGCCGTGTTGAGATGTACCAGGTGAAGATGCCGATGGTCAGGAAGGTGAAGAGCCAGAGCAGGACGAGCTTCTTGGAGCGCCTAGGAGGACGGGCATAAGGGCTCCACAAGCTGGGCGCCGCCGATGAAGGGCTGTAGACGCCATAGCTGCCGTATGCGCCGGGCAGGAGACCGCCCTCACCACCGCGTTTGTTGCTAAACTTTTTTGTACGGGTGCGGGTGTCTTTGACGAGGGCGGGCAGGCTGAACTTCGTGGACATGAGCCGCGGGTGAGAGGGGCGATTAGGGCGCTGGGGGTATCGTACAACAAAGGCACTGGTGGTGAATCAATCGGGTTCGGTGGTGCGTGCAGTGCTGTTGCTGTTGTCACGGACTCTGGGGTGCGTTTTCCTGAACAAGCTGTCTGGCAATTGCCACGAGTATTCCAAGCTTTAGGGTGCCATTGTAAATGAAGATCCTCGGTACGTGGTCGGGAGGCAGGCAGGGGTGACATCAGCCGCTCGGATCCAAGGGAAAGGGTTGTGGAGGTGGAGCCGCCTTGGCCGCCTGGCCAGGCTGCTGCCAGGCTGCCCAGGCTGGGGCGTCAGACTCTCAAGGTGACCTTCAATAGTCAAGTGAATAACACTATCAAGGCCTCTCCGCTGGTCCATTTTGTTTACGACAGGTGCCTTTGTAAGAAGACCTCCATATTGTAACCGAGTCTAGTCAACATCCAAAAGCATCCTGGTAGAAGGATGAGGCTTTCAAGCTGTTGGACGCGGTTAAAGTTGCGGCAGACTGACAGACTAGACTAGTTGACCAATTCTCCGGCACATGGGTCTTTGATGGAATTGGCACAAAAGCAGAAAGGCAGCAGAAATGCAGAATGGCAGACGAGAAATGTGGGTGCTATGAGGTGAGTGGCGTAGGATCCCGCCTGCTTGGAGAATGAGACAAGACGTCATATCCCGCCAAACCAAGGAGCCCGCCCTCCCGCTGCCGCTGCGATGCGACGAGGAGCTGGGCAAGCCGGGCAAGCCTGGCAAGCTGGACCAACCCATCCACCGTCAAGTCGCACCAGCCTAGCTTCTTCAGCTTGGAATCATGTCAAAACAGGCCAGATCGAGCACGGGTAGCTGCCGATCTCAGTCTGTGAGAATCAATGACCCAATGGCGTAAATCAATCTCATGCACTCTCTTTGACCTCCTTCACCAGCCTGGAGTCTACATCTCCTCCCAACCTCTCCTACTTCCACTTGCTCGTGGGCCTCTTCTACCCCGTACCATACTTCTCTCCTGCTGAGTAGTGTCGCCGCCAACGGTCGTGGTCCCGTCTCCCGGCCCTTTGTGAGAACGGCCCGGTCTCGACCTTGAGCAGTCGCCAACGCCCAGCTGTATTCGTGGTTCTTGGCCACTTATCTACCCTGAATCACAACTCTCAAAGTGCTTCGTCCCATTGTTCACAGCTGCAGTCATACGCAACATGGATCAGCAAGAACACACAGCCCCCGGGGGGCACTATTCTGGCACCAACAGAATTCCAAACATTAAGCAGTTCATGGAAGGCTTGGACAAAGATAAGAAGGAACGGGACGCAGAAATCGATGCCAAACAGAAGCAGAACCACGCCGGCGACGGCGAGGTCAAGTCTCATCGCTCAGAGAAGCCCAAGGGAAAGAATCGCAGGACAGTCCGCGATCCCGTCACAGGCAAGGATGTCGAGATTGACGATATTGGACCTGAGATGGTCAAGGCAGTCGACGACCCACATGTAGGTTACTGTCATTGACACCAACGTGTATTGGCCGAGGGACCTCTGCTCACCTGTGCCCAGCTATTCGTACCAAACGCCAACCTCGGAAAGGAGACCACGGTCAAGACAGACCCTACCCAGTCTGGCGAGGAGTATCGGCGCAATCAGGACATCACAGCACCACCTGATCCGGTCGAGCCAGGAACCACAAGTGATGTGCCCATCCATGGCGAAAAGACCAACGTGCTCTTTCATCCCACCCCATCCGTGAGCTATGAGCCCATGTACGCCGCTCTCGAGGCCCGGGCAAACGTCCTCTGTGCTGGAATCTTTTTCTCTATCGCCTTTATTGGAAGAATCTTGGGTGGCTCGCTCTGGGGGCTGATTCCCTTGGGGTTCTGCGTGGCCTCCGGTGTCTTCCTCTGGGTGAAGGACCTGATTCGCCAGGGCCGTGATACCGAATGGTCCAGCGAACAGCAACGCGGCGAGACCGCCGTTGTCAACCTCATCCCTGAGTCGGTCGAATGGATGAATACGGCCATCGGTCTGATCTGGGGTTTGATCAACCCAGACATGTTTGCAGCTGTTGCGGACACGCTGGAAGATGTGATGCAAGCAAGTGTGCCCGGTGTGATTGAAAATGTCAAGGTCAACGACATCTCCCAGGGGAGCAATCCCATCAGAGTTCTGAGCTTGCGTGCCCTCCCGGATAGTCACGTTCAGGACCTGAAAGACGAGATCCGTAAACAGGACGAGAAGACCAAGGACCCCCAAGAACTGGCCGCTGATGAGGAGGGCGGTGATTTCTACAATCTCGAGGCAACCATCGCCTACCACTCACTGCCATCGGGCGCGGACGTGTCTTCAAAGGCCAAGAACATGGGCATGCAACTGGTCTTCTATCTGGGCATGAAAGGTCTCTTTGGCGTGCCCTTCCCCATCTGGGTTGAACTCAATGGATTGGTCTGCACCGCCCGTCTCCGCGTGGCTCTTGCCCCTAATCCGCCATTTATAAAGACACTGAGCGTCACCCTCATGGGCTTGCCGAGAGTCGAGGCTAGCTGCATACCACTCATCGAAAAGGGTGCCAATGTGCTCAACCTTCCTCTGATCTCCAATTTTGTCAATTGGGCAATCGCAACCGCCGCCGGCATGTACGTTGCCCCCAAGTCACTAACCCTCGACATTGGCAAGATGCTATCTGGTGATGATATCACGAAGGAGACGCAAGCCCTCGGCGTCCTGTTCATCCGTATACACAAGGCAACTGGTCTCTCGAAACAGGATCGCAGAGGGAGCGAGGGCGGAGGGAGCGATCCTTATATATGTGTAAGTCCTAAAGCACTTTGCGACGACGTTGATAGGAGGGTCAGAACCACAGGAGAAGACCAGTCTTCAGTCACGGCTCCCCGCAATGCTCTAGAATAACCACGTCAGGATCCGAATGAGTGCTAACATCACCCCTAGGTCGCCTTCTCCAAGTTTGGCAAGCCTCAGTACTGCACCCGTGTTATCCAGGACAACCTTGACCCGATCTTTTCAGAGTGCGCTGCTCTTCTTGTCACCCCTGATATCATCAAGGCAGATGAGCAGCTCTCGCTGGAGCTCTGGGACAGTGACAGGTCGTCCGCGGACGATGTTGTGGGCAAGGTCGAGCTGAGTATTCAGAAGCTCATCCAGCATCCAGGCAAAATGTTCCCTCAACAGTCGACCCTAAGGGGCACCAAGGCGGAAAGTACCATGCCGGGCACGCTGTCTTGGGAAGTCGGCTTCTTTGGCAAGACGCAATACCGCAAGGCCCTTCGCACTGACGGCAAGGATCCTAACCTCCCGAAGGAGCTACAGGATAAGAAGGAGCTTCAGCAGGACGTTGGCTCCTTGGACACAGCCGACGAGGACGCCGTTGTCCACACGCCGCCTGATCCTCTTTGGCCAAGTGGAATTGTCAGCGTCGTGGTTCATCAAATTGTCAACCTCGAACTTGAGAATGTCAAGGGCTCAGAGGGCAAGAGGAAGGGGCGAGAATTCGAGCCTGCTAGGCCTGAAGCGGGAGATATCAAGGAGGAGACGGGCAAGAAACTGCCGAGCTCATATTGCACGATCCTTATCAATGACGAACTAGCATACAAGACCCGAACCAAGGTGGTTTCCTCGAAACCGATCTTTGAAGCTGGGACAGAGCGATTCATCCGAGACTGGAGGGCAGCCATTATCACTGTCACCGTTCGGGACTCGCGCAACCGACAGCACGATCCAATTATCGGAGTCGTCCCGCTGAAACTGTCCGATATTCTCTTGACCAGCAGTCAGGTCACCCGATGGTACCCCCTCGACGGTGGTATCGGCTTCGGGCGGGTCCGTATCTCGCTCCTTTTCCGCTCCGTCGACCTCAGGTTGCCGCCCCAGCAGCTCGGCTTCGGCGAGATCGGAACGTTTGAATTCCTCTCGGACACTCTCAAGGCGGTCAACTATGACGGAAACCCTCGCACAAAGTTGAAGCTGCGCACCGGAGGGAGTTCCGCCACGATAAAGAGCGACAAATGTACGCAGGCCGATGATGGCAGCCTCGTGTGGGATATCACGGAGTCTCAGCCCAGAAGGAACGAAGATGGAACTACAACCAATGTGGAGGGTCACATTCGGCTTCCTGTGCGATATCGTTACCGCTCACCAGTTTTCTTCGAGTTCCACCCGGCTGGGAAACGGCACAGTGACACTTATGCTTCTGTGTGGTTGCAGGACCTGATCGATCTCGAAGAGAAGGACTTTGATATTCCCATCTGGCGGTGCAACAACGGCACACGCCTGAGCCAGAACTATATCACTGAGGCCAACTATCGGGATGTTCCCAACCTGAAAATCGAGGAGATTGGACGACTCAGATTTCGAGGCAGGTTCAAGCCGGGCACCGACCGCGACCACCTCAAATTTGTGAGCGACAACGACTCTCGCGAGACGATTGAGAGCTGGGAAGCATGCTTCGCCGAGGGCGTGAGGAAGGAGCTCGTCGTGGCAGAGGTTCCACCGAGCATCCAGAAACTGCACGATGCCAGTCTTACGCAGGGGCGAGACGTTCTCGCCCAGGCAGACGAGAAGGACAAAGAGAAGTGGCTCGCCAAGGACGGTACCGACTGGAGCGGGGCCTTCGGAAAAGACCCCGTGGAAATGATGGGCAAAAGCCCCGGCAAAGACGATGGTACAGACTCCGACGAATACGAGTATGACGACGAGGACTCGAGCAACCCCGATCTGGGTATCGCCGATGCGACCACTGACCCTTCCGTCTACAGCGGCGGAGACGCCAGCGGCGATCAGTCCAGCACGGGAGCGCGCCAGTCGGTCGACAGTGGCCATGGCAGCCAGCTGTCGCATCAGACGACCAAGAGCAGCAGCGGCAAGTCCAACAGCAGCAAGAGCCCGATCAAAGCGCTCAAGGATTACAGAACAAGGAGTAGGGACCTGCATCGTCAGCACAGGGGGTTGATGCAATGGTAAGGGCTGGCTTACATCTCTACTGAGAAGAGTTTGATGTGTTGAACTCTGTTACTGACTGGACATGTCACAGGAAACCCATGCGTAATGTTCAATTTGCCAAAGACGAGGCCACTTTTGCCGTTCGTCGGATCACCAAGGTTGGATCCCTGAGCGGGCGGAAGCCTGATGTTGAGACAGAAGTATAAGGCGGAAGTACTTGATCGCTTCTTGAGACTCCTGGTTCTAGGGACAGCGTTGGCATTTAAGCTTCCTCGTTAGTTTATGGTTCTGGTTGGTGGCAATGGGTCGAGGCAAAACGGATGGGCTCCTTGACGAACGTCCTGCGATGAAAGTAATGAATAAATGAATGTAGTATTCGCAATGAAGCATAATATTTTCTCTCAAGCCTCGCGAGGTGCGCAGGGTTTTACCAGCCTGTCTTCAGCAGGCCGTGACTACATCGCGCATGCTAGTTCAGAATATCCACGGTGGTGTCTTCATGATAAATAATCACACGCACAGCAAGAGCATTTAAGCCATTGATCAGTCTCGAGCAGTGCACGGCTGACGAAACCACATAACGGTGTCCAAGATGAATGAACAGAGGATATTTACTCTATGGTTGTCTTTGGTTCACTATCAAAAGAAATCGATGGCCATTGAGTATTCCATGATTTCCCGCCAGGGTCCGCCCGTCTTCCAGGATTGTTGGTTTTGAGTGAGTATTGGTTAGGAGGCTCACACCGCCAGCGCCACGACCCTCGCGCCCCAAATGTAATAGCCTCGTACTTCAACACCAATTTGATGGAGCCGGCCGGATCTTGGTTGAAATAATTATGCCAGAGATCTCGTCGAGTCAACTGGGTACCATGGGTACTCATGTCTAAGCAACTTGTTTGTAACCAGAAGGTTAGATACTCTCGTGATGATCACGAACAAACCAAGACGTCTGACCCTGCCTGTTTTCCTAGCCCAGCGGTTATGTATTTGCTTGGAGGAGTCGGCTAATACCAGGAAGCAATACATACCTGTTGCTCGTACGTGTCTAGTTACGCGGTGGCGATGGCTACATCAGATCACGAGTTTGCTCGGGTGTCCGTCACGCGGGCACGAGCATAGTATATTCGTGCCCCCCCCCCCCTCAAGCCCCAAACATTCTTAAAGCATAATCCTCTATAGGGCACGTTCTGTAGGGAAACCGCTTGCAGAAGGTGATCACATAGACAGTAGTCCAGCAACAGGGGCTCCGCCATAATCTATTGTTATTTTTGAAGATGTGGCGGTGGTATGGTAAAAGCATGTGAAGAGCACTACGAGAGACTTCCCCGAGTATCAGCACACTGCACGAGGGACGGGAGAAGAGAAGAATAGGCATGGATCTGGCGATCCTCGCTTGATTCGTAGAAGCATCTTCCGTCCAACCAGTCGTCATTATAAATACGCGGCTGGCAATTCCCACCCAGTCATTCGACCGACAACCATCCCGTTAATCCAAGACCACCCGGCCAGCAATGTGGATATCAACCGAGGGAAGAAGCCAAAGTCATCCCTACCGCCCAATAGAAGGACTCCCTACCCAATCTGAAATTTGCCCCGAGCATCCAATACTCCCGAGGCCCATGAAACGCCATGAATGAAGCAAAGATAGACCCTTTATGGGCTACGCGAACGAGGTACATGACCACTCAACCTCGTCCTACAACACCAACCTCCCCTTCCCCAACCCGCCGCTCGGGCTTTCCATGCCAGATATGATCTTCATCGGCCGCCGACGCCGCGTGGCTGAAAGTAATGCAGAAAAATATGGAAAACAGGACTTTTTGCTCAAGAACGCTAAATAGGTTGGGACAGCTGCCCTTTCAGTGTTTCGTTGCCGTCCAACAGCTCCTCCAGCCATGCGACGGCGGCCTCGAGCATGGCACTCTTGCTGGGATTGCTACCCTTGATTGCAGGTACGATGACTGCCAGGTTCTCAAACCCGGTCTGTATGACCTTTCTTCGCTTCTTTTCGCTGTTGATGTGGTTCTCGCGTTTCTGGTCCTCGGTCAAATTCTCCCTCTTGGCTGCGGCGGAGGATTTTCTCCGCTTCCCGGAGCCTGCGGCCTCGGCGACTCCACCGGGAGAGTGGGAGGTATCGACTTTCTGTTTTCGTTTCCGTGCCGATGATTTGGACACGGCGGACTGTGGCTCGTCGTCATCGTCGTCTTCTTCATGCTTGCCCTTGCGCCATTTCTTCCCACCGTCACCATTCGCCTCGATCTTGATCGGTGGTGGCGCGCGGGTCTTGAGGTTGAAGGGAAGACTCTCAGTACTAATGACCGGACTCGTCGGCCGAGTCGTATTTGTACTTTTTGACAGTTCTATAGCGCTGAAGTACCGCATATGTTCTTTTTGTATTGCTTCCGAACTGTCCTTGTCGCTTGAGGGCACAAATGGCTGGTTGTTGTTGCTGAAGCTCTGATCCGTGCCGTACTGCAAGTCTACCGGAGCCCGCGGCGGATCACCCCTCTGGCTGGGCTGGGCCTCGGCACCATAGATCCAGCTAGAAAAGGCCGCCTCTTGCTCAGCCGCGTGGGTGGACTGTGACATGCGCCTTCCTTCTTGTTTGAACTCGCTCCATTGCTGGTGCCTCAAGTGGCCGACTGGGGGCCCCATGTTGTTCGTCCTCTGTGGAGCATTCGAGAACATGGTCTCGTGTTGAAGACTGTGCGACCGGCCATGAGACCCGCTGTGTAGGACATTTGCTGCCGCCAAAACGTCCTCTGACGGCTGTGGCTGGTCAATCGGGTGGTGATGTACAGGGGACGCGTTGGTGAGTGGGGGACCACTTGTTGTGTAGGTGTTTGGGTGTGCGCCTGTTACGGGTGTCGATGCGGTCGGTTGTGAGGGGCCGGCAGCTGCGTAGCCATTTGGTGTGGCTGTTGCGGGTGGAGCGGACGCAAGCATGGAGTTGTTGGTTGCGAATGTCTGAGGGGTGTTTTCCTGGTAGAAGGCGTCGCCGAGAAGATTGTCTGGCATGTGGCTAAGTTGAGGATGGAGGCCGTACGAGGTGGCGGTGGCCATCAGATTCGGGGGCATCATCCACTCGTCGGCAGTTAATCCTTCGCCAAAGTTCTGCTCGCCATAGCCGTTGGACACCATGCCAGCCAACATGTTTGCCAGGCCGTTCTCCTCGGCGGTGGTGAGGATGGGATTGCCGGGCGCAGGGTCGGGCGGGGGATGTGGGAGGAAATCGAACAGGGAGGGGTCTGGGTGCTGGTCCTCAGACATGTCTGTCTTCGTATTAGCAGGACAGTCGGGCACAAAACAGACAGTCTCTCGGGCTGGGGGTACTTACAACCAAATGGCAGTCTGGTGCCGTCATTCGGCTGCGACGAACCCATCCTGGGACGCTGAACGGCTAGCATGAGTGCGTTTTTCGACCAGGCCAACAACAGCTGTGGTCTGATGAACAGTCGGAAGGGGTCCTGGAGGGCAGAAGCGTTGAGCCAGGTGACTGGAGCTGTTGCAAGATGTTGTCAAGCGTGGGATCCAGAGCGAAGTCAGAGCGAATACAGGCAGGGGCCTGAGCTGCAATTGCTGGTGCGGCAACTGGCGAGAAGGGCGGCTGGTCTGGGTCGCAGAAATGAAGAAGCGTTGTATACTGGTATGCTATGGCTGGAAACTGCCGTCCAGGATGGAGGTGTTGCACAGGTGCAGTCGCAGTCGTAGTCGCACTCGCACAAGGCGCGGCGACGCAGAAATGGAGCTCGGGTGGGTGTTTGTTCGGCCGAGTGACACGGGAGAGCTTCCTTGACACCAGACATGAAGCTGTAGGGGCTCGGCAAGGTGTTGCTCTGTGCAGGGCGGCCTGGCCCGTGGTGTGTGTCTCTGTGGTGGGAGTGTTGGGAGTGGTGGCAGTGTGGGAGAGGTGACTATAACATAACGGTGGTGCTGGTGCTGGTGCTGGTCTTTATGAGTGTCTTTGGGAAGTGGGCATGTCAAGACGGCGAGGGATGCCTTGCTGCATCATCCCATGGCCTCGGGGCACGAATCCAGCAGGGGCGTTGAGCAGAAACGGGACCCTGAGAACGTTGGGGAGGTTGAGGGCGCTGTGACAAGGTTGCTAAGGACCTCGGGAGGGAATAAGTGAGGACTTGGTCTGGGAATCGAAGTCGTCCAGACGACTGGCGCAGGCGCAGTCAACCTCCACTAGCACCAGCACCAGCACCAGCACCAGTGCTTGTGCCAGAAGCAGAAGCAGGCCCCGCCTGACTCGACAGCTGCATGCACCGCACAAACCTTGGGCGGCCCTGCTATGGCAGAACCGGGGTCATGTGCCTTGCCGGTATGCATCTAGACGGTGGGTGTCCTGGTCGGGCCGGGGCCAAGCAGGGTGCTCACTGGCGCCATGCATCAATCCCACATTTGACGCCCTCTTTCACATGTCAAGCACGGCCAGGCCAGGCCAGGCCAGGTCAGGTCAGCGACTGACTGCTGCGCTGCGCTGTGCTGCACCACTCCTCTGGCCGCGGGCACTAACTGTGAGCGGGAGGTGGACCGCCGGGCTGGCTGGTCCTGCATGTCTGACAGTGGGTGGGAAGGCAGGCAAGCCAGGTGCCAGGCAAGGCCAGTGACGGCTTCTGCACCTCGACTCGACTCGACCCGACCGTGGCCGAGTCACACCTCGGCGCCGCGACCTGACAAATCCCTCGCGTATCGCATCGCATCCCTGAGGCAACTGCTAAGAAATGCCCAGACCACACGGCGACAGCAAGAGCTGTCCTGATGTTCTTCCGCCGGGCGGTGCTGCTGGCTGGCTGCCGCCGGGCCCGCATGGTTGACTGTATTGGGGAATCCCATGAGAGCCGGCTGGGGAGGAGACGAGCTTCCTCTGGAGCTGGCAGGCTGGGTTGTTTGATGCGCACCAGGCCTACTCCGTCTCCGTACTGCAGCAGCAGTGCAGTTCAAACATGACAGGGAGCTAGAGCCTAGCAGCCTGGCCGCCAAGCGCTTGCGGGTTGCTAGCCTGCCTCCCCTGCCTCCCTGGTTGTTTGCAGATCTACGGATGAGCAGGCGCATCGAACTACTGTGCCTGTGGCCTTGGGATGGCATGGATGGCATGGGTGGCCAATCCGACGAACGTCACGGCACTGCTGCGCTGCTGCACTGCTGCACTGCTGCACTGCTGGTCCTCCGTTTCAACCTCCCGACGTTGCATCCTGTCCTACTGGTTCCCTTTCCGGCCGCATCTTTGCGAGGAGCACGACTTGGCCCTCGCCGCCCCGTGTCAGACGCCCATCAAGCACGTCGAGAGGGACCCTTTGGACCCCATAGTTCATACATGCCCTTTGGCCTCGCCTGGCCGTCCGATCATTCCGCAACAGCAGCCACGCCCACGCCCACAAATCACAATTTGCCGCCCGACGTACGTCCCTTTCAACCCTTCTCGTGTGTTTCCCCGTCCCGCCCGTCAAAGTCTTAGCATCCGTCATCGCATCGCCGCCTATGCGACTATGCCCTGCTCGATATTCCCACCTTGGGCGTCGCCATGTCTGCCGCACTGCCATGACTTTTACCCCTCTGACTGTCGCCTCCTGCGATGCCCTCAACATGCGTCCGGGGAGGGGGGGTCACGCGACCAATGGCAAAGGGCCACTGGCCGTAGCTGTTTGTCTTGGGCCGTCTTCAAGTGAATCATAGTCATACAAGACACGGATCTGCTACCACCTCGGGAGTCCTCACTGTATCCAGTATTGCTCGGATCCGAACCTTCGGGTAGCTGATGATAGCGCCAGGCCCCCCCAAAAAGTGCGACACGTAACCAGGCGTTCAACGCGTCACAATCACATGTCACGTCCCCCTGACACTGAACCTTGCCCGCCCGACCCTCTCTCAAACCTTCTGTGCTTTCTGCCCTTCTGCTGTCAATGTCTTCACCACCGCCATCACACCATGGTGCTGTATCAATCAGGCTGAGGTCTAGGCCTGCTACATGGGATCACGCCGTCCCTCCCTTGTTCAGACCCGTCCTGCGGGCATACCTCCTCGGCTATGCCTTCTCCGTCGGTCCACGGTTGTTGGCCTTGGTCTTGCACCACGCCTTGAAATTCGTCCCGAGGCGGCACCGGCCTGCAGATGGCCCTGCCGACAACAAATCCGAGCCACAGCTGCTCGAGTCCCTGGCCAGGACGGTGCGAGCAGGGCTGGAATGGCAACGGTTTCCTACCTTCTGTGCTGCTCTTGTCGGCGGCAGCACCTTGCTGGAGGTATGACTCTCTCGGGCGATACTATTGTCCACTTTCAGTTGGCCGCCTTCTGCTAACCAGGTACATGGTAGCCCATCCTGCGCAGGGCAATTGCTCGCATCTTGCACAGATTAGCAGGAACAACCAGAATCAGGTGGGTTCAAACAGTAGACTTTCGGTGTATTTTTACTGACTCGAGATGCACCTAGGTTATCAAGATGGCTGTCCTCATTCATCGCGGCATGGCTCAGTCTACGACTGCTCCAGTCCAAACAGAGCATCCCGTCCACCACTACGCTCACCACAGCTGCAACCCCTCTGGGGTCGCCCAGATCAGACCAGAGGCCGAGGCCCCAAGCTGGTCGAACACTAGACCTCACACTCTTCGCCGCAACTCGGGCCCTCGATGTGTTGGTCGGCGAGGTCTGGTCTCGCCGCCGGTCCATGCGCTCCCCTCCTGCTAGCAAAACGACAAGGGCCCTTGACCGCTTCACCTCCAGCCTGGCTGACCCCTTGATCTTCGCGGCCTCTTCGAGCTTGATCATGTGGAACTGGTTCTATAATCCCGTCGCACTCCCACGCGCTTACAACAAGTGGATTGCGAGCGCCGCCTCAGTCGACCGCCGCCTCGTGGTTGCCCTACAGCGCGTAAGGGACGGCGTCATGCGCTACGGCGAGGACACAGGGCATGCCTCCCTCCTTCAGGAAATGTGCCAGGAGTATCGGTGGCCCATGTGGTGGGGCGACCCTGCCGTCAGCGTCCCCTTCCCTTGCGAGATGGTTCATATGGGTGTTGGGCCGTCCTGCGAGCTGCACGCACTGAGCAGGTTCCGCAGCGCTTGGCTGTGGAGCATGAAGACGTATTTGCCGCTCCAGACGGCCGTACTGCTCCTGAGGCTTCGAAACCCCAAGACCCTGGGGCGTGACCTTGTCCGCGCCTTCATATCCGCGTCACGATCGTCTGCGTTCCTCGGGTCGTTTATCACTCTGTTTTACTACGGTGTATGTTTGTGCCGGACTCGACTTGGGCCACACGTGCTGGGGAAAGACACCAAGGCTCGGCAGAAGATCGATGGCGGGGCATGCATCGGGGTAGGGTGTTTCCTATGCGGCTGGAGCGTGCTGCTTGAGCCGTCCAGCAGGCGCAAGGAGCTCGCACTGTTTGTGGCGCCAAGGGCTGTCGCGACGATGCTGCCGCGCAAGTATGACGCCGATAAGCAGTGGAGAGAGACGCTGGTCTTTGCCACCAGCACTGCGGTGGTGTTTACTTGTGTGATGGAGAACAAGAGGAGAGTTAGAGGAGTCCTCGGGGGTCTACTGAGGACTGTGCTTGCGGCTTAGAATGATAAGACCAAGTAGAATGCTGTAGTATCGATGTAAACCTATAGACTTGTGAAAACATCAGCAACAAACTAGAAGTTTGTACACCAAACCGAGTGGCCCCACAATATCCCGGCCCGCAATAGCCTCGAGCTTAGAGCACTTATGTTTGACTGGATTGGCTGGGGAACACAGCAGCGTGCACTGGGCACCTGAGCACTTGAAGTAACACCAGGACAGAAACGACCTCTTGCCCGTGCTATTAAAGCTAGCCGTAGCAAGTTCCCAAAGAAGACTTGTCTGGGAACCACAGGGTGGCGCAGCATCCAAGTAAATGAGATGGGGCAGTTGGCCGATGATGCATGTGCATGCAAGTAGGATCTGAGCCACAAGCTTGTGGCTCTCTTGCGTCACCCTGAACAAGACCATCTCACGGGCGGTGTCACAACCTCGCATTTAGCACCACTGTTTTGTTTCTATGAGTTCAGCACAAGCCTCACCGCGACAATGAGCGCCAACGCGACCATCCTGGGTCCCAACGTGTTCGTCTTCGACCAGAGCATGCCCGCCTCGGCGGTGCAGGCCCAGGCGACAGACATTTTCAAGCGTATGGAGGCCAACGAGTTTGGCGCCGAGCGCTATGCCCTCCTCTTCAGGCCCGGTGTCTACGACGTTCTCTTCGACGTCGGCTTCTATACTTCTGTGTGTGGGCTGGGCCGGAACCCAGACGACGTCCTGATCCGCGGCGGGGCCAACGTGCCCGCCTACTGGATGCCCAACCGCAATGCCACTTGCAACTTCTGGAGGTCCTATGAGAACCTAGCCATCGAGGCGTCCGATGCCACCAACAAGACAACCACCATCGCCGTGTCGCAGGCCGCACCGCTGCGGAGGCTGCACATCAAGAGCGCCAACGGCCTGTGGCTGTTCCAGGTCGACCCGTCCACGGGTGCCGGCGGCTGGGCCAGTGGCGGGTACATGGCCGACACGGTCGTTGACGGACAGGTTCTCCCTGGGTCTCAACAGCAGTGGCTGTCGAGGAACAGCAGCTGGGGCAGCTGGGCCAACGGCGTCTGGAATATGGTTTTTGTCGGCTGTGACAATGCCCCCAGCCAGGGAAACTGGCCCAGGGAACCATATACGACAATCGAACAGACACCCATCATCCGCGAGAAGCCATACCTCTACGTCAACGAAGAGGACAAACTGGCTGTCTTCAGACCGGCTCTCCAGAGAGATGCCAGGGGCCCGACCTGGACGGGCGGTGCCACCCAGGGCGAAGCGATTCCCATCGAGGCCTTCTACGTGGTACAACCTGGCGTCGATGCTCCCACCCTCAACGCGGCACTCGGCTCAGGCAAGCACCTACTGATCACCCCGGGCGTCTACAACCTCGACGATGCTCTGAGAGTGACCCGCCCAGGCACCATAATCTTGGGGCTCGGGTTCCCCTCTCTGGTGCCGGTCAGTGGGAAATCAGCCATAGCTGTGGACGACATCAACGGCGTCATTGTGGCAGGTCTAATTATCGATGCTGGACCCGTCAACTCGCCGTGTCTCCTCGAGGTAGGGCCCTCTGGCAGCTCTGCCGGGCACTCCTCCGACCCGACGTTCCTGTACGACCTCACGATCCGCACGGGCGGCGTCCAACCCGGCAGGAACGACGCCGGCATCGTCATCAACAGCCACGACGTCGTGTGCGACCAGCTGTGGCTCTGGCGCGCCGACCACGGGCCCGCGACGTGCGCCGGCTGGGACGTCAACCCGACCCGAAACGGCCTGGTCGTCAACGGGGACCGCGTCACTGCCTACGGTCTCTTCAACGAGCACCACGAGGAGTATCAGACGCTGTGGAACGGGGACCAGGGCCGCCTGTACTTCTACCAGAGCGAGATCCCGTACGACCCGCCGTGCCAGGAGGCATACCGGTCCGAGCAGGGGGCCCGCATCGGGTACGCGTCGTACAAGGTGTCCGATTCGGTAGGAAGCCATGAAGCCTGGGGCCTAGGCGTGTACTCGTACTTCCGCGACGCACCAGTCAAGGTGGAGAACGCAATCGAGGTCCCTGAGACGGCCAGGGTGCACCACATGACTACCGTCTGGCTGAACGGCACCAGCGGCAGCGAGATCACGCATGTTGTCAACGGGAGGGGAGGAAGGGTGTATGCGAACAGCCCGGAGGAGGCGATGCGGCAGACTGTGGATGAGTACCCTTGATCAAGACAGCCTTGGAAGACGATCATCTCTCCGCCCCGGCAGGCACACGCCTGCGGCTGCAAGACCAGGGATCGTGCAGACGACTGCAACTAAGCTGCATACTTCGCCAGCCCGCAGACATGACAGATATTCTAGCATTCAAAGGTTGGTAGGCGGGGCGGAGGTCACAACTAGATACCGCGAAGCCCTAGACCAGAGCCATGTCGAGTCGCCGGGGGCATCGCATGATGGATTGACCAACGGCTTGTTCTCTAGTCGATGCTCTGGTAGAGTGACCGAGACTGTATGTTTTGAATACATAGCCGAACAGACCTGAGAGAGACTTGATTCCTTGCTCATAGACGACAGGAGCCAGGTCGTGTAAATAATGTTTCTAGTCTGTCAGGCTTTGGAGTTCCACACGCACGTATGGTATCAGCACACAAAAATAAGTCACTCCAAGATTGGCTACAATAGTAACGATCTATAGATCAGCATTAAGAAGGGGCGGCAAAGAGTCTGACCAACAGCGCTTCAGCGTTCTCTCTCTGAATCGGCTAGTTCGCTCGCATGTTATTCTGCCGCTGCCGGAGCTTCAAGGTTTCCCGCAAGATATTCAGGCATCTAGGGGGACATGGTATGAAGCCACCAATGGATCACCCCAGAAGGACCGGAATGGGAAATCTAACACGGCCCGGGGAGGCACTGCAGCACGGCTTACATGCAGACGACCCGGAGTTTGCAGATGATGGAGACGCAATTCACCACATACGCATGCATAATTCCACAACATCATGTAATTGCAGGCCAACCTCGAAAGCCGTTGCATTGATGATACTTTTCTTCACTGCGGTGTGACTTGGAACCGCACACAGCGTGAACATCCAGGCCAATTACAGCCTCAGGGGCCTTTTCCGTTCACAATGCATAAATATTGGCATGCATTCCTGCCGCCGCCGGTGCAATTTAAAGTGCTGTCCTACCCACGAGAATAATAACCCATCTAGGCAGGTGGTTACCAGATTCACGGGCGGACGTCTGCTGTAAAACCGGGAGCTTTGCGTTTCGCAAGTCACACACTCCATGGCGAGGCCCAGGGTTCTCGCGGTGTGTGACACTGAGACCAGAAGTTGCAAGGGTCCTCTGGGTGCAATTGTGTCACGCCAGAAGCACGCCAGATAATTCTCCCAAGAAGCTAAATTGACGGCCTTCTCTGGAGGACCGTCACTGCGATGATTCCACGTGGTTCACAGCTACTCACTGTTTTACCACTGGATCTGATATGCGGACCAGCGTGATCGCAAACACTGCATGATCGCAAACTACCCCCCTTTCCTTTGGTATCACGAGACTTGTCCCTCATTTTCGCAACACTCACCGGTGTCAATCACGATGTGAAGTATTACTTGGGACGCGCAGGTCCATTTACTTCCGGGAATATGTTCTTGTGGAGGCTCGTCCCAGTATCTCGAGCCTCGATACCATCACTTCGGACTCTTGGCTTAGGAATGCTCTTCGAACCCCGTTTATATGCAAATTGCAGTTTTCGGGCTGTAGCCTGGAATCGGCAATACTGCGTAACGTGAAATAGGCAGCAGCGCTCCGCTACACCAGTCGACAACTCGGTAGGAAACACTTTACTGAGCAATAAGTCTTTCTGTTAGATTGGCCCTTGCTTGATGTTACAGCATTAAACAGTATCTGTGAGACCGAATATGATTTTTGGTGTGTGTGAAGTTATGAGTTTTGGACGTCACGTTTATATAGTAACATGACCATTCAATTAGGCAAACGACAACTCAAAATGACTCAAAATGACCTCTCACAAGAATAGTATCACTGGCTAGCAAGCAAGCTGTAAGATAGTGAGATGCGTAAGTTGGTTGTTCAACAGAAAACAACCCGGCGATTTCAAGAGTTCAGATCGAGCAAAAGAAGCTGTCAAGCGACTTACAGAGACATTCATCTCAATGTTGGTCGGAAGTTCCAGACACTCACTTGATAGTTCTGGTGGCTTTGTGTGAGAAGCGTGGTCGGGCTTTTGTAAATGACAATGTGAGCTAGACGTAGCCTCGACAACTCTTAGTTGGTAAAAGGCGACTTGTTCTTCTAAAGAAGCAAGTTTTGGTTTCAAGGAGCCTGACAACTTGGCTGCTCCTGACGTCCCGGCTTCACAAGTGATAAAACGCCTGAATTGGGGTCCCCACTCTTGAGAAACTCGTCTTGCCCGAGAAGTTCAAATTACGGCCATTGTGTTTGAAGCCAGTACTAATCCCTAGGAGATTTTGAGCGGTAGATATATGTCAGATCATTGAGCAACTAGGTTCGCTTCAACAGCATCTGAAATTTCGAACACAAAAAGTGTAGCAGAACATTGAAACAAATCACTCTCTGGAGATCTGATATGCGGGCACTACGCATTGAATACCTGTCATGTTGACTTTATAGCATCTACGCCGTATAGATAAAGCGCAAAAGGCTAACGCATGTTCAGCGCTATGATATGTATTAATCAGGTCCTCGGCCACTTTAAAGCAGCAGGAGCCAAATAGTCTTGGTCAACTCAGCTTTGTCACTCCAGGCTTAAGAGCTCAGCCAAGAAGTCACACCGAGCACAAAGACGCAGACCAGTATATCCGAACGGAGTGTGGTGAAAATCCGTGAGTACTTGAGCCCCGTAGTCACCAACCCTTTCAGCCTCCCATCCGGTATGAGACCCAAGACAGTCCACAAGAAACCAGGGGGTGGCGCCCGCCCCTGGTCCAGGAGCAGCCGGCTCGTGAGCAGGATAGTCTCGGCCGTGGCAAAGGTCCAGAAGAAGTACTTGCGCCCGTCGTCGTAGTCAGCGTGCCCAGTGCTGGCGGCGAACTCGGCGCGCTCCCTCTCGATCTTGGTGCCCGTGAAGCCGGCCAGAAGCGAGATGTACAAGCCCAAGCCGGCGGCGACAAGAAAGTGCACGACACGCCAGAAGGCGGAGTAGGGATCGAAAGCCGCCGTCGCCCCTTGCTGCTGCTGCTGCTGCGGTTGCATGCCTCCCGCGAAGGGGTTGCCGCCCGCGAAAGGGTTGCCGCCGGGCCCGCCGGGCCCACCGCCCTGTCCCATGTTGGGAGGCATCCCGCCAAGCATCTGCGATAGCATCTTCATCATGGGGTCCTCATCGCCATTTGCGCCGCCAAACATGGCCGCTGGGTCAAAAGGATTTGCGGGTGCGTTGCCGTTGGCGCCGGGGCCGGCGGGGCGGTCGAAGCCGAGCATCATCTGCCGCAGCTGGTCCTCGGACATGTTGTTAGGGCCACCGCTGCCCCTTGCGGCGGGTGAGGGTGAGGGAATGCGGTTGGTCTTCTGTGGCTCATAGTAGTGCTCCGATATGTCGACCTCGTCGGGGTCGCCGTGGTGTTGCTCTGCGTCAGCGTCTGGTGTGGCTGCCGGAGCCGGCGCAGGCGATGCAACCGTCGGGGGATTGCTCGGTATTGGGTCTGTGGTCGGCCAGGTCAGCTGAGGTTGGGTATATTGGGCTGTCATTGCAGAGACGAACCTCGCTGGACGCCTCCTCCCAGCCCGGTGATTCTATTCAAGCGAGCGTTGCCTCCGGCCTTGATCTTTGCCTCGCGGCGCTCCTTCCGCAAACGGGCCTGCTCAGCTGCTCGCGCAGCGGCGGCAGCCTCGTCAGGGCTCAGTTGAACTGTCTCGGTCATCACTGAGGAGAGTGGTGGTGCTTGTCCACCAGTCCTGGATGTGGGTGTTGGGTGAGAAGGACTGGGCAACGAATTGACGTGATCGCTGGCTCGAAGTTAGAACTACTTAGGTACCTAGGTGACTAGGTGACTAGGTGACTAGGTACCTGTCTGCAGCAGCACCACAAAGCTTATCTTATCAGAGTGGCCTATGCTCGGTCCCACCCCCATCTGAGGTGTGGTAGTTGACCGCTTTGGACTGTGCGAGTAAATCCAACTGTAATAATCCATCGATATGAGCGAATCTATTAATGCATGTCCTGGGAGCGTTTCCAGGCCACTGGCTCGCCCCAGTCCAGTATGCTTGGTTGGGGGACTTCAGGACAGCCACTGCAGGGTTCACTCGGCGAGAAGCTAATGTCTCTTCGATTTTGATCTAGGCTATTCTACTCTTGATGCCTAACAATGGCCACACTTATGAAAGAGGCGGTCTCGTCGCTCTAAAATTTCAAGGAGTGGCCTTGCTCATACTGACCAGCCTCTTGATTCCGACCTGCAACGAAGTAAGCACAATGACCTGGTTATCCTGGGATTTGCGTGTGTGTTGCCTTACCATCCAATTACCACACTCCTCCGTCTTGTTCTCGTGGATGTTCACCTGGATTTGATGAGCCTCGGTGTAGTTCTTGGATTCGAGTGCGTTGGCCAGCTGCGAGAGCTGCGCAATCGTGTCTGGCTTGACCAGCTCCTCATTGTTAAGATGGTCGAACAGCAGGTTCAGCCGCTTCTGCGTGTCCTTCACTTGAGGGGCAAAGTTTTGTGGCGCCTTGGATGCAACCCTTTGCATGTCGCGGCTCAGGATATCGACCATGGCTTGAGCGCTGGCGGGGATGTGCGATCGGTCTCCGGCCGGGTGCCTGGCCTTAGGGGGAGCAGCAGCTGGTGATGGCGCGGACCTTGGCGGCGGCGGCGTCGCACTTGACTGAGCAGTTGGCGGAGGGCCGAATGATGATGGCGGCGGCGCCACGGGCGGCTGGTTTGTTGGTGTGGCAGCCGGGGCATATGGTGACGGCACAGTCTGGCCTGGCCCGGCCGGAGGCGCCGCATAGGGGTTTGCTGGCGGCGGCCGGCTGGCGGCGGCAGGCGGAGGCATCGTCGCAGCTGGTGGCTGAGAGAACTGCTGTGCAGCTGGTGCGGGAGCGTATCTACTTGACTGCGGTGGCCCAGCTGGGGGCGCACCATACGGAGACGCTGTCCGGGGCGCGGCTGCGCCTGGTGGAGGTGCATACGCGTTCGAGGCCGTGGGCGGAGGTCGCGCCTGAGGTGGTCCCGTCAGGGGTGAGGTAACTCGAGGCGGCCCAGCCTGGCCCGCCTTTGGTGGTGGCGGAGGAGGAGTCGGCGTGGCGCGAGGTGGAGCTCCATAAGGGCTCTGAGGCGGTGGTGGCACCGCAGCAGGACCCTGCTGGCCAGGGAATGGCGAGTTGATTGGAGCCGTTCGGGGCGTGGACTTCCGGGTCGGCACTTTCGTTACCATCGGCACATCGTTCCAGTCGCCCACGTCCTTCGCCCGGAGAAGAGGCGGGTTGGAGCTTGGGGTTCCAGCTCTCGGAGGGCCAGCCATTGGTGGAGGCGCAATCGGCGGCTGCCCAAATGCGCCGTAGCTTTGCTGAGGTTGGCCAAACGTCGCGGATGGAGACGGGGCATACGGATTGGCCGCAGGAGTCACTCCGGGTGGTGCGTAAGGGTTCGCAGCGGGCATCGTCGTAGGCGGAGCGTACGGGTTCGCAGATGGTGTCTGGACCGGTGCCGGAGGGGCGTACGGGTTTGCAGCTGGAGTCTGGACCGGTGCAGGGGGCGCATACGGGTTCGTACCAACCGGGGCAGCTGGTTGAGGCGGCTGGTAGCCGACAGGTTGTGCCCGAGAAGGTTGTGCCCGAGATGCTGTCCGTGATGCTGTCGCTGGCTGGCGAACAGTTGGCTGAGCAGTGCTCTTCTGAGTTGCCAGCCTGACGCGGTTCCTGGCGACCTCCGCCGCAGCGTAGCTTGAAGGCAAGAGATCGAGGTACTTCTGAGCAACAGGCAAGAGGCCGTGGGCCGCAACGATGTCTGCGTACTCGACGTACTTGTCGTACAACGCCGATAGCTTCCAGTCCGAGGACTGACCAATCTCGGAGTCCTGGAACTTGGTCACATGCCTGAAAATTGTGACTTTCTCGATGAACTGTTGGAGAGACCTGGCATGCACCGAGAACGTTGAGTCTTCACTAGGCTCCTTCATCTCGGCCTGTTCAGTCTCCGCGAGCTCCTCGATCCAGATGGACACGACCTTCTCGAGTTTCGAGCCTACCAGGTAGCAGAAAGAGGCATCCTTGCGTGAGCCCGACTCAAGAATACGATCGCCGAGCGCCTCGCAGAGGTCGGGGAACTCGTTCGGCTGCGCAAAAGTGCACAGCGTGGCCATGGTCTCCTTCCAGTTGGACAGATCCGCGTTGTAAACAACGTCCCAGAGGTTTCCGGCAATCACCGAGCTCAAGAGGCGGAGGTAGCTGGGGCTACCCTTCTTGTTGGAAAGGTAAGCTGCCTGCACTTTGTCAACGAGCTCCTTTCCACCACAGTTAGCGATTATGAAAGCATCTGCAATGCGATCCTCCTTGAGGCAGATGTCTGCAGCTTTGGCAAAGTTGCCGAGCATCAGAGCTTTGGTAACCTGGTCCTCCAGGGCAGTATTGCCTTCGCTGAGAAGATGGAACGGATCCTCTGTCTTTGCGCCTTTGTTGGCGGCCAAGCCCGACAAGAAGTCATCGCCGTCAGCGCCATCGAAAATGCTTGTCATTCGCTTGTGCGAGCCTTTCTTAACTCCATTCTCTTTGGGTGTTTCTGGCCCCTCGTCCTCCGGCGTCTCCTCCTCGTCGCCGCCGTTGGTCACCTCCTCGTCCTTCGAAAACCCGAGGTGGCTAATGACCTGCTGCCGAGGGTCCTCTGCAACGAGTGTGTCCATGACAAGCCAGTCGGCCTTCTCATCATCAGTCTTAGCCTGCTCCAAGTGTGACTGACAGATTTGCTTGAGGTCTCCGCTCTGGACCGCAGTCTCAAACTTCTCGGCCTGGGCGGAAACGTCGGAGTCAACGGAAAACTGGGAGATGGAGATCTTTGATGAGCGAGGATGCCCACTCGCAACGGTGTTCTTCCTGAAAACGACAACTTTTCCGCCGAAACCAAAGGAGGCGCCGACTGGTCTTTGCATCCAGACTGGGGCCTTGGGAAGAGAGAACGACGACCCTTGAGGCTGTGTTTGCGCACTGGTGAAGAAGTCCTCGCCGTCGAGATTATTTTGTGCGGCAGCCTGCGCGGTCGACGCATTGGTATTCTGCAGCGTTTGAATGGCGATTTTGCCGTCGAAGGAGGCCGTAGCCGACAGCGAGGGATTATGAGGGTTGAATCGGGTCAAGAAGGTCCAGTTGGTTACTTCCGGAAACTCGCCGTACCGCTCGCCGGTCTGAGGGTTCCATATGACAGTTCGGTTGTCCTTGCCAGAGGAAATCAACAGATCACTGTCCTGCTCACACCACGACAGGGACAGCACTCCCTGCTCGTGTCCCTGCAACGTCCGTTCAGGCGCGTTGGAGTTCCTCAGATCCCAAAGGAGAATGACGGGCGCACTGTCATCAGGGGTCGCCGTCAGGAGCTTCGTGGAGTTCTGCGGATCCCATGCGATAGCGCTCACTCGCTTGCGGTTGTTGTTAAGTGTCAGGGACGCCTTCTTGGTCTTCAGGTCCCAGACGGTGACGAAGCCTCCAGAGCCGCCTGTTGCCAGGATATGTGAGACCTTCCTGTTCCACGCAACACACTCGATATCGTCCGACCGGGCCGCAGCATTGCCCAGACGGAGCGGGTTTTCTATGTCGTTGACGTCGTGGATCCATAGCTCGCCCTTGTCGCCGGCGGTAGCTAGGATTTGAGGCTTCAGAGGATTGAATTGGAGGGACTTGATCGCGCCACTGTGCTTCGAGGTATGTGCTATTTCGGCGTCCGACGCTCCAGATATCAGCTTCTCGGCATCCCACAGATGCAATGAACCATTCTCAAGCCCGCCAGCGATGATGCCTCGAGGGTGCGTCTCGTCTGGTGGTCCCCAGGCCAGGTCATGAAACCTGGTAGCGTCATGTCAGCTGCTGCGGGCGAATGCACTTTGAGGGCAAGGCGTACTTTGAATCCGCGGCGATGCTAGCGATGGGCTGCAGCTCGAGTCCCTGCGCCTGGTCATCCAGGTTCAGGTCCCACAGCTCCAGCTTGACCTCGTCGGAGAAGCTATCGTCGACGGCACCAGCACGGGTGCCAGTGACAAGAAGCGGTTTGGCCGGGCCGGAGGACCAGGCCAACGCTGCCGTGCGAGGAATCTCTCGTAGTCGTACCATGTTGGCAGGAATGGACAATTCGAAGGAGGATCGGAGGCCAGGAGGCGCTACACTCGAGGAACCGCGGCCTCTTTACAGAGGCGCAATGTGAATTCTGATAATCTTTCAGCCAGAGCACTGGGCGGGCATTAGATGATGGGGTGAAGTAGTCGACGGTATGCCAATGGAAGGTGCAGAAGAGAGTCTGCTTAAGATCTATTGTGGTAGCATCGGAATGCGTCTTTGGGCGAGGTTGTTGTATCGGCTGTAATAAAGGCCACTCTAACACTGATACCAATCGTTAGGCCAGATCGCGCTGGGCCGGCGCACTCACAGGGGGCCTGCCAGGTTGAGAGTAGTATTGATTGGCCCACTCGGAACTGCCTGCCCCTCTAAACATTCCCGTGGCTTACATAGCTGTCGTACCAGTTCTGGTCAAGACAATGTACCTGACAAGGTGGGCTAGCACTCTCGGTACGGCATTTGCAGTCTCTTCGTGACAAGCTCTCTGTTCACGCCCTCTATTTTCCCACCGGCACCATAGCCTCGACTGAACCCATATTTTGCAGCGTCTGCATTCAACTCCCTCCTGTGTTGCCTTGGGAGAAAACTCTCCCACGAGGCCTGAGCGCTGGGAAGAATACGAGGGTCAGAAAGCTCGTGGATTATCCGGCCTTGCGCGGGGATCTTGGACGAACGTGCAACCGTCCCGCAACAACTTTCACAATATGACGGATTCGGCGCGCTGGAAGGCCACGGTCCATGTCAGCGGCCTCGCGACAGTCGCGACGGTTGCGACACTACACGATGCATTCTTACCCTTTGGCGACATCGCAGACGTCACCCTTCCAAAGAACGAAAACCCAAACTCGAGGGATTCGGAGCCACATCGCGGATTCGCCTACGTCGAATTCGAAAATGCGGACGACGCGAAAGAGGCAATAGACAACATGGACCAGTCCGAGTTCTTTGGGCGGGTCATCAAAGTTACGGCAGCCAAAATACCCAAGAGTGCTGACGAGGGACTGGGGAGTAAAAAGGCAGTCTGGGAGCAGGTATGCCGTCCCTCTCGGCGCCTTGATTCAACAGATGCGAGACTAACCATCACTATTTAAACAGGAGAGCTGGCTCGCAAAACACGCAGTCAGCGATGAGGATAGACTGGCCGCAGAACAAGTCCAAGGCAGTGCAGATACGAGAGTCGAGGACCCAATGCAAGGGCTTGAGGGCTTGGACGTCGCGGGTCCCCGCCCGGCCTAGGCGGACGGCGGAAGGCATCAAGATACCCAAATGTACAATAATTGCACTGCGAAGGCGTTCAGGAACATTTCAGGAACATAGGGAACAGGCCTCAACATGGACTTTGCATCAAAATGATATTGCTGTTTCAGAGCTGGGATACCGGGGCTTGCTGGTGATGCTGGTCACCTCTCTATGTCTCGCCAATATACAGTCTGCCCGGCCCCTCATGCTTTGCCTCGGCCAGTTTTCCAAATCGCAACGGCGCTCTAGTGGGACTCTTTGGAGTGCTCCTGGGCAGCGTTGTCGGCGGCTCGGTTCTGGCGCTTGAGACGGATGGTCTTGTCGACGAACAGGTGACGTGTGATCGAGTAGCCGGCAGCGAGGACAGCGAAGCCAACGACAACACCTGGACACATGTAAGCCTATGCAATGCTCCCCGGAGGGCTACCAGGGTCTATGACGAACCGAGGGGGATCAACTCAGCGGGGATCTTGCGGAGTCGTCGAAGGCGTTGCGAGACAGTGTGAGCTGCGAAAGATTGATTGTCAGCCTTTGTCCTCGGCTGCGAGGCCGCTGTGCTGCGTATCGTCGACGCGGGGCGACAGCCTCGTAGCGGCCGAGTCATCACGTACCAGCCTGTTCCTCATTCTGTCATCGCATTAGCTGATCGGGCCTCTGATGTCACGCCACAAGTACGGCGGAAGAGGAGTAAGGAACTCACGGGCACCGGGCGCATCATGCGGCGGGTGGGCTGGAAGGCGGAGCGCATAGCTCTTGTGGCGTACATGGCGATTGATCTGGGGGGCTGAGTGGAGATTGGTCTGGATGGGTATGGTTCGCAGGATGGAAATGCTGGAGCTTCGTGAATCGGTCTGTCGGTTCGGTCAAAGGGCCAGTTTTGATGCTTGTTGGATTTCGTCAGAAGCCGGCTTGCTTCTCCCCCGGGTTGGAGCTCCACCCGGCCAGTCAAATCACTCAATTTGCAAGCCTGCGCATCGGCCTTGCTTAGGTAACTCGCCCAAAACGACCCGAGCCGGCCAACATCCCAATCATCATCGACAGAGTTCCGGTCAACCGCGCAGCTCCATCACTTGCTCACCAAGAACCTCCAACCCATCCTCCGACAGCCATTGAGCCCCGAAAACCCTTTCCCACCCAGTCGCTGACCCCACGAACGCCAAAATGTCTGACAGCGATCGCGAGACGAAGCCCTTCAAGTTCGTCACTGGTATGTCCGACCCCCTCTCCCACCAGGCTTCAATCGTATGATTTTCTCCCGCAAGGCTAACAGTGGACACCAGCTGGTATGATATATCCTCTAAACCCCACGAACGCGCGCTGCGACGATACGACTGGCACATGCCGGCATGGAATGGATGATCGTTTCCTAACATGAGATCCCCTCCGTACAGGTGTCGACGCCCGGTTCCCCAACATGAACCAGACCAAGCACTGCTGGCAGAACTATGTCGACTACCACAAGTGCATCCTCGCCAAGGGTGAGGACTTTGCTCCTTGCCGTCAGTTCTGGCTGGCCTACCGATCCCTTTGCCCCAGCGGTTGGTACCAGCGATGGGATGAGCAGAGAGGTATGAGAAGTCCAGCAACAGTGATTGCCAGGTGCACATGCTGACAACTTTTCAAGAGGCCGGAAACTTCCCTGCGCGCTTGGAGTAAGGGAGGTGGACATATGGGGAAACGCACAATACGATAGACAAAGGCACTCCCTCGAAATGGCGGCGGCGGCGGCTGTTCTACTAGACGATGTTCATAGGGCCGAAATCGCATACATTCCGACTCTACTACGCCTTCTCTTGTTTGTGACTTTAACCTCAGAGCACTGAGAGCATTGAGAGGCATTGAGAGGCACAATGAACAGAACTCCACTTGGACAAGTGTCCAGAGTTTCGATATCGGATACTGTCTCTCTCCCTTGTGAGTCGGTACACGACGAATGAAGATTCTTTGCGGTCAATGCGATGCCATGCCGACTGTGTTCCCCGGATGGTGTTGTGTTCCGTGACTGGGCAAGATTGAGTGTGATGTACAACACTTTGAGGATTGATATTACTCTTCGTCTCTGACTATTAAGGTGTGCTCATCGGTTATGTCGTGCAGACATTGTCGGCGACTTCAAACCAATACCTCGAGGCTTGTACTTTTACCAGCAGACGTACCTATGAGTTGGCTGGAACTCATACCACGCTGAGCCATCGACTTACGGCAGCAAGCCAGGATCAAGACTGTAACTCAGACAGTCACCACCAGGGAGCTCAGAACAGCCAAACTTTGTCATTTTGGGGAGACAAGCAATCTTGTGCGCTGTCAACGTAATGCACCATGTCGCCATTTTGATAATTAACGGTGGAGTGCTGCGGAGAAGAAAATCCTCGAGGCCTTCCATGAGTGTTGTGAAATTCAAACCACGAACGCCGCTCATCCTCACATTCCAAGGTTGCCAGTGATAATGCGGAACCCCCCAAACGCCAGCTAATTCCCGACCACTACCTTCACAAGGAGACCGCTTCTAGCAGAATTTGCTTGAGGTCAGAAATTACTTTTTCCCAGCCGCGCCACCATCCTCCTCATCAGAACTCATGAACTCGTCATCCTCCTCGAAACCAAAGAATGACCTGGGCTTGGCACTGCCGGTTGCTGTCGCCGGCTGCTTGCCCTTCCCTGTTTCTGATGCTGGCGTCGTCCTCCCGGAGCTCCCCTGTCCTGCGTCTGAGTCTTCGCCATCCGAATCTTCCTCCATCGCCTCGGCCGATGCAGATGAGGATCCTTCCGAAGTCCCGAGGAGGTTGTCCTTGTAGCTTCCCGACTTCATGGCAGCAAGGACAGCATCTCGGGTCCGCTCGCCGGCCTCCTCCTTGTCCTCCACCCATTTGCCATCCAGCCTGCCCTTGTTGCCGTTCTTGATCTCCTCCTCCCTCCGCTCGGCTGCCTCGACGATTGCCGTCCATCGCTCTCTCCTCCTCTCCTTCTCCTTCTGCTCCATCTCCGGTTTGATAGCGAGGAACTCGGCCAGTGCCTTCGCCTCAGTCACCGTACGCAGCCTCCGGCCGTCCAGGTTCCTGCTCGAACCATTTTCGTCACCCCTGTTCTTCTTGCGCTTCGAAGACATGCGCCCTCCAGCGGCACGCAGTTGTGAGCCGAAACCGCCCTTGCCGCCGAGGGTAGGATAGGAGAGGCGGAGCGGAAGGAGGTCATCTTCGGGTGAGGCGAGGGCAGAGATGGCAAGGTGGGCGTGTTGAGGAATGCCGACATTCGCATTTGTGGTCAGGACGAGCGAGCTGAAGGTCTCGTCATCCAGTTCCTGAGGCACACGGCTGGCCAACTCTCCCCACAGGTCATGGGCGGACGTCGAGGGTGGCAGAGGCAGGCACAGGGTCCTTGGCAGGCCGAGACCACTGAAGCTGGTGATGAGCACATTGATATGACCGGAAGCCATGATGCGCCTTGTGTGTGCCGGTGCAACCGACTGTGTGCGCAATCGAAAGACAGTTAGATTGCTTGAAGTCCCGTAAAGCAGAAATTTGTGCGATAAGAATTGGTGTCGGACAAGGAGGAGGATATAAAATCGCTGCCAAGTGGGTGGGTGTTCAACTGGATGATGGCACAGGATGAGCAGAATGCGCAGAGTACGGAGTGCAGGAGGCGCTGAGGTCGCCTGCCCAGTGCCAGCGATAAGACCGATACCATCAATCGGTCGCGCCCGGACCCAGAGGCAAACGGAGCCAAGCCTGATTCAGCCAGCTACAGTAGCTGCCTCAGCAATCCTGGTTGCTCCAGTCCCGACAGTTCCTACGAGAGACAGGCTTGCCGGCGGCCCAGCACCACGGAGTTTTGTAGCGCCGTCCCTCCGCGGGAAAAGTGGGGCATCGCTCGAAAAAAGGGCCGCACAACTGGGGACCTAGCATGCCATAGGCGTCGACCAGAGAAATCATTCCCGCCCCATTGCGACCACGACTGCCCACGACTGCCCACCTCGTCTTGTGTCTCGATCAACCACACCACCCAAGTCGTCGGCAGATTAATCGCAATCATGCTTATTCCCAAGGCCGACCGCAAGCAGATCCACGAGGTAAGACGGCACTCCAATCCTCAACACCAAGGACCGGTTCCGCGACCCGCAATTGCAACGACGAAACGATATCGAATATCTGGTCCACATCGGCCACAGCAACAGTGGCGAAGTGTGCGATGATGTCGAGGACGCTGGAACGCATCGCCGATTGTGCCAAGCCACACACGGCCGCATGCTGAAGGAAACACGACTGACATGTCTCGAAACAGGCCCTCTTCCGTGAGGGAGTCCTCGTGGCTGCGAAAGAGTAAGGATCATCACGCGGAACGTCGACAACCCTGAGATCTGGACTGATCGTTTGCCCCGTATAGCTTCAACCTCGAGCAGCACCCCGAGATCCCGGTCAAGAACCTCTACGTCATCAAGGCCATGCAGTCGCTGAACAGCCGTGGCCTCGTCAAGACCCAGTTCTCCTGGCAATACTGTGGGTGAACCCGATCGAGCAAGCAGTTGATATTCATGGGAGGGCTACAAGGCGAGGTGCAACTATGGAACTGACCACGGTCCTCTTCCGCTCCAGACTACTACACCCTCACCCCCGAGGGTCTCGACTACCTCCGCGAGTGGCTCCACCTGCCCGCCGAGATTGTTCCCGCCACCCACATCAAGCAGCAGCGATCGCACGCCCCTCCCCGTGGCATGCTCGGTGAGGAGGAGCGCCGCCGACCTTTCGGTGGCCGTGGCCGTGGTGGTGACCGTGGTGACCGTGAGGGTGGATACCGACGACGTGACGCTGGTGAGGGCAAGGAGGGTGGCGCCCCCGGCGAGTTCAACCCTCAATTGTGAGAAAATCCCGAGTCCGACGAGACAACGACCCGCAGCGACAATGTGACTAACCTGAATTTCCAGCCGTGGTGGTTTCGGCCGTGGCCGCGGTGCCGCTCCCCCGTCTTAAGTCGACCCAGTATCCCCGGAAAGAGATTTGCATGGACACTCGGCCCCCGGTGTTTCTAAGGACAAGGACAGGAGGGCCGAAAATGAACCAATGCCACGCCGGCCCGCAGACGGGTAGACGTACAGTCTATTTGCTTTTGGAGTTAGGAGGTTAGATCTCCTCGGAAAACATAGCATCAAGGGATTCATCTACCACGACTGGGTTTCGGGTGCGATATGCTGTGACGGATGAATCAAAAAGGTCACGAAGTTCAGAAACACACTTGCCCCTCACATGGAAGTTCTCGTGATTCCAGTTCGGGCCGGCGAACAGAGTGCGCACTGCGGATTCCGACGGTCGACAGGATGCGGACAGGTCACCTTGGGAGGTGGCTGGGTTCACACGCTACAGAGGGGCAGGGGCTCTGCAGCTGTCCTCTCCCCAAGCCGAACAAGTTAATTCTCTCCAGTTTGCCTGCGGACCGTTCGAGAATGAAAAGGCTGCCAACATTGGTCTTGCCCTGCTGCTGATTCTGGGAGCGTAAAACCATTTACTTCCATCATCTCTTCAGTATCGATAAAGTTCGACCGGGCCGGACCGTACCTCGTAACACCGCGGTGACCGACCTCCTCTTCTGGATGGGGAGGAGTGAACAGGGAGTTCACAACTTGTATGAAGTATCAATCAGACCACCAGGCACCAGCCGCGTGACATGAAATACCCCGTGGGGGTCTTGTGCTACTACACTACTGACGGGGCAGAAAGCTGTATCATGTAGTCCGGGGCGGGTTAGGCTTTCAAACAAAACACCGCACCCGCGCAGAATGAGCTGATGGCCTGGCAAGGATGCCAAGATCTACGCTGAGATGTTCCATCCTCAATGTGGGTTCTGGATAAATTCTCGCGACTTCAGTTCCTTGTAACCCGGGCGCTTGTCAAGTAGCCCTTATGATCCCGAAGCCAGAAGCTCCCCATGGGTCCGCAACCCGACTTGAGCAGCACATGGAAGCACCGGGACTACTGTGTAGTCTCTCTCCTGTATCTCACAACATCCTCACGGTACCTGCACTCGTCACCTAAGTATTTGTATAGCAAGCTAGTGGTCGCGTGCTACCTGCATTACGGCTCACCAACTCGGATCTGAGATGCTCTCTAGAGGCTTTATAAGTTACCGGCGATTTCCGACCCTGTCCCAAAAGTCTCACCGGCCCAGGTCGATGGCACACCGGCTGTCATAGCTGGCAGCCTGTTCATCTCAACAACGCGGAACGCCCAACGCCTGAACATCTGGTGAGCGACGCCTGATCATCATGAGGGGGTCTCGAAATGCAGAACTCAATCCAGACCAGGGCTGACCCTGGGCGTGCCTGGGCCATTCCCCTCTCTCGCCCGGCTTACAGCCCTCAGGGTGGGGCGACAGTCCACCTCGAGCTTGGAATGCTGCAGCGTGACGACGATCTGGGCCCCTGTAGCCCCGCAAATTACCGCGATGGATAGTTCGGGCGAGGGGCAGCTGTCAAGTTCACCCCCGCCTTTCTTTTGAGGCGATCGCTCTGGGCAGAGTCTCATCGACACTTTTTTGTGCATCGGAGGAGCCATGATGCTCGGGAATGGGCGGTCAGGCTGGGATCCCTGCGGCCATAGGGCAGGCCGTGGGCAGCTATGGGGAGCTGGGAGGAGCTGGGAGGAGCCGGGAGGAGCTGAGGAGGACCTGGGGGGCTGGATTAAGGATGAGACTCTGGATATTTCTTGATGTTGAGCCCATTAAATCTGTTGACTTTGACTTTCTTCTTTCTTTCATCTCATCCTGCCTCAACCGCTCTTGAGATAATTATATATACCATACCCGGGGTTCTCCTCAAGATATTTTGGGATTGCTCGCACTCGAAACATAACCGTTTCCCAATCTAGCATTCAAGATGGCGAACCTCCCGAAGACCATGAAGGCTTTGCAGTAAGTTCTTGAGTTATCCCGTGTGGCGGTAGGCACAGTGCATAGAAGAGCGTATACGCCCCGGAACTCGGCCGCATGAGCAGATGCCCAGCTACCCAGCTACCTCTCATGGCAAGGTCGTCAGTCCGCGTGCTGTTCAATGTTACTGATCAGCCCGCTTCTAGGTACTCAAAGCCCGAGAATTTCTCTATCGTGGAAGTTCCCCTCCCAGAGCTTCGAGACGACGATGTTCTCGTTAAGGTCAAGGCTTGTGGTGTGTGCGGAACAGACCTGGTGAGAACAAGCCCCCAATACGCCCGGGGATGTTCGTCTGCCGAAGGGGCTGGGAGCACCAGCAGAAATCCAAAGACGCCTCCTGCAGCTCATGAACTAACTCTGAGTAGCACATCCACGAGGGCGAGTTCATCGCCAAGTTCCCTCTCATCCCCGGGCACGAGACGGTGGGGGTTGTTGCCGCCGTGGGCAAGGTAAGTGCCTCACAGACTCCAAGAATAGGGAAGCCGGGCACGTGCTAACGCCAGGCTTGAAGAACGTCAAGAAATTCCAGCTCGGTGACCGCGTAGCGGCGGACAACTCTGAGCTATGTGGCCACTGCTTCTACTGCCAGCGTGGCGAGCCCCTGCTCTGTGAGAACGTAGGACTGAACCACCACAACACCGCCATGTTGCCTTGGCCACTGACATTCGATCCTAGTGGTCTGGACACGGAACCACCCTTCCGGGTGGCTTCGCCGAGTACTGCGCGTACCCTCAACACCAAATTTTCAAGTTCCACAACATGAGCGATGTGGAGGCCACACTTATCGAGCCAGCCTCGTGTGCATGCCACGGCCTCGACAAGATCCGGCCCCGCCTGGGCTCATCTGTTCTCATGTTTGGCGCGGGCCCGACGGGTCTGATGCTTGCGCAGCTTCTGAGGCAGAACGGAGGATGCTCTGTCACCATTGCCGCACCAGGTGGCCTAAAGATGGACTTGGCCAAGAGCCTCGACGCGGCTGATCATTACGTCGAGCTTTCCCGCACCGACCCGTCGGCCCAGTTTGACGCGCTCAAGAAGAACAACCCGTATGGATTCGACGTTGTCGTTGAGGCCACCGGCTCGGTCAAGCTGCTCGAGGATGCGATCAACTACGTTCGTCGCGGTGGTACCCTCGTCGTGTACGGAGTGTACGCGAGCTCGGCCCGTGTCTCCTGGCCCCCTGCCAAGATTTTCGGTGACGAGATCCGAATCCTGGGGTCCTTCAGCGAGACTTTTATGTTCCCCGCCACCATTGAGTATCTCGACTCGGGAAAGATCAAAACCAAGGGTATTGTGAACAAGACGTTCAAGCTCGAGCAGTTCCAGGAGGCTCTCGACTCAATCAAGAACAAGAGCGCTATCAAGGCTGCTATTGTCTTTGATTAGAAATATGCTGTTGTCTCGTAGAGCTAGACGGCGTGGCATGGTGTTTTGAGCAGAGGCGTGGCTGAGCCTATTTGCGGCGTGAGCGACTGTCGAGTGTTTTTTGTGGCACATCGATGAATGATGAAGTATGAGGACACGGGCACATGAAAATGACAGGTTAGGTCGAATTACATACCAGGGAGGCCGAAAGGAGACGGATTGGGAGCATTTGAATTCAGTTAATAAGGGCTGCTTATCTCGTTTGCTGCCAATGCGTTCTACATGGTGTCGTGGCTGCCTGGATGCTCTAATAGCGCAGTCGTGGCCCTCTTGTGACATGACTTGCGAGATTATCTACCGAGCCGAGGACAACAAACCACGAACCGTCCGAGATGCAATTCGGAGAAGTATATAGGAACTCGTCCCAATTCCTTTTGGCAGCTCCAAATGCCCTTTCTCCATCGCATTCGTACCTTCGTAGCATCGCTTTCCTAAAAGGGAAAGTAGCAACAGGTTCGTTTCGGGGCTGGGGTAGCTTCTACCCCCAGCCCCAACATCCCTGCAGGCGCCCGTTGCGTCGTTAATGCTATTCTATCTTCATGAGCAGCCGCCTGCTCCAACAAGCCAAGACCCCGTCAATCCATCCGGACCGAGGCAGCAGGCCTGGCTACGGAGCACATGTCTGTGGGGAGCGTTCCCTGTCCAGCTGCACTGCACCCTCATCACACCCATGTAACCACATGTGATGCACTTTCCCCTTCCTCAGCATAAAATGCAGGCAGGCAGATCTGGGAGAATGAGGTAATGGCTAGCGAGCTGTCGTCTCAAAACCGTGGCCAGCTCACAAGGTCCAGATATAAGACCGAGCTTGTGTCCTCCCTAGAATCGTGACGATCATACACATCTTCCCTATTCAAGCTCGCTAGATTTCTCAGGCTACCACTTAGTACCTATAACCCGCCAACTTTTTCTCCAGACCTACAAGCACTTCCTTATCGCCGAAGTACATTCCGTCCTAAGAAAGCAGCACAAAATGGATTCAATAGTGAACTTGATCCTGAACCGGTCCGTGGTGACGGTTGAGCACATCAAGATTACCAATGCCACACCAGAGTACGTTTTCCCACTCTCAAACACAGCCCTCAAGGAGCTGCCTTTGAACGACCCAAACCAGCTTGTGAATTGCACGGCTGCTGACCATCTCACCGACAGCACCCTCACAATGTCCCTTGTCAACCGTGTAACAGGCACCGGGCCTATGGGCGCAACGATGTCGCCTATGGTCGTCGACATGGTCTTCAACGACCAGCCGTGGGGGAAGCTTCAGCTTCCTGAGGTGAACACGAAGTCGGGCGGCACAGACGTGATCGTGCAGGAGCAGGAGGTCAAAATCACGAACCAGGAGTCGTTCCGGGCGTTCGTCAAGGCGCTGATGCTGGACGAGGAGCTCGTGCTGGTGCTGGACAACGGCGACTGCCACATCACGGCCAAGGTCATGGGCTGGCCGCTCAAGAGCAACGTGACGTACAAGAAGAGGCTGGTAATCAAGGGCATGAAGGGGCCCCGAATCAGCCTCGTCGACACCACGGCCGACAAGAACATCATGAAGGTCTACAACCCTAGCCCGCTTGAGATCGACCATGGCGTTAGCATGTTTGACATTGTCGACGGCGACGGTCAGGTTGTCGCTGAGGAAAAGGGCCAGCTGAATATAGTGAGGGGCGACTTTGACAGCACACTGGGCATCACTTTCCAGCCCGGGAAGAAGGTCTCGCCGGGCCAGAAGCTGAGGCTCTTGGGCAAGGGTACGGAGAAGGACTCGTGGATGAATGACACCTTGAAGTATATCAACTCCGAGTTCGAGGCCAAAGACAGCTTTGCGTCGTTCCTCACGGGCTAGCCATTCCGAGTTGCGGTCGTCGGATCTCAAACACGAGGATCAAACCGCTGCGTTGAGTGACTTGTGTCAGTTGTGTGGGGTTAGGTGAGCGTTTTCTGGACAATCGCAAGATGTCGCTTGCTTCATTGAGTTCATATCAGCAATACTACCTAGGTGTCTATATCCTATCCTATCTATCATCTTCAGAAACTGGACGTCCTACCAAGGTTTGCGTCCTATTTGGAATTGTGTATGTTGCTATAGCCCATGTTCTACATATGTATTGGTAGATATCGCCTCTAAGCCCTTTTATCGACTTTCTCGATACCGATTCAGATCATATCGGGTTTGGTGCTCACTTACTTGGTTATTTGAGAAGCTATCTCGCACAGAATTTATGTCTTGAACATGGCCGGGCCGGGCTACCAGTTGACAGGAAAATGGGGTTTAGCATAGGATGAGCCTACTGTCACTCATCACGACGAGGCTGCTGATGGATGGGCAAAACGGCATTGTATTTGTTCTAGCCGTGTTCCGGACAGCAGGATGCTGTTACTGCTCTGGAATGGCTGGCAGGCTCTCGGTGATGCGTTGAGAAGACCTGTGGACCCGAAGCATAACAGATGCAGGCGAACGGAGTCAAGTACCAGGCAGGATAGGCCCTCTTCTACCGCGTTATAGCAGCTTTAGTCTGTCGACACCTAAAAGATGGGTGGGGGGAAACCCTTCCTAGGTAGCTACGTAGGTAGGCTGAATTGTCTCACGGGTTTGCCCATGGCCTCTCTCCCCTTCAAAGCGTGAACGTAGTATTGCACCTCGGAGTTGGGTGTCCAAGCAGAGGTGGTAACCCCACCCGTCTTGACCAGGGCATCGGGAAATATGTGAGACATCCTCTGTCTTGGAAAAACGAGAGTTGGCCCCCCCCCTGCAAAATGCCCCCTATTCCTTGGCTAAACCAAAACTTTGCTAATAGGGCAAAAAATCCAATATTTTCAATAAAATATTATATCTAATGCCACCTATACCCCAAAAAAGAAAAAAAAAAGGCTAATAATAGCAAGCTATTATCTATTAAATTATAAACTTTAATAATTAAAGTTTTATTTATATTTTAATTTATTCCTATTAAATAAGTAGCTATAAACTAAATTTCAAATTAGCTATATTATAATTTAAAAATATTATTAAAGAATTACTACCACCTATATAATTACCCTAAATATATTATTATTATTACTATTAAATATAATTAAATTAAAATAATAAACTTTAAAGGTTTATTAGTTTATTTTTATAATAAATTTATAAAATTTAATTAATATATAAGTTATATAAGCTAAAAGTTAAAAATCTTTTATTTAATAAGTTAAACCTATATTTTAATAAAATATAATACTTTTTGCCAAATAATTTTAAATTAATATTATTATAAAAATAATAAATAATACTTTTAAAATTTACGCATAAAGTAATAAATAAATATATATACTAGCCTACTAGTATAATAAAGAGTTTTATAACTATTACTTTTAATAAGTATATTAGCCAGGCTATATAATAAAAATATTTATTTTTATTAATAAGTTTAATTTTAATAAATAAAATAGTATAAAAGATAAATTAAATACCTATTAGGTATATTTTATAAGTTAAAAGTTTCTTTAAATAAGGGCTTGCTTTTATATTTTCCTTATAATTATATTTAATAGCTTATTTATTATTATAATATATAAGGGTTATATAATAAAAAGTACTTTTATAATAGTTAATAAAGAACATTTTATTAAAAATAAATTTATATTTAAGCTTAAAATTAATTTTTATAATAAATAATACTTTATAATATTATAATATAAAATAATTAAGGTAATAAATATAAAAGTATAAAATATAAATATTTACTTTTATATTTTTTAATTTTAATTTTATTAAAATATATTTTAGTAACTTAAAGTATTATTTATATTATTAATACTAATATAAGTTATTAAATTATAATTTAAATAGAATTTTATTTAATTTTATTTTTATACCTAAAAGGTTAAATTTAAAGCTAAGGTTATTTAAAATATTTTTATTATATATAAATATTAAAAAATATAAAATAAAGTAAATATAATAATATTAATTAAAAGTTATAAAATTAAAATTAATAAAATTTTAATTAAATATAATTATATAAATAAAAAGTATTATTTATAAGTTAAATAATTAAATTAGCAATTAAAATTAAGGTAAATAAATTAGCTATAAGCAAATTTATTTAATTAATTAATTACCTAATATTAGGTATTTAATCTATTTTATTTGCTTAAAATAACCAACTTTTTTTTCTTTAATTACTTTTTATTACTAATTATATTTTTTTACGCGCCTAATTACTATTTTTTTTATTTAAAAAATTCTTTAAAATTTATTATATAACTTTTTTACCTTATTAAATATAAAAAACCATTTTAATAGGCTTTTAACCTTTTTATTAAATAGCTAACCTAATTATAAGGCCTAATATTAAATAAAGCTAATTAATTAATTAGGCAACCTTTATAGATTTTATAAAATATATATTTTTAATATTTATTTAATAATTTATTAAATAGCTATTTAATAGCCCTTACTATAATAATAAGTTTTTTATTATTATTATTATTAAAAACTAGTAAAGTTCTTTTTTCTTTTAAATATAGCTTAATTAATATTTTAATTAATAAAATAGCCCCTAAATTATATTTATTAAATTAAATATCTTTTTTTTTATAAAGCCTATAAAGGTTAAGCTTTTTATACCTTATAATTTTTATAAATTATTTAAATTAAACTCTTTTAATAAATTTTAAAATATTTTTAAAGTACTTTTATAATAAACTTTTAATATAAAACTATTTTATTCCTTTTATTTATAATAGTAATAATAAAAGAATAATTAATAACTTTTATTTTTATAATAGGCTTTTAGGCGCTATTATTATTACTATTAATAATAATAAAGCTTTATTAAACCTATAAAAAAGCTAATAATAATAATAATAATAATAGCCCTATTAAAGCTACTTGGCTATATTTAATTTTAAATAAATTAATATTAAATAATAAATTAATAATTATATTAATACTATTTTTTTATTTTTACTTTTATTATTTTTTTAAAAGAATAAAACTAATTTTATTATTATTAAACTTTTTTATTAAACTTTATTTAAGTTATTTAATAATTAAAAACTTTTAATAGGTATTTAATTATAATATTATTTATTATAATTATATTAAACTAGTTCTTTAAGTTCCTATTAAATAAATTAATATATATATTATTTTACCTAATAAAATATTATTATTATAAAATTCCCTTTATTTTAATAATAATAATTAGCTTTATAATAATTATTTAAAAATATAATTATATTTTTATTAATTATTTATATTTTTTTATATAAAATTTACTTTTATTTTTATTTTAATCTTTTATTTAATAGTTATTAATATAAATTAAGGAGTTTTAAGGTTTAAATTTTTATTAAATATATTTAGGTTTATTATTTACCTAATTACTAATAAACTATTTTTAAGGCAGCTATTTATTAAATAGCTAATAATAGCTAAAAATTTTAATTAATAAATATTTAATTAAATAATTATTTTATAATATAAATATTTATAACTTTTATATTAATAATATAATTTTATAATTATATAAAATTAAAAAAAAATTTTTAAAATTTAAAAGTATATTTATAATATTATTATAATTAAATATTTTAATCTTTTATTAATATTTTTTATAATTTTTAATTATAAAGTTAAAATTTTTAATTTATAAGCTAATTAGCTTTAATAAAAATGTTTTTAATTTAATAATTATATTTAAATAATTTTTATATTTTTTTAATTAAATTTTAAATAAATTAATATAATTTAATAAAAGGCCTTAAATTCTTTAATTTTTATTTTTTTCTTTAATATAATAATTTGTTTTTAAGTTATATAATAAAAATAATATTAGCTTTTAGGTTATAAATTTTAATAAATAAAATTAGAGCTAATTTATTTAAATATATTTATATTAAAAATTAATTAAATAATTTTAAAATACTTAATATTATTATTATTATTATTTGCTAAAACCCTGCCTTATTAGTAAAAGGTTTTATTATTAGCATCTTTTAAAGCCTCCTTTTTTATTATTAAATATATTTTTTTATTATTAATTTTAATAATATTTTTATATCTTTTAAATTATTTAATTTACTATAATAGCCTTATTTTAAATAATTTTTAAAGGTATTTATAAGCATTTTTAAGTAATTTGTTAAATTTTAATTATTTTAATAATTAGCTTTTAAATATATAATTATTTAAATAATATAATATTTTTATTAATAAACTATATAATTTAACTTTTAAGTAAATTTTATATAATAAATATTAAATAGTTTAAATTTAATAAATTAATTAAAATATATTATTTATAATATTAATTAGGCTAATATTATTTTATATTAGGGCAAATAAATTATATATATTTTTATAAGCTAAGCTTAAATTAATTATATAAAATTAATATAATATTACTTTTATTTAATTAGGTAATAAAAACAACTTATTGCTAGCATTAATAAGGTTAATATAGGTGTTTTAATAAAAATATTGGGTTTTCTATTCTACTAGTAAAGTTTTGGTTTAGCCGAGGAATAGAGGGCATTTTATAGGGGGGGGGCCAACTCTCATTTTTCCGAGACAGCTGCCCTTAACATGTCGAGCCCGTATGGTAAACAGCCAGCCACTTGGACGGGGACAGCAGAGTCGAGAGGAAGGGAGGATGTTGTGCCCATCTCCACTGCACGCCAGGAGAGGCTCGTGAAGTAAAATAATGCAATTTCGACGCAGGAACTTGTTGTGAACGATAAATATGCACCAGACACATGCATCTCATTAAACACGCCCTAGTTGGGTGGAGGGGTTGTAGTACTGCAGCAGAGTCCCTGGCCCTGGCATTTGACAACCCGGCGATCTGGGGCCCATCCAGACATGGCTAGCGCACATTGGGGATCTGCAGGCTTACCGAACAAGGGAGCATGGGGGTGGCTGCGCTACTACAGTACAGGGCAGCTCGGCATTTCGGTACGAGACCCTTTGTTTCAAGGCAGGTACCACGTAGTCCGTACCACTGGCCACTGGCCACTGGCCATGCCTCTGGCGCCTGCCAGTAATAGCACTCCAACGACACTCCAGCCTTAGCGTTGCTGGCTGTCTGTCTGGCTTGCCTCGTTTGTCTCCTGCAACCCATCCCAACGTCGACGACCACAGGTCAGGTCTCTGGACCAGTGCGAAGCAAGCCAGGCTGGCTGTACATGAAAACACACACACACACACATTCACACGCACATCCTCGTCACTCGTTTAAGCGCCGTCCTCGAGACGGACCACGACGCAGGGCTGGCTTCGGGCCTGGCGTTCTCTGCCCCCGTCTTCAGCGCCCTCGGCTCCCAAGCCCCCCTGAACGGACCGAGATATATCTGTGCCCAGCAACTGCACAGCAACAACTGTCGTTGACGCCCTGGCTTGTTCTCCTTCGCTTCGCTTTCGCTTCGCTTTGTCTGCCTCGCTCTGCTCTGCTCTGCTCCGCCCCGGGTCCTGTTCCTGCTCCTCCTCCTGCTCCTGCTCATACATGACCTCTCTCTCTCACACACAAACGCACACACGCACACGCACGACCCCGTTCCTTTGCCGCCGTCCCGATCGGCCCGTCCCACTTGGAGGGCTGTACTGTGTGTGCTGTACGGAGTAGTGGGCTCTTCGCGTCTCAACTCGAGTGCCGTGTCACCCACGCCGGGTCCTTGTGACAGGCCGATCATCTGCGACGTCATTCTGGTAACTTGCTTGTGGCCGCCGACACATTGGAAGCTGCTACCCACCGCACTTCGGCAGCTTGGCTCTCTAGATGCTCGTCGGGCCTGTCTTGCTCGTTCAAAACCCAGCCAGTGCCATGCCAAGCCTCACAAGATACCCCCTTTCACCACGTCCGCCCCCTCGCTCTCACCAACTCGAACATGGCGCCCTGGCCCTCCCGACTCAACGACCCTCTCCCGCTTCCGCCCTCGCGGGAGCCTCCCCTGCCTCCCCTGCCTCGCCCGGAACAAGACGATGTCCGCAAGCAGCTATCTAGACCTCCGGCTCGTAGGCCCGTCCCAGGACCATCACGACCCAGCGACCCAAACCTCGTGGATGCTTCGCAGGTCCCCCCAGATCTGATACCCACCCTTCCTGCTGACCATCGCGCCGCCCCCAACCCAAGGCCATCGAGCCATGGCCGCTCCATGAGCCATCCCTTCCCGTCTTTGTTTTCCTCCAGGAGGAAAATGGCCTCAAAGAACCCGGTCCCCGACGATTTCGACTCGGACTCGGACTCTGATGCCGAGATGCTGGGTTTGGGACCTGGCTCCAAGCAGAAAAGGCCTGCGCAGCCTGCGGGGCCGTCAAAGGTAAATGGTAGGCCCACCAGCGATAAGGATTTCGCATCGGGTTACTGTATGACATGTGGTGCCATGTCGAGATGGCCTAAGGGGCTCAAGGTCTTCAAGTGCACCCTTTGCATGACCATCAACGACCTCTTCGATATTAACAGTGTGGTCGACGCGAACAACCATGCCCCAGGCTACAGACGCGCGTCCGAGGACGCCACTCCCAGCTTGAAGTGTGAGTGCATACTCCGTGACTTAAATGGCTTCAATGGCTCTAAAACATGGCTCCTAGCGCCAATATCACTTGAAGGCACAAAGCGACTCGTGAGGGACTGCCTCAAAAACTACTTGGTTGTGGCGCTGGCAGCTCGGCGCACGTCGGCAGACTCCAGAGATGGCAGCCGCCCTTTGGAAATGTACAGAACTTTCAGAGCCGCGGACAAAATCGATGCGCCAGTCGTTGGGCGTCAAAATTTTGGCAGGGACGAGGTGATTGCGCCAAAGGCTGGCGTATCGGATCCAGCTCATGGGAGTGCTGAGGACCGAAGTGCCCACGTGAATTTCTCTCGACCGGCGATGTTTTCGCAAAGGTCCTACTCTTCATCATACCCAGAGACGAGACCGGAGTTGGGGGATCTCGGGAGGCTTTCGATCGAGCAGAATGGCAGATGTGCGGATCCGGACGGGAAGCGGCTCTTCAGGCCCCTGGAGGACTATCTCGTCAGCTGTTTCTCGCCACCTCTGACCTGCATCAACTCGTCCTTTATGCTGCGGCAGCCGCGCAATTTCAACCGCCGGGCTCCGCAGCCGTCTAGAAGACGACCCTCGGAGCCCCCGAAGGAAGTTCCACCACAGGAGCATTCTATAACCGAACTTGACGCCAAACTGTTGATGGTCGGGGATTTTGCCGAGAATGGCTCGTGGTGGACTGGCCGCAAGGAGAAAGCGGCCCCCAACAGGACACCCTCATATCGAAGTGACGAAGACTCGACTGTTACAAGCAGGAGCCCGAACATCGACTGGGGAGAGGTGGACAATTGGTACCACAGCATTATAAACGCTGGGGAGCGTTGGGCAGATGTTTACGACGGCCTCGCGCAGACTTTTGTGTTTGATGAACCCACAGAGCCGGAACTGAAGCAGATCGAGGAAACCATTCTTGAAGCACAGGAGCATCTGCGAAAGACACTCCTCAAAGTCACGGAGAACATCCTTAAAAGACCCGGAAGACCGCTCAATAGCCCTGAAGACCTGCGCTTCCTGCTCATCATAGCGTTCAACCCACTCCTGCATGCATCCTTCCATAACTTCACAGGGCGCCTATCACATACGCACAATCGCCAAATCAATGGCCCATACACATCTGGGCCGTTGCGCGGTTCAGGGCCTGTCTCTGGGCAGCATTCGCCCATCATCAAACGCATACTTGGTCTCGTATCTAACACACCGGCTGACTGCCACAATCACCTCGTCTCTTGGTTTGCGAGGCTGCCGGAGCCACGCTTCGTGCAGTTGAAGGACTTTGCTGGGGGATTCCTGGCTTACAGGCTAATCCGACAGAATGAGAAGAAGCACGAGGTCAAAGTGGACGTGACGGCCGGCCTGATTCCGAACATGTCTGCTGGACGGTCCCCAGCTACCCTTCATGCTGCCGTTGGACAGCCACGCCCGTCCAGATCGAAGAAGCCTAAGGAGCAACCCAAGATCGTGTACCATGACGACTGGCAAACCAAGGCTGCTGCTCGTTTCATTGGTCTTCTCTTTGCCGCAAACAACAACGCACATCACAGAAGGCATATCGCAGGAACCCCGTCTTCACAAGAGGAAGTCTTGAACAGCACGAGCGTTAAGGACCAAGTCCAAGCCAGGGGCCAGATCGTGCCTACGAGTGATTTCTACATCACCTTGCTCGACGACTCGGATCTTGTCGCGGACTTCGAGGCCTGGGAGCGCAAAAGGAGCAAGTTCTCGTTCTGCCAATTCCCCTTCCTTCTCAGCATTGGCGCCAAGATACAAATATTGGAGCATGACGCCAAACGACAAATGCATAACAAAGCGCGAGACGCCTTCTTTGATAGCATATTAAGTCGGAGAAACGTCGAACAGTACTTGACGCTAAACGTGAGACGCGATTGTCTTGTCGACGACAGCCTGACTGGCGTAAGCGAAGTTATTGGCGGCGGCGGTGAAGATATCAAGAAGGGTCTCCGTATCGTATTTGAGGGCGAAGAAGGAGTCGACGCGGGAGGTTTGAAAAAGGAGTGGTTTCTGCTGCTTGTCAGGGAAGTCTTCAACCCAGATCATGGTATGCTGCTCAAAGTCCTTTTTTTTTTTGTTGGATGCTCCGACGAGCCACATTAACAAGCGGCACAGGGATGTTCGTCTACGACGAAGACTCGCAGTATTGCTACTTCAACCCTAACTCATTCGAGACGTCAGACCAGTTCTTCCTTGTGGGTGTGGTCTTTGGCCTCGCAATCTACAACTCAACCATTCTCGATGTAGCATTCCCACCATTTGCTTTCCGCAAGCTCTTGACTGCTGCTCCACCGCCCTCACCAGGTCTTTCGACCCAGCCGAGGCCGGCTATGGCATATACCCTGGACGACCTTGCAGAGTTCCGCCCGCGTCTTGCAAAGGGACTGCGTCAACTGCTCGATTTCGATGGCGACGTCGAACCTACGTTCTGCCTTGACTTTGTCATTGACGTGCACAAGTACGGCTACACCGAGCGAGTATCCCTCTGCCCCGGTGGAGCCAACCGGCCAGTCAACAATGCCAATCGCCGTGAGTATGTTGACTTGTATGTCAAGTACCTTCTCGACGCCGCTGTGACCCGTCAGTTTGAGCCTTTCAAGCGTGGTTTTTTCACAGTCTGCGGTGGCAACGCACTTTCCCTCTTTCGGCCAGAGGAGATCGAACTACTGGTCCGCGGCTCTGACGAGCCATTGGATATCACGTCCCTTCGTGTATCGGCGGAGTATGAAAACTGGGGAAACAAAACTGGCAGCCCGGACCAGACGGAGCCAACGCTCAGGTGGTTCTGGGAGTCGTTCGAGCGCGCATCTCCCAGGGACCAGAGGAGGCTGCTGGCATTCATCACCGGTAGCGACCGCATCCCAGCGATGGGCGCTGCATCGCTGACCATTAGAATCTCATGCCTTGGGGATGACAGTGGCAGATACCCAACCGCCAGAACCTGTTTTAATGCGCTGCAGCTATGGAGGTATAATTCTAGGGAGAGGCTGGAGAAGCTGTTGTGGGACTCTGTGCATGAGAGCGAGGGTTTTGGCCTGAAGTAATGCCGGGCACATACGCATCGGAATTGGCGTTTTTCATACGACTTTCTTGGATCACAGGAGATGGGGACTGGCCCTGACAAGTGCCATGGTACTGGGTTCATAATGCATTATTGGGCGAACACTTTTTGGGTATGAGTTGTCCTCGAGTCAAACGGAAACGGACACAAAACAGGCGAGATAGACAGAACTGCTGCAATGCCTAGAATCAGATTCACATCCAATTGTCTGCCTCCATGCCATAGTCGTTATCCCAGATGCGATTGCATGTTTTTTTTAATGAAAACAGCAGGCCCTGGATTTGTCACAATGTGACTGTTGAGATACAGTCGAGTTGAAAGCTGGTTGCATTAGAATAAAAAGAAGCCCCCTTGAGGGTGGGCTTTCTAAGCGCTCAGACCAGGATTCTGGAAATATTCAGTCCGAGACAGGATACAGTAGTGGATGCGTCTCCTTCTAGGAACGGGGAGCGATGCATATGTGCATGGAGAGCCATTATTGATTCCAGCGCGTAGGCGTGCGCTTAACTACACGACAACTATTGTATCATGGACCACCCAATTCTCCTCGCCGTTTTTGGGGCCCAAATACAGCCAGCGCAGCCCTTTAATTCTCCGCCTTGAGCGCATCGGCCTCCTGTCTTGCCCTCTCCAGTAACCTCTTCTCTGACAGGATCTTTTCGCGGTACCTCTTCTGCACCAACTTGTCGTGCACGGCGCGCTCCTGCAGCTCCAGCAGCCTCGCCATCTCCTCCATGTCCTCAAGCGTCGGCTCCACCTGCGTCGCGCCCGTCTTGTCGAGGAACTGCTTCAGTATCTCCCCCGGGTGCACGTTTTTCATGTTGATCGTGACCACCGTCTCCCCCTCGGCGGGGGGCGGCGCCCTCGCGGTGCCCTTGGACGAGCTGGCGATGGTCTTCCACGCGTCTGTGATTGCCACTGCGCTCTTCGGTGCCTGCCCCGTGGGCCCTTCTATCTGTGCTGGCTGTTGTGGCACCTCGCCGCCGCTCATGTAGACGCTCAGCGTCGCCGGGCCGGTTTGGTCGTGCGTCCGGTTCACGATCATCGGTACCTGTGGGTTGTGGTACTTTAACCGCGGCAGGTTTTCCTTCCAGAATTTGCGGGGGCCCGTGTGCCCGTCCTTTATGCCGTGTGCGAACTCCATGTGTATCTTGGTCACGTTCGAGGGAAGTATCGCTGCTCCCGGCCCATTCCTCACGCTGACAAGCTGCAGGTCGCATGGCGATTAGTACCACAGGGCAACCGTTTACGGTCTGAGAGCTGGTGACGTGGTCGTCTGGGAGCTATTTACCTGCTGTTGGAGGTGTCAGTCTGTATGATCGGCTGCAAGAGCTCGGCATGCGACAGGGCTTACAGATTTCAGCTTGTTCATTCGCATCCCTATTCTCGACATTTTGGGCGGGGCGGGGCCGAGCCTGTCTGAGGCTCAGAGGGCACAGTAGAAGCGATTGGTATTGGGGCGCCGCCGTGTGACTGCGTTCGTCGTCGCCGCCGTCATGTGTCAACCTCTTCGGCCTGGTCGTCGATGGCGAAATTTCATGTCGTCGAATGCGACCAGGGCCCAATTGAATACGTCGTGCCGCCGCGGCAGCGCACCCCGGTCGGAGGCTTATCTTGCGGCAGGCATGTCTTATCGCAGCCCAGGGGCCCAGAAAAAGTCTCCCAGGCCTGCATTACCACTTAAATTATTTCGCCGTGTCCAGGATCGGGTAAACCGTATCTATTCCACTCCTTGCGCCGGTGCGGACGGTGATGTGTTGACGCAATGAAAACCGGAGCCAAGCAGATCTCGTGCTCGCGACTGCTCCGAGGCTTTGTCAACATCGACCACGGTGGCTCAGCAGGCTCTACTCTACCACTATACCTTTGTCCGGCCGCGGCTAGGTGCCAAACCTTGGATAGGTCGGGCCATGCGACAACAACAACAGGTGCCCGAGGGCAGCGACTCCAGCCACTGCGCCAGACCAGAAGGCTGCACTTGACCAGTCGGCCAACCACGGATGACGGACCCCGTCATGTCACTCCAGTCCGAACACTGCCAGTGCAGTGTGCTGGCTGCGGTGCTCTCTCACAGACGGCCGTCCCAGACCAGCCGGGATATTTCAACATAGATAGGAGGGCCGTCAGGACTTACTTGGGCCTCGTGAAGGACGAGCAGCGTCCAAGCAGCGAAGATGCGGTCCTCCAAGACGCACTGCAGAACCGTGGTGAACTACTGGAGCAACTCGGCCTCGCGAATGTCTCACTGCCACAGCGTCCTCGGCCTGAGAGCAGCGAGGCGCCTGAAGTGCCCTTCTGTGACCGCTGCCACAACCTCATCCATCACCACACCGGAACCCCCATCTACCACCCCACCATGGAGGCTATCCGCGAGACCATCCAGGAGTCACCGTATAAGTACAACCATGTCTACCACGTTCTTGACGCCGCCGACTTCCCCATGTCGCTCCTACCTCAGATCCACCAGCTGCTCGACCTGATGCCGCTGCGCACCAAGAACCGTCGCTCGCAACCCGGCAAGTTCTTCAAGGGCAAGAAGACGGAGATGAGCTTCATCATAACCAGGTCCGACCTCTTGGCGCCCAAGAAGGAGCAGGTGGACAGGCTCATGCCAACCCTGGTCGAAATCCTGCGACAGGCGCTGCCGCGTGCCTCGAGGCATGTGAGGCTGGGCAACGTGAGGTGCGTGAGTGCCAAGCGGAGCTGGTGGACCAAGGAGATCAAGGAGGACATCTGGAAGCGAGGAGGTGCCGGGTGGATGGTGGGGAAGGTCAACGTCGGCAAGAGCCAGCTGTTCGATGCCGTTTTCCCAAAAGGCCGCATGGACTGGAAACAATCTAAGCACGACATCTCCGTGGCTGTACAACCTCGGGACGAGAACGCTCCTGCACCAGCAATCGATCCCGAGCAAGACGTCAAGAAAGCTGTGCTACCAGAGCTACCGGACATTGACGAACTTGGCGATGATTCTTTGCTGCCACCGCCACAGGAAGAGACGAATTTCCCTCGGATGCCGGTCGTTTCAGCGTTGCCGGGGACCACCGCGTCTCCTATTCGGGTCCCCTTCGGCGGGGGGAAGGGCGAGCTCATCGACCTGCCTGGGCTCGAGCGCAGCGAACTGGAGAACTGGGTCAGAGAAGAGCACCGGCCCTCGCTTGTCATGAAGGCGCGTGCAAGCCCCGAGCAGCATGTCGTCAAGCCCGGACAGTCGCTTCTAATTGGCGGTTTCATCAGGATCACACCTCGCACTCCGGACCTCATCTTCCTTGCCTATGCGTTTACACCAATAGAACCACACCTGACGGCAACGGAAAAAGCAATCGAGATACAAAAGCAGACGTCCGGTATCAATGCTACCAACATATCTGTCCCAGGAACTGGGGAGAAAATCAGGCACGCCGGGTCGTTCAAATTGCAGTGGGACGTCACCAAGAAACGCGCTGGCCCGATCACAAGGAAAGACGCTGTTGGACTCAAGGTTGACCGTCTCCCATATCGTGTGCTATCGCTTGACATACTCATCGAGGGGTGTGGCTGGGTCGAGATCACTGCACAGGTCCGGGCTAAGCACCTGTTCTCCCCTCCACCCTCTACGACCTCCAAGTCGTCTTCCAAGAAGTCCATAATGGTGGGCGGGGAAGAAATCCTGCAGGAACTGGACTTGTCGGAGCCATGTGTGGAAGAGGAGAAGCCTCGGAACGCAGAATCGGGAGAGTCGGAGCCCAACTGGCCGGTTGTGGATGTCTTTTCTCCAGAGGGACGCTACATCGGATGCCGACCACCCCTGAATTCGTGGCTGTATAACAAGGTCCGCAAGACTGCCGAGACCAGTAAGAAACGGCCGCGGAAGAGCATGACTGGAGCAAAGAGAAGGGGTAAGGACATGGGAAAAGCCAGCTCTGCTGAGGGCTCTGCTGTGGCATTCTAGGCTCAAAAGCAAAGAGGTGATGGCGAATTTATGAAAATCCGATATAGCGTGCCAATATACCACTCTCCGATGTAAAGAAATACAAGAAAGAACCAAGCCTGGCAATTCTGCTAGCGCGCTGAGACAATATATGTGACTCGCCACTGAGTCGCCAGCACTCTAGCAATGACGAGCCTCACAGTCTCACTCAGCAAGCCAAGTGAGGTCCCGGGAGCTACCCCACTAGCCCAGGGACCTGGTAGCTGCCGGCCCTAGAGAGGGCGGGATGACAGGGCGGGGAGTTTAGAAAACGTCCGAGCGGCCTGGTATCACCCCTCACTGGTGAGTGGTTGACAAAGCGGCGCAGACCACACCCAAAACCAATGGGCCGGTCACACGACGTAATTAGGACGAACCACTCCGAAAAAGCTGCCCGCCTCTGCAACTGTCACCACAACCACCTACGGATTACGGACGACCCACAACGCCAGCCCCTGACCTAAGCCAAAGAAAAAGCCAGGAACACCTTGGTCGGAACTCGACGCATACGTAGTACCCCCGCCAAACCACTCGACTGGTGTTCGGGCGGACGGACGAGGCGCAGAACCAGCCCACCCACCACCAGACCGAACTGCCCGCGCCTGCCGCGCTGAACGTATCAGCCAGCAAGATCGTACTTCTTTCCCTCGCAGTTCGCCATGGCCCAGGGCACATCAGATCAACAGTCCTCGGGCGGCGGGGGCGGGGTGGGCGCCGGCGCACCTTCACAGGCGATGAGGGCCGCGGGGCCGGGCACAACGGCACAGACCCAGACGCAACAACAAACACAGTCACCAATCCTACGGTTGCGCGGCGCGCAGAGGGATCGGGGCCCCCGGGTCCAGTGGGCGGAGAGCGTGGTGGACAACGAGGGCATGGGGAAGAAGTCCTCAAAGGGTGAGAGGAGGAACAACTCCCCCCCCTCCCGGGCGTCCTCTCCTTACATACGGGGAGACTCTTTTGCTTTGCCTGACTGCTGACGGGCGAGACAGTATGCTGCATCTACCACGCGCCCAAGGCGGTCGACGAGTCTAGCGATGAGTCCTCCTCCGACTCTTCCAGCTCGTCATCATCCGACGAAGACTCCGATTCGGGCGAGGGGCCCTCGCGCCGCGCAGACGGGGACCAGGTGGGCAAAGACTGCGGTCACAGCCACAGCCACAAGCACGGTCGCGGCCGTCGGAAGGGCGACGAGGGGCGGAGGAAGAGGAAGCCCAGCCCGAATGCCTACGAGAAGGTGCCGAAGCCGAAGCCCAAGGATGGGCCCGGGGGCTCGGGCCCTGTCGGGACCGGCTGAGCTTGAAAAGGGAGGAGGTTTGGGGGGTGGTTGGTGTGCATACCGGGTCATGATCGGGGATCACGGCCTGGTTAGGAATGAAGGGGCCTGTGAGGACGATGATGATACCCACGATTTAGACGCATAACTCGGGCAGTCTGGGGTCCTCCGACCAAAGCCCAGATGACTAGAAGCTCTTGAGTCACGACCAGTCTGCTGACAGACTCGTGGATCAAAGGGAGTCACCCAGGTCATCCTCAACGTGTGAGCCAGACGGGCAAAGGTCCTGAATAATCTCAAGCCTGCTCACACCCCGGAGTATGAGGTACATGCGGCGACAAAGTGTCACGGCGATCACGTATGACTTGGCACTAAGCGAAATCTCCGTGAACAATATGCCCCGCCTCCCACTCTCGTCACTGAGCTTTATCACAGGCACGTGAACACCATGACCTGCGCTATCGACAAATGTGGTAATTAGCACGAGACGCAGTCGATCTGTACCAGGTCTTGCTCCCCACTGATACGATTCGAGAGAGGTAGAGTCAAAACAAGCAGCGATCAAACAAGCTTTGATTCGGATCTCCGCTGGAGAAGAAGAGCAGCAACAACCCCAACTTGCCTCTTGGCATCCCACGACAAGTAGAGACAAGACTCGCCTCTCCCACGTGGGCGGCGGGCATGAGTCACGCGTCGCGTCTGTCAGAACGGCAGAACCCAGCTGGCTTCATTGATACTGTAAAGGTTACTCAAGCCCGAGACTGAGTCCAACCCCTGACCCTGCGCCGGCCTCGACGATGATATAAATACGTCCCCGTGGGCGCACACGCCTGCTGGCGGTGACCCGACAGCCCGGTCTAGTGCCTTGAACCTGGACGGCTGTAGAAAGAGACAGAAGATAGAGAGATGACAACAAGACGGTCTAGATCAGTCCGCCGTCCACACTTCCCCACGGGTGCAGTATTTATAGCTGTACCCCCCTGGCGCCCTCCAGTAGAAAGGGGGTAGGGTCCGCCCCAGGATAATTGCTGAACAATTTCTGCGAACGGCAGCAGCCGAGCCACCGGCAGTTAATTATGTTGTACTGATGATTGCGCAGCCTTGGGGGTTTTGGTTAGGAGTGACGGGTGTGGGGAAATCGTCGCGGATGGTACGTATGTAAATAGGCAGGGAAAACACGTCCTCGGGCGCTGGTTCGTGGCGTCGGCTTGCAACCAACAAGTTCCCCATGGCGGTCTGGTGCTGCGTAACACGTGCAGCCAATTTCGCACCAAACAGGGAGAAGGAAAAGGGTGGCAACAGAAACATATGTGTGAGCTTGCAGCTTGACCGAGCCTAGCAACAGCCGGAGGCGGGACCCGGGAAGGCAAGCAAGCACCTGCTCACTTGCGAAGAAGGGAAAGGAAACAAAACAAAATTGTTGGAGAGGGCCCAGGGGTCGGGCAGCGTCGCATCGGTGCGAGTATTAAACTTTCCGGCGTCCCCTTGCGAGGTCGCATATGAGCCTCATGCAGTACGATGCGGGCCCTCAGCCTCGCGCAAAGGCTAAATGGTGACAAGGGGGAAGAAAAATTTCTTCTCGGCCTATAGCATCCGGGATATATTGGCAGAACAGGACAGAAGGAGAAGTCCCGTGATACAGCATAAGCCGGCGTGGCAACTTACATGAGCTTCGCCAGTCACCCATTCACCTTGTGAGCAGCTGAAACTGTGAAACCGACAGCGGGAAGCCGCGGCCAGAGGTTGTGGCACCGGAAGAGCTCGCCCGCGCACGCAACTCGCCTGGTCAAACGAGGATGCTGCATTAGAGGCTTCTGCGATCCGGAACCCGGATCTACGTGCCGCGTTGTCTTGGGGGTGGTCATGGACATTGTACCTAGGGGCCCAGCTAGGCCAGCTAGGTATGTGCGAAGAAATGCTGCCGCGTGTTGTCTTGGGCCGTGGTGTGTGGTGCGGCAGTGCGGGTGGCTTGCCGACGGAACGTGATTCTGTGGTGACTATCACACTTGCAGGTTTTTCCAGGGCAAGTTTAGCCAGAAGACGCGTTATTAGCATTTTCAATGCCATATACGCGCTTGCAGTGTCTGGCTTCTTTTGCGTTTGAGCGCGTGGGCCAAGGCAGCGCCAAGCGACAAGGCTGAACTTAGAACTGTAGAGCGAACGTCAGATATAGTCTTATGCAACGTAGTGAGGCCGGGAAAACGAGATAGACGGTAGACCAGAATAAGCCCTTATCCGGATGCAGGCGTCCTTGGGGTGAGTAGGGGTTGGACCTGCAGGGCGTGGCTTGTCCGCCGCGTCCCCCCCCTTGGCACGAGAGCCGCATTTGCACACAGACGTTTTCCCTCTCCGGGTCTGTGCCTTTTTCTCGGCTTGCTAACCCGGAGAATAACAGGAACACGACCCAGATTGGCTGGCCTGGGGGCAAGGGTCGGCGGTTTTCAACCTTTGTGCAAAAGGCAAGCCAGGATTGGGGAGGAATGCTGCCCCTCCCGTATTCATGTGGTGTGCTGTGGTAATGAGACCAGATGAGAAGTGGCGGGCAGTTGGTACCAAAATAGAAGCGCAGAGGAAGGCCACGATGGATGGATGGAGCGACTGTCTGGTTCGCGAAGTGCGGTTGACGGGTATGAGATCAGCATCTGGCACCTGCGCCCACAGCCGTGGTTTATCCCCTTCTTTTTGCCCCTGAACTAGCGCGGAGGTTGACGCGGTGTCGGGAGATGGGCTCCGGGGACATGGGTGGGGGGTGGATCGGAGGGGGGGGGCGCAAGAGAAGCAATCTGATGATCTGAACTGGACAAGCTCGCGCAAGGTGTGCTGGCAGCCTGGCAGCCTGGCAGCCTGGCACAGCGTTCCATCGGAGGTTGAAAGGCATGTTGCGTGCAGATGAAACGAGACGAATCGTACCGCAGCAAAGACAGCAGAGCAGAGTAAGAGAAGCTGTCATGTAACGGCAGCGTGCCGTGGTGGGTGGATATCACGATGGCCGTCGTGACGGCACGGATATCACACTTGACTCTGCCCTGACAGCCCTGACAGCCCTGACAGCCCTGACAGCCGTGGCTGACGAGAGGATGGCAGGATGGATGATTAGCATGTGAGTCTCGTGGCCTGCCACTCAACACATGCAGACAGACAGTGACACAATGGCTTGCCCGAGGCTCGGCTTTGTGCTCGGGATGGCTGGGATGGCTTGGTGGCTCTGGTCAGGACTTCTTTGTTTGTGCTGCATTTCACTTGAATCTCACCGCGATCGGCAGCGCGGGCTGCCCTTCTGGGCCTTCTGGGGCGGCGGTTGCCAACCTGGGCAGCCTGCGGCGCATGTTGGGCCCACCATCACATTCTCTCACTTGCCATTCCTGGAGCCCTGCAGGAGCAGGTGCTGGGATGGATCGACGATCCAGGGCGTGCATGCTAATTGGGGCAGTACACAGTACTCCGTGGTCTACTCCGTGGTCTACTCCGTACATGTGGTCCAAGTTGGCAGGTCGGGCTGGTCGGCCAGATTTGTGGGCACCCGAAACACGGCCCAGCACCAAAACATGCAGAGGAAGAATGTCGCCCGGCCAGCAGGGACACGGTGGACTGGGCGCCTCGTGTCTTCGAGTCATCGGCAAAAAGGATATGCCCTGTCAATGGTATGGGGCAGTTGGGGGTGGGAGAAGAACCGTCTGCAGACCTGCCGACCTGCCGACCTGCCGACCTGCAGACCTCGAGGTTGGAGCAAGCTTGACCTGGCCGCTTGGGCAGGAAAATTGGGCACTGACCGGGTATTCAGTACTCAGTATTGGGTACTGTAGGTTCGTGCCAGCGCCAGGTCACGACAGGGTACTTGCTTCTTCGCAATATGGGAACGGCCAGGATGCAAATGACAAGAGAGAGATCGAAATGAGAACAAGATGCACATCATCAAAAAGGAAGCAATAGAGGCAACGGGACCAACACACCAATCTCGTTGTCTCGTTGGGCCTGAGAGGCAGAGAGGCTCAGATGGCAAGATCGTCGGCGGGCAGTCGCTAGCTACCTGGCTACCTAGTACCTACCGAGCTAGGCAGCTAGCCCCTGCCCTCCTTTGTTGCCCTACGGGGGCGCGTGCGGTACAGGCGCATGTATTTTAACCGTACCTGGCCAGAATCGACTACGGAGTACGCAGGCGGCAGTATACGTCTCTGATGCATTGACTGTGTGCGCTGCTGCCCCTGAATTCTGGATTGAGCTTGCCATATACCTAATTAACTGGCCCAGGTACCTGCGTAATTAGGCTGGTGATGTGCAGACCATCAGTGTCCACCTGGGGGACCACATCCCCCATATACTGGCTGTGCTGTGCTGTACTTGGGTACCTGGGTACAGTGCAAGTACGTGGGGGATCCGACCTGTCAAGGTACACGGTACTTGTTATCTACGGCGGCGTGCGCCTGCTTGGAGAAGAAACGAATTGGGCCTGGATGCTGCTGCGCCGGACAGACCCTCAACAAAGCAAGCAGGATGACCTTCCTCTCCTTGCCTGTCCTTGATCGAATGAATAAACCTGCAGTCTGAGGAACGGCGGGGGGGGGGGCTTGTGGTCTTTGGTGGGGCAGGAAGTTGCCGGTACGAACCAAACACCCAGCGCCCTTGTACAACTGAACCGCGCCGCATTATTACACGCTGCAACTCTGATTAGTGCAGGTACTGGACTCGCAGACCAGACAAAGATATGCACCCGCGCACACAGACAAGAGGCAGGCGCAGAAAAGCAGACACGGACGACAGGCGTCGAGTGGAGCCATTCATCAGACCCCCCCGACCACCCTCCCCCCGACCCCCACCGTTGCTTCTCCGATTTGCCCACCGCCCCTCAGGGACCGTTCAAGGGACCGAAGCCCAGAGAAGCGGCCCACAGGGATTTGATTGAACCCTGGGCTGGGCCCAGGACCGGGGGCTGGCCTGTCAGGCCTGTCTCCTCCTCCTGGGGCCACCAATGGCTGCAGGCCTCGGTTTGCGTGCATCTCTGGAGACTGGAGACCGTGAGGGACAGGGTCTGTCTGGCCAGAGAAAAAGGTGCGCGCCGTTCGGTTTATTATTTGGCTAGCTCTACCAACGTGAGCAAGCTGCTTGCTGCTTGTTGCTCCTGGCAAGGACCTTAGGTAGACAGACCTGAATACGGACGGGACAACGTGCCGTGGCTTTTCCTTGCTCGTCCTTGCTCCATCATCCCCGGCGACAGAGGGGCGCGCTGCTTTTGCTTTTTCCTCTCCACGCTTCATTTGACAGCAGTTGTTTGTTCCTGAACGGCGTGCCTGTGCCAGCCCAAGCCCTGTCTGTCTCTCATCCTGCCCCCGACCGTTACCCTTCAACTTCAGACCTCACTCTCGACCTTGCGCCCAGCATCGCCCAGTATCGCCTAGCTTGCCGGAGCACCCCTTACTTTGGACTCTTCCTGCGCACCTTGCGAGAAGCCTCAACCCAACCCTCGTCCCTGGCCTCCCCGCCCGCACTCAACCTCACACCACCCCCACCTTACATCCCTTCACCTCGCCCTCCGATCCAGCCACGCCCTGCCACGCCCTGCCGGGCTGCTTCTCACGGCTCCCGCTCTTGAGACAACTCCTGCGACGACCCTCTCCCCGGCCCCTAAGGCTCGGTCGCCTTCCGCCACGCAACACCTGCTAAAGAGATCCTTACCCCCCTCCTCGTAGCGGCACGGGCACGAGGCCCAACCCACCCGCCAACACCACCACCACCACCACCACCACCTGCGTGTCGCAACCGCTCCTGGTAGCTCCAGTCGCCCGTCCAGCACTTGGAACCGCCGTACAAGTCTCGCCCCAGTCCTGGGGCCTGACCAGAAACACCTTTCCTGGCCGACCAATGACCCCATGAAGGAGCGAGCGCAGTGGTTTAGTCAAGTGCAAGCCAGCTAGTAGCACACCCGCGGCCATGGACGCCTCCTCAGCTCCCCTCGCCGACTACTTCTGGATTGCCGGCATAGAAGACATATCCTACCATGACAATGACCTTGACCCGCGGCCTCTGAGCTCCCTCCAGCTCAACGACACGATCAGGGAGGACGCCGAGAACGAGGCTCCCGACACGCTCACCCAGACACCCACAAAGGACACCGCCCGCCACTCTCGGCGGAGCTCGGTGAACCGGATTTCCAGGATCCCTTCAAACGAGAACAACCGCTTCTCCATACAGACGCTGGGCGAGGAAAACGAGGGCAACACCAGGAGTAATCGGAGTAGCGCCACCATACGCGCAGTGCCCCCTGTCAATGGCGGTGGTGGCCCCGACGACAGCCCCTTCAGCCCCGGGGAGCCCGCCCCTGCCGAGGGCTCGTCCGCGACCAATGGCGGTGGGCAAGGCGTGGGTTTCACGGGTCTGCCAGATTTCGATTTCGACAAGGCTCTTATGAAGTTTGCCGCGGAGCGAGAGATCTTCCTGGACGACCTGAGTTTCACCGCTGGGGCCAAGCTGCAGGCGCGGCCCCCAATGGTGAACAACCTACGCGCGGAGAGGATCAAGGCCGAGGAGGGCGAGCTGAGCGGGAGGATGAGCCCCTTGAAGAGCATCAAGGGGAGTATCCGACGCAAGATTAGTTTTAGGGACATGAACAGCGTCAAGAGGCAGACTGCTGCCCCTCGGGTGCGGCCAGGTAAGAGCCCTCACCCCCAGGTCGCCCAGCACCGGTTCGGTGGTGCGCAGCCGTGTTCTAACAACGTGCCAGCCTCTGTCCGGACCACGAAGCGGCTGAGCAATTACAATTCGGTCATTCCACCTCCAGAACCCCTAAATATGGACCCGGACATGCATCCTCTCAAGAGGCGTTTCGAGCCCAAACTATTGGACAGATATCCCAAGGACTCAGCAGACGAGAAGACTCGGAGGGGCAAATTCCCGGACTATGTACCCATGTTCGCCTTTCCCAACGACATCCAAGTCGTCTCGTCCGACGAGCGCCCTCGAGCCACATGGCATGGTTTTACCATGACCTCTGACGACAACTCCAAGCTCTATGGGATCACCGTGATAGTGTGGACTGCATTGACCGCCGACGTCGCTGAGCAAGTCGAGAAGAAGTGCGAATCGTGGAGGCAGAAGCACATGTCAGACGAGGAGAGAGAGCTGGCAGCAAGCTTGGGAGCCCGCCTGGCGGCCGAGCGCGCACACCTCTCACAACTCCTCGCAAAGCTTCCCACCATCCCGTCTGGCTCTTCCGCTAGGGACCTTCTCGACGATCAGATCAGCACTGTGGAGGAGAAGATCAGCCTCATGACCGAGATGCTGCGGCCGCTCAGGCATGGCGCCGCGTCGAAGATTGATGGTCTCACAGCAGGCGACACCGGATTATGGACACCACGGGCCTATGGCATCTTGGGCCGAGATGTGACCAAGATAACATTTTGGAAAGATTGGCTCCGGTCTATTATCGTGCCCATGACGGACGGTGCAGTGTTGAGGGTGCCGCCGAGCTCGCCCAAGGTCGGACGGTGGCAGCCGCTTGAGCATTACGTCGTCAACCTCTGCATCGAGGCCGTCAGCCCCATCAGCTCAAAGACCCAGGTAGAGCTTGGTGTCAGAGAGCTCCGCCTCTACTGCCGTAAGGAGGCGGTCAACGAGCTACCCGGCTCGCGCAACATCGACCTCTACGCGCTTTTCAGATGCCTGTCTCTCGAGAACATCGTGGCTTTGTTCGAGTATGCCATGTCCGAATCGCGCATCATCTTTATCTCATCTTACACGGCCATGCTCCACCTCGCATGCCATGCCCTTGTCAACTTGCTGTACCCCCTGAAATGGGCTAGCGTTTTCATTCCGGTGCTACCAGCAAGGCTACTCTCTGCGCTCGATGCGCCATGTCCGTATATCGTCGGTATCGAGAGACGGTACGATAACATCGAACTCCCCGACGACGACTACGTGCTTGTGGACCTCGACAGAGACACCATCGACGCCACGTCGCAGCCCCATCGCCTACCCCGGCAGCACCGCAGAAAGCTCTTCTCCCTGTTGCAGATCGCGGCGCCACACAAGTTGCGCTACGGAGTCACCACTGGTGCTCCCCCGTACGCCATCGAAGCTTTCCCCTACGATGCTTTTTCGGCAGAGAATGACGGCATCTTCAACGCCAGCCCGGCACCTGCCACATTGGGCAAATGGGTGTCTCAGAACTCATCTACATTCGGCGAACCAGTCCCGCCCAACAGCATCCGAAAACCAATTTTCAACGCCTTTTGCCACGCCAAACCTGACAACTCGAGGTCTGACAGGCCGATGACAGCACGGTCCGGCAAGACGAGCCCAAACTCCTCCGTGTCGCCAGTCTCCATGACGTTCCCGCCGATGCCGACCACACCAGTATCACGGACTGACTCGGGATTCGCGGCCTCGGGCACTTTGAAGGAGAAGCGTTCTGGTCATTTTGATACCAAATCGAGACGTAGTTCGTCCTTTGGTGTGGAACAGCACCCTCCGGCTCACAGGCCTAGCATCCCGGCTCTCAACGGCCACTCACAAAACCTGTCCGTGTCATCCACTTCTGGAGACTCCCAGTCTTCGTACCACACTGGTTATGCACCGTCCTCGTATGCTCAGTCGACAATCGCGGCCTCCACTGTGATGCCCAACATGCTCGTGCAACCCGTCGAGAACACGGATACAACAGTATGGGTCGAAGGGCACTGTATGGAATGGAACGTCACAGAGCGCGATTCAGTTTGCGACATATGCGACGAGCGGTCCGAGGGCGATGGACTATTCAAGTGCAAGGGCTGTGGCTGTCTGGCACACAATCGCTGCCTGGGCTTCGTCTGCCTCGTCTGCCCCGTTGCTTTTCACGCAGACCGGGTTCGCGCCGCCTTTGTCCGCTGCCTGGCCAGCCTGCTTTATACCTACAGGAAGTATATGGGTCGGCCAAACAAACAGCAGAAGGAAAATGGCCAGCTTTACGCCTTTGACATGAGTGGCTTTATTAGGAGCTTGCCGTATGATCAACAGGAGTACGCGACGATGATGAAAGATACGCAAGGTAAGCACGCCTAGGAGATCAAACACATCACCGCGGCGGACTCTGCTAACAGGACAAAGCTTTCAACGAGTTCATCCATGAACGAGAGCGGCAACCCGCGAGCCACCCAGACAACCGACTCTTCGATGAGATCTTGGTTGCCAAAAAGGCTCGTGGGCGGCCGATGCTGTCGACTGGCATCTCACGACTCTCTACTCTTAGAGCAAGCCATAGTGGTTCTGGTGGAATACCACCCCCGCGTCAACCCAAGCTCACAGGGTTCATGGCCGACACGTCTGACCACATATGGAGGACTGCAGCCGTCCCTGTTCCCAGCTCGAAATTCCAGGGCGACTACCGTTCGATCATCACCAGGATCCCCGATAAGCTTGACCCGTCTCTCATCAAGGAGCCGCGGTCTATCGCCGGGGCACCGAAGCCTGAGCCGCGGGGCAAGGGGTTCTTGAGGAAAGCGATTGGTAGCAGCAACAAAGGCTGATTAATCGCGGCGCCGACTCGCAATATCTGTACAGTATCGAAAGCCGATGGCAGTCGTTTTGCTGTTGTTATGAATTGGGCTGCTCCTGCTTAGGGGCACAGCCCGCCCCCAGAGAGGTAGCTCCAACCAATGGTGCTGTGGGAGATGACTGGATTGCCGCCCAAATGAGGGACGGCCTTGGGAGAGTCAAGCTCGTCGAGTTGCTTTGTGTGGAAAGGTTAATTGGATCCGAGCCAGGCCGAGAGAATGGCATTGTCATTTACGAAGTGCCCATGTACAAGTAGGTGGATATTTTAAAAGAAGGAGGCGGCCTTTGAAAGGCTGGCAAGGGAAAGCGCCATCTGTTGAATAAAATGCATTCAGGCAGGGCGGATCATGGTAGTATGGCAATGATCAGAGCTGAGACAACTCGGTTACTTTGTCACAATGAGCTTCGAGCGTGCCTTGGAAGAAGCGTGTTGATTCATTGTCATGTGATGTGCCTGGTCCCAAGCTTGTTCGTAGCAAGGTAACCCCTTTGGCCCATTTCGGTCCTCCAGCCGATGCCAAGGATGCCAAACAGAATCTTGCCGTCCTGCTCTTCGACACCGTCCTGGGGGTCCACCTCCTCGATCACGAAGCACACCTGCTCCACCTCGCCCGGGTGTAGCACCGGCCGGGGGGACCCGCCCGCCTCCCAGTTGCAATCGCGGTATGACAGCCCGGGCTCGAGCTGAAGGACCACGCGCTCCAGCTCGGTCGTGTCCTCGGAGCAGTTCTCCAGCTGCGCCTCGAGGACCCACCGCCTGCGCTTCCTCGGCCCGGCCGCCTTGACCCCTTCCCCCTCGACCTTTGCCCCGCCGTCGCCGTCGCCCTCGCCGGCCGTGGGACCAGCTGGTTCCTCATCGGCCCCCTCGGGCGGCGGCGTCGGAGGGGAGCCTCCCGTGGCCGGAGATGAGGCCTTGGGCATCGCGGGCGCGAGCGGCGACGCCTTGGTCCGCACGATCAGGCTGGGCTTGCAGATGAACTGGTAGAGCTTGCGGAACGTGCGCGTCCGCCCGGACGTCTCGGTCGCCTCGTAGTACGACACCGTCACGCCGAGGACGTGGTTCCCTTCCTCCTTGAGGTCGAAGTTGACGATCCTCTGCAGCGTCCTGCCGGGCTCCAGGTCCACGCCTCCGGCCCCGACCTTGGCGTGCTCGTCGGCGGCGGCGGGGGCGGGGGCGGCGTCCGGGGTGCTGGGGGAGAGGTCGAGCTTGGTCACGGCTGTCGAGTTCGGGGTCTTCATCTCCGCCTCTATGCGCACGTCGCGGATGTACTTCCTGGACGGCCGCGGCGCCGCGGCGGGCGCATCACCGCTGGGCTGTGCAGGCGCGGGCTCGGCCACGGGCGGTGCCTCGTGGTTGGCGCATAGCGTACAGCTGAATGTCTCGCCGACGTATGCGGAGCCGAAGCTTGGTGGGAGGTTGAGGATGGGGCTGAGGAGGAAGGGCGAGGGGTTGGTGTCGTGTGTTGTGCTGTAGGCTAGGGAGGCTGGGACTGGTGGTTGGCGAGGTGTTGCTGACGACGCTGCGTTCGGGCTTATGGGGTGCTGGGCGACTAGAGATGGGCGGGAGAGTCTGTGACGTGTCAGTTCTGGGTTTGTTTGGAAACACGAGCTCGGAAGGACTGCCTACCTGAGGACCTTCAAGGAGATGGAGTGAGGTTCCTTGACCGGATCGTGAGAAGCGTATCGTTGGTGGCTCATGCTTGCTTGGTCATATCAATGAGGGTTCTCAACGATAATATGATGCCGCGGCTTGTATCAATAAAGAGCCGGCTCTTGAATATTGAAAACAAGGGCCGAATTCAGAAGTCGACCAACTTGAGGTCATCACCGTGCTCGTGAGGTATCGATACAGGCCCCGTCGTAGCTGGACCCCTACCCCAAGTCCTAACCCCGCAGTACCCTCCTGGGGGCATTGGGGGACCCCCACGCCAGCATCACAGTTGGGGATTGTTCTCCGACTTCACAGCATCCAGAACACCCCCAGTTTCACAGTCATGCGGATCCAAGGAAACTGTTTGTACAACCCAGCATGAGCTGCCATGCTGCCATGCCGCTTGGTCTGAACTGCCACATGCAGGCCAGACAGACTACTTCGCTCGTCGAAGGCCTGCCGTGTTCCCTGGCCGCCCCTTCTTCCTTTACTCAAAATGCCGTATCAGTCTTAAGGGGGTAGAGGTGACACAAGAAGTGAGCCAATTTCACATGCTGGCGCAATGGAAAACTGACTCCAGACACCCTCCGCTACCTTGGGGATCGCCTTGGCTCACCCGCTTCAACGTGAGGGAGAGAACCAGACGAGTTTGCTGCTGCCCTCTGTCAACGGCCCCCTTCTTGAATCAGGACGGTAGGAGTGACTAGGCTTGAGCCTCAAGCGCCTCCTTTCTCTACACGAGGAGCAGTTCCGTGTTAGAGAACACATTATAGCCACTAAGGATAAATATACGGGCATGTATACTGAGTCAGAGCCCCAATATAGCCATCGACGTTCAGGTAGGTCGAGCTGAGCCCCCAGTATGCCTTGCACCCAGCAGTGCAGACAGAAACCCAACCAAAGAAAGAAGATAACGCCACATACGCGGTGAAGCTTTCGAAACGTCTGTCACAGGAAGCCGTAGACTCGGCCTCCTAAATTTTGTGCGCGGGTCCAAATAAGCCTCAAGCTACAATAGATAGGATAGAAGTAAGTGACAGTCATATAAATCTTAATTCAAACCAGAAAAACACCCTTCCGGGTGACCAATTTTCAGCGCAACCAGAGATAACCCTCAATGCATACAATCAGCTCATCCAAGCCCGTCGTGATGCCGAGACATGGCCCTTGAACCTCATACGCAAGCAGCAGCTGAAATGCGTCCCATGTACTCCGTGAGAATATCTACCACCGTGTAAGAGGACCCACAGAGTGGTCACGTGTAAAATAAGGACCATAAAGGTACCTCAAGCAAATGGTAACTCACAAACAGCCCAGATTCATATATGCTCCTAATTTTAGGCACATTTAAGATGCACGGCGCAAGTGCTTCCTTACCTCTGTAGTTACGAGCAGATTTCGCCAATGCTCGTTGACGTTTTGACCTCCTTCGGGAAGCAGAAAGCACCTCACGATTTCCACTCCGCCTCATTCCGCCAAGTCAGTCGGCCTTCACTGGGGTCTCGGAACTCGGTAGATCAGGTTGGAAGCTGAGACATTGCTACAAGCTTCATAGACTACAAGACTCGACTTCCACCGGTGCGAAATTGGACTACGCCAAGAAGAGTCGGGGGGCAGACTGATCTCATCATACCCAGGCCGCCCAGCCAACGGGTGTCGAATCATCTAGAAAATCTCAACGAATTTCATTGGCCGAATTCCAGAAATTGGCTCACTTTTCCGCGAAATTTCAAGAAGCGAGGTCAGCCATATTCCTTAACATGGGTGGGTTGATAAGCAATCGAGAATATTCCCGACAGAGATATCAATCTGCTCAGTTCCCTCGAGCCAGCGTCCACCTACCCAGCTTTGACGTCCACCTACCCAGTGATTTCCATAGACCTACCTAATACCTATTTTTCTTAGTAACTCCTTTATATTTACAAGTACTTTTTAATTTTAGTATAAAGAGACTCTATAAGATAATTTTCTTCTTTAATTTTTAATATTTTAAATATAAGCTCTTTTTAATATACCTTTTAATATATTTTTTAATATACTTTTTAAGTTATATATATTTAAATATTAATTAAGTATTTAAATACTAATTAAATATTAAAAGGTTAAAAGTTAAAAAAGTAAAAGTAAAAATTATATTCTTTCTAATTTTTTAATACTTTTTTTAATCTTTTAATACTTTAAACTTTTAACCTTTTAACATTTAATTAGTATTTAAATACTTAGTTAGTACTTAAATATATATAGTCTAAAAGGCCTAGAAGGGGTGTTAGAAGGGGTGTGTGGCAGAGAAGTAGGGGTAGAGTCAAAATTAAGGTGTAGTTAGGTTGTTGTCTAGTTAGGTTGCAGGTGGCTAGGCCGAAGGCCCCAGCCTTGGTCTAGAAAACCTGCTGACTAATCTGATGACTAAGCTAGAAATCCAGTTGGCTTGCTTGCACCCCTTCGTGCCTGCCACAGGGTGCTAGAAGGGGTTTAAAAGGGGCTTATATTTAAAGTATTGAAAATTTAGAGAATCCTGGTTAGGTATATAGTTTTATATGGGCTCTATATGTAAAAAGTTGATACTGGGTAGGTCCACCGAAATCACTGGGTAGGTGGATGTTAAAGCTGGGTAGGTGGATGTTAAAGCTGGGTAGGTGGACGCTGGCTTAGTTCCCTCATGCAATCAAAGCCTTTCAATGTTTCCAAGTCCAATTCATCTTACGAGTATTTCATCTAGAGGATCACAAACCTCAAACAAGACCTTGAGGCCAGTCTCACTAGGATTGAAGCCCTCATCCTGCTTATCAAAGATTACAAGAGCCTGGTTGGTGTCATTATCGATGTGTAGACTTCATTTCTGTACAACTTAACACAAAGACTCAATATGATAATATCCATAAATCCTAAAATCTGGATATAAATAATCTCTTCATGCTTAGTGGACATAGAGGTTTTGAGAGAGTGGAGGATTCCGTCCTGGTTATGGATAATGTCACCGTATGAAGGCGCCATGTATGCCCTCGGACATATACGGAATAGAAGCGAAAACACGCATGAAGCTTTAAACTGTTCAAAAATTTAACAAGCGGAGCGAATAATGCGGAATTCAATACCAGTTCGTCGTAGAGTTAGGCTTCAACATACTGCAGTGCGCCACCTTCCCGCTTAAGCTGGGCCAAGCAACGTGAAGCGTCGTGGTCGGCGTAAGCGTCAAATTTCTCTGTCAAACATGAGCTTCAATCTAGTATTTTGGTTCTTCTCAAGCTGATATGTAAAAAGCGAATATAGTCAGTCATAGCCAGGTTCCACGGTCCTCACATACAGATGACCTGTGAACGATAGTACATTCAAGTGAAACAATATCTGCCATAATTTATAGATTACACCTTTGAAGAATTCCTTGGAATCTCGCATTGATATATGAAGCTCATTTGTGTCATGAGGCTAAGACCACGTCCCCACTCCATTCTACCTTACTGGTATTGACATTGTGTGTCTGTTTGAATGCTGGGTCTTTGAGCGTTGCTCACACAGGACTTCGGATGTATATTGAAATAAGAACGAGACCATTCATTTAGACTACATGACAATGAATATTTGGGAAGCCTTTTGCTATTACAACATTTCCTTCAAATTGAAATAGAAAGCCCCGAAACCGCTTTGTGAGACGCTTCCTGAATGTTTGGCCGTAGCCGGTTCGCTTGCATCCCGCAAGAATGTGCCAGGCAAGAATTTGGCACAGCCTCACAACGTCATTTCACAGCAGTGGCACAGCTACTCATATGCTTAACGGTACCGAAGAGTCGGCATACAAGAGTTCTTGGTATTTCGATACGAGCAGGCAGCAACGCGGAGATGACCGCGATTCTGCACCTCGGCTACAAGATCCTGCGGGCTGAGCAGGGCTGAGGACGCTGTTGGTGAAATCGTATCACACCGCATGCAGGATCTGACTTTGGACCATGTGTTGGTACTACCAGCACCTTGGGATGCATCCACTTCAGCGCACGTGGTCATTGGATCCGGTACGACTGTTATCTTGATCTTGTTACACATCCGTAAAGAGGCCTAAACGGTTCCAAAGGCAGCGCCAGAGAAGCTACGACGGATAGTAGTAGAGAGGGTGCCAAAACGCACCTCTGTAGGGCGACAGAAATGGGCTTTGTTCGTCGCGTTGACAGCCTGTCCATCGTCTAAAGATTTAGGCCTGTCTCCGTCAAATTATAATGAATTCACGCGCATTACTATGATCGACTTGCATCCACATATTATCGTCACCATTGCAGCTGAATAAACTCAGCCTTATCACTTAATCGTGATAGGAAATAGTTTGTGCATTGCTGCTGACCATATCTAGTACTTCTAAATTCTGCTCTCCATCCCAGCAGTCACCGTGAAAACAAATCCCGACTGGTAATGAGTGTGTGTGCCTTGTCATGGCGCTTGATAGAAGCGCCACAGCTTTGTAGGCCCCTGGCCGGCAGCCAGCAAGGATCCTGCGAGCCAATGGCATGTATTAATCCACCTCACCACAACCAACAGCAAAAAAGGATGAATCCTACGTATATCTCGTTATCACCTCGTATCTGCGACGACTCACATCCAGCCACCAGATGGACAGTAGTGCTGGTCGTGGCTCTAGTTGTAGCCTGACCGGCCATTTGTCTCCGCGTTGGTAGTGACTTTCCTTTCAACGAACCCTACAGAGTTGTAACCACTCCGGCCGGCCGTGTCGGCGTTGGTGGCACTGTTGCGCCCCACTATCTCCACAGAGTTGTAGCCAGACCGCCCGTCCGTCGAAAAACCGCTAGGGTCATTCCGGGTGACAATGTCGACAGAGTTGTACCCAGAGCGGCCAGCAGTGGAGACTTCATCCCGGGCTGCGGCGCCGGCGTAGCTGTCGTGGACAGGTATGGCCAGTCCCGGGTCCGCCATGGGGGCGGCGATGGGAGCAGTATAGACCGCGCGAGGGAGAAAGGTGGCCACAAAGGCGGCTAGCATGGTGAACTGATTCATTTGTTAGCGAGTATAGGACATCTGAGTTGCTCAAGAAACCGGACTGACCTTCATCTTGGTCTTGAGAGGAAGATTCTGAAGGTGACGTAGAAATCTGTTTTTATAAAGGCTGTGTGGGTTCGGTTTTCGGCGTTGAGCTGAAAGAAAAAGAGCGAAGGGTGAGAGAACAACCTGTCCCCAAAGCTCAACCTTTTGTCTCATGCCCATCTTCTTCTTATATACTCGCCATGTGCAACCGTATTGTCGACGTGAAAGCTGTGTGCCGCGGACACCGCACGCCGCTGCCGCTATCTCCCAGGATCTTTCAATTCGACGCCGCGCAGGATTCGATCACAATCCATCACAACAGGCAGCAGCAGCCTAAGCCTTCCAACACTGCCCAAGCGTGCCTTAATCGGTCATGATAGAGGGCGCACAGTAAGCAGACAGACCTGTTGGTGTGTCGTCGGACATCACCATGAGGTTCTCTGGCTATCGGCGCTCACTTGAAAGACCCCCAAGCACAATCCCTCTCAGGAAGGATGAAGATAGCAGCCAATGCTTGCTCTGTGACCAATGTCAGCGCGCGTATCCCAAGTGATGGCCCAGCACAGATGAAGCAAGCGAGGGTTGAGAGACCACAAGCCGCGATGAACCAATAGATAGTCTCATCACGACGCTAGTCATTGTGAACCAGGGACTGCAAGCATGTTGGCAGCCTTCATTGAGGCACGTAGGATGCAGTTGCCACCATAAGGCTGGCTGTCAGACTGATACTGGAACGGCTTTCCTTGTTCTGGTCCCAGATGGAGGGGGCCTTATCAGTGTGTCCATCACATTCCTCCGGCGAATGCCGCCGAAGACGCAATGGACCCCTTTGATTAGAAGTCCAAGCATTGTTCTGTCCAGGATTGGCAGTGGTGGGGATTCAATGGAAGGGGAGACTGAATGGATATTGTTGATTTCTCGGATTGCCCGAGAGGTCGAAGAACGGGTCTTGGCAATCCAATTTCGCCAAAGCCAGACGAGGAAAAGGAGAGAGATGCCGCAATATTAGATAGGCAAAACAGTATTTATGAAAATGGAAACATCTCAGCCTTGTCGTGTTGAATCCAGCTCTGAATCCGAGAGCCGGGGGATATGAAACGTGCCCAAGTGTAAGGGAACACCCCCCGCGCCTAGTTGCTTGCGTAGTGGTAGCCAGACGGCAGGATCACATACTCCATGTACAAACCTATACTCAAATGTCAGAGCTTCAAGAAATGCACAAAATGTGGTCAGAAGCCAGTAGAGCCCAATTAATGTCTACCAAGTCATCCTGGAGACACAATCATCCCGTGTACCGAGTGTTTTCTACGGGAACCAGTCTGATAAGACTTGGCCGTGCAAGAAGCAGGGTAGAGGGTATAATCAGCAGAGAGGTGTTCAAGGTTTGCAGGCCAGAGCTCGTAGTTTTTATTCGATAGGAGGTGAGGTCAGGTCATGGTAGGTAGGACAGTCAGCATTGCCCCAGTGGTTCACTCCGTAGATGTTGTGGCGGCGTAGTGGACACTTGAGTGGATCTTATGGATGTATACGGAGGAAGCCAAGAAACAAGCATGCTAGTTTCGGCATCAATAGGTGGTGGATATGATATAGATATTGACTGCGGTTCTTATATGATGTAAGCCGGACGGGCCGGGCAGTCGGACCGGGCTCTCTGGGCCGGGCGCCTGTCGTCCGGGGAGCTGGTGTCACGAGCGTATCCGACTCGGCCGATACGGAGGTCCCGTGCCCGCAATAATAAGGGACAGGGTTATGACGGGGCGATGGGAGCCCGGAAGCCACGAGACGAAGAAGAAGGGCGTCTCCCGTTTGCCTCGACAGGGAGGCAGAGGGACAGGCGTGACAGGGAGACAACTTACAAGGGAGGGAGAAGGCTTGGGTCGAGTGGACAGGTGGAATGCGGGGGACCAGGGTGTCTCAGCGCTAGAACGGTACCCCAGGAACGGAATGCAGGCGAGATGGGACCGGGATGGGGAGCAGTGGGACCGAAGGCAGGCCTCCCCTGACGGGCAACGGAGTTGCTGATGCGGCTCGAGCAAGGCACGTGGACGCTGTGGGCGGTTTTGTCGACAAAGCGTTACCTAATGGCAGACGAGCAGGCCAGGCGGGGCGGCTGGCTGCGGCTCTCCCCGGGCAATGGGAGTGAAGGAGTTTGATTGCCCTCTCGCCCAGTCGTCTTGATGCCAATGTGCGACATCGCTGGAATGTGGCTCGCAGCGGGTCTCCTAATATCGGAGAGTGGTGACGGTGGACTGAGACTGGCTCGGGAAGACGCGGGTGTCAGGCCAACTGGCGGCGAACTGGCGCAGGACGCGATGGGCCTGATGGGCCTGACGGGCCTGACGGGGCCGCCAGCCACGCCAATGTCCGTGCAATGGCGCGGCCACGCGAGGCTGTGGCGATTGTCATGTCAGCCAGCGGTGGTGACGTTGGCGGAGGATGCGATGTCGCAGCAAGCCGGGGCCTGATGTGTCTGTGCAGTCTCCCGTCAGCTCCGTTGACTCGTTGACTGTATTAGCCACGAGGCTGCTGTGGCAGGACGAGCCACTAGCCTGCGGTCGGCGACCCATGTGCAGCACACACTCTGCACTACTGAGGTGGCCGGAGATGCTGCAACCTGTGAAACCAGTTGGAGGTTGCGCTTTGTCATGGAAACACCAAGCTGCATTGCAAAGACGTAATGGCGTGTGAGGTTGAATGAAGCAGAGGGGAGAGAGAGCAACGCAACGGCAGGACGGAGGGGGTTGGCCTCATTGCTCGTCATTATTGTGGCATCTTGGTTATGCTGGAGACAGACAGAGACAGACAGACAGAAGTCCCGCCTGGTTGGAAGCTTTTGTTGCCAGCAGCCGCCATGGCCATTCACAGTTGCTGCCGAACACCCCGCATGTGGCCCTGTCAGCCTTTCTCCTACCAGCACGCTGTACAGATGTACTGTACCCATGCCAGGTAGCGTCATGTACTTGTACGTACGTACACTACACTTTTGGCGCTAAAACCGACGGGGGCGAAAAAAAAAAGGCCCAGCAACGGTAAAGAAAATTCCTGCCGTCGGCCTGGCAGAAGGCATTCTCCAAAACACCGTGCACTCCGCACACCTCATGCGACAACAAGCTCGCAGGGAGCTCTCGTTTTCCATTACCTGACAGAATTCAAATGCCCGGGTCGCGTCTGGTCACACGGGCAGCCACGGGCAGGTCGAGGATGCGAGACAGGCAGACAGGGGGCCCTTTTGGACGACCCTGCAACAGCTAGGCTCGACTCGGGCGTTCAGGTGACAAAGAAATACTCATTGCTTGGATCCGCATCTGTTTCCATTACCCAATCCACAGGTAACGCGCCATGGCATGCCATGACATGGCACCGCCTGCTCTTGGGTGTCTGTCTCCCTGTTCTGCCTGTCTCCCTGCCCATCCCATCCATCCCATCCGCTAGCCGTCCTAATTATAATACGGCAGTCAGAAAAAAAAAGATCAAATCCTTTTCTGGGGTCGTGTTTTTTTTATTCTTCACCCGCCCGCCCCCCAGCCTGTCTTCTTTCCGGCCTTCTGTCACGCTATTCGTATTTCCAGCACTTTGTACCTCGTGGTACCAACACCTGACTGCTCGTACAATACTCCTACAACACTCCTAGTGCACTCCGTCCGTACAAGTAGCAGGCGCCGTCTCCTGCCTCTCCTGGTCCAGCCGTCCAGTCATAATTCGTGCTAGACTAGCCGGTTGCAACCTCTTGCCCACACACCGGTCGCCATTTCCCCTGGCCTTGTCGCGCCTTACACCCGCCTCGCCCTGCCTTGCCGTGCCTCGCCCTGTCCTGACTGGAACCAGAACCCCCTTTGCCCTATTAGACTGCATCGCCGTCCGGCCTGCACCACACCTCACCTCACCCCTTCAAACGCCATATTACGAGCCCATCGCAGGCAACGCCCATACCGCACATAACACCACCCTTCTTTTTCTTTCTTTCCCCGCAACGCTCCTGATTGCTTTTACCTAAGATCCTCCTCCCTTTGACTAATGGAAATATTCACCTGGTCATCAACACTCACGTGAAACCACCCACCGACTTCCTCTCCCTATTACTGCGGTACTGCCCCGGAGCCCCCCAGAGGCCCAGAGGGTGGCTCCTACTCCGTACTTATCCTACTTGCTCCGTACCACATTCCAGACCCAAGGACTTTTTTGTCCCGAGAGTTCCACCATGGCCGTGCCAACAGCTGCGACCGCGGCACCAGCCAAGGTCAATGACCGATCCACCTCGTACAAAATCTCTCCTCCTCCTGGCAGCCCCAAGCCCTCCTCGCCCAACCTTGCAAACTCTCGCACCTCTTTCTCGTCCATAAGGGAGGACGACACCGACCTGGCCCAGACCTTCACCTCCTCCAAGGTATCTTGCTACACCCTGCAGCAGGAGCAAGCAGTCAGCGACGACGATTCCCCCGGTACTATGGTTTCCCAGGCTCAGTTCTTCGCACCCCTCACTCAGCCTGGCAGTCGCCTGCACGGCAATTGGGTCCCTGCCGACGATTTCAAGGGATGGAAGCAGATCAACGTTCGGGGGAGGCTGGCCAGCCGGAGCTTTGGCGACCTCACATCGCTGACCCTCGCCTGGGAGCCTAGGCCCGCTCCTGTCAAGCGGAGGCCGTCCAAGGTCTCGGGCGAGTCTGTCCTCGAGAGTCTTCCTCTGGAGCTCCTCAGCTCCATCATCAACCTGCTGCTCCTGGACGTCCCGCCCAACGGCATCACAAAGCGGAACATGGACCTCATGTCCCTCCTGCTCACCTCTAAGAAGCTCCACGGTGCCACCCTGCTCACCCTCTACCGCCAGATCACCATACCGCACTCGAGGATCTTCTCGAAATTCCTCGCCCATGTCACCCAGCATCCATCGCTCGGCACTCTGGTGCGGCGGTTTGATTTCTGCCACTTTAACCCCACCACCCTGTTCATGACGGCCAGCGAGCGGTCCCAGGCCCGTAACCTGACCTCTGACACCCTTTCCCAGGCGCTGGAGCTCACGCCCCACCTGCACGAGTTCCTGGCCCAGGAGCACATCGACGACGAGCTGGATGCGAGGGTCCTGCAGAAGCTGTTCTTCGGGCTGGAAAGAATTCAGGCCCTCGACTTCTGTGGTTGCTCCTGCCCGTCCTTCCGTGACGCCTTCACCGCCACCATCTGCTCGGCCGAGTGGAAGGAACCGGTCGGGCTCAAGAGGCTGTCCCTGCACAAGTGTACGACGCTTCCGGTGGCAGTCTTTGAGAAACTGCTGCCAAACCTCCCCCTGCTCACCCACCTCGACATCGCGGGCACCCAGGTCACAGATGCGGCCCTGGCGTCCCTCCCCAGCTCTGCGCACATCACTCACCTCAATCTGGCCAAGTGTAACAAGCTTTCGGCCGATGCCATCATCAACTTCATCTCCACACACCCCGCTGTTACCCAGTCGCTCGTCTGGCTGTCACTGGCGACGGACGCGAGGGTCCACGAGACATTTGACGCTGACGCCGTCACGAGGCTCTTGCCTGTCCTGCCCGCGACCCTCAGGTCGCTCTCGCTCAAGGGCAGCAGCATGAACCAGTCCCACATTGCGCTACTGCGACCGCTGACCAAGCACCTGGAGGAGCTGGCCCTGGGCCGAGGCCTGGGCGTGAGCGACACCAACGGCCTCTTTGTTCCGGACCTTGACGAGCAGGCGGGAGAGGATACCGACGCCGACGGCGACCGTCTGATGGCGACCATCGACGATTGGGAGCCCCACACGCTGCGCTACCTCGACCTGTCCGACATGTGGAGCGGCGACTTTGACCTGCAGACGCTCTACAACACCTCCGGCTGCGCGCTGCTGACGGGCCAGACGGGCCCGCTCGAGGTCATCGAGGTTCCCGAGGACGTCGCCCGCCGGCTGGCCAAGGGTCACGCCCCGCTGACCCGCCTGGGCTGGCGCGTCAGCGAGCTCGGCAGCCGCACGTGGGTCGTCCGGGCCCAGGACCAGGCACAGCCACACGATAACGGCAGCAGGGGCTGGAAGATGGGCGCCGAGAACTGGGGTATGCGCAAGATCCCCGTGGCCAGGGCCGAGGTCGGCGGCATGTACGGGAGCTTCATGTTCGCGAGGAAGCTGTAAGATTATTGGGCGACCGTTTTCCCGCCAAGTTTTTCTTTTTTTTTCCTTTTCTTTCAAGGTCAGGCAGGTCCCTCGGGATAATTCTTTGCATCATCTTCGATTTTCTACATGGTGGCCTGGTCCTTGTCGGGAGTTACCAAAAAAGGAAAGGGATTCACGATCATCACGAGGATTGTTCTTGGCAAAGCGAGCATTATACATCTTCCCTTTGGGTTTATTCATTGGGTTTCGGAGTCTAGCCGGGGTCGTCTTCTTTCTGCAAATTTTCTTATGGGGGTTTAAACAAAGATAGCACTGGGGGATGGACAAGATACCCAAGGAATTGCATTGAGGCGAGCGAGCAAGAAATTTCGTCTTGAGTTCTTATTTGGACTGTCTGGTCATTCCCATCATACCATACCCTTGAGATACCAAAAAAAAGCATCCCGCCGTTCTGCCACTTCCGCCAGCACCACTAAATAGCGATCTAGTTTATGCTAAACTGTACATAATGTTAGGCTGAAATTGAAACCTGTCTTCGCCATTACATTTATCCCATTTCGCTAGCTTATAAATGTGTGCATGCAAAAGTCCGCAGCCTCGTAAAGCCCCTATACCCCATCGTTTGTGATGGTGCTGCGCGGTCGATGCCTCCTTCACTCTGGGAACGGCTCGAGGGTCCTTGCGTTATGTCTCCGAAGTTACAAACAGTTGGGCTGAGCAAAGTCTATGATTTCCTACCTAGGCATTGCAGATAATTATGATGCTGGAACCAGAAAGGGCCTCTTCTGCGGCTGGCAGACCGATATCAGACCATTCGAGAATTACGGGTACAATGACATTTAGCTTGCAAAAAGCCCTGGTCGCTGGCACATGATGCAAGCAAGGGCCGGGCAATGAATGCTTGATAAAGTTCCTAAGCCGCCATCGGGAAGCAGGCGGGTCGTGGCCATTTTGGAGGCTCCGCGTGTAGAGGCTGGATTTCAGATACAAATAACAAACCGAGGTTACCCATATATTGAACCCCTCTCACTTGGAAGCATGCTGGTCTTGTCCCCGGCTGCTCTATAACTTTGGGCGACGAAGGCCCTGGTCGTCCCGTACATTCCGTGTCCCTCCACGGGTATCTTGGGGGTCGAAGCTGTCACCGCGACAGTACCAGTCATCAAGGCTGTCAAGCAGGAACTCCCCCTGTCTTCATAAACCGCGCTCATGTAGGCACTCAAATCTCAAAGCAGATGTATACTGAGACCAGCCATCCTGTCTTGGTGACAATGCCCCCTTCGCGATATGCTCTCCGCAGTCCGGGTCGCCCAGCGGTTGCCCGCCACAAAGCGCCTCGACACTCGGCCACGCGTTATCGCCCGTTGACCTTTTTCCCGCTAGCCGCCATTTGATTTTTGCAGTCATTACAATACCATTTCACTGCCTCAGTTGTCAGTAACCATAGCTCTCTCAGAATTCCCATCCACCCTCGTGCAACAATGCCGGATGAAGAAGAGGAGTTTGGATGACTTACCGCTCTTTCCGGGGGCGACTTTTAAGCCCACACATCCCAGATGGAACCACTCTCTCGTGCAATGCTCGCCATCACAGCCTACCATCTGACCAAAGGATACCCGGTCGCAGTAACAGTAGGTCGGCTCGTCAGGGTCATACACGTCATTCTCGTCTGTCGGTACTGTGTGGTCCTCGTCCGCCGTGGGCTGCACGAGGGCTTTCTGGACCGCGGCCGCATGTGCCGCGGAAGCTCCCTTTTTGTGGGATCTCTTGGGCACTGCTGGTGCCTCGGAGTTTCTTGATGGGCGGGAGCGAGGGTTGTTATTGTTATTGTTGTTGTTGGTGGTGGGAGGATTGTCGGGGAAGCTGCCAATGGCGGGCGTGGAGGGCTTGCTGGCTCGGCCACTCTTCGTGGTGGTGACCTGCTGCTGCACGGCCGGTGGCGCAGTTGCTGGTGTGGGCTCTTTCCGCACCTCAACCTCCTCGGCGGGCTTTGCAGAACTCTCCTTCGGGGCCGCCGCTGGCACGGCAGACTTCGGAGTCGGTGCCCTTTCGCTCTGTTGCCTTATAGGCTCAGTCTTGGGGCCTGCGCTTGGCGGTTCCATCTGAGTCTTCGCGCTGTCACTGGCGGCAGCAGCACGAGGGCCATTGTTCGGCGGTGGGATCTCGATAGGCGCAGGCACATTGCCGTTTGCCTTGTTCGAAGCCACGGATGGCGGACGCTTGTCTGCGATTGAGGCGGTAGAGTTCTGGCGGGCTCTTGCTGAAGCCGGACGGGGGTTGGCAGGGGGTGCGGGAGATGCTCGTGGGGCCTTGGACGGGTCGGGAAACGCGCTGATGACTGGTGAAGATGCAGCCGACGGCGGCTGAGCGGGCCCGGCCCTGTAACGAGCTCACGTTAGCTCTCATAGATGTCCAGGAGGTGCTGACGAGCACTTACCTCTTCTTGGCCTGCCCCGTAGAGTTGGGCAGTGCCTTTCGCTGCTGCTTTTTCGGCGCCGGCTGTTCGGGTGCTGGCGTCGCACGAGGGCTCTCTGATGCCTTTGTCTTGGAGTTCTTGCCGTTCTGCAAGACCGTTGCCAGTGACCGCTCGGCAGGAGTCCCCGAATTGGGAGGAGGTTTTTCGACCTTGCGCCTCTTCGGGGCGGGTGTGTTGCTGGCTGGTGTCTGGCCAGTAATGCCCAGGCCAACATTAGCAGGCGACTCGGCATTCGCCGCGGCGGCGGCAGTTTTCCTCTTGGAATTGCTCTGGGTCTTTTTGTTGTTTGCCTCTGGTTTGGTCTTGCTATCGTGGTCGTCGTGCTCAGACTCGTGTGCATGGTTCTTTTGACTCTTCTTGGCGGCCACTGCCTGCTTCCGCGACTCACTGCGCGCAGCGGCCTCCTCTGCGACAAACTGAGCGGCAGCAGACAGGTGAGCAGCGCCCTCCCTCCTAGTGCGCTCTGCCTGGGTGTTCAGCGCGCGTGCCGCTCTGTTCTCTGGGTACGCCCAATGCGAGTCGCTTCCCCACTTTGCCTCCTCGCTGAACTCATCCGAGAGATGAGGCCAAATGTCATCGATGCGGTTGAGTTGCTTACGGAGCGCATCGTTCGCTGTAGATATGACATGATTCTTCTCCTCAAGCGAGTTAAGCATTTCTTGTATCTTGACGGCGGTGGACCGGAAGAGGTGGCGGCGCGCCAGGTTGCTGTCGTCAAAGACGCTCGAGGCAGTCGAACCATTGGCCGAGAACTCGGGCAGAGGATTGGCGTGAGGTGCCGCTCCGCTAGAGCTGCCAGCGACGCTCATGGGCGCCGAGGCCGGGGCGGCGGAGCTCGTGGCATCGTTGAGCGATCGTGCTGGGCCGGGCGGTGGGCTGTCGAGGGCCTCCTGCACGTACTGGAAGAGCTGTTCTTGCGGGGCAAAGACCTTGGCGTCGACCTCCTTTAGAAGGGTGAAATGTCGCACAAGCTCTTTCGGAAGAGCCGTGATAGCATCGGCGAAGTGGGTCACGCCGGGGAAGATGTCTATAGGCTGTTCGGCAGTATTGGCGCTGGACAGCGAGTCCCGTGGGCCGAGGCGGTTAAGGCCTGCATTCGATCTTGGAGGATTGGTTCGAGTCTGGCGGACGGGCTGAGATCTCCGATTTGAAGACGATGGCTCGCCCGTGACGACCTTCGCGGTCTTCATTCTGGGCGTTCGCTTGCGAGAAGAAGAGAGGGGAGGGCGGTCGGGGTGGGAGTTCGTGGCGAGAGTTCGTGGTGGGAATTGTGGTGGCTCGCGGGTTTCGAGCCGGGAGGGAAGATAGATTCAACTCTCTCTGCGACAGCGTGAGCACGCCTATCGGTTCTCTAGCAAAGTCCTGAGAAAGATAAGAGTAGAAGCCGCGGGTCTAGAGATTCAGACAATAAGCCATTCTTGTTGAGGAACAGAGCCCCGGTAGCTCGAGGAGTTTTGGCCGTGTGCTGTCGAGGGCAGGAGAAAACTAATCATGGGGAGAGGGCGAGGAGGGAACAAGACCTAGAACAGACCGGGCGTGTCGAGCGGCCGGCATTGGGGCGGGCCAGCGCAACCCAGAAGCTCTCTAGCGCCACAGGGGCCTTTCGATTTGTGAAGTGACGCACCTTCGGCACCGAAGCGGCGACTGATAATCAAGGGGAAGAAGATAAGCTTGGTTCTCGGGCATTGCACTGAAGCTGCCACAGAGCACAACACATCGTGACACAGCATTATCTCACGAGCTGACATTTACATTGTCTTTTTTTGGAATATCCCGCAGGAGGTTGTATATGAGTCGTCTGTCCTAGGAAGCTGTCCCATATGGGGTTCCGAGGTTCAGAATACTGGTGGACGGCTCGTTAGAGCTCACAGACTGTTATTTATCTAACCTCTTTTAACCGCATCGTAACGCCAGACTATGGATGTGTTCGATCACAGACCGCAACACACATAATTAGTTTGATTGTAATGATGTAGCCTTCCGGATGCAAACCTCGCTCTTGAGCTTCCTCTCCGTCCGAACCATCTCCCATCTGTTCACTGCCCAGGTGGACATCATTGTCGAGACGACGGCAAAAATATGGAGGAAAGCAGATTTGTGCTGCGCGACGCCAACACGCAAGTCCCACATTCAACGCTGCTTGATTCCTCGCCGGGGCTTTTCGTCCCTCTCCTTCTGCTTCTGCCGCCACTGCCACTCGACCAAGACCGGCAGGAAATGCCACAGATCGAAGTCTGGCCACATGCACTCGAGGAAGAAGAGCTGAGTGTCCTGGTGGCACTGCCACAGCATAAAGTCACTCAGCCTCTCCACCCCGCTAGTTCGAACAAACATGTCCAGAGGCGGGTCTCCAGCTGTGTACATGTGGTCTGTCAACGTCTCTGTGTTGATGGTCTCGGGGTCGGGATATCTCGCAGTGTGCGACGACGACGGCCTGGACGGCGCGTCGGGCAGGTGTAACGTCGACGCCGTGGACGAGACGGAATCATCATGGCCATCGCCATCCTGTCCTGAATGCTCTGCCGTCGAGGGCGTTTCATCTATTGACGGCAGTGTGTCGGGCCGGGTCAGCTTCCTAGACTTGATGCTCTGTGAGATGCGAGTCTGAGAGAATGTCGAGTTCTTAGGTGGCGGAGTTGTCAGATAGTCCTGCACTGTTGTCCGGACCGCGTGGGTCATTTCCTCCCTTGAACCGTATGGGAAGCAGATGTTCAGAACAGCACTGGGATGGGAGTCAGCGGAATGTTCTTCTGCATAGGCCTTTACCGGAGAAGTTTACCCAGTGTTCTTGCTGGTGTTCTCCACGGCTCTGTCAACGTATTCCAGAACATCCTTTGGGATTAGCTCTCGCTTTCCGCATATCTTGATGCGGGCACCATATCTGTCCAGGACCTCCCCGTGCTGCATGAGTTGTGAGAGCTTGGTCTTGGCCAGCAACATCAAGCCCTCAACTTCGCGTTGTGGTCGGTTGAAGTTCTCTATGGCGAAAGCATAGACAGTGACAACCTTGACACCAGTCTTGTAGCAGACTTCTAGGATCTAGAAGGCCGTGAGTTGACATATTCATAGAGATGGGCAGGCAACAGCTCCGAACCTTAGCCAGGGCCTCAAACCCAAGATGGTGTCCTTCCAGGCTCTCAATTTTATGGTTCTTGGCATATCGCCTATTGCCGTCCATAACGAATGCTACGTGCTGGGGCACCGGGCCCTGCTTGAGCGCCCCGATGAGCAGCTCATGCGCCTGCCGGAGGATCCATTCGGCCGGGGGTGAGCTCAGTAGCCAGCTCCGGAAATGTGCCAGGTACAGGTCCGACATGGTAGAGGCCGAGGTTGCAGGAGAGTCGGGCGAGAGCAGGGTGGGTTAGAGACGGTGGAGGGCGTCTATCACAGTGCAGAAATGATCAGGTTTTATAAAGGGACGGGATCGAGGCTGTACATCCAAGAAATTGCCGTCTGCCAAGACGACGACGACGCACGAGCTTACGACGGACGGACAAGTGAGATCAGGATGTTTGAAGGCTGGAGTGATGGTAAGGCAGTAAGGGAAATACCCGGCATCCTCAGCCACTGTAGCAAATGGATCGGCCGTTTTGCATGCTTCTGCCCCTGTGCCCATGATCCCTGCCAGACATGGGCAGCTGTGCAGGGATCAGCAGCTAGGCGACACGAGCCGCAGCGCTCAATGACATACGGAGTACTGACATACTGGCCACTTCCAACTTAGCCCAAGCTCCGTCTGCCGTTGTCACCAAAAACCGTTGCAAACAATTGCACCACGTACTAAGTACACTACACCCGGGCACCTGTAGCCTCCTCCCCTCAGATCTCAGACGGGACACCACCAGGCTACACTCGGACAGCTCGCCCCTGTCAGCCGTAATGCATTCGTAGCAACAGACCGACCCGGCAACATCACGCTCATACCATGTCCTTTACGAACGCGCCCGTGACGAGGACCCTCGTCGTCGGGCTCGTTTCGTCCTCCGTCGCCGCAAGCCTCTTCGACTTGAAGCATTACTTCTACATCCTAGTCGATACACACATCTGGAAGTACCACCAACCATGGCGAGCCCTCATATTCCAGCTCTGCTACACCAATTCCTCCGAGGTGCTCTTCGCCGCCATGACCCTCTACAACATGCGTGTCGTTGAGAGGATGTGGGGGTCCAGAAAATATGCCGTATGCCGTCTTCCCACGACCCCGATCCCCTAGATCCGCAGGGTATACTAATGTGTGGAACAATGCGACAGTCCTTCCTCGTCGTCTCCGGCCTCCTGACGAGCCTCCTCACCCCCGCCGCCATCATCTTCCTGCTCCGCCCTCTCACTGGCGGCGTCTTCAACTACCTCCCGGCTGGCCCGACCCCGCTCATCTTCGCTACCCTGGCGCAGTACCACGCCATGATCCCGCACATATACAAGTACCGCATGGCCCTGACCGCGTCTTCACCCAGCACGAGCAACGGCGCGGCGGGCCTCACCTTCAGCGACAAGTCCTACCGGTACTTCCTCGCCATGCAGCTCGCCCTGTTCCAGTGGCCCGGCTCGTTGTTGGGCGCGGCCATCGGCTGGGTTGTGGGATACGTCTGGAGGAACGACATGCTGCCCACCAGGGTCACGACATGGCGGCTGCCCGCCTGGATGGTCGGCATGAGGACGCCAAAGAGAAGTCAGGAATTTGAGGGCCTGAGAAGGCGGCTGGAGGGAGAGAATGCCCCGAGTGCCACTGCGACCGGAACCCAGGGTCAGGGAACAGATGGCGATGTTGGGAGGAGGAGGACTCTTGGACAGCAGGTTTTGGACCAGGTGTCTGGCGCAATCTGAACATACCAGAGAGCGTCAGATGTGATTTGGAACAAGCCTTCCCCAGCCAACAGTATGGGCCTCTAGAATTCTTCAACGAAACATCTTGAGTTGGAAGACATAATGCCAGCGGAATCCACATGTAGAGTGCTACATGCGTTGTCTTTCGAAGACACACCGCGCCTTGCTTGTTTACCAGCCCTGGAGTTTGTTGCGTTACTAAATGTGTGCTTTGAGTCGGATTATCTGCCAGGATTTACCGGTATCGCAACACTGTTGCCTCAGCCCGTCTGAATTTCAGAAAGTTCTGGAAGCCAACATCAAGCACATGACTGTTACACCTTCAAAAGCATGTGTAATGTCACACTGTAGCCCCTGTAGCTTGCCTGCCTACCTCTAAGTCGTGCTATGGGAAATGATCCTGTAGACCGTCTGTCTAGAGGTCTTCCTGAAGAGGCTACCTCAACATGTAGGTGCTTTTCTGGGGTTTTACCTCAGGAGGTTACCCTCTATAAGTTTGGGATGCTTTGAAAGGATACTCCTATGTGAGGCTGCCTTAAAGTGGCTGATTTCATCAAGAACAACGTTACGACTGAGTGACAGTAACATGAGCCTGCCTCTGTTTGTCACACTTGTTGAAGTCGGCAGACGCCCAAGCTTTGTTTACCAGCATTCTGGTATTGTGATTCTACGACTAGGTTCAAGTGTTCGTCGACCTTTGGCGCAAGCTCTCCGTGTCATTCAGTTCCTCACAGCTCCGAGAAAATGACTGGCAACTGAGCCCAGGCTGATACAGCTATGCACGCAATATTGATCCTCCCATCATTTTCAGAATCCTCTTCTTGTCTTCTTCGGAGTAAGTCATATAATCTTCCAGCTTGCGCTTCTCGAAACCATTTTGTTCCCACAAATCGATCTCCTCGTGACCAATCTTGTGTAGAGGGATCCCGAGGTCCTTGGATACGGTATCTTTCACGAGGTCCATTTGGATTGGGCTGTGGGCTAGTTCCTTTTTGGCTGCCTCCGAATCCTCGAAGAAGACGTCAATGATATGCTCATTCAAAGACTGGCCCCTGGCAAGAGCTCTATCCATGCCCTTGACCATCCTTTTCTTGTTGTATGCAACAGGCTTGAACCAGTTCATGACCTTTTTGTAGTCCAGACGGAACCCAGCCGGGTCGTATGTCGGGGAGCCGCTCGGCCCCTTGTCACGACATTTGTGGAGGTGATGGAAGGTCGCAGAAGGATCTATGCGAGTTTTTTCAATGTACAGCGCTTCTTTCTGCATGACATTCAAGCGCCCCTTGGGCTTCGCCGGAGACGGTGGGCAACGAGCAGCCAGCTCAGCAGGTATGTCATGGCTGTCATACCGTGGACGCGCTTCCCGCCCAGGAGTGGGACGCGGGTCCTTGAGTTTGCTCCTGTCCCAGTCAAATTCAAGGTCAGGCGTGGTCAGGCGCGGTAGGGGCTGTTGCTGCTCGACTTCTTGTTGCGTCTGTGAGGGTTCAGACGCGTCGTTTGAAGGCCCGCCTGAGCTCTTCTGTTTCTTGGCGGGCCCCTGTTGTTGGGTCTTGGAGTCAGACGCGCCCCTCTTCTTTGCGGGAGCTTGTGTGAGCTCTCCAGCTGTTGCATCATTCACGGGACTGCCTTTGGGTGAAGCCACAGCTCCCGGACGCGTTCGCACCATTGTGGAGTACAAGTCTGAGGTTTTGGCGGGGGTCGAAACTTCAAACGTTCAGAAGTAATTTGCCAAGGAAGGAAGTTGGCATCCAGAAGCTGTAGGGGGCAGTCTTTTGGTATTTCTTCGCGAGAGCCAGGAGGTCAAGTGAGGAGCCAGAACGTTAAGGGACACGATCGATCGCGAGAAGCCGTGCTGTGGACGCGATGTTGATCAACGCGTTGGCCAGAGCACGGGGTATTATTTTGGTTTTCTGGCAGGCGAGTATAAGTCCAGACCCTGCAATGGATAGCACGTCACTTGCTCCACTTGATCTGTCACCTGCTGTATGTCTCGACGGGTGTGTGAGTGAGTGGGTGAGTGGGTGAGACAGACTGAACAGGGATTAACAACGTCTCGCTGCTTTTTGTGTGTCTCACAGGCGGGGTGGTTCTAGAACCTGTTAGCTGCATTTTCTCCACCAGGCCGAGCCTTGAACGAAAAAGATCCCAGCCTTCCAAGGTCCCCAACCCAGTCTTAACCTTACGACCACTTTTCTTCCAAACCAGCACCGGCTGCCTACATGATTGTCGTCGATCCAGTCGCCCAGCATGGATGACTCCGAACGACGAACCGCCAAGCGATCCCGCTTCGACCAAAAGGAACCTGAACCTCGAAGGGCCTCCAGATTCGACCGGCGTTCTCGCTCTCCCTCGGCTCGCAAGGACGACTCGGTTCGCGACAGAAGCCCATTGTCCAAGGACCGGGAAACCGGGGCTTCTCCCGCAAAGTCTCCAGTAGACCCGGCAGCTGCTGCAGGTGAGGCCCAGCGAGACCATGTTCCCGTCACAAGCTATTCTTTCTCCTCGACAATGTGCTAATAGAATCGTAGCTGCCGCTGCCGCCAAAATCAACGCCCAACTCCAGGCGCGCAAGGGCATCCAGCATGTCGACGTCCCCCCAATCCGCTCCGAGGCAGCCTCGGGGAGCAGCTCGGGCCCCGCAGCTGCATCGCACCAGATCAACGGCGACATGTACATTGCGGATGGCGACTACATCAAGGACATCGAAGTCAACGACCTGCGCAACCGATACCTCTTGACCAAGGGGTCCACACAGAAAATGGTAAATACTTGTCTTGGTCATTCCTGCTGATACACAGTCAGACACAGCTGCATCAATCCCTCACCCACCCTGCCACCGTATGCGAGAACAGTCTTGCTTACTCGAAGCTCGACAGTTTCCATACAGGCCATCTCTGTGTCCGCTGCTGACCTCCCCTGCTTGATCTAGATTAAAGATGAGACCGGTGCCGGTATGCTACCACCTACCTAATATTGTCACAGTACATCATCGTTTGAAGAACTGGAAGTTGACGCTTTTATTTTCACCAAGATGTCACAACCCGAGGAAACTACTACCCGGACAAAAGCATGGCTACCGCAGCGGTAAGAGACGCACGCCCCGCCAAAACGTGGACGTGAGGCTGACCTATGTTCCTAGAACCCCCCTCTTTATCTTCATGTGACAAGCACCTCGAAGGAGGGACTCGAGCAGGCCGTTGCCAAGATCGAAGAGATGATGAAGCAAGAGCTGCCCCAGCTCGTTGACGAGCGACGCTTCCGCCGCCGAGAGCAAGAACAGGTTGAGCGGGACGAGTACGGTAGAGTATGTGGCAAGGCGGCCCGTCCTAGACACTCGTTTATTGCTAACCCCCTAAACAGCGGAAATGGCCCGAGGAGAAGATCCCCATCGATCTTGACCCCGTTCCTGGCTTCAACCTTCGCGCCCAGGTAGTGGGTCATGGAGGTGCTTACGTGAAGCACATCCAACAAGAGACCGGATGCCGTGTGCAAATCAAGGGGCGCGGCTCTGGATACATCGAGAACTCTACTGGACGCGAGGCCGAGGAAGACATGTACCTCCACGTTGCCGGTCCCGATCCCAAGATGGTTCAGCAAGCCAAGGAGCTCTGCGAAGATCTATTGAGCAACGTCAAGCAGCAGTACGAGGAGTTCAAGAGCCGTCCCCCTCGTCAAAGCTACGGCGGTGGTGGACACTACGGAGGCGACCGTTATAATGGCGGCGACCGACACGGTGGTGGAGATCGCTACGGCGGCGGTGGAGATCGATACGGCGACAGACACGGAGACCGGTACGGCGACAGGCAGGGCAGCAGAGACCACGGATACAATAACAACAACAACTACAGCAACTCTCCAAGAGGCCAGGCGTCATCAGCATCCCCGGCTCCGGGTGCTAACAGCACACCCTCGGCCACGGACTACACGGCGCAGTATGCTCAATACTACGCCCAGAATCCAGGTGCGGACCCCTACGCGGCCTATGGTGGCTACGCGGCATATGTCCAGTACTACCAGCAGTACATGGCTGCGGCGCAAGCCCAGCAGCAACAAGGCGCCGGGGCGCCAGGGGCGCCAGGTGCAGGCGCAGGTGCAGCGGCGTCACCACCGCCTCCTCCGCCCGACAACCAGCCTCCTCCACCGCCTCCCCCATCGAATCCGGCACCGCCTCCTCCACCGTCAGGGTCGCCCCCAGGCGTGTCCGGCTACAATGCAGTACGTGCCACCGCCTCCTGTCTGACTTGTCTTTCTGAACAGTATTAACCTGTGTTACAGATGCCCCCTCCACCCGGACTGTGAGGACCCACCGATCGATCATAATGGAATGTGGAGTGACGCGGTCAGACCGCGATTGGGTGCGATGAGAACAGTCCAAAATGGTAGAGAGTTTGCCCTGGTATTTTTAAGGAACGAGGAATTGTGTGAGGTTGCTTGCTTGGTTACTCATGTCGGCCGTGATTGAAAGGAGAGTGGGGTTTCCAAGGGCCCGCGTCAGCGCATCATGGATACCAATCTGACATGGTCTACGAGATCACGTAAATAAAGATTGAACCGCTCGTCACATACCGTCAACGTGCACTCATAAGTGTGTTTGGTCGTGAATTCGTCGGAACATGTTGTTACAAATATGGAAACATGTTCTCCCCTCTGTCATCCGCAGTCCGATATCCCATTTGAAACCCACACAGACACCCCGTGCGCTACCAGAAAATTTCAGCCCCGCGCAGTGATGCTCGCTTGCTATATGCTAAATGAAGCTGCCGATGAACCAAACTACCGGAGCATGCCAGGAACCCAGATAATCGCATTTTGCCATGTACAATTCGCGTCTGCATATATCCATCCATATCCATATCCATATCATTCCTTGCCCGACCCTCGAAAGTCGGGCTCCCCTGTGACGACATCAAGTCACCAATGCTTTGCCCCGCGGGTACCCATCTACCTCCTGGGCAGCATCCAGCTCCTAGTCCGGCTATGAGATCAAGTCCGCGGGGATCGGTGTGTCCCGCCGGCTCCCCGTCTCAGAATTGAAGAGGCCCTCCGAGTCCTGCCTCGCCGACCTGAGGTGGGCGTTGTTCCTGCGTGCGACGGTCGGGGTCACCAGGTCAACCTCCATGTCAGCGCCGACGGCCAGTCCGCCGGCGCTGCTGGTGCCCTCCGCGGGATCCGTCTCAGCCTCTGCTTCTGACTCAGACATGACCACATCCTCGGCCTCGGCCGCCGCCTCGTCGAACGTCTCGATGCTGGGCGTGGGGATCTCAGCCGGCGACGGTGCCACCGGCTGCACCACCAGCTTTGGCATCGCAGTGGATGCGGCCCCGGCCCCGGCAGTACTGCAGTCCGTGGTGCCGGGGCCGGCCTGCGGTTGGCCCTTGGCCTCGGCCTCGGCCTGCGCCTGCGCCTGCGCCCTGGCGGCCGCCCGTATGGCGGCAATGGCCCCGCCGACCTCCCTGTCGTCGGCGTCGTCCTCCTGCGTGCCGATGGTCCACACCCACCGCCTCTTGGTCTCCTTGCTGGTGGTCTTGCGCCTCTTCCGGATCCCGGATGGCGAAGACGACGACGACGACGACGACGCCGGCACGGTGGGGGAGGTGGGCGTCCTGGTGGCCAGCCCCGCCATGCGCCTCCTCATCTCCTCAAAGGGCCCGGGGGTCTGGCCGCCGTCACGGGTCTCGTCGCCCGTGTAGGCCATGGTCGAGTCCAGGACCATCTGGTCGTTTGGCGAGGACACGCCGCCGGGGGTGGTGCCCGACGGCGAGGACGCGGAGCGCGGCGAGACCTCGTCGGCCAGCAGGTCGATGTGTGACTTGACATACTCGTTGTTGACAATCTCCTGCTCGATGGGACTGCCGTACCCGACGCGGCGGGCGGCCTTCTCGGCGAGGCGCAGCGACTGGCGGCGGGGCGAGACGGGGGTCCTGGCGGTGGGCGGGGGCAGAGGCGAGTTGCGCAGGATGCTGTGGAGGGAGCGGTTGCGCACGTAGGGCAGGGGTATCCCGGAGGAGGAGCTCGAGACGGTCAGGGGCAGGGTGGCCCGCCGCCGCGAGAAGCCGCCCGCCGGCGTCGAGGCGGACGAGGGCGGGAAGCCAGCAATTGCCCAGGAGGGGCCTGACGTTGGCCCGGCTGCTGCAGCGCTGGCCGTGTCCTCTGCCGAGAAGGAGAAGGGCTTTGGGTCTGCATCGTCGACGGGCCCCGACGACAGCGGCGGCGTGGCTGTCATGGTGCTTGGGAACTGCACGGGTACTGGTGCTGCTGCCCCTGGCGACAGCGGCTGGGCCGTGAGCGGCGTGTCCAGGTAGGTGGAGGCGTATGGCGTATGCGAGCCATGTTGTTGTTGTTGTTGTTGTTGGTGTTGGTGGTGGTTGTCCCTGTTGAGGTCCTGAGTCTGTATCCTCAGGGGCTGGCTGGCCGAGGTGTTGATGGCAGTGACGGGCGTGGCCCTGTCGATGGCGGTGACGTAGACATTGGACAGGGTGTTGAAGGCAGTGGGCGAGGTCGGGTTGACTGCAGCAGCGACGGTCCTGGAGCCTCTGAGATTTGGGCCATTGGCTATTGTCTTGATCTGGAGGGACAGCCTCGGTCTCTTTGGAGGGTTCTGGTGAGCCGACATGCTGGATGGGCGGAGGGGAGAAGACGAGGCAGACGCGAAACACCGCAGCGGCGGCGGCGGCGGCGGCCAAGGACGGCTTGGGCGTATTTATTTCTCTGGGAGAGTGGCAGTGACGGTGGATGTTTGGAGTGCAGGGTGTGATCGATTCGAAACTTTACGTGTGAAACATTAGAGGCCCCGTCTGCCGAGGATGTTCAACATGACTCTGTAACAGCCCAGCGGTTTGGTGCCCGGGTCGGGTCCCGAGACTGGGACTGGGACTGGGACTGGGACTGGGATAGCAATTGGACTGATGAGGCAATTGCAAGGACGGGGACAGTCAGTCAGTCAGTCAGTCAGTCAGTAAGTGTTGGGACAGCGTCGCATGCAGAAGCGAAGAAGCGGCGGCTATATACATACGTCTGTACTGGCCTGACTGTCCTGGCTGGCGGCAATCTCGCCGGTGGGGAGACACAAGACGCACAAGACGCACAAGATCAAGATGGATGCAAGGTCTTTTCAGGGATGGAAGCGCCGCCAGGCTAATGCACCCACAGACGGAGAAGCACACAATAGACGCGGTGGGACAGGCAGACCAGGACGGAACTGCGCTGCGTGTAAGACCACGCCAGCCCAACAGAGCCACAGAGCCACACGGGGGCTACGAGAGGGAGGGGCCAACCGGGGCAGGGCGAGACAAGTCCCCCGCGGCACGAGTACTGCTGCTGCTGCTCTAGCAGTGCGTGGTTGGCTGTGGGAGAGGCTGCATGTGGCCTAGGTCGCTGCAGAGTGCGAGCGTAAGCGCCGTGCCCATGCAGAGACGGGCGGGCAAGCACCCAATCACGGCCTCCACATGCATCCTGCCCGCTGCCAGATCACAATGGCGTCTACTCGGTGCTGTGAGCTCCTCTTTTCCTCGCTCGCCCTTCTTTTTTGTCCGCTTGCATCGTCTCGCCCGACGCTGCCGAGGCCGTCCTGTCTGTCTGCCTGTTCGCCCGCCGCCGGGCCCATCCACCCTTGTCGGGTTCCGCTTCCAACCATCAGACGAAGAGAAGCCGCCATGATGCACGCGTGCACGGGGCAGTCTGGCAGTCTGGCAGTCTGGGTCAGGAATGCGCTGCCTGGGACGGCAGGACGGCGACAGGGGCCCATGGCAAAAGGCGGTGGGTACCTACTCAAGTACTTGGGTGGCTGCCTTCCCTCCTTCCCTCGGTCCTGAAGGATCAAGTGCGTGGGCTAGCACGCTAGACTAGTTGGTCTCCAACTCTCTCAAGCGCCTGCCGTTGGCGCAACTAGGCGGGCGTCAGACGCTTATCCGCCGCGGCTATTTGACTCGCTTTCGCTCGCCAACTTCTACAAGTTCTAGTCTCCCGTCACCTGCCCGGCTAGACTTGCTGTTGCATCCTACAGACTAGCACTTGAGCCCACCACGGGTAGTCAGTCAATCACACTCGCCCGCCAGACGGATGGCTTCCAGTCTGTCACCTGTACAACCCATTCCCGGCATTTCCTTTCGCCGAAAGTTTGGGAAAGTCATCAAGCAGCATGCTAACATTTGAAGTCAAGAGGCTGTAGTGTGGTTACCACCTGGGGTGGGTGTGGCATCCATATTGAGTTCTACCTGCTGCCTTGGATACCTTATTATGCTAAGAATAAGACTTTCGGTGTGTGCAAGCCCGATATGGTCTTCACAATCGAGCTGATACTTGTACTTGGGAGACTACGTGAGGTTTGCTGGCCTGATGAATAGACGTACATGACAGCCGATGGCAAATGGACTGCTTAATTTGGCAAGTAGAAGGACCTCGGGGATAATTCGTCTTTGTGACTCATCGCTGGTATGAATAACTATGTGCAGAACACACTCTGCTTGTCACAGAGGCTGGCGTCGAGGGTCTTGACTGCGGCTGAAGCGGATTCACCAGGAGGCGCGGTCCCAATGCCAGTGCCTACGGATGGATAAAGTCAACGTCTTTGAATAATCAGTATGGCAACACTTGAACCGTCCAAAGGCCTCGGTGGAAGTGTCCTCGGCAATCAGTAGACTGGTTGAAATACAAACTCTTATCGAATACCAATTGTGCGTGCCTGCAGTCTGGGCCGAATACAACATGTTGTTGGAAGGTCTGCTCCTGTTTCAGACAATGGGCACGTGGCTGAGCCTCGTACCGCAACGAAGGACACTTAAAGGCAGAAAGTCAGAGCTCATCTGTTCCTGTGTTGCTATGCCAGACAGAAGAGCGTTAAAGGCAGGAACAGAGACGTGTAAGATATTGCGATGCCTTCTGAGACCCTGCCTCTAGAACGTTGCACTCGTCGCATCTCGGGCAGCTTACTGTGCGTGATTGTCGGACATCTGAGAGATATAATCGCGCCCATGAGTTGGCACCGAAATTACTGTTTTACCACGCACTGTCGAATCCAGAGGCATTTGGCGGACCATGCCGGGCCAGGCCCGGATACGGGGGACGTTGGTACTCCGTACCTAGGCAGAGACTCCGAGACGGAGTTGATGAGTAAGCGTGGGGGCGTCATCCTTACACACAAGCAGTGCACACCACTCCGGCCGCGTCAAAGCCGACGCGTCGCTGTGCCATCAACAGCCAGGGCTCTGCTAGCTTTCGAGACCGACCTGCGGATCAGCTCTAATTCTGACCGATCGGGTAGTTTGCTACCTGTCCGAGAACACAGCGTCATGGGGCCCAGGATCAGGCTCGGATACGAGAGTAAACGATGGACCAGGCGGTGAGGACGAGATCGCCGCGGAGGAAGCAAGACAGGATCATCCTGCATTTCGTGAGGATCCACCCGCATACAGTCTCGCCCCAGGCCGTCGAGCTGACTCCCATCAGGATTACGACTGCTTCTACGCACAGGTTGTTGAGAACGCCCAGCCTGCGCTCAGGTCTCTGCCGCTTGGTATCAAGCAGAAGAGCATCCTGGCCACATGTAACTACCTGGCCCGGAAGCGAGGTGTCAAGAAGCTGCAGCTCATCTCTGAGGCCAAGAAGATCTGCCCGGACCTGGTCCTCGCAGATGGCGAGGACTTGTCTGCGTTCCGGGATGTTTCCAAGAAGCTGTATGGCCTGTTGAGGTCGTTCTCGTGGAACAAGAAGGCTGAGCGTCTGGGTCTCGACGAGGTGTTCTTAGACGTCACTGACATGGTCGAGTTCAACGTTGGTCTTCTGAACCAGAATGCATTGTCAGACTCGTTCTTTTGTCTGTCCAGGGACAACCCTGAGAAAGGTTTCAGCTTCGATGCTACAGCCATTGCCGGCTGCGTTGCTGGCAATGGACATGGGGAAGACAACCATGGTAACTTGCTCTTCGTCAAGCTCCTCCTTGCATCGCACCTGGCAAGGTACATCCGGCTGAAGATAGAGGAAGAGGGCTACACATCCGCGTGTGGTATCTCAACCAACAAGGTCTTGAGTAAGCTGGCGGGCACCGTGAACAAGCCGAGAAATCAGACAACCTTGCTTTCGCTTCGTGAAGATGAAGCACTCGGATTCATGGACTCGTACGGCCTCCGTCAAGTCCCCGGAATAGGAGGTAGAATAACGCACACCCTGGAGAGCTACTTTCTGGGGAAGGACGCCGACACGGACACATTTGTCAACGGGTCTGCCGTGACAGTAGGCGAGTTCAGGGCCAGGCCAGAAGTCTCGCCTCATATGCTGGAGAAGCTACTGGGCAGCCGTCCCGGGGCTGAGAAAGGCATAGGCGAGAAGGTGTGGGCTCTGCTGCACGGGGTTGACGACACGGAGGTCAAGTCAGCGAGCTCCATCCCGACGCAGATCTCGATTGAGGACACTTATCCTGGGCCGAAGGGTGGGCTGAACACGTTGGCTCAAGTCGAACGCGAACTGATGAAGCTCTCGGCGTCTCTGTTAAGGCGCATGCATGTTGATCTGACTGAAGCCGAGGAACCAGACAAAGACTCTACGGGGTCGGCTCAGGGCCTCAGGCGCACAAGGTGGTTGGCCCACCCTAAAACGCTCCGGTTGTCGACCCGCCCCAAGTCATCGCCCAACGAGGGCACACCTTACAATTGGGGCAGGGCCAGTCGAAGCCAGCCACTGCCGACATTCGTCTTCCACGACATCGATCGTGAGGTCATTGTCGGGAGGCTCGTGAAAGAGGCGCTGCTCCCGATGTTCTTCCAGCTGAACCCAGAAAAGCCCGAAGGGTGGAACATCGGCATGATCAACATATGCGTAGCAAACATGGTTCTGACGGCAACTGATGACGCGTCTGGGAGCGGGAGGGATATCTCGCAGATGTTCAAGAGGCAGGACGAGGTTCTGCGCGAGTTCAAGGTCTACGATGACGGGAGCGAGCTGCCGCAATCGGCCGCCCAGGCTCCAAAGATGGGAGAGGACGGCGACGGAGCAGGCCTTGATTCCATGTGGACGGATGGTAATGACATGGATCTTGGGGATGACTATGTATCAGAGTCCGAATCTGAAGCCTGGGGTGACGAGGACGGTAGCCAGGCGTGTCCGAGATGCGGCCACTACCTGCCCGAGTTTGCCTTATCCGCACACCTGCGGTATCACGTCCTCGAAGAGCCATAAATACCTAGATAAATGAAATATATTCCGCGTAGAGTATGAATTAGCTAAGGGATCCAGTGTTTCAGAGAATTATGTGTTGGCAGTGGAGATCAAATTCCCAACAAGGGCTATTCCATCGCTCGCTTTACAAGTGCTTGACTTTCCAGGAAGGGCAGGCTGAAAATGGGTCCACGTTCTACAACGGGCATGGTAAGCACATAGACTGGGTGCAGTTGTCACCGGCAATGCACATAATGTCAACTGGTTCCAGCATGCCGAGGTGAGGCAGAACAAATATCAAACGGAAATATTCCATTGAGAAAAGATTTATGTATCCCGACCTGTTCCGAACTTCCAGCTGGGGTCTACCCATCCGCCTTTTTTTCAATCTAGTTCCCTTGCCCATACCATTTCACCGAAATGCCCAAACACGTCCAGGCACTTGCACAGAACAATGTCACATGCAACAACGCAGACTCGATCTCACGCATCCATATTCCAGACACCATCTTCAGCTGTCCTTGTATGGCCTCGACAATATATCCCTGTGGGACAACAATAGCGGCAGCTTCCTGGATGTTTCGTACTATAGAATCATCTATCACTCGAACACGACAAGGCAGGCAGGCAGGCGCTGGCAGCGCTTTGTTGCGGGTTTCGACATTACTCACCATCACAAGCACCTCCTTCTGGGAAGGAGTCAAGGTAGACGTCTTTGTTCCAACGTTTAGTCGGTAGGTCCATTTCACGCCTCTTGCAGCCTCTGAACTCCTGCCTATCAACAGGGAGGATCTTGGGGCACAGCTGAACGCTGTCATGGCTGTGAGCGGCTTTGTCCCCCAAAGTTGCCTTGTGGGCGATGGGAGGCTGAAACACGCCCTTTGACGGGTAGATTGGCTCACGGTTCTTCAACCGGTCTTTGGCCTTTTCGGCCTCAGCACGCTCAACCTTGGGGTGGCAGTCCAGGGACTGATCGTTTTTGGACACAAAGTCCTGTCCCATTCTGAGGTGTGGCACAGACATATTGTTCAATGTTGAATGGTTGCGTGGGTTCAAATAATTTGGTGATAGGTGATTGCACGAGGGCAGCAAGATTTTAAGATGGTTGATGTGGTGGTTCAAGTTGATATTGATTGTGAATTGTACCAGGCTAGTGAGCGGAAGGGCGAAGTTATTGGGGCCTTAAATACTTTGCCCAGGGTACATAAGGAAGGAGTGTTTATATGAGCCAAGAGAGCATCATCCCCAGAGAACAAAACCTTTGTTTACTTCGCAATGAGGAGACAATCGATGGCTCCTCGATAAAGAAGCTGTACAAGGTCCGATCATTGATCACTATGTTTAAATTGTACAAAATTGCTTCATAATAGTTATAGGGGTACTTGGGTAAGTTATCATTTTTAAGAACAGAGCGTATAACTCACAATAGAAGCATTGTCCTCACTTCTGCTTTGCTCTTGTCCTAGATAGAAAACAAATAATACCAGTTATTGTTCTGCAGTGCACAGGGATACCGTAGGGGTGCTGGTCTGATCTTGTAATTAGATGTGTAAGGGGCGTGAAAGAGCAAATAGCGGGGATCCTCGGCTCGGGGGAGATCTTGCAGCTATTTCTACACATTATTTCTTCCTCAGAATTTTCATTACTTCCGGTATTATCACTACTAGTATGCTCAGAAGAGTATGTTCGTGATGGCGGCAACCCAAAAATGGTTTGGTGTTTTGTAGTTGCATCATTGATGCGGCTCTGCGGGCAGCATGAACAAAGACAGCCGTGGCCGCGACGAGCCGAACCGTCCAATCGATCTAGATTGTAGCTTTATCTTGACATTTGGCCCTAAATTTGGCCCAGCTAAAATGAACTTGTCCACTGTGATTGAGGCAGCGTGGGTCTAACAGCTCCGCATGCGCGTGCGCCATGTGATCGGTGCCACCAGGGATCCCGAGGGTCATCAAATCGAGTGAATAGTGGAGTGATTCCACCAAGTCCAAACTTCGAGCTGTCCGACCTCCAGTCAAGAGCTGGATATCTGATCCGGCCAGTAAAGGAGCACAGTAACCATTTTGCTCCTGCTTGCTTCATATTTGAAACCGGCTCGGGTTAGAATGTTAGAACAGAATCGATGTTTTGAAAGGGCTGTTCACTCACTTTACCCGCCGTAAGGGACATAGATGCCTTCTATAGTCGCCTTAACTATGTACCTAGGTAGTCCTCTTGTGTCAGTCTCAGCACCACGCCTGCCACTCCACCGCGCTGTCATCGACTTACCTGGATGCGGTGAGATTGAACAAACGACAATACGAGGATGAACCTCGAAAACTTAATTTCGTGAGAGAATAAAATCTAATAGAGTGAGGGGTACGATCTCAGAGTCCTACAACATGTGGGAAGGTCCGGTCGGCTTATAATAGTAGATAAACACCCAGGTACCTAGGTAAGCACAGATAGCACTACAAGTACAAACTCATTCTAAGTACTATAGGAGGACCTGGAATATTTCTTAATATCAATCATAAAATTATGCATTACTTTATTACCTGGGTTTGCTTCTATTCCGCGTACGTTCCGAAGACATACATGGCGCCTTCATCCGGTGGGTTATTTTATTAACTTCATTATAATAACGGATGGAGATTTGAGCAGATCGGAATGAGTATTTTACCCAGTGAAGCTTTTCAAAGAGTCTACACAAATGAACATATTATGGGGATTAAAAATAAGACCACCACTTGGAAACATCACAGGAACCTCGGGTCTGGTGGGGTATGTATGCTGGTCCGCCATTTCCGACGTGTGCAATTAGGTCGATGTTACTTGAAATTCTCTGGTTTTGGTGGCTTCCTTACTTAGGTACTAGGGAACTTTCTGGATCGGTCCTCAGCTTGGTGTAGTGGTCAACTGGTGTTTTATCGTCTATTATCTAGGCTTATCGACCTGTCTAACTTTTGGCCTCAGACGTCCGCTCGAACAATTGCCTAAAACTGCAGCCCTGCCAATGCAGATGGGCCAGCATGGCAAAGAAAATTCCCTTGTCATCATGTTGTCCTCCTGTGCGTGCAGTATACTTTTGTCAAACCCTTCATAGTGTGGATTACTCCTCCATGAGTGAAATGCCCATTAACGCCGGACAAGTCGGCGCAGAACGGGGTATCTTCTGTATGCTGCGTGATATGCAGCAAGTCCTCCGAATGCGACAACGTTCCATCCAACGCCCAATGCAAGCACCAATGTGCCGATCTCAACGAGCGTTGACTTTTGTGATTCTCCAGAATCGGATGTGGTTTTCGAGGTGGTCTCAGACGGCAGTGTTTCTTTGGTGTCCTTGTTCCAACCGTTGGCCCAGAACCAGCCTGTCCCCTTCGAAGCAATCCTTCTCGTTTCGGTGGTTGTTGTGCGCACCGGAATCGTGGTGCCGATTCTCGCTTGTGAGTCAGGCTGGGGCCGAGAAGACATGATTCTGTTGCTGCTGCTGGACTGGTGTCTGTTGGTACGTTGTTGTGGTCAGCCGTATGCAAAACTTTGGTGTTATTTCAAAGATGTTCATCTGTCGCGAGCTGACTTACAGCTTGCGTGTGGCTCGTGGCCGGATTTGAATAATGTGTGATATCTGATTGAGGTCGACAATGTCTATTTGGGATCGAAAAATGCCTGATTGAGGTCGAAAAGAAAATTATTGAACGCAGGACACTCGTGGGAGCTTATATGCTAGGATATCACCTGATAGTGCTTGACGGCGTCAGACTAGGTTACTCGCGTCTCGCGATGGCTTCAGCCTTGACGGACTGACGAGGTACAGCCTAACGCTAAGACTTTCTAGTGTGAGATGGTGCTCTTTCGAGAGCAGACCGGGTTGCAGAAGACTGGAATTTTGCTGTCACAGGCCTTACAGAGCGAAACTTATTGCATTTATTCGAGATACTGCAGCTCACTATCTCTCGTCCTGACACGGCAGTCATCGCCGTCCCGACTTAGCTTGGCAGAAGGGGTAGGCAAGCTGTGCAAAGGGCTGTCGAACGTCTGACAAGGCCCTCCCGAACGAGTACCTAGGTGTGGAAGCAAATGACTGATGTTCGGGCATTCACCATGGCAGCTCTGTGCTAAGAACAACGAAAGCGACTGAGAGCAGATTATCGAGACGAGTCCGATTTCGAAAGCTATCTACAGACTCTGACAAGTCCAGAGGCCGGTAATTAAATGTGCCTCACCATCAAACCCCCAACACAACCGAAAAGCAAAGCCTTCTAATTGAACGGAGTCTGCAGGCGAGAGCAGGAAGCGGTGATTCAAAAGTTGCTCCCGCAGGGTTTGCTCTTCGCCACGCGTATACCACATCGACCATAAGGAGAGGTTGATGTGGAGATTTAAGTGGCGGTCACATTGTGGTCAAGTTTGGGCTTTTGTGCCTTGCTTACAATGTAACTTACCTGAATTATACATGGGTGTCTTGGTTATGTCTGACCTGCTGGTCTGTACCATGGACCCCGGTAGTTCGGATTGACCTGCTAGGTTAGCATGGTGCACGTTGGTATAGCAAAGCATGAGGCCCTTGCCATGGAACAAGCAGCATGTTGGGGACAGTCTGCTCGTCCTTGCCAAGGCAAGCCGGGGCTTCGGGAGACCTCCCATGGAACACTTCACATCGCAGCAGGCGAGAGCTGAAAGTCTGTGAAATGGCCATTGAGCGCAGAGGCTCTGACTTGTGTATTGATCTCTGCTACCGATCCGCGCCGCATCCATCGTAATGTAGAACAGCCGTGTAGACGCCGAAACCGTGACCGGGTCGAGCACGCGCTCGGGACCAACAATCACGGTTGTTGACCGCCGAGGCGCGTCATGGTATCCATCAAAACGTCGCAGCAGAACTTTTCCGATCCTCCTCCCCACAAGCGGTGAATGGTCGTTTTGGTTGGTATCTTTTTTGGGTGGGTGCAGCAACGTGCAGGGAAGTCGCTTATTTGGCGGCGGCCTTGCCCTTGTTGCCGGCCTCGCGGCCGGCCTTGATGCGCTCCAGGATGGCCTCACGGTCCTTGTCGAGCTTCAACTTGGTGATGACGACGTTGGACGGGTGGATGCCCAGAGGGACGGACTGGCCGGAGACCTTCTCGCGGGTGACACGCTCGACGTGGATCACGTACTTAAGACGGTACACGGAGGTGACCTTGCCCTCCTTGTCCTTGTTGGTGCCGCGGACGATCTGGACCTCGTCATCCTTGCGGATGGGGATGGAGCGGACCTGTGATGGCGGGCAATGTCAGCGGGGGCGGTTCGGGTGGGTCGAGGTTGGAGGAGGGGGGTGGCGGTAGACCTACGTTGTACTTCTCACGGAGCTCCTTGCTGAGAGGGGCGCTCATGATGTTGCGACGAACGCTGGAGGGGGCCTCGAAGTGCGCCTTGCGCGACTTGCGGCGGGAGGAGTGGAGGTCTGCACGAGAAACCATCGTTAGTTTTTCAGCTGTGCCAATGGAAGCTCTGTCGCGCTTGCTGTCGCTGCTGGTGCGAACGTACTGGAGTTGACCTTGGCCATTTTGATGGATTTGTGCCGCGAGGATTGGAGGTGATCTGGTTGACTGGTCGCTGCGCAAGAGAGGAATGAGGAGGGAGGTGTCAAAAGGGCGTCGACGAAATTTTGAGCCCTGTCCGGGTCTGGGCACACACACCTCTGCTCCACCCCACTGCAAAATGTGGACCGGAGCTTTCGGCGCAGTGGTTCCGTGACGCTCGGGCCACATTGTCTAGGCGGTGAGGAACCGGACGCGCACCTGGCAGATTCTCCAACTCACGATTATTTAAACCCAGCCGCCCTCCCACCTTTCCACTCGACTTTACTCTCCTTTCCTCCCCATACTTACCTTGCCTGGCCATCGGTTGATCATGAATAACTGGTAGTAGGCTGGAAAGCCTGCATAGCACATCGTGGCGCTGACCAGTCTGGTTTGTCCTTCGGGGCCGACCTGGGCGGAATTTTTGATATTTGAATCAGTCATTCTGAGGCCACTTTTTCATCTTGGATCGTCCGCTTGCGGGTGACATCATGAAGAAGCCTATCTCAGACTGGTCTTGTCCCAGAGGCCTGCCCAGTCCTATTATTCATCTGCCTGCTGCGGTTTATTAAGGTGCTCTAAAGTAATTACTATTTGTAAACTTTGATTCGGTCACTGGACCCACCCTACTCCGTACTTTCTGCGACGTCAATGAGGCTTCACGGCAGAAGGGCTCGAAGGTTTGCACCTGATAGTATGGATTTTTACAAGTAGTATAGTTGAAGCCTTGTGATGATAAAGGGGGCTCTGTTGGCGGGCCTAGGGTAGATATCAAATGCATTTATTTCAATTTGAAGTGCATGAATAGCAGAGGTGCTATCTATGTAAATGAATGCCGACATCCATAGCCACCTTTTGGTATCTGCCATTGACAATATGAGACCCATAATTGTAAAACGCCTACTACAGTCGATGTAACTCCGAAAACTATGGCGAGGGTGAATGCTGCCGCAGTGACCCAATATGTGTGCCTTGCTGCCCGCCTTCTCTCAGCCCACCTCCCGAGAGCTGTGCTGGGGGTGGGTTCTTGTGCCTCGTCATAGAGAGCATGTAGTCGTGGGCCCCAGTGCGGATACCTCTCGTAGAGCTCGTAGCTATTTTCAAGGAGTCGGGTATACCTGTCAGTAGTAAGCGTGTTGTCGAAAGGTGCAGCAAGCCTTGTGTCCAGCGCGGTCGTCATGGTGGGCCAGCCCCATCCTGTCCACTTCCGATGTGGTTTGATATGCGATTTCAGCCACTGCCTGTCCTTCGGCGGGAAGAGCAGCGGGTATGTCATTAGAGTCTCTGTGAGGAATTGAGATGTGAAGCAGCCCCTTATTCTGTCAGTCTCGGTTCTCGTTGGCTTCGAAATCCGATGCCGGGCAGGATCCTACCGTTTCAAGCAATCTGCTAGGTCGGCCCCGCCTGCATCGTTCATCGCAGCTCTTGAAAGCTCAAGATATGACGCTAGCTCAAAGATCCTAAGTTTCTTCCCCTCCAATTCTAGATGATCCGGGAGATGTCTCGTCCAGACTATTTCCACATCGGCATAGTCGACAAGATACTTCACACGTAGTTTGCTTGGGTGGAACTGAGACGACGCGGGTGGTTGGTCCCGATATGATGGTTGTGTGGAGGCTCGAAGTCTCGGCAGAGTGGACTCTATGATGTGTTTTAAAGATTCTGAATCGTTCCAGATCGTCAGAGAGTGCCCGGAGACCTCGTTGGAATCCATGGCCAGGTCTGTCGCCAGCATGATGAGGACGGCTTTGGCGAGAGCGCGGTTGCTATCAAATGTTGAGTAGAGGATTCTGTCATAGACGGTTTGAGTCATGGCAGGTATGTGTACTCCGATCACCGAAGTATTGGTAGTGAGCCCATGATTCGCTGTACTTTCTCTTGTGAGTTCTTTTCGAACATGATCCAAGGCCTCTTTGATCAAGCGTTTCGGAGCTTCGGCATTATTCTTCAGAAGTTTGATGATAAACATGGTTTCTTCGATAGGCTCCAGACCTTGAACTAGACAGAATCGAAGGTATGTGCTGTATTTTCTTTCAGCATCGTCGTCCAATTCAACTCCCCACATGGATCGAACCAAAGTCCGTGTGGCTTCCATGGTTGCGCGTTAGATCACCTCGGGAGTCGCTTTCAGGCCCCCAAAACGTTTGAAGTCTCGCGGGTGGAATTGAAATGTTTAGGCAACTAGCCTGAGGTCGCAGCCTGAAGTGGCAGCCTTAAAATACCTGCAAATTCTCTATGGTGTGGTGTTTACAGGGGGACGACACCATCACGCGAAACCATTGGAAACGAGGCGTAGAATGCAGGGCCGCAATTGGTCACGCCAGCGTCGCCCCAATGCGCGCAAAGCCAGCTGCATCACATCGCTTCCTGCTGAGTCTCAGCTCTCAGCTGTCTGAAGAGAGTTGAAGGAATTTTGTCCTATAATGCTGTACCATCGTCCACCCCGCATCAGTGTTACTTCTCACCTGGCTGTAATGTCTGCTAGCCATGGAGCAGCAAGGGGCGTCGACCAGCACCGTCAGCAGCATTCAAATTCCAGGCGTACCCTCGGATGCGTCCGCATTGAACTCTCTGAGAAATATTTTTCGGCGACAAGAAATCCAGAAGGGACCGAGATCTGCAACAAAGCCTCGAAAAGCCGAAGTTCGATCGACAGTGGGCGTAACCAGGCCCACATCTGTTGTAAGTGAACCGAACCAAGGAGGGAAATGGGAATGGACCTTAACGAATGGACTCGTCCAGAGCTCAAGGGCGCCGCTATCAAAGGCGCAAACCGCAAAGAAGTCTGCCTCTCCTGATGCACAATCGAATCCCCAAACAATCGAGCTACAGACCAATGCCGCACCGGTGGAGTTGTCTGCCACGCAATCCGAGGCCATTATTCAGCAGTCTTTATCGGCACCCAACGGAGTTGAACCACGTCCAGTGCCCGACTTAATCACGAGAAATGACAGAATAAAACGAATTCTAGACAGGGTGAACTGGACCAAATTGCGCGGAGACACCGTCCAAGAGGTGGTTACATTTCGTGGACTTGAAGATGCAGAGACCAAATTCCAAGAATTCGAGTCATTCATCAGGGCCGAGGGCAAGTACCTGGGCCTTCCAGAGGGCTGCAAGCCATTCGAAAGAGTCTTGATCCAGGGCAGTAAGGCGGGTTCCAAACCGTGTCCTTATATACGATTCACCAACTTTCGCACCGAAGAAGATGTGAGGAAATACCATGCGGCCCTGTCCAAGAGAAAGGTCAAATGCCAGTACCACCCGCCTCTACGTCTCTGCTATGAGATTCAAAAACTCAACTTCCACGCAGCGAGCGCCGATTCTAATTTCGAAGGAGATCCCGGTGGAACTCTTTGCGGAAAGACTGCTGTGGTCGAGGATGGCGGCACTCGGCGACTTGTCACCATCGGTGGACTCATTAGAGTTGACAACAAGCTATACGCCATGACGGCTGGACACGACACAACAGCTGACAGGCAATTACAAAGTATCTCAGAATCCGAGTCTTCTTTTGGCGCTTCCACCGATGATACAGAGTACGATGATGATATAGAATCCGCATTAATATGCGGTGGACCAAGTACGGCTTCGGACGATGGGCGGCAGCCACATCAAGACAGCCGAGCTGATGAACACCGAACTAAGCCGGGATCTGCTACGTTGACCTTTCATGGATCCAGTATGTCCGGAGACGACTGGTCGCTTCACCTGATTGAGGATCCTCTACTGGCGTTGCCTAATTCATTCTCGAGGATGGATGGTGTCTCCATAGGATTCATGACGTATCCTGCCAGTCAGCCCGTCAATAGCACCACAGAGGCCTGGCTTCTCGCTGGTGTCAGTGGTCCTCGCGTTGTCGACATGCTGCCAGGGGTCGTGAGCTTTCCCCTACCATCAGGTAATTGGGTCAGCGCCTGGAAGGTCAGCAGTATTTCACACAAAAGCGTTTAGAGGATTGTCTTGCTGATAAAATAGCAAGGTCGCGCTCAATCATAGAGCGGCTCAGGACCCTCTATCTCACCAATCGTCGGCTTTACAACACGGTGATTCAGGCTCCTGGGTTGTTGATCGCCTAAATGGAAACGTTTTTGGACATGTGATCGCCAGCAACGATACTACAGCATTCCTGATTCCACTAATACACACTCTCGACTCCATCTCGCGACAGGCAAAGTTGAAAAGCACTGGAGAGATCATTGCACTCCCGCCCGCTTTCGATATGTTGGCAGACCTTGCTCGCTTATATCACAACAAATTCGGACAGGTAAACCAGGGTCGTGCCAAAATGTTCGCCTCACTGGCGTTGAACTCCGCCTCAACAATGTCTCCAGCCTCGGAAGTTGCGCCAATCATCGACTCGTTCCTCAGATCGCATGGGAATTCTCCGACAATCAAGATTGTTCTCATGAACCTACTGATGCGCACTGGGGCCGATTTGAAAGGCAATCTAGCATCTTTGTTCCGCAATGAAAATAAAGAGAGTCTCTCAAAGGTCATCGAAGACAGCGCACCTATAGGAAGACAAGTCGCAGAGGCAGCGATACGGAATCTGACCATTGCATTTGGCAATCCTCCTGAGTTCTTCGGCATCCAGGAGACACCATGGGGGAAGCGCCTTCTCCTGTCCGGAGGGAAGACACCCGATTCGAAAGAGGAGTCGAGTCGCAAGAAGCCGGGAAGCGAGTCAACCTTGGTTCAGGACATGTCTGGAGCGTTGCGGCACTCAACCAATGATTTTGTCTACAAGAACGATTGGGTGTCCAATACTAAGCCTACGGCTTTCCCTCAAATTCCTGGTGAGGAGCAGCGTGAAAAGCACAAACCCGTGCTAGATCTGCCACTACATCCTATTAGCTCTGCGCTGGACAGACCGCAACCGCAGACTGAGGATCAATCTCCGGCTGTGATTGAGAGACAATCACAACTGCCGCCCAGAGGATTAAATAAGGCCAAGATTTGTGGCTTGCCTGCATTGGCTTTTGCAGGTATAACCACTATCATTGCTGCCCTGGTAGCCGCAATTAGTGTTCTGGGCGCCTTCCTGGGCGTAGAGATACAGCAGAACAAGAGCCTCCAAGCAAGGGTCTCAGAATTGGCCGATTCTGTACCAGGTTGCCAGACTACGGTAATTACGTCGACAATTTCAGTGACAGAAACAGCAAGTACAACAACCAGCTCGAGCACTACAACAAATGCCACTAGCAACAGTGGTTTGTCAACGGGTGCTAGAGTTGGCATTGGCGTTGGGGTTGGAATTGGAGTACTCTTCCTCGTTCTGGTTGTTGGTTTTTTTTTCTTTTGGAGAAGGGCAAAGCTTCGCAAGACCGTTCCTGAATCGCCCAAATACTCAATGTGGGACTCGACCATGAACACATATTCGTATCCGGCACCACCGCGTCTCATGGAAGGACCTCAGAGCGTATCTGCACCTCCAGTCGAGATGGACGCAAGTTATCACCCCACGCGAGATCCCGGCACTCAGGTTCGGACAGCCTCTCACGGTGTGTTGTCAGGATTATCGATGCCACGTAGCCCTGAACAGGTACCGCCATCAGCTAGGGTGGCGGACGTACTTCAGCTGCCAGACCTGAATGTGGGCCTCTACTCAAGATAATGATAAATAGTTCAATCGATAGGCGAAGCTGTAATGTTAGAACAGGAGAGCACACGGGTCGTATTAGCAAATCGCAGTCAAATGCCCTCCCCAGGGCCGTCTCTCTTCTGTTCCATCTCACTTATAGTGAATGGTCTTAAACTAGTGGCTAATGCTAACAGATACTACTGCAAACAGTGGCTGTTTTTACTGCACTTTTCACGCATTTGTGTACCAGCTAATTCTACATGATTCTTGTCGCCGTGGTCGAAAGATCTTGCGTCAACACCAAGGACGACTGCTACGTTGCCAAGCCGCAGCACCACTTGAGCAGGCGCAGCGAGGGCGCCGACAAAGGATTCTTTTTTCTCACGTCTTTGCCCTGTATTCTGAAATGCGTCGTACCAAAGCCTGGGCAAAGCTGAATGTGCCCATGTGGTGTTGTCCCAGGCTCCCTGGTCGCACGGGACTGTACAGGCGTAAAACCAACAAACAACCTTGGAATTATCATTAGATTTCCTTCAATGTCTCAGCCATATCGTCCACGCACATATCTTGACCGTGAAAACACAACACTTCATTTCCCACCACCAGGCATCAATTGGTTGGCTCCGTAAGACAGGCTGTCCTTCAGGGTTTAAGGCGACGACACCTGTGAGGTGTTTGCCCCTTCTAGCGGCGCGAGGCTGACCATTGGTAGTCGGCCTATCCAGCGTGCACCCACTGCCCACTGCAATAAATCCCCCACTTCATTCTCCAGGATCGAAATCGCGTATTCATCAGATCATCTACGTGATGGGAAACCCCATGGTGGACCGGGCACTGAATTCGATACTGCACCACCTTCACCGTGATTTGCCGCTAGAGTTCTCGCGCCTCGTCCACCCCAGCGTCAATTTCCTCGAGCCGCTGAAAGCCCACACCTGCGACTGCACTGAGATCAGAGACTTTAGACTTTTCTTCTTCTCAGTAGTGAAGGCGTAAGTGAGTGAACGAAACTCATGGCGCATTTCCACCCAGAGGTATGTCGAACGCTATAGTGAAAAGTCGAGCGTCCTTCGGTTTTTATCACTTCTGTCCTTCCAGAGGTCAACTGGTGCCTTGAGCGGTTCTTGCCCGATGTGGAGTGTCGGGCAGAGAGCCTCGCAGCCAACCGACAAGTCAAGTGATGTTACATGTAAGGAAAGCAAAGCACTGACGGGGAGACTGTCACAATCAAGCGGTAGAGCTGATGTAATGTATGGTACATTTGCCGTACTGGCAAGCCCTATGATCTAATATCAGAGGGTGTCTCTGTTCTGCCTATGAGATGTTTCCTCCAAAGTCGTGGGCAAAAGTGAATAGAACAGTGGCATTCGACTCCGTGATCATCTTCTCCTGGACACCCCGAGTGACGTTGGCCAGCAGTTGCAACACTTCAATGCCCAGCCTAATGCATGCCAGTCGGCAGCCCTAGAGAACTTGCCTCGATGTTGAAGTCTAAGCGAGATGCTCCCTTCCCCCTTCCACAGAACAAAAGCACACGAACAGATACCCTGGACAGAATGAAATACAATCATGCGAAGGAAATAATTCCTTGGTAACATATGGGGATCCCCTGACAGCTTTGCTGCGCGATAGCGACGTCAAACAGCTACTCGGGTGTTGCAAGACATGATAAAGATAATGCGTGATTTCGCCTTGTACAGGCAGTTGCCGCCGAACATGCGAACAATCAGCAGAGTTGTATCGCAGCGGATGATGATGCTGGTGGCCGTCCGAGAATGGTTCCGGCAACTCTTATTATGTGTTTTCCAGTCATCGGAAAGGCTGCCGTTCGGGCTTCGGTGGGCTGGTTCAATGAGCCCAGGCCGGGGACTTCATGCCGACCATGCTGCGGATGGTGTCCGAGATGGAAATGCGATCAGCAGGAACCGGAGGGGCATTCTCGCCGCTCTTGGGTGCCATGAATGTCGAGCCGTTGGGGTTGGTGTCAGCATCCTTGACAGACCCATCGCGAATGGGAGAGGTGACCGTGCCCGAGAGAGTTGGACTGAGCGAGGCAGAAGCATTGCCAGCAAAATGCGGCAGATAGCCCTGAGCCGTGGTTGAAGTCACGGTACTGGGAAGAACATCGCTGGCGGTGAATCCTCTCTTCACCATGCTCTGCCAGAGCTTCGAGCTGCAGCAAAGAGTTGTTAATAACATGGAAGTGCGGCAAAGGGACATGTTGAACGTACCTGGTGCCATTGGCTCGGGAGTCGTGGAAATCGAGAGACTTTGTCTCGTTCACACTGGCCTCGGAAATGGACTCGCGGGAGACATCCGTGTCTTGCAGTTTCTCGGACTCCTCCAAGGCCTTCTTGAACTCCTCAGCCTGGTCACCAACCTGGCTGCTGAATGACTGGGCAGACTTCACTGAGGAAGCTCTGCTGCTGGCAACAGCCCTTTCGCCGTTCCGGAAGGTATTGTCGGGAACCACTGCACGGAATGGGTCAACCTCTCTGCCGTCTGGTGCGGCGAAGCGGTAATCGCGTCCATGCTCACCGACTGCGGCGCGGCCGCGGCCGACACTGGGCGATTCGTTTGGGGTGACTTGCTTGGCTGGAGAGGGTGGGTAGAAGTTCCTGCCATCGTACTTGGGCAGTCCTTGACCAACAGCTCGAGGGGCTTTTCCGAAGTATAGGTGGCGAGCTTGCAGCTCCTCGTCCGTCAATTTGCGGCTGTACTCGTACTCAAAGCGATGGCCGGCGTAGGGGTTGACACCTCGTGGAAGTGTCCCAACCAAGTAGGGAACACCGAGGGCGCCGTGGCCGCGCGCAGATTCACCACGGGGAGGCTGGCTGGACGTCCCATTGACCTCGTGCGGCACACCCCAAGCCTTGGAGCCTGCAGCGACGAGTTTCTTCTCGGCTGCCTCAAGCTGCGCCTGCGTTATGCCGCTCTCAGGTTTGGCTCCTTCCCAGGCCTGTTCGTTGCCGCTGGGCACAGGGCAGGACAGTGTCGAGACTGAGCGCGGCTGGAACACCGGGGCACGAGCAGCCCCGCTTGGGAGGCTAGACTTCTTGCCAGATTGCATGGAGACGAGGAAGCGATCCTGGGCCGAGTCATCTAGGCTGTACGAGGCGTTGCTGCTCTTGTTTGAGTTTATGCCGACCGAATCACGGGAGCGATCCTTCTTCCTCAGCTTTTGCTGAGAGTGAGAATTGCTTGACATTGTAGTTGCCTTGCTTTCCTTACTCTCCTCTGATTGAGACTGTGTCTTGGACGAAGGGACCGAGCTGCGGCCGCTTGACGAGGCCGCCTCGTCCTTGTCTTTGTCATTCTTAGGATAGTGCTTTTCTTCAAATCCCGTCTGGGCCTGGAAGACCCTCTCGAATCGCTCGATATCGTGGTTGAGCATCTCGATCTTGCGCTCCATATCCTTTTCGTCGATCTGGTGCTTGTTGTACTGCAGCTGATCTTCGTGGTACTTGAGGTTGGCCCGGAGGCCGTCGATCTGCTTCCTGGTGATCTGGCTCGGTCGGATGGAAGAGATTGGCGGCTTTGAGGGAGGCTGAGGAGTCGATTGACGAGAGGATGACGGCGCTGCAGTGGCCATAGAGGAAGCACCTGCGGGTTGCTGATGTCCCACAGGACCCATTGACCCAACCTGTGGCACCGGCCCCATAGGACTCATCATCGGGGGCATAGGCATCTGAGGTGGCATCATCATGGGTGGTGGGGGCATGTGACCAGCATAGCCTGGGGGCGGCATTCCAAGAAAGCCAGGGTAGTGAGAAGGGAACATTGGGAACATCCACTGCTGGCCATTGTACATGAAAGGCTTGGTGTGGTCGAACTGCTCCGGAGGCGAGAGATTGATACCGGGCTTGCCAGGTTGGAGCTCAGAAGTGTGATCCTCGGTCTTCCTGCTCTGGTTCTCCTTCCGGGTAGCCTCGTCAGCGCTGTGTGCAGTATTGGTGGGTGCAACGGGCACTGGCATTGGGAAAGGGAAACCTGGGGGCATCATAGGCATTGGCATGCCAGTCATTGGATGCATAGGTGGCATTCCGGGATAACCTGGATAGAAGAATGGCATGGGCTGAGGCATTCCCATGACTGCTGCGGGCTGCTTCGGCGCAGTCGCTGGCGCGGGGCCCGGGCCAGACTCTGCCTTCTCTTCGGCTGTGACGGCTTCTGTGTCTTTGGGACGCTTTGCAGTTGGAGAGGCAGGATTGCGTGTGTTGGGGACGATACGTCCTCCAGCAGTGACACGAACGTGAGTGGGAGACACAACTGCCTTGTAAAACCGCTGGAAGCCCTCGCTATGCTGGGCAGTCAGACCCGTGGGAGCTGGCAGAGGCTCACTGACCAAGATCTCAGAGCCGCTGCGACCGCGATACTTCCACTCCATGGGCAGCGCGGGGTCGGCTGCGTGAACTGCGGCGGTGGCAATAGCCTGGTCGGAGAGCCCAGCAGCGGGATGACAAGGGCGCTCCTGGGTGTTGTCAGCGGTGTTGACGGGCAGAGGGTCCTGTTTGATGGCGCGACGGCTCATGTTCCCCTTGAACACGACTTCCTCAGAGGCAGTGGAGGAGTCATCCATTGTCTTCTTCTTCTCACGCTTCAGCGAGTTCGAGTTGTAGCTGCGAGAGCTGACGGAGTTGACACGCGACTTGTTGCAAACCATCTCAGCTGCAGGCAGAAGGTTAGTCGAGGGCTGAGCTGTGCTGAGAGGAGAGGCGGAGCGTACCAAGTTCATTGCCCTGGGGAATGCCTGGAAGCATCTCTGCCGAGGCAGAAGCTCTGAAATTGAGCAACTCCTCGATGCTGTACACCCTGGATCTCATATTGAGGTCGATGAAGGCGAAGATGACGTGGGTCCGATGTGTCAGTGGGCAGTGCCAACGAAACTGTGTGGCATGTGACCACTTTCTGGAAGTTCCCTTGGATGAGCAGACAAGGTCGAGAAAGGCGAGAATTGCTGGGAGGGCGATTGGATCTTGCTGGCAGTTGTGGCTGCGAGCGCCTGTCAGTTTCTGATCCTCAAGCTGGCAACGAACAAAATGCGATGTTGGCACGAATTGGGGAAGCCTGCTGTCTGTGATCTCGAGTGGACTGGCGGGGAGATCGGCAAGGAATTTGGGTGAGAAAACGTCAACACGATTGCATCGCGTGGTGGTTCCCAGGAGATACTTGATCTTGACCAGCATAGAGGCCGTCATGGGCACATCCTCGCTCTGCAGCTCCCAGAGCTCTCTGAGGAGTTTCCTCACTTTCTTGCGAGTGTTGGAAGTCGGCATCTCCAGTGATAGAGATACACAAACTGGGCAGAAAACAACTGGGCAGTGAAGAGAAGGCAGTGGCAATACAACTGAAAGGATGTGAAGAGTGGGAGAACCAAAGCTTCAAGGCAAGATGTGGCAGTGTCGGGGAAAAAAGGAAGTCGTACCTATGAAGTCGCAAGGTTGGAGGAGACTGGGCGGGGTGGTGCCAAGTTGGACAAACGGCCCAGCAAGATCTAATCGAAGCTGAAGCTGCAGGATCGGACGAAAGATTCCCGCTTGGAGCCGCAATGGATCAGCAGTGTTGTCCTGACCAGCCGTTTGGCCTTAGGCTCTCCCAAGGTTAGTGTTTGCTGTGGAAGTCGAGCAGTGGGCGGATGTGGAGGGTGGTGGCGTCTTGGATGGATGGACTGGAAGCAAAGAGCGAACAGTATCAATAAACAGTTGTCGCCTGGTACAGACACGATCAAAAAACGAGTGGAAGGTTGGTGAGGATTGTGGTGTGTTCTGGGGAGGAGGAGGCTGTGCGAGGTTTGAAGCTGTCAACAAGAAATGGGAGCCCGCGGTCTGATCTTGGCCTTTGTTACTTCGTCAAGACATGGCAAGGCAAGAGCTTCTTTCTCATGTGTCTCTTCTCGGGCAGGCAGGGGCGGGCCAGGAGGACGTTCAAGGTACACTACCTCGGTGACTCCTTCCAGTGGGAGCAAGAGTGCCACTAGTGTCCATGAATGGGGGGGGGGGCATTCCTTCCTGAAAGCACAACCAGAGTTCATTTTTACTCCCTTTGACTCGGCCATGTGAAGCCCACCCAGCAGCTCACGATCCTGGAGGACCTGCTCTCTGGCAGCCTTGAAAGTGCACAAAGTGGCACACAAAATGGCCTCAATCCTGGACAGCATATTGTGTCCCAAGCAGAGGACCACAAGCAGCAACTTGGTGTGATCTCCTATACCCTCTGCAAGTGCTTTCTTGCCCGTGTGCCTTATTCTGGTCAATTGCAATGGGAGTGTGGGGGCCACCCACCTCACTTTGTGTACACTACCTAGGTAGCTACCGAGGTGCCCAGGTACTCAGGGAATTGAGAAGCGTCCAAGTTGTGACATACACATGCAGGCCATCTGGCAGGCTGCTCACCAGGGGGAAGCTCCTATCCACAGCTCAAAGATATCCCCACACACCCAGCGTCCAGTTTGCATTGGTGTTGCGCATCAGACCGCCGGCACCCATACTCTGACGCTGGGCAACCTTGTGGTCCACCTCGGTTGGTCGCGATGCCCCCATTATCCCTTGCTCCCTCCATGTTTCACGTTCTACCGTTGCCAGGGCCGGCAGCTTGAGCAGGTTCAACAGGCTTGCTCCGCTCCATGCTCCCAGGGACTCGACTGCCCGCAACTGCCCCTGCAACCCTGGCTTTTCCTGGTGCCTTCCTTTCCGCAGCTGGTCATCAATCGGGTCCAGTTCTGGCTCCCTCTCCTGTTTGGGCGCGTCGACCCACATGCCGTCGACCTCGTGGCCCCCTCCACCTCCTGTGTCGCCGGTGCCCTCGGCGCCTGTGGGCCCGCCATCACCCGCCTGTTTGCTTCCCCGCCGAAGCTTCGGGTTGGACTTGTAAGCCTCCACCCCCTTGCCACGTACGGGATCCCACCCGTGTCTCTCGATGAGCGAGCTCACCTCGTCAAAGACCCGCCCGCGGAGGCCCAAGACGCTTGAGCAGCCGCCGGTGAAAATAATGCGTGCCATGCACAGGGCCCTGACGTCCATGGGTAGCTTCAGAAGGCTGTGATATATGAGAAGGGGGATGGGCAGCTCCTCATCATCGAAGGCTTGCTGGGGCTGCTCGGAAGCGAAGAACGTGTCCTCAGAGGGGGTGGCGAGCTGGTCATAGGTCATGTCGAGTTTCTTGGGCGGGCTGGTCGATTTCAACCAGATAGAAGTGCTAGGCGGACTGCCGGATGCTGGTGGGCTGGTTGATTCGGACTCGTCCTGCTCGGTGACGGTGGGTAGGCCTTCCTGGGGCGGTTGGCTCCTTGACGACTGACCGCGGGAATGCCTGCACCATACCAGCCGGTTGACGATCTCTTCGCACTCCTCAAACGACACAAAGTGCTCGGCCTTCCCCTCAGCGCCGTCCTCGTCGGGACGCGGTGCTTTTCCGAGGGCGGTTGCCAGCAGCTTGTGTGTGTTGTCAACCAGCAGCTTGCCAGCACGGACACTGCGGCTGCTGTGCACTTCTCTGAACTCGTAGACGCCGGTCACGACCGTCTCAGACCAGCCCATGTCGACAACCAGTGCCGAGCGCACACCAGCGGAGATCGCACAAGCGACAGGTGAGGACAGAAGTGAGATGGCGGGGGCGTGGAACCTGTTGAACAGCGTGTCCAGCGCGGTGGCCAGGAGAGGCAGTGGCACGCCAGACGGTAGAACAACAACCATCCTCCGAGGCCGAGAGTCAATTAGAAGATATCTACGTAGACCAGGAGATTAGCCATGGCGCCCCGGGCGCAGGGGAAGGTTGCATAGGACGCTTGGCCGCACTTATTGAAGGCCTCCCTCAGCCCCCTCTCCATCCGGTCCCCAACCAGGCCAAGATCCAAGCCCCTGACATCGTGCCTCCACAGCTCGTGCTCCTCACCCCACTTGGTGCCTCTGGCCCAGTCGTCGACGAAGCCGACCTCCCAGGCGCGCAGGTCTCCAACACGGCGCGTCTGTGCCGGGCTGAAGGACACCAGGGCCTTGGGCACGGCGTCACCAGCGAACCCGGCGCGCAGCCTGCGGGAGCCCAGTTCTATAACCAGGACCTCGTCCTCGGCGCGGAGGGAGGACGGCGAGTTGAACTGGGAGGGGATGGACGGCATCGAGCGGACGGGCGTGCGCGGGTTGGCCGACGACGACGAGTCTCCAGAGGGCGCTGCGCCGCCGCGGATGCTAGACACGGCGCGGTGCGGGAGGCTGGCTCCTCCCGAAGCCGAAGCGGCCATGACGACGAGTTGCGGTTGGGGCGGGAGTTACTCTGGGGTTGGGCTGGCAACTTGGGAGAGGCAATTCCCGCGAGGTTGTGCAGGCATGGCGGCCGTCGCGTTTGCTACTTTTAGTCAGTACGTTAAAGTGGTCGCGGCTCCAGGGATTGTGAGCCGCATGTCGTCTGCCGCGGCGTCTCTGTGGTAACATGCACAACCCCTGTCGCTGTGGCCCAAAGGGGTAAAACGTCAACACAGTCCCCTGACCAAGTCCATTTGGGTACTTTTGCATTTCACCAGTCTGGCTGAGTCGAATAGACACGGCGACGGACCCCAATAAGTCCCGTCTGGCAGTTCTCACGGTCCAAATTCCTTAATGATCTGCTGCCAATCAACATGGCTTGACCTTGAAGAATTGAATCTGCTACCAGTGCATTGCATCCAATATGGGTATCAAAGGGTTTGTTGACAGTCTTCTTTCTTCTTCTCACTGGCCCTGCTCCTGCCGCTGACCGAGGGTACAGGATTTACAAGGAGATTGGCCCGGGCAAGCGGGTGTCCCTCTGCAAGCTCGCGGTTGACCACCTCGAAAAGACCGGGCGGCCACTCCGCATCGCCATTGACTTTGCAATATGGTCATTCCAGGCCCAGGCCGCGCGCGGCGGGGCAAACCCGGCCGTCCGCACCCTCTTCTACCGCCTGGTCCGCCTGCTCTCTCTGTCCATTGTCCCCATCCTCGTCTTTGATGGGCCCAACAAGCCCAGGTTCAAGCGCAACAAGCGCTCTCGCGGGCCCGGAGACAGCGTCTCCGTCGCAATGGCCAAGCGCATGGTGAGGCTTTTTGGGTTCCATATCCACGACGCGCCTGGCGAGGCCGAGGCCGAGTGCGCCCTTCTACAGCAGCAAGGTGTCGTGGATGCAGTCTTGTCCGAGGATGTGGATACCATAATGTTCGGCTCCACGCTCACCTTGAGGAACTGGTCCTCCGAGGGCACACGGGCTGCAAAGACGCCAACACACGTGTCTGTCTACGACGCCCGAGAGCTGGGCCAGGGCGAATCTGGTCTCGACAGGGAGGGGATGGTGCTCGTTGCGTTGATGAGCGGAGGTGATTACATTCCCGAGGGAGTACCAGGTTGCGGTGTCAAGGTTGCATGCGAAGCGGCCAAGGCTGGGTTCGGCAGGAGGCTTTGTCGGATCAAGAGGTCCGACCAGGACGCCCTGAGCGACTGGAGGGAGGATTTGATGAGCGAGCTGCAGACCAACAAAAGCAAGCTCTTCCGAACCAAGCACAAGGCCTTATCGATCCCCGATGACTTCCCGAGCATGGAGGTATTGAGATATTATACCCACCCGGTGGTCTCGCAGCCTGAGACGGTCGAGGCATTGAAGAGAGAACTCCCAGCAAGGAGAGAGGTTGACATCGCTGGTCTTCGGGCATTCACGGCTGAGACATTCGACTGGGTCTACAAGATTGGGGCGGTCAAGTTTATTCGAGTGCTCGCACCAGGCTTGTTGAACCAGGCCCTGATGGAACTCAGCAAAAAACAGTTGGAATCCGACGATCCAGATCTCCGCGAGCGCGTGGAGGCGGAGGTGGTCAAATCGATCAACACACGTCGACACCATTTCAGTACAGACGGCACGCCAGAGCTTCGAATCTCCTACATCCCAAACGACATCGTCGGGGTGGACCTAGATGCCGAAGAGGACGAGGTCACGCCCACACACGGGAGGTCAGGTATAGCACTCAACAGTGACGATGAGGGCGGTGACCAGGTTGAGGAGGCCGAAACGGGACCGAAGAAGGTCTTCGATCCTCTCCAACCCGATCTCGCCTGGGTCCCCGAGACGGTGGCGAAACTAGGTGTGCCGCTTGCGGTGGAGGACTGGGAAGCAAAGCAACGAGCAAAACAGCTGGCAAAAGGAGTCAGGAAAGCACCAGCCAAGAAGCCCCAGAAGCCCCGGAAGAAAGCCCCGGATATGCCTACAGGGGCTCTTGATCAATACGTTCAGAGCACAAAGCCCATCACAGTCTCTCAAAAGCCGTCCGAGTTACCACCGTTGCTCTTGTCATCCTCCCCTCCGCTACAAATACCGCGTTCTCTCACGGATTCCGCAGTAACTGTCTCAAGGACGGTGAGCCAACGAGAACTTCGGCGTGTCCCAGCCTCCAAAGATGGTCAACCCAAATCAAGGGAGATGCAGAAATCGAAAGAAAAAGTGCCAGAGCTGTCGTTAGACACCAACCCCTGGACGATAGCAAGCTCGCAAGCCACACCGAAGGCGTCCAGGACAAGGACAACAACGTCAGAGGCCATAATCATCTCATCCAGCCCTGTCGATATAAGACACTCGACGGCCATCACATCACCATCGTCTCGCAAAATGGGAGGCAATACAATACCTCCGAACCCTCCAGCCCGACCTATATTCAACAACTCTCATGACATTCCACCACACGATGATTCGCTCGACGTCGACGGCAGTCTAGCACAAGACATACGGCCAATCGAGGCAAGGCCAGGCTCAAGAAAGCACAGCTACCCAACGGACGATTCACCTAGAAACCCAGCTGCTAAGCGCACTCAGAGAAGTACAAGCACAACCAAGCCCAGGTCAGTGGGGCCTCCGAGGCGATCTGTCCCCCGTGCCCGGGCTCAACCGGCCGCGGACCAGGCCTCGATCAAGAACTTCGGGAAGCTGTCCGAGACGATGGGCAGGAGCAGTATCATGCCCGCCACAAAACCGCCCCCACCGTACGGCTTGGACTCGGACGAAGAGTTTGAAGAGCTGCACGCTCTCTGCTCGAAGAGAAAGGCCGCGGTGCGGGCCGCAGGCGGCCCGCGGCCTTCTGGTGGTGGCCCCATCACAACACCTGACCTGGGGCTGCACAGCAACAGCAGCAGCAGTAACAAAGCTGCACCGCCAAGGACAAGTAGCAATAGCGCCGATGCTTCAAGAACGTCGCCATCGTCACCAGCAATGACCAAGGTCTACCTGCCCCGCACGAGCGACGTGGGGCTCGGCTACTTTACGGAGCTGGAGGTCACGCGGGAGGAGGCCGACCGCATGGTCCGCGAGGATGCGCTCGCCGCCGCAGCCGACCGGAGACCCGGTGGCTTCCGGGTATGGAGGCAGAGCGAGACTTCGATCTTGGATTTGACGGGGGAGGATTAGCCGGTGTTGATTGGACATTCCTCAAGTCGTGTTGGATAGCCTAGGGGAGCGAGTGCTTTAGGCATACAGCCTCCATGAGTAATGATGACATGAATTCGACAATGCGCCTACGATTGTTGTTTGCCCTTCTCAACCGCATGCTGTGATGTAGCCGAAGCGCACGCTGATCTTATATGTGCTTTCCTCATTGACGGGTATCCTAGGTATAGTACGGTGTGAAGTGTAAGCTATGTGAAGTGTGTGTAGGTGTGGCGAGTCGCAGAAAAGGAGGCTCGTTACACGAGTTTGGGTCATCAATGTCCATGATATATCGTTAAAACAGGAAATGAAAATGGGACAACCAGGTTGCCCGACAAGACCCAAAGCAAATGATTGTGGAGAAGAGAAGAAGGGGTGAAAAAGTAAATGCCGCCCGAAATGCCTGCAGAGGAGAAAACCCAAAACAGATCCGGCCACCGACGACGCCAGCGGACTTCAATTACCCTTTGCCCTTGCCCTTTGTGCCAGCTCTTCCAAAATGCATTCCTAGAGGTATTGACAGTCTCCTCCTCGTCGTCATGACCGGCCAGCCGCCGCAAATGCATAAAACCAATGTCGTCAACATCGCTCAGTCGCTTCATTTCATGCGAGCGCCCTCCGCTCGCTCGCTCGCTCGTGCATCTCTTTCGTTTCGACATACCGTCCATTCCTTCTGTTCATCGATCAATCATCAACGGCCCACGGCAGGTCTCGGTCGCTGACCCGCGTACAGGTGAGGTACCCGATGCCCTCGGCGGCACGGCTGCCGCCGGCCAGGTCGAGCTCAAGGCCGCTGCCCATGAGCGGCCTTACGACCTCGCGCGCCATGGCCTTGAGCTCGTCGACGCGCTTCTCGAACCGCCGCAGGTTGTCACGGCTGTACATCTCGGGCGTGAGCTTGAGGAAGCGCTTGCATTCGTCGTGAGTCAGGTAGCCCGGCGCGCTGGCCCCCGTCATGCCGCCCAGCGTGCGGTACGTGCGGCCTAGCGAGGCCAACGGCGGCACTAGGGGAATGACCGGCTGCACTGCTGATGACGCCGGGACGAGCGCCGTGTTGTTGTTCCCGCTGTGAGGGCCCGAGTTGTTGCGCGTCCGCCCACCGCCGCCGTTTTGTGCTAGCGCCCTCCGGTCGCTTGGTGGTGCCGGCACTGGTCCAGGTGTGGTATTGTCTGCCAGCCACTGCCTGAAGAAACTCACGGCTAACCAGTCGAGGTAGCCTGTCGCGGGGGTTACCCGCTCCCCGGATCTTGTGGTCAGATTGAGCCTGAAAAGGCGTCCCTCGACCCTGGCGACGGTTTCTTCCAGCTCATCGACCTTGTCCTCGATGATATCCAAGACTGACTCAGGCAGGGTGTTCCTGAGGCTGCGCTCCCCGGCAGGCCACTGGCCGACCACGTGGATCAGAGCCTCCTGGAAGATGATCTTGCTTCTTGCCAGATGGCCTAGCCGAAGATAGCTGATGGGGTATTTGGCGATCTGTTTCCACAGCCGGCTCTGAAACTGTAATAGGTGGTGATCCACCCTCGGCCCAACAACAGCCAGCGCATCGTACTGGTCGGCGATGGTGAGCAGGGATTTGCATTGTACGTATGCATCGGCGATATTTATCCCATCGAGAACGGGTGAGAAATTGTACATTATGCGGAAGAGATTGTCGTAGTCGCGAAGGGTGTCTTGGTCGTCGGGCGGCGGGGGCGGGAGGTTCGAGGAGGTATTCGTAGGTAATGGGTATTGGTTGTGCGTGGGCGAGGGCATACTGAGGTTCGCGACGGACCGAAAGAAATCGCGCGAGGTCGACTGACTGTGCGAGTGTTTCGTGCGGCCAACGGCGCTGCTGCTGCTGCTGTTGCTACTTGAACCTCCGCCGAAGATGGATGTGGTTGGAGGTCCCATCAGACGGCCCGTCGCGGCAGAGGTATTGCTGCTGCTCTCCTCCTTCTGCACCAGCATGGGTATGTCGTCGCCCCCCTTCCCGTAGTCAAGCTCATACCTCCACCTCTTCCTCGGCGTCCCTATGTTTGCCCGCGACACGGCGGTGCCCCTCTCGGCGGCGGCACCGCCCTCGCCTATCCTGGCCAGCTCTCCTCCTGACGCTGCACCATTCCGCGCCGGTGCAGGCGGTGCAGGCAGTGCGGGCAGGTCGGGCAGGTCGGGCACGTCTACCGCCTTGGACCAAGGTTCGCTCGTGCTCGCCTCGAAGAAGCCGCTACACCGCGTCAGGGTGTGCCGGTGCAGCAGATAGCGGTTCTCGTGGCCCGAGGGTACCTTGACGACGATCTCGACGTCGCCGGAGTGGGAGAACCAGGGGAACTCATTCTGCGGGACGTAGGAGGCACCGCCGGCATAAGACCTGTTGTAGTGGTGGCGTCGAGAGGATCGGTGTCGCGCGCCAGTGGTGGAGCTGGTGCCGACGACGGAACTAGGGCCGCGGACGGTGACTGTGCCCCCAGAGCCGGACGTGGAGGAGTGGTCGGGCTGCGAGACCATGGCCACGCCTTGAAGAGGGGAGACGCAGGCGATGGTGTGCCTCTGGAATGGGTCAGCGCTTGGCCAGTGCCCAGAGCCCCTCGGTAAGGGTTAATGAGTAAATGGGCGGCCGTGAAGGGATGAGGCGGGCGATCACGGTGTGGCTGGAGGTGGTGAGGGATGTCTGCTGCTGGGGTGTACTAACAGTTATCAGCACGAGTTAGGTGGGAAAGTAGGTAGGCTGGTAGGATGTCATAAAGGAGGGGTCGGTCAGGTCACCAGCAGACAAGGCTTGCGAGGTGCAGCGCGATGGCATCAACATCTTCTGTTTCATAACATTACACGAGATGCGCAACATCCAGCAGAGCCTGCCACAGGAGACGGGGTTGGGAAGGGGAGGAAATAAAAAGACCAAAAGGAGAAAAAAGACATCGAGTACCAGCCCCTTGGGGGGGGGGGAGAGAGACTGAAAATGGAAAAGCATCGACTGACCGTGTACACCCTACCCGCCTACCCAGACTTGCCAGACAGACTATGGCCTTGGGCACGGTCTATTGGGCTACGGAGCACCGCACTCTCACAAGAGGGCAGTCGTCACGGGCCAGCCGCTTGCAGCTCAGGAGCCGGCCTGGCTGGCTTATTGGGGGGTGGTGTGGCTAGGCTGCTGGGCTGGCAGGCTGGTTGGAGGTGGAGGTCGCCGAACTGTCTGGCTGCCGGCTGTCTGAGTGGCGGACAGGAAACTCGTGAGGCTGTGCCTGTCGGTCGCCACACCTGGGTATCATTCAGGGACGCCCTGACACGACCTGTGCTGCCGGTGGCTGGGCAGCTGCTTTCCTTCCTCTAGCCTCTTGCACTCAGGTCGGTCCAGCACAATTGGGCGTCGGACTCGGGGATCGGCAGTGATTGTTCAATTAGAATTAGGATGATGGAGTCCGAGTCGATCTTAGAGCCTCGAATGACTATTCAGCTGAATAGCAACAATGCAAAGTCCACAAGAGCCCAACCAGGAAGAAAGAGGGGGGGTAGGAGAAAGCGGCAGGAAGGTGGGCAATTAAGATCAAGCCTCGGTTTTTGGGATAACAAGACAGGACAACTCGAAATTCGAAGTGCCAACAGCAAATTGACGAGAGAGTAGAGGTGCCCAAGGAGATAATAGTCTGTCTGTCTTGCATTATCATGTGAAATTTTTTTCTCTTCTATTCCCCGTCTTGCCATAACTGACCCCTCTCCCAGGGACGGAGGGCCTGTCTTGTCGCGTTATCATGCGCGTCTGCCACTTGTTTTGCCATGAGGCCGTCAGGTCTGCATCTCCTGCAGAAAATCAACGTGCATTGCCCACCAAACAATCTGTCCCGGCTCGGGTCCATGCACACCGCACCAGCGAGGGATCCATGATTCCCCCACGTTTGAGATGTCCCATACCAGCAGACCTGCCATAGCACACACCATGTGAGCGACCTGCAAGCACTCGCCTCGTACCGGGCTTCGTTGTCCAGGGTTTCCTTAGTTTCCTCACCCCTGCAGTACTTCTCAGCCTATCGACCGGCCCCAGACTCGGCCGGCCCAAACTCGAGGAATCGCTGACTCCGGGGGTGAGGTCTGCTACTTGCTGACTGTCGAGTCCACCTGTTACTGGCTTTGGCTTCGAGTCATCAGTACTGCCTGCCAACCAACCCTGGGCTGACAATGCCACCAACTATCTCATCTCTCAGATCAGATTCCCAGCTACCAAGATGCTGAGCCCTCACATTCTGGCCCAGACAGGGACGTTATGTGACCACGCGGGACAAGAGGGTTTACAGGACCAACCACGGAACGGCACCGAGATCGACAAGGTCGGAGCAGGGCTGGCTGGCAGGGCACACTGGGGAGGGGGGCAAAGTGCCAAATCAGACGCGCTGTTAACAGGCCAGCTCCACGAAGGCGTGTCAATTGGCCTGCCAGCTGCCAAAGCTTTGGCTAAGTTTCTCCACTGTTGCCCGGTCCCACCCAGTCGCCAATTTTCGCAAACATGCGGCTCTGTCGATTTTATAGCGCCAAATCAATTCTGCATGCCGACACAGAGTGCAGGGGGCAGGAAAAAAGACAAGGAAAAGAACTTTTTGGCTTCAAGTGCTCCTGATCATTCTAGGCATGGATAATTGTGTTTAAACTAATAGTACATGTGCGCGGTATGTGCGAAAGCAAATTTCCTGTGGCAACGCCTTCGGTAAATCACCGTTACCTTTTTTGTCCCCAGTTGAACCGACCTTGTGGGATTGGAGAACCAACGACGCACGCACAGCAGTCACCAGCATTGGCGCAGCCCGACCCAAACACCACCCAAAAGCAAAACCAAAGCAAAGCAAATCAATTCAACGCCAGTCCAGTGATGCAGTCATTCAGTTCATGTCCATGTCCATGTCGGGAACGGTAGGAAGTTGTTGTGCGGTCGAGGATGTGTTCCACGTCGAGTTGCGGGTGTCTTGGAATTGAGGTCGAGGAGACTCGACAGCAGCCATCAAGGGGCCATCGAAGACGGCAGGGGATGACTTGAGGTTGATGAAGGCACGCTCGGGGTCCGAGCTGACAAGCCGGCCCTCGCGCAGGTTTTCGGCGAAGAGGAAGAAGCCCTCGCGAGCCTGAACAAGGTAGGCCTCTTGGGACTTTTGCAGGAGAATCTTGGCGCCAGTGACGGGGAAATGGTTGTCAATGTAGCGAGCCCAGCCACGAGCGGCTGCTTGGATGTGCTCGTCCTCGCTCAGGCGAGCCCAGCCAATGCCGAGGTGCATGGTAAAGTCGTCAACGACTGGCTGTCTCGGCGCGTCGGGTGAGGTGTCGCGGCCGTGGTTGTTACCATTGGTTTGTGCCATGTCGTTGGAGGGGACAGGGTCGTTTGAGAGGCCAAGACGCTGCGACTTGTTGCTCCGCAGGGAAGAGCGTTCTTGAGAGAGCTTCTTCTGGGCGATTGTGGCTTCCTCGAGTTTGCGGGCATGCTCTTGAGCAGCCTTCTCCTCGAGCCAGGTGCCGGATTGGCTGCCAGCATCGGCAGTGTAGCCGGTGTTCTTCTTGATGAGAACCATGCCGGGGCCATACTCCCACTCGTCTTCAGGCTCTTCGACTTTGGGAGCTGGGACCACCTTCTCCGGCTCGTCGAGGTTGGCCGCTGCCTCGTCCCTGGAGCGTTTGCGGCCGGCGAAAGTCGAACTGGATCGAAGGATAGGACGGGTGGAACATGAGACTGAAGGACCGAGCGACTGGGACTGGTGCGAAAAGATAGGCCTGCCAAAGGAGAGCTGATGGGCAGGCTGGGGGGGAAGGCCCATGACTGGCGACGCAGTGCGGTCAAAGTACGACATGGTGATCTGCGAGAACGCAGGTGAGCAGCTCAGGTCAGGGGGATTTTCTAGAGAGAAAAGTTATCAGTTGCGAGCCGGAAGCCTGAACTGTACTACAGTCAGGTCGGCCGTCAATGAATTGGTCCTGGACGCGTGTTGCTGGCGCGGTGGAGTGGATGGCCGAGACGTGTCGAGTACCCAGAGGGTGAACGATCAGGCAGGATGGCGAGGCTGTCGACGACGACGAGGCCGAGAAGGAGGAGCGTATGGACAGGCTGACTGAAGTGGACGACAACCTGGGGAGGGATGAGGCTGAGGACTGTGTCGACACTTATTACTGCTAAGGCATGAAGACGACAAGACGAGAGAATGTAGGTGGGCGAGAGGAAGGGCACACTGAGGGAGAATGGGAAGGAGGGCGCAAAAGGTATTTATGCGTGATGGTGTTTGGGGAGGAAGACGGAGAGAGAAGATGTGATGGTGAAGGTGTGTGGTGAGTGAGAGGGAAGGAAAGTCGGAAGGGGAGGAAAGTGATGGAAGGGAAGGGCACGAGATAAGAAGGATGGGTGATGGGTGGGAAGAGGGCGAGACGAGACACGGGGTCCAAGGTTGGCAGTGCGATTGTCGAGTGTGGGGAGAAGAAGGAGGATGATGGGCGAGCTGAGTGTGTGAGGGTACTGTGCTGTGTAGAGAGAGCTGCGAGGTTCCCAAGGAGCGAAGCGCAGCGCAGCGCAGCGCAGTGCCGTCTCCGAGTGTGTGTAGGCGAGCGCAGTGCGCACAGCAGCTCTTGCGGCACGCGATCCTTGCCTGGGTTGCGCTTTGCCGGGTCAGGAAGAGCAGGGGCCAGGTTGCCAGGGCCTTGCCTCTGTGATGAGTGAGCCAGTTCTGCCAGTCTGCCAGTGTGCCTGTCAGGCCTGTCCGCCTCTGTCGCCCGCTGTGTCCCCCAAGAGGAATGGTCGAATCTTAGCCTGCACGGTGCACCTCATAAAAATGCAGGGAAGGCGTCAGACGGCGAGCTCCCTTCTCATTCGTGAGGCGGGCCTACGGGGATCAAGGCCTGAGCGTGCAGGACCCCAGGAAAGCTTTCCAGGCCTGCGAGGCCCTCACATGCCCAAAGCGGCTAGGCCCAGCTGGCCAAGTCTCAGACTCTCGGTGCCGATGGCGCAACATACCAGCGAGCCCACTGGCCCGTCAACCAAAGAGCCAGCGACCGGCTGACTGGCCAGACTGGACAGGGGGGCAGGCAAGCGAAGAGCCGGGAGAGGAGACCCTGACAGCCCTGCTGCCCTGCTGCCCTGCTGCCCTGCTGCCCTGCTGCCCTGATCTCATTGCGCTGTTGGTTTTCTTCCGAGGCCGATCTACTGACGAAAAGGGACTAGCTGCTGGCCATCTCCGGCCCAATCCTAACCCTCTGCCAAGACAGACGCCTCCAGGCGAGCCTGGACAAGCACTGACCTGAATGACTGCAATGACGGACCGGAGCGTCGTAGCCTGGACGACTGACTTGCCGCCTCCTCAGCTCCTGCACCCATCGGAAGATTGTGCCCACCCCCTAGAGCTGGGGCACTGATGCCTGAGGCCACAACAACGGCAGACCACCCCTTGATCATGGTTGCAACGGCAGCCTGCCCAGTCAGCACGCCCCATCCGGATATTTGTTAGTGTGCTGGAATTACCCCAGCCATCTTTTTATCCACCATCTTGCTCCGTACCCACGGGTATGTACGTACCTCGCACCCTCGCATTCAAGGCAGATGGGACAGCGGTCTGCTCCACAAAAAGCTAGACCTGATTCAGTCCTGCCCGTAGTCAGCGGACGACCAGGCGACCTGCAGGCGTCCCTACCCAGCTACCAGCTACCATACAATGAATGAGCCGGGTATGCTTTCTTGCCCTGCTCACTGACCTGCGGACTGCCAGACCTCCCGGCACAAGCCAAACGCCGCGTTGTTCAGATGGGATCCGGCATAATAGTTATGCAGGCTTTGCACAACGGACTGGTTCAATCCCATGCCATGACAGTACGGAGTAAGCAGCCACCACCGCCTTCAACCACAGTACTACATACCAGCAGCACATCACTCGTCAGCATGACTCGAGAGGCTGCCACTCGTGGATGCCATACCGAATACCCTCGGCTCCGCGTGTGAATCCTCGAATACATGGCAGTTCCAACGTCACAAGAGAGTATTCTGCCACCAACTATTTAAGTTCATGCGCTAGATGCGATTCATGTATGTACCTCCACGGCCTGTTGCTCTGGTATTTCGAGAGCTCGATTTTGAGTTTTACTTTATGCTGTCTGATGTTCCATTTGGGAGCAAAGGGGAGTGAGTTGACTACCTTGTTCCTGCCCCTGAGCATCAAAGAGCCAAAACACCTTAGGATATCAAAACCATCGTTGTGTTCTTTTCCCGGCCAGACGTAGCGAAGCATCCAGTCTTCCGTGATAATTTATGCGTTGTCTCATTCTACCACACCGGTCTTCCATGTCTCCCATCACGCTGCAATGCCCATGTACTGTCTCATGACGTAAGCTGAGGTCGGACGGCAATTCCGTATCAGTCTGCGCGCCTGAGTCTGGAGGGGGGAGTGCCCGGCTCCGCCGCCTCCGATGCCTCTGCAAACAGTAAAGCATCATCCTCATTCTCGTGCCCACCATAGAGACCCTCAAACCCTGGTGTCCGCATGCCCACGGGACTTGGTGCTCTGCGGTGACGGTATCTTCGGGCTGTCGCTGGGGGCCGACCGAGGACTTGGGAAGACCGCAGCCGGCTTATCGGGGCCGTGTATGACCCCCGAAGTCTGCTCTGGTGCTGGGATTCTGGCAACTGCTCTGGAGTCTGAGGCTGACGCGTTGGCGAGAGCAGATCGTCATATATCCGCATACTACGTCTAGGGGTCGTGGGATTCCGGGCGGACGAGGCTGGGTGTCCTGGCGACCGACTCCCTCCCGCAGCACTTGCCTCGTGAGTGGATATGGACAACACACGGCCAGCCTTTGGAGACATCTGGTCTAGACGTCCGACCGATCTCTCTGCCCTCTGCGGACTACTTCGGTTCTGTAGCACACCGTCAGCCAGTCGTGTTCTCGCTACACGGCGCCGCATGTCCTGTTCCCTTACCGAGGGTCCAGGTTCACCGTCGTGTTCGGGCTCGGTCGCGATACAAGACGACCAACGACGCTGGGATCCCAGTGTACCGGGCACTGCACCGTTTCCCAGTAACGGTTCAACGCCGAAAGAGCGTCGGGTCCGGATTGCCTACAATGGCGTCAGAGTACTGCTAACTATGGGTCGATGCATAGTCACAGTCACCAGACGCTACCTACTAGGGTCTGCGTCCACGTCTTCTTGGACGGGGTCCTAGTTGAAGCCTCTGTGGAGGAGATGCTCAGATCCAGCAGGCCAGACGTCGGGCTGCGACCAGTGCTTTTCATTGGATCAGTATCTTTGGTCCTGTGAGGGTTCATGTCGGTCCTCGCTGGTGCACGATTGTGAGCATTGACGGCGAGGTCGACATTGTTTGCATCTTTCATCCCTTCGGGCGAGAAACAACTCTGTACTGGCTCACTGCCTGGCACAGTCTGTGAGCTGTCGCACTCTGAGGGTCTCTGGGGTACCAGACGTCTGCGCGGCTGTGCTGAGAAAGTCAACCCCGAGGATATGGGCAAATCCAGGTGATGGAGTGTATCGGGGCCGCTGCGAGTCGCTTGGGGACCCTGCCGAAGCATCCTCCGCCCTGTAGCGGGTTGTGATCTTGTTGGGGTCGCCTCATCTTCAATCTCTCCCCTTTGTTTGGTCACGATCCTGGCCAAGGGCGACGCTGGTAATGCGTCGGCAATGAAAGATTCTGGTGAGGCAGACGACCTTCGATCGCGAAGTCCAGTAAGCGTCACAGGGATTGCCCGATGTGCCAAGCTCGGACTGGTCTTTCGATGAACCGTCTCCTCCGACGTTGGGTATTCCTGCCTTTGAAGATACCTACGATAACGACGACGGTGTTCCAGGTCCTTGACCTCGGACATGGTCAGGAGGATAGATGTTGGCTGGAGACGAATCATCCTGGAATGTGAATACTCAGGCAGAAACGACGCCTTCGCCACGGCTGTAATGTACGAGAGAACCAGCTCCCAACGGTAAGCGCAAGTGCTGGGGCGAAGTGATGGCGTTCTATTTGTTACGTGCGCGTTAACCCAGGTTTGGTGGGTGGGTTGAGCCTCTCGACTCCCCAGCAAAGAACTGGCACTGGCAATTTCAAGGTGCTGGGTGCATTTGGGAGGCATGCCTTGCGCGTCCTCGTCGCGCGAGGAAGGAGCACCCCAGCCTTTGAATAATGACATCTGGAGAAGCTGTCGTGGCAAAGCATGCGCGTGGTCTATTATTAGGCACCCTGGCAAGAGCCGTGATCAATTTTTACGAGATGCGTCGACCAGAATGCACGCAATTTTGGATCGTGAGACCCGGGAGAGGATTAAAATTAGCCAACATCAGTGATATTGGACTGCCCGTCGAAGCAATCGAGCTCGTCGGCCCGCGTTAGTGATCAGTGTAGAGGCCCCCTGAGTGCTCCTCCGTTGCATGGGAGGTCAGTTAATTACCCTCCGATATTCTCTGAAGCTGCGAGAACGCTATTTGGCCTGCCCCAGCGTGCATGTCTTGCATGTGAACAATTGGGCAGGCGGTCATTGCATAACGCAACGAGGGTCGTGCGTGCGGGCATGTTATGTCGGCCAGAACTCTCGACGGAGGCGTACCACAGTACAGACTCCGTACTGCGCCCATGTGGTGGTCTATGCTTGGACGTTTTTGTTGCTGTTAGCTCCTGGACAGCTGATACCGCGACCGAACCCTGGTTGCCTGGAGGCCGGTGCTGCAGACTGCAACGCCGACGGCGTGCAACTCGGTGTCGCAATAATGCCCGTGGGAGGTATAAGTGATAAGCTCGAATCGGGGGCGATCGTGGGATCCCCCCCCCCCCCGAAAGAGTGTGTGCTGTGTTTTGGATCGAATTGGCTCCTCACGCGCACAGCATCACCCGTACCTGGGCACTAACACACAGAAACGGGCGGTTTACAGAACGTACAGCTCCAAAACGGTACGGTGGGCAGGGGAGAGTGGCTTGCCCCTTGCAGCTAACCCAAGGGATCTTTACCTCTTCAGTTCACCTTCAATCTGCCACGACCAAAGGAGCGACTCCATTCCGCCGGGCACACACCTTTGTACTGTTACTCCGTCCTGTACCTAGCTGCCAACCCTCCCCGTAGTCTGCCTATTTATTGTACAGAACGGCATAGCGCAGCGCAGCGGAGCACAGCATACCTTGGTGGTGCAGCCCTCCAAGCCGTCAACAGCAGGCAGCTATTTGCCGAGCCCCAGAGAGCCAGAGAGCCAGAGAGCCAGAGAGCCAGAGAGCCAGAGAGCCAGACGGCCAGACGGCCAGAGTGCTGAGTCCGGGCCAGCCCTCTCAGCCTCCTTGTGTGATCAACGGACCCGCATTACTCATGGACGGGGGGCTCTCCAAGACGGGACAGGTGGACACCTAGAGCAATCAAGCAGCATTGCCGACCTTCGACACGGACACCTGCCCGCCGGGCATAGTCCACTGTTACCGCACGCCACGCCAGCTGCCCTGCTTCCACCTTGAATGAGCATCGATTCAATCCCACCCTGCCTTTCCCTATACGGCTTGCAGCGCCCTGATGCCCGCCCTCCCATGGTCCAGCTACATCCTTTTTGGCTCGATCTGAGGCTCTAACTGTGGTTGTGGTTACGGGCAGCATCCCAAGCAGGGCCAGGCCAGAGTCTCATCGGTTCTAAGGAAGCACTGCGGCGTCCCTGCTACCACCCACGGGCACCGGCACCAGCGACAGCGCCTCCTCCCTGCCCGAACGACCCATCGGTCGACACGGCCAAGTTGCCCGCCACCATCCCACAGCCCGGCCCTTTTGACCAGCCAGTCCACGCCAGTAACCATGAATGGCGACATAAGCCTGTCCAGGGCCCTGGGCGGTCTGCGAATCGCCAATCTCTCAGATGATTCCGACAACGACTCCAGTCCTACCCGCGAGCAACCTCCCACCGCAGATGACAACAACCACAGCCCTCCCCCCTCCCTCCCCCTAGATGAGCCTGAACACTCCTCCGAGCGTCTATCGCGCAACCTCCACGACGAGCAGTTACACGATTCCTACGGCAGCCAACCCCTCCGCAGTTCGGAGCCCCTATCGAACCTACCACCGGCCACTCATCCCGACTACGCGCAATCCACTACCGACGGCCCTGCAGTGCCTCCCGCTGCGCAGCCGCACCCAACCCAGCATCCTGCCCCCCCAGTGTCACAAATGGACGGTCCGGAAAGGCACTACCAGGCGTCCTCTCGACCGCTGTCCGGCAATCTGCCCAACCCCCTTTCTGTCTCCCACAACGCCGAGGCAGGGCCGAGCTCATACAACAACTCCCTGAGGCCAGAGGGCTCCAGAGCGTCCATGTTTGATTTGCCCACGCGGAGCAACTCAAGATCGGTGCGAGTACCCTACGCTGGTCAAATACCCCAGCGATCCCCCAGTTATCGAGAGCGGTCGTACAATCCTGAAGTTCGGCGCACGCTGCCTCCAGGCGCCGGCGGTGCAGCATTGCCTCCGAGGAAGAGCTCCAAGGGCCGAGGAGGTGGTTTCGTCTCCACGACAGGAATGCCAATGGCCCAGTCAAGCGGTAACAACTTTGGGCCCGAGTTGCCCCAGCCGGGCAACAGCGAGGAATGGCAGGAGAAAGGCGCGGCCGTCGGCGTCAGAAGAGAGCTCGATGCACAGGGGAAGACAGTGCTGAGATCCGTCAAGAAGGGTGTTCGTGATTTCTCCTTCGGCAAAGTGCTGGGCGAGGGATCTTACAGTACCGTCTACCTGGCTACGGATCGACAGTCACTAAAGGAATACGCCATCAAAGTGCTCGAGAAGAAGCACATCATCAAAGAGAAGAAGATCAAATACGTGAACATCGAGAAGAACACCTTGAATCGATTAACGGAGCACCCGGGCATCGTTCGGCTATACTATACATTCCAAGACGAGACCTCGCTCTACTACGTACTGGACCTATGCAACGGAGGAGAGCTGCTGGGCGTGCTGAAAAGGACACATACATTTGATGAGGAGTGCACACGGTTCTATGGCGCCCAGATCCTTGACGCCATCGAGTATATGCACTCGAGGGGGGTCATACATCGCGACCTCAAGCCGGAAAATGTGCTACTGGACGACAACATGCACGTGAAAATAACCGACTTCGGGACGGCCAAATTGCTGCCGGACCCCCGGGACCCAAGGCCGACGCCTGAGAACGCGCCTCCAGCTGAAGGAAGCTCCCGGGCAGCCTCTTTTGTTGGAACAGCTGAATACGTCAGCCCGGAGCTTCTTACGGAGAAGACTGCGGGCAAGGCGAGCGACGTCTGGGCGTTCGGCTGCATTATTTACCAGCTACTTGCTGGGCGTCCGCCGTTCAAGGGCGGCACGGAGTACCTGACATTCCAGAAGATCGTTGGCCTGGAATATGAGTTCCCTTCAGGGTTCCCACCAGCAGCACGCGATCTCGTCGAGCGATGCTTAGTCCTGGACCCGGGGAGGCGACTGACCATCGAGCACATCAAGAACCACGAGTTCTTCGACGGGCACAGTTTCGGCAAGGGGCTGTGGAGGACGAAGGCCCCTCGGCTCAGGCCGCACATACCACCTGCCCAGGAGCCGCAGATCATCCAACTGAACGGCTCGTCGTCCGGTTCTAACCAGAATCCGCCGTCCAGTCGAGGGCTCCAGTCGCAGAACGGCAGCAGCAACAGGCCCGCCAGGATAATTACCGAACTTCCACCACCCACGCAGCTCGATATTGAATGGTCGCCAGTGCTGACGCGAAACAATGAGAGGATATTGAAACTGGGTGACCTGCTGGTCATATCATCTCCAATTCCCAATAGCCCACACGGCAAGGGTGAGCATGGTCAAAGCAAAGGCTTGTCGCGTTTCTTCGGCGGAAGCACGATGAAGAAAAAGCAACGGCTGGTCATGGTCACATCTAGTGGGCGCATTGTGCTGGCCCCTGCCGGGGGCGAAGAGAAAAAGGCCAAACAGGAGATTTCACTGCTCACGCCCGACTGCGTGTGGCGGACTCAGATAGACGTAAAGGGGCAGGTCGTATGGTGCATTGATGCGGTAAGTCGGACTATCACAAGGCGGTCTTTAGGCCCATTTCCGCGGCGAATCTTCAGGTGCTGACAATACACCAGAACGGGACCCATTTCCAGTTTGAGCAGCCCAAGTCTTCCCAGCTCGACGCCGGCACGGTAGACGAGTGGATAGAAGCGCTTGAAAGGGCCAAGGACCTCGCAATGTCTCAAGACTTGTCCGGCTTCAACAGCGATAACGGTTTTGGAGAAATGTCTTCGTCTATGTCGCCCAGCCCCGCAAGCACACTGTCGCGACAGGTGCCATATCCGGAAGGAGGGTTCAGCATTGCCGACAGGTCGGGGCGCAACCAGTTGAGCAAGAGTCAAGCCAGCTTGGAGGAGTCGCAGGCGAAGAGGAACCGATTTAGCAAGAGGCAGTCCAAGAACGGGTTAGGTACAGCAGCGTTCTAAGCCCACCTACCCAGACTTGCCATAATACGCTACACAATGGGCAGGCAGTACACATGGGCGGGCTCACATTTGATTAGCAGCCGCTTACAGCGCATCATTGGGCCCTGCACCCACCAATTTTCTTTTATCAGCTTTCAACATATACTCGCGTACACGAGAGGGGGCAAGGCAAAGGGTCTTTGGCATTTTCTGGCGCAAGGGGGCAAGAGGGCGTCGTGTGGGCGCGTATTTGTTTCGGGATCTCGGCAGAAAGCAGAAGACAACCACAAAAACCCGCGTTTGCCATGGGAGAATCATCGTCATTATCATCATTATCGTCTCTATCACAGCCTCTACCCACACACCTTTGTTCTCCTGCATTCAAATTTGAAAACTGTCGAGCCACACATACAATTCCTTTTGTTTGGGACGCAGGATGGAGCGGGGGCCTCTCGGGGCAGGGAGGGCGGTGTTGACCTTTGTATTACACCTAAGCTTATAATTGGCATATGTCCAGCGTGGGGTACGGCATGAATGGCCGGGAACGGGGTCCGAGAAGTTGAGCAAGACAGGACAAGGACAAGGACCTGGTGGAGGTTTGGCGCAGAGCAAGGCAGAGGCAGAGGCAGAGGCAGAGGTAGAGCCTGGAATCAAGGGGAAAATCAGGAGACTTGTTGACATTCTGTCAAATCTGTGCCGCGCCGCATCCCATGATATGTGACAGTTTCCATATGGAGCTGGCGAGACCCTTCCTTCCTGGGCAGGTCTGGTGCTCGGCTAGCTTGTGACGCAGCGTGCCGCGTGTGCAGCTTGATCACGATTGCAGACGGCTGCCCGTTGCGAAGACGCCGGAAGACGGTGACGGTGACGGTGACGGTGATTACACCGCTGCCTGTCGCGGCCGTTCCGGCGCGATGTGCAAGTGACTGATGCCTTTTTTACGCTGCGCCTGAACCAAAAACCGTCGGTTCATATCAGTTTCAAATGCTCTCGCTCGCGGAAGGGCATTCCGATCTGCCTGTTGCAGCCAGACAAAAAAAACATACGAGTGACAGATACAAGAATTAAGATGCTCGACGACCACCCAGGATTGGCGGCTGAGAGACTCAAGTGCTGTGATGGGAGATGCGCACGGACCCCCAAAGTGTGTGAAGCGCGGGATGGGCGCAATACGACGGTGCTGTTGAGGTATGTAGAACACTAGGCAGGGGGTGGGGTGGCGGCGAGGCGAGGCCTGGTAGGGTGTTCTGCACCTGTGCTCTACACTGTACTACTGCACATAGGTCGGTAGCGCCCTGTTGACCCTGTGCATGTGTGCAGCCTGTCGCGGCTGGCTGGGCTGCTGGCTTGTCTAGTTGCACTCCACAAATCCAAAAGACGTCTCTGCGAGTCCGATCATCCTCTGCCACGTCAAATGCGATAGTCCATCTCGGCCAAGTCGCGTCAGATTCACTGAACCCGGCAACACGGAGCGAGGTGCCCCCTTTTCAAAAGGCCGATTCTTTTCAATCAATCAATCGGAAAGCCACGACAAGAAGCGGGTCCAGCACGATTCGATCCCCGTCGCAAACGCAAATCGAAGCAAGATGCAGGCGCAATACCGCCAGTTCCCACAAAATGTTCCCCAGAGGTCGCCGCATGTCCCTGCTCCACGACGCGGAGGAATTGGTACGTCAGTGAATCTTAATCCGAGTTTTGCATTTTCGCCGTCGCAGTCGCCGTCGCACGTGGCACGTCCTTGTCCTGCTCATCACGCGCCGAACCCACCGATACACTGCTTCCCTCGTGCTTGCTTGCCTGCCTTCGTGCTTGCTTGCCTTCGTGCTTGCTGTCGCCGCGCCCCCCCCCCCTTCTTCACCAACGCCTTGTTCTGCCACGGCGCACAGCACCCATCCACTCCCTCCCCCCCTCCCGACCGTCCCACACGCCCTCCTCGCCGAGTATCAAGCCTAGCAACATCGGCCTGCTCCAGCCCGCCCCGGCCCAGCCTTGGCAAAGTCAGCCATCATGTCTAACCGCCGCGCTTCTTCCACAACAGGCCCCATGATGCAGCACCACCAGGGCTTGCACAACCCTCCTCATGTCCCTCTCAACCAGGCCCAGCTGGCAGAGAAGCAGCACCAGCAGCAGGCCGCCGTCGAGCGCGCCAAGCTGCGCGCGAAAAAGCCCACCGACAAGACCATGCCCGATGGCGTCGAGGACTGCATCATGAGCGATGGCGTCCAGCGATACAAGGAGCTGAGGGACTTTGAGAGGAGGCTGGACGCGACAATCACACGCAAGAGGCTGGACATTGTAGACTCTGTCAACAAGAACGCCAAGAGATGGAAGACCGTGCGGGTATGGATCACAAACACCGTCGAGGATCAGGTCTGGCAGGGCAACGGCATCAATGCAGACAGCTTCGACTTCTCCACCAGCGCCGACTCGAGCTTCCGGGTCAAGATCGAGGGCCGCCTGCTGGACGACGACGACGAGTACGAAAAGGACGACGCCGAGGCCAAGGATGGCAGCGACGGCGACAAGATGGACACCGACGTCTCCGCTGACAAGGCCAAGGCACCATTCGCCAAGGCACCCCCTCGCCCACGTTTCTCACACTTCTTCAAGAAGATGACTGTCGACTTCGATCGCAGTAAGATGCGCAATGGCGCCGAGCAGAGCATCGAGTGGAACAAGCCCGAGAGGTTACCGAATAACCCCACCAACCCACCAGCTTCCGCCGACTTTGACGAGTTGACGTTCAAGAAGAACGGCGACGAGAACATGAACATCACCATCAACCTCTTCAGGCATGAGGAGCCGGAGCGTTTCGAGCTCAGCCCCGCGCTCTCGGATGTGGTCGACATGGAAGCCGCCACGCGCTCCGAGGTCGTCATGGGCCTGTGGGAGTACATCAAGCTGATGGGTCTGCAGGAGGACGAGGAAAAGCGGAATTTCCGTTGCGATGAGCTCTTGAGAAAGGTAGGTGGCAGCCATCTCGTCCGCTCGAATCACGGGCCACGGTACTGACTTGCTCCTCCTAGGTGGTCCAAAGGGACACAGGCCACATACCAGCACTGCAGGAATACATCACTCCTCATCTGCAGCCCCTTCCACCAGTCAAGCTTGCCTACACCGTTCGTGTTGACGAGGAATTCCACAAGAACCCCGAGCCCACAGTCTACGACATCCGCGTTGCCGTGGACGACCCCCACCACGCCAGGTTGGAGCAATTTTTACGTGATCCTCAGTATGCAAACATGCTCAGCCAAGTCAAGGTCCTCGACGAGCAGCTCGCCATCATCATTCAGGCCATCTCCGACTCCAAGGCGAAACACAGCTTCTTCAAGAGCCTAGCCCAAGACCCGGCGAACTTCGTACGCGACTGGCTCAGCAGCCAGAAGCGAGACCTCGAGGTCATTATGGGCGAGGCCACGCGCGGTGGCGGCGAAGATGCGACGGGCGATGAGTGGAGGAAAGGCGGCAAGGACAGCGTCTGGACGACGCAAAATGCCAGGGAGTCGGTGCAATTCATGTTTACTCGCCGTTAGGAGTCAGCTCAGAGCCTGAATGCGGAGGTCCATACTAGCGACTCTTCAACACCTAGAAAACGGCGATTCGTACGATTCGTTGACCAGAATTAGAGCAAATGGATGAGACCTTGGGGCTGGAACGGGCGCACGAGGGCGTACTGGCCACCCAAGAGGGGGGCGCGATTATCTACAGGCCTGTGGGAGCGCATGACTGGGGAAGATCGAGGCTCGCGGGTTTGCTCCGCACGGCGGGCCAACGATTAACCACGGGCAAAGCTTCTGAGCAGACCGTACAGGACACTACCTTGTGCCATCTGGAGTCATGCAGGCAACCGCGGGCGCGCTGAAAAAAGTGTATAGACATCATTCAATTGCAGGGAGTGGACGGTGCTTTCAGCGATGGGATGCTGCCCCTTGGATGCAGCGTCTTATGGCAGCTCAGAGCCTCGGAGGCATGGTCCGCTATCGATTTAATGATCTCGGGGCCGCTTCAGAATTAGCTGTCTGGCCCCTTAAGACTCACGGATTCAGGCTGATGAAAAGCCGGGGTTTGTTGGTAAGGGGTAGCAAGCAGCCAGGTGTAACATTTTATAAATGCCAGATATGTAGGTTAGAAACTGTTTACTGCTATGAAGACTTTCATGGTCATGGCCATTGGAAATGTCAAGTCTATATGACGCAGGACCCTGGCTGAACGAGGAAGCTAGTGCAGTTCTCTTTTTCTTCATACTGGTTGGTTTCGTTCTTATTCAGTATACGTCCGAAGCCATGGGAGGCGCCTTCGTACAGTGGTCAGCGCTCAAAGACTTGGCGTTTTGGAAAGGAAGGGAGGAAAAGAAACATATAATGCCGATAACAGTGGTAATTATATACCCTTGCCTGACTTCCAGCAGATCGCCCTGGGGCAGTCATGCACGCAGTCTGGCTGACGAAGCCTTGTCGGCTGTGCGAGAAACTTCGTAACAACCGTTGTTTAAGCAAGTGTTGATAGACTTCGTTGATCCACTTGATGCAAATACTATAACACAATGAGGATGATGGCAGAACTAAATGAATGAGACGGGGAGACGTCCAGTTCCAGTGAATTCCCTGAGACAGATGCTTTTTCACATCCATGCCGTCTGCATCGAATCCTTACCTAAACACATCAAGAAAACGACCCAGCGTGGGCTTTCACACCCTCAAGCGAGACCACACAACTGTCGTCCGCATCATCCACCTGAGAGTCTATTTGTTCGGGAAAGCATTGTCGTATTAGAGCTGCCCGTGTGAAGCACACACGAATCTTGCACATCCACTGGCAAGGGATCATGACATTCCTCAACTTGTGCTGTTGGGCGGTTATTAAGTAATGCTAATTCCCGCCGATTGTAGGTTCTCCCCCATCTTGTGATATAAGCAGATACAGCCCATACAGAGGACCCAAATTTCCTCTACTTATTCCTCCTTTGTATGAAAGCATCTGCAGCATAGATTCTAATCGGACAATTCACGTAGCACTTGAAGCACTAGCTCTGATGGTGTAGCTTCTCTAGAATATGGAAACTGCAGGTTATTATTGATGAATTTCTCTTTAGCGCGAGCGTCAAATATCACAGACTGACTACTTAAGTATGCAACATGAGACACCGACAGGGGCATGCTCACATTTGCAACTGGTCGCCAGCATTTCAGCTCACAGACAATTCATATCGTTAGTAGTAAAAACACGCTCATCATGGCTTTTGCTCTCTAGTAGTTGACTATAACGATGTTTTTTTGGTCGCGTCAGAGCTAGATTATGCAGTTCAATCATTCTCTGGGTTCCCATCGTCAGTAAAGTGAGAATATGATACCAGTTGTGGCTACATATTTGAGGGAAGTGCCGGGGCAAACAAATAAAGGAGTTTAAGACATTTTCGACTGACTACCTCGGTCCCCAAGATACCTTCTCGAAGACTAGCATGGTGAAATGCATTTAGTCAGTGAGCCGTGGCGTAGCCGTCTGCAACTCCGACGTCTGCGGCCAGAGAAAGGTCTACGCTATTCATGTGAAATGAGCCTCAGAATTTCAAGTGTGGCGTATATACGGGTCAATGGGATCAAGGCCCCTTCAAGAAATCACCAGCTTTTCTCTGGTGCTTGAAACAGTGGGTTTATACAAAGAGATACTGCATCAGTTGCAAGTGGCTGAGCCGAAACTCACAAAGGGATTCACATATGTAAGATCACGTTGCAAGAGTTAGGATGGATCTTCATAGAATCATGCTCGTGTATTCATTACTGACATTCTGTGTCGAAAAGGCATTACATAGTAATATTAGACTTGCTCAACAGATGGTTTCTCATCCCCACCCTTCGCAGATTGGTACCGATCTAGGTCGACAATACCAAGATCAGCTGCAATATTAAACAGCCTTGCCTTCTCGTCATGCGCGGCATTATCTCCAAACACCGCATCCATGTCCTCGAGGCTCTTCCCCCGCGTCTCCGGGATAAAGAAGTAGGTGAATGCGAACGCCAAAAGACAGAAGGCCGCGAAGAAAATGTATGTCCCATAGCCAATTGTGTCCAGCATATCTGGCGTTACTAGCCCGATGATGAAGTTGCACATCCATGTGGCACTCGTGGTGATGGACATGGCCTTGGAGCGGTTGCCGAGGTTGAAGATCTCGGATGGCAGGACCCACCCGATCGGGGCGAATGAATATGAGAAGTTTATGTCGTAGATGTAGATGAACGCGATACCAATCCAGCCAGCTGCTTTGTTGGAGACCAGTGTGGAGCCAAACCCGCCGATGATGCCGCCGACGATGACAAGAGAGACGAAGGTTCCGATGGCTCCACACATAAGGAGTGGCCGGCGCCCGACTTTGTCGATGAGGAACAGGGCTGGGAGGGTGGAAAGTGTATTAACGATGCCGTATACGCCAGTGGCCAGGAGCGACGAAGTCTTGCCTGAGAGGCCGAGCTGGCCAAATATCGTTGGAGCGTCTGATGAAAATTAGCAAATTGCTAGACCAGAAAGTCCCAAAACACCTGAAGCCCGGGGCTGTAATAGGGGAAACCTTGAACTCACAGTAAATAATGGCGTTACAGCCCATGAACTGCTGGAAAAACATGACCACACACCCAATGGTCAACCGTTTGAGTGAAGCCTTGGTCGACACCAAGGAGGAGTACTCTGCCAAGTACAGACTGATGCCGGTCTTTCCTGGGTATCGGTCACGGCCGTACGTCTCCTCAAATAGAACCTCGGCCTTAATGGCAAGGTACTCGCGGCACAGAGTTTCCGACTCAACATCAACCCGCCGAATACATGCAAGGGCCTCCAGTGCCTTGTCTTCCTTTTGCCGCATGAGGAAGTACCTGGGTGATTCCGGATAGAAGAGCATACCGAGACCAAGAATGATGGCAGGCAATATCTGCATGGCGAGGGGAAGCCTCCACGAAGCTTCGCCCTGGCCGGTGCAGCCATCTGGCCCGACGTCGGCGATGGGATCGAATTCCGGAGTGGATGCTGAGCCCCCAGTGTATGGGATGTCTGGTGCGCATCGTGTTCCACCGATGTATTGAGTCCCGTATTCAAGCCAGTAACTGACTAGGATACCCAAGGTGATGCTCACTATTAAGTATCAGAACAGATCGGAGCCACAAGTATAGCGCATCACCCACATTGCTGAAGCACAACCAGGGTGCCACGGATGGCCGGCGTCGACACCTCGGACATATACATCGGAACGATCATTGTGAGCATCCCGACAGAGAAGCCTGCGATCGCCCGTCCGGCAAAGAGCATTGGAATCGAGTCGGCAGCAGCCTGCAGAGCAGAGCCCAGCGTGAAGATAACCACAGCAACAAGGATGGACCCCTTGCGGCCGACGCGGTCTGCAACAGGCCCGTTGACCAGCGACCCGAACCAGGCGAACAGCAAAAGCGTCGAGACGAACCATCCCTTGAAGCTGCTGTCCATGAAGATGCGAGGGAACTTGGCGGCAAATGACTCCATTGTCAGCACGCCTGAGACGACGCCCTGGTCGTAGCCGAAGAGGAACCCTCCCAGGGACGCGAACTTGCAAAGAGCAAAGTCAGCCGGACGTCATGGAATGTTCAAGTTTGCCACGGGAGGTCGTGCTTACAGAGGCGAGGCCCAGGACATAAGGGTTTTGTCGCAGCTGGTGCACCAAGCCCGTGTTGGGCGAGGCGTAGAGGTCCGTTGCAGCTCCTGCTTGAGCCATGGTGCTTTGTAGGTTGACACAGGATTTCTTGATGAACTGCTAGGTGGCAAGCAAAAGACACAGCAGCCCCGGTCGCGAGCACCGCCTCTCACTTGTTATATAATTGTCCCGCACGTCCTGACCGCTGCCGGCGTGCCATATCCACCCACACTTCTTTTTCTCAGTGTACCCTTGGGCTGCGGGGTGAGGTCGGGGAACTCGCTGGGGACTGTGCATGCACATGTGGCCAGTCAGCTGCCATGCCGGCCCGAACTCATGATCGTCGACACGACGGACACCGCTGTTGGTTAGTTCACTTTGTTAGGGAGATGGCCGGTTCCAAGTAGCGGTGTTCACGGGCGGGGAACGGAAATATGGGTCTCTGCATGGCCGATGTAATGCCACGCATGCAGACAGGACTGTACTGGCAGGAAACACCATTGAGTTGTGTGCGAGATCCAGTCGGCTGTATCCACTGCGCAGCAGAACCTCAGACCAGCCTGACAGGCAGGCGGGCAGGGTTTTTTGCTGCGCTGGTGGATGGGCAGACCGCCCAGAGGATCATCTACCTAGGCACTGTGGTAGGCTTGATGTTGAGTGTTCCCACTTCGAGTCCTCATACTTGTCCTGCAGGTTGATCCGCATTCCTGCATGGAACTTGTTTCTAGAAACTTTTAATCGGTGAAGCTCCAAATACAGCAGAGACCCATCTTTGATAGCCGAGATAAGGTGTCGCAGAACGCCTAGAGCGAAAAGCTTTTGATCTGGGCTTTGTCTCCATGGAAGACAACCGCACGCACGGTACTGCTTCCAGGATGAAGTGGCGTGTTCTGGTGGCATATACTACTTGTGAGCCGAAAGTTCAATGTTGAACGATCCAGGGCTTGTTCATTACACTAATTGTTTTCCGGGTCGGAAAGTGCCCAGGTGCTCCAATTCTGGTTTGTGTGCGGAAGTCGTATTCGCTAATTCGCAGTACTCTTAACAACCTCGGAATGCAATGCGGTTGACAGCAGCATATCAACATGCGAGTTGACTTACGCGCCCAGGTGGGGTCCGGCCAACGAGAAGAGAGAGCCTTGGAAGAGTTCAACCCCCGAGTGGGATGTGGAAATGCCCAGTGGGTACGGAATAGCTATTTATATCTGTCCATGAGCATGTCGAGCCCACAATATGAGCAGCCCACTGATGACAGTTCTTGGTTCAGGTCGCATCATTGGGAATGTAAGTAAACGCAGCTCGGTCGAAGCGAGACAACGTGAGCCGACGTTATTGCTTTGTTCCAGATGTCACGTGTCTCCGAGATAACCTCACAACCCATACAATCCGATGCAGTGATTCAAGTTTCAAAAGCCTTTTCGTCCACAGGTACGCTACGTAACAGTGCTCGCATGTTTTGGGCGAAAATAACAGCGCGTTCAGCACTCTTTATTCCAAATGCCTTTCCCAGCAAAACTTCCGAACTACTTATTTTGTCCACATGCAGACAACCCGCCCCAAGCGTATATTTCGTTCGCAGTGCATACTGCCAAGCCGGCCCTCCTCACTTGGGCACGTTAGCGGCTTTATTACATGCTTACCTGGGCATACTTTAACTCTGTCGCCCCTCATGTAGTCTTTCCACAGTGTTCCGAGTTTTCGGCAATCCTTTTCTCATCACCTGAAAGACTACAACCCCACACAATTCTGCTGATTTCGTCACGCTGCAGATAACATGGACACGACGCTGTCTCACTTTGTCAACTCATTCCGAGGGACGCAGGGGGCTGCTGTGGCAGTGGCTCTATCAGTTGGCCTTATCTTGCTCACGATATTGCAATATGCAACCAGGCCGCAGAAGTCAGTTCCGGCAAACCTGCCTCTCAAGGTCGAAGCCGTGAGTATTTAATTAGCGGATCAAATCGTTCATGAGCTACAGGAAATTCCAAACGGCTGTGCTGATGATGCCTCATAGTTATACTTCTATCCTGTCAAAGGGCTGAGGGGCTGTGAGCTAAAGCACGGCAAGATTGGCCCCCTTGGTTTCGAGTACGACAGGACCTTCTGCCTGCAAAAGGTCCATCGCGATCCTGATACCAACGAGGTCAAACGTCTCGAGTCTATGTTTAGCGGGTTCCACCTCCGGATGGTGCTGTTCTCAACGCGTCTCGAGGATTCCCCGGACGGCAAAGGTCGGGACGTTGTCGTCACCTGGACGGGTCCCGAAGAGGCCAAAGGACGCGAAAAGCAGATCCGATTTCCACTCCGGCCGCAGTTGGACACTCTGGAAAAGAACCGTGTTGACATGTATGGTGCCATTACCGACGCGTACGACATGGGAGCCGGCTTCTCGGCCTGGTTTAGCAGCTATCTGGGCTTCGAAGCCCGTCTGGTTCATCTCGGGCAGAATTCCCGCCCCGTTCTGGGCTCAGGCGCGCCACACAGCGATCAAGCCTTTCGTAAGAGCTTGCCGCCGGCGGCATATAGCGTACGCCGCTACCTCGTCCCGTCATTTCTCAAGCAGAAGTCCGAGAGAATCAGCTTTGCAGATATGGCTCAGTATCTGGTGGTTACGGCCGAGTCCAACGCAGAAGTCGGCAGGCGGCTCCGGGAGACGGACCCGTCGGCCGGGGGTGTGCAGATGGACGTCACCAAATTCCGGCCAAACATCGTGGTGTCTGGAAGTCCCGCACCTTTCGACGAGGAGTATTGGGCCGAGCTGCGCTTTGCAGGTGGGGCACAGATTGCGCTGACCGGAAACTGTCTGAGGTGCCAGTCCATCACTGTCGACTACGAGACGGGCAAGCCAGCCGCTGATGTGAGGGGCCAGGCATGGAAGAAACTGAGCAAGGACCGAAGAGTTGACAAGGGTTGTACCTTTATGCCAGTATTCGGAAGGTACGGATACAGTCCTGTGTCGAATATCGGGGGGGAAATACACGTCGGCGACGAGGCCCTGCTGACACGCAGGAACCGAGATCGAACGGTCTTTGGTAAGTGGCGTGCTTGTGTAAAACATGCCCTAGGGTAAATGTACCCATGACGACCCTGTTACTAACGTTGGATTCCACAACAGATTGGCCGTTGTCCAAGGCTGTGGCCACCATGTACGAACGAAGTTCAAAATAGGGTTTGCATAGTCGCCTCGGGCCGACAGCGGTGGAGACTCTCTCAGAAGCCTGTGATATTCCCCCGTTATTCTTGAGTATCATGAACTTGAATAATAGGCTACGGCCTAGTTGAAAGTTTCTACATGTATTCTGCACCAAAACCAACCACTAGCCCGCTCCCGTCGCCATGTCCTTGGTTTACTTATGCCTGTACTTGACTTGTCTTGGAATTCGATTGTTTATTATCAGGAGCAGGAGCTGCTAGACTCAAATGCCTTTGGACAGCTCGAAGGAAGACGCGTACGGAGGGCAAGCGCTACGTTGGAAGTTTAGGGTGTTGTCAAACATAGTCTCGGTACTCAAGGCACGGGATTAATATTTCATAAATACAGACACTAGTTCCAAGTAACACACTATTTGTTGACGCGCGACAAGTCCGATGAGGCGACGTTAACTAGACGGCAGCCGTACATATACATCATATCGTTCATCAGCTGGCAAGAGCTCCGGTGTGGTCTCCTCTGGCACCTCAATTATGGGAAAGTAGATGCGACTGGTCATCGTTTGAGCGCATAATCCTGTCCAGAGTGGGTCTCAGAAAATCACATCGTCCAGATCGACATCACCCAAATCCGTGACCTCCTTCCTCTCCACGGTCGTGGAACGGGTCGAGATTGCTCTCTCCTTGCCTTTCCGTGACTTCTTCCCCTGTTCGCGTGAAACATTGTACTCTCGCTTTAGTTTCTCATTGGCAGCTCTGATACTCTGCTCCGTCAACTCTTCCTGTGATCCATCGACTACGCGAGGTTGCCATGTCAGTTCACATCGTCACAGTACCAACTTTGCCCAAGGGGTCCCTTACCACGATAGACAAATTCCTGAACAATGTCCTCGAGTTCGTACGCAGACGTGATTCCTGTATCGTGACAAGGGTGACCCTTCTGCCGGCAATGGTCCAATGCGCCCTTGCCCCGTAGTGGGTGTTCCAAGAATGGCATTCGCTGGCCCGGGCCGCACCATACCACGAGCCATATGCCATCGCCACATCGCATGTCTTTGAATATATACTGCTTCCCCTCGACTTCGTGGAAATCCAAGGACTTGGTTACAAGATTAGCCCATCGTGGCGCTATTTTGGCCTTCTTGGAAGAGGACTCTGGACTGCGCGGCTGGTCGACTTCCATGGCATCGAACGATCGTTTAGCAGTCTGTGTTCTGAGAAAGATGGGAGAATCATGATCGCCATCAGAAGATAGCGACGGCTGGAAGTCAGGGATAGATAGCGGTTCGGATGGGCTCTGGTGCCCGGCATCGTTGGGTGCTGTCGCGGTTGCTGGTGCCATCGGCGCCGCTGGGCGGGGCGGAGGCCCCATCGATTGTTCTCCCTGGCATTGTCTCGATGAGCCAGGCTCTGCTTCCATGGTAAATGAGCGTCGATCATCATCGTCACACGCAACCATCGCCGCTGGCGCGACTTGGCTGGGGTATTGGCTCAGCAGCGGACCGATCTGGGTGATCAGGTCATCTAACCCCGGAAACTTCCTACTCAAAAATTGTTGGATAATCATCTCTGCTGTCTCATCTCTTTCTAGAGAGGTTTCAGTCAAGCTCCTGCGGATGTTTGAGCGGCTTTGGGTGAAGCCTTTGACGCCTTCTTTGATCAGGTCCAAATGTTTGCCCATCTCCTGGTACAAGATCGGCTCCCACACAGCCTCGAGGTTTTCAACATGTCGAGAGTCCCGGTATGATTGTGGAAGCCGTTGGCTATAGTCATTGTTGCTGGAAACCATGTGGCGAGGTCACAACGTGATTAACCCCAGTCTGTTGGAAACAATGACAGGAAAGTGAGGAGGATATCCCTGTTATTTCATGAGAGAAGATACGTTATGTATATAATTAATTTTGCAAGTGTACATGGGCTAGGGGAGGCAACCGGTGGGTGTGAGTTGTAACCCTGTACAGTAATAATACTCTAGCGGGAGACCCGCTGCTGACGACAAAAATATCGGCATGTGGTATATTTGCTCGACAGCATAGCCTCAACAACCAACGGGTGCGCGTCTAAGCGCCAAAAACCTGGCAGCCTCGAGGCAGACACTTTCTGATAGGTCGAGTACTGTCTCAGAGCCATGCGCAAGCAAAGCCACTAAGCCACACGGTGCCATTTCCCTCTCAATCTGCCTCGCGAGGCTCTGGACATCGGATTGTCTCGCCAGTGAGGGGTGTGTTGTGGGCCGTGAGATGGAGGGAACCAACTGTGCCTCAAGGCTGCAGATGCGGTCCTGCAGATGCAGTCGACAAGCGCCTCGCTTGCGTGCGGCTGCGTGTTGGCTGCCCCGGGGTGGGGAGGCCGAGCTGCTGCGGCCTGAGGGAGGAACCGTCCAGCCCCCGGATGTGTGACATTTATGGAAGTTTATCCTGCCAACAGTCTCTCTCTGCATGTTTGAGCAAGGCGCCCTGCTTCGGATCATCAAGGGCGGCGGAGACTGGAGCTCAAGCTGCATGCTTCATGCAGGCTGCGACTCATGGCGTAGATAACCCTCGTCGTCCACCCTCGGCCCTGTCATGCAGCCAGAGATGACCGAGGACCCATGAAGCGTAGGTGAAAGACTGGCGGATGTAGCGGAGTGATGAATCTGGGAAGCCACCCTCCACAAGGTTGGTGCAAAGTGCCGAGTTCGAGCTATAGACTCAGGAGGATTGGATTCTTCTGTATTTCATCGCTTCGCCGTGCTAGGCATCATAAAGCAGGCTAGCAGCTATGACAAAAGAGGATCGCTGTTGACTGCGTTTGTGCAGCCGCTATGAAAATGGGCAAGGACAAAGTGCAAACTAGACCATGAAGCCGTGAGCCAAACGCTGAAGTCCAGATATAAAGGAAGCCAACCATGAAAACAGTGCCTGCTCAACCCTGACCAACCGGAACCAATGCCTGTGCCAACGCCGATAATTGTCCCGTGATGTCCAAAAACTTGCTGTGACTTCTCAAGTAAAATACGGTAGACGCCCGTCTATTGATCACCCTCTCTTCTTTGACGCATGTAAGCCACACGGCGTTGCTTACGCCCAGCAAAACCGCATCCATTCACCGCAAAATATTCTTCTCTTGCACCAAGCACGGGAGTCTCGGTCGACCCTGTGAGCCAGGACACCCGTGTCCTCGCGATTGATATGGACTGGGCGCTGCCAGATCCTCAACTCGACGAAGCCGAGGCCGAGGCCGTGGCCGAGTCCACAGCGGCCTTTGTGGCCAGGGCCTCAACTTTCTCAGATACAGTCTCCCACCATGAAGCATGTGATTCCCTGTCAACAGCCCCGACCTTGGACATCTCATCCACCATGTCTCTAACCCGCTCCACGAATTCAACCATCCCAGAGCTAGCCAGCTTCTCACCCGCGATGCTTGTGGCCTTGGCCTTCTCGCTCGTGCTGCCCGCCGCGATGCGCCCGAGGATATGATCTCGCAGCCGTTTGAGTAGCAGCCGCAGGACGGGCTGGCTCGGGTCATGGGCGTTCGGGTCCCAGTTCTCACTGGGGTCTGGCTGCTGAGTGGCCGCGAGCTCGATATGCGCAGCCACAAGCTTCTCGACGAAGCCGCGCAGATGGGTCTTGGTTGTCGAGGGCATGGACCGCCCGGCTTCGAGAGCTGCCATGATACCAGCTACAGCCGCCTCCTGCGACTCGGCATGATCGAGAACGTTCATGATGCGCGCCGCCTCCATCCGCCACGGCGCGCGGACGTCACGTTTGAGAAGGTTCTTGCACTGCAAGAGGATCCCGCCAGTGGTGACCATATTGCGTGTGAGGTGACCATATTTGCGGATGCGCTTGTAGTCGAGCTGCAGCATCTCTGGGATTTGACCGTAGCGCATGGTGCTGGGCTGTGTGAATATGTCAACGAGCATATGAGCGTAGATCTTCTCGGCCGTAGGCCGGTTCTTTGGGTGATTGACGTTCTCAGGGTCACGGCGAGCCGTCTCGGCTATGACTTTGTTTCTCGCCGCCCTCCAAGCTGTCTCAGCCGCGAACAATCCGTGTTCGCCCTGCTCGATTGCAGTGCAGAAAGCCTTTGCCTCGTACTCGGGTGCGTGCTCCAGCAGCTGGGGGCCGACCAGTTGCAAGAGATGATTGGCGTAATCGCTCAGCATGACATCAATGAAGAGGATCAATGCCTCAAGACGGTCGACATAGCTGCCTTGGCTGAGCTTGTTCTCAACCAGGTCTTTTACCTGGTCGTCCCTGACAGGGGCACATAGCTTTGGCATCAGGGAACCCATGGATGAAAAGAAGCGCTCGTAGGAGAACGATCCATTTCGGAACCGTTCCTTTAACTCGTCTATATCCAGCAGTTCGCCAATAAAATTGTGCATTGAGTTCCCGGGCTTAAGAAGCCGTTGCAATTTCTCGCGGATGTGTTTGGCGATCCTGAGGAGAAGTTTGAACTGCACCTGTCTCGATTCGTGGTCGGTCGCGTGGATCGTGGCCCTCATTTGTCCGAGAATGGGCTGGAGAGCCTTCGTTTCGGCCTCGACAAAGTCGTCCGCAACCACACGATATTCCTTATTAATGGCAAGTTCGTGGACGACGGTCCGGTTGTCCGGTAAAAGCATGCCTTTCTTGATGGGCTTCGGGCCTTGTGGTCTGCTCGCAGGGGTAGACGGAGGGGTCGGATAGACGCCCGAGGTGTCGCTCCTTGGGCTGGAAGGATGGCTTTTCGCCGTGCCCAAGTCAGCCATTGCCGTCTCGGTGGTCAGGGTCTGATCAGCCACTCTGGGCTTCAGGTCGGCCTGCTGTTTCTTCTTGTTGGCAGCCCTCGCCTTCTTGGCCCTGTACCGAGCATTTTTGATAAGCTCTAGCCCCCTTTCCCTGCCGAGTAGTTTGTTGATTCGAGCAATGAGCATAAGCTGATTCGTTTTCATACTCTCCTGGTACTGCTGTACCACGGATGGGTCGCTGGTTTCCTTGACATGGTCCAAAGTGGCGTCCAGCTCGACGAGTTGCCCCAACATTCCGTCAACCAAAGCATTCTTGTCCCGGGCCTTCCAGTTGAAGAAGGCATTCTCAAACTGGGAGTAGACCCGAGGAAGAACTTGGGTGAGACCTGGCGGGATGGTGTAGTTATTGAAGCTTGTCAGCCGGGACATGATGTTCTCAAAGGTGATTAGCAGATCGCGAGACTTTGCCACGACCTCCTGACATTGTGGGTCTGTCAGGTTGTCTCTGGGGATGGGATGCGCCGGTGAGCCCTGATCTGGAGGCATTATGTCGTAGGTGTTGCTCAGGACCTGGGCAGGATGGCCCAAGATGAGGTAGGCGCTGAGAAAGCAGCGGACCGCCTTCATCTGCTCGACTGAGTCTAGCCCGCCGTTCTGCAAGCCACACATGGCAAGGACACGAGCGGTGATCATAACCACCCTCAGTTGTCCGAGCAATTTCGTGACCTCGTCATAGTCGGTCGTCTTGACCCCTTCAACAGTCAAGGCCAGCCGGGCAAATTCTTGAACGACCTTCCTCTTGGCCACGACGCGCCACCAATTTTGTATCCTCCATGCAGCAGCGTCTCGGGTCAGCGGTGTCGATTCTGTCTCCTTGACCTCTTTAACAGGGGACAAGGAGTCGTCTGACTTTCTCGTGCTCACACTAGAGCCCCGGACCCTGACGTTCTGCCTTCGTAGTTCTTCGCGGCGCCTCTCAGCCTCGGCCTGGCGCTCCTGCATCTGCTGACGCATCTTGAGTGTCTCCTGCTCCCGCTTCTCTCTGGTAGCCTCGGCGATGGCCTTGGCCCTCTTGACCTCCTCTGCGCACGTGGCGGCAATTTCTTTCAGGTTGCGCTCGCGGGTCAGGCGCGCAGCCTCGGCTCTCTCCTCAGACAGGACCACGACGCGATCTTTGGCCCTGGCAGCGCGGAGGCGGACCTTTTCGACGTGGGCGGCACGGTCGGCAAGACGTTTTTGCCGGTCCTTGAGGATGGCATCTCTGCGCTGGTGGTTGGCGACATGTTTGCTTTGTGGGCCGGTCGGTGTGCCATGAGAGTTGGAGAGGGAGTGTAGGGAGGACAGCGAGTTTCGGCGTGTGGAGGCGGCGGATTCTTTTCGTCGTGACTGGGAGGGACGGTAGAAGCGTGCAGCGAGGTGGGGAGGTGGTGTGTAGACACGAGAGCGAGCACCGTCGACTTGCAGGTCAAGGGCGTAGAGGAAGTCGTCCTCGAGAGGCAGCAACGACACATCAACGTCGACGTCCTCATCAACATCGATGTCAGCTGTGTCCGACATTGGGACGGCGCCAGTGGACTCTTCGATATTGCGCGAGGGCTCGGACAGGTCCATGGACAGTCGTCGCATTGCGTGAGCCAAAGGATGTGAACAATGACGCTCTTTGTCGTTTGTACTCGCTGATCGCATTCAGTTCTAGGTACTGATAGGAAGGTGTCGAGTCCTCGGTGGGGGGAGGGGTATGCTGACGGTGTCCGGGCGATTAGGAAGTGATATTGATGCGTACGAAGCGGCCCCGGACAGCCGTCGAGGAGGAGGAGTGAGGGTACAGTCGAGATCGGAGGACCAGAACGTAGGACGAGGATGAAGCGGACGACAATGAGGAGGAGGAGGAGGAGTAGAAAGGGAAGGCCGGCCGTTGGTAAGCAAGCTGGGCGCAGCTGGGCTCTCGAGGCCTAGCCGAGTTTGGTCGAGGTGATTGGTGGTGGAGCTGACGGGCGGGTATGTACGAGTGACGGAGGTGAGAGAGGGAAGCAGCGGAGCAGAGCAGGAGTGAGGAGGTGGAGAGCGGGTTCGGACTGGGCCCAGGCTGGGCTGGGCTGGGCAGGGAGAGGGAGGGTTGGCGTCAAGGCAAGCCAAGGTTGGTCGAGGGTTGGCGGGCTTGGGACTGTGGTCTTGTGGCCGTGGGCCTTGGCCGCTTGGCGTCAAACAGGTGGCGCGGGAGGTCAAAACAAGCGAAGGATGAAACCCGCGGCTGAAGTCAGTCGTGCTTGGCGGAGACACGACAAAACCTTGGGAAGAAGAGACCGACCGAGCAGGCACTCAGGCAGTGACTGGCAGTGACTGACACCTCGGAGTAATGGTATAGACCTACCTGCCCAGGTGGGTATACATGCAGAAGAGAGAGTGCCAATCTCTGGCAGGCCAGGGGCGGATGGACGGGGAAAGAAGGCTGGGGAAGGTTGCTTTGCACGCCTTGCACGCCTTCCAGCTTGCCCAGCCAAGGGCAATGACGGAAGCGGCCAAGCGGATTGTGAGTGACCTGGGGCCAGCCCGGCCAGCACGGCCAGCACGGGAAGCGACGCCACCTGGTCCCGTCACTTGTTACCCACCCGCCTTTCTCCTGCTCAGCCAGTGCCGGCCGGTAGACACGGAGTACGGATACGTACTCGGGAATATACAGAGCAATATGTACAGTTTCTGGGTAGGTACCTAAGCACTGTGGTGGTTATTATGATTCCCTGCAGATCCACCCTCTCACTGCCAACGAGTTGGTAGATCGTATACACAGCACTAGCCTAGCAGCTGGTCACTTAGTCCCCAGCCCTATCAATAACCCGTGTCCTATACACTGCCTAGCAGACAGGTATCCAATAGGGGCATTGATAACATAGTACCTGTCCACCAGTCCTCAGACCTCACTCTATACAGACCTCTGTGTCACTGCTCCCAGGTACCGGACTTGGCCGAGGCCGACGCATAATCTTCGGGATAGGCAAGCCGAGACGTGCAGCCCCCAACTACCTGCCACCGCAAGCAGTGGGCATGGGCATACTTACCGAGCACCCAACCTTGGGAGGATTCATGCACACCCAACATGCGTGCGCCGGAGCACGGCAGCCTGCCGAGGTGGACAACTGGTGCTGTGGTGACAGCCCCCAAAGAACAGCGTGCCATGGCCATCACCTTGGCGCACCGCCGCACGAACCAGTGGTAGCGAGCCAAGACCATTTTAATCTGAGCTAAACCCCGTATCTCACTCAGACCAGACGCCGTCTCCACGCTGCACGCATGCCAGCAGCGACTTTATTCCCGGCTCAGCCGCCAAAGAGCCAACCGAGTCAGTCGCGATCGGCAGCCTTTGGAATCCAAGATTGGATCTGGCCTTGGGTTTGCTGCTAGTAGCGATGCATTAATACTATGTAGTCAGTAGTACTACTATGCTGGGCTGGCTGGCTGGCAGGCAGGGGGGGAGTGCTTGTCTTCGGCCCAGCAGCCAGGGAGCCTGGGAGCCCAGACAGAAGATCGGCCCACCGTTTGATCACCCGTGCTGCCGTGCTTACTTTGACCTCGGCGGACAGTTCCTCGACTGATGAGACTGCACCACTGCGTAGGCCTCCTCGACTCGTCGCCTCGAGCCTCGAGCCTCGAGCCTCGAGGACCTGCCAGCCTGCCAGCCTGCCAGCCTCTTTCTGTGGTACCAAGACGTGACCGCAAACCCGCGCCCGCTACCACTGATCCCAGCCGAGTCCGTCCCCTCTAGGTGCCGGGCCATGGAGTGGTTCTGACCATGGCCTGTGGCACGGCGGCATGGCGGCATGGCATGGCTGGGCGGAGTGCTGGCCGACGACAAGCCGTGAGGCTCATCTGGTCAGGGGCCGTGGAAGACTGGAGAGCCGAACGTCTCGAGACGGCCCCAGGTCTAAGCTTTCCACGTTGACCGGTCGCCCGCTGTTGCTGTCGTCATTGATTGGAGCTTTTGCTGCGGTGCAGACGACACAGCAAGACTTGGGACGATTCGTATAATTGCTCGGCGGAGAGGCGAGATTGCTGGTCGGCACCGAGCTCGGCTGGCCGGCCAAATGCCGAGCGTTCCTGCATCCAAAGCTGTGGTCCAGGAGCAGGATTGAGATCGCATGCCATGACCTGTGCACAATGCAAGGTGCTGTTTTCCACCTGGTGCTTGCTACAATAGGCACCCAGGTACCCAAGCTATACGGAGTTCCCAGGAGCGAGACATGGACGGCTGGTAGGCCAGGGCTTAAACTCCTGGAATAGGCAGGTGGCCACGCCTTGTGGTTGCTACTTGCTGTCTCGTTCGGTTTGTGTCGGGCAGTTGCTGGCTGCCGTGTCTGTGAGGTAGATATACGGCACGATGAAGGCACCGTCCGTGTCTTTGCGTCTCCGCTCGCTAGCGGTGGCAGCCTCACGGTCCTCACCTCGCACATTCCCGTCAGCACCGTCAGCACCGTCCTTCCGTGCCTGTTCTGCAGCTTCTGCTTCTTCCGAGACATCATCGCCCGTGCTCGCACTCACCAGCGGCAGCTCCAAGCTCGGTCGCAACATTGGCCCCAGGTTCAAGAGCAGCAGCACCTGGCCAGCTGTTCTGCCATCCTCACCGGCGAGAAACACAGTCGCCCAGGCTGGCATCAGGCTTTTCCACGGCCTCAGCAGCACTGCTTCGACACCGTCTTGGCACCAACCTGTGCGTCCCTCTGCCGCAGCTTGCAGGTCTCACCTTCCGACTGCCCCACATTTCACCGCAACCTCGACGCGGGGTCACGCAACCTGTGCTTTGGCAGCAGAGGACCACCTCGGGAGCATCCCAACCACAAACATCACCGCAGACACCTTCGACATGGGCGACAGAGACCTCTTGCCAGACAGCTTCAAGGCTGCTCACTACGACCTGAAGCTCACCAACCTTGACTTCAAGGACTGGTCCTACAATGGATCCGTGACGTATGCTATTCTGCCCCTCGTGGCCCACGCGCAGCAGCTGACCCCCTCCCGACAGCATCGCTGGGAACATCACCAAACCAACCAAGGAGATCGTCATCAATGCTCTCGAGCTGAACCTCAGGAATGTCAAGGTCTCCGCCGACTCTGGCAAGGCCAGCAGCTCATGGAGCTCATCCAAGATCACCTATGACACCCGCGCTCAGCGGGCCGTCATCTCCTTTGACGCGGAGCTCCCTGTCTCCAAGGCCACCCTCACCATCGACTTTGACGGCGTCATCAACCACGACATGGCTGGCTTCTACCGATCTCAGTACAAACCCGTGGTCCCAGCTGCTGCCTCCGTCCCTCGTGACGAAGAGTTCCACTACATGACCAGCACCCAGTTCGAGAGTACCGATGCCCGCCGTGCCTTCCCCTGTTTCGATGAGCCGAACCTCAAGGCTACCTTTGACTTCGCCATTGAGATCCCCACCGACCAGGTTGCCCTGAGCAACATGCCCGTCAAGGATGTCCAGCCGACCACCGAGGGCAAGCAGCTTGTGTCCTTCGAGACGACCCCGGTCATGTCCACCTACCTGCTCTGCTGGGCTGTTGGCGACTTCGAGTACGTCGAGGCTTTCACAGAACGCAGGTACAACGGCAAGCAACTCCCAGTGCGCGTCTACACCACCCGAGGCCTAAAGGAGCAGGGCAGCTGGGCGCTGCAACACGCCCCCAAGATCATCGATTTCTTCTCTGAAAAGTTTGACATTGATTATCCTCTTCCCAAGAGTGATATCCTGGCTGTGCATGAGTTCACGCATGGTGCGATGGAGAACTGGGGCTTGGTCACATACAGAATGACTGCTATCTTGTTCGACGAGAACAAGTCTGAAGCTCGCTTCAGGAACCGCATCGCCTACGTTGTTGCTCATGAGCTGGCTCACCAGTGGTTCGGAAACCTCGTCACCATGGACTGGTGGGACGAGCTTTGGCTCAACGAAGGATTCGCGACCTGGGCAGGCTGGCTAGCCACCGATCACCTCCACCCTGACTGGGAGGTGTGGCCACAATTCATCAATGAAGGTTTCGAGACGGCCCTGAAACTCGACTCTCTGCGCTCTTCCCACCCCATCCAGGTTCCCGTCCGCGATGCGCTCGAGATCAACCAGGTCTTCGATGCTATCAGCTACCTCAAAGGTTGCTCTGTCATCCGTATGCTGGCGAACCACCTTGGCGTCAAGACGTTCCTCAAAGGAGTGTCCATCTATCTCAAGAAGCACACTTACGGCAACGCCAAGACTGTTGCTCTGTGGGAGGCATTGAGTGAGGCCTCTGGCACCGACGTCCCGGCCCTGATGAAGCCGTGGATTGAGAAGATCGGCTTCCCCGTCTTGACATTGGCCGAGGAACCTGGCCAGGTCACCGTTAAGCAGTCCCGCTTCCTATCGACCGGCGACGTGAAACCAGAGGACGATACGACGACATGGTGGGCTCCCCTGGCCTTCGAGGGCAAGGTCGGCGCCGAGGGGGTCCAATCTCTTGCTCTGACCAGCAAAGAGGACACCATCCGTGACGTCGATGACGACTTCTTCGTCCTCAACAAGAACGCTCCCGGATTCTACCGTGTGAACTACCCACCCCAGAGGCTGCAGAAACTCGGGACACAGCTGGACCGCCTCAGCACGGAAGACAAGATATTTATCACTGGCTCGGCCGCTGATCTTGCCTTCTCTGGCTATGGCACGACTCCTGCCCTGCTGTCTTTCATCCAAGGCTTCAAGGATGAGACCCACTACCGTGTTCTAAGCCAGGCCCTGGACTCGATCAATGTGGTCAAGTCCATTTTTGGGGACGATGACACCATAAAGCAAGGACTCGAGAAGTTCACCCTTCGCCTGATCGATAACGCTCTGAACAAGGTGGGCTGGGATATCCCTGCTGGTGAAGACTTCAACACCAGCCTGCTGCGCAAACGCTTGCTTGTTGCAGCTGGGACCAATGGACACCCTGGGTAAGTGGGCCCGACATCAGGATACTTCTGGAGTGACATAGTTTCAAGATGCTGACTGCATATAGCGTGACTGAGGAGGCCCTGAAGCGATTCTCGGCACACTCAGCTTCTCCCAAGGACAACCCATTGCATGCCGACCTTCGCAGTCCAATCTACCGGGTCGCACTGAAGTCTGACCCGGCTGGTACTACCGCTTTCCTGAAGGATCAGTGGTACACCACGGATGCCGTCGATGGCAAGGAGGTCTGCCTTACTATTATGGGCAGCTGCACCGACGAGTCCATCATCACTTCGACTCTAATCCCATTTGTGTTCAATCTCTCACCACCAGCACCAGCCTCCGACTCTATACCCCCTGGAGACGTGCACTACCTGTCGGGCACACTGGCTGCGAATCGTGTGGCTCGCCCGCTGCTGTGGAAGTTTGTCAAGGAGAACTGGGACCAAGTGGAGAAGAAGCTTGGTGGCAACCCTATCATCCTGGATCGCTTCGTCAACGTTACTCTGAGCAAGTTTACGACCTTCAAGGACGTCGAGGACATCGATGCATTTTTCAAGGACAAGGACCGCACCGCATTCGACCGCACCCTCGAGACGGCTAAGGATAAGGTTCGTGGACGGGCTGCGTACAGGGAAAGAGATGCAGATGTACTCAGGGAGTGGTTGAGCACCAATGGGTATACCTCGTGAGCAGGTCGACATACATGTCGTAAACGTCGGGATGAATGTGTTAAAAGTTTATGGAATTATCATGATTACCTGTGTACGGGTCAATCTGACTAGATATTAACAGTGTCTATTGGTCTGGATTCCCTTTTGTGGAAGCCTTGCCCGTGACTGTCGCAACGAAGGAGCAGTCCTCTCCAGTCGACTCCTCGTCCTCTATGACCAATACCCTCACCCCCTGAAATCCCATCTTTTCTTTTTTATCATCACCGCCCTGATCGTCATCACCCATGCAGTCCTGATGTTCATCTTGACAGCCTCGGCGAATATCTCAGCGAACACGAGCCCTGGGTGTTGCTCATCCCATCCCGACTTTTCCAGATCGAAAACCTCCCTCCAGACTGTTACGACACCTTGAATCACATCTGGCATCCTCGTCTTCTCTTCTTCCATGTCTAACCGTTGCGAAGGACGCGGTACAGACCATTGTCTCTTCTTTCCACCAAATCGCGCGCCTCCAGGAACGCGGGGCGAGAGACCTGGGAATCGCAGCGCCCGGCGCAGTGATAAAAAAGGTACGTCACCTCGAGATTATGCTGCATCGTGGAGGCCAGGAATGCGACATCCTGCACGAGCAAGCTGATATCATGGATATGGCCATCCTGCCCCTCCCCCTCCTCCCCCTTCATCCAGCACCCCCGCCTCTCCTTCGGCGATCAGCCCTTCCTGCGCCCCGCCGTCCTGTCCCAAGTCGCCTCCCTTCTCTTCCCCGATGCCCTCCTATCCATCACCCGCCAGGCGCGCCATGATATCCGGCCACAGCTGCGGCAGCTCGATGGCGACCCTCGTAGCCCGGTGCAGGGCTCCGGGGGTCCGGGGAGCGGAAGGAGCAGTACGCCTCGTGTGTTGTCGTACGTCACACTTGCGCAGCCGCGTTCCGTGGTGCTTGGGGGCCCAAGGTAGATTGTGTTTTGTGTCGTCGCCGCGGGTGGTTGTCCTCTGCAGCCCTGCTGCCGCGTCGAAACATGTTGTTCTGAGTTTGCCGCGGGACATGTACATGGAGGGGTGGTCGGTGGCGGAGAGGGCCGCTTGCGTTGAGGGGTCTCTTTCTTGGGATGGGAGGTCCTCTGTGCTGGTTGTGGCGAGTGGAGAGAGGTAGGGAGTTTCGGTGACCTCCTCGAGGTGAACTGCTTCTTCTTCTCTTGGAGGGGCCTGTGCCTGTGCCTGTGCCTTGATTATTTCTGTCATTGCCGTTATGAGTCACTGAAATTGGTCAAGATGCTGTCGGCGGCGCCGACTCGGGATTGCGTGGCGGTACGCAGGCGTCGAAGAGGTGCATCGAAGGCTGTCGTGCTGGTAGAGCTCGTTAGCGCCCAGTCTAAATTGCCTCTCTACAGATTTCGCAACACAGGAACGGTTCCAGCTCCGATCACAGGAGGCAGGGCATAAGTAACATAAGAAGGACGAATTCGAGAAGGCTTTTCTCAAACAAATGCATGTTGAAACATACGCAGGCTTCCGACACAAGAGGCCTTCAAGCTATCTCAGGCCGAGGGGTCAGACGAAGACCATCTAAAGAAGAACTAAAAGCTATTGGGTATCAGAGGTCAGTTGAATAATGGTCATCCAGGCCATCATGGTATAAGTGGCCGCAACAAGTAACAAGGGGCCGGCAGGCGGCCGCACCCGTGTCGGCCATTGTTGTATTGGCGATTTGATGGGTCAGAACACGTTCGGCTGAATTGATCTTCACCTCAAAATTTGGAACCTTCGACCCTGAATTTCTAGTATTTTGCTGCTCAAAAAATCATAGTTACACGGGCGTGGGTGCAGCCAGAGATGGTCGCTAGACAAAACATCAATCTTGGAGTGAGATTCTCTTTTCTTTGGGGGGGGGGGCACAGATTGGGCTGCCTTGTGAACATCAACGTGTGGACCTGGTGTAAACCTGACAAAGACGAAGAAGTATGGATCAAACCTGGGCAATGTTTTTTTTTTTTTTTTGGCTTGGAATAATCTGATGAGAAATAGAAGAAGAAACCAAAGACAAAAGTCCCTTAGTCCGGCTTGATATAAATTCATGAGTCAATTTTGTCACGCAGAGGTTGGCCTTTTCTGCGCAGGTCAACGCAAATATCCACCGCTGTGTCGGTCACACAAAATAAGACGCACATTGCAATTGCCCGACACGTTCGCATTCCTCTCCGCACAGCATGTTTACTCGTGCTTACCGCGGTGTTGGGCCCCCGTCCCACGACCCACCGACGGCTCGCAGCTTTGAGGCCCCTCCCAATCCCGGGGCACGCCATGTGACGTCAGTTCGAGTTCGCCCTCGAGTGCTGTCACCTGCTGACTATCGAGGGCCGCCATCCGCAGGCGAACACACAAGCACAGCATATATCTGTCTTGATCGTGCATCAACAGATCCCCGTTGTCTCAGTCTCTTTCCACATTGGTAGCACCATAAATGACTCCTGTATCCTATTCGGAATAAGGCACATCTATCTGCTGAACCACCGTACGTCACAAAGAATCAGCGCCAACAAAGCAGCTACGCCTGTAGACATATATTCACCAGAAAGACATGCCAGCAGGCCATTCAAACTCCATTTTCGAGAGCAACCGCAGAGCAGCTAGGGATGGCGAGGCGTTACTATGGGGCGCCCTCTGCGACGATCCCAGCACCGCCGCCGAGTACATCGAGAAGGACTGCGTCGTGATGAACCCACTCCTCCACCCAGACAAGTCCTTCGAGGCACTCACAGAAGAGTCAGAACCCACGCTGGCCGAAGCCCTGGAGAAGCTGGCCGTCTCCAAGCACCGGTGGACGAGCTATGTGATGCACAGGCATGACCCCACGCCGGCCACCGCCAATGTGGAGATGTTCGCCGTTCAGATCATGTACAGGATGACGCTGATCCGGGAGACGACCCATCGACATCACCATCATCATCATAACAATCACGACGACGACAAGGTGGATGAGGAGAAGAAGAGCAAGCCTGACATGCAGAAGGTTGATGCGTTCTGCACGAGCACGTGGAGGCAGGGCTCAAATGGGGGCTGGAAACTTTGTTCGCAACAGTTGATACCCATATCATGATAACTACCTGGGTACCTAGGTAGTGTCCTTTCTGGTGCTCTTCTCCTTTCGGTTTCTTCCTCATAGATTTGCTATTGGTTGATGTCTAGTTGCATTTACATAAACCACATACCTACCTGGTAGCCAAGTAAAAGCTCTCAAATGGTATTAGAATTTTATTTAGAAAGAATGTACTGGTTGGTCCATGATAACCACAACCCCGGCGGTGTTTTGGCTATTAGGGTGCAATGCGGTGCGATTTGGCGCTGTCAGGAGTGTTGAGTGTACTGTCTAGCATTCATCTTGTGCTCGGCCTGAGCTCTTCCGGTCTTGTAGCAAGTCCAAGTATTTATTTATAGATGCCCGAGCTTTCCCATGGATGGAGGGGGACTGAGTAAGAGTGAAAAGTTGTCGCAAGACTTATTATACCAGCCTTACAGTTCAACTTTAGTACCATGCCCTGGGTCCATCTTTGAATCGGGGGCCGGCTTCGAGTGGGCTTTCATGTAGTTCAAGTCAACATATCCTGAAGCAAGAACGAGCTGCTTGAGGGGGCTATTACTAGGGTAGCTATGACACCGCCGAGTTAGCAAATCGGGGCGGTATTATCAGGATTGGTTAAGCTCTAGGCACTGCCCAGGTGCAGAATTCAAACTCACCGGAGTAACATCCTGGCCAGTGCACGCTCTCCGAGCAATAACGTGGCAATGACCGCCGTAATGACGGGCACACCGGCCGGCACACCGGCCTCCCACACCGCCACAGACGTAGACATCACCATTGCGAGCTCAAACTTGGTAGCAAGGTTCTTCATCTGCCCAAGTCGAGGGTCAAGCACAGGGAGGGTCATGATAGTCAGTCGGAACCAGCCGAACCAGTTGAGAAACTTGACGCTGACCCTAAATAGCCCGGGATCCTTGCCCCCGTACCAGCACGCGGCAAAGATGACGGCGTGCACTAAGACCACTCCCTGGAACCCAGACCGGATGAAAGCTGTCGTATAATTGCTCTTAGACCGGCGAAGCTCGAGGAGGAATGAGCTGACGTTGAACAGCACAAAGAGGGCGAGGTCGGTGCTGTCGGGCTTGGGTCACACGCGCAACGAGGCATAACGAGCGTGGTAACGGAGGACGTACAGCGGGCCGACGAAAATGTGGACGAGCATGGGAAGGTAGGGATACCCCCTGGCGCGGGTGAGTTTGGCGGAACAGAACGAAAAGGTCCGGACGAGGAAGGGCGAGTACAAGATCAGGACAAAGAGAGTTTCGAGTTCCGGACGGTATCTTGAGAGGGTGGAAATGGCCGATTGTGTCAGCCATTGTATCTGGAGGCCCGGTGGCCCGGCGACGGGACCCGGCGTCGTCGTCGTTGAGTTCATCGCGGAGTGCTCCTGCAGACAAGCGATTCTTCTTGCGCGACCTGGGTGAACACTCACGAGCACTCTGGATAAGTTTCAGGAGGTCTGTGTTGGAGTTTGTGAGGGGGGCATTGACGGTATATAATGATTCCCACCAACAGCCTTTCACATATCATGTGCACGTACATGTCGACTCATCCGGCATCGGTTCCCGCTGCGTCGTTTCAGCACTGCTTGGCTAGGGCTCAGGTGGACAAGCCAACGCTATCACCTCAGGCACGATTTATGCCAGCCAACGAATCCTCCAACTTCCTGCAAGGTCTTTGAGTGGGTGATCGACAACTAGAAGGGACTTCCTGCACCAACACCTGCATAGGTGGGGATAAGGCCAGTCCAGCATTAGCCCTGAAAGAATGACCCATAAAAACATGGCCAGAAGTCTTGTCCTGGACACAGGCGAGGCGTGGAAGAAATACTGATAATGATACGGACGAGAACCAATTTTTGTTACCATCACCAAAGCTCATTCTCCAATTTACGGTTCAAATGTTGCCCTGCTAGTATTTATACGCTTGTGGGTATAGCCACGGGTGGTTTCGTTTCTAATCCCCATACATATAAAGCATATGTGGCGCCTTCATACAGTGGTAGACGCTCAAGACCCATAGTGAGAGCATGTTGCTACCAAGTCAGAAACCCTCCCTCACCCTGGTAGGTAGCTAACGCTCGCAATATTTGCTGCTGGCGACGATGAGTAAAATGTGCCATGGTATTGCTTTGCAGCCATTTGACAACTCCCGTCCCTCGGTGGTGCGCTGCGGTGACCCTGCGCATTGGGAAAGTCACGTATGTAGCAGCCATGGAGCCAACCATTCCAAGAACGCCTTTCTTCGAAAGCTACCTAGGTAGCCGCCGTGCCCTGATGTAACATGGCAATGCCGAGAACCGAGATCATTCCTCAGTTGACGAGGACCGTTGTGAGGCGTTAGAACTGTCCACGGCCTCTTTACGTTGCCGGCTGTTCTGTTTCCTAAGCTGCTTCTGGTCCCACTTCACTGGGACGCCCATGCTAGGCCCCCAAATCCCGGCTGCCTTCATAGACTTGGCCTCCTTCGTCCTGGCGTCCTTTCTTTCATGCTTTGCATCCTTGATCTCGTTCCATTTGTCGGTCGGGCATGGCTTTGCAGTGTTCAGACTAATGGCGAGCGCTGAAAGGTACAATCTTGGCCCAACTTCCAACGCGCTAATGCGTTCCTGGACAAACACAATTAGTTCTGCCTTATAGTGCAACAGACTCCTAATGACTTGATTATGGGCTTACCTTGTCGACTGTGGCATCAACCAGCCTCGTATTGAGGCAGTTAGCTGATACAGTGGTGATATCTTGCATCCAGCCCCACAGGTGACAAGAACGGTTGTAAGGTCGATCCAGCTTCTCCCAGACCTTGCTTGCCGCTGGTGGCAGCTTGCCCGCTTCAATCAACTTGGAATATTGTTTGTCGTCAAACTTATCCTCGCCAATCATCAAGATCGGAAATCGAATGTCGTCCGGCACTGGGTATATGGAGAGCTTCCGCCATTCGTCGAGCTGATTCTCCGGTTCTGTACGAGCGGACGGGGCACCAATGGCAATATTTTCGTCACCTCGGCCATTCAAAGGTTGGCTTTGGGCGTGGCGTAGAATCTGGAGGCCTTCGTGTATGTCTCTCCACCCAAACATGATTGCAGCTCGTGCTTTGGTTGTATCGGTACCCAAATCGTCCACTATATTGCAGAACTCCCGAGCGACTTCGTAGGTGCACTCAAGCCGCCTCCCTCTCAGAGCATTGTAGACAACCTGTAGCCTCTCACCTGGGGCGTGTATTTCATCCTCTAGATGGGATAACGTCTGCATGGAATACCATTCTTTGGGCTCGACCACGGCGTGGGCAATGTCAGACGCCAAGGAGAGGAGAATAGTCAGCTCCAGGTTAACCGTAGGTGTCAGCCGGTCCAGGTTGGTATCCCGAAACATGTTGGCGAAAGCTTTCTCCAGAGGAGGGATAGGAGTTTCCAGGAATTTACTGTTCGAGCAATCCACAAGGATCTCAACGTTTCCCTCCTGTCTCTTGGAAACTCCCATGCAGCGTATACGATTGAGCAACTTGTCGACCGCTTCGATGCGTCCCTCTCTAAGGTTTGGCAGCACTAGACGTACTCTTGGGATTCGAGTATTGCAACGATTCGAACGTGCTGCCTTGACAAGTTGGCTGGCGGTTTTCACAATACCGATCCCTGTGTTCTCGCCATCGCTTGCGTCCGAATCCTCATCGGTTGAGTCGTCAGGATTCCATCCTTCTTGTGCCATTTGGTAAATGAGTTTCTTCTCGGTCACCACGGATACTTTGACCCATTCGGTGCCGTTCTCAACAACGGCGTCGACAGTGGTCCCGAGCTTTGCAGAGTGCCCGCTGAATCTTCGACGGAAAGCCATCAGGCCATGAGTGCGCTTGATGGCATCCCACTGCTCCTGGTGTGGGTTCAGGCCGCAGCCCTGGATGATAGCAGTATCCTTCTTGTCCCGCTCCTCTCGAGCCTGATCATCAGCCTCAGAGTCGCCCACTTTTATTCCTTCCCTTGCCTTCAAGACGCGCTGAACAGAGTTCCCCGTGCCCTTGACAGATGTCACATACTCGTGAATCCCTGGCAACGGGTCTGCTAATTCCCGTCGCTCGAGTTTGGTGGCTTTAGCCAGCCTCTGCTTGTATGCAGCGCTGAGAGCGTCTAGCTCCCCGATCAGTGCGTGAATGTTGTCCAGCGTGGTGCGACCGAGTGTGACGACATGATCTGTTACTTCTTGGGCCATGAGAAAAGTATCACAATCGTATCGCTCAATTTGCCCGTCGTGTAAAGCAACTCCGAGTCGGACGATATGTGTGCAAATTTACACGGTGGTCCAGGCGTATCTGCGGGTGATTCACTGTACTTCTGGTGGCTTGGGATGAGAGCGAACGGTTCACTGAGCCTGAAGCGTTGCGATGATGGCTACAAGATGTGTCAAACGGTGATCAAGTGGAGAGAAATTTACCCTTTGCTCACTGTGGATAGACGGTGCAGCCAAGCGCTGTCACGGTCCCAGCCGGTCAGGGTTAGGGTGATGTAGCCCCTTACCTTGGCTGGCTGGTCAAAATGGTGCAAGTCAGCAAGTGAGACAGTGTTTACTCCGTTGACTGCTGGCGCAACAGACCGCTCGGCCAAAAGACCATAACAACCAGTTTGAAAGAAGAGGTTATTCCGGCAGTCGTGAGCCCGTACCGTCCCAGCGAGGCCCGAGTACAAATCTTTAACACCCCCCTCCCTTTCCTATAAATAAGGTTATAACTTATTATATTATATAGATAAGGCTTAATAGTGTAATAAGAATATAAATATTTTAACTTTATTATATATATAAAAAGTGAAATTCTATATATAATTTTTTAAAATAAATTAATATAAATTAAAAAATATTAAAAATAAAATAAATTTATAAATAAATATTTTAAAACTTTATTATTATATAAAAAGATTATATAAATTATATATATATTAAAAATAAATATAAAAAGTTTTTAAATAAAATCTATCTTATTTTTTTATATTAATTTTTACTTTTTTTATAATAATATATCTTTATAAATAATAGATTTTAATTTAAAGTAATTTAAAATTATAATCTTTTAATTAAAGTATTTATAATACACTATATTATAAATTTAAACTTAGTCGATTTATATTTAAAGAAATTTTATTAAAGATAAAAATAGTTTAGAAAGATTTAAGATCATGAATTCATCCTATGTACTATTTTTCTGTAAATTCTTGTCCCCAGGTCTGGTTACAGGTCCAGCCTCGGCAGTCAGCTCTGACAACGACAGTGGGCTATTCATGTCAAAAGGGTCGCTTGTCACGGTAAGACTGGCTTGTCTGCTGAGTATCAAACGATCTGCAGGGTTGTCTTCTGTGCATAGTAGATATTGATACAGCGGCCGCCACTGCCGAGTTGAGTTGGTGAGGCTGAAAACCCTGGCCTCTTGGTGCTTTGTACGTGTAGGGCCTGTCAGTATCTGCCAATTCGCTCGGTCTAGCCCAAGACCAATTCCTTCGTAGTCGGTCAACACAATGACGATTCTTATCGATTTCCTGTGCTCGCTTGACCAGTTGTAAGAGAAGTAATTCCTCTCGTATGCAGACGGGCGGCTTGGTAGGAAGACAGCCTTTAGGGCGGACGTATCAAAGTGTCTCCGGATACCGACGAGGACAAGCACGGCTTCAAATAGGTAAAGGCAACTTATCACCATCCTCTGACCCTCTCCTATCGCCGACATTCGTAGCATCATTCCAATTGCCTCAAGAATGTACGTCAGTTTGGCGCTGTTCGCCAGCAGCTCATCGAGCCTGTCTGCCGGAAGAGGGAAAAGCTCCAAAGACGATCGTCGACCGGCCTTGAGCAGGATTGCTTCTACTGCCTCGTTGCTCACGTCAACCCCGTCGATGAGATACTGAGCGGCCCCGGGGAACGTTGATACGATTTGGCAGAGCCTTAGCTGTTTGTAAGTATTGAGGCATCGGATCACTTGGTTGACGTTGAAGGATCCGCCGCATGTGGCCCTGATGTCCGCTCGAGCCTTGTCAAAGATACCCTGTACGTCCAAAATCAACGAACCTACACGTGGCGTATAGAAGCTGTAAGTAGTGGGCCCCAAAGACCTACTGATGGGCCGATTGAACCATTCCGAGCTCAGTGTTCGCCGGCAGACGAGGTGCCTGAACAGCTTGTTCGTGATGTGGTCGATGGCAAGCTGCGAGTCCTTCGAGCCGAAAGTTAATCTTGGATCTATGGCCCTTTGGAATAGCAACTCCGATACTCTAAGTTTCTCAGGGAGCTTATAGTGGTGAGGGTCGAGTGGCATGCTCCACTGACTTCTGTAAATGCATCTTAACAAGGGAAGGAGTCCATTGAAGCCATTGCTCATTGGCTTTTCTGAAACGGCCCAAGTGTCGACTTCTCTGTGCATTATGTGGCGATGCTCTTCGATGAGCTCGAAAACTGGGCTTGTTGGCGAGAGGAGGTCGTATTGATCAATGATATGCAGCCCGACAAAGGCTCCGTATGAGTAGCGCTGTTTACCAGACGGGTCGATTGGCACTTGCCCCTTGAGATTTCGGTCCCACGGATCATAGCCAAAGTCGTCCAACCGATTGCTCATGAACATTCTGTATCTGTTTAGATACATGGGCTCCTGGCCTATCAGGATGATGTACCTCTCGGGTTGCCTATTAGGGTTGCTGTTGCTCGGCGGACTGACAGACCATTCAGCATCGAAGACATTCTGCTCGCCTTGGTGAGTTGTTTGCCGGAAATTGGGGTTTATTTCCATGTTACCTTTGAAATCAGGTTGTGGTTGAAGGTGTTCTCGGAAGAAGTGGTGTATAAGCAAAGGTTCATAGTATGTCGGGTCGGGCGAGCATTTGTCAATCAGCTTGACCCATTCGTCGACTTTTTCTTTTCGAACGAATATCTGCTGCGCGCCGCGAGAAAGATAGCGCGCGATCTCTCGAGTGGAAGTCCCCGCGCAAAAACATTGAATCCCAAGAGGGTCGCCACTTGGACATTTCTGCGTTAAGGGGTTGGATTCCGGATGATGACGGCGACGACGATTTTTGTCTCGACCACAGAGCTTCCACTCAAGCTGGCATTCAGCTTGGGTATAGACCACGAGCGCGCGCACAAAGCAGACAGCTAAGCAAGTCTGCTTGTATGTCGTCGGGTCACATGAGTATTGAGACGCCAACATTCCCCCGTTCAAACCTCGCATATTTGAAATTAGCATGAAGAATACGTCCCACGCCTGGTACGAGCTAAGGCGCAGCTTTGTGAAAGGGATTGCAAGTTCTGCCTCTAAATTCCGGAACTTGGCTGCTTGGTCTTCATTCAAGAGGAAAAAGTCGCAAAATCTTCGGTAGGCTCGTAAGCTAGGAGATTGCATGATGGGTACGATATCATCCAGCTCGCCTTCCATGGTGTCTGTGAGGCCTCGCCTCGTGTTCAAACTTGACAAAAGCTCATTACTCGGTTCTAGATTCATGTTGTTCGAGTCTGGACTGCAAGTGCCCAGTTTCTGTCTGGTTCGCGTGATTGTGGGAAGAGTCCCAAATTCTTCTGGGAGAAATGTGATTGAAAATCGGTCCATAGGAAGGGCTTCATCGCTCGATTTAGTACGGATGCGATGTCTCTATTGTTACAGAAACGAGCTTTGTTGAGAGGAACAAGACCTTTCAAATGACCCGGCAATACCGGACCACGGCTTTGAGTTATATTTAGAACAAGCAGCATGCATGATGACAGGTGTTGTTATTGTGTTCAACAAAGCCTTCTTTATCCCACGGATCGGCATGTAACACCAATAGTTGGATTGAACGATTGTGCACCGTTAATCGTCGATACATCCATCTTCGAACACTTGCAATTTGCCCAGATTTTACAATTGAGGAAATGCACGATTTTTAACGCCATAAAAAAAAACCTCCGTTGTAACAGAAATGACACCGAGATCATTGAGCGCTAGGAGATGTTTGCGATGGTGTAGGTCAGGACTAGTGGGCGAGTCGCAAGGCCCGGAGTGAGATGCTGGCCCTCACAGTCACGCCCATACCAACAGTAAAGCTCTCCTCCTTGATCAAGCCAGGGGCTTGGAGGATATCCGAGAAGGGGATCTCAAAGGAGCCTTGGTCGTCCTTCTTGTTCAGGAGAGTAAGCTTGAAGCTTGCAGGGTTTGCGAGCAAGTCAGCGGTCAAAGGGATCCTAAAGGCCTGATCGAAGGATGGGTTGAAAATATCCGTTCCGGGGGTGTAGGATTTGGCAGCTGTGAAGAATTGCTTCTCGCCCCACGTCACTTTGATGCTGGGGTTCAGCTCGTCCCGTTGGCCCTGCAGCCCTGAAACGCTGCCGATGAGCACGGTCGCGAGTCCGACCATCTGGCCCTCCTCCGCGTCGCTCTTGCTGGAGAGAATCCCGGCATCATCAACAAAGTTGAAGAACTGGGCCCTGACGCTGACCTTGGCGTTTGTGGGCTCGCCCTGGTGGAAGAGCTCCAGCTCTTTCGATCCACCGTCGAGCAGAATGTCCTTGACGGTGGTAGTGGCGATGCCTATATCGTCATCGCTTCCAAGATCCTCATCTTGCAAATCAATGACTATCTCTTGATCATTGTCTGCGACGAGGAAGTCATGCGTCTCATTCCATTCCGGGTTGTTATTGTCCTTCTTGGTGGTCGTTCGCCATTCCTCTTCCGCCCCAACAGCGACCTTGCAGTAACAGTCAGGGACATCCTTGACGATCTTGTTCAGAAACTTCATGACGGAATTGTGCTTGGGTCCCTGAACTCCAGTTGCCTTCTCAATAGTCAGGCGAAGGGCACCCAGATGGGGCAGATAAGTCTTGAAGTAGTCGTTATTGGAGTCCAGCTTGACCAAGAAGCGGTTTGGCAGGACAGCCATGGAGGAGATAATGTTGAGAATGACTTTGCGGATGGCCTTGTCGACCAGGAAGCAGTCGGCAATATTGGCTGCATCAGTAAAGTCGAGCTTCAGTTGTGGTGGGTTGATAAAGGCCACTTGTGCAGCGCCGATCTTTGCAACAATGTAAGCACATGTGGGCATGCGGTCGTCTCATGACACGAGGTTCAAGTTCTGCGGGAGGGGCTCATACTAGAGGGATGATGTTGGTCAAAGGGGCGAGAAGGATTGAAAGCCGGCCCTTGAGGTGTATGTTTCTTATTCCCTGTCACAGAAGGTTAGAAAAGCGTCATTTCTCGTGTTTTCAATGAATCAAGTTGCATGCAGCGCGCAGTTTTACCAGCTTGGGGATCAAGCCTCCTTCGAGATCAATGTCACTCTTGCCATCCCAAACGATATCCATATCCAGCTTGATGCCTCCATTCTGAGTCTTGTGTACATCGACTGCGGATATCCTAATTGGCTCTTGACCGAGGTCGACCTTGGTGAAACGCAGAGAAGAGAGGGGGCCTGGTAGTGTGGAGGCGAGGATGGGCTCAACTATCTCCTTGACCATCCTGCCGCCAGCGACATTTATGTTGGGCCATAGCTGTTGGATCATGTCGTTTAGAAACCCTGCTCACGTATCAGCGGCTCTGTGACCTGATCAAGCGGGCGAGGGAGTCCTACCTGCGGATTCGGTGCCACCAGAGGCGGTCAGTTTCTCTACGAGTTGAGCCATGGTCTGGGAGTTTCGCTGGATGGTGAGCGATGAGCGATGAGCGATGAGAGGGGGTTTGACTTGACGAGGTTCAGAATTTGATGGCACCTCGAGTCACGAAGATGATATACAAGATACCACGTGGTCGTAAAGGCTTCAATGTGGATCTTTGAACACATAGAAAGCGCGCGTTTGACCGCCACAAGGTGTGTTGTTCGTTTCTTGGCACGAAACTGGGTGGGGTCTCAACGTCACTCAAAGCCACAGACTGTGCAGGCACCCCTTCATTTGTAGACACTCTGAAGCTTAAGGGCTGCTCCATCTCAACGAGACATACCAATAAAACTGAAGGCTGCACAACAAGCACGGGCGGGCAACATCCCAATGCGCTCAATGTTGAATACTGTTTAAGACCAATGCACTTTCCTCGCATTAAAGTCCCTGCAACGGAATGTGCACACCCGCTTGAGATAATCAAACCCGCACGATAGTCGGCAGACTCACTAGCGGCACCCCTGTCAAGATCTGATTGGGCAAGAAGTATAGGGAAATGTATACTGTAGCAAGTACACTGGGGCTCACAAATGTGACACGGTGGTAGAATGGCTTTTGTTGGACATAACAGTTTACTCAATAAGGCCGTTGACAGCTATGACCATCTCGTATCATCGATGGGGTGGGTCGGATGCTGTACCTTCTCAACAATGAAAGCATCAAGGGCTTGATTGTGTGTGTATGGTTTTCTTGCCAGCTGCACATCTCAGCCAGAAAGTTTAGCATTGTGAGGTTCCTCAGTTGGACACAGCCATGTTGTTATCTATTCAGTAAATCCATGGGCACATTTCACCCGTTTCACTCTCTGGTACAAGTGCATGTAAAATGACAGGGAATAGAGCATCTGAAGGATAGATTTTGGTGTGAGTGATGAGTGAATGTTCCCACAGTTTAGTATCTTACCCAGGTAAGTACCTACTTACCTAGGTACCTACAGTCCAGGCTTTGGTGTACTCTGCAACCTTTAAAGCTCCTTCCGTGCCCGAACCCCTAGGCCTGCAGTTATCCTTGGCCTTGCTTCGACACATGTCCAACATTGGATTGGGCTGTCGAAAAGGGCTTTGAAAAGCGCCTTCTGGTGCCTCAACTCTCTATACCAGTCGTAGCACCCTGTCAACTTCAACGAAAACGACATTGAAAGCTTCCTTCATCCCCACTCCTCGCACCATCTTCACCCAACACTTCTTCGTCCCGTCATCCAACATTGTCATGACCTAACCCAGGCCACATCTGAAGTCAATAGCAAGATTTATTGTCAGCAATCCATTCTTTACAAGCATTCCACAGTGTACCACATCTGCCTGGTCACTGCAGACATGGCGCTTGTATCTACACAAACCAGCTCAGCTGTCAATATTGGAAGCCTGACGGGCCTCGAGGCTGCCACTGCACCAGATTTTGAATTGAATGGAGACCCAGGAGCGCGGACTAGTACGGCCAGGTCGACCAGCACGCCGCTGTTGGTTGAGTTGGAAAGCAATTCCTCTTTCTACCCCATCGACATCTCAATCCAAGGACTACCCGCCACCGTCATTCTCGACACCGAAAGCTCCGAACTCTGGTATACCACAGACTCTTCTACTCTAGAGCATCCCGAGGGGCTCGATACTGGCGTGCTGCACCCAACTGAGAGTACTGCAAACGTGTCAATCACTACCATCCAGAGTTGACTGCAACAGCCAGCCCTCTCAGCGGCCCTTTTTCTAACCGTTATGGAGACAACAGTACCACCGAGCTGTACTTCTTTAATGGATTGCAAGCAGTACATTCAACCTTCATATCAGCCAGCAGCGGTCCGGATCCATCCTATTTGGGGCCTGGATGTGAAGAAGTTCCGGGGCCCTCTGCAAACACCGCCTTGGAATCCCCAGAGCTCTTAGCGGGCGCCTATGACCCTTCCGGGCGCGCAATCTCCAGTTCATATCAAACGGGAAAGTGACTGCAGGTGCTCAGGGAGCCCGACAACCAGCTGATGGGCGTTGTTAGTTACTTTGTCGCAGTCCAGTCCCGGGTCAGCAGTCTCCCATCAAATACCAGCAAACCATCTTCCCTGTGCTCCTGGATAGTGGCGAATGTAATGAAATGACGCCAGAGGGCATATCATCTCGGATTTGCGCTGATATTGGAGGATCTCAGTCGACGTGGTCCGGCACCAACTCTTGCAACGCCCATTGTGATATCAAGGGCAGGCGGATTGGACGTGAACTTCAACAATCAGACCATTCGCGTCAGCTACAAGGACCTTGTTACAGAAGAAGTTGACAACAGTGGAGATATGCAATGTTTCCTGGCTGTGACTGATACCTCTATTGCTACAGACCCGCCTGTGTATAGCCTTGGGGTTCCGTTTCTACGAGCTGCGTACCGATTTTTGACTGGGACAACAGGCAGGTGTATCTCGCCCAAGCTGCTGACTGCGGCAGCCAGATAGTAGCGACCGATGCCGGTCCAGGCGCTCTGCCTACTGCCGCTGGATGTGGCGAGTATCCGGCTTCCCCCAACAACTCCGCAGCTTTGCCGCCACTTCGGAGCGCCATCGGATCAGTGATAGCCATTGCCATGGCAGGTATATTGGTCTTGGTCTGATGCAACCAGCTGATGGGGCTTTATGGTTTTGGAAGAGTTCTGAACACCTATGTGTCCCAGATCACTACACGAGAATGGCCTTGATGCGGCAGCGGTAAATGCCCGGGGCTTCTCTTACGTACACTAGAATAATTCACCCTCCACCACAAGGTTTTAGTGCCGTATTCTATTTCTGAATCCCTCTTGTTTCAAATGACTCGCTGCTCTTAACGCGTCTGAAGCTCTTTGGAATCTCTGCTTACGAAAACCCCGTAGTCCAAGTGCCGAAGCTGACACTAAAGACACTTACTTCTTCTTGGCAATCCAGCCCCGCGTGATCATGCAAGCAGTCTGGCGTCCACAGCAGGCGCCCAGAGAGACTATTTCACGGAAGCTAACAAGTGTTTGCAAATCAGAGGTCGATCTTATCCCTTGTCTGTTTCCTTGGTATTACTCCCCATGCAAGTGGCTTATGCAGACAGGCCCGAATCGGCGGTCAAAATTGGGGTTACGAACATCATTGGCGCTCAACGGAAACTTCATCCGCTTGGGGTACTACATAACCGCTGAAAGGGGGCAGGGCTTACGGGAATCCCAGCAACCGAAGAATCCACGTTCGAGGAGATCATCGTGGTCTCTCTCTGCCTAGGTATGTGCATGTCGGATATGGGCACAAGTCGGATATGATCCGCATCTGACATTTCACTGTGGAAAGGTTTAACTATTTGTTCTCCGCTCGCGCTGACCCCTCTAGCTTAAATATAGAAATATCCCTATTTGCGCATCGTTCAGTCCTCCATGATCTGTGCTCTGCTCTGTGTAACGACAAGAAAGACAACATGGGGCTTACTAACACATTCAGCGAGTGTATTGATGAGGTGGACGTGATTATTGCTGGAGGTACGTTTCAATTGCCCTGCTCTCTGTATCCCGTAGATGAGAGGCAGGCTAATCACAACAAACTCCAGGGGGGACTGCCGCATGCGTGGTGGCCGGGAGGTTGGCAGAAGCCGATCCTGAGCTGTCCATTCTCGTCATCGAAGGCGGGCAGGACAATTTCAACGTGCCCAATGTGGTCAATCCGCTCCTCATGTACCAGCATCTGTTGCCAACCAGCAAGACGGCGTTGTTCTATAAAGCCAAGGCTTCTGAGCACCTGGCTGGACGGGAAGCAATCGTTCCTTCAGGAGGTTAGTTGACCTCCCCTGCTCACGTGCCCGGCTCGGACAGAAAAATTGCCCGTGCGTGTTGTGCGGAGAGTGCATTAAAGTTATGGCGTGGGTGGATATATGCGCTGTCTCGGAAAAATGAGAGTTGGCCCCCCCCCTATAAAATGCCCCCTATTCCTTAGCTAAATTAAAACTTTGCTAGCAGGATAGAAAACCCAATATTCTTATTAAAATACCTATATTAACTTTATTAACACTAATAATAAGTTATTTTTATTACCTAATTAGGTAAAAGTAATATTATATTAGTTTTATATAATTAATTTAAGCCTAGCCTATAAAAGTATATATAATCTACTTACTTTAATATAAGGTAATATTAGCCTAGCTAATATTATAAATAATATATTTTAATTAACTTATTAAGCTTAAACTATTTAACACTTATTATATAAAACCTATTTAAAAGTTAAATTATATAGTTTATTAATAAAAATATTATATTATTTAAATAATTATATATTTAAAAGTTAATTATTAAAGCAACTAAGGCTTAATAAACTACTTAAAAGTATTTATAAATATTTTTAAAACTACCTAAAATAAGGCTGCTATAATAAATTAAGTAATTTAAAAGATATAAAAGAATATTATTAAAATTAATAATAAAAAAATATATTTAATAATAAAAAAAAGGCTTTAAAAGGTACTAATAATAAAAACCCTTTTATTAATAAAATAGGGTTTTAATAAATAATAATAGCAATAATATTAAATATTTTAAAAGTTATTTAATTAATTTTTAATATAAATATATTTAAATAAACTAGCCCTAACTTTATTTATTAAAATTTACAACTTAAAAGCTAATACTATTTTTATTATATAATTTAAAAATAAACTATTATATTAAAAAAAAATAAAAGTTAAAGGATTTAAGGTTTTTATTAAATTATATTAATTTATTTAAAAATTTAATTAAAAAAATATAAAAACTATTTAAATATAATTATTAAACTAAAAATATTTTTATTAAAGCTAGTTAGTTTATAAATTAAAAATTTTTAACTTTATAGTTAAAAATTATAAAAAATATTAATAAAAATTAAAATACTTAATTATAATAATATTATAAATATACTTTTAAATCTTAAAAACCTTTTTTTCAATTTTACATAATTATAAAATTATATTATTAATATAAAAGTTATAAATACCTATATTATAAGGTAATTACTTAATTAAATACCTACTAGTTAAAATTTTTAACTATTACTAACTATTTAATAAGTAGCTACCCTAAAAGATAATTTACTAATAGTTAAGTAAATAGCAAACTTAAATATATTTAATAAAAATTTAAACCTTAAAACTTCTCAACCTATATTAACAACTATTAAATAAAAATTAAAATAAAGGTAAAAGTAAACCTTATATAGAAAAATATAAATAACTAATAAAAATATAATTATATCCTTTAAATAATTACTATAAAGCTAATTATTACTATTAAAATAAAAGAATTTCTTATAATAATAGTATTTTATTAAATAAAATAATATATATATTAATTTATTTAATAAAAACTTAAAAACTAATTTAATATAATTATAATAAATAATATTATAATTAAGTACTTACTAAAAGTCCTTTTAATTATTAAATAGCTTAAATAAAGCTTAATAAAAAAGCCTAATAATAATAAAATTAGCTTTATCCCTCCTAAAAAAGTAATAAAAATAAAAGTAAAAAAATAATATTAATATAATTATTAATTTATTATTTAATATTAATTTATTTAAAATTAAATATAGCTAAATAGCCTTAATAGGGCCATTATTACTATTATTACTACTAGCTTCTTTTTATAAGTTTAATAGGGCCCTACTACTATTAATAGTAATAATAATAATATTTAAAAGCCTATTATAAAGGTAAAGGCTATTAGTTATTTTCTTATTATTATTATTATAAGTAAAGGGGAATAAAATAGTTTTATATTAAAAGTTTATTATAAAAATATTTTAAAAATATTTTAAAAACCTATTAAAAAAAGCTTAATTTAAGTAATTTATAAGAGTTATAAAATATAAAAAACTTAACTTTTATAGGCTTTATAAAAAAAAAAATATTTAATTTAATAGGCATAATTTAAAGGCTATCTTACTAATTAAAATACTAATTAAACTATACTTAAAAAGAAAAAAAAACTTTATTAGTTTTTTTAATAGTAATAATAATAAAAAAGACTTACTATTATAATAGGGGCTATTAAATAGCTATTTAATAAACTATTAAATAAATATTAAAAGTATATACTTTATAAAGCCTATAAAAGTTATTTAACTAATTAATTAACTTTATTTAATACTAGGCCTTATAATTAGGTTAGCTATTTAATAAAAGAATTAAAAGCCTATTAAAATAGTTCTTTATATTTAATAAGGTAAAAATTATATAATAAGTTTTAAAAACTTTTAAATAAGGAAATAATAATTAAATATATAAAAATATAATTAGTAATAAAAATAATTAAAAAAATTAATTATTTTAAGTAAATAAAATAAATTAAATATTTAATATTAAATAACTAATTAATTAAATAAATTTACTTATAGCTAATTTATTTACTTTAATTTTAACTACTAACCTAACTACTTAACTTATAAATAATACTTTTTATTTATATAATTATATTTAATTAAAACTTTATTAATTTTAATCCTTATAACTTTTAATTAGTATTATTATATTTACTTTATTTTATACTTTTTTAATACTTATATATAATAAAAATATTTTTAAATAGCTTTAGCCTTAAACCTAACCTTTTAAATATAAAAATAAAAATTAAATAAAATTTTTATTAAATTATAATTTAATAACTTATATTAATACTAATAATATAAATAGCATTTTAAATTACTAAAATATATCTTAATAAAATTAAAATTAAAAATATAAAGGTAAATATTTATATTTTATACCTCTTATATTTATTACTTTAATTATTTTTATATTATAATATTATAAAGTATTATTTATTATAAAATTAACTTTAAGCCTAAATATAAATTTATTTTTAATAAAATACTCTTTATTAGCTATTATAAAAGTACTTTTTATTATATAACTTTTATATATTATAATAATAAGTAAACTATTAAATATAATTATAAAAAAATATAAAAATAAGTTTTTACTTAAAAACTTTTAACTTATAAAGTATATCTAATAAATACCCAATTTATCCTTTTATACCATTTTATTTATTAAAACTAAACTTATTAATAAAAATAAATATTTTTATTATATAATTTAGCTAATATACCTACTAAAAGTAATAGTTATAAAGCTTTTATTATGCTAATAGGCTAGTATATATATTTATTTATTATTTTATATATAAGCTTTAAAATATTACTTATTATTTTATAATAATATTAATTTAAAACTACTTAATAAAAAGTATTATATTTTATTAAGGTATAAGTTTAACTTATTAAGTAAAAGATTTTTAACTTTTAATTTATATAACTTATATATTAATTAAGCTTTATAAATTTATTATAAAAAAGCAAGCTAATAAACCTTTAAAGCCTATTATTTTAACTTAACTATATTTAATAGTAATAGCAATAATATACTTAAAGTAATTATATAAATAATAGTAATCCTCTAATAGTATTTCTAAATTATAATATAGTTAATTTAAAACTTAGTTTATAACTATTTATTTAATGGGAATAGATTAGAATATAAATAAAACTCTAACTACTAAAATTTATAGCTTAATAAGTAATAGCTTACTATTATTAGCCTCTTTTTTTCCTCTTTTAAGGTATAGGTGGCATTAGGTATAGTATTCTATTGAAAATATTGGGTTTTCCACTTTATTAGTAAAGTTTTAGTTTAGCTAAGAAATAGGGGGCATTTTGCAGGGGGGGGGCTAACTCTTGTTTTTCCGAGATAGCGGCGGGGGTTAAATTGTAATAACCGATACTGACTTCATCCTCGAATAGGAACTCTTGGCGGTGGATCTTCCATCAATTTCATGATGTATGGAAATTCTGATGTTTCCGCTTGTTCAGGAAACTTGAATCGTTGACTTAAAAACACCGCCACTACAGGTATACAAGAGCGCAGAGAGATGATTTTGACTCTTGGAATACGCCGGGCTGGACGGCAAATGAGATCCTTCCCTTCGTGCAAAAGGTCAGCCTGACATTATGGATGTCTGAGCGCTTGCTAACAGTTGCGTGTCATATAGCTCGAGACCTATCACGGCCCTGGTGATGCAAGCAGACACGGCTATTCAGGCCCAGTCCATATCAGCCACGGCGGGTACAGCGCCAAGAATCCAGAAGACGACTATATCAAGGTGCTCGAGACCTATGGTGGGCTGCCCGAAAGCAAAGATTTGCAAAGCCTCGACACAAATAACTGCTGCGAGCGATCGCTGAGGTACGTGTCCCCGGAGGGGAGACGGCAGGATGCGGCCCACACGTTCCTCCACCCGAAGCTGCAAGATGGCAAGCACCCGAACCTACACGTCCTCGTCGAGACCAAGGTTGTGCGTGTGATACTCGACGACGCCAAGAGGGCATGCGGAGTCGAAGTTGCACCCAACCCTGATTTCCACATGCAGATCCAGACCGGCGTCACCACCAGCTCGAAGCAGGTCTTCAAGGCTCGGAAGCTGGTCGTCGTCTCGTGTGGCGCAAACGGAACACCAGGTGTCCTTGAGAGATCCGGCATTGGCGGCGCAGACGTGCTTGAGAAGGCGGGCGTCCCGGTCGTGGTTGATTTGCCCGGCGTGGGAAACAATTGGCAGGATCATCACCTCATCCTTATACCCTTCAGAACCTGGCTCCAGCCACGTGAGACCACCGATTTCATCATTAGCGGTCGGGAGAAGGAGGAAGATTTGATACGTGACAAGGACAAGATCCTAGGTTGGAACTTTATCTCAGTCGGTATGAAGATGCAGCCTTCGGAGGCAGATCGCAGAACTTTGGACAAGGATCTGTTGGCGGCGTGGGAGAAAGACTTCAAAGATAAGCCCAACAAGCCTCTCATGCTGATGGGAATGATCAACGGGTAAGTAAATCATCAATGTTGAACCTGCTATGGGGCCCACCCTTGACCAGCTGATTCTTGTCCATGATCTAGCTTTGTGGGTGACCAGTCAACACTGGAGCCAGGACAATATCTTCTCATGGGCAACTATACGGGTTACCCCTACTCCCGAGGTTCGATGCACATCACTGGCCCGAACTTCGACGACCCTCTGGACTTTGATACTGGCTTCTTCTCTGACCCGGGCGAGATCGATCTCAAGAAGCAAGTGTGGGCATACAAGAAACAGCGCGAGTTTATGCGGCGTACAAAGATGTTCCGAGGGGAGGTCGCGGTAGGGCACCCAAAGTTCTCTCCGGAATCCAAAGCTGCACTGGTCGAGGATAACTCGGCCACGGGATGGAACGTCGCAGACGTGCAGGACTTGGAGTACACTGCCGAGGACGACAAGGCCATCGAGCAGTATCTTCGTGAGAACATACAGACGACTTGGCACTCTCTCGGCTCGTGCAAGATGGCGCCGAGGGAGGAGATGGGAGTCGTTGATGGGAATTTGAACGTGTATGGGGTTCAGAATCTCAAGCTCGCAGATCTGAGCATCCCGCCGCAGAATGTCGGAGCAAACACCAACAACGTAAGCATCCTAACCACTGAAGACCTGAGATTCAAAGCTCACCCAGCTGCAGACTGCCCTCGCAATCGGCGAGAAGGCTGCCGACATAATCATGCGGGAGCTCGGATTGCTCAAGTAATTAAAGCTTTCTAGCACGAAAGCGGTGGGTTCGTTACGTATGGATTTATGCCAGACGGGGGAGCCTTGTTGTCAACGGGTTGCAGATAGGGTGCTCTTTAGAATTTATATAAAACGACTGTTCTAGCAGAGGATTGCGCTAGAATTTGCCACTATCTGGTCCTCTGACACCGGACGATCGACATGTGTCATTGCTAAAAAGTATTACGACCTGAACCCACCAAGGTTTCCTGGACAATGTAGTAACTGGTTTCACTCTGAGATTATCGCAAGGCGAATGCAACAAGGGCTTTGTTTTTGTAATAAAAAAAGACAAAAGAGATGTTTTTAAGGGGAAGTCCCAGCAGTATCTATAACGCAGTACAATAATACAAGATGATACAAGATGATACATTACATTGTGGTTTCGTGAACACAAAAGAAATTCGAGTCCAGCTATGCAGCTTTTTGTCCAATCCAAACCCAGACCAAAACCAAGAGACCAATCTATATGGGTATTTGTGGTATAGCAAGATGAAACAAAACAGCTGCAGGAAACCATGATAGAAGATGCAAAGAACTTTTTCGAACCCGACGTGCCTATACCCAGAAAACATTTTGAAATTTACATGAGACGCTTGATGAAAGGATGCTCGCTGTTAAAGACAAAGACCTAGGAAATATGCTTGTGCCCGGATGTGGGCGTGGAACCAAGAGGGGGGGGGAAGAATATAAAAGAGAGGGCCTGAAAAGGCATCAGAAGTAGGAACCGGTCATGAGCTTCCCGTCCTCGGGGGTGGACTCGAACCTCGCGGTCAGGGCCAGCCCGGGGGAGGCGTGAAGGCCGTCGTCGAGGAGGGCGTTGTGAGCGATGTTGCCGCTGGGCAGGCTGCCCAGGATCTGGCTGTGTCTGGCGGGCCTCCCCTGGTCGACGCTCTTCTTGCGGGAGTGAGACATCTTGACGGGGCTGTTCTGAGAGGTGCTGAACTTGCGCGGCCGCATGGGGCCGGTGGTCTGCACGTTGAGGTCCTTGGAGGCGGTGCGCGAGTGGGGCGGCGGGAAGGACGGCGTGGTCGGGCTCATCGGCGAGCTGGCCGAGGACCCCGAGGTCATGGAGGTGAGGGAGGTCTTTGAGCTCGAGCTGGAAGTCCGGCCGAGGATGCCGCGAGAGCCGGAGTCTGAGGGCGACTTCTTGGCGGCCTCGTCCAGGCTCATGTTCTCGAGCATGTCGGTCAGGACCTCCTTGACGGGCTTGCGGGCGTCTGGGTCGCAGGTGCCGTTGAGCCGGGACTGCCACCAGGCCTTGGACTGCTTGTCGGACGGGGCGTGGCGGAGCACATCTGCCAGGCTCTCCTCGACCATGCGGGCCTGGTCATCGTTGAGCGACAGGGCGCTGTGCTCCGTGGCCAGCTCGAGGAGCGCGGCGGCGTGGCGCACCTCGGTCTGCTTGCTCTGGGTGGAGTCGCGGAGGCCGCAGGCATCCATCTTGAAGACGATCAGGTCCTCGAGCGAGATGTAGGGCAGCTGCTCGGGGGTCGGCTGGATCTCGCTGGCTGGCTTTGCCGCGCTGGGGAGGAAAGGACACAGCATCTCGGGCGTGATGCGGACCTCGAAGCCTGATGCCGGTGAGGCAGGCCGCGGCCTTGACGAGGTGGCCGGCGGTGAGGATGGCGGTGAGGAGATCTGGTAGTACAGAATCTGGGATGACTCAACGACCGGAGACATTGGGTGTTGCAGCAGCTTCTTCCTGAGCAGACTGGCCGAGGTGGACGAGTTGACGATGAGATCAATGCTTTGCTGCAGGCCGGGTCAGTACTGCGGTGGCTCTATGAATTGTCATCAGAGGTGAGGTGACTTGACTTACTCCTGCGTGTTGGTGGCCATACTCTGGCAGGTACTTCCGGATGGCCATGTCTCCTGAGATGGCCAGCTTGGTGGTCCTCAGGTCGGGGGTGTCCTTGATGACCTGGATCATGCAGCAGGCCGCCTTCTCCATCTCTGCCAATGTCACCATTGCCATTGCGTCCCGCGCCGCTTTTCCTTGGGGCTGGTGTATTCCCGTCTCTGCCCGCCTGCGCAGCCTGGAAGCCTCTGATCAGAGGGGAAAACAAACAAAGGAGTGAATGAACGAATCGCTTGAGGGATGCAGTCGAGCTGGGAGGAGGAAGCGGCGGCTGCGGTTTTGTCGTGCAACGGCTCCTTGATATCTCATTTTGTTTGAGCCGGGACTCACCCTGTCAATCCTTTCTCGGCTGCTCCACCCGTCGTTAATGCCCGATGGGAATTTCGGGAGGGCCTTGGGTTGCCCAACTGGGAATGCGACACCGACAGGGCCAAGGTTTTGGCCAGGTTGGGCTTCAAGACCTCAGCTGCTGCCCTCGTTGTGACGGCGTATTGGGCTCTCTGTCCCAGGGCCGTTTGGCATCTCGAATGGTGCCTGGGCCAGGGGCGACTTATTAGGGAAGTAGGAGAGGAAGCAAAGAGGTCGAGCGGCACTTGGGAATGCCGCGGTGGGGTTAGGGTTTGTCCACCTCGTTCGTTGGTGTTGCCGGGGCCCCCAGGTCCAAGGTGGGTGCCGGCAAAAACAACATGAACTCTGGAGAAGGCCACGAATTAAATGGGTCTATGGGTACGCACGACGAGGAAGGCTGTCGCAGACTCTGCAGCATCGAGATCTCTGCGTCCTACTCACGATCTGACCTGCAGCTGCGCCGTCGGGTGCATCGGCTCCCTCGAATATCTACTCGTCAGCTGGACCCGGATGTTTCAAGTTGTGTCTGTCTGTCTCGTCAAGTCGGCCGACAGCATGGCACGGTGAGGTGCATGTGCATGTGCATGTGCGGGATGAACCATGACGAGGCCCTGGAGGCCATGTTGTCGTCCTGCGCGACATGTCAACACGGTGGAGGCCCTGCCACCTGCCCTGGGCGCGTCTCCACGCTGAGGTGTGTTGTAACTTCCAAGGTTGTGTCCGACACGCCAGCACGCTGGGTGTCGACGGTTCCGCAGTGGAGAATCAACGTACACAGTACTATGTAGGCCACTGCCTCTCAACAACTGCATACACAGATTACAGTACGCCTGTTGATGGGGAGGCCTGGGAGGGCGGCAGGTGCGGGCTGACGCGACCACCCCAGAAGTCGTGTCGAACTTTTTGCAGTGCTCCACCCACCTATAGGCTATAGCAAGCCCGTCAATAAGGTTCCAGGGAACAAAACAAACCCAATGCTTGGCTTGTGGACCCCCAACTTTCAATGCGAGCTGACCCACGCGGCCCGAGCAGGTGGTAGTGATCCAAACGGCCGCCAACTACACTAAGGCATGAATGTCACGGTCCAGGTGGAAGCATTCTAGAAGCTTTTCAATCCGTGCAACCCTGGTTGCTGCTACGAGCCTACGAGGGAAACAGACCAGCCGGAGCTGAACCCGGGGGGGGGGGCTCGGATTCTTATTCATATTTGCACCTCACCGCAACCATCGAGTCACCCATCACCAACCTCGGTTGTTGGGTCTGCCACCGAGTCATCCGAGTCCATGTGCCTTGGCTCCGATGTCTGCTAGCGCGAAGCGCAGTCTAGACCGTAATTGTATTTATAGAATTTGCCAGCATCACCTCGGACCGCCCAGATTCCTATCACTGGTCGTTGTTGCGGATTATTCTTGCAGGCTGCAACAGCACTGGCAGCCCGCGCGTTCCTGTGGTGAATGCTGTGTAAACAAGACTTACCTTGCTGTTGGCCTCGGTTCCTTGGGAGACAAGTCCCGGATGGGCTCAGACTGTCATGCTTATGACTGTCAATATACACGGGGGTCGAGTCAAGTCAAATGTGGGGATTTCCGGCTTCCCCCTCAGGCCGGTCCCTTGAGCCAGAATATCACAGCGTTGATCATTGCTCCCATCGATGCCTAGGGCACAGACGGCTGATTGTCAGGCCTCGGTGGATCATTAACTTATCAATTTGACAATTTCCCATGTCTCCCCGGCTTGAGCATTCCGCCCCGGGGCTTCCGGACACTTGCCCCGGACGCCCCAAGGACCTGGGTATGTAGGATCAGGCACACAAGAGAATATTTGCCGGAAAAAAGTATTCACATCAGCAACTCAGTATGTTACATCTAGACACTCTATGAACGCAGTAGCCGGATCCGTAGCTTCCATGTGAGCCACATAGGGAAAAGCGTCCCCAACACAAGCACGCGAAAAACCATGGGTGTATATTGCGAACGCCCTTCAATTCCAAGTCAAATTTTAGTCTTTATGCATGTAGAATAAAGATTAGTTTTCAAGTACGGAAAGGTAATTTCTCTGGGGTTGAATCGACATAGATATATATGCCAAGATGTGTCCCGTTGCGGCCCGACAAAGCTGTCACCTAAGATCAGCACGTACTACTTGTCGTGGGGTGGATTTGTTCGGCTTCGACAATTTTGAGCTACTCATTAAGATCTCCCCGTCCGCGTAGGACTTCGCTCTCTTTTCCAACCCCTTTACAGCCTTGTCAATCAATGTGAGCTTCTCTTTTCTTGGGCCGACGTGCAAAGTAGGTTGCAACATGGTCGAGTGCGTTCTATCTGTCTTAGTAGTACGCATTATTCTTACACAGGATCATATCGTGACATGAAAAAGAATATAACGGCTTGAATTGGGCGATCCACACCGCTCTTCATGCCTTTTTTAAGATGATACCTCATGCCTCCGCTCTCCGCCCTACAATTTGCCCCATTAGTACTAGAAGCTCGTGTTTTTCTGGGATTATGGGGTTGCTTGACCTATACCCACAATTACGAAGAGACTGAGTTCCTGGTTAGTTCGAATCTGAGGAGCGTTCGTATGGGTAAACGAAGATGTCCAGGCACCATTCTGTTGAAGTGTAAATGTCTTTCCGTATGCTCCTGGAATAGCTTAACGACTTAGGGGTCTTAGAAATATGAACACAAGGGATTGAACAAATAAGTGTCAGAATATCTCAATGTTGCTGATTTTTCGCCACCGTACTGAAGACACGCTTTCCATAGTGCTTGTGTAGAACTGGAAAGCGCATCAGATTGTGGAATTCGATGAGCGCATTCACTACTTTACCAGCTACGACTTAAGCTACTGTTCTTTTGATATATGTGCCTCGGGCAAGATGAGCGTGCGCCGGCTGACCGGTTCTCACAAGTATTCCGTCTTACACTATGTCCATCGCACAGTAAGCCAGGCAAAGACAAAGAGACCTCAGGCACGCAGGCACGTTGCACATATGCAGGTTTGGTTGCATTGTTGGTGTGTGGCGAAGCCTCAGGTGGGCCGATGAGCCGATCAGAAGATTTTAGGCCGCACGACCAACATCAAAAAGCGAAGGCCTAGACATATGTGCAGGTTGGTGCACTGTTGGTGTGGGGGCGAAACCTCAGCTGGGCCTGATGAGCAGGTCAGAAGATTAACAGTCCTTGTGCTGTGTTACATGACAAGCCTGGGCTCATGCACTTCGGATATCGGCCATCAAGTCCAGACTGTCTCAAAGTCCATTGCAGCTCTTGTCTACCGCCAACGTACCCGGATTTAAGGCTGTGCTTCTCTCTTAGGCATATGAGCTCGGAGATAGCTCTTCGTTCTACCCTTCCTGACACTCCCCATACATGCACATTTTCTGTTAGGAACAGCCAAGAGAGCATACCAGAGCATTCCCAGCCATTTCTCGCCGTTTGTCTCTATGTCATTTCCAGACTGCATCTGAAGTTTGCGAAAACGTTGCGTTTGGGCCAGCTTCATCATTCCAACCAAGATGCATAACTCACAATTTCGCGTTATCATCATTGGGGCGGGGCCATGTGGACTGTATTTGGCCAGAGCTCTTCTCGCGGCAAACATAGACTTCGTCGTTCTTGAGCGGGGCCCGGCTACATTTCGCGAACGAGGCAATCATTTATTGCTCTGGCCACATACGGCACGCCTTCTGCATCAACTTGGTCTTTACGAGGAAGCCAAGCGACGCTCGTACAAGCTGGTTTCCAAATGTGATAGGCTGAAAGACGGTACCATCCTCAGCGATTATACTATATGGAAGCAACTAGAAGATGGGTGGGTTACAAGCGTTCTCAGCAACGTCGATAGCTATCCGCTAACATGTTTTTAGTCATGGCTACCCCATGTTGCCACTTCAGCGGGCCGAACTGATCGAAATACTTTGGCAGAGTATATCGAATCGCGAGAAGGTTATCAGAACAGGAGCCAAGGTGGTCAGAATCGAAGCCACGGATAGCAATGTCCATGTGCATCTAGCAGATGGCACGGTCGAGACAGGATCAATAGTCATTGGGGCTGATGGAACCCATAGCATGACCAGGACCTATATTCGAGAACTGACACAGAAGTCGGACACTCCGCCATCCTCTGATATCGCCGAAGTCCCAACGGTTTCGCACTTCTACAGTATCTACGCCGAAGGTCCGAACCGTCATGGGATTCAAAGTGGCATTTTCTATGAGACCAGAGACACGGGCATGGGCATCCAGCTGGGGACCAACGTTGAAATGGTCCGTCTCGTCTTGTACAAGAAGCTACCCAAGCCACTGTCGGAGCGTGTCGAGTATACAAGGGAGGAGATGGAAGAGTTCGCCCAGTCTTTTTTCGACATTTCGGGAGCTCCTGGTGTCACGATTGGAGACATTTGGCCTGACATAAACAAAGACTCGGCTCGATTGGTGAGCCAGGAAGAAGGCTTCGCGGCGCGATGGCACACGCAACGCGTTGTTCTCACAGGTGACGCGGCAGTGACAAGCTCGAGCGTGAATGGACTCGGTGTCAACTGCGGTATGCACTCAACAGCCTTGCTCGCAAGCGAGATCCAAAAGGTCGTTTCCGCCAACGCAAACCCAGATTCCACATCGCTCGAGCAAGCCTTTGCTCGGTACCAACGGTTTCGCGCAAAGGAACTCAAGCGCATCTATGACGTTGGCTATATGAGCATGCGCCAGTTGACCTGGGAGTCCTGGTCGTCTTGGTTCATCGATCGATTCGCGAAGCGCTGGATCAGTTCCGACACGCTGATAAAGCAGTTTGCACACCCCATGGTCCGCAACGGTCAGATTCTCTCCTACGTCCCGTTCGAGGACGTTGAAGCGCCCATCAAATGGAGATGGTACCCGGATGCTACCGCTTAGAACATCATCGCTGTGTTTCTCTTTAGTACTACATGGAACGGCAAGAAAGTGCCTTTGTATTCACAAGCTATGTGCTTCCAAATACTTTCAACCTGTACCAAGTTAGACCATCATGCCTCTCAATGTGGTTTCGCTTCTATTCCGTATATGTCTGAGGACATATACTAGTATGGTGCCTTTATATGGTGGTAAGCATTTAAGACCTAGCGCTTAGAAAGAATATAATACCAAAAACAATAGTTATAATACAATAGGTGCTTATAGCCTCAGCCTTGCAACGCACAGATAAGGCTAAGGGGCACCGTCTTGACGAGATTGTAGTACATTTCAGTTTCCGGGCGGAGAGGCCAAAGTAGTAAACTTGCTGGCAGCGCACTAGGCAAGGAGAAAGCCCACCCGTGACAAGTACGGAGTAGGTATCATTGATGGAAGAGAGGGCTACTATGAACTAAGGATATTATCGGTTGCTCAACTAGACTCGATAGGCCCCACTTGAGAAGCACACTTGCCTGAAGCTAGTGGCACACTTTCGGTGACTAGGTACCTAGATACACAAGAGGACTTTTTGCACTGCAAATGTACCAATTCATCGTTTTTTAGATGGTCGTCTTGAGATGGATATCATTTTTCTTTTCTCGATCTGATCAGGGCCTCGTTCCCTGGCATTCAATCCCAAATCCTGTTGCCTCGAACCCGACTCTCGAAAACGCAACTGTCCTCCATCCCCAAGATCACAAAAGCATTCAGGGTATGTTATTTTGAGTACTGGTAAAATGAATTTCTAATCCGTTTTCAACAAACACTCTCCTGCCTCGCACTGAATTTGCGCTGACAATCAAGCAAGGTGCAGCACATACGATCCCAATATGGTACAACAAACACAATTTGGCTTTCCGAGCCTGAGAAATCTTCAGCACCTGGAACGGGTAGATGCTGTCAACTTCGTGTTGGCAGACATGCAGCAGCTGTTGCCGGCTGAGATAGACCCCGCGACATTGGTGGCCATGAGAGACTATATGGTGACACAACTCGACCAGTTCGAACCTTTTGATGAACTCCTCTTACGGAATGCATCCATAAGGATACTCATCAAGGATGCAACGGATAAGCTGCTCCAATTACAGAACCAAGCACTATACTTGCTGACAGAATTGGACGTGAGGGGTCCGGTCAGTGAGGAAATTCTGCAAACGAACAGCCTCGGCCGGGAAAATGCGGCTTTGAAGGCACAAATGGCAATTCGTGATACTGAGTTCATGAATCTCCGTACCAATAACCGGCTGCTTGCGCAGAGTTTGGAGGGGTATAAGAATATTCTCCAAACAAACGTGGAGCGAGAGCAAGCCCGGGCATTGGCGGAGACCCAGCAGAGAGGTAGTGAGCTCGAAGCGGAGCGCGCAATTATCAGGGAGCTCAAAATGGAGTGTGAACGCATCAAAGACTTTGTGTATCGCATCGAAACAGAGCGCGACCATGCGAAAACTGCCCTAGAACATCAACACCGCGAGTTCCAAGAGCTTCAGATACGTCTTGCGGAGGCACAACGGAAGCTCCGCAGTCGCAGCCAGGAGACCGAAAAGCTCTACCAAGCGATCGGACAGTCCGGACAGGACCACACAAACACACGCCGTCCGCAGAATCCTGCAGCTACTGAGGGAGGCTTCGGAGTGCCAGCATCTACCGAAATCGATACAAGTATAGGGGAAAAGATGCAGAGCCTGGCGACAATCAAAAGTCGGACGACGAAACTGGATGGGGCAGAACTTCTCGGGTCCGGGTCCAGGTCCAGGTCTATATCCCCGAAGGATCCCGGGCAACGCGTTGTAAAGGAAGACAAAGGCTCAGGGAACTGCACAGAGGTCAAGACCACCACAGAGAACCTGAAAGGAGCATCTGTTAAGAAGCCTGGCAGCCCACGGGTGGTAAAACCTATCGTGCCTCTGTTGCCTCTAAAGACAATCATTTGTGCAAAGCCTCCAGAGAAGCAGGACAGTCACCCAACCCAAGAGACAGTGAGCATTTTCCTACTCTGCATCGAAAGTTGTATCCTGCTAATGAATCATAAGAACAACACTGCGCCTGATTAAGCATCGAATAAGGCTGAGGATGGATCTCAAGCCCACCTGCGAGGCCGATCCCACGGAGACGGCGCGTGGCGTTGTTTCATTACTTAAGTAACGATGCTCAGGAACCATGAAAGGTGTGGACTCTTTGAAGATCGCGTTGCATACGGCTCAACCTCAGACTTTGGCGGAGAATCGTGGACAGGGCATTCTAAACATTTGAAGTTTTCTAAGCTGCCTGCATTTAATTTGCATTCATCCATAACCCTTTCGAACAAAGAATATCGCAGTTTCCCAGACCCATTCAGTTCCTCCTCGAGGGGTTGGAAGTGCTTTGATCGGACTAGACAGATCGTCATGCCAGGAGAGATGTAGCTAGACGTTCCGTGTAAGCGGAAGCGTGTATCAATTCTCTTCTAAGCGAGATATTGAATGCACCGGGTTCTCATGGGAACCTGAGCCAGCTGGTCGCAACATGGTTCCATATAGACAACATCATTCCCCCCCCCCGAACTTGTTCCTGAGCTACGCTATTGTGAAGGCCCGCAGCGCACACTATTATCTGCCCTTTTAAACAAACACTACTAAATCCCATTTTTCTTGGAGAGACTGCACAAGGCCATCAAGTTGAGGCTACTTAGGTAGTAAACCCTTCTTCTGCGGGGGGATGCAGAGGATTAGGACTCAGAAGACGTCGTACTACACAAAGCCATTCTATAGCATGATCCAAGAGGAAGTGATTGCATGGGGGCCTACAACATAAGAGGCTAGCCGCTGGCCTACGAGGGTTGAAGAAGGAGTGTAACGGTGGAGGTGAAACCTTTATTGTGAGAAGTGATCACTCCAAACCGCGCGAGAATGTTACTGGCTTCCACGTTGGATGGGATGGAAGCACCAACAGGGTACGCAACGATGTCAAGAAATCGACCATTGCTCGATTTGATCCTAGGAGTGAACGGTGTGCTAGAAACTGGAAGGGGGTGCTAACACGTTGTAGCCAAGAGTGTCCGGGGGTTGCGGCTCTTTAGGACAGAGTCAGTGTCGTCCTAGAACATGGTGGGGATCTACACCGCGTCAGGTTTCTGGCCTAGACTTGCAGGAGTGACCCCCACGCTCGATCCGATGAGGGAAACCGAATGCAGCCGGCAAGCATTAGCCTACGGGCCCACCGGTAGCGGGGATGCCTGTCCAAAGTAACCTGACACGATGACACGCATTGGGGAATCTCAAGGGGTTGACTGGAATGACCTCGGGACTGTGAAGCCAGGCGGATATACTGAAAAATTTGAGCTTGGGCGGCCTGCATTCTATCGTCCACGGGTCGTGGCCGGCAACTGCTGGCGAACATTGAAGCAGACGACTGGAAAGCGGGAAAGAACCTTGGAAGGCATGTCGTCGGGATAAACTCGCATGCCAACCCTGGGCAACAGGGGCCGATCCGACTTGGACTGCCGAGCCGACGGTTGAAAGAATTCTGTCGTGCCCCTGAATTAGTCTGGGGGCTGGTCGTTGCTTATTAACAACTCGAAGCTTGGCCTGCAGCGCACGATCTGGAGACGGCGTGGGATGGACATGGTTGTCTTTTTGTTCCGAATCTCTGTTATTAGTCTGTGGATATGCGGCGTGCGCTTCGCGGGGTTTCGCGAATTCCGCAGGGTGGGTATACACAGTATGGAGTGGCGGAACTCTGATGGCGTGACTGGTTTCCAGACTCGTCCCAAGATCGTGTCCCTAAAAGATGCCCGCTTATTCTGGATGGGAAATTATCATCGCGTGGCAAGTTTGGCCCGTGGCCCGTGGCCTGTGAGGACCTGACTACTACACAGTAGTACTCCGTATTGACCCCCACGCCATGTGTCAGCCAGCGCGTCTCGGCCTGTGTCCGTTCCCCAGGTTGACCGAGTCCGTTTCCCCAGAATGGCAGCCCCAGCCTTGGGCCAAAGCCCTCGCGGATTATAAGAAAAAAACGTTGGGCCCTGCGTCACATCAGCCTTCCTAGTGGTCAGGCCTGCCATGCCGCATGGAGCATGGTCCAGAGCCTCCCCGGAGCGCAATCCAGGCCGTTGCCAAGCGGCCGAGGTAGAGCCATTGCTTTCCCCAGATGTCCTTGGTTTCCCCTGGTTTTCCTCTGGTCTCTCAGCACGCAACCGCCGCTCACCAGGCGCACGGGTCCCGCACAAATACCCGGTAAAACTGGGGATATTAGGTCACACTCCTCTGGGTACTCCATGGGGATCAGAGTCCATGTGGAACACTGTGGGGGTCGGAATGATAGCAGCCAAAGCGAAATGTGCGGGGGGAGAAGTGGCTCGACTGGACTGGCCGCGCTGGGTGACTGTTTGGTGGAGTCTCGAGTTTGCAGTCTCGAGTCTGCTGCCCCGTGAGCAGCAAAAACCCTCAGCGAGCTCGCCCGGCCACACCCGACGCGGATTTGAGAATCCGTAAAGACTACATAAGTCAAACTGCTCGCCCTGCCTTATTATTGCGGGCAATACACCCCTCCCAGCCTGCTGTTTGAAGCCCTGCTTGGTGGTGCCCTCTTCCCGGTCCTGAAGTCCTCACCACTTCTCAAGCTTGCCCCGAGAACACTCCACAGCCAATATGGCCGACCAAATCTCCAGGGCCGCATCCAACGGCTCCGTGTCGTCGAACAAGCAGGCCGAACAGAAGCTCGAGATTGTCCCCGGCTCGGTTCCCAACGGCGCAGAATACCTCAATGTCGCCCATATGACTCCGGAACACCGGGTTCGTGTCGAGAAGAGCCTCAAGCGCAAGCTCGACCTCCGATGCTCACTCTTCGTCGCAATCTACATCATGAACTACCTGGACCGTAACAACATTGCTGCTGCGCGCCTCAAGGGGCTGCAGGATGATCTCAACCTCGACAACACCCAGTACTCGACCTGCCTGAGTATTCTGTATGTCGGATATATCCTCATGCAGATCCCCTCCAACATGCTCATCAACGGCCTCGAGAGGCCTTCCCTGTACCTGAGCATCGTGATGCTCGTCTGGGGTCTCATCTCGACCCTGAGCGGAGTTGTGCATGACTTCAAGGGCATGGTGGTCACCCGGTTCTTCCTGGGTTTCGTCGAGGCGGCCTTCCTGCCCGGTGTGCTGCTCATCCTGTCCAAGTGGTACACCCGGAGAGAGCTCACACTGAGGAATGCCATCCTGTTCTGTGGAAACCTCATCTCGAACGCCTTCTCGGCCCTGGTCGGCGCAGGTGTGCTCTCCAACATGCAGGGCACGCTGGGCCACGCTGCCTGGAGGTGGCTCTTCTGGATCGAAGGTGCAGTCACCATGGTTAGTGGTCCCAAGTTCAACTTAGAAGCCCCAAAAGAATATCTGGCAATTGCTGACCTAGGCCTAGGCTATTGCCATTGCCGCCATCTTCATCCTTCCGGACTTGCCCCACAACACTCGCGGGTTCACCGAGGAGGAGCGCCAGGTCGCACAGCTGCGGATGATTGAGGATGTGGGCGAGGCCGACACCGACTCCAAGGACCAGGGGGTCACCGGCGGACTGGTCATGGCAATGAAGGACATCAAGGTCTGGCTGATGATGATCACGCTTTGCGCTTACGTCGTCGGCCTGTCCTTCAACGCTTTCTTCGTAAGTGAACTCCCCCGTGATCTACAGACTGTCAGGCAATTCAGGTTCGCTAACTTCTGTGTCACAGCCAACCCTCACCGGCACGCTCGGGTTCAGCTACGTCCCCACACTCCTGATGAGCAGCCCTCCCTGGTTGTTCTCTTGCATAGTCTCTCTCATCAATGCCCTCCACTCTGATCGTACCGGAGAGAAGTTCTGGCACATTGTCGGCCCAATCGTTGGTGGTCTGGTCGGCTTCATCATCTCGATGTCGACCCTGAACGTCGCCGCCCGCTACGTCGCCCTTTTCCTCCAGGCAAGCTCATACGCAGGGTAAGTCATTAGCTGATGTGACACATCTTGCCGACCAAAATTCACTGACTGGTGTCCCACAGATTCATCGTCTTCTACTCCTGGATCTCCTCATCTTTCCCTCGACCTCCCGCCAAGCGTGCGGTGGCTCTCGCTGCGATCAACGCCTTCTCCCAGCTGGGAAACATCGCGGGCTCGTACGTCTGGGACTTGTCCGAGAACGGTTTCCGCAAGTCATACGGTATTGTCACCGCCATGTTTGGCGTTACGGTTGCCGGGTGCTGGGTCTTCAGGCTCACCCTCACCCGCCTTAACAAGAAGCTCGAACAGGGTGAGCTTGCTGACTGGGGTGAGAGGGATGATGTTGCCCAGCAGACGGCGCAGATCGAGGGCACCACTGCCGATGAGGCTCTTAACATGAGGAAGGGCTTCAGATACCTTGTCTAAGGGTACATTACATGGCTGGCAATTTAGATAGAGAAAAAAGAAGTACAGTTGCAACGTCTTCACGACTTGTCTTGAAATAAATAATAATTTTAAACTACAGTGTCAACAATAGTGGGGGAAATGCGGTAGGTGCATGTGGCCTCAGCCTTGCGACGTACAGACAAGGCTTAGGGGCACTGTCTTGACGGTGAGGAGGATAAACCAAGGAGAATCTTATGTTATAAAACAATATGATTACAAATTGCATGTGAGATATTGCGACCTCAAACATTACCTTAGAGCAGAAAGTGCACCTGAAGGAGCCAACATCCCTACTATCTTCAAAGTCTTAAGATCGACACGTCAGACTCGTAAACAGCTGGCAACCTTCTCGTTGGGGATATCTTCCCTGCCACATTCCCGCTGTCAAAGTTTCATCATCAAAGGAATTCAATATTTAAGCGATCTTCATGTAGGGAGAAGCATTCCAGATGTCAAACAACGCCATCCATGCCATTCGCCCGCTGAGCTGCCAAAGATAATGACCTTTTCCCCAAAACTTTCACAAAATGTCAAAAAGAAAATAAACGTTGAGTGTCTCACGTGATTGCGTTGCTTTCTCTCTATTTAGTGACTCCACACATGTGGTACAAAGACTTGATTTCCATTGCGTCCCTAACAACGGCAAAAAAGATCTATTCGCAAGTGACCATGCCAGAGGAACGCCAAAGAATGACCAAATGGACTGATACCAGCAGTCGGCGAATCGCCGGCCCAAGTAGGACAACCCAACGCCATCATGCCCCTTGAACTACACCGCGGCCTGTGTCTCCGTCATCTTCTCCTTGTTGATCTCTTTTGTTTCGTTATCCGAACCAACATCCACTGGCTCAAAAGACTCGCCGCTCTGCGGCTTAAAACTGACAGCACTCTGAGGCGGCGTGGGCATTCCGGTCATGGCCTGTCCCTGCAGGCCGTTCAGCGCCATGTTCGGCACCCCGCCCTGCACGCCCACGTTGGAGCCCAGCACGAGCTGGAGCTGCTTCTGCCTCCTCTTCTTCCTGGCTGCTGCGGCATCCTTCGCGCGCTTCTTGGCCTCCTCCATCGAGGCGATCTCCATCTTGGCCCACTCGGCCAGGTTGTCGACGGCGCCCTGGGGGTCGCTCCGCCAGTTGAGCAGGTATCCCTGCAGCTGGGCCGGCGTGAATGTGTTGTCCGCGATCCCGCTGCCGAACTCAAGTGCCAGCTTCTGCAGCTTCTCCTCCCCGATGGTGGCCTGGAGCGCCTGGGCCGACGGGTTGGACGGGTCGAACTCGTACATGCGCTTGTACATCAGCTCTGCGCTCCGTTGCGATATGTTGCCCAGGAAGATCATCCTGTCGATGCGGCCTGGTCGGACGAGAGCGCGGTCAAGCCGTTCGGCAAAGTTGGAAGTCATCAGCACGATGCGGCCCTCCTGGGATGCGACGCCATCCAGGACGTTCAAGAGGCCGGACAGTGAGATGTGGCAGCGGGGGCCGTAGTGCGACCGGTCTTCGTCGTCGTCCTCGTCTTCCCCGTTTCCTTCCTGGTCCTCTTTATCGAAGTTGCCGCGGTCCTTGATGCCAGCTGCGTCGATGTCTTCGAGCAAGATGAAACACCTGGGTGGAAGTGTGGTGAAGAGCCGTTCGAGGTCGGTATCTGTGCGCACGCTCGGCACGTGTAGGAGGTAAAGCTCAAGGCCGAAGAGCCCAGCCAGACCAAGGGACAGACTCGTTTTCCCGGTGCCTGCGGGTCCGTGCAGGAGATATCCACGGCGGTATGGAATCCCACGCTGTGTGTAAAAGCGCCGGGTTGCCGGGTCGAGATAGTTCCTGATGTCAGCCACGAGCTCTGCCTTGACCTTTTCGTCGAAGTGGATGGTCTCGAGAGGCCTGATGGGGCGCAGGATCGTGGTCTCCCAGGACTCATCGCCATATTGAGACTTTGAGGCTCTGACTGTCACGTACGATTCGCGCTCCTTCTCGGCAAAGTCACGACAGGCATCGAGGAAACGCTTGATCGGCTCAACGGACCGACCGAGACACATGACGATCAGGGGCTCGTCTCCTTCCGGGGCAGCGGCGAACTCGTCGGGTACCTGGTCCACAAAGGACATGCCGGTGGAATTGGCCGAGACACGTCGCACAATGAAGACGTTTCTCTCATAGGTGAACCAGGTGGTACCAAAGGTAGGGAGGTACTGGATTGGCTTCCGCTTATCCATGCTGTAGTCATCCCGAGGCTCGGGTGCTCGACGGTAATAGAAGGCGTCGCTTTCGATCTGCTCGGAACGTGCAGTGACGATACGCGTGCCCTGCCTTACGAGAACCTGCGCACCCAGCCAGTTGAGGACTTCCCGGTTGAGCTTGTCTCTGGCGTTTATGGAGACGGAGGCGGTGAAGAAGCGGGTAATGTACCAGTATAATTTGACGGCAATGGCTTGTAAGAAACCGAGAACGCCGGAGATGGTGCCAAGAATGGTGAGGGCAGCGGCGACGGTGGTGATATCAAGCTTGACCCATTGCGAGACGAAGCTCTGGAGCCAACCGAGCCCTGGTATCTTGCTTAGGAAGTCCTGCAAAAAGGGGGCGGTGGTGTTTGCGTCCCTGAGGAGGTCGTTTATGCCATTCATGGTGATGGGTATCGCAAGGTTGTCGTAGTAGTGCAGGTTGAGGGGTATCTTGTGGAAGAAAAAGAGAAGGAAAGAAAAACAGGGAACAAGTTGCTCAGACCAAACACAATGTTTCGGGAGCGAACACTTGAGTATAAGCAAGTACTCTCGGGCTCAAGTGCTGACAGCGGGGTTCAAGTGCGGGCAAGGACAAACGGTCCAACCGACAGTCAAGACTGCAAGGTCTGCGGTGAGGTCCCTCGGGGAGAGACTGCGATAGTTGGCCCGGGGGAGGCCTGAGTCTTTTATCTTGGACCGGCACGAGTGGTGACCCCAGGAGGACCTTGCCCGCAGTCGTGGGCTGGAGGCACGTCCGAGTCTCGTCAAACTCCGGGATGTGATTCGATCACTGGAGAAGCTAGAAACGGGCTGGGAGTTCTGCCTGCAGGTGACTAAATACGGTGGGCTTAAGGTGGGCGGCCGAAGATGGGCCATCTTAGCCAAGGAAAGCCGGGGGTTCGTGACACGGTGAGACTGTGGGCTGCATGGACGCGGCGTTGCATTCGTGGGTATGTAGATCTAGTCCACCGTCCCCCCACACTCGTTGCCTGTGAGGGCGTGCAGAAGAGGCACATCAATCGCATGCAATCACACACCGATGCGGCAGTGCGGCGGTGGTTGCGCCCAGGCACGTTGCATGCGCCACACCCAACCTGCCAACTCGACCCTCCTTGGCCCGGCTCATGCAAGAGGGCGCACTGGCCACATGCACCATGTGCATCAGCCACCCAACCGGCCGACACGACCAAACTGTCGGTGCTGGTGCTGGCCACACCGCTGGCTGTCTGCCTTCGGCCCGTCCGGCCACCTCGTCGGTTTTATTCAACTTTAACTGGGCCCTGCTACGATGCCGGGACTGCTTCGATGCCAGCCCTACACGCCGATCTGGCCAAGGCCTCATCAGGCAGCCGACCTATCTAGTGCCCCTTATCCAGTATAGGCTGCATGGCCTCAGCCCGAACCCAGCAATTGAGGCATTGTCATTTTGCCCATCACTGGCATACCCGTGGTTTAATATCAGTCGGTGGTGGTGTAAATACCTAGGTAGTCCTCGGGGTTGTCGAGGCTTGGCCACGCGAACTCATGCTCAAGGCAGCATTCTATATCCAGCCATTAACCCACCATGCTCCAGGCTGCCAACCTTGGAACGTTCAAGTTACCCCGTTTGGAACCTCTCACAGTTACCCCATCCCTGCCAAGACAAATCAATGTGGAGAATCGCAACGACTTCAAATGAGCTGATTGCGTATGCTTGTGTAAACTGCCAACTCTTCCAAAGTCACTCCGAATGACCACCTAACAATGTTTTATGTCTACAAGGATTCCTCAACAACTAACCCGGCAAGCATGAGATCGGCGTTTCTTTGACCAGGGAATGCGCAACGGGCGAGTATTATCTATCGGAGTTTGCGTCAGCATCAGTCGAAGGCAACACCGATGCTATGGCTGCCGGATCTTGGCCAATACTACCAGTCGCTGGGCTGCCCAAAGCCAGTCTGGAGCAGCAATTGGCTTTGTCGCATCCCGATTTTGTCCGTTCGCTGGGGTGAGCTGGCCAAACATCTTCCACCGACGAAATGATCTTAACGCATTCCGAATCATACAGCTCGCCGTAATCAGTGCCGGTGTCAAAGGACGATTTCCCAGCTGCCTTGACAAGCTGGTTCAGTTGTGCCGAGGCTGTGGTGACGGAGAGAGCCAAACCTGTAATGGAGAAGACACGCATTTTCAGAAGAAAGAGCCGCACATAAAGATTTTTACTCATGAATATATGCGAGCAAACGAGTGAGGTTGAAATGGATCTCAAGGAGGCAAACAAATGTGAGGTCGCATTCGATGAAACTCGGCCAGAGCAGAGGAGTCCAAGTGCGATAGGACGAAGCTTCAGTGATGACAGGACATACTACCCACCTAGGTACCTAGGTACCTAGGTAGGTAGGGTGTAGATATGTATGGACAGCACTCGTGGAGATGTCTCTCGCCACTTTCAAATCCTCGGCGCCTATCATGTCTCACCTTCTCCATGTGTACCAGGCTCTTAGGGGTGATACCAACTGAATGGTGTTCTATGCGTGGTTCGTGTGGGTTCAAGGGTGGGCCACCATTCAGTGATGCGGCTTCTTCTTTTTGGTTGCCGGGTACGGCATGTCAGATGCATACAAGTTTTGTGTGGCCGAGGCCCCACAAACAATGTGAAGTTACCTAGGCCTAGGTAGTTAATACACTCCATGCGGGATGGCTCGGCCACACAAGTGGATCTCGCTACCGGAATCAGGGTGATGGGTGCCAGGGCACGTATGAATTGAGCCTGACCATGTAACATGATCCGTGAAGTAGAGCCCGGAACTCAGAAAACTTTCGAAGAACGTGATGAGAGTCGGTGGCATCGTCTCGCCCTGGTCTAATTTGCATAAATCCATTCTCGATGGGTCTATTCCTACAACAAAGCTGCAGATGGTATCATGATGGATGAGAAGGTTTTTACAAATCCTGGAAATCTGTGACGATCGGCGTAATTTTAGGCTTCGCGAGACCATTCACTACCCAAAAGCAAGTGCGACTTCCATCATGTGTTCGCCACTAATCTGTTCGAAAAGCGCGAGATGATGGCTGATCGGGGCAGCACAAAGTGGTAAGTGAGAACTTACAATGGCCTCAGAGGTTCAATGCATTCTATTGACTTTTGACCGGTCATAGTTGATGAACGTAGCCAGACCACTGAAATTAAATAAATGAAAGAATTCTTATCGATCGGACGATACAGCCTACCTAAAATGGCAGCCGAAATTGCTCTAAAGCCACCTTCGTTGCAAGAAGCTCTTCCAAATACCTTCATTTTCTGACGCGGATTTCGAACAGGAGCAGAAGCATGGTGAGTTAAAAACTCGCATGAGTCGTCTGTCTGATAACAGCCAGAGGTTGACTCAATTCCCTATATTTGCACATGTGAACATGACAAGGAGAGTGTTGAGTTGAGTCCCTTTTCTTACACCCTCGAGGTAAGTCCTAGATAAAAGAGACATGCTTCAGCTAATTGTATAGTTGCACATATCCGGACTCTAATTTTGACACAACATCTTCTGAGCCGCCAGCCACACCTAGGCGAAGTACCTTAGAGTATTGATGATAGCTGGTACCTAGGTATGTAGGGGTACTTGATTTCACTCAAATTGGAATGGAATCTGTGGCAAACTAGACATATCATCAGATAATATCAATGATTTCATCAAACACATGAGAAGAATTGATACTCCTGGCGCCCATAATGTTTACTGGCCCGTCCATGTTTGTTCTACTTGTGTGCTAATTCTCAGCTCTGCCTGGCTGGCATATTAAATGTTAGTTGTAGGTGCATGGCATAGACTCATGCACAAATGTTTGACTGATCTGAACCTTTTCCCGAGTTTAGTTAGTAACGTCCAAGACTGCTCGAGTCTCTGCAGCGATCTCTGCAGCGGTCTCTTGAGGATGTGGTGCCAATATTTTCTAATGATATACCACAGAAAGCTCTTCCTGAACCGTATCCGCCCTCTTTGTACGAAATCCCTCAGCATTTGTGTGATGGCCTAGCAGTCAAAGGAACAGAGATTTGTGAGCTGTCGCAATTATTTACGACTTGGAGGAGAATTGACATGCCAGAACGGTAGCGCTGACGTATGTTCTCCGCAGACGCACATGACTACCTAGGTAGTAAGCCAGCTATTTCTTGGTATACACAAGTTGAACAAGAGTGGAATCAATCGATCGGATGTGGCTGTTCACACTGGAGTGGATGCTCCAACAGCCGGCCAGACAGCCAGATAAGTACCCATAGGTCTCACGCAGCAGATCCCTGGGCTCGGCAGCTGTTTCCGGCCCAGAAATTTGTACACGAAGAACAAAGGCAGAAGTTCTCGAATTCAGTAATGATAGACGACGACATGGGTTCGCCAGATATGCATAGGCGCCGTTGGGAACCCCTGGATGTCGGTTAAGCCGCAAGGTGAGCCTAACCGCCGAGTTCCATTGAAATGAACGGATGGGTGACATTTTGTGGGAGAGTGACTATTCGCGCACCCATTTTTGGCTGGCGCGCACCTTTTTCTTACTAAGCAGGCTTCCAACCAATCAGAGGAGAGGATTTCTAAGTCACGAAAACTTTAACAAACATCTTCGCGATTTTGAGGAACATAAAGGGGGCGGGTTGGTCCTCAGGGAACTCGGGTCGTGCCTACCGGCCCTACTCACGGCCCTCCGCTATGCTTCGCGCTCTGGGGCTCGCCCCCTTCGCCCCAGCCGGCCCTTTCATGGAAGAAGTCTTGTCCCGGATACTTCTTAGTCAGCAGAGGGTGCGCGCCAGCCAAAAATGGGTGCGCGAATAGTCACTCTCTTTTGTGGGATCGATCTCGATATGAGCCTGTCAGCCTGTCCACTTGCGCACACTGAAATATCAGATTAGTTAATTCTTCGTCGCAGTTGGCCCCGCCTGAGGCTCCGGACAAGGTTAGCCCCCATGTCCAACAAGATCGGTGATCAACCGAACCAACTTCAATACCCAGACCTGACAGCTCCTGGGTGAGAAGTGGATGATCCTCCAAAAGGAGAAGAACGGCGGTGTCATGCCAGAAGTCTTGTGTGAGATGGAAAATTAGGGACAGCTTACGGGTCCTTCGCTGAAGTCCACCAATCATAGCGTCTCAAAATCCATGCCAAGACTCGGTTATCCCAAGGTGAGCCTCATGAAACGACGTCCCGCGGTGGATCTCAGGCCAGCGGCCTGGAAACATATTAAACGATCCGGGGGTAAACATTGAAACAGGATGTTTCCTGTGAGAGTAGCCGCTAATCCGGGAGCAACGCCGAGAACCGAGCAGGGTAATGCAGGTCGGCGCTGTCTGCTTGACACCTGCAATATCGCTTCAGGGGCACGGCCTGTGGGACGTCCAAGGGGGCGGCGAAGGAGTCCCGAGGATCGGGATAGGAGGGACAGAGAGTACGGAGTATAGATATATAGCTATGTCTGCTCGCAGGAGTAAGAGAAATTAGTCCATCACACTTCAAGCTCGTTCGGTTTTCGATATTCATTCTTTTGGCTGAGTCCACCTTGATCGCAGTGCGATATCACATTCTTTGCCTTTTCATTCTTTTTACAGACTACATCTGAAGTCTCTGGTCGACTCTCCGCTTTCCCAAATACCTCCGAAAATACCGTCAAGATGAAGTACGCATTCTCTGCTGCGCTTGCCACTGCTCTGGCCGCCAAGAACGTTGTTGCCCACGCAACTTTCCAACAGCTTTGGGTATGATTTCCATGTCCTGGAGTGCTTATTCCAAACCAAGTAATCGAGAAGCTTCCACTAACATGTCGCAAAGGTTGACGGCACGGATTACGACACGTCCTGCGCTCGTATTCCTCTGACCAACTCTCCCGTTCAGGATGTCACCTCCAAGGACATGGCTTGCAACGCCGGAACCTCCCCAGCCGCCTCCAAGTGCAATGTCCCCGCGGGCAGCACTGTGACCGTCGAGATGCACCAGCAGCCCAACGACCGCAGCTGCTCGAACGAGGCTATTGGAGGTGCCCACTACGGTCCTGTCCTCGTCTACATGGCCGCTGTCGAGGACGCCGCCTCTGCCGAGGGAGCTGACGCCGCCTGGTTCAAGGTCTTCCAGGACACTTGGTCGTCCGGAGGCGCCTCTGGCAGTGACGACAACTGGGGAACCAAGGATCTCAACACTTGCTGTGGCAAGATGGACGTCCCCATCCCCAAGGACCTCGCCCCCGGTGACTACCTCCTGCGTGCTGAGGCCATCGCCCTGCACGCCGCCGGCTCGGAGGGGGGTGCGCAGTTCTATATGACTTGCTACCAGATCTCCGTCTCGGGTGACGGCACCGCCACTGCTGAGACTGTCTCTATCCCTGGCGCTTACAAGGCTGCCGACCCGGGTATCGAGATCAACATCTATCAGGCCATGACCGAGTACGTGGCCCCGGGTCCTGCCGTTTACGCTGGTGGTAGCGAGAAGACCGCCGGCTCTGAATGCGCCGCCGGCTCTGGACCCGCCGCCGGCTCCTCGCCTTCTTCTGCCGCCGCCGCCACAACTTCTGCTGCTGCTGCCACCTCGCCCGCCCCGGCCAGCACCACCCTCGCCACCTCTGTCACGTCCCAGGTCGCCGCTGTCGCCAGCTCCACCACCAGCGAGGCTGCCCCCGCTGCCACGACTGCCCAATCCGCTGAGTGCAAGAAGAGGCGCCGCAGCAGGATGGCTCGCAACCTGTAAAAGGTCGTCGGGTGTGAATGTGGAGTCCGATAGTCATACGAAGAAGTCTGTTGTACATTGTTTCACGGACAGCTTGTGGGGGAAGGGAGAGATTCTCCAGTTGATTCATTCTTCTGTAAATAGATTATATTACTGAACATACCGATCATGTCTCAAGAAGACGAAGTGACATACATCTGAAGCTCAATCATGTTGCAACGTGATGAACGTCACAAGAGCCAGAACAAATGTGAAATGTAATTGAACACATGTCTATGCATCGGGTTGTATTCTTTGCATAGCTAAATACGTGGAAACCTACCGTAACGGACTCGCTCGGCCCTGAGGGAGTGCCTTTGTCGGCCGATGATGGTCTTGTAAAGATTAGGAGCACCTAATACGGCGCTCACCAGACTGGATCCCAGCTGTTCTCCGTCATGCTCCATGAGAGCGGCTGTAGCTTGTGCCCTTCGAGCCAGTTCGTGATATGTGCGCGCGACTTCATCTTGCACTCAAGACAGCCAGGCTCGCTATTGACGAGGGGAGAAATGATTTGGGGTTTGGGCACACCACAACGCTTGTTGGGGCAGGAAAATGTATGATAGTTGAATTCCCACCGTTTGCTACACCTGAAACACTCGGTGAACTCACAAAACGAGGTACACATGGCAATAGCGTGGTGTAGTGTGATTTGTGTGGGTAGGTATGGTCGTCACTTGGGTGCAGAGTCGGCTGATACCTAGGTATGTCGAACTAAAGGAAAAGTGGCCTCTTCTTTAAGTTACAATTATATTCGCTTATCCGTGTCTGCTTAAATATGTACTCTATGAGAGAGCTGGACAAAGGCTATTGTGCTTTGTTCTTCTGGCCCGGTATTTCGTTCTGGTTGTGAGAAGCCATTGTTCTTCTGACACCAGATCTGGGGCTTGACAAAGCCAATGCTTCTCATAAGGGTTTATTTAGTTTTAGTAAGTTCTTTAAGTGAATATTGAAAAGTCTTTTACTTGCTGAACTTGGCAATAAAAGGTAATTCACAACTAGATGTTGCAACTTGTTTTCAGGGTGCATATAGTAAACTTACTGCAGCCCTAGTCATGCCACAAATGAAACAGGAGTCTTATGGATATAGCATGTGCCTTCATGCAACCCTCGATATTGGACTGCGAGAGCCGCTTCTGTCCAAATTTAAATCAACCATGACGCTGTATGTGCCATAAAACAGGAGCACCCGTGGACTTGAGTAGGTATGTCGACGGTACCGCCACACCCCGCCACCAAGATGGACTGAAAGCCCAGATATCAGGAAGTTTGCGAATCGGCTTGCATCATTTGGTTTGATAATGACAATCAGGAACAAATCTCCATAAGCAATCATGAGCTGACACCACGAAGAGAAGTTGCTCTCAACTCTAGGACAGCATCTGGGCACTCTGTAATAGACCACCTCCATTGGAAGGTGATCTGATTCTGAGATAGTTCCTGGACATACATGAGGTTCCGCAGCATTTTCCCGCTGGATGCACAATGACTCCGTCTTGGAGTCAAAGAAAGCCTTGCGTCTTTGTGTCCTTACCCCTACCAACGGCTTACCGTGCAGCGGTCTTCGCCTGCTTGGTGGTTGGTTTAGTCTTGGACCTGTCGACGCATTTAGGTCATCTCGAGCCAATAATCGTAGTACTGCTGCCCCGCCCACAAATCGACCACAACTTGAAGTACACCAGGTCTTGAGTGCCTGATATTAGTAAGATTCATGTTCTGCAACTGTCTGTGAGCAGGGTCGGACTACTCCTCAGAAGACCAAGTAGGTTTCATATTCGTCAAGCAAGCCTCCTGTTACTCGTAATCATTGACTCAAGAAAGCGGGCCAAACCTTTACTGATGACCATCGTGTATAACTGCAACATGGTGGGGGATCAGATTCCATCCCGCTCATCACGTAGAGATGATGTAGTTAGTGGATTCAAGACAAAGAGCTGGAAGGTCGGGGAAATATCTAGGTACATTGGCGGTTTCGTTTTTAATCCCCATACATGTAAAATGTACGTGGCGCCTTCATACAGTGGTAAACGCTCAAGACCCAGCGTTTGAAGAAATACAGTGCTAGGTACATTGATTTCCCACATACGCTGTGAGTGGTTTCGTTCTAAAGCCGCACACATTCCGAAAGGTATCGGTCCCTTCACACAGTGGTAAACGCTCAAAGACCCACCGAGTCTTTCCCCGCTTGTACTCGCTAGCAGTCCAGAGGGATATTTTATGGTTTGTTGAGGGCCTCCAGCGCACATATCGCGCACATGCCTGGCACCAAAGTCAAAGTAACGCCACACAGAAACGACCATCCACGTTGTCAAGTTAATCAAACTAGGAGCAAGATGCGACGAATTAGAAGAAAAACCATTTGGGGCCTGGAGGTTGGTTGCATCGTCCGCACGGCCGTAATATATCTGGTGGTTCTAGGGCTGTGAAGAAACATTTCAAGGCGCGAAGCAGCTTCAAGGATAGGCGAGGTTACATACGATCATCTTTTGGAAACGGGCTATACTATCCAGAGGACCTCAAGTACTTCTCAATCATTTAGCAGACACATGAATTTGCGCGCAGCTTGAGATGGCTCAATATGATGGCCAAGGGCGCGTCTTCCAAGGTCCCAGATGTGTCGACGTCGAACCTCTGGAACCCGTTGCTGTTGAGAAACGCATGAAGATTGCTCGTGACGATGATTTCACTCGTCCGCTCCATCATTCTGAGCATTCTGAGGGTCGCCATCACCCATTCTGGGGGTCTCGATGTACCCGTGCGCAGTGGACTAGCAAAAGTTTAGCCTCCCATGCTAGGAAACTCAGACAGTCGGGGCGCCGACAAGATCAAGATCTGAGCAGTCGACTAGTTCTATTGGGGGATGGACCAATATCACGAGCTGCATGCATGCAGCTAGCATTGATGGTTCGGGATCTCCAAGTTGTTTGTTTCTGCAGGGTCGCGAAGGGCCGCCGAACCCATCCATCAGCAGTGGAAGATCCACATAGCAAAGGGTGCTCTTAGAGCATTATTGCTGCATCATAGGATGCGCAGCCGACTGGTTGGAAAAGTCTGTCAAAAGTGAAACAGTCCCGAACTCTTTGCACGAGGGTTGGTGGTGAGATATTGGCCTATCCACGTGGGAGGTGGCAAGATGGCATTAAGAGATACTGGTCTAGATGGAGGGGGGATATGCCGGGCTGCCGTGGACACCTGCAGCTTTGCTACATGACGTGGGAGCGGCATGGCGGCATTGATTCGATCAAACACTTGAAGATGGGAGGCCAAGCAGCGGCCTCGTGTGGCAGTTCGGGTGCGGACGGCCGAGGCTGGGGGAGCAAGCCTGCGTGCCCTTTGAGACCTCGATGGTCTGTCCCGGGAGCAAGAAGAGCGGGATGAACCTTAGCTGACAGCATGAAACGTGCATAAGGAGGAGGAGGGGTTGGAAATGGACATTTGGGAAGCACTGAGGTGGATGGGTGATGTGGGAATGGGGGGTCCAGATCAGAGTTTCCAGAGAAAGGCCAAAGACGCAACGCCTGTCGGGGCTGGGACAGGGGTTTTTGACGATTGCCATTCCACCCAGGACTCAAGCTCAGGCGCTAGCCCGTAGGGAGATATACTGACATAGGGAAACAACCCTACGGGCATCAGGCACGGTGGTGAAGGGGAGAGCGGTGGGCCCATCAAGTATGATGTATATGTCTTTGCAGTACCTAGGAAGTACCTAGGTAGTAAGCATCATACACAGTACGGGGTACATACTTAGCTTAAGTACTTAAGTACTTACTTACCCAGGTGCCCAGGGCATGCACGCATGTGATGGAGGAGCCTGCCTCATCAGTCCTCGAGCTACTTGTCCGATTCGAGACAGGCTGCTAATCATCAAAGTCTAAGTCAGCCAGACGGTGAGATCTCGAGGACGATCATGGGCTCCAGTCCATTACACATTGCACATTGCGGTCATCAGCGGCCTGGGCAGGGCAGGACTGGGCGCGACAGCACGACAGCACAACAGCATGACAGCACACGGCAGCACGACTAGCTCCATCCCCTGCTCCAAAGCTCAGCTCGGGTCCCGGTCCAGGGTCAGGCCCAGGCCCCTGGCTTGCCTAGCCTGCTGGCCTCTGGCCTCTGGCCAGAGCAATCACTCATCAGTCAGACCCGACCCGAGACCACCCACCCACCCATCCACCCGCCATCCGCTTCCATCCGCTACCGTCCATCCCATCCAACCCCCACCCACTTTTCGCCCATCTCAGCTTGCGTGCTTGCATGTAATCGTTGACCACCTGCGCGGGACTTGAATGGCGGTCTGCCCAAAACTGGCCGGCTTTGTCTCTCGATTATTTAGGGGGGGGGCAAGGGGGGCGGACGGATGGAAGGCAGTCCTCTGCGGCAGCTGTGGAGGGATGTATCCAAGTACCTGTGTATCATGAGGGTCTCTCAGTTGTCCGGCTTCTGATCACACGGCGACGAGAGCACGTCTATCCCGTCGCTGCATTGCAGTGGCAGCACGCTGTGCGCCCACACGCCCGCACGCCCACACACAACTCCCGCACAAACAAACATCGACGCCAACGTCGAGAACCTGGAATGATGGGATTCTGTCTCCCGCCTCCTTGCAGGCCCATCCCTGTCACCCAGGCTCCACATCTGACCTGCCTAGCGCCGTCCTGGGTCGCTGATCCGTCGGGCCCCTGTCGCAGCTCGCTCGTTCGCAGGCAGCTCACAGCTTTTTTTTTTCTGCTTGCACCTCGTCGCCTTGCGTGCATGCTTTTCAGGTTTTGCAATCGCGCCCATGCAGCCACCCCAGCAACCTGCTGCTCGACGCTACTCTGGAGGGGTCTGCCTGCCTCTTGCCTCTTGTTGTTCTCGAGGGGCCATGAGTTAGTTTGCCTGCGGGCGGTCGTATGGAGTGCTGGTGACCATGCGCCATGCCTGCCTGGTCTGTCAAGGCAGGTACCGGTGCAGTCCCGGTGCAGTCCCGCGCCGTTGTGCGCACAGTCGCCTGGCGTGATGCCGATACAATCAAAGTACATGTACGGTAGCGTGCGGCAGTATATAGTCTTGCTGTCTTAGTCTGCGTCGTCCCGTTACGAAGGGGACGTGCGTGCGTGCGTGCTGACTGAACCTGAACCTGAACCTGAACCGACAGACTCACCTCAACATGACAAGTGACATCGCACAGTACCCTCTTTGCCTCTCTCCACCCCTGCAACGTCCCTTCCCTCCAGCCCTCTCGCTCGCCTGGCCCCCCTGTCCTCCCCTGCCCTGGCGCTTGCCCCTTGCTCTTTCCCTGGCACCATGGCAGGCCCCATTGCCGCTTTCCCCATATTTTCCCCTTCCAAGGTTTGTCGCAACGCCAGACAGCCCGACACAGACGCAGAACACAGACAGGCACACACACCAGCCCTCCAGCCCTGGCCGGCCAGACACCCAGACCAGCATCACCGAGCATGACCCATGACCCACACCTATGCAGTCCACCTCAGACTCACAAAGCCTCACTCCACTCCACTCCACTCCAGGTTCTCTCCGCGTCAAACACCCACACACCAACACAATCTGCATCACCCTGCTGCACCTTGCAATCTTCAACACCACGACACCTGCACCTGCTGCACCGGCGCCCTCGCACGCTCCCTCGCACGCTCCCCCAGGGCGTCGGCATCGTCCACCCACCTTCTGATCGCCGCTCCAAGACAGCCATTTCACACCTCTCAAGCATCCCACTAATGCTTCGCGACAGACCTTTTCGAGCACACGGGTCCTCTCTCACCACCGCCCTTGCGATCCACCCTTTAAGCTCTGCAGACGTCGCCGGACCTGATCTCGGCCCATCTCACCGTTTGTCTGCTGGCTGGCGCTGTTTGAACCAGCTTCAGGACCGCTCCCTGTTGTGATTTGCGTGGCCACAATTCCTGAGCTCGACCCCGGCCAAAGCTCGAGGAAACTCCGAGTTGGCCCCGCGGTGGCCTGGGCTGTTTTTGTCGCCTCCGATCTCGAAGGACCTTCAGCATGGATCCTCGAGATCAAAGACAGGCGCAGCCGCCCAACCTGCCATTCTCGCGAAATGCACAGTCTCCACTCTACACTCGACAGACCTTGCCTCCTCCCACGCCTTCTTCCGCCTCTGCGACGCCCGCCCCGAACTCGTATGCGATAGATCGACAACAACAGCAGCAGCAGCAGCAGCAGCAACCAGGGCAGCATACACAGGCCCCCTCCTCAGCCAGCTCTGCATACCCACCCGACAACCTCCAAAGGCGACCCTCCGACCCTCACTTCTTCCCCTCTTCCCGTCCGTATGAACATGGCGCCTCTCTCACCCCTTCGAACCACTCGCGACATCAGAGTGCCTCCTCTGTCACCCCGGGCCCCCCCATGAACCGCGGCATGCCGCCTCCGGGCTCACCCCCTCAGCCCGGCCAGGGTCCTGGAGGCCCCGGCGGCCCAGGAGGCCCGGGCCTACAGATGGGGCCAGGAGGGCCGTACAGCTTGCCTGCTCCAAGACCGTCGCCAATACCTGGCGGGCCCTCTACGGCGTTCCCTCCAGGCGGCCGTGAGCTTCCAGCCCTAGATTCTATACAGAGAGGAAGCGGCCAAGGGAGTTCAATGTCACTGAATTATATGCTTGGCCCCCGACCTCGAGATTCTACTGCGCCGTCCTACCCTCCCCCGGCATCGTCAGCTGCCGCCTCCGCACCTGCTTACACGTCTGGTGTACATGCCTCTCCGCGAATGGCCTCGATCTCCACCGAGTATGCACCCTACCGAAGGCCTCACACCCCTGAACAACATCAACGCATGTATGAAGCTCGAGATCCACGGGCAGATCCGCGGGCAGATCCGCGTGCCGACCCGCGAGGGGACCCGCGAGACCAACGGGATGCTCGTACCGCTGCTGGCTCACCCCACGGGGTGCATCTCACCCCAGAGATGCAAAGGTATGGGACGCCACGAGACGCATACCGACACCCGCCTCCACCCATGGGACCTGCGGAACATGGCAGAGACTTCCAGCGACTCCCAGGGCCACCTGGGCCCCCTCCTAGACCGAGCAGCCAGCCTAAATCGTTTCCCAACATCGCACCGCCCTCGCGGCAGATGGAGGCGGGAAGACCTGGTCCCCCCGATATGTACCCAAGACGCGAAGAGCCCAGGCATGGAGGAGAGTACAATCCGGAGCGACTCATTGTGGTCAAGCACGAAGACGATAGGTTGATGTTCGAGCGAGAAAGGCAGGAAAGGGAGAGAGAGATGGAACTGCGGGACCGCGAGAGGAGGGAGAGGACTACCTCGGGTGGCGACCCTGGAAGACAGTATGCGGTGAACCAGCCCGAGTATGGTCCGCCAGGAATACAGCGGAGGGAACCACTACCGCCACAATATCCACGTCCAGTGGATTCCCGGGAGCAGGCACACTGGCAAAGGGCGGCGTATGACCAGCCCCGGCATGTGTACGAGGAGCCAAGACCTCAACCCCGACAACACGAGTACCCTCATGCAAGTGCGCCTCCGTACAACAACACCCAGGGGGCTCTGTCGCAGCCTCCGGTAGAACGCTACCCTCCCTCCTCTCATCCTGCGCACCCGCAGTCAATGCCTCAGGCGGCTCACCAAGCGCCGCCCTATGAATCGCCTAGTCGCCAACGCGCGGCGGCGATCCCACCTCACCAACAGCAGCAACCTCCTCACCGGCGACCTGGCGAGGACGGGCCGCCCCCTCCTTCTGTCGCGTACAGCAATGGACACCCCCCAATGTACGATTCACCCCGACACCGGCCTCTAGAAGAGCCAGGCCACCCGATGGCTCACCAACAGAACTTTTTACGGGTCCAAGAAATGAACAGAAAGGGCCGTATATCTCCTCTCCCACAAGCTGTTCAAGGCGCACAACCGCAGATACAAGGGCCGCCTGGCGAGGCAGGCATTAAGAGCGAGTTTGGCCGCATGTTCTCAGGTATTGGGAGTGGAGTTAGCGGCCTAGGTGTATCTAGCCCTGTTGCGGCCGGTGCACAGCTGCCCTTCACTGGTAGCGGCCTGGGGCGGCGTGACGACTTGGAGCACGCACCTCCAGACGTAACATCCGATCCCAAGGGCGGCCGCGACAATGCTTCCCGTAACAAGCGGAGAAAGCAAAAGGAAGACGACGTCAAGAACGACGAAGACAGCACAGGCAGAAGCACGCCGCTGGGCAGAGCTAAGCGACAGAAGACGCACTCTCACCACCATCACCACCAGTATGTATCACCCCATCTGATCATTTCATCCCACCTAACTCACATTGTTAGCCATCATCATCATCACCACCACATTCCCGACCAAGTGTCCCCCCAACAGACTGTGGTCACCCCCTTCAAGAACGTCAAGGGATCTACACCGATCCCATCCCCCACAGGGGCCGCGAAAGACCTTCTCATGACTCACCATCATGCTCCTCCAAGAGCCAGCGCTCATGGTCAAATCAGGGAACCAAACGCCCAGCCAATCGCCGCCCATTCAAGTGCTCCCGTTATCATCCCGCCAAAACCGAAGCGTATCATCTCGAACAAGGCGATTCTCGACAGCGTGTCTAACAAGCCGCGTGAGCACCTTGGTGACTGGATCTACGACGTCATTCTCAAACCGGCTCGGATGTACGATGGTCGAAGTGGCCGGCATGCACGACATGCGTATCAATCCACACCCAAGCCTCTGCCGATGCCAACGATCCAAGGCAAGGAAGGAAGCACCCTGATGGTGAAGGTCGGGAAGCAGCACCTGAAGGGTCCTGCGAGAGCGGAAATCACGTCGCGCCGGGCTCTCTGGGGAACCGACGTGTACACAGATGACTCGGATGTCGTGGCAGCTTGCATTCACGGTGGCTGGATCCGGGGCGAGTGGCCTGATGATGTCGATGTCAACCTGCTGGGGCTTGACGAGGGTATCGGTGCGGATGTCAAGGAGGCCAAGGGCAGCAGGAAAGGAAGGGGCAAGGAGACAGCCGAGGCGCTGCAGAAGAGCAACCCGGATTTCTTGGAAGCGCCGTTGGCGACAGGGCCGGTGCAGGCACCTGAAGGCCGCGACATGCACGTCATGATCCAGATCCTACCCAAGCTCGAGAAGTACGTGTCGACGGTACGCTTTGGGATAAAGAGCCGGGAATGGGGGGGAAAGTTAGGCCGGGACGGCCAACGGTCCAGCCACGACGGGCTCAGCTTCATGATCAGATCGGTGCGGTTCGTCACCAACGGCGCAGCCCCGCAGAGCAGGCTTCGCGGCCAGGCGAGACGGGACAGGATGCGGAAGGCGATGGAGGAGGTTGAGATGAGCAGGGCCTTCGAGGTCAGGGTGGTGCCCAACACCGGAAACGGCATCGTATCGCTGGCGCCCAAGAAGAAAGCAGCAGATGGTGCAGGTGACAAAGAGAACCGGTCACTTGAGAGTGCTGGAGACGGCAATGGACACGACAAGGCGGGGCATAATGGCAGCCCTGGGGGAAGCAGGGCGAGGGGCAGCCTCGCCGAGGGGCAGGTGGGCCATGGCGGAGAGGCCGAACGAAATGAGCAGCACAACCGGGACGACGATAGCGGGGTCGGTGATGTGAGCGGTGCAGGGGATGACCCAAATGTGGTGCCGGCGACGCTAAACGCCGCGGCGGCGCTGGCAGCGGTTGCAACAGTGGCTAGCAGGCTAACGCCGCCTGCGGAAGCGTGATACATGCACATTTTCATGATGAGGCGGGAGGGGGCGTCCGGGGTGAGGAGCACGCCCTGAGGCATGGGCTGGTTGTTGAAGTTAGAAGTGGTTGCTGTTTGTCTCGTAAAAGTCAGGACAGCATGCGGCGTTTGGGTTCGTCCTGGGGTTTCAAGATACCTGCGCATGAGCAAGCAGCCTGGCTGCACTGGTAGCAATTGATTCGGTATGCCATGAAGTGCTTCTGGAGGAGACCCGGCACTATGTATTTATTGTACATGAGCTACGAAATACCACGAAGAATACTCCCCAGAACGACTTGAGGTGCTGGTCTTTCAAAGGAGGATCGTGCCCGAGGTTGTGGATGTGCGCAGGTCAGACCCAGAGGATGACATGGGCATGGCCAGCCAGCCAGCCAGCCAGGCCGCCAGCCCGGCGCGTCACTCATACTCATACACTCCCACGCCCACCTCAGAAGTCAGTCACGCGGCCGTTGTAGCTCCAGTCGCCGGCGCTGCCCCACCTCAGCGGCTCGGTCTTGGGCCCGCCGACCTCGCCCGTCCTGGGGTTCTTGTCGCCGTCGAACTCGGGCGGGGCGCCGCGCCACACGCCGCCGGGGGTGGTCTCGTCGGCCTGTGGTGGTGGTGGTGGTGGTGTTGATGTGGCAGCGGCCGTGGCGCCGTCGGGGGTGGTGGTGTGCCGGGGGTTCGAGGCGGGCGAGACGGAAGGGTATTGTTGCTGCTGCTGTTGCTGCTCGTGCGGCAGCGGCGTGGGGTCGGCGAGGCGGTCTGCCACGGCGCGCTGGAGGCGCTCGAACTCGGCCTGCTGCTCTGGGGGCAGGCGGGGCGGGGAGGGGCCTTGTTGGAAGGCTGAGGAGTAGGGGCGGGCGTGGGTTGTGATGATGGGCGTTGGTGGTGATGGTGATGGTCTTGTGAGGGCGGCGGCTGCTGCTTTGTGGATTGCGCGCAGGCTTGAGGGCCTTGGGAAGAGGCGGGTTGGGGGCATTTTGTTGTTTTGTTGCTCTCTGTGGGTAGTTGTTGGCCTTGTGCACGAAAGGTTGAGTGGCCAGGGCGGGAAGAAGTCGAGATGTGCAGTTCCGATGTGGCGGCCGAGGTTCGGCAGGGTGTTGTACCAGAGCTCTGGGCGTTGACGACATGGACTCGGCGGGCGGGCCATCCGAGCTGCCCGGGGCCTGCCCTGCCTGGACTTTCCGCAGGTCGGATCCGATCGGTCGGATCTTGCCGCTCGGCTTCCAAGCTGGGCTTTTCTTGTCATGATATAGTCTACAGTATACAACTGCCAACATATCACCTTGCACATTGACAAGGTAGTTGATGGCAGCCATGGGCAACAGAGTCATGGTCGACACATCCTTCAATGTGTGTGACAGTCACGTATGGTTCTCATGTAATGAATTCGCAATCAACTCCGGCAGAGCTGCCATGTGTGGGTGATGTTTGTTTGGTGAGTGTCATGCCTGCATATTATATGCCCAGGTCTGCGATATCAGATCCGGCAAGGTCCCTCCAGCCTCATTATTCCCGGCCATTCTCTTGGCTGCGTCAGTGCAGGGGGGGGGGGATAAGTCATGAGAAAGAAGAGAGAGAGAGAGAGAGAGAGAAAAAAAAAAAGAAAAAAAGGTCGACAGCCAAACACTAGACACGTCACAGAGACGGGCCGAACGAAGAGTTTGCATAAGATTTCAAGACAACGACAGGCCAAAGATTCAGGGCAAAGCATAGGTCCATGACCTGCAGCAACAAACATATGACTCGGGACTGTCCGTGTCTTGCGTGTCAGAGAACCTCAGGTGCTGCAGCGGCCCAGCTATAGGGGAGGGGGTCAATCAGCCCAGCCCGGCCCAGCCAGCCCTGCAAATGCTCTGACCTGATAACCCACCCGCGCTTCCTTGGCCCTTGGTGGCACCATTTTTTCACCCTCCCTCAACCCTGAGGCCCAGGTCAGAGCACGATCCGTCCTCTGTTGTCATCAAATGGCTCCTTGCACCAGGGATTCAGGGGCAAAACTCGCCCTCGAGCAGGGCACTTTCTGTGCCCTGTCCGGGAAGAACCGGGACGCACTGATGATGATGAATGATTGCATGTATTTCGGTTTCTGTTTCCAGACAAGCCCCCTAGGGACTTGACTGTTGTGTGATGATGAGTATAGTGGGAATATTCTGATTACTTGACTGCTGCGCTCGACACCACATTGACTCACGACATTGCTCCTAAGCCATCGATGCTACGGTCTTAGGTACGAGACCTTTGGTAGTACCTTGTCTTTTTCCTGGGTTACATTTATTTCTTTACGACACTGCTGCGAGTTCCCATTTGAACAGTCCGTATAACCTCTTCCGTCATCATGAGCCGTCAACTGTGATATTCCAATTGGCCAAGGGTGGAACCAAGACTATCAGTCGCACCACTCCCTCCCACTTGCTATCAAGTCATCACAGCAATATCACAAAACAAGATACACCCACGACACATTAACTTCAACAAAACCCATACAAGGTTTCTTTTCTAAAGACAATCAAGATGGCCGAAACACAAGCCACACGCTGCAAAAGAGCCAGCAGTGTCTCAGAGACAGGGACAAAGCCAAGTGTGGACGAGTACATAAGCCCGGATATCATCCACATCTTCCGCGAGGACAAGGACAAGGCCGAGGCCGAGGCCGAGGCACCCGCCAGCCCTCTGACACCACTGCCAAAAACCAGGGAGCCCCCCAGGGGTTCGACAAGGGAGGAGGGCTCATGCCGGTTCCCGCAGTTCCAGCGCCTGCCGCCAGAGATCCGCTTCCTGATCTGGGAGGCGGCCGGCCCGGAGCCGACCGTGGTCCCGCGGACGTGGAACAACGCAAAGTTCAGGTACCACCTGCGCAGGGGCGTTCCCGCGGTTCTGCAGGCCTGCGCCGAGTCGAGGGCCCTGCTGGTCGCGCAGCAGCCGGGGGCGGGGGTCGGTGGTGCCGCCCCGAAGTATGAGCTTGTCCGGATGCCGGGCCGTGAGGAGGAGGAGGAGGGTGTGTATATGGATTTTGACAGGGACTCGATATGGATATACCGAGGCTGTGAGTATTTTTGAATTTGCTGGTGTATATCTTGCACTACCCGAAAAAAAAGAACCTTAGATTGCTGATTCGATGAGTCGCACAGACGACATCAGCGATGCCGAGGTGGCGGCGTACTCGGGCCTGCGGAGCCTCGTCATGAACTGGGGCCTGCGGCCGTGCTGGGTCGACTCGGCCGTGGACGAGGGCGTCCGGTTCGTCCGCGGCTTCCCGGAGCTCAGGCTGCTGACGCTCCTGGTGGATTTCAACGAGCACGGCTGGCCGGAGCCGTCGACGCTCAAGGGGCTCAGGAGGCTGAGGCGCACAGAGGTCAAGCGCATCTGGGCCCTGGTGCGGGCGGCGCTCCGGAGGGCCGAGGAGGAGGACCCGGCCTGGAAAGCGCCGCAGCTGCATATCGTCCACCGGACCGAGAAGTGGTGTCGCCGAGAGGCCAAGTGAAGGGATGCTAAGCCGTGGGGGATTCGGCACGAACGAGTGGGATTGCAGGATATGTATGGGATGCGGCAGGCGTTGGGGATGTGTTTTCATCTTGTCCATTGACAACATTGAATATACCCACCTACCTCTCTAAACAAGAGAACCCCGAAACCCCATGGGGTGTGTTCCTTATCACGGGCAGCGACTGCTGTCTGAGTCTCTGTTGAACTTCTATTTTCCTACCTGTCAGAGTATGCGTGAGAAAAGGGAGACTAGAGGCAGGTTCAGTGACCGAGGACATATGTTCCGGCCGCGTTCAGCCAACTTCAATGTTCCTGCACCAGTCTCTCCCATGCCGGACCTGCCAGTCACACAGCCACACCTCTACCGCCATGCTGATGAAGCCAGCCAAGCAGATGCCAGCGCTATCGGCCACGGACGTCGCGCCGAGGCTGAACTCGCGGTCCTCCACGGGCACGTTCTCTATGATCTCGGCAAAGGTGTTCACGTAGACGGCGCCGCCGAGCAGGCCCTCCCAGAAGACGACGAGGAAGACGATGTAGACGGAAGGGATGAAGTTGAGCAGGGCGTGCAGCGCCAGCAGGACGAGGTTGCCGACCTGCAGGAAGGAGGGGATGTAGACGTGGTGGATGCGCACAAAGGGCGTGGACGAGCGCGAGATGAAGACGCCGACCTGGTACAGGAAGTTGTAGAAGGGGTAGAAGTCGCGGTGGCGGGTAAAAGGGGACGACTCGAGTGGGAACAGCAGCGTGGGCGAGACGCCCTGGTTGATGGTGTACTCGGCGACGTAGACCATGAACAGCGGCAGCATGTACGGCACCACCAGCGCCCTGGCGCGCCTCAGGTGGGCCACGAGGGACCCGCCGCCGTGCTGCGGCGCCGGGTGATGGTGGGCCGAGTAGGCCGTGGTGGCGACGGCGGGGCCCGGGGCCAGCAGGCTGGACGACGCGCTGCCGGCGGGCATGTCGTCGACGTCGACGTCGACGTCGTCGTCGGCCAGGTCCCGGCCGGGGAGGGCCTCGTAGCTCTTGGGGGCGGCGCCGTGGCGCAGGGGCCCGCGGGGCAGGACGACGAAGAAGCTGAGCAGCATGACGGCGGGCAGGAAGGCCGAGGCCAGCAGGCTGTCCCGGACGCTGAAGCCCATCCAGGTGGTGAGCATCACGTACAGCCCGGCGCCGGCCAGCCCGGCGCCGCCCGTGCCGCTGCCCCAGGCGGCGAGGCTCATGTGGCCGTAGTAGTGGGTCAGGCCGAGGAAGCTCAGCTCGCCGCCGCCGCTGCTCAGGCTGGCGAGCACGACGCCCAGCATCTTCAGGGGCACGGCGCCGGTGGCGGGTGTCAGGGCGATGAGGAGCATGCCCGTGGCCGAGAGGCCGGCGAATATCAGGACGCGCACCGAGTAGGGGACGCGGTGGATAAAGTACGGGGCGACGAGCTTGGTCACGAAGGAGGGCATCACGTCGGCCAGGAGCACGATGCCCTTGGGCAGGTTGCCGATGAGGTCCTGCGCGGCCGACAGGATGATCACGTAGAGGACATTGTTGATGAGACCTGTTGCAGAAGGGACAAGAACCATCAGCTCGTGCTCTTTGTTGTTGCTCTAAAGAGTTCTGAACGTACCAAACAGCCAGAAGGCTACCAAGACGTGGGCGTCGGCATTGCGAAAGACGCTGGCGATCCTCGCGCGCCAGGCCGGTGTTCCAGGCATGGGGAGAAGTCCAGATGAGGACGGCGACGGGCTCATTCTTCCCTGGCCCTCCTGTCTTGTCTACGGTCTAAGTTGCGAGTGTGAAGGCATATCCTAAATGGGGGAGATGGTGGTGGGTTGTCGAGAGGAAGACCCGTGGCTTGCTCGTGTGACGTTTGTCTCCTGTGATAAGCCGGGCCCTGCAAGCAACTTAATTAGTTCCCCGATAGCCGATCCACTACCGCAGCCAAGGGTTGAACCCTGGTTAACATACCTACTGTGATTTGGAAATGCACATGAGGTTTTATCTCTGTCGGCACAAGTCGTGGTATACACACATCCCCCATATGTGGTCTGAAGTGTTACCTGTAATTACAAAATATACAAAACAAATGTGACATAACTGGATGTCGACCTCAACGCCCCGAAACTCACGAGCCCTTAGGGACGGAGTCTTGTCAAGTGACACCAAACACCGCCCAATGCATACGTGTATGATAATATCATGTCCCATATATTTTAAGAACCCCCCCCCCCCCAGGCGAGAAGATGAAAACCGGGAGCCAGGTCGAGCCGTCTGCACGGCCTTCAGGATCATGAACCATTAATCTGTCGCAGTCAGTACGCGGTCTCAAACACGCAGCGGAAACAGCACCATGGGGCTTCCGGGCTCACCTTGTCCATCTGCTCCTGTAGCTTCCCTCTGATCGTCTCGTTGTTGCGGATCATGTCCGCGGTCTGAAGGGCGATCTCGCCAATGGCCTTCTGCGACAGCGCGAACGGCGTGTAGAACAGGTAGTCGCTGGGGATCTGGCACACCTTGACCGGGGCGGCCGCGTTGGCAGCCAGGTCGGCGCTGGGCTCCTTGGCCCCCCCGTCCTCCTCCTTGTCGTCACCGCGCCTGTTCGCCCTCTTTTTCCCGGCCGGCTCCCCCTGCGGCTCCTTGTTCTCGGGCCTGGTCGAGCTGGGCACCTGGACGTCGTTGCCAATCACCTCGTTGGGTATCTCCAGCCGGACGCCGCTCTGCACCGAGACGGCCACCAGCGCCGTGTCGACGCGCTCCACGCACGAGTTGGTCACGTCGCGGAACCCCTCCTCGACCGGGCCGTCGCCGCGGCCCGAGGCATCGCGCAGCCGGGCGTTGCGCAGCTGCCGCTCCACCATGGCGTCCAGCACGTAGCTGGCCATGTTGTACGCGAAGCCGTCGCGGACCGGGCTGCGCCTGCTCTGGGGCGGGGCCCTGTCGGCCTCCTTCTTCCCCTGGGTCGCAGCCGGGGTCGCAGGGTCGTCTGGCCCGGCCCTCTTGCTGTTCTTGTTCTCATCCCCGCCGGCCCTTTGGTTCTCCTTTCTGACCCACTCCACCAGCCCGTCGACGATGCGGTCGTTCCAGTGCTCCGTGAGCGCGGCAGAGTTGCGCATCTGCTCCGCCTTGGAGTGAACCTTGGGGAGCTGCGCCCTGAGATCGCGCCACCCGGGCAGCAGGGATGGGTCCGTGACTCGAGGGATCAGGAGCCGGAAGTATTCGGTCGTATCTTCAGCGCTGCTCTCCGCTGGTGTTTTGTCCGCGGCGTTCTCCTCGTTTCTCTTCTCAGTCGGCCCGTCGGCGGATGACTCCCCCGTGGTTTCTGCTTCCGGGCTGGGCTCGGGCTCAGGCTCGGGCGGGGCCGGGACGTAGTTGATGTCAGACCAGGCAATCGACTGGTAGTCTGTCGAAGCCTCGTACAGGCGCTCGATCTGCTCGAAATAATCCCTCGTCATAGCGTTTGCTGCCGCCTTCCCAGCAGGGATCGGCAGGGCCGATAGCGAATACACGTCCCAGAAGCCAAAGTTGAAGACCCAGAGCGTCTCCTTTGGCGCATGGCGCGGCTTGGGCATGGCGAGGAATCGATCGACCTGGTCCTTGAAGTCGAGGGTCTGCCACTGGGGGCCGTACAGCGTTGACAAGTACGAGTAATCCAAGCCAGGGCCGGACCGTCCTGTCGTCTCGTTGAGGACGCTTTCGACGCCGTCGGCGTAAAGAGTCTTGGAACTGACAGACCACGAAGGGGAATCGGGTGACGGCGCCATTGAGATGTGCTTGGAGCATGCCAGCTGGGACGGTAATCATGTTTAGAGTATGGCCCGGCACAATGTCAAACTGGAGGGTTCTGTGAGACGACGTACCTGGTCACAGAGGGCCTCAGTCCACGACTTGGACCCCTCGACCTCCTGGTCTACGCCGACCGCCGGCGTGCCGATGTCGTTCTCCCCGAAGACGACGATCCTCAGCCCGCCCGGTATGCTGCCATCATCGACATCGTCGCCAGTGTCTACCTGCAGCGTTTCCTCTTGCTCCCCTTTCCAGAGATCGTGGGGCATAGAGTTCAATGCGCCGTCGCTCAGACGCTGGGGCAAGAGCTTTATGACAAGCAGCAGGGCACAGAGCACGGCGGCCAGGTTGAGAAAGATCTTGGGCCCGCCTCTGACACCCTTGTTAAAGAAGAAGCCGAGAAGTGACTGGACACATGGTGCATCTCTCAGGCGGTTCCCGGAGGTTTCCTGCTGGGCCATGTCGGCCTCCTTTTGCGACTTCAGCATCTAATTCTATCTGGAGTTGACCGAATGAGAAGCCGACAAACCCTTATCGTCGTCCGCCCTCGCAGCGGCAGCCAAACCGCGGGGCGTCGTGCGGTAGCAGACGTCACAGACTGGCGGGGGGGTGCACAGTGGGATTCGGGTTAATAGCCCGTGGCATCGGCTGCCAAGAGATGCCGATCGGTGATGTTGGCGCGGCTGCCAAGCCCTGATGGACTGGTGCAACTTCCGGGCGGTCGGGGTGTACGGTGTAATACGCGAGGCAGGGCGAGTGCACGCTGTGACCCGGGTGGTGGGCCGTACAGAAGGGGTAACTGGTCGCGTGCTCACGTTGCAAAAAGGCCTCTTGGAAGGAGAACGGGACAATGGTGGTGTTGCCAGAGGGAAAGGCGGAGCGTTGTAGGGAACGGGTTGACGGGCTCCAGGGGGTTTTGTCTGAGAGGGAGAGAGGGCGGGAGGCACATGGTTGTGTCTGTACAACGGCAGAGGCAGAGGCAGAAGCAGAAGAGATCAGCGTCCCAAGCACCCACAAGGATTCAGTCAGTCAGCAATCCGGCATCCAGCATCCAGTGCCCAGCATCCATCATCCAGCACCCAGCACCCAGCATAGGCCCCGCGGCGCTCACCAGCATTGTCTCGACAACCCTGACAACCCAGCCCATCGGGTAACACCGCAGGGGGGGGGGGCAGCTGGGGGGCCAGGAGCGCAGGAGCGTCGTCACCGGTGGATCCGTCCTCAAACCTTTCACTGTCAGACCCCTGAGTCTCCGAGACCCCAGTTGCCCAGTTGCCCAGCATCCATCCCGTCCTGCCGGATAGCCATGCAGGCCATGCTGACAGGCTGAGTGCTTGGCCTCGAAGGACGACGTCGAAGGGTGCACAACGCCTGTCAGCTGACGAATTGCACGCCGAGATCACGCCGGGTCGGTCCTGAACCGAGAACCATGTCCAGGCACACACGGTAGCTGGCTTAAACTGGCTCAACATGTCCCTGACACTGGCAGCGTCTGAGGAAACGGTAGCACGCACCTATACCACTGTTGAATCTTGTCCATTTTGATATCGCCTGCTAGATCCCAGAGATACCTACTTCAGTACATACTTGGAAGACAAGCCTCAATCCGCAACCCTCGCTGATTAAACCACCACACATCCTCGCAGCCACCCCTTACTAGCGCAGCTCCAGATATGAACCGGCAAGACCCGCCATCATGAAGGCCAGGAAGATAGGCCTCTGGGGGAAGCCGGGCCCGCCAAACTCGGGGTCGAGCCCGTCGGCGCCGGGGAAGTAGATGGCGGTCAGGCCCGTGAGCCAGTAGACACAGCCGGTGAAGGCGGCCACGCTCAGCGAGTAGCGGTCGATGGCCGGCGACGGGCCCAGCAGCAGCGGCCTCCACGTCAGGAACAGCGTCGCCATGCCCAGGACCGTGCTGAGCCCAATGGTCTGCGCGTTGTGGAATCTAGGCACGCATGTTCCAGTGTTTGCCCCATATACTCCGTATACTCCAGATGTCAGGTGTCAGGTACTCACTTCGCATGGGGTGGCCAGCGCGGGTTCCGCTGGTGGGTTTCGTTCATGTCTGCCACCCACGCCCCGAAGAGGAGCCCGAGGCTATCGATGGTGAGGAGGGCGCGGCCCAGCATGGTGATCAGTACTTATATATGTGTGTATGGCACGAGGAAGAACGAATGCATCTTGCTTCTGGCACCTGCGGCTGAGGGTCGCACCACATGCACTACTTATATGTAGCCTGCCAGCAACCTGTAGACGTCACACATCTGAGGACTGTAGTCCAAGGTATTTGCCAGACATCGGACCAAACCAGTCCGGCCGTCAAAAGGTCTCAGCGCTCCGCCTTGACGGCAGTGTCCGTCAACAGGAACAGTTCACGACATCCCGAGTCTGGTATCCGGCAACGGACCCCATGAGCCACCGCTATTCGCCCTTGACAGGACAAACTCAAAAGTCTGCGACCAGCAGACATACCGACAGCCGTGCCTCCAACAACAGGGCATCTTTTCAAGTTTTGCATGGTTCCAGCCATCATCCCATCATCCCATCTCCCGGCACCTCACCCTATCCCAAGCGGCTCCGGACCTCCGTGGAGGTGGAATCGAGCAAGCAACACCCATGGGCATTCAATTGCCTTACTGGTCTGGTAGGTATTCATATAATTGCTTTCAGTTTGCTGACTGCCCATTTGCTTCTAGCATTCACATATATAAAATAGTGCATGTCTTCTAGACTAAAGCTAAATGGCGCTGCTGCAGACCTCCTCTCGTCTCTGCAGCCAGAAGTACCACTTCATTATTCTGCAACATGTGTGTGTGTTAGTCTACACTCTACAGAAAGGCAGGGGCCCACCTTCACTCGTGCAGACTGTGCCGGATCTGAGCGCCAGCACTGGCCTACCCAGTGTAGCCCCTGGCACTTGTCTGCACGCCATTGCTAATGCACCGTATGAGTTACCCAAGTAGGTACTTTGTCAATGTTGGGGAAACACCCGGGGGTGCCACTCGCCCCCACCTGGCCCTGCTGTTCTGCCATTCTGCCCAGGCTGCTGCCCCAGGCCGTCGTCAGGGCCTCGGGGCAACCTGAACCCAAGCCCAGCCCCGCTTCTTTTGCACCAGGCATCACAAATCCATCACTTTTCACAAAGCCCATAATGAAGAAATGAGTGAGCCGGCCTGGCCTGGACGTGCCGGCTGGTCTCAACTGTGCACTGCACACCATCTTGTTTCCCGCCCCCTCTTCTTGACCCAAATTTCTTTCAATGTCGTCTTCCTGATTGTCAAGCCATTCGGACCACACGCAATTCATCCATCCATCCATCCCTTTGGCACTGTCCCTTCCGCCTCTCCTCCTCTCCCGGCCCGGCAGCATTGCCAGAGAGAGGCATCACCAGCCAACCAATCCTTCTTCTGACCACCACCTGCCTACTTCTCCCCTCCAGATCTTGATCCAACGAGACAGGCAGACAGGCAGACAGGCAGACAGGCAGACAGGCAGACAGGCAGACAGGCAGACAGGCAGACAGGCAGACCCAACTGGCACCTCAGGCCTCAGGCCGCAGAAACCCCCCTAATAATCTCCAGCACCTCCCAGGCCCGGGAGGCCAGGGGAGGGAGCATGACGCAAATCTCCCACGCCCTAGCTGCCAAGATGGGGTCAAGGAAATTGTCACCTCACCTCACACCCAGTGCTACCGGGCGCTTCAGACCATTTCTCAGCACGATCCCTTGACGGGTTCAACAACCACAACAACAACAACCACAACTCTGTTGAGTCTCAACTGCGTGCGACATGCCTCCTGACGCCTTCCAACGCCTCATATTGTCACAGGTCGCACAGCCCCCCTCCAGGGGCCAGCACGCCAGGGATTTAGAAGATACCCGCCAGGGCTCGGGCAGAACGGCTCGCTGCAGTCTGACGCATGCGTGCCGCCTGAGGAGACAGCGGCTGTCCCCCAATGCGAATCACAACCCCCCTTCCCGGCCCTCGGCTGGACGAGAAAAGTTCGACCTCGAAGCAACCAACCGGTCCTCTCCAGAGATGCCTGCCAAGACTACCTGCGCACATGCGCCAGCTTTCCCAATAATGCACTGCAGCAAGGGGATGACTCCCTTCCGCCATCAAGTCACGATCGAGAGTGCCGTCTGAAACACGCCTTGCCACGGGGCAGAAGGAAACACACACTGGCAGATACGAGGGATCATTGCTGATCAAATAACTGTGTTTTTTTTTCTTCTCAACCAACCAACCAACCACTCGACGAGCGGCAAGCCCCATCTCGAATGTCGCCTCTTTTCCCGCATAAAACGCCCCGTGAGGGTATGAGCCGATCGATGCGCCAAACATGCTGCGCAGACTATGAATGCTACGCCTATGTTCCCTTTTTGATCATCACTCATCAACGTCTCGCACCTTTGGCCCCAACGGGAACCCAACGGGAAAAGGAGGAAACCCAAAGCTCAGCGACAGCTCCCCCGAACGCCATCATCACGCTCTATGAGCATTGTCGCGGTGCGCCTGCTGACGAAACTATTATACATGGGTATGGACAACATTTCTACACGGTGTTGGAGGGGCCCCAGCTGTGAGCGACCCTGTCCGAGGCGTCTCCAAATGCCACCTCGTGGTACCATCCATGGATAAGTCGGATCCCACTCCACGAGGGCTCATGGCGGGCCTGAAAAGCTCAGCAAGACCAAGCCCGGCAAGAAGGGTACCTCCGCCCTGTCGTCCAGGTTCGGCGACGCAATTGTCCTCGGGAACCCGCATGCCAAGCAATCTGCCGTTGAAGAGCAGCTACTCCTCTTCCGAAGAGCTAGCATCGTCACTGTCATCATGACGATGGCCGGCCTGGGCCGTCTCGTTGGGCTCGATCGATGGCACTGGCTCCTGACTACCGCTGCCAGGCCGCTTGTACGAGTCCTTGAGTGCCTTCAGCTGCTCGAGCTTGCGCTCTTGCTCGGCCTTGCCCATGGGTTTGTTCTTCTTCTTCGCCGCCGTCTTTGCAGCGTGCGAGTTGTGAGCCGGGGCCGGCGCAGGCTCTGACTTCTTCAACTGGTCTTTATAACTTGGGAATGCCTTGAGCACAAGGTCAAACAGCTTGACTAGCGCCTCGTCGCTGAGCTGCTCCATGTCCAGTTCCAGTTCGTCATCGTCGGTCTCCTTTGGGCATCAATTGTCAGCCACGTCCAACCGAAGGGGGAGAATGGGATGCTTACGGTCAAATTGGTATCTTTCTTAATGATGTCAATAGCTTTCGTTAAGCTGTTACCGTCAAGTCTGCCGATCGCATCGGAGACAATCTCTTTCTCCTCGTCCGTGAGCCTCTTCTTCGCGGGCTTCTTGGCCGGACCGCTACCGCCCTTCTTGGGTGGGCCCGCGTTCGCAACCTTCTTCGGCCCGGCACCGGCACTACCAGCCGCCTTCTTCTTGGCCGGCTTGCTGGCCTGCGAGGGCTTCTTTTCTCGTGCCTCCTTCAATTCAGCCCGCCTCTTCATGATCTCGTCCTGCAGTGCCTTGATGACCGTCCGGCTAAGGTCGATGGAGGCTGAATCCGGGTTGTCGGAGAAGAGCTGCTTGTCCAGATCGTCTTGCTCCTTCTTGTGCCGCGTTATGGCATGGTCCAACTTGCGCTGAAGCTCCTGGATATCAACGGTGTTGTCCGGCTCCGGCTCGCTCTCGTCCTCCTCCTCCTCCTCATGCTTGGCAGCACCTCGAGGACTAGTCGCGGCTGCTGCAGGCGGCGCTGGTTGAGCATGTTTGCTCATCCAAGCCTGCTTCTCCGCCCACTTCTTCTCGAACAGCTTCTCCAGCTCTTTGCCTGCCGTGTGGACGAGATGGCCCTCGGGGTTGAACTTGGTGCAGTTCTTGATCATGAGGTGGAAATCGGCCTTGAACGCACTGGCCGACTCATACTCTCCGCTATCCAGCTTCGCAGTCATGGTACCCAAGTCCATCGGCTGCTTAATGACGCTATGATAAGTCGGGATGTTCAGGGCAACTGGGTCCACGGGTTCCAGGAAGTATTGGTTCAGTGCCCAGTTTTTGTTGGATTTCAGGTCCTTCAGAACCTCTTCACAGAACTTCATCTCAGGCTTGCGCTTATTCTTGGTGTTCTTCGGCTGGAAACCCAGGTCCTTGTTCTTGGGCGGATGAATGGGCCTCTTGGGTCGGTCCCCTGCATTCTTCGTGCTATCTCGGCGGATAGTGGGCACACCAGAGGCAGGCACAGCAAAAACGGGTGAGTCAGACACCTTCTCTGCGGGTGAGCTTGCAGCAGGGCGAGACTCTTTCTTTGGGGGCGGTGGTTGGTGGTGTCGGGGCTCGGCGTGCCGTGTAGGCATCTGCTTGACATCCTGCTTGACGGGTTTCGCTGGCTCCTCAGCGGGCACTTCTGCCAGCCTGATGTAGATGCCGTCCACTGTGGCCTTGGCAGCCCTCGTCACGTCATGGTCGGACCCGTTGAACTTGGTGGCGTTCTCAATGATGAGCTCCACGTCAGTCCGGAAGTCCGCCATGGCTGCGTACTTGTTGTCACGCAGGTTCTGTTCAATGAAGCTGATGTCCACAGGACGCTTAATCAGCGAACGGTACTGCTCCCAGACACCTGGCCACAGTGTCTGCACTGACGACCGGAACATTTGCCCACTCTTGGTCTTCTTCACGAGAGCCAAGACCTTCTTGATCTCCCTGTTCTGATAGGCCGTGATGGCATTGCTGGCAAGCGCCGGGTCATTCAACTTGCGAGATTTCCCATTCACACTCAGAGGCACAGACGCCCCAGCCGGCACTTGTTTTGCTGGTGTCGAGGAGCCGGAGGCGGGAGCCCGAGCCTCAGAAGGTGGGTCTATGGCCATTGCGTCCTGTGAACCGGACGAGGCAGGCTGCGATTGCGACGCCTTTGCGCCATCTTCTCCTGAGGTCCTGACACGCTTTGCAAGGGGTTCGTCGTCAACATCCTCCTCCCGTTCTCGAGCATTCTTTGCCGAGGCCTGCGATGGCGCATCAGTCATGCTAGTGTCGACTGTCACAACCACGGATGGGGACTCTGCCTTCTGGGATAGCGTCTTAGGGGATTTGGGCGTGTCAGCGTCTGGAGAGATAGCATCGCTCTCCGCAGTCGCTTGAGTGTTCTCTCCCTGCTCTGTCCTAGCCTCTGGCTCTCTTACTGGTGCCTCAGACATTTCCTTGTCATTCCCATTGCTCGCCCCCGTGTCTACAATCTCCTTGGTCGATTCGGCAGCCGGTTGTGGTGGCGCTGGCGTTGAGGAGGTTTCAGCCGACGCGCTGTTCTCCGCGGGTTGGGCGGGCTCTTGAGGCGCAGGCTCTGCAGGTTGCTCAGCAGTAGAAGACGACTTTGCAGCAGGTTCAGCCGGGGGCGAAGGCGCCTGGGCGGACTCGGCTGGTGCAGCTGGTGCGTCAGTCATCTCTGTGTCCTTGGCCTCACTCTCGGTGGCATCTTTGCTGGACTTTGAATCAACCGCGTCTGCCGACTCGGCTGCGGGCGGTGTCATGGCGCTTATGTGTTGGTTGGTCGCGTACGCGTCCTTGTTCTGGTTCTGATTTGGCTCTGGAGATCCGGCGCTCTGCACATCGTCTTTGGGTGCTGGTGCGCCGTCTTGGGCTTTTGCGGTGGCGCTGTCGGCTGCGTCGGGACCGTCGACGGGTGTTGCATGGCTGCAGGACATGACGCGTTAGTATGCCGGCCTGCGAAAGCGCATATGATGATGCCTCAGTACGGAGGGCGTGGGATGTGGGCGACCGCTACGCGTATGCATCTAGATCGCGTAGACGGCAGGATACAGCGGCGCGCAGCAGACAGTGCGAAGGCAGAAAGAAGGTCATGAACCAGGCGCGCATCGTTTCTGGGCTGGGCCGCAACTCACCCATTAACCTCCAGGCCTTTGCGTTCATCGGCGAGCGCAGTCGCTGCCGAGCCAGCCATGTCCAGCGAATGCGACTTTTGGTCCAGAGCGATGGGTTCGTGCTGCGATGTCATTACTGCCATTCGGGGCGGACTGCGGAGGGTGCAAATCAGTTTAGTGGGCGCGTCGCAACATGAAAAGGAAGCGGCGATAGATCGGGCGTGGGCTCCGGGGAAGAGGCGGAAGGACTGAGATGCGCGCGACGGGAATTGTGGGGCAGGCGCGTTTCGACCAGCTGTGCGCGAATGGCTGGTCTCGGAGGGTGTATTGAGTGGTGTAAGCTGGCCTACAAAAAAGTGGGCTTAAAAGGGTAAGATAAGAAATGCGCAGCAAATGTTGACTTGAATTCAAAGTGGTCAAGTCATGCACAGGATGATGTACTGTGCTGGGTTGGGCAACGGTGGTTGCGCCAGTGTGTTTTTTTGTCGGAGGCTCGTGATAGCTTGGCGCGGCGCGGGATTGGGGGAATTGGGGGGGATGCGAGGTGCGACTGGGGGAGCAGAGGGAAGAGAGGAAGGCTGAAAATCAAAAATGCAAAAGGCAACGAGCCAAAAGGTGAATCAATTTTAGCTTGGGCTAGCCTTGAAATGACGCGCCAAGTGGAGGCAAGCGGCAGCAGCGGGAACTCGGTGGTTGGTTTTTCCCAGCCGTTATGATGTTTTGATTGGCTGGAAGGGAGAGGCCGGTGGGGCAATAGCAGGGATCAGGAGACGTACCGCTGGTCGATGGTGGCTTCCGGTGGTTTACTTTCTAGGCTCAGAGCTCGAGAACAGTAGTAGCAAGCACATGCCATGCCCGTGGAGGGCGGGGGAGGTACCCTATTTATCAAGCTCGCAGTCAGCCCCAAGGGGGGGTGGTCAATGAGGGGGAGGGGTGGACAGCTCCCACTGCTCTTCCTTTTTTGAGCGCTGCCCGTGATTGGACTGCTCTTGAGACGGGTGCCACCAAGCCCGAACAGCAGCCAGCGGCCAGGCTTCTTGACAGAGCCGGGAAAGGGTGGTCCCTGCAGGACCGTGTCGTCGAGGTGCAACTTCTCATTTCAACTAGCTAGCACTAGCACATCTCTCTCTCTCTCTCTGTCAAGCAGGCTGCCACTGCATCAGTGCATCTGCAAGCCTCCCACACCTGCACCTGGATTCTTGTTCTCTCTGTGCTGCCACCTAGACCGCCTGTCTCTGGGATGCCCAGGAAAATGCAGACTTGATGACCCGACAGATCTGTGACGCCCTAATCCACCATGCCAACTGATGCCATCGGGCTTCTCTCTGTCCAGTCTGGGTCTGACTCGAAGTTGCAGCAGGGCACATGGAGGACTGATCCAGCACCACGAGGACATCAGCAGCAGTACAGTAGAGATAGCGCAAGCCAACCCTTGCAGAGCACACCAACAGGAGTCGTCATCAGTCTGGGTGAGTGGCCAGGCAACATTCAGACGGCTTTCGTGGCAAGTGATGCAGGCAGGCGTCTTGGTCAGGCATAGGCAGAGTCCCAGAGACAAACCTCGGCCACTCACGGCCGCAACCCGCCACCTGTTTGTGCAAACGCTTTGACAGCACGGCTGCTAGTAAAAACGCGTTCATCCATTTAGTCTTGTATAAGGTACCCTCAGATCCACATCAATGACCATGATGACCATAGTAGATCAAGATGGTGGTTAGGATGAAAAATGTTGTATAATAAGTGGCAGCAAACTCGGGCTTGCTACTGTGTTGCTCACCGCGACGCGTGCCATCCTTCGAAGCAAGGCCATACATATTATTGTTGTTATCTTATCACGGCTCCCTTGCTGCTGACTCATCCAGGCCAGTACAGAGTACAAAGATACCTCCAAATGTACCTAGGTATCCTAATAATTGTATGTAGCTGTCCACTCAAAGAGCTACAGACAAAGTACTTGAGCATTCCTAATATCATCTATCCAAAAACACATTCACACAGTGACTTCTCATACTCTTAGTTTTAGGTTATCACGTCGCTGATCAAATAGAGTCTTGTCTTTCTGCAATGGGTGCTACCACATGAGGCTTTCTCAAGTAGTTGCTGAAATTGCCCAGTACAAAACAACTGACATTTCTATGGCTTGCATTATACCAGACTGACATGTCCAAGATTGTCCTGGTGTGTGCATTGCTTGGAGCCATGTCAAGAATACATGATGAATTGAGTGAGACGCACATCCAGAGGTGCTTGATACCAGGGGGGCGCTCGGGCCAGGTGGATGGATATAGGCGCTAGGAAAGGAAGTCGGTAAGGCCTATCGGGGGCAGAAAAGTTCCTCTGCAAAAAAAGTTCCCGATGGGACCTCTCCCAGTCTCTGCCCGCCCTATCAGCAAATCAACCAACTAGCCATCTCTGCAAGAACCCTCTCTGTTCCCTCCTCTGTTGTGAGCTCTTGTGGCCGGACGCACGCCCTCGTTGAGCAACGACAATCCTCTCACCCTTTGGCTCATCCCAACCAGTAATTATGGCCACAAAGAGGAAGCTTGCCAAGGTGGCCGCACCAGTCCAGCAGAGCACCAAACTCCCCAACTCCACCAGGATAGACGAGAGCCGCACATCAGTAACAGTGCCCATACCCACGAAGCCCAAGGCATCAAAACAAGTCGAGCCAATTGAGATCTCCAGTGACTCTGAGAGCAACTTCGATGACATTTCCGACGTGGACGATGATGAGGTTACGGAAAAGCAGGCCGGCCAGGCAACCCGGTCGCAGGCGGGCGGAGAGCCACAACTGGAGGGAAATGAGGACACCGAGATGCAAGAGGAGGGCGAAGAGTCAGATGCAGAGCCAACTTTCGGCGACCTGATCCGGAACCACGAGACGGTCGACGTCACTGCTGCACTTGGCGGTCGGCAATCAACGGATGCGACCACCAACCTTGCAGCAGCACCTCAGCGACAAATAGCACCTCCCTCCACCACTTCCATCGGCACGGTACTTGCGCAGGCTCTGCGTACGGACGACGCTGACCTTCTCGAGTCCTGTCTGCACACCACAGATGCGACCGTCATCCGCAACACAATCCAGCGACTAGACTCGAGCCTGGCAGGGGCTCTGCTCACCCAGCTCACCTCGCGCCTGCACCGACGTCCCGGCCGTGCACACAACCTCATGACCTTCGTTCAGTGGACATTGATCGGTCACGGCGGCGCCCTAGCAACCCAGCCAGACATCCAGAGACGGCTTGCCGAGCTGAACAGGGTACTGGAGGAGAGGACGCGGGGGTTGAACAGCTTGCTTGCGCTGAAGGGAAAGCTGGACATGCTGGAGGCACAGATGACTCTACGCCGCGGGAACAAGTCTCGCCGAGCGGGCAAGGATGAAGATGACAGCCAAAGTGACGATGATGAGGAGGATGGTGAGGAGGGTGTTGTCTTTGTTGAAGGCCAGGAGGACGACACCCTTTCAAACGGGCTGTCACGGCGGAGAGGAGACGAAGAGGACGACGACTTCCCAGTGGTCAACGGTGTTGCATCCGACTCGGAAGAGGAGTCAGGTGATGAAGATGAGGACGACATGGATGTGGATGAGTACGCAGAGGAATCAGTGGATGAGGATGAGGTTGATCATGATGATATCGAGGAGGACTCGGCCGAGGAAGACGAGAGTGAGACCGAGGTCCTCCCCCCTGCAAAGGTGCAGAAGAAGAGCAAATCTTCCTTCTCGAAAAAGAGGTGAACAGGGTTGCCGGTACGGAGTTCAAGGCAATAATAGACTTGTACATGATGATACCTTATCATCCCTTATCATCCATCTCTTCAGGATGAAATCGAGTCCAGGGTATTGGAGTCTAGCTGTAGGTGGTTCCTTGTACCATTCCGAGAAACAGATATGTACCACGTTTGGGAACTGTAACCCAAGCCATCAATCACATAAAGAATTGCAGACAAGAAACATGTGCGGCTCCTCGATGCATAATGCACCCTGATTGAATTCACGTGTATGAACTTCAACCCAATCAACTTCGTCCCGATCGTCGCTGCATGACTGGCAAGACCGTCCACTTGCATAGAATGATTTCTGCAACACCTGCCAGTCCACACAAGTCGATTGAGAGTTGCTTCTTGAGAATGACCCAGTGTCTTTTCCCATCAACAGTTGGTGCCCACTTTCACACCCAATATCACGTTCCAGCCACCAGAGTCAAACGCCTGTCCCAGAACCACGGGCTTGTAGTGGCCATGAGTTTGCTTCAAGGTTGTGCAGTTCCCCTTGATGGCGTCTGCGTACTCGGCCATGGTGACCCAGGGGACCTGTGTTTCGGCCATGTTGTCGTTGCAGCCATAGATGGCGAGTTCCTCAGTGCAGCTGTAGCGGAAACACCAGCCTCCGCCCGGTTTGGTGTATAGGGTGGCATTGCCAGGCATGGTCCTGAGGTGGTCTGCGACCAAGTCATAGTTGTCGCTCAGGTAGGCCCTGTCATAGTTATTGACCTCGCAGGAAACGTAGAGCTGAGAGCTAAGTCAGCATGATTGCTTGCTACGTCGGATGGGGCTTTTGATGACACTCACTAGGTCTCTGGCTTTCAAGGTGTTGCGGGTGGGGGGAGCAATGTTGGCTACTGGAGTGTTGACAGACGAGGGCAAGCTGGTCCCCAGAACAGCAGCATGGGCAGTGTCCATGGATTCCAGTATGAGGGAGATGAGAAAGGCGGTAACAAGCGCCATGGGATTCTGCTTGAGCGCCATGTTGTTGTTGTTTTTCTTGTTGGTTCTTACTGTGTGATGGACTGACAGCACGAATGAGCAGAGTTGGTTTGTGAAGCAGGTTTGGCGGAAGTCTAGACTCTGGGTTTGGCTGTTTCTTCTATCAACCTCAGTAATCAGTGACTTGCCGTTTTTCATCCCAGACCTGTCATGTCTGGAAAGACCAACGGTGGGTCGCTTTGACTAGGAAACAGTGATAGGTCGTCAAATGATGAGTTCCTAGTTTGAACCTCCACTTATGTCATCAATGATGCAACAAGAAGGCACTGTCTGACGATTTCTGGCGATTGATCTTCAGGAGCGCCGAAAGCATTGCTCAGTGCCCAGGTGACCGTCACTTCTTCCTATTACTGATAGGACCTGGTGCCTGTTGGCATCTCAAGGGACCATCCTCCAGACCAAGTTTCAACAACCCTCCTATATGCCAATAGCTGTGAGAGTACGGCAATTATATGCTGCTAGAGATAACCAGTACAAAGACTAGTTATTATGGTCTTTTGGCCAGACAGTCTATGGCAAGTGGCTAGCAGTCCTGAACTCTTGTTGCAAGTGTTAAACAAGGCAATTGAAGGGTTACGAAATAGGAGAACATCCACACAAAGGCTGTGACTGTTCAGACTGACTCGTGAACTTTAGCATCAATCTAGATTTGACTGGGCTAGTTAGTTCATGCAACAAAATGTTAAAGTGCTTGGACCAAATTTCAACAATACGTACAATACCCTAAGGTAGCTGCAAATTTTCAGTGTGTTGGTGAAATGATGATAAGGTGTAGCAGCCCGTCTAAACGGTTCTGAGATGTGATGGCAATCACCAAAAGTCGACATGTCAAAGACCAAAAGGATCGACAGAGCCCAAATCCTGCTTCTGGTAACACAGCTGTAGGACAAGTCGGCATTGCCGAACAGGAGCTGCAAGATCTGACCGAGAAGGGTTTGGGTAGAGATCTCAGCAATATCTTATGCAGCCTGCCGACTACACATCACAGTCATGGAAGGGTGCATTAGGGTGGGACAAGGGATGCTGTTTGAAAGAAAATACAGTTTTAGGAAATGCAAGTCTGCCGTATCTGTTTGCTCCCCAACATGTAGGCTTGTACCTAAGTGTTGGTCAGAGCATTCAACCCTGTTCTCCGGCCATAGAGTTGCCATGTGCTTCCAGATACCATTATAAAAGACAAGCTCTCACAGACGGTTTTTCTGTTTCCAGTACTCCTTGCAAACAAATCGTTAACTGGACATCATACAACACGAACTTGACGGCTCAAATTAATTTGCTCTATTCTAGTGTCGTTGCGTCTGTCGCAATCATAACCTCTTGAGAAGCCTCATCACCCGGCCGTATCATACCACTTCAGGTGGGCCATGGCAATCATGAACAACCAGCAGGAGTCCGGAACCGGCAATCAATGTTTCGAATCGACTAAATCCCAATGTCCAGTTCTCGACGAGATCAGCAGGTTTCACGAGACTCTGGAGACAGAACGGGTACACAGGGTGTTGGCCAAATGGCGCAAGAGAAAGCGCGACGAGGAAGTCAGCACCGGCACGGCAATCCTGGAGAAGATCTTGCGAACACTCCAAGATGAGTTTGAGAGCCGCAAGGAGCGAGCAGAGCTCTGGGATCGGGCCCTGATTGCCGAGATCAAGACGGACCGGGCGAGGCTGGAACTGGACAGTCATACCGCCGCATCTACCCTGACTTCAGAGAAGCAAACGCAGGTTGTGCAGGCTGTCGCGTCGGTCTTGAACATTGGGATATCAGGCGAGGAGTTGGAAAAGATGCTGTCAAAGACCGCAGCTTCGGACGCCTCGGCCGCGCGGGAGCCCACCAAATCCATGCGGCCGCCGACACCACCAGCTGATCAGCACAGTCCCGTCATGCCTCACAACCCGAGAGCACTGAGTGCTGATACCCACATCAGGGAGCCTAGCCCCAGAAGGCCGCCAGTTCTCCCTCACATGTCGAGCCCGCCTTCGAGATCGCAAACTGGGCCCCGCCTATCGAGTCTGCCTCCAAGATCGCTCGTTGCACCTCGAATACTAAGCCCGCCTTCACGGCCTGCCAGCCGGGCGGCAAGTAGTGGCGACTACACAACATCCTCGCAAGTCCTCGGGCTTCAGGCATCGGGTGGTGTATGTTCTTGTTCGTTTCCTTGTAGATCCATCAGACTGACAGACTTGTGCAAGAAGACGAGGTCACCAACCCGGATAGAGACGGCCGACCCCTACGCTCCAACGCAGCCAAACAAGAGGCAGAGAACAGAGGGCCCATCGGCGCTGAAGACAAGCTCTCCCGAGAAGAGACCTACCCGTCCGGTTCGCAACATTCGTGTTTCGGACTAAAAGATGTCGATTCTGGTCGCCTTTTTTCTCTTGTCTGGGTGCTCTTGTTTGTGAAAAGTTATCTGAGGGGTGGATACCCGCTGGTATTCGGAGGCCTGCCAATCTCGTTCTGGGGCCAGGCAGTTAGCTGTACGGTCGTTGGGGGACGAGCACAATGTCGGCCACCGGTTCAGACGTGTGAGCGAGATCGGAATATGCGCAGGAAGCCGAGACAGGCGCTCCTTGGGGATGGCTGCCTCGAATGCGTTCTGCGCCAATGATCCATATCGTGCTTCACCCTCTGACATCTGCAAGGGCACGGGAATCCTGCCGAAGGTGATGTGCAGACGTACAGGAAAGAGGGTGGAGTGAACCTTGGCACAGCACCTCGAAGGGCCTATTTGTCTACTGGGTCGGTATGCATGGAAGATCATATGCGAACCATTGGAGACGGACCTCTGGGCTCTCAACGGCGGCTGCCCCGGCAGCTGTGATTTCTTGCCTGTTGTGCTCTGAACTGCTACATCGTCTTCCAGTGCGTCACATCCACCATGGTGATGACTCGCTCATGGAGGGCAGTGTTTGAGGTGTTGGGATGCTACCGATGCTACCCGCGAAAGGTATCAACGGCTGGTGACGAGGCGATGCTGGCGCTTAGGATAGTTGACATCAGGTCATCAACATGTGCCATGTCTCATACGTTGCCGCATTCAGCTGCTCTGCCTGGCTGCTTCCTGGCATGGAGCTGTGATTGGATCGGGTGGCTTGTCCTAGTGCCGGTACTTAGTCGTGGTATGGATGGACCGATCTGACCAGATCTGTGTAGGTATGCACCTCCAGGTGTATTCAGGGCCGCTGGGGTCCTGCATTTGTGGCCTGGATGTTTCAGAGAATAGATGTGATTTGCTGTAAAATCGTCTGGGTCTTGGCCACATCGACACGGTGGGCAACTGCCATCATCCTTGCCCATCCCCCCTCGATGCGAGACTTTCGTGTCGACGTGGAAAAGAGAAAAACCGAACAATATGACCAGGTCCAAGGTAATTGAAGGGCCTTATAGAGGACAGGGCCGCTGACAGTGCCTCCAAGAGATCTGGTCATGCGAGTCCTCATCACCTTGATCAACCCGACTTCAGAACAGCACCCAGCGCATCCACCAAAGACTGCCGCAAAGAGGCAGCACAACCCATATTGTGAAGATGCAATGGACAGTACTGACTGTCGTCCCGCTTGCCAGTCTGATCCTCACTGCTACACTCGCGCCACTTGGCTGGATGATACAAAGATACTGGACCTGCAAAGGTGAGCCGTGTCTTTGATTGCCTATTGGTGCCAGATCCTAATTCGGCGCTTCCAGACAATCGCACGCGGTGTGATCCTGACGAGATTGAGCTGATACACGGCTTTGAGATAATTCAGAGGAGGCGTCGACCAAACTATGGCAGAGGATGGCCAGTTTGAGGCTTCATCAGTGTCATCCGGCACTCAACCCCGCAATTCGCAGCATGACGGCGCAAATTTTCAAAAATACCGGCGAGGTTGAAGTTACTGAGAGAGATGCCGGCTCGAGACTGAGTGATTCAAGGGTGACATGCGGCATGGACGTTGCTTCCACGCGGCTTTGTTGAGCTGATGTTTTCGAGAATCTGCATTTTGATTGAGGGTCGAGTCCTGTCTGTTTTCCCATTAGATCAGAACTGATAGAACAAGACGGAGAGAGACCGCAAGGTCAACAAGAGGCCACCAGGGTGTCTGTCCCCCTCGTCCGAGGCGAGGAGCAGTCGAGGAGGTCAAGGAGTCAGATTATCCATATTCTTTCTTACACGTTGCAATCTGATTTCAGTAAACCTGTTTTTTCAGGGGTCCTCGAGGATGTCTCTCGACGACGCCATCCTTTTTGGAGACAGCCAAGTTGGGAAGCCAGTGAGACTTGGTTTCGATATATTGCTCCTTGTTGGGCTTCCACCAGTCTGTCCCATCGTCGAGGGTGCCGCTGAGAACAGAAACGATAGCATCCACGACAGGTGTGGTGATATGGGTCGGGCTGCCGCAGTCACCGCAGAAATGCCTATACAAAGGCTGACCGGAGTCTGTATCTGTGTCCTGAAACGTCTTTGGTATACCCGAGGTTAGGGTAAAGTGCTGTTTTGGGAAGATGCTTGAATTGACCATGTGTGTGCCACTTGATTTCTTGCAGTTTAAGCAGTGGCACATGACATTGTAGATGGACTCGTCCACATCAACTCTGTACCTGATCCTGCCGCACAGGCAGCCTCCTTCCAATGCGTTCTTCTCAGGCATGGTCGAGTAGGTACTTATTTGGGGAATCGACGGGCAAGGTGATACCAGGAGAGGAGAAGGTTTAGCTGTAGACTAAAGTGTGTACTTAATCAAGTAGTATGTACGTCGGCAAGATGACGAGATGAATGAGTGAGTTGCGGGCGGACCACTAGTGTGCAGGGAATGACGGGCGCTGTGGGACGCTGAAGCTCCCCCGCAATCCAATGGTGGGGCACCAAAGCAGGGGACTTCGGAAGCAACCGAAGTGACTTCCAGCTCCAAAACTTTTTTTTCTTCAGTCGAGTCTAGCTGCGCGGGCCGCACGTATGAACACACATCGACACCACAATCGGCGGCGCAGAATATGGAGGCACACTCCTTGATCGAGCCAAACTCATGGGTCGCCTTGCGGCTTCCTAATGGGACCAATCGTCTTCTGCAGATCGTCCCCAATATGTACGGCTCTATTCCTCCTCCAATTCCTGGCGCCACCCAGGCTGGTTCACCATACTGACCGAGTAACTCGACGTGTCCAGGATGATCTCGCTTGGCAGATACGGATCTTTCCCCAGCAATCTAATTATACACCGTCCGTACCACCTCACTTATGAGCTCAGCGAGAAGAGCCCATCCAGCGACGCTTTCACACGCCTGCGCGTTGTGCCCGCCTCCGAGCTGCATGCCGACGTCCTCGCCGAAGAAGATGCAGCGGCCTCATCATCATCTACAATGGACAGCGCCGCCCCGGAAGAGGCCATAATATCTGCCACCGACGGTATCGAGTATAGCCTGGTCGACAATGAGACTGGCGCCGTAGTTGTGCGGTCCAACCGTGAGATCATTGACGACAACGCCCGGCAGACCTTGACGTGGCAGGAGATCGAGGCCCTTAAACGCGATGGCACAGATTCCGGCAAGGATTTGATTGCGAAGCTCATGCTGTCACACACCGGCATGGACCAAAAGACGACTTTCAGCATGGCAAAGTACAAGCTACTGAAAGAGAAGAAGTTCCTGCGCAGATTCACAGTGCTGCCACTCGACGTGAGCAACTTCGGGAGCTATGCGCTGTACGAGAGGGACGCCAACAAGATCTTGGAGATGAGGGAGGAGATGGTTGGCCTCTTGGGCTGCTGGGCCAACGTCCACTATAGTAGCGCGGATCACGATGAGCTTGATGCACCCGAGACGCCGGCAAAGACGGAGCAGGAGGAGATGGACGAGATCAAAAAGCCGAAACAACCTGAGGGGACGAGATACCTGGTGGTGGACGACACGGGTGGGTTCCTGGTTGCTGCACTCGCCGAGCGCATGGGAGTCCTGTACCCAAAGACGGAGGAAGAGAAGGAGGCCAACGGGCTGCTGCAAACCCAAGACAGCCACAACGAGGCCCCGGCCCCCAAGGCGCCTCTGGCCGAGGACACTGTCATGGCCAACACACAGGGTGAAACTCAGCAAGAGTTGACGGCTGCCGTCAAACGAGACCACGATGGGAATCCAAAGGACGAACAGAAGCCGAGGAAACGCACAGTACAACGGAAACCCGATTTCCACATCCCATTTGCGACCACCAACACCATGACTCTAGTCCATACCAACGGACAGCCCAATCTTACAGCCCTGAACTATTGGGGTTACGACAGCACGAATCCCAACCACCCACCGCATCCTTTACTCAACCATTTACTGCCCCTCAGCTGGCTGCAGCTCCTAGAGCCCGAATTGGACACCGTCTACGCGACCGAGCCCGCCGTCAAGACTGCCGACGAGGTAGCATCGTGGAAACCCAATCGCCGGGGCAACTACCATCGCAAGCGGAGAAGGTGGGCTCGCACACGGTACATCGCCGACACGGCTCGCGCAGGTGGCTTCAGCGGGCTGGTGATGGCCAGTGTCATGGAACCCATCTCAGTACTGCGGGCCCTGCTGCCTCTGGTGGCTAGCGGCGCACCGGTCGCCATCTACAGCCCGCACGTGGAGCCCCTGGCCCAGCTGGCCGACTGCTTCAGCGTTGCGCGGCGAGTGGCGTTCATGGCGCAGCCTGAAGTCACGGGGGGTAGGACGGCGGAGGAGCTGGAGCGGTGGGAGGGCACGGACGACTTCCCGCTCAACCCATCGCTCCTGCTCGGCGTGCAGCTGCACACGAGCCGCGGCAGGAAGTGGCAGGTCCTGCCCGGGCGGACGCACCCTGTCATGACGGCCAAGGGCGGCGCCGAGGGCTACGTGCTGACCGGCTGGAAGGCGAGACCAGCCGAGGGGAGGATCGCCGCGAGGGGCAAGTTCCAGAAGAAGGGGAGGTCTGCGGGCATCGGTACGGCCGAGGGCACGCCTTCTGCCGAGGCCGCGACCGGGACCGCAACACCTACGAGCGCGGAGGCCTAGGACTCGGCAAAGAGCGGCTCGCGTTTGTTACTAGCACGGTCGGGATCCGATCATGTGGTAAATAGGGACATATTTCATGGAATGAATGATACCCCCCGATTGTTTTGTTTGGGACACCGAATGGGACACCGAATGCCGGCGGAACTGGTGTGCCCTGGCAAATATTCCAGACAGGTGCGATGTGATTCTCATCGGCTCGCTCGTGCGCCCTTGATCAACAGCTACTTTTCCTCGTGTGCTGCCTTCTAGACAGGTGCTTCCCCCGCCAAGCTCTCTCACGTACCCGGCCGTGGTTCAGCTGTAATGTTTTACCACAAGATACGCATGGTGGTGGCGTAGTTTCTTCCAAAAATGTTCCTCTAAAAACCTGATTGACTTGCTGCCGCTGCTCCCCGGTTGTAGGCACCACTCACAGCGACTTGCCCATGAACTTCCTCTTGTTGAAGCTGAGCCACCACTTGCTTGGCTTATCGTCCTGGTCGGCATAGACACGTGCCAGTAACCTTGTGGCAAGCTCCTGTCGCACTTGGGACATGTACTGCTTGAGCTGCTCGGCGTCTTGCCTGTCACGCGGGGGCTCGTACATCTACGCAAAGCCAAGTTAGCTCTGGTCTCCTCGAGCTTCTCAATCACAGATCCGGGGCTGTTCCAAGCACCAGATCGGCTGATCGATGCAGAGCAAGGAAACAACGCAACACACCTGGTTCAGGGGCCAGCCTGGGTCGCCAGGGATGGCAAACTGCAGGTCCAGGGCCAGGTTCATGACATCCTTGGTTGCGGTCCTGACGTCGGCGTTGGGCTTGATCTTGGTCAGGCAGTCGCTGACGAACCAGATGCCATAGACGAGCAAGCGGTCGGCATAGCCCTGCAGCTCAAAGTTGCGGAAGAAGGTGTTTGCGCGGAAGAGGGCGAGCACCTCGTCGAGGATGTCGTAGCTCTCGGACTCGGCATCGGGCGACTCGTTGGCGGGCAGGGGCGGGTTCGGGAAGGGGAGTGTGTATGCGGGCCCGCGGGTCTTTGTGCGCAGGGGAAGCAGCGGGAAGTTCCCAATCAGGCGCGGCTCGTTGGGGTCGGCGTTGAAGATGGAGTTGTAGGCCTGCAAGGGGCAGAGCGAGGGCCCGGGTTAGCTGGTGTCCTGCCTGAAGGCTGACGGGAGGGTGGGTGATAGGCAGCACTGAGCAATGCAATGCAATGGATGGACGGTCCTACAGGCATTGTGACTTGTGCGCCGCCGGGCAGGCTGCTGTTGGAGTGGGTTGTGGTTGACGTTGGCGGGATGGTGAGAAGGCGAAGCCGTGGAGGGGTTGGATGCCTCTTGGTAGCTCTCTATACCGCAATGCCCCTGACACGGGTGCCGTTGACTGACGCCTGGGCCACTGACGTCTCCCCTGGGCGGACAGGTAATGCACTAACCGGATCTGTAGCAAGCCGGAGGGGACCGATCTGAGTCAGCGCCTGGCTAGGCTCGGAGAGTGGATGAGCCACACTGATGAGTGACTAGGCCCAGCTTGCCTCCCAATACAGGTTTCGCGCCAACGGCCGGGGTAGCTCTAGGGGGAAATGGGTGAGGCTGGTGCCTACGGGTCATGTGAGTTAGCGTCAAGGTCGTGTATTGGAGCAGGCGTGGCTGCGTGGGAAGGGGACCGGGTTGGGCAGGTTGGGGTGTGAGGCCCCCAAAAGGTGGGGTGGCAAGTTGCAAACATCAAAGGTGCTGGCCGCCTGTCCATTGGCTGCCAGCCGTCATCGCGTCACCCCACACACGTATGGGACCGTATTCTTGTTGTCCGTCCTGCCGTCCTGCCGGTCCTGCCTGCCATCCTGTGCATCCTCTTGTCCATTTGGTGTGGACGGTACCAAGCACTGCTGCGTTCATAAAGGGCGACGCGACCCCCTGGCCGCCTGGTTTCCCACGCGCGACCCGTCTCAAGCCCCATCCGCGACCGCCATCGGTCTCAGTCAACCATCTCGCCAGTCTCCTGCTGGTGACTGCCTGCCTACATTTTTTAATCTGCTGCCTCGCCACCACCAGCTTATTTACACCCTCCTGCATTTTGTTTACACCAAAGAAAACCACCGCACCTGCAGACCTGCAGACCTGCAATGTGCAGTGTGCAGTGTGCAGTGACCCACTTTTGCGTGCAGCTTTGACACTTGATCGTCTGGCAAAGAAGTAATACTGTGTGTGTTTATTTGCCCTCGACCCTCGACTCCTGCACCATCCTGCAAGGGCCCATCCTCCTCCTCAATCCGCCGTCCAAGACGTTGCGGTACTGAGCCCAAATCGGCCACAACACTCATCCACAGACTCACCTCAATGCAGCAATTATTAGAGTAAGTTTTTCGCCCGCCCCCTCGCCCGTTGTCGCCTTTGATCGCGGCCCACTCTGGCCCATCACAAAGAGCTCGGCATGTCAAAGCAACCATCCCTTGCCCCATGCTGCCCCACCTGCGTGCAGCTATCCACCCATGGCCTGTCCCTTTTACTGACGCGACGCGCTTATTAGGTCTCTACTCAATCGCAGTCCTCTTCTTGGCCAGCTGCTCAGCTTTGTTGACATGGCCGGCCTTACAAATTTCAAGATCGCGCCTCAGACACCACCGCCATCCCAAGGCGCCGACTCCATGCCCCCGAATGACCATGCCGTCGCCGTCACTGGCCACCAATCACCGGCTGCTCCAATATCGCCTCCACAGAACACAGAACCTAGGAAGCCAAGACAAAGACGCGTAAACCGCATCACCCGGCCCGAACCTGGTTCTCTGTACGACATACTCCATGAGAACCAGGGCGAGTCGCTCTTCATCATCCCAATATGTTGGCAAGATCAGCATGCCCGTCTCCTTGGCGTGCAATGGGACCACCACTCTACCATCCACAGACCGGTCCCCGACTTCAATTCCATGTCCCTCAAGTACCCACAACGTCCGACAAAGGTCGCTACAGACTTGAGCAGCGATTTAACCACCGTCCTGGCATCAGATCCCAGCCATCTTCAGATCGCCGCACTCAAGAGTGTCATGGCGACACTTTTCCCCGCCACGCTTTCGAAGGCAAGGTCTGATCTCAACCTCGAGATTCGCTTCGGGGACCAGGTCCTGAAACGCGGTGTTCGTGTGCCCATTGTATGGAAGCAGTACGACCAGAACAGCCGTTCCTTCGACAGTGCTTCCACCAAGGTGGCGAGCTCCTACGGCCGGATACCTAGCGGCAGTCATCAGTCTTTTGCGAGCCAGAGCAGCGACTGCAGTCGCCGTAGCTCTCAGTCGTGCTCAGACCAGCCTGTGCTGGCCTTCATCAACAGGACACATCTACACCAGGTTCGTAGCAACCTGTACCGTGTGATGCCCGGACCGAATAACACCGCCAATGTCCCGGTCGATAATCTCCAGAAGCTGCGGTGCAAGCGCCTTGTTCCGCAAAACGCCGACCAGGACTCATATCTCGTCGCCGTCATGCTGGCCATCGCTCAGTGGCAGTGCTACCCCCAGCGCTCCAAGTATTCCCCGAGATGGTCGTCGCAAAGTTCGTCTCAGACATCTCAACCGGGCCAAGATTCATCCTTCACCCAGCCCGAGTTCCGAGATGTTCCCGTCAAGATCATCACACAAGATCACTCATCCGCTGAGTTCATCATCTACAGCACTACTGTCTCCGCCATCTTTCTCGAGCGGTTCGCCTACCCGTCAAAAGCCCCTAAAGCCGCTGACACGCAGGGCGGTGGCTTGGACATCAGCGTTACGAGAGTACCGATCTGGCCTGTTCTTGGACTGAAGGAGCGACTCGCCAAGGCTCTTGGCACCGAGATTGCTGGTGACTTGGCCAGCCATGACATCGCTGATACAGACATCGAGACATGGGAGACAGAGCAGGAACGAGCCTTCCGCCTCGGAAACCTGAAGAGGAAAAGGGAAGCGCTATCGGAAGTTTTTAACAAAAGCTTCGAATCGACGGAGGGTGCGTCGCCTGTCACGGTCGGCCTTGAATCGGGGTTGGGTGTCACTGTCGCTTCGCCTCCGGTCTCGCCGCGGACGCCCAAACGGAGGCGCACACAGCCAAATACCCAATTGGAGGTCTGTTAGTCACCGGCATCACCTCTTTAGTTGACACCTCCGCACTGTATGCGAAGAGGCTGCAGATATTGGTCCTCGCCGGTTTGCAACCCGGAGGTTAAGGACACAGTATGAGCAAGCTGAGGCCCTTTGGGGGTTGCCTTTCATCCCTTCTAAGGCCTTTTGAGTTGGCTCAAATCACGTCCAATTCTTCTCAGTCGGATTTGTTATATATGAACCATGACACAAGAGAGCGGGCCTGCCTCTTTATTCGATTTGCAAGGCATTGGATCGGGGTGGAACAGGATTCTGATATTTGATACCCTGGCTGCCTCATGGACGGGATCGTCATGGGTGCATGGGACGGCCAAACTCGCGTCGGCTTATTATGGAGTATCACGGAACAGCACATTCGCATTAGACAGTTGCTGTCTAGCTGGCGTTGGGGGACATGGAGACAAAGATAGGCACATTCAACAAATACAACGCGGTATCATTCTGACATGTGAAGAAGGCCTCTAGTTGTCAGTGACAATATGCAAGAGACTTCCGGTGGCTTGCAACCAGCGTGCCTGTAATCCTGTCCATGAGCACGTCAAGAAGACAACGTGGTGATTGGGCATGGACTTGAGCGTGCAATGATATTTTCACATACATGGCGTCGGGGCATCCGCCCTTGGGCAAAATGCGACTCGATGACATATTCGTGCGCTCTTACATCAATTGACTCGTTCAACTTCAAATGACAGCCGTTTTCTACTAGCCGCGTCCCAACCCCGTCTCGACTCAGCAATTCCCAAGCCCTCGTCGAGAATCGCCCTGCAATTGAACTTCAGCCCTGTGCGCTCCGCTATCTCAACCCACATCTTGTTGAAAGTCTCGACGCTATGGATGAAGATATGTCCTCCGGGCTTCATCCCGCCCTCCACATCCCCCACCGCCTGACCGAGGATCATGGCGCCAGATGACGCAGGCCGGAGCAGCTTCACACAATTCTCAAGCAGGTCGCGCTGCCTGTCCCAGCCGAATAAATGCACAACCTGGCCCATGTGAATAATGTCTACTTTACCCACCAGCCCGCTCAGGGGGCTGCCCTCGCCGAGGTCGAACGCATCGGCCTGCACCAGCGTGGCGTTGAGGGTTTCCCGGTCTCGAAAGAAATCGTACCCGAGCCTAATAAATTCCCCTTGCAGTTCCGCGCCGTGCAGATTTTCGCTGGGTGCGCCATCGTGCACCAGTTTGCGGATGTCCTGGCCGATGCAGCAGCCTATGTCGAGGTACGTCGCCCCCTCCCCGATGCGTGACAAGACACTCGCGTACGAGGGCTTCTTGCTCAGGCTGAGGTTGAGGAAGCGGAACTGCCCAATGCACGGGTAGGGGAAGATGTCCCATGCCTTGTCGCGCTGCGAGTTTGGGTTGTTAGATGTCTTGCTACTTATGCGCTGGAAGCTATCTTGGGGAGAGACTTCAACACAAGGGTTTCGGGCCGTCATACCATTGCGATCACATACTGGTCAACCTCCTCCGGAGGAATCTTTGAGTATTCCTCGAGAAGCTTGCGGGCCGCAGGCTCTATGCCGGGGAAGTCCTTGTCGTACCAACCCACGCTCTTTTCCTTTGTGCCCACTTTGGGCCGCACGGTCGCGTTAGGCTCGTCCATTGTTTCTTCGAGTTTGCTTTTCCTACATGATAAGGAAGAGAGGGCCAAGAAATGGACTTCTTCACCACCTGATCTAGGTTATCCCAACTGCCGGAGTCGACTCGCACTAACCAGAATCCTGGATCGTCATCGACGGGAAACGGCTAAGACGGCTACGCGGACGCTACGATGGTGAATTAGGGTTTCATTAGTGGTTTCGAATGCACGTCTAGCAAGTAATATCCTCTAATCAGTAGCTTCCATTGCATCTAGTTGACTGGACATTCGTGAAGTGGTGTCATGGAGATGGACATGCTGCCACTTCACCGCAGGTTATGACCTGGAAGGTTCTTTTCGTGACATCTCCAGGGCTGGAGTCACTTGGGCTCCAGGGCCTCCAAGGTTCTTAGCAAGGCGGTTGCTTGGACTGCAGAAACAAGCAAATAATCTCGGTTCTCTGCGTTTCTTTAAACCTTGTAGTGTGAGTTCCTGACTGGATTCAACAGTTCCCCTAGATCGTCGGTTCAGTACGAGGTGGTCGAACCATCAATCGCTAGAAAACGTTTATGACCTAGCTATCGCATTTTAAACTGAAACCACACTGTATCGACATCGTATGCTCTTTAAGCGCTGGGTCTTGAGCGTTTACCACCGTGTGAAGGCGCCATGCATGTCCTCGGACATATACGGAATAGAAGCGAAACCACACGAAACCACACATGTCGTGTGCAATTGATAGAAGGAAAGCTTCCAGTGAAAAGAGTCAAGTAATCCGATACCTAGGTACTGATCTCGAGAAATGGCAGACTCCATTGTTTTCAGTTCATGTTTTCCCCCGAATGACATCTACCTGCGGCTCGATTTCAGGGTTGCCTAGATGGCTTTCCGGGACGCCCTCATGGACCACAATTTCGCGCTTCCGAGCTTCATACACAGCTTTCGCAGATTCCGTGGTCCGCATGTAAGCTATACGACCTTTCGTCAACCAGAACCCGATGGAAACCACCAGCATAACGGCAAACACCGCGATTGCGTAATTCATATCCGCGGCAGCCGGAGCGGGCTCACCGGGGAAGAAGAAAAAGACAGTCGTGATGGCACAATATATGACGGATGTCCAGTTTATCAGCGGCCCCAGCGATCCTAAACGGAAACCTCCAGGCGGGAGTTTGTCACGTCCGGCAATCATAAGCGTTACGATCGGTAGGGCGTATGATACCGTGAGTGCGATCGTTGCTGTGCTGATGATTGCCTCCAAAACGGTGTTTGCGAACAGATATAAGATGCCAATAAGGGCAACAATAACGCCCTGCAGCACAATAGCTCTCGCCGGGACCTTCCAGGTGGGATCAACTTTTGTGAAGTAAGCGCTGAATGGTATACCGCCGTCTCTTGCAAAGCCCCAAGTAAGCCGCGACCCGGTGGTGAAGATACTAACACCTTGGCCAAGACCGTTGAAGATAAAAAGGGCCAGTAGCACGGCAGCGCCCTGGAGACCAATTGCATCCTGTACCAGCTGCATGAAGGGCAGGTCTGAGTTGACGACGGAGTCCAAGTCTTGGATGCAGAACAGGCAGACGAGCATGAAGATAAACCCGCTGGTGGCGCCAGTGACAACGGCAAGCCACATCGCTCTAGGTGCATTCCGACGTGGCGCTGGTATCTCCTCGACCATGTGGATAACCGAGTCGAAGGCAGTTAGGCCATAGGCAGCCTGGAGGAGACCCGTAAACCACTGCAAGATGATTGTCAGATACACAGGTAATTATGTGGTAGCCGGAAACAGCTCCAGGAATAGACGCAGATGCTCACCGTTACTCCGTCACTCCAACCCGTCTGGTTAATCCAGGCTCCAAAGACGAACCGTCCGGGCTGGAATTCGAGGCCGGGCTTGGTTCCCACCGCAATCAGGAGTGCCAGGCTGAGAACCACGAACAGTCCTACAAAGCCGATACCCACAAAGTCGTTGAACAGAGGCAAAACCCTGTCCTTTCTGCAAGCGACCAAATTAAACACCGTGAAGAGGACGTTTACACCGAGGTAGACTAGAAACTGAACCCAGCTGCTGCTCGCGCCTGTCCATTCTGGATCGAACATGGCCTTCATGCCGAGCAGGAAGCTTGTCATGAACGCCGTCTGTGATGCGGTGAGCGTCCACCACCCGAAAGTGTTGATCCAGGCGCATATGTACGATGTGAATCTCCCCCATGACGTGTCCCAGAGCCGGAGGACCCAGTAGGCCTGTCCCAGAGCAGTGGGCATGCTGCTGCATAACTCCCCCAAGGAGATCACAACGCATGTGTTGCAGACGGTCACAAGGCATAGCCCCCAGAGAATGCTGATTGGACCGCCATTGGTCAAACCACTGCTAAGGTCCTTCAGGAAATCAGATTGGATCAGCATTCTCGGCTCTTGATCTTGCTGAAACCTCGTCGCCCCCGGCAAACAAGGTAGAAATGGTCATCTGTGCTCACCTGCGCAAACGTGGACCATGTTCCCAACACGCAGAATGCCAGTGCCAGAATACTCCAGATATCAAACTTCCGAGTCAGGATCTGCTCGTGGCCGAACGCGGCCAGGTCGCAAGCATCGACCACGTCCTGGTCAACGGCATCGACGGTTTCGAGGGGTGCCTGTGCCGTAGTCTCCTCCAGGCGTGGAGATCTGCTTGGGTCCATGTTCAAGTCGCAGTGTGCGGCAGGAAATGCACATTCAGAGCCACTGCAGCATGATGGCCGACGACTAGGCCCTTGGTACTCGTGATGCAAGCGAGAACATGGTCACAACCAGCTTTTCCAAGATGAAAAACAACCCTTGGACCAAGGTACATGTACAGGCTTCCTATCCCAGGGCCAAGGTCACTAAACCTTCCATGGCGAGGGTACTGATAACGGCTGCGGCAATTTTCAGTAGCTCAGATAGCCATCCCCATTGCCGGGCCACACTGGTACACGTGCAGTGTTGCATCCAGATCTTTGTGAGGGGACGACCAACTCTGACCATATCCCTGCTAGTCCTAGCACCCGAGAGCCGACCATGAAGAGCAGCAGGTGGAGACTAGCGTGGAGTTAACTTTACGTTATCGACTCATGAATAGATAAAGATGGAGTAGGTGACTTACGCGAAGACCTGGACTAAGACGCGTGGTTCCCGGGTGGTAGGTGTGGTATCTGATCGTGGTGTTGATGCCAGCAGCGTGCTGATAAGCTTCCTGGCTCTGCCTCATAAAGTTGAAGGGCTTCAATGTTCGAGATCAGCCCCGGATCTGCGTGGTCGGAGTTGACCCACAACATTCACCCCAGAATTGTCTAAGCCAAGATTCACAGCGTACAGGGGTCTGAAAGGTTTCCAGATACGGTAGTATTTAAGAGTGATGAGGGGACCAGAATTGACACGTTTGTACAAGTATTACATTGTTGAACGTAGTAAAGCATTTTTATACGATAAAGGTAGTCAGCCTACGAGAGGCTTCGGTGGTTCACTTATAGACAGCATAGCTACATTCGCGACTGACCGTTATCGGAATAACTACATGTGTAGGTAGACATCTGGACCTTGTCTCACAAGTGTTAGGACCTCACCTGTTGTTTTCCATAGTCTCGCAAGATAAGCTGCAGATCCTCGGTCTTGGGTTAAATACTTCTCCAGCACTTTATCCCTTTAAGAGGCTTGGAAAGCACTTGAAGCTAAAATGCCGAGACTCGGTGCACAGCCTTGGAACTCTTGATACCTGGCGTGCAGGTGCTATTGAATGTTGCCTTGTACCGCCTAGTGGGTCTGGCTAATTCTTGCCAGTAGTAAAGAAGACGCTTTGGTAGAACTGTAGTCAGCTCCAGGGCCTGTCGCGCAAGCCATGAAAAAAGACAATGCGAAAACGTGTATTTGGTTGCAGGGGAACTCGTCAAAGGCGATGCACTGAGAAGTGATTTGTCACGATCAATTGATATGATCGGGCCGTTTGTGAAGTGGTGATGTATTGTACATGTGTAGACCATGCCAATAGTATGTCCCAGCTTCGCCCTCCACATTACTAGTAGGCCTTTGTCCAACACTTAGTCTGTAACTTATGGAACAATAGACTGATGGCTGCGAACTTTGTTGGTGAGGTTTTCGTGATCGAATTCAGGGCGACCTCGTAACCAATGCTGACGACCGGGCATGAGTATGTAAGTAAGATGTTTTGAGATGTGTTTACGTTGATCAGCTCGTATTAACACCATCACGAATTCCTAAGCCCCAAAGGAAGACTCACTGCAACATGCCTAGCTAGCTGCATATGCCGCCTTAGGCATCCAGGCTGCCAGGGTGGGTGAGGATACAGTCTACGATGTGAGTCAGCACTGAGCGGCGCGCCACTCAAAATCGTTTCCTAACACCGTTGGCGTGCTGACAACTAGTCATCATGTTATTTCGGGAAGAGGTTAGCACAACACGATACCACGTCAATTCGGTGTTGTGTGCAGCCGTTGGGATCGGTCCTCTTCATCTACCTGCGAGAAGTAGGTACTATTACTGAGGGAACGCGGTCCGATAACATGGTCTCGCCTGTACAGAAGCGGCTAGTACGGTGCAATAGGACATCTGTAGCCTCTGTTCCTTCGCGCCATATTCGAAGGATTCTAATCGCCAAATCGTATCCTGGTTCTGTGTCGCCCGCCGGGTGACTCAAATTATGGCAGGAGTGGCCCGACTTCACTCACGATGCCTCTTGCTCAAGCTTGATATAAAGCCCAGCAAGGAAAGCCACTACAACAGCAAAAGCGTGTGCAATAGTTCCACCGAATTTCTGCTTTGCATATGCACATGCACCCTGCGCACTCAAGCTGCTTTCACCATGAAGAAAACTCTCCGCAGCATTTTCGGGCGCAAGCCCAAGCACCCAGACTCAGCTGCGAATCAGCCCTCCAACCCAAGACAAGCCAACTCTGCGACAGCTGGGCCAGGCCCGCAACAACTCGTTGCCCCTGATCCGTTCGAATCGGAGGCACAGTTCCAAGCCGTCAAGGATCACCTGAGCAACCTAGCAGCAACGAACCCGGAGCGATTCGCCATGATCGCCCGCCCGGGAGCCTTCAGGGCGGCAGAGTTCTGGATGACAGAGAACTTCCCCGATGCACAGGTCGTCAATGGTGGGTGCTTCCCCGGCGACATCAGCTCACTGGGCAAGGATGTGCGCCCGGAAGACACCCAATTCTTTGTGGCAATGGACCCCAAAAACCCAAGGAAACTGGTCGCCGTCAACCTGGTGGTATTCAATCTGGCCTTGTCACTACCAGGCAGGGGTGGGCAAGCCCTGGGGACGCCAGAAATGAAGGCTGCGGAGGATGGGCTGCTGGGACTGCTCAAAGGATGGCAGAACGACGGGATGGCTGATGGGTTCCTAGTAATTGTGTCCATGGGCGTGGACATGACCATTTACAGGTTTTCAAGCAAGGACGGGCTGGTTGATCCTCCTGAAGGAGTAGATGTCATGCCGAAGAAGGTGGTACCGCATTGAGATGGCGCTCACAACCTACCTAGGTATGATGAGGTCAGGGTGTCTGTCGTGACAAAATGACTTATGAAGGAGTGATCGATCCTACTAAGGAAGACACGTTTGGAGTCAACCGGTGTTCGATTTATTTAATACCCGGGTAATTAATTTTACGGCTTGAACTCCCGGTGGAGACATTGGAGGGCAACGGATGAGAATCGTTAGAGCATTGATTTATAGCGAGCAACCCCATACAGTGTTTCGACCCTTTAAGCTACTTGAGTACCGTGATAGTAGACTTTCTTAATACTTGTGTTGGGCCCTTGAAAACCACCCCAGGTCATATGTGTCCCTCTGGGGGGTCCCTGTTGTTTCTTTTATACGTCTTCCATCCCGTGCTTCCGGATAACATTCACAGCTGATCAGGCTGACCAAGAAGGATAACACACATACGACCGAATTGGGTATCTGATATGCTGTGACGTACTTTTGAGCACTCCGATATCGCTTTCGTATGTTGACTAAGCTGAGACAGAAGATGGCTAGGGACCCTGATGGCTGACGACGACCAAGGGTGACTGCACGTGTTCTCTGTTCTAAGTTTGCCGGTTCAGTCAAGCGAGACCCCATGGTATTGGGTAACTAGCAGCAGCATGTCATATCTGGCACACTGACACGGGGAGCACGTTAGCAGACCTGGGCCGGGATCACGCCACACGGAAGCTCAAGAAGCGGGTTCCACTTCAGAACGCCATCCGGGGAAGCGAGGTCGTGATTGGGAATCGGGCGGACAAATTGACATGTAGGTGTAGATCTGCTATCAGGCAGTCAGGATGGAACAGGCCAAAGATCGTCCATGCCACTTGAGGTGCGTTTGTCAGGGAGGGCGGGTTGTCGAGCAGATAGACAAATAGAGGAGGGTCAAGCTGGTGGTGAGGTCCGAAATCCCGGGACAAGACCGGGATGGGACCACCGGCGATAACAGGAGGGAGAAAAGGCTGGAAGGGACTTGGACAAGCCGTGGACCTTGGAAACGGGGCGAGGCAGGGAGGCCCACAATTCTGCAGACACTATGTAGAGACGCGCCCCACCAAGGCGCGACGGATGGCGTTATCGTCACTTATCGAGAAAAACCGGACCTGAAGTTTTTTGTCTCGCTCCATGTCCCCTTTTCTGTCAGGGCTCCAGAAGTTTCGTCAACTCGTGTGGATCCTCACCTCGTCACCTTCGTCAAGCCAGCCTGCCAGCAAGCCCGAGCCTTGCGAGATCGGGATCACCAACTTGTACCCTCTACCTGCCCTCTCAAAAGTGGGCTCGGTTCTCTGCGCTTCTGCCACTGAACGCGTTATCTAATCACATCTCAACGTTTTTCACCCCTCGCGTACATCTCAAAAGCGTCCAGCTTGGCCTTATCTCGCGACCGCAAGCTCCCAAGCTCCTCCTCAAGCCTATCCGACTCGCCCTCGCCATTTCTGCCTGACACCACCCGTCTTCTCCTTGCACCAGCCCCCTCAAACATCAGTCAACATGTCCAAGGCATTTGTTCAGAAGCCCGCCCCGGCCTTCACGGCCACCACCGTCCTTGAGCACGGCGAGTTCAAGGAGGTCTCCCTGGCCGACTTCAAGGGTCAATGGTGAGTCGAGTCTGCAGGTCCCACGCCCGAGCCCGTCTGCAGTCCCTTCACCTCGGGTGGACGCTCGCTCACCATAATCATAGGGTCGTCCTCCTGTTCTACCCCATGGACTTCACCTTCGTCTGCCCCACTGAGATCCTCGCCTTCAACGACGCCCTCCCCAAGTTCGAGAAGCTCAACACCACCGTCCTGGGTGTCTCTACCGACAGCCACTTCACCCACCTGGCTTGGCGCGAGCGCCCCCGCAAGCAGGGTGGTCTCGGTGAGGACCTGAAGCTGCCCCTGGTTGCCGACAAGAACTTCAAGATCGCCCGCGACTACGGCGTCCTGATCGAGGAGGAGGGTATCGCCCTGCGCGGTCTCTTCATCATCGACCCCAAGGGCACCCTGCGCCAGATCACCGTCAACGACCTGCCCGTCGGCCGCAACGTCGACGAGACCCTCCGTCTCGTCGAGGCCTTCCAGTTCACCGACGAGCACGGCGAGGTCTGCCCCGCCGGCTGGCAGTCCGGCGGCGAGACCATGAAGGCTGACCCCAAGGGCAGCCTCGAGTACTTCGGAAAGCAGGGTGGTAAGTCTCGGCCCCTCAGCAGCGGAGACGCGGCCCCCTTTGCGAAGCGTCCACGTATTGAGTAGAGGGTTTTCCCACGACAGGTCAATAAACAGTGATATGTGAGAGACTGTGTTTTTTTTGTGACCCAAGACCGAGGAGCCGGCCCGATGACGAGAATCACTCCCAACCCGAGTGGACACCGGTGGCACTTGAAGGATTGCATGTATGGCCGGCGTTAAGCAGATGGACGGACCGACATAGACCATAGAACTAGACCTCAATATATCCCTGGGTCTCTGACCTGTTGTATTTGCATATCTGCCTCCAAAACCAGTTGGGCACATGTTCCAACCCAGCCAGCGCTTCAACTCCGGTGAGCACTTCGGCTGCCAATAGCAATCTGTCCCTAAAGCTTTCCGATGCTGATGCCACTGTAAAAACCCAACTCCGATCCTAATGCTCCACTGTACCCTGAGACACCGCCCGCCAGAAGGCAGTCATCCAATGACAGCCGCCGGTCCGGGGTTGACTTGAACTCCTGTCCCGGTGAGAATCCCAACCCAGCTGGGCTCGCCGCTCTGTTGCTGATTGACGCAAGTCGAGAGTTGATGGCCTCGATCACAACCGAAGGGGTACGTCCAGCCACGCCCATCCAGGTCCAAAACCCCAACGCCAACCCAGATTATCCCATAGGTTGTTGGAGGGCTGCTCCGTAGTACGTGACTCCGCAAGACAACTTATATCCTGCGGTAGCATGATCCGCTGCAAATAATTGGGAGCAGCTTGTAGCCAGACTCGGACCGCCCACTTCATCTAGTATCCGTGTGTTCTGTTGAAGATCAAATGTGGATTTGGGCCCGAACGGTCTGACATCATGGATGGGCGGAAAAGGGAAATGGTGTCTTCTTCGAAAAGTGCTTGTTTGGGTGGTGTCGGCGGCGATGATGCTGTCGACGCTCGCGGCACGTCGTCGAAGGGGCTACCATGGCCCGCGAACCTCATCGGCCGCGCACTCCTCTTGGAGCCCCTGTTCTTGAACTTGTTCCTCATTCTCCGCCACCAACCCATCTTGGATTATGTCGGCTTAGGTCATAAACTGCACGCCTTCGCTTGCGAAGTTGGCGCTTAAGCAATATAACGATTGACGGGAAGTAATAAGGCGTATCCCATGACAGAATTGCTCTCGCGAAAGGATTGAGGGGCGGACGCAGGATGAAATACCACTCCGCAGGGTCCCGGTACAAGAAGTGCAGCTGGAAACACAGTTTCGTTGTGGTGTTTACACAGCCACGCATGAATGCGTTGTCCCGGCTTGCCAGGGTCTTCCCTTCGGAAGTGAAGGGAGCTTTGTTGCGGGAGCCTCGCCTTGCGAGGCAGTTTCGCCACTCGCCTCGCAGGCCATGAAAATCTAGCCTGTGTGGAAAGCTGAAAGGACGAACCCTGGGCTTGTGTGAATCTAAGCTTTCGCGGACCCCCTCTGTTAACGGACGCCCGCGAATCGCATCCTGCGCGCATTGATGCACCGGCGTGGCTTGGCCAAGGGAGTCTGGATGCGCGTTCGACTCAGGGGCGAGCTCCAGACAGGCGGAGAATTTGTGCGGGACGGTTTGCGACATGTTTCGCTGGTCGATCTCGCAGACTTTGCGTGACAAGCGAACGACAAGAGGCAAGCCGACACGGCCGCGTCGAGACTGGAGATACTTGGGCTATACCTGCGCCATGTATGCATAGGAACAAATTCTGTAGCGTCACATTGCGTTTCTCTTGGAGTATCAATTGACGACTTCCCCTCACGGTCCCGACAGTCCTTAATATTCTAATCCCGCACCGACTGACTGTGCATACCACCCTCTGTTTGGGAATTACTTACCAGGCATGCCAGGAAGAGGCAATTTCGAAAACGTGAAGCATGTAAAGTGAAATGCAACCTGGATGACCTCATCACAAAATAAGGGCACCCCTATCCAGCTGAAGGGTATTCTTTATCCACACCCAAGGGTTCATGCTTTCACGTCTGATCCCGCTGCCGGTACCTTCCTCGGTAACCGAAGCAGTATGACTGGAAATTTGACTCAGATCAATCGCTTGTTGCTACTGATTGACCAAGTCGAACACGGGAATGCCAGTAATTGATGCCAGGTCTGCTCTCGAAATATTGAAGTGCCACATTAAAAAGGGCACGGTAGAGTCGTTTCATCCTCCAGGGCTAGCTACCGGCCGTGGGACTGGTGCTGCTGACATTAAAAGCGTGTTGAAGGTACAAGACTATTTGTCTTCTCTGATATCAAGCCGGAATGAAAGCAAGTGTCTTAGAAGGACAAGGCGATGGATCATTCAAGATAGACTGAGCTACACCTATCGTATTATAACTATTGTTATCGGCATCGTGTTCTTTCCAAGCGCTGGGTCTTGAGTGCTTACCACCGTATGAAGGCGCCATGTATGTCCTCGGACGTATACGGAATAGAAGCGAAACCACATAGACTGAGCAAGTTTCACCATCCAGAGAGTGTGATGTGACTTTCGAATTGAAGTCATGGAGATAAGTCAACTCTGAACGATTATGGAACTCGATCGGATTGCAGAACATGACGATGAAAGGTTCTGGGGAGTATAAAAGGATCCAGCACTGATTACCAGTGGAAAGATTGACATTGCCGTGGGTATCAATGCTACAGGTTTTCAGTCCTCACTCAATTGTATGCAGTTTCTGGGACATGTCCAGTGCCGTCCTGAATCAGCTTCAAGAAGCAGTGCAGTCTTTCTAAAGTGACCCGGGCCTTCTCTATGGACTGCTCACTGAAGACTGAAGTGGATACTGGTTGCGGCGAAGCTCGAAAGACAAGTAGGAGCGACAGGTGTGCAATAACGGGTGAACGGAGAAGGATCGTATTCGAATTTTTGACCCCCAGATCCGTGTGGCCGTTCTTTGTGTCTTCTGATGTTCACAAACACGAGTGAGGAAGATACGAAAAAGGTGGTTGGGATGTGGATGGCAAGGATGACAGAGGTTAGGAGGTAGGAGGTCAGTAAACATTATTTCTGTTGATCTCTTGAAAGCGTAGAACGGAACAATAACAGTTGAGGGCCTTGTATTCTTGCCTGTCTCCCTGAGCCGGGCTTTCAATGCCGGGACGTGTGGGTAACGTGCCTGATATGGCAAGGGAAGAGATGTTTGGATGTGTGTAAGCTCTTGTTTATATGTTCCCCTGACAACGAACTATCTTTACGTTCAGAGTTAGGAGCCACATAAGATTCTCTTCTGAAGTCTGAGCACCGAGAGTAGATTGCGGCAGAGGACTAGTCACATCCCAGTATTGCATAGTAGATGAGCAGCCAAGGCAAAGTGATAAGCCCTTCTCCAGGGCGTAAGATGACCCGAAGGGACACTGCTCGTGACCTATGTCTTTTTTGGAAGTCTGACTCTTCATTCCAGCCTGATTTTAACGCAAGTTCTGGCACAACTTTGAGGTTTTCGTAATCAGAGTCTACGCCAGGTATGACTGCAGGATGTCGAGAGAATAGTATGACTGTCTAAGTGTGACAATACGTTGTACGGAATATATCATCTCTCATGCATGTCGTACAGCAAAGAAGAGCGACATTATTCCCAGCAGTGGGTGACAAATATTAGCGGTAAATTGTAAAGGCCGGTGTCCCGAGGTCGAGGTCATTGAGGCACATCGTTGTGAATCGAAGGCATTCTTCTCTCTCCGCGTCTACCACCTAAGAGACGTAGGCTTGGAACAGATAGCAGGGATTCAAGTTAACCGTGGAAAAATCAGTCTCGGAGTATTTTCATGAATAGTAAACACCAACGCTAAGGGCTGCGAGGCTGTCCATTAGGAAGGAAGAATGGCCACAGGGCGCTATGTTGCTGAAACTAATCGAGCAGCTATGAACTTTCTCTGCGGACGTATTTGCTAGATCAGGAATGTGTACTATGCTTTTGCAAGAAATCTCTCTTTGTTGACGTGTCATTAATCAATTCCTCGAGCATTTCCGCGATATCACTGAGCCGACGGTCCATGCAATCGGGCTTCCTCTCATTGTCACCCGGAATGCAAGTCACCACAGGTAATTTAACGTTAGGTTTGAGTTTCTCTTTCGAGGAGCAAGCAGCATTTGTGTGCATTTTTCTTTCCACTGCTGCATTAAATGTGCACACCATTCCAGCGTGAGAGCGGTGCGCGCAGGCCGAGTCTTTATTGCATAGTGTCTGAGATTCTAGTGTTTCAAGTAAATATTCGCTGCGACCAAGGAAACAACCATAACATGCGACTATGACATTCTTCAGACCTATAGGTGTGTACTCGTCACCTAGGAAGGTATCATCAAGGGCATGGATGCGGCCAACTGCGTACCTAGGTATGCTAGCTCAATTGTGTTCAACCAAATGTTCAGCCTACAACCTACAGCTGATAACCAGGCCGACGGTCCAACGAAAAGATATTCCGCAGAGCGAGACAGTGTCCGATTCACTGATCCGTTTCGACCAAAGCTTCTGATACTGAGAGACGCCGTGAACCTGAAGGTATGTCTCCAAAAATGCCATCACTACCCCGGTTCAATGTTGCTATCACAAGGGCTTTTATCAAGATTCTGCTCCTCGACGAGGAAACCAGTGCGCTGGATACAGATAGCGAGAATATCGCCCAGAATGTATTGAACGAGGTGGCCAAGGTCGGCGATAGGATTGCATTTGCTGTGGCTCACCGTCTCAGTACATTCAAGGACGCTGATGTTATCTACCACGACAAGTTGAGCCGTCGCTTGAGGTTCGGCTGGGCGTACTGCCAGTGCTGGGCGCCGTAATTCTTGCCTGTCAAATCTGAGCATCCATAGTATCTTCATTATCGGTATTGTATTTTCTGAACCCCTCGTATTTGAGTATTTACCACCGTATGAAGGCGCCGCATGTGACTTTCTGAGTTGGAAGTACGGAGTATGAACGAAACCAGTAAGATCTGAAAGGGTTCACACGGTCAGAAAGTCTAGCCTCCGTTTCAATTTTAGGACGACTGTAGCCCCGCCAAAGTTGTACTCAAGCAAGTGTGACTAGACCTGCAAAGATGGGCTACATCTGATCGGATGAAAACCTTGGCTGGCTGTCTCGGGATAGCGGCAATTTGAACACGCACACCACGAGACTGACGTACGTTGCGAAAGAATGACAAGACCGCCTGAAAACTCTGATATGGACAAAGATTAAACGTTGATGCACTTATGGCGTGAAAGCAGCACATGCATTCGCCCCTCGCCCGTGTGCGAGCGTGTCGCGCCCGAGACGTCCGCTGTGACGGAATGCGCATGCGGCTTTGATTTCGTCCAACCGCTGCTGAGCAGTTAGACACATTGCTACCCTTCTCCCACCTTGCGGATGATCGGGCCATACTTAGGTATTAACACGGACACCGTCAAACCAAGGAAGCTACCACACACCGCAGAAGTTACCAAGGTAACATCAGCACGGACAATTGCCAGCACGATGACCAGGACTCGCCAAAATTATAAGAAACTCCTAATTTTTACGGCTGCATCCGGCATCCCGCGATGCATCAGTGCCGTTTCTGGCTGCAGCTGGTGGTCCCGGGAGTCACGCGTGCGTCCATGGTTTTGACAAGGGATGTCACTAATACGAAGCCGGAGAGCTTACCTCTGCCCAGACGGTAAAATAAAATATAATGCCTCTGTTAAAACCTCGCGTCGGGCCTCTTACGTCACCGAACACGAGGTGTCGTTGGCTTGCGGCTACAATCGTGGGTCAGGTGTGAGACGAACTTGGAAAGGGAAAACTCAATCTTGACGGACTAGTCTTGATGTGGCGGCGCGGGGTCCAATTCGCGGCGCAAAGGGCGATTCGATGGAACGATATAAGAAAGATAACGAGGATTAGGTTCCCACTGCGTAGAGAACCCCCGATCGGCTGTTTTGCCCGTGGGGGGCCTGTATTCAACGGTAGGTTGACCACATCAGCATGGTATCCTGGTTGACAGGTCGCTAGTGACCCTTGAAATCTTGGGTCGCTGTCGCCCACACCCGCTGAAAAGTTGGATTTGAGCTCTGAAACTGGGCCGGTTGGAACGTCCGAGGTGCAATCCAAGGAGACTCTCTGAACCCAATTTGTGCCCAAAGGCGTCAAAGAGGACTGCAGAAATTGAGACACGTGGACGGTATATTGCACCGTGCCTGACTATTGAGCGCCATGGCTTCGCCCGTGTACTCTGCTTGTCTAGCCGGAGACTATATCAATATAGTCAGCAGAGCTCCCTTCACCCGTCCAGTCTGATTCCGATTCCCTAGTCCCTTAGCTCACAAGTCCCTTCTATGTCCAATGACCTTCCTCCTATCCCTGGCCTCTATCCAATCATGAGAAAGGCGGACTCTACGGCAGCAACTGCGGGCTCAGGCTCCAGTTCGTCAAGCCGTCGCCATGACAAGGACAGACCCAGCGGCCGCAGCCGTGATCCTGACCTTGTCGACTACGTCCATGACAGGGACAGGATTCCCCGCCCTTCTCTGAAGCATCGGGAGTCGAGCCGCGAGGGCAGGCGTCGCCACGAATACCGGTATTACGAGCCGCAGTCGGGCCATCAACGGGTCAGAAGCGAAGAACGCCGAAGCCCAGGTAATTCGGGAAGCACGACAAAGGCCAACAGCCCTGACAAATACGGGGACTCTGAGAGGTCGGCGCCAAGAGAGTACAGGGGCAGGAGGAGGTACACCTCGGAAAGGCCAAGCGAGACTCGCACCCGAAGCGAGTACAGGCGTGACGACCGGCTTGACGACCGGCACGATGAACGGCGACATGAACGACGTGACAGCCGACGGCCTAGCGACGACAGCCACGGGAGAAGGCGGTCGGCCGCAGCCAATTTCGGCAAAGTCGCCCTGGCCGCTGGTGCCATGGAAGCTGTCAAGCAGAAGGGACGCAAGGAACGCAAGGAACGCGAGACTGACGCCTGGAAGAGGGTCGCTACTGCTGCCATCGGAGCCGCTGCTATCGATGTTGCAGCAGGAAAAGCCAGGGGAAAAGACCCCAGGGACAGAGGCAAGGGATCTCTCATTGGTGCATCCATTGGAGGCTTGGTCTTGGACAGCCTCGTGAACAAAGTGCGATAGGCTTTCTGGTGGGTTCGGCACCGTGCGAATGACGAATGTGGGAAAGTACATATGTATTACGGGCTTGGAATTCTCAATAGATGGTGGAAATTATCCTGCGAAGGAGTTTAAGGCTTAGTTATCGGCCAATTCCCATTAATATTGCACTAAAAGTTGATACCATGTTTTCAACAACAAAAGGCTGTTCACGTAAGTTGCCATGTCTCATGTCCTCATAAACAGTTCACAACAGGAGGATCAGTATTGATATAGTCAAATTAAAGAATCACTGCAGTACATGTGTGAGGAAGGGTGAACTGATAGAGGACACCCTTTAGAAGAACAATCATATAGCCTCTCACAGGACAAATCTTTTATTTCCACATCTCTGTTATGATGACCTTATACCCTCCTACTAAAGTTTTATCTCCACTTTTCATATCATTCTATTCTTCCCTCCTCCCTCCTACCCTCCCTCGTCTGCACTCCCACCCAGGGGGCCAGCCTCGAGGTCCCAAACCATCGTGCTCGATATATCGGCACAAATTTTCCAGATATTTGGCCCGGTATCAATCCGAACCAGAGAGACTGTGCTTGATGCCAGCAAGTAGACGGACCTCCGGCACAGTCCGTCGATGCTTGCGTGCTTCGACCGAATCAGAATCGCAGCGTTGGCCGACAACAAGACGGTCTTTGCCGCGACGTAATACCTACTTAATGGGCTCGCCCAATCGCACTGGCAAGTCGCCCCAATAGGGGCATACGCCATATTCTACTCCCGGCTTCGGTCTCTCAAGATCGCCAAAATTGTTGAGTACGACTTTGACTGGAGCAACGTCAATGGCCATACCGTCCTGAGTGCCAGCGGAGAAGAATTGAGGATCAACACGAAGCCTCCACCACCTGCGCGCAAGGTCGCTCCACACTTGCGCAAGAGGTTTGAGGACACCAAGGAGGGCCAGCGCCTCTTGGGGGAAAAGGTGTTCACGTACAGTGGGACCGACGCCGATGGCAGATATGTGTATCAGACATACTACGATACGTTCATCGGCACCCAGCGCCACGTGGACCAGATCCTGGACCAGCAGAAGAGCATTTTGGATGCTCGTTATGTCGCGGAGGCTTCGGCCACAAACAACATCGATGCCCACGCCCACGCCACCGCGGGCGGAGACCTCTCAGACGAAGATGGCGATCCGATCGATCAGTGAACAGTATTCAACGCCGGTTGGAACAAACAAGAAGATTGCTTGGCTATATAAAATCATGTTGCGGCATGCTTGGAATGAGCTGTCTTCTCCGAGCATGGCTGCTGAGCTCGCTGGAACCAGTACCCTGACTAACCGACTAATGTGGTTTCGCTTCTATTCTATATACATTTAAGAATATATATAGCACCTTTATATAATAGTAAGTACTTAAAACTTAGTGTTTAGAAAAAATATAATATTAATAATAATAGTTATAATATAATAAGTGTTTATAACTTTAACTTTATAATATATAAATAAAGTTAAAGGGTATTATTTTAATAATAATATTAATTAAAATATTATAAGGAAGTTATATAGTAAAATTAAGTTTAAAAATAGTTATTATATAAATAAATTATATTAAAAGCTTAATTAAAAATTATCCTTTTAAATATATATATATATATATATATAGCTTTAACTATACTATATTTTTCCTTTATATTATATAATTACTTATTTCTTCTCTAATAGTCTAAAGCTTATATATAAAGTCTTTAATAGCTTTATATATATCCTTATAATCCTTTTAAGAGGAACTTTAAATCTATCTTTTCTTTATTTCTATTATACTTTTTATACTATTAAGAAGTTAATAATTATTAGTAATAAAAGTATAAATTTAAAGGAGGATAAGTTTATTATACCTCTTTTTATTTTCTTATAAATTATTTTTAAAACTCTCTTTAAGAGTTTTAATACTTTATTATAAAAGTCTTAAAAATAATATATTATAAATTATTTCTTTATTTTAAGTTCTTTTAAAGTTAGTAACTATATACTTAAATAAGGGCTATAGTGCTTATTTAGTAAGGGTCTTATTAATATATATATATATATATATGTGTGTATATGTTTAGAGGATGATTTTTAGTTAAGCTTCCTTTAATATAATTTATTTATATAATAATTATTTTTAAACTTAATCTTAATATATAACTCCTTTATAGTAATTAGATTATAAACTATTTCTATCTATAATTAATACTATTATTAAGATAGTACCCTTTAGCTTTATTTATATATTATAAGGTCAAAACTATAAATACCTATTATATTATAACTATTATTATTAATATTATATTCTTTCTAAGTACTAGGTTTTAAATGTTTATTATTATATAAAGGTATTATATATATTTTTAAATATATATAAAATAAAATAAAACTATATATATATATATATATATATATATATATATATATTAATAAAACCTTTATTAAATAAGTTTATAAAGTTTAATATTATAATTTTATTTAAATATATAGTTATTAATTTTAAAAACTTAAAATAAAGAAATAATTTATAATATATTACTTTTAAAACTTTTATAATAAAATATTAAAACTTTTAAAAAGACTTTTAAAAGTAATTTATAAAAAAATAAAGAAAAAGTATAATAAGTTTATTCTCCTTTAAGTTTATACTTTTATTATTAATAACTATTAATTTTTTAATAGTATAAAAATATAATAAAAATAAAGGAAAGAGTGGATTTAAAGTTCCTCTTTAAGAGAACTATAAGGATATATATAAAGTTATTAAAGACTTTATATATAAGCTTTAAATTAGGGAAGAAATAAGTGGTTATATAGTGTAAAGGAAAAATATAGTGTGGCCGAAGCCCTAACCGACTAATATATAATAAAATCGCGCTCACTCCTAAGTGCCTCGACCACGAACTATCCGCATCGATACGTGCTAGTGTTATTTCCTATCTTCTTCTAGGTTAAAAGGATGAGTACAGCCAACGTCGCACTGCGGTCTCATTAACGACACAAATATGGCTCGCTGCTCCTATACCCGTTTCCTCTTTCAAAAGTAGTCTATGAAACAAGACCCTACCTAGGTATCTACTCTGCATCATCTGCACTCGACAGAACAGTTGGCCATGGGATGACATGCAGTTCCGGCCACACAGTTTGCCACCTTTGCGTTTTCTTCTCGTAGGCGGCACGAGTCCCGCTCACTGAGTTCGGGCGTACTGTCAGGTTGAGAATATCCGTGAAGCCCCATGGAGCAAACACTTTCCAACCGCCAGTAGGCAAAAGCCGGACGCCAAACAAAGCCGTACCACAAAACCAAGACGCTATTGCCCCCTCTGTTGAAAGGTGTTTCGGACACGGGATCCCGAATTTCTGCGGGTACCAGAGATGTACTCGAGCCTGATTCCTGATTTCGACCCTTGTGGGGAGGTCTGCAAATACCTTGGCGCCCTCTTGAATCACCGCGTCCTCCGCTTCCCAGGAAAGGTCTGAGTTGTCGTAGTAGACAAGGTCGTAGTCGTCGATCCCGTTTTCTGGGTCTTGTTGTGTGACGTAGTTCCAGACTGATTGAGTCAGAGCGCCGGCAGCCAGGTACCAGCCTGGGAGGTTCATGCTGGCGGCGCGGCGGAGGACTTCCATCAGCGTGGTGTTGCGCTCCAGAGCAGTACGGAATCGCGCTGCTTCCTCCTCTGTGTGTGGACCTTCGACTTGCATTGTGATTAGGCGCACGTGGCCCGCCTCACAGGATCCTCTCCAGCACTAGGCGCAACGGTGTACAGCGCCAGAGGTATGGCTGGTAGACAAAGGGGTTGGAATTGTGCGTGCTCGGGTAGGTATTTTACGAGTACGGGCCGGCGATTAAAATGACGCGTCTTGGCGCGCATTCGGACGTGGCTTATTGCGACGGCCGGAGTTTAGGGTCCACTTCTCAAGTCGGCAATTCCAACATTGAAAGTTAGAAACGGTATCCGAGCCGCAGGCGGTGGAATCGGATCTACTCAGGTCAACAATCACTGTCGACGGGACAGAACAGTTCTGAATTGTAACATGGTCATTCAGGTCCAGACTGCCAGACCGACTGGACTCGCTACCTAGGTACTTGTAGGGACTTTATTGTAAGTAGCTCGAATTGGAAATATGCCCCGGTGGTTGTCAGACGGTCACCCTCACTCCCTTCTTGAAAACGCTCACTTAAGGTGTTCAAAACCGATAAATTCTTTTTTAGAAAGGCAGCAGAGAAAGGCAGCCGCGTGCAGCGTGGAACGTCGGCCAGGCCCCCCGGGAGTCTATTCAACGAGCATGAGCAGATCCACAGATTTGCCCCATGACAGCTGGAGCCCTTCGGACATCCTGTTTCTATGCCTTTTCTGCCTGCTCAGTTCCGATGTAACTACCATTCTTTCAGCACTTGATTGGGCTGTTTTATACGGTCAGTCGTCGTCGATCCACCTGACAGTCATGGTACCCTGCCAAGATCGGAGAAGGATCACGACAAGCAAAGCCATCAACTTTATATCATACCCAAATCAGAATGATATCAATCTTAATTATTACAGAAAGGCCTGGTCTAATGCATAATGCCGAAGCCGCAAGTGTTAAAAATCCAGGCAAGAGTCACTGGATACCTCTGACCGCGGCGCCTCACAGCTTACTCTTTGTCCATGACTGACCACGCTCATCCTTGTATGTTGCGAGCTGATTCCTCTTGCTATCGCCACCATGCTCAACCGCAACAGGAGCGTCGAAAATGGTAGCGGCGGCCTTCTCCTTCCTCTTGTTCTCCTCAACATAGTCCCTCTCGCCTTCGCCGAGATAGATCTGTCGCGGTCTCCAAATCTTGACGCCGGAGGGGTTCAGCATTTGCTGCCTCCAGTGAGCCAACCACCCGACACATCGTGGTACGGCAAACAAAACCGGGTAGAAATCGAGGGGAAATCCCATAGCCTGATAGATAAGGCCGGAGTAGAAGTCGACGTTAGGGTAGAGATTACGCTTCCTCATGAACTCGCTCTTCCTTGCGTAGTCTGCGAGCGTCAGGGCCGTATCGAGGAGCTTGTTGCGTCCAGTGACCTTGAAGACCTCTTCTGCGAGCTGGCGTATCGCTGTCGACCGCGGGTCCACGTTTTTGTAGACCCTATGACCAAAGCCAACCAACACACGCTCGCGCTTCTCGACCTTCTCCATAAACGCTGGGACATTCTCGGGGGAACCAATCTCCATCAGCATGCGGATAGCGCTCTCTGAAGCACCTCCATGAGACGGTCCATACAATGCGGCGCATCCGGCGGCGACTACCGAGTAGGGGTCGACCAAAGAACTCCCAACTTGCAAGACAGTCGCCGTGGAACAGTTCACCTCGTGGTCGGCGTGGATGATGAACAGTGCATCGAGTGCCTTCTCCAGAACGGGGTGAGGCTGGTATTCGCTGCCTGAGAGATTGTCGAGCATATACAGGAAGTTGCCGGTGTATGACAAGCCGTGAGCAGGCCTGTTGAAAGGCCGGCCTTGTCGCATCCTGTACGAGGCAGCTGCTAGTGTTGGTGCCTTGCCGATGATCCTTAGGATCTGCTTGTCGAGCAACTTCAGTGACTCAATGTCCCCAGATGCCGCCTTTGTGAACAGCTTCTGGCCAGCCAAGGAGGGGTTCGACTCGGGGGCGAAGGCTCCGAGGGTTGCAAACGCGGATGTCATCATAGCCATGGGGTGTGAGTCGTACCGGAACGACTTGAACATGTCCTCGATGTCGGTGTGGACGAAGGTGTGGTGCATGACTTCGTTCTGCCAGCTCCGGGCTTGAGAGGTCGTCGGCAGCTCCCCGTATAGAAGCAGAAATGCAGTCTCGAGGAAGTTGCTCTTGTCAACGAGCTGTTGGATGGGGTAGCCCCGGTATCTGAGAATGCCGTCTAGGCCATTGATATATGTGATCTTGCTCTGGACGACAGCTGTGTTCATGTAAGCCGGGTCATAGACACGGAGTCCCTGCTCGGTCTCATCTTCTGCCCTGTTGCCGTCCGGCTTGGCCTTGATGTTCTTGAAGTCGGTCGCGAGTATGGAGTTGTTCTTGATGGGGACCTCGTATGTCTTTCCCGTCCGGTTGTCAACGACGGTCAGGGATGGACGCTTGCTGATGGCGACCATGATGCTCAAGACTGCTGAGTGAAGATGTGTGTGAGTACCTTTTGTCTCGGCCTCTGTTGTCCTGAACGGGCACAGGAGTGAGGGTCTTGACAGCAATTAAATATAAACGAGGATATGTAGGTATGGAAACAAGACCCAGCTGGCATGTGAAGACAAGATGAGACGCCACGATGGTTGGAGGGAGGATCCGGAGAGCTGTCAGCGCCGCCCGAGCGTAGCCGCTTTTCCCGGACCTCGGCAGAAACCCGATTTGGTTAGATCGCAACCTTGGTCTGGGGCTTGACCTGAGGCTCCATCGCGACTCCCGACTCCCGACCCCTTTCTTTCCCCACGACTGACATAATGTCAACGGTTCCGTACCGAGTACAGTGTGACTCCATGATATTCGATACTCATGCTCGACTTTCCGATGACGTGTTTCGAAGGCATCAGCCAACGTGGACGTCAATCGACAAAGACAGATCCACAATCTGAGGGTTTGACCCTTTGGACGGGAAGATCATCATTGATGCCCAGCAACAGACAGCCACACCCAACTCTCGTTACTTGGGATGATGAGCGCCTGAACAAGGTGGTGCTCATTCTTCACTTTAACACCCGAGACACTCACTTGCCGCCGCGGAACTCCTCACTGAGCGGTCCCTGTCTTGTCCATATATTCATGCCCGTCTTCTGACCAGTCGTCACCGGTAGACCAGCGTGTAGGGTCCTCTCATCCCCCAGACCGTTCGGGAAAAGATTCTCCCAGTACACCGCGTTGCCCTCAATGGGCCTGAATGTCACCCCGTTCTCATACGGCTCATCGCAGTCCAGTGTAGCACACCAGTGAGGATCCCTCGGGGCATCCAGAATAGGAAAATTTGTCCCTCCCCCGGTGGTGTCGTTTGACACGTGCACATATGCGAAGAAGGACGAAACCCGGTTGCCGCCTAATCCAGCTGTGGCATGAGCTGGGTCGGTGAACCAGTCTGTGTGGAAGTGATACCGCTGCCCCTTGCCATATTTGACCAGCTGCAGGGGCTCGACGTGACTGCGCCGGACGTCGTGGCCTTGGAAGGCAAGTGCTCGATCCTCGATACATCTGACAACGGCGTCTGGTGTCACGGACGTGGACTGTGACGTCCGCACCGAGTGCTCACCATCAGCTCCTGTGACCCCGGAACGAGTGAAGCTGTCTTGACTACAGGAAGATGGTCAGAATGGAGCACTGGGCACTGAAAAGGAATACAGAGCACTCACGTAACCTTCTGCAGATGAGCCCTCTCACTTGGAGTGATAAAGTTGTGAAGATACGCGACTAGCGGCGACTTGGAAACCAACGAAACGGTGTACGGAGGGTGCTCGCAGACATAATCGTCGGTCATGGGCTTCTGGGATGCATTGGCGCCACCGACAACTGCGGCTGCGACGATCAAGACATCTGGTAGCTTCATATTTGTGTGTCTTGGACCGCAAACTGACTGATTCTGAGCCTTCGATTGGACGGTATGTAGGTATTGGTGTTGAAAGTTTTTGATATCACAAAGTGCCCGGACCGGCTTTGCATTACCTCTTTGAAAATAACTCTCGTCATGGCAAGAAATTGGAAAAGCGAATACGTAGGTGTTAAAGCGAGGATTGTAAGTCCATGCGTGAAACATTACTTGCCCGCTTGCGCTTGTCCCGAGTGGCGACTCAAGTCTCATCGCTGCTCCCAAGTCAGCACATCAGGGGTCGGATCCGTCTGATCAACACCTCGCGCGACCCCTGGTGCTGCACCCTCATCCAATCTTTGTCTGAACTCCACAAGCCCCTTATCCTTGTTTCCCCAGCATTCGCCTTTTAGAAGAGAAGCTTCTTTCCGCCGTCAAGTAGAAATCCACAGTGGGCATGATTTCGACGAGGTGTCATTTATTTTCAAACTGTGGATGCAGTTCAACACAATGAAAGTCACGAGGTCATTTTCATTGATTGGTCTCCTTACCCCACTGACCCTGGCCACATGGACCACGGTTGGTGAGTCTAGTTTTCGAGATGCCATCGACACTAATGAGCACACTTTGGTAACCTGTAAGTCGAGTACTAGTGGTAGATTTATCCGAGGGCCTGGTCTAATCCGTTGTCATCTACAGATATCTCATCAGTATGGATTCCTGTCCCATTTGTTGCTGAGCATAGCCGCTGACTAGATCTACGATCAAAGGGAGCTGAGTAAGGGGCATGTCTTTCAACGTTTCTGGACTGAAGGTAGCTCATTATCAGCAGCGAAACTTATGCAAACCTTGAGAAGGAATGGTCGACGGTGAAGAGCTCGGCAGAAGTGGACACATTGCTCGCCGTGGACTGCTCGAACACTGCGAAGTTATGCCGCGAATTCGACATCGTGTCATTCCCGACGATCAGGCTGCACCAAAAAGACGGCACTTTCAAGCGCTACCGTGGGCAGCGAAAGGCTAAAGAGTATGTCCCAGTACCTCGTCAACAGCTTTTGTTGCTTGCCGACTAAGCCAAGTAAATAGCATTCACGCGTACCTTGAGCGCATGCGAAGACCACCAGTAGCGGCAGTGAACGAGAAGAACATAACCTCCTTCGCAAAAGCGGACCACATCGTATTTATTGGTCAATTTTCCGACGACGATCGTGTCCTCGAAGAACTCTACAAGGACATAGCACACCAATACCGTGACCGACACTCTTTTGCTATTGGTCCAGTTGTACCCAGAGGCTCGTCGTCTCTGCAGTGTATCAACAACGCGAATCAGGAACAAACCTCCACCACTCATTTGTCAACCCCATCAGCAATCGAGAATTTCGTCAAGCAGTGTGCACGGCCTTTGGTCCCTGATCTAACTAGACGGAATGAAGCTGAGTATATGCGGGTGAGTTCGTGACCAAGTCTATGCCAGTGAACCTGGTCCCTCAAGGCCGCAGATCTGGTGTTCTAACCAACCGCTATGTACAGGTGGGCAAGAGTATCGTGCATTACTTCGTATCCACCGACGAGGATCGCGACGCCTACGTAGCTGATATCAAGCCCCTAGCCAAGAAGCTCAAAGATTACCTTATCTTCGCAACCACGGATGTCAGCCAATATCCTGAGATGCCTGCTGCAATGGGTCACCAGGTCGCGTCGACAAAGGTACTAGCAGTGTCAAGCCCCAGCACCGGCGGTGTCTATCCATATAGGGGAAACAAGAATTTAACCTCTGTTGTCGTCGAGGCTTTCTTGAATGATATCAGTGCTGGCAAGGTCAAGCCGTGGGATGGCATGACTACAGCTGAAGATGGGGGAATCAAGCATGAGGAGCTGTGAGCTGAAAATCGAGGCGTATTTTCAAGCAGAAGCGAATTTCGAAGCCTTGTTACGCACTGTCGGTAGCATGGTATTGATGGAATATTGATGTATTCACTTCTTTTAGTTCTCACAGGGAATTGGCCAAGTATACTTCATTGATGAAAACTCTTTGCGCGTCTATTTCAGAGCTACAGGATGGCTGCAAAAAAACTCAGGTACGCATAGTGCTGCCACATTCCAGAGGAAATTATCATTTTCTATTTTCTAAGTTGGAAAGCGACCTAAATACTTTCTTGAGATCTTGGAGAATATTTGGATTGTTGAAAAATAGAACGACTTCTTAATACCTAGGTACTAATAGAACGACTTCTTAATACCTAGGTACTCTTCTTTTTTCCAGGTATTTGAAAGCATCATTCGTGCTTTGAATTGATAGTACCAGACAACATTGAAGCTCTGCTCGTGTATCCGCTACAGTGCCAAAACATTCATCTCCTAGCCTCTCAGTAGGCACTCAACCTCCTAAGGCTCAAACCTTTCGAGGATGGACTCCTTTAGAAGACATCTAAGTGTAAAGTCCATAGGTCAATTTCCTACGAAAAAACAGACTAGAGGTTAAAACCGCTGTGGAAAGTCGATCATAGAGAAGACTAGCATGTAATGAAATTTCTCGAAACAACCGCGTAAAGACAACAAGTCAGACAAAGATGAGCCTCAGAGAGAGGCCCATATTTCATGGTTCTGAACTTCAGAACTCTTACTTTTAACTACTTATAACGTCTTTCTCCAGGTCCCCATCACCCTCATCTGCTCGTCAGGATTCAAGTCAACCCACCAGCTTTATGCTGTCTACAGCGGTGCCGTCGGGAGCGATGCTTCCTAGCCTAGTCGGTACGGCATGAGGCTGAGGCCACATGCCGAGGCAGAGTCTTCTTACATCATCATTAGCATTGTCTTTTTTTCAACACCACTGGCAGGTCTTTAAGTATTTACCACTGTGTGAAGGGATTGTATGCTTTTAGGATGTATACGGATTAAAAATGAAACCGCCCACAGGAAGGACCCCGATGACGTGGATTCGCAAAAGCTGCTTGCGTTAATTACTTTTTTTATTATTCTCATATATACAGTGGCCAGGACATTAAATTCGGGCCATTTGCTATCAAGGCCCGCCCTTCATCACTCATAACTTCGTTTGCCTCATCCTATTTACAGCGAAGAACTAGATATGCAGCGAAGCGATGTTCTCCTTGATGAAGGCATAAGTATCGCTCCGGAAATCGTCCGCCAGGTAATTTTGTGATAGCGCGTAAAACTGCACGAGCTGGTTTCCCTTGCCCGTGTCTTTCCATTGCGGCCAGTTGGGGTAACTGCCGTAACCGACGTTGGGGTCCAGGTTGTATAAGAAATTATAGTAGTATGTCCTTATGCTCCTTGCAGCGTAGTTGTCGTAGACTCCGAAGAACACCTGTAGCAGGTCGCTCCCGTGGAACGTTCCCAGGAAGGGGGTACCATAGTTGTAGCTTGCCAGGTAACTCCATGACGGAACGTTCGGGTTGGCGGTGTTTGTGCTTTCGAGGAAGCCACGGCGAGAGAGTGTGAAGACCAGATCACCAAGCAAGGCGGATATTCGCTTGAACTGAGGGTAAACCTCGTTTAAAATACCGGTCCGGAATGGTGACCCTTGTGTGAGGTCTCGAGGATAGGTGTTGAGCAGGGCTGTCAACTGCTGGTTGGAGGCACTGTTGAAGAAGTACGTGGACAAATACTCCAACAAATCCTGAGTTGTTGTCACGTTGGAGGTGAACAGCGTAAATATCGTCCCTTCATCCTCCTGATCACCATTGATCATGGGTACCGCTGCGTATCTGCCTTGTGCCGCCAGTACCTCAGGGCTGTCGGGAAGCACTGTGCCGTCGGGCCGTGGGACATATGACAGAGCCACAGATTGGTATCCGAGGAAGCCCGGGACCGAATTCGCAGCGTCAAGGAACTTGTCGTAAGGGAGAGCCCGGAGACATTCGAGTGTGTCGCTCGCTCCGGAGCAGCCTCCTTCCCTCACAACGGTATCATAGACGACCTGTCCCTTTGGACAATCGACAGGGTCCGCAGGGACGATGCTCCCAGAGTTCATGATGGCACCCCGGAAAAGTGGTTTGCCGTTGTACGTGTTGTCTCCACCATACAAAGCCATCTGGTCAAAGACACTGATAGCCCCAGCGGATTCGCCCCAGAGCGTTACCTTGGTTGGGTCACCTATGTGTTGTTAGACACTATAGCATATTTCGGGGTTGTTGAGAGGTATACTCACCGCCGAAAGCCTCGATATTGTCGGCTACCCACTCCAAACCCATCCTCTGGTCAAGGAGGCCCAGGTTCGACGAGCCGTCGGCCAGGATTTCCTTGCCGGGCATGAAGCCGAATCCAGCAACACGATAGTTGATCGCAACAAAAATGAAGGGCTGGTCTTGGTTGAGAGCTTGGTCGAGCAGATCTGTTCCATCGTACATGGCAGCCCATCCAAGCTGCATTTCTTGTTAGGGACCCGGCATCAAACTTCGTTAGTGGTAGCCCAGCTCACCTCAAACGCGCCCCCAAAAATCCAGTACAGAACTGGTAAGTTTGCGCCAGCCTCCACACCAGCCGGTCGGATGACGCTGACCGTCAAGCAGTCCTCACTCTGGTTTGTCGCTGCCTGAACGATGGGCAGAGTGACAAGATCACCGAGAACCTGCAGAAACAGGCTTTGGTTCTCGCTGGTCGAGACAAGCATCTGTGGGCAGGCTGCTGCTGGGTTAATTGCATCATAGGCGTCGCCAAGGTTCGTTGACAATCTCTTCGGGGGCTTGAGTCGTAGAGGCCCGGTGGGTGGGTCTGCAAATGGGATACCTGCAAACTTTTCAACCTTGCCGCTCGCCAGCCCAACAACGGTGTTGGACGGTGAGAGAACAACAGTTGGCGAGACTGCTCTCCCATTGACGACGGGAGAGCCCTGGTGAGCTGGCAGGGCCAGCACGCAGGCCACCAGAGAGGCCCAGGCCGAGATGGAAGGAACCTTCATTGTTGTTCCGGATTGTGCGACGGAGGGATTTGCAAACAATGCCCAGCAGATGGTGTTGGAGTCAGGCCGGTGCGCGAGACAAGTCCACCGAGGCGAGGCTGACCGTTGTTTAGAGGGGGAGCCATCGTGAAAAACTTGAACAAGGCGGCGTGTGTGCTCATTTTATCTACGAGATTGCTCAGCGGGCTGTTTTCTCCCCGACGGCCCACTGTTGGGAGGTGGTGATCTTCCAAGGTTGGGCGTGAAAGGTACTACTACGCCGTCTGCATGGGAATTCAATAGATTCCCGATTCATGGTGCCCAAGAAAAGACCAGCTGACTGTCAAAGTGAATGGGCGTGTAGACGATACGGGCGTAGTCTCCGGGTGCCACGCCGGACCGTTGCCCTTTTTGGGCAGGCTACCTGCCACGCTGCTTAGATCTCTGCCACGCTGAACTGGGGATTGCGGGGATCCCAATTGATTACCCCGTGGGGTAGGGAGTTTTCTCGAAGATTGGATACACGGCATAAGCTTTCACCCCGTCGTGCCGGCACGATGTCGCTGCGTGATTTCCCACAATGCCACATGCAGCAGGGGCTCGCCGGCAGTCAAGATGTCGATGACATCATCAGATTCCCGGTGGAACATATAAAGTAAATGAGAGCAATTTGCAGGCCCTTTGACTTGGACGCCTGAAAAGAAGGCGTTCTCCGTCCGATCGATCCGTTGCGACCGGCCGGCCCACACAACCCGGTTCCTGACGGATCGCCAACTGGGCCCGAAAATAGCGGCTGATCAGAAGTGTGTGCCTGAGACGGTCAAGACAAGATAAACATGTGAAGATCTTTCATCCAAACTTCTCGAAAGGACGGGCAGACCTCGGCTCTGCAGAGGTCATCCACCCTGAGGTGCCACACCATCTCGAGGGCTCGGGCAGCCGGTCCAGATCCAAGCACAACGCCAGCCCCTCATACGCTAGAGTCCTGGCGCCTAGCGGACAAGATGGAGGGTATAAGCAGCTCCCAAGCTTCCTCTGGGAGCAGATGGGGGCCGGATGAGGTTGCCGACAGGAACAGCTACACAGTACTACACAGTAGGCACAGCTCGGCGGGACGGCTTAGTTGGTCGAATCATGACCGCCGCCTCAAACCAAGACGGTCCCAGCCATCTGCTCGGCGGCTGGGTTGATCCCGACAGAGCTGGGGAAGGGCACGTGAGGAGACGACTTCTTCAGAAGTTGCGGGGAAAGGAGTCTCCTGGGTCTCGCTCAGTGTAATCCCGCACTCGGGCCTCGTTATTGGTGTATTAGACTTTAGTGACAGTTTGGTGCGGATGCTTGCTCGTGTTCTGAAGTTGTTCGGCACGACTTAATATCCATGTTTTGGTTCTAGTCATCACCCCTCCCGGGCGCCCCTGGTTCCTGCACGTAGCGCGATGGGTGGGTGGCATGCGGCTGGCAGCGCACAACAACACCACCTCGGAATTCACTGACAATGCGGGGAAACGGCTTAAATTCGGCGGCCAATACTTCCTCTTCCAGCGTCGACCCGTCAGCTGACTGGCTGTGTTTACCGAGCGCGTCCGTGGGAAGACGTATTTGAATCATCCACAATACAAACTCGCATATCAACTGAGTAGTGAATCGCCAACAACCTTGCGAGTCGTATTCGTATGTGTTCCGAGCAGCTTCAACCCGCGTCCGAACACCACGAAGCTGCTCGGAGACTAACTGATCACGGTGACACCAGTTCGGACGAGACTGCCATCAATGCGACGGATTGTGAGTGCCAAACTGCCCGAAAGACTCGTAGTGTCGGTTGAATTCTCTGCTGCGCGTTGATGAGCGAGCGCTTTTCAGGGTGTAGATCACTTTCGTGTATCACCCGAGGCATACAGCACCTCAGCAGAATTAAGCCGCTCAGGCTGTGGGCTCAGACAAAATCGAAGCTCTGCTTGTGAAACAATTCATCCGACCGGCTGGTGCCAATTTTGAGTCACGTAAATGTTGTGTATTATTCAAGTTGCTTTGTAACGATTGATGCAGAATACGTGCGTCACAGTCTTTGTTGTCCAAGGGTGGCACCGAGAACGCAGAGCATGGGCGACGTCTGAACACTTCCTTTCCGCCCGTGGCCATCGCATCTTGGCCAATAAACGGAAGTGGCCCCATTGAGTCTGCATTATCACATGTTCCGAGTGGCACTACTATCTCAAGGGTGTCAGAGTCTCGGAAAAGGCACCGGGCATGGCGCAATCCCCGGGTGATAGGAGACGTAATGTCACGTTATGCTATTCGATGTTGGGAGATTGTGCTCACCTTGAGCTCGAACTTTTCCGGAGTAGGTAATGATAGAAAATGCCAACCGTACAAGGGTTCTCAATAGAGGATTATCGAGAGAAGACTTTCCCGGAGGATGCTAACCTCGGGGAGATTATTCCGCAGGAGACCATTGCACGTGGCAGTACTGCACAGAAGATTTTCTTACCAAAGCTCGGTATGCAAGAGATCTTTCCACGAGCAAAGAGATCATCACATGGGACCTGAGCTCTCCTGGATTTTATCACGTGAAATCTTGTTCTTGTGACAAGGCAGGCCTTCCAGCAGAAGTTATAGTTTTCTTGAAGCTGGGCCTACACAGTACCGATCAAGTGCTGGCAGGGAGTGCGACCATGTGGCTCGCTTTGGTGTCTCGAGACACTAGCCAAGAGGAATGTGGCGGTATATACCGTACACGTGTGCACTCTCGGCTATGCAACTGCTTATTAGACTGCGTCATACTGATCGGCCATTTGATATTCTGCTCCCTATGTAGAATACCGAGACGAGCTACGAGGTTGTCAGGCTCAACAAGCCAGGAAAGGGGTGTGCATTGTCAATTTCCTCCGTCAGGTTTCAATGTGGCGGTAGACTGTGCTCCTGGCTGCAGGTGGTGGAAGAGTACTGCTACTAGGAAACAACCCATAAAGTTTGAGGGACTTGACAAGCGTGATTCTTCGACGTGGGATTCTGATGCCTAGAGTGCCTTATTCCTGTTCCTTCCCTGTTACAAAATGAACATCTTGCATATCATACCATTTGAGGCTCATAGACCATGAGAGTCCACTCAAGAGATAATACCTTAGTGGCACAACACAATGCTTTCAAAGAAAAAGAACCCACGCGTGGTGTGCCAGCAGATAGCACATGCCGTATCACCGTCTCACAAATTTCAGTCTGTCCTTGGTGTTTAAATCAGAAAACGCGCATGCTCTCCGTCTATTATACTAAATATGTAGTAGTCTGTGTGCATCCAATATAAAACTGCCAGACCTGTTTTTTACGCTGGGTATCGAGGCGTGAAAGCTTTTCTTCCATATGTAAATCCTGTGGAGGCCAAAGTATACCTCAGGTGTGTACCCGAAGGTCGTCACAAGCCAGAGAAGCCATGTAGCAGAGCCTCTTTCTTTGATAACATTGAAGTCTGTCTGCTCCTTCTCGCGGCGGTCGTGGTCGATTCGGAAATCAAAGCTGGCCCTCAACGGGCGTATGTTCGGGCCTATGGGAGTCTCTGCTTGCCCATGCCTTGCAGAGCCGAGACATCCTGTGAGGATGATGGTTAATCTGGCGTTCTACTATTTGTGACACCCGGGACGAAGTTCATGCTTACCTGAGCAGCTGAGATTGTGCTTGCCTCTGGAGCAGCAGCTCCACCTCCGCCCTCGCCGCCGGCTGCTCCGCCCTCTCCAGCACCACCGGCGCCTCCTTCTCCAGCACCACCGGCACCTCCTTCTCCAGCACCACCGGCGCCTCCTTCTCCAGCGCCTGCACCACCCTCTGCACCTCCTGCACCTCCCTCTGCAGGACGACCTGCAACTCCCTCTGCCTCGCCGCCACCGAAAGAGATTTCACCATCACCGACCACCAAGGCAGGAGAGTAAGCGCCGAGGTTGATATTAAGGGGTGCACCTTGGGTCAGCCACGCAAGTGCGCCCAGGTAGAGAAGGATGCTGCGAGTGTACATCTTGTTGGGTTTAGTCGATAGGAAGGGGGTATATGTAGGTTTATTATAAATGTAGGAAGACGATAATGAGAGGTTCCAGACCAGCTTTGAGAAGAGAAGAGAATGACAGGATAGAGTTGAGGTTGAGGGTGAGTTCGAGGTGGAATGCAGCAACTTGGGACGAGGGAGCACTGGGGATCTTATCAAGGACCCATCTGTTGAAACATCGCGGGCGAGGTCGAGGACGTGGTGCCTCAAGTGGGCTCGGCCGTGCTCCCACGGCGGTCCGGTACCCAAATTGAGGTCCGTGAAGACAGTCCGGTGAATCAGTCAGTGTTTGACACCCTTACGAAGAAAAGTCTTGGACAGAGGCGAGAAACAGGAACGCCTGGGCTCCGAGACCAGATGGTGCCGAAAAGTCCTGGGAGAGGACTCTGCTCAGACAGCTTGGCGGACCTTGGCAGCAGTCAACTTGGCGATCCAGCGCCACGGGTGTCTGACCGGCCTCAGGGCAGCCTTGACAGACCTAGAGCCATATTAAGCACTGATATATGGACTTGCTACCAAACCCAGCCGAGTCATACCTTGTAATAGTGGTAGTGGTCACGCCAAGGGCCGTTTTGCAAGTCTTGATGCTGACTCAAGTTCAGACACAGAAGTCGCCTCACGACCACGGTCAAAGCAGACCTCGGGACCGCACTACGCCCTGAAGTCCCGGGCCTGCAGAGCGCCCGTCTCCTTCCAGGCGCCCGCTGGCAATACTGAGGCATGCTTAGTGCTCTGCAAAACAGACTAGACACATGTTAGCATCCATTCTGATCTCTTCCCGTCAGCTAGGGCAAAGCAAGCTGATCGGCCCGGAGTCTGGATCTTGAAAGATCAGCTTCGTCTGAACAACTGGGCCCAAAAATATCTTAGAGCAGGCCAAGAGCCCTCATGTTTGGGCTAGCTTGCAGGGATCAGCAAACCTGCGAACCTGGCGCGTTCTGAGACACGACTGTCGGGCATCCACCCTCAGAAATCCCCAAGCCCACAGTTTTTGCTCAAGCACGGCCAAGCTTTCGCATAAAGCTAGGCTGCACCTCTGGAGGATGACCAAGTGTTTCGCCCGTGCTTTTGTCACTTGCAGAGTCGTACGGAAGATCTCGCCAAGTCTTGGAGTTGCTTCTGGCCCTGTGGAGCATTAACAAGCCTCGCTCGCTCACGTCCCAGCCCTCAGACGGTGGCAAATCAGGTCGACTCAGGCTGCAGTCTTAGCCCACAGCATTGCTACATACTTAAGTACGTAGTCAACGTCTCTAGAACAACTGTATTCATTCGTCGTGGTGAATTAGCTGTTGCTTGTTTTATACCAGCTGACCCTTCTCGTTGGCTCGTCACAAAGCCTAAATTTAGTGCGCTCGGGAGTACCCTAGGGTACCCAAGTAGCAGCAAGGATGTGGGAGACACCACCTCACCCTGTGATGTACTTTTAGGTATTAGGGAGCCAAGCCCTGGTGGTGTGGCCAGAACGCGGGGAAACTTGGTCAAGAAGACTTCTATTAATTGATGTCTCATGGAAGGCAATGGCTTCATTTGTTCCAGCCTAGAGGCACAAGCGTAGTTCCCTAAGCTTGTGGAAGGGGCTGGACCACGACGCATTGTTGCAAAATCTTCTTGGAAGTCATGAGCCAGACTGCAAGGACCATTCCATGGTTGGGTATGAATGATCGATTTTCGGTCCCGTTGGCAACGAGTTGCCGTGAAGATTCTCCCGCGTGAATAGGCATTCACTCCTTTTACTCCATTGTGATGGTGGTAATCACAGATTAGTACCTCAAGCTGATTCCAAGCAGCCTTGGGAACGGTCTGGCCACTCGTGGGGTTGAGGGACTCACAAAATGAACAGATTGGACTAGGTTAATCACGCATTCATACTGCCCTGTGTGAGACTCTGCTATCTCTTTGGCCTCGGTGTAGGCATTCTGGATCCAGATGCCACAGCTGGACAAGTGAAGTTTCTTGATTTATGGGGGCTGGATTGGAAACCCCTAGTGAATTTTCAAATGGCCAAATGGTCAAAGACTAGGATGGGCAAAATAATGCATTAGCAATATGAATATGAAAAGCAGTCAATATACTCCTCTATTCTAAAGAGGTTATAAGTTGAGGATGTGGAATATGAGCTCATGGGTGCTTCTTCACTCACAGACAAAAGAAGAAACAGATAGCAAATGGGAGTTGTTCTCAAAGTTCATCCCTGTGGCTGAAAGTGCAAGAATGTCTAAGAAGGCACATATCAGCAAGAAAAGACATGGTCTTAGGAGTGTCATCAACTTCAATGCACACCACTCTCCGGGCCTATGTCTGCATTTTACTCCCATATCCCTGGTCCAAACCACATGCTTGTACATACCTAGGTAGTTACAAAAGTTTGCACGTGGCAAATGACACTAGTAGTCCTGGCCCGAAGCAAATACACCTCCACTGCTCCACTGGTATGAAGATGGACATTGTAGCTGTAGGTACTTGGGTACATATGTAACTTGATGTGATCTGTTGTTCTGGTATTCTTACCTATATTTGCCCTATTCAATAGTGGCTCTTTAAGCCTTGGGTCTCAAGCGTTTACCACCGTATGAAAGCGCCATGTATGCCCTCAGATGTATACGGAATAGAAGCGAAACCAGTAAATGGACAGTTGATGGCTTGAGGGAAGCCCTGAGCATGCGACGTAAGAAATGCCGGTGTCAGAGATCTAGACGGGACCCAATGTGGAAGTCTGATAATCACCCTGGGAGCTTTTGTAGCATGTCTTTCAGTGTAATTACCTAGGTATGCACTGGACTTGCCCGCAGTTTATGAGCTATGTGTGTAGGTTCAACAAATTGCTATAATTTTCACTTGGACCTGACCCACTTCACCTTTGATGCCACCTCGCATCTGAGTGTGAAGTAATTACTAAACAGGCAGGGCACAGCTTCGAAGCTGTTGTCAAAAAAAGCCAACAACCTTGGAACTAGCAACTCACGCATTACGCACATACACAAACACGCACAACATTGAATGTATCCTCACCAGACAGGGTTTACAACTAATTACCAACATCTTTCACAGAGACCTTCCCCTCTACAGAAAGTGAGTATCTGCATTTGGTTTTCATGTGACCTGAAGACCAAGCCCGACCGTAGGCTGCGTCATTCACCCACTCGTTCAAATTTCAGCTTGACCCAGATCCAGATGTCTGCCAATGGAGATGACAAAGATCAGGCTGCCCCAAGCGGCGGAAGCACTGCGCACGACAGCCATGGCAGCCCCGTGGAGGCCTACCTCTAAGACAATTCAGTATGTCACCATGTAACTTCCAAATTTCTCTTGCATACCTAGTCAAACGTTTCCTACCCTTTACTTGTAACTAGCATCCAACAGACAGCAGTTGGCTAACAATTTCTCAGTCACTTCAAGAAGACATGGAGGCTTTGTCCTTGACCTCCACACCCACCCCGGAGCAAAACTCCGGTAGTACTGATTCTGCGGCGGACGCAGTGATCCCTCCCATTCAGTGTGACGCGCCCGACGAGAAGGACGACAAGACCATGGATCAGCTCTATGAAGACCTTGTGCCATACTATAAGGAGAGGGGCTGGGCCTATGACGAAGAGGCAAGGACGTTCCTGCCACATGCCTACCATTCCAAGGTTGTCAGGCAGATTACAATGGAGAAAACTACCTCCGCAACAAGCGAATTCAGGAAGGAGGCTTCGGCCACAATACTTACGACGAGGACTTTGTAGTCCACACCTGCCCCGCTTCTGCCCTCCCTGGCCTCGAAGAGGAGAGACCGAAGCTCTTGGGAGAGGCGAGGGTAGGGCTGACTGAGGCTCAGCAAGCACCTAATGGCCCGGACAAGAATCAGAAGATCCGTGGTGTCGAACAAGAGATCCGCGGCCTACAGAACCAGCTGGCACAATATATTCCGCCAGTCTGTCGTAGCGAGCTCGAGGACATCGAGAATCCTCGCCAATGCGAGTTGCCCAATGATGTCACGGGGAACAACTCGCGCAAAGACACCATGTTCAAGTTTAAGCCGATTCTTGATCACGTGTCGAAGTGTGGTGCCTTGGGCGAGGAGGAGGTCGTTGTCGGCCCAGACTCGAGGAAAGTCAAGCAAAATCGCACGTGGGCAGAAGGAGACATCTGGCGGCCGCTCTCTGATAGTAAGGACTGGGTGGATTCGGATGACGATGAGCAGTGCACCTCGACGTTCCGCAGCTTCATCCCCCGTCACTCGCGCCCGCCTGCAATCGGATTTGACTATCTTGGGTATGATCAAGTCCACACGCGCGCCCGTGACGGCGTTTGGTACACGGCCGACGATGTGCCAAGATCAAGCCTGGGAAAATCATATCGATGCTCCGATTGCATTTGAGTCGGAGAATGGCAAGAAGTATGTCGTAGAGAAGCGAATCTCAGAGAAGAACCCGGCTCTCAAGCTAAGGATGAAGGTCCCGAAGCCACTGTATATCTGGCACATACAGAACAGGGCAGAAAATACCGGCAAGGCCTCATTCCAAGGGCGTGGCAGTCGAGGAGGTTGCGGAGCTCGTCTTGGAAGAGCCGGACGTGGAGAACCCAGTGCTGGATGTTCTAGCCATGACGCCTCGTGGGCTTAGACCGGACACTTTTCTTGGCAACAGTGTGTTGGTATTGAAGAAAGGGGTTGAGGCTTCGGCCACAGTGAAGGAAGGGATTCAGGCTTCGGCCACATTGTATTAGCAGCTGTACAGATGCCTGCCCTCGAGGCTCGAGCCTGTGCTCGTGGTCTCGGCACATCGCTAAGATGGGAAGGGGTTAGGCTTCGGCCACTTAATTATATTAATAAGCGAAATCGTATGAAAGTTTCAGTGTTTCGGGGTTCACATCTTTCTATCACGAGAAATAACAATAGAAACACAATGCAAATGTCACCGTATAAAGGCGCTATGTATGTCCTCGGACGTATACTAACACGAATCTAGAGACTGTGTGCACAAAGGACCGCTCGACTAAAAGACTAGAATTTTAAGTCTATAACTTAAATCCCACATAGTATATAAGGCCTAATAGTATCATACTATTATATTACCCCCTTTAAGGCTCTTTTAAAGCTTTAAATACTTTCAAAGTATATTATACTTTATAAATAACTTAAAGATTAAATAGAATAATTATAAAATAAGTAGGTTATTTTTTTTTAACTATTTATTAAATAAAAAAATTTTATACTTTAACATTATTTAAAATCTTTTAAAAGCTTTTTATTTTAAATAACTTTTTAATAATAAAAGTTAAACTTTTATTATATAATTTAAAATTAATATAAATTTAAAAACTATATATATAAAAATTATTTAATTAAAAGATTAAAATTTTAAGTTAATAACTTAAATTTTATATAATATATAAAGTTTAATAATATTATATTATTATATATAAAATAAAAATAAAATTATATAAGTTTAATATTAATTTATAAATTATAAATTAATAAAAAAATATAATTTTTAAAATAAATATTAATTTTAATATAAATTTATAAATTTTAATTATAAGTGAAGTAGAAATTTAAATAGAATGAAAGGGAAGTATGAGAATATAAATTAAAAATTTATAGAAAAATATCTTTGTTAACTATATGATCTCTAAATAAAATGCATGAGTAAGTTGCGGCCCTGCTAGCTCAATGGTCAGAGCGTCCGACTTTTAGCGCAACAGCGGCAAATCGGAAGGCTGTGGGTTCGAGTCCCACGTGGGGCGTTTATTTTTCTTTTTACTTAATCTTATAATAATAGAAAATACTAGAATAAATAATAATAAAAAGTAAAAGAAATAACTTCCTTTTAAGATCTTAGATATAAATATTATAATTAATATTTAATAGTTATAAATTTTTAAAAATATTAATAAAGAATATATTTAATTTTAAATTAATTTTAAATTAAAAAAACTCTCTTTATTGTGTAGGGCCCTAAAAATCTTGACTTAAGTCCTAAGCGTGGTGATTTATCGATAAGAGCTTGATCCGATCACAACCGACAGCATCACCAGCTTCTTTGTACCTGACAGCGCCTTGATCCTTGGGGTCTCTAATTGACACAGACAGAGAGGCCATCCTAAATGCCTGCAAGTGTGAAGCAATTCTTCTCACTGGCGATCCATCCAATGGATTGTGTGCACCACCATGTTTGCTTCTCGCTCACGGAGAGCCGCACATCTCGTCAGCTGACGTTGGACCAACGGCCCTTTAGACACGTCGTGAATCATTCGAGGCCACAGCTGCTTCTGATCGAATTCAATAACACTAACACACTCTCCCAGGGCTTCTTCGGTTGTCACTTCTCGGTTTCTTGATAACTGTCTTTTGTAATTTTCTTGCAGTCAAATTCGAGTATCTGCATCTGGCCAAGCAGTCCCGGCCCTCACGCCTGTTCGGCTAGAGAGAGCTGTATCTTTCTTTGCCTGGGCCTTGATGTTGTGGGCAATATCTGATTTGCAAGACCTCGATAGATCTGGTTCCATAAAGACTGCGCCACCTGATTCAAGATAGCAAAGAGAGGATGTGGTGTGGAAAACAGAATGATATAAGGCGACTGATTTGCAATAATATTATTCATGACGTCCCTGGCCCACAAGTCTTCACACAGTGTCTTGGGAAGCCCGAGGGTAGAAAATTCTTTACTTGAAGCAATTCTCTATATTGCTAACAGCCACCTGAAGGGCACGATAGTTACCCCTGTGGCAGCAACGCGTTCAAGACCAGCAAAATTTATTTCTGTTTGGTGATTGACAGAACAACACCAAAGATACAACATATTGCTGAGCTGGCGACTTCAGGCTACGAGATAGGCCTGAAGGTCAAGTACTGCTGCGAGTTGGTAATGTAGGGGATATTTAACATATCGCTTGACCTCTAGAGCTGCCACTAGGCTTGCTTGTCGGCACTCACTACCAGATCTCATGGCCGTGTCCTTGATCTTCCTCATGACTTCTGTAGTAGGATCAAAGCCTAAGATCCAGCGTTTGATCCTGTCCAGGTGGTGATGTGGATGAAAAGTAGGCCAGGCGCTAATTTGTTACCTCATGAGCGATTATGTAACCTAGACATGTCGATAACTGGTAGAGGTGATTAGTACCCAACTGGGCGGTGCTGCAGTTACCTGATGAATTGCGTTTTGGCTGTTCCCAGAGTTGCTAACAAGAAGCGCTCGCAGTCTACAACAAATTTCCGTGACAATCTTTATCGTTCCAGCCCAAAGGGCGAATATCAGATGTCATGCGTCCTGCAGCATGAAACCGCTACATGAAATTATGTTGCAGTTAGGGTTTTTTAAGCGTTCAAATGTTCCATAAGAGCACCTCCCATAGAATGACCTCACGCAGGATCTCCCACAGGATGATCATATTGGACAGCCTTCCATAGGAGAGGCTTCCAAGCATAATCCCCAAAAGGGTGTCCTCCCAGCCTCCCATGGGATGACCTCCTATGGTATGGACTTTATACGTCGCAACACCTGTCTTCTTTTTCCCCATCTTGAGATGAACCTCATCTATCTTTCATAGCTACCTCATTTCACAAGACGTTCCAGACATTCAATCATCAAGAAAGTACCTGTATCATACACAAGTTCTTGCACTGGCACCTCAGCTGATTTATGTTCCGCCCGATGTCAGCGATCTCTGTCTTTGCTACCGCAGAGTGCCGTGCTCACCCGTCCCAGCTGGCGATTGAGGACCTATTACTTGCCTTGACCACATGTGCAGTCATTGGCTTGCCCTGGCATACGCAACCGCAGTTACAGCAGTCAGGTGCCGCGGTCTATCAACGCCTTGCACAGCATTCACGCAGTTGCGCTCTCCCGAGGTCATTGCCAATATTTGCACCTCTGACCCAGGGAACTAACGAGTTTGCATCCTAGTAGGACCTCCAAGAGGGGAGGCATAATAATAATGGACTTTGAGAGACATATCCATGTGCATGTGTCAGCTGTAAGTGTGTGCGCGTGGGTGACTGGGGCCCCAACTGGCTGCCTGTTTATTAGTCATTCGGTGTGGCTACTCCCCTAGGCCCTTGCCGTAGTGGGTAATTAAGTAGAAGCCGAAGCCCACGGGTAGTACACTAGGTACGCAGGTTGCGTACACAGGTAATCAAGCCTGATTCGTAATCAAGCCTGATTCGTAATCAAGCTTGGCGCAAATCAAGCATTCAAATGCCCATCCACATTGGCATTGACCCCACCGACTGCGAATACTAGGACGAGTAAACAAGTGACCAGAGACATATTGATGAAGGTTTTCAACATGGCCAGCAATGCGGAATCGACAAAGCCGCGCACGTTCAATCCTGAAGGGGTGTGGCTGCCACCACCAACATACAACCAAGTCGCTATTACCCCCCTCCTCCCGTCATCCCGTCTCATTACGCTCGCTGGCATGACAGGGTGCGACCCCGCAAGAACAGACAACCCACGCACAGTCCAGGAACAAGCCCCTATTGCGTACGAGAACATCCGCAAGGCACTTGCCGCTGCGGGTGCCAGCCCGCGTGACATTGTTCAAGTAAGACGGCCCTTTTTCGTCGCCGTCTTGTGCCTCTTTCTTTCCATTTGGAGTCGCTGACAAAGTGGGATCGACCAGGTCAAGCACTACATTGTGAAGGAGACAGGCAATGCAGAAGTCGATCGTCTAGACGTTGTCGACCGGGGGTGGGGCGAATTGTGGACGGAGTTCATGGACAAGACGGCCGACGGTCATCGCCCTCCTGACACTGTCGTCGGGGTCGCAGGTCTGGCCAAAGCAGACATCCTGTATGAATGTGAAGTATGGGCTGTCGTCAGCTAGAGAGCGGTCATTTATAGCAGCACGAAGTTGCTTTGTGTGCATATGGTCCTGTGCGAGAGTATCAGGTGCTTTTCATCAGGCCCCGGGGAGGGATATGGATGACGTGTGTCTATTAAAAGCACAATTGGGAGACACCTACTTGAATCTCCATGATGCAGACTTCATGGGCATTTGATAGTAGCTGAGCAACGCTCAATTTCTAGGGAATTCCAATGGGGATTCGGTGAAAGTCGCTTTAAGATGATGCACTACTACAACGGAGCGGCGGCCTAGAAGAGTCCATGCTATGAAAACATGTCCCAGAAGGATCAATCGATTCTTCATGGGAGCATGTCATATAACGCAGTGCCTTATAACGGGATGTCCTAGACGGAGAGGTCTATTAGAGGGGTTTCTCTGTGAAAACAGACAGACCATAAGAGGGCATATCTACGGGAAGGTGCATCATGCAATATACTGTCAGGGATCACCGACACAGCCCCGCTAGAACACCTAGGCACCTAAATAGCTTCAGTGTAGCAGCTCATGCGCATCTTCCACTTAGAACCCTTGGTCTAGCCCTTGGTCTACCTCTGGGTCAACACTTTGAGAAGAGTAAAAGAATACATAAGGAGGTAAAAGAACCTACTAGTATAGCATAGCGAAAGGATAACGGTAATGATTAGTAGCTCTTAACGCACCCGAATACACTGCTACTACTCTACTCTTACGTTGACTAGGTATGTGTACTTATTCACTCCGAACCTACTTACGACTCTTGTCTCTGATAGATATATGCACTGGAGCATACCGTGACCTGGGTATCCCGCCAACCTTTAGTGCACGAAAGGGTGCTGAGCAGTCAATAGTTTGTGTGGCCCGAATATTACTTTCGCCCTGCAGCTACCTCGGGATCGTCGTGCGCGGCCACTCAAGCAAGTTTGTCACAATAGATTCTTGGCTTCCAAATGGCTCACATGCTGCAGTTCCGGAGATTCTCAACGGATCCTAAGACTACAATCCCTCAAAACACATTCATCCTCAATTATCCATGAAAAGGTCTACAGGTGTCACCGGCGAGACTTCAAATGTTCACATGATTGGAGTTTATGCCGTACTAGAACGCCGGTCTTGATCGTATCAATATGCTGCTGTCTCCACAACTATATACCGCTTTGTACAGTTCAATCAATCAATATTTCCATGGACACGCCAGCGAGCCTCTCATCTCTTCTCTTGCATATTGCTTTGTTCCGACCTGTCTTTCTTGCCGTCTTCAGTCCTGAACCACAGCGACCACCCTGACTTCCTGCTGTCCTCCTCCGAAGAGCCCCTCTTGGATTTGAATAGGTCCAGGGGTGGCTGCAGTAGGAAGGCAAACGAGAAGCGGCTTTCCCTTGGTGAGTCGCCACCGCATGTTGTACATGACGACACGGATGACACACTGCCCCGGTCTGCTTGTGAGTGGCCGCCATGCTTTGTACATGGCCGCGGGTCGGTGGAGTTGTGCAATCGCAGCTTGTTCTGTAGCTTCTGCACCGGGCAGTTGACGGAAGCCGCAGGCTCGGCCTGCTGCGCCAAGGGCTCGCGCGACCCGTTGGCCTGGAGAACCGGCGACGGCGGTACTACGCTGGTTGAGTCGGTGGTCTGTGATATTATCGATTGGGCCTCGGCTACTGGTGACAGCGTGCTTCCGACAAAGAAGCCGTCGGCGTCTCGGTCCAGCGTCTGCCTGGTTGTCCCACCACGGCCCACCAGGCCTTTCAAGGGCTTTTGAATAACCGGCAGCGATCTGTCGAGGACGGCAGGGGAGGCTGATGTGTCGTCATCATCGTAGTCCCATGCAGACGGTGATCGAGCGCTGCTCAGTCTGTCTGCGGACGGCCCTGCAGCAGGCATGCGGGCCTCACTCATTTCTGGCTCTGGAGTCGATGTCCGGCTTGGGAGCCTCCTCGCGCGGCCCATCAAATTTCGGGAGCTCTTGAATGGGCTCTTGAACGATCGAAGGTAGCCTCGCCTCCTTAGACGGAAAAGGATCAGGATCAAGGTCCCGATAATTGCTACCGCAGAAACACTGCCAACTAATAATAACGGTCAGACCATCGCTTATGCACATATATTCACTGCTAGACTTACCAGCAATTCCTGCCATCTTTCCAGATGACATGACAGGTCCAGGTGAGGGTTTTGCATCATTGCTGTCGGCTACCGCAGATTGTATCGGAACTGATGCCAGAGACGAAAGGGGAGCCACCTCGGCCACGGGTGAGGCACTAGCGGGTGTTGGTACGACGATGGGTAATGGCACAGGTGGAGGAGTTGTTTGTGGTGAAAGTGAGACCTGAGTTTGGGCCGCCAGAGGTGGAAGTGAGGGACTTGGTGAAGAGGAAGCAGCAGCCGGTTGTTGTTGTTGCTGTGTCGTGCTGGTTGGTGACGATGTAGGCAGACTCGAGGTCGAAGAGGCCGAAGAGGTCGAAGAGGTCGAAGAGGCCGAAGTCAGTGTCGAAGACGTCTCAGATGGCGGTGTTTGTTCTGGAGGAGGTGGCGGCGGCGGCGGCAGTGGTGGTGGTGGCTGGGCAGCGAGAGGCGGTGTTTCTGGCGAGGCAACGGGAGGTGGTGGTTGTTCCGTCGGCTGGGCTTCGGGGGTGGAGGTCGAAGTCTGCTCCTGGGTTGTAGTGGAGGTGGACTCCTCCGACTTCGACTGGTTGTTGTTGCCGTTATTATTATTATTGTTATTATTGTTGTTGTCCGGAAACTGCTGGTTCTGTGTCTGTCCCTGCCCCCTATTGCCACCCTGGTTCTGCTGGCCTTGACCCCGATTGCCATCTTTGTTCTGACCCTGGTTGTTGTTGTTGTTATTGTTGTTGTTGTTGTTGTTCTGGCCTTGATTCTTGTTGTTCTGGCCTTGGTTGTTGTTGTTATTGTTGTTGTTGTTCTGTCCCTGGTTGTTCTGACCTTGGCCCTGGCCTCGATTCTGACCTCCGTTCTGTCCTTGGTTCTGTTGGCCTTGGCCTCGATCGCCTTGGTTCTGGCCCCCGTTCTGGTTATTCTGGCCCTGCCCCTGCCCTTGATTCCTATCACCGCCTTGTTGACCTCCCGGAGGACCTCCGTTCGGCGGACCGTTGACCTGATCTCTCTGCCGATCGGGATCGGGACCCTGGCCCGGGCCACCCTGAGAAGATGGCGGGCGACCTTGACCTCGCCCCTGTCCGCCGCCTCCGCCGGGGCCTTGTCCTCCACGACCATCATTATTGGAATCTGGTCCCCCTCGTCCGCCGCCCTGTGGTGGGCCATCTGGAGGGCCTGGTCGACCCTGGCCATTGGGTCTCGACTGGCCTCTGTTTTCACCTCCACCTTGGCCTCGCTGGCCATCACCACCGTTTTGTTGACCATTACCTCCACCCCCATTGCCATTTTTTCCATCGCCTCCTCCACCTCTGCCACCGCCGTCACCACCGCCGTCACCACCGCCTTCACCACCGCCTTTGTTCTTGCCTTCTTGTCGACGTTGGGAGGGCATGAAACTGCCCTTGGGCCGTCGAAGGACTCCCATACTCCAGGTCGACATGAGTAGCGACCGCTATGATGAGCACAGGATGGAATATAACGGCAGGTGCTGGATAATTCTCGGTTCCGTGATTAATCCCGTCACCACAATCGAAGCATCGTGTCCGGTGATGCGAGCACTCGGGAGCTTAGGAGAGAGACGGGTCCCGGGAAACACGCCTTGCTGGGGACCGACCACATTAAGGGCTTGTCTAGCGGGGGGAAGAAACATATGAAAACCCAGGCCGGCCCGGCCTCAGAAGTCTCATCTGTGCTTCCTGTCGACGACCCTGGCGGTGAAACATCCTCTGGGGGGCGCGGGGGCGCGGGGGCTTTGGCGATGGCACACTTGGGCTGATGTGCTCGCTTCTCCTGACCCCCGTCTGTGTCCTGTCCGCCAGGCACTGCCATGCAACCATTAGACTCCCGTCAACTGACATGGTGTTCGGCCTCTTTAGAACCCAATCTGCTCACGGCAGATCTGCCGCATTGGGATTGTTCGCAAAGCCGCCTCAGGAGGGAGGATGAGGTGATTGGAGCTGCTGGGTGGTGTCCTGCAGGTGGCACAGCTCTGTTTCGACTCTCAAACGCCAGGCGCTGTTTGCAGGCATGGGTCTGCTAGGCATGCCGACTTTGTATGGGGTAAGCTTTGGCCTAGAGCATCGGGCCAAACGTGGAATTTTCAGTCCAAACGAAACCAAGCACTAGCCATGGGCACGGATGTGTAGCGTCCGAGCAGCTGTGGCAGCGTGCCAGCGTGCACAGCCGGGGGGGGCTCCAATCTTGGGGAGCACTCCATACTACCTAGGTAGGCAGTCTATCTGCCGCCGCCAGGTGGGTGATGTGATGGGGCGCGACTTCAGATGAGAAGAGCCGTGCTCAACCAAAGGCAACCAAGGCAACTTAGAGCTCGGTTGATCTCGAACTGCTGGCCTAAACGGGCCAAGGCTTAAACTTGCCTCTTATCCTTCAGCATTGATCATTTGATGTTCGCGACTCTATCCAATCTTGCTGGCGTGCGATGTGTTCGATGTCGGGAGATCTTCCATGCTTATTCTCGAATAAGTAACATTCAAGGTGCTCCACCCAACGGACGCTAAATCATAGCCCATGCACTAAGCGCCGTTGCATTCCGACGCGTCGCTGTCAGACACCCGCCACCCTTTACCCATCACATGCATCCACAGCACTCAACATGAAGGGGAATCGCTTCTACACGGGTGCCGGAGCAATCAACTCAATCAACTCCAACGTCTACTCAGAATCAGCCGCAGCATTATTAGACAGCGTGCCACGTCTTTGCTTTGCTAAACATATTTTCGGCAGATAATGGCAACTGGAAATGTGGTTCTATGTCCTCGGCCATGCGCTGGCAGTCCCGGCTGCCGAGGGTGGGCTTGTGTCACAATTTCAGCTCAAAACATCAGGGTTTATTTAAGCTCAGAGTGCCCCTGTTCGGGAAATTTCCCTCTGCCGTTGGTGCATTCGGTACCACTGCAGTTAGCAGACGGCACAGAAACATCAAGGTCTGCTGCAAATCCAAAGGTTGTACACGTCATATCATTGATGCCTACACCTTAGCTGGCAAAGGTACTGATGACAAGAGGAATCAAACAGAGCCAAAGTTACGTGAGAGTGGAATTGAGGCACCCAAATGCACAGAATTGTATCTTGTGTGAGGGTTTTGAAGTCTCTAGAGCATTGAGCACAGCCTCAAAATTTCAAGTCCGTGCTGCAAATGCAGAGGGGAAGGGATCACACTCATTCTGAATCCGGCATGGATCAGACCTTAAGTGGGATCTATTATAATCACCACGACGGTGTATGCCTTGATGTGCATTATTGATACCTTCTCTCTAAGCGTTTGTAACTGTATAAAGTGACCGTGTACGTCTTTAGATATACAGAGTTGATAAACAATAAAAACACCTATGTACGCTTGCAAGTTTGAATACGGATATTCGGCCCCTAAAAACGAATATTTTAAAATTTATTGCTTGCTCTTCACGTACTCAACCTGTTCCATTTCGGACACTCACGTCGAATGTTATTCAGTTATACCAGGCTGCCCTATATAGAACCTTGTTCCCCCCATCGCTGTGATTGCCTATGCGCTAACCCAGCAGGTCCGCGTACTTCATGATAAGTGGCTGCTGGTCGCGCATGGCCTGGGCTTTGAAGCCGTGAGCCAAAACCTTCCTGTACCGCGTGTGGGCTTGGACCCGATGATGGTGTCTCGGAGTGTCTCGAATGTTCATGTCGTGCTTTTCGTTCACTCCGACTCCCGGCTTGCGGTACCCGGATATCTGGGAAAAGGATTGCGGGTGGCTGTAGTTGAGCTAATTTGGCCCGGGCCTGACTACCGGGCCGTATTTCTTGCGAATCTACACCGGTAGCGTCTGCTTGTGGGATTCGCCTAGTATCATCATGAGTGTGCATGGGATCTCGGTAATGGCCCATGGTATGGGTCCAGGGTATGAGCTCAGCGGGTGGAAACAAGGTCGTAGAAAGAAGTCCAGATGATGCATATGGTAACCCATTTTTGTCCCACTTCTTGAGTATCTCGGGCAATGGCCACCACTCTAGAAGGCTCTAATATACAGAAGACTCACCCCAGCGCCGACGACCGCTAGAATGAGCAAGATTGTTAGTGAATTGCCAAAGAAGCTGGATGCGGCTTGGACGTTGGCCTGGAGGCCCTCTAAAATGGGAGACATAGTAAAGGTTCTAGTCACCGAAAGGCCGTTGGATGTGGCCAACCTGCCTCCTCGGTATCCCCCTTAAGGCACATTTGGAATTTTAATTCAAATATTATGATTCCTCATAGAGACTGGAAAGTCACTCGCACTGGAAATGCCGCAGCATTCGATCCAAGGATGTATTGTTCCGCAGCCGGCTTTTCCAAATAATGCTAACATGGTTGCAAATACTTCCCCGCACACCATATACCTCGAACAGAACCTTGCATTCTAACCCTACAGGGCTGGACTAGAGATTATAAGAATTATTGTACTTATCAAGTAAAGTCACTTAAGGAATGTAGGTATTCATAGATAGGAACAATGAATCAGATTATAGTTCGCTAAAGTTTTACTGTCTAGTTTTCAGTGAACAAGGCTGAAAGTTGTTCACAATGTCCGAAAACAGGCACGGTCTCGCCATTCCAGAGAGCCTCTCCGTCGCAGTATGACTCCGAGAGGGGCGTAACTCCCGCGGCTGCGGCAGCCGCGGGTGGAGCACACTCGGCGTCTCGGATCCACTTGTTGATGGTGAATGATGCATTGATTGCTGGGAGTCCGACTTGAAACTTGTTGAAGTAGCGCCGCCCAGTCGCGCCGACCGACTCATCCCACGCACGGGTTGTGTTCATGTCGACGGGCACGTTCTGGTGGAGACCGTTGGGGTGCCAGACAGTTGCTAAAGCTGCATCTCCGGTCCCATCTTCATGGGGCGAGACCACCCAGATGTGCACAAACTCTCCACTGGGCAGATACAGCCAAAATAGGATGAATCCTTTAGGCCCAACGCTGAACAGCCCATATTGCCGCTCAAGGAAGCCGAAAGACTGGCTGCTGTCGATCTCGAGGGCTGTTCCGTTGACTGTAACTGTTCCCTCGACCTGCAAGTGTGGGTTCCCCTAGATGGCGGAAAGTTTAGATGTTAAGTTATTCTGCAAACGGAAAGACAACGGAGTGTGTACGTACCCAGTACCAAGACCAGCCAATGGGGACATTTGTATCGTTTCCTGTGTTACCAGGCAGTGACATCCCACCGCTGCCCCCGAAGTAAATATTCGGGCCAGTCGGGTGTATAATTGTGTTGAGAGCGAATCCAGCATAATCTCCATCCAACTTCATCGTGGTGTAGTTATCGGACCCAACAGGGCTGCTCAGGTTGTGAGTGGCAGACTGCACATTGAGAGACTCGACACTTCCTGAGGCTGGCCCGAAGGCGACGGCACCCTTGGACTCGAGCGTGGTGAGATCGTTTAGGGAAAAAGTTCCCGCGCTAGCAGTGCTGCCCGTGAGAAAAGGGTTCAACGTGGCATGATACTTGCCCCCATCGACCGTGGTCAACCAGAAAGTGAAGAAGTAACTGAGAGAGATTAGCGACCCCAATCCAGCTACCTCCCTGGCTGGGTACTCCGAGTCCGCTTATCGTCGACATTTAGGGTGTTGTAGTGATCATCTGGTCATACCTATTTATGGATCGAGGATCTGGGTCCAAGAGGGCCATAGTCTTTCTGACATCGTAACGCCCGAAAAAGGTCTATTTTGAAATATCAGTGTCTAGCACCGTCGTGCTGTGCCCATGGAGTTCTGAAAAGGAGGTGGAAAACTATGTGGCGTACCCCGTCATTGTCGATTGTGGATGGTGGAAATGTTGGCCGTGCAAACGATGGCAAGTTCAGACCTTGCGCGCAGGCTGTAAGCCCAAACAGCGCGAGAGGGAGGAGCATGACGTGCGGTTCTTTTGGACAAGAGATTCGCAACAATTCGTTGAAGACGTACGACACACGTGGAACTCCTTATATCTCTCATGGCAGAACGGTGTCTCCTCGAAGATTGATATAGTTCCATGTTGCACGCGACATCATGGGGGCCGGACGTTCCGGTAATTAATGTGCTCCGTCGGATGAACAATGTTTCTTGAGATTTGAAGTCTGCCGGCGCCGATCCGGGCCGTAAGGTTCGGGCCCTACCATGACTCCGATCCTGCGATCCCGGGATTTCGCCCAATTACCCAAGTACTCCTCACACCAGTTAACTCCTATCCACTCCTTAAGCGCGCGGCCCCACTCAGTACCTAGGTACATGCCAGGTATAAGACGTCTTAGCACCTAGATTATGTCACGAGCAGAGACAAGGCAATTATCTCCAATACGTCAATCGCAGTTAAGTCTGCGCTATCTTCTATGTAAGGGAAGGTTTGAGGGGATTGCGAAAGGAAGGCTAAGGTCCTAAAGTGGGTGGGCGAATGGGCCAGTTGGGGCCACCCACACACACACACTTACAGTAGGCACTTGCCCTTGTCACATCGCTGAAGCACCCAGTATGATTAACCTTGCCCAATTCCAGTGGGAAGATTGGTAGGGAATCACACCCTCATCATCCTCAGCCCAGAATTTCGGCATCATCGTTCGAGCTATTCTATAAGCGAATTTTGTAAGACGACACTGAGTGAGGACATGCAGACACTCAACCGGGTCGTCTAGGAGCAGCTCGAGCACGAGATTCAGGTGTCGTGTGAGGATGTGTCGCTGTCAGAGTATGAAACTGTTTGACCTTTAGCCATGAAAATGTCGACAATCTTTGAGTACTAGGAAGGTCAGGATGACGCGTTTGTTGATGATAGGCAAGGTGGCAAGACTTTATGCCCCCGTGACCTCGTGTTACTCACGACGAGTTGGCAACGGTGGAGGACTACCTCCGATATTTTGACTAGAAGAAATTTCAGTACTGGCATAGGCATTGAAAATTGTGCTGGAAGTTTTGGCGAAGCCACCTGCAGGCTTGGGACCTTACTCACGGCGGCGACCGCAAGACACCTTGAACCCCTGAAAGCCCTGGAGGTCGACTTCGCCAATCCTATAATTTTGTTGCCCTGTGAGACATAAGATAATAGCTACTCACTCTAAACCATAGTTGCATTATCTATATGCTGATAAATTAGATGGGCGGTTGCATGCCTCTGCTTGACGTTGGTAAAATGGGCACTGGGTTGCGCGGGCCCGTACAAGTGCACGTTAGTGGGAATGGACGGGAAGTGGACGGTGGTAGGAACTCACAGACGGTGAATACAACGTTCCATAACATGCCGAAACATTAGAGGAATGTATTGTCAATAATGAGGCCGTAGTGAGCCGGAAGCACTGCCAAAACTTCGCCACAACTGCATTATGTGACACCCCAGGTGCCGGAGAGCGAGCGGCAGTGGCGGGACTCGGAATCGGGACCACCGTTGTGACCTCGGGAGCATTAGATGACTACTCAAGTACCTAAAGTCGATGTCCAAAATAGAAAAGAGCGCTACAACAATGGTACGCCAGATTAGCGGTCAGTAACCATCGGTCCCGTGTGACTCGACTCGTTCTCGAAGGGACCATCTCGTTTAACAATGGAAGAGGCGCGAGGTGCGATTCGACAACACGAGTCAAAATTCTAAGACACGAACGCTGTCGGCAGCTACGAGACCGAAAGGATGGGAAGCGGGATGCCGCAAGTGACGTTGGATATTCGGAAGGACCAGGGAATACGAGGCCTTGGCATCAGCGATCACCGCCGACGTCACCCTGCTGGCCACTCAGGGCTGGAGGGCTCAGCTCCTAGGCATGCGGGCACCTACAGTTGCCCATTTACGAGGTCAAACAGCTCACTTCTAATTCGTATATAAAGTAGTCGCGATGGGCTACGGAGAGGGACACCAACATATTTAAGCGCAGCTTCATGTCAATCATCGGTCACTTCGTGCATGTTGGCGCATGATTCCATCAACTCTGAACTTTCTCTCGCAGTATTAAAAAGTTGCCGCCGCACACCCTAACAAGTACCTAGGTACGTGATATTATCATCTGCAACGACCGCCAAGATACATTCTTGTAAACGCACACGGGATGCATCGAATTATCTCCGCCTTCGTGGCCTATGCCGCATATGTCTCTTGCACACCCCTCGGAAAGACCACCCCGGATCCAGCTGGCTGTTCAGAGACCTCATTCAAGGACTTCAAATGGACAATACAAGACTTCGACTACCACGCTTCCTATATCTTCACTACTCCTTCCCATCAGAATTCCTGGGGCTATGCGAATTTCCAACTCTCGAACCCAGCAGTGCCGGATTTCGTGGCTTCATGCAACGCAGCAAGCAGCCAGCTTTCAGACTTTTTCTACGGGACCTTGCAATACAACTGCACATACGATGGACAGGTTGGCGAGCCAGGGCCAGCACCGGCAAAATTCACATTCAGCCGGCCGTCCAATGAGCTGGTCATCGACCAAAAGTGGGTTTGCCGCGACCAAGACCCCAAGTACCCGTAAGTGTCTCCGTTGCGTTGTTGCCTCCGCAGGACATCAGGATATGAAGGCTGACATGCAATCGATACAGTATTACTTTCACAGCCCATGGACAAGTCAATTTGACACTGGAGTGCACTGACACTACCTGGCAAAACACAAACTGGACCCTGGGCCAGTTCTATTCAACGAGGAACGTGAATTGTGCACCGGTGACGGTTGATCTGAAGCCATCTCAGATTTCGGCGGTTGCGTAGGCCGGTGTCAGAAAACAATACCGGGTGGATGACTTCGTAGCACCACTGAAGGAACAGTTCAAGTTTTGAGAGAGTGCAGGATTAGGACGGGGAAACTAACGCAGGTGGTAATGAACAAGCTAATTAGGCCATCACAATTAATGTTTAAACCCTCAGCTCATACGAGTGAAGCTTTCGAGTACAAGTGAATTTAATTGCTATATTTCGAGGCCATTAAAGAATCATACTAGACTAAATAGAAGCCCCTTCTGCTCCTTGTTCGGGTTTATATGGCTAGTATTTCCCCAACATCGTCCTTGGATGTGTTCACTCCCTGGACTATTGGCAATATGTCCATCATGCTTGGTGGAGGGCCGGGCGTCTGACCTGGGACACATGACTCTAGAGCGTCACGAGTCAGCGCCAATAGTTGGCCGTCCCCTTTGCTAGCGTCACTTCGGGAGGCGTTTGTCCCACAAGCGAACTGGAACTGAGACCATACATCAATCAAAAGACCGCTGCAATCTGGGCCAGTCTCCCCGAAATGCAAGCGTCCGGATGTTCCGTCCTATTTTGGGCTACCTCATGATAGCCAAGTCCCAAACGGGTGGTATTTTGAACCCAGCCATGTCTAAGACGACATACCCTGGAAGTGCGCGGCTGACTCCGGCTTGTCAATATTCAAGCAACGACAACCGTGTTCCGGTGAGCTACCTTCGGACTTAAGACGCCACGCCGCCTGACAGCTGGGTGGCACCCTGTTTTATTCTTCGATTCTACGGTCCCAGGTGATCTATAGAACACACCTGTCTGTGAAAATGTACTGAGTATATATATACGTGGGGGTCGCGCGCCTCTCTCCCTCTATGGGATGCTCGCCTTCTGTTTTCGATGCAAGCCAGATCGACCTCGGGACCCTCAGACAATCGCTTACAACACTGAAAATTCTGCCACATAATGGGGCCCATCTTTCTTTGTATTGCCACTCTAGTTGGTACAGCACTTACCGGGCCTTTGTACTCTGAAGTCGACGTTCATGCCCATCTCGCTCAGGGCTCAGTCAGCATCAATGGAGGACAAGAGAGCACTCGCGGTTTCTCCCATAGGGGTGGCCCTCATGGACCAAACTCGGAAGATGACACATCCAGATACTCGTTTGTTGTCCAAATCGATGCTTAGATTACCTATTCCAAAGAGTTGGTAGTATAGTGAGTGAATAATTTAACCCTTTCGCCTCTTGTAAACTCTCTCATACAAGCACTGAATACGCTGCCAGGGAGGAAAATATTGTATGCATGCAGCAATTTAGCAATTCAGCGCTCGATTGGACAATATGCCTCGCACAAATACTCACCGGGGATGAGTTGTCCGCCTGGTGGGCATTTATAGTAGTATATCAACCGTCATGGATTCTGCATATGGCCGGCACCTCGTGCTGTGCTCCCAGCCTGAGTACCCTGGCGGCTTCGAATTTATAACATCACCCTTGGTCCATAAGTCTATATCATGCTGCGGTGCGATTTGCTATCGTTATGTGGTTTCGCTTCTATTCCGTATACGTCCGAGGACATACATGGCGCCTTCATGCGGTGGTAAGCACTCAAGACCTTGCTATCGTTATACACTGTTTTTCGAGCAACATACCAATGTATCCTCATCACGCCAGATGCATGCGGGAGCCCTTGTTATGCGCATAGAATTCTTAAGTCATCCGCTATTGAACCACTACCTGGCTTTTCATGATGTCCGAGACGGTTTTTCATGGCTAGAAACATGCATGATGGTGTTCTGGTTCCAATTCAGATGCTTCTCCGTTGATGAAAATATCCTGGAATACTCTCCGTCTCGTGGCCTTTTTGCCTGATCTTTTGGGTTCAAATCCAGCCCCCAAAGAAGCTTCAAGAAAATAGTGAGGCCGCACTCTCACGATCTGTAGGCCCACAGATGCACAATTTATTAGGAAACAGTGCCCATCCGTAATTTATCAGGTACCCAAATTCCACTCACTGCGCAGGCGGACAGGCGAATAACAGGCAAGTTGTCCTGAATGACGGCATGGTGGATTCAGCCACTCATCGAAACCTCCCGCTTCTGTTTTTCAATTTGTGTGGGGCGTGGTGTGCTTCTATGTGCACCCGTCTTCGGGCCCAAATTGAAGGGATTGCCTAATCTTCGAATCCTTATCTGTTTCTCGACTCCGCATACTTCATGACAGGAACGGGCCAAAAGATCGCGGCTGCTGTCACTGGAACATATCTATACATCACGAATCAGCAAATCTGCAACAAACATTGCATACAGTGTGATGCAAGTCGATATACTCACATTGGGAGACCCTTTCCGGCTTTCCGGAGCAGGCCCGTCCAATCCACAGGAGCCCGAGCTTCTTGTCGTTGCCTGGCGAGCCTGCGGAGTCCTTGTGAGGCATACTGGTAGAATGGCTGGCTTGAAGTTGCAGACGATGCACCTCGAGAGATAGAGGGAGCAGAGCGAGCGGTTTGGATCACAACGCGGCGGGTTGGCTGCCAGACTTGGGAATTCATTTTTGCTATGTTCCGGGAGTTCTCTGAGGAGTCCTTTTTCTTTTTTTCAACGTGTAACTAGATGGGTTGAGCTGCGTTAATAAACTTGTGATTGTAGAATGAAGTAAAACGGTGTCATTTCTGCTCGAGATGGCAATGTTTTAACGATTGGAAGGAGCAGTATATGTACTCGATGTCATTCCAGGCGTGGAACTGCTTCTGCAAGCCCACGGGGGCTGTGTGAAACCATCGCGGAGCTCTTTTCAAGAACGAAACCGTTCGACCCAGCGTTTTGCCAGACCATCAGTCGACCGGTCGGGAAGCTTGTATGACCATATTGGGAAAGACTATGATCATGCTGTGATGGTCATACGACAAGATGCCCCTGTTTCGAACAGCACAGCGCGTATGCAGCACAGACCATTGGGCCATCTCTGTGGGCTCAGGGTGACCTCATTCCCGTAACCTTATGTGAGGCGGCATGTCAGTATTGCCGAGTATTACTGCAGAAGAGCATCCGTTAAGGGATGGTCCAGAACACACCGGAAGAGATCTAGATCTGTGGGATGGAGATAAAGGATGCACCGGGACCATGCGTCGACCTCGGAGGTTTATGATCCCACATTCACTATAGCACACATGTGCACTGTCTCAGTACTACCAATGGGCCGCTGCATTGTCGTGCAAGCCTATTGCCTGCATTAAAGTCGACCTATGCTTGCGTCGGCTCTCCACATTCATTGCATCCGTTAACTATCCGAACAGGTCTTCTTGCCACATCACTCCCAACCTAGCCGGGCCTGTACTCGGTGACCGAAACGCCGTTGCCATCAGTCCAGCAAGCGTGTCGTACGCTCCCTTGAAGTGGTCTACACGGCGTACATACATTTTGGCAATACGGCGCCCTGCGAAGAACTCGGGACCCGCCTTGTTGCCCCCCCCCCCCCAAAAGACCGCCGGACACCGAAGTGCTGTTCGATTTGTCATGACTTCTCACGACTCAGATGGAGGAGTCGAGTCTCGTACCACTATGAGATGACTGGCCGGTCCCGAGCAACCAGGTCAACTGGTCTAAGAATGCATGTGGTACATGAATGGCTATCAGCGCACTTGGACTGTTTGTCAAATCAATCGACTTGAGAATACACAAATCTCTTCGGCCTGTGCCGCATACTTATCGTGGGTCTTGAGCGCGTTTACCACTGTATGAAGACGCCATGCATGTCTTCAGGTGTATGTGGAATAGAAGCGAAACAGTTACTCCGTGTTAACTTTGAAATAATTTTATTTCAATAATCCTTTAGTAGTAGTTTAAAACTAGTTTATAATGCTATTAAGGAAAAAAAACATTGAAACTAGAGGAGCTTTAAGTCATAACTTTAAAATTAGTTATTAAAGGAGTTCTCATTAACTATTAATCTATCAGACTACTTAGATAATAGATTACTTGATAATAGGTTTCCTTTAGCAGTATATAAGCCCATACCGTCACAACCCCGAGGTTTCGCTTAGGGACATTATTGCCAAGTGGTCATACCACGGCTCTAGAGACAGTTGCAGACTCGTTGATACTATAGGCTATATAAATTCTGACTGTGGCCTTCCCCCTTCGAATTTTCCTTTTCGTTTTCTTTTCTTTTCCTTACTAATGCCGACCTTGTGTGCTTGGCGGAGGATCACCAAAGCTAGAAGTAGGGTTCTCATGTAGCACTTGAGAGCACAGGGATTGGAATCCCTTCGCGGAGGACAGGTTGTACTAGCCAGATACGGGCATATCTGCCTGGAAAGAATGCCATGCCAATATGGCCGCCTGACTGCATGTGCTAGTCCGCTTTGGACCTTAATTTTCCTCGCAGGAGCACTTTGGGGCAGGCGTTTGCTGGTCCCCAGAAATTGGGCTTTTTTCTCGAGGGCCCATCTGGTGATTTTCTCCGCTTTACCTCGAACTTCGTGACGTGCGTTGTAACTTGGACTTCCCTTTTCGCGATTCTCTGAAGCATGCATTCGACTCTGGTATCCGGGTGGACCTTGACCAACTTGGTGAGCTGAAATACGACAGGCACGGGGTATTACACGCAGTGCATACATATTAACAGTCACCAGGGTCCTCTGACAACAACCTACACGGCACCTCCATCATGCTCAACGGAATACTCGTCCATCCGCATTGGCGGGACACACGTTGATGAACAAAACATCACTCAAGTCTACTACGTGGGCGACGTGTGCGACCAGCCCCCGGTCCCAAGTATTGGAAGCTGTCTGCCGTCCGGTGCGAAGCTCGACGAGCACTACAGCACAATAGACTTCCGCCAGGTGCCGTTGAACACAACGTGTGCGTACTACTCTCCGGGTTTGATGTGTCCGTCCGGCTGGGAGACCGTCGGCGGTGCCACCAAGGCAGAGGGAGGCTCCATCACAAGTTCCGGCCCGGGCTTCGCCAGGCCGTCCGGGGATGGTGGGGACGTATCAGATCTCAAATACGTCAACAACGTCGGCTCAAATGTCATTTTGGCCGCCATGGACGATGGTGACGAAGCTATACTGTGCTGCCCTAGGTAAATACGTCTCAGTCTTGCGCGTCTTTGTGCCACAAGGGGTAGTAACCATGAAAGCGAGGCTGACGGGACCCAGCGCCTTTACTGTCGACCCATATGGGCAATGCACGTCGGTGATACAAACTTACAGTGTGCCTGGAGACTACTGTAGGAGGTACTTGGGCGAAGGCCTCAGCGGTGAATGGGTTAATACGACTCTCAGCATTTGGGGGACGACCGTGACCGGCTCGTCGCCCTCTATCACCGGTACCGGGACTGTATCGATTGTGACACAGACGATCGACGACGACGAAATCTCAGAGTACGTCGGCTTCTCCGTGGAGCCGATGCTGTATCTTGTATATGCTGCCACGGATACGGCTGGGGTTACATCTTCGGCGACATCGTCTTCCGCTGCCTCTCCGTCCTCGGCTGCTTCGGCGACCGCCAGGAGCCCGCAGCTGGCCTCTATTGCGCTCGTATTATCAACGATGGTCCTGGCTTTTCTGTCGGGCTTTATGTTGCTGATGGGTTGATGCGCTCAGTTGTTTGCTAATAATACATGCCCGGTCAAGTCCACCAGCTCGAGCGCTCACATGGTACTCTCATTCGTAGATATCAACGATAGTGATGCTCCTAAAATACAGTGGCAGTTTCCAGAATCAGCCATGACCGCTAATGATTATTTTAGACCGATGACACAGCGTTCCATAGACAAGGAGCCCCTTCACTTGAAGTCCATAAACCAAGTCGTCACTCGCAGGCGAGATGTCCAATGTGTGAATGCCAAAGGCAAGATGGTTTCCATAGTCCCAATTCAGAGGACAGCCTCAACGAGGATGGTTGAGTTGTTAATGTCAAAGCTGGAGTCAAGACACTAGCACGGGTAGAGGCGAGGGACAAGGTGAGGATCGACACAGAAGAGCAGTGCCTCCGTAACCCAATTACTCTTTCAGTGCAGTCGCTAGATGTTTTCTTTTGTTTTTGACATTGAGCAGTTCAACTGGGTTGGTCATGTCAAAACCCCAGATGAGATGTACTGAGACGTAAATGTCAGGGGCAGCCAAGACATCGAACAAGTCGAGCCGATGCCACAGATGTCGCATCGATTAGTAAAGGAATCGTTGCCATTTCACGCCTGCTGTTCCTCTTCAGAGTTTCGGGCCAGCGCACCGAGTGTCTTGGGCTAGATCCGGACTGCGGACAAAGCTGTGCTTCTGGCATCCCGGAGAAGTGGAGGCACAAGTGTGTTCAGGTGAAGATGTGCCCATGACTTGTTTGCTTTACCTTCCTAGCGACGAAGTCGGGATCAAGGGGTAGGAAAACATAGAAGCGTTGCCGCTCGAATGGACAGAACGTATTTGTTTGTTTCGAGTAAAATAACCCTTATGTGGGCAAGACCATATTAGGCTCCTGCGCAAAATACTCTGGCAAGTATGCCGCCCCATCAAAAGCCTCTCCAGAACCATCATAAGGGCTCAAGTCGTTCTCGTGAAACCTCCACTTGTTGTATACCTGGTCAAGCACCGGCAATCCCCCGGCGCCGACGAGTTTAAGGTTTGGCGACGGTATAGGCTTCCGCTTCGTCGGGTCGGTGTGGAAGGCGCCGGGATATGACAAGCTATTGTTTATACCGGCAAGGTTGTCAGGATCGCCGGGGTTTTGGAAGCCGGTAGTGGCCGCGACATGCTTGAAAACATTGGCGCCGACATCGTATCTCCCCAAGCATGGCAGCTCCCAGTTGTTCTGCAGTGTTGATAGGATAGAGTAATGTGTATAGTACGTGTCATCCTCGGATCCCTTCAGTGCGCTGGGGACCGCGTTTCCGAGGAGTAGAGTCCCGATCTTGTTGGGGATGTCGTACGATTCGCTCTCGTCGAAGGTGAGCATAATGAGGGTTCGCTCCTTGAAAATGCCGTCGGCGAGGAGGGGCTCGATGAAGTGGTGGGCCCACGAGGTTGCAAAGTCGAGTGTAGTATTATGACCGTCGTTCATCATGTTAGGCGACATGAAAACAAATTGGGGCACTTCGTTAGCTTCGAGATCTCGCTTGAAGTCGTCGAAAGAGCCGACAGACCAGAGACGAGTCCCGTTGTTGGCGATGTTGTCGTATGATACGAAGGGGCTGAAGTTGGAGAGCCCGGTCAGTCTTGTTGTCCCGTTGGCGGAAAGGCCATCTTGCAAGCAAGGCTCCAAGGCTCCAGAACGTACTTGTGTTTCCTAACATAATCCCACGTTCCATTCCCCGTGCTGCCCTCGCTCGCCGGACCCATGAACCCGGGGCCTGGCAGGTCTTCAAAGTAGCCTCCCCAGGTGATTTCTTTTGTGTCCAACAAATCCACGACATTTGAGACGTTCCCGGGTATGCGGACGTGGTCATCGTGGTTGATGCCGAAGTAGTCGCCGCCGATTGCGGCGATATAATTCGGTTGTGAGGGATGCGTCTGGGCGTAGAATTTGGTGAGCGAGATGCCCTCCCTCTTCAGGTCGGCGAAATGATCGTCCTTGACAACCCTGTCGAAGTCCTGTGTTTGGTGGCAGTGTCAGTAAGCCATTCTCGCAGCGTCCCGCGAGGACATGCAAGGAGGCGCACCTGGTTCTCGAGCCAGATTGTGATGAAGCGGTCAAAGGACCTCCCGCCGTCGACAATCTTGAACTTCTGGCCTGTCCCCAGTGCCAGCGCCGGGGCAAGGCCTGCAAGGCTGACGAGTAAGCTGTACGTGGATGGCATCGTCGCGCAGTGCTGTCATGGCATCGTTGGCATCATTGGTGATGAAGCCAAAGCAGCCGAGCGCCAAGGTGGCCGTTCGAGAACCATTGCCGGGCCCCTAGCTTTGCACAACTAAGTAAGTACCTAGGTTGTTTCATCTGTGCCCCGCCTGGGCCTAGAGCCCAGCGTCGAGAGCTTCGAAACCGTCGCAGTGGTGGGCCCCCGGCGATTGACGACTGTAGACTGGCGACTGAGTGGCATTATATGCAGAATCAAGCGCTGCTGGAGCCAAGGCTACTTACTTGGAAGGTCAGTGGACTACTCCGTAATATTAACAAGTCCACTGCCTACTTAAGTACCCAGGTAGGTATGGGCCGACCCACTGCTCTTCAGTAAGTATGTACCTACCCCGGATCGCCCAGGTAGTACGGGGTAGGCTACCCCACCCTTTCTTTGTCCCATCGGTCCCCTACGCCGCCCCTGCGCCGTTGCACATTGCCTCCAGGTACGTGCAGCCGCGCAACCTCTACGAGGTTTGGTTCGTCATCTTTATTTCTGTGCCGCTGTTCTCTTTTCTACTCGAGCGTTCCGCTACTGAGCAGGGACTGCAAGTTCGTATTACTGCTCGTCGCACCCGCAGGCATGGCTGAGCCGGGTCAAATACAGTACTTCTAAAGAGAGGAGGGTATCAGGGCGCCGGGATCAATTTCTATACTCGTCTGCCCCCTCATTTTCTTCCACCGCCTTCCACCCACACATATACTCATTTCGACGGGCGTGGAATCATGCATTTACGCCTGAATGGCCAGTTGACTGTCGCTTCTAATATGCGTCCCAAGTGTCTACCGCCCACAGCTCATTGAGATTAAATCCGAGCATCTCCATGTTGAACTCGGGGTTCAGAGCCGCCTGGGGCTGCATCTGCATATGTGAGGGATCGCGGTTACTACGGCGTTCCGGAGAAGGCCCGGCCAGAAGCCCGGGCCCATCGGGAGGTAGACTTACGGTGGGATCCGCCGCGGCCAGCCACCAAGGCGTGCTTGGTAGCCCGGCCACGTCTCCCCCTCCACTGACCGCAACACCACCACCTCCTGCTCCTGCCCCTGCTCCTGCTCCTCCTTCTCTCCCGCCCGACCCAGTCGAGGCGGGAGCAGTAGCTGCAGACATTCCCGGCTGAAGGTAGGGCGTGATGGTCTTGGCCCTTTCGAGCAGGCTGGGGCCTTCCGCCCGCACGTTCGCCCCGCCGCCCTGTTGGGAATGCTGGGCCTGGGCTGCCGCGAGTTGCTGCTGCTGCTGAGGCCCCAGTACCGGTGGCTCCTGTCCCGCAAGCAGGCGATAGTGCAGGTTGATGAACCTCTCTGCGCTGGAGCTCTTGGCCGTCTGGCTGTCCTTGATGCCCAGGTGTGTCTCGAGCAGCCCGTAGGCGGCGCACATGATGCTGTACCCCCACGGCTCGTTGTTTCCGCAGCGCAGGATCCGGTCCTCTTTCATCTGCAGACACTGATCTAGTAGCTTGAGGGTGTGCGGGCTGTTGACCATGATCATGTTTGTGCTCCCGCGTGACTGAAGCATGGTGACGCTCGTCAGATTCAGGGCGAGGGTCAGGGCATCCTCGCGCAAGAAGTTTAGTGTGCGCACCCCGAACTCTGTCAGTTTGTCGTGCAGGAGAACCATGTCCCGCGCCGCGTTATAGAACATGACCTCTGAGAACTGGTACTTGGAGTTGACCTTCCGCATCCGCAGGAATGGCTGGTGCAGCGGCATGATGTATTGCCGCAACTGCACGTGAAGGAGCGTGTATGCAAGCAGTGGCTTGGGCGACTCCTGTTCGTCCATGCTCGCCGATGTATCCCACGACGGGAGGGCATCGATCTCTTGTGTGATCTCGTTCGTGTAGCGAATTACTTGTTCGTAGTCCAGATCTTCGGGCGGGCCTGATAACAGCTTGCTCAGCTCCAACCGGAGGGGCAGACTCTGCCGGCATAGGTGCTGGAACGACGAGCCAGTGTATTCGGAAACCGGCCTGGATGGGGGTAGCTCGGTCACGTCCACGTCAAACTCGTCGTCGTTGATATTCCTAGGAGGCTTGACATCCAGATGAAGCGAACTGACGATGGTTGGTAATCCATGATCGAAGGATGCCTGAAAGTCAAACTCTTGTATTGTTGCCCACAGTCTCCTCCGCATCTCTTGGTTGAAGACGGAAATATTGCGGCTAGCACCAATCATCGCGTCGGGGTCGCGGTGCAAACCCAGCGAAATGCCCTCGCGGGTCAGTATTCCAGAGTTGGTCCAAAAACGCTTCTTCTTGACATTGTTAACCCGCTTGGCGAGATACAACAGCAGTGCTATCTGGTAGTGTATGAGACGGCGGTGCTTGTGAGACTGCTTCCTGTGCCATTCTTCACACGCCCATATCCATTTCTCGGCGGTCTGGTGGGCGCATGACACCATCCCCGTGAACTTGGGCGGCGACGACGAGTTGCTGTGCATGCAGGCCGAAACAGCCATCATAGAGAGGACCAGTGCGGTATGTGCTGCAGGGCGCACCTCGGTCGGTATCCAGAACCTCTCGTACTGACGCCGGAAGCTGGGGATGTGAACGATGCGGTGGAGCTGCTCGAACTGGTCCAAGTACAGCGAGGTGAGCATGTCCGTCTCCAACTTGGAGGGCAGGAGCTGTTCGAGCTCGAGGTCGGCAGCCTTGAACTTTGCCTCCCGCGCCGCCTTCCTCTGATCGCGGTCCTTGGTCCGCGCAGCCACATGAAGTGGCTTGAGCCACTCCTCGGCCGTCTCCTTCATGAAGGGCGACAGCCCTGTCAACTGGCTAAAGGCCATGGAGGCGTTGTGGGGTCCAAAGTAGCGGGTCCGGAACTCCTTGCCCCGGAAGAAGCGCATCTCGTCGCCGGCATCGTGGCCGTACTGCATGAACTCGGGCAGCTTGTGCTCGGGTACCAGGTCCGGGTCGGGTCTCATGGCGGCCTGGGAGTCTGGGTCGGCGGCGAGGCCGCCATCGCTGCCCAGCTGCTTGGACAGCAGGTTCTTGAGCTGGGAGACCTCGATCTCCAGGCGGCGGATGCGGTCGAAATCGCGGGCACTGTCCTTGCGGACGAGGTTGTCGTTGGACAAGGACAGGCGGCCGTCATACTGGGAGAGCTGCAGGCCGGCGGGCTTTGGGGGCGGCGCAACGCCGGGCCTGGTCTCGTAGGTGCAGCGGTCCGGCGTGCCTGACTTGAGACATCTCTCGCACGGGTAGCCCCGGTCACACGACAACTTCCTCCGGCGGCATTCCAGGCAGGAGAGACGGACTCGCTGCCTCTTGCGGGGGGGCTGGTCGCCGTTCTTTGATTCCGAGTGTTCCCCGTCGGCGCCGGGGGAACTGGGTGTTGAGTGTTCGTCGCCGTGGGCGGCCTCGGAATCTGCTCTGGCAGACTCGGACATTGTTCTGGGCGGTGGGCTGTGGGCTGGTCGGGCGTGTGGGCGAGCCGAGAGGTGATTGCGCGGAAACCGAGACGGCCCAAGGTTCAACTCACGCGGTCAATGGGATGACGCAGTCAAGGTTTAGTGCTCGCACGGTGGCGCTGGGCACACATTTGTGTTGCAAGACAGTGCCCGGGGACCAGGCGGGCGGGCCTCATCCACCGAGAGAGCGGGCCCTGAAAGAGTTGCGCAGACGACGTTGCGCGAGGACGTGATAGGCTTATCGCACAGGATCACACACGACCACCAGCAGGCCGAGATGTCATCGTTTAAGCTCTGGCCTCGACTGAGATTTGGGATGGAAGGGCTTGTGGCATCGGTGCGAGCAATTTGGAGCGGAGCCAGCCGGCACTCTGCTCGGGCGGCTCGGAGCTGCGAGCATTGGTCATTAAGTACTCCGTACTCCGTATGGCCGGCCAAGGCTGGGTACTTAAGTACCTAAGTACCCTAAGTACCTAGGTACCTTCACATGTGCGCGCCCTTTGGATGACGTGTGGGCGTTTTGACGACACAGTCGCTGCCCCTGCCTATGCCCATGACAAGGCCTCGAGAGCCATTCTGTCATTCAAGTCTCTGCCTTCTGTGAAGCGTGTCCATGATGGGCTGGGTGGCTATCCGAAATCATGGCGACCCCAGTCCATGTGGCGTCGAGGAACCGCCGAGGCTCGGCGATTAGGTCGGTTCCCGAGGTCCAATCCCAGAATTGGTGATGTTTTTCGACAGTTCCTGCGTGTGATATTGTGGACCAATACGAATGGTTTGGGGTACAATCTCAGGCTTGCGGAGGAAGAACCCGCGCCTTCACCAGAAAACATGAAGCCTTCGGCTGCTGCAGTCCATGTCGTCTTTTCTATGACCTGCTTCCGGTATTCGATGCCCAGCAGGCAGTTCAACTGCAGTTTCTGCACGGCGCCCGCAGACTGGAGCACTTGAAGGAACTCACAACTGGTCCAACGCACCACCCTCCTTCCAAGGTTGATTCCACTGCCCTCGAGCTGCAAAACTGCTTGCAACCTGCAAATAATTCCGCCCGGATGCCTGTTCAACGTTCACAGGTCGCATACCCCTGGGCAGTCGACGCGGGTTGCCTCGCCGGTGATGGCCTCAGACGTGCAAGCCGCCGTCCTGGGCGGCGTTGAAGGTGCTGCGAGAGACAACTGTGCCTTCCACAAGTGTTGGAACTTCTGTGGTTACTTCTTTCTGCTCTTTCTGCCTGGCTCTGCTTGGGTTGGCGCCTTCCCCCTGGGCCCTGCCGGACTTCAGGACAGAGGTTCGTCTCCAACTATCTCATGCTCAACAACCCAGTCTTGGTTCCTTGGGCGTAAACAATTCCACGGCACATTCGCCGTTCTGTCTGGGCTCGGCGCTCTTCTGCCTCTGCTGGGCCGCCTGCCGCCATTGCGGTTGTCTTTTTATTCTTCACAGTTCCGCCAACATCACCCGCATCCTTCTGCTCCCCCCGTGCCTGGGCGGTTCACAATGGCCATACTCTGCTGTTGTGGCCATCTTCGCTCCCGCAAGCAGACCCGAGGCGAAGAGGACGTTGACTTACCTGTCCCTCCTCCACCCGCCAAATTACCCGCCGCCGTCTTGCATCCCTTGGCCATTTCTCCGGGTTCCACGCTCGCGAGATCGTCATTGACTAACCCGCTTCCCGGAGCCGCCACGGACGCCTTGGTTCACCTGGGAGAGCTCGTGGTCGAGGAGTCTGACGAGGACGATGTCGACGAGGACCTAGCTCACGACAGCAGGAACAGAAGCACCAGCACTTTGCAAGCTGTCAAGTCATGCATCCGTCGCCATCTGTCTGAGGACTCGCTCCAGAGGCAGGGTGAGACAGAGGAACAGATGGCTCACAGGGCAGAGGTGAAGCGGCTCATGAGAAAGAGGATTCAGGAGGAGCTCCAGAGCGAGACCGACCATGCCCAAAGCCGTCCCTCCACACCCCAGCGGCATGGACCTGGTCCGGCCACTCTTTCAGGCAATGGTCCCCGGGATACCATCGAATTCTCCGTGGATGAAAGTCAGAAGTTCAAGGACCTGACACCGGTCGGAGCCGCTGACATGACAGAGGAAGATGGTGTGCAGCAGCGCCCAATATCCAAGTCGTCTTTCAGATTGCCGTCGAAGCAAACATCCGTGAAGGAGAATCGCCGTCCCACAAGTATTGCAGCAAGTGAGCCTGAGTGGATTGATGCAGAATCAAGAGCCTCACAAATCGATTGCCACTTAGGAATCCGAGAGCGTAATTCCCTGCCTGATATACCCAACTCACCGGTGCTCCTCCCAATCCCAGGCTCGGCCTTACATGATGCCTCCTCACTTGCGTCTTGGCGCCTCTCACTGACTGCGGACAAATTGGCCGACCTATTCACACCTGACAAGACACTGACACTGTTCCGACCCCTTGCCAGCACCCCTGGCAATCGTTCCACTGCAGACCTCAAGGACGACGTTTCGCTGTCCCGCCCAAGAAGCAAGTCTTCGCCTTTGGGTGTCCAGGACTCGAACACCAGACCCAGAACCCATTCACGCCAGATTTCGCTTGACTCTACTCTTTGCAATCGGATCCCGGCTTCCAAGTCTTTGATACGGGACGAATCGCCAGTTGGTCTGTGGCTTCGCACTCAAAGCATGGGGTTTCGTCCATGTACTACACCCCCGCCTCAGAGCGAGGTTCGGTCCGAAAGTCACAACCAGAACCCTCAAAGGGTAAGCCATTTCGATGTGGCGGATATCCAGATCCCTATCACGCCTACCGGACTCAGCCGCGTCCGTTGTTCTGATTCGAGTCGACCTTTGAGCCTGCCTGGCTCGCCGTCACACTCCTCCCGATGCAGCCTCGACCCAGCAAGACAATCGCTGCAAATAGCAACGCATACCACTTCCAGAGTCAAGAATCCAGAGCAGGCCGTGGAAGGCCAAGCCAGCCACACTTACGGCATCCCCTCAGCCATGATTTCAAATACCAAGTTGGTCAGCCTCGGGTCAAACCTTCAACAGTCCTCCTTTATACCATCAGCAATAGACGACGCTCACACTCAAGTGGGCGAGACTATGCCATCTCACCCTTGCCGAAGGGGTCTCGGTGGACTGAGGATGCCATCCTTCAAATGTGAGTTCATGTTCTCTCCAATTGGCGAGATTTATGCTGAGTTAGATCCATAGGGGCTGGGATTGCGGACGGGGCTCAACATGTGCCCGAAAGAGACAGGACAGTGACTCCTCCCTGTGGAGGCTCCACCACGTTTTTCACAAGCATCGATCCACGACGGGTGACCATCGAGCCTGGTTCCGAGACCTCAAGCTTCCTGCGGAGAGAGGCCGAGCTTCAACACGTGGAAGAGCGATTTCGAGACTCTCATCTGAGGAAGGGATCATTCAGCCTCGCGGAGAGCAGATTTCATGAAGTGTTTGACCAAGATGGTGCTTCAAGCTCGAACCGCAGACTATCACTTTTGTCCAGGCTGCATTTCAACGTTACCAAACGCGGCAAGGTCTCAGTCATTGAGACGTTGGACGGAAATGATTCTGGGCATACCCTCGCCCACATACGAACTTCACCCACGTCTGTTCCGCAGCACAAAGTCTCTGAACAGACAAGCGTGGATGACGGACATCTTCAGGTCCCTCGTGTCTTTCGTGGTAAGGGCAGGGTTAAAACCAAAGAAACGGGCCATATCCTTGCGACCAGCAGCGCGAACACCCGGCGGCTTCGGGGCTTTTCCTCGTCGAAGGAGGGCGACGATACAGCTGAGCTATGGAAGCGAGCAGTGAGAGCAGAATCAGAGTCCAGGTCCCCAAGAGGAAGCGTGTCATCGAATATGCCTGCCCTTTGTGTGTCCCCAGAGGCCAGCAGCCACAGCGAAATTCTCAAGGCCCCACAGCCTTCAGGAGCGGCCAGCCTCAGCTCGTCCAGGTCTGATTTGCATTCTCCGCTCTGCAAAGCCCCCCCAGGTCATGATAACGAGGCAGCTTTGAGTGAGGCTCTCAGGAGATCATCAACCATTTTGCAAGACTGGGCCAACCAGCTTGAAAATCGGGAGCTTGAATCGCAGACAAAGGGTGAGTGTTGTGCTTCTCAGCCACGCTCCCGCTTCAAGACGAGCATTCCTCCCGCCTCTTGGGCAAAGTATCCGTCCTACAACCGTAACGAGCGCAACGCATCTGCTGGGGCCGACGATAAAGTCATATCGAGAGATTTCGCCGTGAAGAACATCTCATCCTCGGGGAATGTAGCCTGGGCTACCGACAAGACCGAAGACAGGCCGCCGTCCCAGAAAGGTATTGGTCGCACATTTTCCGACAAGTTCTCGCAGACATTCAAGTCACGTCTGATCAAGCTCATTCCTGGTCGTTCACGGACGCCATCCAGAGACAGGTCGATGCGCGGAGTGAGAAGAAGCAGCATACAAATTGCTGGCGACCTAGAGTATCCAGAGCTCGAGATATTGCCCAAGACGGGAGGGTACCGTGACCTCCGCGCCCTGGAATTCGAGATCCATGAAATGAAGGGCATTGCACATACGAAGATACCTTTAGCCAATGAGGAGCCTGACGTCTCACAGGTCAAGGCAAGTCTAGCTGAGCACATGACCACCGCGATGTCGCAGCATGATGGCAGCTCGGGCCTTGCGCCGTCTGACGCAAGTGAGACTGGCAGTTTTATTGAAGAAAAAGCCAGCCTTGTCCAGCTGCAATGTCCGGAGACACCTGCTCTTCAAATTCGCTACCCAGAAACGACACGAACGAAGGAATCAACTGGATCCACAGTCGAGAGGTATGCCACCCCCCTCAGCCATCTATCTTCCAGTGGACACGAAGCATCGAGCTCAGCCACACCGGAACTCATAATCAAGCTATTACCGTCGGCCCACTCTTCAAGTTCTTTGAAGAGTGCCAGGTCGCTTATGAGACGCGCGAGTTTACGCACAGCCCCTTGCAACGAGACATGCACTTTTTCAACCCATCATTGGCAATCCGGAGATGATCACGGAAGACGATCAGTTCCCATGCTTTCCGCACGTGCATCTGGCTGATTTCAGCATTGAACATCCAATGACGAACTGTAAAGAGTCAACTGGTCTTGCACTGGGATACTGTATTAACCTCATCGTCCGCGGGTGTTTTCACGAGGCTTAACGACCAGGGCTTTGCATCAATTATGGGAATGTGTTCCGAGATGGGCAACAGGACATCCACACCTGTTTTACATTCAAACCATTCGATTCCATTGGTCTATCTTTCCATGGCTAGGCATATTGACTGAGTACCTCTGGATGATTGTGGTCAAGTCTTTATTAAGGAAATGACATGGTGTTGGTGAGCATCACAATTTTTGGAACCTGTCGACAGCGGCACCGACCGGTGGGATATCGAGCATCAAATATGGCGAAGACACATCTGCTGCTTATTATAGTTCCACGGGTACTGCAGATACCTTCTCATTCAACATGTTCACATGCGCATAGACCACTATCCAGCGTCACATTGCTTGCCAGAAATAGGACAACGGAGCTGGTGATGAGATGCCAGCTTGCAATCCAACGTCGTGGGGACACAGATTACGTTCCTGATACATTTGTTCCCAAAACTTGGCAACGTCAACGGATTCGCTCGTGCTCGTGTCTTTAAACTTGCCTTCGGCCACTTGAGCCTCGACAGTCTTTTCCCTGGCGTATTCCCTGCTGCCCAGCTGCTCAACCGTTGGTTTCAATCGATCTCCAAGCCTGTAATGCCCGTATCCGAGTCTATCATGATTCACAGGCACATGGTCTGACGTGATGACTGAGTGAGCCGGGCCTTGGCATGCAGATTCTCGAATGACGGGATGGCATGCTGGGTGCCCTGGGATGGCAGTCTGTCCTTCTGAAAAACGAGTGTGTACCAGAATCGGAACAAGTGCAATGCGAAGCATGTAATCTACCAGGACTCAAGAGGACTCGGGAACCGGGCGACGGTTGGGGTGCTTCTATCTGACTTGGGTTTGTAGAGGTACGATGATAAGCACATGCAGCATTCCATACACGCATGGTCGTACTGTGGATATTTAGTGCTAATAATCGTTAATACGCGGCTTTACGAATAGTTATACGCCTCCAACTTTAGGTACTGGGAGGTTCTAATCCTCGCTGATCAGAAATGGCTGGGCTGTTGTGAGACTTGGCTCATCCAGTCTATAGGTGTAGAGCATAAGACATTGGCCAGAATGCCGGGAGTTGTTGGCCGGACACATTGGAGTTAGTCCATGATGTGGCCAGGGGCCCTGGGGGCCCAGCTCAAAATCTACTTAGGTAACAGGCTGTAATTGCACAGCATGGGTGAGACATGCAGTCGGCTGGCTCATGTTGACTCTCGAGGATATGAGGGCCACTTGACTCGACACGCACGTGGGCTTCAACCATTGTGACATGACAAGAAAAAGTAGACCGGACACTCAAATCGCAGCGGCGTCGGCTGCTCGTCTAAAGTGAAGGCTTTGATGTGCACTCGGGGTTGTGGCAATAAGTCTGCAAGTATCAAGTATGGCTTCGACAAGCCCGCCTCTCACTCTCGGCAGCACCTTATCAAAGTGCAGTACTGATAATAAGTACCTAGGTCTAAAGCATCCTCTCACTCGAGCGCACATGAAGAGATCGGCCTTGTGCACTCAGGCGAGGAATTCTGTGACGTAGGGCAGCCCGCCGACCCACCATGACGGCCAGAATAGGACTAGCGATTTCCTCTCTGAGCCATTCTGGGGTACGGAGTACCTTGGGTCTTTTCCGCCGTCTTGCGAACACTGCAGCGGACTGCGGTGGAGCTGCTGGACTATCGCGAGAGGCTGTAAACCCAGCCAGAGACCATGATCACATGACATTGAAGGAAAACTGAGCCACTACATGTTTGATTGTTGGCCGGTAGTCTAGGCTAAAAAGGTGTGGCCCGTGACGAGGGCGACTTGACCTTGTAGTGGTGGAATGCTGGGCGGCAGACAACATTGAAGTCCGGGCTGTCGCAGGACCCTGGACGCCACACTGTGGGCATTGAGGGGAAATGCGCATGGTCAGACGGTGCATTACGAAACGGAGAGTGAGATCCTGTCCCCCATGTGCATCGAGCCTTCCCAAAAACCCCCAAGTCTTGAAGAGCTAGGAGGGCGCTAACACTGCACTATCAGCCCAGATTCAGGCGGAATCAATCGACAATCGACCCATAATTTCTGCAGCGCTCCGAGCACCACCCAGGGCAGCCAGGCAGCCCAGGCCAACTGGTATGCCTTGCAGTACATCCGGACAGCAGCTTCTCCGCCCTGCACCCGGGTACCTGCCTGTCCGCCTGTGCAGCGGTTCCTGGTACGCCCCATCCTGCTAACATTCCCCAGCTAGAAAGCTTGCCCAAGCCTGATAGTGAGGACATGACCAGCAGACCAGCAGCCCAGCAGCCCAGTCGTCGGCCGACCTCCACTTTTATCTAATCGATTTTGATCTCCCAGTCTCCCAGTCTCCCCAACCCACCCCCGACGACGACTGGTCGATCATCTTGCCTGCCCTGTTCCTGCCCTTGCCTTGTCCTGCCGTGTCCGTCCTGCGTTGGCACTACCTGACTACCTACACTAGGTACCTACCTAGGTACCCTGGGCACCTGCCACGCCTGTGTGCATTGCGCCGCCGCCGCCGCTGCTGCTGCATGCTCTGCTCGGCTCTGGCAGCAGCTGGCCCACCGGGAGGAAGTACAGATTAGTTCTGCCTTTCTGCCTTTCACTTTTGGACGCTGGCGCTCGCACCACCTAGTCTACCTACCTGCCAGCCTGCCAACCTAGGTATCCGACTACCTGCTTGTGCATCTATCTGCGCTTGCAAGTCGGTTGAGCCGCTGTCGCACCGTAGACCTCACCACTCCCGTCCACAGCCAGCCCTTTTCATTCACCTTCAAACTCGACCCTGCCTTCACCACGCCCGCCAACCCCGACCTCCGAACCTTGACCTCCCCCGTCATCTGCGACCGAGCGACAACCACAACGTCTGATTGACAGCATTACGAGTCGAGTCAACTCTCCCGCCCTTGGCCGGGGCCGATCGCATGTAGGTCACAAATCCACCATGTCGACCGAAGCGACCGGCGCTGCGGCGCCTGGCACCCACAATCCAAACCTCAACCCAGACGGCACCCGCCCTCTGGCTGGCCATGACCACGACGATTCCACCATCGCCGTCGTCAATCCCACCGCCGACACAAAGTCCCCCAAGCCCACCGGCCTGCACTCGCCCCCGGACTCAAACAATGTCGACGCCACCGACTCCGAATTGAGCGACCTCGACGAAGCAATTGCCGACGCCGATTCGCCACCACCCATAGATGCGACTCCGCGGCTGACCGCTTCCAAGACTGCCTCCGACGATGCACCAGCCTCCGGTGCTGGCCCGGGGCCAGCACAGCCTGAACAGGTCCCAACTCCAGAACAGGACGACGAGGACATTGGCGAGGTGTTCCCCGACCACTGGTCTGGCACCGTCCCTGTCTTCAAGCCCAACATGGACCAGTTCAAAGACTTCAAGAAATTCGTATGTTGCGCCCGCTCCCCCGATCGCCCCTTGTTCTGAGAATCACAGCGCATGCTAACCTCGTGTCGCTGCAGATGAAAGCCGTCGATTCCTACGGTATGAAGTCCGGCATCATCAAGATCATACCTCCAGACGAGTGGAAGAACTCGCTCCCAGACCTCAGCGAGCTTGTCAAGCCAGTCCGAGTTAGAGAGCCCATCAAGCAGGATATAATGGGATCCAACGGTACCTACCGCCAGGTCAACATCCTCCACCAGCGATCCTACAATTTGCCTCAGTGGAGGCAGCTTTGCGACCAGAGCGAACATCAACCTCCTGCGAGGCGCGGTGAGCGCCGAGCGAATGCCGACAAGCCAAAACCTACAACTCGCTCCCGGGCTGCGGCTGCGACGATCAAATCGGCCACACCTGCCGGTTCTAGCCCCGCGCGGCGTTCTGGCAGTGGCCGGGGACGGCGCGCTCGAGGCCGAGGAGGCGCCCGAGGCAAGGGCAAGAAGTCTGCCGCACAGGAGGATACCGACGTTGATGACCGACCGATGACGCCTGAATCTCCTAGGCCTGCAGACGACGAAAAGCAGGGCGATGCCGTGGTGGAGTCCATCGAACAGGACCCTGGTGTCAAGGTCGAGGACGAAGAATGCGACGAAGAAACCCCTCGGCGGATGGGCTTCAGCCGACAAGCAAAACCCAAGGTCCAGTCGACATCAGCCCGGCGCAAGTACAGCAAGCGGGAAGGATCCGCCATGATTGACGAGGAGGCATTCAAGGATTTCGACTACAACATGGACATCTCCGACTACACTCCTGAGCGATGCGAGGAGCTGGAGCGGACATACTGGAAGACTCTGACCTACGCAACACCACTGTACGGTGCTGATCTCATGGGCACCTTGTTCCATGAGGATACCGAGCTGTGGAACCTGAACAAGCTACCGAATCTCCTGGATGTCCTTGGCACAAAGGTTCCCGGTGTCAACACGGCCTACCTCTACCTGGGGATGTGGAAAGCCACGTTCGCCTGGCACCTTGAGGATGTTGACCTGTACAGCATCAACTACCTCCATTTCGGTGCCCCAAAACAGTGGTACAGCATCTCACAGGCTGACGCTCGACGTTTCGAGGCAGCTATGAAGAGTATCTGGCCTACGGACGCAAAGGCTTGTGACCAATTCCTGCGTCACAAAGCGTTTCTCATCTCCCCATCACATCTCCAGCAGCACTACAACATCAAGGTCAACAAGTGTTTGTCGTACCCCGGGGAATTTGTCGTTACCTATCCGTATGGCTACCACTCTGGTTATAACTTGGGCTATAACTGTGCTGAGGCCGTCAATTTCGCTCTGGATTCATGGTTGCCCATGGGAAAGATTGCCAAGAAATGCGAATGTGCTCAGGCGCAGGACAGCGTGTGGGTCGATGTGTACGAGATAGAGAGAAAGCTCCGTGGGGAGCCCACACCGGAGTATTGGACAGAGGAGGAAGACGAAGACGACTCGGATGAAGATGATGAGGAGGATGAAGACATGGCCGGTCTTCCCTCGCCTCCTGGTAGCCACACCGTCCGCATCAAGGCTCCTGCTCGCAAGCGGAAGCAAGCGAAGATCAGCAAGGACAAGCAAGAGAAAGCCAAGAAGCTTCGCCTGCGGGTCAAAGCCCACGTCGAGCCACCTTGCTGTCTATGTCCGAACGACGTGCCTGGGGCCGAGATCCTGGCAACCAGCGACGGCCGCAAAGCACACCGTCTCTGTGCACTGTACCTCCCAGAGACCTACATCGAGACTGTCGACGGCAGCGAAACTGTTTTCAATGTTGAGAACATCCAAAAAGCCCGACTCGACCTCAAGTGTCTCTACTGTCGCTCGAAACGCGGCGCCTGCTTCCAGTGTTCGCAAAAGAAGTGCCCGCGCTCATACCACGCCACATGCGCCGCTGCTGCCGGTGTGTTTGTTGAGCAGGGTGACGTCCCAGTTTTCGACAAGGATGGTACTGAGTATAAGGAGGAGGCGTTCGAGTTCAGTTGCCGCTTCCACCGGACAAAGCGGGACAGACGTCTGGATGGCGACGCATTGGAGGAGAATAGCCGCATCATGGACGCTGCCAAGGGCATTAAGAAGAGCGAGATTGTTCAGATGCAATACTACAAGAAGGAGATATTTGCTGGCGTTGTGGTTGAGAATCGCTCAGACGAACAGACTCTACTTTTGGACGTCATTCCAAACGGGTATGTTGGCGGCCGACATCCTGCGACGACGATAAATGTACTGACTGTGCACAGTGGCCGGATTGAAGTTGAATGGAAGTGGCTGCTTCTCCCGGACCCTGAAGATTTCAAGCTTCCCAAGGCCTCCGCAAATGCCTTGCCAATGCCGACATCTAGGAAGGCCAAGGAGGAGATCAATGCGAAGCGATCCACGGATGAGCCCCCAAGGGCCGGTGATATGTTTGTGGAAGGTCTCACACCAGGCAAGGACTTTGTCTGGTCAGAGTTCCACACTTGCGAGGCCTCCGAGTGTAGGAACAAGGCTCAAGTCAAGGTCGACTTTTCCAAAGAGAACCAAGTCTGGCACTATCTGGGAAAGACATCGACCGAGGCGAAGGCACAGTACACAGAAGATCCACGAAAACCCCAGCACAACCCGAAATGCAGCTTTCTTGATAGCATCCCTAAACCACCGCCGCCACCCAGGCCACACCACCAGTCGCCGTACAGCGCCAACCAGTCATCATCATCACAGGCGAGACACTCTATGCAAACGAAACCCGAGAAACCATACGTGTACAAGCCTAGAAAACCGATTGATGCGTCGATCGGTACCCCTTTCACCACACAAAACTTCAACCGGGGCACTACCCCGTCAGCAAACGGAGTACCTCCGTTGTCTTTCGGCACGGATCCTCGGTTCTCTGCGGGACTTTATGCTACGAACCAATTCGCACCGATTTCAGGGAGTAGTTCACAAGCCCAGATTCAGCGTCAGGGCAGCGCCCTGTTTTTACCCATGCCACCATCACGACAAGCCCAGCAATTTCAGCAAAGCCAACAAGCTCCGTCTGTTAACCCGGCGTGGTTGTCAAATGCCCAAGCCAACAGCCCGAGGCCTCAGGCGATACCATTCCAGGCACCCCCACCTTCAAGGCAGCAGGGTGTCCCGACGCTCACTCCTTCTGCTGGCCAGCCACCAAACTTTCCAATGCAGCGGCACAGAGCGCCCATGCCACAACCTCCACATTCGCAGGCTCATGGGCCACAAGCTCACCTCCAGCATGCACCACCTCCTGTTCCCCAGCACGCCTGGCAAAAGTTCTCCTTCTTCCAGGCGTACCACAACAGGTAAGAAGAATTAATGCCGTCATTACTATGAGATACTAACGCCGAGACTTTGAAGGGAGCCTTCGAGGTACAGGACCCCATATGCGCTTTGGGGCGGCTTCACCAACGGGTATGAGGGCGATCTACGGAAGCACCTGATGAAGAAGCCGGAATCGGCACCATTTAGTAACCGCCGATTGAGCTTCAACCTGGGCGGAGGGCTTCAGGGTCTCACCCGGCCACCATCTCATCGGTACTCCAACTCGGTCGGTTCTTCAAGGTCTTCGCCTTTCAGCGGTCCACGCGCCAGGTCACAGTCTGGCGCGGCCTCCCCTACCTCATCATTTGCGTCGGCCATGTCGCCGCCACCAGTCCCCTCTCGGGGTCACCAACGCACACCGTCCGTCCCCTCCACTCCACTCCATCCTGCAATGAGACCGCAGTATGCCTCGTCATCGCAGATGAATTCTAATTCAGGCCAGACCGGAGGAGGAAGTGCAGTAGGCTCACCTAAAAGTTCTTCCGTTGGAATTGGCTTCCAGGGAGGGGCCATACTAGTTGACGCACATGCTTCCAAGGCATCGATGCCTCCTATTTCACCAGCTGGGATCCCCTCGCAGCAACCGACGTTTCTCAACACATCACCGCAACCAGCTATGCAAGTTGCCGCCACCACAACTGCAACGATTCCAATGGACGTGGATCCCGAAACCAACGAGTCGCCTGCGCAGCAGCTAAAGCAGCAGTTACGACGTATCTCTGACGCTACGGAGTCTCCATTCCGTCTGCCCCGGAGCCGAGGCCACACCCCACGGTCAAGCGTGAACCAGCTTCCAAGACTGCAGGACCCCACTGAGACTCCAGACCTATGGGACGGACGCAGGGCCTCGTCTGGATCGACACAGACGACCACACCTTCAGAACTTGCTGCCAATGGAGTGTCTGTGCGCGAATTCCCGGAGACGGCTGACGATAACAAGGCATTTGTGGAGAAAATGATGTTGGATCTGCGTAGGGCCAGTCAGAGTGCGGCTGATGGTACCCTGAACGGGCTCGGGGATGCTACATCACCCGCCAACTCTTAAAATCTGGGAGGTTTCTGGCATGGAAGACGTCTGGAGCAAGGGCTGCGTTGAAGTAGCGCGGTTGTGGCCGGGGGTTCCAGGCCGCGACGCATTCGACTGCGTTGATGTGACTCCCAGTGTTCTTCGCACACACCGGGGCCGCAACACGCACTGAATCAAGCATTGGTATACGGAGTTAATATGGGGGACTAGCATATTTTAGGGGTTAACGGAAGGTGCTTCTTAGAGCAGCCGTATTAGCGTTGGCGATAAAAGGGCCGCGCCAGGCGTAAAGGAAGAACCGCAAAGCAGTTGCATCGGCGCTATACTTGGCGTCAATGGGGCACGAGGCCCGACATGCTCCTACATGTAGGACCATCTCGCACGTGCGATGCACAAATGAATGATTGGTCATAAAGCACTTTACTTTTGTGGGTTTAATCTCATTTGAGGTGATGGGCTCACAGCTTTCGGGTATCAGGCACGCTCCACGTGGTCCTTGAACGTCGCATTGTGTCCCTGGTTTGCTCCGGGCGCGACGGCCACAAATAAATAAACGGCTGAATATAGGACGGGACTGGCTCGAGGATTGGTTCGCCACTCCTCAAAATAGATTGCTGCGCAACGATGCACAGCTTGAATAGGTGTGCTGCAATTGGAGGTGCATTGAATGTCCGGCAGGAACCGACTTGGCGAGCTGGGTGACTTGAGCCTCATCGCTGTGCCATTGGACCGTGAGTCCAGATTACCCAGGATCAAGCCGGCGGGATTTTACGTCTCTACCATTAAACGTTCGCCGTCAACCCACAGGAGTGTGGACACCAAGCGGCGATGCTGACACGCGCAGGGTCATTCGATTGGCTGAACACTGGTTTGGCATACTCGAAACAAGCCAGTGGGCCTCCGCGTACTTCATGGTCAGGGGTTGGAGCATGGCTGTGTCCCGATAGTATTGAAGATCATGGGAGCCCTCACACATTGAATGGGAGGCGCGCACTTCGGTCCCGTGGAAAGCGACCATCACAGTCTTTGTACTTATCAGAGGGACTGCCGGATCGTGAGAGTCGGCGACCTCGTCCGTTCTTGCCCACTTGACAAAGCCCCTACTCTTCTCTCCTTCTTTGCTTTGTGATTTCGTTTCTTCGTAGCCCTTCTCCGGGGTAAACTTTCTCGCCCACAATGGGTGTCCGGTCTTTTGTCAAGCACTCAGCCCTGCTCGCCCTTGCGGTTGCAAGCAGCAATGGCATTCGAATTATACAATCCAACGACGATGGCTGGGCAGAATTGAACATACGCGAGTTCCATGACATGCTCATCGATGCAGGCCATGATGCCGTCGTGTCGGCGCCGGCCGAGAACATGTCCGGCAAAGGTACCATACCAACTTGTCCGACTTTATTGTATCGTTGACCTCTCCATATTGACCCACCATCGCATAGGCTCCAGCGATGAGGACCCGAAGCCTCGTACCGAGGCCTGCCAGTACGACAGCTGCCCAGCGGGCACCAACACGACGGTCGGCAGCAACGCGACAGACCCGACGCTGAACTGGGTCAACTCGTTCCCTGCGACGTCGATGCGCCTGGGTCTCAGCGAGACCGGCCCGGGCGTGTGGGGCGAAGGACAGAAGGCCGAGCTTGCCGTGACGGGGCCCAATGTGGGTTCGAATCTGGTCGTCCAGGTACCATTTTCAGGGACTGTGGTCAGTAACATCACTTGGTGCATGCAATCTAGACTGAATATGTCAAGTGACTAACACCTTGTTTGTCAGGGGTCCGCTTGTTACGCGGCACATGAGGCCGGCGTCCCAGCCATTGCCTTCAGCGGGCTGAGCAACTCGAGCCTGGGACTCTTGGGCGGCAACGCGGCGTGGGACGCGAGCCCAGCCCCGGGAAGCAGCGCCGTGTTCGCGGAGCTCGCGCTCAACCTCACCACGCGCATCATCGGCTCCGGCGCCCCTTACCTGCCTGCCGACACGTTCCTGAACGTGAACATGATGGCGCCCATCGGGGAGTGCGCCGACCCCGCCGCGTACAAGTGGGTGCTCACCCGTATCAACCCGAGCACGCCGCTGCTCTCGTCGGCGGACGTGAAGCTGTGCGACCGCGAAACGCTGCCTCAGGAGACGGAGGTGGTGCACGCCTCGAGCGGGTGCTTCGTCAGCGTCAGCGTTGGCGACTGCAGTGACAAGACCACGGCGGCGGCGGACGTGCAGCAAGCTGTCGTCGATAAGATCGGAGACATGCTGTCGTGTTTCTAAGGGCTCGGACTGTTTCCACTTGCTGAGATACCCGATTCATCGGTTCGCCTGGCGTGCATCTTCACTTCTCATGTAGCTATATGTATTATTCTCGACTTGCATCCTGAGCCGGTGTGAAACCTTGCTTGTGATGAATGTAATTTGATAAGCTCCATTGCGACCAAGTACCTAGGTACGTGATTGGCTGTGGCCTGTTACAATATTACCTTGCTTTGAGGCCGCCAAACTGGCTCCCCAGGCGCAGCCTCTCAGCAGGTCTCGACTGAAATCATGCCATAGAATGGAAATCAAGCGAATATGTATCCATGTGTATATCAGCGAATGAAAAGAGTCGATAGTGCAGATTATGCTGCTCGAATAGAAATGGCCCGGGCTTCTCCGGCCTGCATGAATGGACCTAGTACAAACATTGCGCATACCATTCATTGGACACAGAACACGTACTGGGAGGCTCGCAGGAAGTCTTTCCCCTCCAGTCTCGGCCGCCACACTGACCCCAGAGAGTCTGGCCTTCATCATCTCCCACGGTTCGTGGCACACATTGGGCATACCAGGGGTTGAGCGTCGAGCAAGAGTTGTACCCATAACACGAGGTGGGACCCGTGTGGCTGGATCCGCCACATTGACCCCTTTTTACTACAGTCAGATTGTGTTCCCTGAATGATACCGAACGGGGAATGGAATGGGAGACCTACCATTGTGTCTGGCCCAACGCCGCGGGAGGATTTGTGGTGGCAGGTGCGGTCGCCGTCGTGACAGTCTGTACCGTCGTAGACACGGGTCGAGTAGAAACGGTTGATGAGGGCGAGGTGTTACCGGCTGGCGTGGTAGATTCTGACCGTGTAGAGGTGGTGGTAGACGGCAAGGACTCGCCAGCTGACGTTGAAGTTGAATTTGTGAATGGGCCCGAGGTCGAGGTCGAGGTCGTAGAACTCGTAGGTACAGCTGATATCTGGGTGGCTACTGTGGCGGTGCTTGTAACGGTAACGCTTGACTTGAATTGCGGCACGGAGCTGACTGCACCAGAAATCAAAGTTGGGCCCGGGACGGAATATGCTTTGAACGGTGTGTAGAGATTGAAAAGGATCCCTGCATCGGTGGCTTTGTATAGGTCAGTGCCAAGGACACCTGACGGCTGAGACGTGCCTGTTCCGGAGATCTCAAGGTTGAAGCACTGTGGATATGCCTGGGCCGCGTTGATTTCGTGTGCTCCGTGCAAGGCAATTATCTCGTGCCGGAGAACGTAATTGCCCGGTGCAATGTCCTCTGGGATTTTGACCAGCCAGGAGGCAGCGTTGGAAATCAGTACATCTGCGGCCCAGTAGCCAGGATTATATCCAGACACCAGTCCAGAACCATCGATCTTGAAGAATTTCAGTGCATTCTTGTCCGCCGTCTCGCAGGTTCCGTTGCATCTAGCCAAGTAGTCGATCACGGGACCGTGATGAGACTCAGGCCAAGTATTCCACTGGATTGAGATGGAGTCACCGGCCCGGACGGCAACGTGGGCTTTACCTGGGGTTGCCGAGACGTGACAGATGATATCAGGGGATTGGAAATTATTGGGGGCAATGTAACCATTGTCTGTATTACCAGCTGTCCAGCCCATAACTTTGGGTGGGTTCTGGGTGTAGGGATCGATATTTGGGAGGAAGTTGCGGTAGTATACACCATTAACAACTATGTTGGTGACATGGCCGTGAGCTGTTACAGCCACGGCCATCGAAATTATGGTGCATAACAAGTTCATTTCCGCCGAATCCTTTTGCACAAATTATGGGCGAGCAGAAAAGCTGGGTGAATATAATTCAGTTGCGATTTAATATCGATTATATTCAACGAGCCTCACGGCATCTATACTCTTATACACACCGAATACATCCCGTTTGTGATTAGATCACCTGGGCACCTGATGATAGAGTGAGAGAGATGGGCGTCTGGTTCGGGAATCCCATGGCACATAATAGTGCAAGCAAGGGCGATAGTGAGGCCGGAATTCTAGCCGGATGTTGTCTAGGTATGAGCCTTGGTATCATACTATGGCGCTGTCGACGCCAAGGGGCAGACGTCTCCCACATCGGTGATATTATTGGGCGCCACAACCGTTCCTCGTGAGCAGTCTGCTGGTGATTTTTGAGACAGTCAAATATGCCCCTGGCAAGGGAGCACAGGATCAGGGGAAAGATCACAGGTACCAACAGCTCGATTTCCTTACTGCTATATTCTCGCCGAACACTTTAGCGAAACTGAGGTCATATGTATGAGCCTGCGGGGATGGAGATCTCGAGTCCCTATCCAGCCTGGCGTGTTGCAAAGACATGGCGACTGCAGATAATCGTCTCTGCTCTTAAGCGAACTCATATTAGTAGTGTTCCCTCACAAGCGGACCAGGAATATGGGACCATGCTGGTGGTACTTTAGCCGCGAGATCCTCCTTCATCATGCAAACTGGATCACGATCGCGAAAGTCTATAGTCGGAGCGCTTCCTGAAGGAAAGCGCTATGATGAGGGGTTGTTTTAGACACCCCGAAGACATTGCGGCCGGCCCCGAGAGATGGCAGTAGTTACTTAGGTAAGGGATTGGCACATCAAATATCCCGCAGCCATGTCTACCACGCATAATATGGAGTTTCAGCTGACACTAAGTCAGTTTATATGCAATGAGCAATGTGATTAAAAGGTTATATTAAACTGAAATCTATTGGCAAGCCCCGAAACGAAGAACTTGTAAACTCTGTAATCCACCAGGGACCTACAGAGCAACCTGACGCCTTTCCAATTAGACAAGTAACTGCGCATGCTTTCAATAGCCCTTGAACAAAAGCAATTTCCCGTGCTGTCCCACACGCCTCAGACTAAGCCGTGCTCGGATTTCTTAAGCGCTGGAGTTGTACTTGTAGGTGATCTCACCATTAGCACACACTTGATCTTCATTGAGAGGCAGAGGATCTGCCCAGCCATGATTGCAAAGCCCGAAGGTGTTGCCTTCATAGCAAAATATTTTCCCGTTAGCTTCTGGGCACCTGGTCATCCCGGCCGCCCAGGCCGGTTGGCCAGTCTCGGTAGGGGCTGCCTCAGATGCCGAACTCCCCGTCGCGGGCGAACTGGTGTTACTGGTCTTGGGCAGGTCGCTGTTCTTTGCGCTCGACGAAGTCGTGATGGTGACGAATGAACTTGGAGGAGACTGCGAGGTGGCCAAAGGAGTCGCCGCCGAGCTGGCAGTGTTCTGGCCACTGCCCTGTGGCCCCTGTGGGCTCTCAATAAACGACGGGGGGTCAGCGGCAGGGCATTGACCAGATCCGTCTGCAATGGGCTCCACGTTGACCTTGCCGAATTTTCCGGGGTTGGGAATGTTCAATACAGTTCCACTCGGGCCTGTCGTACACTGCCCCGGAATGTTCGCCACGAACACTGGGGGCAGGGAGTCCATAAGCTCCTGGTCATCAGAACCTCCGACGATACTGACGGGAGCGCACTATTAATCGTGATGTTAGCCTATAGGTCCTGGTACGGGGCCTAAAGTGTTGTATTCTACAACAACCTAAAACATGGAATACGAGGATTTGTGACTGGGGGAGGGGGTGATACTTACGGTCATGTACATTTCTCTGTTTCCAATCTTATTGAACCAAGTGAATGCAAAAGTGGCCGAGTCCGAATTCTTAATGCCGGCTGGTATGGGAACTTCAAACTGACGAACGCACTCCTCGCCGTCAGAGTTTCCGCACTGTGGGCCGCTCTCCCTTCCGTCTTGGTCAGTTTCAATGGTTGGAATATTACCTGCAGCCTTTGCTGGACAATCGCCTATAATTGTATAGATAGTTTTCCACTGTGATGGGTCGGCAGGCGGGGGGTTGTCGTAGGTCAAGCTGAACTGGCAGCTTCCCCCACCATGCACGGCACTGATCCAGAATTTAACAGTCTGAGTCGTACCTGCAGTTAGAGTGGTTCTATTATCAGCGTGTTCGGTACGGCCTTGGCAAGGGAATGGCAATTCGGCCCCAAGGGGGGCTACCTGCTGTAGAGGAGCCTCGTGGAGATTGTATGGCCGGGGCTCGATCATGATCCCGTGCCCGTTCGCGACAGTGGCGATGCCCACTAGAAGTGCGAGTTGTGATGGATTCATGGTTTCTTAAGGGCTGTCTTGTCTGGATTAGATGAAATCTTCGAATGTTGTTGAAAAGTATGAGGCTAGAATCGAATTGTGAGCGCTGCTCTAACGGTTGTTTTAATGATGGTGGCAACTCAATCCGGTCGGGGTGGTCATCTCTACACGAGCATGGTTATATAATTACGTTGTATGAATGAATTCGGCCGTGTTCGCCCGTTGTTATAAAGAAACATTGAATGGATGTTATTTCGAGTAATTTGCTTGTCTTGATATACCAAACACACTAACTAATAGACAGTACGGCAAAGATGCACTACAATGACTTAGGTGGTCTAAGGAGTGTGAAGGGCGGGGGCTAGACGCGCGGGCGAGCGGCCCGGCCGGAACAATCAGACAAGAACACATTAATGCCCTGGGCTTATGAACGGTGAAAGACGGATGACAATGTCACGGCTAACTGCATGTGACAATTCCAATGTGAAGAGCCGTCCTTGGAATTCGTCTCCCACTAGTGCTCCCAAGGTCTTGGAAAGCACAGTTTCACATGGGATCCCACGCCCACATTATGCACAAGACGGATCACACATTTATCTGAACACAGGCGATTCAGCCAGCGACGCTGTCAGGAGCGTTTCTTCCTAGCCTGTCTGTGCGGCAGAAGGCCGAGGCCACGTGGTCATGCAGAGTCTTCTTGCACCGTTGTTGGCATTGCATTTTTGTAGAGCTGGGTCTTTGAGCGTTTAGCACTGTATGAGGGCGCCATGTATGTCCTCGGACGTATACGGAATAGAAGCGAAACCATATTCTCACACTGATATCAACAAATAGAGGCAGGTAGCATCCGGTTTGCAGTACGAGGTGACTGTCTAGCACGCTTTAGAAGAGTTTTGCCAACATTGTCGGTTAATATGCCGGGCCGAGGTCGATCTTCTGTTCTCAAGTGCTTCATTGGTAACCTTGATCCAAGGCTTCTTCTGGTAGCTATGCCCTGCGCACATACCTAAAATCATTTCTCAAGTTCTTGTTCATTCCATCCACTGCTTGTGAAGGGGCCATTGAGCAAACGCTGGATTTTGCCCTGCTTACACATCCATACAGCGCGTCCCCGACTGTACAAACCCGAAGTGGGCAGCTAATTCTCAGACGCGGATTTTCTGGGTCAACTGGTGGTAGGATGGATTGGGTCGTTTTGTTGGTATGCGTCGTTTGTATCAATGGGAGGAGGAATTCTTGGACCATACTGTGACAAAGGAATGAGCCGTGGAAGTCCGATTTACTGACAACTTAGAATGTCACTGGAAATCGTTTTTGCTTCTGAGACAGCTGGCACTGTTACTTTTTTTGTTCTAACGGTGCCCAAGTAATGTGTACATACCGGTGAATCTAAATTGGTCGATTCCCAGTCATATTCCTATTCTGCGCCTTTTAGCCAATTCTACACCCCTAACTCCATTTAATACCAATCAATATCCCCTTATCTCGGAAAAACGAGAATTACCCCCCCCCCTAGTTAAATACCCCCTATTCCTTAATTAAATTAAAACTTTACTAATAAGGTAGAAACTCTAATATTTTTATTAAAACACCCCTATTAACTTTATTAATATTAATAATAAATTATTTTTATTATTTAATTAAATAAAAATAATACTATATTAGTTTTATATAATTAATTTAAATTTAACTTATAAAAATATATATAATCTATTTATTTTAATATAAAATAATATTAGTTTAGTTAACTTTATAAATAATATTATTAAATTAACCTATTAAGCCTAAACTATTTAATACTTATTATATAAAACTTATTTAAGGAATTAAATTATATAATTTATTAATAAAAATATTATATTATTTAAATAATTATATACTTAAAAGCTAATTATTAAAATAACTAAGGTCTAATAAATTACTTAAAAGTATTTATAAATACTCTTAAAACTATTTAAAATAAGGTTATTATAATAAACTAAATAATTTAAAAATATAAAAAATACTATTAAAGTTAATAATAAAAAAATATACCTAATAATAAAAAAAAGGCTTTAAAAGGTATTAATAATAAAACCCTTTTATTAATAAAATAGGGTTTTAATAAATAATATTAGTAATAATATTAAATACTTTAAAAGTTATTTAATTAACCCTTTAATATAAATATATTTAAATAAACTAGCTTTAATTTTATTTATTAAAATTTATAATTTAAAAGTTAATATTATTTTTATTATATAACTTAAAAATAAACTATTATATTAAAAAAATAAAAGTTAAAAATTTAAGGCCTTTTATTAAATTATATTAATTTATTTAAAAACTTAATTAAAAGAAAATATAAAACTATTTAAATATAATTATTAAGTTAAAAATATTTTTATTAAGGTTAATTAGCTTATAAATTAAAAGTTTTAACTTTATAATTAAAAATTATAAAAAAATATTAATAAAAATTAAAATACTTAACTATAATAATATTATAAATATACTCTTTAAATTCTAAAAATCCTTCTTTCTTTAATTCTTATATAATTATAAGGTTATATTACTAATATAAAAGTTATAAATATCTATATTATAAGGTAATTACTTAACTAAATAACTACTAATTAAAGTCTTTTAACTATTACTAGTTATTTAATAAATAACTACCCTAAAAATAGCTTACTAATAATTAGGTGAGTAGTAAATATAAATATACTTAATAAAAATCTAAACCTTAAAACTTTTAATTTATATTAATAATTACTAAATAAAAGTTAAAATAAAGATAAAAATAGACTTTATATAAAAAATATAAATAATTAATAAAAATATAGCTATATTTTTAAATAATTATTATAAAATTAATTATTATTATTAAAATAAAAGAAATTCTTTATAATAATAGTATTTTATTAGGTAAAATAATATATATATTAACTTATTTAATAAAAACTTAAAAATTAATTTAATATAATTATAATAAATAATATTATAATTAGGTACTTATTAAAAATCCTTTTAATTACTAAATAGCTTAAATAGAACCTAATAAAAGGAGCCTAATAATAATAGGTTAGTTTTATTCCTTTTAAAAAAGTAATAAAAATAAAAGTAAAAAAGTAATATTAATATAATTATTAATTTATTATTTAATATTAATTTATTTAAAGTTAAGTATAGTTAAATAGTCTTAATAGGGTTACTACTATTACTATTATTATTAGTTTTTTTTTATAGGTTTAATAGGGCTTTACTACTATTAATAATAATAATAATAATGCCTAAAAGTCTATAATGGAGGTAGAGGTTATTAATTATTTTCTTATTATTATTACTATAAGTAAAAAGAAATAAAATAGTTTTATATTAAAAGTTTATTATAAAAATATTTTAAAAGTATTTTAAAACCTATTAAAAGGGTTTAATTTAAATAACTTATAAAAATTATAAAATATAAAGGGCTTAATTTTTATAGGCTTTATAAAAAAGAATATTTAATTTAATAAATATAGCCTAAAGGTTATCTTATTAGTTAAAATATTAGTTAAATTATATTTAAAAAGAAAAAACTTTACTAATTTCTTTAATAATAATAATAATAAAAAAACTTATTATTATAATAAAGGTTATTAAATAGCTATTTAATAAACTATTAAGTAAATATTAAAAATATATACTTTATAAAACCTATAAAGGTTGCCTAACTAATTAATTAGCTTTATTTAATATTAAATTTTATAATTAAATTAGCTATTTAATAAAAATTAAAAGCCTATTAAAATAGTCCTTTTATTTAATAAGGTAAAAAGTTATATAATAAATTTTAAAGGACTTTTAAATAAAAAAGTAATAATTAAGTATATAAAAGATATAATTAATAATAGAAAGTAATTAAAAAAAAGTTATTTATTTTAAATAAATAAAGTAAATTAAATACCTAATATTAAGTACTTAATTAATTAAATAAATTTACCTATAATTAATTTATTTATTTTAACTTTTAACTATTAATTTAACTATTTAACTTATAAATAATACTTTTCTACCCATATAACTTTATTTAATTAAAACTCTATTAATTTTAATTCTTATAACTTTTAATTAGAATTATTATATTTATTTTATTTTATACTTTCTTTTAATATTTATATATAATAAAAATATCTTTAAATAGCCTTAGCTTTAAACTTAACCTTCTAAATATAAAAATAAAAATTAAATAAAATTTTTATTTAAATTATAATTTAATAACTTATATTAATATTAATAATATAAATAATATTTTAAGTTATTAAAATATACCTTAATAAAATTAAAATTAGGGAGTATAAAAGTAAATATTTATATTTTATATCTCTTATATTTATTACCTTAATTATTTCTACTTTATAATATTAAAAGTATTATTTATTATAAAATTAACTTTAAGTTTAAATATAAATTTATTTTTAATAAAATACTTTTTTAGTTATTAAAAAAACTTTTATTATATAACTTTTATATATTATAATAATAAATAAACTATTTAATATAATTATAAAAGAATATAAAAATAAGCCCTTTATTTAAAAAAACTTTTAACCTATAAAATATACTTAATAAATATTTAATTTATTTTTTATATTATTTTATTTATTAAAACTAAACTTATTAATAAAAATAAATATTTTTATTATATAGCTTAATTAATATATTTATTAAAAATAGTAATTATAAAGCTTTTATTATATTAATAGGTTAATATATATATCTATTTATTACTTTATATATAAATTTTAAAAGTATTACCTATTATTTTATAATAATATTAATTTATAATTATTTAATAAAAATATTATATTTTATTAAAATATAAATTTAATTTATTAAGTAAAAGATCTTTTAGCTTTTAATTTATATAATTTATATATTAATTATATTTTATAATATTATTATAAAAGTAGGCTAATAAATTTTTATAATTTATCACTTTAATTTAATTATATTTAATAGTAATAATAATAATATATTTAAAATAATTATATAAATAATAATAACCCTTTAATAGTATTTTTAACTATAATATAATTAATTTTAAATTTAATTTATAGTTATTTATTTAGTAAAAATAGGTTAAAATATAAATAAAACTCTAACTATTAAAGTTTATAGTTTAATAGGTAATAGCTTACTATTATTAACCTTTTTTTTTCCTTTTTTAGGGTGTAGATGGTATTAAATATGATATTCTATTAAAAATGTAGGGTTTTCCGCCTTATTAATAAAGTTTTGGTTTAATTAAGGAATAGGGGGCATTTAACCGGGGGGGGGGCAACTCTCATTTTTCCGAGACAGCCAATTTGAATCCTAGCTACCTTCTTCCCAACATCACAACCGCAGCACTTACGGCATTAGGCTGATTGATCCCTCAACCGACAACATCAGACCCTGAACAGCCGAAAAATAATCGCGGATCGAAAATGATCTCCAAACTGTTGTCTGTTTTCCTTCTGCTCTCAGTAGTGATGGGATTGACTTCCTATCAGCTGTCTCGGGATGCTTCTGCCTTCCAACAGCGTAATCTCGACACCATCAACAAGATCTACAACGTAACCACCTTTCCGAACAACCTGGTTTTCCTGCAGGGCGGAGTGGATGCCATCCCCGATGGACTCTTCGCAGATGACGTTGTCGGCCGACATCTGGAGTCACGCCCCTTGGCGACTTCAGCGGCAGTATGTGACTTCCTATTCGTCTATCTAGAATATCGCTTCATGAGAACCTTCGAAAACTCACATGTGCACCGCACAACATTTCGACACCCTGGGCCTACATGGGCAGCGTCTAACTGACGATCTGCTTGACGCCCGTCTTCCCAATCCATTCAGCAGTGCCGTCGACAGAGGGTCGACGCATCTCGATCCCCAGAACCGTCTCGATGAAGCTTCGCTTGAGCACACTCTTCTTCCGTCTCGCCAAGAGCTGGGCCGTCTTGAGTATGTTCTTGATCTGGCGGCCGTTGAGCTCCAGCTTGGCCAACTGCTCCACATCCTGGTCTGTGACCTCGGGCTTCTGCTTGGCGGCCGAGAGGAAATTGCGCCAGATGTGAGCGCGCGACTCGGCCGTGAGGTCCGGGTACTCGAGCGAGACATGGATGCGGGACTGAAACGCCTGGTCGATGTTATCCACGCGGTTGGTGGTCATGAACAAGATGCCCTCGTAGTACTCGAGGGTGCGCAGGAAGATGGAGACGACCTTGTTGCGCTCGAGGTCGTGTGTAGACCGCGCCTCAAGGAAGACGTCGCACTCGTCTAGCAGCAGGATGGCGTTCCACCGCGCGACCAGCTCGAGGATCTGCGACAGGCCCTGCTCTACCTCCCACGGCTTGGAGCCTAGGTCGCCCGAGCTGAGCGTGTGCAGCGGCACGCGGAGGTTCTCGGCGACCGCCTCGGCCGTCAGCGTCTTGCCTACGCCTGGGGGGCCGGACAGGAGGCAGATTATGCCCTTGCCCTTGCCCGAGATGACGTCGTCAAAGGTGTCCCCTCCGTCTAGTTGAGACTCTGAGAAGGCCATGATGAGCTCCTTCTGGTCGTCTGGCAGCACGAGCTTTTCGAAAGCGTCCTCGTTCCACTTTATATCATCAACTTGCTCGACGTAGAACTCGAGCCACTCCTTGCGCTTGAGAGAATAGCCGCGAGTGCGAGAGCGTGCGAGCATCTGGTAGTACGGCGTGAGCCTGAGATGGCCATGCTCGGAGAGGCCGTGCTGCCGCCGGTGTTCATATAGACGCTCCAGGTCCTTGGCTTTCCAATCAGACGGCCGGCGCCGACGCCACATGTTGCTGCGGTTGAAGGAATGGATGTCCACGACTACGCGACCGCTGAGCTGGATCGGGACCTCATTGTTCTGCTGGTCCCAAGTGATCGCAGTGCCATCATAACTGACAAGCAGCAGCATGTTAGCATCCACTCCACAAGATAGCGTTCAAGCTTTGAGATCACATACGCTTTGTAATGGTGTCCTGCCAGCTTTTCAAAAATACTACCCCTCTCTATCAGGCTTGCTGTTATCCCTTTCTCATCCTCATGGAAAGATAGAGGGAAGGCATTCAGGCCAGTGATCTTCTTGATGCCGATGAATTCCGGGACATCAATCCGCTCTGTCACGCGGCCAAACGCCTTTCCGCTGTAGTCAACGCAGTCGGCAAAAAGAGCAAGGAACCTCCCGCACTTATTCTCCAGGTACTCAGATTCTTCCAGCTCAAAAGCAGAGAGCGGTCCTTTATGGGCAGCGAGGACGACGGAGCCAGGCTGGAAGATCATCCTGTATTATGTCTATGAGTAAGACATGGCTTGACGCAGACCAGACAGAGGCACTCACCACAGATGTTCGAAAGTAACGACACCATTGAGAACGTAGTCCTCATAAGCCTTGATGCTGTCACCAATCTCATACTGGAGTATGTCATGCAGAACAACGAGATGCTCCTTGGTCTTTGGGTCCAGATCAGGGCGCTTCATGTACTCGAGAAGCTCGAACCACCGGTGGATGAAGGGCTTGAAGGGAGCCTCAAAAGTCAGACGCTTCAGCTCGCACGCCACACCAGGGTAGTCCTTCAATATGACATCGCCAAGGGCCTTTTGCAGCCAGGGGCTCTGCACGACGATGGAATGAGCCTCGAGCTTCTTGCGGCCGTCCTGGCTCTTGACGTTGCGCACGAGCACGGCATAAGTGTCCGTCACAGCATTCTCTGCTGGTTCCGCTACGTCCTCCGGGTACTTGTTGACCCACGTCCACATGCCGTCCTTGTCCTTGGAAGACTTGTAGATGTTCTTGACCTCGCTGATGGATCCTATAGGGGTGTTCGTCTTTTCCGTATCTTCTTCCTCCGGGACGATGACACCACTTTCTTCGCTTTCCGATCCATCACTAGCATCGTCGCCCTCGATGTTGACATGTTTCATTAACAAGGATAATTCCTCAAGGCTGAGCATGTTGGGAGACTCCTCCTTGTCGTAGTATACGGCAACCTTGGGTTTGATATCTGCCATGACTAGTAAAGTCAAGGACAAGTTCGGCAGGAAATGAAGTTGGAGTCAAAGATCAAAAGCTGCTTTGTAAAACGGTGTGGAAGCCCAAATCTAGTGGTTTGAATCCCCCAAGGACGCATCTGTTCACAGGATATTTATATTCCTGTTGAACCACATTTTAGTCTATCTGCCTTATCTCTGTGTTGGCACCCTTCACTTTGCCCAGGGTGCTATCAAGGCAACAGCTGCATGTCCATACATAGGTAGGTCTTTGGCAGTCCGTTAAAGGGTACTCAGGTATGGATGCAGCATCAGCACTAGATCAAAAACAGGCTGGAACACGGTGAAACAAGTGGGTGGCTGCAGCTGCTGCCTACAAGTTCTGTCTTGTCCTGCAGCATGGAAGCTGGGATTGGTCACATTCAAAGCACATATAAGCAGGGCCACATGCTCAAGATTGTCAAGACATGAGGACATGGGCAATAGTGCAGGTTGGGAGCAAGTACTCCAAGGTTTGCTGGCAGTGGATCAGCACAAGAAAAGGTACTTAAATAGTTATTGGACGTGAAAGTCATATTTTGCCACTTGCACGAAGCTCCATGCACAGAGATGCACTAGCTGCCTAGCACCGTCGACACTACTGGCCGGGCTGGCAGGCAGGCAGGCTCCAATGTGCTGCTTTTGACACAGCTGGTGAGCTGAAAATTCACATGTAAGGACAGGTTTTGTATATTCTTCACGATGCTGCTGAGAATCCTGGACCTTCCAATGACGCGGAGATGCAGAGGGGTCTTGAATGGGGTGTGATAAAAAGACTGCTGCCTGCTTCACAGTACAATTCACGATTCGAATTGTCCTGTTGGTTCTCCTGCAGCTACATGCTGGCTCATGCAATCCTTCTGTTTTGTATAGATTTCAACTCGAGCAGCAATATGTTCAAGATGGTGGTCATTTCTTGGTCATCAGAGTCCAAGTACTTCAAGTTTCTAGTGATGCCGTCTGCAGAAAGATAGAAGGCATAAAATTTTGGGGTTAAAGTATTCTGGGTGGAAAATGGTAAAATTTGCCAGCCCAAGTCACACATATTGTTGGAGCATTGTTGTGTCAACATCATGGCTCAGTAATTTGTCGGGCGACATCTGAAGCTTGGCGTTGGTGGCGTTTACGTTCCTGGCCGGAGCCAACTCGACCAGTGGCGCCGTTGGAACAAGGGGTCGAGGCAGCGAGACAGAAATCCCACTGTACTTTGTAGTGTTCGTGCGGTATTTAATCTAATGCACGGGGTGGGCAACTGTGGCATCGCAGGCGGTGAGGACCTCGTAAGACCCGGCGACAAGAGCATCTGATGGACAAAAGAGGACAGCAGAGTCGATAGTCTTAAAAGATGGTCTTGGTAGAGGAGCCCATCGTGGGGCGGGCCACGTTGTCAGGTTGTCTAGACGGGTGGGAGGACATTATTCGATGTTTGGATCGAGAGGCCCACAACTTTGGCTTCAGCGCCCTACCACAGTACAAGCACTCGGTAGTATGTCCCAGGGACCAGCCAGCTGCCAGCGTGGGACGGACGGTCGGGGGCTGAAACGGCGGGCTAGCGGGCTGGCGGGCTAACCTGAGGTCCAGTAATGCCCCGGCCCCTGTCCACGGGTAATGAGCTGTCATTAGAGCATGTGGGGCCCGGGACAGGCCGTCCCTGCAGACGCCAACCGGATTCAACCCCCAAACCAGCCAGCCAGCCCTGCTTGGAATTCTGGCCGCCCAGGTACCGCCGAAACGAGTCGATCAGGGGGAGAGCGCATAGCTATCTCCTCAGTCGTCGGATTGCACGGTTCACCCACAAATGGCCGTTGCGTTGGTTGCCTCTGGGGGTGGGGGAGCTTTTGTCCAGGCTCCTCTCCTCCTCCAAGGCTGATCCTTTCTTCCTCGCAATCCCCATCACTCTCACCACCACCGCAGCAGCCGGTGAGCATCGCCAGCCATGGCATGGCAGCCATGGGAAAAGTTCAAGGCCGACCATCCCGCCGCCGCGGACCGCATGGCTGAATCATGGGCCGCCGTCCGGCCATATCTGCCTCCGGTCAACTTCATCACCATGCATTATGCCTACTTCATCCTGGTTGGGCTCATCTTCGCCGCCATCTTCTACGGGCTTTCACAGCCGGACCACAGCGTCAGCTTCGTCGACAGCCTTTTCCTCGTCTTGTCCGCCTTCACCACCTCCGGCCTCAACACGGTCGATATCAGTCGGCTCAGTACCGCCCAGCAGGTCATTATCGCCTTGATGATGGTCTTGGGCAGCCCCGTCTTCGTCTCCATCTTCACCATCTGGCTCCGCGCCCGCGTCTTTGAGAAGCGGTTCGAGGACATTGTCGAGGCCGAGCGGAACAGGAGGATCAAGACAACCGGCACCATTGTTGGCATGGCCGGCGCAATGATTGGCCTGCCCGTCATGTCCTCCTTCAAAGGATCAAAACGCAAGGCCAAGAAGAGCAGGCACGAGCGCAAGGCCGACGCAGACGCATTCCAGCTATCCGGTCTCCGTTCTCGCGAGAAGGCCCACGACCGGCCGCAGAGCCAGTCCACGAACCAGGACGGTGCACAGCCCAACATACTGGAGCCCATCGAGGAAGGCCAGAGGCTCGACGTCTCCACCACCTCCGCCGCCGAGCCGCTCTCCCCCAAGTCCAACACTACTGCCAGGAGGAGGCCTTTCAGCCGTGACGAAGGCCGCCAGTCCATCTCAGAGGGCTTCGATTTCAGGACCTTTATCCACGAGAACAAAAAGTCCGTCGGTAGGAACGGCCAGTTCTTCGACCTCACCGAGGAAGAGCGCGAGTATTTGGGTGGAGTCGAGTACCGTGCCCTCAAGATCCTCTTCACCATTGTGTGCATCTACTTTGTTCTCTGGCAGCTCCTCGGGGCCATTACCCTCGGCGCCTGGTCTTATGTGCATAGCCAGAGCATCACGGCCGTCAACTCCCAGAACTCCTGGTGGGCTGGCATTTTCCTCGCCATTTCTTCCTTCAACAATGCCGGGATGACGCTCCTCGATGCGGGCGTGGCAGCCTTTGACAACGATGCCTTCGTCTTGACCATTGTGACCATCCTTTCCCTCGCTGGAAACGCCGCCTTCCCCGCGTTCCTCAGGGCAACTGTCTACTTCTGCAGCCTCGTGTTGAAGGTGGCCGATCGCGATGACGAATACACCGTCTGGCAGGAAGCCTTCGACTTCATTTTGAAGTACCCGCGTCGACTCTACATGATGATGTTCCCTGCGAAGGCCAATCTTGTCTTTGTCACCTTGTTCTCCGCTATTGCCGTCATGGACTGGGTCTTGTTGTTGGTTCTCAGCATCGGCAATTCTGCCATTGAGGCGTACCCGGTTGCAAAGCGAGTTGGGCTGGCTGTCTTCCAGGCGTTAAGTAAGTCACCTACCTGAAAGCTTGATAGTAAAACTTGAATTGCTAACGTCCTTACCACAAGCCATTCCTTCGGGAGGTTTTGCTGTTGTTCCAATTTCAAGCCTCTACTTCGATGTTCTGGTCTTGTGGGTCATCGTCATGTACATTTCCGCGTATCCAGAGATTATCGTCATGAGAAACTCAAATGCAAGTGGAACCTCCTCCAAGGCACTATACAATCGCATTCGTGATCTCTAGCCACCCATCTCCTGCAAATGAGCCACGCGTCTCGCTAACCGGACCCAAGGTGTACGAAGAACGGTCGCTAGGAATCTACACGACCGAACCCGAGAAGAGCGAGGAAAAGGACCCAGCTGGAAATGAGTCGACAGACGAGCTGCTTCCAACCTTTGGGCCTCTCCTGTCCCCACCGACGTTTGGTCATGCCCTTGGCCCAGAGCGGACAGCAATCTCCACGTCAGCCGTGTCACAAGCAAAGTCAGGCATCTCCGCCAAGTCCGTCAAGAAACTAGCCGCGGTGGGCCGGCGAGGCACCTCCTTCGTGGGCAAGCAGATCCAGAACAGGATGAACAACTTCCAGGGCGTGGGCGTGACGCCCAAGCCGCGGCTGAAGCGGGCCGCCGAGATGAACTTCGACAACCCCTCCGCGGCGCCCATCTCCACGTCGACGCCCGAGGGCCACGTGAGCCTGGTATCACAGCACCTCCGCGGCCAGCTGTCGCACGATATCTGGGCCATCGCCCTGGCGCTGTTCCTCATCACGCTCATCGAGACGTCCCACTCCATCGCCGACCCGCGCTCCTACAGCGTATTCAACTTCATGTTCGAGATCGTCTCCGGATATACCAACATCGGTCTTTCGATGGGCCTGCCGGATCACTCGTTTAGTTTTTCGGGCGGCTGGTATACTGGGTCCAAGCTGGTTATGATCGTGATGATGATCCGTGGCAGGCACCGGGGTCTGCCCGTCGCGCTGGACCATGCCGTTAAGCTGCCTGGGTGGGAGAACGTCAAGAAGCAGAACGAAGATGCCGAGATCAGAAGGATCTTGGGTAAGAGTCCGACGAGCCTAGAGATATAGATTTTAGAATAGACTTGTTTGCCTCTTCAGTTGCGCAAGACAAAATATTAGATTTTATTTCCAATTCAAGACGGCCGTCCAATGTTGCCAAGTGCTGCTCAACATGGCCACTTCCCGTCTGACCAAGGGGCTGCCACAAATGTTCTTGGGAACTTGGGACATCACTGCCCAGGTGGCTGCATGTGGCTACCTGGGTAGGGTTGGATTCATACTCAAGAAGATGAGTTCCCGGGTGAGTCTTTCGTTCAAAAACGGTAAAACAGTTTCCAATTGTTGGCACGCTTTGAAAATTCTACCCACAGTACTTTAAAGTTGGTTCTTTGTAAAGGGCTATTTAATTTCCCTAGGCAAAAGATTTACCTACACAATACAGATTCAGACTAGAGTTAAAACATGTTGTGGGGCGATGCAGATACTCACAGCTTTCCTGAGAATTTAGTTGAAAAGCCTCCTTGGGTACCACACTATCTGCTATTTGTTCGCGTGGACTTCTCAATCAGAACCTTCGTTCTACTCGAAATGAGCATCAAGTCATTGACAATCAGCACAGTTTCATTGTGTAGCAGTGCACGACCACTAGACCTCTTCAGTCTGCCTCTAGGTCCAAGAAACTACAAGTCCCATCCCTCAATCAATCAAATTGTATACCTCCCATCCACTGTGTAAAGGTGCCATGTATGTATTCGGACGTATTCGGAATAGAAGCGAAACCAAACACCTCCCACCGCAATCACCATCCAGTCTCCCTTACTGGCCTGCCCAGCACGAGCTGCTGAGGCCTTTGTGCTTGGTGGGGTCGAGTAATGGGTTAGCTGCCTTGAGTTTCTTCTCCTCTTCAGAAAGAGGGCCAATTGTGCAATTTGAATTCTTTATGGCTGGGGTCTTCGTGGGGAGATCGTTCTTATGCGTGATTGTGTTCTGGCCTGACTCCATCAGTGTCATGCTTGGGGTCTTGCTGCCGGGGCCGTTGGCTCCTGTGCTGGCCTCGTTGGCTTTCTTGGCTTCGTCGATGCCGGCCTGGATGATTTCGGCAGGGTCTTTGCGAGCTCGGCGGCTGGCGGCAACGAAGGCCTGCGCTCCAAAGGCAGAGCCGTCTGTGCTTGCCACCCTGTCCTCAAGTCCTCCTGGGGCCCAGCGGGAATTGACAAGGTTCCTGGGGCTCCAGGTGTCTTCCTTGGGAAGGCTGTTTGAGGTCGGTTTATTTTGGGATGGAGACATGGTGAGGTGTTTCCAATGAAGTATGTGTGGTTATAGAAGTAGATGGCCAAGGTGGATGAAGATCGAGACCATGCTGCTGGACTCGCTGGTTGTCTCACTGTTGTGTGTTGGAGACACAGGTTGGCCTTCGATAGGGCCAAAGTTAAGGTGTTGCTTCTCTGCTGGGATCAATGTTCTGCTGGATGGCAAAGAGATTCTCTGAGAACAGAGTGTGTTGAACAATACCAAACGGATTCTGGTGGTTTCTCTGGAATCTTACTGACATTGTTCTCTCTTTTTCTAAAAAGACAAGAAAAAAGTAAACGGCCGGGTCTTCAGCGTTTACCACTAAGTGAATGTGCCACATAGGTTTAATATGTATGGGGATTAGAAACAAAACCATTTCACTTGACCGTGCAGACAGGTGGGTACATAGGTACCTACTTAAGTACCTATTCTTCAAGTTGACTATGGGAAAGGCATCTGATTTGATTGGTCTACAGCCCACTTGTGTGGACTGGGGGCCCACTCTGTACTTAAGTAGCATTCACTTTCCTGGCGATTGACTGTCTGTTTGTTTTCTTCCATCATCGGGGGCACGGCTGGATTCACTTCTCACGAGGTGGGCCTGGCCATGACCGACCACCCCTTGGGGTGCTCTGATTGAGGCTCACTGCTTGCAAAGACGATATCATCACTTCTTAACGTGTCTACGCTTTGAGTCAGGCCGCTCGGTGGGGCGCGTCTGATCGGGACCATCAGAACACTGTGCACCATTCACAAGGCTGCTGGGGAGCCTTGCTGGTGTGACACGCCGATTTGGCGACGCATGCGAGTTGGCCTCACTTTTTCCAAAGCCACACTTTCTTTTCTGCGGCCATTTGCGGGGCATCCGTGGCGGAGGGTCCAACTCCCACACGTCACAGCAGCGACTGCCGTTTCAACAACGGCAGCACGCGGTGCCCATCGGGTCGGTAGCTGGGGCCTGGCGCTTGGCTGGGAGCTTGCTGGTCAGGAGCTCGCGATCGATCACGCAGCTCCCCTGGACTTGCTGCGCACCTACACTGGCGCGAGGATGATTCCTCACAGCCTGCGTTGTCTCGTCCCTAGCCTTGCAAAGCCGTGCGATGTTGGGTTTCTCCCCGTTCAAAGGTATCGCGAGGGAAGACACTGGGCTGCTGGCGAGAAACAGCCGGTCCTCGGATCATGGTGGCCAAGATACTAGTGGGCGGTCGTTGACCAATTTTTGGAACCACTCGTCCTTGTGGCGTTTGTTTTTCTTTTTCATTGCAGTCGCCAGCTTGCCGGCGATGCGAGGAGGAAGTTGCAGCTTTCTCAAACTGTGGCCAAAAGACATAGTGCTACCAAGCGAAACACATCGTCGTCGTTGAATTCGCGTCTAGCCCGACTTGAGGAAACCGGCAGGTGTCGTCAACAATCACTAGCATCTCTTGGCGGCTGGCTCACAACAAAGGCTGTTCGATATTTGACACCACCAGACCCACGTTTGAGAGCTAATCTCGGGGGCTGAATGAGCGTGATGATATACGGCTTGACTTAGTATACGGTGGTCTAAGGTATGTCAAGTCATCCTCAGCTGCCGCCCCTGCTCATTGTGAGTGCGGTAATTCTTCCCGATCTAACAAATACTACCAGGCTTAGCGATACAACATTTGGACAAACGCACTATCTTCCCCAAATGGACCCATATTTGGCCGAATCAAATCGCCTTACTAGAGTTGACGCCGTCGGCCCCCGTCGCCCACTCATTTGAGTTCACCTCCGCCCATCTCCAGACGTCTGTCTGGCCTCTCGTCAAGGCCAACAGGTGCCTCTCCCAGTAGCCTGTCATCGGCTCTTCAGGAAGAACCTTCATAGAAGGTCTCACAGCAACGCCTGCCGCGTTCTTGACCACGGCATCTGGGTTGAATACCCACCGCCACTGTCCATCACCCCTCTGGAACCTATACATCCAGTTCTCATCGTAACCCATCCCAGTTCTCTCGACCTCCTCCTCCCACCACGCCGCCTGCGGCCCAGTTGCCCGTTCAACCTCGGCGACATCAGCCTTCTCGAGTCTCCAGACCGGCCTGCCCGACCCACCATCTTCTCGCAGGAGCGACGAGCACGGCCACGCGCCGCGGTCGTCCATGTCCATCCCGCCACACACGAGGCGCAGGCGCACGCAGCTATGGATCCGCTCGTCGGTGTTGGTGAGGGGATCATCTGTGTCGGCGTTACTGTCTGGGTCAGCCCTCGTGAAGCAGCCCGGGTGCCGGACGATCGTGCCTGTCGCAAGCTGGAGCTTGCTCTCCGGGTACCGGGTCTGCCCTAGGCCCCAGGGACGGGGGTGGCCAACCTCCCACAGTTGTTGCGGGCTACCATCTGGATGGTGTTCTTTGCCTGGGCAGTTCTCTGTGTCTATGGTCTGATCCTTGGCTGGGGGCGGGCAGAGGGCTGGCGAAGAAGCCCATGGCTTAGGGCTTGGACGTCGATGCTGGAGGAGGGATTTCCAGACGAAGCTTGGTATAAGAGATGTCGGTGGAGGGATGTACGGGTATGGATGAGCCGCATTGTAACGAAGGCCGTCAACAAAAGTTCTCATGAGGCGGCGGGCGCTGAACTCGACGCCGAGAGTGCTGAGCTGATCGCAGATCCCTATGGGTTATCGTCAGCCCCCTTCCTTCTTGCCTCGCTCCGCGCTTGCGATACCTACAGGCAAGCGAGATGTTTGACATCTGCTGATCATACCAGCCACCTCCGACGTCACCGTGGTTTCCCGGGAACCACACCTGCTTCAGGTTCGTCACTTTATTGTCTTCGAGACGCTCCCACAGCGCAGGGCGGAAGGCGGCTCTGGGTTCGTCCAGCGATAAGGCTTGAAATGCGTTCTCGACCTTGCTTGAGACATGGGTGCTCGTGAACTTCCATTGGTCCGCCGATCCTCTAATCCCAAATACGGGCGCAGGAGGAATCCCAAGAGCGCCGACCGTGTCCCATACAGCCACAGCTTTGATTCTGATTTCGGTCGAGTTGTCGCGATAAGTATCGCGCGTCCACGATTTCTAGCACGTGTTAGAAAAGTTGTCTTCTACATTGGTTCGTTTATTCAAAACTCACGGATTTCAACCACTGCTTGTATTGATCCTTGCGCTCACTCTCCCATCGAACCTTGGCCGGGCCCTTCTCCCCGTTATAAGGTTTGAGGTCGGGAAACAGGAATTCCTTTGTAGATTGCTTCTCGTCGCCTATGTTCTCATAATCCCTGAAGATCGGAAAGAACCTGTCCATGCCTTCTGTCGTCAGTAGTCCGACCGAAGCTATCAGGTCTGCCACGGAGCGAGCAGTGAAAGCCCCTCTTGAAAAGCCGACTAAGATGATTGAGTCTCCATCTACATAGTTGGCGCAAGCGAAATTGTAGCACTCTCGAATGTCCTGGATGCTGTCAGATCAAAGACGGTAAAGCGCATATAGTGATTTCGGTCACCAAAGCTCACTTGGTCCAATCCTTCACCAAATGCGCCTCCGGTGAGCATGTCGAGCTTGGAGGGACCGGTCCCCACGCCTGGAGAGTACATGATTATCTGGCTGGCCCCATCTTTACAAAACCGCTTCAGGCTTCGTGAGAGCTTAGTTCTAGCAAGTCTTCACATCAGCCGTGCATTCAAGTATCCATTACATCTGACGAGAGTTGGTTTAGGCAACGTCCATCAGGCCTTGCCTTCAATGTGTTGGTCTCAACGGAATTTGGCAAGCAATTCCGTTCCCCGGGCAGATTTTCGAGGGCAAACTGATAGCACGTCTACGGGCCAAGGTCCCTCAAGTCAACTCACACGTTAGATGGGGGCTCATCCTTTGGGCCCAGAGAATTGACCCATGTCCCATCACAGCATATGAAAATCCGTTTCGGCTTGTATTGGCGGCATTGGTCGGCTCTCGGATCCATACCGAACGATTGTTCCCGAAGAAACTGGTGCGCGAGGCAGATTGAGTCGGTTGCAAGTTGACTGGGAATTGTAGACTGTTTAAACCAGATGCGTTATAACAGCAGTTCCCATGTTCGGCATCGGGGCGGGCCATGCAGTGTATATATTGGCACAGAAGTACCACCCACCCTCCTTTGATTGCATCCGCCTCGAGTGCTGTTTTGTAGCAACCAGCAGCGCGCCCAGCCTTTTTGGGGGTTGCATTAATTAGGCTCGCGCAGGCGTGCAGCGCAGTATTGGGCAATTGGAAGGGTGCCGATTAATCAGCGCGAACGAATGACAGGCAGCCAGGGCAGCTTGCAGTGGCTGTCAGCGGCGCGGCGCAGCGCGTTGACAGAGACAAACCGGGCGCCATGCTCGTTGGCTGAAGACGATCAACACTCCCTTGGGAATCTTGTGACAGGTCCTCAGAGGCTGAGATCCATCCGACTATTTGAGCTAGTAAAGCCCACTGATCTAAGCCACTGGGAGGTTAGGAACCCGTCCGCTTGAGAATGTTGGTGTCAGGTCCGATCGATAGTGCGAGCCCATGGCGCTGGGGCTTTGGAACATGGCGGCGATGGTCTCTGGCTGTGCGGGCAGGGCTGGCAGGCAAGGCAGGGTACTGTATGTAGCACATATGGCAGGTACCTAGGTAGGTATGTAGGGAGGTACCCAGGTGCCAGGTGCCTAGGCATTATGTAGGTACGGAGTGCTCCGTGTAACGCTGGCTCAGCTTGGGCGTGCCCACGGCTGTCGCCCGACTCCTCCTGACTGCGACGCTCGATGGCCCCCACCCACTGCATAGCCGTCTGGGTCGGTAGGTCTATACGTGTACTTGGTTGAGTACTTGGGTTACTACCTAGGTACCTAGGCAGGTATTATTTCTGGCCTTCACCTGCAGCCTAGCAGGCACACCAACCGGACAACGGGGCAACCTACGACCAAGCTTCCTTACCTGGACCAAGCTTGCATTGGTGCCGCCCTTGAGTTCTGCCTAGCATAGCTTCCGTTGGTCGGCAACCCGCTTGGCCTGGCTGCGGGACAAGGTTGGCATTTGGCAGGCACACTGCCGCGCCGCTGCTTCCCAATGCTTCGGTTCAACGCAGCATCAATTCGACCCCGACCAGCACAACAAATGCCGTCCGATTCTTGCGAGGTCCTGCAAAAACAACCTCATGCAGAGGCTCGTGTCATTGTTTCGGCTTGTCTCACGATGTGCGGTTGCAGAGCAGAGGTCGTCAGTCGCCAGTCGTCTGACGGGAAGGGGCTGGTGGGTCCACGCCAGCAGATGACATCACCCTCGATCTGTCACGGGCCCGACGGTAGTATGATATCACAAACCCAAACCCGTCCAAACCAGAACTTACACCCCGGCTTCCCGGATAGCAGTTGAACCGCAGCTGCAGAGCCAGAACGGCCGGTTCGTCGACTCCTACCCCCCGATCACAGCGCTGCTGATAGCCCTTGCCACGATAATCCAGCTCTTGGCTTGTCCCATACACACGTCACTTCACCTATGACCCCTGAGTGCGTGCTACCTCAGGTCCGTTCTTTCGAAGGCAACCTAGCCTGCTCTGCAACGTGCCGCAGCTTGACCCAGAAAGTAAACAGCATCCCCCCATCCAAAACATGTTTATGAGGCAATACTTCCACAGCTCGCCTTTACACTGAGCTAGTCCCTCATCGTCTGCAATTGTCTATACGATTGTAACATCATGGACGAGAGGCAGGACCCGCCACAAAGAGAAAAGGAGGATGGAGAGGCCGTCCCACCCGTCGACGCCGAAGCCCTCGACGAGAAGCCAAGGGCCGCTCTGCACTCAGACCAGAAACCGAAACCGGGCCCACACGAACGATATTCTCTCGATGTCGGCAGGAAGCCTGACCTGGCCAACCAAACCAAAACTGAGAGATCGCACAGTTTGCCAGCTCTCAACGATCAGCCTCAGCAACCACAGTCGCCGCCTCCGACCCATGCCTCTACCAGTGGCAACGCTTCACGCCAGAGACCAGTGCGGTCCAGCGCTGAATTCGACAGACGTTTTGACGGGCCCTACGCAAGGCCCAGCATATCTATCGCACGGCGCAAGTCGTCTCACCAGGCCCGCCTTGACGCCGAGCAGGTCGTTGAGGCCGTCGAGGGCCAAGACCACCAGGGCTCGGATGCCTCGGCCGCATCCGGCGCGGCGCCGCGGGTGCTCGAGCCCAGGCCGCCGCCTCTCAACTACACCCTGCACACGCGGTACTGGGCCATTTTTATCTTCTGGTTCTTCATCATATTCGACTCCGTCGTCATGCCCATCGCCTTGTACTTTGGCTTGTGGTACGGCGTCGGCCCCGGGAGCGTAAAAGAGGGAGAGGAGTCGACCATGTCCGCCAACACCGTCTACACTGTTGTCACAGCCGCCATCGGGGGTGCTAGTATCCTTGAGTACTTTGTGCGGTTCTGGAGGCTGTGGAAGAAGGACAGCGTTTGCCGAGTCATCGGTGCGCATAGATGGTATCTCGATGCCTTCCACTGGAATTACACCCTGGCTTGGCTTATCATCATGGTTGAGTTGATAGTGTGAGTGCCACCGGTTTCTTGCCTGCCTCTCATGTGTTTTGGTACCAGGCTGACCGAGACTCCCCTCAACAGCGGCACTGTCCAGGAGTGGCCACCAATCCGACTGGTCGCTATGCCATTGACCACGATGCTCTACACTTTCGGCACCGAGATGCTCATCGTCGATATCCTCCGCGTATTCCGCATCCCTGCTCCTTTTCGTCTGTCATCCATCCCGAAAGGTGCCCAGTTGCGACCGTGTGTGTACACTCTCATCGAAGACATATGCGCAGTGGATGGCTCTGGAGGGACGGACTTTCGGGAGGCTCTGAATAGGAGGTACGAAGCGAGCCACATTTTCCGCACGATGCTGCGGCGGCTGGGAGTTTTCTGGGCTGTTGGAGCTCAGGCCATGGCGGTCGTCTGCACCATTCTCATCTTCACGGTCAGCGAAGATGCAGCCTATGCTATCGGCTGGTCGGTACCCTTTGGATGGGCTGGAGTGTGGGCGGCGGCTACCATCTGGTATGTGAAGAGAGAATTAAAGAGAGAGAAGGCCCATTGGATCGCCGAAGCATCAAAGAGCACAGCCTGACCCAGGTTCGAGGATGCGGAGCCGGGAACGGTTCGGAATTCAGTCAAGACCAAATAAGACAACAGACAATTGGAACTTCAATTACAGAAATTTTACCGGCAACTCATTCAACCAAGGTGAAACTGGTACATGTGCTCGCCGCACCAACATCTGACATATTCTCTGACTTGTTGGTGCCGTTGCGGCCTTGGCAACCAACATGGTGCCTGCCTCGGCCACTGGTTGTGGTTCCAACAGCGGTCTACCAACCATTTGTGGAAAGTGACCGGGTCAGTCGGGCTGGCCGTGAATTGGACGGCCATGTAACCCACAATCTAGATCTTTCATTTCAGACCCAGATTTCCTGCCATGTCCATTGGACCAAAAGTTGGCTCACCGTCGGTCCTCCGGCCGTCATTGCAGCTTCGGCACGGGGAGGAAAATGGTGGAGTGGGCGCCAAAAGGGGCGGCTGTTGGTGTAAGTGCCAAGACCGACCTAGGCGGCTACTGGGCATGCTCATCTCGGTTGTCGACATTGCGGCTGGCCGAGCCTTCTTTCGGGATCGATGCAGGTCGATGAAACCAGAGGATGCAGGTGATCAGGAGTCAACGCTGTGGAAGGAATACTCCATCGTCTTAACCGCCATCGCCCGCCAGCCCGTGCGCTATTACGGTGAGCCAAGCCTGTCAAGGAGCCAGAAACACAATCTAATCGTATGGTTGATGCAGAGCCTCTCGCCCGCCGAACTCTATGGCCCGCGACCGACGGCCAAGCTCTGGAGATCCTGTCGATCCTTGGGGCTTGGCACGATGATGGAATCCCGGCCACGCGGGTACAGTCGATCACTTTGTGCATCACTCGCCCACCGCCACACAGCATAAATCTCTGTGTCCAGGACCGCATCCATATGACAGGCTAGCTCGCATTAGATCAATGCCGCCTTGTGCATAGATGGATGGGGACTGATGGGACTGCTGGACCACGGGTACAAGTTTCTGCATAAGGCCTACCGAGGCGCCAAGGCTTTCTTCTTGAAACGCAAAGGAGGGGCTCCACGGAAATTTACCAGAAATCCCTCCAGCAGACCAAACAGCCCGCATTCCCAATTCGAGGATTTGTTTCCGGTCAAGGATTCAGGGGATACTGGGCAGCCTGGGCTGGCGATGGCGTCTTGCCCACGACCCCCACCCAGCCCCTGAGCGGTAAGTGCGGCGCGACAAGAGCTGCAGCCTCAAGGTGACATCGCGAGCAGCCGGCCTGCCTGTGGCTGCTCTGCTGCTCAGGGCCTGAGGGCTCGGGCAACTGTGAAGTCTCGTCGAAATGAAACAACGCCCAAGGTCGGCCCAAAGGTCAGAAAGCGTCTGGCTGTAGGCTGGAGCCGCCCCCAGGAACCCCTGGGCCCATGTGCTGCAAGTTTGGGGGGACTGGGGCCGTCTTGCCGTTAAACGAATAAGCGATAGGTGGAAACAGCCCTGTCAGCGCGTGCGACTCCATCAAGAGCCTCAACCTTGTCGGTAACCTTGTTGCCAAGACGGCCGAGCCTGGTCCTGCTCATCTTGTTTACACCATATCGGTAATTTTCTGGGGCCTCGCCCTGGACCCACGATTGCAGCGCCCCCATCCCCTTTCCATGGCCCAGCGTTTGCAACGGAGAGGCGGCGAGGCGGCAAGGCAGTCGAGGCCCATGACACAACCCCAGAGCGCCCAGGGGGGGCATGGCAGTCGGGGGTCCCGTCGTCCGCGATCATCATAAGAAGGGCACGTCGTCGGCCGAGAGAGGACTGACTTTTTTGCTTTCTCTCCAGACTCTCTCGTCATCAACTCACCACATTCATTCTTTCGAAGACACTCCTTCGGGCTTCATTCTTTCGCTCGTCGCTGTATTGACTGCAGTAGATTCATTCACTCCGCCAGCCGGTTATTCATCTCACATCACACCACTGCACATCGATTTGTTTAGGTCCCTTCAGTCCAACAGAAACCCAACCTTCAAAATGCCTGCCAAGTCCCCTCTCGCTCTTGTCCTGGCCGCTGGCGCCAGCCTCGTCTCCGCTCACGGATACGTCTCCTCCTGGGAGATCGGTGGTGTCACCTACAAGGGTTTCGACGAGCAGTGGGCCAACGGCAACGGCCAGGCCACTGGTGACAAGTTCATCGCCTGGAGCACCACCGCCTCTGACAACGGCTTCGTTGCCCCCGATGCCTACGCCGACCCCGACATCATCTGCCACCGTGATGCCACCAACGCGGCCCTGAACAACGCCACTGTTGCCGCTGGTCAGACCATTAAGGCCATCTGGAACACCTGGCCCGACTCTCACCACGGCCCCGTGATTGACTACCTTGCCCCCGCCGACGACCCCACCTCCGTTGACAAGACTACTCTGTCTTTCGTCAAGATCCAGGAGGCTGGTGTCATCTCCGGCTCCAACCCCGGCAAGTGGGCTTCTGACGAGATCCTGGCCAACAACCTGGCCTGGGAGATCACCATCCCCGAGGGTACCCCCGCCGGCAACTACGTTCTCCGTCACGAGATCATTGCCCTGCACTCGGCCAACCAGGCCAACGGTGCCCAGAACTACCCCCAGTGTGTGAACATCCAGGTCACTGGTGGCAGCGGCTCCTTCCCCGCCGGTACCGCCGGTACTGCCCTGTACCAGGCCGAGGACGAGGGTATCCACTTCAACATCTACCAGGACTTCGCCTCCTACCCCATCCCCGGTCCCGCTCTGGGCTTCAGCTCTTCCGGTGCCGCCCAGGGCTCCGGCTCCTCCGCTCCCGCTCCGGCTCCCGCTCCCGCTTCCAGCGCCGCCGCTACTCCCACTGCGGCTGCTACCCCCGTCGCCCCGGCCCCGGAGGCTGCTGAGACCACCACCTCTGCCAGCTCTGCTGCCGCCCCCGCCGCCACCAAGGCCGCTTGCAAGAAGCGCCGCCACGCCCGTGACATCCAGGCTTAAATTGCCTCCATGTCTTCAGCTGCTGCTTCCCCTTGGGAAGTAGTGCGAGGCTCGCTTGTGGCCACCTTTTCTCACCATAGAGGAGTGATGGAGTGATACCAGGGATTTATCTAGACCATGCTTTCCGCCGTCTTTTCTGACTGGGCCTTTTACAATTCTTGTATAATATTTCTTAGGCGTTGCTCTACAGCATGAGGATACCGGTACTTGACATCATCCTCGGGCTTGGTCTCAGGATAGTATCTTGAGTGTTTGGACCTCCAGTTGTAGAGCAGTCAATCGTCTTGTATTCATAGTGTGATGGAGAGTCAATACAATGAGTACGTCTCAAAACAAAACAACTTGTGTCTCGCTCTGCCGTAAGTCGTGTGAGTGTCTGATCTCGTCTTGGTCAGCTCCCTTGCTTTGTTTCCGCCTGTCACCGATAAATTGGAACGAATCCTTCCACTGAACCCGAGCGGTTGGTCATCAAAAATAGTGTGTGCGACCAACCTTAGAAAATGCAAGTGCAGATATGTCGTGTTGGCCTACGCGTCTGCAAGGTTGTGCCTTTGATATGCCGCCCAGTATATGTCAAGATGAGATTGTTTCCAACGTGCGGCTCGACCAGGTAGATTGTTGGTTGCACAGACCACAGTTGATATGCACTGCACCCTTGCGCTTCACACTCAACCTATCACGTTGGCGTCATCTTATCACTATCATGAAGAGGGAAAACCCTTGTCAAAACCAACCTCATGTTCGAAGGCCTGGTAAGTAGGGGGGGTTCCAAGAGCCCGGTCGGAAGTCAGGGCCGTCATCCTCTCAAATGCGGGCGCCGAGGTGGGCCTTTGTCATGCGTACCTGGGCGTACATGTGATTTCTGTCTGAATAAAGCTTAGCACCGGCGGCTGTATATTCGGTCAAACAAACCACCCTTGATGTTTTGAAACAGGCACGATTTTGTCAGGTCAGGGATGTCAACCGCATCGATTTTCTCTTGGTAAATGGGTATTCTTCGGTGTCGAGTCCTTGCATTGCCGGCATACATACAGGATTTTGATGTTACTTGAATCTATTGCTCGGTCCGAAGGCGTCATGGCCTGCTGATTTTCGATCGAATCAGTATAGCATTGAATCCATCATGATCGCAAATCTCTCGACCGTCTCGTCAGCTTTTTTCGGTCATAAGCAAAAGCTCTTCAAGAAGATGCTTCCATAGTTTGGCCACGGTATGCGAGCCGTGCCCTCTCGTTTCCTCGGTGATGGGCAACACAACAACCTTGCCGACTCCCTTCTTGAGACCACTCCTCGTTTCCCTTTCCAGAATTCCCAGCTCAGGCGGGTTGATCTGATCATCGGCCGTGTTCACCGCAATCAGCGGCGCCGTGATCGTGTGCAAGTCAAGTCGAGGGTCGTAATCGAATGAAGCATCCAGCGCAAAGAGCAGGTCATTTGCATCCGTCGACTCGAGCCCGTTCTGAATTTTGCCCTCCAAGAACGAGTCTGCCGCGTCCCTCGTGGGCGCCTCCGCTTGATACTGAAGCGGGCTCGACGACATGAGCGTGAGGATATCCAATGCGGTGGTCAATCCCGCCCGCGGCTGCTGGTCAAGAGCATAGTCCCCTTCGTTCCACCCGGGGTCAGCCCTGATGGCATCCATGGCCATCTTACGCCACATGCGATTCCGACCGGAGATCTGCACCGGTAATGACGCGAGCGGCATCAGCGCGTCCATGAAGCCCGGGTGCGCCTCGCCCCACAGCCAGCTTTGCATCCCACCCATCGAGGTGCCCATCACCAGCCGCAGGTGCCCGACCCCTAGGTGCTCCGTCAGCAGGCGGTGGTCGGCCCGGACCATGTCCCCGTAGCGATACCGTGGGAAACGGCCCCTCAGGCCGCTGGTGCTGGGCTTGCTTGACCGGCCGTGGCCGATGCCGTCGCGGAGGATGATAAAGTACCTCTGTGCGTCCAGCAGTTGGCCGGGATTGAAGAGCTGCCCAGCGAACTGTGCGTTGAGGAACTGGTCGCCGGAGCCGCCGGTTCCGTGCATGATGAGCACGGCGTTGGTGGCCTTCCCATCTTCCGAGGTCCTCAAGGTGCCGAGGGTTTGGTAATGTAGCCGCAGCTCCGGGAGCGTTTCGCCATTGTTAAAAGTAAAATTTCCAAGAACGCACTCTCCGCGTGTTGCTGGCGGCCAGAGTCCGCTGGCTGGGGCCTCACGGTCCTGGACTGAGAACGCCTCTGCCATTTCTTGCCTCCCGCTGGACAGTTTTGTGGCGCGTGGCAGAATGCCACGGACTACTGTGTAGATGAAAGACGTAGGTGATATGGAGGTTCGGGCTCACCTTCCCAGATAGGCGTAGTCTACACACATGGGTAGGTATCAAGCGGACAACTGCCGGCTACCACATGCCAGTCGCATTCATCAACCTTGTCAGGAACGTCCACCTGCAAAATCCCATACAAACATTGTAAGAGTTGCCTTCAATCATCTTCCGTTATCACTTCTTACTGCCTCTATTTTCCTCCTAAATCCTGAGCCCCATTTCCATATTTCGCTCCATGTCGGGCTCTCATTCTTATGGACTACAACCTTATGAGGCCGAGCCAATGCCACTGCCCAAGACGCTGGTTTACAGATGATTCCAGTCTGGGCTGAATTGGAGCTTCCAGTATGCAATGGTTATGTTGAGCACAACCTGAAAGGAACGTGGGACCACAAGCCGGTGGACATGAAACGCTTTCCGAATGTCAAGCCAACATCCCTGCGGGGCTTCTTTGAGGCTCATCCCGAGCTATAGCGAGGAGTATCCCGAGAACAGAGGGCCTGTTAGGCAATGACACGAGGCCGACCATCTACTTGAGCTGAGAATATTTCCATTCGTCTCGAACATACAGATCGCTCATTGATAAGCAGTCATAACCTGATCGCAAGGCCCAAGACTGCATTGCAGTATCAAATTAAGGAATCTTCTGCTGGGGTGGTGCTCTTTGTGGTATTAATTAAAGGTCCATTTGTTCCCGATATTGTGGTGAATCTTGCCTCTCAAGGAGCATAATTTGATGACAAGGCAGGGACTTTATAACACGCAGCACATTTCCAAGGCTTAGATGCATGTCTTCTTGCGGCTCAGCCCGAACTCGTTTTCTCGTGCGGAAGATGCCGTCCTAGTTATTTTCAGCTGTGTCTGGACCCTCTCCAAACCCTTGGGAAGTTGGGATTGGTTTGTGAGACTTACGTGAGAGTGGCTGCATGGCCATCGAAAGGCTGGTCTCAAAAGCACCCTTGCAACTTTAGCGCTCACTTCTACCTAGGTACAGAGCCGGTCGTGCAGCTTTCAAGGTTGTCACAGCAGTTTCACTCATCACAAATCGCGCGGGAACAACTGACGATGCGGCTTCTAAATGCGCACACATTCGAGTTTGAGGAGTTCCTTGGACAAGTAGGCAATGGTATACCGCCTTACACGATACTCTCCCACACCTGGGGCACGGATGAGGTGACTTTCAAGGACCACACTGAGAGGGGACGGGACAGCACCCACAAGAAGGGTTACGACAAAATCCGTGGCTGTTGCCGCCTGGCAGTGGCTGAGGGTTTTCAATACGTCTGGATCGACACTTGCTGCATAGACAAGTCCTCCAGTGCCGAGCTATCTGAAGCTATCAACTCTATGTTCCGGTGGTACCGCGATGCTGCTATTTGCTACGCCTATCTGGGAGATGTGAGCGGCTCCGAGGACCAGTCTGAATTCGGTGACGGCGATAATCAACCCGATGTCGGTTCGTCTTTCGCCCGCAGCCGCTGGTTCACGCGCGGCTGGACGCTGCAGGAACTCCTCGCGCCTTCCGAGGTCGTATTTCTCGCAGCAGACTGGTCAGAGATTGGTACCAAGAAATCGTTGCGGGGTGCCGTCTCGCACATCACTGGTATCAGTGAGAAAGTACTCCACGAGTGTCTCTGGGACGAATACAGTGTTGCGCAAAAGATGTCTTGGGCAGCTTCTCGACAAACCACGCGGTTGGAGGACGAGGCCTACTGCCTCATGGGCTTGTTCGATGTCAATATGCCTCTGCTGTACGGTGAAGGGCGCAAAGCGTTTTCACGCCTACAACAGGCTATCATGCAAAGGACCGAGGACCATTCCATATTTGCATGGTCGTTCCCCGATGACGAGCATTCGCACACCTTGATGTCCGGCATGATGGCTCCTTCACCACAATATTTCAAGAATTCCTCACAGATCGAGGTCCTGAATGGAAGCCAAGACTATCAGGGTCCATTTGAGGTAGTCAATCAGCTCCTGAGGCTAAGGCTGCGACCGTTGGATGATATCCAGGGAATAATGATACAGACATACGACTCGAATCCGCGCCTGCATAGCGTGGTTGAAGTTCAACAAGGCAGCAAACGACCGCAGGTGACTCCACAAGATACAAGGATGTCTACGCCCCCAGCACGAGATCATCCTCCATTGGTGCAAGGAGCAGACCGAATCCCGAGCTTCTCTGGGCTATCCTTCGAGGATGGCCAAATCATTGAGATCAACGTCGACGGAATCAGTCCTCATTGCTCTACGGATGACGATCGTGATGGTGACTCTCAAGCTGGGGATGAGACCGTGAATCTGACGCCACTTGGTCAGCCCGCTTGGCGATGGTACATCTATGAGACAGTTGCCATCTTGCCTCTCAGATGCCGAGTGGGTCAAAGTGAGCTGGGAATCTTGCTGTCTAAAGGCCCGGCGCATAATATGGGTACTGTGGTGAATCTACGGCTTCACAATCCATCTATCGTCGTGATAGACAAAATCAGGGGAAAGCTGGAGGCTGCTGCTGTGCAAACGATGTATGCTGCCGTCTCAGAGTCCCCAGGGGTTAGATTGCACGATGCATTGATTGACCTCTCCTGGCCTGAGATACGTTACCATTCCTTAAAGATGGCGGGATATCGTGCTGTGACAGAGGCAGGCCCGGCCTGGGTAGTGGAGCCAGAAAAGGACCTGGTCAGGTCTTTACACCCACAAGCTATCGCGCACGGACAAGCTGATTACTTATATGCGCCTGTCGTTTTATTCTATCACCAATCCGGCAAAGACTCATCCTATCCGACAATATTCCTGAGGCTTATGGTTGACAGGGGCAACGACTTGAATAAACTGCCCAACGCACCAAAAACGGAATCTCTTATAATGTGTGATTTGGGTATCTATAACCCCGCAAGCGCACGATCGACAGCGTCAATGGTGGAGGACTTTCGTATCTATAGCGCCAATCTCCTGCAGCAGAGAGCGATAGAGGTCGCATCCGGGCATAATGGCCACTCAGTTGCTGTTAGACTCAGGCAGGGGCATGGGATTTTCTTTGTGAGCGTGTCTTTTCAGAAGGCACATCACGGGAGATTTCAAGCACCAGAAGATATCTCTGACACCCCTGAGATCAGGATTCTTAAGACTCAGCTGTTTTCGAAGCTAAGATCCGCTCGCGGTTCGTTTATCGAGCTATAGATGCTATGCTATACTCAATTTACGAGTTATGATACATCATGAAATAGTCTGTAATTGCCTTGCTTTTATCCTGTCATTGAGTGATGCGGGCTGTGGATTTGCTAATGATGATGTAAAGCTGCTACACAGAAGGGCCAGCAGACCGACAGTAGACGTGTTCAGACATGGCGAACGATCTTTTCTCTCTACCTGGATATAAGGCAGCGTGGCGACTTCTACCTGCAAGGGAAAACCACTGTGAGGAGCGAAAGAGGACTCGGGAGGTGTGATAACACACCATGCTTATGCAAGCTACAGCTTCGACCACACTGCATTCTTCCCCTCTACTATCTATCTACCTACTAGTAGGTATTTCTCTAAGAGAGCGGATATTCACACCTATAAAAACAGATAGTACACCCGTTATTAAAATAAGTATATAGTTTCACTTTTATTCTATATATATTTAAGGATATATATAGTATCTTTAAGTTAACGACCCACTCCACACACCACCCCCTTCCCGCACACGCATTTCCTACTAAAAAGCCCGATTTTAGGCCCTCTCTAATTTATTCTAAAAAAATACTATATATTAGAAATAATATTTATTAAATTCTATTTTTTATTTTAAAAAATAGTAAAAATTGAAATAATTCTAGCCTAGTTCTAATATAGTTAAATAACTATAAATAGATTTTTTTTACTTTTTATATACTATATTAATATTATAATTTTATAGTTAATTAGTAATAAATTTAATTACTTTACTTTATTAAAAAGAATATTTAATATTAATTAGTATTTATAAAAAGAGTTTTTATTCTTAGAATTTTTCTTTAATTAATTATTAAAGATTTAAAATAAGTAGAGTAAATATAGTAGAGAAAAAAGTTATATATATTATTAAAACTAAAATAATTAATTAAAGAAAGATTTTAAAAATAAAAACTCTTTTTATAAATATTAATTAATATTTAATACTTTTTTTAATAAAATAAATTAATTAAATTTATTACTAATTAACCTTAAAATTATAATATTAATATAGTATATAAAAAGTAGAAACAATTTATTTATAGTTATTTAACTATATTAGAATTAGGTTAGAATTATTAAAATTTTATTACTATATAGAATAAAAAAGAGGAATTTAATATATATTTTATTCTTCTTATAATATTTTAATAGAATTAAATAAAAGAGGTGAAAAATCACGGTTTTTAATAGGAAATACGTGTGCGGGAAGGGGGTGGTGCGTGAAGTGGGTCGTTAACTTATATGTGGTTTCGCTTCTATTCCGTATACGTTCGAGGACATACATAGCGCCTTCATACGGTGCGTTAACTTATATAATAGTAAGTATTTAAAATTTAATATTTAAAAAGAATATAATATAAATAATAATAATTATAATATAATAGACATTTATAATTTTAACTTTATAATATATAAATAAATTTATAATATATAAATAAAGTTAAAAAGTATAATTTTAATAATAATATTAATATTATAAAGAAGTTATATAATAAAATTAAGTTTTTAAAAATAATTATTATATAAATAAATTATATTAAAAGAAATTTAATTAAAATTATCCTTTTAAATATATATATATATTAATAAAACTTTTATTAAATAAATTTATAAAATTTAATATTATAACTTTTATTTAAATATATAACTATTAATTTTAAAAGAAATTAAAAATAAAGAAATAATTTATAATATATTACTTTTAAGATTTTTATAATAAAGTATTAAAACTTTTAAAAGAGTTTTAAAAGTAATTTATAAAAGAATAAAAGAAAAGTATAATAAATTTATTCTCTTTTAAGTTTATATTTTTATTATTAATAATTATTAACTTTTAATAATATAGAAAAATATAATAAAAATAAAAAAGATTTAAAGTTTCTTTATAAAAGGATTATATAAATATATATAAAGTTATTAAAAACTTTATATATTAGTTTTAAATTATTAAAGAAAAATAAATAGTTAAATTAGAAGATAATTATATAATATGAAAGAAAAATATAAGATAGTTAAAGTTTTAAAATAAATATATATTTTAATTACTAACTTAATTTAAATAAATAATATATATTAAATATATATTAAATATATATTAAATATATATTAAATATATATTAAATATATATTAAATATACTTTAAATTTCTATCTTATAATAATATAAAATCTAATTTTATAATAATTATTATAAAATTAATATTTAATAAAGTTTAATAAATTTTAAATTTTATAAAAGCTATATATTAAAACTTTTTAACTTTAATTAAACTTTTTTAAATCTAAAAATAATATTTTAATATATTATATATTTTATAACTTTATTAAAAATTAATTTATAATTTAATATAGTTTTACTTCTATTTTATATACATTTAAAGATATATATAATACTTTTATAATAATAAATACTTAAAATTTAACGTTTAAAAGAATATAATATTAATAATAATAATTATAATATAATAAGTGTTTATAGTTTTAACTTTATAATATATAAATAAAGTTAAAAGGTATTATTTATAATTTAATAAAATATTAATAAAAATATAAAGATAATTTCTTTTAACTTTAACTTTATATTATATAATATTTATAAAATAATATTAAAATAAAAGAATATATTAATAATTATATATTAATAGATAACTTTTTAAAAAATTTAAAAAGGGTATAAGTAAGTGTACTATCCGTTTTTATAAGTATGAATATCCGTTCTCTTCTCTAATATATACTTAGCTATTAAACTCTTCACTTACACAAGTAAGAATTCATACTATATAAGAATTTCAGGCCTCCTATTAACGAGCGTACCGATTCAGCGATAAGTGGTTTTAGTCTCCTACAAATTGAAATTCTATTGTTTAGAAACTATTTCCTAATCTAGCGGTCCTAATAGGCTCTAGGAGGCCTTAGGCGGGAAATATAACGGTATAGGTTAATAAGTGCTAAATTCCAAGTTAAACATAACTTAAAATTATTTTAATATAAAGGGACTACATGCCTTTAGAATGTATACCTGGGTATACATTAAGAACGAAACTACTTATGCAGGCCGCGTTGCACTCGAGATGATTGCTCCAATCATCACTGTGTTGGACATGCAGTCAGCATTCTCGGACTCGGTAGAATAGAAGAGGTATATGAAGTTGACGAGACCCCGCACTCTTGCTGCGGCGAAAATAATCTTGTTGTGAGATCTTTCGGGCCATGTTGAAGTCGTGAGACCTACGATTACCAATTCGATCCGCGCACTATGGCTAGACCGAATGTTGCTGCGGAGTATAACTCCCAAGCTTCAGATTGTACGTACAAATGTGCCCTGCCAAAACTTCCCTTTTCAATCCTAAGGATGTATGCTGTTACTTGAACCTCACTGATAGTAGAAATTGATTCTATGACGCAGATGAGACCTTCACCATCACCACGCCGATCGGGCGGTTAGAGACCGAGCTTTATCTCACCGCACTCAGCGACCCAAATGGACTAAGCATCCTTGACCTCGGAGGTGGGACCGGTCTTCGAGCTCGCGAGGCAGTTGAGCGTGGCGCTAGCTTGGTGGATGTGGTGGACATCTCTGCTGAGATGCTCCATGTCGGTAAGGAGGAGGCGGTGAAGCTTGGGGTTGGCGACCGTATCCGGTGGTTCGAGGCCGACGTGTCTCAGTCGCTGAGCCACCTGGATCTGAAGGAGTCGTATGATATCGTGCAGGCAAACTGGGTTTTGGACCATGCCGGGACTGTCGAGGTCCTGGACAGAATGCTCACTACTGCCACGGCATACCTAAAGCCTGGTGGCCGGTTCATCTGCGTCCATATCGTCAACCCAAGGAGCCGCAACCTGAAAACTAAAAAGTATGGCGTTTCTTACACAGACCTGGAGGAGATCCCTGGGGGGCTCAAGTACTACGTGAATTTATGGGGAACGGAGCCACCGGTCAAATTCGGAGGGTCATCACTTGAGGTTCTATATTCCGGGTCTCTGTCCATGTACGAGAAGTATGGGCTGGTTGATGCTGATGTTATCCCTGTTGAGATGACGCAAATTGTGAAGGGGGACCTGGAGTTCTGGAAAGAATGCGTCGAGGAGCCCATCATTGAATTTGTGACGGCTCGGAAGCCAAACTAGGGAGTAGGTTGAGAAGTAATTACTTGCACTGCGAGCTTCTTGATAGCTTGCATGATGTTCAAGTTGCTTTTTTATGGAGGTCCTTAGGATGTTACTTTGCCTTAAAGCTTTTTGTCTGTTGGTGGTGATGGGCAAAGTTTTGGGTAGGATTTCTTCACAAGATTCATTCCAAATGTTATATAGAGACCATCTTGGGGAATTGGTATTCTGCCCCTAAGGTAGCCTCGAATATGACTGATTCGCTATCTATTAGCCTTTAGGCTACTTGTGTCGACAATTCTAGTCCATAGCGCCGTTAGGAGTAATGCTTCCTAGCCTTATCTTTACGGCACGAGGCTAAGGCAACATGCCTAGGTACCTGGTCTTCCTACATTATTGTTGGTATTACGTTGTCTTGTAAAAGTTAGGTCTTTAGGCGTTTATTACTATATGAAGGGACTTGGACCATATGTCTTCGGGATGTACATGGGTTAAGAGTGAAACTAGGTACTTACTTCGACTATTCACGCCTATGAGAGTAAAGAACACAGATGATAAACACCTGGCCAGAGCAAAAGCCATGGGAATGAAGGATTTAGGCTTAAATTCGAGCAAATTCGACCCTCGAATCAGTTCACAGACTGATGGTTCGAGGGGATTTGGGGCCACGTCGAGCAAGTGCTGAGAAGAGTGTGGCTTGCTACTCAGGCACTATCAGCCGGAGTAAGACACTTGCATCACTACCCTAAGACGGGCAGAACATATGGGAACGTGGCAAGATAATACGAGAGAGGATCCATCCGTGCCATTGTCTCACTCATGCAATGCCCCTTTACTGTGTAGCCTGGCGATCACGGTCCAACCAAGGGAGGTTCCCGGCTAAGATTAGGGACTGCATGACAGCTGGCCAGGCTGGCCCAAAATTGCTAGTTGGAGATAAAGCAGCAGCTACCCTAGGCTAGGTACCTTGGCTGACATCGGCCATTTTGAGGTCTCGGCCAGTTCGATCAATTGATGCCTCACACGGACATCGGTATGTTTGCGTGTCTCGTCCCACGTCCCACCGTGTGCTGTACCCACGCTGGAATTATGGCCCACTCAGTATCCCTTTCGCGACATGGCAGCGTGTCAGCGGTGGAAGGGCAGACTTGAAGCGTCTGCCCAGTTAAAGGTGATATACAAGACCTGGGCTCGATGCCAGCCCTCGTGGCAACCGTGCGCTCTGCCTTCTGAGGTTTAGGTACCTAGGTACCTATGTACTTAAGCTTCTACCAAGTACCTGACATGAACCTGTCCGAAGTACTGGTGTGCCCGGCTTTCCCTTCACGCGTGCCATCCATCCCGGGTTTTCTCGCCGACAACATCGAGCAGAATTGTGTCCTGGGCGCCTGGTCATCCCCAATTGCACGGCCCAGCTGCTGAAATGCGACCTCAGCGCCAGAACCACCTCGTGTGATCGCGCCTGGACCACCCTCTCGCCCTCCCTTCGCTTCGCGTCGCGACGCGCCGCAGGATTCGTCATGATATCGAACAGACTTTTCACCGTCTTCTGCTTTGCCATCATCTCTGCGGTCGTCCTCCTCCTCACAGCTCAGCATGTTGACCAGTGGGAAAGTACCGGCAGTCACTACTACAGCGGTGATTCGAGCCCATATTTTGTTGTCAACGCAAATGGAACCGCCCCATCGCCGCCAGTAGCCATACCAACCAACAGCCAACACCAAGCGCCTGTCAACCACGGACTGCAGTCGTTGCGCCCTGATCATGACCCTATCTGCGACGGTTTTCCAGACACCTCTGGCATCCTTCTGGTCATGAAGACCGGTGCTTCCGAGGCCTTCGAGAAGCTTCCCACCCACCTGATCACCATCCTCCGGTGCCTTCCCGACTTTCTCCTCTTCTCCGACCTCGACCAGAACATCGCCGGGTACCATGTCCATGACAGCCTTGAGACGGTTCTCAATACTGCCAAGGACGACAACCACGAGTTTGACCTCTATCGCCAACAGAAGGATTGTGTTATCGACCAAGAGATGTGCGCCAAGAATTTTGACGGTCTCCAAGGCGCGGGCTGGAATCTTGACAAGTACAAGAATATCCACATAGCCGAGAAATCCCACAGGCTACGACCTGGATACGACTGGTATTTCTTTGTTGATGCCGACACATACGTCTCCTGGCCCAATATGGTCCAGATTCTTCGAAAGCTTGACCCCAAAGTGCCTTGGTACCTAGGCAGTCCGACTATGATAGGAGGTCACCTCTTCGGCCACGGCGGTAGTGGCTATGCAGTCTCGAGTGCAGCGATGATCGAGTTCGCAGGACAGCACCCCGGGATCGCGAATAAGTACGACGAGCGGGTGAAGGACGTCTGCTGTGGAGACTACATGTTTGCGACTTCTCTCAAAGAAACCATCGGCCTCGAGTTGAAAAGCCTTGTACGTGGCGAGCGCTCTGTCGCTGCTTGATCACAGTGGACTGTGATCCCATGCCGTCTTATAGACCGCTTCTGACTGACTTTCTTCCGAGCAGTGGCCGATGACCAATGGCGACAAACCATCCATGTTTCCTTACGGGGACGGACACTGGTGTCAAGCCGTTGGAACGATGCATCATATGAGCAGCGAGGAGGTCTCTCAATTTTGGGCGTTCGAACGCAAGCGATTCGCTCAGACACAAAAGCCATTGCTCTTCAAGGAGATCTACCACGAGTACTTTGAGCCGAAGCTCATTCCCATGCGCCAGGACTGGGACAACTACTCTGACGGTTGGTATTACTTGGATCAGGGTTCAAAAGACCATGACTGGGAGGACTGGCGAATCCAAAGATCGACCAATGAAGACAGAAAGTCCGAGCTACAAAAGCTGGCCCATCTCAGTGCTGAGGACTGCGCCAGGGCCTGTGATGAGCACGTCGAGTGCTTCCAATGGTCGTACAAGAACGAATGCTGCGCCATGAAAAAGACCTTCCAGCTTGGAAGGCCCATCAAAAGGCCCAAGGAAGACAAAGAGCGCATGACCAGTGGCTGGCCCGTCACCAAGATCGACCGATGGATTGAGAAGCAAGGAGAGTGTAAGCAGGTGCACTGGCCCACAGTGTATTAAATTTAGTTAGTTAGTTTAGTAATTACCGTAACTAATACTAACTCTAATACTAGTACAGTTAGTGAAAGATTAGTTAGTACCTTTTAATTCCTAATTAAAATTAGTTTAGTATTTAATACTTATTAATTAATTAAATTTAATATTATAATAATAATTTTATTAACTTTTAAAAAGTAATATTATTTATTTATTTATTTATTTATTTATTTATTTATTTATTTATTTATTTATTTATTTATTTATTTATTTATTTATTTATTTATTTTTATTTATTTATTTATTTATTTATTTTTATTTATTTATTTATTTATTTATTTATTTATTTATTTATTTATTTATTTATTTATTTATTTATTTATTTATTTATTTATTTATTTATTTATTTATTTATTTATTTATTTATTTATTTATTTATTTATTTATTTATTTATTTATTTATTTATTTATTTATTATTTATTTATTTATTTATTTATTTATTTATTTATTTATTTATTTATTTATTTATTTATTTATTTATTTATTTATTTATTTATTTTTATTTATTTATTTATTTATTTATTTATTTATTTATTTATTTATTTATTTATTTATTTATTTATTTATTATTTATTTATTTATTTATTTATTTATTTATTTATTTATTTATTTATTTATTTATTTATTTATTTATTTATTTATTTATTTATTTATTTATTTATTTATTTATTTATTTATTTATTTATTTATTTATTTATTTATTTATTATTTATTTATTTATTTATTTATTTATTTATTTATTTATTTATTTATTTATTTATTTATTTATTTATTTATTTATTTATTTATTTATTTATTTATTTATTTATTTATTTATTTATTTATTTATTCATTTATTTATTTATTTATTTATTTATTTAAAATAAATAATTTTAAATTTTATTAAAGTTATTAATAAAAGTTAATTATTATTTAATAGTTATAAAACTAATATTAAAAGCTTAAACTAAAGTTAGTATTACTAGATTTAATACTTTAGTTACTAAAATACTAGCAGTCTTTTTTAATACACTGCTGACCTAAGGTCGAGCCTCGAGGCCCTCTTGTGAAATTCAATTGAGACCAGGCCCGTCGCAGAAGGGACCCAAGTTCCCGAGTGGGCGTTGTCGTACCGTGGCCTTGGCGGCTCTACGCCGAGGTCCCAAGCATACAGAGGCACACCCCCTGTAAAATTATTTGGACCATAAATTTCTTCACCGTACTCACCACGGAGCATCGACCAGGGATAGCTTCTTCAGGTTGTTGGTACTAGTTTGATATATAGTTCCAAAGAACCAATTCTCTCATGCAGTGAGTGCATGTTGACCATGGTAACATTGACGCTTTCAAGGTTTGTTGTGCCATCTTCCCCGGTGAGCATGGAGGCTTACAGTACAATTCCCGGGGCTGGACATGCCGGGCCGTCGCAAAAGATCGATCACGTCACCGGCCCCGCAGACAAAATGAAACTGATGGGTATCGACTTCACAGAATACGCTGCCCCCCATGATATATTTTAGCACGCGTCCTGAAAAAAATCACATGCACCTTTGGACATATTATCGAGTCCTCAAACCAAGTTTCGCAGCCAGAGGGACAGCGGTGCTGTGGGTTCCACAGGTTCCCCAATGCGCAGTTCTCTAAGGTCTGGGAAGATGTCTCGTCTATCTCTGTTGCCTTTGGTAGCTTCTTGTGCCGCTGCTACTGGGTATGATTGGCAAGAGAGTATTCGGGGTCTGAATGGCGCACAGCGCCCTCTTCGTGACTATGAAAGCATTTCGGCCCACAAGTTGCCCACTCTGAAGCTTAATGATGGCTACGAAATCCCTACGGTATGTTGCTGGAAACCTGTTCTGGGAGATCTTTGCAGTCAAGAATTGACCAAACCTAACTAAACCAGATCGCATACGGGCTAGGCACCAAGAATTACAAGAGAGGCGATGATTTCGACCAGGACATTGTGGATGTGACATTAAAGGCGCTATCGGCCGGCTTCACGCACCTGGACGGAGCTGAGTGCAAGTTTCATCGAACCGGCCCTCAACGTAATCGAATAGACTAACAAAACGACATAGCGTACAACAACGAGGAAGAGCTCGGTGCTGCGATCAAGTCGTCCGCCATCGCCCGCGAGAAGCTCTTCGTGACCACCAAGGCCACCGTCAAGGTCGACAAGCCGATCGAAGAGAACTTCTCAGCATCACTCAAGAAGCTGGGGCTGGACTACGTCGATTTGTACCTGATCCATTCGCCCTTCTTCGCGGGCGGCGACGCTAAGGTTCTCCAGGCCAAGTGGGCTGAGGTGGAGGCGATCAGGGCCTCAGGCCGGGCTAGGTCGATAGGCGTGTCCAACTACATCCAGGAGGACCTCGACGCGGTGCTGGAGACGGCAAAGGTCAAGCCGGCCATCAACCAGATCGAGTTCCACCCATACCTGCAGCACATCACTGACAGCGGCAAGACGAAGCTGCTCGACTACCACCGTGAAAAGGGCATCGCCGTTAGCGGGTACGCTGGCCTCACAGCCATCACGAAAGCGGCGCCAGGCCCCGTCGATGGCGCGTATGCCAGACTGGCGAAGAAGTACAACGTCACCGAGGGAGATGTTGCCCTTCGGTGGACGCTGGACCAGGGCGTCGTGGCCATCACGACGAGCTCCCGGGAGGAGAGGCTGAGGGAATACGTGGGCAAGCTGCCTTCCTTCAAGCTTACACCCGAGGAGGTCAAGGAAATCTCGGACTTAGGACTGAAGAAGCATTTCCGGGGCTTCTGGAGGGACCAGTATGATGAAGAGGACTGGAGGTAACTTGGAGGGAGACGTCATGAGACGTAGTGGGACACATGGGAATGCCTCTGCCTAAGTAACTGTCTCGCGCATCAAACTTGGTTATTTGTTGTTTTAAGGTGTGAGGTTGTTGAAGATGGTTGAAGAGTGAGGGTAGCTGCTTGGATACATATGTAACAAAAAATGTACTCAGGAACGATTTCTCCATATTCACTGTTACAATTATACAGCCAGACTCTTAAGTGGTTTCGCTTCTATTTCGCGTACGTCCGAGAGGACATACATGCCAGACTTTTAAAACTTAAAGTACCGTCGCAGTGCACGTTGACTGTCTATTATAAGATGGAGTGGGCCTGGCAACTATAACACCTGTGGATTCAAACTTGGGGAGGGTGTGCTGTATAGTAGCAGCCCGCAGAAGAGCGATGGCACCTTTTAAGGTAACGTCCGGAGCCCTCAAGCGCTCTTATCATGCGAGTACTCTTCACTGCCACCTTTCGCACCTGGCAATCCTAGAAGCCTACATAAGGCTGTGTCCCAGGAGGTTCTTCTGGACACTATTTATAGTTCCTCATTATGAGGGAGTATTACAGAAGGCTGTCTTTTAGGGTCATTTGTTATGCGATCTATTTTTATATGTTCTTGGACGTACCTAGGTATGCGGAACAGAAGCCAGGCCAGGTAGTTATTTAGTACTCTTCAGCTTCAACGGAGGACGAAATAGCTGTAGCTAGAGAGAAGTATCTTTTCAAGTGGCAGGTATGTAGCTTGCCCACGGAAACGGTCATAGGTCCGTACATGTATGTATATGTATCCATGCAAATCGTCACAAACTCGGCAGTCTGCCCTATGACATTTGCTGGACCGACCACGTGGTTGCTAAGAATACATCGGGGCGCGTCTGTGATACCGAGGTACTTGTTTGGTGCTAAGTGGTCTGTGCAGCCGGGCCGGGCCATGCCCGGCCCAAAAATAGTCTGCCCGCACCAATGGGATTGGCCACAGCAGACGTCATCAGTTCCGACTATAGAACAACACCATATCTATCCCCCGATGAGTTTGCCTGCAGCACACACACTACATCGGATTGAACAGTCCAAAAAAGGTTTGCAGTGCATGCAGGGCCAGCAGACTACGTCATGGGGTCGGTTGGGAGGTCTGTGCGCTGAGCACAGCCACACACTAGCCAAGCCCCGCCTGCAACACCACCACGAGCAAAATATTTGTCCTCGGTGAGACTCGAACTCACGACCTTTGGATTGGGGTTTTCCTCAGTAATCTGAAGAATCATACGATGTATGAGACCAACGCTCTAACCAACTGAGCCACGAAGACTTGTTTTAGCTTGAATCGAGTGAAAACAAGTCACAGAATGAGCTGGGAAAGTTGAGAAGTGATTCCGCTCTTACCCCTCAGAGACAGGTTCCAGGTCGGGACTGGAGTGATTCTATGGTATCCTATGACTGATGTGACTGAGAAGATACCTCACACCGGGTTTCTACTAGTGGATAGGCTTACAGCAGTTTTAGTTGTCCTAGAAGTAGCCTCGGAAGCTGTTGAGAGGAGTGATTGGGCACCTGGGTCCTCGAGTCCCTGGTGTCTCCCCATGGGATTCGCCAAGGATCCCGGCAACAAGGTTCACGAATGATGATGAGATGAGGCGGAGTCCAGAAGTGGGAGGGATATAGACATCAAGCGATATAAACAACAAGGTATATAGACATCAATGTAGATAGACATCAATACATATAGACATCAAGATAGATAGTACAGTCTAAATAGCCAGAAACCAAAGACGCGGCTGGATTCCCAGAGCCTGATGATGCTCCACCAGGACCAGTATTGTTACAGACATCAACCTCCGCGCAAGATACACCAGAACCGGTCTGACATGACTGATCTTACAAACACAGGCAATGAGCTGTCCTCGGCCCATTTGAGACTTAGGCTGGCGGCTCAGCTTTTCTGCACACCCTCTTGGTCATCGCTTGGTCCGTCGGGGGATGTACGGTACATCGAATATGTCGATCTGGGGGGCCTTGGCGGTCGAGGCTGAGCCGGTAGTCCAAAGGAGCCCTGAAGCGGTCGCCTGGATATACTCGACGAGGACCGGAACGCCGCCGCCACAGACTGCCGTCGACTGACCCTATCCGCCGGCCGCGGCGGCAATTTGCCCTCGCTCACCATATCCTCCGCCACCCCCACCAGCGATGCAGCATCCGGGGCAGATGGATAGAAGACAGCGAAGACGGGCTCCGTACCCGTCTGCATAAACGATGAGGTATACGAAGGCTTGAGGATCTGGTGGTGCAAACCGGTCCCCTCAATCTTGTCTCGGATCTCGCCGCGGGACAGCACCACAGCCTTCTCCGTGTCGCCGGACTTGTTGGCTGAGTAGTCACCGGGTTGTGATGATCCGTTGGGGACGTGGAAGAGAAGATCTATTCGTGCGAATGCGTACAATGCGACGACAATGATCTCAAATGAGAACTGAGTGATGTAGAAGATGGTCTTGCTGTACAGCACGTCGCCACTGTCTTTGGGACGCGGGTTGAAGGTGCCATACGTCCGCACCGTAGCGCCTGTGGCTAACAGCGCAGCGCCAAGCATGGCCAGCGATGTCTTGACCCGGAGGCTTCCGCTTCCGAATTTCTCTGGCTTTGGTCCTGGAATTGCACATGATATGAAGATTGTCAGGAAGGGGAACGTGACAAGCCAGATGTTCCATGAAGAGCCAGATTTCAAGAGGGCTACGGCAGTGTCGGCGCGATCCGGGTTGTCCGTGGAAAGAAAGAACACGCTGATCGATACGATCTGCAGTATGATGACTGGTGGAACGGAAATTGCAAGGATTGTTGTGCCCAGGCTGAAGGGTTTCGACCAGCCGACGACGGGATGCATCGAGCGAACAATGCGCTGGGCGAAAAATATGTTGACTATAAATATAACGGCGGCTCTGTCAAATGCAGAATTAGTAAACAATATCTCAAAAGAATTCGACGGTGACAGTCTGGGCTTACCCTCCGTTGAAGAAAATCTGAGCCGCCAATATCACACCCCGGAGCTGACTGAAAACCCATGCGATCCGGAAAATACATGTGACTGATCGAATCATACAAAAGTCAAACATTAGGTCGGACAGCAAGAACTTGTGCCCTCGTTTCGCATTGGCCCTGTAGATAGATATGTGCGTGAATGCCCCCAGGAGAAAGAGCATTAGGAACACAATCGTGATGGGCAAGTCCAAGTTCTTGCTTGGCGGGTTGCCACCCAGTAGATCGCCGGTTGCTGGGTCTATCTTCATTCCCATATCTGGACCTTGGACCGCTGCGACAGTAGGAGCCCTGTTCGGGGCCTGATTGGCACTGGGACTTTCCATCTGGGCCGCTGCGGATGGTGTGCCGACCTGCGCTGAGTTCTTGTCACCCGACCCCGGGCCTGACTCCCCTTGTCCTTTCGCGGGGGTCATCTCTCCCCCGGACGCGGGATTCTCAGCCTCTGCAGGTGGACCAGCCGCTTGCATTGTTGTGTTGCCATTGTTGGACTCGGCTGGGCCGATTTGAGGTGGAGGGGTGGAGGGAAGGGCGGGAGCCGGTGTTGGTTGTGGTTGTGGTGGTGGTGGTGGTGGTGGTGGTGATAAGGACGGCGAAGTATTAGGAATTACAACAGATGTTGCTTCGACGCGCACTGAAGTCGTGACCAGGGCTTTCGCTGTTGTTGCTGTGACCGTTACTGTCTTGTTGTCGTCGTCGTCGTCGTCATCATCGCCACGGACACCTTTTTCTGCGACCAGGACGCATACTGTGGCTATTATGCGGTATAAATTTACCAGCCTCATGGTAAAGAACCAAATCCTAACGTCGATCAATGTGACATGGGCTGAGAAATTCTGCAGAGAAATCCCGAGCCGGGAGGCGGTAGATATCAAGAAAATAAGAATGTTATCAACTCTCGCAACTTCGGAGCTGCCACAATGTTCGGCGTGTATTGTAGATCATAACATGCAATCAGGCAAGATGAGAGGGCTATATGTCCACGTTCTCGGATCCGTATGGGTGTCCTGAGGTCATCCCAACTCGATTCGGGGCAGGTATGCTGTGTTTTGCGCATGCTTTCCTGCATGCGGTATCTTACCTATGTAGGACACCGTAGGCAAGACTACCAACACGAGTTTGCATGCGATGGACGGACACGCACAAGGCTGAGACGGTGCTTCCGGAACCCAGCTGCCAAGAAAGGCAGTCTTTGGCTCACTCCCACCATCCAAAATTCTCGGCGGCTGTCAACTAGTCCAGCCCCACGATAGATTAGACGGGCATATGGCCCAGTCGGGAAGGATCCTGTACGAGACGAGGAATTTTCCAGCACATTCCAGTTGTTATGGGCTGTGAAGATCAGACGGAACATGGAGTGACCGCATTCCTGTTTCAATTGGCGGTGAGGGTGGTGGAGGAGTCCGAACGGGTTGTCCAGTCCTCTCCAAGGTGCTCAAGTGAGCCGCGCCCGGAGGACGCTGCAGACTTATTACGCTATTAAAGAGGGACCGTCCAGTATAACCCATCTCGTCCGTTCAACCTGCTCTACATTTATTATACGAATTGTGCATGTGACGTTATCATCGCAACAATCCTCCAGGACTGTGAAAGAATCCGCGAGTCCGTCCACGCCACCTGACCGAACATGAGCATACCTACCGGGGGGAGGGGGGGTCCCTGATATGGGCGTGTAATTATGTCAAAATTTAACATTTAAACAAAATCTAGACATTACAACTAAATACTAGTAAAAGGCTAACAAAATACTGTCACAGATAAAATCTGTCAAGGGGTTGATTATATGTCAGATTTTGACATCATGTCAACGCATATCAAGAATCCCTAGAATCTGTAAATCCGCCGGTATTGAATTTTATAAGTCAGCCTAGCAAATTAGAATTCGTATTTCCGTATTTCCATAGCTTCTGATAGGTCATATATAGTCAAGCCGAATAATAGCCGATAGATAGTTGGGTTGGGGACGAGTTGAAAAAAGAAAAAAAAAACTTGATTCCAGCGGGAATCGAACCCCCTTTTTTGCCCGCATGTCAGGCCCCTGACAGCATGTCAGGGCTTGACAGCATATCAAACTGAAAAGCGTCATACGATTTACACAGGACGAAATAATTTCAGTACTATAAAATGCTTACAAAAGCCTTTTAATAGTATGTAGGTATTATGTTTTGCTTATGTCAGAAAACCCCCCTCCCCCTGGTAGGTACAGGACCACAACAGACCGGCCCATGATGAAGTGGTCGGTGTTCCTTGCTCATACACATAATCGTTATACCCAGAGCATGGGCTACATTGATGCAGTGATCCATCGCTATCTATTTTAGTCTCCACTCTGCTCCCGCGCCGGGTGACGTTTTATCTTGCACCTCCCCACCCCCGGGGCTATGCGACGACGGAGTTGGGTGGTCGGACCCTATCAAGGCCGCCGGATTTGGCTCTTTCAGTCCAAGTCCGATCGTAACGCATTTGCATACAGAGTCGATTCGGGCCACATCATACAAATATCACATAGCTCTTGTGTCAGAACTAAGTGATGGTGCTGCTTAGAGGTTTGGTTCAAACCTTATCGATTTCGCGGGCCTGTGAACGACTGTCGAGGCTCGACTCAGTGCTCGAATTGTTGAACTGCCTACCTAGGTAGTTAATACCACTGCATCGCTTGCGTTCAGCAGTATTACCAGAACTTTTGAACCGCTCCCGCAGGCCGTATGCAAGCTATAGGAAAAAATGTTTCGCTCGGTTGCTGGCCATGCTTACCTAGGGGCTGCTCCCTCTACGTAAGTAAAACCCACCGAATCGCATGAAAAACTGCGCGAAACAGCCTAGTCCCGGCGAGTATTACAGACCCGGGGGCAATGATTAGCGCAAGGTCGTCTGTCGGCCGGCCGGCCGGCCGGCTCTCGCCTCAAATGGCCCCTCGCAAAACCTTCCCCCTTTTCGGTTGTCCATCGCGAGGAGGCCGCTCCACACAAGACTCTGGCTTTACTACACGAACACGCCGTGAGACGGCAATCACTGCAACTGCACCTGCCCATTTTCATGTATCTTTCTTACATGCAACATGACGCCGCTCAAGTACACATGTGCTTTGACGCTGGGCATAACTGCACGTGGTTCGCGCCTGGCATCACGTCAAGACGTGACAACCGGCTGTCAAGATGCGATCTCTGATCTTGCCGATGCAATTTCCATGAACGTCATCCTTTCTTGCCTTCCAGAACCTCGCAAGGCGGCTTTGAGCACGGCAGAGGCGCGCGGGATTGGCCGATTTCAATATCAGTCGGATTCTGGCCCTCTTCGTCGCCCGCGGGAAACGGACGGACAATGGCTAACCTGTTGAAGCCCGAGCTTGCGGGTGCGTGAGGCCATATGTTCATCATCATCATCGTCAGACTTGCAGACAGTGGCAAAGCGTCTGTTGGAAAGACCTCGGCCTACTGGTGAAGGCTCGGAAGAGGCTCGGAAGACGCCTCGTTGCGCGCCTCGTACTTCACGATTCAACATGTTGCAGCTGTTCCGCCGCCTCCTGATGGAAGCTAACCCTGCAACGGCTACGACTGAGAATTGTGCATCAAGAGCGGGTAAGGGAACAATGATCGGCGCAACCTTTATTCTGAGTGCTCAGGGACCCCGTCCGTGTTGGGCCGCGCTTAGACATGCCAGCCGACTTATTGACAGGTCTCCAAGTCATCAATGCTGGGCCTTTAGCCGCAGGTTGCAACTGCCATACCTTGTCGTGTTTCTAGGGTGGATTTCCAACGGCTAGAAACGACGCGGACGAATCACAGGCAAAAGTGCGTGCACGCAAGAGAGCACATGCGGCGGAGGGATCTCTGAGACTGTTTCAACCGATGTTGGGGTTACAACTTTCCCACCACCCGAACCACCGGCACCCTGGAACCCAAAGCGCATCGGCCAGAGCGAGCGCAGGGCGGAGGGAGCTGGGGAGCGCTTTGCTTGGCGGGCCTGTCACGAACAACACCATGACCTACTGCTCTCGTCTTCTCCTCTCGTCATTCACGCGCTTTATTACCACAACGCCCCGAAGACCATCAGCCGCTACAAGCTCTCTGGAAGTTTCATGCGTTCTAGCTCGGCGCCCTAAATTTAGCCTGACACGTTGGCACCGTCACCCAGCGCCTTCTTGGCCTCGAGATAGACAGCTAGACAGCTAGGAGCCGAGGATACTCGAAGAGGGTAGAAACCAAGCTTGCGGAGGTTCCGAGAATCTAGTCTCGACCGACTCGTGATTGCAGCTCTGCCGATATATCCTATCTGCCTGGCCTACAGCTGTTGCGACATCTGTCGTTCTCTCTTTCCCACCATCGGCCACAATGGTGAACACCGGACATCCGAGCAGGGCCTGCAAGCTTTGCCGGGCCCGCAGAATCAAGTGCGATGAGACAAAGCCACACTGCATCAAGTGCAGGAAATCCAAGCGGCAGTGCCCTGGGTACAGAGACCCATTCGAGATCAACTTGCGCGACGAGACTCAGTCGACCATCCGGAAGGCAAAGGCTGCAGCGGCTCAGAGGAGGACAACCCGACATGATGACAGAGAGACGTCGTCAGATGAGTCTCCGACCAAGTCAACACACTCTGCGAGTGGCAGTTTGGAACGGGGCAGAGGATCGCCGCACGCCTCCGATGGCTCATGGGAAACGCTCACCCAGTCTGCATGGTCGTCGCCGTCCTCCCAGGTGGCCAGCTTAAACAGGTCTTCCAGGTCACCGACTTTCAGTAACGGCTTCGGTGTGTTTGACTTCTCATACCCGTCACCGAACCAAGATAATTCATTCGACTTCAACTCAGCATGGTCCCTACCGGCAGCAGGCTACTCGATTCCAATCAAGAGGGTCGCCGAGGCGCTCGGGTCCTGGGACTTCAGCCGCTCCTTCGACGGCACCACCTGGGGATGCAGCGACAGCTTCAACAACGGCGGCCAGGGTGGCTCAGGTGTAGCTCCGGTCTATACGGGCTTGCAGACACCACTCGACGAGCAGGCCACTTGTTTCTTCCTGTCAAACTTTGTCTTGACACTCTCAACCGGCCAGAACCCCGGCCTATTCAGCTTCGTTCTCAAGATACTGCAAGCACCTGGTATTAAGGATACACCTTTCCCGATGGCTTTTACCGCCGTGTCACTGGCGGCATTGGCCGGAAGACCCAATTCGAGACACCTGCTTCCCAAGTCTCAAATATACTATAGTACAGCTCTGGTGCAGCTCAAAGAAGTACTGCAAGACAAGAAGCGCGCCACAGATGATGCAACTCTGGCCACGACAATTCTTTTGTCCTTCTACGAGGTGGATATACCTTTATTCATCAAGACCATGGTAAAATGTGTTCTGACAGTATTTAGGGATTGGCGAGTGACAATGAGAGTATGGCCGGCTGGTCGAACCACCTGGACGGCGCAAAAGCCCTCATCCGCCTCCGTGGAAAGGATGTGATAAAGGAGTCAACTCCTGAAGGCCTTGAGATGTTTCAACTCGTGCGATCAATGTCGGTATGTGATAGAGAACCACCGCTCGGCTCTTTGTGGCCACGGAACTCATGGTCTGCATCAACAAGCGCATATTACACGGGGCTAATCTCGTTACTACTAGATTCGACAAAATATGTTCGGCTTCGTCGCCAACCCTTCAGTTAGTGATGTAGAGTGGTGGGGCCAACATGTTGTCTCCGACAAATCCGGTCACATTGCCCTCGTCCTCAACATGAAGACAACGCTCATCCGCGCGGAAGCCGACGCGCTACTCACGTCCGGCCCCAAGACCGCAGGGAAGATCGACAAGGCCCTAGACCTCCTCCGACGGGCTCGCGAGATCGTGATTGAACTCGGCCGCTGGTTGGAAAACTGCCACCCAACCTGGCCAAAGTTTGTGTCCGGTTGGGCCAAGGAGATTTCCGACGACAGAATTGACAAGGCCGCCACTTTCCCAGGCCCGCTTTACACGTTCCCCAACGTCTGGGTCGCCGGGAAGCATCTGAACACCAACGCCTCGCGGATCTTGCTCGCGGGCATCATCGTACGGTGTGTGCGGTGGATATGCGCCCCGTCCGACCACACAAAGACCGACGACTACGCCGAGGCCATGCGCATCGGCTGCGAAGAGGTCACAAATGTCATCGCCAGCGTTCCATACTTTGTCACCTGGCAAGGTGACCGCACGACCACCCCGTATTTCCCTTGCGGTGCGCCAACCAGCCCAAAGGCATACAGTGGTGTGACGGCCTTGTACCCGCTGCTTTGTACCGGGTTGAGCGAATTTGTCACGCCGAGGCAGAAGAAGTGGCTTTGTGGCCGATTGATGGGCATGTCGGAAGCTATGGGTATCAAACAAGCCGAAGTCTTCTCCAAGGTGATTTTACACTTTAGTTCTTCTCGTAAAATTCTCGAGGGTTAACTTGCTAACACCTAGTACAGTTCATCTCCAACCAGGGCCCTCCAGCGGCTGCTTAAATATGCTGTATCTCAGCTCTTTCCAAGCCTGCATTCATTTCAAGAAGTAGCGTGTTCAGGGACAAGCGGGTAAAAAAGGGCTGATATGAGTTTATCATGACATGATCGATGCAGGGCGTTATAAGATCACCACACAAGCCTTGACAGGGCACAGCTATGATTCAATTTCTATCTACACAGCTTTAGATCACCCCAGCGGGTCCTACTATTTACTAAATTAAATTATGACTGTTGAAAGGGCTTTTGTTTTCATCAAAAGGCTCATTGGATATCTGGATGTTGAAGGCGCTCCTCAGAGGTCGGATGAATTGGGCAAGACGAGAAAATGTACAGATTAAAAAAAAAGAAAAAAAACCTCCCTCCGCCCCAGCCTTCTCAAGCTCTTAGCGAGCTCTTACCAATACAGAACGGCATTTCCAAGTGTGACGATACAATGACTAAGAAGGCCACTTCGATTTATTTACGTTCTGAGTAACATAGACCAACGCCGTGTCTGGTTCTCCAAGTGACGGGTCACTTACCGTTGTGCCCATGACCTTATGTCATACGGAAGGATGGAAATGCCTGCCTTTGCCCAATCAGTCATGGTTGATAGGGACGAAAGCAATCGATAGGACTACAAGCACAGCGTGTGCCCATGTGCACCCAAGAGCTAATCGCGACACGGCACTGCTGGAAGCTTAATTAAATCTTAGTTACTCCCGCGATCATGCGGCCCCATACCGGTCTGGAGGTCTAGGATGGCGGAACTATCAGGCCTGCTCAATAAGGTTTCTTTATCATGAATGCTGTGCAATTTGTAGGGCGGGTGCATGCGTCCATCTGGAACGAAGGTGCGTCAGGCGGGAGAAGGATGCCACGGGCCGACAATTTCAAGTTGCAATTTCGTATTAGTGCTCGATCGGGCTGTTCGCATTTTGTGAGTGGGAAGTGGACCTCTTAAAAACTAATTAATCATTCTGAAATTCCTAGCACATGGTTTACGGGGCTCTAGGGCTGCCGAGGGCGTATCTACATGAGTACCTATGTACCGGGGGGAGGAGGGTAAATTGAGTTTATAGGGTGGTTTCATCGACAACGTATTCTTTCCAAGCGCTGGGTCTTGAGTGCTTACTACTGTATGAAGGCGCCATGTATGTCCTTGGACGTGTACGGAATAGAAGCGAAACCACATATAAAATGTATGTGGCGCCGTTATACGGTGGTAAAGCTCGAGACCCAGCGTTTAAAAAAGAAATACAGTGTCAATAACAGTGCAGAGAGAATACAGTAACGTGGGCACGTGGCCTCAGCCTCGTGCCGCACCGATCCATGGTAAGTGTCTGGCCTTCTTCATATCGGCGTGCTGGTGAGTCCGCCAGTCTGAGACAGATTTCATGAGGGCTATCGGCATTTGAGATCGCTCTGTTCCCCTGACTCTAGTCTTGCCACGATTTCTTTACGGACACGGGCCAGCACTGAGTAGACTACTTCCATCAGATCCGCAGGAAATCTTGCCGGTGTGATTTGATTCCTGGTGCATCTTGGACCGACTCCCGGCCACAATCCCGGTGTTGAATTTGTGCTCCACAACCGAGATGAAATTGCACATAGATTCTTTGGGCTGCAGCCAGGAGTATTTTAGTATGTGTGACGGCAATATCTGCCGCAGATCGAAGGGCGTTCGGCTTGCAAAACCCTTCATGTCCCCGAGCAAGGAAGCAAGTGACACCGGAACGAGGGCCTGGGTGAGACCGGTCAGGGTGGTGCGGTACGAGCGGCAAGCAGTGACCAAGTTGGTGACGGTCTTACGGTCGATTGTGAAAGTGTCGAAGCGAGTGGCAAACGGTGATGCCTGCATTGGGGCCAAGGGACGGGCTCTTTGGGTCCTTGGTTGATATGAGCCTGTCGTAGTTTCGTACATGCAACTGTTAGCCACTCATGCCATCATGATGCACGTAGTTCCAGGCATTACAATATCTCGAGAGACTCAGCCCCGAGGCGATGACAACTGGTAGCACGACCACTCTCTAACCAGGCCGGGTCAACTGGTGACGGAATGTAGAACCCAGCGAGGTTTGTATTAATTCCATATATGCCGACTCAATTTTATCGGAACCCCCGACTTCTCTCCAGTCAAAATGATTGCGGGGGTCAAGTTGGTCAAGGCGAGCTGAGGCATGGCTTTCGGAATTCCGGCCTATAACCAATGCCAATTTGCCGATGAGGCTGGGATAGGACTCGGGCGAATGCATCGTAGAATCTGCATTGTAGAACCTCGAGTTGCCGGGATGGGCGAGACTAGGCGGCATGCACGTGCGGTAGCCGCAGGCTACGACGATACCTCGACACTGGTCGAGCGTGTGCACGGCGAGCTGTCATGCTTCACCAAGTAAGTAGTAAGCTGGATTGGAATGATGACTGCGGCTACGGTGGATGGTTGTGCTTACTGGCCTCCCATTTTGTGAGTGTTCACTAATAGATGCTGCACTCCTGCTTGCGGGCTAGTTAGGGTGTCATCCCGAAGCCAATAAGGGTTTGCTAAGACGTAAGAGGCCAAGTTAATACCAGAAGGGTCCTGTTAATAGGACCTTCGGCTCCGATTGTCCCGCGGGCCGGGATGGTGATGTCCTCTGATGAACGGTTCCACAGCGTTAGACCTCTGCAACACCGTGCAGCATCCCACGCACCATCTCCCAGAACGTCTACGAATGTTGGAGCTGCGAGGAGATTTTGCCTGGAAATGTGGCAGACTTAGCAGCTGACTCGATGCGTATTCTTCTCATTCGGCTCCGAATACTTGCTCATCCGCAATGACTCGGGAAGGGAAATCACTACCGAGGTCCTTGGTATGCCGTACCTAGGTATGCTTCATCAAGCTTTTGACCCGGGTTCGCCAAGACAGCAGCCCAGCATTCTCGTGTAAATGGGCATTGGGTTCCACCCACTTGGCCCAGCTTCGCTCCATAAATAAGGGAGCAGCATGGTAGTTCAAGAGGCGATTCACAATCGACACTTGCCACCATTCACGCTGTCTTCATCGTGCAAGCTCGACTCGGTTTTGTGAGCACTGCGTGCCTATTGGAGCTCTCAAGATTCAGCGCCGCGCATTGCCGATCCCGAAGTGGAGTCGTGCCCTTGCGGTCTTATCTTGCCATGGTTGACATGGCCGGATACGGGAGGAATAACGCAGATAAGTCGCCGGCGAACAAATCCGCAAGGGGAAATATGTATCTCTGTTGGGGTACAATGTTACGTCGCATCGAGCCAAATGAACCGTCGGCTGAGACCAACTTGAAGTGCACCACCTGATCGACCGTCTATGTTGAACTGCCCATCCCGCCGAGCGTTGGTATTTACACTCGCTGGCAACCCCTCCTGGTGCTCTTCTGGTTCTTCCACTGACCCTGGCAGTTGACTTCTCCTTCACGGGTGCAAGCATGGCGGAAATCAGATCTACGATTTCGGATGTCCCTCCTACCCCAGAGAAGGAGGGCGCCCTGTCCAATACTCTCGATGTGAGCCAAGCAACGTCCGATCTTCAGAAAATCAAGCACGCACACCAATTCGACCCGAACCTGCCACAGGAGAAACTGGACTTCATCAGCAAGGCTTTGCACGATGGCGATTCCGGAGAAATCATTGAGGCTGATGCGCTCTTCACCGAGGACAGCCCATACGACGAGGTGCGAGCAGCGGTACGGGCAACAGACTCCGGAGGAGTCGCCAATACCGTGAGGGTAAGTTGAGTGGGAAACGGATGCACCCACATACACTTTGCAGGTATGGACTTTTATGTACTGACTTATTGATTCCAACAGGCTTGGGTGCTTGGCATGTTCTTCGTCACTATTGGAAGTGGCCTGAACATGTTCTTGAGTATGCGAAGCCCTGCCATTAACTTTCCGTCCTTGGTCGTTCAGCTACTCGTCTACCCCATCGGCTGCTTCTGGGCCAAGGTTATGCCCACCAGGGTCTTCAACACATTCGGTGTGAAGTGGACTTTCAACACGGGGCCTTTTACAATCAAGGAACATGTGGTCGTCACTTTGATGTCCAATGTCTCCATTGGATATGCTTACAGCACCGATGCCCTGCTCGCGCTTCAGGGAAAGCCGTTTTACGATGTCAACCTAGGATGGGGGTTCCAGCTTCTCTTCACGTTGAGCTCCCAGCTCATTGGAATTGGCCTGGCAGGTCTGTCCAGGAGATTCCTAGTCTGGCCAGCTGCCATGATATGTAAGGCGTGAGCCTCGACCCAACCCTCCCCATCAAGACTAACATTCACAACAGGGCCAAACCAATTCAGCAGCACGTCTCTCTTCTTCGCATTGCACGACAAGAGCAAGAGTGATGGATCTGAAAGCAACGGTTGGACCATCAGCCGTTATAGATACTTCTTTTATGTCCTCATGGGCATGTTCTGCTACTACGTAAGCCACTGCATAAAATTTGTGCTCCGAGGAAACCTAAAGTTGTTGAGCGTTGCTGACTTCCGCCTTCCAGTGGATTCCGGCTGTTCTGTGGCAAGGACTTTCCGTCTTTGCCTTCATCACCTGGATCAAGCCCAACAATGTCGTCGTAAACCAACTCTTCGGTGGCTATACTGGACTCTCTTTAATTCCAATCACATTTGACTGGACATACGTAACTGCGTATTTGGGCGACCCTCTTCTCGCCCCAGTACATACCGCAATATCTGAGCTCACTGGGCTCTTCGTGTTTGTCATCCTCGCAACAATTGGCATCACCTACTCTGGAGCTATCTACAGTCAATACCTGCCAATTAACACTTCCCAGACATACGACAATACACAAAGCAAATACAATGTGAGCAGGATTTTAGGAGACAACTTTACTTTCGACCTCAAAAAATATCAGGAATACTCGCCACTCTTCCTCCCGCCTACGTTCGCATTGAACTACGGACTGTCCTTTGCAGCCTTGACGGCGGCATTGGTACACTGCGGCCTGTTCCACGGGAAAGAAATTCTCTACCGACTCAAAGCAGCCAGGAATCAAGAGCCGGATATCCATATGAAACTGATGCGAAAATATCAGGATGCACCTGACTGGTGGTACCTTGCCCTTTTCGTCATATCCATGGGCCTGGGCCTCGCCACAGCCTTGGGATACGACTCTCAACTACCTTGGTGGGCCTTTTTTGTGGCTATCATACTCGCCGTTGTTTTCATGATCCCCTCTACCACAATCCTGGCTATATCTAACCTAGCTCTCGCCCTTAATGTTCTTTCTCCGTTCCTGGCCGGCTTCATGATACCAGGTAAACCAATTGGCGTCATGATTTTCAAGGTGTACAGTACCATCGTGCTCGGTCAGGCTCAGACGTACGCCGGCGACCTGAAGTTGGGCCACTACATGAAGATCCCACCAAGGATAACCTTCTGGTGTCAAGTTGTGGCGACTGCTTGGGCCACCTTTGTGCAGATTGCGGTCATGAATTGGACACTGGGCAACATCGATGGGGTTTGCGATATGTGAGTTGTTGCTCTGGTCGACGATATCACTTAGGTCTTTTTACCAACTAACCTTGCCAGTGACCAACCCGCCAAGTTCTCCTGTCCCAATGGTCGTGCGTTCTTCTCCTCGTCGATCGTTTGGGGAGTCATCGGTCCGTACAGAATGTTCGGAAGTGGTTCCATATATCAGTACTTCAATGTATTCTGGGTGATTGGGGCCATCCTTCCTTGCATACTCTACGCCCTTGTCAAATATGGCGGTCGTTTGAGCTGGATAGGCCGCACTCTCCATGCTCCAGTCATGTTGGGAGCAATGGGATGGCTACCACCGGCGACTCCATTGTCGTTTTCGACCTGGGGAATCTTCGCCTTGATTTTCAATCACTTCATCAAGAATCGATTCCACGGATGGTGGCGGCAGTACAACTATGTCACTGCAGCTGCTCTTGATGCCGGACTCATCATCTCTACCATCGTGATTTTCTTCGCCATTGTAAGCATGATCTCACGTTTATTATATCACCTGGCCAATCGGATATTCGGACCACCTGGGCATCAATCCCGACGGGGTATATATCGATGACGGGTTCATATGATTGGAACAGCTTTGAGATGATACTGTCATGACAAACTTGATAGCTGATACGATTTGCTGCAGACTTTTCCCGGAGCAACGATACCACAGTGGTGGGGCAATGTTGGTGTCTATAACACGATGGTAGGCCATGTTTTCCCTTTGTGTCCCCATCAAACTTTTCTGTTCTAATTTCATCCCCAATTTAGGATTCGGAGTACACGGCCATTCTCAAGACAGTTGGTGAAGGGGAGACTTTTGGACCGACCACGTGGTGAAGGTTGGGTACATGCCAGGGTATGCTAATCAGGTAGAAGACGCACAAAGTATGATGGAATAATAATAAAGTGACTCCGTTCTCTTGAAGACCACGATTCTCAGTCCAGGCCCGGGATGACTGCTTCTGGGGCTTGGCCATGAAGCCCTTCTACCACCGTATGAATCCCACAGGTGGCTGTACCTAGATATCAGGGATGTGCACCCCGAGACACGCGTGTCAGCCCGGCTGTGTGCTAAGTCAGTGCTGATGCCAAGCCCCAACATACCCAGGTATGTGGCCGCTATTATGCCACGAAGGATGCACTTGTTTCCAGGGCCAGGCCTGCCCGATCAAGCAACGCACGCTGATCCGGCTGTGGCGCTGTGTTATGAATCCTCCAGGCAGACTTATTACTCCAGGCAACTGCCAACCCAAACAATGCTTTAATTAACGAATCTTCTGCTGTTTTTGATCTCTTTAAAACGGTTTTGGCTCTCTTGTTGGTCCTGCAATCTGGAATCGCAACTCATCCTTGAATCTCATCAACGTGTAGCCATCAACATCTACCCGCCAACATTGAACAACATGCCTAGTTTCCCACACGACAGCGGCATTAGCTCGACCGTTTTCTTGCGCCGTGTCACAATAGTGTCCTTTCCGCCGGCTTTTTTTATCCTGCTTATCCATGGAATTGGATGCAACTGGGCGTTCCCGGCCCTGGGAATATTGCCTCTCGCTTTCTCCGCCGTGCTGGGCGGCCTGCTGTTGCACCGCGATCGCGTCTCGGCCACCGGGTCGCCTATTCAGGCTTTGACGCCAGAAAACATATTCTATGCCGATACAGCTCTCGCCATCTGGTATCTTCTTTTTCTCATTCCAACATGGGTGTTTCTTGGCAGACCTTCGGAAGAAGAGATGATAATTCTGGGCACGTATGGCTCGGTCTTCCTCATGATAAACTTGTCCGTTGCCATGACCCCACATTCATTCCACACTGGCATGGCTCTTTTACTTACACCGGCGATGCCAGCGCAATACATTTCTATTTTGCTGCTGCCGAGGCTTTGCACATTGTCACAGCCAGGCGAACCCCATTCCAATCGCTCGCCGCAGAGTATGCACCGCTCAATGAGGATTACAGGGATGATGTGGAGACTACTAGTATGGAGGAAGGAATCACGAGGCCAACTTAAAACCTCACGAGCCAAAGTCGTTTGGTCGTTGTCACTGCAGGCGTAGATTGGATACTTTCTGCAGTGGTATCTTTGATTTTCACCGTCTCTTGGACAGTGACTTTAGACGGACTGTATGCAAACAGGTCCAAGTTGGGGTTGAGGTCCAGCAATGGTTGACGGTAGGCCAATGCTTCTGCGCACGTGGTTGAAACAAATCGCAGTTTGGCGTTTGTGTATAACTACTAGATGCTTGATTACTCCCCTCCTGGGTATTGACGTAAATATAATTCGAGGTGAGCAAAACAAATCAAGTGGAGGACTGTACGGCACTTGGCTCTGTAGAAGTGATCCCATGTGCTGTGCTGCTCAAGCTGTACCGGAACTGAATGATACCTACTTAAGTAGGTACCTAGCCATGGAGTCACTGGGATTGTAACTTGCACCAGCTGGCCATATGAACGCGCTTCTAGCGCCTGCAGATGTGGCAAACATCAAAACAAAACAGCATCGACATTCTTTCCTACTCGTTTGTACGAATTTGCACTGGTCACCATCAGAGTAACAGGCAACAGCACATGCGATCACTTCGCAGCCCAATCTGCCATAATCCGTCACTCGAGCTTTTTTCACCCCGAATCATCGCATCCGCTGTCAAATCAGCTTTGCTTTCTTGGCCCACGCCAGGATTGCAGGTTCTCATCCCTCAACAACGCTCTTTGTGTTGATCGCGTTAAAGCGCCTTGCCGACCATGCTGCCCGCAACTCTCTCGACCAAATACGGTCGGTATAAGGCGAACCAAGATGACCTCGCAACATTCCTTGCCGTCACAGGGACCCTCTGTGGTGCCCCGTCCGCCCTCACCAGGCCCGTGAACCCGTCTTCCGATAACACCAAGTCAGCCCGACCCAAGGGTAAAGACCGAAAGTTGGCCAAGCAGCGAGCAGCTGCCAGCACCATTGATCAGTCGACGCGCCAGAAGGCTCCCAAGCTGGCACTGAGCAGCTATGTGCCCCTTGCAGAGGTCATTGCGAAGTCGTCCAGCGTGCACGGAAGAATTCCGAAATGGATCATTACGGTGATTGACAAGATTATTCACGACCGCGAGGATTGCTTCCGTCACATAAACGGGGAGGACGTGGCGGCCTTTCTTGCCAAAGGCCAACAAGACGGCCACATCCACCCGATCAATGTCCTGGGGCGCGTGCGATCTATCCTAGCCCCAAAACACGTCGAGCAAACCACGAGAACTCAGAACATGAAACAGCCCAGAACTCCAACGAAGAAAGTTCTTGGTGAGGTTTCTGGCAATGCCACCGCAAACAGCTCAGCCAATATGTTTGCTGGGCTGAGGCTGAAGTCCCCCGACAGCTCGCCCTCCTCGAAAAGTGATTCCAACGAGCACAGATCTGCCGTTGAAGCCGAAGACATGGAGAAAGCCGATGCTTGGAGGACCTCTCTGGGTGAGTCATGCTGTGCTCAGTGAACACTGATGCGTCTAATATCACCCGGTCTCTGTTTCTTGGACGCTCACTAACAGGTGGACCCGCAACACAGCTCCGGCGCAGGTATTTGAAGCTTACCCCGAAGCCTCACGGGAGGAAGCCTGGCTCGCGCTCGGGTCCTTGCGAGATGAAATGATGTCTATAAGGCGAGCAGTCCTGAAACAATGGCGTGGATGGAAGAAGGGGTCCGTTGATCTGGCAGCCGCCGCCGTGACCACTAACACGGCCATCGACCTCGTCCGTTGTATGGAGAAACAAGCAATACCAATCATCGAGTCGTACACGAAGAGTCTAAACGCCAAGGAAACCCAGCTTCCCGTCTGCTGGTACTCATTAGGTAGCTGGATCAGAGACATCAACGGCAAGACTTGTGGTACAAACATTTATGCACCGCTCCTGGGAACAGACACCGAAAACCCGACCGTCCACCCACAAGACTTCAGTGCACCCAACCCCGCCCAGGTTGGGATCGAAGAATATGAAGAGTGGCTTCTTGACTCCCAGAGCTTTCGATGGGCGTACACATTGGTGCAGCTCTACTGCATGGAGTTCTTCACCAAGGTCAATCCCGCATACAAACGACCCGCTGGCTCGGAGCCATTGCGATTCGGAGCCGGGGCGCGACCAGATGACACCAAACTGTTCGAGCAGATGCGGAAATGCCGCGGTTATGACATTCAATGGCTCTACGAGCTCTCTTTCATGGGCAACTATGGTGTCGGTCCTGTGTTTCCTTTCATCGACGAGGTGTCTCGTGGCTTTCGCATTAGTGAGTCTTGCCCTAGAGCTGAGCTTGTCGCCGTTTCTTTTTTTTTCATGCATTTGATGAGTCGCAGCTCGCGGGTGGCATCTTTCTTGCTTTGTTTCTCCACAGCTGACTCTAGAAATAACAGTGCACGAAGACGTCGACATCAAGCTCTGGGCTGTCTTCGGCGTCCAGCTATTCTGGGACGTGAATGAGCTCCTGGGAGACACCGCTCAGGCCCAACCACTTCAGATTTTGAACAATTTCCTCCAAGGCGGTCTCGACCTCTTTCAAAAAGCCTATGAGCTCTACACATCCGCCGTATTTGTGGACCCGGCAGAGGAAGTTGATGACACGCCCAACGGACCTTCGAAGACAGCTCAGATGGGACACACCGTACTCATGTGTTTACTTCCCCAGCGACTTGATGAGGAGATCGAGAACATGGGGCACGCGAGCTACCCCAACCTGAACAAGTGCTATTTGATGACGCACCACCCAATACTCTGCGGTATCCTTCTGCACTCAGCGCGGTTGATGCAGCAGGAATGTGGCATTATTTCTGAGAAATGTACCAGGTCAATCATGAAAATGGCACATATCTACAATGCCTGTTCCAGCTACGGCCTCATCAGGGGCTCTTGGCATGATCTGGAGTATTGCATGAAAGAGTTACAAGGGCCCAATATCTTCATGCTGGGAAAGCCACCAGACAAAAAAACAGAAGACGCCTTTGGCAAGGCCTTTCTTTTCGCCGCTGGAGCCATCTCATTGGCTTACACTGCGCCAGACTGTCGAGAGAGGCAGGGTAGACGCGGTCAAAAGTTTGGCGACGAACATTTCAAGTTCCGCAAGAAAGGCCAGGGCAAGTTGTTGCAGAAGCTTGGCCCGGTCTCACTGATGTTCGAGGACAGATTCTGCAGATGTGGTGACCGTTACGAACTCAACGAAGAAGATCTGCAAGCCATCACGGAGCGCGCGGCAGCCTACAAGGATATCGAGAATCCGAAAAACCGCACGGCCATAAATCCGGGAGCTTCTCGATCCATGGTTAAAGGTTCCAAGTCAATCGCCCAGCTGCTCGCTGACCTCAGCTTGGGCCTTGACCAGGAAGTGCCCCTGATCTCTTTCCCCTACATTTGCCTCGGCGTCGAGTGCGCGAAAGTCATCTGGAAGGCTGAGAGGGTGTTAATGGCCGAGTATCCCGATCTACACGAAAGCGACGGCCTGACTCCCAGCTTTGGGAGCATAGCACTCGCCCTGCTCACAGGAAACTGTGGCAAGCTTTGGGTCGCAGCCGATGAGATCCATAAATACGTTGAGGATAAGAATCCTGGGAGCACCAACGGCTCGGTGGGACTCGCATGGATGATGGAGAATATCCGGTTGGCGCCAAGCGCTGAAATCGCAGAGAAAATTCAAGAGTATATGCGGAAGCGGCGCGAGAACAACCTCGTTATTACTACCCAAGTGGATAGTCACAACGAGGAGAATGTCACTTGCGAGCAGGAGAATTCCCATCAAAAGTCAGACGGTGTTTAAAACACTGAGGGTCTGCTTTCTTGGGAAGGATTGCAGAGTCTGAGGGTGAGAAGACAGATCCAGGCTTGGTCTTGCTCGTGCTGTTCTATCCAAGTCAGAAGTCGAAGGATGTCATTGATCTTGAGATGAGTACTAAGGTGCCAGGAAATGGCATGCGATGGCCTGTACTATTCCTCTATTCCTCCTGAATTCAGCTAATGGGGTCGTTGGAAGGGCGGCGGGAACTCGGAGCTCTTCATTCTAAAGTGTACTCCTATCGCACACGGAGACTTTGTACATCCCGTCCAGATTCCATCAGGTCATCTTCCAGGCGGACATAAAATTGTAACACTAGGATATTCTGAGCCCTTGCCGCTAGCAAGTCAATTCGTCCTCATCTTAGTTATGCTGGAAGTATCAAATCTTGCCTCTGCCAATACCGCTATCTCCCTTCCCCTTCTAGTTTGACTGTGCTTGAGCCCGGCCGTTCAAGCTCTTTTCCTTCTGGATGGACTTCCATTCCTCCAGTCCCATCCAGTATTGTAAAAGTCGACCAACCTGTTTTTCGTCTATCTCGGGAACCTTCCTCAATGCGCTCGAAAATTTCTGTGCTTCGGACATATCAAATGCGCCGAGTACACGTTGAGGGAATTCGCTGTCACCGCCAACCGCGCCGTACCTTGTCTTGAAGTGTTGAAGCAATCGATGGTTAGGGACTGCGCTCTCCAGCAGGCGCACCCATTCCGGCCCGGGAACAGCTTCAAAAGAGAGACCGTTTCTCTTCAAAGCAGGCAGGAACTCTGTGTTCCATTTCAGTGGTTCTGTGCTCGAGACATGAAATACTCGTGCTTCTCTAGCGTCGTCGTGGGATCGATCGCGCAAGGCAAGCTCGACCACGGCAGTCCCAGCTATGTCGACTGGCAGCCAAGACGTTACGTCGTCACCCTCTACAAGAGGAAGCGCGCCGACGCTGAGGGCGCTCTGCACGGTCAATGGAACTGCTTCCTTGGAGTTCCATATTCCGTGCTTCGTGTCTCCAACAACCTGCCCGACTCGGAGCACTTGGATTGGAAGATTTATACCCTTCTGCGCAGCATATTTGGCGGCTGCGGAGCAGATCTCCTCCGCTACCCACTTCGACTGTCCATAGCCCATAGGAGTTATGGCCTCCCATCCATACCTCGTTTCCTTGACGACGCCTTGTTCTCTTGCTCGCATTATAGTGGCGATGCTGGAGAGGAATGAGAAAGTCGGCCTTGAGTGTAACGGAGAAGATATTGAAAGCTCCAGGAGTCGAGAGACGGAGGCAATGGATGACTCGAACGATGACAAAGACATGTTGAAGTTGACAGCCCAGGCGGCATGAATGATGTTCGTGACCGTAGTACGCAAAGATTCATACTGTTTCTCGCCGAGACCGAGATGATCATGTCCAGCATCAGATGCCAGGGCGATAACTCTGAGTCTGGCCTCGCAATCTGCCACTTCTAGACGGGCCTCGCGAAGTGACTCAGTAATGCGTAGCTCTGCCGCTTCATCTGAGTCCGCTCGGACAAGGCAGTAGACTCGATCCACATTGGGCCACGAAATAAGCCTATGGAGTATATGGCGGCCAATGAATCCGGTTGCCCCAGTGAGTAACTAGAAAAGGTTAGCAATATTTCGAGAAGTACAGTATGGTAGGAGCTGACTGACCACAACACGCCCAGGGCCAGTCTCCACTGTCCGGGTTTCGGTAGGGGGGAACCGAGTGTACTTCTGTATCAGTCCTTCTGCGATGGCTCTTTCAGATATTCTCGTGCCATTAGGGTCTTGCGAGTTTCTCAGGGCCAGAACGAATTCAGTGAGCTGCCTCACGGTGGGATGCTCAAAGACGACATTGGTGGGCAGGGGATGTCCGCCGACATTGACGCGCCGGAGAAGCCTCGAGCGGACATATGATGCCTGTAATGAGTCCATGCCCAACATAAAGAAGTCATCCTCAGCGCTCACTTTGGCGTCTCCAGCTGAAAGAACCGAGCTAACAACTTCGCGCACAATGCCCTCGACCTCATCGTCTGCGACGGAGATATGTGCCTGGTCTTGGGCTTCTCTTGCGGCATAGTGCGCTTCAATGTCGTCCTTGCATAGTTCGAGGAACTTGGAACGAATAAGCGTCTCCTTGGCCGTTCTTGGGACTTGGCTGCCAGCCTGTCTGAAGATGACGGAATCAAGAGAGACTCGTGTATAGGCTGAGACTCTGGAGTTCCCCAGCTCCAGATCAGGGGCAATGCGAGCCGCCAGCTCCTCTGTGGACAGCCCTGATGCACTGGCTAATGGCACCACGATGAGACCGAGGGAGTCCCGCCCAGTACCAAACGCCATCGCAGCGTCCACGTCCGGGTTCTTTTCCACGGCTTGCTCCAACAGATGTGGGTCTGCCTTCAGGCCATTCACCAAAACGATTATGTCGTCGGCCCTGTGGGAGAATTTCCACTTCTTGGGGTCTGTGGGGTGGCGCACAAAGAGGTCCTGGGTTGCATAAGACCCATCGGGTCTGTTGGACGTGGCCAAAGTGGACAAACCAGGGAGCACAATCAAGTGCCAAACACCTTGCTCCTCGTCGCCGTATGGCTCAAAAGTGACATAAGGCTCTACCCAAGGGTAAGCCATCAGCCAGATCCAGTCTCTTCCCGTACAATTATACATCAAAGGACCGCTTTCCGATTGCCCGTACGGTGAGAGGATGGCCACGCCCTTCTCAACAAGTTCGTTTCCAAGCACCTCTGGCGTGGCCGCACCCGTTACTGCGACGCTCTTGAGCTGAGCAAGCCTTTCCGCGCCGCCAGGGGTCTCATTGACGAACTTGAGCAAGTGCGGTACCGTCGCCAGAGCCTTGCTGTTTGTGATGTCTAGCGCTTTGAGGATGACAGGTGCAGTCACAGGACGTGATGCGTTCAGGACACTCAGCCGGAACTTCCCCCAAAGTATGGCGATACAATGGGCGAAACCAAAACTGTGGAAAGCGGGAAGTGTTATCAACATGTCCGTCTCTGCATTTGCGATGTGTCGTCCCAAAATGATGAGATCCTGGTACACATGGCGAGCAACAGGCTTCGGCAGGCCGGTCGTTCCGCCGCTGTGGATAACAAACAAGGGCGTGTGGGCTTTATCCTTATATTCTATGATTGGGAGGTCGATTTGGATACCACGGCGGGACATGACCTCGAGCTCTGCGACTTGGGTCATATGAAGGAGTCTGAAATCCGGCAGGTCCTCTTGAGTAGTTTGCACCCTCTCCATGACTTGGATGGAAGAGCCAAACGCAAAGACTGCCGTGCAACGCCGAAGCCGAATGAGGTGCGCCAACCCGTTGTCTGGTAGCCGCGGGGAAAGGCACACGGTTGTCAGGCCCATTCGACTGAGAGCAAACAGGTGAATGTAATACTCAAGGCTGGAGGGTCCGACCAGGGCAACTGCAGGTACGTCGCCGGGCCTTGCGCATTGCACAGATTCTCTGAGTGATTTCGGGTACGTACTTATCGCAGTCCTCGTCAGTCGGTCCAGGTCCTTGGCTGTGTAATCTATGAAATCCAGCTCGTGCGCCGGGTAGGAAAGGATCACCTTGTCGGGCACAGTCTCCAGCATCCGGCGGAGGAGAATGTCGACGGTGACCACATCTGATGATGACTGAGACTGCATGGTGCGGATTCAAGATATTGAGTAGTGACTCGGTGAATTTCAACAGCACGTGGGATCACTATGTGTCTTGGAAGGGAAACAACCACTTTTATATTTGTTGCCATGACCAAGGTTTAACATAGCCACGAACGGCTCGGGAGATTCATTTCATGGGTCTTCGCAAACTAAATGTGTTTAATGCGGTCAAATGATCGGGCATAGGCATCGCCGAAAGTTGGCGGGGCCCCTCGGAGTAGTCAAGGTTCATCCCGAGTGGTCGGGGCACAACTCCAATCTCTTATTAGGGTTGGCTCGGATGGCAGATGTGGCTTGAAACTTTTATATAAAGTTTGAATTCCCGGAACCTCGGCTTTGGACTCAGTAACCGGTGCAGCTAACATTTGAAGGTTGGTCTGAATCGAGACAGGCTGGGATTGAGACTAGTGTACTCCGTATATCCCTTGTCGCGAAAATTGGTATGCGGGGCCGTAAATCTTATTCATTTTCAATACTCTTCACTTGGGGACTGTAGCCTGCAGAGGTCCGGACTGTTATTATTTCCCGATACCTTCTTCCCCCAAGCTAGGTCAGCTCAATCCCACTTGCAGTTGACCATACTGAGCTGTGCGAAGGTCAGAAGTCCGTCAGATAGGCTCTTGTCAATCGTTGTAACAGAACCAACTCAGTAAAGATCAGGAGGATCCCGCATCGTGTCTGCCTTGCCTGTGTTATGGAGGTCTCATAATAATACAAAGGTATACACTGACGCAACTTGCTAATATGGCAAAAGATAGCTGGGCAGGTTCATTGCGGCTTTCTCATCACACTGCGTCTGGTCGAGTTTGTGTTATGCTTCTTTGGTGTCCTCTTGTAGTTTTTGTAGTCTTTTTCACACAGACCCCTTCCCAAAGGGTTTACAGGTCTCCATATTCATACCCATGATTAAGTGCCTGCTTCATTTCTTTGTGCTGGAAGAAGGACAGCATGATGGTTTGAGTCATTTAACTATCAAGAATCCTATCCTTGCTTTTGATCAAGAACTTGAACCTGACGGGAATGTGCCTTGACGATACAGGCTATCCTCTTCGAACATGCAAGTGGGTGATGTCCATGCATGACTCAGACTTCACCACAGCCATGACCTCAGTCCTTACAGCTGGACGCAGCAGTGTCGCCTTTGTGCCTAAGCACCTGCATTGAAGGAGATGATGCCGGTATCTGGATTGATCACGCCGTTGGGCCCAGGACCATCCTGCGGCTTGCCGTCCAATCCAGGGGGGTTCTGGTCTGCCTTATTCTTACTGCCTTGCCTCGCTGGGCTTCGCGCAGCATTGTTGCTCTGGGGCAACGCAACAGCAAAGGATGCCAGGACAGTGACGAGAGCCAATGACAGCTTCATGGTCGCGGTAGTTGAGTGGGTGATTAATTTGTAAGACAAGGTTGTGAATAACTGGCAGAAGTTGTCACCAGGACGGATAAGCACAGCTGTGTGGATAGATGTTAGTCAATGAAGGTCAACTCCTGCAATGAATTACACTTGCCTAATATAGAATGGAAGGTTATTGAATGAGATGAAAATGATGTTGAAATCGTGAGCTGTAGATCGAGTCGTCTTATAAATCGTCTACTGCCTCTGTGGCAGGTCAGATACTGTGTGTGTGTCAGGCTGAATGCTTTTCCTGTTCACTCTCAGGGGGCTTGGCATGGTGTCCAAACCGTTCTGCATCTGTATGATCTCCCAGTTCCAGGCTGCCTTGACGCTATAATAGTAGCATATTTGGGCAGGGTACCCCAGCCGCCTGTCAAGGCGTAATTTTCTAGCGGGGAACGGCAGTACATGATAGACACGGCCAATGAACCTTGTAAGGTCAAGCCGAAGAAACTTGGGATAATGCTTGTTTTTTTTAGACAATACTGACACTCTTATACTGACATAGCTCTCATTATAAGACGGTGTCTACCGGTGGGAGCATCTAAAACTTCAGATTAGACACTCCTGTAAACTCCACATCAAATTGCCAGTGTGCATTTCTACCTAGGTAGCATCTTGATGGTGCTCAAGTTTCGAAGCCTCTTGCACGCAAAGCTCGAGCCTGGACTTGGAGCGACCTGCTGGTGATGATCGCTAGGCATGCGACTTCTGAGGCGAGCCTGTCACTTAGCTACATAGGTAGGATGAAAACATCAGATGAGATCATCTGGATTTCTCGTTCAGTCCTTCGGACCTCACGTTCGTTTCAGGCGGTCATCAGCATGGTGGATAAGCCTGTATCTAAGGCATTTACTGGTTTCACATCAGGTACAGTCGTTCTCAGTCATGATCTCGCACCCTTTCTGCTATTTTCCATGATGTGCGCGGGCCCTTGGCGGGTGGTACGACCGAGAATATGGAACGACTATGACTTGGAGAACGGAAATTCACGTACCCTCAATCGGAAGGCGCATACCCTCCCTACTATTCAACCAATCAGAGTATAGAACCTTAAAGTCTTTATAACTTTAATAAATAAGGCTTCTTTGTAATAAGGGATTATAAATAGGGTGGGTTGGTTCTTTAGAAACTTGGGTTGTGCCTACTGGCCCTACTTATAGCCCTCCGCTATGCTTTACGCTCTAGGGCTCGCCCCCTTTGCCCTAGCCGGCCCTTTCGAGAAGAAGTCGTCTTGTATAGAATACTTCTTAGTTAGCATTGGGTACGCGCCTTCCGATTGAGGGTACGCGAATTTCCGTTCTCATGACTTGACAGGCTAGGTAATGTCTTGAAGGCCACATGGTTTTTTCGATGCACGAGAGCTGGGCATATGGCACTCAGTATGAAGGCAGACTTGCCCAAGATGCCTAGCATTCGTGGAACAGTGGATGATGGATGACCGTCATAGACGACGAGCAGGATGATGGTATTTAGTGATTTAGAATCTCTCCTGATTTCGGAGACGATCCACTCTATGAGGACCATTGTTCGCTTTTGATTCGTGATATCGGAGTAGTAGCCTGAGGCGTGGCAGTGTTGGTTCCTTTAAATATATTGCGATTGACTGATTGAGCCTGTTCCGTTCTCTGGCACTCCCAAGGTTTTCATGAGAGCCGCAGGCTGCTTGGCTGTGGCGGCTAAAAAAGCACACAGCCCCACAAGGCCCGTTTTCGTTGGAGAATCAGGCATTTTATCCACCCCATGTGACTTGGGTGGTGCTCAGGTTTTGCTCACCGACTTTCTGTCGACGGGATCTTGATCTCCGCCAAAAGCCCGGATCTCAACAACCAGGCGCCGTGGCAGAGTGGTCTAATGCGATAGACTAGAATTGCTCTGAAGCACTTCTGGCCATCTATTCTCTTCGGAGGCGCATGTTCGAATCATGCCGGCGTCGATCCTTTTTGCATGATGACCATAGGCTCATTGTTGTCAAGTCGTGATCCTCATCACTGTTTTTGGTCTTGCATGCTGTCCTTTTCCTTCTTGGGGCCAGTTGCCCTGTGCCGGGATGAGTACACAGTACCTAGGTACCTAGGCTGCCTGCCTTGGTGGTACACATGGAGCCTGGCCATATGGCCCTTATCCATATCGTCACTCATTGGAATGAGTCTTGTAATATTCCATGTCAAATCCCATGTTGCATCATGTCTGATCATGTCTGATACAATTCTGATCAAATAAACAAAGTTGACTTGGGTGCACTAGAGCACTTCCTTACACGTCACTGCATGTACATGGAGCGATTGTTTCAATGTGTCCCAGAGTGTTATTCTGCCTTTGACAATTCTAGTCAGCACCCCGTCAGGAGCGAACCATGAATGCCTCCTAGCCTCAAGTGCTTGTCTGTACGGCATGAGGCTGAGGCCAAATTCCCAGACAGAGTCTTCTTACACTCTTGTTGGCATTGCTTGTTTTGTTTTTGTTTTTCCAAATAAGAAAAAGCTGGGCTTTTGCGCGTTCTTTTACCACAATTATGTAAAGGGACCGCACACCTTTGGGATATATACAGATTAAGAATGAAACCATCTGAACCCCAGGTACACAATAGGAGCCAGTGGCTTTTGCTCCACTGTGATGTTACGGCAGAGCTTGAAACATACATTGCCTTGTTCTTGTAGGGCACTTCCTTTTGTGCCGGTTTATGAACAGAGGAACCAAAGAATACACAGGGTTCTATATTACAGTAGAGGCAGCAGCAAAAGTGGCTGCACTTAAAATACAAATACTACATAGGTACTCAATACAATGGCCGTGATATGGTACCTAGAGCAAATGTCTAGTTTTGGTTCCTTGAGTGAACAGCAGCTGCTCTCATAATCGGCCTCCTTAACATTTTAAAAGTGGGGACTGTCGGCGACAGGATTCCCACACGAGCACCAGACAACCCAGAAAGTCACTAGACATTTACGAACATCAATGATTTCAAGCCCAATGGGCGGCCGTCTGGCACAAAGTATTCCGACCCCTCAAAACATTTCTTACCGCCGACGGTATGGGGGCATTTGGTCCAGTGTAATGGTGCAACTGAGCATTTTTCAGTCCGATCTACATGGGTACCGCAATGATACGCTACGACAGAGATATTCGGCATAGACTTGGCGGTCAGCACTACTACAGCATCATGACTCTGCCGCAGGGGCAGGTTTTCGGTCGCCGGCAGCAGATCGGTTCCGATAGAGAGCTTGCCCGCAGTTGGTCTCGGCACCATATTTGCCAAAATGTGGCACAATGCCAACTTCACCTTTTGAACTGCGCATAAAAGCTGAATCTGTCAAAGAATACCATATCCTTTAATTTCGCGTAGATTGAGGCGTTCGAGATATCATCAAATTCACCCAATACAATTGGACAATTTCCACAGCGTCTTCCGCTGTTCTCTCGACCGCGTCATGGTTTCCAGTGTTGATTTCGTTGGGACGAAACTCCCACAAGTTGCCCTGCTTGCCGCCACCTCTTGGGTACTTTATCACCTTGTCAGAGGCACATACCAGGCTTATTTCGGTCCTTTACGCCATGTACCGGGCCCAAAATCCTGGATTATATTCCCATTCATACCGAAGTTGAAGGAACTCTGGGGCACATTTGACCAAGATCTCCGCCGTTTCCATCAGAGATATGGCCCTGTGGTGCGATATGCATCGGATGCCATGACATTCACCACCGGCGAGGCGTGGAAGACCATCTACGGTCCGGCCCATGGGCAATTTCCAAAGTTCATGGCCAATCAGCAACTCGACCCCCAGTCAAACATACTCAGTGCGGACGACGCAAACCACGCCCGGATCCGCCGTGGTGTTTCACATGCTTTTGCACCAAGATCACTGGCGGATCAGGAACCCATGATTCACAGCTTTGTCGAATTGCTGGTACAAAGGCTGTCAGGTGTTGCAGAGTCCCGTGTACCAGCTGAGATGGGGCGATGGTTTCACATCACATCTTTTGACATCATTGCCGATTTGACATTCGGCGAGTCGTTAGGTGGCCTGGAGAAGAACGATTTCCATCATGTCGTGGAGTGTGTGCTCTTGTTCATAGAGAGGGGCAGAAAGCTTTTCCTTATCAATGACTTGCTCGGTCCTTTGGCGCGTCTCGTCAGGCCGGTGATCGCACCAGGTGTGATTGAGGGTTTCATGGACCAGTATACCTACACAAGGGCGGCGGTAGGCAAGCGTCTTGGAAAGAGCTCAGACGTGTCTCGAAAGGACTTCATGTCGGGACTGCTACGTGGGATGGGCGACAAGGACATCAAGTCCACGGAAGAGCTCATTACGAACGCGAATACCATATTCGTGGCCGGAAGCGACACTACGGCCACGTTGTTGACGGCCTGCACATATTATCTCCTGGCAACACCCCATGCACACAAGAAAGCGGTGGAAGAAGTTCGCAGTGCTTTTGGATCGGCAGCGGACATCAACTTCGCCAATGCCACAACTCGTCTCCCTTACATGCTTGCAGTGCTCAACGAGACATTTAGGCTCTACCCCCCTGTACCGACATCGCTTGAAAGAATCGTGCCCAAAACACCGGAGCCAATCCACATTGATGGGTTGTATCTTCCACCGGGGGTGAGTATACAACCTCCATACCCTTGGACCACATGCTGGTCATAGCCTTGCAGACATTTCCTTTTCTCTGCCAGGGAACAGAACCCTGCCTCTCATTGCATTCGACACTGACAGTCATGCCACATGCTTGCAGACCCGTGTCGGCGTTCACCAGTCTTCCGCAGGCCTCTCTGCTTCCAATTTCGCACAGCCCGAGTCCTTCGCCCCAGAGAGGTGGCTTTCCAGCACCGCTCAGGACCAGTCATCTCCATTTTTTGCGGACAAGAGGGACTCTATACGTAAGTAACAGTCATCGATTTGGCCAAGTTAAAAGACTGACTCTGATACACAAGAACCATTCTCCTATGGGCCCAGAAACTGCGTGGGCAAGCACCTGGCCTATAACGAGATGCGTCTCATCATGGCTAGGCTGCTCTGGGAATTTGACATGGAGCTGGACCCGTCGTCTCGCGCTTGGACCCAGCCTTACTCGGAGCACAAGAGCTGGGCCGTATGGAGAAAACCACCCCTGACGGTCCATATCAAGAAGCGACAGCTCGAGATATAAGAATCCAACGGCGGGCCCAGGAACATCCGCAGGCATTGCTTGAGCATTCGGACCCCGCAGATGATGGCTGAGGCATGCATGAACGGCTTTGCCCTACATCGTTGATAAGTAGAAGTCCTCGCGCTCATTGACATCTTTATACCTAGGTACCTACAATTCCCTAGGGAAGAATTAGACCATCAAATTTACATTTTCTCTCCCCATGTACCATTACTCATGTGGTTGAACCTCCTCTACTGTGTAATAATTCCCGGCAACATGCGGCAGGTGTTGGTCCAGTCAATCTAATTAGACGTGCCAGACAAGGACTACAGTTACCAGAAAAAAGTCTCCCCCACACACCCCTTTTTACACCAAAACTCACCACTTTAAATAATTCTTTTTTAAATCTATATATATTCTACATTTTTTTAAGTATTTTCTATATATTATTTATTAATAAATATAAAATATACTTTAGGTTAAAAATATAAAAAATAAATTTCATTATTTTATTTAAGTTAAAAGTATAAGGAAATATTAAAATATTAAAATATGACTCGTTAGGGGGTCTTATAGAAGGTTTTAGGGCTTAGGTTTAAAATTTTAAAATTCTATCTTTAAAAAACTTTAAATATCTTTTTAAATATAAAAGGAGGATTTTTAAAAAATATATATATTATATATATAGTATTTATATATAATATATTAAAAATTTATAAATATAGTAAATTTTGTAGAGGTATTAATATAGGTTAAAAATAGTGAGTTTTGGTGTAAAAAGGGGTGTGTGTGGGAGACTTTTTTCTGGTAACTGTATGAAGGACGCTCATTACCTGGCCGACTAGCCGACGTCATTGACGACGGGCATCAGCATTCAATGTTCACTTCAAGGCAACTGGGCGTCCATACAAGCAAGCACCGGCCAATTTTTTTTACCCGGGCGCGCGAAGGCCACACCTTGCTAGTCCGAAAGGGGGTTTTGAAGTCCAACGCCCCACACAGTCTTTCCAAAATCAGTTCCGCCACTGAGCTTGTACACATGTTTCGGCGGTTTTCAGTGTAGGGCTGAAGTGGGTCCACTCGGATTGTCCCCGAGTGCGCGAACAGCGAGTACGACAATCGATTCAGGCACAGGTGCACACACCCATATGACGCAATACCAGTGCTCACGGATATTTTCGTTTCACGATAGATGGCCCCTGAGAATGATTGTCAAGGGATACCGGTACTATCTGGACACTTCGAAATAGAGCTAGGCGTCCATGTCACATTGTACAGCCAGCGCGAGGCAGTTGAGCACGTCAGGCTGGGGGTCCAGCAGTTTCTTGACCAACGACGACGCGTGATGGCCATCGCGAATTCTTATCACTTTTGTGGTCCGGGGTACAGCCGCCTCAGGATGGTGTATTAAAATATACGAGATTGATAGGAAGTGATCATCACACAAAGACCAAAAACAGCGAGAATTGACTAAAAGCCAGATATCATTTAAAAAGGGGTATCTGATAATTCTTTTGTGCCTAGAAGGCATTGTGGTGGTACAGGACCATTATAAAACACAATAGTAGTAGTAACAAGTCCCCGAACTAAGACATATATACATAAGAAGTCACCTCCTGACTTCATCACCGTTCTTCCCCTGACTGATTCTCTTTCCACTCATTGATTCATGATGAGGTCACTGGAAGAGTCCAGTGACTGAACTTTGTGGTCACATTCTTCATTAATCCACACACACATACTCTGACTTCTGGTTCGTATCCTTTAGACAGCGTTGCTGGGGCCGGCGGATTCACCATCGTGGTGTCCAGCGGCGGGAGTCTCGGGCTTGGAGAAGTCGCGCGCGCCAGGCTTGAAGTGCATCCTGTCGGTGGTGACGGGCTCGTCGAGAGGCTTCCAGGACTTGGACTTCCAGGGGACGACACCCAGGACGTACATTGAGTCGACCTCCTCGAGAGAGCGGCCCTGGGACTCGTTGACGAAGAGGAAGGTGATGACGACACCGAGGAAGCAGCAGCCGGCGAAGACGTAGCCGTAGCGGTAGCCGATGGCGGCGGTGATCCAGGGGGTGAAGAAGGAGATGAGGAAGTTCCACAGCCAGTTGGCGGCGGTGCAGAGAGCCATGGCGACGGCACGGTAGCGGGACGGGAACATCTCACCGACGATGGCCCAGACAAGAGGTCCCCACTATTTGAGTGCGGGTTAGCGGGGTCGATCTCACAGGAAGGTGCATGGTGCATGGGCTTTGATGGGGCATGAAAACTTACGGTAACAGCGAAGCCGACAATGAAGAAACAGGCGGAGGCAATCATAGCAGAACCAACGGAGGCGTTGGTGCGGGCGTTGGGGTCGTTGGGGTTGTTATCAGGGTACAGGGCGAACGAGCCGAGAGAGGCGAAGATGATCAGCCAGATGAACATCCAGACACCACCGATGATCATGGAGATACGGCGACCGAACTTCTGGCCGACGTAGAGACCACCGAAGGTGGAGAAGACGTTGACGGCACCGAGGATCATGGAGGTGATGTACGAGTTGGAGATACCGACGGAGGCGAAGATCTGGGTGCCGTAGTAGAAGAAGAAGTTGGCACCAGTGAGCTGCTGCAGGGCCTGCAGGGCCATACCGACACAGACACGGCGAAGCATAGCCGGGGCAGTGAAGATCTCGTACCACTTGGGGTCGCCACCGGCAACCTCAGCCTCGAACTTCTCGCGAATCTCAGCCAGCTCGTGCTGGACCTCCGGGTGGTCGACCGAGACGCAAGAGATCAGGGCCAGAGTCTGGGCAGCCTCGGCTTCTCCACCGCGGCGGTATTGCCAGCGGGGAGACTCACGCATGGTCAACATACCGGCGCCCATGATGGCGGGGGCGATGAAACCGATGCCCATGGTGATCCTCCATGAGCTCTCGGACGAGATGGCCTCGGTACCGTAGTTGACACAGTAGGCGACGAAGATGCCAAGGGTGATGAACAGCTGGTAGGCGGAGACGAGAGCACCACGTGCCTGGCGGGGCGCGGTCTCAGACTGGTACATGGGTGTCAGGACGGAGAGGGCACCGATGCCGAAACCGTCAATAAGACGGCCAATGACGATCTGGTACCACTTGTCTGTGGTAGTGATGCACACGATGTTGCCGACGATGTAGACGATGCACCAGAAGGTGATGGAGAACTTGCGGCCGACATTATCGGCGATGGGGGCAGAGACCAGAGCGCCAACCAGGCAACCAGCGCAGAGCATGGCCACCATCAGACCTTGGCGGACATTGCCCAGTGTCAGGACGCCGTTCTTTTGGGTGTCGCCGAAGTGGTCCCTAAAGTTGGCCATTTGTGTGTAGCCAGAGATGGAACCACCTTCCCATCCGAAGATGAAACCACCGAGAGAGACGAGCAGGCCCATGACGGTGACCCGGAGGTTGAGGACCTTGACGGGAGGGTAGTTGCCACCGTAGTCGTTGGCGGCATCCTTCTCGTGGCCATTTGGCGGTGTTGAGGCACCGCTGGCCGGTGTTTCTGCCGTAGACATATTTGTGAGTGTTGTGATATTGGCCGTGCGATATACGCAGTGCTGGTGTTGTTGGTGTCGCAAGGGGGGCGGCGGTGTCGAGTAGGACTCGAGGGGGAGATATGTAGATGAAGATCTGGGGGAGCGAGATGCTTAGATTGATATATGAGGTGTGAAGCCTGATCGTAATGATAGTCCAAACACCATCAAGCGTAGCGGGATCAAGAGCTTTTATGGGCTGGGTAATAATTCCATGGTGGCTTCTGTGGGCATGTCACGAAGGGTGACTCCAGACCTCCGTGGTCTTCTCCACGGGCTAGTGGCATGGGGACACTGGAGAACCAACGTCGGGGCGTCCAGCTTGGGGAGCGTGACCGACCAGGTGCTGTGTGCCATGGGGTGACAAAACATTGCATGGTCACCACAGGTATAACGGGCGGGTCCACCGCAGCGGAACCCTCCTAGACGGCGTCATGGTTTGGCGTGCGACCCGGGGACAGTCGGGGTGTCACGGTCGAGAGCTGGGCGGAGCCATACGGAGCCATACGGAGCCAGGCAGAGCCAGAGGCCTGGAATGATCGTCACGGTCTGGGCGATGAACCTTGTGGAGATGCGCGAAACTTTTTGCGGAGCTGGACCTGGAGATCTCTCATCATCCGCAAAATGTCCGCGCCGAGAGAACGCCCGAAAGGGAGAAAATTAACCGCAGCCTCTGGCGATGTGCCGGCGACGGTCGCATGATTGCTCGCCAACGTCGTCGAAGAGGAGGATGCCAACCTGCATGCGGGTGCAACACGACGTGCCATCACGGGAATGTTGCGGGAGTATGCTGGAGTATGCTGCTGAGGCCGGCACGATGTGGTCGTGGCTGGGGGTGTCTAGTGCAGTCCCAGTAATTCGGAGTCTTAGCCGAGAGTGCTTCTCCAGACGTTGGCTTGCTTAGATCAGCCTCATCATGACAAAACCCCCACGGTTCCATCGCCAGGGTCTGGGGTGCGACAGGACGAGGAACGGCCGAAAAATCACCAGCCTCAAGCACGAGCCCTTCGTGGGCGACGTTGTGACGTAGCCCGTGAGAACTGCAGCTCTGGAGACTGAATGGGGTTTGTGATGACCTGAGTGCTGCTCAACTTTTTTTTTTTTGCACGCCACTGACTGACTCGAGACATTGAAAGAGCCTGCTTGAGTCCCTCACGAATCTACGCGGGCATGGGACGAGAGACAGGAATGGCTCTACCGCGAGTCGGCTAGGAGTCGTCCGATCTGGACTCGGACGATCGCCGTCCTTGGCAGAGACCAACGATACCGGCTGATTAAAATGGGGCTCAGCGAGCTGTCGTTGCGTGGGGCCAAGCCGCCAAGTCACGAATGCCGAGGCGGCTCCCGCCAGCCAGCGGCTTGAATATTACATCAGAGGGGACCAGATGCCGTGTGCAGGTACCCACTGTTAGGACCCGTCAACAAACGGGCCGTTTGGTCGGGATAGTCGGATCTCGCTATGGACCCATGAGGATCAAAGTTTGAGCCGCAGAGCCTCCGAGATGGTACGTCCTTCGCCTGAGGCTCGGAAGAGCGAGGTCGACTGTGCAGCGCCTCACGAACAGGTGCCTCCTTGTCTGGGGCTGTCAATACGGTGGGAGTCCGGGTCGAATGAGGCCGGGAGGAGACGGCATGCTCCATGAAAATTACATCGTCATGAGGGCGAAGAAAATGCCGCCCGTTTCCAAGAAACGAATCTGGCTGACGCATGAAGATTGACCTTCCTTGGCCATGTTCTGTTCCACGTTCTGTTCAAATGAGTACCACCCTGGCATTGAACTTTAGCATTTATCTGAAATCCCGCAGCGCTGATCCAGCGAGATTGACCGCGCGAGATGGTGAGTAAACTGTTGGGAGACAGTGCGTATTCTGGTATTCCGCCGACGTTGCATCCCGCCGAACGTCGCTGCGAATGATTCGCCGATCCCTAACCCCTTTCCCACGGTGGACTGCATTGTCTGGCGGACAGCGGTACAGCAACACTTGGTTGCACTTGCAGAGCGCTGTCCCATTTTGCACCAGAGACGTGGTCAACTTCCATGACCGTGGAGGTCAATCAAGTAGCAAAACGCTGTCCAGAAGCCTCTTCCTCTCATCACCCTGCCCCTGGGAGTGCACAGCGAGAGCAAGCGAGTGGTAATGCCCCCGAGGTACGCCCTGCCCTTGCCGGACAACTTGGGCGGAGATTGCCCGACATCGCCAGCACAAGCATGTACCTGCACGGAGTACTTGCGGGGAGTGATGGTGGCCTCGCATGGTCGGACTGGAGCGGATCAAGTGGCCCGGAAGATGAACGGCGAGGCCGCAGGATGGAACAATCCAGGCAGACGGTAACTGGAACCGGCCAGCTTCCAATTCCCACCGCCAGCGGTTGTGAATCCAGGCTCAAGGCACGATTGTGTCAGCCTGACCGATTCCACCACAATACATTGCCAGCCAGAATGCCCCGGGTATCAAGGCTTTCTATGACACATGCTGCCTCAATCGTCGTAGTCGGGTACGAGGGTCCGAAGCGTCATTTCTCCGTATAGGGGCAACAGGAGCTGTATCGTATGGTTCCGGTGTTGCTGAAGACAGTGGCCGATTAGGCGCGGGCTCGCGGCGGTCGGAACTTCATCGTCGCCAGCAGTGTCGGGATCGTCACAGCAGGAGTGAGTCCCTTGAGGTCATCGTAATCCTCCTTTGAGCGATGCGAGGACACATGTTCTCTTTATAGATGTTCCGAATGAGTCAAATGCGTGAGTTCGGCCCTCGTTCGAAAGCACGTGGAGACCTGGAACAGCGTGGTGCTCGAAAAGTCTGCACACAGCAGACATTGTGGGACGCCACCCACCATCATAGCTTGCCGTTGAGCCTTATCTCTGAGTTGTATCTGCCCTCCATGAGCGTCCTCGTTGCACTGCTTGGTAGATGCGGGTCTGGAGCAAGACCCTGCCGTTCTCGGACTTCTCGATTCGAACGACGCAGCCCCAGCGCGGTGAGGGCATCGTCCAACCCGTTTGCAACGTGTCAGCTGCGCCCCTTTCTTTCTCCCAAGGTTGTTCGACTTCTGGGGGCGATCATCACCCCACGAGGATGCAGAGCATGTGAGAACAGAATGATGAGCACTGCTCCCCCAGCGCGGCCGCCAGGTCTGTGGTGTTGATGACCCCGAGGCCCGAAGGATCTTCGCACTGATTCCTCGCCGGGACTTGCGCTGTCAGCACCCACAGAGGTTACTTGCACAGCAACCTCCACCGACATTCATTGGGCCCAGTTTTAGCTAGGACCAGGTGCGACCTTGAAGGACAATCATACCAGATAGGGTGGGCCAGCCGCCGAGTGGCTAAGCTTGTTGATGACGCGGTCGAGTGCGCTCTTATTGTCGCAACTCGTTACTGTAAACAGGACCGGTAGCAGACATAAAGGGCCCACCACCAGCGGCAGAATCGTAGCAGAATCGTGGCTGTTCTTCCCCGGCCCCCATGATACGGGCCTCCGGCTCTGTTTCTGGTCTCGTTCGTCTTTGATCGCTGTGTTATCGAGGGATCTTGCCCGGCATACCTCCGCCAGCATACCACCTCGAATCGGGATGCGAAAGTTTCCCATGGTGTTGACACTGGATTTGGCCGCGATAAGGCGAAAGCCCGCTGATCTCTCTCAGAGCGCAAGGGTGATCGACTCCGCCTTCTAATGCTCATTATCGTGTCTGTTGCTGAAGTGGAGCAACCCTGCTGATTGGCTTCGCATAGACCTTGTGAAGCGTGATTTGCACGTGCACATTGGCAGTCCAAATGCCTTCCAATGGCGACCTCTCCATGACGTCGAGTTGTTTCTCACATACGAGACGTGTTGGGAGGGGCGTCGATTCTATCCATGGTCAGCCTCGTCAAGTTCAGAGACGGAGAGAGACAGAATGGTTTCGAATCGAGGCAGAGCCGCGCTGAGGCACCGTCCTTGAATCTCGACGTGAGTCTGCAGCCCAGGTTGTGGTTTGATATTGTCTTCGACCGGAAGCTCCTCTGCCGAACGCGTCAAATATCCACGATGACGCTCGGGGAAGCCTTATAGTTAAGGCCATGGCCCGGCACGAGCTCTCGGCACTGTCGATGACAGCTTGCTCCTTTCAGAGCTCGACCAGCGGGCAATACCCCCCCCTCATTCTCTCCTCTCCTTTTCCCAGTCAAATGCCAGTACGGGTGAACAGACGTCCAGGCTAGATTGACCACCCCCTTGGCGACAACGACGTGAGTCGAGCCAGCAAGCTGCCAGGTATCATCTTGGATTTGTTTGAGAAGGAGCCTGATTATTTTTGCCATCTAGGCGGCATGGATGCCACTCAAGCAAGGGGCTGGTGAAGTAGAAACGGGGAACATTTCCGATGCAAGTTTGCCCCGTGCGCCATGACGGAACGGATGACTTGCTATAGAACCAAGTGGTTTGGTGTCCCAGTGAAGGGGTCGGCTACGCCTCGCACCAGTCGCCAGCATATACACGAAGTATGCCGAATGTGGGCACAGACCAAAGGGTCTTCCGACGGCTGTATCCGTGAGAAGGATGGGAGAAAGGACAGCATGGGTTGACAAGCATGGGAAGAAGGAGGCAGGATAAGGAAGAGAAGGGGAGAGAAGAACACCCGAAGGAAGTGAGAAAGGGTCGCGTGAGCAGACCACAGCATTTAGTACTACTAATGTCTGGGGCACAAGGTCGGGAACCAGTGGTCGCGCTTGAAATTCTGGGGAAGGATGCCAGAGCCCCAGGTTGAAAGTGAACCGAGGACAAGCCCCGTCCGGGCCCGGTCTGGGGTGTTGGGCTCTGGAACGTGGGGGCCTTTCTTTATATTACACGAGGAAATGTCCTTTTGCCTGGGCCCGTCCTTCCCACAAGGCCGTCCGGGTCTCGGTTGGGAAAAGGAGGACAAGCCGACGGGGAAATGGACTGACTGGGATGCCGCCGTGAGACTGGTGGGCCTGGCGTTGATCTGGACCGCCCTACCTGAGCCGACGTGGGTGCTTGATGTGCATATCGAGCAAAGACCAGCTTTGATTCATTCATTCCCCTGCCATTTTCAAAGTTTGTGCGCTTTCACGACGTGGCAGGCCAGCCGAAGGACAAGGCACGGTGGACATGGGCGTGCGTAGATGTGCGAGAAGAGCAATTTGGGACGCGGATGCAGGCAGAGAGAGCTACTGCAGTGATTGGTGGTGGTTGTTCTTGAGGCGTCGAGCTGTGGAAGGGGGAGGGGGAACGAACTGGCGGGTGGGCAACCCCAGGGAAACCCCCACACTCCCAGGCCACCCAGCTGCATCCCCACATGGGGCAGAGCAGCGCACCAGACAGGGGGTAGCCGCAGATTTTACTGAATACCACCCGACTACACCCGCGAGCAGCTCATCCAGAGCAGGCCATCCATGCAAGTCATCCGTCACCACCATCGCCCAACATCACCACATCTCCCAAATCAGCCCTCGTTATTGGCATTTCATCCCTCTCGACTGAGCCGCCAGCATGGTCACCACACGCTCCTCAGCCGCAGCCCTGGCGCGCTCACGGTCAGGCACACCAGCTGCCCAGCCCGCAACATCCCCCAACAGTGCTGCAGGGGGCCCCCCCAGCATCAACCCGGCCACCAAGAAGCGCACCATAGCCCACATGAACAAGGACCATGCAGAGGACATGTCGGCCATCCTACGGCACTACTCCCACCTGTCCGCCGCCGAGGCCGAGGGGGCAGAGATGCTCGACCTCGACCTCACGTCCATGTCCATCCGCTCCGCCTCGGGCACCCACGCCGTCGCCATCACCCCGCCCATGGACAGCTGGGACGACCGCCGCGCAAAGCTGGTGGCCATGACCACCGACGCGCGCAAGGCCCTGGGACTTGACAGCGATGGCAATGAGGCCGAGGCCGCTTCCCATGCTGCCCCCGCCGCCGCCGAGGCCGAGCACATCAGCCCCGGCCCCGGCCCCGGCCCCAGCGCGCCGCCCCCCTCCTCCCCGCGCTACGTCCCGCCGCAGGGGACAGACTGGATCAGCCTCGCAGGCGTGTCCTTCTACTTCCTGTGCGCGGGCCTGGTCTACGGCGGCCTCGTGACGCCCGGGTCCCCCGCCTGGGCCGCCCTCGAGGCCGTCCGCTTCCCCCGCGGGCCCGTCGCCTTCATCTGGCTCGTCGAGGTGCTCTTCCTGCCCGTGCTGGCCATCCACGTCGCAGAGGCCTGGTACATGCACCGCTCGCGCCTCGCGCCCGCCGCGGTGCCGTGCGGCTCGGCGGTCTGGCTGCTATGGGTGGGGAATGCCTTCCTCGAGGGCATCCCGGCCTACAAGCGGTGGGACCGGACCGTCAAGGCAAAGGCCAGCTAGGTGATCGATCGGTGTCGACAATGTATCTTCCTGTATCTCGCCGTCGCTGGTGCCCCCCTGCTCCCTGCTCCCTGCTCCCTGTGACCAGTGCATGCTTGATATTGCTCGACCTGCCTCCCGCAGTTCGCCATTGCCCGCGCGTCCCCCGCCAGTAGCACGACTGTTGATCAGGAAGAACAGCTGTCTCCTGACCACTAGCCGTTGGACAGGTTCTCCATGACCTCGCATCGGTAGTGTCAATAAATGAAGTCCCATGTCTTTGAGGCTTCTTAAATTCATATCGCATAGGAATTTCGATAAGGTCGATCAAGCCGCAATGGCTTAAGTTGTGCACGCGTGTAGATGTATCGGCGCAAGAACACAGATTGGACAAGGGGAAAAGAGGAGATCCAACCAAATCGAGATCAAATAAGGCACATCGACCGACCTGGTGGGGAACGAACGAGGTTTCCATGTCTTTGGTGCTGAGTACCCCATGTTCTACGCTCCGCAAATATGTCTGTATGAAGATCGTCGATGATAGGTCAGGGGTGAAGCTCGGACGGCGTTGACGATTCTTGGAGCTTTTGATGACTATTGTTGTCCCAAAATAGCTTGCAGAACGTGGTGAAAACCCCACGCAGGGAGTTTCCGACACGATCGAGAAGCCTACCAATCGCCACAAATATCTCAACACTTCTGACTTAGGACGCGCTCAGTGATGGACCAAGTCCAGCCTGGCAACAGCGTATTCCAAAAAGAAAGAAAAAGAGGTCTTGTATAGACAAGCGTGCCTTCATGCATCGTACATTAGTGATTACACATAGCCCTGACCAGGCGGACATTGATCCCCCAGCTCGTAACTCCTCCAGCACTATACGACCTTGTGCCCACGCGCGGGGCTTTGCGTTGCTCATGGGTAACATGCGTCTATTTCACCTGCAGGTGCCTGATCCCAATCCCTAGCAGCTCGTGCAGGGATGGTATACCTTCCACAGCGAGCCAAGCGATGCCTGCAGTGTAGAACATGTCAGTCGGAATCCTCGACGCTTGTACAACATAGGAGCAGCAAAAACAGGCTGAACTCACCTGTGTAGACCACCAGCTTGGTGACGACCTCCACGTCGTATTTAACTCTGGGCTTGACCAGCCGTGAGAACATCTCCTTCTCGCCCAGCTCGTCCTCCTGATCCTGCTGGACAAATATCATGGGACCCTCCTCGTCCTCCGGCTCCTCCCTCACCATGGGCGTGCTTGGGCTGGGCGACCTCCGCATGACCCGCGCAGCCGCCTGTCCCATCTGTTGCTCGTAATCGGCCAGGGCGGTCGACCTCCCCGCGCCGTGATGGTCCTTATCCTCACTGGCTACAGCTGAGAGCGCCACCCCGTCTGCTTGGAACCTCTCGCGCAGGTCACCGTGGCTCTTCATGCTGCCGTTGGACCCGATGCTCTCACGCCGTCTGCGCTCCCTGTACGCCAGCGCCTCGTACGCATCGGCCGCGCTCTGCGGCCCAATGGAGACACTGCGGCCCCTTGTCGGCGCCCTCAGCGTCTTGACGAACCCGGGAAAGTCCCTCATTGTGGGCAGGACGTTGTCCGTGCGCAAACGCAGGAGGTTGGGGATATTCTTATACTCGGACGCCGGCACGAAGAAGCGCCTCGGGAGCGACACGCCCAGGCGCTCGACGACTCGGAACACATACGGGAGCGACTTGAGCAAGAAGGGTTTCATGGACTCGCGCCAGACTATGATGGTCAGCACGCCGAAGATGATGCGCCCGATGGTGACGGGCCAGCTAAGACCCGGGAAAGGTCCGTCCAGGTTCGCGGCGCCAAGGTGCCACAGGCCGGCCTCGAGCCCTATCATGACGCCGGCGAAGGCGACGGAGTCGTCGAAACAGGGGCAGTCATCCGCAGGCTCAGGATGAACCCGTACCAACACAATGATGGTCAGGGCCACGAGCAGAGGCGCAGTCCAGCCACTAGCCTGGAGGTAGGCATCGAAGGGCGGGCCGTAATAGAACTCGACGAGCGAAATGGCAGCCCCCATAGCGGAGCCGATAATGACGTCGAGAAAACCATGCATGCCACAGTACAGGCGACCGATGATGATGGATGCGGCGTAGAAATAGCCCAACAGCTCAAGCATGAGCGCCGTGGTGGGGGCGAGACTGCTCTCACCAGACCGCAAGCACAAGACAGCATACACAGCAACGGAGACGGCGTTGGCAGAGTGGGTGGAGGGGAAGCCGTATTCCAGGGCGGCGGAGCCTGACATGGTGATGCGGTTCAGCGGGGGCGAGAGCGGGCGGGGCAGCGAGAACATGTCCTTGATGAAGCCTGTGAAGAAGACGCCCTCGGCCAGGATGTGTACGAGCCCCTTGCCAAAGGCAGGAAACCCACACCAGAACAGGATGGGCAGGCCGATCATGAAGAAGGTGTGGGTGCCGAGGTTGGCCGTGATGGCAAAATAGCTATCGAGGGCAGGCGTGCGCACGGCATCCTGGAAGTATGCGAGGTAGGGCGTCTCCCAGCGGATCAGGGGCAGCATGGCCTGGCGGAGGCTGTAGCGCCATGACGGGAGTGTCTGTCTGTCTGTACATATCACACAAGGATTGATTAGCCGGGCTGTCGAGTGAGTCTCCAAAGCAGGCAAACGATAGGCAGGCAGGAGGGCGACATACAGTGGTCCAGGCTCCTCAGGCCGGCGTCGATGACCTCGGCCTTGGCCTCGTGGCCGTTGGGCAGGGCCGGGGCTGGCTTGTGCAGGTTCGAGTTGGGCGGGGCGCCGTGGAGCTCTGAGCCTGAGCCGGAGCCGGAGCCATGATGTGTTCGATTCATGGACCACGGATCGGATCCTCCTCCTCACGTGTCCAGCCGGCCTCGGTACGTGATGCTGCGCTTCAGAGACACGGGTCGCAGAGGCATTGACCGGGTTGGGACGGGTGGCGTGAAGCCGGGCTGCAGCAGCTGTCGCGCGCGGGAGCGAGGTTGGAAAGATGGCGAGGGCCGCAGGGCCGGTGCGGTATCGATAAGATAGATAGATGGATGCGTGTGGTCGTCGGGTCGGGTCGGCCTAGTTCGAGCCGGTTCAGTGCAGTGCAGTGTAGTGCAGTGCAGCGAGCAGTCGGTCCCCCGCAGGTTCAAGAGGGATGAAGTGATCGTCAAGACGGCAGCGGCTACCTGGTGGCCTGGTTGCCTGGTAGGTAAACAGCTCCTGTACTCCGTAATCTGCCTACTACTCGTGACGTGCGAGCAGGCGAGGAGGGCAGGACCGTGGCAAGTGGTCGACAGGGATGAGGAACAAGAGCCGGTTCCCTGCAAGCCCTGCCAACCTGCCTGTCACGTCAGCGGGGCCCGTCGGTTCTCTGTGGCTGCAGGACCCCTGGAAAAGTAAGCAGCTTGTTCCTGAGGGTGAGGTGAGACTGCTGCCGGGCCCCCGCGGGTTTGCCCAGCCCTGCCAGCCCGGGTTGGAGCTTCATCCTACCGCGCCGCCTGCCTGTCCGCGGGGCCGAGGCTGCCATAGCGCCCAGCGCCCTGGCGCGGTACGGGGGTGGGTAGCTCTATACGGAGTAGTGCATTTTACGCCATCAAAGCCCTCCCTCCGGCTGCAGCAGCCTCAACCAAGGCCACACGATATACTGACACTGCACCACTCCCATGATCTCGCTTGTAGGCAAGACCGTCCTCGTCACCGGCGGAAGCAGGGGCATCGGCCTGGCCATAGCCCACCGCCTGGCCGACGAGGGCGCCTCATGCCTGCTGGTAGCCCGCAACGCCGACGCCCTCAACACCGCGTGCTCCGACCTGCCACCGCCCTATTCCAAAGGCGCAGCGGAACCCCGGCCCCACGCCTTTTTCGCGGGTGAGGCTGGCGAGCCAGCAACCTGGGACTCCATAGGCCGTCAGCTCTCCGCCGAGGGGGCTGAGGTGGACGTCCTCGTCAACGCGGCTGGCGTCTCGCAGAACTCGCTGCTCGCCCGCACCAGCCCCCACGACATTGCCGCCATCCTCGACACCAACCTGCGCGCTGCCGTGCTCGCCTCCAGGCTTGTCAGCAGGCAGATGATGCGCAGGGCCGCCGACGCCCGCCGCGACTGCAGCATCATCAACGTCTCGAGCGTCATGGCCTTCAGGGGCGGCACCGGCGCCTCCGTCTATGCCGCGAGCAAGGCCGGTCTCCTCGGTGAGGCGCCTTCTCTCCTGCTGTTATCATAGACTAGCTGCTGATTGGGAAACCGACCTCCCCCAGGCCTCACGTCCGCCCTCTCCCAGGAGCTGGGCCGTTTCCAAATCAGGGTCAACGCCCTCGTCCCAGGTTACATTCAGACTCAGATGATTGACAGTAGGTTGCTGGCCTTGAATCCCGTCTCACGACTTTTTTTATTCCTCTTGGGTTCTCTGTTCTTTTTGTTTCCAATGCTCTGCTCGTGTCCATCCCTGGCCGCGAGCTTGAGCTCTACTCCAAGTAACATCGGACCACCTTGTCTAGGACGGCCCAAGTGTCCTGTGGCCCCACAGTCCATCTCGCAGGCCCTGTAGGCTCATCATATCATTACAAGTAATTGGCTGCTAATCTACACGACTTTCCAGACCTCAATGAAACCAAGCTCAGCAGCCAGATCCCACTCGGGAGGATAGGCACGACCGATGAGGTCGCAGACGCCGCTTTTTTCTTGGCCACCAATTCGTATGCCAACAACTGCATCCTCAACATCGATGGTGGGTTGGGTGCGGCCGATCAGGGTCTCGTAAGTCGTGGAAGCCCCTGAGCCATGCTTCTTGTCAGCATCGAGCGTGCTGTCCAGCTCCTCAAGGGGCGCGTCGCAGAGAGGCAGCATTCAGTCGTCGTCGATCATGATGGCACCATTGCCACTGTCGTCGTCAACAAGAACCGCGTCGCCGCCCTTGGCACTCGATTCGCCAGTCTTCCTAGCCTTCTTTGGACCGGGTTCTTCCAACTCGTCCTCATGCTCCCGCTTGTTCTTTCGGCTGCTGTCATCCGGCTCATGCTTCCCGTTCGAAGACGGCGCAGCTATGGACGCATCTGCAGGCTCCTTCTTTGGCTTTTTGGGTATCTCAGGCTTGTCGTCTGAGACGGCCTTTACTGGCTTTTCAGGCCGTTCTCCCTTGCTGTGAATCTGTCAGTCACCCGAACACTGCATTCCGACACGAGGAACCTACGCTTCTTGGATGTTGAGAACCAGATTGACGAAAGGCTCGGCGTCATCCTCATCAGTGACAGTCAGGAATGTGTCGGGTTTGATTCCTAGCATGGATTAGTGAGCATTCAAGCACACAGGCTGGGGAAAAGCGCGTACCCAACTCAGTAAGCTTCTTCGAAAGATGCTCCGTCTCATCCGGGTCGTACAGGATGCCCGCGTCAGTGGCCACAGCAATCTCCTTCTCGCCATAGCCCAGCTGGAGTCTCAAGAAATCATCAACAAGGTCTTTCAGCGTCGCTCGAGAGAGGTCGACGTATGCGCTGGTCTGGAAGACACTGCAGACAGGACAACTGGGGTTGGGCGGTTGTGGTCGGTCGGCTGAGATGAGTCGAGCCGGCAGGCCCGAGGAAAAAGGCGAGAGGAAGGCCTAGACTTGGTCAACTTCTGCACATTGGGAACAATACGGCGGCTTCTGCGGCCACTTACCTCTTTGGCTTTGCTGTACTCTCCTTTGAGCACCTTGTAGGCTTGTAGCACGCACAGGCCGGCGACGATAGCATTGGTAGTCGCAATGGCTGGTATGATGTTGCCAGCCATCTGCTTGATGTCGAACCGAGACTTCCGCTCAATGTCGAAGATCGTAGATCGGATGTTCGCGCTGGCCGCGACAAAGTCGAGCGTGTCATCATCGTCCTTGTCAAACTCGATCATAGGTGTGGGTCCAGACCCGTCATGCGACTTCTTCAACTCGGCCATGCGCTTGCTGAGCCGGTCCAAGCTATCGTTAAAGACAACGAGACTCTCCTCCAGGCTCCAGACCTTTTGGCCATCCTCCAGGATGGCCTCTTTCGCTGCTGAGGCCTCGCCCGCCTGTTCCAGCACCGTTTGGTATTCCAATGGCTGGGGTGCTTTCCTCGACTTCCACATGTCTTCCATTGAGCGCAGGCGCTCAATGTCCACTTTGAAGACCTTGTCGAAAAGCAGCTGTGGGAATTTCTCCGAGCCAACAGACTCGCGAATAGACTTCAGCGCCTCGGATTCCTTCTTCAACTCCTCAATCTCCTTGGCGTTATCTTGGTCGTCTGAATGGTCAAAAGCGGACTCGTCCTCACTAGCACCGAACATCTCGTTCAGCAGATAGCTTTTGGCCCAGACTATGCAATGTATCGGCTGGCTGGGTGTGCTTCGGATTGTGCACACAGGGAACGACTTTGGCGCGTCTTTCGGTGTGCAGTCGTAGCAGGCGGTGACACCCTTCTTGATGACCTGGACCTGACCGTTAAAGCCCGTAGTGCCACTCTCGATCAAAGGTACGTCCGCCGCCAAGCACATCTTGTTCACATGTCGCCTAGCTTCCATGTTGTCAAGCGCGTTGAACACAATGGTGAAGCCTCGGAACCACTCGACATTGAACTGCGAATCCTTGATGTTGGAATGGTGGGCCTCGATCTTGACCTGTGGGTTGAAAGCTTGCGCGACATCTTTCGCGACCAAAGCCTTTGGCTTTCCGATGTGGTCGGTGCGGAAGAGGAACTGTCGGTTGAGATTGCTCAAGTCGATCGTGTCGAGGTCAACAACATGTATTTCGCCAAAGCCCTGGAGGACGAGGTTCTTGAGAAGTTCGCAGCCGATGCCACCAGCGCCGACCAACAGAGCCCGAGACTGCAAGCATATTAGTTTGATGGAATTCGTGCAAGGCGCATCAGCTTGAAACATTTTGATGGCAGGCAGGTGAGGAATCGCTGAGTAGAGCAAGGGAGAAGCAGAAATCCGTCCCGTAACCACTGCGACCGCGTCAAGGTAGCGTCGAGTGCGAGAGAGGCAGGGCAGGCGGAAGTCATGTATAAGATGGCAAGACAATGCGATGGGGGGTCACGCACGCCTTTGACCTGAGAATTTAGCGCTTTACCAAGCGATCGCTGGTTGAAGATGTCACGGGTGAGTGCTGCAGGCTGTCGTGCTACGGCGGCCGGAGGTGGTTGGCCTTGGGCAATCGGGACTGTGTGAGTCGTGGAGGCAGGGCGAGGCACGCTCGTGGAGGCGCCAGCGGCTGCACCTGCAACTGGAGGCTGCTGGGCGGCGGCTTGAACACCTGCAGGAGGCGCTGGCTGTTGTTCTGCAGTGGCAGCAGAAGCTGGCGGAGCTTCACCCGTGGGAGCGCTCATCGTGTCGCGATCGGCGCATCAAACGCGCACCGAGTTGATGGTGGTACGGTTCTGGCTGAGGAAGGGTCGAAGGAAGACGGACGGGATGGGCGAAGGTCTCTCGCAAGGCGCTAGAGCGAAACGATGTCGTGTGCCAGGTGACAAGGCAAGGATTGAGTCGACTCGTCGCAAGTCGGGGTCTCAGATAAAGTCAATCGGAAGGAGAGCTGTCCTGTCAGCAGAGGTCTGTCGCCTATGCAGAGAGTTGGTTCGCATCCCGCTTTGTATTGATGATCCCTCTGGCCCAACCTCGAGAGGCCAAAGCCAGTCCCGACGCCTGCAGATTCCAAGGCTGGTCTGGAGCTCTCTCTCCCCCAGGCCGAAGCTAGCTAGCCCTGTTAGCCGACAGGGGTGTGGTGCGTTGATGGGCCCTGACGTACCTACGGAGCACCTGCCTCGCACTCCACCCAGGTACTGTGTGTTGCTCCAGTGCAGTACGTCCCCGCCTGCAGAGGATGGGTGTCTAGGCACGTACCTAGGTACCTAGGCAGGTACGTACTGTAGTCTAAAAGCTGTCTGTTTGCCCCAGCAGACCTTCTGCTAGTACTCTCCGGCTTTTGTGGGCACGGTATGGTGCCCAGGTAGCCAGTCAGTCAATGAACTCTTTATGGGGCTCAGGCAACCGTTGAGGAATTGACAACCAAGTTCCTGTCTCTGGCAGCCGAGGGGGAAATAACGGTCTCGGTGTGGACTTCTGGCCTGTAGCAAATGTAGAGTTGGTCTGTTGGCCTCAGATGGCCAATGCTGCCAATGGCTCATTATCACCACTCCCGGTCTCCCCCTAATAAATTAAATCCCAAGTGTGCAAACATCTTTTCATCCACTTCTTTTCGACAGTCACCTCATTCATTGCCCCCGTTCCAGACCACTGTCGTATTCAAAGCCACACATCGGGCCAACAAAGCCTCGGGCTGCACGCAACGGATCCGCCAGGGCCACCATGTCTGACGACGAAGCCGATCCCGAGCTGCTTGAGCTCCTCCGTGCCCATGTGCTGGGCCAGTCCAGCGCGAACGCCGACCCTGAGACAGGCGTGCTCGACGGCGCCGAGTATGTGTACGACAACTCAATCGACGTTGCACTGGACATGTGGTCATGCAAGACGGCCGCCAACGCCATCTACAAGCAGATGCAGGAGAAAAGCTACTCCACGGCCACATGGTCAGAACATGAGCTCCATCCCAAGGCCAAGGACGAGGCCACCGTTGACTTCATCTTTACGATGGACCTTCTGAACTTCTCCTTCTGGTCGGAGCTATCCGACGACAAGCGCTTCGCTGTTTCGTACAAGGACAGGACCTGGACGGGCTACTGGAGCCTGGTGGCAGCCCTGCAGCGGGCTCTCGATGAAGGTTGGTGCGGCGGGCTTGTGACCGCTCTTTCTGGCCACGGCGGTTGACAAGTGCATTTTCTCCCTGCCAGACATACCCATAACCAGTTCCGACTTCTGGCAGAGCGAGGACGAATGCACGCTGGAACTCCTGAGACATGTCTTTCGGTCCACGACAGATGAGGAGATACCCTTGCTCGAGCAACGCCTTACCTGTCTGCGTGAGGCTGGGAAGGTGCTCTACGAGGTATTGCTGTCCCATCTCCTATGTGTGTGATATGAGCCATCGAAAGGAATGTTGTCCTACGATAAGATGCATGTCTTGATTCGGGTTTTCGGAGTCTCCCTTTATTTCCCATCTCACCTGTCATAAAGTGTACACCAAAGTGTTGACGGTCGACGGGCAATGTTGCTTTTGACATGCATCGAAGCTATATAAGAGCCGTTTCGGAACATGCACGCCTGACGCAATGCTGACGGCGGCTTACAGAAATATTCATGCAGCTTCACCAACTGTATCAAAGCCGCCAATGGGTCGGCAGCCGGTCTCGTGAACCTACTGGCCGATGACTTCGCCTGCTTCCGAGACGAGACAAAATTCGAAGGCCGGCGGAAACCAGTCCGCTTCCTGAAGCGGGCGCAGATTCTCGTAGCTGATATCTGGGCCTGCTTCCAAGGTGCAGGCTATGGCGCCTTCGGGGATATTGACAAGATCACCATGTTTGCCGACTACCGGGTACCACAGGTCTTGAACACTATGGGCTGTATTTATTACAGCCCTACCCTGAATGAGGTAGTCAAGGAGAAAAAGATCATCGAAAGCGGGAGCAGCTGGGAGGTTCAGCTGAGAGGTAGGACGAGACTCCGCAACCCTGGCTACTACGGTCGTGTTGGCTGACGGTTCGTGAAGCATGCAGCATTTGGTGCGTTGAGCTCATTCGGAGAGACATCAAACGGACCCATCCGGATGTCAAGATCAACGCCATTCTGATAGACTTTTTCTTATACGACCTCATGAAGGACCTAGAATCCAGGGGCCAGGAGTCGATTCCCCACCACCGCACAAGGAGCATTTGGTACTAAGCGAGGAGATCTTTTCAATTTAGCTGCTGTTGCGCTGAAATGCGCTCACGCTGTGCGCATCTAGTAGTGCAGCTGCTTCGGAATTTCAAAAGATTTAGAATAGCTTGACAGATTGGCTCTGCCGGGGCCCGGGGTTTGGTAAAATCCAGACCGAAGCCATAAAATCATATTCTGGCAGCAAACGCCTTCACTCCAACGTCCCAGCCCTTGCACAAGGGCCTATCTGGGAACCCGCTCAGGTCCAGACAACGTACCAATTTGCATTGATTCCCATGTGTCGCAACTCCCAAAAGCAAAGTATGGTGACCACTCTCACGGGGCTGATCAGCCACTTCCTACGGCCGTGGACTCCATCAGTCGATCTATGGCAGCCCTCTCAATCTCCTTTTTGCCCTGCCCCTCCTCCTTCAGCAGGACTGCGAGCACCTCAATTGGGGGGTCGAGGCCCAATCTCTCAGCCCGGTACCACCGCCTCGCGCGTGGGATGCCGATGCAAGGCCCGTACTGTGAGCTGACGTCGAAGTAACGCAACACTTTCTCTGCCTGGCTCAGGTCCTCCTGGTGCACCCGCTTCGAGATGCGCGCGGCCTCGACACCCTTCCAGTAGCGGTTGATCTGCGCATCGCTGACATTCTCTGCCCTCAGCTCGGCCTCACTCTTCCCGACCTCTGGCTGCGCTGCTGGGACCTCCTCCGGCTGCTCAACCTCGACTTCATCCACATCCTCGGTAGTGGGGGTCTGGGCTTGGCGTTCTGGCCCGACTTTGGTGGCAGTGGGCGTGGAGAGCTTGTCAGACTTGCCGGACTTTGTTGTTCCGCTCTTGGTGACTTTGTGGTTGAAGCTGAGGGTAGACTGCCCCTTGCTCGCCGCAGCTCGAGCGGCTGCGCCGCGTGCGGATTTGCGGGTTGCTGGCATGGTGACCCGAGCTGTAATGACGTCGATGAGAGATGGATGAGATGTCGAAGAAAGTGAGTGGATGCGGGGAGGGGTAAGAAGAGTCTGGTTAAACTATTGGTGTTTGGAGGAGTTAAATTACGAGTGAGATGTCCCGTCTTTGTTTGTTTGACCGTCTGGCTGGGAATTGGGAGGTTGGCTGATGCTGGTGGTGTTGGGGATCTGGGGTAAAGTGATGCAGGCACTTTACGCCTAAACGCCTAGTGCTGGCTGGGCAACCTCGAAACTGTCACGAAAGCATCTGACCTCGGAACCCGGACCCTGGGAGGCCTGGCAACATGCCCCCCCCCTCACATAATAACTTTCATGTCCCCTGAGGTTACGGCTCCTCAGTCTAATAAGCAGCATTTCTGCCGATTTATTTGCACCTCTGAGAGACACCACTGAATTGAACCCACCATACTATGTAGTAGGAATGAATGGACCGGAAAAGTCGTACATATGATGCCGGGCTGATATGTCAGCTTTCTACTGGTAATCTAGCAACCTCGCAACGCACGCTTCTCTGCCGTGTTTTCCAGGATCTGGTCATGAACCTGTATATCGTCGACGCTTGCTTCGACTTGATGACTCTCGTAATGAGGCTGTTCTCTAGCTCACGGTGCAGTGAGAGCTCGTAGGCTTCGGTTCATATTCAGACCTTTCCACCCTCGCGGTAGAAAGTCAGGCTGCGGTTCGCACCTGCCGTACAGAACATCTCCCCGCGATGCGCCGCCGCCTTTGGCAACCACTTGACGCTCCAGAGAATTTTGTCCGTCTCGCTATGCGTCGCCACACAGACACCGCGATCTATCGACCAAACCTTGACCTTCCCGTCAGTAGACCCGGAGAGCAGGAACTCGCCCGTGTCTGACCAGTCCAGGGAGGTGATCCATGCAGACGAGGAGCCGCCGCTGTTCAGAATGCCCACATGCTCTCCGGTAGTGACATCGTAGATGGCGATGATGCCTGCGTCGCCCGCCGCCGCGAGGCGAGTGCTTCCTGGTGAGAAGGCAACTGCTCTCACTGGTTTTGCGAGACCTGTTTGGCAGCCCGGTCAGAAAGGACTTGTGCGCATGCATACTGACGACTTACCAGATAGCGAGTACTTCAAATGTCCCGCGTCGTTGTTGAACACGTAGACCGACCCATTCTGGTGCCCACTCGCCGTCAGACGCCCATCAGCACTCAGGTCCACGGACAGGCCAAAGCTTCCGTTCCCGCCACCTCCCGTCTCGTAGGTCTGCAAGACGGTCTTGGATGCGAGATCCCACACGTGTATTCTGCCGTCGTGGGTTGTGCAGGCCATGTAGTTCTCGTCGGAGCTGAGCGCCACAGCCCATGAATCAGCAGCGCCCTTGGTCTTGGCCTCAGCGGGCGTGATCTCGTAGTCGAGTGCGAAGTCGCCGCTGTCTGGGTTTGACCGCCATATTTTGATGTCGCCACCGAAGCCGATCGAGGCAGCTACGGTGCCATTCGAGCCACGGGGTGCGGTTGCGACGTGGTGGCAGCCGAGCTTGTGTGCGGAGAGAGACTGGCTTATGGGAAAGGTCCCCGAAGCATCGTTGATCCGGTGAAGGTTTATCGTGGAGGAGCCGCTCGCAGAGAAGAGGAAGTTTGGCGTTGCGGCCAGGGAGAAGATATCGGTGGTGTGGGCTGCAAGGGCGACGTTAGCATCGGCGGGCGCAGCTCGAGGGGCAACTGGTGGGCCTGGGACAAACCATTGTCCACCGTATGGGTGGTCAAGTACTGCTTGGACTAGAAGAATTTCAGCTTTCTATGACCAGGCAGATTGCTAGAGACTGAGGTCCGTACCATCGCTGCCAGTCCATGCGCGATACGTTGTCGCGGATGGAGAATGTAGCTGGGGGAGATCGGAAGTTTTGATAGGGTACGGGTGATGTCACTAACGAAGCTCGCAGGCGAGTCCACAACGGCCTGTGAGGTGGCTGATGCAGCGCAAGCGCACTGCCTTATCTCATCCTAGATGCGATTTCTATTACTGCTTGCGCGGAATGCCCTTTGAGCTTTCAAATTTACTTTTTCACGTTTTGGCTAATAGGCATGGACGTCTGCCTCAAGCTGTACCTAGTAGAAAAAGTTGTCTACTTCGACAGACCTCAGACATGCCCCATGGCCTGCTTTACTTCAAATGACGGGCAGGCAAGCTATACAGTCCTGCCGGCAGCCCATATAACCAGTTCATTGATCTCGAGCCCAAAGCCCACAGCGTACGGATGTTAGCAGTGCTGCTGTGGCCCCAGCGTTGGCACCATCGACGCTCTAAGAAGACCGTGTCCGCCGCGGCCTCCCGTAGATACTGGTCAGGCCGAAGTCAGCCTCGCCTTGCACTTGAGCCCGAATGAGCCCTTCGTTTCCTGGCGAGAACGAGCCCAGTCGTATGTGTCTGCAGATACTGAAACCATGTGCGTGTAAATTCCAATGCCGCGTTGGCTGCGCTGTTCTTCACTCCGCATCGATTGTCTTTTTTATCGTTGGCTTTGCTTGTTTGTTCTCGATCCTCTTGTCCATCATGTTCCTCATCTCTGCGTTCGCGCGTTAGTTCTGACCTCCGTCACATGGTGCAAAGTGGCCGCTCTTACTGTTCATGCATGTCTCGCAGAGGTGGTGCATTCTCTTCGTTCCTCCACAGACAGGGCATTTGCATAGATTGTTGACATCCTTCAGCGCTTTCCCCGCCATCTGCCGGTGCCTCTTTTTGGAATGTGATGTCTTCTTCTTGGGAACAGCCTTCAAGATACCCTCCCAGATTCCTTCGAGCACGTCCGGAATGGACGGGAGGTTCAGAGAGATTGCAGGTATGGCAAGCGAATATGTCGGCAGGAATGGAAGAGACATGTGCCTTATCTGAAGCGATGCAAGTCTGTACGGCGAGAAGAAGGCTGAGGAGGGAAGCCGTGGGAAGAGGGAGGAAGTCGCCCGTGTGGACAACATCGCGCCGGCCATGCTGCCAGTATTTGGCCTGGATGTTCCGTGTCTGGGAGGCTCGCGTACGGCTTGGACGCAGCCTTGATTGAGGGTTCAAAGACCGGGATCGACTGCTCCGGGACAGCCTGGGAAGATCGGGGTCGGTGCGGCCGGCGCGAGGCAATCGGGTCTTGTCGAACGGGGCGCGGCGGGGGGGTATAAAATGTGGTGCTGTCGCGATGTCTGGTGAGGCCGTCGTCCAGAAAAATTGCTAGCGCGACCGCCTTGCCGTGGGCGGGACGAGCTGCTTCCCCAGCTCGAAAACTGCCAGGGGGAGGTGCAGTGGAAGCTCAGGCCACCCTTCAACTGCGGAGCTCCAGTCCAGGGCGCTAGGACCTGCTCAGGCCAATTGAAGGCAGGGTCGTCTCTTAGCCCCTTTCCTGTGAGATGCGACCCCTTTCTAACTCGACTGGGGAGAAGCGGAAATTATTGTTTGGCAGCAATTCCTCCCAACCAGACCTGACTGGCTCGCTCTCATCTCCACGGATTGCACACAGCTGGGGGGCAGATCACCATCAATCAACCTTCAACCTTCAACCATCGACCAGTCCACCTCACTCGTTCCTTAACTTTTTTGCCTTCCTTTTCTCTTGTGGCTTGACAAACCATCCCAAGATACCCTCTGCGTTCGGTCCTTACGCCTCACTTCTTCTTCTTCTTATCCGACTTCTACGGCAACGTCCACCCTCTGATTCGGCCCCGGCCCATCTAATCTAAGCCCATCCCTCGCGAAAATGGCGGCCATGCCTGCGGCGTCCATCTACCCCCAGAGCCACGTTGGTTTCGACAGCATCACCAGCCAGATCGAGCGCAAGCTCCTCAAGCGTGGTTTCCAGTTCAACGTCATCTGCGTTGGTAAGTCGCCCTTGTCCCATCAATTGATGGCGTCGGCATCCATCAGCAAACGGCCCGGCTAACGTGTCTCGTGTTCCCTTGGTCACAGGCCAAACCGGTCTTGGAAAGTCCACTCTCATCAACACCATCTTCGCTTCTCACCTCATCGAGTCCAAGGGTCGTCTCCTTCCTGACGAGGTTATTCGATCCACTACCGAGATCCACCCTGTGTCGCACATCATCGAGGAGAATGGCGTCCGTCTCAGGCTCAACATTGTCGACACCCCTGGTTACGGTGATCTGATCAACAACGACCGCTGCTGGGACCCCATCGTCAAGTACATCAAGGACCAGCACTCTGCGTACCTGCGAAAGGAGCTTACCGCCCAGCGTGAGCGCTACATCCAGGACACCCGCATCCACTGCTGCCTGTTCTTTATCCAGCCCACCGGCCACTCCCTCAAGCCTATCGATATCGTCGTGCTGAAGAAGCTGTCCGATGTTGTCAATGTCGTTCCCGTCATTGCCAAGGCTGACACAATGACCCTGGAGGAGCGTCAGGCGTTCAAGGAGCGAATCAAGGAGGAATTTGCTTTCCACAACCTGAAGATGTACCCTTACGACAACGATGAGTTCGACGACGAGGAGCGCGCCGTCAACACCCAGATCAAGGTATGGAGCTAGCCCATGCCAGCTCACAAATGTCTTGTCCATAAGCTAATATGCATCCACAGAACTTGATTCCCTTCGCCGTCGTGGGATCCGAGAAGTCCATCATCGTAAACGGTAACCAGGTCCGAGGTCGTCAGAACCGATGGGGCGTCATCAACGTTGAGGACGAGAACCACTGCGAATTTATCTATCTGCGGAATTTCCTTCTGCGGACACACCTTCAGGACCTGATCGAGACGACGTCCCAGATCCACTACGAGACCTTCCGTGCCAAGCAGCTGCTTGCGCTGAAGGAGGGAAGCGCACAAGGCCACAGCAGCAGCAGGCCAATCAGCCCGGCCGCGGACCGAGAGCTGAGCCGCAGCTCTCAGCGCATGACCATGAACGGCTACTAGGAGGAGCCGCTTCGGAAGCGAACGATCGATGAGAGTGTCAAATCCAGCTACGTCGGGATATGAAGGAGCAAAAGGCGCGTTTGGCTGACAGGTTCTCGGCTGTTGACGGCGCATCCGCAAATTGCTGGTCACCTGCACCTCATCCCGAGGCTTTTGTGTTTGCTGCGAGTGCTTGTCGGGCGCATGAGGGATGAACATATTTCCCACCGGACTGGACTATTACGCTTTATTTCCTTTTTAGTACTCCAGAACTTCCATCCAGACCTTTTCTTTCTCCCATTCTCTATTTCTTAATCCAGCCCCATTTTGTGCTCTAATTAGAGTCTAGTCTTGATACCTGATGGAAATACATATTGAGATGTTGAACAGATGCATTGTTCTCTTCAACAGTGACTGTACCGTGACCATTGTAAACGCGACGAGACCATGTAGTTACGGCGTTGGCAGAAATATTGGTGGCCCAGCTACGAGTCGAGAGGCTTGTAGACATATTCCTCCAGCTCTTTGTATGCCTTGTCGAGGTTATCGTTGACAATCTATGGGCCCAGAGATAAGCATGTGCGCCGTGCAAAAGTATAGGCAGGGCATCAAGTTGTGTCACGAATACTGCCCAGTACCTCGCAAGGATTTCAGGGTATCAAGGCAATATAGAACATGAGAGACTTACAATTATGTCATGGACCCCTGGGGTCTTGGAGTACTCGAGCTCCAACCTGCATTCAAAGTCAGAACAGGCAACCCGGCAAACAAAAGAACAGGCAGCAATGCGCTTCGAGCGCATGGGGGACCACATACTTTGCCTGGGTGAGTCTCTTCTGGATGCTCTCCTCCTTCTCCGTGCCGCGGCCCCTGAGGCGCTTCTCGAGCTCGTCCTCGTTCGGCGGGGCGACAAAGACAAAGCGCGCGGAGATGTCGCTGGCCTTGATCTGCTTGATCCCCTCCATCTCGATGTCCAGCACGACGACCTTGCCCTTCTCGCTCTGCTCGCGGATGGTGGACTTGGACGTGCCGTAGCGGTTGCCGCCGAACTTGGCGTGCTCGACGAAGCCGTCCTCGGCGATTAGCCTTTCGAAGTCCTCGTGGCTGACGAAGTGGTAGTCGACGGCGTGCTGCTCGCCTGCGCGCGGGGCCCGCGTCGTGTGGCTGACCGAGAGGGTGAAGGTGTCCGGGTGCTGGGCGAAGAGCATCTTGAACAGCGTGCCCTTTCCCACGCCCGAGGGGCCTGAGATGACAATTGGGCGGCGGTCGGGTGGGAGGTCGGGGGCCATCGTGTGGGCTCTGGTGCTGTGGAGGCAGATGCGAGGTGGGGAGGCTGTTCTTCTGGTTGCGTGTGCGTTCAGGCAGGCTCGAGGGAAGAGGGATGGGCGTGCTGAGCTGACGACTGTACGAGCGATGCAGGGCAACATGAGCAAACTGTCGAGTCAGGGTGGCGGTTGGCTCAGTGTACGCATTATACCAAGCACCTGTGACTGTTTCGGGGTACCCTGATGAAGGAGTGGGATGCCGGCAGTATGTGTCAACCAAAGTTTGCTAGACTTGGTAGGCGGTCAGCTCAAAACCCCAGGGTTGTGAGGACGCGTCTCTCGGTCGTAGGTCTAAGAAGAGAGACGCGCTTGGCCTCGATTGGCCCTACGCTTACACGCCCACGAGTCGCCAAACATTCAATATCCGTGAGCTTTACTGACTAGGAAAGTCTTTCGTCATCCGTCGGATATGAGAGTTACAGAAGTCTCTAGGCTCGCAGCCATGTTCTCTCAATCCCTAGGCCGTCGCACCCATGCCCGCCTCCGAAGTGACTCCTGAGGCCGCGGTGGTGGCGGCTGATCCCACCGAGCCGTTCGAGCCTCGTCCCTTGATATCTGAGGTCCTACGTACTCGCCACTGCATCCAGGGCTCCATATTCTTGGTGGAAGGTATCGATGCACACCTGGCCGTTTCTAAACGCTACCGAACCGTCCGTCTGCTCTTGGGTGATGGGGAGCTATGCATCCAGGCGCTACTCCGGTCAGAAATGCACCGGTTTGTGGATATAGGCCGCATCTTTGTGGGATGCTACGTGCGACTGAGCAGCTTTAATGTGCAGTCGGTCGCAGTGGACTCGGATGCCGATCACGACTCCGATGGTGCAGTGGAAATGGTCTATCTAGTGATAAAGGATATGACCACTGTCGGCTGGAACACTGCATATATGCAGATGGCTGGGACAACAGGACAGGAGGAATCGTACACCTCCGTGGGCCCCCAGGGAGAGGATGTCGAACTCGCCTCTGGCCGACAGAATCGCAGCATAGCAGCGACCCGTCCACAAATTGATGCACCAGAACTAGACACACCAGACCTCGAAACAACATATCCCTCTACGGCAAACAAGGCTGAGGGACCCGATTCTGATGAGGAAGATGCGTTCGAAAGCCGCCAGGTATCCGAGCAGACGATCAAGGAACGTCGTCAGGAGGCAGAACTCAGGCAGCAGCCCCTGGGCAAGCCACTAAAGCTTACACCGCTCAAGGCCATCCCTCACCTGCCCTACAAGCAGAATTGGGCCGTCAACGTCCTCGCGGTGGTCACCTGGCTCTCCGACGTCGAGCCTGCACTCCTGCCTGGCTACGTCGGAAAGCAGCGCATGGCGAGGTTGGCCGATCCTTCGACAGACAAGCAGGTACTCCTAACCGTCTTCCTGGACCCGGACGGGTTCGCCCCGGCTATCGGCAGCGTTGTGCTACTGCTTGGTGTGAAGAATCACAGGTTCGATGGCGGCAGCTTGAAGAAATACGGGAACGAGAGGCCGAAGCCCGGGACGAATTGGTGGTTTGAGGATCCGGCGGATGTAGGGTGGTGCGACGTGGAGGGCTTGAAGAGTTGGTGGAAGGGGCCACAAGCCGTTACCTCCTGACAACAAATGACATCCGCGGACAGTATACTACAGGAAGCTATGCCATAGTGAGGATGCCCCACGGGAGAGATACCGTGGACGCGTCATGGACACTCGAGTAATCAATCAAACACATACCCGCAAACCTCAGTCTGCAAACACTCTGCTTCTACATCACGAGGACTGGTTGCCGGAGCCTGTTATTCGCAGCCACTAGATGGCCTTTGCAGACCCAATTTTTTTCATTTCTGAAGGCGGTCTTATTAAGGTCCTTTCAACATCTAGGACTGTCACTGTACATCGGAGGACGCCGGATGCTGCATGCTATTGCCCTTAACGCCTGCAATGCTTCATGACTCCTAGAGACACCCACTTCGGTTGCCCGGCCACATTCATCTGAGCGTGTGGTGGCCAACGAAGCCCCTACTCACGCACTGAAACCACGTGCACCACCGAATCGATGTAGAGACGATTTTGCGCCCACGCCTTCACCCCAGGCTTGATCTTAAACACCCCATGAGGGCCAATAACGAATTCTGGCTGGCCGGCGATCGAGACGCGTAGCTTACCGGTGGCGACAGAGCAGTAGCGGGTGTTGGATGTGGTAGCCTCGAATTCGAGCTTGTGGCCCGATTTTATTGTATCAACCCGGAACGAGACGTCGGCAGCTACCGGGATGCTCTGGCTGTTCTCCAGGAACGCCTTGGAAAACGCGATGTCTAAAGTCCGGGTCAGCAGAGTGACACGATTGAGTTTGGGGGGACTTTATGAAGGAAGAGTCCATGCGGTGTGAATCGAGGCCTGAATACGCCCGCTGGGCTCACAGGGCCGAAATGGGTAGTGGCAATGGTGAGATAACGACTTACTGTTTGGGTGTGCGGAGCCGTCCTCGCGAATGCGCCCAGGTGCGATCTCCCAGTCTTCCATTTCAAGCAGCTCGTCTGAGGTTTGCTGACCGGCCATCATAACTGCCGATGAAGATGTCGAAACAAGGGGTTTGCTCTGCTCCGGCTGTGGTTCGGGCGATTCGTGTCTCCTCGTTCGGGCGTTTGTCGCGCGAGTTGTTCTCCTGGACAGCGGCAGAGGCAAGGTGACAATTCTTCTGCCAGCTCCAGGTTGTTCTTCGTCATTTGATCCCGTGCTCTGCTCATACCGCCGGCGTTGTGAGAGTGATTCTTCGTTGGCACCGGAAGGAGACAGTTGGCGTTTCTTAGCCTGGCTGCTGTCGTTTGCTGTAGTGGCAGTCGCAGCCCACTCAGCGACGGGCGGAGGTGTGCCTGTGAATGTCTTCTCACCAGGCCTCGTAATGCATCTTGTTTCCCAGCTGGACTTGACACTGCAATGTGACCTCTTATGTGCGAAAAGGCAATTCGCACAACACGTCGCATACCGGTGCGATTCCCAGGCGGCGGCCCTAGGCAGGGTCCAGCATCCCTCAAAAGGACCCTCGCCACTGATGCAAAGCGAACAACACCTTTCGCCACTGGCATTTCGCTCGACTCCAAGGACATGCACAAGTATTGCGAATATTTGGTATCGATCATTATCCAAACGGCGTTTCATCCATGAATTCCTCCATTGGACTCTCTGGAGCACCGGCAGAGCAAAGAGTCTGATGATCTCTGGATCGAAGATCTTGGGGTCCAAAGGCTGAGGCAGGAAGGGCAGAATGTGGTTCCAGACTCGTTTTGCTCCGCTGTGTTTGTCGGACTCGGGCGGCTCAACCCGGTTGAGCTGTGCTGAGTCTGCCGATCTGCCGGGGTTCAAAGCTACACGGTCTGCCGGGCGAGGTGGAGGCTCCGAGTTCGTATCGCCAACACGAACATAACCGGGCACCTTCGGTGCTTCCATCGGAGGTTCACTCTCATCCAGAGGTTTTTGTGATATGACCAGAGGAGCACAGTACTTGGAGCCTTTCAGTGGGCTGTTGTAGGCACCTACAATCGACAGTGTGCCATCCTGGTTGTCATTCAACAAATTTCCCCGATGCTTGACCTGCACACGAGCTTGTGAGAAAGGCAATGGAGCATATAGTTCAGCGAGTACCACTTACCGCAAAGTGAGATCCCAAACCAACAATTTTCTTGAACGCGGCCCTGCAGGAACGGATTGGACACACCCAAGGCCGGCCAGGGACCGTTCGATCCAGATCATAGCGATCTGGTATCAAGGCCCCACACATAGAAATGGGCTCCCCATGCTCTCCCCTGATCATCTTGTACGCGCGATCCTTGCTTGCCATCTCCAGACTATGGATCTCATCCGGCTGGTAGATCTTCACCCTTGGGTGAGAAGTCTCCTCCGGCGAGTTGTCTACCGTTGTCCGAGATGCCCGGGGCTCCTTGACTGGTTTTTCAAGTCTGATGGCTCCGCGCGCTCTTCCGCGCGCTCTGTCTGAAAGGACTTTCACATTGTAGATCGTTTTCTTGTCTCTCAAACGCTCCCGTCGCTGTCTGTCGCGACGCGGCACGGCTGCAGCACAGTGACTACACTTGGACTGGTTGCAGTGGTAGTAGCAATTCGCACAGGCCAAGACGCTGTTGCGTGATTCTTGGCTTGCCTGTGGCGAGATCCTGACGCAGCCATTGAACGGTCCCCTACCTTGCGCGCAAGCCGCGCATGGCGTTGGGGCCTCGACGCCCGTCACCTGAATGATGAGTGCCGTTATGTCTCGTAGGTGGGTATCCATGTATGGCAGCTCCTTGATCCTAGGCTCGTTCCATTTGATGTCGCGGACGCGAGGGAGGCGGACGACGTCTTGTATCCAATTCCCTGTTGGGGATGAGTCTCGGTGATTTGTCAGAAAGGGGCGGATGTACTGCCACATTTCATGGGCACTGCCCCGCCGTAGGACTTGAGAGGGGCCCGCAGGTCGGGCTGGATCTTCGATATCCCCAGTCACCAAGGTTTCGGGGTCCAGGCTTTCGCTCTCAGAATCGGACTCGGCCTGGATTGCGTCGGAAGGGAATCTGTCCCTCCCTGTTGGCTCCATTGCCTCAGCCATTGGCGGCTCTCTTGGGTCCAAGGGCCGTCGGCTGACAACAACAGGTAAGTGTTTTCCGGGCTGGCTTCTCTTGCTGTACGACCCAACAACTGACAAGGTGCCGTCCATATTATCGTTGAACATGAATCTCTTGTGCTTCACCTTGAAGTGGTCGCCAAGGCTGAAGGCAGTCTTGTGTACCTGCCTACACGAGCGCACTGGGCATATCCACGAAGAACCAGCGAATCTGGTACTTTTCTGGTACCCATCAGGGAAGAGTGCACCGCCATTGTGGAACGAACTTCTCCCATCTAAGTGCAGAGGGTTGGTTAGACTATCAAGTATTGCAGCTTTGTCCTCTCTCTAGGGGGTTTGCCTCACCGAGCCAAGTATGGTACGGGCGACCGGATTTGGCTGTCTCCAAAATTCGCCCAGGGTAATCTTGTCGGCGTTGAATGCTGGCAGATGAGACCGTGACCATGGGCTCCTCGTCTGCAGCTGGCGAGGACTCTGACGGCGATGCAGATACAGTACTGTCGCCTTCATCGTCCTCATCGCCTTCATCGTCACCAACCTCGTCCCCGTAATCGGATTCATCAGGCGGATGGAATAGCTGTCGAGATGATGCATCCGCCTCCCGCGAAGCGGTAGAGACCAGTGTAGCATCGCCCTCACCGTCAAGCTCCGTTTCGTCTTCGGAAGTGTCATCTTCCAAGTCGTCCTCAGAAACATCGTCGGAGACGACTAGCTTAGGGGTGGCCTCGTACTTGATCTCATCATCAGAAGATTCGTCGGCCACATGATCTGTAAGATTGCCTATGGAAAGGCTCTCCGTGGGGGTGGTCTCTGTTTTGCTGTGGGCTGGTTTTGGTACTGCTTTCGATTGCCCGTCAAGGCTTTTCGGTTTCGCAGTCAGGCCACCCAAGAACTGAGTGTAGGTTGAAGGTCCTGAAGACCGGACAGGAGTACCCGACCCTGACTTCCTGTCGATATCTGGCCCATTTGCTGCTTCCCGTACGCCAGAACCGCCGTTCTGAGTGGTCTCGGGGTCTTTCGATAAGCCCCTGCTGCCCTGTTGCACAGGACCTATCGTCTTATTGGGCGAAGGGGCCTTCTTCTGATGGAGTGATGCAGGCGTCCGTAAGGGGGAAGACGACCTAGGTGAGGCTATGGGGAAGTTTTGGCCTGTCCTTCTCATCTTCAGGATCGGCTTGCTGACGGGGGCTCGCCCACCATCAGCGGAAACCTGCCCAACGGGTGAAATGCTGGCTGCCGAGCCATGGGCATCGCCTGGAGAGCCGTGCTGACGGCCGAGATCACTACCAAGCCTGCTATTGGCAGCTGGCGCAGACGTTAGAAGACTAGGCAAAGAAGACGTCAAAGAAGCTGGGGCCCTCGCGTCCGCGGCGGGCTTTGGGGGACGCGAACATGTCTCAGTCGATGCGGCCGGCATTGGCCGAGCGGCGCCTATGCGCGCCTCAGCTGCCTTTTGTTCACTCTGTGTATCCGTAGTACCAGAGGCAGAGGGGCCAGCAACAGGAGGCTGCTGAGTTACCGAAACCGCAGGGCTGTGCTGCTGCCCATTGCTGGTGTTTGGCCGAATGCCGTTGTGTGGCTGGTAATTTGCTGCCGGGTGCGGCTGTGCATCGTTATCGTTGCTCGAGAACAACGCGGCCGACGCGTGCGGCGCGGCCGACCCAGGGGCTGCACCCTTGGGCGATTCGGAGCTTTGGGCAGCAATAGGACGTCCCGCACCGTCCTGGCCGTCTTTATGAACGTTCTGGGGCTTGGATTGATGCCCGTCCGTGTCAGGGCTCGCGTTTGAGGCCGTTTTCGAGCCAATTGATGGCTTTTGAGGCCGTCGAGCTGCTCCGGGCGCCCCTCGAGCTTCTCCTCGTTGACGCTCCATCTGCTTCGGCCTCAAAGCCACCACAACAGTCAGAGGCGAGACCGTCAAATCGGTTCTAGTTCATCTTGATCTTCACTGCTTTAGTATATCAAGCGTGTAAGAAGGCTTTTGATGTCAGAGATGCCTGCAAGGCTCAAATCAAATACATGTATCATCTGTTGACAAGAAGAAAGACCTGGGGTTGAAAGAGGTTTAGGAGTAGATTACGAGTAATGCTCCACAGAGATAAGTGAATCCGATACTAGTTTATCGGAACTAATCATTATTAATAAGCTAAACCCCATTAGAAAATACCGCAATTATTTGTTAACTTTTCTGTAATTAATTAACCTAGAATGTTATACTTATCCTTATTACTATAAGCCTTCTTAGTCAGCTTTTAAGCTTCGCTGCCGAGGGGAAATCGAGTCTCGTTGCCGAGTGTGGTCAACGCCTTCTCCGTCTCCAAGGCAGCCCGCCTAGCCAGCCCCAAGATGGCGAGGCCTAGTTATGCGACTCCTCTTCCCCAACCATCGCACTCGGAAATCCTCGAATGGCGTTTCCCAGGTAAACACAAGCAATATGTCCTCACGGGCAGATCTCGAGCGGCCTGGCACACTTCTTTTGTCATCCCGCAACTCAACTTGCTACTCGATGCCGGATTGATCATCAATAGGCTGCGGCCAAAACACATCTTCCTCACCCACGGCCACAGCGACCATACCCTTCTGACGCCAGCCTTTATCAAGCGCGATGACCCCCCGGACATCTTCTGCCCCGCCGAGATGAAGGTGGCGCTCGACGACTTCCTCCGTGCGAAGACCATTCTGAACAAGGGCGGCCTCGTCACGGCAGACGACCCCGTGCAGGCCGGCGCCACCTCGGTCGAGGAAGACGAAGAACTCGATGACCCCGACGAGGAATCTTCAAAAACGAGCCCCCACAAGCGACACTGGCTGCAAACACACGAAACCCACGGCATTCGAGCAGGCGATACCGTCCCACTGCGGCGGACAGTCGACTTCACCGCCGAGGCCTTCCACTGCGACCATCAGGTGCCCTGCTTAGGATACGTATTCAAGGTGAACTCGCAGAAGTTAAAGCAAGAGTACGCGGGCAGGAAAGGACCCGAGCTAAAGCAGCTCCGGGAGTCAGGCGTCGTGATCACCGCGCCGCAGTCCACACCCGTGTTCGCCTTTCTGGGCGACACAACAGCGGCCACGCTTGCCTCAGAGCCCCAGTGGCTCAGGGATGGCATCCCCGTGGTCATCACTGAGTGTAGCTTCCTGCACGAGGAACACAGGGCGCAGTCCATCAAGACGAAGCACACCATATGGTCGGATCTCGAGGGCATCATCCGCAAGTGGCCCAGGACGACCTTCGTGTTGACCCACTTCAGCCTGCGCTACAGTGATGAGGCTGTCAGACAGTTCTTCGACAAGATGCCCGATCCTCCGCCCAACATTGTCGTCTGGATCGATGGGAACCCCGAGTCGAACGGCTGAATGCCGCATGAGATCATCTTTTACAACCGTCTGCGGCGCGAGCCAGGCGGTAGAGCCTCCGCGACGTTTTAAGCAGGGATGTGCAGGCCTCTTTTTTAGCGAGCTCCCGCCCCTGCCGTTCTGCCGTTCCAGCATGGTGCAACGGGGGCGGCAGCTGGGCGGGAGGTGTGCATCGCGTAGCCACGTGCATCTCCGTCAGCGCTTGTGCCCCGGTCAAGGGGAGACAGCTTCGTTGGGGGACAGGATTCTTGGCTCGCCCCAGGTAAAGCACGCTTGGCGCCCTTTTGAACTGCTTAGCAACTGCCTGCCTCCAATGCAGCGCGTACTCCGTACCTGCAGCTGCTTCGCGGGATGCCGTCCCGGGCGGCAGTAAATTAGATGCCTTCTCATCGCCCACCGGGCCTCGACTCCATATTCTCGGTGCTCCCCAGGCCCTGCACCGACCCGGAGGCAACTGCTCCATCCGTCCAAGTTGAACGCCCCGGTGCTGGCGCCGTCCTCGATGCGTCCCCACAATGCACTCGAACACACTCTCCCACCCACGGCAAGCGCCATCACCCCAGTACGGAGTAATGAAATTCTTCCCGGCGCACCAGCGGCCACCAGCCTGTCATCGTCAGTGGCCAGCCCGGTGGGCGAATCGCATTTCACATCCGACAAGGAGATGACACCTCCGCTCATGTCCCCTGCTTGACACCTTAGTCACGGTGCGTATATAAGTGTATATAACCGACGCATTGGGAGCATGGCGACGGTGTAGTAGTGCGCCTTGTCTTCAACGTCTTCAACGTCTGTATTAGCTTGCTGTCTTGAACGTACACGATGAGGTCGGTACTTGCACTTGCATCGTCCCTCCTGGGGGCACAGGCTACTATCTACTATGCTGGCGTGGATGAGTCCGGTGGTGAATTTGGAGTGTATGGAACCAAGGGCCAGGGACTTCCAGGCACCTTTGGTGTGGACTATGCCTTCATCAGCGAGCCAGCAATCGACACTTACGTGGACCAGAACAAGGTTCGTGCCCACTGGACAGAAGGCTATAACACGAAGCTGATAATCCCGCAGGCCAATCTGTTCCGAGTTGCGTTTCTGCTGGAACGGATGGCCCCTCTTGAGTATGGCCTAGGCTCCAAGTTCAACGAGACGGTGAGCCAAATCGGAGCTCTACCCGCTGCTAGACCCGTGGACAGCATCACTCATGGATAATACACAGCATTTCGGTCACTTCAAGCAAGCTATCGATTATATCACCCTTACCAAAAACGCCTGTATGTACATGCCACAACCATTCATCATATGCAGTAGCTTACGCTGATCCAGACGCGATCCTCGACCCACACAACTACATGAGGTACAACGACCCCAGTGCTCAGCCTTTCTCCGGAAGTGTCATTGGCAACACGACCGACCCGACTGCAGCCACGACCGAGGACTTCGCCGCATTCTGGGGCGAGCTAGCCTCACGATTCGCAAATAATTCTCGGGTCATCTTTGGCCTGATGAACGAGCCACATGATATGCCGACCACCCTGGTTCTGGAAAACGACCAGGCCGCAGTGGACGCCATCCGTCAAGCCGGCGCCAAGAATCTGATCCTTGTGCCAGGTAACGCGTGGACTGGGGGCCACTCGTGGACGGAGAACTATGGCGGCGACAACCTGCCCAGCTCTGACTACATCTACCAGATCAACGACACGGCCAACAACTGGGCCGTAGACATCCATGAGTACCTGGATGTTGACTACAGCGGGAGCCACATCGAGTGCACACAGCCATTCGACACCAACCTCGCACCCCTGACGGCCTGGCTAAAGGAACACGGCCTCAAGGCGATGGTCACGGAATTCGGAGGGTCGAACACCACAGCTTGTGCTGACATGCTCCGTGATGCTCTGACGTACATGGAGGAGAACGAGGAGTATATCGGATGGGCTGCATGGGCCGCGGGCCCCTTCTGGGGCTCCTACGCACCCTGCTGCTCAAATTCCACACAGATTGGCAGCCTCGAGCCTGGAAGTCTGGCGTCCGATGGCTCGCCGGGCTTGTATGAGACGGTGTGGAAGGCTGTCCTCGAGCCCCTTCTGCCAACGACTCTTCAAAGGTCTGGTCCAGCAAATGTCAATGGCACGGCAACCAGGGCGAGGAGGTCTGGTTTGTGGTACAGGAAGGCGAACTAAGAGGACCGAATGGGTGTCAAGGAAGATTCAGTGTGACTTCTTCTCGGGCATTCCCCCGGGTCTTGTGTGTCTAATTTATATTTCTGTCACCTGCCGTCACTGCCAAAACTGGCATCGAAACCCAGCCCTCTCGCCCCCTTCTCAAATCGTTCAACCACTTTACTGGGGCCGCTATTCGAGTTTCAAGTAGAACACACTTGAATGTGCTGTATTGCACCGTTCTTGTTGCAGCCCTGGAATTTGCCAACGGTGTCTCCGTTGGGTGATGGGTGACGGGCAGACCAGCAGGTAGCTCTTGTGGTCCTCTGACCAAGTGACACCAATGTAGTCGCCTTCATCCAAGTTAGCGCTAAATGTTCCTACACCGCAACACGACAATATGGTTTGGGGGGCGGGGGGTTCACTGACCAATGTCAAACATGGCACTAGCAACCGTCACGCCAGCCTTGTTCTTGCATCGGCATTGCATGGTGGTATTTGGGCAGTCGTTTTCACAGACCGGTTAGCCAATATCGTATTCGCAAGTTTCCATGGCTTTTCCACTGGAACACAACAGAGCTATGGTCAGCGTTTGAACATGGCTTCCACACGTGCTAAGACTTTGTTGTTCGGGGGGGGGGTCATGAGGAGGTGGGGTGCCTGCCCCTGGTGAGGTACCATGTTCCCATCGTCGTTCATGAAGCAGTCGTTGAAGTCGAGCTGAGATTTGGCCAGCTCGGTGCCTATGTAGTGGAATCCGTTCTTCTTGGAGGAACAGTCGGCATCAAAGGTTGCCATGGAGCTCTCGGCCCTGTCAATGTACAACGGGTACATGCAGTAGTCGGAGAATTTGCCATAGTTGCCAGTAGCATTTGAGGTGCTGCGACAGCTATCAAGGGACATAGGGCGAGAATGAGGATCTGAATAACTGGTCCCATTGTTGGCGACAAATAACCAGCTCGTGAGTTCACGAAGCGTGGTGGCTGATGTGAGGAGTACCTTCTGATGATGTTCCTGTGTAGAGGGGTAACGCAAAGAGTGCGTAGGAGGCGTCAGATGTGTAAAAGTAGTGCACAAGGGAAGGTTCCAAGAGTGAAGTGGTGTGCGCTTTAAAATGTAGAAGAGTTATAACCAGTCACTATATCAACGAGTGACTGACCTCTTCCCACTACAGAGCAGAAAGCCAGACTATTTTTGAGGTTGAGTCAACTCCCGTCACGATCACAGGTGAGCGAGTACAATTGAATTGCGCCATTCGTATTTTCACCACTGTTCTCGCATCTTGCTTCTTTCAATACGCCGGGTCTGTAAGCGTTTACTGGCACTGTATGAAGGCGCCATGTATGTCCTCGGACGTATACGGAATAGAAGCGAAACCACATAGATCCGTAAGCGCCCTTCATTGGCTTCAATGCAGCTGTGAAACGCCTAGCTCCATGCTCCAGTGCCGAGACCATCATAGGGCCGCCATCCCACCCCTACTGAGTAGCATGACTGATTCAATGACTTAGAATTTGATCGGAGTCCCCTCATTCAAGCACTCAGCTAGATCGATATTGCTGTCCTATTGTCGGATGGGGCCAAAGACGCATCCCTCCCACCGGCATGAAGGTAGTAGGATAATCATGTATATGGCGAGTCCAGAGGAGACGTAGCTGTGATTTCAGTTTGGCTTTCGCTTTCAACGGAGGGGTGGCTAGCCGTCCGTGGTTGTGATGCCCGCTTCGAAGATAGATCACTCAGTGCGTGTGACTGCTTTCTTGCCACCGGTGATCTTGGTGTATTATGGCTCGCTGAAGGGAAGACGCCCGGGAGGCATTTGGAAAATATTGGCCGCAACGACGGTAAGGAGACGCAAACGACGCCGATAGTGCATTCGGTTATTATCAGCAGAAGAGATGTGACTAGGTTGTCTGCAGGGGCGAGTTAGCACAAAGCACGTAGTAGAGGGTTTACCGGAATGATCTGCAGGGCACATCTGGACTTACACAAGACGTCGATTGGCTTGCGCAACTGATGTAAGAATGCCAACCTTACAATACTTGCAACGCATGCCCTAAACATTTTCAATTATATGTTCCTTGCGGAATATGTCAGGGGGGGGGGACTCACAGGCCTCCCACGAAGAACAAGCAGGAAATAATAATTTTCTGCCTTTTCGTTATATTCAGGGACCATAGAAATCGGATAGGTACGGTGCACATTATGAGGTCGGTCACCGTGTTGATCGATGAACTGGCATAAAGGAAGTCGACGAAATCGAGGCACTGATGGTGTTCGTTAAAATGGCACTCTTGTCGGGGTTCTTCAACGTGGATGCTCACTTACCCGCCGATTGGGCATGGTGAAGTCCCATGTCGCCCTGATTGGGTCACATTGGAAGACTGTAACCGGAACTGAGGCCAGCACCAATCCGATCGTGATAGCCATTGTGATGAACATGATGATGCGAAGGCTTTGTTGAGGAAATACCCGTAGGTATGAGTTAATAATAGACAGTTTCGTGAAAGCGATGGCGCATGCGGATAGGGAATAGCTGACAAACATAAGGAGGATGCAATGTTTGACGGTGGGAAGTAGTGTTTTGAGATCAAGATTCCAGATATGCTGCCCAAGTCCGAACTTTGTGGCTGTCCCTGTTGTCAGAAATGAAAATGGAAAAGTGTGCGGCTCAGGGAGCAACAAGCCCCAGGCACAGGGAGAATAATCGCACCATTGAGAATGACACCGCAGAATGCCAACGTAAATAAGGTGGCAACGACTATCAGAGCTGCAGTAATGTCCGGCGAAGTCAGTCTCGCATGGCCATGCCCCGCTGGGCCAGGAATAGAGGAGCGATATACCATCGTCTGTGAATAGCCTACCGAGGACAACGCGTCGAACAATGAGGCGCGATACAACCACAACGGTGATCAAGACCGCCTCAACCGGCACAACAACCCATATCAAAGGAACCAGCGTTGTCTTATCCGCAAAGTTCAACTGAGCAAGTACGTCTGGAGGGAGGTTGCCTGGAAGCTGTCGAGGCAGCAGCTCAGGAGCTACCCTTGTCATGGTCTCCATTTCTGTTGCGTATAGTCGGTCAACATTTCACGAACACGACCTCAGGAGTTGCCAGAAGACATTATATGAGGAGGGCGTGGGGTACTAGAAGGCCAAGTCAGGAACCAGAGTGATGTGAAGGAGGGGACCCTTTTCCTATATCGGTACCGGCGTTGTCCCTGTCTCTCAACAAATCACATCGGTCTACTTGGCTCGTCGCGCTATGATCTGTCCGGCTTGAAGCCGCCTCCCAGTGAAGTTTGCAGTAGATCAAAGGTGGAGGACGCAAAAGCTCCCACGGATGCCATGATTTCACTGCCCATATAGGACAGGACAAGGATTACTTGGGACAGGGATGACAATAACATGCTTGATCCCGAGAGCTCAGCTTCTGCACTAATTGAGTAGCTCGCGCCGCCGCGTGAAGCATATATGAAAGCGTCCAGATGTCCGCACAGACCGACGGCCCGGCTAGGACGGGCGGCCCCAATCTACCTCTTCCCAGATTTGGGTCTCCCTCACGACAATACCCCCCTGTCACTTCTCCTCTCAGGGATGCTCTTTTTTGAGGTCATTGTATATCCGTCTTAGTTGCATGTCTGATGTGCCATCCCACGCTACCACCTTGCATGATGCAAAATACATATGTGATCATCAGCCTGTCAAGGGATCCAGGCATTCACGACATGGACAATATCTTTAACTAAAGTGATCCTGCTGGAGTGTATGATCACAAGTTTGACAGTTCCAGTCCTAGCTCTGGGAGCTGATCCAAATCTGCGGACTATGTGCCTGTCAGGGTGATGTGTGGTTTCGCTTCTATTCCGTATACGTCTGAGGACATACATGGCGCCTTCATACGGTGGTAAGCACTCAAGACCCCGCCCTACTAGAGAGGTGAAAAAGTGGTGGGTGGCGTTTTCATGCCTGTGAGGAGATCGGGGGAGTTTCTGGGGTCTGTGACAAGCTTGCCGCGGCTTGATGAGGTGAGCTTTGGACCAAACTTACACACTCGAGATGTGCACAAAGTGCAGATTAAATGCTGAGGGCCTGAGGGGTATTTCAATAGAACCCGTTCGCCTCTATTCCATCCCGAATCAGTAATTATGTATCTATTGACACTCTAAGTTCCGTCCCAATCTCGCAGGTGAACCATGTCTACAAATATGGCTAGGTCCGTGACTATCGCGTGAGACTGAGCTTTACAAAGTAAGGCTTACGCGAGTAGATTTTGCACTGCAACCACAACAACAACCCTTCATTTGTCTATGTCCTTTCCAATTTGAAGATCCTGGTCTGGGTATCCGAGACCCATGATCGTCAACGACCGGCGCACAGCATCGCTGGAGGGAGGCCTTTTTAGTGCTGACTCCCTGAATCCATCTTCTTGGACTTGGGCAGTGCGAAGGTAGACAAAGCTAGTTCCATGGTAGCGCTCGTACCTGGCACGGCCGGATAATCGTCTGAGGCACACTAAATTGACCCGCTCCATGGGGAACAAAGGGGCAGTGAAGATCTTAGTGCCAACCAAGTTCGATCTCGGCAAGTCGGCGCCCAGACGTACAGATGCGTCCGAGCTATGGGCGCAAGTCATGTCGTGAAATACGGAGGGGTTGGCATCTCTGACGAACAGCTTTGGGTCACTACGCCGCCTGCACTTAATTATCAGACGAAGACAAGATTGTAAATCACTCAGACTTCCAATGCCGTTTTCGGAACCTTCAACATGTCTCATCACAGTCCTCGTGAGCTGCAGCGAAGGCTGCCCCTTCCACGCTCGTCTTGTTATCGTATTTTTACATGGAAGTGCAGATGAGTACCGTACCTATGCACTCAGGTGGAGGCTGCATACTGTTCGTCCGACCATGATCAGGGCAGTGGTATTTCTGTCCTATGAATTTCATCCGATAATGTGCTCACCTCTGATCGGAACCGTTCATGCAGGTAAAAGCAGGGACCCCTCTGGCTGACGCGATCGGACTTGTTAGTAGGCTAGCCTTCTATACAGGCCCAGGACTAGTCCAGCCATCTCGAAACCAGGCGATACAACGGAATTTGAGCACAGCACCTTTGCAATGGACAGAAGAAGATCTACTTGTCGAGTTCCGTTTAGGGACTCGAGTGTGCTATTGCATCTCATGTGGCCGGTCACAAAGGCAACCACAAACAACGGAACAAGGGGAAGAACCCCTTTTCGGGGTTTTGGCCTTGTGTAAGCTACGTAATTGAAGCGAGCTACATACCTACTAGTAGGCAGGCATTGGTTGATCTCAGTGTTCAGACAGCGCTCTGGACCGATCTAGGAGTCTCTAGCGAACGCTGATGAAGTGTTCGTAATCTGAGACAACGTCAGTGATATCGGATCTGGCAGCATTTGCGTCTTTGTTGACATCACATCTGCATGAGAACCCACGTGTACCTAGGTAGTGTCATCTGATAACCCGAGAGGCTGCTTTTTGCCGTTAGATGTTTCCCTTATCAATCTTTGAACACTGTGATTGATTGAAAGCGGAAAATCGTAAGTGACGAGTCTGATGCACCTGAAATGGCTGCATCACATCCGTGTCATTCTTGAACAGCAGTTGGGGCGGTACTAATTACCTACTAAGTAGGTACCCAGCAGCGTACTTCGTTATTGTACATGCTCCCAACCCACCCCATTCAGTGTTTGACGCCCAGATGACCGAAACTCATAAATGGCGAGACCTCCATATGTTTCTGGTGTATGCTTTGCATCCAGCAAAAGGGGCCAGGACCAACCCTCTGTGTACTATTTGAAATATATTGTGTTTGGCTCGTAGTGCGTTCTGTTATAGAGGTCTAAAGTACCAATTAACATCCATTGGCGCGGGCATGTAAGCCATACACATAATTATCCTCGAAGGCTCACTGTTTGTTAAGTTTACTGCGCGCACATATTACCTAGATACCTAGGTTGGTTCCTCCATGAAGACCTTCGCCCATTTTGTGCATGGTTCTCAGATCTTGACGCCACCCCCCTGAGGGATTACTGAGTATGTAGACTTTATCAATTAGTCTTCAGGTAGTACATACGGTTGGGTTCTCGGGAAGCGGTGCGGCTGGAATGTCATCGTGGATTGAGACTGTGAGCACTCGAGGTCTTCTTTGTGAAGCCGTTAGACCCGGTTCAAAGCTGGCGTCGTAGCAGCGATTCTGACATGGATGATGAAACCTGACGAGGTTAGCATTTTCGAAGTCTTCTATGATCGATTCTATGAAATATGTGACTCTTGGGATCGGTTGGGTAAGGGTACCTGGGTAGATTGGGATTCCATCCCAGTTGAGATGTGAGTGTTAGCGTCGCGGAGTGCCGGTGAGTTGTGAACTTTTGAGCCTTGTCCTGACAATCAAGCCATGCGGTGCCTTATTCACAGGAGAGGCGACGAAAGCTTCCACTCACTCAAATCTGGAAGTCTCCCTGGTCGGGTGAGAACAATTTGTGTGGAAACCGAAGGCAGGTGTCCCGAGGTCGGTAGCTTGCTATCTACTTAAGTACCTACCTACTTAAGTAGGTATGTAGGTAGCGAGGGATCACATGGAGTTGTTAATACATTCAAGTGAACCCAACCCTGTGTACTACCCGGAGACTTTTGGTTGTTCTAACAAAAATTAGCTGAAGAGCGTACGCTACCTGGGTATTTGAAGTGAGACCGTATACCTACCTTTCTAGTCCTTACATACGCATCAGGGTGGATAGCTGGCAGGGAGATATTACAGAGCAGCTGCGTCGGAGGCTCCTGTTGGTCTACTCTTGTGATGAACAAAAGCTCTTGAAGAGGAATAACCTGTCCCTATTATTTCATGTGGAATATTGATACCAATATTCGATTGCCTTTTCTCGAAAAACTCTCAATGAAATCGAGCTGGCGGGCAAAGCCGTGGTGAGACGCTATCAGATGTTGGCTTACTCGCTTATAAATCCACCGTATTACCAAGCCACCCAGAATCATAAGTCCGCATATAAGCATCCCTTATGGACGATCGTTATAACCTCCATCAATTCCACTGTAATTTAGTTGCTGTATTACTCTTCTTCCGCTTAATTTCTTTCCCTTATCGCAATGGCGCCCATCCGCCTGGCCATCATTGGCCTTTCCTCGTCAGCTGTCACTTCCTGGGCCAGCAGCGCTCACCTTCCCTATCTACTCTCAGCACGCGGCCGCACCAAGTACGACATCGTTGCACTGTGTAATTCAAGCGTCGAATCGGCTAAGCAGGCTATTAACACCTACGGTCTCAACGTTGAAAAGACTCGAGCCTACGGCGATCCCAAGGCACTTGCTGCTGATCCTGATGTTGATCTCGTGGTTTGCTGTACACGAGTGGACACGCATTACGACCTCATCAAGCCCAGTATCGAAGCCGGGAAAGCTGTCTTTGTCGAATGGCCACTGACCCATGACGCGGCCCGTTCGCGGGAACTGGCTGAGTTGGCAGCCGAGAAGGGCACTCTTACAATGGTCGGGCTACAGGGCCGGCTAGCACCCGTGGTTTTGAAGCTCAAGGAAATTCTACACGGTGGAAGCTTGGGAAGGATGTTGAGTAGTGAGGTCAGGGCTCATGGCGGCACAATCGATCGCGAGATGGTTGCTGAGGGGCTGGGATACTTCGCGGAGAAGAAAATTGGCGGCAATATTTTCATGATAGGGTTTGCTCACAGTAAGTTGTTCGCCGCCTGCAAAATTATATCCGCCCTCTGGGAACGGGAGCTCACATTGATAAAAGTGTTCGACTATATCCAGTCGGTCGTAGGGGAAGCCACAGGAACTCATGCTCAACTTCAGCTGCAACGGCCCGAGATGAAGTTGCGAGACAACTCCATGAATACCATTACGAAAACGGTCATATCTGATGTGCCAGATCTGATCACAGTCACAGGGTCTCTGAGTGGCTCAGAAGTGACTCAAGAGGGGGCGACTTTGCTAGTCCGCTTCCGTCGCGGACAGCAATTCAAGGGAGAGCCCGCCCTAACTTGGCACATCAATTGCGAGAAGGGCGAAATCCGCCTCACTTCGCCTGGCGGCACTTCCATTCATGCGGGCTCTTATACTGATCCGGTGACAATCGAGGTGCACAACTTTGACGCAGACGAAGTGCGCAATATACAATGGGAATGGCCTAAGTGGCAGGAGGAACTCAGCCTGCCGATTGTGGGACGCAGTGTAGCAAAGTTGTATGATGCTTTTCACGCAGAGGCTGTCGAAGGAGGCCCACGGACATATCCAAACTTCTCAGACGCAGTTGAGCGCCACGAGCAACTAGCAAAGCTTCTGGCAAGCTGGAGCAGTGCTTGATGTGGATGGTGGAGATTAATACATTTTTCCTTTTGATGAGCTCTCATTCCAGCCACACGCAGCGTTCCGGGTTCATTAATATCTAGGACAGCCACAATTTCTTTGTTAGAAATTTCCAGCATCCGGGGCGCCTCTTTCTTCTTACTGATCATTTTGGTTGAACGTTTCCAACCGATGGTGTCCAAACTTCGGAAACGACTCCAACTCGGGAACATAAATCGGTATACACAGATGTTCATGAGTTGACCGCGGTGGCATTGAACACAAACTCAATCTCAAACGCCAATATGCGATTGTCAGTGGTTTATGCCGTGACACTCGTAGATCTTGGTAAGAGCACTGGCTTCATTACCCAAGCATCAAAGTTATAACCAAATGAACTTCACAGCGCTCGCTGGTCAGAACTGGCAAGGGGCCGTCAACGTCGAGATAGTACCTCCGGGGTCGGCAGACGCCAGGAAAGCACAAAACAATGTGCACGCAGTAGACGACGAGCAGAACACAAAACCCAGCAGCGCCCCAGATTCTTCAGCAGAGACCATTCCAGTGTTACCACCCTCGATCATGAGCGGGGCCATGCAAACAGCACATGCATGCATGATGGCTGGGGCATACGTCGTCGTGCTCCCACTCGGTGCAATTGCAACGCACATCGGTCCGCCAGGACGAGGGCAGGCCTACACGCACATATGCCTACAACTGGTAGGACTGTCCATGATTATCACTGGTTTCGGGCTGGGATGTTATCTGGCTATTGAGACTGGAATTGTAAGATCACAGTCTTGAAATAGCAGCTGATACGGACACTTCTGACTGAGAATCACAGAATTGGGACGCTGCACACCCGCGATTCGGTACTGTCTTGGTCAGCCTGACAGCTTTACAACCCATAATTGGCATTGTTCACCATTGCTTAGCCCTCAGCCATAAAGAGGTTTTGCTCGTATGGAATATTCATGCGTGGTTCGGCAGACTTTTGATGGCACTCGCCATAATACAAGGGGGTCTAGGCTTGCAGCTGGCCAACACTTATGTCCCCTCCCCTCCAGGAGCTCTTGCGGCATTTCTAGTCATCGCACTGCTTGTGCTTTCGATCTACGCCGTTGTTGCATTCAAACACAGAGGTCGTCGGAGGAAAAGAGTCGACACGCGGATAGCCGCTCATAAAGAAATGCAAGTTCAGAAGCAGAAGCAGTCTCAGTATCAGGGGCAACGACAACAGCCTGGTAATTCGCAGCAATTGTACTCGCCACTTCAGGTCGCTATCCCCACCACTCCTCTCTACCATCCGTCGCCCCAGACTCCAGCAACCAATAATTTCTCAAGGCCCATGACCCCGAGACCAAGGACTCCCAAAACGCCCGCTGTAGGATCCGCATCGCCATCGGCATACTAGAAGTGAGGAGGCAGCACATAGGAATGAGCCTGACAGTTCCGATATTTCTCGATGTGACTTAAGTCCAAACCTTTTGATGGGATGGACTTTAAGACAGAGTATGTTTAATTATTCCGAAAGCAGAAGAAACATCACACACACATGTTGGGTTCGTTGTATTAATAGATTGACGCTGACCCGGCTATCCTGTATCTGGCTCCCCCCACAGGAATGGCCAGAGCCGCTTGAATATTATCCTATACATCGCCATATATAGTGACCAAAGTGCTCGTATTGGGCAGACCTTCGAATACTGAGCGTCAGGTCTAGAACTTTCCAGTTTCACTTAACTTTCCAACATCTGGCCGTAGCACACCACAAGGGACTCCTCGACAGGGGTCTAAGTTGGGAGTGGGGCAAGGGAAAGATGAAAGGAATGATCGTCTTCTATTGAGAATATGATAGACTATGGTCATCCTCGGAAGTTGCAACCTTGTGGCTCGCTTTGTCTGTTGACCGGAAGTGGTCAAAGAATTTGCCTCCAGATGTCGTGATATTTTCAGTGCGGGTCATGGTTCCTTGGGAGAATTCAGGTGGTGAGGTCATCAAAGGCATCGGACTCTTTTTTCCCCCTTACTCACTTTCTCCTTCTTTTGAAACTAGAGTTTGTGTTTTCTTAATGTGTTACGGTCGCATGATAAAAACATGACCACCTATGTATCAAAACTCTCAAAGGTCACATGTGCACATAAGTGGTTTCGCTTCTATTCCGTATACGTCCGAGGACACACATGGCGCCTTCATAGGTACCTACGGTGTAAAGGTCACATACCTATGCTTTTTATGTGGGATACTCGGCCTAATGCATGATAATAAGGGCAACCTGGGCTATATTCTTGAAAGAACTCTGGCCGACCTGATGATTTCAACTTGGCTATCCAACGTTGCCCGTCAGCCGATCACCGTCTAGTAGGCCACCAAACATAGCCGCCTCCATCAAATAATTGATCTGCCAGGCGTGATGGTGAGCATGCGCAATTAGCCACTGCTCCTCGAGCACAAGACCATCATGGTACACCTGAGCTAGTGCCGTCGCCAAGGACTGAACGATTCCTTCCTCTCGGTCCGCGTCCACAATGCCACCTTTGGCATAGTTCACGGGCCAGCCGGCAAGACACATCCAGAGCTTTCGAAGCAGTTCTTTGTTGCGTGTGCCGGCCGTTTCTAACAGCCTTTCGACGCCATCACACAACTCTGCCCCATTACAAGCGACTTTCAGGCAACGGCTGTACCCTGTTGTGTGGTAGTTCACATCGAACACTTCGTCAAAGTCAGCCTCCCGTTGTCCCCCCTTGATGTCATCTCTGCGTATTTTGCTCCAGCCGAGGACTGCCTTGCGCAAGAAGGAACTCCGGTCGTTCAATATGTGCCAAACATAGAGCATCCCATTCATCCCTCCGCCTGGCTCAGACCAACGCTCGGTCAGACACCGCGCCCCCACAGCAGCAAATGCATCATAAACCCTCCTCAGAGCGTCCTCAGTTACCACTCCCGAGTTCGTAATGTCAGCCGTATTCAGACAGGCATTGGCAATTTCGCTGCTGCCCAAGTCGGAATGAATGTTTACAATGTCGGTCGCTGCACTGCTGAAGACCATATCGTCGTAGATTGCAGCTGAGTCGAAGCATCTTCCCATAGCCTCGGCAGCTATTCCCGCCCGGTTTGCCTCACAGAAGTGGACAACATGCGCTGTCTCACGGTCCATCTTCGCGGTGCAGCCATTCAAGCGAGTCTCATGTCGGGCTTCCAACTGACTCTTGTCATGGGTGTAGGTCAGGCCTGACTCGACAGCCCTGCGGCGCTCGAGTCCGAGTGGGATCTGTGACTTTGGGAAGGCAGAGAAGACGGAGGCTGACCTGTTGGACCTTGGCGATGATCTCTCAGATTGGGGTTCGTTGAAAGAATCTGTATCGATACAATAATTGCTGTACAGTACACGGGCATCGTAGGCGCCTATGAGCATGTTCATCAGGCCCGCTCCAAATAACACGTCCGTGGTCAGGAGTGGCGCAGGCCAGTCCTCGGCACCTAGAAGCTGAATGACCTCGTTTGAAGCCCGCCGCCGACCGCGGTGGCTGTCTGAAGAGATGCGCCCAAGAGCATGGTGTTCTCTCTTCCAAGCCATTAGGTCATCAGACAGACAAACGTCGATGATGTTGATACTGTCAAGTTGCTGTTGGTACGAGATATCGGGATCTGGACCATGTTGCTTGGACTGTGAATCACACTTGTCCTCGTCCAAGACGCGATACGCCGTGGAAACTGCCTTCAGGCCCTTGCTGATATTGCGTTCTATATCACTCTGAGAACCGCGACCTATGAGTATGCGCGCTTCTTCGTAACCACTGTGCTTCACATGCTGCTTGAATCTTCTCTCTTGATTCCATTCTTCTCCCCAGAAATATGGGGGTGTCTGTTTTTCGTCTGGCATGAACTCTGCCATGGCCTCGGAAATGCCCGTGGCTGGCTGGATGCTGTGTCTTTTGCGGACATGGCCTAGGTTCGCTTTGAGACAAGTCGAGATTGTGTTGCCCATTGCGCTCGAAGGCAGGTTCCGAGATACTGGAAAGTAACGGTATGGTGTCTATGGCTCACAGAATGCCGAAACCCCCAGCATTTTAGAGATCTTGTCATACTTATGCATCGGCCACCTGCGTGACACGAGCAAACATGGGCATGGGGGCCTGCATTGCGGTGGTACCAAGTTATGCATGTCTCGATAGCGCCATGCAATTCATTTTCTACGTTTTCGTGTCACACTGGCGGTGAAGAGATGGTAACGCAATCCGATTCGCAGGCAACCTCCGTGGGAACACAATAATTCAGCAGGATCAACGTCAGCCTGAATTATCCAACCAGATGCCGGATTGTTGTTTCCAACCGATATCAAAACTGTGCAACCTGCCTTCGACACTCAGCTTCCTGCACGTGGCCGTTTGCACAAAGCAATGCCAATCATGGCCAGGGGATAGATATCAATTGATTCCACATTGAAACCCACGAGGTCTAGATCAGCAAAAAAGAACACTATTCACTATGCGCGGGAGCCTCGCTTCAAATAGAGAAAACCTTATTGCTGTTTCAACCCCGGTCTTGGTGGGTGGGATCTCGAATTCCTTCCGACATTCCGAGATAGTTGGCCAACTCAACCACCCCTGCAGTCCACATGGTATAGGGGAGCCAAAGTATAGAAGGACGAATGGGACCTGAAGCCCCTGGTGATACTTCGCATTCAATGCCATCCTTTTCAGGCTCACACTGTCAAAACTTCTGAGATGCAGTGACCGCATAGGTAGTTCATTTTTGTCAATCCGTGGCCCTTTATCTTTTTATCAGACTGAACGCCTTGTATTTATGGAAGATTGGTTTTGGAGGGTTCTTTTACTCCCGATTCAGACCCATGTACGATTCTGGTGATGGAACAACGTAGAATTGTCTGCAGGGCACTCTTGCACTACAGGTCTGGCATTACAAATGGCCAGCATGCGCAAGTTTCCTGCTCCTCATGAGCAGATGCATAAAGAAGTGCAATCACATCCCATACTCCACCTATGGCACCTGCCCGGCATTAAGCTTGAAATTGACAATTCATGCAGTCTTCACGGGAGCGTCTTGATGCAGCGCATCCGTTTAATGTGGACAAAGATCTCCAAAGAGGATCTCAGGCTATTGGTCACCTGGGCAGGGAATTGACCCCAAAAGGATCGGGCACTGCAGCTTGGCCTCGCACTAATCTACATCGGATATGCCGCAGGTGACTTCATGGACACTGCCACTCTTTGGCCTCACTGGTGAAGAACGAAAAAAAAGTGTATTACTGTTCTAAGCTTCAACTACATTGCTGGATTTTCGATGGCTTTGTAAATACTTGAGTACAACATGGACTCCTCTGGTCCTTGATCAGCACTCGGAGGCGAATTATCTGCAATGCCAGGCCATCGAAGTTCGCCTGCCATAGAGCCCCATTAGTCTTGGGGAAAGAGACTTGCCACCGAGAAGGCCAGGGAGGACAATTCTGGCAATGAGTTGACACAAATAGACGTTATAGCCAAAATTCATTGCTATTTTACGGGTTGCGGCCGTGCAGCAGGAATTGTCGATGCATAGACGGGCGGCGTCGTCAGCCTACAGGAGGCGGTCTGCCAAACAGCGACGCTTATAGAATTGAGCGTACATCACCGCGGACGGAGGCCGCTTGTTTATTTCTGAGGAGAGATCCGCTCGTCCTCAACGCAGATTCCAGACGCCAGAGAATGCACTGAAAATGTGGGCTCGGGGAGAATAACTACCGAGGAGTTCCAGGCATGTGTGATTAGTCCAGATAACTTGCCGTCATTAGAGGGCGAACTTTGGGGTATTTACTTCACTTTTACCCATGCAAGTGCTTTCAATAAGATCCGTGGACACACAGTGGCTCCTGAGAAAAGCTCGTGAACCTCATAGCCAAGATCAAGGCACGCCCGAACCCAACACGGCCGGCAAACGTGATCATAGTCTTGAAGCGTTATTGGATTTACTTTTATGGCGGGCTTTTGAGCGAGCTAGCAATGATCGGCATTGCGAACATAGATTCTTGGAATGATTTCCCTGGATGCGGGGTTGGGTGGGAAGCACCATAAGTCAGTGCTTGGGTGAATGTGAATGCATCTGTAGCACGCTTGACCACGCAGGAGATCCACAAAGTGGGTGTTTATGGCAGCTGGACACTTCAGATTGCACTGAAGAAGGGGATCGAGGCTGGAGACAACGACCACTGTCATTTGCGTATAAAAGTCTACAAAGCCGAGTCCCTGATCAGAGTTGCGGCCGTCTGGGTGGCATTTGGCAGAACAGTGTATGTACGGTTGTCTCGCCTTGAGTTCCAAATAACAGGAGAAATTGGAGGAGCAGTTTTGGATTCATTCACAGTGAGATAAGTGGCAGAATAGATTTCTCAAGAGGAGGCGCAGAAGGCACAATACAGTGATGAAGCGACCGGAACTGCAAGGGAATACGCGGCACTAATGGCTACAATTAAAGGCCCCACTTGGCCAACATTTTACGTCAATAAAGCATCACATGGGCCTGGGCACTAAGTCATCTGATAATAAGAATACCTAGATGTGCTATTAGGACCTAGGTGGCTCATACAAAACGGAGTGGTTGGCGCAACTGATCTCCGTGCCGAGGAATTTTATACGCGTTATGCAGAATTCTTTGGTCTTCTTTTCTTCCCATGCACGAAACTTTGAACTTGAAAAGTGCTAGGACAAAAGGATACCTAGGTACCTAGAAAGCCAGCGAAAGTTGACGGATGGTCTTATAACGTGATGATGAGGCCATTGACCTCTTCAGATCCCCATCACATAACCAAGTCGTGAAACCTCCGGGCAAAGAGTGTCACAATAAAAGAGCGTTGACCGGCATCGGAGGATGCTCGGTCGTTGAAGTTCAATGCCAAATATTTTCTCCATGGACGAACAACACCATGCGTGATATCAACCAATAGAAGTAAATAGCTGCAAAATACCTAGATTCTGTCAATCGCTGGCAGCATTAGGTCTCCGGCACTAGCGTGTCTGAACCACTGTCTCAGAAAAACGAAGCAGAGCCCCCCCCCTGTAAAATTACCCCTGTCAAAATTTTTAAAGGTTTATTAAAAAGTAGTCTTTTTTATATAACTTTCTTAATATTTAACTTAAAAATATAAAGAAAATATATTTATAATCCTTATTAAAATCTCTATATATCTATATTTTTAGAATATTTATTATTAAGTTTTTATTATAAGAGGTATAGAGACTACTAGGTTGATAAGATAAGAAGATGCACGGACCTATTAGTTAGTCCTATAAGTAATCAATCTATAATCCTAATAATATATAAACTTTAAATAAAAATAATTTTAAAAATTTAACCTTATAAAGATATTTATAAGAATTATAAATATATTTTTTATATATTTTTAAGTTAAGTATTAAAAAAGTTATATAAAAAAGACTACGTTTTTAATAAACCTTTAAAAATTTTGACAGGGGTAATTTTACCAGGGGGGGGCTCTGCTTCGTTTTTCCGAGACAGCAGTGGACTGCCAAGACGAGCTGAAATATTTTCCCGCATATTCAAGTTGAGCCAGCTGGGACAAACGTCAGCCGCAAAAGTCCACAGCTCAGAACTCGGAGTCTTCGAGTCAAGAAGTGTGTCCACGGATGCTCAAGCCGTGCCAACCTACTCTTTTCTTCTACTCCACTTAAACAGAACGGGCATCGTTCTTGAGCTAGGTTTTGGCAAGCACAAACTCAGACCCTCGCAGTTCTCTACAAACATGGCCTCCCCGCCCTTGTACACACCGTTGGACCCATCGAGCAGGCAGATCAGGCTGCTGCAGGTGGACTGCTCTGAAATCGACGATGAATCCACACCGGTCAGCTGCAGAATGGTGACAGCCTCCCTAGATGATGCTTCACTCGAGTATATCGCACTCTCGTACGTTTGGGGAGTCAACATGAGCCAGACGCCACTACTTATCAATGGCACCAAATTCAAGGCCACTGGGAACTTGTTTGACTTTCTGGCTCGTTACCGCAAAATAAGCTGCGTCATTCCGAAGTGGGAGCTGGCAAACTTTTCCATTTGGATCGACGCAGTTTGTATAAACCAGGACGACTTTCCGGAGAGGAACAGCCAAGTCCAGATTATGGGCTCAATATACCGATCCGCAACGAGAACTATCTCGTGGCTTGGCCCTGATGATGACCAAAGTGAGAGCGCCTTAACGACTCTGAAGGATATATACCCCAAGATGATGGATTCCATTCACAAGAGAAATTTACTCGGGTGGGTTGACCCTCAGCAGACGAACCTCTGGCAGGAGAATGAGAAAGGCGCCGGTGCAACGAGCCTCACTCGCAACAACTTCTGGCATAGCTGCCAAAAGATCCTTCAGAGAGCTTACTTCACTCGCTCGTGGATCACTCAGGAGCTTGTCTTATCACGGAATGTTGTGCTGCTCTGCGGGCAGCAGACCCTCCCTCTCATCGCCTTAACGATCGTATGGTTATGGTTGCATCACATCGAAGGCCTATCGTGCCCCCCGCACGTGAATGCTCGCTTATGGTCATTGTTATCGACCCGGGAGGGGCGCAGAGTCATTAGTTGGGGGGTGCTCAACAAGCTTCCCAACTTATCCAACCTCATGAGAGATTCAAAAAATGTGCCGGAAGAGGGTCTGGCCCTGATCTGGCATGAGCTTGTGCTTCATGCGCGCATTCAGCAAGCTACTGATCCTCGGGACAAACTCTACAGCGTGTTGGGGTTGCTCGATCGGAAGTTCAAACCAGACTATGCTGCGTCAATTGAGGACGTGTTCTGCAATTTTGCAAAAGAGAACATTGATGCGGAGAAGCGATTATCTGTCCTGCGCGAGGCCGGCCATGGCACGTTCTTCGACACCCCCGAGCATCCCCGACACAACTTGTTCGTGCCCTCTTGGGTCCCGGACTGGGATGCGCTGTCCAAAGAATTCACCTGGGGTCTAATCTACCATGGCGAATACCGACTGTGCGCAGACGGCAACCGGCCCCCTAGGCTTCGGAAAGTCGGTGATTCAGAAACAATTACACTGTCGCAGCAACAAGATGGATATTGTTTCAAGATCGTCGGCAGGACCTTGACCGTAGTGGGGCTGATATGCGACAGTACCTCAGCTGTTCGTCGACTGGCGGGTAGTGACTACAGCTCTTGGGCTCCATTCTGCGAAGAGTATATCTCGAGCCGTGGCGAGAACGATCGTTACGTCACGGGGATCCCACTGCTCCAAGCGTTGGCAAGAATGCTATTCCTCGACTTGGATCCAATCACTAGGAAGAACATTGATCATTCGACACCATTGGATGACATGCTTAAAATATGTGTTCTTGGAATCCTCACTCTAGGATCTCAAGATCATCCGCCTGCTCCCAGGTTCGGCATCACTTCTCACTCGATTCTAGTCGATAAGTTTATTGGCTCTGGAACGTTGGGAAGTCGTCTTCTTGAATCGGGAACACTACCAGAAGGTCTTTTCGACGCCTCAACCCTGAGTAATCATGTCTCTAAGCTCACATCAAACTGGCTTTCGCTAGTAATGAATTATGTAGCATTTTGGACATCTGACGGGTTTCTAGGCTGGGGCCCCCCAGGAATGAAGGAAACCGACCATGTCTGCGTCATTATTGGTTGCGACGTACCAGTAGTGCTCAGACGTATTGATGACCATTACATCCACATTGGGCCATGTTGGGTATTAGGAATCATGAATGGGGAGGTCATTAAGGATGCCTCAAATGGTGCCTCTGATTTTGTCACTTTTGACATAGTATGAGCGTCACCCCCTGGGAACGCATAGGTATGGGCCAGAAGGTAAATAAGAAATAAATTTTGTGTACCTAGGTAGGTAGCTCTTCAACAGCACAAGGTTGAATTTCTAGTTAATCTCTAAGCCTTCGCAAAAGATTTGATACATCAGGATGTCGGTATCCACCGATTGACAGACATCATGACAAGGGCTTTCCGGTGCATCTTTCGCCGGTCATCAAGGACCTGATGCTCATGAAGCTATGGATGGATCTTGACATCTACCGATTCCGCACTCAAAACTCGTCTGCACAGAGAAAGTGTAGGGTTAAGACAAAGATTTGCTTGCAATGACTTGGAAACCAAGGCGATTGCCTGCGGGAGGGGCATAAAGGATCATGCATCGCAGTCACGGCTAGAATACACGGAATGACACCAAGAACTGTCTCCTGTTGCGTGACGAAGGCCTGTGGGTGTGTCACTAAACTCATCCATGCCGAGCACTTACGGGTCGAAAGCATATAAATACAGCAGTCCGATATTTCGTTAGCAGCTGTCCCACCAGAATCCCACGCTCAACAAAAGAGATTATTGCGACTTCAAACGTTCGACAACCGAGTCTCAAATCGTGAGATCAAAAGACTGGAAAGAGAAGACCCAACAATTACAGAGATAATGGCTAGCCAAGTTCATTCCAACAGAATTGACACATACCTGACCAAGAGGAGTTGACACCCCACCAGCGGGCCCTGTGGAACATCATCTGCTGGAACTACGCAGCCGATATCTGCAAGACTCTCGAGAACACAGAGCACGTCCACAATGACGTGCTCCATTACCTCTACAGCATCTTGGAGGCAGCCAGAGCCAGAGAACCGTCGCAACTCATTGCGAGGCTCGCAAGCCTCCCGGACACGACAGCAAGGGAAATGGTGGGTGCCCTGGAAGCACTCAACATAGGTCACGCAGGGTCCGACCCGGACGGAGGGCCGGGCAAGGGCAAGATGAGACAGAAAGATGAACTGGAGGGGAAGCCGTACTTCCACAGCGCCGAGCGCGAGTGTTTCTGGCTGATAGTCCTGGAGCTGTTTAAGGCGGGCTACCTGGGCGCCAACACTGACGGGTCCTCGCGGGAGGCGATATCGAACTTTGATGCTCTGCACTACTTGTACAGGTTGGACGTTGAGGATAGGAGGTGCCGGCGGAACGAGGAGATGGAGCTGAGGAACCCCAGCCACCGTTGGTATCACGAGACGTCTGACAAGCAGGTAGTATGGTGTGTGAGAAGGATGTGGCCCCTTGTCGAAGACAAGCTTGAGGGCAGGGAGAGGGAGGCATGAGGGCACCAAGAGGGGAGATGTGCACAGGGGACGCATCGGGGGTTCCGGCACCACGAGCATAAAGTTCACAGGCCCTGAAGCCTGTTTGGTTAATATGAGCGATCGTCTACCAATTCGGCCAGTAAAACCCTCGGGTAGTCATTCAAGCTTCCAGATCCCCAACTCCATAGCATGCAATATCGTCCATGTCCCATACATTACGTTTGCCCAGGTGTGTGTTGTGCCACTGCCGTCACTCAGCCCATGAGCTCAACGCCGTTTCGGATGGCGCCGACGACTGCGCCGGTCTGAACTGATTCTGAGCCTCCTCCTGCCATCCGGTGCTCGATCTGCGAGAGAGCATCCAGCCATGTTATCATGACCTCCGGCTTGACTTGCAGTTTAGCCACCTCTTCCGACAAGGAGGTGATGATGTCAGCGAGGGCGAGGCCCCTGGCGGCCTTCAACGTGTTGACAGTTGTCAGGCAAGAAGTCACGTCACTGGTGCTCAGCAAGGTTTGCAATATGTCTTGGATGGCATCTGGAGGTGGCGCGGCGATACAGTTGTAGATGGTCTCGAGAGTGATGGTCTCCCTGACAATGTCCGCCTCTGCTATCTTGGGGGCGTCGCGTGGCTGCAGCGGGGTGCCTAGAGCCTGGTCAGCCAACCGTATTCGAGGAAGAAATCGAAGAGGGTAGGTATGTATTCGGGCTTACTGGAGGCATGGCAAGCCTGAAGCACATTGAGTGCTCGCCGCATATCACCTCTGCTGAGCCTCACGAGAGCCTGGGTGGCGTCAGAGTCGATCTTGACGTGCTCCTCCTCGATGACCTTGTCCACAAGCACCCTGATGTCGGCCTCTTTCAGGGGGCTGAACCTGAATCTCGTGCATCGCGACAGCAGGGCCGGGGACAGCTTGTGCGAGTAGTTGGCAATAATACAGAACCGAGTGTTGGCCGTGTACTTCTCCATGATGCGGCGCAGAGCCATCTGTGCTGTATTTGTCATTGCGTCGGCCTCATCCAGGATGATCAGCTTGTAGGAAGCCAGGCTGCTGCTGCCGCCTCTTCCGGCGCCCCCAATGGTGAATATCTGCTTTGTTGATGCAAAGGTCTTGATTTGCTCGCGCACTACGTCGATACCACGGTCGTCGGAGGCGTTCAGCTCGAGAACCATCTGCCTCATGTTGTCGGCGCCGTAGATGCGGCGGGCGAGCGCAAGGATCGTGGAGGTTTTTCCGGTACCGGGAGGGCCGTAAAGGAGGAGGTGAGGAAGACGGTTTGAGTCGACAAACTTGTTGATGGTGGCGAGGATGTCTTGGTGGCCAGAGACGTCGGCGAGGGTGGCTGGACGGTATTTCTCAACCCTGGCGCAGTTGTGAGTGACAGATCGAAAGACCACACACAGTATTGTGTGCTCCGGAGGGACCCATCCTACTCACCATGGCAAGCTGTCCTCGGCCTCGACGGGTAGGTTGGCGGCACTTCGTTTGCCTTTGGCAGTGTTGTCCGACGAGAAGGTGATGTCCTTGGACGGTGCAGGGACGTCAATGTCCATCTCATCCTCGAAATCCGACATTGTGGAAGGTTGTGTGACTTCTGCCCGGGCGTGACCAACAAGATGCTGCTGCTGGAAAGGGTTGAAGGCGGGGGACTGACTGCTTGATGATGAGGTTGGTTGCAACTTCAACAGCCGGTGGGGCTTCTGCGCTGCAGTGGACGCGTCTCGTCGCGTCAGGGTGCTAAAGAGCCCAAGGCAGACCCACCCCTGACCCTTCAGACCCCCCTGTCTTGGTGCATTGACCAGCGTTTAATCAGAAGCATCTTATCATGCAACGACCCTATGCCCTCCATCACCTTGATAACAGCCATCAGCCCTCGTCATAGACGCCTTCCCTCCTCCACAGCAATGCATCCTCTCCGTGTTAGTGCGATGCACCCCGCTCAAGGCCGAACACTCGACACCTTGCACCAGCCTCCGCTGGGAAGGTCGCAGCCGGGTAAGACTTGTTTGCTGTGGTGATGTAAGTGACAAGGAAGCACAAAAAAGAAGAAGGGGAGATTGAGATACTCACTGCCTTGACGAGATTGATATGGCCTGGATTAAAAGGATTAAAAGGATTCAAACTTCCACGTCTCGCATCTCTGCGCTGCATGTAATTGTCACTGCCTAAGTAGTGACCAGTGCCCCCTTACTTACAACCATGTTGACGGCCACAATCTTCTCACTGCTGCGAGCTGCCTTGCTCGTTGAGGCAGCAGTTCCCAGAGCCAAAGACACCTTTCTGCGACATACCCAGCTACCTCGTTCTGGAGGGTTGAATGCTCGCCAGATCGCCAGTATCAACGGCTCTGACTACCCACCATCGTGGATGACAATACCAGTAGACCATTTCAACGCTTCCGACACCCGCACATTTCAGAACCGTTACTGGTACAACGCGTCTTTCTACAGGCAAGGTGGTCCCGTCTTCTGGTTTGATGCTGGCGAGCAGAATGCTCAGCCCCTGGTGCCTTATTTCCTCAACGAGGTGGCAGGGCCCTCGGCCATCATGGCACTTGCTCGTCGGTTCGGCGGCATTGCCCTGCTCGTTGAGCACAGGTACTACGGCGGTCTGGACCAAGGCAGCTATCCCTATCCCATCAACACCACCACCGGAGAACTTCTTGACCCTGTCGGCTACAAATATCTCAACACGGAGCAAGCTCTCGAGGATACCGTATACTTCGCACACCACTTCCAGGCCCCTGCCAACCTCAGTGCTTCTCTTTCCCCCCGGCTGACGCCTTGGGTCTGGCTGGGCGGCAGCTACCCCGGAATCCGCGGTGCCCAGTTAAGAGTAAGGAACCCGGACACCTTCTATGCGACCTGGGCTTCGAGTCCGCCTACCGAAGCAGCTGTGGATATGTGGACGTATTACGCACAGGCTGAAAGGAGCATGACCAGGAATTGTTCGGCTGATTTGACTGCAATTACTCGATATGTCGACGGTATCCTCGCCAACGGCACGAGTGAGGATGTAACATCTGTGAAGCGACAGCTTTTGTCTGCTGTCCAAGCGTCCCCGTCGGATCCAACCCCATCTGTGAGCGCGGAAGATGTGGAAGGGCTTGACAACGCAAGTGTTGGCAATCTGCTGCTGACTCCTTTGGACTTTTATCAATATTTCGGATTTCAAAATTCGGTACTACATTTCTGCGACATTTGGGAGACTCAAAACCGTACAAATGTTTCCACTACAGATAACGGTGGCACCGCGCGGTCCATTGCCCCCGCCTCAGGCCTGGCACTCGAGTACGATACTGGTACAGCGTGGAATTCCTACCTTGTTGCCCTCGCGGAGTTGAACTACGACGAGGTCGTTTCAGCCAATCCAACAGATCCAGTGCAGGGTTACAGCTGGACATACCAGTATTGTTCCGAGTACGGGTACTACCAGCGAGGGAACCCAGACAACGAGCATACGATCCAGTCGCAGTTTATCAGCACAGACTACTTTCAGGCCAACTGCAACTCCACCTTCCCCGGTATTCTCCCAGCCAGCCCGGACGTCGAAGCATCAAATAAGTATGGCGGCTGGCTAATACAGCCGTCCAACACAATGATGACTGGGGGTCAGTACGATCCTTGGCGCGCCTTGTCGCCTGCCTCCACGGAACGGGGATCACCAGGTAGGATGACCACGCAAATCATCCCGCACTGTAACCAGCCGCCTGAGGACACCGACATTTTCGGCCTGATTTATGATGGAATGGTGCATGTCAGTGATATGAGGGCGTTGCTCAACTCCAGTGATCTCTACCATCAGAATTTCTCCACGGTCGGGTTCAGTAGCTACATAAGTACGGAACCATATTTTGCAGGAACAGCGCTGTTCGAAAGGGCTTTGGAAAAATGGCTGCCGTGCTTTGGGAGCAACGGGTCCAACGCAGCAAGTATCATGTGAACATTCGAACCAAGTAGTAATGTGCGGTGAAAACAGCCCTGGAGCTTTATTAGAGGTCAGCTGACAACGACACTTGAGCAAATCATAAAGCAATTGTGGCGAATTTTCAGATGCCGAGAAAAGCGCTGGAAATCCGTGAGGCTTTTTCCAAAAAGGCCGTTCAAGTCAAGCAACCTAGTTTCACGCGACGCATGCGAGGAATAATCTCTCCATTGTCTGTCGGGGAGTCTCCTGCGCCATGCCATGAATTGCCGGGCTGGAAGTGATTCACACACATTTCTTATTCACTCATTACGACGTCTCGGCACCTGAGACTACCGCGCATATTCTGTGTGTGCTTTGAGTGAGGCTGACAAGCCTAGCTTAGCATGGCAGCCCAACCCGGAGTTTTCGTGGATTGGCACAATTGAAGCGTGGCCAGAAGTGTCTGCCAGAGGGGCAGGGCCTCTCGAGGGAAAGTCAGGGACAACTCAAGGGCCTAGGAAGTGATGCCATCAAGCCGCTTTTGACACAATCGCGCCAGAACAGCCGCGGGCTTGACTAGCAGGACCTCCCGCGCGGGGGTTCTGGGCCCTCGGGCACTAACCCAGGCCGCACATCGGATACTAACGAATGGCCAGGTATAAGTATATGCAAGAGGAAACGGGAGATGCAAAGGCGTCGTAAGGGGGCGTAGCGCCACGTGGTGGGGGGTTCCGCTGTTTAGGTCGATGGCCTAGGCCCGTCGTTATGGAGCAGGAAAGGCTACATAGACAATTGGGTAGGTAGTCATAACATTATTTTCCTGGCTGCCAGCTGGCGCCCGGCTATGACTTTATTTGTCAACCAGGTCTATGTACATTGGCTAATAGCCGACTGAAGCAGTAGAATGCGTTGTGATCTCTTGGGCAAATTCTAGATATAGCCTGGGTCCATACGAGAATCTTGAATCGGTCAAAGCAATGTGCAGTGCATAGCTTTTGAGCTACATGCAGAATTCAAATGTTTCATCAGCCTTATGGGTCGGGTCACCCGCGATCGTCATTAAGTACTTATGCAGGACAGGCACAAGTTGTAGGTCCAGGGCGGGCGGTACGCCGAGCTGAAAGCACAATGTGACACCGGTTAGTGAGCCGACAAGGTGTCCTTGTCTGTAAATAAGTATGTAATGCCAACCTTTTCTGAGTTGGCGGGCATTGTGATCTCACGAAATGAAGCTCATTTGAATCCGGGTGCACGCGATAGCACGCGAGTACATGGCCAGACCAATTACACCTTTCCTTATACATGATTCTGCACAGGTAATAGTTTAGATCCCATTTTAGCCAGAAATTTAAGCTTATTGCTGATGTGGTTCCATGGGTTCTAAGTAGAGTTCCACATGAAATCCATACTAGTAGAGTCCGTACATTTAGTCATCTATGCCTAGCCGTGGTTCAAGTATCGATCACGGAACCCCGGAGAGCTCGAGCACCCTCTAGTACATCGCGTGCTTTGCCCTGGACCCGGGGTCTTGAATATCTTGAACAGCACTGAGGTATTACACTTGCCGGTATTCCTTTCTTGCACGCAAGGCTATCGAAAGATCTCACTACTAGTGAAGAAGTTTTGTAGCCTATAATCGGCTGACTTTGAAGCATATTGGAAATGGCTTATGGAGGAATTTTCCGAGTACAGGCAGAGACAAAGACTTGATCAGTCTCGAGAAAGTGCACGGTGCTAGACGAGTCGCCTGCTCTAACAGTGGGCATACCGAATGCCTGGATTCACAAGGTTTTGGCCCATCCCTTGGCAGGACCAACTAGTGGGGGCGGCTGGGATGCGGTCAGGTTGATGACAGCGGACAGCAGGACGAGACCGGTGCGCCGTGGTCGGCGGGCCCGGTCCGCTCCTCTCTAACGAATTAAAGCTTTTCTGCTTACTACTACCCGAGGAGAAAAGAATTCACAAGCTGAGCAAAAGTAATGTGTCACACTGTCCCGCAGCTAAGGTTCTCGCGTGTGCTCTAGCAGTATTGGCGCCGCGGCGTGGCCTCTTGGCCGCGGGTCAGATCAAGCTCTACCAAGACACCAAGTCTAAACTCGTTCGGTTCCAAGACTTTCCAAGATGCCTATCGCAGAGATCATAGAGTCAATTGAGGGTAGCTTCTCATTGCGTGCTCAGCCTTGGGCATTTCACCATCATGAACAAATTACAATGTGGAATGCGGTCGTTCACCCATAGTCTTCATATATATGAAAGCGAGTTCGTGAATGCGGACAAAGGATGCGATGACTCGTAGAAGGATCCTGGCTTAATTGCAGCACAGGCCACTCGTCTCTGTAATCTTCTGTGACAGTTTTGGCCTGCAAGTTTACCAGAGAGCCTCGCGGGATATTGCTACACGGGAAACAACATGTCGCTGCCCGACAGGAAAGAAGTCCTGCCCGGCCCAGACCCTATTCATGCGGCCGACGATGAGCAGTCCCTCCACTACGAGGTCAACTGGACCAAAGAGGAGGAGAGTAAGGCCAAGAGAAAGTAAGGGTTCAACTCAGTCCATCTCCACATTTCTCGAATGGGTGCTGATACAATCTTGCTCAGGCTGGATCTTATCATCATGCCGATCCTCACCCTAGGCTTCTTCTGCTTGCAACTCGACAGAGGAAACATTGCCAATGCAATTACAGACAAGTTTATGGAGGACGTCGGAATTGATCAGGACCAGTTCAACGTAGGCCAGCAGATGCTCTCGTTGGGAATTGTCCTGTTCGAGATACCCTCCAACATGATCCTCTATAGGGTCGGGCCTGGAAAGTGGCTCACCCTCCAACTATTCCTTTTCGGCTTTGTTAGTCTTTTCCAGGCTTTCCAGCATGGGTACGGTGCCTTTATTGCCACTCGTTTCCTCCTGGGAGTCACAGAGTCTGGTTTCATCCCAGGCGGTCTCTGGACACTATCAACATGGTATACCAGAAAAGAGACGGCGAAGAGAGTCATGTTCTTCTACTTCGGAAATCAGTTCGGGCAGGCCTCGTCAAAGCTTCTGGCGTACGGGATTCTCCACATGCGTGGTGTGGGCGGCAAGCCCGGCTGGTGTCAGTATCACCTTTTTCCTCTTACGGATCCTCGCCTTTCAAGTTTTGGATTTTTTAGAATGCAACTCTTTGGGATCCTTAGTATGACTAACGTCACTACAGTCTGGCTTTTTGCCATCATGGGTGCCTTCACCGTGTGTTGTGGTTTCATTTATGGCTTCCTCTTCCCGGACTCATTCAGGAACCCACATAGCACTTTCTTACCCTTCGTGCCGATTTTCAATGAACGGGAAGTCCACATCCTGCGCACACGAGTCCTGCTCGACGACCCAGCCAAGGGCAGAAAGAAGAAGCGCATCGGGCTGCCCGCGTTCAAAAAGGCTGTATGTCATAGTCCCCCCTCCCGTAGCTGCACGTGCATTGTATAGGACAGCCACTCCAAGGTGGTTCACAGAAATAAGGACTGACCGAATCTTTAGTTCTCCAATTGGCGTCTCTGGGTTCATTTCCTTATTACGCTCTGCAACAACGGGCCGCAACGTGCCTTCGACACCTACTCGCCCTCGATCGTCAGCAGCTTCGGCTTTGCTGCCCTTACCAGCAATGCTCTCGCTTCGGTCGGTCTGTTCCTCCAGATCCCAGTGTCTTTCAGCTTTAGTGTGATATCGGATCGTTTGTAAGTCAAGCCATACTAAGCCTCCTGGGTTTTGAGAAACGATACTAACGGGGCCTTGTTATGCAAACAGCAACAAGCGTGGCGAGACCGTGATGGCCGGGTTGAGTCTGCATCTCCTTGGCTATGTCTTCAATCGCATCTTCACGGAACTACGTGGGCTCCGAGGCGTCCGGTATTTCGGTGTTGTCTGGACGCAGACATTCGGCACATTCCCGCATCCGTTGAACATTGCCTGGATGTCCCTGACCTGCACAGATTCGGAAGAGCGAGCTCTGGCCATGGCAATGTAAGTCTGTCTGTCATAGAATGTGATGAAAGCACTTGCCCTCTCAGCACTGGTACTGACACGGTCAATTAGGGTTATTATGGGTGCCAATATTGCCGGTATCTATGGTGCCCAGATATTCCGCGCGGATGACAAGCCGCTGTACCGCCGCGGTTTCGGTATCGACATCGCTGTTCTCACCGTTGGCGTTACTCTGGCGGTGGTGCGATACTCGGATGGCTGGTTTCAAAAACGACGGGCAGCAAAACAAGGGCAGCTTGCGAATGTCGACTCGGGGAGTGAGAACAACTCGCAAGTGGGCGAGAAGAGCAGTCTCCCACGAGTACAGCCGGGCAGCTAGAGTGTTCAGGCACTTGATTGTGACACAAAAGCTGCACCGAATGCCACGACACACTACCTAAGTCCGTCGGCTATGCCAGATGCTGCATATACTATATCAAACATGATTTATTGGCTTGACAAAGCGTTGATATTGAAGCAGTAAATAAGCGAATGAAATTTCTCTTTCATAAAGTCTCACCCTTCATGAACGCACGTACGATTATACACATGCACCAACAAAACGTGTCTGACCTTGTTAATGGTCGTGAGATCTACTAGCTTGGAGCCAACCCGACACTCAGTGCCAGAGTTGGAGGCTTGCCTCAGCCAAGCCCTGAGGCTGGAATTTCGAGACGGCCCTGGCCGCCCTGCCGCCCTGCAGCCTGGGAGGCTAGAACATGCGGGCCCGGAGGCTCTTGTAGTGTAAGTGCTGCTTGAGCCAATCCCCAGACGCCAAGACCACACGTGTGTTCTCAACCGGCAAGGGCGGGGAATTCTGGGGAATTCTGGGAGGCTTCAACCCGGCGAACACCTTCCAATCGTGGAAGGCCATTTGCGAGAACACCTATTCTTGGAGACTAGTCCAATAAGATCTAGGGACCACACCCTGGCCACAGCAGCATGCCGTCGTATTGGTGGCTGCTTTACCTCCGTACCACATAGTATCAGAGGTCACATTGGCTGGACAGGCCCATCATCTCTCCCTTCGAGATGCCAGAACTGCCGGAAACGACCGCGAACTGCAGTCCCCGGGCGAATCAGATCCACTGGTGCACTGGTCATGTTCTAGGGCAATTTTATCATACGTGCGCGAATGCTCCGTCGGGGTCGGGGTGAAGTCTGCAAGAGATCGGACGGCCCCCCAATAGGACTCGGTCAGTCGCCGTCCCAACCTTTGCGGCTGTCCAGTGGGCACCCGCACGGCAGGCGTCCTACAAATGCCTCGCGCCGTCCACCCACCCCCTATACCCGGCGGCCTGGCCCTCGACGTCTCTGCTTTGTTGTGCCAGGCAAGACCCTCTCTCCTCTTCAAGGAGCCAGCATGAGAGCTCAGGTCGCCTACCACCTGGCGGTGGCCGCCGGCGCTGCCCTTGCCCAGCAGACGGGCGTCGATACCCTCAGCCCTGTCAGCAATGTCAAGGGCAAGGCCTTTGACCGTCTGGCTGTGATCTGGCTCGAGAACACCGACTATGACATGGCTGTTGGCGATCGTGAGCACGACCCCGGGCCCCTTTTTGTGCAACATCTCCGCTGCCTCACCCGTCCAACTGCTGACAGACAGTCTCACAGCCAACCTGGCTTGGCTCGCCAGCAAGGGCATCACACTCAGCAACTACTTTGGCGTCACCCACCCGTCCGAGCCAAACTATATAGCCTCTCATGGCGGTGACTACTTTGGCATGAACAATGACGCCAAAAGCACCGTTGATGCCAACGTCTCCACCATTGTCGACCTGTTGGAGGAAAAAGGCATTGCATGGGGCGAATACCAAGAAGATATGCCATACACTGGCTTCCAAGGAAAGGAATTTGTCAACCAGGTCACCGGAGCCAATGCTTATGTGCGGAAACACAACCCGGCCGTCATCTACGGCGCTAACTCGGCTCGCGCCGACCGGTTGGGCGTCATGAAGAACCTGACGTTGTTTTACGACGACTTGGCCAAGGGGACCCTCCCGCAGTGGATGTTCATCACCCCTAACATGACGTCGGATGGACACGACACGTCTGTCACCGTCGCTGGCAAATGGACTCGCGCCTTTCTCGAGCCGCTCTTGAATGACACCGGCTTCATGAACAACACGGTGAGTTCCTCCCGATATCCCCACCTGTAAGGGCGTATAAATGTCCTTGCCGGCGCCCCATGTCCCTGACAATCTTTATCCCAAAAGATGGTGCTCGTCACCTTCGACGAGAACTCGTCTTACGCACTCACCAACCGCGTGCTGGCCATCCTGCTCGGGGACGCCATCCCCGCGGGGCTGGTGGGCTCCACAGACAGCAGCTTCTACAACCACTACTCGGAGATCGCCACGGTTTCGGCCAACTGGGACCTTCACACGCTGGGGCGATGGGACACGGGGGCCAACGTGTTCTCTTGGGTGGCCGAGAAGACGGGAGACGCCGTGAGGCAGTGGAGCGACGCGTCCGCACCGCCTCTTGACACGATGTTCTTCAACCAGAGTTACGACGGAGTCTTCAACGACAACAAGGGTGCGTTCGCGGTCTATCCGTCGCCCAACGTGGACGTTGAGAGTCCCAGCGGCAGGACGGTCCTGCCGGCTGTCAAGGAGGCATGGGCTGGCAGCTCCAACCCGGGGTACTACTCGAGCGCCCTCGAGGTGCCGGATGGGCTGCACCCTCCTGCTGGATATGAGGTGTAGGAGGTGGTCGGCGTGGATCTAGAAGAGCAGTAGCGGAATGTGACTGCATCATACACCAACTGCTGGACTACGTACTCGTCGACGCCGTGCCACGCTGCTTGCTCACCGCCAGGACTCACGACCGCCAGGTGGGTCAAGGCAGACTGGGTCCGTAAGGGGCGACGTCGTGGTCAGAGGGCATGACAGCGATAATTAAGCTAAAATACAAGAGGCGGCCCGTGTGCCCAAGGTTCCGGGCGGGCGGTACTATCTCGATCTCATCTTGGGTTAGCTTTCGGGTACCGGTGTGACACGGATGGGACGCGAAGTGCCACTGCAGGGGGTGGGGATGCTCTGGTCGGTATGGTTTGGTCCGCCTGGGCTGCTGGGCCAGGCACAAAAACAGCACACAAGATAGCTGCGAGCTGCGATGGTGGTCGACTGGTGGGACTGCGGCCGGCAGCCCCTGAAACGTGGTTGATGGCGATGATAGTGCACGTGAATTGAATTGAATGAAATGAGTCGAAAATGAATACGAGAGTTGGGTGTGTCTGTGGGGAATGTTGCTTGGCAGCTTGGTTGAATAATAAGCACACATGCATGCGCAGCGGGCCAAGCGTCACTACCCCGTACCTAAGTAGGTGCTCTGTAAGCAACTACTCCGTATTTCAAGCCACTCCAACGGCTCCCCATTGCCCATCCTGCCCCGCTGTTGCAAAAGATAAGGGGTCCTATGGTCTTTATGTGTCTTAGTTGGCCCTTTTCGGGCAGCCTCTGCCCGTTCAGCTGCAGGCAATGGCGCACAGCTGCGAGGGATCCCAACGCTTTGGGACAAGTAGATGGTCTACTGTGCTGTCAGCCAGTCAGCCAGCCGGCTAGTCTGCGCTTTAGCTGTTCTTGGTCGAGCCATGTACCATGCACCATGCACCATGCAGTACTGTACCTGGGCATGCAAGCTAGCATCTGCCATCTAGCAGCACTGGCCCAGCGGCCCCTGCTGTGGGCGGCTGTGAGCCCCCTTTAATGTGTCTCGTGCCCGGCTTCTTTTGCTTCCTCTTTGATGGGCATTTAGACTTTTCATTCCCGCCCAGCTGAGGTCCGTTCCAACCTGCTGTGGCCCCAACAGTCCCTTGCCCATCCGAGTCCGCCCTGCATTGCACTGCGCTACCTCCACCAGGCCGACGACCCTTGGTTGTGTGGCCACGGCTAAGCCATTCCGAGACCGCCGTTGCGCAGATCCGGCCCTCTCTTGCTCGTCGTTCCTCACCTGAGTTGCCTGGGACTATGTATGCTGCTCATACCTTATCCTGATCCTCGTCTTCCCGTCCCCTGCAAGGGACTGCTGCCCCCAGCATGAGGCCCCTCCCTGGCCTCGCAGCATTGGCTGCGATAGCCATGGCTAGCACCGATGTCATGGTGCCTCTCTATGTCTACCCGGGGAATACCACATGGACAAACCCAAATTGGAAGGCCGCCATCGACGCCATCAAGGATAACCCAGACATGCACTTTTACATTATAATTAATCCAAACAACGGGCCTCAGAACACCAGTGATCCCTCCGGCTTCAACGAGGGCTACTGCAATGTCGAGAATGATGACTACATCCAACACGGCTGTAATCGTGACTGGACCACACACCTGGCAGACATCAGCAAACTCTCCAACGCCCAGACCATTGGCTATGTCTACACCAGGTATGGCCAGCGGCCAGCCGACGAGGTCAAGGCCGACATATTAGAGTGGTCCAGGTGGGACAGGTCTCCCACTTGGGACGCCAACAAGGACGCCGACATCTCCATCCACGGGCTCTGGTTCGACGAGATCGGCTCCTCCCCCGTCAACGCCTCGCTGTACCAGGATCTCGTGACCTACGCGAACGAAACCTTCGAGGCCAAGGGCAAGGACAAGGGCAAGTACACCGTCGTCCTCAACGCCGGTCACGTCGTCGACCCGGACTACGAGGCTCAGCTCTTCAACATGGCCTCGGCAGTCGTGACCAAGGAGACGTGTTATACCACCGACCCGGACGCCGAGGACGTCTCCTGGGACTGCCCCATGCCCTACACCCCGTTCGAGGCGGCAGACCTCACCACCGGCAACGGCATGCCACACAACAGCGCCTTCCTGCCGCAGAGCGTCGTCATCGTGCACCAGTTCCGCGGGCCGACCAACGCCTCGTTGCAGATGCTCACAGACCAGATTGACGGCGTCGTCGACCTCGGCTTTCACAGCACGTATTTCACCAGCGGCAGCTGGCACAACACCACCCTGGAGCCTGCCACGATCGGGAACGTCGCCAAGATATTGAGCGAGGCTAATGATGCTCCAAGGCTGGCTCATTCTTCAACTTGGGCGGTATGGGCATCGTGGGCCTGTGCTTTCTTAGTATACAGCCTCTTTAATATATAATGCCTTGGAAGTCGAACACCTGGTCTCTAGAAGTCAATCATGTGATCTCATCCCGGGCTCCTTGTCGAGCGGTGGTGGTACTCGATGGGGCACGAGAAACCCTCGCCAGAGTCTGACTTCTCGCATCATTTTTTGTCGTGCTCCTCATATCGCTTCTTGCGGAGCGAAGACTGGGTCCAGCGAGTACTCGAAATAGGCGTGGCTGGCCACAGTCCAAATGCAGGAGAAACACAGGCTTTTCTTTTGCAATAATGTTGCGTACCGGCCCCCTCAACTCTCTGACCACTTTTTCTGCTACATCTGCTGAACAACATCAATCAACGATCACCTCGGCACTATTCTCGAGTTTAAAGCCCCCTCAACTCTGATAGACCCTTCACACACCCAGCCAACATCTACCTACATATGTAGCACGCGTCATATGGCAGCATTTCTGTCTTCAACGACAGCACATGAATGTCGGCTTGTTGGACGGGAATGGCCAGATATTTCGGCCAGGGAGGTAGCGTGCCGTGCGCCATCTCGAGCGTGGTGACAACGCGGGAGTTGATCACGTTTTTGGAATCTCCCTAGGAAATTACCCGACGAGACGAGAAAGGTACCACTGATTGACCACAGCTATGCTGTTCAGACGAAGGCTTGCACCAGAGTGGAACAAGAAATCGCCAAACCGCCCCCTCCCCCGGTACCGCCCAACGACCGACTCACCAGTCTCCGTCGTCCTTCGAGACGGCCGAGGAGGAAGCCAGAAAAGGAGGGCAAAAGCTCAAGACAAACCCGCCAAAGAAAATCACGGGACTCCCATCGGTACTTGAGAGTTCTAATTCCCTGTCCAACCTGTTCGGACAATACTGCGCCATGTCTTTCCGAGGCCGCCACTCAGCTGGTAATTTACAACTAGCATGGTATGGCCCGCAGCGCCAAATGTGCCACGTAACGCCCTCTCAACATTTAGACGTCTACCATGTCCCGAGGTCAAATATGAGAAAGAGAGACAACGACGAAGCGCGAAGATGTCGCATGCCCTAGGATCCTCATGAACACGGCGTCTTGCTCCTGGAACACGTAGAAGGCCCGCCCGACTAGTCGTGATCGGACAATCTACCTCAAAGATTTGGGTCTTCGGTCCATAAGACAGCATCACGGAATGCGAGGGCAAGAAGGCGACCTTCTGCTGTGTGTCTAACAAGGAGGCTTTACACTGGCACTACGAGATGTGCGTGTATGCAGACGTCGCGGCCAAGCAGCCCCATCAGCTATCACTACCGGGGAAGCATGATGAGGGAACGAAACCCGGGCTGCCATGAGTCCAACCGATACCAGCGGCTGGCTTTAGTAAATTTGCGGCTCACGAACTGGACACGACTGCGCTGGGCGAGTGGGACCTGCTGAGAAGTGAGGACTTGCCAGGGATCCATTCGTGTCCTTGTCGCAAGAAGATTATTTCAGAGTATGAAATAGTATCTCGAGAGTCTGTTTCCACAGTCAGGGTTGCCCGCCAATTTGGTTACGCTGCCGTTGGCAAAGGTACTGTGCTCTCCGACGATTCCATTCAAATCATTAGAGAAGCGATGAGGGCACATTCCTCAGCCCCGGTCGTTGAGGCTGCTCCGCTTATGACACTCAGCTCGCAGGACGGTTTGTTTCGCGGGCAAAGGCGTCTCGTTGTATCTCGGCCTTGTCAAATCCCGGGAAGAGTTCAGAGAACCAGAGTATAATGAGCGGATCGTAGGTGCTCTGCTCCTGGCCTCTGCGGATATGTCCCATGGTACTACAGGATCCTATACATCATGAGATCAAACATAAAGTTCAAGACATTCTCGACCGCGGCGTGACGCTTCGCTACCCGAGGCGGACGCTAGAATCGATAGGCACGGCGGGTTGTGTGTGATATTGACCTCAGCGCGCTCAAGTTTGAAATACAGTTAGACTTACTGTGGCTTTGCAGTATTGGAAAGAAATTAAAAAATGGCGCCGGTCAAGACCCGAAAGAGTGTATGTACGAAAGACTTTTTCCAGTAAGCCCAAATAGCAACCAGGGCTACCTAGATGTTGCTCGGGTGCAGACATACGAGAACGGATGGATAGCTCAATATTGACACTAGAGGCAACGAGAGGTGGTATGAATAGTGGCAGATGCCAAATCGGATTTTGTTTAAAAAAAGCTCAGACGCCAGATCGATTGCCCAGGTACTCTTAGTATGAGCTACCACGTACCTAGGTAGATACAGACGCTGCGAATGCAATACTCGGCCAGTTCGCCATCTGGAAATGGCCTCCCGCCCCCTCAGTCTACCTCCTTCGGAAGACCGTGCCTCGCACCCATACTGCCGGCCCAAGCCCCAAACCTCTCGACGAGCCGCGACCCCGCCGTCCTCGGCCTTTCCATCACTCCACCTCCGTCCCAGACTGGCCGCCGCGGCTAGAGTGCCGAAAGAGGGAAGACCTGGATGAGCAGGCATGCCAGCACCACGACAATAATGACGGGCCCGGCGAGTATCGAGCCTGGAGTCCCGGTGAAGGTGAACTGGGCCACCTTGCCCTGGGTGAAGTTGAGGGCGGCCTCCTGGATGGCGATGGCAGTCAGGTTGCCGCACTGGGCGTTGAGCTCGACGTCGGCGGTCAGGTTGGGGGCGACGAGGATGGCCTTGTTGAGCATGGCCGAGTTGGCGAGGGTGCCGGTGCTGCTCTTCTCGAGGAAGACGGTGCGGTAGCTACTGTTGCCACCAACGACGGACATGTTGGCTATCATGCTGTACTGGAGGCAAGCCGCCTGCGTCGAGAGGACGGTCTCGGTGAACTGTGCGCGCTCGACAATCTTGATGCTACCCTCGTCGCTGCCGGCCATGGGCGAGGCGAAGACGGACGCCGTCAGGGCCGCCAGCAGGAGGATGGCGGTGGTGAGTGGGCTCTGCATCTTGGTGGACTTTTTTGGTTGGATTTATTCTGGCTGTCCGTATCGGCTTCCCGTCTTGCTCGTCCCTTTACTTTTTCTCCCAAATCAATATATCCAACGATCCCGAAGTGCGGCTCAACCGTCACGATATCGCAAGCCTGGACCCAGGAGTGACCGACAGAAAAGACCGTACGTATTACAAAGAATAAAAAGAGAGGCACAGCCTTGACGCGAATTGAAACTGAGGGAGCTCGGTGACAAGCTCAAGAGATTGGCAGGTTTCCGGGCGAAAGTCAAAATTGGATTCCAAAAGGAACAGACATGTGGGAGAGGGAGGGTAGAATAGGACAATAGGAAAGGGTGTGTGGCCCCGGCGGGGGCCACAGTTGGACGGAATCCGGACGAGACGAACAAGACAAACGAGACGTTGGCGTCGCCGTCACAGCCTCTGGGCCCAAGAGACATCTGCCAGAGGAGGTGATGCATGAACGTGTTGCACGAACATGTCGCAGCTGGGTCCTCAGAGCCTGGAGCCGGGGTCCAGACGAGACGAATCGGGTCCAACATGAGACGGCGCCGACGGGACGAAGCGGGCTCTGCGGTGGCCTGGCGGAGCAGGAGGCGGCCAGAAGTGGAGCCCCTGATGCTCCAGGCGAAACCGCCACGGTTTCCCTGCCCAGCCTGCTGGCCCGTGCACCACGTCTCACCTCTGACGTTTTCTGTGGTACGGTACGCCGAACCTGGCCGTTTCTCTTCTTTTCATCCCTTCTGCCCTTCTGAACCCCCCTCTGCCTGCTCTGCTGCCTGCTGACGGTTGGATTGACTGGCTGACTGGCTGACTGGTAGCAGCTGTGAAGACACAGCGCCAGCCCAGTCAAGCTTCCATCTCGAATGCCAACCCTGCCCGCCCTGCCACCCTAGTTGCCTAGGTACCCACCGAGAGACAAGCTTTTAGGCGTCACAGAAGGCGGCTAACGTTGCATGCCAAGCATCGTCCACCCCAGCCCCGCGATCTGACATGCCCTCGATCAGTCAGTCCGCTTGAATCTTGACACATCTGTCCATGATTGTCCCTTGTGGGCTGTTGTGCTCCGAGGAACATGCCACCGTCATACGCCTCGGTAGGGCTCACCCACGCTGGGCCCTCCCCGGCCAGTGTTTGTCGGATCGACCTCTGTTGAGACCACTGGCAGCTCTGGCGTGTCCATCCCTAGTCATAGACACTATATCTGGGGACCCTTCTTACTCCCATTATACAGTAACAAACACTCTCACACTAAGTAGGTACTAATGACATACACAGTCACAACTCTCACTGTATTCATGTTTTTCGGAGACTTGTACCATGACTCTCACACACAGAACCTCCATGTACCACATCAATTGATCTTCTGTGGGTAGGTCAGCAGACATGTCCTAACGTCCAGGTTGCAAGATAAGGGAGTTTAGGTTCTTAAGCCCATACCTACTAGGTACCTAAGTAGGTAGCTCACTTATGAGGCAAGCTCGGGGGCACATTGAGAGATATAGTGCGGAAGCCAAATACTGCCTTGCGCAAGGCTGGTCCATGGCCTTGTCTGAGATTATAGGACCTCGGGGCTGGGCTGTTTGAGTGGGACAATATGAGAGGTTATTCCTGAGACGAATGAGCCAAGATAATCACCACCTCGTCCACGATCGCTCGGGTCCGAGTCTTCATCGCCGGCATTAGACTCCGAAATGCTCTCAGCGGTCCGGGATTTTTTTCCATCTTCGCTGCAGCGTGCAGCGGATTCTCTGTGTCATACGGCAAGCCGGTCACAGCGCCGACTTGTACGGTTCAAGCCGGGCCAGCGCCAAGCAAACCAAGAGCGCGCTCGGCGCTCGGCGCTCGGACTAACAACTGCCTGCTTCTTGTCATCATGTTCAACACAGGGCGCGAGTAGTATTTTTCGACAATTGTACTAAGGAATGACTCCCATGATCCAGCGGGTAATGATTGGCCGCCTTAAGATGCGGCTTCGGACTTGCGAGACGGTGCTCGGTGACTCAATTTCGAAGCATGTACTACTAGGGCGCCTGGTGGAGCCCGTGGACGAAGCAAATTGGTACCTACCAGACTAGGTACTCAAGTAGGTATATAACGTTGTGGTTCGGCTTCCATTTGCGAACCCAAACAATGGTCCACGTATCCTCTGAACTTGCCCTAAGGTCTTTGAGAGGAATTCTCGAAACGCGCTTGACTCGGCCGAAAACAAAGTCTTCACAATGGCGAGCATTAGTATGGAGATCGGCTTCATCATGGCGGCTATGAAAGACAACCAGTCATCGACCGTCTTCGCCTTCCGAGCTCCAGCTTCGCATCACGACCCAGCTTCGAATCAGAAACTCCACGCCCCTGCGAAGCAAGCACACCCAGAAGATGATGAACCAAGATGCAGTACAGACTCCGAGTTTTCTCTGAAGGGTAGTTACCATGCTTCCTAGCCCTACCCCTGCTGCCTTGAGGGCAAGACAGTCTACAAGACACCTGGGCATGCTTCGAGTTGTGCAGGCGAATTGACAAGGCCGTCCGCAATCTAGATAACCTTCAAGAAGGAGCCAGCCGTTCACATCGACGGAATCCTTTCGGCCGATTCTGTCGCCTGTCAAAGGCTGTTCTCCACAAATAGAACGGCCCCAGCCGTTCTACCACTGATTTGCTAGCACGAAGAGGTAGCCCGTGGGAGTATTTGGGACAGAGCAAACACGATCAACATCAAATAGTAGTTCGCTGGCTTTATCGACATGCGCAGGAGTATGGATTTGGCTACTCAGTTCGGCGCCTTCATTCTTGGGGGATCATGATACAATTATTTAATTTTCCTGCCGGTGCGGAAGGAGGCAATAGATAGACAGACATATGGAGTCGTTGACCTCGGGTTGTACTTATTATTCTTCGAGCCCAGGCGATCGGTTCTAAAGATCGGCCTATACATACGATCATCAAGATTTCGTTCCACCATGGTCTTGAGCATTTACCAATCTATAGAGGCGCCACATACGTTTTGCGTGTATAGGGATTAGAAATGAAACCACTCATTCCACCAAACCATGGGCACAATTCCTAACGTCTGATCAGGGACATCCTATCAGGTGGTTTTTGCCAGCTGTGGCGCCTCAGCAGCGTTCTCGTCAACCTTTTCTACAAGGGCTGCCGTTCCGTACGCGCAGACTTGGGTGAAGCCAGCCAGGTCGGCGACATCAAAGCGCATGGCGATGATTGCGTTGCCCTGCCGCTTCTGGCACTCATCTACAACCCGAGAGACAGCTTCATTGCGAGCAGAATACATCTGGGCACCAAACATTAGCTTGGCTGATCATCTGGAAAGTACCGGTTGAAAGATTACACACCATGTTTGTGAACCACTTCAGCTCACCGCCCACCATGCTCTTCAGGCCCATGCCGATGCCTGCAGCCCAATTCCTGGTGCGCACTGTCATTCCATAGACAGTCCCGAGGACTCTGACGACACGATACTGGTAGTTTGGTTAATTACATCTGCTCTCAATGGGGATTGCGACGGGGAATCAGATGCCCAAGTGTAGGCCTACCCCTGGAACGTCAAACATCGTCGTTGTGATGACGCCATTCGTCTCTGTATCTACAGAATATTAGTTTCATACGTGACAGGCAATCCCCTAGAAGCTATCTGAATAAAGAATGATGAGTGGCACGGATGACTTATGCATACAGCATTCCATGTCTGAGGTGTCATACTTGGGCTTCTTTGCGGAGACCCTCTGGGGGTTTGCGCTCGAAGCATAAGCCATTGTGGATGATGAAGACGTGTCGAGAGCTTGACCGAAATATTTGAGCTCGGTTTTAAGATGTATGATGAAATCTTCCCAGGTTGTGATTTGTGAACTTCAGGATGCAGATGCATGAGCAGCAAACGTTGAACTTTGAAGCTGACCAACCTTGGAAGGGCCTGCTCCACGCTCGGGTTTTTATAGGCCGTGAAACTCTCTTTGATGACCGCGACTAGGCAGAATTTGGAATGAAAGCCACGCACTCCTTCTGAAATCCTCCCCCGAGATCTAGAGACAGCTTTGCTGCAAGTTGAACTAAGCCGCTGGCCGAAGACCCTGATAGGCCGCCGTATTTCGTATTACGCTACTAACGCAAGTACCGCCGAGAGCCACGAGGGAATCCTGCCACATCCCAGCACCCAGGCAGCCAGGGAGCGGATCGGACCAGCAAGGCAGAGCACGATGCAGATCGGCATGCGGTAATCCTTGGCTTTCCAGTCATTTGGAGTTAAATACCTAGTTCAACAAACCCATAACCAAGTGCGAGGGGCTCGCACCCGCACATGCCTGAAAAGAATACATGATGCTTATTAGTCTGACACCCCGCATGGAGCCCAAGACATCCACGGATCCCGCTGACTGGCATGATTCCACGATGACATGGTGCTTGGAAATGATTCCCACAAGTCTCAGCGGCCCTTGATCATTCAAAATTGTCTGACATAGGAATCTACAGCGTCCATTTATGATGCTTGAAAACTTCTATGGGCATTGCAATTGGTGATAGCTACTAGTATGCTTTGGTCTGTAGAGTATTTTGAAAATCCAAAGACAAGTTACCTAGGTTGGGATGTCACAATCGCATGTACCACCGGGTTTCTGAAATCATCAACAGACCTTGAGGCTGGGGTGAGGGAACTCTCCTAGAGCACTGACTCAAGCTAGGGCTCTTGGAAAAGAATTCAGTTTTCGTTTGGTAAGGGGTTTTAGTTAAATTAAACAAGAGAGTATTGTTGTAGATATTAATAGGGTGTATATGCTATCTGTCCTTCTAGTACCTTTGCTAAGTCTGAGTCAACAAATGAGCCTTAGGGACAAATAGCAATGTCCACTATTGAGACTTGCATTGAATCTCTCTGTGTGTGGCAGACGAATGGGGGCCAACTCATTGCTTACCTACCTAGGTACCTAGGTACTTAAGTAGGTACCTAGGTACTTAGTAGGTACCTAGGTAGTCAGTAGACAGCTACTCAACAAACCTATCTAGAACCTCATGATATCCCTAGCTTGATGAGCCAGTCAACTACCTACCTAAGTAGAAACACTACTACTTAACTACACCCTAGAGAGGCTCCCACACTGTGTGAGGCTTTGGACAGATCATTAACCCTTCTATATACTAGTATTATACTTAAAATTATCATTTTTAGGCTATAAAATTTAATGTTACCTCCCTAGGTATTTAGATATGCCGGACCTTACTTGAGTCTCTACTACTACTACTCACCTCTACTAGTACTGGACAAGATGTCAACCTTAACATCAGCTGGCCCATCTAATTTGAAGCCATGTCAAGACAGATGCAGCCTATCTAGCACTATCAGGCACTACACCAAAGCATCTACTCTACCTAGGTACCTATGTGGGTATATAAATCAGGAACCCACGCAAATCTCTTGAAATGAAAATCTACCACTTCTCAAACTGCGAACCCACACATCCTAACACAAAATCTGGATCTTTACAAACTCACAACTATCCTCCGCACCAAGAAGTATAGCTTTATCTTGCAAGACCGTTTGTGAGCAAAATGAAGCTCATACTGGTATATGCCCTCGCCATCTTCTCTGGCGCTCTCGCGCTTCCAGAGCCTCATGCCACCGGTCCACACAAGGTCTCCTTGTCAAAAGGGAACAGCTTGACTCATTCCAACGGAAGTGTCAAAGTGCATCACATGTTCGCGTCTCTGGCCAATACGCTGGCAAAGTTTCAAGGAATCAAGGCACATCTACATGACGAGCCAGTGGCACAACATCATGCCGAACGGAGGGCTGGGAGACGCAGGGAAACGGCCCACAGGCCCGGAAAAGTGTCCCTGACGGATAAATACATATCACCTAAAGCACCGTCGGATCTAGCCTACTACGGGCCAATGACTGTCGGTTCTTATGACGGAAAACCGCAGGATTTCCAGGTGTGAGTTTGCCATTCTATCTACGCACCTTGCATCATCTTGTCGATCGAGTGAACTGAAATTTTACTGCGCCCTTATTAGAATTTTCGACACTGGATCTCCTGACATCTGGGTTCCGGGCCCAGAGTGTGGTGCGCTCCAGGGATGCGATAATCCGACAAAATACGATCAAGGAGGCACCGCACTTAACAAGACTGCGCATTTGGAATACCAGAAAGGCACTGCGTCCGGCAGTTCGTATACAGATGTTGTGACCATTGGCGGGTTGAAATCGTTCAACCAGACAATTTTGTCCGTCAACTCGACGGAGTCGATTTCCGGGGGCCCCGTTGATGGACTTGTCGGTATGGGCATAAGCGTTGATTCCCAAAGCACCACATTCTTTGAGAACTTGATCGCCTCGGGGGCGGTCGAGGATGACGAGTTCAGCTTTTACCTCGGGCGTGTCGTTTCGGGCACTGCAAATGATTCCGAATTGACTCTTGGCGGTCGCGACAGCAAAAAGTACTACCACAACTTCACCACTGTGCCTGTCTTGGAGCCTATTGTGGGATTTTGGCTAGTCAAATTGGATAATGTGATGGTCAATGGCCGGCCCGCCGGCCCTCACTCGGCTGCATTGCCTGCAGCCATAGATACTGGGTCGAGTGCCATTGTTGCCCCACATGCTGTCGCGGAGGAGATCATGTCGCAGATTCCTGGCAGCATATCATTTCCATCGCCTGAATCTGATCGCGATACTTACTAGTAAGCCTATGCGTCTCCTTCGCTTCAACGTTTTGCATCCGCTGACCTGACCTGTACACCTTCACAGCATGTACCCCTGCAACACACACGTCCGATACATCCCCAGCCTCACTTTCGCTGGCGCGAGCTTCGATATTAATCCACTCGATTTCAAACTCGGGCCGGGAGAGGGTGGCTATTGTGTAGCCGCAATCATGGGAACTAAAGGGCTTGACTTCTTTGTGGTTGGTGACGCATTTATGAAGAACTGGTATACTGTCTTTTCATACAGCGCCAATCATGGCAAACCTGCCGTGCTGTTCGCCCCGAGCATTGGTAGATTACGGGTATGAAATGGTCCACCACGGTATAGCCATGCTACTGGGTTTCTCTTACCATGCACGGAGACCGGGGCCTGAACTGGTACACATGTGCTGCGATGTCCACGGGCGAGTGGAAAGAGACAACCCGGGAGGCTTGCATACCTAGGTAATCCACAATAGTTAACAAATTAATGGCTACTCATTACCATAAAGTACACGCTTTCGTCTGCGTGACTCCACCTCTGGGTGGGAACACAACGTGTTTTTGGCTTGGTGAGGCGATACACACCGCTCTGACCTGACCTGACCTGCCCCCAAAGTACACAGGCATGCATGTTGCCTCATGAAGCCTGTATGAACGAGACGTAGTACTGTGCACACGACGCAGTCCTTCAAAGCGTAGTCCAAAGCTATGATAGCCAGTTTTTCGTCAGTCTTGATAGTAGTACGTGCGCGTAAATCCAGCCGGTAATGCTTGATTCGAGTAAATAATTCAACAGCGAGACTCGGGGTGAAGTCGCTGTCGCCGCATCTCAAACCAGTGATTGCAGCATCCGCGTTCCACCGAGAGTCTGTTATGTGTGGGTGGGAGCGTGTGCGGCTTGTCGTACCTACATATAGGAATGTAGTGCCCGGTAACTGCGCCTTTATCGCACGTGATAGCTGAGAAGGCTGGTTTACTGTCATAATGCACCTGAATGTACTACTAGAATGCAGAGCTGGCGCAAGGTCGGCGAGCTCCTGTCAGCCAGCATGACTGGGTCTTCATGGACGGTGCGTTGAAGCGTCGTGCTACCATTGGGGTTACTCTCTGGGGCGAGGCCTTGGGAGAAACAAATGCCTTTCGGCACTGTCCTACCCAGCCTAAGCGCGAGTAGAACCGTCCTTGTACGAATCCTCTGCCTCTTTAGGTAACCATGTGATGGCCAGACGAGCAAGATCACCCTCCAACTCCGCAACCCACAAGAATCCACTTTTGCGATCCCGGACGAATTCAAAGTCTCAAATCGTTTCATAGGCTTTGGGAACATCTGAAATACGCTGGAATCATAAGGAGTGGAACACATGAGACGGTCCTGAGCGAGATGGGACCTCGCCGCCAGAGCCGGTCGGGACAGCTGATTTGTAGGGTGCAATCAATTTTTCGTCGCAGCATCCGTTGTGTCTCTTCAGGGCAAAAAATATGGATGAGTCAGCTTCGACTGATATGAAACAAAAAGAAAACAGAGATTCGCAGGGCAAAAATCGGAGGCTATAGGGCAACTTTTTTTTAAAAGATTTTTATAAGTAATATATATAAATATTATTTTAAAAAATCTTTTACTTTTTATTACTATTTTTTAAATATTATATATTAAGGATAAAGTTATTAAAAATTATAGTAATATTTTTAAATTTAATTTTATTTTAAATATATTTATTTTTATAATATTTTATATTTATTTAAATATTTAAGTTAAAAATTTAAAAATAATACCTTTAAATAACTTATTTCTTATATTATATTATAAAGTATTTTTACTACTTAAAATTAAATCTCTTTTAAAGCTATAATATAAAATAAAAAGTAATAATAAAGTAAAATAATAATAATTAAACTAATATATTTAATAAGTTATAATAGGTATAAAGCTTTATTTTTAATAAAAAGGTTACCCTATAGTCTCCGTTTTTTCCCCTGTGAATATCCGTTTTTAACAAAAAATCATGATATCTTAGCATGATCTTGTTTCAACCATTCGAGACGTCCATGCTGCCCAACTCTCGAAAAGCTGGAATCGTCGAGTGGCGTTCAGGCCAGGGTCTATTCTATCTTTGAAAAAAAAAACTCGTAACCCCTGCGTCCCACCTTGCAATCTTGTTCAGGACCGTTCCAGCAAGACACGGGGTTTTCAGTTCTCCCACCTGGCAGGAGGGGATCTCGAGCATTTCCTGTGGACAAGGTCGGCCAGCTGGCTCGGCAAACACGCGGACGCTTTTGTTTGTCGTGATGTCCGTGCTATAAAGTGATCGAGGGTGTGCCTGCCAAGGGCTCTATCCTGCGATGCAGACTCGGGTCAGGAACCCTTACTGTGCGGAACGGGGATGAAATCTTGGAGCGGTATGAAGTGCAGGTACGGGTGAGCCTGGAGGATGAATGTAGTTGATGTTCAAGCAGCCATGTTTAAAAGTGCCAGCATGGTGCCAAACGGTTTGTTGGATATAAAAAGTGTGGTAAGGCACAAAAGGACCAGGTAAAAGTCCTGGCAAGCCTGGCCATTTCTCAATATCAGTGCAGAATCCAACCGGTGAGGGTCTCCAATGTCTTTCAGAGAGGAAGAAAGAATTACATCCATGGATTCACCGCAAATGATGGTGAACAAGAACAGCAGTGTCAGAAGACTCACCTTCTGGCTTGAGTGGTAAAAGGATACCTAGAAAACCAAGCAAGGTCTCAACCTTTCTTAGTGAAGTTTCGGACAGACCTTCTCAGAATTAACATCTAAACAGTCATGCACCAATCTTGTTTCTCAGGGTTGAGAGAGGATCTTTCTTTCCACGTCACTCTCTCTCTCATTGCGCCGTTTGCCGTTCCTGAGGAGCGGAAAAGGAGAGCATACAGGCCTGTACCCATGGAGACAAGCTACCTAGGTAGCTAAGGGAGGCATAGATTACTGCAAGGGGCTGCCGTTGAAATTTCCTTTGGTAAAAAGGCCTCTGCCCCAATAGGACCCCATTGACGGCTCTAACTATCTTTGGGGCAGTCAAAAATCTATAGAACCGCACGCAATGGACATCTCGTAGGAACCAGCGATCTCGTATTGAAGAATGAAGGTAAATGCCAGGGTTAATGGATAGATGCCTCACTGGTACAAGGCCGCAATAAAGCTGTCTGATCCTTCTGTATAGCACAAACCAAGTGTACAATCTGCTTCTTTCCTTACACCTCTCTGAATCTCCAGAGCCACGTAACTCGCAACTCCCGCCCCCTCCCAAAGACTTCCGGTAGAGTTGGAATGCCCATATCATGCCACGTGTGTTGTTCAAAAGACGTTTTTGACGGCCCAAAGGCTGCCTTCTGAGACCTGGTCTCCGTCCTCACTTCCGACAGTAAATTCGATGTCGGGCGAAATTGCCGACAGAAAATAATGATGAGGTGTCCAAAGCACTCGAGTGGGCAGTAGCCTCCCAAGAGTAGGATGTCGAGTGATTTGTAAAGTAGCTTCTGAAGATGATGTTCGTAAAAGAATCGTCAAATCGCCGCCCAACTTCTTCGGACGGGAACCGATCGAGGAAATTGGCTGTTTCGAGACAAAGGAGAGCAGTGTGGATTCAGCTTGACGGTCAGTTTGCCGCTCTGAGATGAATAAAGTAGTCATGGACAGAATGGCTGCTTTGGCTAATCTTGGGCGAAGGGAGCCTTTCAGCGGTAGGCCCCACCAAAACGGGGTCCTGGAGCCATGCGATTACCTACAACAGGTCCAACTCCGGGACCTGGCCTTGTCGCAACTGCCGGGTTGGTACAGAGCATTCCGACTCGGGAGCCGAACTTGGACCCACGGAGTGAGACCATGTGCTTGCGGATGTGAGCAGCCACCATGTCTCGGTGCTGGGTATTGGCGTGAGTCAAGATGTACTGGATGAGATAATTGCCATACTGGTCGCTGGCAATGTCAATCAGGGGAATGCGTGGACGGTCGAGACGACCCTCGCTGACTCGGTCTAGATAGCGGCTGAGAAACTCGGGCCCTCCAATCTTGAGGCACTTCTCAACGACCTTGGAAGCGAACTGGTCCATGGAGTACTCTGCAGCGTAACGGATGACATGGTCAATGGCACGGCTGCGGTCGGCGGGGGCACCGTGCTCGCAGATGTGCTGTATGCACCAGTTACCAAACTGGCCGTGCGCCACGATGTCGATGTTGGCAAGGACTTCTTCAATGCATGGACGCTACAGCTATGGTCAGCTTGACTCCTCAAAGTTTATGCGAATTGGATATGCTTGCCTTGTCGTCCTCCAAGCAGTTCTCAAAAATGTTTTGAACAACCAAGCTGCCAGTCTCTCCCAGTGCGACCTCATGCCACATGCCGCGCAGCGCCTCGTTGACGAATTTCATGATCTGAGGAGGACTCTCTGTCCATCTCAACTCGAACAGCTTCTGCCAGACATGACAAGCATAACGATGAATGACGGTCTCAGGAATACGACGGAGCAGCTCATGGACCATGATGGCCTTGTAGTCCTCCGGGACTGAATCAAATGCCTTCTGCACGACGTGACATCCAAATGGGTCCATCGAGAGGTTGAGCGTGTTGCCACGGATAGCCTCAGCAATCTTGATGACCTGCTCTGGAGTGCCGTGCTCGAAGCAGCGTTGGACCAGGAAGTTCCCAAAGCGATTGACCATGAGTGGGTATGCCTGAGCAACAATGGCTTCGACAATCTCGTATTTCTGCTCGGGGGTTCCGACTTTGAGCTTCTGTTGCAGGAAGATAGAAGCTTGCTGGTCGTTGTTGCAGACGATCTTGTCAACGATGTACTTCCAGTTGCAATTGACGTTGCGATCCAGAAGGCGACGATAGTTGAGGGGTTCGGTGGTTGGCAGATACGTCTGTCCTTCGGTAGCGATTGCCTGTGATCATGGAATTAGTGATGTGGCACATCGATTTATGTGGTTCTAGACGTACCTCAGTCTTCCAAGAACCTCCTGTGGTGGAGGTGAACTCAGTCGCATGGGGAGACAGGGGTGTTCCAATAGGCGACGGCCCATACTGAGGAAACATTCCCATACCGTTTCCAGGCATGCTGCCAGGGCCTCCGGGGTAGCCAGGACCGTCATATTGGGAAGGGCCCATGTTTCCAATGCCATAGCCGCCGTAGTTGCTGCCATAAGAGTTGGGGTTTCCGAATCGGTTGTCATAACGATTGCCGCGACGGCCACTACCGGACCGCATAAGGTCAGGCTGTTGACCAAAGCGATCTCCTCGAAAGCCATCCATGGAGTTCTCATTGTACTGTGGAACGGACTGATCGATGAAGCCTTGGTCGCGAGGGACAGACCAGCCCGCGGAGTGGGGACCATCCTGAAGCGGCATGGGGGGCGGCATGAAGGAAGGTTGGTAGTTTGGCTTGTTTGCATTGCTGGGGATTCCCCGAGACCGGTTGTAGCCAGTGGCCGACATGGTGTCACTAATTTCAGAGCGGCAGTCGTCGGAGACAGGTCCCTGCCAGGTGTTCTCACGAGGGAGCTGGGTCTTGGGAAGACCTGACATTAGAGGGTATGCCGGTGGCTTCGTCCCAATAGGTTCCACCAGAGGGGCACCGCCTGCGTAGTCAGAATCAGACGAGAGTATTGGCGTTGCACGGCCACTTCCCTGGTCACGACGGGACTGTGCAAGCTCATTGTTGAGGTTGGTAATGTGACTCTGGGCCTTGGCGAGCTCCAGCTTCAGTCGGAGGACCTCCTCGGTGGCGCTGTTGTCATTTGGCGCTGCACTGGCAGGCCGAGTTGTCGGGGCAGTGCCGCCGAAAGCATCGGTGGCAGGCGTGATTGGCAGAGAGCTGCAAGAGGAAGGGTTGTCAATTTCGGCACAGTCGATCTGGCGAGGCTGCTCGTGGCTCTCGCACAGCTTGGCCAGCAGCTTGTCCATGGGATTAGCCCCGTCGTAGGTAGGCTGTGATGAATAATTAGCCACTTCTGAGCAATCACGAGGGAGGAGTCAGTCAAGCTTGCCTTGGCAGAGCCCTGGTTGACGAGTTTGGAGGTTGTCAGAGGCGTAGCGGACTTCCTCAGGGCGGGTTGGCCACCTGCGGCGCCATCCTCGTATGGGGCGTTCTCGTCTTGGGGCATCGTGGGGACAAACGACAGCCAAGAAAAGGTTGCTCAAAAGGAGGCAGCGAAGATGCTATTCCAAAGGTGGTTGTTTCCTGTTGAGCAGGTGACGTAGCTGGGGACAGAAATGGGTGAAAAATAGCTGAGATGGGGTAGATCCTTTCGATCAGCTTGGTGTTGGACGGAGGGAAGAAGGGGGAAGATGGACGAGGTATGGAGGGCAGATGAGTTGGATGCGTGACGAAGAAACGAGGCGGGAAAAGTTTTGAGGTTGAAGTGTTGTGTACTACCTAGGCAGGGTGGGTAGGCAGGTTGCTGGGACAGTGGAAGTGGCAGGAAAGGAAACACTGGCCAGGTGAATGCTCTGGAAACTGCCACCAGCCCCAGCTTTTTTCGAGCAGGCTGCACCTGATGCTAAATACCTAGGTACCTAGGTAAACACGTAGGTCGAGGCCGACCGAGTTCTTGCCCTGTCGAGGAAGACAGAAGAGGGACTGGTTTTGGAAACGAGGACTAGATTCGCTGCACTTTCCCTGAGAGCATTCGGCACAAGGGGGGGGGGGGGCAAGTGAAAGTCCAGCCCGCATGCAAAGGTCATAGATAAGAGCTGTTGTAGACCAGAAAGCCCAAAGGTTAAGGTCAACATATTCACCACCTAGGTACCTAGGTACGTAAGTACTCCAGAATTGGGAGCACCTGCCTATTAAAATACCGTATTGCGGATGCCCAGAGGGTCCAAAATGAGGCAGGCCCATTAGGGAGGGGGCTATAAGACACAAGGAAGCGGTGAGAATGGCCAGAACACCTCCTTTCAGCTTGTTGTTCAACTCGCAACACCAGTTGAGTTTACCATCGTATACCAGACCTTGTTGGCGATGGTCTAAGCTTCATTTTTCTCTTTCAAACGTTGAGCGGTCAAAACAGGTTCCTTGATCCCACTCCTGGGAACATGGTTTTGGCCCAGAGCCCACCTACCATTCACCGTCTTCGGATTGCATCAACAGTATCCAAGGTTTTCCTGAGGCAGGTGATCCATGCATATCACTGAAAAATATTGGCGATGCGATGATCGAACCAGAAAAAAAGACACCCATCACATCTTGAAGGTCGTTCGCATTGTATCGCCCGCCTGTCCCGTCAGGGCCAGATTCAGAGAGAGCGGGCCGTGGAAAAGTTCCATAGACATGTGTGCTCCTGATATGGCTTCGCTTTCGGATGGGTCAAGTCCCCTGGGATGCTGCGGGTGTATTGAAATATTGTCTGGCATTGTACATGTGTCGGTGTCCTGCCAACCTTCTGTCCTACTTCTTCTTTCCTTTGGCATCTGCGCAGATCAATGTTAGGGTGGAGTCTTCTTTACTCGCGCGTGGATAGACTGACCTGGTGGCCCATTCTTCTTCTTCGGTGCGCCTTTCCCACGGGCTTTCAAGCTACGATATGTCAGCCAAGGTCGAGCGTTCCGCGTAGAACCCCAACGTACAAAGCGAGAGATTCTTGTCGGTCGTCTTCATCCTCGTCCACGAATTCCAGTACTGGTCCGAACTCCTTCTTAAGGTCCTTCAGATCGACCATCCTCCGTGGGTAGTAGGCCGCAAGCGCTGGACCTTTTAGCCTCTGTCGCAAGATCTTATTGCCGGTGCGAACGCCCTCGGGATTGTAGGTCGTGGAAAAGATTCGACATCGCGTCTAGAAGACGTCAGTATTGTTGAAAAAAAGCCAGCTTCAGCGGATCGATCTCTACCTGCAGGAGCTGCAACAGCCGCTCGCGGGGAACCGACATCATGGCATGACTTGGAGGACGAATTCCACGCTGTGGTGTGAGGGCGGCAAGCATGAATGAAGTCAAAAGATATCCATGCGCGAGCTATCTGATTGGACGGGTACGCGAAGCTGGTGGGGCCCACTGTCCGTCGAGCCCGTCAGCCCTGCGACTTAGTGGATCTTGATGTACCGCGGTATGTACATGCAGAAGACTCAATCTCTTCCATCAACATTTCCAATCTAGCTATCTGCTTAATGTTTTTACCAGCAGTGGCCTGTCCAGTCAGAGGCCCCAACCCCGTCCACCTACCTACCTAGGTCCCTGCCATTGGCAGTTATACAATTGGAGGCGATTGCACATTTCTACCCCTACCTAACTACTTAGTTAGGTAGGTATCTACCACTGGAGAATCTACCAGCCAACCCGATCATCTACTTTTTCTTACCCAGCATGGGCAAACGCTCACGTTCAGACAGTGGCGAGCTCAGCCATCAGCCATCCCACAAGAAAATGAGGGTGCCGGATGCGCTGTCTCGCCTGTCGGAGAGCGCAGACGACCTCATCCAGTGTCTGCAGGCACTCAAGACTCGGAAAGATGACCCAAACCTGACCCGGCGGTTGGCCGCACTAAGCAACGACCTCATGCCAAGCTTCAAGACTCTGGCAAAAGGGCACGATGGGAAGGTGGTAGCTGAGAGCAAAGCCACAGAACAAGCAAGACCAGAGCTTGCCGAGAACCCACAACCAGAAGTGCCAATACTCACGCCGTGGACGCCATCAGAAGTTGCAACCAGCATACCGCCTCTCCCACCTATCTTGGATCCAGTTTTGGAAAAGGCGTCGTTCACGCACGCAGGCACCATCATGGGACGTAACGAACGAAGCTACGAGCAGCTGGAATGGCTCGGGGACGCATATCTCTACTTGATGTCGACCGCGTACATCTACATGACCTTCCCGCATCTTCCGCACGGTGAAATGTGCCACCTTCGAGAGGTTCTCGTTCGGAATGCTACCCTCAGAGAATTCTCAGTTCAATATGGCTTTGAGAAGCGGGCTATCCTACCTAGCGAGTACGATAGTGTCGGTCGTCTGGGTGGATCGAAGGCATCAGATAAGGAGCGCGCCAAGGTCCTGGGCGACATATTCGAGGCTCACGTCGCGGCCATCATTCTGTCGGACCCAGTCAGGGGAGTATCAAGGACAGCGCAGTGGCTCAAGGCGCTGTGGAGTACGATGATTCCCAAGCAGATCAAGCAACAAAGCCAACCCCCACTTGTCGCTCCCGTGATGGGTGGTGTTGCGTCACTGGCTGGTCCTCAGGTGCAGACCAAATCGGCAAAAGCAGAACTGTCTGGATTGTTGGCTTTATCCAATCCTAGGGTGAACATCGTGTACAAGTCTGTCGATGAGAGCAGGACAGTCCGGGACCCATTGACCAAGCAGCCATTATTTGTGCAGGCGGTCTACCTGGAGGGCTATGGCGAGACGAAACAGCTGGGGACTGGAACGGCCAAGAAGAAGGCGGACGCGAACGAGATGGCTGCACAGAACGCGCTGGAGAATAAGAAACTGATCAACACATACAAGGAAAAGAAGCGGCTGGCCCTGGAGAGCAGGGAGGCACAGGAGAAGGCATCCAAGGACCTGGGCTTCTAGTTGTAGTACTGTAAAGTATCAAATGATAGAGCTCGCCAGATCTTGTTGGAGTTTAGCCTGAGGTTGAGTGGCAGCACTGTGCATTGTGAATTGCTTGCTTTCCGAGCTCTTCTAGCCCAGTGGCAGTATTCCAAGGCCTGCCACGGTATGTCTTTCCCACAGCAGAAAATGGCGACTGGAGTGCGTTGACGATCCGGCTGTCGCGCCTGGGGTTCAAGGTTTGGCGGGTGAGATGGCCCACAGTTCCCCAAATGTCCCGAGAGCTGCCGTCACTTACCTCGGCCGAGGTCCAGCCAGGATGGCGGGCCCGCTGATTACACGCGCCCAGCACAACACGTCGGGTCATGGAGAGATGATGCGGTCACTCAATACCAACCAAACGTTTCCCCGCCATTGACGATGATACCGACTTGTACAGCAACTTTACATTTGGTAATCCCGAACGCCGCCGAGTGAAACTGTCTCCTCATCTCGCGCCCAACCCACAAGCACCAGTTGCGGGCACACTGAGAGCCGGTCCGATAACCGGTACCAACTGACTTGGGCTGTTGACAAGCCTCGAGTCACCGCCCTGCACCTCACTTCGGGGATAGGCACACGACTGCCCTGGTGCCGTCGTGGGCACCAGCAAAAATAGTCGCAGACATGGCGGACTCAGTCGGTAGGAATAATGCTCGGGCTCCTCGCCACAGGCTTGCATCTGACCCTCACCACTCTGTCTAGATCGGGTGTTCGTCCATGCCCTCAACACGGTCAAGAAAGTCCCCAAGACCGGGGCACTGCGGCCCCCACCCTCAGACCGAATGCGGCTCTACGGCCTCTATAAACAGGCGATGGAGGGCGACGTCGACGGAGTCATGGACAGGCCGACTGCCAGTTCAGGCATGCACGGGGACGAACTACAGCGCGAGCAAGATAAGTGGGACGCGTGGGACTCGCAGAGGGGCCTGAGCCGTACGGAGGCCAAGAGGCGGTATATTGAGGCCTTGATCGAGACAATGCACAAATATGCCACCACACCGTGAGTAGCGCAGCGCAGTCCGTCTGCGGCACCGCGGCACCGCGGCACCGACGTTGCATCTTTTTCTAATGCGACAAGATAGGGACGCAGCCGAGTTGGTGTCCGAACTGGAATTTGTATGGAACCAAATCAAGAACAACAGCCCGAGTTCATCAAACGAGTCTGCGAAACAGCTGGGCATGAGTATGGACACGAGTCCGAAAAGATTTGCCCAGCCCATGGCGGGGACCGACGGGCCCATGAAGATCCTGAGCCCGATGAGCGAGGAGGACGAGGCGGAGCTGGACTATCAAAGGCGAATGGCGGCGGGGGATCCGGATGACGACGGCGAGTACGTCAAGAGAGGGGACAAGTGGTCCAAAAAGATGGAGCGGGCGATCGTGCGACTTTCGACGGAGATAGCGGCCCTAAGGGAACAAATAACATCTGGTCGGGAGTGGAGGTCCAGAAAGGAGAGGAGCCTGGGAGCCTGGATGAGATGGCTTTTCTGGACAGCCATGAAGCATGCCGTCGTTGATGCACTCCTCGTGTTCCTTGTCCTGATATGGATGCGGAGGAGGAAAGACAGGAGACTAGAGGACCACTTCCGGGCAGCCGTGAAAATCGGAAGAGAGTATGCGCGGAAGGTTCTACCATCCAGATGATGCGTATAGCAACATGAGGATGAGACCTCACCAAGACGACAACCAGGAGTCAAGCCTGTCTGACTGGTTTTGGCCGCAGGCAGGCAGGCGACGGAAAGATCAGTGGGGCTGTTGAGTCGAGTACCACCACCAGGCGGGTCATTCTGGGGCTTCAGATTTAGGCCTCGTTGCCTGGCCTCAACGAGAGCTCAGCATCATTGGGACGCCGAGGCATCACACCTCCGGCACCTTGTCCTCCGTGCAGTTACACCTGAAGAGCGAGCACCAGGGCTCAGAGAGATTCCGTTGAGCGCAGCACGTTTCTGGCAGCTGGTGTGATCTCGGTACAATATAGTCATATAGGCTTCACCACAACAGTGTATGGTGGGATACAAGAGACCTTGGAGTCACCTCAATGGGACTTCGAGCCACTTTCCCCGTGGGGAGGAGGGGGGGAAGACCCATATGGTCAAGGCACTAGTCGATCTTCCCGATATTTAATTCCATCATGCCTAGAAATGAAATGGGTTCAAGGTGCTTGGCCGAGCTACTGTAAAAAGTCGGACGTCTGTACAACTTTTTCAGTGCGGCGTGGCTTGGGTGTGCGTTGCTTGCTTGCCCAGAGCTCGAGCTCGACCTGGCAACCCCTCAACCCGTCCTGTGGTGTGTGATAGAAAGACCACTTACCCTGCTCTGCCAGCTCCTCACACGCACCTTCCTTGGGACACTGCCTCCCTGAAACTTCAATTGAGCCTTTGATTCAAGGTGTCGCCCAGTAGATCGACTGCCTTCATTGGTATTGGGTCCGAGTACCTCCCCGCATCAGATTTTTTTTTTCTTGTAAACACTGCACTGCTCGCTCTCCTTACCACCTGACCTCCGTCTGGAAAAATGGCCTCGGCCCAACGCGATGAGCCCAAGATGGTCGACCATACTACCGGAGTAAAGCCAGAGCCACCGCCGGAGGACGAGGTTCCTCCTCTCACCCATGTTATCCCGACTATTTTCGTGCCGCTCACGGATGATTTCTTAAAACCGATAGAACCGGCGAAAGACAGAGTTGAGCGCATGCAGCGGATGAAGACGAGCCTGGACGCCAACGAGGCGAAGGTGCGGGACAACATCAACTGGATTTACGAGCGCGAGGCGCGACGGCACGTCACGGAGGCTCAGAAGGCCGGCACGCTGTCTCAACCCCGTGACCTGGCTCCTTTCGCCTGGGAGGAGGCAGACCGGCACCTTGCAAACATTGCAGCACCGGCGAACCCAGGCGTCTCCTACCACCTACCGCCCGAGAAGATCGCCGAGTTCCAGCGCTACGATCAGCAGAATGCCGGCCAGCTGCCTCCGGACGGCCTGTCTCCTCATGAGAGATTAGCTCGGGAGGTGCTTGCCATTGCCCAACGGGGGGTCAGGGACATGGAGGAGTACAGCACGTGCCACATCAAATCTATTCGCGATCAACTCGACAACAGCATCGAGAGGGAGAAGCGGGCACATGCTTGATAGGCGGCGCTGGCTTCTTGCCACACTGACTGGACAATGAGGCAACATCGCAAGCAGTGTGATGGTGCAATTGCAAGGATTTGCACACTACAAATATTTTTGGCTGGTGCCGTGCGCCGGGGGGCCTCACCATTCAATGACTGCCCTGTCAATTGAAATTGTGGCAGGTTTCTGGATCATCGTGGGTTTTGTAGATGGAGTGATGGCTCGCTCTGGTGTTGGAGAATACTTAGTATGCTCGCTGCCCAGGTAGAGAGGGTTGGTTATCGGGCATTCGATCCCAAACATCCCCCACGACCACGCTCATTCATTCAATGACAAGCTGGATCATCTCTCCTTATCACAGTCGCGAGGTTGGGTGGGATGTAACGACCGGCGGTAAGAGGCATTGCGCATCGAGCCAAATTGACTCTCACATACTTCCATAATCGGCGTTAAGAATTGATCTGGAGCACAAGATAGAGAAGAACCCGACTGAAGCAACCATCTCACTTGCGCAAGACAGAGCTCAAGCTCCCCTACAATAAAATGTGCCCGTGAAATGAGTTGAAGAAGAAAAGAAGGTCTTCATTGACGCAGCCGCCAAACAATTTGCGTTTTTATCCATTTGAGCTCCAGGCTGTGCACGGGCCATATTTTTAGGTGGCCCCACCAAGCCCGGCCAGCGGCCAATCGCCTTTTAGCCTTTCTAATGCGTCGGATATTCTGCCAGTGGCCAAAGATCCCCAGAGCAGCATTAGCAGTAGCACCTCCGACGTCAACACTCTGACGACTCCCACTCAACCCACGCCCCATTCCCTCCTGCCCGTCGTCTCCCCCCCTTTTCTGCCGTCGAGACGATACGATGCTGCGACAGACTCTGGCACGTTCGGCTTGGCGGAGTGGCAGGCGGACCGCCTCCAACGCCGCCAGGGCCTTTTCTGTGACAGCTCAACGGCCTGCCGAGGTCGAGCTCACAATCGGTACGTCGACGGCGCCACGAGGGAGGCAGTCTGTGCCCATGATGATGCTGACAGCTCTCAAGATGGAAAGAAGGTGTCTATAGAAGGTGAGATGGCCCAATGGCCCCAATTGGTCCGGCTTCCCCTGACACTCTCATAGCCGGCTCGGCTCTGATCCAGGCCTGCGAGAAGGCGGGATCAACAGTCCCAAGGTATGTCCTCGAGACACCCATTACCAAAGCGACTCTTCAGCTAACAGTGCCTCTTAGATACTGCTACCATGAGTACGGCGATCCCACGATCCTCATCCCTTGATCGACGACATCGAACAGTTCACATTGCGGCTAATACAATACGCAGGAAGTTGATGATTGCAGGAAACTGTCGTATGTGCCTGGTCGAGGTTGAGAGAGCTCCAAAACCCGTCGCATCATGTGCGTGGCCAGTGGCGCCCGGCATGGTCGTTAAGACCAATTCGCCGCTCGCACACAAGGCACGGGAGGGTGTCATGGAGTTCCTGCTGGCCAACCATCCCCTGGACTGCCCCATTTGCGACCAAGGTGGCGAGTGTGACCTCCAGGACCAGTCCATGAGATATGGCGCAGACCGTGGCCGATTCCACGAGGTTGGTGGCAAGCGAGCCGTGGAGGACAAGAACATCGGTCCATTGATCAAGACGTCAATGAACCGGTGCATTCACTGCACGAGATGCATTCGATTCGCAAACGATATCGCCGGTGCTCCCGAGCTCGGCTCCGCTGGCCGCGGCAACGACATTCAAATCGGAACCTACCTGGAGCAGAACCTCGACTCGGAAATGTCCGGAAACGTAATAGACCTTTGCCCCGTCGGTGCCCTTACCTCGAAACCCTATGCCTTCCGCGCTCGCCCCTGGGAACTCAAGAAGACGGAAACCATTGACGTGCTGGATGGACTTGGATCGAACGTTCGGGTGGATTCCCGGGGCCTCGAGGTCATGCGTGTCGTTCCTCGGTTGAACGACGACGTGAACGAAGAGTGGATCAACGACAAGTCACGATTTGCCTGCGATGGCCTGAAGACGCAGCGTCTTACCCTACCTCTGGTCCGCCGGGAGGGCAAGTTTGAGCCTGCCGACTGGGAGCAGGCCTTGACCGAGATTGCCCAGGCCTGGCAGCAAAAGGCTCCCAAGGGCAATGAGTTCAAGGTCATTGCTGGTGAGCTGACCGACGTCGAGTCCCTTGTCGCCATGAAGGAGCTTGCCAACAAGCTGGGCTCCGAGAACTTGGCCCTCGACACACCTACTGGTAGCCAGCCCATTGCTCACGGTGTTGACGTTCGATCCAACTACCTTTTCAACTCGAGGATTTGGGGCATTGAGGAGGCCGATTCTATCCTCATTGTCGGCAGCAACCCAAGGCACGAGGCTGCTGTCCTCAACGCTCGTATCAGGAAGCAGTGGATGCGCTCAGACCTTGAGATCGGCGTCGTTGGCGAGTCTTGGGATTCCACCTTTGAGTTTGAGCACCTTGGCACGGACCTGGACGCTCTCAAGAAGGCCCTTGCAGGACCTTTTGGCAAGAAGCTCACAGCTGCCAAGAGGCCCATGATTATCGTTGGCTCTGGAGTCACGGATCATGCCGACGCCAAGGCTTTCTACGAGACCATCGGAACTTTCGTCGACAAGAACGCTGCCAACTTTTTGAACGAGGAGTGGAACGGCTACAACGTTCTCCAGAGGGCTGCCTCCCGCGCGGGTGCCTTCGAGGTCGGTTTCGTGACGCCTTCCACTGAGGTCGCCGAGGCGGCCCCCAAGTTCATCTGGTTGCTCGGAGCGGATGAGATCAACGAGGCCGACATTCCCAAGGACGCTTTTGTGGTTTACCAGGGTCACCACGGTGACAAGGGCGCACAAATCGCAGACATCGTTCTCCCCGGTGCAGCATACACAGAGAAGAACGCCACCTACGTCAACACGGAGGGTCGTGTCCAACTCACAAGAGCTGCGACATCGCTGCCCGGCGCTGCCCGTACCGACTGGAAGATCATTCGGGCAGTAAGCGAGTTCCTCGGAGCCCCTCTCCCATATGACGACGTTGCTGCCCTGCGGGACAGAATGATTGAGATCAGCCCCGCCCTGGCCGCATACGACGTTGTTGAGCCAGTGGCTCTGCAGCAGCTGAGCAAGGTGCAATTGGTAGACCAGAACAAGGGCGCGAAGGCCTCTGGCACACCCCTCAAGCTCCCCATTGAGAACTTCTACTTTACAGACGTGATTTCACGAAGGTATGTAGGAATGCAGATCGACTTATTCGTCATTGTTACTGACCCCTATACTACAGCTCGCCAACGATGGCCCGTTGCTCGGCCGCCAAGGCGACTGGAGACCCACGCACCAACCTGATGGCACCGGGTATGGAGGAGGACAAGCCAATGGGACAGGTTGCTTACGGTGTATAATTGCGGGATTCCGATGAATAGAAAATTATTCGCAGCTTCCTCGTGGCGTCCTTTGCAATATGTGGCCCTGCTTTCACGTTTGCCATTGTACATGTACAGGAGTAAATAGGCCACTATGACCATATCAATTCCTTTTTAGTACCAGTGAAGGATCGATGGGCTTGCTTGGTATTTGTACAGGACTGTACTATGCCACTGGATGCCAATGTCTTCCTTCCGCGTCCCATAAGCAACGTCAGCCATGTATTGCAGCTCGTCGTAGGCCTCATACTTTGTTCAAAATAGTCCGTCGACTGCTTGGCGATCTCAGCGGCGGGTGAGCTTATCAGCGGGTGGGTTTATCATAGAGCCTTCACGCCCAAGGGCGATTTTTGCCATCACCTCTGAGATTGGCCTGGCAGAGCTTCTTGTATGAGTGCAACGACGTCGCCTCATGAAGCAGGGCCTCCAGGCGTCTCGGCTTCGCTGTCTGGAAACTTCTCATCGACCTGGGCGGCCAGACCGTGCTCCCCTCCAACGTGAAGCTCAGTGCCCGCATCTGGCTGGGCCTTCTCCCAGGGCTTTGGTGGCCTGGCCATCGATCCAAACGGAGTCGTAGTCTACGCAAGTCAGAAACCCGTCGACATAATATGGTGAGAGCATGTACTACCAGGAATGACTAACCGGGTTTCTTGCTACTATGTCAGGGATCTCGACAATGCCCTCGACAGGCTCGCCCGTCTGAACGGCCTTGATGATTGCGGCGAACCGCTCTGGGTAGGCGGGGGAAGAATCGTCGCCGTCCTCGGCGTTGGCAGCAAGGGTGCGGTCGACGTACAGCTCGCTCTTGGGCGCGGCAGCCATCCACGATGGCGTGGACTCGTCGGCTGCCCCCGCACCAGCGCCGCCATCATTACCAGCCCCCGTTGCGGACCGGGCCTGAGGCGTCGTGTCGGCGTCGAGGAGCGCCCGGACCCATCGTGCCTTCTCAGCGGCAGCCTCCTCGCGCCTCGAGGCCAAAGAGGCGGCGCCGGCGCCGGCAGAGGCGAGCCTGTCGCGGTGGTTGCACAGCGCCTCCAGCAGGTCCCACTCCCAGAGACGAGGCTGGTGGCCGGCGTGGAAGCCGGCTCGCAGCCAGTCCCTGTAGCCAGCGAAGGGGATGGTGGTGCCGCTGATGCGGGCGAAGTAGAATATGCGCGAGTGCATGACGATATCAGCCTGCGACGCCGTCTGTGCCAGGGCATGGTAGCCGCCGAGGGCAAGGACGAGGCCTCCCTGAAGTGGCTGTCAGTTGGAAGCATATGGTGTGTGTTGGGCTTGCTCACGAGGAAGTCCTTGTCTAGGTCCCATCTGTACTCTTGGAAGGACTGGAACACATGGTTGTTGTCTTGGGCTGAGGCAGGCGCTGAAGCCTCGGCGCCGTTGTGGTCAGCCATGCTAGTCTCGTCCCGCTTCTGAAAAATGACTCCTGGTTTTAAGGCAGCCAGGCGTTCACGGGTCAACGGTGCAAGGCGATGGCAGTCCGGGTTTGGTATGTGCCGAGTTGGCGCGACGACAGGCCGGGCCGCTGCCGAGTGGGCGGGTAGGGCGGGCCTATGCGCCCCGGGTCGGCACGGAGATGTGGAGTCGGGGCAATCCCGGCAGATTTCCGAAGTACCTACTGAAAAGCAACAATGTGGGCAGAGGATGATTGCATATGAGCCTTGACGTTCCAAGAGTGAGGTGCGAAGCTCAACAATCTCATCCGTTGGAGCTTCTTCTTCTACGCTGCTCGCCCGTGCTGGCACGGCACCAAGTCCCCAACCCTAAATGGACCGACCATGTTTACCACATTACCTCCAGATACAATGTGCTCGTTCCTAAATATTTATTTATTGGCACCCTTTGGCAAGTGACTGGCTCGGTACCTAGGTAGCCAATGCTGCGGGACGAAATACGTAGCTCGTGAAGGGAAGGGCAGTCCGTCGGTCGGCGCTCGGACCATGCGTTCCTATCTCGGACCGCCTTGGATCGCCTGGGGATCTGCTGTGGCCCTGTCTGGACGACGCCGACTGCCTGGGCCTTGGGTCGCCTGGTCACAAGCCTACATTGCTACACCAGGACATCTGACAACCACTTTCGCGACGCCCTGGACGCCTTTCCAGTGCGCAAAACGCAGCCGCCATGCGTCGTGCCGCCACGAGGGCGTTTCGGACATGTCAATGCACCGTTCGAGGCCACCGCGGTCTCTCGTACCGAGCTAATCGACGGGGCTCCTACGTCCACAGCTCGCTGCTGCAGAGTCAGATCCCTGCCCACTCCCAGCAGACCGTCCGATTCTCCTTCACCTCGCGAGCCCCCATCAAGCATGCCCACACCGTAAGAGAGCCTCTCCAATCCTCGATGAATGCACGAAGGGTCGCCGCAGCCCTGCTGTCCGGTATCGTCGGCTACGGCGCCTACTACACCTACAACGGCAACTCGACAGACACCGCCGCCGCCCTGACCCGCGGCTTCTCATCCTCCTCGTCCTCCTCGTCCACCAGCCCCGGCGATGCCATCCCCACCCGTTCCGTCCTCGTCATAGGAGCAGAAGAACTCTCTACCGGAACATTCTTTGGCGAAGGGCCCATAAGCAAGACGACGGATGACGAGGGCCGCGCCATTGTCGAGATGCTGACGGCTGACCAGTCGACGCAGAAGCTGAGGAAGATGGAGGAGTCCTACCTGGTCAACAGGGGGAAGGGCGTGGTCAGGTACGATCAGGTCCAGCTGCCAAGTAACAACCCCATCGAGGACGACCATGCCGAGAAGATCGTCGAGGTTCCCGTGAGAGGAGCCTCCGAGTCTGGCAGTGACTGGATGTTCTGGGGTGTCTTTGACGGCCACTCGTAAGTCCACAAGGCGATCCATCCTCCATCCTCCATCCCCTATCCTCCATCCCCATTCCCCCACATCCGTCCTGACCAAAACGGTACAGGGGCTGGACGACCTCGGCAAAGCTTCGACAGGACCTCATCCGCTACGTTGCACGCGAGCTCAACGAGACTTACAAGGCTGGCGGATATGCCCCCACGTCAGAGGCTGTCGATGTCGCCATGAAGAAGGGATTCACTCGTCTCGATGATGAGATTGTCCACCAGAGCGTGCAAGAAGTGCTAAAGTCAAACTCGCGCTCTGTCGCCGCGGAGTTACTCGCGCCGGCGCTGTCTGGTTCCTGTGCTCTGTTGTCCTTCTACGACAGCCAGTCGAACCTCCTGCGAGTCGCCTGTACTGGAGACTCCCGGGCGGTCCTGGGGCGTCGCTCCGACAATGGCAAGTGGACCGCCACTCCGCTCTCGGTCGACCAGACCGGCGGCAACCCGGATGAAGCCAACCGTTTACGAAAGCAGCACCCTGGGGAGGAGCATGTCGTTCGGAATGGTAGGATCCTGGGGGGGCTGGAGCCCTCCCGTGCATTCGGTGATGCCAGCTACAAGTGGAGCAAGGATGTTGCGGAAAAGCTTCGGCAGTCGTTCTTCGGCCGCTCGCAGTCTCCCCTGCTCAAGACGCCACCCTATGTCACAGCGGAGCCAGTAGTCACGACTACAAAAGTACAGCCCGAAAAGGGCGACTTCCTGGTCCTGGCTACCGACGGCCTGTGGGAGATGCTTACCAACGAGGAGGTCGTCGGGCTTGTTGGCAAGTGGCTCGAGACTCAGACCAACAAGGCTTCAACTTCGCAGTTTGACTCGGTGTGGAGCAGGATCTTCGGCGCATCGCAGAAGAATGGCCTTCCAGTTGAACAAGGCACGGCTTCGGCAGGAGGTGACGGCCAGAAGACACCCATTCGTGTACGACAATGGGGCATCTCCAAGGACGATGACCGATTCGTCGTGAAGGACAGCAACGTTGCCACCCATCTCATTCGCAATGCTCTAGGCGGAAAGAACGAGGAGATGGTGTCGGCACTTTTGACACTCCCGTCTCCTTATTCGCGACGATACAGGTGAGTTGAGATGGCGGTGCGCTTGTTCTATCCCGTTGTCTTTCGCTGACATGAAGAAAAACCGCACACAGAGATGATCTCACGGTTCAGGTCATCTTCTTCGGCAATGGCGACAAGGCAAAGAACCAGAGTGAGGAGGTTGTCATCAACAAGGATGCCACCGCACCACCCAAGCCTCTGAAGGCGAAGCTATGATACAACAGGGACAGCACCCGTATTGTGCAAAATGTAGAAAAGCTATTCGAGCGAGCATGGCGTTCCATGGCAATTTTTGGCAATGGTCCGGAGCCCGGGGATACGTCGATACGGAGTCACGGGGTAGAGTGGGAGCCGGGCACGAATGGGAAGCCTCCCTCAACCCCAGAATGGTCCCAGATGGGGGCCATGGGGGACCCACAGGGCGAGCTACTGTGTATGCACGCGACATCTCAAGGTTGCGGCCGTTGTCTATTTTATCTCAAAGCTGTGATGATGGCTGACCAGGCCCTTGAATGAGTCGGGGAATGGACGATGGACAAATGCGGCATTAGGGGCCATTGTGTAGACCAATACTGAATTCAGCATGTTCAACGAGTCATTGAGGTGTGCCGTTGTCGTGTTTTTGCATGTGGCCATCTGTATTCCACACGAAGGAAGGTTGCATGTGCATCCTTGTCAAAGCCGCCTATTGCAAAATGCCACACAGATGAAATGTTGAACCGGAACTCGAAACACAGGCCTGCGCCTCAGATCGAGCTCCCCTCGTAGATAATGACGTCACTCGGCTAGTTGCGGAGCACCGTCTCCTTATCGAGGCTCTACACTATGGGCAGAAGCTCCCGCAACAGCTGGGGAGCTTGGGCGCTTGCGGGAGCTTGCAAGCTCATCCAGCCGGGCACCTACACCGGCTGCCTGGCGCCCTACAACAGCTAGTCCAGACAGCTCGCGTTGTCACTAGCAGAGGTGCCGATGCAAGTCCTGCTGCAAGGCAAGGACGGCAGGCATTGGCATGCTGCCGGCGTTGCATCCTTCCCGCCGCGCTCATGGACTCGCTGAATTGAGCGTTGGCTGGGCTGGCTGGTTGGCTGGTTGGCTGGAGGGCCAGGCACAAGGCGCGGGCCAAGACCAGGAACAGGAACGGCAGAAGGAGCAGAACAAGGCCCCCAGGGCGTCCCTGCCTGCCCTGCTGTTTCCGAATATATCTCATCAGCGTGCCACAAACGAAGACCAACTGCACATTCCTTGCAGGACGAGCCCGCTGCCCCGTCTGGGTGCAGCTCCAACCTGCACACCTGGCCTGCCAGAGTCTGGCCAACTCAGCTTCCGAGGCTGGGTCACAGAGCCCCGGGTGGATTACTGACGCCCGCGCTTGCTGCTACTGTGGTGCTACTCTGCATAACCTGACCGCTTCCTGGACAAGCCAGACAAGCCAGACAAGCCAGACAAGCCAGACAAGCCAGACAAGCCAGACAAGCAGAACAAGTCAGCAAAGCAGTTCCATCGTGAGGCTAAGCAGGAGCAGTAGCTCCTCCCTGCCTCCCCCATGCGCCATCCTGAGCCCTTGGCGTGTTTTCACTCCTGCAAATTCGTGGCGATTGAATTTTCTCTCGCCTCTCGCCCTCCCCTCTGCCTACCACCTGCCACCCCGTAGTAGCAACTCCAAACCTACCTAGCTTGCCTAGGTAGTATTAGTAGCGCCTGGAAGTGACATCCCTGCACCCCCACCGCAGCTTATCGTCGCCTACTGTACTTCCCTCCCAGAGCTCCCCCAGCTCAACCTTTTCCCTCAAACTCGCTCCCTCTTTCATACCTGGAATATCCTCCCTGGCATTGGATAGCAGAGTTAGCCATTGCATCTGTTGGTCCATTGACATTGCCAAGCTGCCGTCACTTGCGTTCCCTGCCGGACCCATAACCACCAAGCCTGGGCTTAACCCGGTCGCCAGCGCGCCAAAAGCTCCCCGCTGAGCTTCGCTGACAACCATGGTCGTCTACGACAATCATGAGATCCTCGCTGCTGAGGAGAAGCGGCTGAAGGAAGACCGTCACCGTACCAAGTACTGGAAGAAGTGGGGCTCTTATCTGGCTGAGAGGCAGTGGGCCACAGGTTCGTCGCCCTCGTGCGCCCTCGTGCTCTTTGTGCTCCGTTGCGCCAACGCGTGGGCTCGGTGAGCAAGACATGGCTAACGACTTTGTTTGACAATAGTCCGAGAGGACTATAGCGGTGACGGTGACGCCTGGAGTCGTGAGTGCTTTGGTCCTTGTTTCTGTGTACCCAAACCTCCAAACTCCACCTCCACATCTTCTAAATCCGGGGATCCTGGGGCACGATTCATAGTCTGGGGTTTAGAACCGTGACTGACAATAGCCTCTCCACAAGACTTTCCCCACGATCACGCACGTTCCCGGGCATACCGATGGGGCGAGGACGGCATTGCCGGAGTCTGCGACACCCATGGCTACGAGAATATTGCCTTTGCCTTCTGGAACGAGAAGGAGTGCGTTTGCATCCCGTCTGTGACTGTGCCTCGTCGGACCCAGCCGCTGACCTGCCAACAGCCCGTTCCTGAAAGAGAGACTCTTCGGCCTGTCCAACCCACAAGGGAACCATGGCGAGAGTCTCAAGGAGGCTCATTTTCACCTGGACAACACACCTGTCAGTATCACTCCGTCCCCGGGACTTGGACTGCTTGCTAACCAGACGATCTCTTGCAGACCGTAAGTTCTTGTTCCTGAACCGAGCCTCTTCCGTATGACTGGAGCTTACACGATCCCAGCACTCCTACATGAAATATCTCTACAAGTACCCCCAGGCCGAATTCCCCTACGATGACCTACGAGACGAGAACGCAAGGCGGACCAAGCAGGATAGGGAATACCAAATTCTCGACACGGGCTGCTTCAAGGATGACAAGTACTGGGACATCATCATCGAGACAGCCAAAGAGGACGATGACCCGGACTCGCTACTCTTCCGTGTGACTGCTTGGAATCGTGGCAACGAGCCTAAGCCAATTCATATCATTCCTCATGTGTGGTTCAGAAACACCTGGGCTTGGGGTCGCGAGCCTGAAGAGAACAAACCCTCGATCAGGTTGCACTCCGAGAATCTGGCCAAGTCACACCATCACTCTCTTGGAGACAGGTACTTCCTGTTATCTCCTTCCCCGGGCGTTGGTCCCAGCGGGGATGATGTCGACCCAAAAATGCTCTTCACGGAAAATGATACCAACTTCGAACTTCTCTACGGCGGAGAGAACCCCCAGCCTTACGTGAAGGACGCCTTCCACAGGCACATTGTGGACGGGGAGAAGGACGCTGTGAATCCCGCACAACGCGGGACAAAATGCGCCGCCTGGTTCCCATTCAACGAGGCCGGTGGTGTCCCACCGGGAGAGTGTGCTGGTATGTTTCAACCTTGCCCAAACTAGGTCGAGGGTCTTGCTAATAACCGCAGTTGTCCGTTTCCGGTTCAGCAAGAAGGACGACACCTATCTCGACGAAGAGGAGTTCGACGACATAATCGAGCGGCGCAAGGATGAAGCTGATGATTTCTACTACAAGATCAGCCCCCTGCCCATGTCTGATGACCTGCGCAACATCCAGCGGCAGGCCTTCTCTGGCATGATGTGGTGCAAGCAGCATTATTTGTTCATCTGGGACCAATGGGCTAACGGCGACCCGGCCCAGCCACCGCCTCCGCCAGATAGAAAGGCTATCAGAAACTCGCAGTGGAGACACATGCACTGCGACGACATCCTCTCTATGCCAGACTCGTGGGAGTACCCCTTCTTTGCAGCTTGGGACAGTGCTTTCCACTGCATCCCACTGGCAATGATCGACCCCGACTTCGCCAAGAAACAACTTGATTTGTTCACAAGAGAGTGGTATTGTCATCCAAATGGGCAACTCCCCGCCTATGAATGGAACTTTGGGGATGTGAACCCGCCAGTCCACGCTTGGGCAACCTTCCGGACCTTCAAGATTGAGCGTAAGTTATACGGACGACAGGATCTCGATTTCCTGGAGCGCGTTTTCCAAAAGCTACTCCTCAACTTCACTTGGTGGGTGAATCGCAAGGATGTTGAGGGAAAGAACGTGTTCGAAGGCGGATTTCTTGGTCTGGACAACATCGGTCTGTTCAACCGATCAGACCCTCTCCCCACGGGTGGTACCCTAGAGCAGGCAGACAGCACGGGCTGGATGGCATTCTACTGCCTTTGTATGCTCAACATCAGCCTCGAGCTCGCCAAGCATCGGCGCACATATGAGGACATTGCTTCAAAGTTCTTTGAGCACTTCATCCTCATCAGCGACGCAATGACGTTCAGGACGGGACAGAAAGACGAGAAGTCGCTATGGAACGATGAAGATGGCTTCTACTACGATGCAATCTCGTGGGGTGGGCCTTGGATTCAACAGCTTCCGGTCCGGTCCCTGGTTGGGCTGATCCCAATGTACGCCACTTTGACCCTGGAGCCAGAGCTGATCAACAAGCTTCCCTCATTCAAGAGGAGGCTGGAGTGGTTCATGGCAAACAAGTGCGACGTCGCAGAGCGGAACATGCACAGTATCCGCAAGCGTGGAAAGGGGAACCGAATCCTCCTCTCCATTGTGAGCAAGGACCGGCTGGAGAAGCTTCTGAAGCGCATGTTGGATGAGGACGAGTTCTTGAGTCCATACGGCATCAGGTCCCTGTCCAAGTACCACGAGAAGCACCCATACTCCATGGATGTCAACGGACAGCAGTTCCAGGTGAGCTATGTCTCAGGTGACTCTGACAGCGGTCTCTTTGGAGGAAACAGCAACTGGCGGGGCCCGGTCTGGCTTTGCGTCAACTTCCTTCTCATCGAGTCGCTGCAGCGATACTACTTGTTTTTCGGACAAAGCCTGCAGGTTGAATGTCCTGTCGGATCAGGTGACTACATGCATCTTGGTCATGTGTCCGAGGAACTTCAGCACCGGCTGCAGCACCTCTTCACCCGTGACAACGATGGCCGCCGAGCTATCAATGCCGGTGACGACACCCTCGACTTCGATCCTCTATGGAAGGACAACATGTGGTTCCATGAGTTCTTCGATGGAGACACAGGCCGTGGTCTGGGAGCTACACATCAATGTGGCTGGACAGGTTTGATCGCCAGGCTGATCCACGACACAGGGTAAGAAGCGCACCTGACCCGAAAAGAATCACCCTCCCGGGTTTCCTTACTAACTTTGCACAGTGTCACCTGCCGTCTTCCACAGACGCCGCGTACACCCTCAATAGGCATGGCCCATTATTTCGATGATGTTTTTAGCAGACAGGTCATTCCCCGGTCACCCTCCATGCCTCGTATCAGGCGGTCATCGACGGCCCGGTCGATAGGTGCACGGAGCGACTTCGACCAAAGTGAGGCTAATGGGTACGACGATGAGCAAGACGGTCACAGTCTTAGCGGTAGTGTTGTCTTGACCGACGACCCACAGCGCCTCCGCGAAAAGGAAGAGGCGGATGAGCACATGCACAATTACATCGCAGAGCAGCTTGAGAGGGTCAAGAGTGAACAGCTCAGTAACGGCTACGAGAAGGGCGACGAGCTCGAGGCCCAGACTTGATGGCTACACGGAAAAAGGGCGAGTCGACATGGGCATGCCGACAAACGTTCCAGGGGTGTCATGGTGGTCGTTATATTAGACGAGGGGACATGGGCGGGAGGGAGATTGCATAAATACGGAGCACTCGCACCTCGGAATTTGGATCATAGACAGTTTGCCATCATTAGAAAAGAGAAAGATAGTATTCCGGCGAGTTCGCGTTGTAAATTGGCAGTCTGAGCGCCTGCCTGGTATCTCCTACGGGCCGGCTATGTGCAAAGCATGTCATTGATCCCAAATCACTCGCTCGGCTTATGAGCTGCAGCTACACTGCATCGCTCGTTGGAACCTGGGCACATCGCCCGTCCAGCGTACTTCTTCTTCCCGGTCACCCTTGTACACAGTCCCATCAAACTCCTCGCCGTCCCACTGTTCCTCGAACGGATTCAGCGCCATTTGCATGACCCGTCGCAGGACATCACGCTCTCCGCCTTTTTCCACCCTCTGAATGATCTCGTCTAGGACGGAGCTGCGCGGGATAAAGTTCGGGTTGACCTTCTTCATCGCGGCCATCCTCTCCTCGTCCTTGGCCGGCTCGACCACGCGCTCCCCATCCTGGCTCTCCACGCCCCAGTCCTCGACGATCCGCGCCCGCCACTTGTCTAGCCACTTGGCCACGCGCTGCCGGGCGTCGTCCTCCGAGACCCCCGCGGCGCTGACCCCTTCCTTGTGGAAGAAGACACGCGCCGCCTCCGCCCTCAGGTCCGCGTTGGCCAGGCCCGCGATCCCGATGCAGCTGAGCCGGCGGAAGGTGTGGTGGAAGTCGAGCTCCAGGGCCTCCATCGTGTCAAGCAGGCCGCTGAAGAGGTCGTTGAAGTCGGACTCCTGGAAGCGCCGGAGGCCCAGCCTCGCCGTCATGAGCCGCTTGTACTCGGCCAGGAAGACGGCCTTGTACTCCTCGCCGGCCTGGTCGATGAGCTTCTCGGCGCGCGACACGAGCTCGTCCGCCTCGGCGCCCTCGGACACGCCTTGCGTGACGAACTTTTCCGTGTCGACCGTGGCGCCCGCGCCGAGCAGCTCGCCGACCGCCTCGCCCAGGCGCACGAGGTTCCACCAGATGATGGTGGGCTGGTTGCGGTAGCTGTAGCGGAGCATGTGGTCGTCGTGGTTGGGCGTGTAGGACGGGTCGAAGTTGTCCATGAAGGCGAAGGGCCCAAAGTCGATGGAGAGCCCGTAGATGGAGGTATTGTCCGTGTTCAAGACCCCGTTCATGAAGCCGTAGGCCTGCCACTTGGCCACCGTGAGGGCGTTGCGCCGCACAACCTCGCGGTACATCCTCGCGAAGCGGTTCTCGGCCGTCTCGGAGGGGCCCTGCACCTCATCTCTGCCAACGACGCCCCTCGGCGGGCGCTCCAGGTCGGGCGCGTCAGCCGGCTTCTCTGGGTTGCTCAGCCTGGCCGGCAGCCTGTCCCAGCCACCAAGCACCTCCTCGGCGACGTACGTGGCCAGCTTGCGGATGGAGTCCCTGTCGCCCCTCGCCCGGAGTATGTCAAAGTTCCCCAGCCGCACCCAGCTCTGGGCGAAGCGCACGACAATAGCGCCCGGCTCGAAGGTCTCGCGGCGCACTCTGCTGTGGGGGAGCAGGCTCAGCGCCAGCGCGCGGGTTGAGGGGATGCCGAGGGCATTCAGCGCCTCGCTCACCACAAACTCGCGGATGCTGCTCCTCAGCACGGCCTTGCCGTCGGCGAAGCGGCTGTAGGGGGTCATGCCGGCGCCCTTGAGCTGCACCTCGTACCGCGTCTCGGCGCCCTTGGCCCAGGGGTCACTGGCAGCTGCCGTGGGGGCGGGGGTCGTCGTCTCGAACAGGCTGATGGCGCGCCCGTCGCCGAGCTGGCCGGCCCACTGGCCGAACTGGAAGCCGCCGTACAACTGGGCCCAGGGGTAGCCGCCGGTGAGCCGCTCCTCGTCCCACCCGAGGAGCACATTGCCCGCGGCCCACTGGCGGAAGCCGTCGGTGGTGGCCTCGGAGGGCGTGATGTCCAGGTCACGCAGGGCGGCGGGGGAGACGGCGAGGAGCTCCGGGTCCTCCTGGGGCTGGGGCCGCACCCAGGTAAAGAGCCCGCCGCGGACCTGCCTGGGCGTGATCTGGTCCCGCGGGGTCCGGTGCGAGTCGGCGGGCGTGGGGAAGAGCGGGTCAGGCGGGAGCTGCGAGGTGAAGCGCCATGACTTGGGCAGGGTCGCGAGGGTATGGGCGCCCTCGCCGCTGGTGGGTTGCTGCTGTGACACCTGCTTTTTCAGAGTCTCCTCGCGCTGCTCGGCGTCGAGGGTCTCCTTGGTCGATGGCGTCGGCTCGGGGGCGACGCCGTTGCCGCTCTGGATGAGTTGCTCGGACATGGAGGAGAGGCGGCGATGTGCGACGCTGACGCTGGCTGGGGCCGTGGTGGATATGCGCCGGAGCTGGAGGGGAAGAATCGTGCGCAACGGCATTTACAAGAGGTGAGGTCTGTGGCGAAGGGCCTTCACTAATATGCGAAAGTGAACCGAGACGGGGTTCGCGACAGCCGAGGTGTCGTCTGTATTTCAAAGCAAGCGACGGGAGTCGGCTGGGCATTCGATATCTGAACGGACGGACGCCTTCTCCCCTACAAACCCAACAGAGGATATGTCATTCTGCGGTGGTTACGGCGCTACGGGTTGTAAAGATCCTCGCGGCGTCAAGTGAAAGCTCAAGTTCAAGTGCTTCTATGGAAATGCAAATTCATGGTGATGTCAGATTCGCGCTCATTTGGACTTGTACCTATGTACTCCGTAGCTTCCTCGCCACTCAACATCGGGGACCCCTCCCCCACCAACCTCCGTGGGGGCTGCCTGCTCACTTGGGCAAGGGTTATTATGTGTGTACTCGAGTACCACTCCTGGTATCAATTATTTCTATGGTGATGTCTTTCTAAGTCCACCATTATCAATTACAAAACAGTCAGTCCCTCAACGTGGATCATTTCGCCGCAATATCCCAAAATGCTGTCCAAACAGAATCCTAAAGATGCTGTTCCCACAATCCTATCCCTGGAGATAATTCTCTCTTTGTGGTTCTGGCCGTCATCTCAATCCGTTGCCCGTGAACTCTGCCGGTGTCTCCATCATGCCGTGTGTCCACATGTCCTGGTCCGTATCCAGGTCGTATCGTAGCCCCCACCCCTCGTCTGCGGATTGCAGATGCGACGTCCTCTCCTGTTCAATAAGGATCTTCTCGAGTCGGGTTCGCTCGTGTGAGTTGCTGTCACGAGCGTCTTTGCCATTGGGCTCTCTCTCGTCGCTCGTGAGGCCGTTCCGCTCGCAATAATCCACAAATGCCTTCCAGTTGGGGTCCCCAACCAGAAGCTCGCGCTTGCCAATGACAATCAGCCCTGATTTGGCTCTCGTGAGCGCCACGTTCATTTTGTTAGGGGTGCCGATGACGCCCCAACCCTGGCGTTGGTCTTCCTCGAGAAATTTCGCCCTCGACCTCGTCACGCACAGTATCACTACGCCCCGCTCGAGGCCCTGGAATGCCTCCAGTGGGCCAATATTCACATCCCACAAGCGATCGTCTCTCATCCGCTTGCGCAGCTTTTGGACTTGCGTCTTGAACGGCGACATGATGCAGACCTCGCTCTGGTCGATCAGCCCCGATTTCACCAGCGACGCGGCATACCGGCAGGCGATATCAGCCTCGCCAGCGTTGAACCAGCCGCCAGTGCCTTCCATCACGCCCGGGAGCTCGAGTTCATCTTGGGAGGCGTTGTCGTGGAAGAGCACAGGCCACCCCCGGCCGCGCCAGCCGTCCCAGTCTGCCAGGCGGTTGATGTCGCTCGCTTCTGGCTCTAGATCGTCAGCATAAAAGAGGTTCGACGGCACCGCGAGTATGGATGGGTGAGAGCGATAGTTCCGCTTCAGGTTCGCGAACGCCGGACAGGGAATCGGCAGCAATGACTGCGTCAGCGGCTTTCCCCGAGCTAGAGGGTGCTCTGCATAGACATCCCGCTTGAACAGCCGGGCGAAAAGAGATACCTTGAGAGGCGAGGCGGGAATCAAAGTGCGAGGGCCCAGCTGGTGTTCGTCACCGGCCATCACGAAAAGCGGTGACAGGGTCTCGGGTGAGCTTATGTGCGGCGCAACAACAGTCAGGGGTATCAAAGCTTCAGGCTCCGTAGCTTGGGCCGCTTCGTCAATGAGTAGTGCAGACCAATGTAGTTTGTTGCCTTCCAAGGCACTGTCCAGTGGATGGAAAGATCTGGTGAATCAGGGCGCGATTAGTATTATGTCGAGCGAATCACGGGAATGACCTGGCAGGATGATGGAGACGGCAAAGCAATTGAGACGAGAAGGACAGTGGGACGTCGTACCTGGTCATTCTTCGCAGAGCATCCTCCACCATGTAAAGGTCGGAATTTGTTGCCCTACCTCGGGCGAGAAGAGACGAGTCGCGGCAAGTTGTGACAACCACACGATACTTCATAAGTTCTTGTACATCCGGAAGTGCAAAAGCGTCGTTCACAATGTTGCAATATGGCAATACCGCCCCAGACACCTCAGCAAATGTTCGGCCTGGTCGGTTGAGACGCAACATCTCGCTGGTCTTGAGATGCTGCTGCAAGCGATGGACCAAAGTGTCTGCCGCCGGGTCTGAGGGTGCACACAGAAGGATATGGCCATGCGCGCTCGTATCCTTGAGTAGCTGCAAGGCAATCTCAATGATAGTCTTCGTCTTCCCTGTGCCAGGTGGCCCAGAAATAAGGTACGGCAACTTGCCGTATCCTCCTCCGCAGACGGCCTCAACTGCTTTCTTTTGCTCCCAGTTGAGCACTTGATCGAAGAACTTCTGGCGAAACTGACCAGGATGGAGCTTTTCCTGCATATTAGAGTCTCGCAGAGTCGGGAACAGCATCGACTGAATCCAGTGTACCGGTTGCTCGATTATCGGGCCGACGAGCCTGGCCGTGCTGCTGTCTGTCGGGCTCCCTGTGGATTCCCGATACTCCCGCAGCCTAGAAAGCCCCTGCCGCACAATGGGAAGTGCGTGTTGCATGGGAAGGTACCTCTCGACAGGGTAGGGGAACTGCACGTTGAATCTCTCTGTGCGCTCGGTTGGGAACACACCAGGGAGGCCGCTTACTCGAAGAATGAGCAACTCCTTTGCGCGCAAGACATTGAGAACACGCGCAGAGAGAAGAACATTCGTCCAACCCGGGGCCTGGCTGCCCCTCTTGAACATGTGCCTCTGTTGTGGGAGGGCGCCTGTGGGTCTCGTCGCCTTTGTCTCCCCTAGCCACTCTCGCATGTGGAGTGGGCTGCCGTCCTGGCCATACACAAGTTGTCGAAGATGCACAACATCATCTTCTTCGACAAGAGGGCTGTTCTCTCTGAGTCCAGGGACCCGTAGCGAGCAGATTGTCTCTGCTTGGTTCTGAAAAGACTGGAAATCTCGCAAGTAAGGCTTGATCACTACGTCGTGGCCGTACAAGGAGTATCCCTCATTCTGTGTCTGCTGGGCCTTGAGTTCCTCACGCAGGTGCAGTTGAAAGAACTCCTCGTATTCCTTGGCGTCGCGAAGGCTGGCCCTGGCGGTAGTCGGGAAGTCGAAGGTGAGCAGAGGCAAGCTCGGTAGCAAGGGGGCAAAGGACCCGAACGACCTGTCAACATAGGCGGCAATGTTTATTGCCTTCCTCGGAACCGTAGAATGCACGGCTAGGGGAGGAAGAGTGTTGATGATGGTGAAGATCTCTGGGACAAACGGGCGCGCATAGATGCTGAGTCCTGCTTCCACGTCCTTGTCTTGCCGTACAGCTGGCTCCAGCACCCGCTTGGGCTGAGCCTGGGCGACCTCCACGGGCTTGGACGTCTTTTTCTCCTCGCTTGGCGCAACAGTTGTGCTAATCTGGTTGTTACTGTCAGGATGTCGGATGGGAATCGCTCTGGACGAGGGAGCCATCGCTGTGGAAGCTAGGTGAGGGTGCCTGTTCGCACCGTCGGCGGTAGGTGGCAAGGAGGGGCCCGATGAGGGCTTGTTCTTGTGTTTGGGCCGAGGGGGGGGGGTTCACTCTGATAGACGCTTCCGAAGATCGTGAGGGATGGTGGATGAGTTCGATTTTTGAAGGTCTCCGAGACTTGAAGACCAGAGTGCTGCCTGCTAATCAATGAGTCCGGTGGTCTTAGCTGGCCAGGCCATGGCGCAGCAAGCCGGGCGGGCTTGAAAACCAGCGGCCAGAAACTGCGGGTTATTCGGCAAGGCAGAGCCTTCGGTTTTTTGTTTCTCTCTCGTCTTTTTTTTTTACTTCTTTCTTTTTTTCTTTGCACCGCGTATTTAGTCATTCATATTGCATGTCAAGCGAGAATAGAGCTGCGCAGAAAGGTCATTGCCTCCTGCTTTGATTTCCACAATCAAGGAATTGTTTGCTACGAGGAGTGTTAGTAGAGGGAGTGTGTGTTTACATGCAGAAAGACGACGGGTGAGTTGCCTTTGCCTGCGGAAGCCAGGGGTGGAGCTTGGAGCTTGGAGCTTGGAGCTTGGACAGGGAACTCGGACCGGGGAACTCTTGCCGTACTGACGAGGTATCCAGCTTTGATGGCGTCACCAGCTGCCCCGCAGCAAACATCCAGGAAGCAACACAGTATTCAAGGGGAAAAGATCTGAGTGAAGGGGTCACAGGGTGCAGAGTGAATGAAATATGTAGTCTACCATTGGGCTGGCGTGCCTGGCACGTTGGCACGGTCGACAAATCTTGGCAGTTGCGGGCTCTGCCGTAGACTAGGTAGGTGGGCTTGGTAGGTAGTTCTTGAACCGTAAACCTAATGTGATCGAAGTAATAATAAAATGCGCCACCCACTAAGTGACCCAAAGTTGCCTCAAGTGCCGATCGCGGAACGATAACAACCCTCAAGTTTCTTGTACAGCATCGACGGCAGCTGTCCAGATCGAGCACCGGTGTTTCACCCCTACTCCGTACATGTACCGACTCCGCCTACCCACGTATTCCGTCGTCTCTCGGCAGTGCATAACAACATCCTCATCCTTTGCACCCCGTCCGACGTGCTTGTCATTGAGTTTAGGGCTGGCCACCACTGCCCAACAGCGCCTCCTCAAGATGAACTCTGCTGAGTCTTCATTCAAGCCAGATGCTGCGGGTGCAGACCCCAAGCAGCTAGGCTATCTCCCTCATCTCAAGCTAAATGATGGCCAAGATATCCCCATGGTGAGCAACCCCCCGCCCTGCACTGGACTCTTTGCTGACAAGGAAATGTGATAGATCGCATATGGGCTCGGCACGGCAAACTTCAAAACGGGTGCCGCCACCAACTCCGTCGACAAGAAAATCGTCCAGGATACTGTCACAGCTATCAAGTCTGGCTATTTGCATCTGGACGGCGCGGACGGCTACGGCAACGAAGCGGAACTCGGGCTCGCTATCAAGGAAGCCGGGGTGCCCAGGGACAAGCTTTACGTGGTCACCAAGCTCAGCAAGCCCAGTGCGGACAAGACCATTGAGCAGGACTTCACCACCTCCCTGCAGAAGCTTGGCCTGGATTATGTCGACCTCTATCTGATCCACTCACCCTTCTTTGCCGATGGCGACCCGAAGCTGCTCCAGCAGAAGTGGGCGGAAATGGAGGCCATCAAGGCCTCGGGTCGGGCGAAATCCATCGGCGTGTCCAACTTTCTGCAGAGGCACCTCGAGATCGTCCTCGAGACCGCCAAGGTCCCACCTGCCATCAACCAGATCGAGTACCATCCTTATCTGCAGCATGGCGACTTGCTAGATTTCCACCGGAAGAACAGCATAGCTGTCTCAGCCTACGCCGGGCTCACGGCTGTCACCAAGGCAAAGCCCGGCCCCGTGGATGAGATTTACGCGAAACTCGCAAAGAAGTACGGTGTCTCGGAAGGAGAGATTGCACTGAGGTGGATCATTGATCAGAGTGTTGTTGTCATCACAACCAGTTCCAAGGAGGAGAGACTAAAGACCTTCCTGTCAAAGCTGCCAAGTTTCAAGCTGACTCCTGCTGAGGTCAAGTTGATTGCAGACCAGGGCAGAGAGAAGCACTTCAGAGGTTTCTGGAACCACAAAATCGCTGCCGATGACCGTTCGTAGGGTGGCAAGTTACGGGCAACAGCAAACACCTGGGAATCCGGAATACAACAGCTGTTTTAATTTCAGACGTGACCGCACCACGCGTCAAGAGTGACCAACCCGGGTCTCCGCATCTGCGTGCAATGGTCAAGCACACAAGAACGTAGTCTCAAGGCTTCCAGAATGTCGGCAAGTCTCGTACGACTGTGCACAACTGCAGTGCAACGGCTCTCCTCGCGTCGCGGCTCCTCGGCATTAAAAACCTCGCCCCTGAGGCCCCGGCGGCGATGGACGCTCGAGTATATAAAGCGAAGTTGTTCCTCATCAAAAGTTTTCCAGGTCAGATCTAGGCGTGCCTTGTCACTCGTTACTCTGCGGCTGGAGTTGGTCGAAATCCTGGTACTGGTCCCCACCCGTCCAAGTCGGGAATCGCCTCAGTCGCTCCTAATGCACGTTTCCCCTTGACAGCTGCGGCTCAACACCGACTTTTATCCGGCTCTTCCCGACGAGACCCCAGCACGCATATATATCTTACGTTACGTACCTATTCCTTCGCGATGGTCTTCGGGATTCGCGCTTCGTACCATCCTGCGCAAACCGCGAGGCACGACTCCTACCAGAGCCCTCTCGTCTGCCCCTGCGCAGCATGCTTTGACGGGGCGGAGCGCAGGCAGACGCGCGAGGCTTGTGAAAACCCAGCGAAACAGTTGACCATACCTACTGGCAGCGGCTCCTCTGTTCCAAAACCACCCCCAGTCTGGAAACGCGCCGAGACCTCGGGATGGCAAAAGTTTGGGCTTCCGCTGGGCCGGAGGCGGACGGCCGAATCGACGGCCTCGACACGGCCGCTGCAGGCGGCGGTGCAGGGGGTTCCCCAAAGCGGACAGTGACGGTTCCGGCGAGGTGGGAGGGCGGCAATTCTGAGAATGAAATTAGGGAATGACAGAGACCAGTCTGCCTAGCAGTTTCCAGCAATCGGGCATCGTCTGCGAGGCGTGGGCGATTTAGACCTGGGGAACTACGGAGGCACGCGAGAATGTGTTCAGCAAGGCGCGTGCACGTAGATGCTTCGAGGGACATTGGCACAACTGCGTCTAGGACGTGATGGAGCAAACGGTACACACAGCTCATCTTTTGAAATGTTCGCTGCAGAGATATACCCGACTGTCGAAATACGCGACAGCCATCATGGAGTCTAGCTGCTCAATGAAAAGACAACGTTGAACACGCCAGTTCAAATGTCCTCCCTTTTGCGTTTGTGTAATGCCAATTGGTGTAAGTGGAGGGAGCCACGATCCGGCTAGCTTCGACTTAGACGCCCAGACTTAGCACTCACTCACTCACAGAAGCCACTTTCTGAAGATACAAATCCACCAACATAAATTAAGATTTCCTCACAAATTGGTTTGGATTTTTAGTCATATAGTTGTTTGTGATCAGGCAAGACACACAAGCGATCACCGTGGGTGTGTGACGTCACAGCCGGTCCATTTAGGTACCTAGGTACCTAGGTACTTAGGTAGTCCCCTCACCTCACCACCTGAGGTCTCGAGTTGAACCATCCATCGCGTTCAACGACCGCGACTCCAGCAGGCCTCATAAGCTCGTCGCTAGCGACCGGATGAGCGTGTAAATTCTACACGAGAATCACCTCATTTCTGATCTAAGCAACATGTCGCCGCCCGTAGATTCGGCCATCCTCTCGGCACTGGGCCTCGACCCCGACACCACCAAGCAATCGTCGCATGGCGGCTCGGGCTTCTCATCCACCTTCAGAATCTCAGGCAAAAAGGATGGAAATAATGTGGCCTACTTCGTCAAGACAGGCACAGGCAGGGATGCCAAGGTCATGTTCGCCGGCGAGCATGAGTCCCTGAACACAATCCACAACGCCGTTCCCAACTTCTGCCCAAAGTCGCACGCCAACGGCGAGCTCCAGGACTCTCCGGGCAAGTTCTTCCTCGCGACCGACTTCCTCGACCTGGGGTCATCGGGCGCCGAGGGCTCCGGACTGTCCATAGCACAGAAGCTGGCGAAACTGCACACGACCGAGGCGCCGGTGCCGGATGGGTACGACAAGCCCATGTTTGGGTTCCCTGTGACGACGTGCTGCGGCTCTACGGAGCAGGACAACTCCTGGAAGGATTCTTGGGCCGAGTTCTACGCCAACAACCGCCTGCGCCACATCGGAAGGCAGTGTGTCAAGTCGAACGGGAAGGACGGCGACTTCGAGAACACATTGGAGACTGTTGCTGCGAAAGTCGTCCCACGGCTGATCGGCGATGACGGAGTCAAGGAGATCAAACCGGTGGTCATCCACGGCGATTTGTGGAGTGGGAATCACAGCCGGGGCATCATCGCGGGACGGGGAGGAGTCGAGGAAGTAGTCTACGATCCCTCTTCTGTCTACGGGCATTCTGAGTACGAACTCGGCGTCATGCGTATGTTCGGAGGCTTCGGCGGGTTCTGGAAGGAATATGAGAAGCTGGTGCCCAAAGCGGAGCCGAAGGAAGAATGGGAGGATCGGATTGCGCTCTACGAGTTGTAAGTCTCTCTTCTTCCCAGCTCGCTTCTCTGTCGGTGACTAACAATGCCGACTATGCAGATATCACCAACTGAACCACTTTGCCATTTTCGGCGGTGGGTATCGAGGCGGGGCTATGTCTATCATGAAGAAGCTCATCTCGAAATATGCATAGGTGAAACCAGAACAACCTGGTGGCCGACCTGCTCGCTTTACGACCGAGGACATGTTCATCAAGATCACCCTCCACGAAGTCTTCTGAGAGCGGTCGCGTCTCAGCCATTTGATGTGCGCAACACATACTTGAGCGACGGCGCCTTTGATGATAGCTCATACCTACCACCTGGACGGCGTTGCCATGCACACGTACGCACACGCGAACACGCTGCAAGAGCGGCCTTGGCCGAAACGTGCTTCGCTGAGGCCTTGAGCTTATATGCTGGACGATCAATGTCCGGTCGCCGCGCAACGATGCACATCTTCTCCAAGTCGTTCAGGGACAGCACGTTGCACATTTACACGCCAGCAGAGACGGGGACAACCGGCCATCACCACTGATTTGGTTGGCCGCTGCAATACAACGCGCCCAACCCCAAACTCCACAATGACATCCCATAATGGATGTCTACATGCACTCACAGACCCTTCAAGCAAAAATGAGGATACCCAACGCCTGACGTCCATGGAGTGTCAGACTGCAAAAGGTTTGCGCCAGCCCGGAGTCGAACCGGGGGCCCATCGATGGCAACGATGGATTTTACCGCTAAACCACTGGCGCGTTGTAGTTGTGGATTTGTTGTGAGAGTCGTGGCAGAATTGTTGGTTATGGGGCGGTGTTTGGTGTAAGAAGAGTTCTCAAAGCGGGTACAGGCGGTGAGAAGTCGTGGGGTGTGGGAGGGTTGTGGTTGGGGCAAACATCAGGGTTACACCTTCAAAAGGAGACTCGGAGGAATGAAGCGCATCCTAATGAGGGGCCGTGTGTCGCAGACGAGATGAGCCAGACTCAGGGAGGTCGGTGGAAAAGGACAGACGGTATGTTTGTGAATATAGATGAAGACGGAGATCGGGTTATCACAATGAGAGCAACCAAACTGCCACAACTGCAATTTGGAGCATCAGACGGGAGCGAGCATGGTCATGGGCAGTTGAACTGGGCTGGTATAAAGTAGGCGGGCAAGCATGAGTACCTGAGTACCTAAAGTAGGGAGGTAGGCATCTAGATACCTAGGTAGATACGTGGTGAGTGTCTAGACAGACTACCGACCTACCTACCTTCTACCTGAATAGGTGCCTCCCCGGGAGACGTATAACCCACCTGAGCGAGCAGTCATATGGCAATGCGGTCCTGGTGACAATGGGGCCGTCAGGCGGGCAGGTGAATGGGGACCAACAAAACCAAATAGCGGCACAGGCGCGGGCGTGCAAGGGTGTCAGGCGACTCGACGGGGATCAAGCTGTCATCCGATAGGGGAAACGCCCCTGCCCGACCTAGCGGCCCAGGACAGGCCAGCTTGACATTCGAGCTGCCGGCTGCTGGAGCGACATGCCCATTCACTGCATATGCGAACCACCTCGTCCAATTTCAGACTCTGGCCTCGTTGTGCAACCTCGGTGGCACCCTCCTCCCCCATCCACCGCCCGCCAACAAGCATGGCCATACCCCGTTCCTAAACCTGTCTTGCTTCCAATACCAGTCCTCCTCCAGTTACTAAACCTATCATGAACGGTCACTTCGCCGCGGTCGGCGACGCGCCGGCTGCTGAACAATACGACCATGGCGTCCAAGTCATCGACGAGGACAAGCAGTACAAGTACGTCCTCTATTGTCCTGCCCCGTCTCCGTGTCTGAACCTCCTCGCCCGCCCGGAATCTGACCATGCTGCAGCACCAACCTGAGCCACTACCTCGCCGGCACCCAGGTGGCCAACGCTGGCTTCAATTATCACCTTATCTCTGTCTTCGGCTCCCAGTCCACCGGAAAGTCAACTTTGTTGAACAATCTGTTTGGAACCGACTTCAGTGTCATGTCCGAGACGGAACGCCGTCAAACCACAAAGGGAATATGGATGTCTAAAAACAAGAAGGAAAGCACGGCCGATGGCTCCGTCAAGCTCGCGGACAACATCCTGGTCATGGACGTCGAGGGTACCGACGGCCGTGAGCGCGGCGAAGACCAAGATTTTGAGAGGAAGAGCGCCTTGTTCGCACTGGCAACGAGCGAGGTCCTGATTGTCAACATCTGGGAGCATCAGGTTGGTCTGTATCAGGGCGCAAACATGGGCCTCCTAAAGACCGTCTTCGAGGTCAACCTGCAGCTTTTCCTCAAGGACAAGAATTCAACGCCCAGATCCCTCCTCTTCTTCGTCATCCGCGATCACCTCGGAACCACCCCGTTGGCGAACCTACGAAACACCTTGATCCAGGATCTCACCAAGATCTGGACCTCGTTGTCTAAGCCCCCGGGTCTTGAGGAGTCCAAGATTGAGGACTACTTTGACTTCGCTTTCGCAGCTCTTCCGCACAAGATCCTGCAGCCCGACAAGTTCGTCGCAGAGGTCGATAACCTGGGCAAGAGGTTTGTGGCAGGACATCGATCAACCAAGGACCAGGAATTCGAAGGCGGGGTCTTCCTTGCAGAATACCACCGTAGGATTCCTGCCGATGGCTTCCCCGTGTACGCAGAGGGCATCTGGGACCAGATTGTCAACAACAAGGACCTCGACCTGCCGACCCAGCAGGAGCTGCTTGCTCAGTTCCGTTGCGACGAGATCGCCCGCGAGGTCCTGACCTCTTTCGACGCTGCAATTGCCCCTCTCGAAGAACAGCAGGCAGAGGCAGTCCGCGCGGGCAAGACGACGGTACTGCCAGACCTCGGTACGACTTGCAAGGCTTCTCGTGAGAAGACAACCAGGGCGTTCGAGACACAAGCGAGCCGTTACCATAAGGGCGTCTATAAGAGGAAGCACGTTGAGCTCGAGGAGAAGATTGATGCGCGTCTGAAGGCACTGTATCATGGCCAGCTCACAGCTGCGCACAAGGCCGGTGTGGCAGCTTTCACAGATGCTGTCACCAACGCTGTCAAGGCTGGTCAGAAGGCAGGCGGTCATTACGAGTTCGCGGAGATCGTTGAGAAGCAGAAGAGGAAGACCCTGGATATCTACAAGAAGGAGGCGCAGAGCCTGGCCATCGAAGGCGTTCCATGGACCAACTTCAAACCCCAATACTTGATGTTTGGTAAGGAGCTGGACGAGGTCGGCGCAAGACTGAGGAAAGAGGAGATGCGCCGTCTGGCTACTCGCGTGGAACGTTGGGTCAAGTCTCGCCTCGGCGACGCTGTTGGGCTGGAGTTCAACAAAATCGGATCTGGCCGTGGTGGCTCGGGCGCCCCAGAGGAAGGGGAGAAGCCAACCACTGAGAAGGATCTGTGGGACCGTATTTGGAAGGTTTTTGTGTCTATTGTCAATGAAGCACAAGATCGATTCAAGGACCGAGCCAAGAACCTGGAGGCCACCGACGAAGAGGTCGAAATCGGGCTCTGGAGGCTCCGACGCAAGAGCTGGGTGGCTCTGCGCGAGAAGGTCGAGGAGGAGGTGATGGAGGGCAACATTCTTCTCAAGCTGCGTGAGAACTTTGAGGACAAGTTCCGCTATGACGAGTCAGGTGTCCCAAGAATCTGGCGCCCCAGCGACGACATTGAGGGGATCTATACTCGGGCGCGCGAGTCGACCCTGGTCCTCATCCCCTTGTTGTCGAGGTTCAGGCTGTCGGAGACGTACGGCCCGCCCGACCTGCCTGCGTTTATTGGCAATCAGCCTGCCGGGGTTGAACCTGGGGATGAAGAAGATCTCTCGCCGATCGGCGGTGTTGACGAAGAGGAAGGCAAGAGCCTCGAAGAAGAAATGACTGTGCTCAGCGAGAGCAAGAGGCAGGATCTTGTGATCCGCTTCAAGAAGACGGCAGATGGCGTCTATGTGGAGGCGAAGCGCAGTGCCCTGGGTGGTATGACGCAGATACCTCTTTATTTCTACGTCGTTCTTTTGGTGCTTGGGTGGAACGAGATATGGATGGGTAAGTCTTGCTCCCTCGCGTCTTCACGCAACATCGTGCCCGTACTGACACTGTCCAGTTCTGCGCAACCCGGTCCTGTTCATATTGTTGTGTCTCACTGCGGGTGGCACGTATCTTGCATACAACCTGAACCTGCTGGGACCCATGATGCAGATGAGCAATGCTGCTACCAACCAGGCCGTCGAAATTGGAAAGCAGAAGCTTCGGGATTTTCTGGAAAACAACGAGACGGCAAGGTCGGCATTGGCCATGCCGCCCAGGAAGGATACGGACTCGATCAGCATGGACACGCTCGACTCAAAAGGAAAGCGACGGGAGAAGGATGAGGACGAGGATGATATCTGATCCTTGCAGGACTGTTTATATATGTACTTTTGGGTTTTTGCGCATTACTACCTAGGTACCCAAGCCAGCGCAGGATATCCTGTAGTTTCATAAACCCCATAGAAAGCCTTCAACACCTGAACTCCTAATGCTGCAGACCGCAATCAAACCCCTCTAGTCCGTCCCTGTAGATATTACTAAAATGCTTCCAGCCCCGCAGGTGTCCCGAACCATGCACCTAGCTCATCGGCGTCCTTGTCCCGGCCGTCGCTCGCCACGAAAAAGTCGGTTAACCTGGCCGTCTCGCCGTCATCCTCGACGGGCCACTCAACCTTGACACCGTTCCCCTTGGCCTCGATCATGTCCTTGGCCGTGCCCCAGCTGAACCTGCACTCGGGACCCCACCCGAACACAGGATGCATGTTGGACTTCATCCAGGTGACGCACTTCCCATCAGAGGGGTAGCCAGAGCCCCAAGCCATGCCCGCAGCCCCGTCCTGCCCGCCATCCGCAGCGGCGGCGTGGCGCCGGTACAGGACCTCCAGGGCGGCGTCCCTCGTCACCTTGGCGCAGACGCTGGCGGCGGAAACGCAGGGGTACAGGGAGTCGGCCTTCTTGGCGACGGTGATGCTGACAGAGGGGAACACGCGCTCGAGCTTCTTCTGGTAGGCGGCGGGCTGGCCGATGGTGTCGACGTATATCTCCTTGACGTTGACGCCGCGTGCCAGCACGCCCTGGATCAGGGCCACGGTGGCGTCCATGGCCTGGGCGTTGAGGTTGTAGGCGGCCGAGGGCCGCAGCATGTTGGCCGAGATGTCGCGGGCGGACAGGGCGGTGGTGGCCCAGCCGCAGCGGGAGTGCAGCGCGTCGTCATGGTCGGCGGAGGCGTCGCTGTCGGCATCGGGCGAGGGCGTGCAGAGCTTCTCCATGAGGGCGGACCGCACGGCCGGGGTCAGCACCTTGGAGTCGTCGAAGCGGTGCTTCTCGCGGAGCAGTGGGTCGGACAGCTCGAGCGGCAGGTAGAAGACGCCGTAGACCATGGGGCCCAGCACGGGCCCGCGGCCGGCCTCGTCGACGCCCAGGCAGCAGGGGACGCCGTCGCCGGGCTCTGAGGACGGGGAGGCGAGGGCGGGAGGAACGGGCGAGAAGTGTGAGTAGCTGTCGCCGGCCAGGAGTGGGCCGTCATGGATCGAGGGCGGGATGAAGACGTCCGAGGCTGGTGTTTCGAGGGCCGTGTCGGCCTCGGTCATTTGTGTGTCCTCCATTTGTGTTTGCTTGGGCTCTCTGTCTTGTTCGTTCGAGGCTGGGTCGAGAACCCCGACGTTTTTGTTGACATTGTATCCCTGAAGGGTAAAGCGCGGGCGCAATCAATAGTGGTTTATGCGCGTCCATGCGCGTCAGGGTCGCGTGTCCTGCACAGGATTTCCCCAATTGCTGCCGAAGTACATTTGTACTAGGTGGCCCTAGCTCCCCTCCAGTCAGTGCCCACTGCCCAGGACTCAACCGCAGAACCACATGCCCCCCCTGCGGCTCGACAACAAACACTAACAAGACTGACCACGATACGCCTCGGAGACAAGCATCGCATTCAATCGCAACCACGCTCGCTGGCGCTTCTTTTGCTGGCTCTTTACACCCGTTTTTTGTCATCGGCATAAATAACCACCCGCGCGACATGGCGCCGCGTCCAACGGCGCAACGGCGCTCCAATGCGCAAAGCGAGGCTTTTCACGACTTGGGTGTCAGGGGCCGGTGAGACCATTGAAATGCACAACTATCCCATCGCCCAGTGCTGACTCGCCTTTTCGCCGCCAGAAAAACCGGCGTCTTTCTCAAGGACACCGGCGCCCGCGACGAGCATGGCATGCAGCCACTCGACGACATCTTTTCCTCCCCAGAGAAGGACAGTCAGAATGGCGCCGAGGATGACGACGAGGAGGATGAGGAAAGCGACGAGGAGCCTATGGATATCGACGAGAGTGAGCATGCCTCTTCTTGGGACCAGCACACGAGTCGCACAACTTTTCAGAGAGAAATACTAATGCTGTGCCTCTGCCTCTGCCTCAGCCACTGGTCCGGCCCCATCAGCATTCATGAACGGCAACCGCTTCCCTCCTGCGCGTGCCAGGTCGCCGCCAAAGACCAACATGCAGTCACCAGCGAAGCGAAATCCACACATGGGCCACTCATCGTCTCCCATCCGAGGCTCTGTTGTGCGGCCCAGCGACGACGCGTCGTCTTCTCCCAGACCAGCGAGGCCTCCCCAGCGGAAGCTCGATTTCAAGAACAAGCCAACCCTCCCAAAGACAAATGGTATTAACGGGAAGGGCAAGGCGGTTGCCCCTACAAATGGTCATGTGTCGCCCGATGAAGAGGGTGACGAGGAGCCCCAGCTGGACGAGGAGTCGATGGCGATACTAGACGGGGGCGATGATCATGCTGGAGACGACGGGGAGGCGTCGGTGGAGGATGACGATGCCACGGAGCCTGCAGATGTCGAGGAAGAGGAGCCACCCGCCCCTCCTGCAGCCAAGCGCAAGGGGCGACCACCCAAGAAGGCAGCCCCTGTCGAAGAACCGGACCACGCTCCCGAAGAGACCGTCGAAGAGCAGGCGGAGGATGAGCCGATCATGCAGTCCGTCGAGGCTGACGCAGAACCTGCGCGTGCTGGCAAGAAGAGAGGACGGCCGTCCAAAAACAAGGCCGCCGAGGAGGATGCAGCTGGACAGCCAACAACAAAGAAGGCAAAACGAGTGTCCGACGTCACTGGTGACGAAACAGGAGACTCATCTCAGCAGGGTAGTGGGCGGAAACGGGGCCGCCCCAAGGCAAACAAAGCCGCAGAAGATGGCGATACCTCGAAACCTACGAAGAAGCAGACTGCACCCAAACAAAAGCAGGCCAAGAAGCCGAGGGTTTCCACTGGGGTGGGCGATACCTCACTCGCAGAGGTGCCGCGTGGCCCACCCTTGCCGAAATCGCGAGGTTTGATGATATCACGACGGGAGACTCCGGGCGGCCTGACTACGCGGTCTGGGCGGGCTTCCATCCGACCGATTCAGTACTGGAAGAACGAGCGCGTCGAGCTTGACGACGACGAAGTGTTTGACGACGGCAAGCAGAACTTCAGACTTCCGCGCATCAAAGAGATCGTGCGCTACGACGAGCCGGAGGTGGAGCAGAAGAAGTCGCGTCGGAAGGCCGGCCGGCCCGCGGCAGGGAAGAAGGGCAAGAGCCGAGACTATGACTCGGAGGAGGACGAGCTCGAGCCATGGGAGGAAAATGCCGATTCCATCTCGGGCGAGGTGGTCGTCTGGCAGCCGGAGCACGAGCTCAACCCTCCGGGCCCAGACGAGCAGATCGAGGTCGCGGAGGAGCAGCTGGCAGTATCGGCCGGGGCGATCGTCACCCGCGAGATCCGCAACGCGACGTTCAAGTTCGCGAAGACGCTGAGCACGCCCTTCTTCGGCGCCGGCGTGGTCGACCTACCCCCGCACTCGGAGAAGAAGCCCAAGAACGCGAGGAAGATGCATATGGCATTCTTCGTCTTCTCTGGGCGCGTCCAGGTCACGGTGGCGGATACGACCTTCAGTATAGGCAAGGGCGGCATGTGGTTTGTACCAAGAGGTAAGGATATCCACGCACAAAATCGCACCCGAGTCGTGCAACGTGCGGCGTACATATGGCTAACGATGGTCTGCAGGCAATTATTACAGTATCGAGAACGGCCATGACATGCCGGCGAGGATTATGTTTTCTCAAGGCTGTGAGGTGTTGAGCGGTGCTGCGGAGGCCAGTATGGTGGCGTAATTATCGACCTGCCGGGGCTAGGCGGTTGCTACCTCTGTTCCCAAGAGACTGGAGGCTTTTGTGATGTTGTACTTGCAAAGATACCGCCTCGGGAGGCAGCTTGCTCCGGTTTAGTTTACCAAGTTCGCATTTGGGAGCGGAGTATGTTCAAATGCGAAGGCGTCTAGTGAGGGGCGGAAGCCAACAATGAAATTCATCCTGTCCAGCTACAGATCTCAGAATTACCTCTGCTATTTTGCAAACCCCTGCTCGACCCAAGAGGGTTGGGTCTCGTGTAGCTGCATGGTGTTGAGATTGAATCTTGTAGCGGAGAAGAATTAATGTTTGATCTCCCTGATATACTTCCTGGAGTTACAAGCTAGAAAAAGAAAAAAAAAAGGCAAGCCTTGGTCTTCTAGTCGGGACTATGTTCCAATGTCTTGAGGACAAGCATCCTTTTCATCTGTTAGTTGTATAACAGATATATGCTGAAAAATTGTACTCCACAACCTCTCCATCCTATAGGACAACCTACAGGACGTCCTTGTAAAAGGTCTTGCATATAGGATACCTCCTATGATACCCTCCTATGGGATTCCCTCTTACCTATGTATGGGATACCATCCTACGGAATAACCTTCTACAGACAGTAATCACATAAGAGACATAAGAGGCAGTTTATCCAGGAATTCTGCCATGACGTGTGCTTTTCTTTCTTAAGGTGTGGAGGTGGTATTATTGTAGAGATTGGATATTCACACCTGAAAAAATAGAGGGCACACCCAAGCCCAAGGAATAAACTCCTATACGACAATCTCCTATTAGACAACCTCCTATAGGGCAACCTCCTAGGACAACCTCCTAGGGCAACCCCCTAGGACAACCCCCTATAGAACAACCTCCTAGGACAACCTCCTAGGGCAACCCCCTAGGACAACCCCCTATAGAACAACCTCCTAGGACAACCTCCTAGAGCAACCCCCTAGGACAACCCCCTATAGGACAACCTCCTAGGACAACCTCCTAGGACAACCTCCTAGGACAACCCCCTAGGACAACCTCCTATAGGACAACCCCCTAGGACAACCCCCTAGGACAACCTCCTATAGGATAACCTCCTCTAAAATAACCTCCTCTAGGATAAACTTCTTTAAGATAAGCTTATAAGATAACTAGTTTAGTGCTAACCTAAGTACTTTAATCTCCAAGCTGCCTAGTATGGGTGTACCCTCTGTTTTTACGGGTGCGAATATCCGGTCTCTTACTGTATAGGGGTTGCAACGCAGACCTCTGCTCATCAAGCCTCCTGGGCCAGCACCTTCTTTAGAGCTGCCATATCCTTCTCAAACCCTGCGATCTTACTGTGTGAAGTCTGCAGCTTATTGAGCAGGTAGTTGATGCGCTCGGTAGTCTCCCGAGGCTGTCGAGGAAGGGACCCCAACAGACTAAGCTCATTTTCAACCTGTTGATGAAAGGATAGGGTTTAGTTCTCGTCAAGCTGGGGGAAGACATGGTATGGTAATCCAGATGCGCGAGGGAGGGGGAAGCCACTGTCGTGCAGGGAGGAGAACTTACCTTGTCAATGGTCTTTGCTTCTACCTTACTCAGCTCATTCAGAACAGCGAGGTCCAGCCGGGCCTTCAGTACCGGGTCGTGGAGCAGAGCGGCAAAAGCCGCCTGGTAGACAGGCTTACCGGCTTGGATTGTCTGCGGGCGGCCACGGTGTGACCTGACGGTGATGAGTTCGGCATTGGCGAGGGCCTCGAGGGCCATCTCGCCGTTCTCGACGCCGGGGCTCGTCGACAAGGCGAAAGTGTTGGACAGCAGGACCTCGTTGTAGCGCAGCGACTCCTTCTTGGCGATCTCCTTGATCAGGAACCAGGCCTGCTCCGTCGAGTACTTCCGGTCGCTCTTGTTGGGCAGCAGGTAAAGCTTGATGATCTCCGAAGCGCTTTGGTCGATGATTTCTTGCACGGCTTGCCGCGGGCTCTGCCCCGTCTTCATTCGCCGGGCGAGGAACTCCAGGTCGGTGAGACGGCCACCGAGGACCTCAATCACCTCGTCCAGCTCACGCAGATCCTGTTTGTGTTCCGGCTGGGAGTCTCCCGCCTTCTCATCTCCGCCTTCACGGCGATCCTTTGATGGTTTGGGCTGGACGAAGTGGCTCATGACGAATTTCTTTGCGACGTCGGGGGAGAGATCACCAAGTGCAATGGTTCGGAAGACTCGGTCCGGGAGTGACTTGGACAGCGGTTTCGAGTACGAGGTGTCGCTGGTCATGAAGATCACATGGGCGATATTAGCCTGTACGAGAGCCGCTGCCCATTCCGAAAGCTTGTCGTACATAATGCCGGTCTCCTCGTTCTTGAGAAGGAAGTTGTCAATGACGACTACCGCCCTCTTCTCCGGGTGCGCCTCGAGGTAGGCATCGTCGCTCGAATCGGCATCACCAGAGTCCTTGTCACGGCCTGACAAAGACACCTCCTTCAATGCGGCAGCGGTATTTTGGAGAATCTTGTTGATTTGCGAGTCTAGGGTCTCCGAGAAGCCAGACTTGACCCCAGTAGTGCTCTGAATGGCGAGATCGATGAGACTGCTCAATTGGTTCGCCCAAGAGAATATCGGACGGTATCCGACTGCGCTAGCAAGTTTCTTAATCGTGCCGCTCTCGCCTCGGGCTTCGATAATGGGCTTGCAGTCGATGACCAAGACATCCTTGCGGCCACCCAGCGCTTGATCCATCACAAGCTCTTCCTTGCCTGAGCCGCGAGGGCCCTGTACGACGATAAACGTGTCTGCAGACTCCATCAACCATTTTTGAATCTGCTCAATGGCGTCACGTCGATGGGTAAAGAGGGCTTTCAAGCTCGCATCTTCCGCCTTGTGCTTCCGGAAGGCCAGGATGTCGTTGGTGTGACGCTTGAACCATTGGAAGATTGAATTGTCGGAGAGGCTGAAAGACTTCTGGATATGTGCCTTGACGAAGAATTCCCGGATCGGGTCGAAGATGACAACAGTAATGGCCGCCAGCAAACCGGCAATAACTGGTACAACGATTCGAGGGTGGTTGGTTAGCCAGTCCCAGAAGCGGTGGTTCTTGGTGAAACGTTCGTATGAGAGCCGCAGTTTGGTGCCAGCCTTGCCTCCGCCCAATTCTTCTAATGAGGATGTCAGTCCAACTGCGGATCCTAAATTGTTGCTTCTCATGGGACAACCTCCTGTGGGACAACCTCCTGTGGGACAACCTCCTCTGGGACAGCCTCCTCTGGGACAGCCTCCTCTGGGACAGCCTCCTCTGGGACAGCCTCCTCTGGGACAGCCTCCTCTGGGACAGCCTCCTCTGGGACAGCCTCCTCTGGGACAGCCTCCTCTGGGACAGCCTCCTCTGGGACAGCCTCCTCTGGGACAGCCTCCTCTAGGACAGCCTCCTCTGGGACAGCCTCCTCTGGGACAGCCTCCTCTAGGACAGCCTCCCGTTGGGCAACACCCCGTTGGATAACCTCCAGCTCCTTACAGGATAGCCTCGAGCCGTGATAGGTGAAAAACTGCTTACCGGGAACCACAATGCCATGGAGGCAGTTCTTGGCCATTATCGCGTCTCTCACAAAGGCGTAATCGAGGTAGGTGTATCTGGGAACAACCTTGGAGTCTGATGGCTGAGACTGGATGTCGGCAATTTTACCAAACTTGCGAAATAGACTGAATACGGTCTCCTGAGAGAGCTCCACCGCCTCGGCGCCAGGGTCTTTTGCGATGAATTCGATCCTCAACCTCGCTCGCGGGATGTTGGCGGCAAGATCTTCAAGCCATGGGATTCCCTTGACAAGGCCAACTTGGATCCCTCTGAATGGGTTGAACCAAGGTTTTATGGCCTTCTCCTGCAAGTAGTTTGACAGTCTTGTCTCGACCTGTTCGGCAGTCATTTCTGGTGGATGGCTGAACTTCACAAACGCTCCACCATCCTTCAGCCGGGGGATGATTTCGGTCACGTTCAGAGAGTCATCTTTTGGAATGCCGCGTTTGACCAAATTGATCGGATCGGCGATGCCCAAAGAAGACTTGTTGAATCTCTGTAGAAGATTCGACAGGTCTTGGTCGGCTCCCCATGGCCTACCCACGAAATAACTCATCCATCCGTAACTCAGCTTCAAAGGAAACAAATTGTCATAGAAGAGGATGGTCTCGTTGGGAGCGGCGGATATATGGCCAGATCTCTCATCGCCCGTAGCAGTCGTTTCCCACCTCCTCAGGTGACTGCCAAAGCTAGATGGCTGGAGGGCTGGTCGTCCACTGGGAGAAATCGCAGGCAGAAGACGCCCACGAGTGCCCAGCGGCCGGCGGGCCAAGGCATGCGCCGTGGTCGAGCCAAGAAAAAGTCGCCGAGGTATCATGGCTTCATTATCATACCAGATTGTGGCTATGAGATGGGTGTCTTTTGATGGGCTGAGCCAGCTGCTCTGGCTGTCCCTAGGTCAGCAACAGAGACTGACAATTTGTGACTGTGACTGTGACTGCTGACGACGATTATCAGTGCGATATGTTCTGTGTCTTCGGCTTTATATGTGCGTGATCTCTGCGTTGGCAATGAAACCCAGCTGGCCGTCCTCGCTCAGCAAAGGCCCATTTATTAATGACAGGCTGAGGCACCTCATTGCACACTCTGGGTGGGCGCCGTGGGACGCCTGCGCGGCGCAAACCTCACCCGACGCCAATGAGGTCATCCCTCGACGCGCTACACTGGATCCGAAGAAGGGCATTTCCATCGCGGGGGCCCCCACCATCCCCGGTCGTTTCCAGGGTTTGGGTTCAGAAATTCCATTTTCACCAAGCAGCCCAGCTATAGCTTCTGCGACGGCGGAAGGAAATGTACACCAAGTACACCAATAAACCCCCGAGACCAATTTGATTGCTGCTGTCTCTGCTGCCGCCCTCGAGCTGCCCCGCCTCAGCTCCTTCCAGCAGCTTCACATCCACCACCAGAGACCCGACTCGCCGCACAATGGGGTGGCTCTGGGGCAAGTCGGCTCCCGAGAAGCCCGCGACATCGCAAAGCGAAGGGCAAGCACCCGCGGCGCAACAGCCACCGCAGGCCTCGACGTCCTCGCCAGAGACAGACCCGGAGATCACAAAGTTCCTTGAGGAGCTGGCGGGGGGGCTCCGGAACGCAAGAAATGCCACGGACAACTCCAATCCTCCCTCAAATCAGCCGGCGACCCAACAGCCCCCAGCCGCCGCGCCCAAGACGACGTCGTCGTCCTGGTCCTCATGGTGGCCCGGCTCTTCCACGTCCCCCACCCCCTCAGAACCAGACGCCTCAAGCACGTCACAAGCACCGACGTCTACCGACGAGGCCCTCTCCGCGCCCTCCACCACCGCCCCAGCCGACGAGCCACGCCTCTCCCCACTCGCCGAGTCAATCCTCCCGACGACCATGGACTGCGAGCAGGCCTTCAACCAGGCCTTCTACTGCCAGTCGCTGGGCGGGCAGTGGAACAACATCTACCGGTACGGTGGCGTGCGCTCGTGCAGCGAGAACTGGGACGACTTCTGGTTCTGCATGCGCGTCAAGGGCTACCAGGCGGGGCCCGTCAAGGACAACATGATCCGCGAGCACTACAGGAAGAAGCACCTCGCAAAATACGGGCCGGGGAAGCCCAGCAGCGAGGACGTCTGGCGGGAGCGCCGTGAGAGGGTGCCGCCTGGCTCGGCCTTTAGCGAACAGGTCGAGGCGCCGACAGTCAGCGATGCTGAATACCAGAAGTGGGAGATGGAAAGGATGGACAGGATTAGAAAAGCGACAACTTCGTAAGGGGACATCACCTCACGTACAACTATTTTTACCGTAAATATACCCAGGACTGCCTACCGCCACCAGATAGAGGGCCATTTCTCATCTCGTCAGGATGAAAATTAAAAGATTGTGTCACATCACATTGCATCAGGGACTAGGTGTATTATGAATTTCTTTGTTTTCATTTCGATACTGGGAATCAATTAAGTACGCCCATGCACTTTGTATACCCCATCCGAGAACTTTTGCCTGTATCATTAAGTCATCATGAACAATGAAAAAGGAAAACGTCTAATCCATCCGAATTTCTCCACCGCCAAGCGAGACAAATTGACCGCGCACTGCAAATTCAAAGTCTCGCCGCAACTCGCATCATTGATGAACCATTTAGTCGACCTCCTCGACGGTGGGGCCGTCGTCGCCACCGGCGCCGGGGGCGGCACCGCCAGCACCAGGGAAGCCGCCGGGGGCACCGCCAGGGCCGCCAGGGGCACCGCCAGCACCGTAGAACTTCATCATGATGGGGTTGGCAACAGCCTCCAGCTCCTTCTGCTGCTCCTCGTACTCCTCGCGGGTGGCCTGCTGGCTGTCGTCGAGCCAGTTGACGACCTTGTCGATCTCGGCCTTAAGCTTCTCCTTGTCGGCAGCGTCGAGCTTCTCGTCGACCTTGGAGTCGGACAGGGTGTTGCGCAGGGAGTAGGCGTACGACTCGAGGCCGTTCTTGGCAGAGACACGGCGAGCCTCGGCCTCATCCTCGTCCTTGAACTTCTCGGCCTCGGCAAGCATGCGCTCGATGTCCTCCTTGGAGAGACGGCCCTTGTCGTTCGTAATGACAATCTTGTTGGTCTTGCCGGTACCCTTCTCAAGAGCAGACACGTTGATGATACCGTTGGCATCGACGTCGAAGGTGACCTCGATCTGAGGAACACCACGGGGCGCAGGCGGGATGCCAGTGAGCTCGAACTTGCCGAGCAGGTTGTTGTCCTTGGTGCGCTGACGCTCACCCTCGTACACCTGGATGAGCACACCAGGCTGGTTGTCGGAGAAGGTCGAGAACACCTCCGACTTCTTGGTGGGAATCGTGGTGTTGCGGGGGATGAGCTTGGTCATCATGCCACCGGCAGTCTCGATACCAATGGACAGCGGTGCGACGTCCAGAAGCAGGATCTCGTTGGTCGACTTCGACGACGTGTCACCCGACAGAATCGCGGCTTGTACAGCTGCGCCGTATGCGACGGCCTCATCGGGGTTGATGGACTTGTTGGGCTCCTTGCCGTTGAAGTAGTCGGTAATGAGCTTCTGGATGCGGGGGATACGGGTGGAGCCGCCGACCAGCACGATCTCGTGGACCTGGGACTTGTCGATCTTGGCGTCGGTCAGGACACGGTCGACGGGCTGCAGGGTGGAGCGGAACAGGTCCTGGCACAGCTCCTCGAAACGGGCACGGGTGATGGAGGTGTAGAAGTCGATACCCTCGAACAGGGAGTCGATCTCAATGGAGGTCTGGGCGGAGGAGGACAGGGTGCGCTTGGCACGCTCGCAAGCAGTGCGGAGACGACGCAGGGCACGGGCGTTGGTGCTCAGGTCCTTCTTGTGCTCTGGGAGGTTGTTAGTTACCTGTTGCTGTTCTGGGTGTTCGGGAGGGTGTTGATCTGGACGATCGGGCTTGTACTTACTCCTCTTGAACTCGTTGACGAAGTGGTTGACCAGGCGGTTGTCAAAGTCCTCACCACCCAGGTGAGTGTCACCGGCAGTGGACTTGACCTCGAAGATACCCTCCTCGATGGTCAGGAGAGAGACATCGAAGGTACCACCGCCCAGATCGAAGATCAGGACGTTGCGCTCGCCCTCGACCTTCTTGTCAAGACCGTAGGCGATAGCGGCAGCGGTGGGCTCGTTGATGATACGCAGAACATTCAGGCCAGCAATGAGACCAGCGTCCTTGGTCGCTTGACGCTGAGAGTCGTTGAAGTAGGCAGGAACAGTGATGACAGCGTTGTTGACGGTGCCACCCAGGTAGGACTCAGCGGTCTCGCGCATCTTGGTGAGGACCATGGAGGAGATCTCCTCTGGGGTGAAGGTCTTGGTCTCGCCCTTGAACTCAACCTCGATGTTGGGCTTGCCACCCTTCTCGATGATCTTGAAGGGGAAGTGCTTCATGTCGGCCTGGACCTCAGAGTCCTGGAACTTGCGGCCAATCAACCGCTTCGCGTCGAAGACGGTGTTGTGGGGGTTCATGGCGACCTGGTTCTTGGCGGCATCTCCAATCAGACGCTCAGTGTCGGTGAAGGCGACGAAGGAAGGGGTGGTCCGGTTTCCCTGGTCGTTGGCGATGATCTCAATGCGGTCATCACGGAAGATACCCACGCAGGAGTAGGTGGTACCCAAATCAATACCAACAGCGGGAGCCATGGTGATTGTTTGTTGTGGAGGAAAGTGGTGTTGTGGTGTGTGTTTTGAAGGGTTGTGCGGGAGAAAAGAGGTTGTGGGGTATCACAGAATCGTAGTGTCGAGTGCAAATCAGAGTTGCAAAACCTCGATGGAGAGAAAAAAGGAAATCTGGAGGAGATGTAGAGACCTCGCTTGATGTGTGACAGAGAATTGGTTGATGATGGAAAGAGGTTACAAGTCGGTCGAGGGAGACGAAGCAGTTGGGATTTTATCAAGTCGTTGCTGAGCTGCCTGGTGGGGCGTGCATTGGGAGAATGTTCTAGATAGAAGTTCTTCCTGGACCTTTCTAGTGACTTCCAGCCCCCTGCCGCAGGCGCCAGAATCTGCTGGCAATCACCCCTGTCGCCCAAGTAGCGGCAGGGGGCCCACCAGGTACCGGATTCCATTCCACAGCCCCAATTACGCTTTTTCTTTCCGCAAGCACCACAAGCACCAACCTCCTAGCTCCCAAGACAGCAAAGATTGTGGCCCCCGTCCCCGTCCACACCCTTGGCCCAAGGCTGTCTTTCGCCTTCTGGCCCACAAGAGAACCTTCCTGCAAACCGTCGTTGTTTCCAAGAGCTTGCCTGTCCCAATTTCCCTCAGCACTGCAGCCACTGTTGCCGTGCCGCCCCATAGCCGTTTGCGAAAATGCGGATGTGGGCCCTGGGCCATGACCTCAACCTTGAGAGAGAAAATACTGTACCACAGCTCCCACCCCACGTTGGTCATGGCGGTTTGGCAGGCTGGGCTGGCTGGGCTGGCTGGGCAGGGCAGCTCAATCGATCAAATTCGATCGCGGGGTACCGGTGATGTAATCCGTGCTGTGGTAGACGCCCGTAGAGCCGCAACGCTTACTAAGGCCGAGGCCCGCAACGGATGCGCCCCTCTGCCCCCTGCGCTGCACAAGCCAAGCCAATGTCCACCGCATGCCCGCGTGCCCGCGTGCCCGCATTACAGAGAGAGAGAGTACCTTGCTCCCAACGACAACATCTCAATTGTCTACCAGCATGGGCAACCATTGCCTGTGTCTCACTGCAGCTGCCCGTGGCTTTGAGTGAGACTCTGCACAAGCTCCTGCAGAGACCATGTCGTCCATTGCTTTCCAGGGCCTCGGATCTCCCGCCTCAGGAATGCCTCCAACAAGGCCCCAGAAACATTGTCTCACAATTGCTCCAAGTAGAAGGTTCTCTTGTGGGGATATCAGATCCACTGCAAGTCACCGAATCGCCGAATCGCCGGTTATGCCGCAGCATACGGTTCCATGGGGAGGTCGATCGATAGGTGCCCAAACCAGCATGCCGTACCCACATGAGGCTGTCAGATGGAAAGTACGGGAAGTATCCCATGGTTTCTTGGGAGCCGTACCTTGCATGCAGTATCCCACCTGCGACAGCACCAACACGTGACAGGGAACTTCAAACTGTGCCTCAAGTGGCGCAGCGTGCAACGCAGAACCAGAACCCATGGGTCTATTGCTATGACTTCTCACCGTGCAATCCGGTATGATATACTTGATGTGCAACGGTGACTGGGGCTCTTGGAGTTCAAGAGAGCGACAAACTGAAACCTACGCACACAAACACTGGCAGAGAAAGATAAACCCACAGTCGTTCCGGTGCATACTTCGATCTCAATCTCCAGGCTAACGGTCATGACTGGTGTGAGCTCAAAAGAAGGAATATCAAACCAAGAAGGCTCCGAACTGGAATGAAGAGATGATCTCATGGTCAAGGTGCTTGCACATCAGACACCCAAAGAACTATTTTACTGTTGGACACAATCAAACATGCCTTCCAGTTATGTGACTGCATAACACTCCCCAGGCACGCACACATACACTTGTGAGCATCTGACCTCCCATCCACTTCTCCTGTTCGCCCAGATACATTTCCAGCGGAGAAAACAAGCAACCTGTGATTGCCAAATCTTTCTATTGGGTCTTCCAAGGTGACGTTCAAGCTCGGAGACACCGTTCCTCCCAACTGTGCCTGCACTACAGTTGAACCTGGCCAGCATATACTCGTACAGATCTATCGCCTGAGCTTGGCCTGGCTGAGTGTATCTCGCAAGCCCGTGCCTGCAGACTACGATCCTGGGGATGCTGGCAACGGGTCGGGTCAAGACAGACGGAGCCGTGCTGGTCCCAATGTTTGCACGTGCCAGACCAAAGGGGCGCCTACACTGGGGACCTTGGGGAACACGGGTCTACATGAAGCTCGTTCATGCCGTTGGCGACGCAGGCGAAACACTGCGTGTTCCCCACCCAGGCCTTTTGAGCCACGGTCACTGCCGCCGCGAGCCGTTTCGTCATGAGGATTCCGGGTGGCCAAGGCGATCAATGTTCGTCGGAACAAGTCTGTGAATCCCAACTTTGGCGGCGTGACCAGCCCTCACCTCCTTCCAGTCTTTGGACGTTTTCCTCCCTCATAAGCCACGTCTGCCTCCGATCGAGCATGTATCGAGCCGTGGGTGGGATGTCAAATGGCGTTTCAACAAGATGCAGCAAATGACTTATTCGACTCTGGCCATGACAGTCGGCATCATCTTGGTTGGACTTCGGCTACCGGCCACAGCCTGATTGCACTGACGGTGGGAAGATTTGACGCACACCGTGATTGTAGCCACACCACGTCAGCCAAGTCATACGATGTTATTGATCCCATATCATGTAGCCATGGTCTCATTGTTGCCACCCATTTTGAAAATTCATCATTCTTTTTGTCTGCCCTTCGTCAGCACATGCTTTCGTTCTCAAACTCGTTTGCAAGGTCTGTTCATCGGCCGTGATGACCGTGATGCCTGTGACGTTTTCACATATGCAAACAGCCCGTAAACGTCGGGAAAAGCTGATGCTATGGTATCGCGGCCCGCCTCTACGTACCCGTGGACAGTAGAACCTTGCCTGATACGGTCTATTGTTTTGTGATCATAATTAGTGTCTTCTAAACACCGAGATCAGACGCCGTATGTGGACTTCCTCGCGTGTCTTTTGTATACAGCCTGTCCCTCCATTCCGTAATTGTATCCCCGTGCACCACACCACAGCGAACTCATCTGACTACGCCCTTCAAACCACCCATGTTTATTTCGAACTCGGCTGCTCCATCCAGACCGGGCCCCGCCGCGGCCACGTGCGGTGCGAAGACGACCTTCATCCACCTCCTCCACGTCTTGAGCGTGGGTGTCCCTGTCCCACCAGCATCATCATCGACATGATACCGTGACCTGCCGTACCGCGGGGCCTTGACCAGCGCGATCCGACAGGCTACCTGGGTCGTCCAGACCAGACCGAGACTGGGGGTCTTGAGCGAGTGCATCGACGAGGGCCATGGCTCGTCCCCCCACCCTGTAAACCACCTCTGCTGGTGGTCAAAGTTCAGCGCGGGCGGCGCAGGCAGGCGAGACATGTCGTCCATGGGCGGTGGTGGCGGCCGTCTCTCCGGGGGAGGTTCGGCGTCCTCTTTATCCCCGTAGGACATGCTCGACGCTGGCAGCGCGTCGGCCATCGACGACGTCGGCTCGACGTGTGGCAGGGGCGGCTGGTTCGGATCCTTACTCCGCGCCGCCAACGGCGAGCTCTCGTGATTGCGCATGGGCGGGCCACGGCCACCACCCGAGGCGACGTTCTTACCGTAGCCCGGCGGCGGATTCTTAGGCAGCGCCGGGGTGCCCGCCCGGTCAAAGCGGTCTGCAACCTGGTTCGACACCACCACGGCGATGTCGTGGTTCCTGGCCAGGTCCCGCAGCAGCAGCCCCAGCCGGACGAGCTCCGCGCTACGGGCGCCCATGTTCTGGCCGACACTCTTGCTGCCGCCCTCGCCTGCCGCACTGCCGAGCGCGCCCGAGTGGTTCCTAACCGACCGGTCAAACTCGGCGCGGTAGTTGGCCGCCACGCTGTCGAGGACGATGAGGCCGATATTACGGCGCTCCACCTCGACCGGCACCTGGTAGGTGAGGATGTGCTCCTGGGATTCCAAGTCCGGCGTGGTGGTGCTGACGATGTTGTCGAGTGACGGTCTCTCGCTGAACGGGATGTTCTTGGATCTGAAGATGGGGTTGTTGTTCAGCATCTGCGTGAGACGGCGCGTTGACAAGGACGCCTCGGTTGATATGTAGAGGGCATTACGGCCAATGCCATGCGGCGGTGGGAGCTGCACGGCGAGGAGCAGGGCGAGGAGGAACTGCGTCTTGCCGGCTCCGGCCTCGCCCGCTAGTTCCGTGACGTGTCCCGTCCGTACGCCACCGTCGAGGAGCTTATCGATGACGGGGTCGAGTGTGCTGATCTTGGACCACTGGTGTTGATGTTGCTGTGGTTGTTGCTTTGAAGCCTCGGCTCTCGCATCAGGCTCCCGATCCTCCACGCCCAGGTCCGCATGCAACGCGGTCAAGACGGCGCCGCACAGCCTCTTGACATCCAGCAGGGGCAGCTGCGTCCGTTTGCCAATGTCTGCTGCCTCGAGGGTCAGCAGCTCGCTGGTTGTGACCTGATGCTTTTCCAGACTCGGGATGAGATTCGCATATTGACTGGTCGGGAAATGCGGCAGGATGCGTGCAAGATCCGTCATGGGTGGGATGTTATGGGATTATGTGGCATCAGAAAAGCGCGTTGCCCTGGCTGGCTGTCTCACACATTTGTCCCTAATGGAGAAGGCGGCACGGTGGTGGGTTGAGGCGCTCATCGGAGAGATCACAGCGCCGTGACTGGTGGGCTGGCTAGTGTTGCCTGCTTAAGTACCTAGGTAGGTAGTAGGTACTTGGAAAGTGACCGACCAACCCCTAGCCAGTGTAAACACCACAGCACGTACATACTTCTATTTAGTCTGCATAATCCGCAGGGTTTCAAATCCTTGAATAATAAACAGTTATGCTCACGCTGCCCAACCGATCTTATTTGCATATCATCACTCAACGTCTGCATCTAATTTTTGTCCGTGGTCCTCACAGCCACCACCTGCTGCACGCCTGCTGTCCTGCCTGCCTCCTATCACGGATTGGCAGAAACAGCAAGCAAACATGTCTTCACTCAAAAACCTGCCGGTGCTTTCATTCATTTGTTTAATTGCTATGCACTTATCCGTGATCCCCTGCGCCAGAATGCTATGCAAGTTGTAAGGTTGAGGTTCGTCACTGCCACCGTATTGGTACGCCTCATTTTCGCACAAGCAACGCGGGCTGCGAACACCCCACCATCTCCTATAAAGCCCGTCCTCATCTCGGGTGAGGAAATTCGTCCTCCATTTGCAGCCTCACCCCGACGTTCATCGATATCAACTCCTGGACAAGCAGCTTTGCAGCGTAAGGCATCGTCATTGCCGTTACCTCCCTAGTGCTCTTGCAGGTCTGGCAGTACCCCTTGTACCCGAAGAGCCCGCAGCGCTGGCAGATATCGACACTCGTGCCATCGGAGCTGTGCATTAGTCTCTCGAGAAGAAGCTGTGACGCGCCGTATGCGATCAGACAGTCGCGCTCCATTTCTCCCAGACGCAGACCACCATCACGCGACCGACCCTCGGTGGGCTGCCTCGTCAGGATCGCACGGGGTCCTCTTGCCCGCGAGTGCATCTTGTCTTGCACCATGTGCTTCAGACGCTGGTAGTAGATCGGCCCGTTGAAGATGTACGCCTCCAGAGGTTCACCTGTGATGCCAGAGGTGAAGTAGTCCTTGCCCTCCCAGGAGAAACCATGGTCGACCAGGACCTTGCTGACCTCCTCCACAGGGTGCGACCGGAAGGCGTCGCCGTAGCCGTACTTCTTTCGGCCGTGCACAATTGAGGCCTTGCCAGTGAGGCACTCAAGGAGCTTTCCCACTGTCATACGCGACGGGAAACCGTGGGGGTTCATGATGATGTCTGGAACCAGACCTTTGTCGCTGAACGGCAGGTCTTCCTGATCAACGATGATGCCAACGACACCCTTTTGCCCGTGCCGAGACGAGAACTTGTCGCCCAGCTCGGGACGACGCGTCTGCCTGGTCTGAACCTTGACCAGGACCGTCTCCCTCTCCGTCTGTGTGACCATGACCTTGTCGATATACGCTGGGTCTGGGATCCGGTAGGCCATGGAGGTGTCCCGATACTCATTGGAACTCTTGTTTTCGCCAATGGTTGCCCCAGTGTCGAGAGGGGTTTCCTTTTTCACCATTGTCTCGCCGCTATGAATTTGCCATCCCACTCTGGCAAGGCCGTCATTGTCAAGAACCTCGTGTTTGGCAATCTTCTGCTTCGTCATGGGATCCGTCTCGGGCTGGCCGATCCTCTCCGATGCCCCGTTGGGGTACCTTTGAAGCTCCGCGGCATATTTACGGAAGACTTGACACCGCCCGAAACCCCTGTCGCAAGACGCCTTATTGAGAACCAACGCATCTTCGATATCGTAGCCGGAGTAAGACATGACGACGACCGTTGCGTTGTGACCGGCCGGAAGTTTGTCATAGCTGGTAAGCTCGATTGTCTTTGAGATGACCATGGGTCGGTGGGGGTACACCAGAGTGTAAAGTAGGGTGTCGATCCGGTTGAATTGATTGTAGGCAATAGCTCCGATAGCTTGTTTACCCATAGCACATTGATATGTGTTTCGGGGCGACTGGTTGTGGTGGGGGAATGGGATGAGACCAGCCACAGCACCAAGGATTGTAAACGGCTCAATCTCGACGTGAGTTGTGATCTGCGTGATGTCTGATTCGTACAGAGCAATGAGAGCATCGTTCTCTTCGTTCACGTCTAGGTACTCGACGACACCTTTCCGGAGGAAGTCGTCGAAGCCTACCTTGCCCTGCTGCAGCAGTCTCAGGTGTTCCGGCTGCAACTTCGACACGCCATTCTTGACAATAATATAGGGCCGGCAGACCCGCCCTTCGTCTGTGGCGATGAAGATGGTGTTGAAATGAGAGTTGGTGTTGATGCTCACGAATGGGTTGATCCACCCACGACGGCGCATCGTCCTGAATTTGGACGCAAACCGCTTCGGATAGTGCGTCAAAGCGAAGGGTGTTCCGTTGATTGATATGATGTACGCGCCCGCCTGGTGCATCTCCGAACCGGAGAAGTTCCTGATCGGTTCCACATTCGAATCGACAGTAAGAATGAACTTTTTGACGGGCTTTTCGTCCACCTCGGTGGTGATGTGTGTCATCAAGGCCAAGTTCTTGACCAGACCACAAGCCTCACCTTCAGGAGTATCTGAGGTACACAACATGCCCCATTGTGAAGGCTGGAGGGCTCTGGGGCCGGACACCTTCCGCGTCTTTTCGAATTGACTCGTAATTCGAGTCATCATTCCCAGGGCAGCAATGTAACTAAGTCGACTCAGAACGTGGGTGACACCCGCTCGGTTCATGTTGAACCGCTTGACGCTCCAGTTGCCGGACTGAATTGCCCGATTCATACCCTGGGTGATGTGGCCGCCCGTGCCGCTAATCGATGTCAATGGGTCGAACGGGATAGCCTTATTAGGTTTCTTTAGCACTTTGTCGATGTTCATCCTCAAGTTGGTAAGAAAGCTCTTGAACAAATCCTCGAAGAGGAGTGAAAGCATCTGTCCAGCCAATTCAAGGCGCTTGTTGCCCACGAAATCACGGTCATCAACCAGTTTCGGGTCATGGTAAGCCATCAACACCCTTCTGGTCATCATTGCGATGTAAATAGCCTTGGGGTAGAAATCGAGGCCCTCGATGGAGACATGCGCAAGGATGATGTTGGCCAGCGCGTCAAGTCCCTCTTCAACATTGTTCCGACGAGGTGCAGGGCCGAACTGGGGCTTGCCCTTTGATCCCATCCTGACGCGAGCGCCGATGTACTCGAGTGCTTGCTGCTGTGTAAACACGCCGACCCGTGTCGCCTCGTCGAAGTTGAGGGCGAAGTCGTCCTGGTAGCGACCATCAGACCCGGCGACAAGCTGCATGACCTCGTAGTCGGAGAGGCCACCAAGCGCCTTCAGGATAATGGCGATTGGGATATCCTCGACCAGAACGTTGTGCCTCAGGATGATCCTGTCCTTTTTCAAGATCACATACGTCTTGGACTTCCTCTCGTGGGTCGAGCTCGTAACAGATGCCTGGATGAGTTCCTTCTTGTCGTCGGCCTCAACAATCACTCGGTTCTTGCTGAGCTGTTCCTGAATGAGAATGACCTTCTCCGTCCCGCCGATGATGAAGTAGCCACCCGGGTCCAAGGGGCACTCGTTCATCAGTTCCATCTTGTGGTTCGTGGCTCCGGCCAAGACACATTTAGAACTCTTGAGCATGATGGGCATGCGAGCAAGCGGGACATTCCTCCGGATGATCTTCTTTCTGTCTCTGATGTAGGCGATGTCGATGATGATCGGGGCGGCGTATGTCATGTCCCTGAGTCGGCACTCCATCGGGGTGACATGGTTCTTGGCTTTGAAGGACTGGCCGGCATCGCCACGGGTGGGCATGCCGACCCGGATGTCGAGGAACTCGAGGTAGAACCCGCTGTCGACCTCGCTACGAATGATGCGGTTCGCCTTGACGATCTCCTTGATGTCATGGTCGATGAAATAGTTATACGAGTCGATATGCTGTTTTACGAGGCCTGGGGGCGGATAGTGAGCAAAACGGGCGGGCTATGTGGGCGGGCGCAAGTGGCAGTGGGCATACCTTTGACCTTCAAGAAGGCGGGTAGGAGCTGGTACTTGTCTTCCTTGGTGGAGATTGGGTCTGTGAGCTTCTTGCCATTGTAGAATGGCTCCAGAAGGGCCTCGAACCCGTCGTCGTCTGTCATTGGCATTTTCGCGGCGTCGTCATGTTCTGCTTGAACGCTGTGTCGTGGTCTGCGTCATGAATCTGGATTTGAATCTATGAATCTTTTTGGCGTCGCGGGGCAAAACTCCCGAACAGTCACGCCGATAAGATAAGAGCTAAGTTGGGTCGGGGACGAGATTCCGGCGCAGCTACGGCCGAGCTGCCTGTTAGTTTCCCCCAGTATGTAGTCTACTTTGAGCTTGTCTCGTTGCCAATGGCATGTGCAGCGTTGGCAGGAGCCTCATGGGCTGGGCTGCAGCATGGAATCAAAATGGTGCTGATATCTCTGTTCCATCTGGCATTTTTGCTAGCTGTACGCATGGCCGCGCCAGCACAAGCAGACCCACGTTCCGACCCGATTTTGTCCAATTACTGTGGTACTTCGCTCATGTGGTGCCACAATGCAAGCAAGACGCAGACTCCGGCGTCCTCTGAGACTGCCGATAGCCACAGTAACAGGATGCAGCCCTCACGGGCTGACGGGGCAAGCCTAGCCTTTCAGACCAGCTTGGCCAAACCACCAGGTTCCCATTGCTCCGTCCAGATGGAGTCGTGCGCATGCCAACGGCGCTGGTTTCGGAACACGCTGCCAGACATCACTAACTGGGGAAAGCCATCTTGTAGACAGGCCCCTCCCTGGACACCCCCGAGGCCGTGAATGGCTGTTGTGGTATAATTTTCCGATCCAGCAGGTGCACCAGCGCGTTTGGGGGCCTTGGAGGACATGGGATGAAGCTACCTAGAAAGTGGCAAGACGCGGTCTGGATCTCTAGCATATATCGCCTGTACTATACGGTGTTAACCAGTTTCGGCTGGTATATTTTGCCATGGATGAATTTAACTTCTGGTGATTGGGTTGTGTGATCGTGACCTTCCCAAGTGAGGGGGTTTATTTCCAAATTGTGATGGTTTGCCGAAGGTACTTTGGTATAACCATCACTCCTCCAGCCTCGGACGAATCAGATCGGGGGGGGAATGCGTGGATCTACACGGGCGGCTTTTCCGTTCCACCACGGTACATACTGTGTAAGCCTGGCGCGACGGTGATGGCGGAAAAAGCATCAGGACGTGCGGCCCAAGTTGATGGATCGTCAAGCCGCAGGACTCCCCAAGACGGCTCCCCAGCTCCCCCACTCACGAGGCCTCAGACGGCCTGACGGCCTACACGTAGCTCAATAGTCGGTGAAATGACTGGCGCCGGGCATCCCTGGTCGCCACAGTCGTGCTGCACGCACTTCCGCAGTGAGTCCACTGCCACGAATTGCGGCAGAGCGATGCCATGTGCTAGATCCCGATCCCGCCCATTATGATTTGGCCCTGACCCGCGGCAAGAATGGGAAATCTGCAGATCCCCCAGTTGGGAGGGGTCCCACTTCACCCTCACCCTGGTTCAGCCCTGGAAGAGAGGGGCTGCTGAATCGTTAGGGCGCGGTTCCGGCGTGCGTCAGGCAGGCCGAGGAAATTTCCATCCAGAAGACCCTGTGGCCAGGCAAGGAGCCGCATGCGATTCTGTAGAATGGCGTGTTTATTAGGAAGCGCACACTTTTTCTCTAGGCTGGATTTCCGTGATAGCCGCGCTACGCCCCAGCACGGCGGCGGCCAAGTACCCCGTACCGCAAGAGCCACGGCGTGCGTACTCCGTACCAGACCAGGGTGATCAAGTCCCAGAGAGGGCAGGCCTTTTTAGTTCCGCCTGTGGAGAATCCTGCGGCCGGGTTGACACCGACCAAGAAGCAGACCCTGAACTTGTTTGGCCGGGCCCGAATTCCTGCTGTGGTCCCAGGGAGTCTTGAGCTTGACTGCAGGTCCGGCGGTACACAGTACTATGTAGTAGCTTGGAACAGGCTTGGCCGATTGAAATGGAGCATGATGTACACAGTACATGTACTTGGTAGCCCATTGACAGATGCAAATATGGTCAGCGGGTTTTCCGAGCAGCATACCGAGTACTCTGTCCGTATACCAATCAACCCTGTGCGTAGTGGAATTGACTGGCTGGCTGGGCACGACATCAAAGTAGTACCTGGTGGTATCGAACATGCCCAATGCCCAATGCCCAGTCAGAGGCCGTGCGACGATCGGAAGACAATCTCTGTGTCCGACCAAATGGATGGCCTAGTGCCGCAGGTGCCCCAGCAGGGCTCGGGTTGCATCGATTGATGATGATGGTGGTGGTATAAAGCCATCGTGGCGCCCCCTCGACGGGTGGGTTTCGTTTCTGACAAGAGGACGATCCAAACCCCCATCCCATCATGTCGTCGGCCGGGTCAAGTCACCGGCGCCTGCGCCTCTAATGCAGGTGGGTAGCTACCTGGATACAAAGATGAGGTCACACAGGGGCATTGGGGCATTGGGGCATTGGGGCATTGGGGCATTGGGGCATCCAGGAACCCAAAGCCCACATGCTGCAGGGCAGGTGCGTGGTGGAGGGGTGACAAGCGCTCTGCTGCAGGAGACGGGAACTGGGGGGAGGGATCGCGCACACGAGGCCCGTCCAATGCCTGCTCAACCCCACCCGGCCCTGCGACCTGCGCCTACGGAGTTGTACTTGTTAGTATGTCGTCAGGTCTGCACACAGCTCACACCGCACGCCGCACGCAACACAATATGGAGGGCGACCGGTTCATGCAGCCCCGTTGGCCGGCGGTGACATGGTCCAGATCCAAAGCGCAAGCCTTGTCCCCCCGTGACGCCTGGCAGCGTGGCTCTTGTCTTTGCGCAGGCGGCGGGCGTGCCCTCGTGCGCCAGAAGCAAAGGGACTTGCTGTCGTGCATTAGGCCACGCTACCAGGGCTACTTTGCTCCCGTCCACGCCAGCCTACACCGCCGTTGACGGTTGAGCAGCCGATCACCGTGTTAGCCTGGCGAGTGCCGTACAGAATATCTGCAGGCTAGGCCGCTGGCCGCTAGGATATCGGGGCGTGAATCAACTAGGCGGGAAGAAGAAGAAGAAAAAAAATAATAAGCGTGTGGGCCGAGCGTTGATGGCGAAAGTGAGGCTGGCCGGGTGGTGGGCGAGGAGGACATCGGGCCAAGGTCCGCCGCCTGCCGGCTTCAGATCCACCGACACAAGTATGCCCACTTGGCTCTGTGCGGTAGTCGTAGTAGGAGTGGTCGCTGCTGACTGACTGCTTGACTGCCTGACTGCCGAGTTCGGTGGATGGCGGACGGTGTTTGGCGGACGTGGGTTGGGGCATGGGGGGATTCATCGTGTTAATAATACTACTACTGTAAGGAGCGGTTGCCATGGGAAAGATACGTGTAAATGCTAGTTGGCTCTTAGTGTGGGTTGGGCAGGTAGGTAGGCTTGGTAGGCAGGCTGGTCTGACAGACAGGCAGGCCGACAGACAGGGTCCGGGTTCAGGGGCGAACGCCATGGTTTTGCCGTCCACCCACTTGGAGGCACCACGCACACGCAGGCGCACAAGCAGCACCAGACCACTGCAGACCAAGACAGGCCCAGGCGGGCAGGCGGGCAGGCGGGCAGCCAGACAGACAGGGCCCCTGAACCTGCGCGGCGGCGGCTGGGTGCCTCGTCGAGCCCATGCAGCCCATGCAGGCAGGGCAGGGCTGCTTCAAGTAGCACTCCGTCCCCTCCCTCGGCGCCGGCTGCATCCTGTCCCTCCAACACACGCTCATTTTCTCGAATATTGCTTGACCTTTGCCCACGTACCCCGTGTTTCCTATTTCTTGCTGCTCCTGGCTCTCCAGGGCGCAAGCTGTGCCATATTTGTTGTGTCTAGTACAGCCCACTCCAGCCCACAGTCAAGGTGAGTCGCATGCTTTTCCCTCCTGGAGTCCCCCCCAAGCAACCAAGCCCCTCAAACCCAAAGCCAAAAAGCCTCGGACGGGGGCCACGCTGCTGCACTGCGCCAGCAGCCATGCCCATGCCATGTCACCCACATGCACCCTCGTGTGTCCTGCCAGCCGCCCGCCCGCCGCCCGCCGCCCGCCTTGCCATCTCGTCGCCCTTGCGTCCTCTGGGGGCGGGCCCCGACGATGGCATACATGATATGATACATGTAGCCGGTCGAGCACGGCGGGCGGGCAGGCAGGCAGGCAGGCAGGCCAGCGGGTGAGCATGGCGCAAGTGCCGCACCCAGGCCACGGCGAGGGGGGCACAATCCCCAACATGGCCCCAGCCCTCCTTGTCCGCCGTGGACAGCCCAGACACATATCCCTCCTCCTCCCCGCCTTCTGGGTGAGGTGAGGGATCAGCAGGAGCCGGCACCAGACAGGCGTGGCAGGCCTGCGTCAGCCGAGGATTTGCTTTGCTAACGTGCGTGTGCGTCAATGGCGTAGGCAGGGTCCTCAGGCGCCGTCCGTTGTCGTTGTCGTTGTCGTTGTTGTTGTACGGAGTAGTAGTTGTCGTCGTCGTCGTGTAGTGCTCTGTCGAAAATGGACCCGAACGAAATGCGATTCCGCGCCCAGCAGTCCCCCCGAAGCGATGCCACCACCATGAACTCGCTCGTCTCGCCGCCCCGGAACCGCCTCTCGCAGACCATGTCCTCCCAAGATCCCCGGTCGACCCTGTCTCGCCGTTTCACCACTGACTCGGGCCGTGTACCAACATTGTCATCATCTGCAGCCCCACGTGGCCAAGATCCTTCAGAATACCAGGTCAGTTGCCGCGCCCGCCGCCCATGTGGTGTTGCGTGTCTGTGTGGTTGCGCGCCTGGCTGCGCTTCTCCAAAACTCAATGCGCGCCGGGAGCTTGCCCGTCTCCCCCCATCTCCCGTACTGCGTACTGCCACTGCTGCCCTACGAGCCATCCGCTAATCTTGGTCCCCACGCAGACTATGCAACATCTTCAGTTGGTGCGTGTGCCCTCCCGTCCGAACCCGCGCCCGCGCCTGACCTGGGGCGATGCCGAGAAATATGCCCTCGCCCGGGGACTGCCCGTTGCCGTTGCTCGAGCCGGAAACAAGTGCTGACGTCCCGCCAGATAGAAAAGAAGCGTATGGAGTATGAGAAGATCCGCGAGCAAAAGCGCATCTTCGACGCCGAGCTGGCCAAACACGAGGTGGAGCTGGGCGCCATGCTCGAGGAGCACGGCAGGCTCTCCGGCCACCAGTCCGAGCCCACGACGCCTCCCGAGTATCGCGAGAACCCAACCGGCTTTCCCTCGGTCTTCTCCCGCCCGAACCGGTACTCTCTGTCCAGCCTGACGTCTCCGCCGGGCTTGGCCAACCGCTCCGCGCGGTCTGGCTCCGTGCTTGCGTCGCCACAGTCGGGCGTCCCATTGTCCCGCTTCGCCTTCGACGACCAGCTGCCGTCATGGTCGGTCCCAGGCTCTCGGAGGAACAGCGATGAGGATGAGAAGGAGGAGGCTGTTCGTCAGGACCCTACGTCCCACCGGTCGACCAATGCGTACGTTGACCCCTTTCGTTCCAGCCCCTACACCCGAGGTTGAGGTTGAGGTTGAGGTTGCGTTTGTGTTTGTGTTTGCGTTGCCCCTCTCTATCTCAGTGGGCTCAATGCGAGGTGCGGGCCATTGGAGTGACTGGCATGCGATTGTGGCCGTCCAGGACTATGCCCCAAGCCCGAGTTTGGCCGGGGCTGTCCGGACGTGAGACCTGGAAATGTCCCATTGTGGAAGATTCCACTATTGAATCTTCCAGTTTTGTCACCCCCTTTTGAATGCGTCTATTGATCTTTCCGTTATTACGAGCAACGTCATTCTTGGTCGGCCACGATTGCTCTTCTTTTGATGAGAATTGGTTCGTCCAATATCACAATGAAAAAGGGCATGGCCGCTTGCTGCTTCTCTTGATACTTTCCCTTCGAGCAGCTCAGACCAAAACTGCCCCATCACTATCATCACATCTTCTTCTTCGTCCTCTTCTTCTCCCCGTCACCTTCGTCCCATTGTTCCTCGTCCTATTCTTCGACTGTACGGCTGCTATCGTGTCATCGTTGCCCACATACTTAAATCCTCACACATCTTGCCGCTGCTTCCCCCTACTTTTCTTTCCAACTTGCACCTTCGAGGCAGAAAAGGGACAAGAAACTCAGCAACGTCTCCTTCTCTCGCCCTGAGACTACTTTTCTGCGGTTTCCCCTTGCACTCACATCACATACCATACACCACCTACCTACTTTCTCATATTGCGCTGCGATCTTCAGATTTCACAGGTCATCTGTGCTCTTGTGAAACCGCCTCTTGTCCAATATCCTCACCTCAGCCTTCTGGGACTTTGGCCTGTCTACCAGTTGCCGTTGCTGACAAGCACATCGAGTACAGCGTCAACAGGTACTCGATGCCCGTGACCAAGTCTCGGACAGCCTTCTACGACATCAACCTGGACCAGGCCAACACCACCGGTTTCCTCTTTGGAGACGACGACAACGTGATCGAGGGTAAGCTTTACACCCAGGCCAACAACGAGGACAACTTCCCTGTCCTCCGACGAGAACCCACCATGGTAAGTCAGAAGACGATTTCCAGCACAGTATCTACATCCTTCTCACCTGCTCTTCCCTCGCATTATTTCCACACGGCAGCGGTCATTTCGTTTTTCGGAAAGTTGCCTGAGAGCGTTTTGCTGCAGTCTATGCTGGTGGAGTCTTGTCTCCCACTTACACTTACCCTCGCCTTTTCTGCCCACACTCTGCACTTGCACCTGGGAGCTTGCATATTTTCTGCCCGTTTGGCTCACCTTCCCTGGACCTTACCTGACCTCACCTCAACTTCAACCTACCTTCCTCTTGCATTTTGTCTTTGATATTCGTCTGCATCGCACCCAGCCAAGCCCGCCATTTGCAACCTCTCGCATTCTGCCATTCCTCTTTGTACCTTGCATCTCTTGTATTGCTGTTGCGGTCAAGTCCAAGCTGTACAATACTCGGCTCGGATCGCTCAACAACATCTTGTACCAGTCTTCGTTTGTTGAACCTCATTCTTGTCTTTTCCCCTCTGAAGCCATATTCTGCCGGCGCCATTGATGCGCGTACCCTTTCCTACAATCAAAGCATCGGCCCTGCATCCTATAATTTGTTCCATCACCAGCGGGCTATCACAAGCGCGTTTGCAATCGGTGCTGCGCAGCAAAACACCTCGTCCAGTCTTACTGACGCGTCACAGTCGAACGCTTCCAGCGAGTCGTCTATCATTGCTACCCGGCCCGCGTCCTTTCGCCACTCTCTCGAGATGAAGAACATGGACCAAAAATACACCGACCCCGCGGCCGACGCGCCTGTTCCTACCAACAACGGCAGCGTCCTCACCACACCCCCCAAGTTGCAGCCCTCGTACTCTGCCAACGACATCCCTACCCTTAAGAGCGTGTCTGGGACCACCGTGGGCAGCGGCCCCAACCAGGCTGCCCAACAGCATCTTCATAATCATAACGCCAGCATGGGTCGCATCCCAGCTGGCGCCTTGCCCAGCCGTCACAGCCGGGAGCTCTCTGGTGATACACGTGACACTGTTGCTAGTGCAAACTACCAGTCCATCGGCTCGTCTTTGCACGCGAATGCGCCTTCGTTCGGTCCTGCTCTAACGCAGCCCTCCAATGTTCTTCAAGGCCCCGTCCTCACCCAGCCCTCGCAGACCCCCGTGCCTCCCATCATGGGCCCTGGCCAGGCCATGAGTCCCTACAGCACCAACAACAACGGTGGATACTATGCGCCCAACGGATATGGCAATGTTGGTCCTGCCAACGGTGGCGGCAACTACCACGGCATGCCCTTGCTTGCGCAGATGCAGGGCCTGTCTCTGAACGGAGGCGGAAACACCTACTCAGCACAGAACTACACTGGCTATGCCCCTGTCTACGCCCCTCACCAGCCGCGAGACAGCCAGCAGCGCATCATGGCGAGTCGTCGCCAGCAAGACAACGAGGGTAAGTGGACATGAATCTAGAACAGAGGCAACGTACTGACTTCCCTCGCAGCCATGAGTCGCTTCAACGGCACTACCCTCGAGTCCTACGGCGGCTCTATCTACGAGCTCTGCAAAGACCAGCACGGATGCCGATTCTTGCAAAAGCAGCTCGAGACCCGAAACCCAGATCACGTCCACATGATCTGGCTTGAGACCTGCTCTCATGTGATCGAGTTGATGACCGACCCGTTCGGCAACTACTTGTGCCAGAAGCTTTTCGAGTTCTGCAATGATGATGAGCGCACTGTCTTGGTTCAGAACGCTTCCAAGGACATGGTTCGCATCGCTCTGAACCAGCACGGCACACGAGCTCTGCAGAAGATGATCGAGCACCTGTCCAATAACGACCAGGTCTCACTCATCACCGCTGCGCTGAGCGATCGTGTCGTGGAGCTCATCCAGGACCTCAATGGCAACCATGTCATCCAGAAGTGTCTTACAAAGCTCAGCGCTCAGGACGCTCACTTCATCTTCGAGGCGGTCGGCACGAGCTGCGTCGAGGTCGGTACCCACCGCCATGGCTGCTGTGTTCTGCAGCGTTGCATCGACCACGCTTCGGGTGACCAGAAGCTTCTTCTCATCCAGCGCATCACCGAGCACGCAGTCACTCTGGTTCAGGACCCCTTCGGCAACTACGTCGTGCAGTACATCATTGACCTAAACGACTCGATTTTCACAGAGCCCGTCGTGCAGAAGTTCCACGGGAGGATCTGCCAGCTGTCTCGCCACAAGTTCAGCTCCAACGTAATCGAAAAGTGCCTTCGCTGCGCCTCGGACGCATCCAAAGATATGATCGTGGATGAGCTGCTGGCACCCAGCGAGATGGACCGCCTCATTCGAGACTCTTACGCCAACTATGTCGTCCAGACGGCGTTGGAGCACGCTACTCACTACATGAAGCAGCGCCTGGTCGATGTCATTCGCCCAATCCTGCCGACTGTTCGCTCGACTCCTTACGGACGCAAGATTCAGGCCAAAGTCTCCGCGTACGACTCGACCAACGGCCGCTCCAGCGGGCAGATGACCCCAGCGGATCCTACTCAAGGCCAGATCCCGGTCCGCCCTGCTCAGACCCGTGGCATGTCTAACACCACCTCCATTCTGGCCCCTGGTGGTTTCCAGAATGGTACCAACGGCGTGAACAACCGTGGCGCGCAGGTCTTCCCGACCAGCGCGAGTCTGACTGTGCCGCCTCCCCAGTCTCAGCACCCTCAACAATACGCGCCTCAGTTCGTCAACCACATCGCTAGCGCTCCTTATGGCCAAGGACAGGGTGCCTCTGGACCTGCCCAAGGTGGTCAGGTCTACAACGGGGCTCCGAACCCGCCCATGGCTTCTGACAACGGCGAGCAGAACTTCTTCTAGCTCGTCGCCTGATCCCATGTCGTTGCGGTCTCGGGTAGTGCTTTATCTTCTTGCTCTGTCATTTTACGGATCTCACGTTGTGGACATGAAACCTGACGACTTTTCATTACTGGCTTGTCACCCCAACGACATCACGACCACCTACCTCGTTCCCATCGCCATTCGAGCAAAAGCACTCTCTCTTGGGTGCTTTGTTGTACAATAGAGGCTCGATGGTGAACCAGAGGATCTTCTCAAGAAAGACTTGCATCTAGGGCGGACTCCTTCTGCAGGAGGACCAGCAATGATCAAGAGGCATGGCTCTTTCGCCTGTAACATCGACTGCATTGCGCGGACATGGGCAGCATAGATCTTTCCTTGGTCACCAAACCAAAACGCGTTTCTTTCCTTCTGAAATTACGAAAACGGCGTTGGCTTCTTTGGGTTTGGATCGGATTACAATGACGCGAAATCTTCATAGTCCTCATCTTCACACCAGACCGGAGGCTATGATCGCAAACGACGTCAACGACTCGAGCATCGACTTCTCTTTTCTTATTTCAAAGCAGTCCATCTGAGAGGTATCTCGGAACGACTCTTCTCGCCTTGGTTCAGTCACCCCAGAGCTCAGCTGAGATCCTACACCCTTGAGGTGCCTTGTTCAGGGATTCTCGGGTCATCTACATGACAGCTACTTGCTCTCTCGCGGGTTTTCGGAGCAGAGCCTCGGGCGTGAATCTGGCGGTTCCTTGCGCTTTTGCAAGGGCAGGCAGTCTAAATTTTCTTTCTTTGCTTTCAAAATGGTGGGAGACTCTGGATGCTGCTCTGGCGCGCACAACTGGCATGAGACGCCATGCCTACAACGTGCTCTTTGCTTGGGCACCCGCACCATTGAATACGGAAATAATTTGGCTTGGATTTGACACTTTGGTCTCATCTCCCGACTCACTTTCCCCAAAAGGCCCCCTGGGCTCCATTCAGCTGGGTCATCACCAAATTGAACGCTCTACTCTACGACATGGCAAAATTTCGGGCAGGTCATACTCACTTCTGACCGCTTCCTTTTTTTTCCGTCATGACCTGTATGTAAGGCACCTCTTCGCTTTCTTTCTCCACAGCATTTGCCGACGGCCTCACACGGAAGACTCCTTTGTAGGGAGCTTCGTGGTCTGTTTTAAGAATAGATAGCTTTCGCGCAAACAAGCTCAGGATAGGGGTCCCCAAATGAAGTGTTAATACGATAGAAGACTTGCTTGGCACATAACTCTCATTCTCGTGTTCGTGATGCCTGCCTTTCCAAGATGCTACTGGTGATGGCCCGCTGCCCTGCCCTGGAGATATACCTACCCTGCACCTTAACTAGTCGTATACGGTGCTGTCGGCACTGCTTGTCGTTCGCTTTGAAATGTATCAACTCGCCACGTGCAAGCATGGGAACCATCTGTCTCAGTCAGATCCCCCTGGAGCGGGCAGTATCTTCATAACAACGCTACCAAAGTCAACCGCAGATCATCGTCTCGACTTTGAGTTTGTCAAATGCAAGACGACAAGCGAATGCGGCATTATACTGTGGTATAGATTCCGAGCGGGGAGCTCGGTAGGATCAAGATGCTCGCTACACATCGCGGGCGTCTGACCAGGTTTGCCCCAACCGTGCTGTCCCCCTTGAGTTGCGCTCGCGGGCGGTCAGTTGGTATATACTCTGCAAGGCGCTCTGGGTTCCAGGATGCAGAGCTCCCACGGATTCCTCCCCAGCCGCCAGGGCCGAGTGGTGAGGAGCTAGTTGCAGGCCCGCAGTATCGAAGGCCATGATGTAGACATCCAGTGCATTCGTAGATCTCGGCCCCCTTGCCATTTCTTGTAACCAGGGCAATGTCCCTCAGGAAGACAGGACAACCTCAAGATACAGCTCCAAAGCAGGAGCAATGCCAACATGCCCTTGCGAAATGGCTTCCAGCCTGGTCCGCTGATCCGGCAGCCCTTCCTCGACTAGCATCCCTGGCTGCCACAGGCAGCGGGAATATGCCTAGAATGTTAACACTCTCATCTTCTGGGCTCGAACTGGCCGTCCCTGCCCGGCACAATAGCTCTAGTCGGGTTAGAGGAAATCAGCTAAAGGTGGTTGGTACTCGTGACACACGAGTGGAGATAAGACAGCAGCTTGAACAGCCAAAGAACAGGGTGCACGTATGCTACAGCGTCATGATTGAATATCAGGCGATCCAGGGACACCGCAGATTTCGATGATGTGCGAGCCGGTGGCCAGCGCACAAGTCTACGAATACCACACTTCCAGAATTGCTCAAGGACCAGCACAGATATGCACGGTTAATCGAGATCGAAAGGAGTCAAATTTGAAAATTGCATTCGGGTCGGGCAGCACAATGCCGTAATTCGTCGTATTTTGATTTGCTTTTGCTATCATGAACGCCCAAAACCTGCACATATGCGGTGCCCCTAAGAAAACGTGACCCTTTGCGAGACGGCCATTACCCTTGCCGTGACCATGAAGCACGAAACCATCGTCAAGCCACGCCCACAACCCGATCTCAGAATCCACCACCAGTACGCGGTCACCCTCCGCAGGGGCGAGCCGCTTATCGGTAGCGCCACAGGGACAGGGTGTTGTTCTTCTTCCAGGTCTTTCTGCGGCCGGCCTGGGTCTTGGTGTAGCGGTGGCCCTTGTTGAGACCACGGGACTTCTTGCCGGTAGCAGTCAGGCCACGGGCCTCGCGGTGCTTGTGGACGGGGTTGACGATCCAGTTGATGCGAGGGTCGATGCGGATGGCCTTGTGCTGGGGGTCGACGAGGATGACCTCGTAGTACTTGTAGGTGGAGTCCTGGTTGATCCAGTAGGAGTTCAGGACGCGCAGGTTGGCGCAGCGGCGGCCGACACGCTCCTCAGCGGTGGCCTTGAGGGAGCGCTGGTACTTCAGCTGGTTCACTCCCTGGTTGGTGGGCTTGCCTGTTCGTCGAAAAAGACCTGTCAGTTCACGGATCTTCTCCTGCGCTTGGGAAAAGGGGTCCTTCGCATCTGCGACAGAGACGTACCGTAGGTGGCACCCTTGGGCACAGGCCTCTTGCGACCACCGCGGCGGACGCGGACACGGTAGATGACATAGCCCTGCTTGGCCTTGTAACCGAGGCGGCGAGCCTTGTCGGGGCGCGAGGGGCGCGAGGCGCGGTGGATGACGTTCAATTGACGGAGCTATATTGATGCACTCTCAGCAAACGTTCAACGAGTGTATAGCACAGGCGGGGGGTGTTCTCGCTGGTCAAGGGTCGCCCCATAAAGGGTTGGGCCCTTGAGGAGCAAGAACAGCGGCCCCGCCCACATTGTGTTGACTTTTCAATTGAATGGTTCGGTTTCAACGTACTTCCCAGCAGCGGACTCGCAGAAGGAACTGCAGAACATCACTCTGCTTCTTCTTCTGAAGCTCCTCGACGTCTGTATTGTCACATCGTCAGCGTTTTGTTCGGAGTGGTCGGTCGGGCTCGGCAGGTGATTCGAGATCGTGAGACGTACACTTAAGGGCACCCATGGTTGCTACAAGGTTGGAACAACACAAGGTCAGTAAAATATTCCTCACGGGTGATTAGTATCCTGGATATCTTGAAATGGCGACATACCAGAACTTGAGGGTTGGCGTTGACCTGGGTGTTAATTGAGGGGGCGTTGGTTGCAGTCGGCTGGTTCGAGAGGTTGAAAAGAAGATTTTCCCAGCTACACACTCCTGAATTTCGTGTGGGTTGAGCCGCTCTGCTCTGATTCGTTCCAAGTCGTAGTGCGCCCCACATTTCCAATCACGTGCGATGCTCGGTACGTACTACTGCAGCTCTCAGGGAACCGGCTTGGCACTATCGACCCCCGACGCCTCGAGACGGCGAACGACACCTGGACCCACGCTGAAGAAACATGAGGCCTCTGGCCTTGGTGGTTTTGTTCTTGCGCCCCAGCTATCATGCAGCCATGATTTAATCGGCTCTCTAGATTAGCACACTGGTTTGTCTGCTTGGCGCTCAGCAGTCTCCTCCATAGATCACCTTTCAAGCACACTCAGCGAGCGTCGAGGTTGATGATTGCTCTCCGTCGACACTCAAGCGGTTTCTGCTGTTGGTTAGATGGAGCTGCAATGAAATTTAGCTACAAGATACTTCGTTCCAAAGCTATGAAGGCTGTGACTTGTTGTACTTGGTTGGCAAATAAGTTCAGCTTTTTCTCGCACATTAACACCCCCACAGAACTCCCATTCCTCTTCTCAAGAGCCAGCTAGACCATCCAGGACCTTTCCAAAGGCACCAACCTGGCTCTTTGCCAGCTCGCCCCAAGTGGTTCCACTCTCATTGATTGCACCTGTGCTCTTGCGGAACATGCTGACCGCCATGGTGCCCGTCTCGCTCAACCCCTTCGTGTCAGGTGTCAATAAGCGACTCTTCTCCTCTTTGGCGCTCGACGGAACGATGAGGCAGTCTACGAGGTTTTCTCCATGCTGACGTCCGTAAAGGAGCAGTTCTCGCACGCTGGTGATGTCCTCCTTCCACTGTTCTCGCAGTAGGCTAAGCCTGGTATTGTTCTGTGGTGCGTGCGAATTGGCCTGTTCATGAGCCGCGACAAGCTCGCGGCAGTTTTGGAAAATGTGTTGGCCAGCCTTGTAAAGTGGGTTCTCTTCACGAGAGGAGCGACCCTGGGCCTGGGGCTTGCCCTTGGAGCTGACATCGTTGTCCTGGTTGGCCTCCCAGGCCAGCTTGCTATACTTGTCTCTTGCGGCGTTCCTGCCCGACACGTCAGCGATCTCACCAGTGATGCGTTTGAACGGGCGATCCACGGCTTACAAGTCGCGGTTGCTTGTGTGGATGAGGTTCTGGATCTCCGTCTGCTTTGATTCAAGCTTCTGCTGGAAGTCGTCGGCGAATTGGCGCTTCTCCGTTTTCTCCTTCTCGTTGAATTTGTTTTGCCAAGCAACCCAGCCGGAGAAATGCCTTGTGTGCATAATCGAAATTCAGTCGCCGGAAAGCTGGGACAGCAGGTGTCAGGTAACAGATACTCACTGGTTGGCTTGGGTTGTCGACGTCCGAGTCTTCTTCCTCGGTCGGTCATCTGGAGATCCACGGGAACCCTCGTCATGAAGGTCAACTACCACGAGCACTTAGCGTCCATCGATCTTCGCAACTTCGTAGTAAGGGCATGCTCAATGTCTTACCCTCCTTCTTCCTCTTTCCTGCCTTGGGTGGCATTTCCAATTGAAGATCCGGCAGAAACACTCGGTCCTAGAATGCTAGTTGGATGTCTCTGCTTTTGGCAGCTAGAGTAACCTGCACGGTTGCAAGAAAAGAGGTCGAATTCTTTTGCTGTGAGTGTCTTCCGAGATTTTGCTTTCCAAAAGGCACCTGGGCAGTTAGTTGCCTGAGGTTACCTGCGGAGATAGGTGTCTAGGAAGGTAGGTCCGAGGTGGATGCCAACTTGGCCGGTTGCGAGCATCGCTCTTTCTCTAGTGGAAGAAGGAAGACCTCTAAAATTCTGCTGGAAGGTGCCCATAGAGAAAAGGTACCTAGGTCCCTAGGTAGGTAGGTAATCAAACAAGACCAATGCGCCTGTTCGAGATCAAACCCCGTATCATGTCATAAAAACCGTGCAACTAATGCGCTGCTTGCCGAGCACATATTTTGTCAATTACCTGGCGCATTGGCTGCTACGTCTGTCCAAAGGTCAGCGGTCATAGAAGTCGATCTCCACCACTGCCCCCTCCTCCCCGCCCCAAAGAAGATGAATGAATAAACAAATGAATGAATGAGATAGAATCGTCCTTGAACGACTGTCAGACGGGGGTGATACCCACCGTCTGCTTCGGAATTAAAAGGCAGCTCGGGGAACTGAAAATGAGGCTTTTCTGGGCCTTGAGTCACACTCTCAACGTTTAGACCTTCCTTCGATGACTGGTTCACTGTGTGAAGGCGTCGCATACGTTGTATATGTGTGGGGATTAGAAACGAAACCACAAACCACTCGATGATTGGTTCCGTCCACCGTGGAACAAGCTTGCAAGACCACTCTTTAAAGGCACATACATTGTCCATGTCTAGCTACAATGGTGGCTTGCGGGATTACCGAGTCTCATGAATAATGTAACTACTAGGGTATCAAACATCTCTTGTTCCAATTTCTTGCATGCAATCCACGAGTAGCCAAATCATATTTATTCTTCCAACAGCGGACAATAACCAACGCCACCGGCCAGATCAGGGGGTGGGGGGTTGATGCTCAAATGAGAGAGTGAGTGTACAAGATGCTTCTTTCCAAGGGCAAACAAAGTACGTGCGTCCTGTCCAAGCCGAGCAGAAATAGTCAGAAATGAAGAGAAAACAAAAGCAAATAGCCTTTTGGGAGTCGCCGGATTAAAAACTACGGTGCTCAATGACAGGTCCTACCCCTCTGTCTATCAACAATCGCCCTTTTTTAACACATTTGTCTTTCCAGCCATGCCGAGAGAATCCGTGAACGAGGAACTCGCGAGAAAGGAAATGCCAATTTCCCCGGTCTGTAAAATGAAAGGAAGAAAAAGCAACAAAATCTTTCCTCTTCATGAAAAGCAGATGGCCCGCCAACGCCTAACGCGAATGACAACCCTCTCTAGACAGTCTGGCATGTCATTTTCTCGTCAAAAGAAGAGCAGAGTCGCCTTGGCTCGCCCTCTTGTGTTTGTTCAAAAGTTCAAATGTTGTTGCTCGCAATCACATCTCAGGTTGGCTCACATCTGGGTGTTCCGTCCGGCCAGAGGCGATAACCGGGGTCCCTGATCTTCCTGCCTCAGCTTGCTCCTCAACAACCGGCTCCTAACGGCTGTTGAGAGACAGGCTCTGGAACGACCCAACCCAGTCGTTCTGTGTGGTCAGTGGAGAAACCGGCTGATCATGCTGCTGCGCCCCGCTCTGCAGTGGCGGGAACGCTCGGGAGCGCAGCTGATAGTCCCCACCGGGGAAGCTCGTAGGGTATGGATCCATCGAGGATGTGGCTGTGGGGGTGTAGGAGGTCGGTCTGGGTACATTTGAGAAGGAGTTATTATAATTGTAAGGGTAGCTTGGTTGTGTGAAAGGCGCCGCGGCTCGTTCGCTGCCAAACGGTGAAACGAGAGCTGGTTGGAACGGTCTGCCTGAAGACGATGAGCTGGGGAAAGCGGACTGCTCCTGCTGCTGGTTCTGACGACGGTCCGAGGAACCACCTCTGCCAACACCAACAGCGCCCGGACCAATACCGCTGGGAGTCTGCAGGCCCAGGGAAGGGCTGGCGAAGGAAGCTGGGTTAATAGCGGACATCCAAATTCTAGTCTTGTAGATCTTGAAGAGGTCGGTCACAAGAGAGTTGAAATTAATGTAAGAGTCGGCAAAGTAGTAGAAGGTTAGTTTCTTCCAGTCCCTAAGTCTATGTCAGCTTGTTTACCTTGGGCGAAACTCACGGAGCACTTACATCTGGAACTCGGCGTCGAGAATCTCCATGTTCAGGCCGTGGTCCTTAACCTTCGACTGGCAAACACGCTTCGCCTTGGCTTCGCTGCCCTCCTTCTCTCGCAGCGCCTGGACCTCGTGGGGCTGGGCGTGGCGCTTGATGAGCTTCGGCTTAAGCTCACCAGCGTTCGGTTCTTGCATGTGGTGCTGGCTCGGCGGACCCATGCCTCCTACAGCACCTCCGTGTATGCCGTTGGAAGCTGCCATCAAGCCAGCGCCGGCTCCGTCTTGGGAAACTGCAGCGTTCTGTGAGAACATCATGAGCCACTTGTAGTGCTCCTCGGCGTATATCTCCTTCAGCTCTTTAGCTGAGCCCCAGTCGACATTTTCTCTGGCCACCGTCCCAAGGTCAGTCCCTCGGTCAGCCTCGACGATGACCAAATCGCCGGGTTTCACTGTCAGCCCGGTGCCTTCTTGAATGTAGAAAACATCCGCCCGATTGCACTTGAAGAGAACAATGTGGAGCTTTTGCGCGTGGCGAGGCTGGGGCATGCCGTACAGCGCTCGGTGTGGAGAAGGGGGCCTGTTCGAAAATGGAGCCTGCAACGCATACGCCGACGGGTACATATTCGAGTAGGCCGATTGCATAAGCGCCTGCTGGGAGCTGTTGATCCCAGACGGGCCGGTAAAGTACGCGCCTGGCATCGGTTGGTCAGTTTCATCAGCCCGGCCTCGAGGCGCATTGTGACTTACCAGCATTGGCCGCGTTCAACATAGTGTTCTCGTATTGTCCGACGCCAAAATCTTGACCATCCTGGGGGCCTTGATCCTGCGCGTGTACGTGGTCGCCGATTGATCCGATAGACGGCTGCCGAGTTGGAATCTCCGCAAAGGAATGGCGTCTGCTCTGGGGAATGTCTGCCAGGCCGCCAAACCCGAGGGAGCTCGACCAGAGAGCCTTTTTGACATTCTCCAGCTGACGGTTTTCCAGGGAGAAGGAGGACCGAAATGGGCCCGCGCCGAATTCGCTCATCCTCCGACCAAAACCCCTCTTGCCTGCAAGGTCGGAAAGCTCGCCAGACTCATCCAGGTCCACGGCAAAGTCGGATGTCTCCTCCGGAACTGGGTCATGCAGACCATAGCCATTTCCTATACCGCCGAACCCAGTCGATGCTCTCGGTCTCATGCGATTAGCAGCATGGTATTGTTGTTGCTGACGCAGCATCGCATTCTCGCGCGTGAGCATCTCGATCGTCTTAGCCTCGGCTGATTGTGCCTGCGCTTGGGCAACCTCTGCGTTCCCGGCCTCGTCATCCTCGACCTCCTTTACCTTCCCCAGCATCCCGCCCTCGTTCGACATCTCACTGAGCATACTGGGCCGGGAGGGTCGGTGCTGGAGCCCAGAGTGAGGAACACCCCGGTTGCGGGACCCCATGATAGCGGAAGATCCCATCATCGCGTTGGGGGTTTCCGGGTCAAGCTGGCCGACGGAGTATGACTGAGAACGGTAGTTCTTTGGGGTCGGATGGATGGGGATGGCAAATGGTATCTGAGAGTTGGGTCCGGATTCCCTGGGCGCTGGAGATGTTTGGTGTGGGCCGCCGTCAGAGCCAAGTAATGGGTTACTGGTTGGCAGAGTCGAGCTGGGCGATGGTAACACCTCGGCCAGGCGCGCGGGCGGCTCTTTCCTGTCGTTGTTCCAAATGCCCGTCCCCCAAGTGAAGGTGTTGGAACCCAGCTGGGGCCGTCCTATGCTGGTGGCTGAGGTCGGGTGGGAGCCCCAGGCAGCGGCCCCGGACTCGGCAGAGGGGGTGCTCGGGTGCGAGGCTGTGGGCGACATGGAGCTACTCGCAAATGACCCTTTCCTCGGACGGATGCCTGCAGGCGATGTTTCGGTCAACCAAGAAGTACGACGGACTGGCTTCTGTTGCTGGAAAGGCGGTAGGTGATCTTGACGATGGGCGTCGGCCTCCTCGTCTGAGCTAGCAACGGCCTCGGAGATCGAGTCAGGCGTGGCCCGCCGGACATTGAGCTTGTCCAGCAGGATAGCTTGGCTGCTTGGAGCAACACCTGGCGGCAGACTACCTTGACCAGGCTTGTTCTGCTGGCCGGATTTGGTGACACCGGAGCTCATCGTCTATGCTGTAGAATATTAAAGATGAAGTGAAGGTGGCAAAAGTCAAACATCGAACAGCCTGGGGTGCGGATGGATGGCGCCAGAGACCCGGGCAGCCCGTGGTACGGCGACAGTCAGGCGGAGATATGTCTGGTGAAGCTGACGATGGTCGATGGGTTGACTCAGCAGCTCGACCAGATTGCCAGGGTACGGAGCGACAAGATGGCCAGGGCGGCGACAGCTGATGGTGAGACTGAAGTCGTCTTGTTAGCAGTTGACCCAACATGGGGGTGGTGGTCGGGTTGTCGCATAGCTCTGGAGTCAGGAGCGGGGGACATTGGTGGGGTGGGTGGGTGCAGAAGGCAGGCGAGGATACACGCACCTTGACTGCGACGTGCGAGAGCTACGGCGAGGGCGACAAATTCTGGACGTCCGGCCTATTACCCAAGCGAGAGGGCCAAGAACAAAAAAGGATCGGGCTCATAGATTGGAGTGCGACAGGTGTTGACTCGAGGCCAAGGGAACAATAGGAACAGCCCGAGTCGGACAACAATGCCGGCCAGAGCAGGTAAGTTATGTGAGATGCGACAGGCAATGGCAACAAGTATGTGTCGAGGGAAGGGAAAGACAGGAAGCGATCGTCGTCAGGGCTGTCTGTCTAGGAGTGTATTTGTGCGGGCTCAGACGAGGCAGGGTGCAGTTATTCTGTGGGGGAGGGCGGCAGGCTTGCAGCTCTATCAGGTGGGTTTTGGTTCCTGGTTAGATGCTCAACGACGAGAGTGAGTGGAGGGCGTTCGCATCTCGAATGACGATCCTCTTGCGCGGGTCTGTCTTTTTCCCAGGGGACCGATTTGCGACGATGATCTATGCGCCCATCTTTCAAGTCTTCCTCTCCTTTGTGTCTTTCTTGCCCTGGCGCGCCCAGAGGCGGATGGAGTGCGAGATGCCCAAACTCGCTGCGTGGTGTGTGTTCTTGTGCTGCAGTTCTTGCGCTGCAGGGCTGGCGATCAGGACGTCAGGTGGGAGAGGAGGCAAGAGGTTGTTGGGAGGTGGGAGGTGGGATGTGGAGGAGGGAAGGACGTGTGAAAGGGTGGATCGAGGACAGGCAGGAAGGACGAGGATGGTAGATGTGCTTGGTGTGCGCGAGTGTGAGTGTGAGTGTGTGTGTGTGTGGGAGTCAAAGTCCAGTCAAGAGCTGCTTGGCCTGACCTTACCTGCACCTGCAAATGCGGAGGACCTGCGGAGAGGGAGCAAGGCATCAGAAGGCAACCTTGAGAAAGGTTAAAAAGGCAGCCCAGCCCGGCCAACCTAGCCTAAGCCGACCCGGACCTTGGGCCTTGACCTAGTGTAGACCTGAACCTGAACCTGAACCTGGAGGCGAGTGAGAGCTACCTGCACCTGAGCTGGTTGGACCCATGGGCCCAGTTGCCCAGGTGCTTGCTTGCTCGCCCCGTCGCCCGCCGCCCGCGCCCCAGGGTGCACTCCACCCAAGTCCGTCCTGACTGCCTTCGCCCTTGCCCTTGCCCGCCCGCAGGCCCGCCAGCTCGTCTGCAGCGGCGCACGACGAGTGCAGGACTGGCTGGGCGGGGCTTCGCCTGGTGGGTGGGCTGGTGGGTGAGGGGTCCCCCCTACTAGCCCAGCCGTTGCAGGCCGTGAGGTGACTGGTCAGGCCGGTCTGGTGTCCCCAGCAGGGGGGGTGACCCTTGTGGAGAACTGGCGCGTGCCTCCTCGTCTGGACGACTGATGAAAGCCCGCCAGCCCGCCCGTCCGCCCAGGTGCCAGGAGAGCCCCGGAGCCCCAGGTGGTGTCAATGCACCCCTGCAAGGTTCGCAAAGCTGGCTGGGAGATCCAAGGCTAGTCAAATCCACCAGCAGCTCGATCGGAATCGTCGTGCTTAGTACGACACATGGATGCGTTTCTCATGATTTTGTGTGGTATTCTGTTTGTGTGTGTGGCAGGTAGACGCGCGAGACCTGGGGCTTTGGCCAACGTCTCGCATCTTGCATCTTGCATCCTCCGTTTTGCTTCTTGGTCGCGAGTGCGCACACTCGTGCCCAAGACAAGAGGAGGAGGGCTGCCTCTCCATGTGAACATCTGTAGTCTACTGTGGTAGATATTTGATGAGCCATGCTGTGGTACGTGCTACACAGTATATTGTGCATGCACACCCACCCAGGTATATATACTTAAGTACCTATGTACTAAGGTATCCGCATCCGCCACTCCATGTAAAATCATACCATGCCCGGTGTCCACGCCATCTACTATATAGTACTGTGTAGCCATCTGCGCCGGCTTGGACGTGGCTAGACACGAGGCCGGCGACCCGTCGGTTGAGGCTGAAATTGGCAGGAAAGGAGGAGTGCATGGGTGGGCTGAGATTACACAGTATGATATGCAGTACATCTCACTGCCGCAACAGGCGGCGGCGGCTCTTTGGGGAGGCAGGAAGGTAGTAGATACTTACGTACCTTGGTACCCTCCTCACTCACACACACCCAGCCCGTACGGAGCCGCCACCTGGGCTGCCTGGGTAAAGACGTCGCTCATTCGACGGCGTTTATGCCTCCACCCCCTGCCGCCAGAAGTGTCTTGATATGTCGCAGACCATGCTCGGAACGTGGTGGAAACGGCAGCATCTGACCACAATCGACAGCGCCCAGTGGGCAGACTGGCAGACGGCATTGTCCCATATGGCACCGGCACTACTGTGCGATGTAGGTAGGATTCTCCAAGGGTGCTGCGGGCCAGTCCAGATGCTCCATTATGCATTGCATTGCATGGCATCGTTGCCTTCCTCCGCCCATGATACCCCTTCCCCCACTCGGTCTGTTCTACCTGCGGTCCATTGCAGTAGTGGCTGGTCTGGAGCTGCAGGTGCTCGTGCCCTCCCTCTGGCCCTCGTGCCCTCCTCCTGCCTTCCTCCCGCCCTCCTCTTCGCTTTGCCAGTCAGCCCAGCCAAGCCCAGCTCATTCGTTCATCTCTAATCCAACAATAAATCCCCATCCCCCCTCCCCCCATCCCATGCCATCCAAAGCGCATCTCCATGGTCGATGCATGCCCAAAGTCTACATGAGTATGGCTTTTGTGGGCACGACACACACACATCATCACGGCGGGTGACAGCGCGTTACAGTCGATATTCCAACAAGATATTCCACAGCGGCTTGGTTGACACAGCTAGCAGTGGGACAGCCCGGCAGCGCGCCCAGCACGAGGCAGGGCCAAGAGCCCAGGCAGGAGGAGGCCAAGCTTCCAGGGACCCCCCTGACCCGAAGCTGGGAGACTCGGAAATGTGACCAGGGGCCCTGCATGTGCCCAATCACACGCGGCTTCCCCGCAATTCCCACTTAGCATGATCCCGTCTAGCGGCGATCGTCGATCCAGAGTCCAGACTGCCTCAATACCTGAACTGCCAGACAGGCCAGACAGCCAGTCAGCCCAGTCCACCAGTCCATAGCCACCAGTTCCCACCCGCTGCATGCATGCAATGGGCGTGACAGGCGGCAGACTGACTGACAGACAGAGTGGCAGACAGACTGGAAGTCGCCTCTCCAGTGTCGTAGGGCCACCCGCGGCACTTAGCACCATCTTCTTCCGTTCGCCGCAGCAGTCGGACCCGAGAAAGCCGGTTGCTACATGTGGCCTATGCATCTCTAATGAAAACCACAGGAAACAAGCCACCATGTGCGGTCTACTGACGCTCGGTAGACGCGTGGCGACGATCTTCAGTTCATTCTGACGACGGGGTTGCGAGGGGACGGGCCTAGCCCTCGACCCAAATGCTCTCCCGCCCTCGTCCCCGTCATCCCCCGAGTCCCCCTCAAGCCCCTCTCCCTCAGCTCCTCGACATCAGACGGCCCAGGCAGGGAGCTGTGCGAGCCGCCTCTCCTACACCACCCAGCCGGCAGCTCTTGTCTGCTGCTCGCGTGCCGTTTATGCGCTACGGTGCTGTGCTATATTCCGCTGCGCGTTCTGCGCCCGCTGCCCGCTGCCCGGGTCACACACGCACGTATACTCCGTACTTACACGCCACCAATCCCCCTTTCGTCTGGGCTCGGGAGCCAGGGGCACCGTTGACGGTCGCCAATCCATGCATGCCGTGGGAGCCGCCCTGGGCCCTTGGCCCCTAGCTTGCAAGCTAGACGCATGAGGCACTGGATGCGCGCAGCCAGCCCAAGGAGTCTGGGTCCGTCTTGAGAATTCTTGTTTGGGCAAGTGGCACTGTCAGCTGAGAGGTGCTATGATGGACGGCCACACAAGTGATGATCAGCGCAGCACTGGTCGTCAGGTCGTTCGCGCCCGATGCAGCAAAGATCCGGGATGCGTCGTAGGAGCCCCAACTCAATCGCAAGCATGCTTGACGGGCCTCCGAAGCGGGGTAGGGACCCTGGCGGAAAGTCAATCAATCCACGATGCCATCAGCTGGCTGGCTGGCTGGTTCTCCGCGGACGCCACCGGGCCCCTGACCTTGACCTTGACCTTGGACTTCTGTGCTAGGCCGCCATCAGACGGACGGGCTGTCTTTGTGTCGCTTTCCCACTGTCCCACACCCCTCCTTCGAAAAGGCCGAACGGAGCGGAGCGGCAGCTTGATGTTTTGCACACAGCTCTGGCTCAACTGGATCTAGGACAGCCTTTTCCTTCACCGACCCGCCACGGCGACATTACACCAGACCTCAGCACGCGTTTCCAATTGGAAGCACGGGCCGGCCACTGTGACCCCGGCTGAGAAACGGCTGATGACGAGCCGGTTGCCTTTCATGCATAAGCCTGAGCCCTATGGACTGCCTAGCTATGGCCCGAAACAAGCACTGCAGTCGCGCCAGCTGCGCGCCCGCCGAACGCCGTTACCAGACTCCAGGGTTATGGCACAGGCATCCAACTACCGTTCCAGGTGGGATCAGAGGCCCACGATCCTGACGATCTGTTCAAACCCCGGATTCGTCGCACAGACATGCCTGGGTCGGGCCTGCAATCAGGGCCCCTCGACCTCCCCTCCCAGCCCTGGGGTCGGTGCCCCAGTGCCCCTAGGCTCGACCGGAGAGGGCTTGGCATGATCAGCTGCAAAGCTTTCCCATGCCAGGACATCTGCTGTGCGTCTTTGACTGGCTCCGACACTGGCGGGGGTTTTCGAGGGGGCCTAGCTTCGCGGCTCTGGCAGCGCCGGTGTGGCTGTCGATCATGTACTATATTATGAAACACACATGTGCTGGCGGCGGCATCGATGTATGTTGTCTTTGATGCCGGGCCTAAATGATTCTGCGTAGCACCACAACGGTCGGAGTTTAGTACTGACGCTGTCACGCATGCCGAGAATGGTATCACAAGCCAGGGCACCACCTTCTTGCTCTCGTCTGCTGGGGCGGCGCCAGGCCAATCGCAAGTGCTGTTGACACAGGCCGTGTCACGTTGATCCGCGGCCCGCAGCAGACAGCATATCAAAGCACAACGCTCTCACGACGTGTTAGGTATTGGCCGGATAAGGTAATCGGAGGTTACGAGGGAGGCGGTCATGAGACAGGAGGTTTGGTACGGGTCATCCCAAATGGTGTCGTAAGAAAAAGGACTTGACACATTCTCGCACTCTGTCGCGATTGGGATATTTCAATGGTCGATTGGGTTTTAAGTTTCAATGCCCTTAGCTGGCTCCTTGCTTCTGGCATCCATTTTGAAACGCCAAAGCCAGTACAACACTACTTGTTGCCGTCAGGCACCGTCCTACAGTGACCCAAGATCAGCCAGTCAAACACGAGATGTTTGTCCTCCGAGACCCGGCAGAATGATCTGACGGGTGGGCCGTTGCTGTCCTTTTTACAGTTGGCCTCAGCACGCGTTGCCACCGACGGTTCTGGACCAGCTGCCGAGAATGCGAACAAGTGACCAGTCCTGTGTCCATTTTGCGCGCGGCATAGCCGTTCGGGAAGCATCGTGTGAACCCAAGAGGAACGGCGAGCGAGCGTCTGTTACATCAGGCCAAAGCCAATTCTGCGTGTCGAAAAGAATGCCTTGTCTCGTCTATTAGAACCGCCGATATTATACCATTCTGTCTCTTGTGTGTTCCAGGGCCTATCCCGGCAGCCCTATCTTAACTTTTGCAAGGGCGCACGAATAGTTGAAGCACGCATGCTGGGGGGGGGGGGGGACGAGCGCGCGGTGAAGGCCTTTTTCAAGCAACATGGTCGATGGAGCCCTTCCCTGGTGACGTGGGGGGTACAGTGCCCTTCTGCTGCTTGAGCCTCTCCTCGAACTTGGCGAACTCCTTCAATGCTATCTCCTCCTCCTCATCCATGACCTGAGTAACGCCCTTTACCTCCTCGATCTGAGGTGAACAGTCAGCAACGGGACCGCTTATTGTGGGATTTCGCCCCGGGGGAATGGATAGGGGGTGACTAACGTAGTGCATCAACATGCCCTCTATACCGTTCTTCAGCGTGACCGTGCTGGAGTCACAAGTCCGGCATGCACCGCGCAGCTTCAACAGGACGTTGCCGCCCTCGAAGCCGCGGAACTCGATGTCGCCGCCGTCCTCCTGGATGGCCGGCCGGATGCGCGTCTCTAGCAGCTCCTTGATCATGCCGACAACCTCGTCGTCGTTCTCGTCGTAGGCGAGGCTGTCGACCTCGCCCTCGCCGGCGGCCTCGCCACCCTCCTTCTTCTCGGAGACGTTGACGATGCTCTGGCCGCTCGTGATGGCCTCGGTGGTCTGGGCAAAGATCTCGGGCTTGATGTGCGCCCAGTTCGCGTCCTCCTCCTTTGTCACGGTGATGAAGTCGGTGCCGAAGAAGATGGACTTGACGCCGTCGACGTTCATAAGCTGGGCGGCCAGCGGGGACGGGTAGGGGGGCGAGATGGTGCTGCGCGGGTTCAGGTACTCGATGAAGGGGGTGTTGATGTTCTCGGGGAGGATTCGTTGGTTGGGGAGGAACTTGAGGGCGTCTGGGTTCGGTGTGGGCTCGATCTGGATGAAAATTGTCCTTTTACCCAGAGTAGTCCGCACGCCGGGCAGCGATGACCTCGCTGCAGGGAGTTGTGGTCGCTGCCCGGCTGCGAAGGGGGGATGCGTCGAGCCTATGCTGGAGAATGGCATCCGGGAGAGCCGGCCGAAGCTCGGGCCGGCTCGAGTGTGTGACGGCCTCGCCGCTGCAAATAAAGTGCCTGACGGCCTGCTTAACCTCCTCAAAATCATCTTAAATGGTCTGGGTCGTAGGTAGGTGGGAAAGTATAGGAGAGTGGCAGCATTGGCAGCCGCAAAGTACTGTTAAAAAAGGGCCCTGGCGTTGCTTACAAAATGCGCGAGAATTATTTGCCCCGAGGAGCCTGCGTCATTGCTTGGCCCGGGCTGCCTGCGGAGGAGGTGGGACCTATTGATAACGAAATCTGGGCGGTGCGATCTTCCGAACTTCCCCAGATTTCTGAGCGCCCAGTAAGAAATAAGCGCAGTCATTGAGCAACGGTGCGTGGGGTGGAGGGGACCCCTGCTAAAAATGTCGGCCCTTCCAGTCAAATTTCAGATCACCCTGCGCCTCTCCATCCACATCAGGAACAACAACAGCCAGCACCAAGCGCCTCGACACGACCAACCAGCCTTTTATCTGCACAGTGCCACCTGCACCTTACCGTTCGCGTGTCCAATTGCTATTCGGCATTACAATTGTGATCATGTCAGTGGATGCGCAGGGCGCTCCGAACGAGCCAGACGGTCGGGCACCCCCAACCGATAAGAAGGCCGAGGGCGATACCGCAGCACGCGAACAAGCACCGCGCGACGCGACAGCAGAAGCCGTTGAGGAGGAAGTGCCACCGCCAAAGCCACAGCCCAAGCCCTGCGGGATATGTGAGAAGGAGCCAGGAAAATACAAATGCCCTCGCTGCTCTATTCCCTAGTAAGGCGCCAACCCCCACCCCCCACCCTCCAGCCCGCCCACTCCAGCCTTCTGACCATCCGTCCTCCAGCTGCTCAGTCGCCTGTTTCCGCCCCCACAAGGAGAATCACCCACCGGTCGAGGCCCAGCCGGCGCAGCCGCCCCCCAAGCCAACCGAACCGGGAACCAACGACGATAGCAGGCCCAATAAGCGCAAGGCCCACCCCTTCAACATACTGGACGACTCGCCCGAGCTGGCCCAGCTCTTCAAGAGGTACCCCAGCCTCCCGACCAAGTTGACCAACATCCACGTCGCGACGCTGCCGCCCGAGGACGAGCAGCCCGGCCGCGGCGGCCTCCCCTGGAACCTGCAGCAGGCGCCTGGCTACCAGCATAAGAAGCCGAGGTGGACACACGACCTGGGCCTGCGCCGCGGCAAAGAAGCCTTGCGCAAGGCGAGGACAGACCCCGGCGAGGACGGGGACGCCGTGAGGGAGTACTGCGAGCTGGTCCTGCACCTGCTGTCCAAGCAGGAGGCTACGGGCGGCGTCACGGACCTGGTGAGGGAGCAGGTCATGAAACAAGACGTGCAGCTCATTGAGAAGCTGATGGAGGCGGAATCCAAGTTCACCTGATCTCGGGGCGTGGGACATCTCATGTTCCGATGACTTCTTCCTATGCTACAACTACAACCTTGGTCAAGACATGGTCTGGACGTTCTCGCGTTGAATCAGAGTCAAATGAATCGGTCAAGGGCGCGGTGAAGAGATCAATGTTGTATGTGTATTATGCATCTTGTCTCCGGCATCTTGCCGCTTCCCATGCAGGGGCCCGCTAATGCGCTAGTAGTTTCGAGAAGACTCCAGATTTCCGGTTCACTACTACGTGACGCCCATCCATCGCGGTGTCGCACCGTGTCCGGTCGACCTTGGACACCTGTTCTGGCCCTGGCCCGGGCCCTTCACCCCCGAGTCTCAACTTGAGCACGGCGATGGGGCTCATCCGTTTGAGGAGTTGCAGCCTCCGCGGCTTGGTCCCTGCAGAATCATCCTGCGTCCAATCCGGAGGGCAGAGCTCCTTGGGATCGCCCGACCGCCCCCTCGCCGGCTCGCTGGAGCTGTTCAGCACCACGGAGTATTTCCCTGCCTGTTGCGCCGCCCCGTGATCCTGCCTTGCGCCGTGGTGTTTCCGCGCAGAGGCCGCGTTGGGTTCCCGCGGGACGTGGACGTATGTTGCGCTGGAGTCGGTCGAGTCGTGGGGCGAGTGGCCGGTAGCAGGCTTGGTCCGGAAGACCCATCTTGTTGACGTCTTGGGGCCGGCCAGGAGGGACGACCGCTTGCTGTCCCGGGGAAGTGGGTTGCCCCGGGGGTTGGGCAGGCTCGTTTCTGATCCTTGGAGCTTGCCGCTCAGCTGCAGATCCTCGAGTTGTCGCTCCGCTATGACGATGTTCAGCCGCCTGCTCAGGTCGACGGGGTCGAGTGGCTGTGATTTCTTCTGAGGCCCTCGCTGGCCCTTGACCTTGGATGCTCTCATTGCTACGGGCCTGAATTGGGTGTGTAGCATTGTGAGAGCGTGTGAAAGAGGTGAGAGGTTGATAGAGTGGGTTTGGGGTTGGTGGTGGGTGCGTATAAGTGGGCGTCTTGGTACCCTCACTGCCGTGCTCGGTTGGACGGCGGCGTTGACAACGGCGGTGGGCAGGCACAAAGAAAAGGCGTTGTTCACATGCAATTCGCGTACTACGGGTGGTATAGACGGGAGGGCAAGGGGGCGAGCCAACGCCTGAAATCCCACGGCGGCGGGGAGAGCAAGCCTATTATTCAAAGGAAAACAGGATCGAGGCAAGGGATGCGGCTAAGAGCGATCAGATGCCTGCCCTGCAAAGGCGCGGGTCCGGTGACCTCGACGGGCCTGGTCCTCCTGGTCCTCCTGGGAAAAGGAAGGGCGACCCGGGGCCTGGGGCCTGGGGCCTGGGGCGGGCCTGGGGCCTTGGGCATGGGGCAAACTGGGGTGCCCGGGGAACGGTGGCACGGGTGGGTGCCAACCATTGCGGGACTTGCCAGAATGCAGACTAGCTCGTACGGTGTAGCGCTCACGAGTCGCGAATCCGGCCGGGTTTGCAAATCTTGCTGTGGCGGCAACCGTACCATGGTAGCTGGGTAGCGGCATGCCTGGTGGAATGCGAATGATATGCGATGGAGGTATGCGCCAGGGCAGCAGCATGGTTGCGGCAGCAGCGTGATTCCTGTCCTGACCGCTTCTGGTGCGTTCGTGCGAGGGCCAGTTAGTTACCCTCACTAAGTACCTAGCTTACTTGGTACCCTCTCTACCTGTGTAAGCACCTTTTATCACCCCCCTCTCTACTGTGTTGTGCCTCGAGCTACGATTGATTGTGCTGTCGCCATGCCCTTTCTCGGCACAACAGACCGTCATATCTCGCAGCTTTCTCTGTTGCTGCATCTGCTGCATCTGCAGGATGATGTCGCGTGCTGTCTTGAGGGGTGGCTCAATGGGGATGTCTGCATGGCTACGGGGTAGTATGTATACTAGAGCAAACCTGAATGGTGGAGACTGGCAGACTGGGCAGCCTGGAGGGGGGTGTGGGAGACTGGGGATGACTGGGGCCGCTGGGGTTGGGGCGAACTGCCCTGGTGGACTGCTGGGCCAGTGTGCCAGTTGGGCCAGTGTGCCTGTGTGCCTGTGTGCGAGCAGACAAGAGCAGGACCCTCCTGCAGGTTACTGTGTACAACATTTGAACTTGCAGCCCCAGGACCCCACAATAAACCCCATCCGTGAGAGGCTCTGATCGACAGGAAATGGCGCCTGCAGGTTGCAAGCACAGTTGCGTAATTGGGCGTCTTGCTACCCTTCTGGGCCGGCCGTCCCCCCTCCCCCTCCCCCCTCCTGACTGCTAGACTGCCCTGCCCGCAAGAGTGCATCGGTGTGAGGGCTGACATGCGCCTCAACCATCTGGTCTGATTTCCCCTCGGCATCCCGCGTGACAGGCTTGCTTTTTGGGCCAAAGGCGACGAGCCTGCCATCCTGCCTGCCTGCCTGTCCTGCCCGTCGCTTCGTGTGCTCTTTCTTGTAGACCGAGGAACGCCTGTCAAGTCCCGACATTGCTGTCTCAGATGAGGCTGCTCAATGTCCACCGGGGCAAAAGAAAGAGAGGGAAAAACATGTCTGGGATCCCCTTAATTTTTCCCTTCCCTCACGCCATGTCTTTGTCCACCTATGAGGCTCGTCTTGGCATTCTCAAGGTGTCCTCGTTCTACCCTGTTTTACGAGACCCTCGAGCCCTCGTTGGCCGCCGCCAAATTTTCCGGGGGGAGGCTAGTCACAAGTGACCAGTCCGTCCCGGGCCTCGAGCTCCAGAGTCCTGGTCTCCTGGTGTCGTGCTCCGGATCCCGGGCCCGGCTTTCGGCTGAGTACATACCACAGTACTGCCTGTGCGCCGTCAGCAAATGGACTGCCCCTGCTGTTGGCTGGGATGTTGCAGCCCAAGGGGCCCCAGCGAGCCCGATGTCCCTCACGTTGCATTATGCTGGCACCGCCCTACCACATGGTCGACCATGCAATCATCCATAAGTGGCGTCACAGAGGGCAGGGAGATATCCAGTCCGTCGTGTAGTCCAAGGACAGACAGCGTGAGGGATCCGATCACCTGGGCGGAACAACAGGCGATGCGGAGCCCTGTCGCCCAATGCCAGGGCCGGGACCCATGCCATGGTGGTGATGGTGTCTCTGTTCCTGGCATGCCCGCCTAAAACTTGGCGTGCAGATCTGCCGGCACGCCCATTGAGCAGGTCGGACATGTCTCCTGACCCAACTGTCACCGCCGCTACCTGTTGTGACGGTGGTACGAGGCACGGCTCTAGACTCTGGCGTCCGCTATCAGCAGTCCTTGATACCGAAAGCCAGTCCTCTCAGGCACGAGACGGCGTCAGACAGCAGTCTCAGCCTTCTAAGCCTCACTGTGAAATGCTCCCACTCAACGTTAGCTCGGGCCGTGACAACTGGACCCTGCGGCTCGGCGCTTTGATATGTTTCTCATGCCAGGACAACAGTAGCGGTTCACTTCCAAGTTGGTCTTCGGGGACGTGTCTTGGCTGGGAGGTCTGGGCCATGCACGGGTAACAACAGTCTAGGACTGCTTACTGGATTGGGATAGGTGCTGGGGGGCGGGGGCAGAATTATCAGGCAAGATAAAGATAGACTGAGAGCGCCTGGCCGAGAGCAGATTAAACACAATGCATAGCATAGCATAGCAACGAGAAGGGCAGCGGGCGTATTCACATGTGCTTGGGTGCTCGGCTTGATCTATCCCCATTGCTCATACTCAAATGTGACCAGTTATACACGCACTCTCTCTTTCTCTACTTCTCTCAATCTCTCACTCTATCACTGGCACCCCTTCACCCACGCTCACACGAGACACAACGAACCAATCCATACATGTCGTTGCACTATCTTGAGATCATGTTACGCAAGACTTGAATCGGGAGGATCTGAGACGTGGCATACAGATGTGCCGTCCTAATACGGGATTAGATATCAAGACATTAATAAACTGCTACTATATACAGCCCAATTTACCCCGGCATTATATATCCTCCATCACGACTCCCACCTGCGGGCCAGGGTGGTGGCATTCTTGTCGGCAGCGCGGATCCAGTCGTGCACGACGGCGGCGATCTCGAGGTTGTTCAGCTCGAGGTGCATGAAGTGGCCGTTGCCGTGGATGCCGATGTCGGCCAGCTTGATCCACTCCGGGGAGCCGCCGACCTGCTCCAGGTACTGGACGGTGCAGTGGTCGTAGGTGACGTGGACCGAGGCCTCGCTGGTGACGAGCAGGTACCTGACGGCGCTGATCTTGGGCAGCTGGCGGGCGGGCTCGGCCTGGAGGTGGCAGGAGCGGTGGGCCAGGGTGTCGTTGCCGACCTCGACCTGGGTCAGCTCTGAGGGGTCCGAGATGGGCGGGTCGTAGTCGATGGGCACGTCGGACAGGCCCCAGGCGCGGGTGAAGGAGCCCGAGAGGGAGCCGTCGCTGGCGGGGCCGGTGCTGGGGAAGAAGAAGGGGGTGGTGGCCGACTCGAGGTTGATGTTGGCGGCGATGAGGTGGCCGCAGTCGTTGGACATGAGGATGGGGTACAGGGCGCCGGCGGAGTGGGAGACGAGGTAGGACTGGCCGCCGATGATGGACAGCAGCTCGCAGCCGGCGGCCCTCATGACCTGCTGGACGCCAGAGGAGTTTGTGGAGTAGGGAAGCACGGAGCGCTGGAACTGGTCAAAGACGACGTCGCCCCGCAGGCCGGTGCCGGGGAACTGGGTGTGCAGGACGGCCTGCGGGTAGAGGTCTGGGAAGTGCTGGGGCCCCGAGAAGGACTTCTCGGTGTTCTCGGCCGAGGTGCTGGAGGACAGCGGATAAGTGGCCAGGTCGGTCTGGGTGGTGCGGCCGACGCCGGTCTGGTCGACGATGTAGACCTGGTAGCCCTGCTCGATGAAGTACGAGGCAAAGCCCTTCCTGTTGTCTGGGGTGTTGAGCCACGTGACACCGCTGCCGCCACCGCCATGGAAGAAGACGACGGGCCTGGGCTGGGTGACAGCAGGCGGCGTCAGCTTCTCGACGTACAGCTGGTCGGTGATGCGGCTCCCCGTGGCATCATCCCCATAATAGCGACCGCCGACATAGAAGACATCCCTTGCGTGCTGGGCCTGGCTGGAGGAGCAGCTGGGGCTGAGGGCCGAGACGCCCGTGCAGTCGGCAGCAGCAAGCGAGGAGGCCGGGCCGAGCAGCAGGGCCAGGGCAGCCGAGCTGAGGAGGGATGCGAGCAAGCGGTGCGGGGCCATGGTGTGGTGTTTGTTGTCGGTGGCGCAAGCCGCGAGAAGCAGACCTCACTCGGTGTGTCTCTCTCAAGGTGGCAGGTGGCAGTGGGCGGTGGGATCTCAAAAGAGACGCGGCGACAATTCTCACATCCTCGGCAAGGACCCCCGTTTGCTGATTAGGTGAGCCTCTGGTGGGTTTGGCGAGGTTGGCGAGGTTGGCGGGTTCTGGACTCTGACGGCGAACAAGATGCATCCTTCTCCAGCATCCCATCCGCAGTGCGCACGCCACTTGCACTTGCCCCTCTGTTGCCCCTCTGCCCCTATCGCAAAGGGGTCCCCTCCCCAGCTGCTCCCCCCTCCACCCCCCATCGATATTTTCGGAGATGAGCCGTGCCAGGCGGAGCCCCTCGCCTCGCTGCGAGCACCCCAGCACCCCCGGGCAGGGCCTTGAATGTGGGGGTTGCATCGGATCCGACCCGGGGCTGTCTGCCGCATCAGACGGGACTTGGATGCCACCTCCTCCCGCTCATCAATCAGGCCGGGGCATCTGGCTGGATTTTTATCAACCCCATCACGAGGTCTTTTTTTTTGGTCCAGGAGAAATGATGAACAGCGCTCCGCCGGCAGATGAGTGCCCACTGCCCACTGCCCACGACCACGGGGGTTGTGACCGCATTCGCCTTGGTCTGCTGGGCTCGCCCACTTTTACCCGTTGCTGGGCCACGTTCCAAGGTTGGCGGGCTGTCGACAAAATTTCAACCGTCAGTCATGGTAGGGCGGCAGGGCGGCAGGGCGGCAGGGCGGCAGGAGCCGTGTATGTGTGTATATATATATATATATGTATATACACACACATATGATATCGACTGACGGACGGGTCAGGCACATTATAAGTCCTCACCTCCCCATCCCGTCAGCCTGCCTGTGTTCGCCTTGCCGCCGCACGTTCCGGCCTCAGCCCCTTGCCTTTATCACCTGTTACTGGCCAGTCAACCAGTCGCGGATGAAATTGCAGTCTCCACACACCGGCGGGTTTCCGGGCCCTCTAAATGAAGCGACGGCAAAACACACACACATGCCGCGCAGGGATCCCAGACGTCGGCGAAGTCAAATAACGTTGAGCTGTAGCTGCATGTGTATACCGAAGCTGCGAAGGTGTCGTGCTGTGTTGCGTGCTGGTGGGTCCTTCTTCAACTTCCCACGTAAAGTTTTGGCACCCCTGCGGCTCTTGTATTGTAAGGTCTGCCACCGCTCAGGGTCCTGCCCTCATGCCCGCCCTGTCTTCAACAAGAAACCTGGTATTGTGGAGCCCGCCGCCCGGTAGCTGAGGCAATCCTCGACCGTCTCCAGTCCTGGTCCAACCATGATGCTTTGCGGATATTTGCCTTCGCGAGCCCGGGTGGGTGCCCTTCCTCACCTTCATGCGCCCGCCCTTCGAGCCACCCAGGCGGATCTTGAAACGGGTTCATGTCTTCGGCTCATCAATCGACGCAATGTTTGAGTTTCCTCCCCGCCGGGTCGTCCTCCCAGCCTGTCCTCTCCCAGACACCTAAAAACAGGCCTGCCCACCCACGCCGTCGGGCTCTGCAAGTGATCGACATCCGACTATTCCTGCCCGACGACAGAAATACTTGAGACCGTGGGCTCCTGGGAGCTGCCGTCCGTCCTGCACTGTTCCCACATCGGCTCCCACACTCACTCAGATCCCATCGACATGAGCAACAGCTCCGCCATACTGGGCAACCCTCCCAATAACCAGGATGACTTCTTCATCGTCCAGGGCATCTTCCGGTCCGCCGGCCTCTTCAGTGCAAACGCCAGCAGGGGGTGGATAACCGTACCCAAGGAGCCCGCCGGCTATGTGTACGAAACGAAACAGCCAGCCATTATCGCCGGCATGGTTCTCGTCATACTGGTTATTTCCATCGTCACGGCCACGAGGCTGGCACTGAGGTATTACAGTGCAAAAATGGTCTTTGGCTCTGATGACTGGGTGATATTGGCCGCTGCTGTAAGCCTCCCCCAAATGCACTGACCTGGGCGTGTGTGGCTTTGCTATATATGTACACGTAGATGTGCATATGCATATGCGTATGTGTATGTGTATACACATACGAAATATATATAGCCAGACAGGTCCACATGTCCAGCCCGAAGAATCGACCAAGGCTGACCTCGCGGAAAACCCACACAGTCCATAGCAGTCACATATCCGATCCTGCAGATCCTCATGGTGGTCCAGGGCGGCGCGGGCCACCACGTCTGGGAGGTGACGTACGAGCAGTACAACGTCTACGCCTACTACGGCCGCGTGTGCCAGATCATATTCTACATCGCCGTCGGCCTGATCAAGATCTCCATCACGCTCTTCATCCGGCGCATCGTCGACTGCATCTCCCGCTTCTGGACCATCGTCACCGACCTGTTCCTCGCCGTCCTGGTCGCCTACGTGCTGCTGGCCACCTTCTGGCAGGTCCTCCTCTGCCGCCCGCCGCGCGCCAGCTGGGACCGCCGGTACGCGGGGAGCCTGGCCTCGCCGGCCACGTGCCTGGACAACACCCTCTCGGTGCGCACCCTGCGGGTCGCCCACCTCATCCTGGGCGTCCTGCTGCTCCTGAGCCCCGTCGTCATCCTCTGGAACGTGCGCATGCGCTGGCAGAAGAAGGCCCGCCTGTTCCTCATCTGGGCCGCCGGCGCCCTGAGCGTCATCGGCGGCCTCCTGCAGCAGCTGCAGACCATCTCCAAGGACTCGACCTGGAGCTACACCGACATCCTCGTCTGGACCTGCCTCGACCTCTGCATGGGCACCATCACCGCCTCCCTGCCCGTCATGGACGGCTGGCTGTTCGGCTCCTGGGGCGGCACCGTCAACGGCGGCGGCAGCTCCGCCGCCGCCGCCGCCCACGCCCGCGCCCACGGGAGCAGCATCGCCACCGTGGGGAGCAGCGCCTTCAGGAGGCCCGCCCCGCCCGGGTCCACCTCGCAGGAGAACTTCATCAGGGTCGACCATGAGGTGGAGCTGACGTACACGCCGTCCAAGAGCCCCGGCGGCAGCCCGTTCGACAGCGAGGCCGCCTTCTCGAAACACGACGGCGCAGCAGGCGGGGGCTCGGGCGAGTGGGATCGCCAGGAGCTGCCTCCTCCTGCCCGCAGCTAATGCGCCGCGCATGCCGTGGCCCTGGCATCAATGTATATATACGAGATAGATTTTACGCCATGTCATATACAGCACATGAGGCATGAAAATACGATACCCCTTTACTGCCTTTCTTCTTGTAGACATGTAGTGCTCTCAGAATTGGGTTCCAAGTGCCTCTTGAAGCGGCTTGGGATGAAATGAAAATGCAAACTACAGCTCTTTCAATCTCAGCACACGTCGACACGTCGAGACAGGGCCAATCACAGCAGGCCGGGTGAGCTTTGGCGAGTTGAGGAGAGGTCAGTGGGTAAGACAATAGTGTATTAAGAAAGACTTGGGTCGCAAAGCCTCAGCGCTCCGGACACACAGACGCGCGCGCGCGCAATGCGCATGTGTTTTGACAGAAACGAAACAGAAAACCCCATAACATTCCGCTACCATGTTTCCTCTATGTGCAAAGTCGGGAGGGAAAGAAAAAGGTATGTTTAGTTAGTGGAAGACTCCAGCTTCCAGATGTGAAAAATAGATTCCCCGGCGTACATCAGTCCATCAGCCGTCCGCCTCTCAGGTCTCACTTAGACCCCGCCCCTCAGGAATCCCATCGTCTTCTTCTTCAGATCGGCCGCACCACCTGTGCCCCCGATACCGGGCTCGACTTGTTTGCTACGTTGGTAGAGGGCCTGTTGGTGTTGTTTGTCAGCTTTGCCCGTAGGCGTGCACGCGTTCGGCGTCGGGATGGCTAGACTTACATCCTCGTCCAACTCCATCCGGCAGTCGAGAATCAAGTCCCGGCTGACCTCATGCTTCTTGAGTAGGTTAGGGTACGGTGCCCCCTGGCTCTTCATTATGGGCAACAAGATTTCCCCGAGTATCTCAAACTTCTTCCAGTTGATCCGGTCCCCATTGGGCCCCACAAAGGTCTTGTTGCCCTCTTCGGCAAACGTTAGATCTTTCCGGTGGAGCGCCATGTACGGTATCCTAGGGAGCGGGCTGTTCTCCCAGGCCAGGCGGTACGCAAACGACGACTTGGTATTCAACATTAGCTTCTCAGCACTCTGGTACTGCTTCCAGACCTCCTTGCTGACAAGCGCCTGTGTCGCGTGGAGGCGCGCTATGTTGGCGTTTTGCAGGCCCGCCACTACGGCGCCCAGCCCGTTGTAGTTGTTCAGTTTTCGCAGCTTGTGTGCAATGATCATGAATCTCTCAAGACAAGGGGCGCGATGCTTTGCCTTGTCGCGAATCAGCACCATGTTCTGTACCCATTTAGCGACGTGGTTGAAGTGAGCGATGAGGCGGTTGGCGTTTCTCAGCGACCGGCATCGCTCTTTCTCTGCTGTCGACAGGCTGACATGTCGCACCCAGTCGCGAATGCGCACACTGCTGAACATGATCCAGTCGATGCGGGTGATTTCTTCGGCGATGTCCTCGGGGTTCGTGTCCATGAAGATGTGGTAGCGGAATTTGTTGAGAGGCAGCGTGGCCTGAGGAACCATCTTGGCCGCCTCCCGCTCGTAGTCCCCGTAAGTGTGATATTGGTAGTTTGTCTCCCCTGCGCTGTAGTCTCGCTCGAGGTGTGATAGGTCGGAACCCTGTGAGGGCCGCCGCATTTCCGCCGATAGGTGATCATCCACTGTCAACGAGGCCATCGGCACTTCGAGATCCTGGGACTTGTGCGAGCTGGCCGTACTGACGTCCTCGGGCGGGTCGTCTGACTGTGCCCATGCCGTATCATCATCTTCTACCACAAAGGTTTCGAGCTGGTGCCTCATCTGTCCTGCGGCCGCGCTGAAGGCCGGCTCGCTCGCCAGGTGGTTGATGAAGCGCTCGAGGGTCTTCTTGGTCGTCGGCCGTGCGAAATCGCCTGGATAAAGGGACACCCATCTGGCCACTACCTCGATTATGCGCATCTGCGTGGCTTTCTTGCCTAGGTAGTGTGCCGATTTATCCTCCTTGCCCCGTTCCAACCTGGTGAGGATGGCGGAAAAGAGCTGACCCGGGGCGGCAAACTTTCGGTACAAACACAGGAAAATGTCCGCAAAGTTGCTATCCGCCCTTGTCATCCTCGGTGCCAGGAGCCTGTCCACAAGGTCGTCAAACGCCACGCCGGTCATCTTGGCGGGTCGGTCCATAAAACTCTCATCGCTCCGTTGCAGCAGTGGCATGTCGTCCGTCATGGAGGTGCGGAACGACTCCACGTCTGATTCATCGACCTCGTAGAATGGCTCCGCCCCAAGATCTAGACGCACGCCGGTCTGTCGCAGCTGGCTTGAGACTGTCGGATTCATGTCGTCCTGGCCGAGGCCCTGGCCGGGGTAAGCCCTGGGCGAGCGTGCCGAGGACCCTCGATAATAACTTTCCCTCTCGCTCGCCTGCTGTGAGAAGCCCCGGAGCAATGAGAGGTCGGAGCTAGCTCTGCTGTGCTTGCTGTGCACGGAATCGGGCCGACCGTTGTTGAGGGGGTCTACCGTGGGCTCCAGGTTTGCGGCCGAAGCGGCACGCCGTCTCTGGCTGGCCGCATCCGACTTATCACCTCCTGGGATAGCATGCAAGTCAGCTCTCGGTGATGGTCGAAGTCAGTGTTGAGAGGAGTGAGGCATGAGTCATGATCCTTGAGCAGCCAGACCTGGGGGAGGTCCATGAATAGAAGCAGCTCGGGGTCGGGACGGAATGATGGGGGGTGGAGGTCAGTACCTTTCCGGCCGTTCACGACTGCCCTCAATATGACCTGCAGGCAGTCCCTGGTGGTGTTTGGGGTCTTTGGAGAGGTGTTGAAGTTGGCGATCACGGAGGGGTATGCGGCAGCGACGCTTGCCGTGTCGAGCTCCCTGAGCTCCTCGGGGTTGTCGCATTTTGTTGCGACAAGGACCAAGGGGTAGTTGGACACGGAAAGAGATGCTGTGGTGTGGCTTAGCAAATGACGGGAGCGGCATAGTACAGAGGCGGGTGGCGGGCGAGGGCCGGCTCACATATTGTCTGGGGCAGCAAGGCGATGCTGTCCTTGTTCATGACGTCGTAGAGCACCAGAGTCCCATCGATGCGAGGGCTGAGCATCCCATTGGCCTGCTTGGGCCAGCGGATGGGCTCGTCCATGCCCAGGTCGAAGGCCTCCAGGTCGACCTCGAACATGTTGACGTTGTGGTGGGAGCCATCGGGCTCCGTCCAGTTGAAGGTGACGAGCTGGTTGGCAGGCCTGGACATCTTCAGGGCCTGCTGCAGGAAGGCGCTCTTGCCCACGCCATTGGCGCCAATGATGGCGATGTTTATTGTGTCCATGGTGACGAGGCCAGACAGGACGGTGCTGGGCTGGCGTGCTGTGCGCCTCTGGTCCAAACGGCGCGTGTCTGTTGGCTAAGACCCAGCCTGCCGTGCCATGTACGCGTGGCAGAAGTGTGTGGTGCCGTAGGCCCCTGAGGTCGGTTGGTCCCTTCAGCGCGTCTCTGCGAGGGTGCGATCGGGGTTGCGGCACAGGGACAAGCGCAGGCACATGTTGGGGCGCCCGGCCCGGATGGAGGATGCCGACTGGCTCAGGGCGCACACCGGTAGGTCGGCGGGGACTGCGAGGCGGTTCGGGGGGGAGGGGGCGTGGAGGGCGCGAGGGAGGCAGGAGGCGGGCGGCACAGTTGGAACGGAGGTCGTCGCCTGTGGGTCTCCGGGGCTGGCGACGGACGAAGGAGCGGACTCGGGGAGGGTGTCCGGGGGCGTGGGGGGACTGGCGGAGGGCCGCAGAAGGGCTAAGGGGCTAACAAGGGCTAGCAGGCAGTGGACGAGATAAGGTTGGGCGAAGGACGCTGCTGATGGTGGAATGCTACCGTAATAAGCCTGCTGGTCACTGACATGCGGAGGGCGAGTGTGAGGGCGAGGCCGGGTCGCAGGCTGGCAGGACGCCGCCCCCTTCACATGCGAACAAGAAGAACCCGCAACGCGTCGTCGGGGGGCCGAGATCATGCCACCTCGTGGACAACCCACAGCATTGGGGGGAGGGGGGAGGGGGGAGGGGCGAGAGGGGAGGGACTCACTCACTGACAGATCCAGGCCGCTGGGGGGTTGGGAATGAGGAGTAGTCGAGCGCACCACTGGGCACTGGGGCACTGGGCACTGGGGCACCGTGTCGCAATTTGAAGAGGGAGCGAAGGAGCTTGGTTGGCTTGTATGGGGCGGTGGGCGGGTGACGAGCAGTGGTTCAGAGGACGTGTTCCGTCGTGCTGGCGCTGGCAGTACGAGAAAGTGCGGTCGGTGGGTTTCCAGGGTGTGTCGCCTGGGCTCAACTCAACCACACTCAACTCACACACATACATACATGCACGTATTGATGATTTGTTCGCACATACCTTGCTGCCCAGCCTGCCCGCCTTCCTGCCTCCCTGCCTTGTTGCCCTGTCATAACCCAGCGCATGGTGTGGTGTGTCAAGATACTTCTACATGCGGACTTGGGTATGCATGCGTAGTTACAGTGCAGATACAGGGCCGTACCGCAGGTGGTACAATGCCCCTAGGGATCTGCTGTTGGGTGGCTGTACGAGGTTGAGGCCGTCACAGCTGCCTGTGGCAGAGTGGGCGCCTGCAGCCACCGTCCCGGAGGTCCTGGCCAGTGCTGGGAAGGCCGGCTCAGTCTGAAGCTCATGCCGCCAAGGGCGGGTGAGGCATCCAGCATGCAGGAGCCAGGTGCCTTGTCCACCAACACCAACGTCAGGTGCGCGGGCGCATGCGTCCAATCTTTGCCTGTCGCCTACAGACAACCTTGATCAGTGGTTGGTCATCTGTACCTAACATGCATGTGCCGGCCTGGCAGCCCTGGCCTGTCGTTCGTTACACAAGCAGACAAGCCGGTTGGCAGCCCAAAGCCTCGTTGAGCTATCGCTTATTATTGCGCCCAGTTTCCCCCACTCTCTGCCCGCTCAGGGGCAACAAAGTCCACGCCAGCAGATCCGATGAGCTGAAATCTGAGCTTCATCCAGAAATTCCACCAAAACATACCCCTGCCAACAACTCGGCGACTGACTTGGTCGGCGGCCCAGGCGGTTCGCTTTCAACCTCGGACCCCCTTTCGTCTTGCTGCATCTTTACTAACCTAGCTACCTGGGTTGCTGGGTAGGTAGTACAACGCACCGCGCTGTGCCAAGAATCGCGCCCGTGGACCGGGCTAGGTAATTCTTTCCCTCCTACTGCGCCACTTGGTCCCATGTTCAGTGCGCCACAGCCCAGTTATTGATAACCTGCCAACCTCGTGGTAAACGCGGTCGGGGGCGGTCCAATATGTTCACCTGGCTCACCAATGCTGTGGCGAGCATGCTTCCGAGGCACCTGACTCCAGTCATCGGGCGCTCCCCGCAAGCTGATCCCCGTACGGTCTCCAGTTGCTTCGGGCCGGCTGTGGTGAGCAGGGCCCCATGCCATTGCACAGTAGTTGGGCCCCGGTCCGTCGTCTGTATCAATCCCATGAAGCATGGGCTCTTCGTGGTCATCGTTGGACTCGCAGGGCTCGTATTGCCACTCGTCAGAAGGTATACCCTCTTCGCAAAGATGGTCCTGTATTTCTGTGTCGAAGTCGTCGTCTTCATTTGAAACAAAGCCCGAGAGGTCGTCTCTGAAATCTTCCAGAGCCACAGCCGCCTCGTTTGACTCGGCAGAGCAATCTTCGAATGAATGTGTAGTGGGTTGCATTCCTTCCTCGATGTCGGAAGATTCGTAGTAATAATGGTCATGACTGTCACTCTCATAATATAAGACCGAATTTTCCCAGCCATGTTCCTGGAGGACGGCTTCACTGCCAACGTGCTGCTTTTGGTATTCTCGATCACCGTGTATCGGATCAAGAGTCTCGGCACACTCGCAATCGTCCTCGTAGAAGCCGTTGTGCCCCAGCAGACTTTCCGAGCAAGAAAGCATTTCACCATCGATCCCACCATCGATCCATTCCGTAACTCCCATGTCGGTATCTGCACAAGAATCTTCTGGCCCGAGGTCCATGGTGGTGCCCTCAGCGTTACCTTCGCTGGGATTCATAGAGCCATGACTGCTTTCCAGTTCCAGGTGCGTCACATCATGGCCAGCAAAACCTGATGTTACCTCATGCGGCTGACTGTCCTCCTGCAAAAGCAGAGTCTCTTCTACATGGTCCAGGTTGGTGTAGTCAGTGAAGTCGTTGCCCGTGGAAACCTTCTGTACAGAAGAAGCTTTGATCTTTTGATCCCGACCCGACCGTAAGAGTAGAACCTGACACCTTCTCTGGAGCTCGTCTAACGCTTCATCGAGCCCCGTGTCTGCAGCCGCTTCTGGAACTAGTGATTCGATCTTGTGCAGAAGCTCTGGCGACCGAGTGCTCGTCAGGTTTCCCAACGCGGAGGATATAGATGGAATAAGTCGCGCCCGACTCACGACTCTCTTTTTCTCGTGTTAGGATCCCAGAAGCAAAAACTGTCAAAGCCACTCACCTGGAAGTATTGTGCGTTCCAAACGGCAGGCGCAAGTTCAAGAAGCGCTGGTGGTTTCGTTCCTCCCATATGCAGAAACCCAAGATACCTCGTCCTCAAACCCAGCATAAGATTCAACGCATTTTGTGCAAGCTCCACCAACCTTTCCGCCTGTTCAGTCAGAGGGAGTGCCCAGAATGCTGCAACTTTTACATGGCGTGGCTCAGTCTGGGCCCTCACCACCTCTCGGAGGTTGTAGGGCGTCTTGGTTCTTGATCGAGGTACTGAGTGCCCGGTCTTTGCTGGCGCTGTAGACGTCGCGGCCGCATACCGAAAGCTGCAGAAAAGCTCGGAGAGGTGACCGCAGGGGATGCCTTGTGGGACGAAAAGACCCGAACGCTGTTGGACATGCTGCATATAGTATACTGAGGTTGCAGAAGGAGTCGAGTCGCTTTGAAGGTCGCTCTGTTCTAAGCGAAGCTCGAGACCCAGATCGCACCAGACCTGTAACCTGTTAGTATTACAAACGGAGAAATCCAGCCGAGTAGAGGTGAGCAACCTGAAGTGACTGAAATTTCTCGATGATCAGTTGCCTCCACTGTGCGCCTTGTTCGACTGATACCTCGGTTGGCGGCTCAAAATGGACGGCCAAAGTGAGACGGCAGGAGCGAGCCCGTGTGAGCCACAAGGCACCCGCTTGCACTTGATCTCGCAGTGCATTTGCAGTTAGATGGTCTGGAAAATGGTCTGGAAGTGACAGGGTCACCGAAGTGGATACAGTGAGAACGAAATCCTTGTCGGCCTTGCTCGCGATGCCGAACCTGCCAACGTCGATAGTCTTCTCCGGAGCCATGGCAGAAGGGTAACAAATCTGAACCGAGAGGAAACTTGCTACTCTAAATAGTCGGGATCTACTGGAGGCCACGCTCGATCGCAATTCGTTTGTAAAAACCATGCCAGGGAATGGACAAGGCCCATTTTTACAGCAGATGGTAACTGGAATAGTGCGTGCTGGAGTGAGGCATGTAGAGTAATGGCATGGGGACGGTAAGACAAATGTATGCCTTCCACAAACCTAGGTGGAAGAGTCGTCGATGGGGGGAAGAGGATCAACAAGGAGGAGACATAGGGAGAACATGCAGCCTAGAAGAGGGATGCTTCATCTGGTAGGTAGCGGGGAGACCCGACGCAAGCGACAGCAGGAGGTCAACTGCTCCTGCCTCCCATCAGCGAACAAGCTCGTAGATGCGTGGCGTACGGCAGCTCGTAGGGGGAAGTAGGGAGCCGATGTTCCTGCATTTTTGCCTAGGTACTTATTAGGTACCTGACAACGAAGGTGGGTTCCTGGGTTCCTACTTACCTAGGTACCTACCTACCTAGGTAGGTACTTAGGTAGGTATTTACTCACCTAGGTGAAAAGATAGCCCGAGATCCAGATACCAGAATTTGGGATTCAGTCAAATATCTACGCGAAGTGCTGTACAGAATTTCGTCTTTGGGGATACGACTTGATAGTCTGGTGCGGTGGTGTCAATAACAGCAACGAACGTCTCAAAACGTAGGTAAGAACCCCATAATCAAGCGCTGGGAGGCTCGTTTCGAGGACAGGAGATCCAGTCCTCCTTGTGTTGGAATTCATGGCTTGGGCGGCCATATTGTCTGTTTGCGTGTCGAACCGATGTCCCGGGGCGGCGATAGCCGTTGGGAGGCAGGGACAACGGCATGCTCTTTTGGCTGACCGGGGAAGAATGGCAATGCCGTTCTATGCGGCAGGTATGGCAATCCTTGACCTCGAACCATCATTCCACAAGAAGGATCTCAGCGACGAGTTGCTCACGGCACAAAACCAGACCTGCTTTGTCAAACTGCTCATACATTGCATTAAAGTCCACACTGGCCGATCTTCGTTGTCTCCTTCCGCAAACTGGGGCCTGCACCCCACCATTCCCCGAGATCCGAACGTAATCGACTCTACCCCGGCTCCCATCCCACCGCCATTACGCAGACAGTCTCTGTGTTCAGTCTCCCTCCTCACAATCAAACTCGGCCTGCCGACCAAGTGTCTATCGCACAGCGTTCGAGCCTGTGCAGCGGCCTCTGGGAAGCTAGGCCACATCGCCCATACCTTCACAGCCTGTCTTTCTCTAGCGTCCTAACACCCTCGACTTTTGCGACGCTGAGGGGAAGCGGAGGCGTGTTCCGACGACGATGACCCTGGCCGAATTATCGACAGCAGGCTTGGATTTGGTTGTCTTCTTGACCAGTTTAATCAACTTTCATGGTGCCATAGGCTATGCAGACCCAGAGGTGGCCATAATCCTGTACATCATATCCAAACTCCTACCTCGTTTTCAGGAACTGTCCAATTCTGAGATATGACGCCTCCTCGGCCATATCCCACCGGGCTCGGCTATGAGTCCCCGACCGAGCATACGGTCGATCGCAGTGTAACATCTGCCATGGCCGCCAGCCAGTTGTTCCACAGACTGAGTGAGCTGCAGCAAAGCCAGCATAGTCAAAACGCTGCTCTGGACGATTTAGTCTCCAGGGTTGAGAAGACTCCCGTGCCGAAAGCGGTTGGAATCAGAGACAGGATCGCGTGCTTCCAATGGACGTGGTTCACATCTACAATGGCTACCGGTGGTGTTGCCAATGTCCTTGCAACTGGTGAGATAGTGATGTTAGCCACGGACCAAGATGTTGCAGACAGCTGCTGACTATTGACCTGTCCAGTTCCCTTCCGATCTCAGTGGCTGTATATCATTGGAGCCATCTTCTTCCTGTTCAACATCTGTCTGTTCTTAGTCAACACTACTCTTCTTCTCATGAGATTCCATCTAAGGCCAGGGAGCTTTCGGCATTCCTTTACCGACAAATTTGAGTCCCTCTTCATACCGGCCTCTGTAAGTACATGAACCTTGGCATGGGAGTTTTGTGACGGTGCTAACAAATTCAAGCTTGTCTCGTGAGTTCACAATCCAAGTTCGGGAGACCACTGTTACTGACTTTGCCGAAGTATCGGCACTATTCTTATAAATATCTGCCAGTATGGCGTTCCAAAGGCTGGTCCCTGGCTTCTTGCTACTATGGAGGCCCTGTTTTGGATATGGACAGTGGCAGCTATCCTCATCAGTGCCGGTATATATCTGATCCTATGGTCTACGCTGTGAGCACTCCTTACACAATACGTTTTGTCCAATTCTGACTCTGCTACAGCATATTTCCCATCCACACCATGACCCCGGTGTGGGTGTTTCCCGCCTATCCTCTCCTGCTCACAGCCCCTTTTGCGGGTAACCTCATCAACTCGTCCGTAAAGGTTGGGCATACCAGCACTCTTAATGCTCTGCCGATAGCTATGGCCGCAGTTGCTGTGCAGGGGATGGGGTTCTGCCTGTCCTTTATGATTCTAGCCGCCTTTATCTATAGGCTCATGACGCAGAAGTTGCCGCGGGATATGCAACGACCTGGTGTCTTCATTTCGATCGGACCTAGTGGCTTCACAGCGGCCGGACTCGGTAAGTCCCGATTATTTATGCACTGCTCTTGCCATTGATTCTAGTGATGCGGCTGACAATTCTTCTTTGCAGTCCAACTCGGGGGTTTGGCGGGTGAGATCCTCCCAGAGGACTTCATGATGCCCGGTATGACGGGCCACGCTGTGTTCATCCTGAAGCTATTGTCTGCCATGATCGGGCTGTGGTTATGGGGCCTCGCCTTCTGGTCAGTACTGTCCATGCATGCTGATGGCTCGATGAATGTTTTGACTAAACTTCTCCAGGTTCTTTCTCGTATCTGTCGGTAGCTTCTGGAAGTACGCACGGCCGGAACACGAGGCCAAGATCGGCTTCCAGATGACCTTCTTCTCTTTCGTTTTCCCGAACACGGCGCTGTTGACCGCAACATATCAAATAGGAAATGCTTTCAGCTGTAGGCCGCTTCAGATCGTCGGATGTGTTATGACCGGAGTGTTGGTTCTTGTCTGGGCGATCATATTTATAACCATGATCCGCTGCATATGGAAACGAGAGCTGTTGTGGCCCAAACAGGAGTAGACCTCTATAGTTATTTTCAGAAGGATACCCATGGTGGAATTATACGTCGCTTGAATCGTGAAAAAAAGTCAAAGTCAACAAATTTACCGACGTTGAGGACGTTGTCTCGGGCCCGTACAAATATGCTGGTCTATTATCCGCTGGCTCTTCCTAGTACTTTTCGAATCTTGGGCAGTCCAGAGTCAGAAGGCGCGTCGTCTGATGCGCCACACGCATAAGTTGACCTGGGGGGGGGGGGGGGAGCAGAACATCTCCCACAGGCATAGCAGTGGAAGGTGTGTACGCTGTGTTGGGTTTGCTTCGATCTCAAGTTGCTCAGCGTCAAGCTTGATTTAACGTGAAGTATCCATATTCAGACAATTTTTCACGTATATTCCATCACTCTCGAGACAAGTACGGCGTTCTATAAAAGACCTTAGATAAGTCGAGTCATTATATTCATAACAGGTTTGTGCTTCTATTAATGCCAATTTATTGCCCCGTTGCAAGTCTTCTGCGAGACTAACAAAACATATTGCTCCTGGTGCCTCTTGTGGCACTCCGCCTGCTTCAAGCAAAGCGTAATTCGGGACCCAGGGCCCGTTCATCAAGGCCGCTTGATGTCGAATGCCGTTGCTGCTAGTTTCTCCAGCCGACTTCCGGGTAGTCGTGAGACGTTCTCGTTCATAGTCTCAGCTTCGATGGAGGTCTTTGCGCCGGGCTCGCTGTCGATTCCAGGTCGCCCAGTGATTACTTCTTAGCCCCGCCCTTGGCTCCGCCGTTGGCTCCCTTTTTCTCCTTCTTTTTCTTCTGCTCGGGCTTCATTGTGGCGAAGTGAATGTACCAGATGAAGACGCCTTCAAGGATAAGGATGAGGAGCACGACGATGAGGATGGTGAACAGGTATGGCTGGTCGTTGAGGGCAGCGACGGCCTGAGGCGTGGCGCCGATCTTGCTGAACCAATCGAATTTACCCATGGTCGGTGGTTGTTACTGAATTATTGGAAGGATATGTATGACAGAAGCGACTGTGTCTGTTTGGCTTGCTCTGCAAGTCGGCGACAGGTTCTTGGCCTTTGAGAATTGAAACGTACACAAACAACTGGACCAGCAGATGACGAAAGAGGCTATTCGCAGAAGTGAATGGAGGGAAAAAGAAGAACGGAGGCAGAAACAGAAGGGAGAACGCATGCACATGATACAAACCTTCTGGGCATGACGAGAGAATGGGTCCCGGGCCAACTCGTCTCACCGGGGGAGGGCTGCAGGCCAGAATAGGGGAGCCGTCGAGGAGATCGAAACTCGACGGTTTCAGGATTGCGGCAGACTGAACTCATGGCGATTGAACTAAGCGCGGCCCAATTAGACGGCCGCCTCATCGTCCCGTCCACTCACGGGGCCCGCCAAGACCCGGAACATGTCGACTGGCTAAGCCTCGAGCGGCTGGCCTCGCGGGTCGACTGTTGTTCACCTGTGCACAGCTCAATGACGGCTGCAGCCAGCGTCGCAATTTGAGGCTCTTTGTAAGGTTGTCGGGAGCGGTGCTGCTGGGCTCTCGGCCACTGACTGGGTGGGTGGGCATTTGGGGCACCTAGTGTAGTAGGGAGCATCTACCCCCACTCGGTACCTTGGCACAGGTGTTAGCACCGCGTTTGAAGGGTGCTGCGGGCTTGCGGACTAACCAAAGCAAATCCCAAGGCACTCCATACCTAGGTACCTACCTAGGAACTCACATCCTTAGTCATCAAGGACGAAGCCACCCCTGTCGAAAATTTGGCGACGGGCTCGTGAGCTTGCGGCCGAGCAAAAGAGCTCTACTCCACGCCTTTGCCTGACGCCCGCACAGCCAAATGCGCCATTCCGGGCCCTGCCGCCTACCATTATCTCGGCAGCCATGAGTGTCGCTACACCTGCAGCCAGGCGCCTGCTCTGCAGGTCTCTGGCAGCCAACTCCGCGAAGACTTCCGCACGCGCCGCCGCCGCCGCCGCCGTCCCGGGTTCAATATGCCAACGACACAGCTTTCACGTCTCGGCGCCCGTTGCAGGGAGGAAGAGGTCACCTTTTAAGAGTATCAAGGCCGGTGATGTTGACCTCAACGACTCTGAGGCGAGGAAACAGCTCAATGAGGCGGCCCTGCCAGACTGGGATGAAACTGATCTCCAGTCTCTCAAGAAGAGATACACGCCGGAGCAGCTCAACGCAGTGCAGCTCGGTGAGAATGTCATCGATTTGGATGATATGGTTGAGCAGGGCAGGCTAAGGAACGACCCGTACGCGTTCGAGTACCTCGAGGACTTCTCCACGGTCCGCCCGGTTGTGGACAAGCGTGTCAAGACCCACCGACCAGTCGATACCACTGCGAAATTCATGACGCCGAGCCAATTCGGCGACGACTTCGTCGACTTCATGCGCGAATTGAACGAGAAGCGCGGTGTGTCGCACGACATCACCTACGAGCAGGCGCTCAACATGTACGAGGACATGCGGGCCAAAATGTTGAATAGCAACCCTGGCGAGGCATTGTCAGCGACCGAGCTTGCAGAAGCCATGGACAGAGTCGTTAGCGAGGCCGGGTCGGCAGAGGAAGACGTGGCGGAAGACATGGCAAAGAGCCAAGGCACCGATATTGAAGACGACATCTCAGACTTGGATGTATACAAATATCTCATGGAGCGCAACTCCATGACTGGATTCGACGGCGGCGATACCCACTTGGCGCCCGACCTGCCCGACAAGGTGCCTGGCGTGGCTGGCCTTTACAAGAAGTCGATGGACGATTCTGACTCGGCCCTGGATCCCGAAGGCACATACCAAGAGCTCAAGAAGAAGACAGGCATGAGCGTGTCCCAGATCCTCGACATCTTCAACAAGCAGACAAAGATCCTGGTCCGCAGGTATGTCTCCAACCAGACACGTCTGGGCAAGATCCGCAGCAGCTACATCCTGGCCATGGCCGGCAACGGAAACGGGCGCATAGGCATAGGCGAGGCCAAGTCTGTGGACCAGGAGGTTTCCGTCATGAAGGCGAAGCTACTGGCTATCCAGAACATGGTGCCCATCCGGAGATATGAGAATAGGACGATTTACGGCAATGTGGAGGCCAAGGTTGGAGGCACAGTCGTTCAGATGTTCACGCGGCCACCTGGTGAGTATGATCTGACCTCGCGGGGTTTTATACCGTATCACCTAGGAGTATTCTGCTGACATGTGCCAAAGGATTCGGTCTCCGTGTCTCCCACCGCATGTTCGAGATTGCCCGTCTCGCGGGTATCTCTGACCTGTCCGTGAGGATGCCTCGCTCGCGAAACCCCATGAACTCTGTCAAGGCCTGCTTCCAGGCTCTGACGAACCAGCCCGACCCGGAACTGATTGCGCTCGGCCGAGGCAAGAAGCTCGTCGATGCGCGAAAAGTCTACTACGGTGGTGCTGTACAATAGACGGCGCTCATGTGAATATATGTGTATAATGAAACACCTCGAAAGCCTGGTCTCCGGACCAAGTCCATGCCGTGAATGATCGGAGTGTTGGTATCCGAGCTGCTCGTACACGTGGAACAAAATCGCACCGAGTCGAAAGGGTTGGTTAATTCACATCCCGTGGGTGTCCATGATTCCGCACACAGTGTTGTGCCATTCGTCCGGCGACACAGCAAAGGTATCGGGGAGGACAGGACGACTTCATGTCCCAACTGGTGAATGTCGTATTCCTGCCCGTGTTTCAATGCTGTGCCTGGTCACCCCAGTCAATCTCCTGCTGCAGGACGATGCTGTAGACGCTCGCCTTGAGCAGCGTGAACACCAGACTCGTCTTTCGCTCGAGATCGCGCAGACCGTCGAGTATCTCGGTCGTGGGCTGGGCGGCCATTGTGTCAAGGATGGCGGCAAGCTACAGACAGAACAAGCCCCCAGGTCAGAACGGGGAGTTCAGAGGCAAGGGTATCAAAGACTTCGCAAGACGTACATTCTTCATATTGTCTGCCAATCTCTCGTACTCGTCCAGAACCTCCTGCTCCAGTGGAGAGAGTTCTGGCGGCGACAGCAGTGCGCTCGATGCTGGTCGGTCGTCCATCTTTCCAGTTTGCGCCAGGGGGGTGTGGAGGGCAGGTGGTTAAGGACTTATTCTGGCGTCGCGTGGCCGAACCAAGAAGACGCGTCCGTCGTCCGTCGTGGAGATCTTGACGTGGGGGCTGTTGCCGGACCCCGGGCCAGCCCCACCCTGTGCATGCGGCTCGGTGGTGGTATCAGTACTTCTTGTACTGCTGAAAAGCTGCCGCAAATTAGGTATATAGTACAACATCGAGACAGGCCACTCATCTCAACCGCCATCACCACAGCTTGCTGATCTCATGCGAGCACGACCATTTCCAAGACCGACTTCGCCCCATTGATTTTCTCCTTCTTCGGCCCGACAACTCACAATGTCATGGGACTCGAAATCCACGATGTCTCGCCGGAGACAAAATAGCAGCGCCGCGGCCGGGCGCTCAAGAGGGCTCTCAATACACATGCGCAATGCCAGCAAAGCGACCGCAGCGGCTTCAACACCGGTCAAGGTCGAGCCCAAGTCCGCACACACGTCAGACCCCTTCCTGCAGGAATTCCTGAGCCCGGCATTCGACCCGGCAGAATACCTCAACCAGACGCTGCCGCCCCTTCAGGGCTCATCATCGTCGCTGAGGTCCTCGGCGGCGGCGGGCAAGGGCGCGGCCCCCCTGGCCCAGCTGTCGACCGAGGCTCAGGAGCTCCTGACGCAGCTCAACGCCCACACGACGCGCCTGGCCACCACGCTCACGCAGCTGACGGACGACATCATTCGTAGCGGCAGCAGGCTGGCGTACGAGGTCGAGCTGCTCCGGGGCGAGACGCTGGGGCTGGCCGAGACGCTCACCGAATGCCCGCTCAAGGACGACCTGGAGAGGTTCGTCCCGGCTGGCATCGAGCACACGGCAGCATCCACCAGGCGGGGCTCGTTCGGAAGCCTGGCGCCCGCGACGCCGTTCCCTGAGAAGGACAAGGACTCACCGCCGCCTCCAACGCCTGCCACGGCGGCGGCAGACAGCACCAAGAAACCAGCTGTGGCCGAGGTCGCCGCGGACGAGCCGACGTACATATCGCAATTGAGGACGCTGACGCTGGTCCGCTCGCGCCTCGACGCCGTGATCAAGACGTTCGGAGACGCAATGGACTTTGTCTTCCCGCCGTCCGAGGTCTCGGTCAGCTCGGGCTTCCTGTCCGTCTCGGCGCCCGACTTCCCGGACATGCACACGGCGTCCAAGGAGCAGATCAGCACCGAGGAGAAGGGCCAGAAGACGCTCAGGAGGCTGCGCGACGAGATCTCAGGCCTGCTCGCCAAGGGCAACCCCGACCCGGTGAAGGGCGTCGAGGACGCCACCAAGAGGGTGGAGGAGCTCAAGGAGCTGGTCACGGTGTGGAAGGGCACGGCCGAGGAGAAGGCCAGGCAGAGGTTCGTGGAGAACCTGGCGCGGATGGTCGAGGACCGGCACAGGGAACTGGTGAAGGAGGCCGAGGCGCAAAAGGAGCTGGCGTTGAGGGAGAGTCGGAGCAGGCAGGATGACGATGGCTCCAGGAGAGAGCCGGGGCCGGGAAGCTCCGAACCCGGGCTTTCGGAGACTAGAGGGTCCATGGGTGGGTATGGGTTTATGACCCAGTGGCAGAAGTTAAGAAACGGGCTGTGAGAAAGGGACCGCAACCCCAAAAGGTTGCTAGAGGTCTACGATTTGATACCCGGGATCCTCTTAGGGGACGAAATAGAACGGAGGCCACGGCTCTCGTTTCCTTTCGAAGTCTACGTATTTGCAGCCCGGTGCGAAATCGTGCTGCCTGCCATCGATGACTGCCCCTAATTTTATCACTTGAGGATTAATCAAAGCTACTGCCTTTGCCAGCAAGAGGGTTCCCATATCCGACATCAATTCTTTGGCTGCCATGTCTACAGACACGGACATAACGACATATGCGAACGTGCCGATATTCAATGGCTTCAAATAGAGTCAAGGCCACATACATGCTGCTTCTCCTTGTATATTTATTTGCCTGTTAGGCTGCAGGAAATCGTGTCTCCTTGTGTTGAAAAGCGTGGCCCCCTGGATCTGCTAGAAGAGTAACTTGATATACGAGCACACTTCAGTATATAGAATGTAGGAGTCTATGTGTCTCTACAGTCAAGATGAGGTGCCTGGGAAGCCATCTCACTTTTGACAGTCACCGCACTCATTTGGCACCAGACTGAGGTACGGGCACTCTTACTCTCCTATTCAGTGTTCCTCAATTTTCACCCCAGGCTCACTGGCACCCGCTTGCTCTACGGTCCCCAAGCTCGCAACCAGTGGTGGTGACTGGTCGCTTTCCCCGTTGTCCATGCCCCTGCCTCCTTTTTCCTCGGCGGGGGTCGACGCCTGGATATACTCATCATCGCTGCCATCGGGACTGCTACTAGGCTGGTCCATCATGCTTCCAGCGCTGTTGTAACCGCTTCGGTCGAACTCGCTCAACGGTCTGAAGAGACTCGCAGCAGCTGCAGCGTAAGCCACGCCGGTACCCGGCTCTGATTGATGCTGCTCAAGGCCCTGTCGCGATGGCTCCTGCCGTCCCTTTTTGTAGTCAATAAACTCTGCGAGGAACAGTGCTGCTGTGTGCGCGAGAGACTCGAGGGCCTCGACTTTCCGCCTTCGCAGAGCCTGTCTTTCCATCTTCTGGAAGGCAGCGGAGTTCACATGGTCGGCCTCTTGGCCGCGGTCTGCTTGTAAATGCCCAGAGAGGGTTTGGGAACCCGAGTTCCTCCTGCCTTGAGACAAGCTACGCTCACGATTCCATCCACTTCTCGTGTTCCCCTCTCCCAATTCAGACCTATGAGCAGACTCTTTTGGTGCTGGCCATGTTTCAGTCACATTTCCCTCGGTTGGCTGCCTGCTGTCCTTGCCTTTCTTTTTAGTCTTTGGCTGACGGGTCTTGTTCTTCGGCTCATTCACTTTTGCCGAGGATTGCAGACCAATGCCGGACATGGCGCGAAGCGCCGGGCCTATAGCTGCTTCATACGCAGCTAACACGGCAATGTTTTGGCTCTAGGGGATGTGAAGTGGTCAGATAGTGCCCATTCCCGCTCAGATAGTGGTGAATACGGTTAGCAGGCCATTGATACGTACACCATGTTGTTTATTCACCTCAGCCGCAGCTCGCATAAGGGCCTTGACTGGCATTACAGCCCTGGGAGGTAACTGTAATATATAAATAAGCTGTGTGTCCCTTAGGGATGATATACTGGGGTAAACCACTTGTGCGCCAAATTTTTACTTACAAGGCAGCAGGATACATGGGAAGAAACACACTCGTCGCATCTGGAGTCATGATACATGTCAATATGCTTTCCGCCATCATAGGAAGAGAGCTTCACCTTGTGCCTGTGTATCCCAACTTTCCGTCTTGCGAAACTGACAGGCAAGAGACCGGGTCAGCCGCGAGTTGCAAGGTAATTCAAACAAGCCTAGGCCGTTGTTCAGACAGACAAAATAATATCTAAATCCATACCAACGGCATCATGACATTTCCAGTTCGGGTCATTTCCGAGGCGACGGGCACAGTAGACACAAGGCAGAGCTCTTGAACTGCCCTTCCTCCGTTTCGCCGTTCCCTAGAGTTGGGTTAGCACCTCTCCTGCACGGACGAGCATGGTTCTTACGCTGTGATTTGACCTCTTGGGAGGTGATTTCCGCTTCAAAACATTCTCCCGCTGACTTGATCCCTGAGACAAGGGCTCGGGGATAGCTTTCTCCTTGGTGGGTGGAATATCGCTGACAACAAGAGGGATATCACCGACGACATGTTCGGAAGACACTCTGCTGTGAACACTTTGTGATGTGTCGATCAGGATTGCAGAATTGGCGAGAATGGTCTCATCACGGTCTGATTCTTCGGAACAGGACTCCTCATCAAGGTCCTCTCACAACGGTCAGCAGCTGAGGGAATTGCCCTACTCCGTACACAGTCGGGATTTCACATGAAACATTAAAAGGAGCAGCATACCGGTCCAATGTCTGCATCTTCCTCAATTGGCGGGGGCATCGCTTGAGCCTTTCTACAGGATGATGAATACACTGATCAGGGTGAGATTCGTGCATTGCCAGAATGCATTAGAACAACAATCATCAGAAGTGCACATGAGAGGGAGCTCCCCGTTGAAGGCGTCGTGTGTGTTGGGTGAGCTTGTGCCACGGCAAAGCCAAACGAGCGGGTAATAAGTGGCCTGTGCACCGAGCCCAACCTCAGCTTCAACCTCGATGCGACGCCTCACTGGATTCCGAAGCCGAACACACCACAAGGGAGACCACCACAACTGGCTGCAGCTGGCCTCATCGCAGAGATGGCTCAAGAAGAAGTCCTCCATGCCTATCGCCACCTGTACCGGGCCGCACTGAGAGCTGTATGCTATTCTCAGCCGGCCAGCTCCGTGGCACGAGACCAGCTGCGCCGAGCATTTCGTGACAAGACCAACACCTTCAACAGGAACACCATCCGCCGCACTGTTTGGTTTCTCAACAACGCGGCCAGGGAGAGGGGCACCGAACACAAGATTGTCAAAAACCTTCTCTTTACCAAGTTCTGGAAAGAAAGGGGCAACTATCGCACCTGGAGGCACCTTGTGGACTCGAACCAGATCAGAAAAAAGTATGTTGCCAACCCTTCATGGTGGCCCGGGCTGGCAATGCTGACAGTGAGGTTCAGGGAGGACCCGGTCAAAGCCACAGCATATGCCCATTATGAGCGCACCATTTCCATGCTGAACAGAACGATGGGGCTTTGTTTACCTCTCAGCTGAGCGATTTCTCTGCGCCGGAATGACACGTCGTTGTGCGGCCGCCCGACCTGGCAGTGAGACGCCGGCCAAGTCGGCAGCGACTCCGGGTGGGACAGCTTCCCCGCCGCTCCCCCGCCCCCGAATTAGAACGCTCCTGAGACGCCGTCTCGACGAAGAAACGGCCCGCTTTGCTTGGCTGCAGTAACTCGACCCCAAGAAACCCCCAGGACATCTCCTGAGCCTGGAGCGAGAGATACAGCGTTTGCTTCGTCCAGGGGCGGTTTCCTCGGTGGAAATGGCCGGGGACCTGACGTTTTTGTCCAAGCCCACTATCGTAGGCGGTGGGCCGAGCAATGCAGGAGTCACGATTGGCTTTGACTCCCAGACCTGCAAGGGCCAGGAACATGAGAGCCCTGCAGCACCCGTGGATTGAAGGGTGCGCATCAGAGTAAAGCCCAAGCTCCAATTGCCCGGGTGCGTTTTCAAAGCCGGTTGGTGCTGGGGTCCAGCTAGGAAGCATTGGGCAGCGCGCCAGTGTAACCTGTACCATGATATTGTCAAGCTATTACAAGCACCGAGCTCTGTTCACCCTCTAGAGTCGTGCTTGCTGCCGTGTTGGGGCGATCCAGCCCAATAAACCTGGCTGACTGAGTGACTGACATGCCCAGCACCTGCCGGGCGTGCGATGCTCAGGCAGGGTTATAAACAGACCTCAGCATCGAGACACATGTTCCCGCTTCCAGATCTGGCCTGCTGCATCGTGCGACGGCGGCCTGACTCGGTGAGGGGCCGAACCCTGTGCCGCCGTGACGTATGGCGGCGGTGCACAAATGTGGTTGTGCTGAGTCGTATCCCATCGCCGGAAATGCTGTCTGTTCGGTCCGTACAAGCCCAGGTCGTCCAAGACATGTACCTAGTGAGCCTCTCCGGCAGGGCCTGAATCAAGGGAAGAAGGGTGTGGATTCACATAGCTTCTGACGATACAAATGGGCGTTTGTTGTGGGGTGGGACTCTTGCTTCGACCCCCCGGGAGTGCTCCATACTTAGCCTCTCAGATCAGTGATCTACCGTCACTGTGGAGAAGGGATGGCACCGCTCTGGCGAACCAGCTCCCAGAGCTGAGCTAGCTTTGGGTGGGTATTGGACAGGACCCCGCAATTCCTTGGGCAGGTCCCCAATACGCTTCACACCATCACCACTCTAATGCTTCCGCAGATGAGTTCCCGTTGCACGACGATAAGAGTCGTTAGCACATCAATTCGGTGGTTACTCGTCTAGCCTCTCGTGCTCGAGCACGTCCGGGAACTTTCTCTCCCTTACAACATCATTCCACCCCATCCAACACCCCGCGCCGCCCATCCAAGCCGTCCATCGGGGCCGTCGACAGCCGACTGATCACAACCCACGCACCGCGGGGTTCTTCATGGACCTCGTTTCTTGGCACTTGCCCATACCGCGACCGCTTTGAAGGCTCTGGTCTCGACAACCTCGAGGTCATTGTCCAAGGGCGGCTGCACCAGGGCCTGTGATTGCCAGGAAGCATGCCAGCTGAGCTCATTCCCCTCAACCAAAATGGTCCTCAGCTCCAGCCTCCGACCACGCCTACCAAAGGCAGCAGCAGCAGCAGCAGCGGCGGCAGACACAACACGACGAGTAGCCACAGGCGAGCAGCAGACATGGCTGCTGGAAAGGGAGACAACAAGCACGCGGCTCCCCACGAGCAATTGCCCTTTATCAAGCGGTACCGGACAGAGGTCAGCGCCTCTGCTTCCAGCGTCCTGTCCACCCTGACTGCTTTCCCCCTCGACAGTGTCAAGACACGCATGCAGACATACAACTACTCCGGTTTCCTGGACTGCGTAAAGCACACCTACCAAACCGAGCAACTGAGGGGCTTTTTCCGGGGTGAGCATTCCTCTTCGCGTCGCTCCTCTGCCCACCCCGCCGGTTGATCAGCCCCTGCTAACATTCGTGTCTCGCTCTGCAGGCGTGGCTGCCCCTATGGCTAGTATCACCCTCGTGCGAACGGTCTCGTTCTCGATTTACCAACGATCCAAATATGTCTACTCGGACTGGCTCAAGAAGAATTTTGGCATTGACGTTCTCGCCCACGTCAACAAGCAGGGGACATACCCAAACCTATCCTCTGTGGCCTGTTTTGGAGCGGCCGGGGCAACGGCTGGTTCTTGTATCACACTCATCGCATGTTAGTGCTCTGGCTTTACGGTCTGGACATCAACTCTGGCTTGGACCTGTTCTGACAGTCTACAGGCCCTTTCGAGCTCACCAAGCTGAGTGCCCAGGTTTCAGTGCTCCTGGCCGATAAGAAGAACTGCACCCACCCGGAGAGCCACAAAATTGCCGCGAGCTATCAGAACAAGGGCACGTTCAAGACCATGGCCAACATCATTCGACACCGTGGCCCTTTCGGACTCTACACAGGGTTCAATCTACATCTACGTACGTGGCCAGTAACATAATATCGTCCAGACCCGCTCTAATCGATGATACAGTGAGGGACACGTTGGGCACCGGCATTTACTTCATGACATACGAAAGCAGCAAACAGCTATTGACGACGTTTGGCGGTGATGGGACCCACTCGAATCCTTTGGCGGTCCTGGTCGCCGGCGGCCTCTGCGGGATAGTATCATGGGCCATGATCTGTGAGTGTTCAGGAGCAACAGCCATCACGCTCTCACGAAAGCATCTAACCACCACCCACAGATCCGATCGACTCCGCGAAGAGCATATATCAGCGTAACTGTCTAATGTACTCTAGGGGTCAGACAGTTCCCCGTGTGAAGATCGAGTTCTTCCGAAGGCATATGTACAGGGGCCTGGGCGTGTCCATGGGTCGATCCTGTGCCGTGAACGCTGTTTTCTTCTCTTCCTTCGAATTTCTGAAGAAACGAATCAACGCCATCAAGGAGAAGGAGTGAGGCGGGACTTGCATATCATTCTGAAACGGCGTGTTTAGGACCAATGATTGATGCATTTGCAGGGCGGGATGGAACGGTCGGAGTCGTCAAGGACGGGACAGGACAGGAAACACCGGCTAAATATTTTACGGACTACGTTGGAGGGCCAAGGAAGGCCTGTACTGAGAGCTATTAGTGACCATTGATATCATGGCACAAGCGTAGCCGGACAAACCCAGTATCTGCTAAGGAACAGGAACAGGAACAGGAGCAGGAACAGAACAAAATCAAGCGAAACATCATGCCCTTGGTTTACACGGTTGATTCTCCGGTTTGTAAATGACCGACGGATAAATCTCATGCATAGTCGCACTCGCCAGATCGTAGCAGTTGATGCTGCTGCACCTCAATTAACAACGAGGGAATTGCTAGTGTATCTATCGTTGATGTAGATCTCATAAATGGTCTCGATCTTGACAAGGCCGATCACATGACATGATTCACATCGTTTTGCACGAACAAGCATACCGTAAAATTATGTGCCGTCTATCCCCCGAGAACCAAGGTTTACAACTATCGATACATGCGTGTACCACCATATCGGCTGACCGGGCGACTTGTCGATATCTGAACAATGAGAATGTTATGTACGAACACTGACACTGTGTAACATGCACGCACCAGCAGGCGTGTGCCCTTTTTGCGCGCTGACATCACCTAATGAAAACGATTCTCGAGAGAATGAAGAATGAAATATAGATCCCCCGTGCGTCGCAAGCCCGTCTCGGTTCCCTTCTAGTATGCAATGGTTGTCTAATACCCATGACTCGCCGTCTTCCCGCCCCGTGTTCTGCAAAAGTTTATCCACATCGACCCCGGTGTACGTAGATGATATGCTCTCGAAACATATTCTGGGTTTCTCCTTCAAGCGTGTTCGCCTTTCATGCCGCCCTTTAGTCGTCCTGGTTACCCAGCGGCTGATATCTTCCGCTCCTGTTGGAAACACTGCCCGAGCGAGCGCGGGACTGGGATCGGCCGACGACCCTCGACAGCCAGCCAGCGACGCCGCCCTCCGCCTGCCCAGTCTCGTACTGAGGCCGTCCATTGACAAAGTTTACTGTCGGCGGATCGACATCCAGGCCGGGGAATGGTTGCTCTTCGGCCAAGAGCGGCCGGCCGCGCATATCGAGGGATGGGACGGGGGAGCCCGCGCGCACATGGGAGCCATCGACTGGGCCGAATGCAGGGGTGCCTGCCGAGGCAGGGGTGCCGATGGTAGTCGTCGCGTCGCCGAAAATGGAGTTCATGTCTTCGAGGCGGACGCCGCTAGTCTCGGGGTATATGAAGTAGACTGCCATACAGTTAGCATTACAAAGATGATGGAATAGCAAACGTTACCGTGGGGGGCTTTCTTACCAATGACAAAACTGGCGGCGCAGAAGAAGGCGTGGACGAGGTACAGGCGCCATTTGATCCACTCCTGCAAGACCGGAGTCATCTCTCCCACGAGCCAATTGAAAGCCCAGTTGGTCGCGGTCGACAGTGACGCGCCCTTGGACCGGATGCTCAGCGGCAGGATTTCGGGCGGGTAGAGCCAGGGAATCGGGCCCCAGGAGTAACCGAATGCCGCATTGTAGATCATGACGAAGACGACGACCAGAGTAGGCGTCGCCTTGATGTCGAGGAAGATGAAATACGAGATCAGTGACAGAGATATCGTCATGGCAACCGCGCCAGACAGCAAGATGACACGGCGGCCCCATGTGTCGACAATGTACCACGGTGGGATCGTGGACAGGAAATAGGTGATGCCGTTGATACCAGTCATCAGCACTGCATCATGGCCAACCCATCCAGCAGATTCAAACACGTAGGGCGCATAGTACGAAATCACGTTGATGCCGTTGAGCTGAGCCAGACCCTGGGCGGACATGGCAATGAAAACACGGGTCTTGTAGCGGCGGAACATGTCGCTGTATGTCCTTTCTCCCTCCTGGCGCTGGAGCAGGACGTTCATCTTGATCTCACGAAATTCGTCACGGGCCTTTGGGTTATGGATGTCACCGCCGCCGTATAGGTTAGCAATGACGACAATGCCCTCCTCGTCGTGGTCGTTATCGAGCAGCCACCTAAGTCTCTGTTAGTACTTCGCAGCGCCCTGGGCCAGCCGGGTGCACCATACCTTGGGGATTCGACAATGACCAGACTTCCGAGCCCGAGCAGGCCACCCATGACGCACTGCATGAACAGAGGTATCCGCCACGAGGCGTCGCTGTCTATGAAGCCACAGAAGTAGTCGACCCACACAGATGTCGTGTACCCAATGATGTTGCCGGAGAACTCTATGCACGCCAGCTTTCCACGGTTGTGCGGGGGGGAGATCTCGGACTGGTAGACTGGGACGATGGTCGACAGGGAGCCAACGCCCAAACCGGCAATGATTCGGCCCAGCATCATCATGGGCATGCCCGTCGCGAAGGTCTGCAGGGCACCGCCGACAAAGAAGATCATGGAGCCGTAGAGGATGGTCCGTCGACGGCCGATTATGTCTCCGATCTTGCCCACCAGTAGCGACGATATCAGGGCACCGATCTCGAGAATGGCGACCATGGTGCCTATCTCGGCCTTGGAGGGCTGGTTGAAGTAATCACGGAAGTACGGGCCCCTGGAGAGGGAGAAAGATCTCGGTCAGCTGCGAGGCTCGGCCACCCAGCGGGAGGGAGGGGGGCGGGGCGGAGAGGGATATGGTCCTACGTGATTATACCCGACATTACGCCTTGGTCATATCCAAAGAGAAACACGCCTAATGATACGAATATACTTGTGAAGTAACTGGCAGGTCCAGCTCGTCAGTCTTCTGGGACGATAGTAGGTATGGCACGTGCCGGAGCGGCGGGTTTGCACTTACATTAGGGGTTTCCCCGTGAAGCCCCTGGAGCCAGACATGATGGAGGAGATAAGGCGTGCGGCCCTGGACGGTCTGCGAGGGATGGGCTCGGGGATCTCGATTTCCTCCTTATTAACGACGCCAGCCTGCCCCGGGGAGCGACGTTGGGAGCGGCGGTGGTGGTCGGGATCCTCGTGGATGCGGACGTGCTTCTTCTCCCTCCTGCTGCCTGCACCGTTGGAGTGGGCGTGGTTCCGTGGTAGGTGCTTCAGGCCGGCGAGGGCGGATTCATCGAGGGTGTCGTTGAGCCTGGCGCGCAGAGGGTCCTCGGCGTCGATCTGCTCGCCAATGTCGCCGGTCGAGACCCAGCTCTCGGTGTCGTCCGAGTCGGAGCCGGGCTTGTCAACGTGGTGGCCGGAATGGTGGGCTCCCAGGAATGACGTCGATTCGGATTCGTCCTGGAGGTGTCGCGAGGCGGAGGCGGAGCCGGAGGACTCAGCGAGGTTGCGGAGGGGGATGTTAGACGACGGGCGGGTATTTGTCCTTGAGGTTGAGAAAGGCATACGGCATGACCCTTTCCTATGGACAAAATAAAAAAACAAAACAAAAACCCAAAAACCGGCTGGCCGCTGGACGGGGGGGGTTGGGCGAGAGGAGCGAACGAATGACACCGCAAAGGCGAGAGAGGCTAGCTCGGCGTCTGACTCTGATCTGGAGCGTACAGTGGCATGTACTATGCTATCAGGTCTGATGGGGATCCTGAGGAAGGGTGTGGCGGGTGCGAGTGCAAGGGCAATGTACAATGCTATCGGTCGGCGTTGCAGCGGAGGGTGATGCGGTTGCGGTGAGCAGTCGTGCCAGCGTGCGTATCCGTACACAGTAGCTTCTTCTCTCAGCTGTCCAAGAAGCAAGATTCACCCGACCTTCCGACCCTGCCAGCCCAGCCCTGCCTGTTGACTTCCAAGCTTGACACGGCCATCTGAAGGTCCAAGGATGCTTGTGGCCCATAATAGTGCATGGCGCCCGCCGATCTCCTGGCCTGGCTGATAAGAGGTACGCACGTCCACCGCCCAGGCCTGGTGCGCGGCCAGGTAGCTGTGCATCATTCCCACCAAGCACGCACGCACTCACTCTATCTGCAGTGCGGTAATCAATGAGACGAGATGCATCTTGCTCGCCCCCTTTTCCCTCCCTCTAGCAGACCAACAGGGGGTAATTGAGCCTCGTTCAAGTTGAAGCCCACTGCCCACCTGGACCGACGGCCTATCTGCCCATGTGTTCCTGATTCTAGTCCAGGTATAGAGATGGAAGCGTTGGCCCTTGGAACTGGCTGATCCTTTGTTCCACCGTGCCGCTAACAACTTGCCATTAAACCCACCCATAGAGCTGGCCCGCCTGCTAGAGCTGTACGGTGCTGTCATGGCCCCACCGTCGTCTCCCATCTTATCTTTTGGGCCGAAGGGCCTGTGAGCCGGTGGCAGGAGAACCCACCATCGTGACGCCCTCGCAGCGCCAGGGGGATCGGTCGCCATGGACTGAGCCCTGCTCCTCCCAACAGAGTTTGCACCAGCCCAGCGGCCCCAGCCGTCCTGTTATCGTGGTACCTCGTCGGTCCCTCGCGGGCGTCCGCAGCGAACAACTGACTGACCTGACTGACCTGACTGACTGTGTGCTGCATGTGGAGTCTCGCATGCCCAAGAGCCAGGCAGATGACCTCGAGTCCGGGGAAATGTGGGAGAGCGGCTGCCCACGAGACCCTTTTTTTACTCCATCTCCCCTCTTTCGTGCCGGCAACGGGCCTGTTGCTTTGGAGATCACAGGCTGTCAGCTCCCTCGACCCCAGACCCAATGACGCCACCCCGCATTCCCTCTCTCAGGGTCCAGGGCTCCTTCAAGCCCGATCCTCTTGCACATCAAGTCCAACCCACCTGGCCACCTGCCCAACCGCCAACGCCTGGGACATCACGCTCCATGCGTCGACTTGCATTTCGCCAAAGATCGCGGAGGGACGAGCATCACGATCCTGCCGCGGCAACGGCGCTGAAGCGACGGCGAGGGTGAGGTGTCGTGTGTTCAACGTCGTGTACCCGCCCACACCCAATTGTGCTTCAGCTGCGGGTAGACACAGACACAGACACAGCCTGGTGAATAAGTTAATAAACAGGGCCAGTGCCGCCGCAGCTGACCCGGGAGCCTTGCGCGATGCAGCCTGAGTTTTCACGCTCCACACCTGGGGTTGAGATGAACTATCGCGTGAGACCCGATGGGACGGGCTGCCCACAGATTCAAATCTTACCAAGACAGTAACACACTGCTGCATGGCCTTGGCCCCCAACTTCAGCCATTGGCGCTGACAAGCTGTGCGGCGCCGAAACCATCATGGTGCACGTATGCCCTTCAGTCTTCTGAGGGATTCAGCGCCCAAGCACCCAAAGATGGGTCGCAGTGCACGAGAGTATGGAAGATAGTCGCCCATCATCAAGATGCACACCAGACCAGAGAGTACGAAGCCGAGTATAATATTATGAACGTGCGGGCACCCCGGCCCGAAACAGGAAACCCGAGAGCTGGGCGCGGGACACGGCCAAACGGCGTGCTGTCTGGCTGCACAAGGCATCTATCTGTGTGCAGCCTGCTATGGTTTCCGCACGAGTATTCTGGGGCATGCCAGACATATTTTCTGCAATACATCTTGGCCACATCTTGACTTGTCAAGACTCAAAACCCACACTGCTACGAGGACCCGTGGCCGCCATGTTCGATCCGATCTGCAGGCACACACTACTTCGTCAAGCCGGAGCCAGCGCTGAAACGTATTCCGATGAGTACCAGTCGATGATCTACCGCGGGTCCTCGAACAAACGGGTGCTCCGTGCAGAGGACCTGCAGTTGCCTCGGCTCGGGGGTCAAAACTCGACGGGACAGCGGGAGTCCTCCGAACGGCTGGGCCCGGCTAGGAACTAACACTGTTGCCCCCCCCCGGCGCACACTACATAGTATAACGAGCTCTACTTGGCCGTTGCGTTCAGAGTAGGATAGCATGTGGCCAACGGCTAGGGCCGCATCTGTAATCACACCAGTCGTGATAGCATGGGCGAGCGAGCATTGAGCATTTTCTTCAGCTTGGATGGGCCGCGCTCGTGCAGTGATCAGCAGCCAGCAAGTCGCCCAAAGGGCAACGAGTGGTTGCGAGGGCACGGGGCCTTTTGGTTCAAAACAGGATTCAGCGCCCAGCCAACCCAGCCCGGAGCGGCGCGTCGTCGTGGCAGCCGTGAAGAGAGAGGGTGTGTGTGTGTGGCTGTGGCTGAAACGACACGGCGGCCCTGTGGCCCCAGATTCGGGCTGCATGTTGGCAGGCCTGGCGGGTTGGTTGCATGCGCCTAGCTATATTTGCGTGCGTGGCTAGCGGGAGGAGGAAGTCGACCGCCAGACCGGCCTCGCTGGAGCCTGTCGGGGCGACGGATGCCAACGTGAAGAGGGCATTGCTAAATAAAGGGCAGCGGGGTGAGACGAGCACCCCGAGGCTAGGGCAAACCCTCGAGATGGAATATCCGAAGTGGGACAGGACGTTTACTTCGTCAGTTCGTCTTCCCCCTGCGAGCGCTGGATTGCGACAGGATAGCTCCGGACAAGTGGTAAGTAAACCTAGGGCGACGGTGGTCATCAACGGGGATCTTGGCGCGCTCTCGTCCCTTGCTTCTGCGACTTCTGCAAGCTGAGGTTGAGAAGGGGGGGGGGCAGGAGGCTGTTGCTTCCGAGACAATTTGAGGCCTAGGTAGGAATGCCGTGATCGAGCCTGACAGCGTGATTGAGGCTGAGAGGCTGGCTCCCTTGGCTGGGAATCCTGGGATGGGCCACGCGGATGGCCGAACAATGCGAATATGACTTCCCTTGCCTTGCTGCCTCGCAGCGCGGGAAGGTGACATGGGCAAGCACAGGTGAGTGCCGATAGGCAGGGGGGGTGGTCTTCTGGCCGTGGGGAAGAGACTGTGCATTAAGTTGAGATGGACCCAGACAGCCAGGGATGCTGTCGCGGGCGTCCGTCGTCAACCAGCTCATTATGCATGAAGGTCAAATCAAATCAGTGGCCAGAGTGCCTCCAAGCTGCGGAACGCTCAGTCATGCTGGACATTATGCTGCTTGCCAGGTTGCCAGGCATTATCACGGTGGTGTTATAGTTATAGCTGGGCGGCCAACCAGGCCAGCCAGGCCAGCCTAGATCCGGGATGGGGCGAGCGACGAGGGCACGATGAGCGTGCAGGCGCGCTGTTTCAAGCCTGCACAGGTGCTTATATCTAATCAGGTACCCACCCACCTGCGCCCGCCCGCCCGGCTCGTCGCTCCCTCACCACGCCCTCTCCCAGCCCAGCCCATTGTCGACAGCTCGACAGCATTCCAAGGCTGGCAGCCCGTCAGCCCGTCCCCACACGCCGCCGCTGGTGCGCACTGATGCCAGTCAAGCCAGTGTCACTTGCGACACAGGCACACAGATCGTCACCCGCACCATTGAGGCGCCACTGGCCCACTGGTCGTCCAGAGACCTGCTAGGCACGGCATAATCTTAAATTCTTATTTCCACAACCAAGGTCAACCCCCCGACCACTCCCTCCAGTCTCTCCGCGTGCGACTCGACCGGCACCCCGTCGGCCATCCAGCCGCCCAATCACGCCACCCGGACTCCGTCCAGGTAACCTTGGCAGTGGGGCCCTCAGGCTCCTGCCACTAAAAACAAGCAAGGCGCTTCCTGTTGCACTGTACCTTTCCTCCCAGCCTTCCCGCGGCCCCCCCCCCCCAACGCACCGGGCAAGCACTCTCTCCCACCGCCTTGCTCAGGCCAAAAGCACGCCTCTATTCCACCCCGTTGTCCAGCAGTACAATCGAGCCAGACTGTCAATTGGAAGGGCTGTCCTGCGCTTATCCCAGTGGCGAAAACCCGGCTGGGAGGTAGAACCAGTCGACTATAATCCCATTGTCAACGAACCCCGGGCCGAGGCCACACGGTCATCACGCCGTCCACCCGCCACTGCGACATCTCCTGCTTGTTCCCTCCCAGGACCTGCCGCCGGGCCAATCGACCACACCCATCGCATCGTGGTCGCGACAGCTTCCCATCCCACTGCCAACTCGCCCTCCTGGCTGACCAGACCCGACAGCCGGCGCAATGGGTTCAACACAGTTTGGGAACTTCGGCAACTTCTGCCGCGACTCCACCCTCCCCGTCTGCAACTTGCTCAGCACTCGCCACGACCAGACCGGAGGATGGGGCGGATGCGAACTCACGGGCATCCCCTTAAGCGGCGGGAGGAGGCTCGGAAACCTGGGCTCGATACTGCTGTGTGCTGTCGCCATCGCCACCGCCATCTACCTCATCCTGCGCTCCGAGCGCAAAAAAGCCGCCGTTGGGAGAAGGTACGTTGCTTGCCCGGATGGGTCCGCGAGGCCGTGGCACGAGTTGGAGCAGGAAACGTGAAAAGGAGACGGCAGACTCTGCCTGCACTCCTGGCGCCCTCCATCGGCCCATGCGTCGCGCCCATGCGTCGCGCCCATGCCCTCCACGTTACTGACCTCAATCCCAGGGAAATGCAATTGTTCCTCGTCGGCTACATCGTAATGTCGATTTGCGAAATCTTCACCGTTGGAGAATTCCCGCTAAGCTCGACGGTTCGGATAGCCTTCACCGGCATCCACATCGGCTTCATAATTGCGACTACCTGGATGCTAATGCTCAACGCCGTTGTCGGGTACCAGTTCATCGATGATGGCACGCCGCTGTCGCTCGGCCTAATTCTGGTGTCGGCGGCCATACTACTGATTGGCACCGGCTACATTGCCCTCGACACGGGATTCAGCTGGACGGGCAAGTTCGACTCGAGCTACGAGGGCCCCAACTTCCGAAACATCGCGCTGTACGTGCTCTACCAGCTGGCGCCGCTCATCTTCCTTGTCGCCTTCTACGTCCTCGAAACCGTCCTGGTCTTGCGAGTGCTCGGCGAGACAAGGCCCATGGTCTACCTTACCCTGGCCGCCATCCTCTTCGCCCTCGGCCAAATCTTTAATTACGCCATAAGCCCGCACATCTGCAACGGCACCGACGGCAAGATCGATGGGGCCCTGTTCCAGACACTCTTTACCCTGCTGTCGGTGGTCATGGTTTGGGTTTTCTGGTCCTCCATCACCGAAGACGACTGGCCCATGCCTGTGGGAAATTACCCATAGAAAAAGTTGTTGTGATGTGACCGAGCCGGACCCGTTGGGCGAAACATCACTCACCTAATAATAATGTCGAAATGAGTTTCTTTTAGATAGCACATGACTGCAGCATACCCATAATGAAATTTGGCGTTAGCATTTGAAGTTACCTACCGGTCAGCAGTATACAAAGGAGCGGTCTAAACCCGAAACTTGTTGTATGTTATGAGATGTCTTCACAGTGTTGCGCCGGCACCGCCTTCAGGATGGTCCCATGCTCAGGGAGCCTGGAAGACTAGGAGGAGTGGCGGCTCCGCCACGGGAGAGGGCCTGAAATTACTGCCAGCAAATCAAGTGCACACACTGATGATGAGCTGATCGATCAATTCCATGCGAGTTTATATCTGCTATGATACGTGCGTGGTTTGACGAGAGGACCACCGAGGCAGCGCGGTATGTGGCAATTGTCACAATGTTGCGGGAGTCGAAGAAACTGAGTCTATCTTCCATTTTTGTAGTCTTACGCCGTCTGAGTAGACAAGAAATCCAAAAAAAAAAAAAAAAAAAAAAATAAAGCAAAATCTGGAGCGTATGTCTTCACGCCCTTGAGCGAATCCCTTCGAAGAAACAAGATAGGCGATTGTTTTGGGTGAGACGTCATTGGTCGTCGTTGACTCTGTCACTCCAAACGTGAAGTACGTACATTCCCGCCCCACTTGCAAGCAATGGCCTCTAGGCTGATAATCTTCCTGCAGCTCGTCCTCGTGCACGACCGCGCACCTTCAACATTGCCGGCGTCTTTCTTTTTTGGCACTCTCTCCTTGGTTTCCCTGCTTGTGATTAGTGCGACTGGGGCGTTCTGAAGTCGTTGGATCCCCTATCCCCTACGATGGAAGATTCAGAGACGGTCTAGACAGCCGCCTCGAACCTTCGCGGAAACCACCTCGTCCACGCATGCGCCCCCCGGCACAGGCCCTTGCGACTGCGACCACCCTCCAAACAACGCGGCGACATGGCCGACGACAGCGACGGCGAGTACATCGAAGGCATCTCCGACGATGACCTCGCCGACCACCGTGTGACGAGCGGCCGAGGCCACGCCGGCCCCAGCGATGCCAGATCCAACCGACATGCTGCCGCCGCCGCCTCCTCACGCAGCGGCCGCGGGCAACGACCACGAGGGCAGAAGAGCAAGCACGCGAAGCGCGCGGCCTGGGAGGAGGGAAAGTTCACCTGGGATGTTCCCGAGGATGAAGAGGGCAACGTCTCTCTCACCGCCCTCCTCGAGGCCGAGAAGCGGCGCCGCCTGCTGCGCGACACAACCCCCTTCCAGCGAGGCATCATCCGGCACATGGTCCTGGTCCTGGACATGTCCTTTGCCATGCTCGAGAAGGACCTGCTGCCAAACCGGTACATACTCATGATGCACTATGCGGTGGACTTTGTGAGGGAGTACTTTGAGCAGAACCCCATCTCGCAGCTGGGCATCATTGCCATGCGCGACGGTGTCGCCGTCCACATCAGCGAGATGAGCGGCAACCCGGCAGATCACATCGACTGGCTGAGGCATTGGGAGAAGAAGTTCGAGCCCAGGGGTAACCCAAGCTTGCAGAACGCTCTGGAGATGTCCCGCGGCGATCTTTTGTAGGTTTCCCACCACAGGCTCGCCTTGATCTTGAGCTTGTTGAACTCACGCCCTCGGTCTGTCTCCCCGCAGTCACGCCCCCTCCCACGGCACTCGCGAAGTCCTCATCGTCTACGGCGCTCTTCTCTCCAGCGACCCTGGCGACATCCACGACACCATCGAAAGCCTCATAGCAGACAAGATACGAGTGTCCGTTGTCGGCCTCGCCGCCCAGGTGGCTGTCTGCGCCGACCTGTGTTCCAGGACAAATGGGGGCGACGCGGGTTGTTACTCAGTCGCGATGCACGAGCAGCACTTTCGAGAACTATTCCTGGCCAGCACGACTCCACCCGTGACCCGGCAGACGGAGCGGAGCAGTGCCAGCTTGCTAATGATGGGCTTTCCTTCACGGACGAAAGCCGAATACTACAATGCATCTGCCGAGGCTGTAAAAGCCAGTGGAAGCGCCAGGGATAGCACGGATGGCGCCAGCCGGCCCTCCAGCGACAAGAAAGACGCCATCAGCCTGTGTGCGTGCCACAACAAGCCGTGCCGAGACGGATACCTCTGCACGCGATGCTCGACCAAGGTGTGCCGCCTGCCAGCAGAGTGTCCCGCGTGCGGCCTGACCTTGATTCTCTCGACCCATCTTGCACGATCCTACCATCACCTGTTCCCCCTTCGCAACTGGGTCGAAGTCCCGTGGGGCGAGGCCGACAAGTCGACCGCTTGTTATGCCTGCTTGACGCCTTTCCCCGAGCCACCGAAATCCAGAGGCAAGGCAAGGGAGCTTGCCGAGAAGAACGCAGGCGACAAGGTCAAGGGCATCAGCGAGAGTAGCCGGTACGCCTGCGAGGTGTGCGGCAACCACTTCTGCATCGACTGCGACGTCTTTGCGCACGAGATTGTCCACAACTGCCCTGGGTGCCAGAGTGACACCCGGGCTGCGGCTCAGCTGGAGGCAGACTTGCAGGCGGCCGAGAATGGCGTCACGCATGCCAACGGGAGCATGATCGTGGATTAGAGGTCGGGACAAGAAAAGGACACGAAAAAAATATTCTAAAAAAACAGCTTTACCAGGGACAGAGGATATTTTTGATACCATTTTGTAAGAATACAGGTATAGGAGTCCGGAATCTCGCCCTTCGGCGTTCAAGGCGAAGCCGAAACCCGGCGGCTTCATGAGGCGCTGGATAGAGCTGCATATGAGACCGTTTGGTCATGTTGTTGTAATCATACACAGAAGAGAGGCCAGAGCCTAATGGAAAGACGTATGGAGAGCTGGACCATTGGATGATAAAAGTTGACGACTTGGTCCAAATTGGAGTGATTGAACTGTTAAAAAGCTGATGTGTGCTGCAATCTCGCTGCTGCTGTATGCTACTGCTGTATGCTACTACCTATGTGAGAGCCGTGGCCCTTGGCCTGGATAAAATCACAGGTTTCCCCTGTCTGCCTGCTCCCGCTCAATCGCCTCGAACAGGCTCTTGAAGTTACCCGCTCCGAAGCCGTCAAAAGAGTTGCGCTGGATGATCTCAATGAACACGGTCGGCCGGTCCATCAGCGGCTTCGTGAACAACTGCAGCAGGTACCCGCCCTCGTCGTAGTCGATCAGGATGTTGAGCCTCTGGATGGCATCAAAGTCCTCCTGGAGCTCCCAGTTCCTCTTCTCCGTCTTGAGCCTCATGCGGACCGTCTCGTAGTACGTGGCGGGCACGTCAATGAACTGCACGCCGCGCGCCCTCAGGGCGGACACGGTGGAGAGGATGTCGGGCGTCTGGATGGCGATGTGCTGGACGCCGGCGCCCGAGTTGAAGATGACGTACTCCTCGATCTGCGACCTCTTCTTGCCAAAGGCCGGCTCGTTGATCGGCATCTTGACCACCTCGTTGGAGCTCGACATGACGATGCTCTTGAGCGCCGAAAACTCGGTGCAGATCTGGCTGTCGTCGACGGACCAGAATCGGTGGAAGCTCAGGCACCGCTCGTAGAACTCGCACGCCGCCACCATGGCGTCCCAGTCTTGGTTGCCAACGCAGTGGTCGATGCGGGCCATCTTGACGTCCGGCAGGGCGACAGTGGCGGTGGGGAGTTTGGCCTCACGGAAACCGGGGAGGAAAATCCCGTGATAGCCGTTTCGGCTGATGAGCGTGTGGGTTGTGTCGCCGTACGTGCGGATCACCGCAGTGGTGACGGAGCCCGCGTCACCCTTGTCGGACAGGACAGTCGGGGGCTGGACGGACTCGGCCCCCTGGGAGACGGCGCGATCGTACACGCCTTCCACGGAATCAACCTCGAAGGCAACATCCTTTACGGCATCACCGTGCCGCTCGAGGTGAGCGTGCATCTCGACAAGAAGCGACTTTTCAGCCTTTGAGATGGACTCATCCTCGGGGAGGTGGACGGCAGAGCGGATCGGGGACGTGAAGACAAAGCGCACATCGCCGTTGCCGACAACGTGAGAAGTGAAGTACCGGCTCCCAGTCTCCAGGCCGCGGTAGGCCAACGGCTTCATACCGAAGAGGGTCGAGTAATACGCGGCAGCCTGTTTGGCGTTGCCTACCCACCACGTCACATGGTCGTAGCCATTGAAGCTGGGGAGGGGATGGCGGACAGCATAGTCCGCACTTGTGTGTTGTGATGTAGCGCTACCATTGGTATGGTAGGCTACCGAGTTTCGTGGGCTATCATTGATGGCAGACGGGCTCATTATCACTCAGACTGCTTCTGTGAAATATGCCCGTTATCAACCAATATAAATGGATGTCTGTAGTCGGAAAATGAAGATTAAGGAGCAAAGGAGCCAAAATGGAGTCCAGCCACTGAGTTGGAAACCTGATGAACTAGAACAAAGGCCCTAGACCTTGGAGCCAGTCATCGGGTGAAGAGCAGCATGTATATATCCCTAAGCCTGGTAAGCCCGGGGGACTGGCAGGAGCCATGAGGGCTGCTTCGGCGGCCTGGTCGTCATAAGCCGACGTTTCGAGTGCGGCGCACCCGCGCGCGGCATAGTCCAACGACTCCTGGCCCGTGATTATGACGACTCAATGTCTTGCAGTCAAACAAACTCTACCAAGTTGTTTGACACTTGCAGGCCGTTCCGTTGCTGACCAGAGCGCGGAACTGGGCCGATAAGCGAGGGTGCCCTGCACCAGCCGTCGCAAAGCGAGCTATCCGACGGTTGCCGCGCACGGAATGTCCAATCAGCACCTCGACCCCCAACGTGCGGTACCCGGATTACTGCAGCGAGAACATCACTCGCCGTGCAGGCCACGCCAGAACTTTAATGAGTCCTTCATCCGTCTTGAAAAAGTCCTGGAACAAGGAGAAGTGGACCAAGTGTGCTGTATAGATCGACTTATCTGCGAAATTTCCACTGCAAAGAAGCCCCGGAGCTGAACATTCCACTCGACTGATACTTCCAGTCATCGGTCGCTGCAGCCAACCTTTGTCGCATAGATAGGGCCATCGCACGAGGTGTTGCCGATCTGTTTGTGCTCAACTTGACGAACACACTCTGCAAGACGTACCCGAGCAAAGCCTCGACTTGAGCCATTTGCCAGGAAGCGAACGCATGATGGCTTCTGTGTCATTGAGTACTCGGGATCTCAACATCCTGTAAGCTGTGCTGAAGAGCTCACCAAGCCTGGCCCCTAATCAAGTCACCTGAAAGGCTGACGTGACACAATACCAGGGAGAAGATCCAGGATCCTGAGTTTGACCCTTCCCAAGTGGTCCAGGTGGACGAGACCTTGCCCAAGGACCCCCATATCACAGATGTCACCGTATACGAGCGCATCGCGACGGAAGAACGGCGGTTGATATTAACGGTGCAGAAGGCTGAGATGCAATTTGCTGGACCAGGGCCGAAAACTGGTCTCGATCCCCTGAAGACGTATGAAGAATGCGTGGCTGGCCTAAGTGAGCTGGTCTCGACCAATCCGTCATATGCTAGTGCCAGGAACAACCGGGCACAGGCGAGTCGCCGTCTACACGGTGATGGCATGCTTGTGTCGGGTATAGAACCGGTCGATAGTCCTCTCTTTGCCGAGTGCGATTCAGAAGAGAGACGATCTGCGGCCAGAAGGACACTTTCGGACCTTGACACCTGCATCTGCCTCCTCACCCCAGGTGGTTCTTACCCACGTTTGTCTCGGCAAACAGCGAGAACCCTCTCCTCGGCACACACACAGAGGGCGGCGATCTACCTTCAGACATCGAAGATGCTGGCAAAAGGTGGTGTTCTGAATGTCGACCAGGACCGGCCCGAGGCGGGCTGGGACAAGATAGATTTCGAGGGAGCCGCTTCGCGAGACTTCGCCTTGGGCGGCAGGTATGGTAATGAAGTGGCCAAGGGTCTTGCGGTCAGCACGAATCCCACAGCCAAGCTTTGTGGGCAGATGGTGCGAGAGGCGATGAAGAAAGAATACGGCCCTGCCTTCAGTAGATGAGACAGGCACCTCCAAAGGCGCCCAGGCATAATCCGAGCTCGAGAGAAAACCGGTCCGGTAGGAAAAGGTGCTCTCTCAAGGGTCAAGCGCTTCAGAAGAGGGGTTCGCTTTGCCGAATGATAACTAAAACTTGGATATGTACGCCTCAATCGTTGACGCCTTCCTCTTTGGTAAAAATGGCGTGGGGCGTTGTGCGATATCATCCGAGGCGATCAGGCTCACATCACTTTCGCAAGGAACCGCCAGTCCTTACTCAAGCAAGAGACCGCAATGAGTCGATCTCAGTGTTGCGAGGGCGATGAAGCAAACCTGGATAGACCAGTCCTCCTATGTAGAGTCAGAATATGATACTGGCACGTATATCCCCGCAGGACGTATGAAATAGACGTGCACACCTCAGACCCGCATTGATAGTGTCAGAAGTTGACCTGCCCTTATCCTTCTCCTCACGGTTGATCCTCGTTGCTGCAGCAGACAACCCAATGAAGAGAGCAAAGATCGGGTCAGCGACCTTGCTGATGATGTAGGTTGGCGCAGGCATGGTGGGGAATATAGTCTTGATCGTGGCCCGTGTGTGCTTGCTCTTGAGATAAGACGTCTCGAAAATGTATCTTCAAGATGGTCGTCCTCGGATTGTTGGGTTTTCAAGCGCTACTTGAAGAGTGGTAGGCACCAAGGCAGATAGACAGAACATGAGAGCTTGCAGCGAGCAAACACATGAGAAAAGAAGCTTTGGCCTCTCCTGTAGACAGCAAGCAGACTGAGCGAGATGGAGCTGCACTACTGGGCCTGGCCCGCCCTTGGCTTGGCCCTGGTCCGTGGCTTGCAGGGGTCGAGTCTCAACCACAGCGACCCGCCTTTTCCTTACTTAAGCAATCACGGGACCTGCGGCTTCTTGGCGGCCGAATCCCACAACAGCTGAATTTTCTCGCCTGACGCAGCCACTGTCAAGATTCCCTTATCGACGACCAGCAACGCAACCACCCTTCATTTACCCCCCGTTGACGACCCGACCGACGCCAAAATGAAGTTCCTCAAGGTTGGCCGTGTTGCCATCATCACCCGTGGCCGCTACGCCGGAAAGAAGGTGAGAATTTTCGAGCCCCCGAACCTGTTTGCGCGCGACCAAGGCCGATGCGGAGCGACGGAGCTTGGGAAATATATGGTGGGGATGTGAGGATGGATTCGGGTACCAGCGATGACCTCGAGGGATCAATCATTGGGGATTGGCACATTCAGGATGCACGAGACGTCCACCGGCAGTTGACAGAAGGCTGACTGGGCTCTTTTTCTTTTCCCGCAATTCAGGTCGTTATCATCCAGCCCGTCGACACCGGCAACAAGGCGCACCCCTACGGCCACGCCCTGGTCGCTGGTATCGAGCGCTACCCGAGCAAGATCACCCGCCGTATGTCCAAGACACGACAGGAGAAGCGCTCCAAGATCAAGCCCTTCGTCAAGGTCGTCAACTACAACCACCTGATGCCCACCCGTTACACCCTGGAGCTCGAGGGCCTCAAGGGCGCCATCACCTCCGACACCTTCAAGGAGGTCAGCCAGCGCGAGGACGCCAAGAAGACAGTCAAGAAGACCCTTGAGGAGCGGTACACGAGCGGCAAGAACCGATGGTTCTTCACCCCTCTGCGTATGTTCAGCCCCAGCCCCAAATCGATACACGGAGCACCAGCTCGGCATCCCTTCCCTCAGAGAGCCTGGCGGATGCGTGGATGCCTCGAGCATGACACGAGGCAACGATTGAACCCTCTCGCGCACCGCGATGCTAACCCGAGCTTTCTCAACAGGTTTCTAGATTATTTCTTGCTTGTTTTCGGCTGGGCGGGGTCGAAATGGTATGGATGTACACAGCATCAAATCAAAATTCGACGGCATTTGAAAACCTGAACTGCGCTTACGACCCGAATCTCATGACCACACGGAAAGAAGGGTCGACTTCATCCCTTTTTGGCGTTCTTCTTGTCGGGGGGAAGACAAGTGTGACGGCCCCGTCATACCACAAAGGAGTGTGTGTGGATGGAAAGGTTGTCCGTGGCTAGCCACCAGTCGTAGTCAAAAAGAATAATAGCTACGGCGTCTGGCTGATGATATACCTTTGACCCCTTGCAAGCGAGGACGCAGATGAGGCTGCTAAGAGAGGCGGGGAGTCCTTCAGGCTTCGGCTGTCTATGGCCCGCAAAGTGGCTACCAAACCCACGAAGAGACATGTGAAGAGACGAATCTTAAACCATCCATGAAAAAGAAGAGCAATGCGGTCTCTACCGCTGAATGTGAACATGCATGAGCTGGGACCGTCCAGCTCCTGTGATTGTCGAGGCTCTCCCGGGCACAAAACCTCGGCGAAGCTACTCACTGACTGGTACGACGAGAAGTGCGATGGCTTGGTGAAGCTGGCTGGGTGAAGAAGCCCGGTATCGTCTTTGGAGAAAAGCCTCCTGAGCAGTTCCACAGGAAACAGGTATCGCCCGCCCCTTCGTACGGCGACCTGGCCACAACAGAAAAAAAGAGCCAGGGCTCTCCTGCTTTGATTTATACAATGCTGGCGGGGATGCTTGCACTGGCACGCCCTACACGAGTAATCCGTCAACCTCACATATGCTGCTCTCTGGAATTTGTCCAAGTGGGCATCCGGTCGTTACTGCATGGAGCCTCTATGAGCCAAGGAGCAGACTACATTCATGACCTTTCATATTAAGTCGTGTTGTGTTATTCATAGCTTCTATTGAGTTCATGGAGCAAGCCAGCTTCCCAAGAAAGTCCGCGCGCCACATGAATCAATCTTCTCTCTATGCGATAAAATAACCAGTCTACGACCGCCGTTGCCCCGATCAAATCGTACCAAATCCACCAAGGCGTGTGTGTGTGACATATCCGGCGCCCCTTCGAACTCCCATTCGTGATTTGCTCAAAAGGGATGACAAAGGGAACGAATGGCAAATATGTACGTGCGAAGTTTTGCTTCCGTCGACAGGCCGGCAGGAAGACGCATGAAGCGTGAGTTTTAGACGTGAGCATTAAAACTTGTATTGTTGCGCTCGCAAGGAGCTACAACTGGAGTCCACGATTAAAGCGGTTTATGAGCCCAGAGAGCTCACCTTGTTGGCAGCCGCGCCCCAGATCTCCTTGGCGCTGGGGACCTCGGGGATGTACTCAGGAGCGTATGTTGGGGCCAGGCCGCCAAACAGCACGAAGATCAAAGCGACCGCAGACGCAATGACAATGAGCTTGCGGAGCACAGGGCGGTTGTTTCCGAACTCGGCCCACTGGCGACCAGCCTCGTCCGCGTATCCCTTGAGCTGCTCGTATCCCAGCTTGTAGTAGACCATGCCGCCGAGAGCAATGCTGTAGCCGAAGAACTGAAGACCAGTGACTTGGGTACCCCAGATGGCAATAGAGGCGCACACAAGCAGGATGTCCTTGAGGACACCGCAAAGAGTGAGGACCAACGAGGAGGTCTTGCCAATCTGTGGGTATGTATCAGTAAGCCGCCCTTTACATGAGGGAATAGCGAGGTGATGGGGACGTACCAGGAACACGACAGACACGTTGAGCAGGAAGGCAACCAATCCGTTCAGGAAGAATGTGAAGAGACCGACGTGGTAGACCTCTTCCATGGACACCTTGGGAACCTCCCAGAAGATGGCGACCAGGAAGTTCATGACGGCACACACCGGGGCAAAGTAGTAGAGCGAGACCAGAGGGTCCATCTTGTACTCTGCAGAGCTCAGGAGGCGCTGGACCATGGTAAGGCGCATGGCCTCGAAGATGATACCTGCAATCTGGAGCAGGAAACCAATCATGACGAACTTGATCTCGCCGAGGGAGGCGATGATGACACCGACGACGATGGCGGATACGTTCAGGAAGACCTTCAGGCTGGGCTGGCTGATACCCATGGACCAGCTGCAGAGCAGAACAGCGACGGGGGTGGTGGCCTTGAGCATCTGGATGAAGGCGACCGACAAGTATAGGTAGGTCAGGTTTCCGCAGATCAGACTCAAGCTGAACATGAGACCGATTGGGACGATTGCCCTCAGGTAGACCCGGCCTGTCATCTTAACAGTCTTGCGCCCGTCGAGAAGCGTGGTGTACCTGGCCATGATTTGCGTCATGAGCGTCGCAAAGCTCAAGTGGTAAGTCGTGAGAATTACAGGGTAGTCTATACAGGCGCGGAGTCAGCCAATGCGCTCCAGCGAGCTGTTGAACGTGGGCCATCGCCGTGTGAGACCTACGGAACTCCAATGTGTCCAGAATCCATTTGTTGAAGAGAATGACCGAGGAGCTCAGGCTGATCCAGACACTACAATCACCAGGGCGTCAGCTATGCTTTGCTAATTGAGCAACCGCACCGAGCGGTGGATCAACCTACATGACGTAGAGCGCTGGATGAATGGAAGCCTTTGCCGGCTCCGACTTTTGCGCGTCGGGGTTCACAGTGGGCAGGACGGGGGAGTCCTGTTCCCGCGTCACCTCACCGGAAACGCGCGTCTTCTCGTCGGCACCCATCTTGGTTGAATTCTGGGCCGTTGAAAGAGAATAATAGAGAAAAAAAAAGGGGGGTGTCTGGTGGAGGAGCGCAGTCGCTGTGGCAGAGAGACGGCGTCACAGGTGTCAAGGTCGAGACCGAGACAGGCAGACAAGAAGAAAAAGGAAGATTGTGTAACGAGAGGACTGGTTCGCTCAGAAGTGAGGTCGGGAAAGGAAAGCCTCGAGCAGCGTTCCAAGGCGGCCGGTCGGAAGATAAACTTCAGCAGCCGGGTACGGAGCCGTGCAAGAGGTCAGTGCGCTCACGACTTGGCTAGCTGGCTGGGTGAGGCTGATGGGGTAGGCCAGGAAATAGGAGGATGGGGGATGTGGACGCGAAGGTAGGAGGTAAGAAAGGATGGAGGGCCCAGGCGAAGATGAGGGTGAAGCAAGGAATGATAGCGATAAGGGTCATAAAGTTTGGCCTGGGGTGGCCCCAATCAAAGCTGGTGCGGTGCGCCGTGGCAGCGTGGGCGGGCGGGTAGCATGCTGGCCTGGCCGCCTGGCTGGTACATACTGTGGTACATAGTAGCGTCGCAGCGCCATAATAAGTCGCCAAGAGGGTGAATCTTGCGGCGATCTGGACTCGTTGGAGGGCGGGCAGGGCAGCAGGGGCAGGAGGCGAGGAGTGGGAAAAAGGGGCTGGCCGCAACAGGGATGGCTCCACTCTTTCAAACCACGGGCCCGGTGCTGAACCTGACTGGCAGAATGGCCAACGGATACGGCAGCCAATGCGATGCCAGCGGTCAGCATATCGCCTCTTCCTTCCTCTAGGGGGGGGGGCAACGAGCACAGCCCCTCAGTCCTCTGAATCTACATCAGTGACCGAGAAGAATCCTCATGTGTGCGCTTGAAGGACCTCCCTCCGGACCTCCCTCCGCTGTGGCGCCCACGCGGCGTGGCCAAGCAGGCTGGCAGGCTGGCAGGCTGGCAGGCTGTTCACCAGAATAGCCACCCTCGGGACCTGGACCTGGACCTGGACCTGGACCTGGACCTGGACCTGGTGGTATACTGTTTTCCTGTTATGCTCGTCTTGTGGTGGTATGGTTCTCGTTCTCCGTATGCCATGGCCGACATAGACCTAGACCAGCCCACACCAGACCGCGTGCGTGCGGCCTAGCGCAGATGTATGTGTGGTGTAGGTCGTGTTGCGATCTGTGCTCAAGCCCTGGGGTTGTGTATAAACCACCTGGGCACTAACCACAGTACGGGGCGCCATGGGGACCGCGGGCCATGGAAGCTTCCTCAAGCTTCGCGAGGCCAACTGGGCTCCCTTCACACGATGGCAGCGCCGCATGGCACGGGAGGCGCCAAGGTTCGGGTAGTCCCTGGCCTCGCCGACCGGCCCGTACACCACGAGTAACCGCTGCTGGACTCCGTATTTCTTGACTGGCAGGCTGCTTTTGCTGAGGACCTCGGCCTGTGCACAGGCTCGTGTCTTGGTCGCAAAGCGTTCAGACATTCTGTCAGACATTCTGAAAGTCAGACAAGACAGTCTGGAAGTCTGAATGAAAGTCAGAGTGTTTTGCAAGACATCAAATTGGTGGTCTCTGACAGGCCGCCCTGCCGACCAGGCCAGACGCATGATCTACCCACGTTTTGTCCGGATTTAGATGTTCCACGGTAGAACAGGGACGCTGTCTTTCCGCATGGGACATCGGCCGCGCCTGCTGGACTAATGTATGCGGCGCACTCAATTTGCGAGGCAGCAGGGCAGACAGGCAGACGGGTGCCATCGCTCGTGCTGCTGGGTTGTGTTGCAGCATGTAATTATAATTAGCACCCTCGTTGCCTCGAACCAGCACATACATCCAGTACATACATATACACAGTAGATACAGGCTGAGTCGTACCTGGCCTTAATTGTCCGAGTCATGGACCGGGAGCTGGCCAAGTTCCAACTTCACCACGAATCATTGCTTGGGGGGTCTGGGGGTGTGTGGCATACATTGCTGTCGCCGCCTTCGACCTGGATTTTGACTTCTGGATGCAGCACACGCATCGCACACAGAAGCAGCAGCAGCACCACCGCCACCACCACCACCACCACATGTCACTTCCCGTATACCACCCTGACTATATACAATACGAGGGGCATCGCCATCTTCGCCATCACCGTCTCCGTCACCGTCTCCGTCACCGTCACTGCCACGGCCACTGACACGAACAAAGGTGAGAGAGAGGGGAGTCTGTGACTAAGCCATTGCCCGACCGGGCATGCTCCCCTCGCCACCGGATCTCGGAGCTGTGCGAGGTAGATGAGGCTGTCTCTGCCTCGTCAGGCTCGCAGGCTCGTCCATCCAGCCATCTCTTCATCTCCTGCCGCCTGTCAGGCCAAGGCGGGTGATTACCACGAACGGACTACGCTCATTTACTGTTATCTTGACCCGGCACTACCACGATACTATTACAGCAGGCCCTGCTGGCCCTGCTGGCCCAGCTGCCACTTCTGCGCATTGCTGTTCCAATGTGGAATCCGGCATTGCCCACGCGCTCGCTGATCGTCGATGGTGAAACGAGATCAGCAGAATGCCTCGCCCCGTCGCCAGGGATGTCCACCTGCTCCCCCGGCACCTGGGATACTGGACCATGCAGCATACTGTGTGTGACACAGCACAGCATGCAGACAGCCTGACAGCAATATGTTGCCTGTCTGACATTTCGAAAATTCCCATCAACCGGCAACCGTCCTGCGGCCATGCTTGCCAAGAACACGTTGCACTCCGCAAGCACAAGCCCTGTTGTCGCTATAAAGCCACAAATCGATTGTACAGACAGCCACAAGACCGCTCTACTCGAAGCATGTTGGCATGCGCCCCTCCGCCAGCACCGTCGAGGCCATCTCGGCCTGCCGCCCGGTGTCTGACTTTTTGGAGTTGCTTGTGACACGTTCATCCCATCTGATCTTCCCGGCCAAATTGTGCTCGACCTTCCAAGTCCGCAGTGCTCATTTCACGTAGGAAATTGGACAGCCGGGAAGATATCACCACAGGTTACACCTAGAAAATTTGCGAACTGACAAGTCCAATCGCGGCGTGCATCGTGCTGGCAGGCCCGACAAGGGAAATTAAAATTTGGCCCGATAGCCACGCCCACTATCGTCATCGGTCCTAAGAGCTCGAGCGCGCGTGCCCACTGCCTGTCTGGTTGCCAGCTTCCCTGATACTAGTATCTTGGTTGCTGGTGTCGGTTCTAAAAATGCTGTCGTCTGTGTGAGACCCCGGAGGGACGAGTCTCTCTCGCAACTACGACTCGCACCCAAACATGTCTTGTGTCGGAATACTTGGCCCATGCTCTGAACCACTGGCTGGTCTGCCGCGCTGCAGGTTGTCGGCGGTGGTGGGTGTGGCGCGCAGGACGGGCAACAACGAAGCAAGATGGCGAGATGGCCATGCACGGCACGGCACTGCAGACTGGCGTATCACGGGCGTGTTGCCGCAGCCAATCCACAGGCCACACAGTAGCGGACCACGGAGGCGGTGTCGACGACACATCAAATGCAAGAGCTCAAGATCATCGCTGCCGAGCCAGATGGATGGAGCCGCCGTGGGCCTCGACAACCCCAAGCTCTCAGCACCAATTGGCCTGCCAGCGCCGCCCCTCATCAGGGAGAGACCCCCCTCCTGCCATCCAGCCTGCCAGCCCATCCCGACAGCAACTGCAGCAGTGCCAAGTTGCAGGCTCATGACCCCTGGTCTTCGCGGCAGCTCGGGGGCCCAGGCACAAATTAGCGTGGTCAAGAGATGGTGGGGACCCCAAATCCCTGGCCCCATTCATTTTACCGATGTGCAGCAGCTAGACTACCCACTGTACCGTCATGTACCACCAGAGCAGCTTCACCCCTCCAAACCCACAAGAGGTACCTGAGTACGTACCCGCCCGAGCCAGCTAAGGGAAGGGAAAAAAAAGGGGACCTATTCTTGATGGTGTGTCTGGAAAGGGGGCCAGGCGGGATAACCGTCATTTACCAAAGAAAACTGTCCAGATCCCAAGAAGATTTCTTGCGCCTCGCCGGCTACTAGAACCGACCTCGACCCTCACTGCCTCTCGCTACCTTCGTCCTCAACGCCATTGTCTCCCACGCCTGCTTCGCATCGTAACCACCGGCTGCGAGCAGTATCAACTAGTTCCCCTCCTTCACCAAACACTCAGTGCCTCTATCCAGCTTTCACAATGGCTGACACGTATGTCTTCCCGCCATGACCCCTCCTCCGCCACCACCACCACCTTGGACTGAGCAGCATACTGACGGCACGCCTACAGCAACGTCGACGTTCTCGTCATTGGCATGGGCCCAACGGGTCTGGGTGCCGCCAAGCGCCTTAACCACATCGTACGCTCCTCTCGCCACAATGCCTCGCCGCCGCGAGCCCACAAGGACTGCCTACTGACAAGCTACGCGTAGAACGGCCCCTCGTGGCTGATTGTTGACTCTGGCGAGAAGGCCGGTGGTCTCGCCTCCACCGACGTTACTCCTGAGGGCTTCGTAAGTTGCTCCTTGACCTCGTACCTACACCAAGACGACCACGCTGACGAGGATGCTCCAGCTGTACGATGTTGGCGGCCACGTCATTTTCTCCCACTACAAGTACTTCGATGACTGCATCGAGGAGGCCCTCCCCAAGGAGGACGACTGGTTTGACCACCAGCGCATCTCCTACGTCCGCTACAAGGGCCTCTGGGTCCCCTACCCCTTCCAGAACAACATCTCCATGCTGCCCAAGGAGGACCAGGTTGCCTCTCTCGAGGGCCTCATTGACGCAGCCATGGAGGGCGCCGTCACCAAGTCAAAGCCCAAGAACTTTGACGAGTGGATTGTGCGACAGATGGGTGAGCACATTGCCAACATCTTCATGCGCCCCTACAACTACAAGGTCTGGGCCGTCCCCACCAAGGATGTAAGTCACAACTGTGCCCCCCCCCCCGCCACCTTCACAAACCGAGGCTGACCGTAAAATAGATGGGCAGTGATTGGCTCGGTGAGCGTGTAGCTGCGCCCAACGTCAAGCTTGTCACCAAGAACGTTGTTCTGAACAAGACTGCTGGCAACTGGGGCCCCAACGCCACTTTCCGCTTCCCTGCTCGTGACGGTACCGGTGGTATCTGGATCGCCGTCGCCAACACTCTGCCCGAGGAGAAGAAGCGCTTCGGCAAGTCGGGTGAGGTCACCAAGGTCGATGCCGACAACAAGGTCGTCACCATGGCCGACGGCTCCAAGATTGGCTACAAGAAGCTCATCTCCACCATGAACGTCGACCAGCTTGTTGAGAAGATGGGCAGCGAGGAGCTTGTCAGCATCTCCAAGGGTCTCTACTACTCTTCGACACACGTCATTGGTGTTGGTCTCCGTGGAAGTCGCCCTGACCGTATTGGTGACAAGTGCTGGGTAAGCCAGCCCCTAAACTCTTTGCAACAAGGGATCTGCTAACCAAGACCTCTCTTCAGCTGTACTTCCCCGAGGATAACTGCCCATTCTACCGGGCCACCATCTTCTCCAACTACTCTCCATACAACCAGCCCCAGTCGGACGTCAAGCTGCCGACCCTTTACAAGGCCAACGGCAGCAAGGCGGACTCGAGCGAGCCCAAGGAGGGTCCTTACTGGTCCATCATGCTCGAGGTGTCCCAATCCACCAAGAAGCCCGTTGACGAGGCCAACATCCTCAAGGACTGCATCCAGGGCCTGATCAACACCGAGATGATCCTGCCCGAGGACGACATCGTCTCCACCTACCACCGCAAGTTCGACCACGGATACCCCACACCCGCACTGGAGCGTGACGGCGTCCTCAAGGAGCTCCTGCCCAAGCTGCAGGCCAAGGACATCTTCTCCCGTGGCCGTTTCGGCAGCTGGAAGTACGAGGTCGGAAACCAGGACCACTCCTTCATGCTGGGTGTCGAGGCCGCCGACCACATCGTCAACGGTGCTGTCGAGCTGACCCTCAATTACCCTGACTTCGTCAACAGCCGCGCCAACACCGAGCGCCGCCTAGAGCAGTCGTACGCATTCTTCCAGCCCCAGAACTAAAAAGGATGTTGGGGTTGGGGACGTGCGCATGTATTACGGAACATATGGGCGGGTTTTGCTAGATTCAGGCTAGGAGTTGCATGGAAATTACAAGACGGACACTTGGTTGATATTACGATGGGATTTCCAGTAAAAGACACAGTCCCGGGGTAGACTGGGGGAAATGTGGTAGAGAAAGACCACTGCGCGGCACGCGTCCTCGTCCTCCTTGTTTTCCGGGGCGGTCAGTGGAGCGAGGCCTATAGAAAGAGATACAGGGAACCTTGACCCTGCCTTTTGGGTGTACATGGCTCCTATGATTCGATAGACATAGATGTTCTACACCATCCATACCAACTTGCCCTAGTGGCAATTTGCCTTTTCTCAAAACAAAAAAAAAACAGAACCTGATGCTCCCGCTCTTGACATGAAACCCTCCCAGCCCACCACGCGTTTTAATGAGAGAGCACATCAAACCCCACAGGTCATCTTAATCATTTGCTGCAGTCCTCACGTCAAAATGCCTCACGGCTGCTAGTGCGTGACGTCATCGGGCCCAAGAACTGACAGCTCTCAGAATGCTGGCCTCTTGAGTCGAGACTCCATCTTTCAAATCGCTGGCTGGCTCCACATTCGGCCCTCCCCGTCGAGCTTGGATGGAGCGAGCGGTGACCGCACGCAGGCCTATGCAGCCGCGACTGCACGCACGGCTCTGAGGAGATGGAAACCCGAGTCAGGCGAGCTGGTCATTGCGGACCTCTGTCTTACTATGTAGTACTCCCCGCTTGGAGTTGCTTGGTCGCTACAATCCAACGATCGGGCGAACTTCTTGTGCCTTCCAAGACCGTAGTCAGCGTTATAGACAGCGACTGGGAAAGACCCGGCATTTATCAGCGCATACGTCTGTCACACCAAGCAGCGAGACCTACCGTGTTTAATCCACAGTGTCTCTTGGCTCATACTCTGGTATTTGAGTCTGTTGTGTGTCCTTCTGTCTGTGCGTCTGCCTCTGTCTGAAATCTTGAGCTCTCAAAATGCCAGTAGACCACGGTGTCTCGATGCGCTATGAAGCCCAAGAAAGCATGCAATGATGGGCAACATGGGTACGCAGCAATGCAGGAGCTGCCTGCTCAGAAAGATCAAATCCGCCATTCCTTCCCCGTTATAAAACCACTTTCGAGCGCTTGCGGTGGATAGAAAAGAGATGTGGTGGTATCGAACAAGACGTGCCGTGACGCCCATAATCGCCCCGTCTCCCGAGAAGTGACCGTCTTCTCTATTCTCTTCTTGCATGCATGAAAACACATTCGCCTTAATATCCCATCTCTGTCTTTCCTCCTTTCCTTCGTGTCGTCCAATTCGTGTTACCTCGCCTACTTCATTGCTGCTCGTTCGGATCCGAGTTCGCGCCTTCCTTCCTGTCCTGCGGGTTCTTCTTTTTTAAGACGCCCTTGGATTTCTCTCTCTCTTTCCCTTTGCCTTCAGCAGCGCCAGATGAATCTTGGCTCAGTGATTTCTTCGTCAACTTGTTTCGTACTTTGCCCGCTGCACTGTCTACCGAACCGGCATCAGACAGTCGGTTGTCGCTCGAGGTCCTACTGGGAGGACTAGGGCCGTCTTGGGTGCTCGGCGGATGGTTGGCGGCGCTGGACACTAGCTGTCTGTTCTCTTTGACCGACGCGAAAGATCCATTGTGCTCAAGCAGAGATGGAGGCGGGCTTGTCGCAGTGGCGGACTGGACACTAGCTACGGACACGTCACTGAATTTGCGGTCCGGAGGAGCCTATCGCGAGCTCGTATCAGTACAATATCACGGCTGGACCTCCAGGCCTCTCATCACTCGGTGCTTACCTGACCGCCGACGTAAGTGTCCAGTTTCTTTTTGAGCACGTCGGACCTGACAGGCTTCGCCAGGTAGTCATTCATGCCAGCAGCCAGGCACTTCTCTCTGTCGCCTTGTATTGCGCTTGCTGTCATGGCGATCACCAGGATCTTCCGGACCGCCTCGATTGGGTCCTTGCGGAGCAGCCTGGTCGCGTCATAGCCATCCATCACTGGCATCTGCACATCCATGAGGATAACGTGGTAAGGTTGCCCTTCCCGCGCTTTCTGTCGCAGCCCTTCCACAGCTTTCAAACCATTATCATAAGCATCCACATACTTGTAACCCAGCCTCTGGATGTACTGGATGGCAATTTTCTGGTTGATAGCGTTGTCCTCGGCTATGCAGACACGGAGTGACTCCTTGGATATCTGTGACAGATCCAGGTAAGGGTTGGGCGACGGCTCTCGATTGACGTTATCAGAGGACCTTCGTGAGAATGTTTCGGGCAGGGCACGGGGATCACCTGCGGCGACATCGGGATTTGCTTTGTCAAATGTGACGGTGAACCAAGCGGTGGTCCCGATATTCTGCTGGCTATCGAGCTCGATCTTGCCCTTCATCATCGTTTCGATCAGGCTTCTACAGATGGACAAACCCAACCCACTGCCGCCGTATTTTCGAGCCGTACTCGTGTCGGCCTGGCTGAAGGGTTGGAAGAGTTTGGCCTTTTGCTCTGCTGAAATTCCAATTCCAGTATCTTTGACCCAGAAAGTCAACGTTGCCTTATCCTTGGTTTCGGAATCCAAGCGGGATCCAATGGTCACGGACCCGTCTTCTGTGAACTTCAGGCTATTGGATATCAGGTTGCCGAGCACCTGGTGGAGACGGATTGGGTCGCCGTAGATGAGCATCGGCGGTAAGTTGATGTCTTTGATTATCTTGACGTTCTGCCGTGTCGTTTTTTCCCGGTTACTGTATGACTGCGCTCGTACAACCTCGCGGACCATCTCTTCCGGATTGAAAGCGGTGATATAGAGCTTCATCTTGTCGGCCTCCATCTTGGAGAAATCCAGGATGTCATTGATAACCGTGAGAAGCAGGTCAGCAGAGACCCTGATTGAGTCGGCCATCTCGAGTTGCTCCTTGGACAAATCGGAGTCCTTCAGAAGCTCCGAGTTTCCTATGACACCGTTGAGTGGAGTTCGGAGTTCGTGGGAGACATTGGCGAGAAAAATGGATTTCGCCTTTGCCGCCTCCTCGGCCCGCTTCTCGTTGCGCCTGGCTTCTGCTTCAGCAGCTTTGGCCTTGGTCTCGGCCTCCTGAGCTTTCAACAAGGCACGCTGTTGTGACTCGATCATACTAGCATTTTCGCTCGAGACCTTTTCGATGGCCTTCAGTGATAGCGCATTCGAAAAGCTGATGCCAATCTGGTTAACCAGAAGCTGAAGGACCGTGACATTGCGATCCGTAAACGCATTTGGGTTGCCCTCGAGGTAGAGGACGCCAAGAAGAGGGTTCGACCCATGAGTTATGGGATAGGCAATGATGGCTCTACCTTGAGGGTTCTTTTGAAGCCACTGCTCACTGACGCCAAATCTCTCATCACTGATGATGTCAGCGCTGAAGACTGCCTCCCTGAACCGAGTACAATACAGCACCACATTCTCGGCGACTAAATGCTGAGAACCGCTCAGAGGTATTCCAGGCTTGTGGGGCTGTGCTCCCTTTTCCGGATCGCCGCTGGCGGCAACGCACCACTGATTGTTCTCATCCACGATGATGGCCGCTAACGTGGCAGTACCCCCGCAGCAGCGCAACACCACATCCGCCATGGTCTGTGATTATCAGGTCAATATGTGCTGCGCAGGTAAGGAAAATGCAGAAATACAAAAGTACTGCGCGAATCCGTGGATGAATAATATGTAAGGCTAGATCTGCGTGCACCCGGGAAATGATTTGTTCAGGGAGAACCACCAAGCCCCAAAAGCTACCGCACAGCAATCCTCTCTGAGAGAAAATGAGGAAGAAAAGTGCATGGGGACAGTCTAAAAAGGGAAAGAGGTGGCCAGAGGACATCGAGGCCGAGATCATGAAAACTTACCTTCAGGAGTTCTTGGACGTCCAGGATGGATGAGATAACCTGTGATGATACGAGGATGGCGTGCAAATCAATCATGTCCAGAGCAGGCAGGCCAGCACCCGCCTCGGGTTGTTGCATAGAGCCTCGCCACGCCCCTATCCTATTCTCTTGGAGCACGCCCATTGCGACCTGGGCTGGCTGGCCAGGCTCCTCTGCCTCGCCGTCAACGTGGTGAAACTGAGCTGGCGCTGCATCGCCTGCGAAGTCAGTTTGCGCAGAGGCTTCAGCCGTTCGAGGATTGCGGGTAGGGCCGTGAAGCAAGAGACTGTGTTCCTCTTCAATTCGATCGGCTAGGCCCGTGGCTCCCATCAGTCGGAACAATCCAACCGCATCTCTAAGGGCAGACCTGGCAGATCTCCGCGCGCCTCGTCTGATAAAGACACCCGCCATGAGATAATTGCCGAGTGCTTCCTCGAAAACCAGGTTCTGTTCAGATGCATGATCTAGAGCAACCTCGTATGCGCGGATGGCCGAGCCATGTTCGGCTTTGAGCTCATGTATCTGTGCCTGGAGAAAAGTGGACCAGGGCAGATAATTGACGTCGGACACAACCTCCCAATCGGTGATCTTCTTGCGTAACAGCACCAACTTCTCCACGGTTGCTTCGACTTGCTCATCAATGTCAGTGTCCTTTGTGCGTGGGTCTTCCATTTTGCGAAAAAGGAGGCCTGCAAGAGACAAGCCATAGAAGACCATAGCAGACCTCGTGTTTCGGGCAGACCAGATGATGTGTTCATTGGCAACGCAGTGTTTGCCTAGTTCAGCCGCCCTCTCGTAGTGAGAAAACAGGAAAAGGGGTATTATTTCCATGGTCTCATACCATATCAAAGACCGGCCTCCATTTTTTGCGTTCGCCTCTAGCCATGCCTTGTAGGATGCAGAAGTGTGTGACGTTTGGGTGTCATTCATGACCTCCTCAGCAATCAAGTTTCGTGTTTTCCCTTGCAGTGCCCGGGCAACCTGTCTGACAGCAATAAGAAGGGTGCCGCCCCTTGTGTCCTGGTGCCAATTCGGTATGTCTTCACAGCCATATTGACAGAAAGCTTCAAGATCGGCACAATTTTCACTGGCGAAGAATTTGAGTTGTGCCAGGAGCCCAAAGCTCAAAATTGTTGATGTTCGGTCGCCTGCGACAGTTGCATATTCCACGGCGCCTTCGACTTGATTGACTGCGACGCTCAGAGGGTAATGAATATGCCCAACAAAGTTGGCATAAAGCATGTAACCACGAGCCATGGAGAAGGCATCACGATACTTGTCCAACAGGTCCAAACAGATTGAGCCCAGGTCGAGGGCCAACTCTGTCAGGCTGTGTCGGCTGAGAGCGACCATAGAAAGGTGGAGGAAAGCCATGCCAGAACTCGGGAATGCCCCACGACTCAGGTGGACATCTACCATCACCAGTGAGAGATGGTAAAACATGAGGCAATTGCTCCACCAGGCTGAACTGATGGCATCGGCGAGCACGGCGCCTATCGAGGCCAAATTTGTGTCGACTGCGAGGCGCGGGTTGACGATTTCACCGCGCTCCATTGAACGGATCTTTGCTGCCAACCTCTCGAATTCGGCATCGCACTTTTCATATGTCGGATTATCATCAAAAGGCACCCTTAATTCCCGGAGAGATTGTAATAGGCACGCCAATGCCTCTTCAGCATCACCTGCTTGCGCGAATATCCTAGAACGCAGAACAGACGCGGGTGCCTTGTCAAAAGCGGATCGTGCGGATAGGAAGATTGTCCCCAGAAGAGCGTTGGCGGCACCGTGATTCCCCATGTAAAGGTAGCATTCTGCGGCCCGAAGGTACAGTTGGTTGGTCTCTTCGTAAGACACATCCTCGGCTTCGTCGTTCCATGGGTCGGGTTGCAATAGCGCAACGGCATTAGTGTAAAACTTTGCAGCAGTTGGTCGAGCGCCTCGCTCTGTGCTGAGCTTCGCACAATCGAACAATAGCTGCCGGTATGGTCGCCTGATTTTTACTCGCTGTCTGATGATGTCCACAGACTCGCAAATATGTGAAGCTATGTTGTCTTTCGGCTTTCCATCCCCTGCATAGTATTTCTGGAACGTGGCGTCAGCTTTAGCCAATGCTGGTGCTTGTGAGGGCGCTTACCATCAGAACTTGGGCAACAGTGAAGTGCATCGTACGAGCCTCGCATATTTTCAATTGTCTGGAGGCTTGGGCGAGGTGATCATGAGCTGCATGGTCTGTCAGTCTACCGCTACCTCTACATGCCAGAGGAGGTGGGAAAAGGGAGGTTACCGAAACGAAATCGATCGTCCACATCGCCGGGAACAATGATGTATGCCTGTATAGCAGCTTGTAATCCCGCCACCGCCTCCTCTTGCGTATATGTCTTGTGAATGTGCTCCGCGGGAGACTGTCCACAGGCATCTTGGCATTCGCCGCTGAGCAGATGACAGATGAGCTCGAATGAGAAAGAATGGCCTAGCAAGGCTGCCCAAGCCAGGAGACACTTCGAGGCCTCGGGCATCTCGTTAAGTCGCCGCGTGATGAAGTTGGTGTCCAGGACGTCGTAATTCTGTTTGCCTTGGAACTCCTCAAAGAGCTGATCAAGGGAGAATTCCCACTGGTTTGTCTTGTAGTCATACCAGATGCACCGTTTCCGATGGCATGCAGAAAGCATTTCCCTCATGTAGAACGGGTTTCCGCCAGATTTGGACTGTATGACAAGTGCAAGGGGCAGGATTTCTTCCTTGGGCTTGCACAGAGTGGTTGAAACGTATTGGACAATTTCTTCTTCTCCCAAGGGTGACAAAGGAATCCGCGTAACGATGGGAGACCCGAACTTGGGTAGGTCCTCGGATTCAGCCGGCGATATGATGTTGTTGACCTTGTCAGGGGACATCTCATCAGAACGGTAAGTTATGATGATGACAAGCCGCAGCCTCGCGCTAATAATCTGTGTGATGAGCTCTGTGGACTCATCGTCGGCAAAATGTAGGTCCTCCAGTACAAAGCATATGAATTTGTGCTGGGAAAACATCCGCAGAACGTCCAGAAACGTGTTCATAAGCCGGAGGCTCTTGGTCGAAGCACCAGTCCGCAAGAAATCCTGAGAGCCTGATGCAGACAAGACTGACCCTCGATACGAAGACCTCGGGGGGGTCGATGTACCTCCCGGGGATGAGCCTCGTCGTCTGAGGGCCCCCGGGGCCCGGTTTCTCTGTATCGTGGCACCGGATGAATTCGACATCGACCTAGAAACTGTCGCATCGACAGGCCCGATCAGGAACTCGGGGAGGCCAAGTAATTTATGAAGCATGGGCCATACTGGGCGTATATGAGTCTTCAGAGTCTGATGGAATTGGGTCTCCGTATTCCGCTCGCCCCAGACTTGACGGAAGAGTGAGGAAAGAAGCTTGAGCATGGGCCCGAATGCAGTCCTCCTGGCGGTGTCGAATTTCGCCGTTGCGCAGTACCCGCTCCGCCTCACATCCGCAAGAACCGAGTGCACGAGACAGCTTTTGCCCAGCCCGCCAGCCCCTTCAATTGTGACGATCTCACATTGTCCTCGCCTCCTGAACTTGGCCGAACCTAGTTGTTTGGATAGACTTGTCGACGAATCCGGGTTCGGCCGATCCTCTCCTAGACTGTTGACCAAGCTCCTGGTTTCGAACGGGATGGACTGATGTCTTTCCCACGCTCTTGACGCGGTACGGGTCTGAGGGGTGGAATTTCCCAAAGACACGGTGTCCCCGCTAGGCAGAGGTTGAGAATCAGTCGAATAGAACGAAGGAATCATGCTGCTACGAGACTTGGGGTCGGTCATCGTAGTGTAAGAGCCGCTCTGTCTATTGCCACCCTCCGAGCTGGCGCCTTCGCTAGAGACGTCCCCTCCATCGAGCATGTCGTTTGACCAGGTCGAACCATCTGAGAATCGGTTTGGTCCCTTCTGGCTCATTGCGTGAGACTTTGCCACACGCTCCACGACCTTCAGGAGCTCGCCCCGTTCCTTTTGCCGCCCAATCATCATAGATGGTAGCATAAAGAACGAGCTTACATCCCGCGACGCTATGCGCCACTCTTTGAGCGCCAACCAGTCGTTGTCGTAAAGAAAACCCTGCACCTTGACCAGATCGTAACGGAGGCCGCTAGCCGAGTGATACCGATCTCCCACGTTCTTGGCGGTACATTTCTGGATGATTCTCCCCAGCACATCAGGCACATCTAGTCGAATAGTGGAAACGTTGGGGACCCTCTTGCCAAGCACTCCTTGTACGATATCCAGGGGAGTATCACCATCGAAGACAGGGCTTTGCGTCAGCAACATCCAAAATAATACGCCAAGCGAGTAGATGTCAGTGCGCGTGTCCGGCTCTGCGGGCATACGACCTGTCTGCTCGGGGCTGATGTGAAGAAGCTTGTGCTTGGCCCCAAGCTCCTTCGAGAGGCTCGACCAGCCGGTGCTGGTGAGGCCATGCTCGAAGGACCGTAGCCCAGAGCCGAATGTGATGAGTTTCACCTTTTTCGTTTCCTCGTTGTAATGGAAGGAGTCGCCGCGCAGCTCGCCATGTATGACCCCAAGACCATGATGGATCATCTCCAGGCATTGAGTGGCGCCTATTGCAAAGTCGAGGAAGAGATTCAGGCTGATGGGCGGGCCTAACTGGTTATCGTTATGTGAGTTCGTGACCCACCTATCCTCGACCTTGCGGCACGTAAAGGAGGCGGGACCCAGGTCCATTATCTTGGGCAGCAAGCTCCGTCCCGGTGACTGGTATATCGAAACAATGATCTGGCCGCGGTCCCCAGGTTGAGGCGTGAGCCTGACCAGGTCGAGGGGCATGATAGTGTGATCCTGGTTCGGGTCCGCAGTCTGGATCAAGTTCTTCATCATGTGGAATGCGCGCTCCTCCCGGAGAACATGATACGAGACCCTCGCGACAACGGCCTCCTCAACCACTGCCCCTGCTGTAGAGTCGTCATTGCCGCTGGCTTCGCTAAGGGGGCCATTGGAGGCCGAAGAGGGAGGCTCGGCGGGAGATACGCGGCTCGAGGACGAGGGAGGGCTCCTCGCGAAATATGTCGGGCTCACAGCATGATTGTTGCTCGAGTACTTTGGGGCAAACCGAACGCCAAACACGTGCCTGTTCATGGTGCCACTGGTCAGCCTCGTAGCCGCGGCCGCAGGGGCTTCCAGTGTGTTGCCACACGATGGGAGCGCCGAGCAGGTCACACATACCAGTTGTCATAGCTCGAATGGTTGAGCGAAGCGGACTCATCCCAGGTGTAGCCGGCGATCTGGGAGAGGCGCTCAAAGATCCGGGGCGGGGGGTCGAGGGTCGAGTCGAGCTGCTCATCTTGGATTGCCGACCCCTCCATGGTCGTCGTGTGGAGGGCCGAGCCGGCGAAGCGTGGGTGATGGAGAGACACAGGTCTCAGGTTTTTGATCTCGGTCTCAGCCTACTTGGACACATGGCTTGGTGGTTGTACCAAGTGGTGAGGCTGTTGTGTACTGGCTGCGAGGTCGGTCGCGCGGTGGCTCGCCTGCCCGCTGCCACTCGTGGGTGGCGGTGATGGAGTAGTGGCGGCGCACGCGTGTATTGGTATTGGGGTTTCGGCCGGCGTGGGCTGGGTGGTAGGGATAATGCTGCCGCGGCAGAGCACGACTTCTATGCCTAGCTCCCTTGCTAACGAACGGCGCGGGTAAAGAACGTGGGTGCTAATAAGTGGTCGGCCTGCTTCCGCAGCCCGGGCGCGGGGCTTTCTCGGATGTGAGAGGTGAAAAATGTCAGGGCGAGAGAGGCCGTGTCTCGATGACGGCGGGATTCTGTCTGAACCGGTCTGTCTTTTCTGACTGTCTGCTAGCTGTTGTTAGTGATGGGGCCACAGCGGGGGTGTATCTGGCATGTATGTCGTTGGGCTCAGATGCGCGTTGCGGCTCACGGGCAGAGATGGAAGCAGAAAGATGCAGGCGCGGGGACGACGGCACCCTGGGCAAGTTCCACATAAACTACAGACGTGACGGGAGTGGAGAGAAGCTCGTCACCGGGAGATATGGTAGATGCATATTGTATGGTAATGAAAACAGGTGACAAACAAGTACCTTGGGCCTGGATCTCGGATGGACTCTTGACAATTCCAAGGTTGTTGAAGCAACCCTTGCTGGGCCTAGTACGGCTGTGGGAACCCCCAGCAGCTTGCCACTCAACCACTTTGCAGAGAGAGGTTTTTTTTTTCCTTCTTTTTCTTCCTATCATTTTTTCCTGCCCTTCCTCGCTCTGCTTCGATATCCTTGCAAGAGTGCAGATCTACATATTCCTCTCTTTGTCATAAGAAGAGCAACATTTAGGCGCGAGTGGCCCCTCCTGGTCGGCCAAGCTGACCAAGGAGGAGGAACTTCTTCGCCTGGCACTTTCCCGGTGCTTTAAGTGTAGAGATAGGCACCGCAGGAACACGGGCCAGAACGGCTGAATGGGTCTCTGACATGCAAGACTGCAGCGCACCCCTGCGCCATTTGGCGACGGGAGCTTGATGACACACAACCCACTTGAGCACATCACATCGACCTTGCCGGTCTGCATCGGAGCAGGATAGACATCAGCCCATGGCACTCGCACATGCATATTTCCTGCCACTGTCTGCCAGGAATACCGTTACACAAGTAGACTCCCGCACAGCCAGTGCACAACCGCCGGAATGCTCTGCAGGGCGGATGCATTTGACTTGAATTCCAATCCCAAGAGCTGTTGGTTGCATGGTTTTAGGACCGCTAAGAGAGGGATGTGCATATCGCCTAGCTGGCAGGCTGGGCATAGTCCGTACATGCTATTATTCAGGTCCCCCATGAGGAACTCGATGCGGCAAAGGGGGGCACGTCACCGCTGACAAGCTGTTTCAATGGCCCGTGCAGCCCCGCCGTTCAAAGGTGCTCCCCCCGGCAGGGCAGGGCAGGGCAGGGCAGGCCGGCCAGGCCAGTGCAGCGCGACAGGGGCGGCCGAGTAGAACAGGGGGGCGAGAGACCACCTAAAGTACTTACTATAGGAGGTACAAACAACCACATATTCCATCGCGGCGACAGCACTCCACACTCCTCTCCTGCAGGCTCGTCGACCACCTGCTTCCACAGCTGCGTCGGGTATACCAGCGACACAGACAGACTACTCCCATCAGACCATGACCTGATGCTCGGGCCCAACAAGAAATAGGCCTCCCTCAAACTCGTCATCGGACATCCCGGACGACCCCGCCACCACCTCCCCGTCGACCGCGAGACCCCCGATCTGAGATGGACTTTGAGCCTTCGGCTGGCGGGCCTCGCAGTCCTTTCGAGGACGACGGCGGCGGCCCCGGAGGCAACGAGCGACCAAAGGTCCTGCCCCCAGATTTGCCCACCTCCCTCGATGACAGACGGATGCCCAGGGAGCCCGTCCCCGAGACAGAAATGTACGATGGTTGGCAAGGTTAGCGGCACCCCATTCCTCGCCCGGCTGATCTAGGGGCTCTGGACCGCTAATATGTAGCACCTTCAAGGGCAATCCCAATTTTTGACTTCTCCCGTCGTTGCGAAACCTCTGAAGTTCAGCGACCTCTCCCTAGACGACAAGAATTACGACGAAGATCTCACCAGAGGCATCTCTGACAGTGACACGCGCCTGATGGAGATGCTGGCAGCCCAGGCGGCGCACTCCTCCGGTCCCGGCTTCGAGGATGAGGCCGCCATAGCCGCCAACGACGAGTTCTCGGAGGACGAGAAAAAAAAGATGTTACAGAAGGCCTTAAACATGGCAGCCAGTAATGGCAATGTGGCCCAGGTCAACCGGATACTATCCGGCAAGGCCAAGGGATACGTCGACATCAACGCTCCAGACGAGGACGGCACACCTCCGCTGATATACGCCAGCTGTTTTGTACGTCTTGTCACCAGAGAACTAACATGACTCACGGGCTGATGCGGTACCAGGGCCATGAAGCTGTCGTGGAAGCTCTGATCGGGGCTGGGGCCGACATTGACAAGCAGGACCGCAATCGCTGGAGCGCCCTCATGTGGGCCATGACCAACCGCCACAAACAGATTGCAAAAGTTCTCCTGGACAACGGGGCATCTTCCGACGCGAAGACCATCTCTGGCCGTACGGCTGCCGATTTTGTTGCGCCTGATAGCGATATGTCCTTCTACCTACATAGCAATGGGTACAATATAGGTAGCGCTGGTATCGGCGACGACGATTTCTACAAGCCAGGCTTCTCGCAGGACAAGTTCGAGGAGGAGCTGATGGAGAGCGAACTACGGCGGCGCATGATGATGGAAAGCGCGCGAGACTTGGAAGTCGATCTAGGCAACGTTGGAATAGATGATCAACCAGAGGTGCGACCCGCCGCTGTCTATTCGTGCCATGAACGCCACATGCTAACACGCCTAGGCCGACGATGAGTTCGAGGAGGAGCAACAGGAGTTCGACTGGTCAAGATGTCTTCACGACCAGATGTTTGTCTTCCAAGAGGGCGATCTGGACCGTATCCTGGACATTATCGTCACCACCATGACGCCACAACGATCAGCAGCGCAAAAGCCTGTACCAGCCAACATGATCTTCCTGAGCGCGAGATATGCCCACTACCATGCAAGTTCTGATCTCTTGGCAAAGCTACTCATAAAGTCCATGGACAGGATCAATGAGGTTGTTGAGGATCACCAGTGGGACATGACCATTCTGGCATTCTGGATCTCGAATGCCACTTTACTACTTCATTATTTGAAGAAAGACGCTGGACTTGTTGAGGCCACTGTGACCTTCCAGGCCCAGCTCTCTGAACTAATCAACGAAATTTTCATACTCATCGTCCGTGATGCTGAGAGGCGGCTGGACAAGGTTCTTGACGCCGCAATGCTGGACCACGAGACAATACCAGGTTTCGAGGATATAACCTTCCAAAACGAGTGGAAAATTTTCAAGAGCAAAAAGAAGGTCAAGGAAGAACCGCCGGAGCGGAAATATCGGCCCCCATCGCCCAAGCAGAGGGCAAAGCCTGCACCTAGAAACGTCACCTCTCTTCTCTCTTCGACACTATTCGTCCTCGACCTCTACGACGTGCATTCGGTCATCACTGCACAAATCATCGCGCAACTTTTATATTGGCTGGGTGCCGAACTGTTCAATCGGGTCATGTCCAACAGGAAATACCTGGCCCGCACGAAGGCAATGCAGATACGCATGAACATATCAGTGCTGGAAGATTGGGCGCGCACTAACAACAGACAGCCTGAGCACTACGAGCATGGCGACATGCAGGCTCACGGGGAGAACACCATCGAGTCAGCCAGGAGGCACATGAGCCCCATCATCCAGCTATTGCAGTGGCTACAGTGTTTCTCGTCGCTAGGGCCCGATGACCTGGAGGCGCTCATTGATACTTTGCAGCAGCTCAGGTCTCTCAGCCCACAGCAGCTCATTCACGCTGCCAACCACTACCGTGCCGAGGTCGGCGAAAAGGGCCTCCCGAAGAGCGCAATGAAATATCTTGTGGCGATACAGAAAGAAACAGAGGTGCGAAGGGAGAAAGAGAAGAGCAACCGCCGCAGCGTAGCGGCCTCGCTCTCGTCCCCTACGCGCAGCGTGGCCACCGAGAGCGCGCCCGCCACGCCCCAGCGGAACGCCAAGAAAGCTGTCAACGGCGGTGCGGACCCGCAGACACCCGGGGACGAGGAAGAGGAGGATGATGCGCCGGAGAACCTCCTGATGGACCCGGCATACATGCTCCCATTCACGCTGCCGTCAGTGACCGATATGCTGGTGTGCTTCGGGGCAGGTTTCGGCGGCGTCAACCGTGAGCGTGAGAGGAAATACATACCGACGGTGCCGCCCGAGTTTTTAGCAAAATTGGAGGTCGTCGGCGGCGGGAGCAGCAATGCCAGGCGGCCCATGTACGGCGAGCAAGACTGGGAAAACGAAGAAGACTAGGGGACCCTTCACCGGAAGCTGTGCTGATGGAATCAAGCGAGACTCGTGGGCCGCCTGCGGCTGCTGGCGCTACTCGAGACTGGGATACCAACTTCGAAGGGGGCATTAGCGTCACTTTTATTGGTGAGCGTTGTACAGCAATTAATATCGTCTTCAATGCCTCGCGTCTATCTCTGTGCAATTGCCGGCATGTACAGTAGCATGAGCACATAGCGAATAGAGCTCCCCGAGAGTTGTACAACGGGAGTGGCGTGGGTTCGAGTTCATACGCACCTGGGGCTACACCCGACTTATACCAGCGTCACCGGGGCGAGCGAGCGACGTGGTGATACCGGACCTCTCTGAGAAGCACAGACAAGATCCCCCCATCCCTTCGTCTCTCGGTCGAAAGTCTTCTTTTCCAAGGTAAATCCACAGCCCGCGTCGATGAGTTGGCCCTCGGTACTTCCAGAAATCTGGGGTCTCTTTGGGAGTGGTCGTGCTTGGCCGGCTGATTCTAACTAAGACCGGCCGACGTCCGGACGCTAGCGGAGGAGTACTTCCGCGGCCGGTGGCGCGCAACGGGTGGTAATAGGGCCAACCGAGATGCCAACAGCATTATTGCCGCTGCGGCATGTGGAGCCGGGACATTCTTCAACCACTGTCTGCCCTAGTCGATATAAAGTCCTGCTGATCTTCGGGCGGGTTTGCGGATGACCTTTTTCTGTTGGAATTGGGCGACACTGAAAACTTGGGTACATGCGGTGACTGTCTGCGTAAACTGCGTACTCGAACACGACTGCGTCCAGTCTTGTTGTCTTTGTGTCATTGCACTACTGCTCATTGGCAAAGTTCACTCATGACTTCATCACTCTGCCGAGACATGTTGTGTGCTCGATCCTGCAGTACCGAGCGACCCGGGAAGTCGCCCCAGCGGCAATTCGCCCTCCATGGCAAAGGGATGGAGAGACAGAGCTCATTCTAGAAGCTGCCACACGAGGAAACCTAGACGACTCTGGCAGAACAGAATTGTCCTGTGACACTAGGTTGATAGGCCGTCAGAGAGTCGGGTAAACTCAAAAAGTAAAGCTAGACAGCCACGAAAAGTCCTCCATCCGGAAACGTGCGGTGGTCCTTGGGGGTCTCGAACGGGTCAAGAGAGTCGAGAGAAACGTGTGTGCCACAATGCAGTCAAGGAAACGAAAACGCACAGATGGGACGAATCTGGGGCATATCCTTGCAGACAAGAAAGGTGGGTGGGGGGCGGGCGTCGATCAGGGAAGACCCTTTGAGGCCGTCTTCTTGGTCCTTACCCGAAGCAGGAGGCGGAGGATGTCGCATCCCAGCGCATCCAGCGCACCGAGCCCCGGCCCTTCGGTTCACAGGCGAGCGGGATGGTAAGCCAAGAGATCTTGATGGGCACGACTGCCACCGACGAGACCCTCCAATCGGGACGCTCCGACAGAGCCCTTGTTCGGGAACACATCCTCCGCACACAAAAGGTCACGCACCCACGAGCAATGGCGGTGATCTGCCAGGTGCGTCTGAGTGACGGCTCTCGCCTGTAGGTGCTGTCCAGGGTGGCGTTCTGACAGGCCCTGGCGGCATGGCATGGGAGAACGGACCGGCTTGTCGAGTCACGCTGAGGTTGAGGACGAGGTGAAGGTGTCATGCACATGGAAAAATCGACCGGATGTAGGCCGCCCACGAGGAGTGTATGACAAGTCAGAGACGTCCGTTCTGCATGAGATGCTGGCGGGCAAGGCTGGCAGCATGTGGCCACGTAAGAGCGCCAGGGTCAGATTTCCTGAGATTTCCCTGGTGGCCCAGCCAAGATCCGTTGTCTATCCATGGCGGGCTGTGTTTGTGCACGGCGTTGTGCTGCGTCGTGTTGCTTCTCCTAGCCGATGCTGAGCGAGAGGTGTGTCTCGGGGGACATGTCGGGCCAGTAACGAAGGCACGCCCACCGTCAAGCTTGAGACCATGTCTCTGTGTCCTTGTTGTTTCCACCTGTCTCTGATGGCAATCGCGGGGCAGGAGGGGTGCCTTAGATGGCACTGTACCAAAGGTACGTGTCGGGGACGTGGCTCCTAGGGCCGGGAGCAAGGAAGGAGGGAGGGTGGGTGGGGGCATACCTAAAGTTCCGCCTAGGAAGGTGGCCAGCCATGTCGGAAGCAGAAACTCAAGCTTGCCAAGTGCCGACACGCTGAATCGTGGCCAACCTTTTTGTGTCATCTGTATTGTGTAGTACCTAGTTTGGCTGTGAATTCTCTCGATGGGTGGTGGATGGGCAGGGCAATTGCTCGGGATATGTAATGAGGGCCGTTTCCGTGCTTCCATTTTTCTCCTGCCTCTCCTTCTCCCGGGCTCTTGGTCTTCCTTCTTCCTTGGACGAATTGGGAACAGATTGGGCTCTTGATCCGGGCGTACTGCCCAACCCAGTTCGCAAACAGATCCCACCCATCTCCACCATCTCGTCACGAACTGGACTTGCCGTCACACATCCAGCCACGGGTGAACTGAACCCTCTGACTGACGGTCGGCTCGATTAGTGCCGGGCAGATCTACACAAGGGCAGGGAACAAAAAGTATCGTAGGACAGGGCGAGAATGGCACCACAGCGATTTGCCAGCCTGCGGTCTGGGAGTACCAGAAAGCCCAGGACTGAGACGGCCACCACAACTGGCCCGCACTACATTCCACCTCAGCCTGCACTTGCACCTGCACCCGCCCTGATTGCCCTGCCGTACGAGCAGACGGCCCAGGCCCAGCCCCCGATTCTCCTTCCTCCGCCTCGCAACCCCCTTCGAACCATCCGCCGCCCAACTGCCTCGCCCGCCCAGATCCCTTCCTCACCTGCGGCCTCAGAAACCACCACCACCGCGGCGGCGACGACTGCAACCACTCCAGACCTGCACCTCTTGCCCCTGCCCGTCCCGCCTCGGCAGCAGCAGGAACAGCCTGAGCCTGAGCCTGAGCCTGAGCCTGAGCATCCTCGCTTTCACCTGCGTCTGCATCTGCCTGTGCACCCCGCCGTCCGGCGCCAATGCCAGAGCAATCACTCGCCCGCATCCTCAACCTCAACCACTGCCTCAACACTCGCATCGTCCACCTGCGCCGACTGGAGACGGGACTCCCTGCTGGGCACCCTGTCATCTGCATCGACGACCCTGCACGAGGAGGATGAGGAGGACGACGACGAGGACGCCTTTCGCTACGACTACCACGTCAAGCTTGATGTGGTAGACACCCCGTCCATCTACTCCACCGACGAGCCCACCCCGGCCCCGTCCTCTGATGAGCCCTGCACCCCGCAGCACACGTCTCGCCCCTCTTTCCAGAGCCGCTGGTCTGTGACCGACTCAGACATATCCGAGATCGCCTCCGTCGCTAGCTACCAGAGGGACACTGCACCAAGGAGGCTCGTCAAGGGCCTTAGTCTCAAGCTGCCCCCGCCGCCCATGAAGCGACTGAGGAAGAAGAGCCTGAGCGAGGGCGCGGTCGCACCCGCTCCTCCGCACTCTCCCCAGTCTCACCACTCAGGCCTGTCCCAGCCATCTCAGGCGCCCCATTTATCCCCCTCGCCTAAAGCCCCCGATTCGGTACGTGACGGTCGCCAAGAGATCCGACAATTTGACAGCCACATGCAATCTCCAAATCCGAGCGCCCCCAGACCCCTATCTGAACTCTCCCAGCCGCCGCCGCAAAATGATTTCCACCCCATCAACACAAGCATCCCCGAGGGCCGCTTCCTCGATGACATCGAAAGCCTCAACTTCTCCAAGAGGGGAAGCATCTTGTTTGGAGGCAAGCGCGCCGTGAACAACTCGAGCCCTGCGCCTGGCCCCTCCCCGATGCTCATGTCTCCGACCCGCCCCGCACCCGCCCCAGTGCCGGCCGCCTCCTCGGCCGGCCGCGCCCCAGACTCCAAGCCCACCCTCGTCAGCCCACAGCCTACGCCGAGGGACTCGGCGAGGAAGCTGTCATTGCCCAACATACGAGTCATGTCGGTAGATACAGAGAGGGAGTCACAAAAGGTGAGATCGCTCTATGAATCTGGCGACTTCGTCAATTGGCAAGATGGGGCTCCAGGGTCACCCTCTGGTGAGCCCGCCGAGTCTGGGGATCAGCTCCCGTCCGACGGAGAAGACATTGCCGCGTATGGTTTTCCTTCGGTGCTCCGTTCTATGCATGATCAAGATGACCGCTAACATCCAATCTCTTGACCGCCCACAGAGAAAGAAGAAGGCGGCAAAGCGTCCGAGCTTTGTACCTCTGTCCCAGTACTCCGCTGTCGGCCACTTCGCTGCCGTCGCCACAAGGTAACACGCGCCGGAGCGAGTATGAGCTGGCGGGCGGCATTGAGGACTGGGAAAACGTCCAAGGGGACGACGTCGATCGGTACGGCTTCATACACTTCCAAAGACCAAGGTCGCGACGGAGCACTCCGGCAGAAACACACTCGCTACATTCTACAGTCGGCAGGCGCAACGGCCGAAATGTGTTGACTAAGAGGGCCGAGGTCCAGTCGTCGCCGCCCGGGCTGAGCCGGATACCCAGCAGGAAGGTGTCAGCCCGGTCACTGAACACGCAGACCTCGGGCGTTTCGACATCTTCGAAATTCACCGTCAGATCGGGAATCCGAACTGCAGCGAACTTGCTTCCACACAACCGAGACAGGAAGATCATTGACGAGGCGGGTGAGATGCTCGGGCTCCCGCCCGGCTTGGTGGACATCGAAGAGGAACAAAAAAGCGAGCAGGCCATCAAAGATGCCCACGAGAGGGAGATCAAGAGAACCGAAAAGTGGAGGAGGATGGCCAAGACTGTCACCAAGGGCAGGGATAGCAAAGGTGTCATGTTTGCCGTGGAGGACATAGCCAAGGTCAAAAGGAGCAAAGACAGCGAGCAACATTTCGAGATTCAAGGCACGGTGATCGAGTTCGATGTCAAGAGCCCGAAACTGATCGAAAGGACATGGAAGGGCATCCCCGACTGCTGGCGTGGGGCAGCTTGGTACTCTTTCCTCGCGGCCAGCGCCGCCCAGAACACGAAGTCACATACTGCGGAAGAGCATCTCTTCTCCGAGTTCCACCGCCTCCAGGACTTGAGCTCCCCGGACGACACCCAGATCGACCTCGATGTCCCCAGGACCATCAACAAGCATATCATGTTCCGCAAGAGGTATCGTGGAGGCCAGCGGCTGCTGTTTCGCGTGCTGCACGCCATGTCCCTCTATTTCCCCGACACTGGCTACGTTCAGGGCATGGCCGGCCTGGCAGCGACGATGCTGTGCTACTACGACGAGGAGAGATGTTTTGTGATGCTTGTCCGGCTGTGGCAGTTCCGGGGCCTGGAGAGGCTCTACCAACCGGGCTTCGCTGGCTTGATGCTGGCATTGAAGGACCTTGAGGACCACTGGCTGCATGGCAAAGCAGCAGCCCAGAAGCTGGTAAGCCCGGAGCAGTCCGCCCTCGTCCTGACTCGCATCCCCCCGCTAACATTAGTTGTCAAGAATGAGATGGGTATTGATCCCACGGCATATGGAACAAGGTGGTATCTGACGCTCTTCAACCTATCAATACCATTCGCGGCGCAACTCCGAGTGTGGGATGTCTTCATGCTGCTTGGGGGGTCTCCCTCAGCCTCGGACCACAGCCCGGCCAAGGAGAAAGAAGCAGAGACGTTTGACGGGCTGGAAATCCTCCACGCCACCAGCTCTGCGCTTATTGATGGGCAAAAGGAGCTCATCATAGATGCTGATTTCGAGAATGTGATGAAAGCATTGACATCAGCCCAGCCAGTGAAGGACGAGGACAAGTTTATGAACGTGGTGCGGGCGGAGTGGAACACGCACCGAAAGAAGAGGAAAAGCTAGGAGCAATCCTTGGACTTGGGTAGCCTCTGGCAGGGGGGTGACGACACTGAGTCATCGGTAGGGACTGGCTCTACATCAATTTGGGGCGGTGCCTGGCGGAGCTGGACGGGGCAAGGTTAGGGACAGGCTCGAGTTGGCCAAAGGGCTGCACATTGTTGCCTGTCAGCGCCCTGTCAGCTCCGTGCGATACCGCCAAGTCTCTTTTGTCAAAAGCAATCGTTTCTTCGTTTAGGTCGAGGCAACAGGGAGAGGGAGAGCGTTGGCTATTCAGGGTGCATTTGATCAGAACTGTTCGTTATATACCCGCGATGGCGACCACCGACATTCACCACCCAACCGACCCTCTTTTTTTTTTCGAGTGGTTGGGAGGACTCTGGTTATTTTTTCTTTTATTCGTATTCAGCACGGCATGATACTCAATGTCGGGTGCAAAGCATCAGTAATAGAAATCTAATGACAACAACGGCCTTTTCCTCAGATGAGGAGCCAGAACTCAAGAAGCTAAGCTCGTCATGTGTTTTCCCCGATCTCACAGTAGCTTGCCTGTCAGGCGTGTTTAATCTATGCGGCACCAGCCACATGTCGAAGATGGGATGGATGGTGGGAGACGGTCGGACGAAAGACGTACATTTGCCGAAGCCTTGCATCTCGGGCCGTCGAAAGTGTTCCGGCCGGTCTTGAGTGGATACATGCACGAAACCCGGAAGGAACTGTGGCTGAGGAGGGTCCAAACTTGTGCAGGCACATGGCTGGTTGGCAGTTCTCAAGGCGGCCTGTTATTTGTTTGGTTGGTGCTAGACTCGTTTGAGTTCCCAATGTGGTGGTTTCGTTTGCCCTTCATGGATGGCGCCTGCGCTGGAAGGTGGCGTGCCCCAATTAGGCAAAGGACGGGCTCCCCGCCGCTCCCCCCCCCGGCTCGGCTCGGGGCGGACCGGCCCGCTGATACCTGGCAATCTGGTGCTTGTGCTCGCCGGCCTCCAGCCTGACCGACGCCACCAGCGACCGTTATAGGTCAACATGGTGGGTTGAAACCTGGGCTGCTCTGGATCCGGTTCGAGAACTCTTTTTCCAGGTACGCACTGCCTCATCGGTCCCAGTTGAGCGTGGCGGTGCTCCTCAAACAGCGCGCGCACGACCCGGCCAAGCGTCCATCCGTTCAATCACTCCGCTCCGCCAAGTTCAGGACATGGTGAGAGGGGAAAGGAAAGCCAGATGGGTCGGGCGGCTTGCAGCCATGCGGGTGTGTTCACGCCCTCCCGTTGCTCGACGTCCCATCGTGGTTAGGTTACGGGCTCTGTCCTTATCCCCGAAGTGTTTGCTCGGAGAAGGGGCCACAACACACACACGGCCGAGCCGCACCGCGAGATTGAACGGCCCGGCTCGGCCTTGACCCATGCGCTCACAACAGCTCGCCCCTGCGGGTTGACATGGGCCCTTCCTGTTTTGGGTGGGGCGTGGGGCCTTGGTTTTGCGAAGCTGCCCGCCGGTACGTTTTAGCTTTTTGTTGGGCCGGTCGCCATTTCCAAAGTGCAAAGGTAGCGTCATGGCACATTATCAGAAAAGGCATGACGAGACGGGCTGGGCCCCCCGGGCTTGCCATCCCGTCTTTTTGGGGGCCAAGGGGCGAGCTACACCAGCACACACCACGATCGGAGGGATCAGGCGCGCGATGTAGCCCGATGCGGACATGCGTGTGAGCACAGCACCCCGGTTCCCTGGCAGTCCTGACCTCATTTTCAGTACTACTAATAAACAAGCAGAACAAGGTTATCAGAGTACCTGCCGGGCGTTGAAACGGGCACAGACGGCCCCGCACGGGGCAACGGGTTGATTTCATGCAGGGCATCATCTCCCAGCCTGCCAGCCGGGACCCCCTCCCTCGGAATGTTGTTCTGTGTAACAATGTGGAGGGAGGGGCCGGGCTCAGAAGTCGCCGAATGACCTCGGGGGATTTATCCACCCGTAATAAATCGAAAACAACCGTGCTGAGCAAGCACCCGGCGAGGCGGTGCGAGGGTTCCCTCCCGGGCCTTGGCTTACAAACGACCCAAACAGGTTGCGCGTGTTCTGCATTGGGCACTGACACGTTCGCCCGAGCAGGTCGTTGGGGGCCAAAGATCTGACGTTTTTGAGTTTGAATTGCCCGCCCGAACAACTCTTGTCCGCGCCCATGGCTACAATTGGTCACCTGTAGGTAGACACGCGCTACGTAGTACACTACATTTGTGAGCAAGGTGGTATATATAGTCTCGGCGCGTGGGAGAAGAGCTTGTCAAGCTTTCGCAGCGCACGGGGCCGAACCGGGCGAGGAAACAAGAAGAACTTGGGTACGGCGCTCGGAAGGAAAAAGAAAATTCAACAAAAATAAACCGACAGCCAGAAGCCCAGCGAGAAACGCCGGCACAGCATCCCAGGCGCCAGGGGCGTGATTGGTCCTGCGCGAGATAAAGCTTCTTCCTTGCCCAGCGCTGCGGGCATGAGCTGGTTGCCGGATCTGGAACCCCCAACCAGGCCAAGGGTGCATGTTGCCCTCGATCAGCTGATTTCTCAGGCCTAGTGTTGGGCTACAGCATCTATCGGCACGAGGCTTACATCAGCGGGAGAGTTGGCAAAGTCTGGGCCGGAAGTACATTTTCACAGTGGTCACCGCATCTTGACCTGGCGCAGAAAATAGAGTCTGCGGGCGTGCGTGTGCGCGTCTTGTTATACGCGTGGGTCCAGCCACGACTGCCACACGCACAAGTGCACACTTGTGCGAAACAAGGCTGCCTGGGCGGAGGGGGTGGTCACGATGCACTATACATCGGTCGGTCTGTAGGTGCAAGAAAAGCTTGAGCCTCGTGGTTGTGATAGCCAACTGTGTTGTGTGATGTACAATTCAGCCCACGCCGGGGGTGTCTTAGGTACATGAGTGCAGGAGAGGAGCTCTCAGCAACAAGATGAGCGTCGCTCCAAGTTGCCAGTCCACAACAACCGGGACGCCCGAGTTCATCCAGAGGTAGGAGCGCCTTACCAGCCTCTTCCTCGTCCGCGCCAAGACAGTCTGGCTCAGCTCGCTGTTTGCCCATTGTTTTCGTTCTGTTTTCGTTTTCATTTTGCCTCTGTGTGTGCAATTCTTTCGTAGCATCCTTGCTGTCCCATGTATGCCTCCGCACTCTGTATATACAAGTAGAAGGGAAAATTGGTCCAAAACAACCATGCTCGGTCCAGTGCAGTACCCCAAAATGTCGCTAAGAAAGCGGGGAATCAAACAAAAGTTTACCATCCCTATGCCTCGCCGTTCATGGCCCGAAATGAAGTGCCCTAAGAATGAAGTGTAAAGTGTGAAGTGTAAAGTGTGAAGTTGTGAAGTTTGAACGTTGGAAGCTGAAAAGCAAAGAAGAATGGATCAAGGCTGAAAGATGAAGAAGAGGAATGGCGAAGAAGGGTAAAACTGTCCTGTCCCTAGGGTGTGCGACGCTCAATTGGCGTGCAAAAGAATCGAATATCGAGAATGGCGGAGTGGCCGAAGGGAGAGTGCGCATAAGCCAGCTGGCCAGCTGTACTGTTGGCGTCTCCGCAGAGTATCGCTCAGCTGGCGGGCAGGGGTTCGATGAAGATCGTCGGCCGCCCATCCTCAAATAGTGCACAAGAAATGAAGCCCCGGTTCCTTGGGCTGAGGAGGACTTCGCAGAAAGAACATCCACCCCCGTCAGCCCAAAATTTTGCGCGCAACATGCCAGAGGTTGGGTCTCTTCTGAATAGCAGCGTTGCTGCACTGCTCGAGTCGCACACACGTCCAGATCCATGTGGTGCATGCTCCTCCTCGAGCACACCCTCCCTTTTTCTTTCGAAAAAAAAAGAAGATCAAATTTCGTTCATTGTCTCGTTCCCGCGAAGTCGTGGGTCCTGCGCCTCCGACCTTGTGCGTCCCTCGGACGAATGCGGGGAGTTCTGTCGTGAGCCCTCTCTGCGTTGCTGACCTCGCGATTCTGCCACTTGGGCAGACGGATAGTGGGCCGCTTGCGGCGGATGGTCATCTGAAGAAAGTAGGGAAGAAACTGAATGCGCTGCGATACGCGTCTGCGTCGCTTGCGGTTGCGAATGTGAAGATGGCTCTGCCGATCCACCGCCTCTATCTGACGCTGCGCCAGGGCCCGAGGCGCTCATCGGCGACGCACCACGTGCCGATCCGATGGTCTCAGCCCTGCCGCGTCCTCTGTATGTCGACATCGACACGTCACTCCTCTGGCGCGAGTGGCCTCTTCTACGCCCTGGCGGAGGGTTCGAGATCGTCGAGCCCCCGCCGTGAGAAAACGGGGGAGACCTAAATCTCTGTTGCGTATTCGGAGGAGGTGCAGCTGGCTGTGGCCCCGTCGCTTTCCGCTTGCGTGGCGATTCCCCTACTGCTTGTTGCAAGCCACGTTAGTCCCCCGACTTTCTCGCTCCCCTTTTGTTAAGACCGATGTTTGGGTTTGGACGCACCGGAAGGTGTTGCCGGCTGGTTGGAGCCGGACTGGCTGGCCTGGCTTGTCGGGGGTTGCCACATGTGGAAGTATATCGACGGGGACTGCTGCGCTTCCTGCTGCTGCTGCTGCTGCTGCTGCTGCGCCGAGGCGACGCCTGGGTGTGTCTGCGCTGCAGACGCGCCGCCTGAGCTCGGGAGCACGGTCGTGTTCAGACTGGACAGCCCTGGGCCCCCTCCGAGCGGACGGCTGCCAGAGCTGGGCATGCTGTAGCCCCGAGCACGCGGTGAGGAGTTTGGGTGCGTCCCAACAAAGCTGCTGTGAGCACCCTGGGCAGATCCAGGGGTGGACGGGACGCCGCCGGAGCCGGAATAGTGCCCGTAGGCCTGCGCCTGGGAATCACGGCGGTACTCTGGAGACGCTGGGCCAGGCAGAAGATGTTGCGGGGGGCCACCTTGGGCCTGGGAGTACATGAACTGCTGGGCCCACTCCAGCGCTGCTGGCGGCAGGTTGCCGCCTCCCATGCCAGCGAAAACGACTGGTACCAGGGGCGGTGGGACGCCGCCCTGCAACGACGTTCGCAGAATGTCGTACTCGGTTCGTCGTTGTTCGAGGCGGAGCCGTTCCTGGCTGGTCCTCTCCTCTTCTTGCTTCCTCTTGTCCTCTTCCGCTTTCGCAAGCAGCCACGCCCGCATGGAGTCTTCCGAGCCCTGCCAGCCTGGCGGGGGCGGGGGTAGTTGACCCAGATGCTGGCCCTGCTGCTGGCCCTGGGACGGCGGGGGCGGGGGTGGAGGCGGACCCTGCCCGAGTGAAGATGCATGACTTGGAGGCGGATGAGAGGCAACCCCGGAAGGCAACGGCTGGCCGAGTCCCATCGCCGACGGAGGGGGCAAGCCGCGATGAGAGCCAGACATGAGTCGATCCGGCGGGCTGTGGCTTCGAGGGACGGCGGGCGTTGCTCTGTGAGAGGAATCCTGGTACATCAATGGAGGCGAGGGTCGGGATGTGCTGGGCGGCGTGGGTAAATCATGGATCGACCTGTAGCCGTAGTGAACTGGCTGCTTGATGGTGAGCATCGTCGTTCTACATGCGAGCGACCGAGCTAGCTACAGGGTGGGCGTGTGGGACAGGGTCAATGCCCGGGGACGACAAGGAAACGATGGAACGGAAAACCTCACAAGGAGGAAAGAGGGCTGAGAAGAGAACAAAAAGAATGGGACACCCGAGGCCAATGGCGAGGTGAGGATGTGTGGACAGGTGGAAGGAGAAGAAGGAAGTAGAATTAACCTTTTTGCAAGGAAGCTGGGAGTGGCGGCCAGCCTGGTAAAGAATGGTGAGGACGCAGGCGGGGCGTGTGGTGATGAAACGTCGAAATGAGCCAGCCCAGCCTCATTTGGACATTGCAACCGGGTGAGATATACTGCGTGGTGAGGTACTGCCCAAAGGAGGGAAATGGTTGCCCCAGCTGCCCAGTCGTCTGCTATTTTGCTCCCACAAGCCCAACGGGCCCAGACCCGTGCAAGGTGGAGTGAAGCCGAAGCCGCGTGTGGAGGACGGGGGAGGGGGCCGACCCTTGCAGAGATCTGCTGCCTTGCTCGCTCCAGAAGAGGAGATTTGATGAGTCTCGAAGTCACTGGGCTGACAGGGTAGGCTACGGGAGGTAATGGCAGCGGATACTATTAGCCAAGGGTAAGGTGAGGAAATTAGACGTGGACCCGATGGGCGAAGGACGACTTAGATTCGTGCCTGGCCAGTTTAGGCAAGTAACGGAGGGGGAGAGCACAGCCGGTGGAGCAGACGGGACCTTTTGTTATTTCTTGTGGAAACAGTCTGTATCAGAAGAGATTGACGCCAGGGTTGGATGAAGATCAAGCCTTGGAAGGCGATATCAACCTTGGAAGTATCAGGGTTCTTGCGAATGAGACGAATTTAGCCCTGACCCGCAGTGCAGGACAGCATAGCGCTGGGCCACGCGACATTGGATGACCCAAGTGTATGTAGAGATAGACGGACGGGCCTCAGACGACAAGTGACAAGGCCGATACCACGGCAGACGAGGTGTACATTAGAAAGATAGGACGCCCTGCCAGACCAGGCCGTGACAGCCACGCAAAAGTAGGGTACATCTGTGTCCCCAGCCATGCCCCAGCGGCAGGGGGTGTGTGTGGTGGATGTGGGACGGGGAAATGTGAGGAGACGCGTGCTGACACCCAGTCAGGCAGACAACAAGCAAGCTGTTTTGCACAAGACGATGACCGGCCGACAGGCCGACAGGCAAAGGATAGGGGAGGGAACTCTAGTGCGAGCAGCAGGCAGGAGGAGGAGCAGGCAGGGTGGTCACGGCTGCTGTGGCGCGAGAGTTGCCTAAACGAGTTAAGGTTTCCCTTCCGACAGCTCGCAGAGAAACATCAATCTGAGCGAGATGGGTTCTCCCCGGTCCAGAACGCCTGGGTGCTGGGTGTGTGTGCTGAGTGCCAGCACTGCCAGGTGTTCGAGGCGGACTCAAGAGTGCTTTTGGCATCCCGAAATTGTCCAGAAGCCCTGGGCGTTCTCGGGGTCCCCTGCGAGACATTTCCTGATTCTGGTGGTGCTGCTTCCATTATCGCTCCCCCCTTCGTCCAATTCCCGGCAGGGAGATGAGGGAGGGCGGGGCCACAGGCTGGGGTGGGTTCTTTAGACGCAGGGTAGATCCCTAGACGAGCGAACGGCGAGATGGACCAATGTCGGCGAATGAGTGGGCAAGTAGGCCAGTATCCATACCACATATGTACGTGCATCCGTGCTGTCGACACTTGCAGTCCATGGCTGCGGCACGGTTGAAGAAGCGCCCGCTATCTACCACGTGCACAGAACATAATAGCACGGTATAGCAGAGCACAACACTCAGCACTCAGCGCATCAGCACATCAGCGCATCGGCACATCAGCGTGGTAATTGCAAAGCGGGGCCCGACATGAGCCCCGTACAGAGCACATACACACGCCAGAGCAAAAGCTTAGCTGACAAGGAGACGCCCAGAGCCGATGATGGTGGGCGATCTGCTGCCACGAGGACGTGACGACAGAGGGACTGCACATTCTCGAATCGGAATCAAGCAGAGGAGCCAGGCGACATCATCTCAAAAGAACCGTCGATCGGCCTGCGAGGAGCTCGGATCAACAATGGCTGGCCCAGGCCGATGACATCCCGGCAGGGTCGACGTGAGCCTGTGCTGTTGGCGGTGCATGCTTTGCCCTTGGGCGGGGTGCAGAGTTAGACTTTCCGCCAAGCGCAGTGAGCTCCGTGGCGTCACATCCGTCAGAGGTGGAGTGGGCAGGGACAGACAGCTCTAGATTTGTGCTTGATCTGGCTCATCGGTATCATTATGAGCTGAGAGGGAGGGACGGGGGGAGGGGGAGGGGGGAGGGGGGTGCTGATGGACGGAGCACGGCCGGCAAGCTGTTGTGTACGCCTGCACGGAATACCTTCCCGGTAGAAATTGGTGCGGCGCAGGACGTACAATGCGGTAATGAGATGTGGGCCTGGGTCAGTGGCAGCACTCTGATTCCTGCATGTGATGGAGGGGGCCTGCAAGAAGGCACATTTTCTGGTATTGCCAGGGGACAAGACAGACAGACAGCCAGCCTGCGCTGGCCGGCCGGCCGACTGGACTGGCCGACCGGGCAAGCTGATCGGTGTCACAATATTTCCACCACCGAGAGGCGTGTTGTGGTGTGGCCAGGTCGTTGCTCCCGGGGGCTACACCATACCATGGGGGCGCGCGTGTGGTGGGGCATCTGGCCAAGAAGATCTTGCGATCAGCCCGAAGTCGAGACGAATGTTTGTTCCGCGACCGACAAGCTGTTATGATTACCAGGTGAGGTCCAGAGCCTGGCAGGCTGGGTCCAGGTCTGGATCTGGCGGCACGCGCTACGCAGGGCAGGCCAGCTCGAGATGGCTAGCGTGGGCGGTGCTTGCATGTACTGTGGTAGCATTCTGGTCGTTACCTGCTCAGGCGCGGGAAGAGGGAGCATCGCAGCGCGGCTAGGCCAGGAAGGGCTGATTCTGAAACAGCGGATCGCGGTGGCAGGCCCAACCAGAGCCGATGTGCCTGTGTGCCCACCTGGACTGGGCACTCAGGGCCAGCCTGGCCAGGCGCACAGAAGGTGCAGGTGCAGGTGTTGTGGAGGTGGCCTGGGTGGGTGTGGCTGAGGAGTCAGGACCCGCGACATGTGCCAGATGCAGTATAGCACCGCGAGCCCCCCCCCCAGAGCCCCCAGAGCCCCCAGGCCCCCCAGGCCCCCCCAACAGAGGTGCTGCCAAAATCAGGGTCGCTACAACGGCCTGCGACAGCCACAAGTGGACGATAGCCACCGACCCGACATTACAGTACGTGGCCATGACATGGTACGCCGTGCCCGCCCATGCCGTGCCATGTGCTGCCACGCGGTAAAGCGGCGTTTGCCGTGCTAATAATCAAGCTTGCTTGGTTTTGCAGCGGGCGGGCTGACAGCTGGCATCTGGCAGCCGGGCAGCCAGCCTGCCAGCCAGGCAGGGTGGATGACAGACAGGAATGCCGATGCAGGCGAGATTGCACCTAGGGGGGTGGGCATTTTAATTACACTGATGCGCGCTGTGCACACAGCAGCACGCGCACATGCCGTGGCAGGACACTGCGAGGAGCAGACGTCAACAGCTCGCACCAAGCCCGCCAATTCTGCAGGCCCAGGGAAGGGACGCGGTGGCTGCTGATCCGACTGATATCCACGGCGCGGGACGGAGCTGGACAGGCCAGGAAGGTGTCGCCGCTCGACAAGCAGCCGGGCCTGGGAATCAGCTCATGTCGCCTACAAACCTGGCATATCTACATACCTGCCCAGAGCACCAGTCGGGCTGTCGGGGTGGTACCATGTGGTACTGCGAGGTGCACAACAGCTGGGCAGAAGCAGGGGGGACCCTTCTAGCAGCACCCTGCCAGGCCTACTACGTACACTAGCACAAACAGTGAGTGCACTACCACACACAGGGCACGGCACGGGTACGTACCTCCCGTGGCAGGGCGGGCTGTTCGGCTCAGGACTCAAGAGTTTGTGCCCCAGCCAGGCCCGCTGCCCATGAGAAGGGAATCTCCGGCTCTCGCTAATGTCATGACATGTCTACCCAGGCGCTATGCTCTGATACTGTGTTAATATGCAGTGCCTAGGTCTCCCAATATGGCATGTTCCGTCGACAACGAGAGCAACCCAAAAAAAGAAAGAAAAAAGGAAGGGAAAAAAAAGAAGCCAAGCATCCACTGCTTCGCTGCACCACCGCACCACAGCCTGGCAGAGTCACTCACTGTCGGCGTCGACGTCGGATGCAGGCGTGCAGGCGTGCAGGCGCAGGTGCAGGCCCAAGTGGCCCCAGCCTCAGTGCCAGAATCGTCCATGGAACTGCCTAGGGCTGAGGACACCTCGCACCGCACGGTCCAGCAGAACCGCAGCGTGGGTAACTCGGGTGGGTCCGTGTTGATGATCCAGGCTTGCCAGGCTGACGACTGAAACCTTGTACCGCTTACGGAGTACACGGCCACTCGGCCACACGGCCACCACGGCCACACGGCCTGACGGCCTGCACGGCCTGCTCGGCTCATTGTCGAGCTCCAGGTCTACGGACCGTGTTGCGGAGTATTCCAGCCTCGCTACCGTCCGAGATCCGCCAGACTTCAGGCAGACAGACATGCTTGTCACAGCGGCCACCTCCCCCTGGCCCGACCCTCCTCTGCGTCTCGTCAGGACCTCAGCACTCGCTGGCAGATCTGCCTGGGACCATGACCTGGGACCATGACTGCGACTGCGACTGTGACTTCGACTGTGACTCCAGGTTGCGGTCGCGGCGCCGAGGGGCGAGGCCGAGGGCGACAGGGGAGACAAGGTCCAGGTCAGATACCCCCACAGGAGCATTCAGACGCACACCGGCAGTCCCAGTTTAGCAACTTACGCAGGCCAACACACCGGACGTCGCTTGCTTGGCCTTGCGCAGTTCCGCGGGGTTTTGACGATGGCGCTTCGCATCCAGATTACGCCGCGCTCCCTCGACTTATCATGCCCAGATGGCTCAGATGGCTTCAGACCAGAGCACCGCTTCGGCTCCGCCATGACAGTGAGACAGCGGCTTGCAACGATGCGTTCGTGGGTTAGATCGCCCGTTGCAGTTGGCCTGGCCAGACGCCCAGACATCAGACGATCAGCCAATCGTCGCTCCATCATGGCGCGCGGGTACGGATAGTCCCTCGCGCCGCGTTTGCGCCATCCCCTGCCTTGGCTCTCTCTGCCTGGTTTGCAACGAGTCGATCAGCGACGAGTCCGAGGCAACCAGAGTCTGTGTCCCTCGAGATGTGGCTTGCTTGCGGCCGCCCTCCCGTCCCCCCCCCCCGTCCCCAGGACCGCCCGCCCACGGCTGCCAGGCAGGGCCTTGTTGATTACTACATAGTGCTGTGCCGTGGCTTCGTTGCTCCCTTTTGGGCTCTGGGGTTCGAACCACAAGCCTGGGCGAGCCCTGCTCCCGGCTGACTAACCCGGCCTGAACTATATTTGAAACAAGATCCCATTTCTTTCGATGCTACCCTGCAGGGCGCACACGCATCTGTCCCTTATTTCGAAGTCGAGCATCCAATCCCACAGCTAATAACAAGCAAAATGAGCCCGCCCCTTCTCAGCTGACCGGGGGCCAGCCCCCCACACTGTCTGACTGTCTCCTCCTGGAACCTCCAGCCAACTGAGGCGTCGGCTTCCATGAGGCAGAGGAACAATACAATGCCTTTTTCTCCGGCCACCACGCCGCTGTCACCCGCGAGCGACCCATCTCCCCACTGTTGGCTTTTATCTCCGAGCTCAAGTGATCCACCGGCCTGGCACCAGCCACGGGGCACAGAACATTACACAGTACTTACACTACTTGGCGTGTGGGTGCGTGGACGCGCGGACGCCCCGGCCATGGTCGTCGCTGCGCTGGACATAGTACACAGTACTACACATGCCCAAAGCTTATTTCCTTGTTTCCTCCTGTGCCTCAGTAGCCAGCTTCTCCAGGTGAGTAAGCTCGGCACTTCGAGCATGGATAGCCATGACCCTCTCATCAAAGCCCATGGCTGTCAATGTAGAGTTGCAGGCTGACCACTTATACACCTGCCTACCTACCAGTTGATGGGCTCGCCGCGGGACCAGTTCAATTTCCGTTGAAACACACCAAAATCCCTGGGCGTACCCAGCCCTGGCGGCCAAAAGCTGCCACATGTGCGCTAATTTGGGCGGCGCTTCCAATTTCAGACGTCTTTACTCATCAAATCCACCGGAGCCGGTCAGCCCGTGAGCAGTCTGGCACTCATTGAGAAAGTGGCCAAGGATATATCCCCGACTAATAATAGAGTGAACAATAATATTTGTGTTCCACTACAGCACCCGCGCCGCTGCCTTCCACGGTCGCCAGATGTCACTTGTCAGACAGACGTTCTGGCTAAGCGCCCCGAACCGTTGATCAACGCGCCTCTCCTGCCGCAAGCGACTTGGCGGGTCCGTCGAGCATGTCTTAACGCCCATGTGGATGAACGTAACTTTGGCGCTCATGACCAGCCAGTGGCCATCTCTGGTACGCGTGCTACGGCCAATGCTCATGGGGTAGTCTTCTTCCAACCTTGTCACAGATATTCCATCTCCTGCAACTCGTGGGGCAAATCGGCCGGAACTCCGAGCATCTCGATGAATGTCCCGACTCGCCTCACTTGGGCCGGCCGAACACTGCGGGCGAAGAACGCCTGCTGTGGAAGAGCAAGCAGGAATTGAACTTGGCTTTCAAGCCACAGTAATGCCACCCGCGAGCAGGACCCAGCCTCGATCGGGTTCAGGCCGCGTCGCGGCCTCGAGCTGTGGACAAGGCCACCCAAGCCCCGATCGGCACGCGAGGAAACGGCCTCAATCGTGACTTACATGCAGGCTCATAGGCTCGGCGCTCCATTGACGGGCATGCATGCTGTGGATGACGCTTGTGCGTAGCTCGGCCGGACGTCCTGTAAGTATACAAAAGTTCCGGCTTACTTGCAGAAGTCCTGCAGTCGAGCCTGCAGAAACTGCACTCCTAAGTGGCTGTGATGAGGATGTTGGCTCCTCTTGATCCAGTGGCTGGTGTGTGACCACACTTTGGATGTATGTTGAGACTCTGCAGGGAGCACTGGGGGACTCTTTGACCCTGGTTCCGTCTCCTAAGCCTGCAATATCGTTGCACAGCGACGAGAAGCGAGCTCTATGGCTTGAAAACTCGCAGACGTCCTTATGGCATGGTTCCGTTGTCATTCTCGGGGGCGAACACGCTGGGGAAGCCAAATCGAGCTTTGCTGGGTACCACAACAGTCCCGACCTTTGGTCCGGGTCTTTGGCTGCTTCCCCATCAGAGACATTCTCACTAATTGGGCTTTTAGTTTTGTTCGTCGATGTTGGGCGGGATAGTATGGTCCTGTTATTCGTCCTGTCCGATTGGATTGCTGTCACGGGCCAACAGGCGGGATGCGCAGCGTTGACAGCGTGCCTTCCCAGTTTCTCACTCCTCAACTTTGCTACCCACATTTGACCCAGACTGCACGCGAATAAGTCGAGAAGTCCTTTTGCTTTGTCCAGCTTGCCAGAGAAGCCTGTTCCCTCCCGTCTCCTCACCCCCGAGACTCGGGGAGAGGATCAGACAAGGGAACTCGATGAGGGATGTGAGCCTCAGTGTCCCTGGTCCCAACAAGTCGGTGAAAGCGTGTTGCTTGTCCCAGCCACGTCGTCTCGATCACACGCGAGACTCGGTAGATCCTTTCGCCCAGCAAACGGATTGGTTCTCGGTCATCCGGTCCCGAGGTTATTGACCAGCCTCCATGCATGGCCTCTGCCTCGTGGCCCGCGTGGCCCAATGCAGCATCTGGCTCGCCCGCGGACCAGAGCCATGTCTCAAACTTTTTCCGCCTGGGCGTCACTAGGGAACTCGCTGCCCACGATTTCTTTTTTGGAATCAACGCTCACCTCTGGACACTAGTGGCAGTGACGTCCGCTTCTCCACCTCTTTGCTTTTGCGCCCGACGTGTCTGTCATGACGAGAGAAATCATACCAAGTTCGCATGAGTGACGGAACATGAAACAAGGCGCGCGTCGATGATTACCGGCCAAGAAGACTTATTGCTTCCAGACTTTCCAGAAAATGACATCCATCGTTGACACGGGCCTTGACGTGTCACCAGGGCCTTTTGACTAACCATGAGGGGCCATGACCAACTTTTCGACTGCCAACACATTCTGCCATCCAACGTTGAGCCGTGGCTTGCTCGTACTCATCACGAGGTCTTGTGCCTCGCCTCTTCCTTCCAACAAGTATGGGCTCTGGAAAGCTCCGTCGACGCCGAGTGTGCTCTGGTTTGGTCCGACCAAGCGGCTCGTTGGTAGGCTCGGGAGTGGACGCGTATCCGTAGTCACTCGAAGTGGGCACAAATTCACACCTGCTTGAATGTAGCTGAGACGCCTGAGGCTCAGAAAATTCTTTCAATACTGCCGCTGGCAGGACGAGATTACCACTCAAGCCATGCCTGGCATGGCGACCAGGGATGTCAGGCTGTGGAATTGCACTTTCACATGTGTTGGCTCAATTTCATGCCGCCGATGTAGCCCAGGCCTAGAATGTTCGACGGATACAATGTCACAACTGCGGTGTCTTGTCACAGCACAGCTTGGGGGCCATCAAACACAGCGGTCCGCCGAGCGAACGAATGCCAACTCTGCACATGAGCTTGTGAGCCATGATGGAAAGCGTTTGGAAGAGAGATATCATAAACCTAAGCTACACCAAGTCTTTTCATGCTACTAGACAGCGCGCTTGGAGAACACGCGAATCCTCTTGACTCCTCCATCGGGTATCATGGTCAACTTAACATGTGTGAAGGGCTTGTCCTGAATCTTGGAGGCATACTCGTGCTCCTGGTCCGGCCCGGTCTTGCTCGGCTCCACGACCTCCTGCCATGCCTCAGCTGTGGCCGGGGGCTCGCCAGAGCCCTTCCACTCGATCGCATCCACCTTGACCTTCTGGGGAAAGTTACCCCTGAAGTAAGCGGTGTCGACGACAAGGCGCTGAATGAGCGCTGGCGCGCCGAGGCGTATGACAGCCCAGTCAACATGGTCTTTGCCGCGGGAGCGCTTCGTCTCCCAGCCATCGCCCATGTCCTTGCCCCGGCCAGGCAGGATGAGGTTGTCCTTGGTGCCAAAGTGCTGGTCGCTGCACGACACGGCGACACCGCCATTCTGGGCGGCCGCGAGATCGAGGATGGCGTCCTTGTCATCCGGGAAGACGGGGACGGCGTGGCCGAAGAGGCGGAAGCGGGCGATACCTCCGTCCGGATACATGTTGAGGCGCACGTGGGTGTAGCGCTTCCCCGTGGGTTGGGCCAGCTTCCAGGCGAAGCGTTGTGAGGGCCCGCACTCGCGTAGGCCGAGGACAGGCTCCCAGCCGCCGCGGGTACCCTTCCAGGAGAGGACCTCGTCGTCGTCGAGGCTGAAGCACCCCTCGACGGAGATGAAGGGCGCGTGGTTGCCTGAGAAGAAGGCCGTGTCGACCTCGACTCCCTCAACTGTGCCCGAAGCCACGCCCAGCCGGATGACGACCCAGTCGAAGGCTTCCGTGTTGTGCCGGCGCGTCTCCCATCCGTCGTACCAGGCGCCGGTGAACACCATCTTGCCCGGCTGGTGGATGGGTGGCGTGGGCGTCAGCAGGTTCGCGGCCTCTGCAAACCACTCATCTGAGAAGCCGATGACCTTGCCTCCCATGGCGGCGGAGATGAGATCTACCTCACAGTCAGCCTCCTGCTCATGGTTGGTCTGATATCTCTGGCGCGGACATCACAGCCCCAGCGTGTTTTTTTCCTTCTTTTCAACCTCGATGGGGCCTGGCCTACGTACCTATGCTGGATGAGCGGAATGTCTGGTCGATGTCGCTCGGGGCCACCGAGGTAGCCTCGACGTCGTCGAGCTTGTACTGGATTTCGTCTGCCATGCTTGCCTTGGAGATGTGCCTTTGTTGTCCTGAAGGAGAGGAGAGGCGCAAATGGAACAAGGGAGGGAAGGAGGGAGGGAGATGCAGTGGTTGGCGACGGGGCACGCGGACTCTTGGTGTGTTGTTCGTGTATCTGACCTGGTGGTAGCAAGTGATAGGCGACGCCTAATGACAATAGGCTATCGAGTAATGCGCTCCGGCCCCGGGCCGGAGCAAGTCGGGGGCGGCCGACGTCGCTTTGTGTGGAGCCCGGGAATGGCCAGGCTCGGTCGGCATGTCTGTCTGCCCTTTCCCAGGCAGGTTGCTTGTTTATCTGGGCGTGCCCTGGCGCAATTGCTACTGTAATAACAAGCAGCGATGCTGGCACGAAGCATTCTCAGCTGTTCACAATCCGGAGCCGAGCAAAAGAAACTGGGCTAGCCGCGATTATCTCGATAATCCCCCGGTGCTGATGCTACCTGGATCTGCCCCGCTCGTAGTGGTCCCATGCAGTGCGTCTGGGGTTGGAGGTGGTGTGGGGGACAGTAATGCGGCAGCTCTCATAGGCCAATGGGGCCGTCCCATAGAGTGCTCTCATCATTGACTTGTATGGCATCAACACAATTGTTGCCTCGCCCTTGGGTGGCTTTTGACACTCTCTTGCCTCCTTGGGACGGAGACAGCCAGCTGGTTTGTCCATAGGATTCGGTGCTAGGCCAGCCAGAAAGCTCTAAAATGCATCAGGTGTCTGCTGGTGGTGCGCAGTAGGATTGCACAGGTTGTTCTCCGCAGTTGATGCCCCCAGCAAGGTAGACAGGTACTTAAAGCAGCAAGCTCCGAGTTCTGGGATCAGGCCCTTTGGCCCATGCCCGACCTGACCTGCCTCCTACGTCCCACGTCCTGCCTTCCCAGGTAAGCAAGCTCCAACGTCAGAGTTGTCGTCAGCCTCAGATCCCACCGGCATCTTCAATTCCAGGTTCCTCCCCCCCCCCCCACCCGACACCCTCGTGGCCAACTTCATAACATCAACAAACCGCCCCTTCGAAGACAAGTAGCTGAGAAACGCTGTAGAAGAGACGGTCACTGCTCCCACAGACGCACCCCTCCGACATGGCTTCGGCAACAGGAATACCAGAGCACCCATCGGGGAGCAACCGCGAGGCAGGAGAGTCTGAGCCTCTGCTCGGCCGGCCAGGAGATGCCCTCCAGAAACCAGAAGAATCAATATTTCACAACCTTTACCGAGGTGCACATGCCTTCCTCGACCCGCCCGTCTTGCTTGCGTTGCCTGACAGCTGCTGACTTACACGACCACCCGTATATAGGAACCGGCTGGTTAGCCCAAGGCGGCGCCATCCTCCTTGTCGCCCTCGTCTGGTCTGCCGTCTTTGAGCATCCGCCGCTCATCCCCCTCTTCAGCCCCCACCCGCTCCTCCAGAGTGTCGGCGTGCTCGTCCTGGCCGAGGCTATTCTCATTCTCCAACCGACCTGGACCGCTGGCGAGAAAGTCGTCGGCGCTCGTGCCCACGCCTCGCTCAATTTCCTGTCCTTCCTGATCTTCGCAGCCGGTGTCTTGATCATCGAGGCAAACAAGAGTAAGTAGACTCGGCAATAGCGTGGCTTCCATCTCGGACAACGAGAAATGTGAGAGTGTTTCGGGGGGCGGGGTTCGTTCCGCGTGGAAGTGGCTCGCGGAACCACACCTCCACAACTCCGAGCATCCTGGTACTCCTTCGCCGAGCTTTGGGCGTTCTTACTGACAAGCCCGCAGTCAAGCAAGGCCCTGGCAGCCACTTCCATTCCGTGCATGGCTACCTGGGCGTCCTCACAAGCGTGATCCTGCTGGTGCAATATGTGTTCGGGTTCCTGATGTGGGGGGTTCCGGGCGTGTTCGGCGGCATTGACAACGCAAAGGCATTGTGGAAGTACCACCGCATCAGTGGATACCTGCTGTTCCTTCTGATCCTGGCCACCGTCATCAGCGCAGTGTGGACTGATTTCAACGTCAACGTGCTGAAGATCAGGCTGTGGGCAGTCATTGTCTCCATCGCCCTGATCGTCCTTGGCGTCTACCCGAGGCTCCATCCCAGGAAGCTTGGCTTCAACATTGGTCGTCATTGACAGGTGCGACGGAGGAGGTCGATTTCGAGGAACTGAGTGCTGTTGGGTGGCATTGAGGCGCCAAGTTTATTTGTAGGCCTTTGCGATGAATTATGTCTGACCGACTTCGTGACGCGGTTCGCCGCTCTTTTCTCTTTTGAACGCAACTTCAGTTTGGATACTGCGAGGTCTAATTCGTCTCTTTTCATACCCGACTGGCATCGTGCTTCGGGGTTGGGAGGCTGCTAGCACGTAATGGTTGAACTATTCGCGTTGGATTTCGACAGCGAGAGAGATACAGTCTTGCGCACGCACACACACGCACAGTTTCATAGCAAGCTGGAGTAAAGCGGTACTTGTGATTATTCTGCTTCATGACGGCTGGAGAGGAGCTGTAAGATGACGCGGCTTCACGGCTATGGTTCGAATAGACTCCGAATTCACCAGTTGAGAGCAGCGTTCCCCAATCCCTTTGAACCTGCCTATGCACTTGAAGCAAGAGGGATTGACAGCACCCAGTGATCCTTTCGAATGGTAGGACTGAAATGGCGAGAAGGTGTGTGGATGGTGGCGTTCTCCTGGTAGCTCGGTGGGAGGGGGTCAAGCGACGAACTAGGTCACCGAGTCTCGAGAGCTAGCAGTGACCAAATGTTAACCCCGGCACGATGATGACAACAGAACCCTTCATGGGAGTATCATCGTCGCAACTATGCGGGCACGTCCGGAACTTCTGTGCATTCAAAATGAGTTATCTCGATCGCACTGCGGGCATCTGTTGACTCGGTCGTCAGCTTGATACTCTTCTTGCCCCCTCCTTTCTCCCGGGCATCTGCCCATGTTCAAGGGCCCGACCGTGCCAGGGGATCAGACTCGATCAGACACCTCCAGGAAGCCGATACCGAGAGACCACGATTGGGGGCCGAGGCATGCCGTCGCGCAGATCACACTTCACATCACATGTGCAAGGGAAGGAGTCTGTTTGTGCGAGCTGCTCCGTAGCCATGGCTCCACGACACGGCCACTTGCACAAGAATACTATGAATCATGTTGGTGATTGACATGGCTGTTTGAATTTCTCCCTACCTGTTCAATGCCTGATCGGGACCAAAGGTCCGCCTTGCGGAAGTACTGGATATGTTGATCTCTCTGGGGGAGACTCTACATACACATCTGCCTCATGAACACTGGTTCTCAATTACCAAGTCCAATGGCTTGACTCTGCACATAATCTTACTTTCTGGAGCCATAAGACTGCACCATTGTCTCCTGAATCTCATATTTGTGACAGAGTGTCGTCCAGTGGCGTTCTCTCGTATGCTATACGCAATCGTTTACAATGGGGATGGACGGTAGCATGTAGGCCATACACAGAGCTTTTGGTGAGCTCTTTCTCAAATGTAGCGATTGGGTCACGCCCCCTTTGCGCCTTTGGGTTGGTTGTAATTTCGAGAACATATGTTTGGCCAAGTCTGTCAAGGCCGAGTGTCAAGTGCCGGGTCGGGGACGGACTGTCCACTCAGTCGATGTCATGGGGATGAGAAATGGACACATTTGTTGCTCAGATGAAGTTTTGTCAATCTGACTGAGCGAGTCGACAGCCGAGTGATTGCACAGTGATGCCGGGCCTCGACGAGATACTGTCGAATGCTCCAGAATGGGCAGGACATGATCCGTAGATTTCAGATGGGCGCAGGTCGTCATCGATCACTATCACCAGACACTACCTAGGCATGCACTGCTCGACATCTTTACCTGACATCCTACTCATGGCACATGAATGTACCGCGCTCGGGCAGTCCTGCTGTGCGTTAGGCAGCAAGTACCCTGTCATACCGGGGGAGAGCTTTCCATTTGATAAACGGCAGTCTTCTTCCTGCGACGTTCTGCTCAGTAGACCACCATCTGAGCCCCCCTGTACCGCTCCCAGTCGAGAGTCCGGCCGCCGAAATCCCGATGGGTGGGTAGTGAAGGTTTGCTGGGACTCGGCGTGTCGACCAGGGTTTCTTCCCAGTTATTGTTGGAATAGAGCCCCCGGAGACAATGCCAGGCACACAACTTCCCAGATGAAACCTTCCCTGGCGAATTCCTCCAATGTTCGGTAGCTGAGCGACTTGATCGGGCACAGAACAGGGATGCAGAGGACGAACCGATAGTCGCAAGGGCTTGAGTCATCTTAACGTGCATGCCATGCTCCTGGGTGATTGATTATGCGAATACTGGCCGCTTACAGCAACCCTTCCGCGATGTAATACAAGGGCATGTCGGGTTCGTAAGAACTCTTACCTGAGATGTCCTTGTCTTACTGATGCCGGTGCACCCATCAACAAGCTGCGAGGACAAGACAGAAGAAATCTACAATTGGGTTTCGCTACATCCTTCCGGGTCACCAGGGAAGTCGGCGTGAAGGATGCTGATTCCTCAAATCTCGGCAATAGGTTGTCGCTGTCGTCAGAGTCGAAGCCTGATACCCTCGACTTGCCACTTTCAGAGCACCTACGCTCTGATCCAGGAGCACATATATTGGCATCTTTGTATCAGACGTGAATCTTTTGTCAAGACGCGGTGAAGCTACCTGCCCTGACAGGCGCTGTCCATTGGCTTTTCCTGGCTGCATCCCGGAGATAACGGGGGGGAGAGAGTGCTGTCTCCGATTTGTGTGGCCGGGCCAGCTCGAACAAAATCGGCACAGGTCGCGGCTGGTGGGGGTTGGGCGAGGATTTAGGGGTTCATTTCCGACATGATCTTGGGACAATGGGACAGCAGCAGCGTGCCCCTCCAGATCGCGAGCGATCACGATGATTGTGCGGCGGGCACCGTGGACTTCCACATTACTCCGTACGTGCTTATCCACCGCTTACCTCGCGCTGACCCTCAAGTGCCTCTATCAGGGCCGTGTGAAGGAGGAGTGGGGATGCGAGGCGGACAGGTGCCCTGGGCGACAGGCAGGCTGGCAGGCTAAGGGCCGGAGCCGCAGGGGGCCGCAGCGGCTCCGTGATGAAGGCTTCTTCGGGCTAGACCCCCTGGTGGGGGCAGAAGTTGGCCGTCAGACCACGTTCATTTGCACAAACAAGAAACCGTGTCGCAGTGGAGCCCCCGGGAGGATCGGTCTGTCGGGAGGGCTGCTCGAGCCTTTCGAAGCTCTCGTGGAGAAACGAGGCTGTCACAGAAATACGACTACAGTAATAAAGAGCATGGCACCCCGCCGAGGGTTCCCCGGCCGAGCCTAGAGCCTTGGATCTCTGGTGAGCGAGCGCCTGTCCAGTGACAGGACATTGGACAGGGGACGGTGTTTCATGCGCGATCCCATCAGCGCCTGTCGCTCTCCCTCCTTCCTGCCCGGGTCTGCAGCAGCAGCCATGGGAGAATGCAGTGTCCAAGACACTGTGAGGCGCACACGTTTTTGGTGCGCGTGCTACCATGTCATCCTGCCCCAGCCGGCACGCACCGGTATCCTGACCAATGCTGTGCCCAGGTGCTGTATCCCAGTGACGTCCGCGCTACGTCATCCCTGAAGGTTCCCCATATCCGGCAGGGACTGCCGCCAGGGACCCCTTTTAACAACATGGCCTAGTCCGGTACGTAATATCCAATCCACTTCATGTACGATGCCGTGTACAGTCAGTCAGTCAGTTTGACCGCGCAGTGCCCAGAAGGCACAGTACTCCGCGTCGGCGCCCGTTGTGCAACCACGGCGCCGTTTCCTGGCGAAACGTTCAACGAACAGACTGGAAAACCTACACCGGCCATCCCACTGAACGGCAGTGCCTGTCATCAAGCCCCTTGCGCGTGTTGTGTTGTTGGTTTTTTTTATTAGCACAATGCTACACACCTCTTGGTTGGTTTTGATCTCGATTGGACGGCGAGTCAGTGTCATCCCAAGACTCAATGCGCTTTGAGAGGCTGCCTGTACGCCTGCCCTGCGCGGCAGAGCCTCCCGTCAGGCACACCCTACCCTAGTAGTGTGGACTACAGACTACACAGTTGGGTTGCTTGTAGTTGTAAGGTGTCACCGGATATATCATCGTTCGCAGAGCCGTGGTTAGACCCAACTTTGTCGATCCCACGTGCGCCTGCTTCCCTTGTCCTTGGCCCTGGCAATGGATCGTAGTGATCGCAAACTCGACGACGGAGAGGGTCGTTGACAATGGTTCTTGTTCATGAGCAGGCAGGCCGTGGCCCCACGATCCTGATTGGATCAGGATTGTACTTGGGAAATGTGGTCGGGTTCTGTCCTTTGGACCTCCTTCCACGGCCATCGTGAACACCGGCCATATGCCCATTTGAGACTACGGATGTAGTGGTAGCAGTGAGAGCAAGACGGCGAGAACCCCCCAGGCAGATCCGCTGCTCTACTGTGTGCCGGCTACTGGGTAGTCGGCACTCCGCACTACATAGTATAGTACCCAGGTACTTGGTCTGCACAGGCGAAACAGGGAATGGAAGCCCCAGAAACCTTGGACAGGGCGGCAGAGGACCCACAGCCGCGAAAAACCTCCAGCGCCGGCACCAGCAGCAGGGCGACCTAGTGTCCCACTCTGGATTAGCCTGCCCGTGGTGGTTGGTGTGGTTGGTGTGCGGTTGGTTTGGAGGGGAGCATGTTGTCCCAAATTGTTGTCCCAAATTCGAATGGCATCCCGCCCAGACCAGGAATTGCTTTACGGTACCCCGTTATGCGGTTCCCACACCCCATAGCAGAATAACAATAGGCGCCGTGGTGATTTCCTCAGGAGGCCCGGAGCGCGTCTGTCTGTGCAGTCCCGCAACTCCAGATGTCTGCACTCTGGCAAAGACACTGATCCGCGGGTCGAGGTTGAAATGAGTGGCGGCTGCCTCCTCCAGCCGCCCGTGCTGCCCTGGCCTTGCCCCGTGCTGTGGTGCCGTGGTGCTCTTTCCCCGTTCCTCTTTTATTTTTAACAGAGCAGCCGCACGCCTACGTCATACCGACCACACCCCCAAACCACCCGCACTGGCTGCTTGCCCGTCCTGTTCAGTCAGGTCGACCCTGGACGTGCTCCCCGTCTCCCAGCTGCAATTGCTTGCTTGCTTGCTTGCTGTCCGTCTGTATTGCAAGGTCCGGCCTGCCTGCCTGCCTGCCTGCCTGCCTGCCTGCCTTTTACTCGTTTGTTGGTCATCGTTCGTTCGTACCGCTCTGCCTCTGCGAAACCGACAAAGCCAGTCTCGGAATTCCACTTTTGCTGCCGCCGTCAGCTGCCTCAGACTTGATTTGCCTGTAGCCTCTGCTTTTGCATTGGCCTCGCCCCGCCCTGGCTTTGCATCACCTTGCCTTCTGTCCTGCACTGACTGGTTTCCAAACCCGTTTGGAATTCTACTCCCACGGTATCCTCGCGACCTCCTGCTGCCAGTTTTGCCAGGTGCAAATCCCATCGTGCGCGCCCCTCGGCCCCCCCTTTCCGCCTCGTCGCAACGACTTCTACGTGTATGCTGTAGAGCAACTACGACCACCCAATTGCGACGACTAGACTGGCGCGCCCACCACCTCAGACTTTCCCCGACACCATTCCAATGGAACAGCTCCTATGAGGCATGCCAAGGTCGAATCCAAGCGCTGAGGACCGGGACAACCAGTTCGACAGGCGCTCATCCAAATCTCTGCTGGCACCTTCGTCCGAGCCGCACGAGAACCAGCCTGGACACTCAGATGCGTCGCCGACGTCGCAAGGAAATGAGCGAGCCGTGATGTCGGATCGCCCCAAAGCCGCAGGAGAGGGCAAGCAGCCTCTGCAAGACCCGAGGATCTTGGCCTTCAGCCGGAGTGCTTCAGGCCAAGCTGGTGGCAGCGGGAAGTCGGGCGGAGGACCTGCGTCCCACAACCGGGAGCAGTCGAGCAGCAGCAACCTCGAGACTGCACGTGGCGGTGGTGATGATGGGGCAAACCCGCCAGAGCCCAGCTCCCCCAGGTCCGCCAAGGACTCTGCCAGCCAGCTCAGCCAGTATCGCGAGAAGCTGACCAGGGAGATTCAGCGGCAAGGTCTAGGCGCAAAGCCCGTCCAAGCTCTGGCTCAACCACAACACATGGTGTCGCCTATACCCGAGGACAGCGCTGCCGGCCCCGCCGCTGCGACAAACACACCCAGCCCGATGGTGTCGTCCGGGCCTTCTACCGCGTCAACTAATGCCTCGACAGAATCTAACCAGACAGTCAGAGGAGGTGTCACTCCTGGCTTCGTGGCCAAGACCCCGTCGTACCCATTCCCCCGGATGGCCAGCAATCCAGGATATGTTCCTTCATCTTTGCACAGGCCTTTCACGACGCTGTCGCCGACCGGGCAAGCGTACGACTTGTCTTCCATGTCCGCGGTGGGAACGCCCAACCACGGGGCTGCCCGCCCGTATGATAGGATCTTGTCTAACCCTTCGACGCCTGCTTCTACGATAACATTCCAGCCTGCTGGTGCCATCCACCCAGGCGACGATCCGGACTTTCCCACCCCAAATCTTTATGAGTTGTCATTGATGTTGTCGGCTGAGCCGGGGTTGGAGGCCTGGTGGAAGACTGTCGTGCATATCATGACAGTCTGCTTCAAAGCTGAGAGGCTGACATTGTCTGTACCGGCTGACTCAACTGACCTGGAAAACGTTCCCTGGGGCCAGAAAGCAACCTACAACGCACGGCCAGAAGATAGCCTGAGCATGGAGTACATGGCAAGGGGCAGTAGTCTTGTGCCCAGCAGCATGGGCGACATATCTGAGGTTCTATCACCAGCAGAGGATGACACCTTACGCTTGCAGTCTCCAACACGTCCCCACATCCATACTCGCCATTCTTTCACGGCATATGAAGAGGAAAAACAAAAGGACAGCGCATCTGCTAAACCCCGGCCCTTATTCAAGCGACCAGCTGTGTTAGCCAGGAGCAAGAGCACGTATCCTGAGACTCCAATACCGCACATGGGATTGAACCAACAAGCCTTAGAAGAGCACAATGCAGAGGCGCCCGAAGTTGCCGGTGGATGGGATGCACCGGCACCGGAGAGGGAGATACAAGGGAGGGTTTTTGAACTGCTACAAGCTCTGGACTACGAGGCGGATCCGCTGATCGACCATCATGGTGTGACCAAAGTCCTAGAACGAGGGCGCGTCATTGCTCTAACGCGAAGTTATCCATACCTTGAGGACGTGTCCCAGACCAAAGCCCCAGACAACAAAGCAGCCAGCCGCACTCACTCGCCGGAAGGACTCAGAAAGAAGAGCAGGTGGATTCGGCACGACTCCTCCACGAAGCTATCGAACATCCTCAGCTCAGCCCATCCTATGAGTCGTCATCCTAACGAAAGGAGGGCCACGCAAAACATTGACAAGATGATCTCTGAAGGGGAGCCCAGACGACCGCCTACCCCGAAATATGAGGAGTATGAGCAAGCACCCCCTTCTCCCTGGTCGCAATCGCCGGCTCCCTCGCCTGCAATCCGTGCCGAGCCAAAGGACAATCCTTTCTTCACCGAAGCTATTGTCGATGAATCATCTTTCGATCCCACTCAGACGACCCCAGACTACACCGCAATAGGCCCACAGGAGGCTATCGGGGTAGACAATGCTTGGACTGTTCTGCACATCCCCCTGAGACACCCACTGCTCTCAAAGCCATCGAGTGGGTTCAAACTGGACACCACGCTTATGGAGCAGAGGTCGTCGCGTCGCGGGAAGGAGAACGCTCCAGACAGTGAGAAACACATTGACCCTGACACGTTCCGGAGAGAAAAGCAAACGCCCGTGGCCATTCTGTCCATCCTCAGCCCCACGATACCTTATCCGTCCAATCTTCGCTATTCGTTGGAGCATCTCTCACCTCATCTGGCAACATCATTTGCGCTATGCCGCCATTACAGCAACTTGGAGGCTGAGGTCAGCAGGATGCATCACCGAAGGCCAAGAGTCTCTGGGTTCGGCGCCGTGGATGCCGAGGGCCGACCGATCACTGACCCAGCGATCATTAACTACGCGGCCCCTGAAGAGGCAGGGGACAATTCTTTGGCCGGAAGCATGACAAGTCCGAGTGAGTACTCTACGCAATCACGAAGCGTAACGGGCACTCCTGGTGGCACACCAGGCTGGGAGTCCGCTGGCTTTGGGACCGTGATGGACAAGCGACCTGCGGTATCGAGCCCCGCTCCTGCGGGTGGTGACAGCTACTTCACAACCAAATCCAAAGCGAACAACAAGCCTGAATTTTCGTCTTCTATACAGCACCGGGTCAGACGCAATTCCAGGAGCAGCACTACCTCAGAGAAGCGGTCCTCCCTTCGCTTATCCGGTGGAATCCCCATGGAATCTGGGCATCTCAACCTCGACATCAACGAGGACGATCAGCCTGCGGAATCTGCAATCAAGGCACCAGATGACCCCACCCAAGTAGCCCCCACGAAGAAGGTAACAGGCAAGGAAGCATCATCAGAAAGCAAAGAGGACAAGCAAGCCGAGACCAAGGGAGCTAGGGCGACGTTCCAAACCCCTCACCGCCATGTCAAGCTCCATTCTTACGGAGGGGACTTTGCCACGACCTTCCAATCACTGCCGCCAGGCTCGACCGTTCCCACGAGGGGCACTCCATCTCGAGCCGATACCATGCCCACAAACACCTCCGAAATGGCTTTGCCTACTGACAAGTTGAAGGACCTCATCTTGGATTCTATACCAGCGCAACTCTTTGTGACTCTACCAAGGACTGGCGAGATTGTCTGGGTGAACAGCCGGTACCTCGCATACCGTGGTCAATCTCTTGCAGAGCTCCATGCGGATCCTCATGCAAGCTTTCACCCAGACGATCGAGAGACCTATCTCAAAGCGTGGGGTCGCGCAGTCAAGACGAGCACGGACTTCCAAATGAACGTGCGGATCCGCCGCTTCGATGGGGCTTTTCGATGTTTCTCGGCAAGGGTCGTCGCCTGCAAGAATAAGCGGAACGAAATCGTATATCACCTGGGCTCCTACACGGACATCCATGAACAGACCATGGCAGAGCTCAAGGTTGTCAGGCAGCAGGAGATTGAGGCATCTGAAGCCAAATACAGATTCCTTGCAAATTTGATCCCGCAAATCATCTTCACCGCCACTGAGGATGAGGGCATAACCTTTGCCAACGAGCAGTGGCTTGCTTATACTGGGCAGAGCGAGGACGACGCTCTAGGCTTAGGATTTATGGACTACGTGCACCCTGAGGATTTGGCCAAATGTCGGATACCTTCGGGCCAGAACTCGACGACGACGCCCCTCGGTCGGGCGAAGAAGAGCAGAAAGACCCAAGAAGGGCACAATGCCAATAAACCGACCGACCTTGCGACCCCGAAGAACACCCCCCTTGCTGAGAGCAACATACGAGGTGTGCATCACCCGCTTTCTCGACAGAATAGCTCGAGTAGTGACTCGGTCTATGAACTTCCATCTGCAAATTTGACAGAGTTGGCCAGGGACGGCGTTGTCAAGGTGGGAAGGGATAGCAACGGCAGATTATCATACTCTACCGAGATCCGGCTTCGCTCAAAGACCGGTGAATATCGCTGGCACCTGGTACGCTGTGTCGAAATTGACAACATTGGGATCGGAAGCAGCTCCTACTTTGGTTCGGCAACAGACATCAATGACCATAAGTTGCTCGAGGCGAAGCTGAAGGAGGCCATGGAATCGAAGAGCCGTTTCCTGAGCAACATGTCACACGAAATCAGAACGCCACTGATCGGGATATCGGGAATGGTCAGCTTCCTTCAAGACACCACTCTGAACGAGGAGCAGCGAGATTACACGAACACGATTCAAACCAGCGCAAACAGTTTGCTGATGATCATAAACGACATCCTCGATCTTTCAAAGGTGGACGCCGGCATGATGAAGCTCAACCACGAGTGGTTCCATACACGTGCTCTAATAGAAGACGTGAATGAGTTGGTCTCAGCCATGGCTATTGCTAGGAGGCTGGAGCTGAACTACATAGTCGAGGAGGATGTTCCCGTGTGGGTTAAAGGCGACAGAGTGAGGATTAGACAAGTGCTTCTCAATGTGATCGGCAACGCAATCAAGTTCACCGACACCGGCGAGGTGTTCAGCCGATGCAGGGTCAGGACCGATGCATCAGGGCTTGGTGAACACCAGGTAATGCTTGAGTTCGCAGTGATTGACACTGGAAGAGGCTTCACTGAGGACGAGTCGAAACTCATCTTCAAACCGTTCAGCCAGATCGATGGCAGCAGCACAAGAGCCCATGGCGGCAGCGGCCTTGGACTCGTCATCTCACGACAGCTTGTGGAACTCCACGGCGGAAAGATGGACGGCACAGCTGTGCCGGGACGGGGCGCGACCTTCACATTCACGGCTAAGTTCAGCCTGCCGACCGCAGACGACCACCCGGATGTACCAGCGAACCCAGAGCTGCCCAAGACTCCTGCCGTTCTCGAGGAAATTCCGACTCAGCCATTTCGCCAATTCACCATCACAAAGCACCGTTCCTCTTCAGCTGCCAGCCCGAGCCATGCTGAGCAGGAATCCTCCCCTGCGGTTGTATCTAGCGGAAGCTCAAACCCGTCCGTGACATCCACTGGCACACGTGTCACAGGAAGATCGTCAATATCGTCTGTGAATGTCGGCTTAGCCAGGTTCAGCGAGGCCGCCAGGGCCAGTGGGCAGGATCTCACCCAGATGAAGTTGGAGATGCCCTCAGGGCGAACTTCACCTGGACAAACGCCAACTGCTGAGAACGCGGGAAAGGTTGTGACCGCGAAGGAGTTCCGGCCGCCGATGTTCTCGATCCTGGTGATCTGCCCTCAGAAGTACAGCCGCGAAGCTACAACGCAGCATATCGAGATGACCTTGCCGAAGGACGTGCCTCATCAGATCACGGCACTTGCGAGTGCTCGAGAAGCTAAGCAATTGATCAGTCGCGATGACCCGGTCATCTTCACACACATACTCATCAATCTCGCCTCATCCGAAGAGGTCTTAGCCTTAATAAGTGAGATCAGTAGCTCGACTTTGTTAACGAAGACAAAGGTGGTTCTGCTATCTGATTCCATCCAGCGACAAGCTCTGACCAAGCTCGTCGAGGACAGTAATCTCGCGGACGTGGTTTCTGACAACCGAGTCACCTACGTTTACAAGCCAGTGAAACCATCGCGCTTGGCTGTCGTGTTTGATCCAGCCAAGGAGGGGGACTTGAGCGTGGACCGTAATCGGTCTACTGCTCAGCAGATAGTCGAGACGCAGAAGAAGAGCTACCAGGAAGTCGAGAAGCGAATGGGCAACAAGGGCTACAAAGTACTACTTGTCGAGGACAACCCCGTGAACCAAAAGGTCCTCAAGAAGTATCTGATCAAGGTTGGGTTGGAGGTGGAACTGGCTGCAGATGGCGAGGAGTGCACGAACAAGGTATTCAGCCATGACCATGGCTTCTATTCCTTGATACTGGTCAGTACCATGACCTTCCCCCAGCTGTGGTGACTCTTTGAAATACTGACACCCGGCTAGTGCGATCTTCATATGCCCCGAAAGGATGGCTACCAGGCGTGTCGTGAGATCAGAGTCTGGGAAGCCAAGAATAAGCATGGCCACATGCCCATCATTGCACTCTCTGCGAACGTCATGTCCGACGTACAGGAGAAGTGTGTCGAAGCAGGCTTCAGTGACTATGTCACGAAACCGGTTGACTTCATCGACTTGTCAACAGCCTTGTCGAAATTCTTTTGAGCCTGAAACTTGAGCGAGAAGCCAGACACTATCGAACGTGGCAGATGCGACAACAAAGACACAGTAAACGAATAGATGTCGCTTGCATACTACTGGCGTTACCATTGAGGTAGTTCTATCTACCAGACAGCATCATACGCTTGTGGCCAAGGAGTTCACTCAGCGAGCCAGCATATTTGATTTCATCTCCTTTCTGTATAAAATCCCCTGATACCAATTCACACCAAATTCCATTTTCTCGTCTCCGATTTACCAACCTGATACCAGGCGAGCAGACGTCGTCGAAGCTGGGAGAGACGCGTGGCTCATGGGGCGCACAAGCAGCATGGACAAACCGGGGGGATAGTTATCGGCAGTCAACGGCAAATTTGTTTCTAAACTTTTATCATGCACGTTTTGCGGGGCCTTAGAGGGCGTGTTGCGAGATTGGGGGTCAACTTCTTTCATGGGTTGCCACAATGTCTTGTCCGGCGAGGTTTTCAGGTTGGCCTGCATCGTTCTTCATACTGCTGCTGGCACTACTAGCGCGAGGCATCAGGGACAGTTCTCACGCCACCAGCCGTCGACGGCAGGCATAATTATTAGTTCTCGCCTTCTCCGGGCTCGAGACTGGGCCATCCTGCGCTTTCCCCAGCGCTTGTTGATTCTTCAAGGAGTCCTCGATGGGAAATCATTTCGGAGTTACAGGGGTTTGGTTGGGGTATGGGACTGAAGAAGGGTTGGAAGTTTCGGGCGTGAAAGGGGGCGGTCTTGTTTTTTTCGGCGATGCGGAAAATGCTAATGATATACTTTGTTCTCCATCCTAAAAATTCCTCCGCGTTCTTGATTCTTCGCTCGGTTTAGGTGTTTCCCGTGTCTGTAGGCTGAGTGTAAGGACAAACATTTTGAAGACTGTCGTCATGGGCGGCCTAGCTGCAATCGAGACCTCAATATTTTGCAATGCAGCGCGCAGAGTTAATTGTTCCTGGAAATTCGGGCCGAACACTCAATATAGAGATGCATTACAAAAAGTTTGTGCAGTTTTCATAACATCGTGCTGTACTTGTCTCATTCTACTCATGTCCTTCTGGGCAAACGCTCTCGTCATCTATGCGTGTGCTGTGTGCCAACGGGTGCTAATCAATCTGGCGGCGACGGTGGTATCTCCTCCGCGAATATGCAATACCTTCCCTTCCATCCTAGCCCGAAACGCCAAGTATCCAAAAAGTAACACCTTTCTGTATCGCACCGTTTCCCAAGTCCCATTAAGCCAGGGGGGGGGGGTTGCAGGATTTTGTACAGCATCGCGTGGAACTTAGTAGACGCTCCCCTTGATAGAGCGGTCCTCCCTCTCGGCTCTGTCGATCTCGGCGTCAGACATTTCATCCGCATCATCCTCATCGTTTCCCCTCTCGCGCTCGTCATCTGCGTGCTCGTGCTCGTTCTCGTTGCTGTGCTCACCCTGCTGATGATGGTGCTCCTCGCAGCAGCCGGAGCTGCTGCTCACTGGCGAGTCGCCCAGCCTATTGGCCATCGTCCCACGCCCCATCCCTGACTGGTCCCGCTTGCCACTGCCAGGCGCACTGTCCCCATCGCCCATGACGCTCATCTCGGCAACGCGTGACGTGATAACCTTCAGCCCTAGGCTGCTCTGTTTGCGCTGCCTGGCCCTGTCGTCCTCGGATGAGTCCATGTCACTTCCTGCACAGGACGTCTGCCCACTTTGCGTGCCGCCAAAGTCCCGACCTCTGGCGGACAGGAGCGGTAATATGGCCATTGGGGTCTTGCCGTTGGCCGGTGGGCTCTTCATGTCCTGGGCACGGAGGCGATCATCGACGGAGATGAAGCTCGGTGTCCCGTCTGGGCTAGAGACAGTCTCGTCGCGGGCCTTGGCCACGTCTATCTGCGGCGTGCGGTTGCGCTCACCCTCAACATCAGAAGACGAGTCATCGTCTTCGGACTGGAAGCGCCTCGCCGCTGGGCGCCGGGCCCCCAGATTGGACGACGGCGTCGATGTGCCGTTTGTGGTTGGCGGCGTGGCAAAGCCAAGAGCGGCCAGGGAAGAACTGGCGCTGACAGTTGTCGTCACGGGCGACGGGACTGCGGACAGGTTAGGGTGTACCGAGGTACCATCGCGATGTACGAGGTCGGCAAGAGCGGAACGCAGCCGGAAGGACTTGTCGTGGGAGCAGCCATTGGGGCAACCACCCCATCTCCGCGGTGGCTTCATGGGCGACTCTGCAGAGAGGGCCTTGTCGAGCTTGGATGTGTCCTTGCTACCTGGGGTGCCCGTGTCGGCCTTCTCCCTCTCCCTCTCCTTTCCCTTCTTTAGTGCCCTTTCCTTGCGGAGTTCCGACCATGTCCGAAGCTTATTTTCTAGCACGTATTTGCCGCTCTCCTGCTTGTTCATAATGAGGAGCTCGCAGTGGTTGATGTTCCGCAGGTCTTCGAAGTACTCGACGCTGAAGTGGTACCATTTCATGAGAAAGACGCGTGACATCAAACCATGAGTTACTGTTGGGAGTTGATCAGTTCCTTCCTTGAAGTATAGGGGGCCAGGGGTGAGCATACCCAGAACACACACGCTGGCGAAGTCGTCCTCGCCAAACTGCCTCCAGAGACTCTCGTTGAAGCCGCTGATGCGGTCGTATGCATCCGCAGCGCTCTCACCGTTGGGTATCCTGTAGAAGAAGTGACCATAGTCGGCACGCTCCTGCCACATTCTCTCCATCTCGGCGGAGCATGGCTGGAAGTTCCCGAAGTCCTGCTCGCGAAGCCGGGGCTCCTCGTATACCTTGATGTTGTTCCGCTTGAAGGGAGAGGGCTCTGCCTCGTCCGAGGTCAGCGTGGCCAGGATGCCCTCGGTGGTTTCCCTTGTGCGGCGGTAGGGCGAGGTGAAGAAGTGCAATGTGTCGTCAGCGCGGAGCATCTTGCGCAGGCGCCTGCCGGCGTCGTAGGCCTGTTGCCAGCCATCTTGGGTCAACTTGACGCGGTGGTCAGGTATGGTCTGGTGGATCTCGCGGTTCTCTGCAGGGGGCGAAGGCTACGTCAGGGTCCTGTGGTTGTGGGCCGGGGTAGAAGAGTAGGTAGGGGTCCAGGGGTCCGACTTACTGTTTCCCTCGGACTGTGCATGCCTGATGAGGATGATGAGCCGAGGCTTCGCCATGGTCAGCTTGCTTGCCTAGCCAGGAAAGGTTTGGCCAAGTAGTGTGCAGTCGAGGCAAGGCGAGACGAGGCAAAGACGGATATATAGGTAGGTATATATGTATGGAGGAAAAGCAGGCTGGTTGCAAAATAGATGGGTGGGTGCCCAGGTGGGGCAGGGGAGCAGGGGAGCAGGGGAGCCGGGGAGCAGGGGAGCCGGGGATGGGGGGATGGATATATATTGCTCAGGGGCAAAAGAGGCGATGATGTGTGCGGTTGTCTTGAGACAGAGGCAGAGGGTGCAATGTCGAGGTAGGCCAGGCCAGAGAGAGTTGGTGCGGGGGAGAGATGGGATATGTGTGACAAGTGCGCAGAGAGGCGAATATAGATAGTTGGGCTAGCGGGTTAGAAGAGGGAGTGAGTGATAGGTGATAGGATCAACGGTTGGCTGTCTTGGAATGTGTACCCCTTTGCGCTGTGGACGGACAGGAGCCATCCGACCGAGTCTATACAAGCCCAAGGTCGACTCTGTTTGGGCCGAGGGAAAATGTTGGGACGGATGAGACGTGAAGGTGGCAGGTCCGTCTGTGGGGGAGACGAAGTCTATTGATGGGATGACAGAGCAGACGAATTAGCCGGTCTTGGGTGTTTGTCGGAGTGTTTGTTGGACGGGCGATGGCGTGGTCTGAGACGGGATCGTCGTGGTGCTAGCGGTTGGCGATGGCCTGAGGTAGAGAGAGGCACATGGGCGATGTGTCTCTTGCACACACGAGATAGACAGGCAGACAGACGAGGAGGAGGAAAAGTGTTGGCAGACGCAGAGGAGCGGAGTGCGGAGTGCAGCAGGGTGCAGAGTGCAGAGTGCAGAGTGCAGAATGCACGTTGGCAGTTAGTTGACGGTACTGAGGCGAATAATGTGCGACAGGCAGTACACTGTTAGGCGACGGGTGGCAGGGCAGCACAGGATTAGCAAGCATCAGCCGGCGGGGCAGCCCTTGTCTGCGTGTCCAGGCGCATGGTTCATTCTGGTCTGGTGCGACTCTGGGTTGCTTGTCATGCGGGAGTGGGTAGGCCAGAGGTAAGGGGGTGCTTGCCCTCGAGCTGGCTCTTGCCGCCGTTCGGACTTGCCCCTGGCCAGTTTCGATTTCCAACTTTATTGTTGGCTGCGGACTAGTCTCCGTATACATACCTACCTACCTAGGTACCTAGGCAGGTAGTCAGGCCGGTACGTACATACATACAGCAGGCAGTTCAACTGCTTTGGGCAGAATAAGAGAAAGGCAACCTGCAACCTGCAACCTGCAACCACCAACCACCAACATCGTAAGGTTGATGATGACCGTTCGGGCAGCCCCGCAGCCCCGTCGACCGTCCAGGCCCAAGCCGAGCCGCACGAACGAGAGGATGGTGCTGTTGCCGTCATCGCCGAAGTCCGGAGCAACGGTCGCATCATTCTGGCCCGGCATCATACCTAATAACCTCGCTAATCTAAGGCTGACGGCTGGAAGGAGCCGGCAAATCGGTTAGGCTGACGATCCACACACCCTTGGCCTTCAACCCCTTCTCTCTTTTTCTCTGTGCTTTGTTTCAATCTTCGTTTCGTTTTCGGGCTCGGCGGTCCTGTCTGGAAACCATGACCATGACCATGCCAGTCAGTAGCTTGCCAGGGGAAGCTGCCGTCGACAAAAAAAAAAAAAGGCCCACAGCATGTGAGCATCCAGTCTCTAACTCTGCTGCATTTCCCCCCATCCCCCCCCTTCCACATTGGGACGACTCCCCGTACCGACCAGACAAGAGGACGAGTCACGGCCGACAAGCCAAGCACAAGGCGGCAGATGCGCTAGATGCGGGGGCAGGCTGGGGCAGGGTGCGCGGCTATCTCTCGCCCTGGGCCCTCCTCCTAAGCGCCCAGCCCACGCACTGACGATGCATGCACGCCTGCACGCCTGCACGCCTGCAGGTATGGGCGCATCCAAGGCACATGTCACCAGATGCAGACCCGAACCTGTGGCATGTGGTCGGTTGGTTCATACGCCATTGGGCACGCGCATAACGTTGAGATGGACAATCTGTACCTGCTCAAGTAGTTTCTCAAGGTCGTAGTCTCTCAATCTGTGGTGAACGGGGCACATGTTATATACCCAAATATGTACTCCGTATGTACTGTATCAGGTGGGGGCGGGGGGAGTGCACCAGGCACATGCAGCGCCAGCCAGCGGTAACGCTTCCTCCCAGGCACGGGCCGAGGCGCTTGTTCAATTTCGGCCGCCCGCCGCGGCTCCCAAATTCTCTCTCATCACGGCCGACCTGACCTGACCCTCACGTCTTGCATCTGCTTCTTGTCACCTGCCCACCCCATCCAACCCACGACCGCCCATCGCACCCACGGCGACCCAACACGGTGCAGCTGCGTATGCGACTGCATCGCACCGCGCATTGCATCCCAACCCAGCTCTGTATGGATCAACACCCTGCAGACCAAGCCTGCTGACCGACCACACAACCACCACCACCGCCGCCAACAACAGCAGCAATAACAGCCCACCCTCTACTCCCCCGCCGCAACCATGTCAGGCACAGGCCCCGAATCGATGCCCACCTCCGCGGACCCCCGCTCCAAGCGCCCCGTCAAGAAACGCGCCCTCAGCCCCGCCTCGGCTCAGGCCAGCCAGCTGGAGGCTCTCTTTGCCCGCCCGGACCAGGAGATCCGCGTCCCCCCCTCGGGAGCCGGCCAGGACCCGGCCCGGCGCCTGCCCCTGCCCCCGGAGATCGTCACAAACGTCCAGGGCTCCTCGGCTGGTGCCGGCTCGGGGGAGTTCCACGTCTACAAGGCCGCCCGCAGGCGCGAGTACGAGCGCCTGCGCATCATGGACGAGGAGGTCCGCCGCGAGACGGACGCCCGCGAGTTCGCCGAGAAGAAGTCCGAGGCAGAGCGCAAGGACGACGAGAAGACGCGCCGCAACCGCGAGAAGAGGGAGAAGATGAAGGCTAGGAAGGAGAAGGCCAAGGCTGCCGGCCAGAAGAAGGGCTCCGGCCCTGGTGCCGCTGCCAGTGGTGGTGGTGGCGGCGGCGGCGGCGGCCTCAAGCCGAGGCAGGACGGGGCCACGGGAGGTGAGGGGGGCCAGGACCAGAACGGCAAGCCGGGGAACGGTGCCAGCAACGCGGATCCAAAGGGCGACGGCTCCGCTGCGACTGCGGCAGCCGGCGCTCCGGGGCTGGTTATCCACGACGACGACGATTGAGCAAAAAGGTCGAAGTAACCGCAGGTTACGCATACAACAGCAACTTCACACCTTGCAATCCATGGGGGGAGACAAGGCATTCCAGCCCAGGGGGTGATTGCAATTATGTCTTTTCCTCTACCTGGACCAATGTCTATGGGGGTTTAATACACAGGGTATGATTTTGCCAGTACATCATCTCCACTCACTATAATGCGCGCCAGGTCTAATCTCACACTTCCTCCTCAGCAAGCTCAGTCATCGCCACCGCCCGTACCGACACCTTGTGGCGCCTTCTTGGCCGAGCAAATATCGTCGACGCGCAGCAGGAGGCAGGCGGCCTGTGAACGAACCATGTTAGCTTGGGCAGCATGTTGTGGGGAGCAGGGGATGGCAGATGGGTAGTAGGTAGATCTTCCCGAGTCGTCCTGAAATACATACCTCGATGGCCGTCTTGAGACTCTGCAGCTTGATAGCCTGGGGCTCCCACACGCCGTACTCCTTCATGTCAGCCAGGTTGCCCGTGTCGCCGTTGATACCCCAGGAGCTCTTGCCCTCGGCATGCTTGGCCCGGAGGTCTGTCAGCACGCGCACGGGGCTTGCGCCCGCGTTCTGGACCAGCGTGCGGGGGATGACCTCGAGCGCATCGGCCACAGCCTTGTACGGCCACTGCTGAACACCCTCGATGCTCTTGGCCTTCTGGCTCAGCCTGACTGACACGGCCATCTCGGTCGCACCACCACCCGGACACAGGCGAGGGTGGAACATGACGTTGCGCGCCACACCCATGGCGTCCTGGAGGTTGCGCTCGATCTCGTTGAGGACGTCCTTGGACGGGCCGCGGAGGAGAACGGTGCAGGCCTTGGGGTCCTTGCACTTGGTGAGGAAGGAGAAGTACTCGTCGCCAATCTTCTCGATCTCAAAGAGGCCACACTTGGTGCCGACGTCAGACTCTTGGAGGTCTTCCACCCGGTTGACGATGGTGGCGCCCGTGGCACGGGCGATTCTGTTGTTGTCCGTCTTGCGCACACGACGCAGGGCCGTGATATTGGCCTTGACGAAGTAGTGCTGTGCCAGGTCTGGCATCCAGTTGTCAGTAGTGGTCTCTTAGAAACAGGCCGCGTCTACAGGGACCGGCACTCACCAGACACGCCCTTCTCAGTGATGACAAGATCGGGCTTGACGGCCAGGATCGCGTCGCACATTGCCTTGACCTGCTCCTCTTCGATCCGCAGCACTTGTTCCCAGTCTTCCTCCTTGGAGATCTCGATCTGTGTTTGCGACTCGCCCTTCTTGTACTCCAGGGGGCAGTCAAGCAGCACGATCCTGGGGTTCTCGATCTTCCTCCGCATCTTGGGGTGTGTGATGTCCTTGTTGAGCATAACACCGTCCAGAACCTTGCTGTCCTCAATCTCTCCGCCGGGCACCTTCTCGACACGGGCATATCTCTTGGTATCAACCTCTGTCTTGCCGGTGCCAACCTCCCATGACACTGTCCGCACAGCCTTGAGGGCAAGGCCGCACATGAGGTCTGACCACCTCGAGACGAACTTGGTGCCGATGGATGAGGAGATGAGGCCGTACATGGCCTTGTCATCGTTGATGTCAATCGGGAGGGAGATCTCTTCGGTGATCTGGAGGGCGTCGGACAGGGCGCGCTTGAAGGCGGAGATGATGACGACAGGGTGGATGTTCCGTTCGAGCTGGGGCATGGCCTGTGCCAGTATCTCACCAGCTGTGCAGTGTCAGCGCTGGCTCTCGCGCCCATATGCATCTACAAGGTGGGGCGGCTCAAGCTCACCGAGAATGATGACTGTAGTAGTTCCGTCGCCAACCTCCTCGTCCTGGGTCCGGCTGAGCTCGATCATGCTCTTGGCGGCAGGGTGGGACACCTCAATCTCTCGTAGGATGGCATGGCCGTCATTTGTGAGCACGATACCTCCCATGGGATCCAGAAGCATCTTCAGCATGGCCTTTGGACCGAGGCATGATCGAATAATGTCGGCGACACTGCACAGGGGGCGGTCAACGAGCTGTATCCAGGGGGCCCTGTGTGGGAAAGGGGTAGGTAGTATGGACGACGATGCTACTCACGTCTTCGCAGCATGGATGTTGGACAGCTGGGCTTTCCTTCCGGTCTGCCTTTCGCCGCTGGCGGTATCTGCAAAGCGGCGTGTCATCAGTCAGCGGGTGCTGTCTCGGTCTGTGTAGCTCCTTGTGAGCTTCGTGGCGGGGCGAACGTACTCATAACCACGACTGGGGCCTGCATCTTGGCTGTTCTCTGGGGGTGGTCGGCCGGGATTCAAGTGTGCGACGCGAAGCCGGGGTTGTCGAGTGTCGCAGGAGTTCAGGATGCCGAATCCAAGGTAAAGACCGACTTTGGCACTGCTGTTTACTTCCAAGGCTCCGGACCCCTCGAAAAAAGCTCCTTGGGGGCAGCTGGCCGATAGGCGATAGCTGGGGCTCTGGGTTAGGTAAGCAGGGGGGCAAGGGGGGAAACTAGCGCCCCCCCTGTTCTGTGGGTGCGCTGGATTCGCCCTATAAGCCAGGCCATGTCATGAGAAGCGCATATATCTCTTTTGATGAACGTAAAACCACCTGGCTTGCAGTGGAGCAACGGGCAGCATTGTCACGGGTCAAATCTGGAAATGGCGAGTGCTTGACCCGGCTGCCCGGCTCAAGCCCAAAAGTTACACAGTAGGCCTTGTCAAGGCTGTGGCCTCTCTTGGGAGGGCATCTGGATTTCCTATGGCACCATTCTTATCTTTCTACCCACCAAGCCTGGCCAAGGGCCCTTGCCGAGACGGGTGGACTGGTTCGAGCCGGGCAAGGTCATGTTGTCTCGACCGCACACACCTTCCCGCCTCTCTTTCGCAATCAGCACAACCTGAGCACTAGATTTGCTTCTTTTCTCTCCTCGCAGTTTTGTTGGGCCAATTTGGCTTCCTGGGCCCGTGACGGTTCGGAGGCATGGATCTTTTTGCAGAGTCTTCCACAGCAAGCACACCACACGGCAGCCTCGCGGTCCCCGGCCCGGAATCCCAAGACCGGACCGGCGAATGGGGTGCTCTTGGCGCGGGTCGCCGCCAGGCAAAACGTCTTCACTGATAGCGGAACCGCCGCCTGCCCGTCCTCTTATACAGGTTGGCGGCTCGTTCGTGGCTGCTACCTACTCCAACGTCAAGTTCCAAACACACTAGAAGAAGGACGCCGGAGTGAACAAGCCCATCTTGCCACCAGTATCCCTCCCTCTGGCCAATTGATCGTGTCACCAATCTCCTGCCCAGAATTATGGCACCCTCAGCGGTTTCGGAACCCGCCCCAGCGGCGACCGTCGCGGTGGCTAAATGCCAGACCCCCGAGAAGGTCAAGAAAGAGGTCACGCCTCTTGAAGCCATATCTCACGGAGATGTCTTGCCCGGTAAGTCAAAAACAAAAAAAAAAGAATTAAAATCGCTGCCAACGACAGGCGCTATGGAAGTTGCTAACATCAAGTAGGTATTCCAACCTTCCCAACCTACACAGCTGAGCGCAGACATATCCTTGTTCACATGGCCGCTGTCTTCAGAAATTGGTCTCGCATGGGCTATGCCGAGGGGCAGTCTGGGCACATTTCCGTCCGCGACCCCGAATTTCCCCAGATCATGTGGATGAACCCGCTCTCGCGCCACTACGGTACCCTGACCGCTGGCGACATGATCCCGCTGGAGATCGAGACAGGACGCATCGTCGGGGGCAACCCAAACCCCACTACCGGAAAGATCACTAGCAACAAAGCCGGTTACTACATACACAGTGCTGTGCACAAGCGACGTTCCGACATACACGCCATATGTCACGCCCACACACATGCCGGGCGTGCATGGTCCGTCTTTGCCAAGCCTCTCGAGATGATCACCCAGGATGTCTGCAGCCTATACAACTGCCACACTGTCTATGCCGACTATGGCGGGATCGTCTTCGCCTCGGACGAGGGCGAGCGGATCGCAGACGCGCTGGGACAGCACAACAAGGGCGCTATCCTGATGAATCACGGTTTGTTGAGCGTGGGATACACCGTCGACGAGGCCGGCTTCATCTTCGGCCTGATGGAGCGCAGCTGCGCCATTCAGCTGCAGGTCGAGGCTGCTTGTGCCAACGGCCTCCAGAAGAAATACATAAGCGACGAGGAGGCTGCATACAACTGCAAAATGGCGAGTGAGAATCATGCCATGTACCGGGAGATGCAGCCGGATGTGGAGCTGGAGATCGAGGCCGCCGGGGGCGAGCAGGTGCTAGCAAGGGGGTTTGACAGTCTGAACGCGAGCATCTCGCTGGCATGAGTCGTTCGCACTCTAGAGCTGACGACTCCCCTCTGGTACCGGTAGAAGATCGTTGTTGCGGGGCCCCAAGATGAAGCCCCTTTTTCTTGACCGGCTCGCTGGGTGCCCCATTGCCAGTCTTGACATTGGTAGCTGCACGTGTTTCGAGGTGCTTCATACGGTTCCTTATACCCAAATCAATTGGCTTGCTCAAAGGGCATTTTAGCCAGTCAACTATACGAATAGAACTCGTCCGCTGTCGGACCTTTCCAGTGTCTGTCTTCTCTCTCTTTTCGTCATCTCCCTCACAAGACCTGGCACAATGTTTGACCACCCGAAGGCATGCCACGGCTCTCAATATGAGTGAGTGCTAGTTGGCTAGGATATATGCAGGTAGCAGAACAGCAATAGTCCAGCTATGCTCAACATCAACATTAATATGATCACAGTATGACTAGAATCCCGTGGCTATTGACCTCGGTAGTGCTACTTACACCTCGCACTATCGCAGGAGCTACACCTATACAAGAACGTTTCTCATTTGACATGATCATATACTTGTGTCCAAAATCGGCCAGTTTCAGGCTAGAGGCCGGACAATCCTTGTCCTGGGAACTTCACCTGTAGGCTTTGTAGGACAGCGTTGAGTGATTTCTCTCAGCTTGTCCTCCATCCTCGATTGATGTGGGCAAGAGAATCCAGATGCAGCATCACATTGATTAGATGTGACATCCGGGTCAATCATAACAATTACGACGATGAGAGTGAATATCGGTCTTCAAATTCCCGCCGGCAACATAAATCCATGGACCATGCATGTGCACAGTTCCAAGCTTCGTAAACAAATTCACAATGAACCACTGCGCTAATGGAAGGCCCTCTCAAAAAGTTCTTGATTTAGATGGCATACTTTCAGTCTCCCACCCTTTTCAGGTTGCTGATATTCGCGCAAGTGGATGAGCGTAGGATAACACAGCGGCGAACACGTCAAGATAATTGCAGCCACGTTTCAAAAAGCTACCTGGTGAGTGAATGCGTAAGTTACACTTGGATGCTGTGAATGGTGTTATGTTGCAGGTGGAAATGTCGCTGCGGTGGAATTCTGAGTCCTTCCAAGTTGGTTAGTGAGAAGTGTTCGCCGAATGCTAGGAGGGTATCACAACATTTGGAAGCTTTGGCATCCAAACGCCAAGTTATCTTCGGCTTGTCATCATCCAGGTAGTCAATGATGTATGAGACGAATATTTTGGGATTGTCGGCATTGATTAGCATGTATTCTGCAGCTTGTTATATGTCTCATACTGCCCGTGTTGGCATCTGGCCAAAATTTGATGCCCAGCCTCATCTGGCCAAGGCTTCTGTGGTATAGCTACTTAAGTAATGGCCTGGCGCTTACTGCAGACAAGACGCAGAGCATGAAATAGCATCACATGTTGATAAGCTGGGCATTCAAACATTTCACAACAAGGTGCAGGGCGGAGTAGTCACTGAAGTCCCGTTCTTGACTTCTAGAACCAGGCAACTTTGTGATAGAACTCCCCGTAGCTCCGGATGAATCAATTTCCACCCGCACGAGCGTTCACAGCACCAAAGACATTTCTGGTGTGGCTCACGCATTATATACAACACAAGCAACTCTACCAACGATACCCAGGTAGTTAGAATCACTGAGCACCATAGCCCGTAATCAGACGGTGAAAGCAATATCCACTACCCAGCCTCCGGGCCTAGGGGCATCCGGCCTAGCTATGCGGAATCTGCGTATCACAAGGTGAACGCGTAGAGATGCTCAGAGCAGAATGGAGTGTTCCCTGTCAGTGTAGATTACTCGTATAACTATGGAGAGCAGGTATTCCGCTCACCTAACGCAGTCAGTCTAATTACAGATTTGAATAAGAAGTTAGACCCCCAGGCCTACAAGCTCTCACGTTTGAGTGTAACGGTCGGCGCAAATTTTATCTTATGATTAAGGGTAGAGCACCTGGCGTGGGTTGTGAGCCGCTCCAGAGGATTTTGGGTTGCATAGCGTGCGTAAAATTTGAGTTGTTGAAGAAGTTGGGCTGGTTCCAAAGTTTGTCTACTCTCGACCAGTCTGAGCAGCATTCATGCTTGGACCTGTTCTCACCATAGAACATCTGGGATCTGGCAAAGGCTTTCAGAGCAAGCTCACAAGTCACCAAATTGACGTCTACTTTCCATTTACTGGAACCTACCAATATCGACAACAGAGCTAAACTAATTATACTTGGTTTCGAATGCTATTTGAATTCAAACCGCATGTGGCAGCCCTTTACAATGGAACCCACAGAGCCACCACAACCAAACCGACCATGTTCATCTGAGATGCCTTGTATCTATGCCACACAGAAAGGATATTCTCAAAGACCGCTGTTTAACCTGAATGCACTGTCTATCAGCACTTGAGCACCTTGGCCTGCAAGACCTGCCACGGTGTCCTCTGTTTCACTTACAAACGTGTGAAATGGCCCAGGAAGTCTTGTAACATCAGCACTGTATTTTTTAACGCCGGGTCTTTAAGTGTTCACTAACATAGGAAGGGACTGCATATACCCTTAGATATAGATGAATTAAGAACGGAACAACCTGAGAAGGAAACCCTGAATAGTTCATAATCAAACAAACCAGTGTCAGGTAACAACGAAACAATGAATCGTATATTACTCCACCAAAGAGGCTAGGGTAGAAGAATGCTGTCCATTAGTCGATATACTACGACTACCCTAGGGTGGTGTCCCTGAGGTTCCTGTGACAGAGGTTGGCTACGAGGCACTCACACCGTACCCCGAGCATGAGCTGGCGTACCTAGGTAACATGCAAGTCCGTAGTGAAGCTTCTAAACACGAGGAGACATTCGTCTGCCACCCGCACCAACCGGAAGGGAACGGCACGGTGAGCCGCCAGCAGAGCGGCGCCCTGCCTGGATTTCGACCTGACCGGTCCGTCCACGTCCACGACCCGACCCGCTCCGTCACATGTCTCAGAGGACTGCGTACTGTCTTGACTTGCGCGCGGTCGAGCCAGACCCAACGTCGAGCACTGCTCCCTGGAACCAGCCAAACGGAACCCGCCAGCAAAGACGATGGGCGCCGGCCGCTGCAGCCGTGCCCAGCGGGTATCCACTTCCGTGCAGCGCCGCCCTCTCTCCCCGGGGAGAGCCTCGCCAGTCTCTCTCGACGGCTTCCCGAGACCGCTGCCCAAAGTGGACGACCACGGGAAGGCGTTCCTACTCGCTGTGGCTACCGAAGGCCCGGTCCTGCCCCTGCGTATCGTGCCTGAATAACACTGGGCGCCACCAACCACCGGTCATACGCCTCCCTGGCAACGAAACCCCCGGCCTCCGCTATTGTTTATTGCTCCCAGACACTGTGTGCGCCGCCCGTCGCACAGATCGAGATAGGGTTGCGCCTTGGTTGTCAGAGGTTCTAGATCGCGTCGCACCCGCGCCCAACGACGGCCGACATCCAACGGAAGCCTTTTTGCACCGCACCCCAATATCTGCTAGGGCCGATCACTGTCTTGCCTGCCGTGCGAGGCAGCCGAGGCTGGATGTGAGACTTTCCCTGGGCCACGGTAGGCAGGTGAAGAGACCAGTCAGGGGCCGGGGGACGAGGGTACCGTGAGCTCAACAGCCCAGCCCACTGCGCGCAACAGCGTGTATCTACTGGGGAGACGCCTAGGCGGGCGAGACTTCGCCGACAACCCAGCGATGCACAAACAACGCACGTACACGTGAACCTAGGAAAGAGCCTTGTAAGGCTCCTGGGCGTGGTGGAGCAGGGAAATGGCCCCCATGGACCCTTGGACCTATACGCCCCCCCCCCCCGGTGAAAGAGAAGCAAAAACTCGGCAGATGGAAACGAGAGGGAGGGCTTTGAAGCTGCAAGGGGGGAACCATCGGCAGCACCGAGAAGGCGGCGTTCATCAGCGCCCCATCAAGTGGAATAGGCGAGCGCTCGCCTGTTCCCGCGGCGGACCACCACACCGCATCTGCCCTTGCCCATCGACGGCCCGGCGGTAGGGAGACGGGAGTCTGAACTCTGAACATACGGTGGCTGACAGCACGTTTCCGCAGGCAAGGGTGGGCATCTGACAAGTGGCTTTTTTGTCCTCCAAGGAAGCAAAACCGTGGCGCTGACCTCATTCAATCAACCTCAAGCCCTAGTCTTGGGTTTCGTGCTCCGTCAGCGAGACCCATTATGGGGCAGAAGGGGGGCCGACCACCCAGTTTTTTGTGTCCCCCATGTGTAAGTATGTATGTCTCTCTCTCTCTCTGTGGTGTGTGCCTTGCGTGTGTCTCCTGAATTTGAGACCCAGCCACGTCAACTGGCAAAAAATCTGCCGACTTGACAGGTACCCACAACGCCCAGGGGGGAAACATGGGGAAACATGGTCTACTCCGTACGGCGCGTACACCCGCGGTGGAGCGGGAGATAAAGAGAAAAAAAGAGAGGGTCCCACGACCCGGCGCGCAACAAACGACAGGTTCCTCTGGCTCCCAGGGCTTCCCGGCCGGGGAGAAAACAAAAACAGTGGGAAACTGGGCTGACAATCCGGGAGCGGTCCCCACGGTACGGGGCGACGCTGGAGCCCGGCGATGTCCCCCGATTGTCCGGGCAGGGGGAGGGGGTGTGCGCATGGGCGTGGTCACGGTGGGCGTGGTTTTTTTTTTGGGTCCTCAATGGTGCGAGACGGGCGCTGACCCACCCCGTCGCAGGAGGGACTGACGACCCAGAGAGCCAGACTTGTCAAGCGAGGGCCCTTTTTTCCCTCTTTCAAGGGATGTGGGCATCAAGATTTCAGCCCGGCAGCCCGGGTGGATCTGGTTCCTGCGCATTTCTACAAACCGGAAACGGGGCCGGAGGGGCCCTTGACTGATGAATCGTGCCTGTCAAAGCTTCATTGTGGGTCGTCGGGTCGTTAAACTCATGGAACACTGCGTGATGATATGTGTACTGTGTATCGTACAGTACGCTATATGCCGCCCACTCTGCCACATTGGGCGAAGAAAAAAAAACTGGTTGAAACACGTCTTATTGCCGTGGATTGTTCATTACTGTGGGTGTCGGCTTAGCAGCCGTGATGCCTCCCGATCTCGATGTTGCGAACCCTGTCGTCACGGATCAGAAACATGGATCTTGTTGCGTAGAGTGGTGAGGTGTCAGGCCTGTAGGCTCAAAGGCCCAGACAAGCGAGCGTTCCGTGTCATCAGAACGTCAAGGAGCATTCCATATTATGTAATTGGATCCCGTCCGCTTTTGCGTGGCCATCCCCCGGATCCCCTTGCACGGTAGCAGCAGATATTAATATCTTGAAAGGATTCTCGCCAAACCCAAACGGCGGCCTCTGAGAGGACGGACTGTACGTACAGACTTGGATCCTGATACACCGACAATGCTGATGGACACCAATTTTTTTTTTCCCACATTGATCAACACAAGTGCCGTGGACATGGGTGCGATCCCAGCCCTGCCAGGCCTGCTTTGGCTTTTGCTGAAGAACTCATCCACCAGCGTCCAGACCGAGACCCCAGGGCCTGTGGGTACCGCTCTACTCCTGGAGCTTGTGTGGGTTCGACACATGGTTCTGCAGGTGCGAGAACGATGCTCGGGCTGTCGGCTTGTCGCTCACACACACATTGCGTACGTACAACGCACACACATACGCACACGCAAGACTCACCCCTGCCATCTAACACATACCCCCAACACAGCTTTGGCTACAAGCCGTCAGAATTTTCAAAAAAAGCCTCCTGGTTTTGTAGTGTAGTAGTAGCCGGGCTAGCTCCGCCTCTCTCTTGCATGGGGCGTGGAGTCTGTCTGTCTGCCCCTGGTTGTCGTCCGGTCTAAACACGGGACTATTGTTAGGTGGGTGTCCGTGACGACTGGCTGGCCGTGCAGACGGCGACCGGCCAGCCGAGAGCCCGAGATCTGGGCCAGCGCCAGCTAAGGAGAAGATGGTGTCGAGGGCCGATCCCATCCTGTTGCTACCAGACGCAACAGATCTCCCGCAAAACCCCTCGCTCTCGGACTGACCAGGTCTGTGACTAACACGTCGCGCAGGGACGGGGTCCACGTCGCCGCTAGGGAGTGACTCGCCCGGCTCTTCCCAGGAAGGCCAGCGCAGGACCTTGTCCTGGGCGCCTGCAGGGCCCGGTGAAGGGGGTGAGCCCTGCAGGCGGCCCCGACCTGACCCAAGCCACGGATTTATGGGGACGGGATCGACCATGTTGACGGGATGGGCCACCCTGCGTAGCTTGCAGCTGTGAAACGGGACAGTCTGTTGAGCGTAGCTTGACAGTCCAGACAGTCCCGTCTGGTAAATAAGCTCTCGGCAGAGCTGGGAGCTTGGCCTCGAGGGGCTCTAGTTGGCCACATCATTTGTCTTTCGCCCTTTTTTTTTTTTGCTCACCCGGTCTGCCTGTGTGATGCCCGGGAGGGCTGAGAGCAAGCAAGCTCCTGTGCAGAGGCACAGGGGACACGTCCAGGAGTAGATCAGACTTCAAGCCGGCCAGGAGAATCGCTCGAGAGCGAGCGGCTGGCGGCAATCATGTGACTGCATACAGTTGAGAGGGGAAGCGATATAGCAGGTTTTGTGCGAGCAAGGGCGATGACTGGGCCTTATGTCGTCCGAGGGCCATGCGATGGAACCAAACCTTGCTCGGCTGGCTCTCTCTCTCTCTCTCTCTCTCTCTTATGGCTCTCACGGTACGTCTCTTATGGTACGGTGCTTGTTCCTGGTCAGCTTGTGTCTCAGACCCCAAATGGCGTAATGCATCACCGGGCCAGTGAGGCTCGTAGCCTGTACGTAATGATGCACGGCAAGAAAAGGCTGCAAGGCCGGAGGGGCGAGCTCTGTCATCAGCCCAGGATCTCTGCAGAAACGTCTTTTGGAGATTTGGCTCAGAGGACGCCCCAGTGCTGTGCTATGCTCCTACATGGACTGTGTACTGTTTGTTCCAAGAATGGGATCGGGGGCTGAGCATCCTGCGCTCACGTAACAAGTACCTCTGCAGCCTATCCTGCTGCAAGGGTACATGCACTTCCAAGGCACCGCCGTGCACGCACGCAATGGAGCTGTCCGTTTCCACAACATTCGGCTGCTGTCCTTGCTAGCCGAGCTAGCTCAGCTCACACTGTTGTGTTGAGACAGGGCAAGCCGCTGGGTTACATGTTCGCATCCGGTGAGCAAGCGAGCCTTTGTGCGAGCATTGAGCTGATGATTCAAGACGGAAGTCAAATCCAACCCTGCGCTGGTCCCACATAACAGGGACTTTTACATTACAGCCTATTCGTGTGACGAAGCTGCGAGAATGCAAGGGCAGGGGAGATGAAGAAAAATGAAAGTAAACTTGTGTGAAAAATGAGTTGTAATAATCTTGTTCATACGGGTTTCGTACCCGGGGGAAAAGCAAAAAGAGCCGAGAAGAGATATGAAGAAGAAAAAAAAGTAAACCGACTTGGTTGATGAATCACTTCCTCGCACGTGGGGCTAGCTCGCCGACAGGGGCACAATTTGGCCTGCGGTGAAGACGTTGGCAGGTGAGCAATTCAGGGAAACCGGATGAGCGAACGGTATTGGAGTCACAATGGGAGACGAACTGGCATGTCATGTGCTAAGCAGTGGGTAGCTGAAACTGATCTTATTGTAAGACAGTGGCTATGTTGTTGCTGACCGTTCCTCGTTCTCTCGAGTGTCCAGCCATTCCATTCCCAGTCAGCCCTGTGGACCAACTCCCTGGTCGGGTATCCATCACACGTCCAATGTGCTCCCAAGTTCCTGTGTCATTGGGAACCATTCCATGCTCCAGCGCGAGCCCAACAGGCGCCGGTATTTGTCTCCCGCACAAGTTGCTCAAATGAACCCAAGGGTGTAATGTAAGTACCTTGGTACAAGACACAGTCAGAGCGCTCGCATCCCTGTGAAGACGCCCCATGTCCTGCCGGACCAGACAAATAAAAGTAGTAAGATGGAAAAAAAAAGCCTGCCCAATACCCGCGTAAACCCATAACTTTTGTAGTAATGCTGTGCTCCGGATGATGCTTTTGTGGTACATAAGTGACAGAAAGGCCTCGCAACCCGCCGATGATCGGAGGTGACAAAAAAGATGAGACCACGCTCGACCGCCATGTCATCGATGAAGTGGTGATGGGTATTCCCGATAAATTCCAAGGTCCGAAAATGTTTAAGTGGGGTATCTAGGAAACGAAGTGGTGCCAAGGAATGGTGTCATCCACTGTGGGAATCCACCGAAGACTCATCGAACGTTTAGTGCGACTGCCTCCGCGATGATCGTGCGTTGTCGAACGAGCTCGCATATGCTAGAAGCTCTTTCCTGGCCGCGTCTGACAATTGCATCGCGGCCTCTGTGCTGGCAGAAGAGTTGCTCTTCATCGAGCATAGGCTGGCGTGGGAGCTCGAGGGCGAGAGGACCCGCTGTGGCAGGGCGAGGGAGGAGCGACGCTGTGAGGACTGAGCAGCCGCATGGCTGAAGTCACAGGCAGGTGAGAGGTAGAGCTTGCTCGTGTGCGCCGAGGGCTTCGTGTATGCCCATGGGTAGCTGGGGCCGCTGAACGCAGGGGAGCTGGGGCCGGAGCTGGGGTTCGATGACTGTTCGTACTCTGCCAGCCTGCAGGACTCGGAACAGTATGTGGTGCTGTCTGTCTGCTTGTCGCAGGTGAGGCAGTAGGAGTGCGTCCAGTCGGAAGACATTTTGTGTGTTGGTTGTTGTTGATGATTAAAAAAGTGCTGGTGAAGGAGCTGAACCCAAGAAGCAGGCAAGGGTGGGTTCAACTGATCGGCAACCACACGAGTTCGTACGAAAAGGTAGTCGTGCTACGGTTGGGTGCCGTTGTAGTAGAAGATCCGAACCAGCTGTCCTTCCTTTCTAAGTCGAGTCTGTTTCCTGAGGCACAAGTTGGCCCTGACGATGCTCAGGTGTGGTGGGTGTTGCAGAGGTGACTCTGACGCAGTGAGGCGGAGCGAGTGCAAGTTACGGCGAGCTGTTGGTGTAGGGATTCGAGGTGGTGGTGATGGACTGATGGACGTTGGAAGTGTTTTGTGAAAGAAGTCTGAGACGGTGGGCGGCTGTTCCGAGAGAAAGCAAAAAACCAAGTCGAAGTGAAGTTGTGGTGGTGTGAGAAGTGTATATGATAGATGAAGCTTGGGAGGGGAGGAGCAGCTTTTCTACTCTTGATCAAGACACAGCCAAAACGACCAGTGCCCTGCGCGGCCTTGGGACTTCCCCCAAAGGCACCACAGCCGGGGAGGCCTTGTCGCGCAGGAGCGACCATGCCACATCGCACCTAGCGCTAGCGCAGCCTGGCATCCTGGGCAGGGTACCAGGGGTGGGCAGGGTACGCATGTACATGCAGGTATGCTGCACTGTGGGTGGTGATGGCCGGTGGTGGTGTGGGTGTGGTGTGGTGTGGTGCGGGTGGGCAGAGGGCGTGTGATGCGCAGAGCAGAGACCAAAACAGACAGGGTGCCCGGGTGTCTCTGAAAAATTTTCAAGGCAGCCTAGACACCCACTGACACCACCCGCTGGGCAGCACTGGGGGGGTGCAGGAGGACAGGTGGGCTGCACATTCCTTGCCACCCGACAAGCTGAGCCTGCCCGAAGGCCCTGCTGCCATGCCTGACTGACTTATTAGAGACTGACTGACTGACGGAGAGGGTGACTGATGGACTGAGGCCCAAGGGGGTGTGGATCTAGGGCGCAAGAGTGCCCACAAGCAAGTTTATGCCCGCACCCCACCACGCAAGCCCACGGCCCCCTGGTGCATTCAAAGTGCAGCAAGCACACATACGCAGTGCGTGCTGCGTGTTCAATGTACCATGTAGTGTACGGAGCACCGTCGTAGACACACACCCGGCCGTCGCACTGATACTCATCAAGGTGCCGTGCAACGAGAACGAGGCAGAAGGCAGTGGGGCTGGCTCCTGGGCGTGGACACAGCAGAGTGGAGTAGGCCGTGGATGCAGCCTGCTTGCCTGCTTGCTTGCCTGCTTGCCTACTTGCCTGCTTGCTCAATTCTGCTGCTGTTGATGTTGTTGCCGGTTGCTGGCCCTTGCCCATGCCCATGCCCATGCCCATGCCCTGCCCCCAGTCCTGCTGCATTGCGGGAGGTGGAGCCATCCGCACGCAACTGGGCAGTAACATTGGCACACAGGAGCCCAGGAGCCCAGGAGCCCAGGAGCCCAGGAGCCCAGGAGCCCGTGGGCGAGAGGGAGAGTGCGCAGGTGCGAGAGTCACATGGACGGTGCCGCCGTCAGGACCGTCCCGTCTGGATACTGTACTGTGGTATGTTGTCGGTTTGGCTGGTCTGATAATAAGTAAGCTTTGCCGCTCACGCAGCCGATGTGTGAGGGAGTAACTCTCGTCTCGTCGCTCCGGTCGGGGTCGGGGTCGGGGTCTGGGTCTGGGTCTGGGCTGGCCTCTCTTGGCCCCTCAGGTCTGGCTGTCTGGCTGTCTGGTTGCACAGTTGCACAGTTGCACAAGAGCACGGAATTAGGCACGCTGGCTTGCAGCAGCATGCTGCGGCGTGGGCGTGGGCGTTGAGTTTTCGATGCAAAAGTAAAAGATAGTATATGGTGGGGAATAAGCTCTCGCCAATTGTCTGCCGGGCTATCGCCCTCTCTGCCATTTTTTGCCCGCACTCTGCCCACACGCCCGACCCGACAACCTCGGCGCCCCAGCCCATCTGTCTGTCCTGTCCTCGGGCTGCTGGCGTGACGGACGGATGGGTACATGTTTGGCGAGCTTGTCTCGCAAGCCCGCAAAGTCGCATTCACGGTGCGAGACATGATCGTCCCTCGATCAGCCGGGACCCTTGTGGCTACCACAGTAGATAGAGATAACATGTTGCGATCTGCAAAGCACCCAAGCGCCGTCGCTGCCTTTCTGGAGGGCCGGAGGGGAGGGGCAGAGGGGGCCAATCTTTCACTACTAGGCATATACTCCGTAGTAGATACGCTCCAGACTGGGACGTCCAAGGCGTGGGGGTCGAGATGCGCTTCCGTCTCCGGTGGGCAGCGGCCCCAGGCCAGCGTTACCTTGGGAGTGGGCTCCGTCGCCCTCAAGGCAAATCCCGTCCGTCCCCCCTATCTCTCTGCAAGGTTGAGATGATCTCGAGAAGCTTCATAGCACGAGCTCGACCCGCGGGTTCGGTAATGGCGCTCACGGCGCTCGTGCAATCCGTTCAATCCGTCGCCCAAACCGAACAAGTCGACCCAGCCAGCCAGCATGGCGAGACCAAGGCGTCCTGGGCATAAGCGCCGTCGACGGCGCCAGGCCAAGGCCAGTAAGACCTCGTTCAACTCAACAACATCAGGGGGCCATAGATTGATTGATAGCACTGCATGTGGCCTTGTAAACACGGCATCCAGGCAGCATCGTGCAATTTTCGCAGGCCCTGTTCTCGTGCCGTGCGGCATTCCAGCGACGCGACCTCAACCCCCCTTGGCTGCATGTGCTCTTCCATCCTGCCATCATGGCCACGGCCTCATATCTTATGCCCGCGCCGTCGGCGGCAGCCACGTTGCACAGAGGCCGTGTTGACACATCGCCGCCGCTGGCTATCAGGGCATCAGGGCTATCAAACCTAATCGTTTTGCATTTCGCCTCCACGATGGCCATCGTCTCAGAGCAGTGCAACCTGGCGTCCATTTCCGTCCGGCCTCTCGTTCACGTTCTGGGATCGGCGCCCGGCCTGCCCATAGTACCAGGACTACTGGGTGGTGTCTCCCTCCCTCCCGCATCGCCCGCTGCAACCCGGTGCATCTAAGAGCGGAGCTACCATGCTGCATAACCACTGCCCTCTCCCACGATGCCACCCCCCTCCCTCACGCCCACCAGATGCCCACCAGACCAACCATCAGGGCACATGCAGGACAAGCCACCGAGCTGCAGGCCGCATGGATCGTGGAGATCTTGCGCAGCTGACCCAATGGCCCATCATCACCAGCCCCGGACCAGACTTGGATAGAGAGAGCACTGAGACTGCCTGCCGCCCTCGCTGCCTCGCCCACCCCCATCCCCCTCTTTTCCCGCTGCCAAGGACAAGAATCCATCGCCATCAACGTGGGCATTTTCCCTAGCCGCTATGCCTTGACTGGCCACGCATGCATGAGCCCTTGCGGGCCTGTAGCGACCTTGGTTACAACAAAGTGGCTTGGGGTTTAGGATCCTGCATGACGGCAACAGCTGCCCCCAGAGTCTCTCCCCAGCCAGAGAGAGAGAAACAGACGTCTTTGGCTATCTAACCGGCCAGCCGGCCAGCCTGACAGCCTGGCCGACTTGTCGTCTTGAAGCGCCGCCGACCCGTTTCGTCCAGTAGCAGGCCGGCTCCTTGGCCAGGTCCACTGCGTCTGCCAGCCTCTGTGTGCTCTCGCACAGATACATAGCTGCTGGGCCATACGGGCACCGGTGATTGGCCCAGCCAGAGCCGCCGGGTAGGCAGATGCTACTCTGGTTCAAACCACTTATTACCACAACCCGACCACGGCCTCGCGATGCTCGGCACACAATCTGCGTCAAACCCAGCATGGGTTCGGCCCAGCGATAACGTCCGTACCCTGGTTGCTGCCCACCCCCCGCACGGCTCAGGAGAGCAGTCGCAATCTTGTGAGCGGGTGTTGTTATGGAGGCCCCGGCCGATTTCTCGGCGAGGCTGAATGGCGTTTGTGCCTCTGGAGACTATCGTCACCGAGATGACGAGATCAACGCCACGAGGCTGCAGGATCATCCTCACTTCTAAGAGCTAACTACGAGACCACTCAGCTTAGGAGCCAGTAGGCCAGCAACTGGCTCGACGGCCGCGCTGGACCTGGCCAATTGTCCGTGCCTACAACGTTGACGATGCCCTTGCGCATGATGCATTGCGAGAACGAGCTGGTCAGTAGGGGTGGGCTGCACACACCCATCCGTCCGCCCAGAGAGGTCAAGGGTTCCACCTCCACACTTTCCCTCGGGATGGGGTGCGGAGATTAGTGGACCTCCCGAGTGCTCCATCACGAAACCACCTCAGCGGGCCTATCGAACGACGACATCATCACCGGACTAGCCAAGCAACAAGCGATTCGTGCACGACGGGTGGGGTGTGACCTCGACCGCTTCCAATTGGTCCACCGGCCTTTCTCCCTCTGCGCAGCTCGGGCTGACCATCTCGGCTCTACACTAGGGACCAGGGTTCACAGTATGCAGCAGACTCGGGGTTTCAAGCTGGAACTCGCGTCGCTTTGGGGCCATCATCCTCTCTGCCTCTCATTGCCATTCCTGTCCCTCTGTGTGCCCATACCACTTTGTGATTTCACCTTGGGCACCTGATGGATGGACGATGCCTTCCCGAGCCAGACGATTGGCAGCCTGATCAGTTGCCAAGGGGGTGGATAATGCTACAATTCTTTACACCACTGCTGCCGGGGGCTCGTCCTTTTTCTCGCGGCCGTCTCCGCCAATGACCTATCTGGTAGTGGTAGCTACTTTACTGCAAGACACGCCCCCGCCCATTTCCTTGTAGCCCATTCTGCTCTGATGGGGTAAGCTGGTCTGCATGTTTACGTACTACACTGACGACTGGGGGCACCATTACTGCGTCATATCATGCACGATGCTGAAGTGCCAGGCACAGTGTCGAACGGCCTACGTGATTATACAGCATCACTACTACAGCACTCCGAACCTTCTCATCCACATCCGCAGCCACTTCGCACCCACATGCACACCCCCAGGAACCAAGCAATGAACGCTTGGCCTCACCACCCCCCACGGGAGTCGGTGGGTCTGTTGTTTCGCACAAGAAAATGGGTCACTCGACTGCTTCATGGCATCACCTGGCCAAGCCCCGGTTTCAACCCCGCCATGGAAGGCGTCGTGAGTCTGTATCAGGTCGTCCGTCACGATAGCCTTCTAACATCGTGACTTGCATTCGGCTCAGTGTGGCTTGGCAGCCTTTGAGGGGAAGGAGACCACGCAGCGTGCTACATCTCATATCACAACTACCGGGCATCCACAGATGTCGGATTCTTTCTACACCGAGCTCATGAAGGAAGCAGATGTCAAGCCAAGACCGCATATTTGCCTTCTCAACCAAGGCACTGGGTGCAGTCCACGTTGTTTTCGGCTCGGGATGCTGGAGGCAC